CAACACATATTGCATCTTCAACAGAAAGTACTCCTCCTTTCACTAGACGTTTGTTTTTTGTTCTCTGGCATTTACTTAATAAGTGATTGCCCTCCTCTAGCTCGCGGACCCAGAAATCAGCCAAAGTGACCTTGTGCATAAGACTGTATGTAGCCTTTGAAAATGAGCTCAACGCATCAATTATTGATATAGGTGAGCTTCCCTAGTGGTTTCTTACTCGATTCCGGATATAAACTGATTGGTTTACCGCTTCGTTAATGGTGGCAGGCGTCTTAGAAGTTCAAGTAGTGGGTGGCAGATTGGGGTCTGGCAACAGTGTTCGTACGCCAACGACAGCATCCAGCTTCAAAATGACACTTTTTGGGTCAAAAAGAACAAGCCTAGTAGCACTGAAACCTATTCAAATATTTCCTGGTATCATAGCAGCGTTATATGCTTCACAAAACGCTGTAAGGAAGTCCTCTTTTAAAACATGGGTTATAAAACGCTAGATGAGATCCTTAATCATGCGACTATAAGCTCCGTTGAGCGGGCTAAAACAGCTAACATATAAAGGCTAGAACCTGTATAACGAGTAAACAGGCATACAAAGGGTAATGATACCATTATTCTGCTAATAATTTTTAAAGACCTGGGAATGGTGGCTTTTATGGCCATCTAAGATGAGAAGGCGTTTACTAGCGGTTATATACGGTCTGTTATACTTGTCAAAATGCTGAATTAATTTCAAATTAAGCTCATTTGTAGTACATCTGTTGTCAGACACGGCCACCTTCCAATCGCGAGGTAATGTCATGTTGCGATACTATGACGCAAGATAGGTTTTGCCATGTAAAATAATGAATGACGGGACCACCCAACCATCAGCTTGATAACAGAGATTATTATAGACTATTCTCTGTTACCTTGCTGGGCTTATCTAGGCCTGTCACGTCTTTTAGTACTTATAATGATTATACCAGACCCAATAATGCCCTTCATAAACCCAGTCTCGTCTTAAAGTTATAAATGTCTATGTCTTAGATACTATGTTTTGTGATTGCTGCCACAATTTGGCAAAACCACGCGCGATTTGTGTCTGGATCTTTGTTCAAGGTCCTCTGGTAGTCCATCCTCCAATAAAAATGTGTTCGGAGGCCTGGTGTGCGTTTAATGAAGTTGCGTGTCCAGTTCTTTCCAACGCGTCCAGCCCCACATACTGCCAACAATTGATTTGCTATATCTTTAACATAACTGTGCCGGGGTAGAAATACTCACGCATTCAGGTCAAAAATGAAGGAAAGAATAGTATTCTTTTCAGAAACTGTAAGTTTCAAAGTATTGGGCATGCTGTCACGTCGTGATGGTTGGCCAGCAATTCTAGCCTTTAAGGTATTATATGGGACATAGAAAGTCTTAAAAAGCTTGCCAATAGTAATATAAGGGTCGCGTTGTTTAGCTTGGACAGCAAGCTGTAAGTCTGATTTGCTATAATGCAATGCTATTATTGTTGGTTGATCAAATAGGAGCCTTGATAAAAAGGTTAAGTGGCTGGTGAAAAGTTGCCGTTCGCTTGTAATTGCCGCTCACTTGTCATCTACATTGAATATAATTTTAATTAATAGTAGGTTATAAAGGGTAAAAAGAATTTTTAGAAGGTAAAAAAAATACCGTTATAATAGGTTTATTATTTTACATTAAGTAGCTGGGTATTAAAAGGCTTTTATAACTATATTTAAAAAAAAATCACCCTTATAAACCCATTATTGAACCATTAATTATAATAATATTTTAACCTTATTTAAATCGTTGATATTTATATAGTAACAGTTTTAATAACTATTCAATAAAAAGATATTCAATGATTTAAAAGTATTTAAAACATTTTAATATATCTTTAACAACTTTTTCACCTTTTATAAAACTTTTCTACCTTTTATAAAAACTATAATTAACTTTACGCGCAAAAGCGCGATTATTAATAACGTTACCGCGTAACGAAAAGTTAAGCTTTTAAAAATAAAAATAAAAAGTTAAAGTAATAAATAACTCATTAAAATAAAACATATAAAAGTAAATTTTTTTTTTTTAGAAAAAACCCGTTTATTAAAAAATTTAACGAAGTTGATAAAGCTAACGGCACTTTTAAGAAAATTAAAGAAAAAGTTATTTTTTTCGCTTTATTTATAACGCTTAATTAACAAAATTTTAGTAATAATTATTAAAAAATCGTTTTAAAAAGCTCTTTTATTGTCACGAAGTGTAAATATGGAGTGGACGTAACAGTCCTGCTTTCACTACGTATGTGTAAGAATCTCTCGGTGGGGAGGAGAAGAAGGATCTGACCCGCCAGCTAATTCTGGTGGGATTAAAGATCCTTCAACCCGCCCCACAATTACCCAATCTAGTACAGCTGTGGCAACACGTCCTGTGCGCCAGGTCACCTGATGCAGCGCACTGACCACATCGATGGGCTGACAGACGTACAGGAGGTCAGACCGTCACATTTATACTTACGCGGTTATACATGCTAATAGGTGGGAATCCCACCTAATTGCTGGTATCAACGTCGCGCAGCGATGCGATCAACAGACCAGATGCCCGGACCATTCCAGATGCCCGACCATCTAATAGACAGATATACCTTTTAATAGGTGCGCATCAGAGTGCAGCGCCAGGTACTATTGTCGCCAGTTGGGTACACCACATCTGGTCAGTTGAGCAAACCACATCTCAATTGAGCAAACCACTTCTGAATTAAGCAAACCACAATTTTCAGTTGAGCACACCACTTATGAGATGAGCACACCACGTTCTGAATTGAGCAAACCACAACTGAATTGGGCGCACCACATGTTCTGAATTGAGCAAACCACGTTCTGGAGATGAGCGCACCACATCTAGCCAGTTGAGCACACCACATCCAGACAGATATTGGTGGCAGTAGCACCTATTGCTGTCGCGCGGCGGTGCCGTCACCTGGCTGCCAATGGACCAGATGGGATCAGACCAGATGGACCAGATAGATCAGACCAGATGGAAGACCAGACCGAATGGACCATATGGACAGATATACCTTGGAATGGCCGTACGTTAGGTGCTGTTGCAGGTATCACGGTCGCAAGGCACCACGCGCGGAGGTCTGGCGGTTGAATAGCCGGTTGAACAACTAGATGAATAGACGAAGCGAATGGCAGTTGACGAGATGAATGGACTAGATGGACAGAAATACCTTGAATGGCGGTATATTGGCTGTATGTTAGGTGCGCTGGCAGGTTCCACGGTCGCACCGGACTATGTGGTGTGCCCAACTCCCTGACAGCTGTTAATGGACACAGTTGGCTGGCCACCTATTTAAACACAGTCGATTTAACAGAACTCTTATAAAATAATCTTTAAGTTTACAAATATAAAAGCGAGTACTTAATTACGTACGTAATTAAGTTTAACAACTTAATAATAAGAAATATAAATATGAGTAATACGTTTATTTAAGCGTGATAATAAGTCTTTTTTCTCGGCAGCGCTTATAAAATAAAATAAAATAAAAGCTTCTTCTTACGATATATCGTTAATATAAAGATTTAAGCTCTTAAAAACGACTTTATTAATAAGTTTTAAAACTATATGAACGAAAAAGGCGATAATAAAGTTAAAAATACGTCTTATTATAATGATTAAAAGTACAACAATAAGGTTAAAGTTAAAAACCGCTGTTAGAAATACGAGGAAAACGGCCACATTTAAAACGACTATTTTAATAAATAACTTAAACCCTGATAAGGCTAAAAAGAAAAAAAGCCACGTTATTAAGGTTAAAATTGAAAATTTATAAACGTTTTAAGTCTAAACGGCTACTTTGTAAAAATTTATCCGCGGAAAATTGTCTAGTAAGTAAATTACGTGGCGCGGTAATTAAACTATAACATTATAAAACGGTATCATAATAGTTACAATAAGTTTTTAAATCTTAAAAAATAACGATGAAACAATCGTGATTAAAGCGTATAATTCGATATATAACAGTTTGATTTAACTAAGCGTTATGAAAGATAAATAACGTAGTATTATAAGTAGCCGCGATAAAATTAATAAGATTTTAACCATAATTGTAAATACGAAAGCAAAAAGATCTTTAAATAACTACGAAATTATAAAAAACCAGAAAACAAGTAAATAATAACCTAGATAATATTAAAAGTAATAACGCGTTAATTAAAAGCTTTATTAATAAGGTTAAATTTTATTACGTGTATATATATACCGCTTACTTAACTAAGCGATAATATCGTAATTAAATTGGATTTCATCGCGTTTTTAAACGTTTTAAAGCTTTATTGATCTCTTAATATTATTACATAAATCAGCTACTTTAAAGGTTGAAAAGATTACCTTATTATAAAGGTAAATAATGGCTAGTAACACACGATAGTTATAAAAGTATATAAAAATATTAATGCTTATTAAGTATAGCTACAGCTAGTAGCATGTTGTAAGGGGTAAAAGGGACGTAAAGGGGGTGAAAGGAACCGTTATAGCAGGTTTATTTCTGGTGTTAAGCAGCCGGGCATTAAAGGGCTCTCATAGCTATATTTAGGTAGGGATCTCCCCATAGATCTATAGTCAAGACACCGACCACCATCCCACCCTGACCCCATCTAAACCCCTGACATCCATAAATATAAAGTTATTATTATCAATGGGGATTGATTAGGAGGTGTTAAGGGATGTGGTCCCATACATGTAAGGAGACCGCATCCAGGCCTCAGACCAGAGATTGGCCATACCAGAACCACGCCCCATAATTAGCCCCTGATTGGCTAGTCTCTGGAAATAGAGTGGCGAGACAAACGCCTTTCATGGCGTTGGTCTGGCATTGGCGAAGCTTGGAGGCTCCTCGCCGACTCCAGAATGTTTGTGAATATGCTATATAAGTAAGTGTAGGGTCCTTGTGCGTGACCGTCACTCTGCATCAGCTCGTAAGAACTCGTTACTTCACTACACCAAGTCTCTCTGAAATCATGGTTAGCACTTTCTGGAAGATCGTTGTAGGAGCGTTGCTCCTGCCAGATGCTCTGTCCGCCGCAACAGCATTTCGCATCGAGCCGCATAACGCCGCCACCCACATCCATAGACGAGCCGACGTCCCAAACCCATTCCAGAAGGGCTCCCCATACAGCTACAAGCCCGACGGTATTGATCCGGACCTCAAGATCCAGGCGTACGGTGTCTTCAGCACTGGCCACCAGGATGCCATCGTCCCAGTGGACAAGTTTGCGTATGACCTGAACGCAGGCCGCATGTACCTGCTCCACGCCCTGAATCGATGGGACGACGCGCCCGCACGAAAGCCACTCCACGAGTTGATGATGGGCGCCTGGGTCCACGAGGCCAAGCAGCCTCTTGAGGAGATGAAGAGCGTCGAGTACATACGCGTCAGTAGTGACGTCATCGAAAAGGCCGTGAATGCGGCCTACAAGATAATGGGGAGGAACCCCGAAGAGCCCGGGACGCTGGAGGTCTCCGAGAGCATCAATAAGGAGGCTTTCGCGAAGCTCAGGGACATGAGCAACGGCAGTCCGTTCGGTCTGAAGTACATGCTCGGGAAGTATCTGCCCTCACGTAAGGTCCGCGCATACCTCATCACGACTCACGGGGACGAGGAAGTGAGCAAGGAGGCAGGGGCCTCCGAGGACGAGAGCTCCGACGACGCGACGTTGGGCGATACCAAGAGGCCACTTGACCTTGCGGTGTTCTTCTAAAGCAGATCCATTGTGACAAGGTCGCCAACGCCTACTCTCCCATCTTCAACCCACCACCACCCCCTCCTTTGGCGATTTATTAGGAGCAAGGATTCGGCATACGCCCTGAACTAGTTCGTGTTGTCACGGCCAAACGTCCTATCATGTAAGTCCCAGATATATGAACGAGGGCATCTGGCGGGCTAGAAAGGACGTATCACCCCTGTTGAAATATAGTAAATCCATCTCAATGTCATTGCGACTTCGCAAGCCCGACCATAAGTAAATAATTATGAGAGGATGCCGGCCAAAATAAATACGTCCATATGAGGGGAACCACGGTCGCGACCGATGCTTTCAACTTGGAGTCAACACATACCTGACATACCCACCAGTTTGATCAACCTAATCCCTGAGGTTGTGCGTGAGCTCGGTGACCACAATCTCAGCAGAAGACGAAGCTAAGTCAGCACCTGCGCGGTAAGCCCGAACCACTCTCCTTTCAGGCTTCTAACCGACCAATCGAACAGTAAGGTAGGTACAGTAGCCATACGGGGTGTTGTTATCCCGTATAACTGTCTGACTGCCGGATCACGACGACGGGCTGTCACTGCTAAGCTCCTCTAGCAACCATAACTGTAAGGTGTGGTGGCAAAGGTTACCTTTGGTTATCCCATACCCAGACACACGCTACTTGAGAAAGCAGAACGTAGTGACCCGCTGATTCGATGCATATGATCGCCCGGCGTCCGCCCCGTCTGCCTCGACAAGAAAACGCCTTATGATATGACGATACGAAAAGTATCCCCTGGTTTCTGTTTTTCTCAAACACCACTCTCATCCCACTGCACTCGAACTGGACGTCGCAAAACCCGATTTATAATCCAGACCCATGGCCAAGGCGCGACGCTAGCTCCACCAGTTAGGCCCTTAAGGTCACATTCTCATCATATCTGTCTCAGGGGTACAAACCCCATAAACCCCTTATCCCAGTGGGACATATAGAACAGACAGACCAACGAGATGTTGATTTTCGAGAGAGGGTGGCCATCCTCATCCTCCCCATAATGCGTGTCCTGATTGCAGAAAGTCTGGAGCAGACAGTTCGACATTAAAGACGCTCCTTGATCACTCTTGCCAGCCTTAGTCCGAGACAGCAAGATGAGTGACAGTCGCAATACCCAACGACACCAGCGGCAGCCCACATCCACGCCGAACCATGACCAAAACCGGCATCATCCTCGGCGCCGATATAGCCGGCTTCCTCATAGCGCAGTACCTCTTCCGCCGCACTGCCGCCGCGGTGCTTGGACACGAATGTCGTGACCGTGCAACTACACAGAGACGGAGGGGAGACGATGAGGGCGATGCCCTACCACAGGCTCGTCAAGACGACCGGATCGCGGTACAGCGTCGGCACGTCGTTGAAGGTGCCCTCCGTTTTCTTCCTCTCATCCTCCCTCTCCTCGTTCTCCTCCCGTCCACCACCGCGGAAAAGGCCATGAGCACCCCTCTCCAAGGAGGCAAAATCGAGCCTCACGCCTTCGACGACGCCAAGGTCCAGCTGGCCTTGTCGATCGGGCGCGATTGTGGCACGGGCCAGGTGGGAGATATGAAGCCGTTCAGCTTTCTGATCTGGTGGTTCAAGAGCCGGCACCTAGGGACCGACCCCGGGGCGGCGTACGCTGCGGGGGTCGACAGCAAGAACAGGCCGTGGCCGGCATGAGTGGAGAAGGTATCGTTTGTCAACACCGTACCTAGGTAGGCTACTTGTCTGGCATAGCAGTTGAGAATGTAGGATTGGTACGTCGTATTAGCCTCCCCATTGCGACCCCGACATAGTGAAACACATCCTGTTCCATTAGTTTGTTCAGTTTTTCTTTATTGGCATGCATCGGCGTGCTTGTTCTACTTCTACACGTATCCGACATCACACAATGCGCATCCATTTTGATCTTGACCAGCACCTTTTGCACATCGCACGTCTTTCCTCGCGTGTGTTCGAAAAAGTGACCAAAGAGCCAGTGACCGATGATCTGCCATTCAACCAAGCAACTACCCGGTTGACGTCCAGTCGGCGCCGGACGTACCAATTGGGGAGCGATTATTTCAGCCAGTGCCGTAACATCATACCTTCATATTGGGAGGTTGTCCCTCCACATGTGGGCGTTTGGCTTCCCGTTGAGCATCATGAGACGAAGACGGCCGTTTCTTCTCCTTATCCCTCTGGTTGCCATCTTTGGCAGCAGCTGCGCGCCGAGCGTCTCGCTCCTGTTTCTCCTTTCTCTCCTTCTCTCGACGAAGTGCCTTAGACTCGAACTCGTGCCAATCGCCCTGGACGTGCTTGAGTCTAGAAGAAAAATGTTAGTTCCGTCAAGATCACCCGGTTATGGAGGAGTACTCACTGGATGGCTTGTCTAGGCGGCGGTTGCTCCGTCGTGAAGTAAGGATGTTCCAGGGCATCACTTGCAGATGGTCGTTTGACAGGGTCATACTGGAACATGCTGGTGAGGAGCTCGAATGCAGCGGCCGGCACCCGCTCTCGGTACTTCTCTACGAAGGTACTCCGCTTTCGATAGCCCGGCCGCAACAACTCAAACCACGGCATATCCACGAGGCCGGGCCACTCCTTCGGGTTGGGTGTGCCCAGCACGCTGTAGATCTTCTCCAGCTGGCTAATCTCACCACCGTCACCTGGGAAGATGGCATGGCGAGTGAATATCTCTACCATGACACACGCGGCACTCCATATGTCAACCGCAGCAGCATACTGCGTCTCGCCTAGCAGAAGCTCCGGAGATCTGTACCAGATGGTAACGACACGGTTCGTATAGTCGATCTTGTGGCCCTTGGCATAGAAGCGAGCCAGACCGAAGTCGGCCAGCTTTAACACTCCCTCATTGCTCACCAAGATGTTCGCAGCTTTGATATCGCGGTGTAGTACCCCTTTGTTATGAAGGTAGTCCAACCCCTCAAAAAGTTGCTTCGCTAGATGTTTTCTTTCGCTCGCATCAAGCCTGTAACCCGGATGGTTCAGCAAACCAGTCAGGTCATGGGAGAGGTATTCAAACACCATGTAGCAGTCATTCTTTTCGATCATGACCTCTTGCAGGTTGACGATGTTGGTGTGCTTCAATGACTGGAGCAGTTTGACTTCCCGCGTGGCAGTGACTGGAAAGCCATCTCGCTCTCCTTCCATGCGTATCTTTTTGAGCGCGACGGTTCTCTTCATGTACACATGCACCGCCTTGAACACTTTGCCGTAGGTGCCCGCTCCGATGACCGACTCATTTCCAGGTTTTCTGAAGTAGACAGATTTCGACTTGGCGTATTCGGGCTCTAGGCTAGGCTTTGGTTTCAAGGTTCTGATCTTCCTCATCACCTTGCGCGTGCGCGGCTGCTCGGGCATTGATTTGTTGTCATGTTGGTCGTTCCGGGCCCTGGCCGAAGCAGGCTCTCTAGGGGTGTCTCTGGGCAGGTCCCGATTGTCGTCGTCATCGCGTTGCGCTCCCTTCTTTGGAGCAGCACTGAATTTTTGTGAGATCTCCGGTTTTGGCGCCGCCACTGGGGCTTTGTTTGTTGCTTTGAAAGCAAAACTAAATTTCGAGCCAGAGGGGCCGGTAGGAGCAGTCGGCGGCGGCCCAGGCGGCCCAGGCGGCGGCATGACTTCTGTCGGGACTTTCTCTGGTGCAGGACTTTCGACGTGGGCATCTTCAGAGGGCCCCAATGTACCAATCTCTGCTTCATCGCTTTCTCCAGGTAAGTCGGGATGATTGGAGGTTGTGTTCTGTGGGCTGAGATTTCGAAGAGTGCCATCGTGTGGTGGACTCGAATGACCCCTGCTGTACTCAGCCGGGGCATCCCGCTGTGCACTCCTCGGGGCGGAACCATCGCGGTAACGTCGTGTCGAGTAAGAACCACCACGAAATCTTCCTCTCGAAAAGCCATGACCGCGGGAATCAGCTTGAGCGGCGGGCCCGCTCGGCGGCTGTGGTGACTGACTCCTGACACGATGTGCAGAGGGCCCGGTTGGAGGTCCACGATTGCCCTGGGACTGCTGGGAGGGACGCTGGCTACCTGGATATTAGCAAAGCGATATATGCTACATGACCATACCAGCACATACCTTTGAGGCGAGTACTGATGCTGACTGTATCTAGCTGCTCGACCATTTCCGTAAGGCGATTGAGCAGTTGGCGATCCGTGAAACGAGGAGCCCGAATTGGCGTGGGATGGTGATTGGGCATAACGAGAATCACTGTGATGAGTTTTGGCCGGATGTCTAGGTGGCAATTGGGTGCTGAGCTCGCTTCGACCATCGCGTCCTCCGTCGCCTCGACTGTCTGATAACCGGGACATGTTCACCTCAATACTGTTGGCACCAGTTGGCTGACCATCGGAAGGAAATCGTGGTTCTTCGCGAGACTTGGCCTTTTTGCGGGAGCGGCGCGATGCACGGTCTCTAGGAGAATGAGGAGGATACTCTGCTCTAGATTGGTCGAATGAGGGAGATGATCTGCGGGAATGCGAGCCGGCATCCAGAGGCCCGGCCGGGGGGCGCCCAAGATGGCGAGGTGGTGAGTGAGTTCGGGAGAAAGATGAGCGCCTGGAAGTTGGCCGTGGAGAGCGGCTGCGGCCTCGAAAGAGCGGGTCCACGCGTGGGCGAGAGGCTGCACCACGTTTGAAGTCAGCCTCACGAAGCGGCGACCGACTACGATGGCGGTGCCGAGGCCGATCCAGAGGTTCGCGCCGATCAGAGTACCTATAACGGAGATCGTCGTAGTCTCGGGAAGGAGATCCCCTGCGCAGAGGAGAAAGTGTGCGATCATACCGCGCAGGCCCAGGGCCCTTGGTGTATTCTCTCTCTAGCCTATCGTCTCTTTCTGCTTTACGTCGGCGGTCACGCTCGCGTTCACGCCTCGACTTCTTAGATTTAGGGGCCGGGAGCGGCAAGGGACTCTGACTTCTGCGTCGTTTTCTTGAAGTAGGCGAGTGAGAGCGATCTCGTGGGGGTAGCTCTGATTTCTCATCGGGTTTCGGGCGCTGTCTGGGCGGCGAGACACCTTCTCGGTGTCGGCTGGGCTGGAGCTGCTCGTCTCCAGGGGAACGCCGTCTCGCCCCGCGGGCGCTGTCGTGGTCGTTTCTTGGACGGTCGCGTGACCGCCCTCGATGGCTTCTATCGGGAATCGACTCTTCGTTGGTTGCGTGGGCCTTTTCGCGATGCGGATGTTTCTCTCTTTCTAGGTGATTATGTTGATCGCGACGGGTAGGCGACTGGGAATGCAGCCTGGGTTGGGGATCGATAGCTGAGACTCGAGGCTCCCTTTCTACGGCGACCCGATCTCTGGTACCTCCGCCCCTATCTCTGCTCCGGTTGCGAATCATGGCAACATCTCGAGTATCGGCGATGGTTTGAGGGTGGTGGTTGTTGTCGGTAGGTCGTGATGAAGGGGCACCAGGGCCTTGGGGTGCTTCGGAGGGCATGTCTGCATCAGTCATTTTGGCGGGTTTGTCTGCTACCAGCCAGTGAGAGCGGCAAAATTATGTCGCCGAGACATGGGTTAGGCTACCCACACAGCAGTAGCAGCCTCACTCAATCACCAATTTCTCCAACGTAGACGATTCCTGTGCTGGCCAATCGGAGCAGATAGGCAGATATCTTTATTGCGACACTCACAGAATGAGTGCACAGTTGTGGTTGTCGACTTTGTGCACGCCGAAGCTTGCTGGAGCTTATGCACGCGTGGTGTCGGCGGTGTTTGAGAAAGTCCACCGATAGCGCTGTTGATAGAGTAGCGCCGCTGCGCTGGTGTCGTGCTTTGTCGTGCTGGGGTGTGCGCTGGGGTTCGGGCTGTGTTAAATTTTCTGGGTCGCGGCCCTCAGCGGTTCGGACGTGCCAGTCCGGCTTGGAGCCGCGCAACGCGGGGAACGGGGACCGTCTAACGACGAGAAAAGGCGTGCGTGCCTTCTTCTTCTTGCCCACCACGGATATATCTCAAGCCGTGTCCTTGCCCAGACGCGCAGGTTGTCATTCCAGATAGCAGTCGGGGGCGAATCAGTCAGTCGGTCGTCGGTTGGCCAGAAGTTAGTAAAGACGAACGAGGCAGCCAGTTGCAGTTCAAGACTGAGACTTGAACTGGAACTGGAACTAGACCTAGGACTGCACTGCGACTCGGTGGAGTGGACCAGGCAAACGGGAGGGAGAGCTCTGGCTTCGAGGCAGGCTGTCCGCTGTCCAAAGCTTACCAAAGCTTACCCCCGACCACGTCCAATTGCTGGAGCAGCAAAGCTGCCGCTGGACCCTGGGCTTGAGCTTGGGCTTGGACTTGGGCTTGGGTGGCCAAGCGACTCAGGCAAGTCAAGCAGCAAGCATCAAACATCAAAAGCAGTACACCACCAGATGGCTGTGCTGGCTATCTACGAGACGCGTTTTAATGCACGTCCCAATCTTCTCTCCATATCCCATGCCTCTCCCTTGCTTCTGGCGATTTGCAATGTGCACACGACCCTGAGCTGCTTAAATACCTGCAATTGCTGCCACCAACCCTTTCTTTCAACCATCCAGCCTGACGAGATGACCGTGACAGGCGATGATCCAATCATCACTTATTCCAACTGTCACTTGTCCTGCAGCCTTGGGGGCTGTTCGAGCAGTATTGGTTTCGCTGAACCAGCCTGCGCCAGTGGTAGGTGAGATGATATAATCAACTCCTTCCATAAATTTGGCAGGGTTGATCAGCCGTGGCAGACGACGCCTGTCAAGAAGTGACGACCGGTTGACTGTTCGACTTGAGAAAGTTTGAGCCGAGGTCAGTATTGGCTTGATCTGAGTGATGGCGACCCAGATAGGTCATCACCAACCCCATCGACACTCGTGTTGACAGAGTGCAACACAGCTGCCACATCTTCTAGGTAAGAAATGTAAAGTGACAGCCAACGTTGATGCCGACCAACCATCCTCTGGCCAATACGAGGTTCGCCATAAGAAGTATCCTGGGACATTGGACAATGGTAAAGCTATCTGATGTCTCTGGCACTCAAACGCCCGTCTCTCAAGTCGGCACATGGACATGAGTTAGCCGACCAGAAGCTGAAAGCAAGCAGCCTTGCCGAACAGCTACCCCAGCACCATCTTGATAGTTGTGGTATAGGTAGGGGGCAGTTTCGATGCCACCCACGAGGTTACTATTTGGCATCATGAAGCGGGTGAACAAAGTGGAATCCAATTTGCAAACGCTCATTGCTGTGGGAGGCATTTGCTTGCCACGCATGCGTTTGACCTCAGTGTGTGAAGATGACGGATAGTGCTGAAGATGGGAGGGAGATGACTGTTCAGTAAAGTCCACTATCCACCTGGGCAGCATCGCCGGTACCGTGCCTTCTCCATTGGTTGTATTCTACCCCTTGGCGAACTGTACATGCTGAACCAAGTAATGCATAGATTCGAATGTCGGGAGTGACTTGCACAGTAGTCGTGTTGTGGTGGTGATCGGCGGGGATGGAGATATTCGTCGAGGTTCGGGTTCTCGTGGCTGCATCGTAAGCAACGAGGAGAGCTGCAGCAATTCGCTACGTGATATGATAAATCATGCCCCTCAAAGTCGAAGTTCTGTCGCGATATCGTATCGCAATGCGCAGTTACTTCAAGACATGATGACCGTGCTCGCCTTGATCGAATGACTAGAAGACGATACGAAAGCTGCGGACGGTGGCAGATAGCCAAGGTATTCCGACCGGTCGCAAATTGGATGTTGGTGTGTATGCGAGTGTCGAGAACAAGGGATCATTACGATGGTATGCTGCTGCGTGTACATAGAAGAAGAAGAAGGATGGAGGACGCTGCCTCTGTACGCTGCTCTAGTGCGCGCTGTTGGCTCCAGAAAGACGGTGTTGATGTTGTTGTTGTGGTTTGATGGTCAATCGGTGAGGTTCACCGATCTGGTGGATGCCCTGCCTCCTCTGTCTGTCAAGCCAGTGTCAGGTGATTCGTACCGTGTCTATTGGAGCCCAGTTTTCACAAAGCACTGTGTCTGCAGCTGGGGCGCCAAACCATATTCGTCTTCGGTCAGACGCTCGGACCACTTCTCTTTGAGGTTGCCTTCTCAGCTTCCACTTCTTCGGAAGGTCCATGGTCCATCAGTACTGCCAGCTCGTTATCTGGGCCTTACTACCATCATTGGAACATATTATGTGGATGGAACCATCGGAGTATGTCAGTGATAATGCTGCTACCAAGAGGAGATGAAATGCCATGATGACATTCAGTAACATGTATTGTCCTTGCAAGGCCACGGTTGGAAGATACACAAACAAGAACAATCACCACACAACCTCTTGCCGTTGCCTCAGTGCTTAAGGTGGAGGAGGATCAACAGAGTCTTCCAATATGTCTCTTTTTCAATAGACCAGAGTTAGTGGCAAAACGATGGTCAAGTTGTAGGCGTGAGCAATATTGCTGGGTGGGCGGAGTGTTGGATGAAGTTGCTTAGTTGAAGTTCTTCAATTTTGGGATATCGGAGTCGGTTCACCAGCCCAGTCACAGAACACTAATTACCTACCTTAAGGACTTTCCGTCACTCCGCATGGCAGGTACAAGGGCTACGCGTCTGAGCCCCCGATGGCTTCCACCTTGACCCTACGATCATTGCTCATTCCGGCCCTCTACAGTTCCGGCTGGATTCTTCCTTTTGGGACATCTGGCAGTGTCAAATTGTCAATGGTGGAAATTGGACAACGCTCTGCAGCTGAGGCTCCTCATTGATATGGTATCAAGAGGGATGACCCCTTGGCTTGGGCGGTGGTGGTCCTAGATGCTCAGCACTTTGAGAGGGCCGAGCGTGGCCTTCCTTTGTTCTCGTGGGGTTCGCTGCATGCCGTCCTCCCCATCATCTCGGATCGACATCGTTCCTGCCATCTTCACCCTGTGATACGGCAGGGGCAGGGTACCCCGGGTCTGTTTGCTTCTCAATGTTTACCTAATCATCAGACTTCGGTACCCTCGACTTGCTCAAAAGCAGTCTGCAAGTTATTGACAAGAACGAGAAAATCAGTCAGCCAAGTACAGGAGAATTTACTTGGTGCAGTCGAACCACTTCATGCGACCTCACCATGATAGTACCAAGCTTGATGGCCGAAGATCCAGTGCCGGGGCGGCCAATGGAAGCAACGCTTGGCTCCCTCACCTACCCTGCTCGGGGTCAGAGTGGCGAGACTGGTAGCTCGTCGACAACAGTGTCTCCTATTGTAAGATCAATGATGACCTCATGAGATATCAACATTTACATGGCGCCCAATAATAAGGGGCTTCATGTGCAGCAGCTATCCATCTCGATGGGGGAATCAGCAACGTCTCGCACCAGTAGCAGCCAGACATTGGCTCTGACCATCGGAGAAATAGTCTTGGCAGAGTCATGGTCGAATGTTCGACGCAAGTTCCTTCGGGCTTATTTACTACGTAAAAGATGGCTGATATATCACCACTATGTGCCGTGTTGCAGAGGTCTCGAACTGCGAAAGAGGGGTTCCCACCACCTCCATGTTAGTCGTCCGAGCTCTCGGCCTCTTGACACAAACTGTGCTTCAGACTCCAGGGGACTTCCATCTCACCTAAGAAGAGACGACCGAGATATTGGATAAGCCCATGAAGGCTCTTGGTGATTGGCCCGCAAGCCTGTAATGGTCACATCGGATGGCTTCCTCTCAAAACCAAACACTGATCCTGCTGAGACAGCCACGACAAAGTGCCCACACGTGTACAACTTCAACCAACAACTCTACATGTCTTCGAATATCTTCAAAATAGATGCGTGCGGGGGTAACCCGACACAATGGGATGTCGATGATGTGAAGGAGCAGGGGTCAGGTGCAGTGCTTGATACCTGTCCAACCACACACACGCCTACCTGGCTTGACCTACCTTACGTACATGATCCATCATTGAGGCTCAGCCGATATTTTCTTTGCCGCTTGTGTTTCGTACCTCGCGGACCGGGCTCTTTGAAGTCACGGCATCGACGACACGGGACGGCAAGGAATCCGGCAACAGCGAGAAAAATGTGAATGCCAGAGGACCAAGAGTATGTTGGTACAACATGCAATAAGCTCGAGTCGTCTCCAGAGTCTAGAACAAACCCAGTTGACAAGGTTCAAGGATTGTGGAAGTGAAGTTCCAAAACGAAGTGGAGGAACGAAACGGCACCCAACTCTCTTCCTGCGTTTAAGCCCTGCGATCTGATTGGTGCGGAGGCTCTTCATCCCGCTCCGGCGCTAGGCTTTGTATGGCTAGGTAGGCTGGCTGGCTGGCTCCCTCCTGCCCTCCTGGCTGGCTGGCTGGCTAGTCCTCCCTCGTGGCTGGCTGGCAACGTACGGACCTGGCTGGTGCTGGCTGGCTGGCCTCCCTCCCTCCTGGCTGGCTGGCAACGCACGGATCAACCTTTAGATGTCCGCTGGCTGGCCTTGGGGGCTCCTGCGGCCAGCCAGATAGGGCATTCGCGTCTCGCGTTTCCCGTTTTGCGTAAGGAACTTTACTTCCATCTCCTGGGTGCGGCGCCCTGTAGCTTGCGTAGGGCCGCGGCGTAGCCTCGATTTTGTATGGTAGACGCATGCAGGGCTTGCAGGGGGTTGTCTGGCATCCGTCGGGAGGTTTGATCTCCACCCAAGATCCCCAGTTCTCGGGCCCTGAAGCTAAACGGTATCGAGTATAGCGTACACGGGTGGGGCTCTTTCTTGCTTGCCGGTGGGCACCGCGGCAGCTGTGTGGGGCTCGACCCCGGCCAACCTTATCGCCTCAGGTTCCTCCTAGCGGCTTGACGAAACCAGCACGTGTTCCAGCTCTGCCTCACCTCATCGCCACACAATGCCTCACAGCACCACCTCGACTGCCATCGATGCTACCTACCATCGCCCGCTGTTGAGCTGCGAGCCTGCGAGTCTGAGACCCCTTGCTACGAACACGAGGAACGTGGCTCAGCCCAGCCTGGCTGCCTAGCAGAGTACCGGTTCTGTCACCCCATGCGCGACGACCGCCATGGGACCACACAGTCTCTCACTCCGTCTGGTCCGGAAGGCAGCGAGGCCGCTCGGTTTTGAGCTGTGGCCATGTCAAACTGCGTCACCAGTGTGGACTGTCGTCGCCCTCGGCTGCCATTCCAGCCAATGGTAGCCCGCGGTATCCCACTCTCGACCTGCCTGCCCGTCTCGTCTGCCCAGATAGCCACGGCACCTTGGACCAACTGCAGACTAGCTGCTGGCTCGAGGCCGGACGTCTTTGGCCCGCGCGGGCTGGCGGGACAGCCCTTGCAGACACCCTTGAAGAACTCCTCCAGGATCTGATATCTGATTTCTTATTACCAAGACCTTTCATGCGCTCTTCTGACTTTTGCCATCTCTTTGGAAGAGCTCGCGGCCTGGTGCACGTCTTTCTCTTCGCCTGGCTTGCGTAGTTCATGGCCATTTTTGTACCTCTTCGTTTCGATTCGTCCATCTCTTCTTTTCCACCTGCTGGTTCAGCATCTGTTTCGTCTGGTTTGTGAGCAGGCTCCTGATGTGTCACCAGTCTATCATCTCTGTACATCTCGTAATCTTCCCTTCCTTTCCTCACTCACTCTTACTATCGACCTTTACACCGATATCATCCGAAACGACATCCACAAGGCCATCGAGTAGATGACTTGACTACGACGGCTAGCTATCTTCGGCCTCGACGCCAGCGCCTAAGCTTCAACGAACCTGGCGACCAAGATGTTTGGCAGCACGGATGGATTCTCGGGCTTCAGCAATATGGATGGTGAATGGTCCAAGAACCTCAGTTGGGCGGGAAACTCGAGCGGGTTCTCTCAGGCCGCATTCAGTGGCAACTCGACTTTTAGTGTCATCAACGAATTCAAGTTCCTCGCCGCGAGATCGATACGAACCTCGACCATCGTCCTCGCCTCGTTCAACACGATATCAGCATTCGCGACAGCGGCCGGTATCTTCTACGATTGTTACTCATCAGCAAAGCGAAACAACACGAGGGGCAAGGACAAGTCAGTTATAGTACCACGACTCTGAAGCGTTTCTGGGACTAATGGGCATTACAGGGTCAATGTTTTTACCTGTGTTCAAGGACCCGAACTGTATCCGTTCATCCTCTCATTGGGCATCACGGTCCAAGGCGTCGTGTTCGCTGTCTCACAAGCGCAGGGCTTGAATGGACTTTTCTCGGCGGGGTGCGCTCTAGTATCTCAATTTATGTGGCCTGGTATGATAGAGTTCAAGCGTCATATACTGAAACATTACTAAAATTTGGTTTAGCGATATTGATCGTACCATACATACAGCTAGTGTTCGGCCTGGAAGTCACGATTCGCGCTCTCAGGACCAGACCATTTCCCCCAAGGAGCAAATGGGACGTGTCCATATGTCTCGCGGTCATCAAAATTATGCTACTGGGCACTGGCTTGGTCGCCTTTTTCATCCCCGCTCCAAATTTCTGCTTCGCTTCTCTTTTCTGGTTTGTAGCCAAATGGGCCGAGGGTGGCTTTGTGCTGCTATTGGGCATTGCTGTCATCCTCGTCCTGTGTACTGTGGTCCTCTTCCTCAAGTTGACCAGGTACGCAAATATCGAGACTAGCCAACGGGTCGGCGCTTCCAGAATGGTTTATTACCTTGCGGTCGGAGTAGTGTCCAACGTATGTATTGGGTCCATTCACTCCACTTGATACCTTCACACAAGGACGAACTGACAAGATATAGGCCTTGATGGTACCTTTTTTTCTGTACTTGACTTTCTCAAGGCTCTCGGACGATGGTGGTCCTGGCTTGACGCTGTCCATGATTGCCACGGTCGTGGCCAATGTGACTGGGCTTATGACCGGTGGTCTACACCTTTTCCTCCGCTCCAATACCATATCCACAATAGGCCCCAAGAACAAGCTGGCCGAGTATGAACGCCAGAAGCTGAAGTACCAGATCCGGAAGCAATCACCAAACGATACAGACTTCAATAGCCACATGCTACAGCCTGTGCCCGGCCCACAGCCCCTTCGGAAGACAGAGAGCCTGGAGAGCCTCGCGGGCCACGAAAAGGATGGCGGTGCCGAGCTGTTAGGGAGTCAATCACCTAGGAGCCCAGACGCTCCAAATCCTTTGAGGTCCAACGCTGTCTTCAGCCCCAAAAACTTGCCGGGGCTCCCTGAACCTGCACAGATTCCCACTTCCGTATTCAATGCGCATAGTCGGAAACCATCGGCGTCATACAGGCTGTTCCCCAGCAAGAACCAGGGGAATACGGCCTCGATCGGCTTACTGCCATCCACCACCTATACACTCGGTTTACTGCCGTCCACCACCTATTCACCAAACTCAAACACGAATCTTGCACCAGCAGGCTTCAATTTCAATAGCACAAATGATACACTAAGACCACCACCATTGGTTCGAGCCCCTGGTGGTCACCATCGGCGAGATTCATCGATGGCTTCTTCCGCCACCGTCCAGATTGGACTACGCTTCTCCAACGTCGAGGACATGCCGCCGATGGCTAGTCAAAATGTCATAGAGGCCGAAAATACACACACGTTGGACTGCCCCAATAGACCAGAACCGGGAGCTTCACATCGACCCAGTCCACTCGCCCACGTGACCAGCACAGAAAGCATAGCCTCGGCGTCCAGGGCGCAGAGCCCTGCTAGCTCGACCAGCTCGCGGTATACTACTGAGAATACAGCACCAGCATCTCCTGGCGACTCTCACCAACACACCAAAGACTGCACGTTAAACCCAACAGTCTACAACCCGAATAGCCCAACAAGACCCAGAGTGCCCAGCCCAAAGGGAGTTGGCTTCAATGTGCCTCAGAGGTCAAATGCCACGCCCGTACCGGGCGAAGCAACTGAGGCACCATCACGGAATCAAGGCAACTCAACTGCAGCAGGGGCTAGATCTGATTGGATCTAAACCTTCGGACACTTTGACCTATTTGAGCATTTCCGCGGTTAGATCATAGACCAAACACCATCACCGTCACCAAACTGTTTCGAAATCATCCTCATCGCTCCTTTACCACTCTTCTTCTCTATATAACACCGTTCATATACTACAAATAACATATGGTGTCCTTCCAAGTTCCCTGTCATTTCGATTTTTTGTCATACTCGAGGCGTCGTGTGTGGATAATGTGATGATACCTGAGACAGGAATTTCTTTATTTGCTTTACCCCTTCTCATCTTCAGGGAGTTGGCGGGGGTGCAAACCATTTTCCTGCATATATTGGCGTCGAACGAAGACGGAGGTTCAGACCTCCAGAGCTTCCCTACTTTCCTTCCTTTGTTTTCCTTCTGCGAACCCTGTTGAGGTGTGCGTGTTCTCCTGCTGATGGGGGAGAGGAGCATTGAAGCTCGCATATGTGCGTTTCGCAGGCGTGTACAGCTGGACGCTTGTGTGTACTATGAGCTGGGTGTAGATACGCATCTTCCAGGCGACGGTTGGATGAACCGCGTCCGAGTCAGCATCCATCATCGGTGTTGGCTGGACGAGGCCGGCTATGGAGAATGGGGACGGTGGCGGTGGACTGAAGCCTGGGTGGTGCTGGCGGTAGCCACTGGGGTTGTCGATACCGTGGATCATCCATATAAGAAATTTTTATGAGAACTACGGATTATATGTCTTGATGACTCTGCTTGTTATTTCTGAGTTGGGGTGCGCTATGTTTGATGCTGTGCGCGGCCTCCGTAGGGCTCAAGATTCAGTTCTTCAATCCCCATGGAAAGCCGTTGACTCTTGCTGGGAACACCAGGGGCGTTTGCAGAGCGCAGCCATAAACGGTTCGGAGTTGGAACTTTATGCGCTGCTTCGCATGCTCCTCCCTACATATTCCCAGGAGGCATGACCGGACTCCCTAGCAAGATTCTTGAGATCATCTATTACCCCGTAGCCAACACGCATCAAGACTCTTCGCCTCCACAGATCCGCTCGGCCCTGGCGACATCAAAGACACCGCGCTCATCCGTGAGCTCCTCCTTGCGCCCAAAGTAGACCGGATACACGACCTCGGACGCGCCAAACTGCAGCGACGCAGACACCCTCTCAGCCTCGCGGTAATCGATGCGGAAGCCGTGCCACGTGTTGGTCTCGGTCTCCCGGGGGAACACGCCCTTGTCGTCGCCACACTCGAGCCCCGGCGCCCGGCCGTAGAACTGGATCAGCAGCGTGCCGTCGCGGGCGCTGCGCGCGTCCGCGATGCCGATGAGGTCCTGCTCGATGAAGTTGTGGCGCGCCTGCATCTCCAGGGCCCAGGCCTGGCACTCGTGCTCGGGGGCGCCGATGAATTCCGCGCCGAAGGCTTCGTCTTGGCCGAGCGCGCGCTTGAAGCAGCGCTGGCTCTGGCGCTGGCTCTGGGCTTCGGCGTCGCGCCGCGGGCCGGCGCGTGACTCTACTAGGTTGAAGAGGCTCTCGTCTGTGCCCTGGAGCTTGACGGCCATGACCTTATGGACGAACTGTGGGGTGGCTGGGTCAGTTCGTGCGTGCTTTCTTGGTAACTAGGTGATGGGAGATGTAGGGAGGGAGGGTGGCAGACTCGACTTACGGGTTTAGCCTCCTCGGCTGTGCAGAATAGCAAGGGAGCCGCCATCGTGCAAGTTCGGATCGTGGGTGTTGATGGGCGACGTGATGTTGTCTTGCCAGGGTTGGCGCGCCGGAGTTGTAGGTTTGGGTTTGGGCTTGATGGTTGTGGTGTGCTGAGTGGAGTGGGAATGGGCAGTCGGAATTGGTTACGGCCGTCCACGATCAAAAGCTGATTGCTGCAAGTTGCCAGTCTTCTAATGCACGGAGACTGTCAGCTTATAGAGAAAGACACATGGATGTGAATAGCAGCTGCGTCGGTCTAAATTTAGCAAAAAGGGGGGTGGGCTGTAAGCGATTGCATCATGTGTAAGGTAACCAGATAAGAGCTGAAATCTAGAGGCGTTCGCAACGAGTAAGCCCTACAGCAGCCTCAAGCTAAACCGGGGCAGGGATGGCCCTTGGCACCGCCCCCTATCTGAACATCCGGAGGGCTGTTCACTTGAGACAGCTGACATCCACCCACAATGGGCACTTTAATTCATTGTCGATCACCAGTCCGTCATCCGCCACGACCGAAACAGGCTTTGTGGATGTGTGGAAGGCGTATCGGAGCCACACGAGGGCAGTGTTCGCATCAATGAGAAACACGTTGGTACTACTGCAACACGAAGGCTCAACGCAGGATTTGTATATGATGTATCAAGCGGTTGCGGTAAGGCTGTCAACGAGAGTACCGGCTATGAAGAAACCGAAAAAATCAAGAGTTCTAAATAATAAAAACCGCATTTCCAGAGCCATCCAATCCCCAGACCACTCGACGAGACAGACCTCATATCAAGTGACTTCCATCGACCAACCACCTAGCAATGGGTCCCGCGGTTAGACAGGCACACCGAGGTGCAGGTGTTGAAAACCCAGACATTGTTAGTCTTGCCCGAGATCCCGTTCTGGGTGCACTGCTGCTCGATCGTCTGGGCGATAGGCGCCAGGTCGCCCTTGGTGAGGCCGTCGACGACGTTGTGCCACGAGACGCAGCAGTACTCGTTGCTCTCGGCCGCGTCGCCCTCGTAGCAGATCTGCCGGGGTGACGAGCCGACAGAGATGGTCGGATCCGCGAACAGCTCCGTGACGAGCTTGTCGCAGATGTCGTTGCGCGCCGTGTGGTCGCCGGAGCAGCTGGGCGTCGGGTCGTTCGTGCAGCTCGCGCGCTCTTCGATGGGGTTGCGCTCGTCCATGTTCATACGCTTTGTATTCTCGCCGGACCCCAGGAAGACGAGATGCCCGGATCCGTGGGAGGCGGGCTGGCGGTCGAGCTCGATGAAGCCGTTGTCGCGTTCGGTGAACGGGTGAGCCATCAGTAGGGTGGTGCCAGAAAGGGCGAGGATGAGCGAGTTGAACTGCATGGTGGATGTTGGCTGGAAGGCGAGAAGTAATGCGCTTTAAGAGATGATATAGGGGGGAGAGAAGATGATAGTCTTGTTTCAATGGACTGATCCTTGATATGATGGATGTATAGTGTGCTGTGCTTGGATCATGTGTTCTCAGGGGCTTCAGATAGGGCGTGACTGGGCTCTTATATTCTGGGCTTGCTGTCTGATCTATCTTGAGATCTGCCATGTTTCTTATTATAGTTTCTTTGAACGATGTACTGCCATGAGGTCACTGTAGGAGGACTGCTGTCACGCACAGTTACCCTACCTGAGCCTGTCATCCCAAGTCAACCATGTGGCTTTGGTACAGTCGCAGGCAGCTATTACAACTCCGTTCGGGAATTGGCCGCCCCGAATAGGAGCTGAAGATGAGCCAGCCATTCTCGTCATAGCCTCAGACATGCACCTTCTCGCGGAGTAAAGATTTTCGGCGTCGTGAGGCTGCACCATCTCAGGGTGCGGCTGTGTCTGTGTGATGACTAGCTGGCGTCAGCACGCGTCACACACAGCAGCCACTCACGTATGCAGGGCATACACGAGCAAGCACCATTATCAAAATGCGGCTGGACGGTGTCAGCAGGATTACCCGTTTCTTCAGCTGAGGTGAATCTCTATACAGCAGTAAGGGGTCACCATCGTGTACTAGATAAGTACTGAATTGTGACTAAACACGCCGTCATTAACAGAAATATATGAGCCACCCTCTGGATATTGATTACTCCAGTACCTGATCTGGATACAGCAACTACCATAGAATGATGTACGAGCGCCCTGTTCTTCTTCGCATATTTCCCTAAATAGACACTTACATAGAGGGGGCGAAGCTTCAAAGAATGACCCACGATAGCCACCGATCCTCATGTTACTAAATATTACGGGAGAATCTCCAGGATAATCTGTAGCCCGGTTTGGTAATGTACACGAATATCCTCACCAGGTACTTCACAGGCCCCCGAGGTAAACTGTAATGGCGCTTTCAAACTCTCTCCTATTCCGTGGTCTGGTGATTCAGGAGCTAGTTACGTAGGTCAGCATATTTGAAACTGCGTCGATCGTAAGCTGAACTGCCCGTGGGATTGGCAGCCATAGTCACCTCAGCTGGCCGACGGAAATAGATTCTCTCACAGATACTTGCAGACAAATCTGGAGTATTAGTTCACGAAAACCAAGTATAAGTATCGCTTATGGACTGGAATTGGATTGCTGATAGAGGTCAAACTCATCGGCACACTGAGCCTCGAAGACGAGAGACACAAGTTTATACTTGAATTCCAGAAGTCATTATCGATACTATCCAGTTCTTATCCCTTCTATAGCTGTCTTCAGCATGTCTTTCCCTAAGAGCTTTATTGGCAAACTTTGCTTTCTTCTCCTATCATGCTCCACCACATTTGCGGCCCCAGTTGCCGAGCCTAAAGCAGAAATCGAGACGTCCGTCGTTCGGCGAGCAGGTGGGAGTAAAGGCGACCCAGTGGATGCATCTTTCGACATCACGGGATGGGAGAACATCGCCGAAGAAGACTGTTACGTGATGCTGTGCTTGGAAGGCGGCAACCGGGTCTAGTCAGTATGACCACCAATAGGTCCTTCATCACTAACATCTTCCCAAAGCCAACGAGGCCCGACGGCCAACTCGGGTGACTCGAACAGGAGGGACTCCGGTGTCAACCTGCGTCCGTTCCAGGCGAATCAATTGGCAACCCGCCACACTTCGCAAATCATGGCCGGCACCGTCAGCGCCGAAGAGTTCCCCTGGGCTAGTACGCAGAACGGTGGATCAAGCGCCTATGTGCTCCCCGCAACGTTGGCGGAGCAGAACGGTATGCGAGCATATCCACTCACGGCCTTGGGAGCCTGGTAGCTGACGCTAGAAACAGTACAGAAGACCGGCATCAGTGCTGGGTACAGGAGGACGGGTGGTCCAGGGTACGGCGAATGGTTCAGGATCTCATTCACAGGGCCGTAAGTCCATACCAAGGTCCCTAACCTAAGGTAGGGACAATGGGGCTCTCGTGCTAACTTGGGGCTTAATCTTTCACAGTCCGCATGGAAGATACTGTGCTGCTCTCTTCAGTAACCCACAGGACTTCTCTGTGTGCGGCAATACCGACCAGACCACCATTTTCGGTGTGAGCAGTGTCGTCCTGGCCAACTTCGTATACCAGGTCGTGACGGCTGCACAGCCCTACATATTCCACCACGCGGCCGGAAACAACAAAGGGACGAAGCGGACTGTTGATATTGAAGAAGTGGTCGTTCGGCACGCTGACGATGAGGTCTCGACTATATGATGTTACGACTATCTAGTGACGTGGCGTATTGGACCCCGAGACTACCTATGGCCTTGAAGAGGTGGGAGAGATGAGACAAATAGATCAGAGATGCATACGCTGGACGATGACTACCATTTTATCGATGTACTGGAGAGGTTTAGGTTAGCGAGATTGGTTATATAGAACACATTCTTTTCTGCTCACATGGCGGCGCACTGCAACACTGCTTGCTACTGCACTGAGCCCACATAAGTCTCCGAGCCATTGCGTGGGTAGGTTCAGTTCCGCTGATTGTCTTTTATTTGAACAAGAAGTCGATGTCCAATGGGTTGAAGTTTGCTGATTGTGCAGACTGCGCGGTCTGCTCATTCCACCACAGCCGGCGTCCGTCCAGGTCCATGAACTCACGCACCCAGATCGCAGCAAGCACATATCCCTTTTATGACTACCCGCCCAAACACCATACCTTCGTACTTCCCAAGTATTGTTGGAGGTACCGTATCAACCGCTCTTAGGGATCACTTTTGGGGGATCAAAAGCACTCATTATACATGGGAGGCCGCTCGTTGGTGCTTCTATAGTACTCGCTTTGTGAGGCGACTATCAATCCATCATAAGGTAGGTAGAGAGTTGGGTCCTGACTTTTACCCTTTTGTAGCTCACGGATTTAGTACTTGCGCCAAGTTATTATACAAAATATTCTCGAAGCCTCTCAACACCTTTACCCCTTTACCCCTTTACACATACGAACCCCACTCCCACTCAAAGTCCCGAAACGACCCCTAAACACCCAACGCTAACGCTAACGCAAGGGCAAGAGCAAGAAACTTAAAGCATAAAGACAATCACCTGCCTCGGGGTTCTTACACCCCAAGACCATCATCCAAACAAGAATCACATCGGACAATCGATCAACAGCCCTTGGGGGGCAACCAACACTCACGGACAACACACAAAACATGCAGGCTGCGAAAAGTCTTCCTCAGTAGACCTATTCTAGTCTCTGTATCAAAGAAACCCATACCCCCTAAGATGATCAAATGAAAGCTTTCGCCAACTCCAACCACCACACTTAGTAATTCCAGCGCCGCATGTCCATGTCCTCCTCCTCGTAAGAGTCCAGCAGCTCCATGGCAGTGTTCCACAGCTCCACAGTCCTGCCCGAGACCACCCTTCCCGGATCCGTCGTCGACGATCGCCCCATTGCCGGAGTCCTGCCAAAGACTTCCTCGTCTCCGCCGAATTCCGTACCATCCAAGCCACCGCCCCTCCGGGCGCTCTGCTGGATGATACTGCCCCGGATACGGTCTCGCAGTACCTCCTGGTTCTCCGTGTGTACCGAGCAGGATGAGGAACCGGAACCCCTGGCGCGGCCGTGGCCGTGGCCGTGGCCATGTTCCGGCCTCGTACTCTCCTCCCCAGTTACAGTTATTCCTCCCTGACTCTCTTGAAATTCCCGGTCCGCAGCATCTCTCATCCCGCGGAAACGGCCCAAGAAGCGCTCAAAGACCGCTATCCGCCTCTCGGCCGCTCCAGCTCTGTCGCGCCACATCTGACACTCCCGCTTTGCCTGTCGCAATTGCTCGCTCAGGGTTCCGACGTCCATGTTCTCGCTCGTCTCTAATTGGCGCCTCAGCGTGAATATCTCTTCATTTTTATTCTCTAGACGTCTCTGGAGCGTGCGTATCTGGGCATGAAGTACCGAGTTGCCGCTTTGAGTCCTCGGACCTAGACCTGGCCGGTGATCATCATCAATGTCATTCTGGAGCCGAAAGGAAACTGTAGAATTCGGGCGAATAAAGTGCGCGACTGGGGGCTCTTCACGGGGAGGAACCATCGTACCCAGACCTGGAGTTTCTCGGTCACGTTCGGGGATTTGCTGGCTCGGCGATCCCTGCGGCTGTGTCATTGCAGCAGTAAATGAGCCCGTGGGCCGCAGAGAGACATGAGGAAATCGTGTTGGTGTTTGAACGACTGGCGGAGCACATGATTGCCGAACATTATTCCGATTTGAAGTCCCCATGCCCGTTCTCGGCGTCGCATTATCTAGACGCCTCATTGGGATCTTACTCGGACCGGAAGTCCTTGCCGGGGTAGTGGTCCTTGAACCCATAGTCGTTGTGACCGACTTCGTGGGCGAGTTACTCCTGGTATACTGAGAGAGGTTGCTATTGGATCCTCCCAAACCGCTGTAGGTTCTCATTGTGGCCGATGCGCGGGGCGATTCCCTAATAGCATTGTCGAAAAGGGCCGCCATGGCTTTGACTGCGCCGTTAGCCGGCCTTGAAGTTGAGCGCTGTGATATGGAGGAGATGGACCCACTGCCCACAGCTTCCAGGGTGTTCTTGGCTGGCGAAAGCCCCTTTACCTTGGCCGGAGAAGCATTGTATTGCGGAATGCTAGATTGTGACGACTTCTCGAATACGGTCTTCCGTTCAGGGGAAGGGATGGCTGGTTTTTGCCTTTGCTGACTTCGCTTCTTCACGAGTTGACGTTTCCACTCTGGTGTGGTCGGCTTCTCGACTGCTGTGCTCAGTGACTCTTGACTTTGCTGAGAAGAAAAGTAGCCCGTACTACGGGCCAATCCTCTTTGATTTGCCAGACGGGTCTGAGACTCGGTGCTGACTTTGCTCTGCTCAGTGACAGTTTCCCACTCGTCTAAGGGGCTTGCCCTGTGGTCGGAGTCGTCGAGAATTGTCTCATTTTGCCCTTCGGGTGCTTGCAAGGCTGGAAGGGTAGAGCATTTTGGTACCCACTTGTCAAAAGGTCTGGTCTTGTGGTCGGAGTTGCCGGGAATTGTCTCACCTTGCCCTTCGGAGGCTTGCAAGGTTGGAAGGGGAGAGCGTCTGGGTGTCAACTGCTCCTTGGAAGGACCCTTGCGTGGTATATTTGAGGTTCCCGGTCCTTCATGCTCAGTATGATGTTTCGACGTTCCCTTCAACATGGAAGATGATGACGGGCCCCGGTCTCTTGTCGCAGTTGAGTACTGCCCTTCGGAGGCTCGCAAGGGTGGAAGGGGAGAGCCTCTTCTTGTCAACTGCTCCTTGGAAGGGCCCTTGACTGGTAAATTTGAGGTTTCCGGTTCTTCATGCTCTGTGTAACTCTTTGACATTTCCCCAAAGGTCGGTGACGATGACGGGCCCTTGTGTGGTATATTCAAGGTTTTAGGTTCTTCACCCCTAGTATCATGTTTCGACGTCCCCTCGAACGTGGGCGACGGCGAGCTCTCGTCCCTTGTCGAAAATGCAGGCTGCTTATACATTCGAGAACGAATGTCGATGTCGGATCCGGAAGAAGACGAGGTTCTCTGTTCTCGGACTTTCGATTGCAACACGTCCACCTTTCCTGGGTTTGCAATGGGATTATAGGGGTAGCGTATTTCTACCTCTTGGATCATGGTGGCTCTTTTCTCCTTCGTCGACGACCGATTCATATGCGCTGCAGGGGACCTAGAGGCCTGGGACGCAAGAAGCGTCGCGTCTTTGTCCTCTGATGCATGATATATTGTAGTAAAAGATGTGCTGTCAGTTCTCCGTGGTGTATGATTGACGAGGCAGTCGAATGGGCCTTCCTCCACCGTTGGCGACAGCACGTGCGCTGAGGTCTTCATGACAATGGTCTGTGGCGACTCAGAACGGGAAGGCCGAGAGCGCCGTCGCTTGACATGTAGAGGCTCAAGGGTAGGATTCACAAACTCGCGATCCGTTTTCAATGACCTTGCCCCTGAGAAGACGTCAGCAATGCAAGATATCTAGTAGGGTGGCTTGAAAACTTACTCGTCGTCGGTGTTGGGCTAACAGTTACAGGAGAAACGCTTTCCCCCCGGCCTCGAGCGTAGGGTCGATGATCAGCCCAGTCTGGAGGCAGTCGTAGTGCGAATGAGTCTGAGGCCGATGATCTGAGCACTCCTCTATTCCCTCGATGGTCTCCCTTATCTGTCGCCTTTCTCATCTTCAGTGATCCTACACTTCGCATGTGCCTGACAACCTCCCGCCAATGAGTGATGAGCATCTCAGTGATATTGTTTGCGACGTGTATCTTGTCGACGGTGAAAGAAGGGGCTGCTTTATGGACACGGCATTTGGATTTCTTGTGCTTCCCTTTTCTCAACTTCGGTGGTGTTGCAGGCAGTAGTATCAGGCCAGTCGACGGATCCGCCACCTTCATGCTATAGGAGTCGATCAAGTCACCTAGTAAAAGGGGTCCGAAGACTATGCCCAACGCATTATATCCCATTCGGTCACTGGTCGGGAGTGGGCGGCCGCCTTCGTCTTCACGAGGTGCGGTTTCTGCCGCTCGGCCGACAAGACAGAGGAGGCCAAACACTGCGCATATGAGCTCCCTTTGGTACCGAGACTTGACGGCGCCAAGAGCGAGTGCGATCATCCTCGCGCGAAGCTTGGTCTGCTTGGTCCTGTTTGACTCTGCTTCTCCATACAGCTGACTATGGATGGCGACCAAAGCATCAAACAGGCTCAAAGAGCCTAGGATACCACCAGGTAAACCAGCGAGAAACCTTTTGAATGTTGATGCGACATCATGTACCCCACACCTGATATGCTTTGGGAGGGTTGGGCACCGAGTTGTGCTAGAGATATCGTTGGTATCTCGGTCGGCACAATAGTAGTCATACAGCGAGTTGACGACGCGAATCGAGCCAGGAACGCGAAAAATGCCGGGCGCATCCGCTGTCAGACCATGTCAGCTTGATACAGAGTGTTCGAATATGCTCGTAGTGCTTACCCTGTTGTACGAGAGCTTGCGCCAGCGCACGGAAGCATGTGGGTAGAACCAAGGAGCATGGGGCATACTCCGTGGGCAGGTAGAAGAGGCTCTTCCCGCATAGTCGGACCAGAGCTGGGAGGCTTTCGTCCTTCAGCCCATCTCTTCTCTGGTGATGGACGAGATTCAGAGCAACATCGCTGATGCTCCGCCGATGTGGCAAGTGACTCCGGTGTGACTTGACAGTCGCAGACTGCGGTGGCTGCCCCGAGGAAGCATGTCGTAAAACTCTGGAAAACCAGCTTCCCTTTCGATCCGGAAGAGACATAGATGCGCTTGACTTCAGTTGTGTCAGCTCGAGGCCTTCATACGAGGGTTACAAGTCAAGTCCGCTCACAGATATGGCCAGAATGTACCCAGGCACGGAAAGCCGAACGCCGTACTAGGGCGCATATCAGCAATTTTTTATAGGTAGAGAAGAGACGTGTGGTCCAAGTCACCTGTTTCGCAAGCCTGTTGTATTCTTGCATGAACTGCTCCCGATCGTCCGATCCTTCACCTTCCGATAGCAACGCCTGCTCCGCACTGGAAGAGGTCCAAGTCGTGCTGCTGCCGTCCGCCTGGTGACCGGGGCCTTCGAGAACTGGAGCGCCCCCCGCCGACCGAGACGTTCTCATCGCGGTCTGAGGAGACGTGTTCAGCGCGGTCTGAGGTCTGGCAAATGTCGCACTGGAAAGAGGAGGCCGGCATTTCGGCTCCTTCGTAGGGTACGCAGAAGGTTGCGGAGGCGTCGACCAGGTGGCAATAGCAGGTTCCTTGCCCTTCGCAGGAACAGGAGCAGAAACAGGAGCAGATCCATAGCTGTTGAAAGACTGCATTTGAGCAGCTGGCTAGATGAGCAAAGGGCAAGCAACTGAGCACTTCCAACGATATCATGGACAGCTCGTAGGGGTCTAGGGATAGATCTTTTCGCCGTGGTTTACCATCCATGGATGTGGCTTCAAGCCAGCCCGCCAGTATGACTGATTGTCCATCACCCCTTCCCCCTTCCCGCTGCGCTCAGTGGGAGTGCATGCCATGTAAACTTGTACGTGCGTGGCGCTGGCACTTGCCTTCCATTGTCTTCATGACGACTTGGCACCTCTTTGCAGACGCACACTTGCAGAGGTTGCCAACGTCCATGCACCTCCTTATGTAGGCAAGCGGTTGAGATAATAATTCGCATAATCACCTGCATTGCTACTGTTCCAGAGGTCATGGACGGGCATACCCAACGAGTTGTAGCGTACCTTATTCAATTCAAGTCATGCATTCCTCCTTTGAACAACTCGGTGACGTACAGACAAGGTTGGATGGGTAGGCCACTGCAACGCACCTAGCTGCGACTTCAAACCATGGTGATCACGTATGAGTCAAAACACAGCTTTTGAAACGAGTAATGAACGTACTGCACTGTACCATAACCATGTCAGCGTTGTCATACATCTAGAGAGGCTGCCTCGGACATGGCCGAGTGTGCAAAGCCTGGTTCATCCTCCTCTTGAAGCGGGTATTCCATAACAGCAGTCGGCGATGCTGAAGGGGGCGAGAATCTATAGAGAAACAAAGAGGTGATCCAATGCAACCGTCCATGGTCTTCCGAACACCAGACACCTTTGCAATGCCTAAGCCATGACCCCGGAAATCCTTATGCCTGCCTACCGCCGTTTCCAGGGTGTCCGTTCCACAGCCTTTTGCCGTCAAACGTCAATCTATGCCTGTTCCGGCACGAGGACCTTCTCTTTCCCTGCCGTCTTGCCATCCAGTTTCTCCGCCGTCTTGCCATTCAGTCTCTCTGCCGTCTTGCCATTCAGTTTCTCCGCCGTGTTGCCATTCAGTTTCTCCTATGTCTGTTCCGGCTGCTCCGGCTGCTGCGTTTGCTGCGTCTGCTGCGTCAGCTCCGGCTGCAGCGTCAGCTCCGGCTGCAGCGTCAGCTCCGGCTGCGGCGGCTGCAGCGTCTGCTTCTTCTGCACCTGCTCTATCTGTTTGGGCGCTTGCTGCTCTGTCTGATGGATCGCTTGCGACGGGACCGGGAAGTATTCGCCTTCATCTCCATAGAACAGGACATACTTGAGGATGTCTGACAGAGATATGATGCCTTTCAAGTGCCAGGTGTCATCGATCACCACCAGCCGGTGTACTCTAGATTGGCGCAGGGTGTTGAAGATCGAATCGAGTCTGTCGTCTTCTTGGCAGGTGTATATTCCCTGGAAATTCTCCGGTCTTCTCGTAAGTGCCTCTCCAACAGTCGAACCGAGCTCTTCGTACAGACCACCCTTAATGCACGGTATGACGTCGACCGCTTCGAAGACGTTGAGCACCACCTTGTTCCTATCAACGATGGGCACTGCCGAGATGTTGTGGACGACCATCAGGTTGATCACATCGAGTACCGAGTCTGACATCCTGGCTGTTATGAGTTTTGTGTACGTTCCCACGCCAATTTGTCGGACGGGTTTCTTGAGGAGCACTGTATGCTCTCCTGTGTTGACGGCGATGAACTTGAGGATTCGATACTGTGTGATGACACTCACGACTGTCTCTCGGCCGGTTTCATCGTCGCAATCAACCAAAGGTATACGGCGAGCACGGCTCTTGAGCATTCTACTGCAAGCATCGTATAGCGATTTGTTTGGATCGATGGACACGGTCTCGAGAGGGGAGACTCCTATGGCTCTCTCAATCTCTGCGAAAAATCACATCAAATATCAGCATTCTCTTCTCTACCCCGCATGTTCACCGGTTCAGCGCAGCGTACGTACCTCTAAGACTGCTCAACTTGAACTTCTCGACTTCCTCGAGGCGGTCGGGGTATTGACAGTAGTACTGAATGAGGTTGATGTAGTCGGTGGCGGTTAAAAGGCCGGCGAATTTGGAGCGTTGCGAGTCCCACAGCGGTGCGGATACGATGTCTACAGCGCGTTAGCCAAATGCCGCAGACGTGAGGGGAGATTGCAGTAGTACCGTTCTGAACCAGGATTTCGAGGCTCTTCTTAATAAGAAGCTCGTTGTCGAGCACGATGAGACGGAACGAGAGTGGTAGAACATCATAACTGGTTCTGACCTGGAGGAAGTCGCGCACGCCTCGCTAGAGACCAGCCTGGTCAATATTGGGTACTCGATGCGTCGGATTCAAGCGAGACAACCCCCGCAGAGAGACAGATGGGGAGGGAGAGAGGGAGGGAAGAAGGCGTCGAGGTGGCGAATGACAGTAGACAGTAGTAGCAACGGGAATGATGGAGGTCAACTCACCAGGCCTTGCATCTGCTCCTCATCTATGGGACTCATTGGTGTTGCGACCATGGGGATTGTACGACTCCGAGTTCTGGGTCTCAAGTACGAGGATGGCTGTACGAAGGGCAGCTCGTGACCGGATCGAGGCAGTGATCGTAGAGCTGGAGGACCTGAATCCGAGCCTAGTAGGTCTGGGCCTGAGTCTTCGCCGGATGACATGGCGGGGACGGTCGCGGCTGGCACATGCTGTGGCTCGTCGGCTGTTCTCTTGGGCTCAGGCTTTGGTGGCTTCATGCTTCGAGGCCAAGGTTTATCCATCGCTACCGGTAAAGGTATCCCCTCACAGCTACCACACAGCGGGAGGTTCTGTGGTACGTCCGTCTTCCCGAGGTGTGCGGATGGTAGGGACCAGGTGTGAGTCTGGTAAAAAGGAACAGGCGTGACAGGCTCGGTGTAGGCGTTCTGGGCGTCGACGCACCAGCTCGGCAGCTCTACCTAGGTAGCAAGCAGCGGGGAAGGGAGGGGGTGGGGGGACGAAAGTGTAATTGATGATTGTGATTGATGACCTGAAGCCTTAAGGCTGAAGTCTACTGGATTAGCACCCAGGTATAACTTTAATAGTAGTACTTGATGGAAGTACTGCGGTTTGTAGCGTCTTTCTGATACGGTCTGTTGTTGTCTGTCTCTGCAGGCCAAAAGCGAAAAAGCATGCCGGTGAGGTTGATGATAACGACGATGGGATGTTGCACATGCAAACAAAATGGATTGTTTGTCAACATTGAAGATCGGGGCCGGGTGGGCAACGCTCGCTCGACGCTGGGTGATGGTCGATACTTCCCGAGAAGCTATCGGGTGCAGGTGTCCACACTGCTTTTGGGGGGAAGCACCGACCTCTGGACTGTGGAAGGCCCCTGCAGTTATCTCTCCCCAATGACTGGGGGGCAAGGACGCTGCCGCTGATAAGCATTTCGATGTTCCATCCCAATGTTCTGCCCTACCTGCCTACATGTACCTACATGCACCTAACTTGGAAGGCTTTCCTAAGGTATACAACCACAGTCGATTTAAATGCCGAATAGGTATAGGTACCTAGGTATCAACAACCATGGCATCACTGCACGGCATCACGGGCATCATTCTTCGTTGTGACGGACCATCCAAAACACACGGATTTGAGTCCGGTGCGCTAAACGCGGTGAGACAGATAGTACCCCTTGGTAGCGATCTGTACCTTTACGAACTCCCAGTCCCTTCACATGTTTCCATATGGGATGAACATGTGAGAATATATCCTTAACAGGAGATGACCTACGTGGCTTCTTGCTTGACTATCGCGATCAAGAGATAAGGTAAGCACAGAGTGCTATCTGTACCATTCTATGCAGCTTAAGCGGGCGGCGGTTGAGAACCAACTCATTGACGCCTGAATATGAAGCTTTGGGTCATGTCCATGGGATTCTGAAATACTACTAGGTAGGTAGTCACCGGCTTTTGGCTCTGCATCATCGCTCACAAGATACAATGCTGGATGTATTCTCCATGGGCTGAAAAATGCGTGTCTGAAGATGCCTGGTGACAGCCTACAGGGTCCTGAGGACCCCGAATTCGGTTGTCGCATCCACATGGATCAGATTGAAACAGGTGACGTAATTGCCTACGACGGCTCACCACCTGCAGGCACCAGGTGAGGTCCACCACCATAGGAGATAAGATAAACTGGTCCCGGGTAATCAGAGGAGGCACGGCTCCGAGACCTTCATACCTAAGGGCTTCTCTAAAGCCCGTTGTTCACCCCTCCTATCTATGAAGGGAGAGTATCACCTGGGCATAATTGATTGATCATATCATATCATAATACAAACGTATGGCCTCCTATCATGTGAAAGATGGCGTTTGCCGTGTCACAGGCTGGGAAGCACAAAAGCAGGCGCTGTCCCCGCGTGGTCAAGTTTTGGGGAAGGTTGAAGTTGCTGGGCACACTTTTTCCAAGATGCGGTTGAACAAAGACAGGGGCAATAGTCAATATGAATCATCGCCAGCAGGTGTAAAGGGAAGCGCGTCTGGCGTTGGGTCGCATGCTCGGTTTGAGGGAGAAAGCTGTCGTCATCTGACAGGCGCGGCGTCCAGACACTCCAGATGGAGGGCACACACCACACACAACACACAAGAAAGGAGGAGGGTTGGAGGTCTGCTGAGGATTGAGTCAGTTGGGAAGGCAGCAACTATCGATCAACCTGAGACGGGCTCTTGATGAAACTGGGTCATGCTCTTTGTTTTCAGGTCAACTCACCCAAGTCTGAGTTTGCTGAAGAAACACACTCTTCATATTCTGGAAAGACTTGCCATCTACAGACATGTACAGTATGGCTGTGCCACCTCGCTTCCAGGCCAAGGGTTCCAAGGGTTGCCTGTCCGGACTGATGGAGTTTGGCTCTCAAGATCAATGCTGATGAATGTCCACGATTTGAGGACCACTTTAGCGGGGTGCCACTGTTCAGGCGTCGCTCGCGACATTGGTGAGATGATCATGATATGAACCACCTAGCATTGTGAGCAGTGCGAACATTGGAACCAACATTTGAAGGCTCAGGCTATTGTAGCTGGACTAGTATAGACCGACCGGATCTCATTTTGGCCAACAGTATTGGCCAACTGCAATAACAAAGACAGTAATAATAAGGGCAATCAATTGTTTGAGTCTGCATCATCACGATTCATCAGGGACCCCTACTTCATGTTGTAACTTCACCTAGAGGAATAATATAAATAACCGTAACTTATTATTATAACAAGGCCCTTCCTACATCCTCGGCCCACTCTCTCACCCACCTGCAGCGACCCATAAGCTGGAGCCCATCTGCATACAGCAGCACCTGCAGCGGCTCTTGACGGGCAGACAGGGACAGGTGAACAGGGTCGGCAAGACTTCCGCTCCCACCGCTGCCACCGCCCTACGCAACACCCCTGGACTCATCCTGCAAGCTCCAGCTTCCACTGTCCAGCACCTGGGCATTGGGCAAGTTGCACCCGTAAACAACTTCCCAAAGTACCTACCCCCGGCATCATCCACCACCACGCCGTCCGCTCCTTCTTTCTTCCACAACAACATACACCCGACGCAACAGAACTCACGACAACCGACTACCACCTCATTTAAGAGGTCCGCCTCCATTGTCGCCGCACCCGTCTGCGCACAATCACCACGCGGACTCACTCATCGTCGTCATCCTTTCTGCTCCGATAGGGTAGAATCGGGACACCAGGCTTATTTAGGCCTACGCCATTCTCTGCGGGCCAACCTTCAGCAAGCGACCCAGCAACCACCGTCACCACCACCCATACGTGTAATCAGGAGCTTCGTCTGTTTGCATACAAACCTTCGTGGAACTCCCGTCGCCGACTGCCATCCGCATCCATCATCGATCGCCATTCAACGTTCCGCCCACCGCGATGGGTGCTTGTCAATCATGCTGCGGAGGTAATGGCGGCCCGTCGATTGATTGGGGGTGCGAGTGCTGAAGTCGTAATAGGCAAATCCCGCGACGGTCTCTACGAACCTGTATTGGCCGACAGTGAGCGAGAAGCTGTCGCCGACTTGCTTCAATATCTCGAGAACGTGCGTTTGCAGCTCTGGGTCCACCCCCTTCGAGACTCCGGCTGACCACTTATAGCGCGGCGAGACCGACTTCTTCTCCGGCGAACCCCTTCGAGCCCTGAGCACGCTTGTCTTCTCCGATAACATAGACTTACAGAGGAGCGCGAGTTTGACATTTGCAGAGATAACCGAGCGAGGTACGTTGCAAGAGTCCCAAGCCACCCTTGAGAAGAAGTCGCCAGTTCCCACAAGCATCATCGTTCTCGGATAGCTCATCATATCGTGTGCGATGCTATACTGCCTGGAGAGCATCACACTGACAGCCACCAAGATGTTCGCGAAGTCGACCGAGATACCCTCGAACCGATCCTCTTCCTCCTTCAAAGCCCCGATATCGAGGTACAGAGAGCGGCTAGTGCGGCACTGGGAAACTTGGCCGTTAACAGTACGTTCGAATATCGAGTCTCGTGTTGCTTCAGCTTCGCTCATCAACTCATCTAGCCGAGAACAAAGTCCTAATAGTCCAGTTGGGCGGACTGACACCCCTCATCCGTCAAATGCTCTCCCCAAATGTCGAGGTCCAGTGCAATGCTGTCGGGTGCATCACGAACCTGGCGACACACGAGGAGAACAAGGCAAAGATTGCACGATCGGGAGCGCTTGGTCCGCTTACGCGGCTAGCCAAGTCGAGGGATATGAGGGTTCAGCGGAATGCGACAGGAGCCTTGCTCAATATGACACATTCAGGTATGAACTCAGCCTTCGATCAGTAACCCACCATTGTCTGACATGATGCGCAGACGAGAACCGAATACAGCTTGTCAACGCCGGCGCCATTCCCGTCTTGGTACAGCTCCTCTCGTCTCCCGATGTCGATGTCCAATACTATTGCACGACTGCCCTCAGCAACATTGCCGTCGATTCCAACAACCGAAGAAAACTTGCTTCGTCGGAGACAAAGCTGGTTCAGTCGCTAGTCAACCTGATGGATTCTTCATCGCCGAAAGTACAGTGTCAAGCTGCATTAGCTCTTCGAAACTTGGCCTCGGACGAAAAGTATCAGCTCGATATTGTCCGCGCCCAGGGACTCAACCCCTTGTTACGCCTACTACAGTCCTCATACCTCCCACTCATCCTTTCAGCTGTCGCCTGCATACGGAACATTTCCATTCACCCCTCGAACGAATCACCTATTATCGAGGCCGCATTCCTGAAGCCCTTGGTGGATCTACTAGGCTCGACTGACAACGAGGAGATCCAGTGTCACGCCATTTCAACGCTTCGAAACCTGGCAGCCAGCTCTGACCGGAACAAGGCCTTGGTACTAGAGGCTGGTGCGGTACAAAAATGCAAGCAACTCGTCCTGGATGTGCCCGTCACTGTTCAATCGGAGATGACGGCGGCGATTGCGGTATTGGCTCTGTCGGACGATCTCAAGACACACTTGTTGAATCTTGGCGTCATCGAGACTCTGATTCCTCTCACCCACTCTCCCAGTATCGAAGTTCAAGGGAACAGTGCTGCCGCACTTGGCAACCTGTCCTCAAAAGGTAAGCTCACCCGTAATATTTGATGATGCTCATTAGACTGACTAGTATCCCAGTGGGCGACTACTCTATATTCATCCAAGACTGGTTAGAACCGAACGGAGGCATTCATGGTTACCTGAGCAGGTTCCTGGCTAGTGGCGATGCTACGTTCCAACATATCGCTATATGGACTCTCCTACAACTGCTCGAATCCGAAGACAAAAGCTTGATCGGACTTATCGGCAAGTCAGACGAGATTGTCGAAATGATCAAGCAGATTTCGAACCGACAGGTCGAGTCCGATAATGAATTCGAGGAGGACGACGAAGGTGAGGTTATCAACCTCGCCCAGCGCTGCCTCGAACTGCTAGGCCAGAGCATGTCGAAGGCGCACATTGAGGGGTGAGCGTAAACCAGCGCACGCGTTCGACCTTGCTCCGAACCAATCTCCCTCTTATTTCAAGCTCCCTATATCTCTAGGCTACTTTCAGCATCCAAAGCGGGCGGCCAGGTGTGGAGTTGGGAGGCGTATTCTATATCAGCCAGCATTTGTGATTCTCTTTGAAGAATGGCTGTATCGTTTGGTGGGTCTTTGGCCTTTTTGATTTACACACATGGGTGCATAATCCGCGTTGGGTTGGTCCAAACTGCGGGTGGGCGTTCTCATCCAAGTTCGTGGTCTTGTGTCTCAACTTGCCCGTGGGTGGATGGAAGTATACCAGGTCTCGTTTGTACAGGAGGAAAGGGCGGTTCCAAAAGAAGGGCGACGCCTTGAAAGCAGTCTTCATCATGATGGACGAGCGCCTCCCTGTTGCAAATATAGTACTTATCGTCTGGGCATCTTATAAGTTGAACCCGTGTAATTAGACTGTCGTTTCTCGCGAAGATGATATCCAGCAAATCCACATAATCATTCACTTTAAACGCCTTCTCCGCAATGCGAGTCCTATCAACAATACCTCACAGTCCGATCGGACAGTTGGCCCCTCACTCTAAGACACACTTCAGGTCTACGAAGGCGGATGTGAAGCTCCCGTTGCTGTGGGAGGAGGACTCCGCAGCCCGCTCTCGACCTTGGAGAACCAGTTCGGCGGCCACCAGCCGTCGAAGGACATCTTGGCCACGACCTTGCCCTTGATGAGGCCCATGGGCAGGGGCCCGAAGTCCCGGCTGTCGCGCGACCACGGCAGGTTGTCGCCCACGATGTAGCAGTGGCCCTTGGGTACCTGTCCAGCCTCGCATATCAGCATGAGCCGTTCGAAGCACGTGCAATCCACCATTGTCTTCCTCCCTCTCTGTCTCCCTCCCTGCCCCTCGGACTCGGGCGTGAGTGAAGTAGACAGACGCATCGACATACCTGTATCATATTCTCCCCCGCTGTGGCTATAGCACGCGAGCCCCTCCCCTTGACGCCCAGGTCGGCGTCGGGCGGCGAGTTCAGCAGCACGTAGTCGCCCGGCAGGCCCAGCACGCGCTTGACGCCCTCCTGGCCGGGCTCGACGGGGATGGCGTAGGTGACGCAGTCGCCGACGCTCACACCGCGGCCCCGCCGGAACCGCCGGTCCGTGACGAACCAGTCGGCCGTCGCGAGGAAGGTCGGCAGCATCGACGGGCCCGACCCCAGACCGGGGCTGTAGGCGTAGGTGAAGATTACGTGTGTTAGGGTGATGGTTTTTAGGGTCGTTATGACGGCGGTTAGGGGGTGGCCTAGGAAGGGCATTTTGGCTGGATTTGGTTTGCTTTTTGTTGGCGAGGTTGGCGAGGTTGGTGACGTTGGTGATGAGGGTTAGGAGGTGAGAGGTGACAGATGAGATGTGAAAACAAATTGCGGTTCTTTGGTGGTTCACCGCGTGGGAGATGAGAGAGGTTGTTGCATGATCCACGATCGTGAGCGGAAGAGCAGGGTGATTCGATAGGTTCGTAGTATTCAGTCTGATAGAGCTACAGCATAAGATGCAACTTGACTGAGTGATTGAGTGAACGAGTGAGTGAGAGGTTGTATGAGAATGACGACGATAACGATGCGATAAGCAGAGCTCTCTGGCTGGAGCTTGAGCTCGGACATCTTGGCACCCGGATCCAATAGCTTCGTCGAATCTCCAAACCTCCAACCCAATTTGCAGATCTTGATCTTAGCAGAGAAAACCGACAATTCACGACACTCGTTGCCCTCTCGCTACAGCAGCACAACCCTGGAGGTTCCAATTGCTGCTCTGTCTACTTCACGCACAGCAAGGAGAACGACAGTCACAACCACAACGATCACTGAGAGGAGGTATCACTCGTGAACCTCACGATGAGACACACACGCTGCCTGTACTCACCCGCGCGGGCCCTGCGCCGCGTCTTCCTCCCCGACCTCAGCAGTGGTAGCAACGGCCTCCTATCAAGCACCTCCCTCACAAAACCAATACCACGCCTCCCATACCTCAAACCGACCGCAGGAATACCATCAGCAACCACACCACTCCGCACCCTAGCCACCACACCCGCCCTCCGCCGCATCGAGCGCAAAAAACACCTAACCAACGACGAGATCCCCTACCGCTGGATCCGCATCGCCTCCGCGCCATCACCCGACTCGCCCTCGTCCGGAAACAGCGACCTCTCGCCCCCTCAGCGCACGGAGTCCGTGCTCAGCACACTAAACCGCAAAACGCACATGTTAATCATGGTCGCGCCGCCGCCTCCGCCGCCCCTCTCCGACCCCTCAGATCCAGACTCGCCCCCCTTAATCTCGGGGCCCAGCGCGGCCATCTGCCGCATCATCGACAAAGTCGCCGCGGCGGCCGAAGCCTCGGCAGCCGCCAAGACGGCGCGCCGCAAGGCCGTCAACAAGAAGGAGCTCGAGCTCAACTGGGCCATCGCGCCCAACGACCTCGAGCACAAGCTGCGCCGGCTGCGCGAGTTCTTGGACAAGGGCATGCACGTCGAGCTGATGCTGGCGCGGAAGCGGCGCGGGCGCCCGGCTACTGCCGCCGAGAGCGCGGAGGTGCTGCGGCGGATCCGGGAGGCGGTCGAGGAGGTGCCCGGCGCGAAGGAGGTGCGCAAGATGGATGGGACGGTGGGGGGCGTGGTGCGTATGTTTTTTGAGGGGCTTGCTCTTGGGTCTAAGGAGAAGAAGAAGGCTGTTGAGGAGGCGGCGCGGGCTGAGGAGGCGGCGTGGGCTAGGGAGGAGGCGGCGCGGGCTAAGGAGGTTGAGGAGGCGGCGCGGGCTAAGGAGGTCGGGGAGGAAGATAACGGGGGAGTAGTCGAGGTCGCGGAGGAAGAGGAGGAGATTAGCCAGGCTGGGGAGAAAGGGGAGGAAGCGGAGGAAGGGAGTGTGGTTAGGGAAGCGGATGAGAAAGGGGAGAGATAAAGTGAGTGACTGACTAGGATGGTCGTGTTGGTTGAATTCGGGTTGAGAGGACGTTGTTGGGTTTGGGCCAAATCGTTCTTGAGCAACTACTTCAGCAAGCTTCAGTGGTGTTGCACAGATGATGAGCATGCACCACCGGCTTCCGCGCAGCTCTGCCAGCTGGTCCGAAAACTCTGGATGGCGAGGGGGATCAACCTGCACAAAAGCGGCAGCCGTTAGCAAGTTGAGCTGGCAAACAGCTACGGCAGGAATCTCATCTGGCCATGGGATGGTATGTCGAAAGGAGCGTGCAAAAGGGGTGCCAGTACTCTACAGATCGCACATAGCGCAATGGTCTAGGTGGATGCGAGGACTACCGGCATGTCGAAACTACAAATATGTAAAACAATGTTCAAACAGCATAAAATGCTACTATACATCATATAAACTCATATCAAGTTGATTCATGGACTATATTCATCCACAGTCGTATTGGAGCCAGCTCTAAAGCCCCCATATCAGGATCGTACGTATGTGCGTAATGCGACGCCTCTATGTCGACGAAAAGAAATCGTTATGCAAATCCATCCAGCTGTAAGCTCTCAAAGCTGGCCTGCGCTGCCCTCCCGGAACGCCTGTCCGCCATGTGACGATGATGCCGCGGTATATGTCTCCCTGTAACTTCATATCCCTCGCATTCCCTATGAGGTGTTTCCCCAACCAATGCTCATTCAATATAGCACATTCCCTCGTTACCGCGATTGCGGGTGGTTTCCTAACCCTCTTTCATGACGAAGAAACTGCCGCCCAGCAGACTAAACACAATAGCCGTCGTCGCAAACCCAGCCGCCACCCGCTCGCCCGCGGTGATGGGCGCGAGCGGCGGCATCTTCTCCTCGTTCGAAGCGCCGGCGCTCACGTCGCCGACAGAGGTGCCGCCTGTGTCGGCGGTCACAGGCGCGCGGGCGGTGGTGCCGTTGTTGATGAGCGTGTACTGCATGGCGGACAGGGCGCTCATCTGCTCGCCGACACCGACGAGACCATCGAAGGCGGCCTGCTTAGCCCAGCTGAAGCCGCAGGCCGTGCCCTGGACGCCCTTGAAGGCAGCAGGATTGGTGGGCGAACCCGAGCACTGCTGCGCCGCGGCCGCCGCGCATGACATGATCAGCGGCATCAGCGTGTTGGAGGTGAAGGGCGCCAGCTGCGCCGCCGAAGCCATCCACCGCATCAAGTAGCCCTTGAAGCTCTGCTGGTCGTTGTCGCACAGGCCCGACCCCTCGCACGCCCGCTCGACCACGATGCCGTTGTCGAAGAAATAGTCGATTGTCCGAGTCATCAGGCCTTCGGTCCGCTGCTTCCACGTGTCGTTGCCGTCGGTGTAGTTGTAGAGTACCGCCGCGCCGTGTAGGTAGATGCCCGCGTTGTAAGTCCACTGTGATTTGCTGATCTGTTTGCAGTCCTGCTCCACGCCTGCGCCGTCGTAGATGTTGTATTGGGCATCCATGAACTGGACCTCGTTCATCCAATCCCATACCGTCTCGGCCCAGTCAGCGTAAGTCTGATTGCCCGTATACCTCGCTAGCCTCGAGGCGATATTGAAGAAGCAGCCGTTCGAGATCGAGTTCTTATAATTAAAGCCGTTGTTGAACGTAAAGATCTGCCACCGCAGTCCTCCACCGCAGACGTTCTTGGCGTCTTCCCACCGACCAACGTATTCGTTAAACACGGCTTGTGCTAGGGCTAGCCATTGTGGTTGATCGGACGGCGGGTTTGGAAAGTTGTTCTCGGCGGCGGACATGGCTGCCATGGCCCAAAATCCTTGATCATCATTTCCTAGCGTGCTGCTCTGATTCGCTGGCATGTAATCCTTGTCGTCGCCTACTTGGTGCTGCAAAGCCTGCATCGTCACATCGTTGTATGTGTCGTCCCCAGTGTAGAACCAGTAATCAACCAGTGTCCCGAACATGGCGCCACATTCCCACCCTGCAACGGGTGAGCTCAAGTTTGATTGGAGACAACGGCATGACTTACAGAAATATGGATCTGGTAGGTTGCCCGGTGTGTCGCCTGTGTTATTGCCTGTATAATACTTCAACAAGCCATAGGCAACTGTGCTAGCTCCCTCCTTAATGGAGTCTGCATACGGTCAGCTCAATAGAATTGATCATCTCGAAGGTGACATACCGTCATTGGTGAAGTCGACCTGTATGGCGTTTATTACACCTGCCAGCAGGCCGACGATGCCGACCGTTTGAAGGGACGATCGCATTCTGGGGATGGATATGTCAAGGATAGAAAGAAATAATTGACGCTTCCAAAAACGGGAGCCCGACTATCGAGGTGAAAGAGAAGAAGGACGAGCAATTAACAACGCATGTTCTCCAGCACCGGTATACGTCCAAATCCGAGGATGAGAAGAGTCGTCGGGACAGGCTCGTAACGCTGACGAAGACTTGCGCCAGTTGTGTTTATTTTTGTTTTCCAAAGCTCTCCTGAGGTCATACAAGTGACGGAACACGAGGGAAATGGTCACCAGGACGGGGCGAAGCGAAAGTGAGTAGTGGTATAAAGAAAGACTCGTATAGGAGCAAACAATGAAGAGAAAAGAAGCGCAACAAAAAGAGTTGCCAAGCAAAACAAAACAAAAGTGAATGAAGCTTCGGTCCAGAAGCGATGATGAACAGAGATGGACGAGGTGAAAGAGAAGCGACCAGGAGACTCTTCTAGAGCACCCTGTCAGTCAGGGTCGCATCTGGCGGCCAAACCTCACACAAGCCACCACAGCTGGCCCAGCTTCTGCAACAGAACGAACGTCACGTCAATCCACGAGGACCCTGCAGAACCGAGTAATCCGTAATAAGCTTAATCCAGGCGGCACGGGGAAGCTCGAACTCAGCGCATACTCCTGTACGTCGAGACGGCCGTCCGAGCTGCGAGGCTGTGCTGGCAGCCCGGCAGAGATGAAACCCGTCGAGTTCCAGGCGACGCGGGCGTTCGTCTCAAAGCGAAGGCCCGGTTTGGGCGGTCACCCACTTGGGCGCCTGCATATGTCAACTGAAGGGAAGCAAAAAATAGACAAGACGATTCTTGGCATCGCAGGTCGTAGCTCGTAGCTGCAGATCGCAGAGCATTGAATTGAGTGTAAAGTGAAGTTATGGACTCATGGTCTGAGTTGAATCGGGAGGGAGTTTAGTGAATGGAACGATGTGGAGAGATGCATCTGGACTCTGGAGTTGAAAGAAGCTGGAGTGGAGTGTCTAGGCCCCAATGCGCTAGGCTCTAGCACTCGGGATGTTACCCCACCCGTGTCTGGGGAATCAAGAGGGGTACGACATAGAGCAGCCAGAATTGTCTGGTCGCAACACAACACCTTGCAGCCGCAAGCAACGAAAAATGGAAAGAAGAATCATCACCGACCAAATGCCAACCGGTATCTTAATTGTTGCGGCCGGAAGCTACTGTTCCCACGGGCTGCCATTGCCGCCGGGGACTCGAGGAGCTTTCGAGATGAGTACCTAACCCACGTTAACGTACAAGGATCAGGCATGCTCCGTTTGGAGCTTATGTCAAGCTTCGTTTGTGGTCCCGACATCATCCCGAGCAACGTTACTGAGTTCAACAAAGCATATAATAAAACTAACGAACATGACTCCTATCCCATCGCGAATACTTGGTCGACTTGGGATAGTGCCACCAAGTGTGGCCGCCTTACCTGTGTTGAGAGGCTGAGTGGCCAGGGTGGAACTGCCAAAGCTACCTTATGTATAGCGTGTGAAGTGTCTACTCGCCCACCGTTCATATCATTCAGGACAATCTGATTACAATGATTCCGCCATCGCCACATTCCGGTGCGGAGGGGTGTTACGCGGGTTGACCTTGTCCTCCAGTGTTTGCCCCAACGTTAGGAGTCTACGATACTGTTTGGGCTGCTCATTAGTGAGTTCGCTTTTGACGACAAGGCGCGCGAGGGAGAGTGTGTAGCACAGAAGGACACGAACACACCCAGGTCACCGGGAGATATGAAGCCATATGTCGACTCGATTTATTACCGAGCTCTTTAATCGCAAGTGAAAGCACACATATAGTGCCCTGATAGTCGACAAAAAGCAGAGCCGTCGTGATGTACGCAAAGTCCAACGGACTCATTCAAAAGCCATAGATCATGTCATCCTCAACAACCCTAAGCCAGGCTTCTAAAGGCTAAGACCGATGTGTCATACGCCGATAGCACACGACACCATTCAGCAGTTGACCTCGAAGCAGTGATTGGGTGCGACTGGCAGTAGCTTCGAACAAGCCAAGACGAGCTGTATTTAACGTGGGCCGGGGCGGGCCCGAAATGGAACAATCATGGTTTGTTATTACTCTGCTAGGTCGACTCACCAACGAACCGCTCATCTAGAAGCCGTCAAGTGTCGGACTCATGCTGAGCTTAGCCAAGCGACTAAGATACCTCCCGAAGTCACTCGGCCCATTACGAGCGCAGCTCGCCTCGAGATAAAGCGCTGAAACTTGGCATGTGCTTGTGCTGTCTTGCCTAAAGGGGGTGGGCGGCCTCGTGATCCAAGAAGAACACAGCTCCTGCCTACATAGAGGTGCGCGACGGCAACATGGAACCCGATACCTGAAGACTCACCCAGCGGTAAGAGAGGCAATTGCAGTGCTACACTATGGTCTTGGGAAGTGGAACAAAAGACCGACCAATCCTTCTGGAAGTACATGCACAAAAACATTGCTATGACATATCCAGGTAGGTGTAGGCGACAAGTTGTTTATATGTCCTTGCACGGAAGAACGAAGCAGTGACATGACATTGAATGTATGGGAGGGTAAGGGAAGGGCAGAAAATCAAGACAAAGCAAAAAAATGAACAGCTCCCGACCGGATTTAAACCGGTGTCTTATTGCCTTATACGGCCGATTAAATACCGGCTACCACTACCCCACGGGAACGTTGTTACAATTTCATCCTCCTAGTTGTACTTATATAATCGGACTAGAGTGTCAACAGAGAGAGAGAGCAAAAAGGAAATGAGTTCCCGGCTGGAATCTAACCAGCGTCTTATCGCCATTACAGATGGAAGCCGATTTTAGATACAGGCTACCACTACCCCACGGGAACAGCTAATAGTATGCTTCCCTTTAAAATGACTTATATGTTTGTGGGACAAGGGTCAATGAGGGTTTGCGGTGGCGTTGGTGGCGTTGAGATGAGGAAGATGGGATAGAGTTCAGCCATGAGAGAACCGGCGGGAGATCGAGAGAGACGTTTGGGTAGAGTTCAGCCACGAGAGATGGCGGCAGGAGGGAGGGGCAAAATTGATCTGCTGCCCCTTGCCAAAGAGAACAGAGGAGAGGATCCTCGGGGAAAGGAAGGAATATCAGGTTTGCCGCTGAAGTGTCTGACAGCCTGCAAGTCAAATTATTGGTACTGGTGCATTCATGATAGCCGAGGCTCGGATGAAGATCAAATATTGTGTGATCTTTTACGAGGTTGGTATCGGACGGAAACCAAAGGAGTTGCAATTCCCGAGAAGCATGAGTATGTATTCTGAGAAATCAAAGTTCTGGATAGCACCTGACCTTCTCCGGTGAAAGCAGACGTGGTTCGACGTTCAAAAGCTTACGGCTTTCGCTTCTTCGACGGTGGTGCCTCATCATCACTCTTATCTTCCCCTTGGACGAGCATGGGGGCGTCATCGTCCATGTCCTCATCGTCCTCCTCGAAGTCAACCTCGCTGAGAGCATCCTCTTCCTGAGCTTGGGCTTGGCGAAGATTAGCCACTTGTCACTCCAAGGCAGTTAACTAATAAGAGAGACTTACTGAAGAACTTGATGGCATTAGGAAAGAGATCCTCGCTGAAAGCGATAGCCAGCTCATCACCGTCGGGGAAGATCTCGAGAGCATCAGGGTCGTTCTCGTCATCTTCTTCATCCTCGTCCTCGTCTTCGTCAGCCTCCTTAAGCTCAGGAGCTTCGTCATCTTTGCCTGCAGCTTTGTCGGCTCGTCGTTTCTTCTCTTCCTCGGTTGCGATGCGACTTTCCTCTGCAGATACGTGCTCGCCGCGGTATCCGAACCAGCAGAAGAAGGACACTGCGCCGAGGCCACTAGCATCGATCTTTTCCTTAAGTGCCTTCTGGTCGGGCCTCCAATCCTTGGCCTTCGACTGCTTCTTGCTGTCCCCGTTGGCTTGTCCCTGCTTCTTATCCTGCTCCCAGACGTTGACGGCCATATCCAAGAGCCCGTCAGTCAGATCCTTGCCAGCCTTCCATTTGATGGGGACGGGCTCGCTGACTAGCCCCGCAAAGCCATCCTTAGAGCGGCGGTACCAGAACTTCTTCTCGAGCACCTTGTTCTCGAAGAACTCGTTCTCCTCGAACTCGAACTTGATAGAGATGCTGCGGGGGTCGCCGTTGCTGCCGTCTTCAATCTCAAAATGAGACACTGAGAGGTTGGTGACGCTGGACAGGAGTGCGGCCGAGTCACTTGGGAATATGTACTGGTCGATGTCCTGGGGTGCTGCTTCAATGACTAAGGCCCAGAAGTTGGGGATCTTGGCAATGACCTTGGCCCTCTTCTCATATAGCGGCTTGGTGAGCGCAACTTGTTGGCGGACTGATGAGTGGGTTAGAATCAACAATATGCACCGGCGCATCTTGCCAACTGTAATACTCACCTATCTCTGTGTCGACATCGTCAAATTCCTTCTCGAGCTCTGCCAGTTCCTCGTAGGTGACGTTGATCTCGTCTACCGAATCGGCCATGGCTGCAGAATGGAATTATGTCGTCGCCTTGGAAACCTGAGTTTGGTTCGGAGTGAATTTGGATGCGGAAAGAACGAGTTGCGACTTGAAGAGATGGTGGGAAGGATGATACGAGGCAGGAATAGCAACACAACCTGCTTTTATGGAAGCTTTATGATATGTAGGAAAATCCAAAATTTATCGTCGATCAATTGGGGTCCGTCAATGGTGCATCCTTGCGAAGCCTCGATTTAAAGGAGTAATTGTATTCCCCCACCCCGATTTCCGTATTTTCCCACCCCAACTAACCCCATTCGGACAGTCTTCCCGATTACAGCGCTTAGCCCACTGTAATCACAACGGTCGCGCAGAGCCTTAATACCACACCGCATTACTAGATTTACCACTATTACCATTACTATCACCACCACGGCGCATACAAGGACATATTCCCGGATGGGAGGCTCGTACCGCCCCCTAAACCCCCGGCTAACCCTAACTACTAACCCTAAACCTCGCCCGAACCGTCGCTGCGAGATGTTGTCTTAAACAGCCGGTTACATTATTGTGCCTTTGTGGTAGCGGAACCAGAACGGAGATCTATCACAAGTCTTGGTTGTGATGATCTGTATTCTGGTTGGTGCTTGGTTTCGTTCGGATGGGAAGGGATCCCATCCGAGAAGTATCTTAATACCTAAATTACAGTGGATTGGTACCTGTCACCTGGGGCAGCCATCCCAGGTAACCTTATCGTAGAACGCCCTAGATGACAGGAGATCCGATAAGCTCCTGGTGGCTGGATCCAGTGGCTGGGATCCACATTATAAAAAGTATCTTTTAATTAGTAGGAAACGCATACGAAATAAAGTACCTAGAGTGTATGATTTGGGTGCGTTGCCACTTGTACGCATAGAAAGATTACTTATCTGAACGGGCTTAGCTGGGGTGGGAGAATACGGAAATCGGGGTGGGGGAATACAGTTACTCGATTCAAAGCTGTCACCGCTTTTAGTGACGTTATTAGAGGCTTGGCAGGGCCCTGGACATTATTCCACCTCTAGTTTTGGGATGCATCTGAAAAGACACAGGTAGGCAAGTCAAAGAGATCGAATCATACGAACAGGAAGCATTCCTCAATTAATTCTATTTGACACTGGAATTGTGACTTTTAGAACAACAAGCAGCAAGAATTTGAAGGCAGAAGGGTCCAAAAGCCAAAGGGCTGAAGTGGATCGAGCTTAGAATGGGACCACTCCACCTTCCACGGACCCCTGCAGCTGCGGCAGGTATGGAGAGAAGCGGTCAAGTGCGGCAAGAAAATAATTTGGTCTTCACCCTTATCGGTCGCGATAGCCTCTCCATCGCGACAACCGAACGCGACGTCGTATTCCCATCCTCGTCCTCATCATACATCATGAACGGCCTACCAGGAGCTGGCGCCCCTCAAGGGGGCTCATCATACGATCCTAATGACCCAAACCTCAAGGCGGTTCGTCTTTTCGCCTCTGGTGTTTCCCGGTGGCAACAGCAGTAACTGACTTGACAAATAGCTGAACAAGATGATGGAGTCATGCTTTGGCAAGTCCGCACTGTCAGGTGTACTGGGATTCGGCATGGGTGGTATGTTTGGAATGTTCATGGCGTCGGTATGTGATCCTCCAGCGTCGTCCACACTGGGATGGGACAACAGTCTTGTCCGCAATTATACCTCGACTTAAAGGAACCCTCCGTGGCCTTCTCTGGCCATGCTTGCGTCGTCACCCAAGCTAACAAGGACCTCCAGATGTCATACGACACGCCGTTCCACACCGCCGGCGCACCCGGCGCAGCTCCGAAACCGATCGCCGAACTCCCCATGCGCCAGCAGCTCAAGGTCGGCTTCAAAGACATGGGTGCGCGATCCTACAGTACGGCCAGGAACTTCGGCAAAGTCGGTATGCTGTTCAGCGGTATCGAATGCGGCATCGAGGGCTTCCGCGCGAAGAACGACTTGGCCAACGGCGTCGCTGCCGGGTGTCTGACGGGCGGGATCCTAGCACGAAGTGGAGGCCCGACGGCCGTCGCCGGTGGATGCGCCGCGTTCGCGGCATTCAGTGCCGCTATAGACGCTTACATGCGGCAACCGGAGAAAGACTAGAAGGGAGGTGCGCAGCGGTCGAGACGAAGGATCGAGGTTGCACGATGGGCAGTCGAGCGCGGCGAGGCGCGGCGCAGTGTGCGACTATTTGACTGTGTCATATGGCATCTGATGGTTATTTGCATAGCATCGAGGCGTTTTGGGTCTGTTCGGATATATATAGAAGGTAATGATCATCTCCGCTTGCGACCTGGGAAGAGACTCAGAGTCAGATAGGGACTTACACATCTAGATGTTAGATGGTAGTTCCGAACTGTATATCCATTGTATCATTATCAACACCGCTTATCAACGCTTCAGACTTATTTTCCACGCGATTCGCCTCCTGACTTACTGATGTTCCAGATTGTACTACATCGGAATCAATTGCTTACGCTCGTGACGCCTATATGTCCACTTGTTTCACTTCCTCTACTGTCGCCCTAGTAGTCCGAGTCCGCGTGCGTGAGAAGCCTACAGACTCGAGACGAGGCGAGTACACCATCAATGAGGCGAGATAGAGCGGCCGTATGTACTCGTTCCTCGGCACTTACGCAAGTCAATTCCAAATTTCAAGCGTCTCATTTGAGAACAAGAAGTTCATCACTCATCGATGCCGGGCTACTTTCTGGTTTCTCACTCGTGCGCGTATCGTAGTGCAACCTTGCAGCCACAGGGAGAACACCCCTAGCTGGATGTCGCTGAGAAAGTTCCATCCGAGGATCAGGAGGCTTATTGTGGGTGGCAGCACTAAGCAAGAGGATACATTACTGGGTGATTGAGTCAATACGTCAAGAGTTGTCAGCACTAATCTGGTCGTCAGTCGGTAAGACCAACTCTTCCGAGCGTCTCGGGCCTGATTCTGTGTGACCACGGAATTTTCATATTAGAGTGACCTGAAGGCGTTTCGATACTTGATCAACCTTACATGCTTCCGTTTCTTCCTCCTGACTGACTCACTTATGGTCCGATGATTTCATACCGCCTCGCCAATTGCGGGCATACTATGAGCCGGCTTCGCCAACACGGTGGAAGGATGGAGTTCGGGGTACTGGCAACTGTGCTTAGGTTCGCCTCCGATGATTCCATACTGGTCACAAGAGGCCAAGCCATGACTGCTCTAACGAACCGAATTGCTAAATGCTATGCGGACGGCTGAGAGTGGTGACCGCGGCGTGTAGAGTTGCGATACTCGATGGCGAATGCTTTAGGCGAAATGAATGTGCATGGAGCTGTCGATGCACGTCGTCCATTGGCACTTAACGTGTCACAGCGAGCGTTTGTCATTGTTCCGGGGTCCGGGTTACTCTGCACCAACATGGGTGGCATGAGGCTGCGGGTCGTGGGGAGGAGACAGAGCCGATCGGGTTCGGCCGTCGCTATTCCTAGCGTATGTATATAATACTGCCCATCAACCCGCGGCACTCATAGACTGACAGGACGAAGGTATCGATGTCTGGAGGAAATGGCATAAACCACCTGTCATTGACCAGTTCCACTGCTAAAAAAACAGGGGGGAACTGTACGGCGCCTCTAGGGCCTCCAGTTCCAAAGCTCAATCATTCATACAAGTATCTCGATCCCATTCGCATTGCAAGTACCTAATACGTACAATGAAAAAAAATACCTAAATCGGTGTAGCTTATAGCTGGTTGGGCTTACTCAGGCCAATCAATTAACGAAATCAGGCCTAATGCGGATAGGACACCGTCTGGTTAGGCAGTCAGACCGTCTGTGTAGACATTCCTGAATACCCACCCACCGCTCTTCAGCCGGCAGCCTTACACTGAATTCGGAAATGGGCCACATGAATATTCTGAACTCGATGTCAACTCGATGCCAACTCTGTAATTCAAACAGTGTGTTTGCCAACATGAAGGCTACCTCTTTTCCCCAACATAGAGTCTTCCCTTTTGAAGGATGGACAAGCCAGTCGCCAGTCTATCCTAAGATGAGTCTAACATGTCATGAGGCCAGTAACTTGAATAGTGCAGGTATTCGCCTTTCTCTCGTGCTTCATTCTCTGGCATATCATCCTCTTCGATATCCAGTTCGCGCCCTTCTTATTGTTATTTCTGGTGTAAGCGACTCATAACGAACTGGACGGACATCCTCCCCCCTTTCCCTGACCCAAACCTTTCGCCTACAGTGGAGGCACCGCCAGCAAGAATCTTGTATCAAGACAAGCGAGGGTGGTATTCCTCAGACATAGGCTCTCCAATGCAAGTCCTCCCTCCTGATATCCTGCCTCCTCTCCGGTCACCTAATGCGTTATGACAACAGTTCACAAATCAACACCGGCCTCCCATCCTCGTCCCAAGAACTCAACAGTCTCCAACTCTGCTTCAAGCCCCAACGTCCATCTTCTCTGAAACAAGCACGATGAACCGCCCAACCCATGACAGCACCAGCAACGGTCCACCCATGGCAGATCAGTCCGCTCAACATGGAGACGCCGACCATGCTGTCACTCACGGGACCGCCCATCACCCGGGTCAACTGGTCGGTACCCTTCCTCAGGGTGGCAACACCGGCACCCAGTACTGCCAATTCTGCCATGCCCCCATGACCGCCTCCAACAGCCATCATGGGTGGAACAACAAGTGCAGCAACCAAGACTGCCACTGTGCTCGCCGCGGCAGCTTCTCCTGCCGCTGCCAGCCCGGAGCCATCCATCAACCTACCAGCTATACCGCCAACAGGACTGGCGGGTATACCCAGCCAGGCCAGATGTACCAGGATCGATACGGTGCTGCCGACACCTATGGCGCGAATACGTCCCACTCTTGGGCACACCAAGGTGTCGTTCGACACTCTTCGTCGGTTGCCGCCGGGTACGGGTACCCCTATGACACCGCCCACGCCCAGGTATATGGGCATGGGCATAGGCATGAGTACGATCCCTTCCCCTCTACGAGTTTATACCAGGGGCTGGGCCCGGAGCAGGTGTACCAAGACACCCAACACATCGGCAGCCACTTCGACGGCGTCAACCTCCCAGCCCTCTCACCAGAGGGACTCATCGCCATGAACCTCGTCCACGGCAACGGCAACGACAACGAGAACGAAGAAGACTTCGTCCCAGTCGATAACCGCCAGGGGCGCAAACGTCATTGACGCATAGCCCTATTTAGGACGTTGGTTGGGGCATTGGGTGTAGGAGACTTTTTGGGATTCAGTGTACCTTGTCGGTATAGATATCGATCTTCGGGTGAAATGTTTCATGACGAGCGCTGGGAGCGAGGCGTGGAGGAATTTTTGGTATAGAGGTTCGGATTAAAACTGGAGACGGATCTCCTTGCGAATGTCTGCTATGGAGTCCGCTATATTCAGCTGGAGCTCGTGAGCCTTTACCGGTGGCAGCCGAACTTTTGGCTGCAGGAGAGGAATGAACGGAGAAGAATGACACTGATATGATTGGTTAATCGACATGATCATTGTTCGCTCATTCTAGTATCGTAATGTCTGATTGATAGGTATTCTTGTCTCGTCTCCTTTCGCTGACTACCTGCCACTGTAGAGCCAGTAGATAATGGAGTGGTAACACAGGTTAATACTCACATGGACGCGTACAGCACCGATAAGGTATCTGACAATCCCCCAACGCCTTGCTGATCTTACAGCTTTTCCGAGCCAGCCGCCAACTCCAACCCATCCTTCCAATTGCTGAGTCCATCATGTCGAGAGAAAGCCAAGCCTCCGATTGTATCTCGAGGCTACTCTAGGAGGCCTTGTAGACCTGGAAAGCCCCAAACTCCCAGAATGCGTTGGTGAAAGCGTCGGGGTTGTTGGCCACGTAGTCGGTGCAGTTACTGGGACATCCGCTCTCGGCGTACACGTTCCCGGCCCACTGACCGCAGAGGTCAATGTTGACGATGATGCTCTGATTGGTGAAGTGAGAGCTTATATCGCAGTCAGTGTTTGGAAAGTCGGCCGTGGCAGTTCCCCATGTGCTAGGGTCGGGGGACTGGTTCGTGATGTCCGAGGGAATCTGGCTCCTACCGAATTCCCACATCCGGATTCCCGCATCCCGCCACTCGACTGCCATGATGCCCCCCTGGTCCTCGTTGTAGGTCACTCCGTACGAATCCGTCTTCCCGCTTACGCCGCAGCCGGCATTGTCGTCGGTGGCGTTGTAGCAGTTGTTGGAAATGGACGAGCCACTCATCTTGCGCTTGATGCCACCCATCGAACAGCTGTCTGTCGTGTGCAGCGTCATCTGGTTACCATCCGTAGCGTTGTTCACAGCTTCCATGATGTCGATTTCGCCATTGGTCGGCCAGTTGTTTTGATCGGAAAGCCACAGCGCAGGCCATGTACCGCACCCGTATGGTGTATGCTTCACGTCAAAGATGAAAAGTCCACTGTCATATTGGACCTTTGACTCAATTCGCACTGAGAATCTGCCAGTCGAAGCATCCGGGCTTGAGGTGGGCCCCACCGATGTGTCGACGGCCAATACAGCAACGTCATCGGTTGCGTATGTCAAGTTCTAGAGGACCGAGGTTAGTGAGGGAAAGACGTCAATGTCATGGACGTCTCATACCAGCGACTCAGCCTGTTCTTTGGGAACGTAGTGTACGAAACCCTCAGCTGGGTCGTATCCTGTGAAGTAGTCGAAGTTGTCAAAGAAAGTTGAGCCAGAGTCTATACTTTGGGTTAATTGTGATCCAAACTTTCATACATGAGGCCTGCTGGCTGGGCCAACTTACATTCGTCTTGCAGTGAGTAGCTAAGCGCGCTATAGTCAGGGTATCGATTCGCCTTGGTGACGAGAACTCCAGCAAGGACAGCAGCAAGAATGATAGCAACGAGGACGACCGCGATGATGGCCCATGTCCTCTTGCGCCAGCCCTTCGGCTTCCACCAAGGCTGGTGCGGGGGGCCCATGTTTGCTCGCGGCGGTAATGGGTGGTCAGCTGCGTACGTCGGTGGTGATCCGGTCACCATTTCGACTGATCCGTTGGCATCTCTGACCTGGAAGGCGGCAGGACCAGCCTTGCCCTGGTGTTGTTGTGAGTTTTCCCAGCCCATATTTGTAGGAGCAAGAAAGAAGTCCTGGTCTTGCTCGACACCTCCCTAGATAGCGAGTGCGAGTGACTGATATGTACTGCGCCGCAGACTGGCCAATAGCCTACAATCTGAGGGGTCGAGTGGCTCCGGGCTTGCCTGATAAGTGCTGAGTTGAACGGCGTAGTCCTTCGGATCGACTCTATTGGGACAGCTGCATGAGAATACGAGCTGCTGGTGTTATTCTGCCTGGGACGGTCGGTGGTCTTTCAGAGCAGAGAGAGCCTGATGTCAACGCGACAAGATGGGCGTCCATGGCATTTTATCGAATAGACTCGCAGCATAGCCCCGAAAGTTTCGGCTACGCCTAGCGGAAACGAGTCTGGGTCGCTCATTCCTGCCGCAGAGGGTGTGTTGCGGGCACACCCACACCCTCGGAAGGCCGTTAGGGAAGACTGGGGCAAGCTGACGCGTTGAGAGTTCCACGTTCGGCCGATCTAAGCACCTAAATGGGGGCCGATGACGCCGGATGGGCTGCTATCAAATGCGACTGCGCCGGGGCATCCCGCTCTCCTGCACCAGAAACCAATGAAGGTCTCTTGAGGAAAGAACTCGGTATGGTTGGGCACTCGTCCTGCGCATGTTGGCAGCAGTGAGGAAAGGCCATGCCCGGCCCCTGATACCTTACCTTCCAAAAAAGTGGGAACTCAAAGACACTCGTCTGGCTCCCTTCATTCACACCCTCTGCGAGAGTCGGGGAGATGATCGCCGTGGCTCTTCTACAGGAATGCCAGTCCCATCGCAGCATAGCCCTCAGCTAGTCCCGGTTCTGGTTATTGGTGTTCCTCTTCGCTCACAACGCGTACGTTGTATGAAAGCCATGAGAGTGGGGTAGAGGGCGACGACGCTCGATAAACGAGCCCATGAGAGACATGCACGGCAGTAAACAGCACTTGCGACAGCCCACGTTCGAAGGCTGTCAAGACGTTTGAGGTGGAGACTTGAATCAAGCAATTGGCAGAGCGCCTCTAGGATGTGACCGGCAGTCTATCGATCCTGCGGGTCACGGCTCTTGGCGTTGCGTGTACAAAATTCAAATTTCCAAACACAGCACAGCCACGCTGCCACGCGAGCCCAATCTGCCAAGAGGCGCCGGCATACCTGCAGAACACGTACGCATCCTGGTGTTCTAGAACGCCGCGAGCTGGCGTGCATACATAAGCACCCTGACCTATTTGGGAACATGGGACGTCGATTCTCTGCTTTGTAGGCAGGTGGAAACTTCACTATGTATGCAAGCTGGGAGACGATGAGCTCTCTCCGACTCTGGAAAGCTTCCAAGCTGGAAACCACCACATATAAAAAGGGTTCACGGAGTGGTCCGACAAGAAACCGAGGGCGATATTTCTCATGCGGTCCATTTCATGGGACATGCTCGATTCTGGTTATGTACAAGGGCTTGAGTATTGATGTCGAAAAGATGGTTCATTGCGTTGATGTGCCATCTCCAAGACCAGAAAAGCGAACACATCATCGCCTGCCGACTGCATTCGTGTAATCAAGACAGACTGGGTCGGTAAGGTGCTTCCGCTGCATTCAGGTGGTCACGATGTTTGACGCGCTCAATCATCGTCCTCCTCCTCTACCTTGGCACGTTTCGGCTGCCTCGACTCGCCGTCCTGCAGACCGTAACCCCTCTTCGACGAAGAGCTCTGATCCACCTCCGCCATGAACTTGTCCATCTGGAATGGATCGTTTCCAGCAGTCTCTTTCTCGAATTGGACTGGACCTTCTCGTGCCTGTATCGACTCCAATTAGCAGGATCCAACATAATGATCTTGGTGTACTAACCTCAGCATCTCCAGACCCCTTAAACGTGCCTCTACCCAGTGCCTCACCAAACCGACTAGTTTTCTGGATCTTCTCTAGTTCCCGGTCTCCAGCGCCTTCTTCGTCGTACTCTTCCATGTTCTGACTAGGCCGGTATATGCTGTTGATGGCATCCTGAGCCGCGAATAGGGGTTTGTCGTAGGGGTTGTCCTCGTTGATGCCGCTATCAAAACCGCTGGTCTGGTTGAACAGCCGCGAGTCATACATCGACTCTGCTTGTGCCGTAGGTTTCGCCAGACCAAGTGCAATCTTCTCGGAAATGTCACGGTTCTGCTCTCGAGCCATAACCTGGACTCGTCTCTCGGCACCCATGCGTGATTGGCGCAGTTTCCGTTCCTCTTCTCGGCGCCTTTCCTCTCGAGCCTTCTCCCGCTCACGTACATCCGAAGCATCACTGTCAGACCCAGAGTCCGAGTAGCTGTAGCTTCGTGACCTGGATCGTGAATCTCGCGAATCTCGAGAATCTCGGCGTTTGGAAGCCCCTGCGCGCTCCTCCCGCGCTTTCTGGGCCAGCATCCGTAGATTATCCTCCTTGTCGGCCTTCTCTTTTTCTGCCAGACGCTGCTGCATGAGTGCACGTTGCCTAACTTCCTCGCGTGCGTGTCGGTCCGCCATGAACAGAGCTTCGGAAAATTGTGCGAATTTATCGTTGATGGTAACATCTTGTAGACCTCTCCCGTCGGCCGCCAACCGCTTGTCGAGAGGGACCGTGAAACCTTTCGGGTTTTTCCAGTTGGACACGGGCGGTGGTATTTTCCACGCTTCCTGATCTTCAGCTGTCAATTTTCGGGGCGGCGAGCGCATCACAGGCGGAGGAGGGCTAGGTGGCCCTCTTGGAATCTTCTTATGCTTGAACTTCGGAGGCTCCATCGGGTCTTTTTGCCTCTCAACAATCTTCATGATACGGTCTTGCTTCTTCGAGTTGTCTCCCATCTGGTTCGCGGGTGTGTATCGGACAAACGTAGGATCTCGGCGTGATACGCCGTTGACGTTCTTCGGCTTCTGGGCAGCCACAGCGGAGCCAACAAGCGCAGCCAACGCGTTCTTGGTTCGCTCTGTGGTTTCTTCGACCTGCTCCGTGCTGGGTCTCGCTAGATCAATCTCGCCTGTATCTGCGCGCTGCCGTAAGGGAATGAGGTCCTTGAATGACGCGTGTACGATCCTGCCTTCGGCATGGCCTTGCTTCGCGATGGCATCGTATTGCACTTTCCCAGATCCGTCGACTTGGATTGTTAGAGCATTGCTAGTCGATGACCCTTTCTTCCCCATGTCCAAAGGGTATTGTGCTACAGGGACCTCGGGGAATGCGCCTCCATCGCCAAAGTCTTCCTGGCCACGCGGTCGCCATGAGGAACGTTGCCCGTATGGAGGTGGTCCTGTTCTCCGCAAGACAATCTGTGACTCGTCTATTTGGCCAGGTCCAACGATCCGCGGGCCGCGCTGTTGCGCGTGCGCTGGAATGTCTTCATCCTCGCCGGTGTATTTGGGTTTGGGCAAGGCGGCTTCAAGCGATGGTGCCATGGCGAATCTCGAGTCCTTCTAACGTTGTTGGGAAACTCGACGGGTGGCAGTATGGGCACCGTATGAAGGGGAAGTCGATGTCGGGTTGGTCTCGCTGGCGCATAAGTTTGTTCATGGGAAAGAGTCTGTTGAAGCTTGAACAATGAAATCTGCGAGCTGGAGGTGCATGTGGGGCGCAAACATACTTGTGGCTGGTGAATCTACTGCGCCACAGCGATTTTCGCAAGAGTCGATACCGGTGGTACCTTACGTTTGACGCCTTTGCAATCCCTATTACTTGGACAGAATGGAAGCTTGGTCACATGGAATTGAGATGGAGCTATTGTGCCAGAGTGCATTGAGTACTTTGTATTACATGTTCATTCACCTGACCGAGCTGGACATTGTTGATTGCGAAAGCCGGGACGTTAAATCGGGTCTTCAGTAGAGTTCAGAAGTCATACAGCTCTTCTCATACACGCCTCGTTGCCTGTAACACGCAATGTTCTACACCGTCCACGAATGCTGGTGCTGACTACCTAGCCTAGCAACTCCGTTCCCTTTTGGACGCCCATGATACAACGAGTCGTGCCAGAGCCCTATACCATTCCAGAGCTTCGACGACTCCGCGAAACCCATACCAAAATCTTGCAATTGGTATTCTTTATACGTAACCCTTGCGCGCGCCCTAGTGGTCGTGGTAAGCGAGGGTATCGTCATGGGCATGGAATCTGGCATAGGTGCACCTACCTGGAAGAAGAATCTAACGACAAAGACTTGCAGACCGCCCATGGCAATTACCATGGCGCATTGGATCAAACTGAAGTTGATGATTCGTCCCTCCGTGCTTCGGACGGTGCTGAAGTTTCGGTTCTCGCGTGTGCGGAAGTATTTCTGGTTTCTCGTGATGGTAGACAGCTGGCCCGACACCTTGTAGATGGACTCCTCGAGGGCGGATGTCTGCTCTGGGGTCGTGCCCTGCTTGGCTGGAAGTTGGGCTCGTGCCTCGTCCTCGACCTGCGGGCGTGAGGTGTTAGCATCCCGCTTGCGACCAACAGGAAGCGCATGGACTTACGGCAATCTCGAAGTCGACATATTTCTCCGAGTATGTGCTCATCGCATTGTTGAAGCAGAACTTGTACTCGCCCAGCTCGTTGGCAGTGAAGACGAAATCGCCCTGGCGTTCCTTCTCTCCATCCAGAATGATCTTGTCGGACGGGCCAGTCACTACGTAGTCGATATCGAAGGAGCCTCCCGATTGGACCTAGAGAGATATCAGTTAGCTTGTGGTAGGCAACGGTACTGATGTTTCTGGACGTACAGCAAAGTAGAAGGCAATCTTTGACCCTATCTTCTCAGGGGCGGCGTAGAAGCAGGCCTTCTCGTTGGCGGTGATCTTGTAGGTTAGTGCAGTCGCCGAGACCACAGAAATGATCCAGGCAAGAAGCCCAACCGAGAGTAGCGTCGCCTTCATGTTGTGTTGCGGGTTGTGGAAACTGAAGATCACCAGGCTTGTGGACAGCTGGTCGCGATGCTGAGTGCCGTATTTAGAACTGCCACGCCAGTCGTAAAAGCACGGGCGTGAAAGGTCCGATCTTTCAGGGGCGCCCCAGCCCGTCCGTCGGGCCTGCCCAGTGCCCGTGGCTGATCAACAGCGGCGGGGGTTATCGATTATCGATAAGGCTGGGCCGATTCCCCATGGCTAAGGTAGGTCGCGCACTGTGGATTGTCAGCGAACAAGTAGGTATGTCCTCATTATCCGGCATGTGTCGTCTTGTTGTCATAATGATCTATGCCACTGAATTATCGCCAACAGCATTATATACAGGAAGACTTTTTCAGTCTTAATGGATAACATATTGAAATACCTATCACAATGTCCTCAAGCGTGGCTAAAGATGTCGGGGTAAGAGAACGGCCGATACTAACTGACAGGAGGAAGCAGGCCAACATGCGCCTGCGAATCCGGCTATCCTCGTCACTCAATCACTGAATATACAGTACCTGCAGATTGTAGCGGTACCATGAGTAACTAAGTAGGTATTTTATATAGTCTATCTGAACGGCGTCGTCCCTTGGCTAGTATAATGAAGCATGCAGGCGAGTCAGGATGTATGATAGTACCACCTTATCTGCCACCTCATGTTGTTAGTGGTCGAAGTGGGCGCGGAATGCCAGAATATGTGGGGAGTAGCTCTAACCCCCATTTCGTCAGGATCGCGGTTGCGCGTGTCGAGTGTGTCGTCGCAGATAGGCGATTCACAGGGAATAGCCCCCCCGGCCCGTTTCGCGAAAGCTTAACCCATGTCCTTCATTGGCCTTCCTTCCTGTACCTTATCCTGTATTACAACAGGTGTCAGATACCAGCGCACCATTTGGGACATGCACTGACCATGTCACGTGGATGACAGCGCACTAGACTGCGACCAGCCACCAGGGCAAAAACTAGTACTGAAAACTCGTACACAGATGGACAGGGCCCATACAACATCATAATACACACATCAATTGACCCTCGTATTCAACAACAGGCGTCTCCAACTTCATGTTGGTCTTACCTGACTTCCACTACTGACCGTGCCTACTTCTCTTATCTTCTTCCTCTCCTTCACATGCAACTTTGAGGCTCCTATTCACTGACCCTCTCAGTGCTCGCGCGACGCACCCACCGACTCTGTCTGACCACAGGTTTCGGCTTGTCTCAGCCTCGACCTCGAAGCTGTAGGTTATCACGATGGCCGTGCGAAGCACAACCACAGCCGCGATGGCATCCGCAGGCATCAGAATCATTTCCTATCTCTTTCTCAGATGGGTAAGCTGTTCCTGTGAATGCGCTGTCATCCTGTCATCCCCTGATTGCTGACTATCTACTGTAGGCTGCTTTACCTGTAGGTGCCCGAAGCTGTCGCGACGGGAACACCTGTACACGAACACCGACTAACTAGCACAGCCTCTTCTCCCCGTGATATACGCACTCTTTGCTATCTACGTGCCCGCCTTCATCTCAAGCTACTTGAACGAATCGAAATACGCACTCCTTGACGAAGTCGACGTAACAGTTAAAGAGGACATCTTGAACGAGGACGAACTCGCCAATAGAGATACAGATGAAGCTGTCCTCGCCGAGGAGGTTGAGGTTGAAGAGACGGTGTCTGTGGTAGAGAAGCCTCTGCGTCCCTTGACCACGCTGCTTAAGGGAACTCCGAATCCGAGGAGCCTTCTTCTTTCCGCTCTGAATTTCCTCATAAACGCCGCGTGCGTCGCCATGATCACCGACTTCGTCTACGCGCCGCGATGGTACTATCCCAGTGATGACCTGTCCTTTTCTCGGGTTGGGTACGTCTCTGACGCCGAAGCAAAGTTGCTGATCCGGGAACCGGATCAGTCCAAGATGCCCATTACGGTTCAAATTCACATCAAAGATGCCCAGGCGCCCTTCGACAACCCACTGTGGCAGACAGCTGGTGGTGTCAGATGGACTACCGAGGATTATGATTATACTGCAGTCGTCACTATCCCATTGGGCCACTCCAGACAGCGAGTATACGAATGGACAACCTCCAACAACCACTCCGGCGAATTCGCAGCTGCGCCGAAGCCAGGTGCGATGCCCGAACTTACGGACGGCAAGTTCACCTTTGTTACCACATCGTGCCTCGTGCCGCGCCTGCCATACAATCCATTGGACCATCCCCTGTCTTTCCCTGGCATGAAGCACCTAGCAAAGGTTCTCCCAAGTCTTGGCGCGCAATTCATGTTGTTCCTTGGTGACTTCATCTATGTCGACGTTCCCATACAGTTCGGTCAGTCAACCGAGGACTACAGACAAAAGTATCGCCAAGTATACGCCTCGCCTGACTGGCCTGCCGTTGGTCAGAATCTCAGCTGGATTCATGTTCTTGATGACCATGAAATCCAAAACGATTGGGACAAGAACTCGACCGGAGTCTACAAAACAGCTGTGGGCCCCTGGCATCACTACCAGACCGCTGCCAACCCTCCGGAAGCTAAGAAAGCCGGAGTGGCAAGCCTTCTGCCTCGGACTGGGGTTACGTATTTCTCGTTTACTCAAGGTCCTGCAAGTTTCTTCATGCTCGACACCCGCTCATACCGCACGCAAAATTCGGAGCCGTTTGACAGCGCGAACAAGACAATGCTCGGAGAGGAGCAGCTCGAGGACTTTCTTGAGTGGCTGCGCCGCCCGGAGCCGTTGGGGGTGAAGTGGAAGATAGTCGCAAGCTCCGTCCCATTCACGAAGAACTGGAGGGTGAATACGCGAGATACGTGGGGCGGCTTTCTTGTCGAGCGTCGAAAGATCCTCGAGGCCATGTGGGATGTTGGCTATTCCGGCGTCGGTGTTGTGGTTCTGTCGGGTGACCGCCATGAATTCGGCGCCACAGCTTTCCCGCCACCAAAAGACAGCGATTGGCCAGAGAGTGTTACGGTTCATGAGTTCTCAGCCAGCCCACTGAACCAGTTTTACTCGCCGATACCCACGTACAAGCAGACAGATGACGAAGATGTTCAGCTAAAGTAAGTTTGCAGCGCCAAATCCCCAGTCCTCCACATATTGACAAGGTCAGGTACATACATACTGGCAACTCCAAGTTTGGAGCTATCACTATCGAGAAGCTGGCAGATGGCGAGCAGAGCACTCTCAGATATACCGTGTTTGTTGACGGAGTAGAGACTTGGAACACGGTGGTACTGTCACCACCCGCCATACATCCTGCCAGGGTTGGAGGCTCGCTCTGGAATAGGCGTCGCGGGTTTTGAGTCTTCTAATCCTTGGCTACTATGCCGGATGCACGTCATCCATTGTTGAATGATTGATTGGGAGTTATAGGCTTGGCTGCTGCAGAGGGAGTTGGATTTCACTAGGTTTAATACAAGAAAATAAGTCCAGGCAATGACCGTCTCCCAACCCCCGGTGTGCGTTGCATCCTGATCCAGCTTGCCCCATCACATCCGCGCTGCTTCCCTTTCCTAGGCAGCAGCAACGCTCCGAAGAAAGAGGCGACTAGCTGCTGCCCTTCGGCGCCGCCTGTATGCACACCACCATTGCCCAATCGCCGGCGACCGACTGGCATCCATTGTCGGGCCACAGGCCCACCTCGATCCCTTGGCAGACGTCGCTGCCGTCCTTGTGGCCCGTGTAGGCCAGCCACATGTCGCCGTCCGAGGGGCGCGCCAGCTTGACGGCCTGCACGCCGCCCTCGATGTCGATGACCAGGTTGCCGCTCGGCGACGTCAGGGCGTCGCCGGCCTGGCTGTCGTCGCTGCAGTTTTCGTTGTAGTACTGCGTTGCGGACCAGTCGGCGGCGGCGGCGAGGGCTGTGGGGACTAGGACGGCGGTTAGGGCTAGGAGGAGGGTGGGTGGGAACTGCATTTTGATGGTGTGTTGGTGGTGATGGTTGAAGGGGTGGTCGGGTTATTAAGTATGGTTAATGATATTGTCGTGGCGGTGATGTGGTTGTTGCTTCGTTTGCCCGTGGATCTGCGTGTTGTCTGTAGATGGCGAGGGGGAAGCCTATACACACTCGTGCTTTGGCTGCCTCATACCTACTTATATAACTTCATTTGGATTCAGACATTGTACGAGGACCCTTGTCGTTTGTGAACTGCTACTAGTAGGTAGGTAGATCGAGAAGACAATTCCTCCGAAGATCCCACGACGGCCTCAGGAGGTTGCTGCCTACCGTAGTCTCCTAGCTTGCACGGATTATGTGACCATCAACACCATTCGACCAATGAGCGCCGGGTGCCTGGCGGATGGCATCGGATGTCGAGCTGGTCCAACCACGCCAGCTAGGCAGCGAGCTTGGGTCTTCTATAAATAATATAAGGTGTGAAGTTGGAGACCTGCGATGGATCTTGGAGGCTCCCGCGGACTTGGCTCCCTGCATAATGATGTCACGCCTGGAGTTTGCGGCTGAGTCCCCACACTCCTGGCATCGGGCCCGCTTCTTGGATGGAGCACGTCTATTCAACCTCCATGGACGGTCAATACCATATCTGATCATGTCTCTGGGGCAACTGGGCCTTGAGAAGCTGGGAGGTGGGTGACCCTCCCGTCAACTATTTCGAGACTATCAAGACGATGAATCAGGCAAGGCTTGGACATCCAACGAACTACGGTACTCCGAAGAACTAACCTCCTTTCCGACATGGAAGAATATTTTCAAGAAATCACTCGGCAGACATAATGTTCGAACTGGGAATAGGACGCCCCTGTTCTTCGCGCGCGAAGCAGCATAACCTCAAGTCGAAGAGGTGTGCAAGCCACATGTCGAGGCCACACTACTTCACGTACCCGTAGACCTGCGGTCCATACTTCCTCGATATCCAAGCTTCTCAGCAACTCGATAGCGACTGCATAGCGGATCATTCATTTTATCTACCCGCAGCAATCGGTACTAGTGTTTTAGTAAAGACAAGGTTGATCTGATATCCCCTATGGAGGCAGTGGAATATTGGATAGCTAGCCTCCCACAGCTGTTTGGGACTGTCTGTTGCGTTGAGAGTGACCTTACGCCGTCTTGCAGACGAGCACCAGATAGATACCGATGGTTGTAAACCAACACATCCGCCTGTGAGTTCAAGCCGGGAGTTCGACGCCGGTTCTCCAACACAAACATGTCCCAGTCTGCTATGAACACCGTCTTACCCCGGTGACGAAGACAGTCCAGGGATCACTGATGGCATTTCGGAAGTCAGCCGTCTCCAGAGAACAGGGCCATGCCAGTTCCCATGACCAATACTAATCGTAAATAGATGGCGAACAGAAGACGAACGACCGTATTTCATCAGCAGGGGTTGCTACATTATCAGCGAAGCCTGAGTGCCCGCCACAAGAGAGTCAGTATGTAAAGGTTGAATTCCCCAGTCAGTCGATCAGGTGTTGTGAGGGTGTTGATGGCTACTACCTAGGGCTGGGGAAGGTGTCTATGTTCTCGCTCCAATTGAACGCGTTCTTGAGCTTCACGGGGTAGTGTAAAAGTCACCAGAAGGTGCAGAGGGCAGGTTACAGTTCGGATCTCTACACCCTGATATACAGCACTCAAGATTGAACGATTACCTGGGAAGGTACCACCTCCCCGAGCCAGCTACAGTCACCCCAATAAGTCTCCGTCCGGCATGCCACATTTAGTTTTTGGATATCCAAAGAATATTAATAATGGTGGAATAAGCACATTGGAATAGGCAACTCACATCTCTAAAATCGTGGTTACTGCTTATTCCATCGTGCTTATTCCAATTTTCATAAAAGCACCTTTCGCTTGGTGCATGAGGGGTGTACGGAGACTTATGAGGGTTCAGTGTACTGCGTTGTGTGCCCAATATCTTTTTGCATGCAGCCGCGACAATCAGGCACGTGCGACTGTGTGAGCACATATATTGCCGCGGAAACTGGGTGGGTTGCTGCCTTCCAGTTCTGTCAAGTCTACCTACGATGTTGCCAGAGGCTTCTTCCTCAAACCAAGCAAGGTAGCGTGTATCAGATGACCTGCCAATAACTTCCAATTGAACTGAGGGAGACAGTCCTTCAGCGAAACCCACAATTTGGGCAAGCGACTATCCCTGGGGCAACTTCTGTAGAATCATCACCCAGCTTCTGAGGCCTGGAAACTCACGCTGCGTCTCGCCATGGCGCAAGGTCAATCTCGCCTCGCCCAATAACAGTGTTCACCTTCCCAACAGCACTGAACGCACGACTTGCACTCATGCGGGCCAATTTCTACTGCATCGACATCGTGACCGGCGAACCGGTCTGGCTCGAGCGTACCAAAGGGCCTCAACGTCCAGCCTTCAAGCGACGGATGGGCACCTCGGATGAGAGATACTTTGTCGAGCTTCAGCCTGAGAAGCCGAGCACCATGAGCTACCCATTTGTCCTTGCATCAGGCTGGAAGCAGAGGGGAGAAGCAGGCCCACAAGGCCGCGAACCGGTGTTGACGAGTGTGTACCGCGGAAGAGAATATCGCAACTTTCTCGAGCCTGGTCATACATATCGGTTCGGCCTGACTGACGACGAATGCATCGCATGGTGGCGCTACGGGACCAAAGCCGAGGTGTTAGAGCCGGGGGATGGGCCGTTGGTGGCGGCTGGCATTGGCTGGAGTGAACCGAGAATCGTGCTGGGCTACACTGACACAGCGCAGATCAGTATCGAGGAGTGAGTGATACTGCTGAGCTTGTTGGTTTCTTCTGCGGACCTCGTCACGGCCCGGCAAGAGCCTCAGGACTTGCTAGCTCGGACTCGGGCGCAATAGGGGAACCAGACTTGTCGTAGAGATGAGTCCCAGTGTGTAGGGTACGATGTACGCTGCAATTTGAGTTTGTCAATGCTGTTCGAGGCAACAATTCGCCGTATCATTCTCAGCGAGGACACCCGAGCGCTCAGATGTCATGCGGGAGAGTGATGCAAGCAAACAGACTCTGGAGAGAGTATCAGAGCGAGCCGTTGTAGCACATATACTATTCTCATACGCTTACCTTTGGAGGAGCCACCACAATGCTTTGCCATTTCGCTACCAATATCGAGTTCTTTTCTTGAAGGGAAACAGACAGTAGTATAACCACCCTGTAATAGGTAGTTATATTGCCATAACCCATGCTGATCGCTTATTCGAGAGTCCCTATTCCACAAATGCAAATTACCCCTGAATATGCAAGACCTTGAACGAGGTGTACAGAGACATCCAAGTGTTCAGTATGCCCCTATGCATCCTCCATTTGCATATGAAGATAATATCTCAGGGTCCTTTAACAACACTGGACTAGGCACCTTCAAACGAGTAATGTATCTCAATAGGTCAGTTTTAATGGTTATGCCATGAGTGCTTATTGAATTATACGCAGGTTTAAATGTTTACTCCCTTGCTCGGTGCCGTATGGAGACTTTCCAGAGTTGAGTGTTGTTGGATTCTGGGCTATTCTAGCCCATCCATGGTCATCCTGTGGGAACACCACCCCCATTTATGGCTCCGTTGTATACGTAACCATCTACGTAGCCAACATATGGCCACGTATCCATTCCTTCTGTATCTTAGATATATAGGGCCATTTTGGCCGTCCCAGAGTAGCTGGAATTCCTCTCCTTAGATAGAACACTTTGAAATCTCACAAGTGTACCCCTATTCGAGACGTGCATTTCCACGGGGGTTCACCAGTACAGGTAAGCTTTGACGGCTGTGAAACATTTTCACCATTGAGATCGTATCCAAATATGTCGTCGCGGCCGACGATGATCCACAGATCCCAGACCCCATCTTCCCATTCACGCTTATGGGCGTAGTTGTCCGTCGCGGCCCCTCTCTTACGGCGCAAGTGCTTCCCACGCAGCCCAATGATGTATCGCCAGACCACCAAATGCCGAATATCGAGCAAGCCCGCTCTCAATCGTGTTGGTGTCCTCGAGCACAGCCGTCCTCGAGTCTTTGCCCGGCGTATCGCCATAAGATACGCCTTGGCCGATACCCTTTGCTGTTTCAACGGCCCCCAGAACTCGAGTCATCTTGACGCTGCCGTTCCGCGCTTGATCAGATGCGTACTTCGCCTGCTCCGACACGAAGTTTGCCGCTGTAGTCGGTATAGTGTTGTAGCTCATGACCACGTACTCGTCCAGTAAGGGCATGATAAGCTCCATGACAGACGTCCGCTGGGTGCCGTTAGGCGAAGGGACACTGACAGTGAGCGTCTCGCCTTCATAGTCGTGTAGCCAAAATGGTAACGCCGCGCCGACTTCCAGGCCGTAGCTCCGTGTGAGATTGCTTGTTTGGGTGAGGATGGCGAGCCAATTGCGCAGATGGTCGTCCCGCGAAGTACGCTGTGGAGCCGCAAGCTTCGACTCTGCCATGCCGTTCATGAAATACCCATGGTGGTCTGACGTGTCCTGGGGCTCGATGTCGGCTTGAAAGCCGTGGAAGCGGGCAGCTGGGGGGACGCGTTCGTTGAAGCCCCCCAGGTCTCGGAGGCTTTGGAGGAAAGTCGCTTGTGCGGTGGTGTTATCGATGTAAGCAACGTCGCCGTCGAGAGCCCAGACGCGAATGTCGGCTCCGTGAAGCCTTGTGTTGAGGTCTGCAATGCTAGCACCTTTCTCCTCCCACCAGCCGGGTGCGACGTAGAGGTATATGTCCGTGAGGTTGACGGGCGGTCCAGCGGCTGAAACGAGACGGTCGACTTGTGGTGTGTCGGTGAGTAGTTGGGCGGTGTTCCACACCCACATGGCATGCCGCAATTGCATCTTGCCCGACGCTGATGGAGAGGCCTTCTGTGAAAAGATGACGGCCTGCTCAGGTGGCAGGGTTCTGCCGGATCGCCATGAGAATGACATTGTGCCCGGGTGTCTGGCTTTTGTAATGTCCACGAAACAGGTCGACTGGTATCGTTTGGTGACACATAGAAGAAGCCACAGCTATGTACAGGTGCCCAGGAACGTAATGATTGCCAGTTTCATATGATGGGATGATGGCACAGCGTCAATATATTGTTTGCCGCTTCCTTTTGATGCAAACACGAGGCACGACGTCCTTTCATTTCAGTGCCGCTTCCTGATGATGGGGTTGGTAGCAAGCAAACAGAGCCGATGAAGTGTCCTTTAAAATAGCATGAAGATAGCAAGATATATCGTCATCAAGACGGAAGTGCCCGGCGGTCAGCTGGATATAAACCTATTTAGCCAGAACTATAACGGTGTATAGATGACTTTGCAAAACTTTCTAGAACTTTACGCCCTGTCATGTGGAACCGCTAATTCCGCTAGGTCTTGTTGCTCTACATATGTACAGTCGCAATGAAGGCTGTCGAGGTGCGCGAGACGCCTCGTCATTCGGAAGCACCGTACACCATCCAGTCCTCAGGGAGCGCGAGCGCGCCACCCAAGGGGACGGTGATGACCCAGAAGGAATGGGCAGTGATCCAGAAGGATGACCGTACGTGGGACCGACCCACGGAAGACGAAGCAAAGCGTGAGGCGGCGAAGAGGAACGGCATGAATGGTGCGACGGAGATGGCACCGTAGGTGAGCGGGATGGATGTGGTATCACGAAAGCAATCGAAGCATCCTACCCTTCCCCCAGCTTCTGCCAGTCACGCATGCAACACCTGTTCACTTCGCCTAGCAAGACACCGGTAGCGACCGTCCAGCTCGATCGTCACCAGTCGCTACATGAATTCTGAACTTCTGTCTTTCGCGGCCATCGACCGATGACCCGGAGGAACAGAGTTCGAGTCCAGTCGCTCTGCACGGTTTCTTCCGATGACGAAGACGAGGCTGACGAATGTCGGGGGCTCTTGGGCTTATGAGACCCTTGGTATTCCGATGCTTACGGCTCAAAGTAATGACAAAAGCATACTCTGGAGGCTTCCTGATCCATGGTATTGAGAACTGAGACATCGTAGCGCAGAGTATGAAGTCAAATCATCCACAACGTTGGATCGTCTGATGCATGGTGTCTTACTAGTTGCCCAAGACCGCCAGACATGAACCTGGCAATACTTAGACAGGCAATATTTAGACAGGCAATATTTAGACAGGCAAGGGCCAAGAGCGAACTACTCCCGAAAAGCCCCTCTCCAAGACCTCTCTATCGACATAGAGGCACGCTTCCGAGGCAGCTTAATGGCAATCATCGCCCCCTGAGTCTAAGTCTAGTGGATTCAAGGGGCAAGACAACCCTATCCTTTCGAATAAGGAGCAGCTTGATCTCCAAGTGAGCAGGTACAAAAGCCTCATATAAAGACGTGAATAGAGCGGACACCGTAGGTTGAGAATGTGCATGTAGTTAGGCCCAACTTTGCGATGTCACTGATAAACGCGTCTACGACAAGTCGAGCACATGGTCACGTAGAGGACTCTAAAAGCTACCACCAGATTCGTTTGTGACTCTCCTGTACGCCGTTCCTTGGCTATCTAGGCTATCCGGATTTGATCGAAAAGTGACGAATACAACAACGTCTTATTGAAGGAGCGTCCTCCCCGTTGTTTACAATCCCGGCATCGATGCGCTGTTTATGACACTCAGAGACGTCGATGGCTAGGAGTCAATGCAACCAAGTATCACAGCGCGGACAAGATGAAAGAAGCACCGGAGCGTTGAAAAGACATCCAAAAGACGGGTAGTTGCCATCCCAACAATCCATAGCGACTTGCGCAATTGTACATGCATTGTCCTCGAAACTCTAGTCAGAGGGAAGCCGTTGTAGCGGAAGCTTGAAAAGCCCACCGTGAATCCAGACACCTCATAATCTTGTAAACCAACAATACAAGATGTTCCCATGACAGAGCTGTACTCTATGGCAGCAGCCAAACTCAAGAGTGACGCCAAGTGGTCGAAGTACTCTTGAAGAAACGACCCAATAACGCCGGTTCCGTCTAGCGATAAGGATACAACCGGCTTCAATCGATGATCTTCAGCTCGACCTCTTCCTCGTCTTCCTCACACAGGTCCAAAGGCAGGCCGCCCGGGACAAGCTCGCCATCATCGTCGTCATCATCCTCGGGACTGAAGATGGACAGGAAGGGGACGCGTTCCCTCCACTGTTGGTCCTCGGCCGCAGCGGATGCCTGCTTGTGAGCATATCTAGCTGGTGTGATGGTCTTGTCCGAATCGTCCGATAACGTTGTGCCAGAGCGGGGAACCGTACCCTTGGGTGCCAGCTTGCTGGGCTTCGTGGTTCCCTGTGCAAGTATCGAAGCAGTCGTTCGGCCTTTGTTGTACCCGATGGTGGTTCTCGACTTTGCCTCGATACCCTTGATCTCCATGGAAGACTTTCGAGCTACGGTCGGTCGCTGCACATTTGGCTGTCGTGCTTTCAAGGTCGGAATAGCGAATGAAGAAGTTGTCTTCTTCGTAGGAAGTTTTCTAGCTTCCGAAGCTTTGGCTGCTCTTCGCTGCAAAGACCTGGTCGTGTCGTCCATAGATAGGGCATCGGCAGCATTTTTGGATCTGATCGTAGATAACGGTCTGCGAGCAGTAGATTGCTTTCCGATTGTAGCCCCAGCGGGGCCCTTCACCGGGATCGCGGCTTTCTTCGCATTCATGGTAGCCAAGTCAAACTCGCCCTCGACGGACCACTCAAGGCTATCCATGTTCTCCTGAATCCGTCTCTCGCCTTCCTGTAAAGCTTTTTTGGTCTTCGCTTCCAATTCTTTGTCTGCCAAAGAGACACCATGCTCATCGACAGGGTTGAAGTAGTGGGCATAGTAGCCCTTGAACATGTTCTCGGGCTTAAGAGCATCAAAGGTTAGGACTCCGTCAGGGAAGACATCAGATTCGTACGGCAGATCCTTGGGGCTCGGAGGACAGTATTCGACTTCCTCCTCTTCAGTCAAAGGGCCTGTCTCTTCGGCATGGACTTGCAACTTGTGTGATTCGGTTTGCGGCTGCTTCTGCTTTGGTCTGACGGTGTTTGGGGCTTTGGTCTGAGTCTTCTCGATCTCCCGAACGGTGCTCTTGGCATTGCCCGTCTGCAGGGCTTTGCCTTTCGCGTTGGTCGTCTTGTCTCCGAGGACGGCTCTTGCGCGCCCCTCTGCGTCGTACGTTAGCATGATCCAGCACTGGTGACTTGACAGGATCCACGTACGCATGGGAGTGACGAAGTTCGACTTGTCTCCGCCCTTGCCCCCCTTGGAAGTCATGGCATTCTCGTTGCCCTGTGTCCGGCCACCAAGGATGCTCTTAGCACCTCCGACAGCATGCGTGGCATTCTCATCGTTCAGAGGGACTTTCAGTGGTGTCTTCGGGTACCTCGCTCCGGGGGGTTTGGCTGCCTGTTGGCGGTTTAGCACCCGATTCTCCTGATCACGAGCTGCCAACATGTTGGGCAGTCAAGTATGCGAGAGTATGCGGATGTTCGGGGTGGATATCCAGGCTTTCCGTAAGTGAAGCTGTGTCGCGATCGATAGGTCTAGAGAGTGATTGAGGATACCACCTCCCCCTCAGACTACGGTGGTAATGAAGCCCAGCAATGGTATGGATCCGTATCGGCGGAGAAATCGAGCGATGTTGAGTGCGGTATCGGATCGTAGGAGGCCTTGTCGTTTATTAGGTATTCGTTGACGATGGATTGACATTCACGAAGTGACTGTATGATCAGATTGCAGTTGGTTTGAAGTCAATTGTTTGGTTCGGATGGCCCCGCTTCTGGCAGTTGTCCAAGCAACTTCACTGGGATAGCCAATGACACGTGGGTAGCCCCTGACTACCCTGCATTACCGGGCTACAGTGTGCAGCCGATAAGAAAACACAGTGAGTATCACACCGCCAAGACGGGCCAATCAGACAGTGCCAGTACAGTGCAACAGTGGTCCCCTATCGCCGGCTGCCTATCGGGTAGGGGTGACAGGGGACACAGGGGAGTCAAGGGCAACGGAGGCGGGGCAGTTCCAGGTCTCATTCACCACATGAAATTCCACCCCATTCATCCAGTCAATCAATCACTTCAACAAGTTGTCCCTTCCTTTATTCCTGTCGACCCATCCTCTGTCTGCATTCGTTGCTCTTTAAGCCCACACGCATCATCACCTGCATCACCCAAAGGCCTGCTCGAGTTTCCTGTCCTCTCCCTCCAGTTCCTCTTCCAAACCAACAACCAACACAACCCGCCCGCTATGGACCGCATCAAGGAGGTGAGCTGGCCAACACACCGAATCCCTTTCTTACCCCACCATCAGCAGCAGCAACGCGCCTGCCTGGCATCACTCGACAAAGCACGCATCGAGTCGTCTCTCGAGTCCAACGTTGCCAGCGCATTCCGTTCTAGCACCCTAACACCAGACATAGAAGAATGTGACGCATTGACTGACCCTTTGTACCTCCCCGCAGAAAATGAACCAGCTCCGTCTGGAGGCTGACGAATCCACTGCCAAAGTCGACGAGCTACAGACCAAGGTTAAGGCCCTAGAGCAGGAGAACCTGGCCAAGGAGCAAGAGATCACCTCCCTCACCCACAAGAACGGCCTCCTAGAATCCGAGAACGAGAAGATGGACACCTCCATCAAGGACTTGAAGAAGTCGGCCGATGAGGGCCTGCAACATGGTACGCACAACGAGACCCTGCAACGCAGACTGCAACTCCTCGAGGAAGAGGCAGAGGAGGCAGATAAGACCCTGCGTGAGACAAATGAGAAGTAAGCACGCCCCGCCGTTCTATATCCGCCCCTATCTGCTGGAGGCCCGAGACGCTGACCGACTCCAACTGCAGGCTCCGACAAACTGACGTGAAAGCCGGTCACTTCGAGCGCAAGGTACAGGCCCTCGAGAACGAGCGCGACCAGTGGGAGTCCAAGTACGAGGAGATGTCCAAGAAGTACCAGGGCCTCCAGAAGGAATTGGAGGACCTCCAGGCCGAGATCGGCAACATCTAAATCTGCGGAGCGAAGGCACGTACGGAAAGACGGAGCGAGTTCGATCGAGATGGGCTTTGTGTCTTGGAGGACGGGTGTTTCTTCTACAGCACTATTATGTCGCCCTACGGAGAGTGTGCAGCTGGCCGACTGGCTCTATTTGTTGAGGTGGACACAGAAGTGCTGAGGTTATAATGGACGGGCTATCTGGAACCCAGTCACAGTATAAAACGTGTTTAGATGTGGGATTTGCGACATCACACGCAGCCTGCAAGTCGGGTAGAGAATGCATTGGTCAATCCCTTGGTGGTCTCTTGCTATTACTCTTGGCCTTCTGCTTCCTCCGGGTTTGCTGCCTTTCCATCTTGGTCTCGTATCTGAACTTTGGTTTCTTCTTCTTGGGCGGGTGGCTCTTGCCGCTGCTCCCTGATGCCTGGCCGGCTTCACGATCTGCTTTCTGTCCCTCTTCATCCTCGGTTTCTGACTCTTCCTCTTCGGGCTTCGAGCTCGTCAGCCCATCTCGAGACACCGTGACAGACTCTACTGTGACAGTCGTGTACCGCTCCTCGTCGATGTATTCCTCCTCATGATCTACCGGCTCCGGCTCTGGCGCATCCTCGAGGCCGTCCCACTCGTCCGCCTCGTCATCCGAGGTGCCCTCCTCGCCGCCCACGTGCCCAGCCTGCTGCGCCTCCTTCAGCATGGCGTTGACCTGCTGCACATGCTCCACGACCTCGCGTTTCCTGTCCTCGCGGATCTGTATTCGCCCGTGTTAGCAAGACCAGTCGTCCGGCTTTAGTGAGCAAAACCACCAGGGCCTCGTGGGAGCCTGCGTCGCGGAGAGCCGTACCTGCTTCCTGAGATCGAGCTTCTCCTGCCGTGCCCGCTTCGCCGCCTGCGCCTGCGCGTCCTTGGTCCGCTGCAGCTTGCGCTTGTGGAAACCCGTCAGGTACTCGGTGCGTGCCTCGTCGTCGAACTTGACCTCCTCGATGGCATGCTGGACCTTGCGCTTTCGGGGCGGCGGGAGGAGGCTCTTCTTCGGTCTCGGTTTTGCGAACATTGTGGCTGCAATATGTACCCAGTGACAAGTATGCAATTTGAACGTCGGATCGTGGGTTGAAGTTGTGGTGTGGTATTGTATGGAGAGCCGTCGTCGCTGATAATGAATTTCGGGAATTCTGTTTGAAGATTTCGAAATGTACGATAGGCTTGTAGCGCTGCAACCCCGCTAAAAGCATTCAGTCCCAGGGACGCTGCAGCGCCCGGGGTGGATCACGCAAGGTCGGAACGTCAGGCGGCACTTGCCGACTGCGACTTGGTGATGAGAGAGACACATCTAATGCTGCTGCTAGCTTGAGCTCTTCAATCGACGACTTGCTTCACAGTCCCAAACAATACGCCTCCAATCCGTTCATAAGAGACACAAGCGATCACCATGCGTCTCTTCGTGACTGCGACCGTCGCCGCCCTCTGCGCCTCTGCGCAGGCCTTCTCCGACTCGTCTCCTTTCATTCTGTTCTCCACAGCCAAGTACGCAACCTGCCTCGCAACTAGAGCCAGCCAGCCAGCTCTGACAGCGCATCCAACTAACTCCCGCTTCCCAGACTCTCGAAGCCAGCATCCCAAGACCAACAGCTCCAGTCGAGCTCGCAGGTCCTCGAATCGACGAAGCAGCTCCTCTCGTCCTGCCCGACCGACCGCTACCTGCTCGTCTCGCAGCCGAACCTTAATGCCGCCACGCATCTCAGCTCCAAGGCCTCGGTGCCCAGGCTGACCGGGGCGTTGGACCGCGCCGAGAGCAGCTACAGCATCGCCGAGGTGGCGGGCGAGCTGGACCTGAAGCAGATCGCGGCGTATATCCGGGAGACGTGCGACGTGAAGAGCTCAGCCATCGACGAGATTTACCTGTCGACGCTCCCCACCAGCGATGGAGTTTCGATCCTGAGGGAAAATGGTAGGCTGCTCCCTTAAGCATAAGATCCTTAGATATCGGGTCGTGGTCAGTTGAGTCTTACTAACATGATCGAAAATTGCAGACGAACATCTCGGTATGGTTCTAGAGCAGTACCAGGCGACAGAGGGCTCCTACACGGTCATCTACGCCGGAGGCCCGCGGACGGAGAAGCCCGAGAGCTACGTGGCCGAATTCCAAAACGGCGTCCAGCTCAAGAGGCATCTGCAGGGCGTCGTGAGGAGGGACGAGCAGCCCGCCCCAGGCCGCGATCTCCGGCCTCTGTTCGAGAAGTATCAGTACTTCACCCCAGGTGAGTCTTGTCATGTGGCTCCTAGTCTTTGTGAGGGTACGTTCCTGATTGCTCTATAGGTATCTTCATGGGCTTGATCACTCTGATCATCCTGATGACCATTCTCTACGCTGGTATCTCTGCGGTCGCCAGTCTTGAGATCCCTTACGGTGCTTTCGACAAGGAGATGGGGCCTGCTGCCCAGAAGAAGCAGCAATAAAAGACCCGCTCAGTGTGGAAAACATATGTGTAGGCGTGTCGAGTTTAGGCCAGTGTACGATCGGTTTTATCGGAGTCAGGGACTACGGGTAGCATAGAAGCTGGAGAGATGGGCTTCGGCAACGGCAGCGTTCATCAACGGGGTGAAGACTGTACACATATGCAGCTAGAATCATATGACCTTTCCTTGCTCCTTGGACTTTGCTCTTATACGATGCTTAGACGTAGTATCATGTATGAAACCAGACTGCGCACACAACGCAACTCCTCAACGCCTGCCCATATGTCACCCTCCACCGGCGTGCACTCAACTCAACCACGTTGGGCGAGATGAGCCCTGAGCACGCAACCACAGCCCTCATCTTATCACTTCCCGCGGGAAACCGCGCAGAGAAGACAGACACCCTGACGAGGGGTCCCCTTCCCCTCCGTCCGCTCACCCCTTCACGGCCGCAACCGCAACCTCAATCCCAATCCCAAGTCACGCCACGCCTCTTTTCCTTCTCCCCATGGACTGACTAAACAGCAAGCCCAGGGCATCATCAGACCAGGTGGCTCGGCAGCAGAAAATTCGCAATCCCCTCGCGCACAGCGTACTCGTGCCCGCAGTTGCCGCACACCAGCTTGCCCTCCATGATCTGCGTCTCCATCAGGAGGTTGTGCAGGTCCCGCAGCGTCTTGTCGTCGGCCTGCAGGTCCTCGGCCGAGGGGGGCTGCGGTGGGAGGGCTGGGAAGCCGAGCTGTTCATTTTGTCTCCTCGTTAGCTAGCTATTCGTTCAAACCATTTTCCCGTCAATACAGTGAAGACTCTTGATAGTCTCTCTATGTGATACGGTGTGTACTTGTACGTATGTATGTGTGTGATGTCTGTGAAATGTGAAACGATGAATTTTCGTACCTCCGTCGCCGTGGTGGAGAGCGCAGTCCAGTCTAAGCGGGGCAGCAGGTTGACCAGCAGCTGGGCGTTGACCTCGATCTCGTCCTGCACCAGCTCTGCGTCCTTGGGGTGCAGCGGGTACGAGTCCGACGAGCTCTTGCAGGCCTTGACCGCGCAGGTCAGGAAGTTAAGGCTTAGGATCTTCATCTTTTGCTGCGGGTTTGGTGGCGTTGATTGAGTTGTTGAGACAGTTGTGGCTATCAAGAGATTTTATGTCCGAACTTTTTTTTTGGTCTCGGCGAGAAGCTTCGTCGAAGTTCAAGACCACCCACAACGATTGTCACACGTGATAAGTGACAGCGAACACAACAAGACACTCTTCAATACGGCCCGCATATTCAACATGTATTCTACTTTTGGGACACTCCTGGATCTGATTTTATCTAAGCCATCGACTTCTCATAGCCCAGGTCATCTCGGTCGTTCTTAAGCCGGTCCTCACGGTCGTGCTTACGGCTTGACAGGCGGACGTAGAAGGCAACCGCGGCAAGAATGACAGCGAAGAGGAGAGCCTTCTGGACGACAGACCAGCCGGCAGACGGGGCCGCCGTCTCACTAAAGGGATTCTCCTCCTCATTCGAGTATCCTGCAGCCCATCCGGCAATTCCGTAGATAGCTGGATCTGGAAACGGGTGGTAGACGAATCAGCATATAAGACAAGGGAGACGGGGCAAATAGTGACGATATGTTTTTCTGCTAGCCAAGGGAGACGGTACGGGAAAGTAATGCTTTTATAGCTCCATGTGGATACCTTCAGGTGGTACCTCCAGCTCGCCGCTCTTCGCAATCTTGACCGTATCGACAGGCTTGTCGCCGGGCTTGGTCGGGGCAAACTCAATTTTCTTCACGATATCCATGCCCTCCAGAACCTCGCCGAAGACAACGTGTCGGCCATCGAGCCACCTGCGAAAGACAATGTTAGTCCCCCTTCATCCCAAAGCGTTGTTAGACCGAGCGTAGAGTCTTACGAGGTGATGACGGTGGTGATGAAAAACTGGGAGCCGTTGGTGTCCTTGCCGGCGTTCGCCATGGACAGTTGACCCTCCTTGGCGTGCGTGAGCTTGAAGTTCTCGTCGGGGAACTTGTCGCCGTAGACTGTAAGGTAGGAAATGGTCAGCACTCGGCTCCGAGCTTGCGTATGTATCCAATTGGCGGGAGTAGCCACTCACTGGACTTTCCGCCGGTGCCGTCACCCTTGGTGAAGTCACCACCCTGGATCATGAAGTTCTTGATGACACGGTGGAAGGAAGAGCCCTCGTAGCCGAAGCCCTTCTCGCCAGTGGCAAGGGCACGGAAGTTTTCGGCGGTCTTGGGCACGGTCTTGCCGTAGAGACCCATGACGACGCGGCCCAGGGGCTCATCGCCGTGGGTGATGTCGAAGTAGACCTTGTGGGTGATCTTGGGACCCTTGACGGCGGCGGCAGTCTGCGAGAAGCAGATGGCGCTCAGGCCGGCGAGCAGCAGGGCGCTGACGACGACGCGGCGGAGGTTAAACATGATGATAGATGGTGGCAGATGGTAGATATTAACGGAGGTAGTTGGTGTACAGCTGAATTGGTCCGACTGTCCAACGCTGGTGAGCTGGAGGAGAGAGGGAGAGTTTGGAAAGGACACCGAAGCTCAATTGATATGTAAAGTTCCACGCGGCGTTTCAACTGTGCCCTCCATTGCCATTGGAACTATCCAGCCTATCGAGCTGCTGCGAGACCCCTGAACAGCGCTATTGTCGCAGCCGCCACGGTGGAATGCGGGGTCCCACCCCACTGCGACATCAGGCCAGTCCTATTATCCGGGCCTGGCCCGTGCATCTCGAAGCGTGAGGTCGGGTCCGATGCGATTGACAGTTGACAATTCAAATCTTCCACTGTTCGTCACTGTATTCAGGTCCAGCACCGCGATTGTTCTCCGGCATTCTCGTGCTGAATCCGCCACGATGGTAAACAATGCTTTCCATTGCCTCTGTTAACCGTTCGGTTCAATGCTGACAGTCCCAGGTCAACGTATTTGGAGTAAACTTCCACGAGAGGAAGTTCGTCAAGGTAACTAAACGACCCGACTACCTATAATCAGCCCTACCCTCCCGGCCTCGGAACACCACACGCGACAGGATATCTAACCACGCGCCTCACAGAAAGCACTCGAAAGCTTCTACGGCCTCGGCCCGCAGACCTCGGCGCGCATCATGGCCAAGTACACCATACACCCCCTGGCGCGGATCGGCGCGATACCACACAAGACGGCCACGGCGCTGACGGCCGAGCTGTCGACCATGACGATAGAGATGGACGCGCGGCGCATCGTCCAGGACAACATCAAGCGGCTGCGAGACATGGGCACGTATAGGGGCCGGCGGCACGCCATGGGGCTGCCGGTGCGCGGCCAGAAGACGAGGACCCAGACCGAGACCGCGAAGAAGCTGAACACGCTCGAGAGAGGAGGCACCAGTTCGAGGATCTGAGCGGGCATCGCGTTATGACGACATATTCGATCGGGTCAACGGTGCGGGTTGTGCGGTTGCTACGAGCGTGGTGTAGAGATCCGACGGCAGTCTCCGGGACTCAGACGAGGTTACACCATGACACTAGGGGGCAGGATCTCACGGCGCTGTATAAAAGTCTAGGGAATCGGTCCCTTGTACAATATGAACGAGATGTATACCGGGAATATCAAAGAGCATGAAACACACCGCAGAATACAACTGGTGCATGCGCACCCTTAATGCTTCCTACTAAACATGGGAATAGCTAGAGTCGAAATTGGGTCTCACCAAGAGGAGTTGACTAATGGTCGCGTCTAGATATCCATCAATGACAGTGGAAAAATCCAACTGGAATCATTAAGTTATACTAGCTTGCTCTCGTTGGGGGAGCTGAGGATTGCACTTCTCCTGTCAGAGAATTATTTCCTAGCAAAGACATGCACCATTGAACTGCAGTTACGTATTTGTCCGTCATACGGAAGACTGTAAGTACAGTCCCCAATAACCCGCAAGGGTAACACAACTAAAACAAATAACTAAGGTAGGGTCGGTACGGAAAAAAATGTCGGACATTCAAGTCGGTTCTCTGACTGCGCTAGCTTCGCAATATGGCAACATGATCGACGAGGTCTTGAGTACGGGATAGATCACGCTTTCGAGGCTGCCTCTATGACCTTGGCTCTCTTGCCCACCAAAGGGCTATCCGGCGTCAAGTTCTTGATGTCATGCGCGTCCAGACACGCCTGTCGACTGAGGAGGACGGCCGTATGTGTCCGCGTGCGCATTTCCGTCTCATAGCCCCCGATCGCCTCCTCTTGCGTCTTCGAGCCACTATGCCAGAGTTTCAGCTGCTCCTTGAGCTTGGCTGCGTCGGTCAGGCCATGGTTCGCCGCCTCGCCGCGATCTGCAGGTGCGCAGGTCAGTGTCTGCTGCCGGAGGATCTCATAGGATGGATTTGGGCTTACACATTGTCATGGCGTGTGCTGCATCCCCTAGCAATGTCACCTTGCTGTCGCTCTCCCACTTCAGAGTCGGCCAGTCCGCCAGCTTGATCTCCAGTACCTCCGTCCCTTCCGGGATCCCAGCAATGGTGTCTCGCAGGACGTGGTGGAAGCCCGAGCCGGCCCTAGCCATAGCTTTCATCTTAGCCAACCTCTCAGCGTGCGCCTCGGGCACCTCGTCTCCCTCTCCCTTCACGATCCAGCTCACGTTGATCTGGCCCTCGTAGTACGGCTTGTCGCTCTGGTCGCTTCCGTTCACCGCTGGTATCGATAGCACGGAGAACCACATGAAATACCCCGTCTCGGGATGGGAACCCTGGAATAAGAGGGGGTCGATGGCGCGCAGCGGCGCGATCTTCGACTCGCTGAGCACGACCGTGACGCCCATGAAGCGCGCGGGCAGCTGGTTGATCTTGCCCGTGTCGCCCATGAGCAGGGACCGCGTGCGGCTGTTGCTGCCGTCGGCGGCTACGAGCATCGCGCCGCGCACTTCCGTGCCGTCCGCGCCGTCCGCGAACGACACGGCGACCCCTTCCCCGCTCGTCTCGAAGGCGGTGATTGATTTGCCCCAGTTGATGTCGATGCCCTCTGTGAGCAGCTTCCGGAACTTCAGCCGGCCGATTCGGCGGCGGAAGCTGGGCGGGATGATGTATTTGGGTTCTGCTGTCTCTATGTCCAAGAAGAGAAACCGACCGGTGTCTAGCAAAGGCGAGGGGAGGTTCTGGTCAGTAGGTCAGTTTTACACAATGGGGGTCTGTGGTGCTCACACCTTTTTGCCCCTGCTCGGGATCAACCTGGATCTCGTCGATTCTCTTGAAAAGCTCCGGCGAGAGACAACTTTCGAGCGCGTCTAACGCCCAATGGATTGTGATGGCCCATCCTGGCGACCGCGAATCCAAACCCTCGTCACGCTCGTAGATTTCGAAGGGAATGCCTTCTTTCTTCAGGGCCTGGGCTAGGGTCAGACCGACTATGCCGCCTCCCACTATGATGACGGGTAACCGACTATCTTGAGAACCCATGGTCACAGTAGTATGCTGAGTTCCTGACACCCTATTTGACAATGTCGTGGAAATAAGTTCAGTCACATGCCACCCTGAACTTCCTTACAGCTCGAGCTTGAGCTCTGTCAGCAGTGACACAGTCAAGATCATGTGATGAGGCCTCACACAGAATCCGACCCAGCTACAGGCAGTATAACTATGAGAGGGTGGATTATCGAATGTGGGCACGAATAGGCACGAATATAGTGAGCTCCACAAGACGGGTAAAGGGGGAGCCAGTTACTAAAACTACTAGATAAGGCAGATAGGTAGCATGGAGTCTGGACGCCAGCAGGACTTCATGTTTCCATCTGCATACAAGCCGAAGATAAGCAGTTGACTGCGCCGCACCAGACGCGAAACGGTGCTGGGGTGCGTCGTGCAGCGTGACGCTGGTCGGGGGCCGCGGATAAGAAAGATCCCTGCCTCTTGGTCTTGGTAGTACATGTACTGATGGGATTCCGACGGCGACCCCATTCAGACGGAGACATGATGACTACAATTGCGACGGCCCTGAACGCGCCATTGAAGCAATCAGCCAAGACGGAAGAGGATACCAACATCTGACAATGTCCCAGAAGGCCTGTGACCCCTGTTCGAGCATTGTGAGTGATGCAGTATCCTGTCGGAGGCTCCAGTTTCGACATACTGATATCGGGACTGCAGAAGCAAAGATGCGACGGTTCATCCCCGTGTGTCAGATGCAATAGTACGTAAGCTCTTACAAGGAGCTGGTCACATGCTCTACTATATTCAAGCTAGATCGTGACTAAGAGGAACACCAGGACTCGGCATCGAGTGCGCGTACGATCGCACCTCCAGCAGGACTGTGACCGATAGCACGCGGTATAGGGCCATCACCATCCGGAGGGTGCGCACTGGATGCGCTTCTTGCAAGAAGCGAAAGAAGAAATGTGACCTTCAGAAACCAAAGTGCTCGGACTGTCGACGGCTGAACTTGCCATGTGTGCTGGCTGCCAGCTCACCTTCCGAAAAGGACTCGCGTTCATCGTTAACAGCAGATGTGCGGCGCGATTGTCAATCCTCGGAATGCCCTGAAGTTCGGAGTGAGTACCCGGGCCAGCCACCGGCGCAGCAAGTCGAACTCGTTATTAGAAATGACCAAGGCAGTACACCACAAGGTATACAGCCTCCCAGTACACACCCATACAGCTGGCTGGATCCGGACATCGTACCAGGATCTGGACCAGATGACAATGCTTCCAATTGGAACTACGAAGAGGACCCCATGACATCGATGGCGTCTATAGCCATCGACATGGCTTCGATGGAAGAGATCGTGCTCTCGCCTACGAGGACAGAGGCAGTGGCTCCTTCGAGTTACCCGCCAGCTCTAATTCCTCCGAGACGCGACTCGGTTCCATTGGTCTTGCAACCTACGTTTATGGGCACTCCATTACAGCAACTATCCAGCCGCGATGATAAATATCTGTTTCATCATTACACCAATGTTGTAGCTCGCTCGTTGTGCATTGCTTCACCGCAGGAGACGAACCCCTTTCTGAAGTTGATATTGCCTCTCGCCTGTTCGTCTCCGGCGGTGATGGGCGCCTTATTGGCTCTGGGTGCCTGTCACTTGCAACATAACGGAGGGCAATCTGAAGTCGTGAGGAGCGGTCTAGGACACCAAACACGGGGTATGGCCGCCTCTTATCCAGGACATCAACAATACTAGTCGCTAACGATATACGCAGCACTGTCAGCTCTGAATAGGTTGATCGGCGAAGGCCCCAAATCCAAGTCAAGCAACCCCTTCGACACGGAACTCCTCGCCCTTGCGGCCATTCTGCTCTTCTGCATTATTGACATTAGGCAGGGGATCTCCACGAACTGGCTGTGGCACATCACCGCGGCCAAGAATCTGATATCCTGCCGGACAAACTCGACCTCGAGTCTCGGGCCGTCCTCAGATCCGTGGCCCTTCCTCCTCGACCTCTTCGAATACGTCGATTCCATCATCACCATCAGCAAGTGCAAGCCGCCGCTGATCGAGCACGCCAAACACACTCCGGACGTGGGACCGAGGAACCTGCTGCTGAACCCCATCTTCGGGGTCGCCCGCCCGCTGATCGTACGTATAGAAACATCCCATCCCAAGACCCTGGGCCTTGTATTCGAGAACAGGCTTTGTTGTTCCCTTTCCTTCTTCATCTATAGATCTGCTATCCGGGTTTAAAGACGGGATACTAACGTACACGCAGCGGTTCATCGGCCAGATCTCCGCGCTCAGCAATAGGCGCAAGTACCGTGTCAACGCCCGGTTCGAGGAGAAGTTCCGCGAGTCGGCAGCGGTGATCAACCAGAACCTCCGGGCTTGGGAGCCGGAGCCCCGCCTGCCGTCGGTGATCCTGTCGATCCGCGACGCGGACCTGTGCAGCGCGATCCACTGCGCGTACGCGATCAAGTACGCCAGCATACTGCGGCTGCACCAGGTCGTCGAGGGCTACAAGCTGCCCAACCCGACATCCACCGAGTGCTGCCGCAACATCCTGAGCCACGTGCAGCAGATCCCCATCGGCAGCCCGGCGGAGAGCTCCCTCGTGTTCCCGCTGTTCATGGCGGGCGCCGTCAGCGTCGAGCAGGAGGACCGCATGACTGTCGGCTGTCGTTGGGCCATCATTGGGCGGACTATAGGGTTTGGCAACGTGGCGAAGGGCAGGATTGTGCTTGATATGGTCTGGAAGGCCATGGATGAGGATCTGAGCAAGGCGAGGGAGAGGGGCGAAGAGGAGACGACGGAGGCCAACTGGGCGAAGATCAGGTGGAACCACTTCTCTGAACTGGTATTGTTCTAGCGAGCTTATACCCTCTTCGATGGATTTTCATTGGTATCTTTAGGTTGGGAGGCTATTGCGTTGAATTCAAGTACTTTTCATCTTCTCCTCTTGCTCTACCCCGAGCACCTGCTTCAGCAAGCCTTCTACTGTTTCCTCTAGACTCGGCGTTGAAAACTTGAGATATTTCGCCGCCTTGCTACCATCCGCCTTGTAGGTCTCCACCTTAGGCCGCTCTCCCGGATTCCCGACAGGTACGCGATCCTTGACAGTCTGATCCAAAGCCGTCGAGCCCCTGATAGTGTCAACCAGCTCCTGGTTGTCGTAGTCACCACTAAGGAGCAAGAACCGCTCGTTCCCAGCTTCGGGAGCGCCAAGCGCAGAAACATGGGCTTCTGCCAGGGCGACGACCGATGTCCACACTATACAACCCCCGTCAGCAACTTGAGCGAAAAAAAAACCGTCCCCCCCCCCCCAAGAGTGAGACGGATGGAAGAGACACTCACAAGTAGCCCGCGTCGGCGGCACCTCCGCCTTATCCAACAGTCCCCAAACCATCGAATTACTCGTATTCAGCGCCGTGACACTCCCCAGCGTGCCCTCCACCAGCGGCCCAAACACCATGCCCGGACACAGCGCGACCAGGTCCCATCTTCCCCCCTGCGCCTGTTCCTTACAAAGGCGCCACGCCTCGCGCTCCGACAGCACCTTGCTCGCGCGGTACGCCACGGGCGTCGCCACCGCGGTCTTGCCGTCCTCGTACGTCAACGGACTCCAATCAGCCTCGGTGTAAGTCCGCGACGGCGCCACGTCAGCCGCGTCGTACACGCTCGCGAAGCTGCTGCAGTACACCACGCGCCGCACGCTGGGGGTCCTGTTCGCGGCGTTTAGTATAGCACGCGTGCCCGCGATGGAGGGCTGCAGGAGTTGTGACTCGTAGTCCGTGTAGGCGTAGCCGAAGGGCGAGGCCAGGTGGACGATGGCGTCGCAACCCCGCGCGGCGGCGTCGTAGGCGGTCGGCTGCGTGATGTCGGGCACGACGGCGGTGGTGAGGCGCGGGTTGTTGGCGCCGCCGTGGGTTTGTAGCAGGGCGGTGGCCTTTTCGGACGTGCGGACCGTGGCGATGATGTGATGGGGGGTGCTGCGAAGGAGGTGCGCTATCACGTGGGCACCGATGAAGCCGTTTCCGCCGGTTACTAGGACGCGGCCTGGGGCGGTCGGGTCGAGTGAGGGCATCGTGGTGGATTTGCTTGGGGAAGGGGGGATACCGTATGAGTGACTGACTTCGAAGAGGATGCTGATGTGACTGCCACTGTAATGATGGGAGCTCAGGCAGGAAAAATGGAAGGGGTGTCGGAACCGATCATCCACCACGCGGACCTGGGAGCAAGCAAAGACGCAGTTCATGGTGGCGGATTCGTCCCGACTCCTATTGCCGCCCTATTGCTCACTCGTCTGGACCCATCAGTCGGTGATCCATAAGACGTGGAAAACACCTCAAGTCCTGAGTCTAGGAAGATCCATACTGTAGTAGTCGAGCTCCGTCGGATACGAGAAGCTCACATGTCGCAAATGCCTCCGCGATAGTGTATCCCGTCGCTTTGGACGTCTCCACTGATGGACCCCTAAATACCACGCTTGATTTCTGACGGGCGAACTTTATGGGTGAACAACTGGCTGGGTCCAACGGGAGTGTCGTACATACTAGAAGATCCACTGTCTACGGAGTATAGTATGCATCCGTCGGAAAGATACCTGCGCATGTTCACGCGGGGAAGATGGAGAACGGCGCAACTCCATCGTCGAATTGCGACGGCGAGGGGTTTCTGGTTTTCGCCCCTCGCCGCGATCTGGATGATCAACGCACCGGATGAGCGAGAAGGCATTTCGCGAACCCGACCCGACTGATAGCTTTAGCTTCCTGATGCACAAGTCGTGAACTGACACCTCGGACAACAGCTAAGCGTATCGGGACGAATACTTACGCATTCATTGACACCTCTCATCTGTCTGGCCCAACTATTCCATCTTCTTTTCAGAAGCAACCTAGTCACATCTAACCATCACAGTCATGGCGGCCACTTCAAACGCAGACAACAAGGGCCACGAAGCCCTCAACCCGATACACCCGTCCCTAGTGGACCGTCTAGATCCCGCCTTTGTCGACCTCTACAACAAGCATGTCGCAAACACGCCAAACAAGCCGATCGACCTGGCTGTGCTCCGCAAGGTCTACTCGCGCCTATATTCCTACGGGACCGCGCCCGCGCCAGAGGTCGGCAGGGAGTGGGAAGCGCAGGTGCCCGGCTGGAGCAAGTACCCCGGCGACATAGCCCTGAGGGTGTACGAGCCGGCCGGCGAGAAGCCCTCGGCTGGCTGGCCGGTCCATTTCGACTTCCACGGCGGAGGTAAGTTCCAGCTGTCCACGGGACGACCACCCCAGTTTTTCGTATTATAGTACTGATGCGAGCTCTCCAGGCTGGGGCCTCGGCGACCTCGAGACCGAGGCGCACATCTGCCGCCACATCTGCTCCGCCGCCGGCGTCGTCGTCATCGACGTCGACTACCGGCTGGTACCCGAGTTCCCCTTCCCCATCGGCATCGAGGACTGCTTCGCCGCGACGCGGCACTGCCTCGCGCACGCCGCCGAGTTCGGCGGCATCAACCCGGCCATCGTGACCCTCGGCGGCGTGTCCGCGGGCGCCAACATCGCACTCGTGGTCAACCACCTCACGCGCGACGCCGGGATCCCCGTCCGCGGCGTCGTCGTCGGCACGCCGACGATCGCCGACCTGCGGCCCTTTGCGGCGGCGGCCGACTGCCCGTTCCCCAGCGTGCGGGAGATGGAGTTCGCGCCGACGCTGAACTGGGCGCGGCTGAAGTGGTTCGACAAGATCAAGTGGGACTCGATCGGCGAAGTTGACGAGAAGACTAAAGAAGAGCGTATGCGTGACGTCAAGTGGTACGCCGACGCGGCGACGGCGCCTGACTGGAAGGGCCTGGCGGACCTGACGGTCATCATGACGGCCGAGTGCGACCCGTTGCGGGACGAGGGCGAGGCGTACGCGAAGAAGGTCGAGAAGGCGGGGAATAAGGTCGTGCTGAAGAGGTTCCCGGCCGTGCCGCATCCGTTCTATCATATGGACACCGACCTGGAGCAGGCGAGGGAGTTTATTCGGGATACTTGTGATTATATCAAGCAGTGTCATACGTAGTACTCGGTAAGTAAGTGGATAGGGGATTGATGTTGTCACTTGTTCAGTTCGTGATATCACACACTTGTATAAGGGACTTTCGTACCAATTACTGGACTACTTGACCTTGGCGAAAGAGAGGAAGAGCTTGCGTACAGCACCAGCTAAGAGTCTGCGTCCGAGTACATTGCGATTAAATCCCAGCCCCCTATTTTCAGTGCTAGAATAAGTACATACTCATTCAAGTCCCATCGGGCCGCTGTGTATGTGTTTCAGAGTTACTCCAGACACCCTGAATACACCTGAGTGTTCACTCACTCAAGACGGTCAATGGTGGCTGATGGCGTACGGAGACTTATGAGGGCTCAGTGTAGAATAGTCTTCATCCAGGCTGTTAGGGAGAAATAACGGCATCAGATTTACGGTGAAGTAAGAACAAGAGGTATCTATTTATTGTGTGTGGCTTTCATGGCACAAGTGAGTGCTCCAAACTTGAACGAGGTGACTACGCTACGACTCCATCGACGCAGCCACGTCGCGGATGTGCACATACATATCATAACCACAAACCTCCTCAATCGTCAACTTGCCGGGCCTCTCCGTGCCCGTGCTCCAGCCTATACGCTCATTAAGATCCGTCCGCGCCTTCGCGCTCGCAGTCTGCACCCGCGTCGCCCGCTCCTTGCGCACGCGCTCGTACAGCTTCAGCCCCCTCTCCACATCCCCTTTAAAGTACTCCTCCGAGAAGGCCAGGCTCAGCGCCGCCGCGTCCTCGATCGCCATGCAGAACCCCTGGCTCTGATCCGGCAGCGACGGGTGCGCAGCGTCGCCCATGAGCCCCACGACGCCCCGTGTCCAGTAGGGGTACTCGTCGTGCTGTGTGTACGTTAACAGCCTGCCTTTAAACCCGTACGGACATTTTCTAGATGAAGAAGGAAAGGGGACAACAAAGCTTGCTCTCGAAAGCAGGGCTCAGGGTCTTGTGATGGGATGTTTCTATACGTACAACGTACAAGCGCCACATCTTGATGTCGCGCGCGTGCTTGAAGAGAAGCTTGACGCGCGCGTCGAGCCCGGGGAACGTCTCGATCAGCTCCTCGGGCGTGGCGCCGATGTTCCAGCCGTCCTTGTCGAGCCCGTTGTGCGCGGTCGGGTAGAAGCAGTAGCACGATATCACGTCGCCGGCGTGGCACGCCGACATGACGATCTTGTTGATCCCGAAGCCGCCCCAGAATTCGATGGCTTCGTTGGTGAGGAACTCGTCGAGGCCGAGCTCGCGTAGTTTGTCGGCTGAGATGATGCAGCGGTAGCAGCATGAGGTTGATCCCTCGACTTTGGGTGTGATGCCGATGGCCCCTCGTATTCTGGAGCGAATTCCATCTGCTCCGATGACTAGGTCTGATCACCGAGTTATTAGCACTGGCTTGTATCATATTTCACCCGTGTCGGTGACGCATCCATCCAAGGAGAATTTGTCAGAACCGAAAAGGGTTATATGACTGTTCGACTGACCTGCATGCGCCTTGTTCCCATTCTCAAAGGTGATCGTGCCAGTGGCCGTGTCGACGTCTGTTGCAAGATGGTTCGTGATGATCTCGCAAGGCGATCCCTCTCCTTCTTCTTGCTGGACAGTCTTGATAAGAGCCTGGTGCATGTCTATCCGGTGGAAGTTGTAATAATGCTATCTCGAGGTTAGTACCGAACCGACAAGCTATCCTCATAAGGGGCAGAGTTTACCGTCCCGAACCGGGCCTTGTAATCCCCAAGACCGTATTCATTGGCTACCTTCCCCGTCTCCCAGTCATGCATCACCAACTTCTTGAGGATGACTGGCTTCACAGCCTCCATATCGAGATCCCACTTGATGAGCCATCTCGAGCCATTCGACGCCACCGAGAGAGAGGCGCCGACCTCGCCGGCGAAGTCGTATCGCTCGTAGAGCCGGACCTTGTGGCCAGCTCTCCGCAGGGCCAACGCTGCTGACAGACCCCCAATGCCGGATCCGATGATGGCAACCTCAAGGGTCCGGAACGATGTTTCTACTACGTGAGGCATGGTGGGCTTAGAGCATCGAGGAGGGGATGAAAGTCACAAGCGATGGGTGAGGACCGGGTAGTAAGCTGGCGTCTTGGATGAGGGCATTGATCATCCCTAGAAGAATGGCCGAGGTCCCATACTCATATCACGAACAGGAAAGGCATCGCAGCGAGGCATCGGGCAATAGCGATACCGCATGGTACGATCTTGAGCTCCTATCGCATATCTCGAGGCCAGACCACGGGCTAGAATCCGACGACTCTCAACCTGCCGAGCACGGCACCGCCCTCGTGGTTCGGTAGCAGATCTCCAACGATACCGTCCGTCGGAAAGATCTCCTAGATAAAGCTACCGCGAGCGTGCCGGGGGAGTCGGGACGACATCGTGAGGTTGGGGAGCAGGGGGAGGCGGTTGCGACGGTTGCATCGGAGCTAATCCTGTATAGTTCCCCCTGTCCGCTTATCAGCAGTGGAGAAGGTATCATTTCGGATCACCAACAACTTGGAACCCTCCCGCCGCAGGATCCCGCAGAAACTGGGGGCACCAATGACAGACACAGCACCCATGTCCCATACCATGCTGGCGAGGGTTCTGCTTTTCGATAAGGGAGATGGAAGCGAGAGTGAAGGCTTCCGCACGTCCCTGCTTCGTGTTTATCACCCATGTGATACGGACAACAAAACTTAGAAAAGCAGCTGGCTGGGTTTAAGAAGAAGCTGAAGCTTGTGTCATTCACGACTCGACCAAGTTGGAAGCGTTTCTTCCTCTCTTCGCTCTGGGGACACGAGAAGTCGCGAGTGCGATATACAGCCTGTTTATTAGAAGTGGTTCAAACACCCCCGGTCAATCCACCGGCACGACCCCGTCACCGGTTTCGAAAGATGGACACGAAAGACGAAAAGTCGCCGCCGAGCGACACGGAGCAACCCGTATCGAAAACGGCATCAACACAAATGGGCACCCTCAGCGCGGTCGAGGACGCGGCGCTGACCCGCAAGATCGACCGGCGCATCGTGCCGCTGATGTTCGCGGCCTACTTCTTCCAGTTCCTCGACAAGGTGCTGATCAACTACGCCAACATCATGGGGCTGCAGAAGGATTTGGGTTTGCACGGACAGCAGTTCAGCTGGATGGCGACGGCGTTTTTCATAGGCTACACCGTGTCCGAGTTCCCGCAGGCCTGGCTGCTGCAGCGGTTCAACGTGGCCACGGTGCTGGGCGTCAATATTCTGTTATGGGGCGTGACCATCTGCTGCACGGCGGCGACGACGAACTTCGCCGGAGTGACCGCCGTGCGCACGCTGCTCGGCTGCTTCGAGGCCGTCATCACGCCGGCGCTCATCCTCATCACGAGCCAGTGGTACACGAAACGCGAAAGCACGCCGAGGTACGGCATATGGTACTGCGGGCTCGGCGCGGGCCAGATCGTCGGCGGGCTGATCTCGTTCGCCGCGCAGCACGGGTCCAAGACGGCCTCGTTCGGCGGGTGGCGCATCATGTTCGTCGCCGTCGGCGCCTCCAACCTCCTCGTCGCCGCGCTGATCCTGCTGTTCCTGCCCGAGGCGCCCGACGCGGCCTCCTGGCTGACGCCCGCCGAGAAGGTCCACATCCACGCGCGCCTGGCGCTCGACCAGGCCGGCGCGGGGCGCAAGGTGTTCCGCCGCGAGGCGATCATGGAGACCCTGTGCGATGCGCACGTGTGGGTGCTGTTCGTGCTGACGGTGCTGATCGTGATACCCTCGGGCGTCGTGACGACCTTCAGCGCGACGCTGATCGCGGGCTTCGGGTACGACCCCAAGACGGCGGCCTTGCTCAACATGCCGTCGGGCGTGGTATCGATCCTCGCGACGCTGGGCTGCACCTACGCGATCCTGGTCGACTTCCCGCGCTGGCTCGGCATCGTCGCGCTGATGGTGCCGACGCTGCTGGGCGCGGGGCTCATGTCGTTCTACCGCGGCAGCCAGGGCGGCGTGCTGGCGGGCATCTACCTGATCAACTTCGTGGTGGCGCCGCTGGCGCTCGTGTTCGCGCTCGTCGGGTCCAACGTCCAGGGGTACACCAAGAAGATCGCCGTCAACGCCGTCGTGGCCATCGGGTTCGGGGTCGCCAACATCATCGGGCCCCAGACGTTCCTGAGCCGCGAGGCGCCCACGTATATCAGCGCTAAGATCACCATTTTTGCCGTCAACGGCGCCGCCATGGTCATGGCCGTCGTGCTGAGGCTGCTGTACGGCTGGCGGAACCGGCAGAGCGTCCGCGCAAGGGAGGCGGAGCTCGAGGCTGTTAGGACGGGGCAGATGACTGTCGAGGCGCTGGAGGATCAGGAGGCCGAGGAGACGGATCGGCAGAATAGGGCGTTTGTGTATGTTTATTAGCGTAGGTCAACGGTGGAGTCTTGCAAGCGAATCTCTCGTTGAGCGTATATATTCTCTCGAAATACTCTAGCCATGTGCATCTACAAGGTACACAGTTTGAATGTTGGCGCGACATCGGCTCATATGTGTGTGGTCTTGTCTGCAACGTGATATTTAGACCCCTTAAGGTATCCACATCAAACTATCAGCCCAGCAGCAAGTCGTCTGGAAACAAATTCGGCAGGTCATCTTCCATGACGGGCTCGCCGTCCGCCTGCATCTTAGCAGCCACCTTCTCGACGTCGCCCCACACCCGTAGGATATTGCCTCCCGCGATCTTGGCGGCGTCCTTGTCCGAGACACCTCGCTTGAGCAGCTCGGCGATCAAGTCGGGATACTTGGACACGTCGTCTAGGCCCTCTGGCGTCGACATGATTCCGTCAAAGTCGCTTCCCAAGCCCACGTGGTCGTACCCGATGAGGTTTCCGATATACGTGATATGGTCGACAACATGAGATAAAGTGTTGTTCTCAGGGAACAGGTCCGGGATGCCGTTCTTGTTGCCCTTGTCCACACAGCTGACGAAATCGGGCGAGAAGTTGACTGCAACGTGTTAGTCTCGCGTCGAGCAGGAATGGTCTCTTGACGAAGCTTACCCATGATGACCGAGTTCGTCTTCTTGACAAGCTCGAGCACATGGTCCGGGGCGTTGCGTGGATGGGGGCAGAGAGCATACGCGGAGCTATGGCTGAACATAATAGGAGCTTTGCTTCCCGCCCACTCCTCACGCCCCCCGAGGACGTCCACCATAGTGTCGACACTCACGTGGGATAGATCGACGATCATGCCGATCCGGTTCATCTCGTTGACCAGCTGTCGACCCTTGAGAGAGACCCCTCCCCAGTACGCGGGAGCTTTACCAAAAGGACGCTCCCAGATGGCGGCGTCGGCGAAGATGTTCCCGCAGTTGTGCGTGAGTGTAGCGTAGCGGACGCCCATGGCGTGGAAGCGACGAAGGTTGGCCACTGAGTTGCCGATCTGATGCAGTCCTTCGATCCCGAGGGGCGAGATGAGCTTGCCCTCCTTGAAGGCTGCCACGGCGGATTTGCTGTCCACGATCCCCGAAAAGTCGTTGGGATACGCAGCTTGCAGCCTGGTCATGAGGTCTATCTGCTGCAGCGTGAGCTGCACACCTGCGTTCTGTTAGTCGACAAACCCACCACCGAGCGCGACTACTGTACTTACTGGAAGCATAGTTCTCGTCCGAGTAGTCGGAGCCATTGGCCGGGCAGGGCGTGAACACGCTCCAGAAAGCTCCTCCATTCAGCCCCTCTCGCAGCCTTGGGAGATCCACGTGCATGGCCATACCTCCCTCTTCGAAAGGTTCTGTGAAGTTCTTTTGGTAGATGTGGTTGTTGTAGAACAACCGGATGAATATGGCGAGGTCATTGTGACCGTCTGCGGCAATAGTCAGCACTCTATCGCGCATTGTAGGAATAGCGGCTGGCGAAGGGATATGCGTACCGATTAAGGGTGTCTCTGAGAGGATTCTTTGTACCCTCCCCTCGACAGACTTGGGGCAGACATGAGCGTAACCTCGAGACAGCGGGTGGTAGGGTCGCATCGCTGGGTGTAATACTGAAATGAAGAAGAACAAGCACAGAAAAGTGACGACAGCCTTTGGGAATGAAGGCTTCCGAGGAGTAGTCTCCGTAGGCTCGACCTCGACCTCGAGGCATGCCTTCTCCCCCATCTCAGCCTTATCGTCCATCTTGTGAGCTGTCGAACCGGTCTCACCAGTAGTCGTCGATTGTCGGCGAGTTGTGTAAAAATGGAGTGGAAATAAGATGGTGAGACTGGATTAGTGTTAAGCTGAGGATGTCTTTCGCATCAGCATACTCGGTCGAGATAACAATAAGCTCCAATGCTCCACTCCGTGTCCGACGACCTTATTACAAATCCGCTTCCCCGGCCGATTTGATCAAACCCATAACTTCCCCGGCTCACATAGAGTTGAGGGCAGCTTCCCATACGAAATTGTCTTCAATGACCTGCGTTCGACATATGATTCACATTTCCTCACCTGTAACTTAAGCAAATATTCAATGGCTACAATCGTGCCCAAAAGGAAACATTGAACCAACCACCAAGCCTCACACTGGCTAGGTAGGTACCTACCGGTAAAGTTGGACATGAAACGCTGCAGCTGGCTCACTGAACATGTCGGGTGTGTAGGAACAGCATCCCATCGCGGGACCGTTGCCTTAGCGCTTTATATAGGTAGTTCAGCGCCTGACGGTTGACCAAGGTCTCTGGTGAGAGGCCTTGTTATTCTCTGGCCGTTACGGTAACTTTGGGGTTTGAGATTGTCGATTCAGGGGCTTGCATACGCTTGTATGTAGTATGGTAGCGACTCTGCAGGCGACGTAAGCGACTCATTTCAGCTTCATTTGGCGGTATGAAGCTTCACACGAAAGGATGCCGCCAGCCGACTGGAGTATGGGGATGGGATGTTTCGTGTCAGCGCGGCAAGAGCCCCGAAGCCCTCCCTGGAGGCCCCCAAAAACACCCCAAAAGCACCCCAAAAGCACCCCTGGCACCTCCAGCTAGGACACTTTCTTCTACAGGGCCACCCCTGGACCAATGAATAGGTATTCAGCTTCAACATGTTTTTCGCTGTCGGCTTGCCCAAGCGCCCCTGGCCTCTTCCAAGCACTCGCCTGAAGGAAATCTCGAAGAGGGTGTTGAATGCATCTTCTATTTCCCTGTCTCTTTGTTAGATCATTGGCCAATAATCTACCTACTCTCCTTAATGAATGCTCGCAGTGTTGCATCATCCAGACTCACAGCGCACTGCCCGGTTGTGACGCCTGAGGGTCTTCGTTTGGCCTATCCACCAGCGACGCTGCGCCCGTGACGCTTTTGATCCTTCGCCGACTTCCTTGTTTCCACAATCGCATACACACCAGCATACCGAGTACCACCCTTAGGGAACACGCGCCATCCCACGAACAGAACAGGGTTGCAAGAAGCGGAAGACGAAGCGCGAGGGCGACAACAAACTCCACACACCTATAGGAATCGCCGTCATCGCCATGCCGGGCTTTGCAGATTCCTTCTGGTCGCCAGACTACGCCGCAGGTGAGTGCGAAACCTGCCCTATTTTTGCACCTCGCTCCTTGTACTGACACACGTCTGACAGGACTGGGCGTCCTGTTTGGCAAGCTCCAGCAAGGTGTGCAGGAAGACCGACAAATTCTGATCATCGCCCGTATGCGAGCCGAAGCCGAAGAGGTCTATGGACAGCGCTTGGGAGACATTGCGCCTACTGCTGACAAGATCACTGGTGGATTCTCACGCGACGATGGCGCAAGTGTGCGAAAAGTACGAACTTCATCATATCTGGACCCCGTCTCACCGTAGCAACTATACTAACGCTGAACCCGCGTTCGCAGGCATACGATGGCGTACGGACCGAGATGGAGGACGCTGCGAAGAACCACAAGAAGATCGCCCAAAGCATCAGAGACCTGGTGGTGAACCCGTTCGCGCGATGGTGCGACGCCCACGAGTCCCGCATACAAGACTCACAAGACGAGCTACAGACCCGCATCAAAGCCCACGATCGACAAGCCGAGACCGTGACGAAGCTGCGAAGCAACTACTTCAACAAGTGCCGCATGGTAGAAGATCTCGAGGAGGAGAACAAGTTGGCCTTCCAAGATCCCGAGACGAGTCCAAAACCCAACCAACAAATACCCGAGATCAAAGTATCGCCAAACAAAGACGAAGAAGACGATGACGAAATCTACGAGATTGGAGACGAGACATACCATCCCGAGCAGATCAAGAAGATACTAACCCACATGATGAACACCGTCAAGATGGGTGATACGAAGGTCCCCATTCTTGGAACGTACCTCAACACCTCCTGCGGTTCCGACATCGTCGAGTACTTTCAGCGGTATATGAACACTTCTAGCGTCAGCTATGCCGAAAGAATAGGTCAAGACCTGGTCTCCAACGGCTTCCTGCGTCTAGTCGGCAACGTGGGCAACAATTTCGCGAACAGCTCCAAGCTCTTCTACCAATGGCGGCCGAAAGCCTTTCAGATGTCGGGTGTGCCGGAGAAGAAGGCGCCCATGGCACGAACATTCTCGCTGCCGACATCCCCAGACAGTACGAGTGACTCGCCTGTGGTCGGCGCCGTGAGCGAATACCTTGCCGGTTGGAACGTCCTCAACAATCAGCATCCGAACGAGACTCCCCCAGAGAAGCTGCGTCGCGAGGCAAGGGAGATGGACGATAAATACAAACTCAGTGTCCAGAAGCTTGACGAGATGCGCTGTGAGTTGGAGGAAGCCATACTGGTACATCTGAAATTCCTCGAGCGCTGCGAGTTGGACAGGCTGAAGGCTATCAAAACCGTCATACTTGATTTCTCCGGCACCATTGGGAACGTGATACCGAGCTTGCAGTCTACTGTGGACCACATGATCCTCTACCAGGAAACCGTTCAGCCATCGGGCGACTTGCGATATCTATTGGAGAACTATCGAACAGGGCGCTTCGCTCCCAAAGTTGTTACGTACGAGAACTACTACAACAAGGTCGACGAGCAGACCTTTGGGGTGGACTTGGAGGCTCGCGCAAGAGCGGATAAGAAACGTGTGCCCATTATCGTCACCACAATCCTCACCTACCTCGACCACCACTACCCTGACCTCGAAGGCGATGAAGCTCGACGAGGGGTGTGGCTTGCGGATGTGCCGCTTCCTCAGGTCCACAAGCTGCGTGCAAAGGTCAACAACGGCAAACCCGTCACCGCTGACACGCTGGCTGAGTTCGATATACCCACCATTGCTCACTTACTCAGACTCTATCTAGTGGAGCTTCCTGGTATGTTCGTGCCAAATCTGAAGTTCGAGCATTTACTGACTAGTACACAGACTCCCTCGTCTCCTCCCACGTCTACGAGATCATCAGAACGATCTACACCACTCAAACAGCAGACGGTTCAGACGATGCGCGAGTCTCAGTTCTGCAGCAGACTCTCTCGCAACTGCGGCTCACTAACATTGCTACGCTCGATGCGTGCATGAACCACTTTACAAGATTAATAGACTTGACGTCGGCGGACGATGAATACGTCCAGCAGCTCTCTACATCCCTGGCACCTTGTATCTTGCGACCTCGGCAAGAGACCTCTCTGACGATGGAGGAGAAGCACGCCGCTCGCCTGATCCGAGACCTGCTCGCGCACAAGGAGGCTGTTTTCAGCGAGTTGAAGCGCATGTCCAGTCTTACGCATTCAGGGTCCGTCGGTAACAACCGTCCGCGAGCTATCAGCACCGACGAGAGCAACAGAAGGGCCCACATGGAGGAGCGACAGCGGGCTCTTTTGGAGAAGGCAGGAGCACCCCGAGGCCGTGATAAAAGTCCAGCACCGAGCCCACGAGGTCATAGGCGAGACAGGAGTCATGGGCCCGAAACGCGCTTCCCGATTGCCAGCCCGACAGCAGCCAGTGGCCGCGAGCGAAGCAGTCTCGGCAGCCTCAACACGCTGAAGAGGCAGAGCCTCGAGGTCCCCGAAGGAGCGGGTCTGCCGCCCGCTGGGATCAGCGAGGTAAACGGAACCGCCAACGGCGAATCACCGAAGCTCGATACCGAGAATCTCTCGAAGCGCGATAGTCTCGGGCGGAGCGGTGCTCGCTTCGTCGGCGGAAGGCGGGTAACCCACACGGCGACCGGAAGCACGCCGTCGACGCCCAAGACCGGGGCGGACACCGAGAGTGCCACGAGTGCCACGCCAGATAGGGGCGTGACCCTGGTCGACGCGCCGATGGATGACTAGTAACATCCAGAATGCGCGTTTCTTCCGCTCGCGGTCCGGTGGTGAGGAGGATAATGGAGAATGGCTACCGAGTCGTAATGAGATGCGAATACACGAGCATGGGGGCCGGCGCAGGCACATGCGTCATGCGTTAATCGAAGCTCTGTGTTGGACCACACAGGGGGACGAGGAGGAGCAAGGACGCTGGATACTCGAGCAACCACATCACATGTATGTCTGGGTCTGGACAGGAGGGCAGTACCTAAAGCAGCCGGCTCGGCTGGTGATTGTTCTGCCTGCGATGTGATAGGAAGCAGACGATATGCATTGGCCATGACTCTTTTCTTCTCTGTATGTATAAGACTGTACGCCTTTACGAGGAAACGGAGAATGGTGCACGTTCTTTTCTTCTTTTATTCTGTTTGGAGCTATGATATGGTGATTTGGGCGCCCCAGTGATGAATGCATGAATTTTCCACACCCTGCGCGCCCTCGACAACATCCAGTAGACGGGGCTGCTAGGTTGTGAATTCAAAAGTGACGGCTGAAGTAGCTTAGGCTGGTCCAGTTGCAGATATTTGAAACGGTTGTAACAATGCTTCATGGTATATTGTGTCTACTCATGCAGACCTAGCTATCTAGAGGCACCTAGACGTTGCCGCAAGCCGCAAGCCGCAAGAGAGTCGATAAGCCTATGCCGTTTCCTGTATCTCAGCCGGTTTAGCTTTCTTCTTCTTCTTGGGCTTCACCACCCCCTGCGACTCTGCCGACGCTGCACCGCCGTCGCCATCGCCGTCATCTATAGGCGCGACCTTCTTTTTCTTTTTCTTGGCGGGCTTGACGACGTCAGCCTCAGCCGCGGCCTCGTTTTGGTCACCGTCTCCGGCAACCATGGCCTTGCTGGGCTTTTTCGCCTTCTTCCGGACGACGACGGTGCCGGCGGCGTCGACGCCCTGCGCGACCTGGATGCGCTCGTTGGCGCGCTGCATCTCGAGCCGCAGGCGCTCGACCTCCTTCACCGCCCGCGCCATCTCGGCTTCTTCGCGCTGCTGCGTTTCAGGGTCGTAGGCGCCGCTATCCGGGTCGCCTTCAAGGTTGAGCGCGCCGATGTTCGTCGAGTCGACGGCCAGGAAGGACTGCTTGAGCTTCCTCGCACGCGCCTTGGCAGCGTTGCTGTCCGAGTTGTTCTCGGAGTCATAGTTCCTGGGCGTACTCTGACCGCTGTTGCCGAGATTTTCGTCCGCAGCGATCACGATCTTCTGCCGCGGTTTCGGTTTGGTCCGCTTTGACGCTTGGGCCGGCGACTTGTTGACATCCGCACTCAGTCTGTTCAGATCGAGCTCCATGATAGGGATCGAGTCGACATCCAAGTCAGGCCCGTTGGAGTTCTGAAGTATGTTGTGTATAGGTGTTGATGACCTGTGAATCGAACTGGGTTCGCCAATGTAGAATGGGTCATCACGGTTCTTCTCTGACCGCTCTGCCTTGCGTTTGGCTAGAATATCTGCATCCAGATATGTTTCCTCGATCGGTTGTTGATAAGAGCCAGCGACCTCATTACGTCCATCGGCCAGTCGATTGATGGCAGGCTCGGATACTATACTTGTTGGAGGTGGTCGCTGATTGTAGTACGTCTCGAACTCATCTTCTTCATCCGCAGGAATCGGTATTGAGTCCGCAGATGAGAGTAGGTAGTTCAGATTTGGGTTGATCGGTTCATCCAGATCCAAGCCATCTGGAAGCGGAACATTCTTCTGAGCCCCTAAGGCAACTGAATGCAACTCCCACCCTGCGAACAGCAATGGCATCGCTTGTGTAAGCAGCAACGGAGGGTCCTGGTGGAGAGTATCAGTCGACGTCTCTTGGCCGGACGCAGCTTCAGCTGTTAGCTTGAGCAGTTCCGCGAATTCCACTGCCCGTTCTTGGACTTCGAGATTTGGATGTAGTGCCAAGGGCTCGCAGGTATGGACTATGCGAGCCATCAACAATAGTATCTTGGATTTGCGCTCAGCGGTCCAGGAGGCAAGCTGGTCTCCAGCAACTAAGGAGAAGACCTTCATGGCTGCTTGCAGGCAGGCTGCAAGGGGTTCTGGGGAGCTTATTCTTGATATCAACCGAAGCAGGAGCCCTAGGCTATCCTCTGGTGCAGATAACTCGGAGGCGAATTCACCGATAACCCAGGCGACTGGACTCATTGCTCCAGAGACGATGGAATGCCCACCTGCCGTGTCTCTGTTGAGCTGGGTTGCAATTTCTTCGGCGGCTTGAACACAAGCACTCCGAATAGCCTGCACTTTGACAGCGATGTTGCGTACTTCATTCCCGATTTTCTCGGAGATGTCTCCAATCCTATATTTCCCTGGTGGCGGAGAAGTTTCCGTGTCATTGATTTGTCGAGGTAAAGGAGCAGTCCGCACCAGTTGACTCAGTATGTCAATGTACCACTCAAAGTCATCCAGGAAGCCGTAGTTGTTCTGCGAACACATATCCAAAATCCTGTTGATGACGTCCGTCTTGTAATCATCCGGGAGTGGAGGTGCCTGGTCTGCTGTCCCCTGCGCTGGACTGATTGTACCTTCGAAATCGTCTTCATCTGAGTCGCCTGGGCTTGGGCCTGCGCCTGAAGGATTGGGAGCAACCCTGCGATCTCTCGATGATGCCAATTTTAGTTGCCTCATAAGACGACTAACAATGGAGACCAGGTTGTCATTGTCGACCATACCTTGGACAAGGTCTAGTGCTTTTATGCGGATCGATATATCGGTACTGTCGATACATTCTAGAATGACATCCTCTTGCTGAGCCACGAGCCAGGGATGAGTGATGACGATCTTATTGAATGCAAGGAGCGCCACATATTTCACTGCGTAGACATGGTTAGTGAAGAGACACATTTTAAAAGTTTCGCGATACGTACGGTTAGCATCTCCATCTATCATGATCATACTGCGGAGTTTGTTCACACAGAGGGTGGCGATCTCCTCTCTGCCATCAGCGTCATCACCGCTACCCAAGATACCGCCCTGTATTATGCCGTTGATACACTCGTAGAGCAGGGACATGGCTGGAGTCGTCCGGATAATTTCCGTCAGAGGAGGCAGCAGCTTTCGAGCAAGCCTTGGCTCTAACGGCGTCAAGGTAGCAAACTAGACCAATTCAGCTCACATCATCCCAGGGAAGACCTTACTACATACCAGCTTAATCAACTTTATGGCCATCCAATTGTTACCACTGTCGACGAGCAATTCGAAGAGTCTAGGGGCTAGGGGAAGGAAGTCATGAGGGCGTCGCCACCCCAGCTCGCATATAACGTTCACAATGGCAGCCGTAACGCTGGGGTCCTCGGCCTTGTCCATCAGCCTTTCCTTGATCTTCGGCCATGCGGCCCGTAGAGTCTCTGGGTACACTAGGGCCAGTCGGTATAGCGTCACAATGGTCTTTTTCCGAACGGCAGGGTGAGTATGGCTTAGTCGAGGTAAGAGATCGGGGAGAACCGAGAGGGCGAGGGACGGAGTGATGACATGCGGAAGAGTAACGATCGGAAGAGCTATGGTTGTCGTCGATGCGGCCGTCAAATCCTGGTAACACATCAGAACCACCGTGCCTTTCCTTCAATGGTCAAGCTGCTAGTGATATCGTACCTTCTTGAGGAGATTTGTTGCCAGCATCAAAACCTCGGTATCCGTACGGAAGCTCTGGATGGCGCCGAGGTAACCAACTCGCTTCTGATGGTACTTGGGCGAGGCCATAACTTCGAGAACGTTGAAGGCGGCCCACGACATGTCATGGCCGAACATCTCCAGATATATCAACTTCAGCAAAGCAGTTGCCTTCAGGTCTATGGTGAGGGTATGGCGATCAGTGGGAAGTTCGACTCGAGGGCGTGGGAGGCAGCTAACCCAAGTCCTGGCTTCGCACCTCGGACCGACATTCCTTCAGGCAGTTTTGGAGGTACTCCCTCTCGTTGCCTTTGTGGTTTCTCAGACCTCTTATGAGGTCGTACAGAGACTTCTCAAACCTGTCAAGTGCATCAGCAAGCTGCTAATCGAGGATGCTCTGCTGGCTCGCGGGTGGCGAACGCACATGATGGCTCGAGTTGCGCCTGAGCTGGCGCAAGCTTGGTTTTAGAGGCACGGAAGGCAAGCTATGAGGCGAGAGCTGTAGGCAATCGCTGTGTGTCCGTATAATGCATCATCATGACAGCGCGAGACCGGCTGTGCAGAAGAATCACGCCGTGCAGTTGGCTGTCATCTGAGTCTGGGCCGGCGGTGAAGTGTACGTTGAACTTGGTGATGTAGCCCACGGGATGAACCCCATGATGGGGTTCGCGTCAGTGCCCGCCCGCCTAACAATGCCCTGTAAGCCTCCCACATTTAGCGGTGGACTGCGGCAGATCTCAGCCCGGGGAGTCGGGACAGCATTTACCGTCTCCCGTCCCGACACCTCTCCTCTAGCTACCTACCTTACGCCGCGTCCATAACTCACCTCCACCTGTAAAGTTGTAAACTCCAAGAGACTCGTCATTCAGGCTCGCCCATAGCTAAAGTGTTCATCGATTGATACGAAGCCGGCCTGGAAATCCACCCTAACCTGTATCGTAGCATCCGTTGCGCCATGTCGTCCTCACTCCTGCGCCCCCCTAGTCACCTGCCTCCGGCCACAGCCTTACACAACTCACAACAAGCCCCGAACATCCTCAACAACTCCCCAGGCGCCGTATCAACCTCTGTCATACAATCGCTGCTGTCCACCTCAGAGTCTCAGGAACTATGGACAACATACGAGAATCTTCTACTCTCGTTGCTTCGGACTGGAGACGACGATTCAGCCCACCTATGCTTGGCTAGGCTCGCTAAAAGGTTCGGCGATGACAATGAGCGTGTCATGGCCTTGAAGGGGCTTATCAAGGAGGCCGACGCGAATGACACCGCTACTCTGGAGATCATCTTGAAAGAGTACGACCAGATTTTGCAGGACAACCCCACGAATCTGGTGAGCCCCCAACCGCCATCGCACTTGGGAGCCAACACTCACAAAGTTTGCAGCCTATTGTCAAGCGCCGCGTTGCTCTCTTGCGCTCTATGGGCCGTACCCCGGAGTCCATCACGGCTCTGATATCGCTTCTCGACGTCTCTCCCACAGATGCGGAAGCATGGGCTGAGCTTGCCGATCTGTACTTTTCTCAAGGCCTGTACTCACAGGCTATATTTGCCCTTGAGGAAGTACTCGTATTACAGCCAAACGCTTGGAATGTAAGCTCGCCTTTGTTCCACCACTTGAGACGTCGTTTGCTGACCTTCGGTATGTAGGTTCATGCTCGGTTGGGCGAGATGCTGCTAATGGCTTCGAAGACGTCAGACGCGCCAAGACATCTGGCCGAGGCATTGAAACGGTTCTCTCGCAGCATTGAACTCTGCGATGACTACCTCAGAGGCTACTACGGCCTCAAGCTTGTAAGTTGCTTTCACGGAGATATTCAAAACGGCTGTCTGACACAGTTGATAAGACCACCACACAACTTTTGAGTGAGCCGCAGAAAGCTTCGAAACAGACGGAACCGGATGAGTTGGCTGTGCCCAGTTCGGCCACAGTCCAAAAGCTGGATGAGGCTGCTACCGAAAAGCTGGCAGAGATAGTGCGACGCCATACAGCAGGGGAGAGAGATTGGCAGGGCTACGAAGAAGCCGAGATTACAGCAGCACGAGAGCTGTTGGAGAAAGCATCTGAAAAGACTGTCAGGTGAAGACGTACCTATGGCGGTTGTTGTTTGTTGAGCGTCCGACAGCAGTGCAATGCGACTCTAGTGACTCCTGTACTGGACGCTGCCCACTTCAGCCCGACCCATATCAGCCGATGTTTGAAGGGGCATCGGCGCATTAGGCGATTAACGCAAGCCTGCACAGATGGATTCGCCATAGGTCAGTATCCCAACGATGCCTGGCATCTGAAGAGGAGCAAAAGACTCCGATTGGTGCCCCAAAGCAGTTTTTTCATCGAGGCGGTGGGACTTTGGGCAGAAGTGTCTAGGTTAGTACGGTAAAGCGTCGGGTCAGCCAGGTTTGTTCTTACGATAAGCACGTGGCTCCAATTACGAAATTTGCCATAGCCAGATAGCTGACAAGCAAACCATTTGATACTGACTGATGTGCGTTTAATGGGTGCCAATGCTGGCTGCGGCCGCTCATGACATTCGGGTACCAAAGTCGCACGTCTCCCTGCTAGTCTGACAGGACAAGATGCACCGATATCGCCAGGTTCCACATTTCGCCGGGTTCTGCTGCTGTCCAACGCAACATACTGCTGTGGTGTTCAATATCACTGATGTGGGTATGCTCCAGTGAGTTGATGATGACGACGATGACGATGACGATGCCCTCGACTTGCTGGCAATGCAACATCCGAGTCTGGGCTCTCATGAATGGTGGTCTCGCGATGGAATAGTCACATCGATCCTCTCGGTAGTCCAGCTGTGAAGTCATATAGACAGATTACGGGAAGGCATAATAGTAGGCTCGGGATGCCCAAATATCTGTGAAGGTCCACGAGATTCAGTTCACAAGATCATGATGCTACCTTGAGGTACTTGACACAGCAGAAATTCGTCAATTGCGACACTGAGTCGTTCACAGCCGCGACCAAATACTACATGTTCACTGGGTACGATGCTTTTCAAAATGACCACGCGGCAACAGCTTTTAAAACTCTACCCGTGTTATTACTATCTTTACGACGCCTGATAGGCAGCACGCCCGAGATACAACGCAACTTCACTGGATAGGAAATCCCAAGGGGTAAGACCCTCGAGGGACGGCCCGCTCGAGAGAGATTCGCTCGCTGTTGTGTTCGGTGTAAGTACGTCCCAGTAGCACCTTGGCTGCCCCTCCACGTCATTGGCCGTCCTCGCTTCTCCTGCTTGGACTTGCATGAGTCTTTCATTAGGTGCCGGCTGACTTGACCTCGCATATGCCCTGGCAACATAGTAACCCCAGCGGTGTGATCTTCCTACCGTATGGCTACTCTCGTGAGGCTGTGGTGTGCACCCGGGTCTGGAATGAGAGTAACCATGAATATGAGCGGCTGTTGTGTGGCATGGGGCACCTGCTCGGCCGACATGTATACTTCGATCCTCATACTCGAAAGTCAAGTTGACATACCTTCGAGGCCCTGGCCTGCAGCCAAGGTTCACCTCTCATGCTAGCAGGACCGCTGCCCTCGACCAACGAACTCCAGTCCTAGGCGACCAACAGTGCCGCCTATGAGTAAGTAGTCATCACGCAGGTATGACAGCTCACCGGAAGCCGTTCAAAGTCACGACTGTTGCACAACAACAGACCCAAGCAAGAAGAGGGCCCCAAACGAACTGTCCCGTAAGTTTCCTCTCAAGTATTGACTCGATAGTTTCCTCAGCTGTCTCGTGCTCCCTTAGTCAGGGCTGTCGGGTAGATAGTCTAGCGGTTGGATGCCCCCGCGATGATCCCCTAGGAGGCTCCGTTGGTCCATAACGAAGATCATCGATCCCGAACGAATCCACAAGGGCGATGTGGCTGATGGAGTGCGACAGAAAGTCTGGAGGTCGGCGCCCCTCCTTGTCCTGCAAGTTGCAACAAGGCCCGGGCTACCAGTACTAGCTGGGGGGTTCTGTGCCGGTTCAAAATCTCCCGTCATTCCTATCTGGTCTTGGCCGCTTGGCTGGATCCACCACTCTGCCTGCCTTGCTTTCAGTAGTTGCATAATAGTTGTGACCCCTCGCTGACCTGCATCGTGGGCTTACCTTACAGTCCAGTGAGGACTATCAGCTGCTATAATAACTCCCGGATTCCCCTCCTACCATCCGCCATCTTCGCCCGCAGGACACACGGCAAGGAAGAGGAGGCGCACGCAGCCCCGATACGCACTTGGTCACCTCTCTTCTCCCAGGTCTATGGTGACCTTCCTTCGGTTGAGATCAGACTCAGGCCCACGGAAGTACAGTCGTTTCTTTCTCCACGAGCCGAGAGTAACTAGGTACTTGGTGAGAGCCGCCGACAAGGGACGGTTACAGCGATAACACAGCCCAGCTGAATCGACTTTATTACATATCACATACAGATCCCCCGCTCTGACCGCGCCACTCGCAAATCCCACACACCGCGAGACTGACAACAACCCAATGCGACCAATTTTTGCGCCCAACTGCCTCAATTGCTGTCAGAAACCAGGATCATCCAGGCAGTTTCTTCCCATTGCGCTGCGGCACTATCTCCAGAGACTCGATACAAAAGCGCTGAGGTTTCCCCAGCCCTCATGCAAGGCGACAGCTGATATTATTCCCAATCCATGAACCCCTTCACTCGCAGACCCAACTACACACACATCCTAAACGCCTACTGAGTCTGACTTGCATCTGCGCCCTCTCTTCACAACCGCCAACACAACTTGACACTTCCCTCAAGGAGGCATCGCTCGTTTCCACCAGCGACAGTCTATCGCCCAGACTAACGCCCCGGCCCACGGCCAGCTTTCTGAGCTCTGTCTCAACTCACCCACACAGGGAGAACGCTAGTAACACCGGACACCGCCTAAACACTGAGGCTCCCTTTGCTCCGACTCCCTCAGGTGGGCTGTCGGAAGTGGAGGATACCTGGACAAGAACTCCATCCAAATGTCGTACGTGTGATGACCATCCGCCCTTTCATTGCTGCTATGGTTTACTGTGACTGACTCGTCTCAGGGGACACCGCACTCATATACGTATCCATCACAACGAGCGCGACGAAAGCATAACAGATAGTTATTCAGAGGGCGACACGGGACCGAGCGAGGAATCTCAAGAAGACGAGGACTGGACAGATTCCTACGACGAAGTTGACCCGGAAGATTCAGCCTCCAGCCCTGCTGCAAGGCAGCGCTCTCATAGTCGTCAACGCCAATCGATTCGACGACACAAGCTTCCTCAGAGACCGGTCTCCCAATACGACCCCCGGGCGCCTCACGGGCCTGTCAGCCTGGATTCCTCGGACTATTATGACTACTCCGGCCGTGGTGCTGTGTATGCACCACCGGCCGGTGGCCCCTATTACGGCGGACGAGGCCCTCCGCCCGGCAATTTTCCTCCTCAGCAAAGCCATGTTGGTGGCTATGGTGGCCCCTACAATCAGGTTGTGCCGTTCCCAGGAGGCCCTGGGTACGGAAGTTCGAACCCGTTTGCACCATCGCACGGGAATGGAGGCAACTACTTCAACAACGACCACCACTGGGGAAGGCAAAACGAGATGGCGCAGTATGGCCAGAACTTTTACCCACCCGGGTATCACCTGCCAACCCACATGCAACAATATCAATGGCCACCAGCCCCACCCCCACCACCGCCTACCGACGTTGGACGACCACGCACGCCTGCGCCTGCGCCCGCACCTGCGCCTGAACCACCGAAGGTAGATCCGGAAAAGGAGGAAATGAAGAAGCGACTAGCTCAAATAGAAGAAGCTCAAAGACAGAAGGAAGTTGAAGCCAAACAAAAGGAAATCGAGAAACGCATCAGGGAAGAGGAAAAGGCGGCGTTCGAACGCAAAATGGAGCAAATAAAGAGAGATGAGGCAGTTCGGGCGGAAGCGACGAAAGCTGCCGCCGCGAAGGCGAAAAAAGAACTCGAGGAGGCGCGGAAGGATGCCGAGAGGGCAGCGCGTGAAGCCGTCGAAGCGGAGAGGAAAGCAGAAGCGGAACGCAAAAAGCGAGAGTCGGAGGCATATGCTCGTGCTGAACGAGATGCGCGCGATAAACTTGAAGCTGAGCGAAAGGCGGAAGAGGCAAAGAAGAAGAAGGAAGCAGAGGCTGCAGCTGCCGCGGAAGCGGCCGCCAAAATCAAGCTGGAGGCTGCTCTCAAAGCTGAACGTGACGCCAAGGCTGCCGCTGAGAAGAAAGTCAAGGAAGAACTAGAGTGGCGGAAGAGGTTGGAGGAGGAAGCCAAGCTCAAGGCCGAAATCGAAGCACGCAAGAAGCTCGAAGACGAGAAGAAGAAGGCGGACGCGGCCAAAGCGGCAGAAGATCAGAAGAAGAAGGACGACGAAGCCTTCAAGAAGAAGGCCCTAGAGGAGGCCAAGGTCAAGGCAGACGAGGCGATGAGGAAGGGCCTTGGCAAAGACAAGGCCCCAATAAGGTTCAAAGACGCCGTCGGGAGGAAGTTCAGCTTCCCTTTCCACATTTGTCAGAACTGGCAGGTGAGTACGCTCTCTCTATTTCTCACTCGGAGTCTGTTCTGAACCATGTTCGCATCACAGGGTATGGAAGAGCTCATCAAGCAAGCCTTCTTGCACGTGGATGTCATCGGGCCTCATGTCCAAGCCGGGCACTATGACCTTATTGGACCCAACGGCGAGATCATTCTTCCTCAAGTTTGGGACAAAGTCATCGAACCTGACTGGGCGGTTACCATGCACATGTGGCCCATGGATCGGCCACCTCCGGGAATGGCCCGACCCGGGGGTATGCCAGCTGGGCCCGGGGGTATGAGACCCGGGGGCATCCCATTCTCCCCTGCTGCCCGTCCACAAGGTGGTGGTCAGGGGCCCCCTCCCCCACCTCATCATGGAGGAGGAGGAGGTCTTCATGGTCTACGGCCCCAGGGACAGTTTAGACCAATGGATCGTGGGCCGGGGGGGCCCCCAGTCATTATTCCGGTCCATAAGCCGAAAAAGACGAGTAAGGGCGGTAACAAAGGCATGCTTTCGTGGCTTGGTGGAAGCAAGCCAAAACCCAGCAAGAGGTATGCAAGGTCTCTGCCCGTCTCTCACTGCCAGTGCTAACAACATGCTCACAGTCGAAAGCCGAGAGCTTAAAGCACGTCTGTACATGATACCGGTTCGTCTCGATGAATTACGTCCACTAGGGCACACTACCGTTGTTGTTTTTCGCCCGAGTATTCGTCATGACCCTTTGCCCGGCTATAGTCGCGTTTTCGAGTCCTTTTCGAAATGGTCTTTTAGCTACTGATTCTGCATTATACCCCCGGCTCAAGACAACGGCATCGTTGTTGTTATAGCGGCATTGGCGTGACGTTTATCCCTACGATTAATAGAAAGGAAATATCAGACGCATCACTTGGCATTGCCACGCCTGCTGATTTTCTGGGTTCTTTTTGCATTTTCCCCCGGGGCCTATACTGAGTCGCAACGCCACTTAACACTTGGAGTATGATGGAATGAGATAGGAGCAGATGCGTATATGAATGGACCGCATGGCTGTGGGCTTCGAACGGACTGCATTTTGCAAGGACTGCGAGCACCGCAATGGGGCGAGCCTAGAGGCGAGACAACGGTTGGGCGGGTGGATTTAGACCAAACTGATTTAAACAACTGAAATTTCTTGCAACTGCAGTCGTGTATAGCGTTGATACAAATTCTAGATTGCTCATATATACACTATCGGCTAAGTCTATGACGCTCCATATTCTGAGGGTGTTTTGGTGCAGTCATTTTTACACTCAAACATCATTCCCATGGCGGTGCATAAGATTCTGATGATGTGGCCATAGAATAGCAAACTCCCCATGCCGTGCCAGGGGACAGCATCTGCCAGACCCTCATGAAATGCTCGCGGAACATCCGGCAGCAACGAAGCGCCGCGCGTGGTTGGTTTCCCCTTACCGCTCTGAAGACCCCTGATCATGACCTCTGCGTAAGTCGAATGAGTCCCCTCTGCATTCTTGCGTGTCTTTTCAGTCCCTGCTGCAAGGTCCCCGTCACCTCCCCGGCTCTCCAAGTATCCGCCTCGCCTGCGCGACGAAGGCGTCCACCATGACGGGCGCCACCTTGTCGGCGACGGCCGCGCTCACGGCGCCGTACAGCGGGTTCGCGAAGCGGAACTTGATGCTCAGCCGCACGTCGCTCCAGTCGGACTGGAAGCGGTCGGGACGCGTCGCGTCCGCCGCGGGGGTGATGGTCCACCGCGTGATCAGGCTCTTGAACACGGCGTCCTTGTTCTCGCCCTCGCGACCCTGGGAAGGAGGGGGTCCTGAATCTTGTAGTTTGTGTTGCGCTAGAACGGAGGCGGGGATCTCCGTGCACCCCTCGTCGCCGCTGATCGCCTCGACAATCCCCGAGCCCGGGATGCAGAACACGCGGCTCGTGTACGTGTCCTCGATGCCGCCCCAGCCGGCCGTCAGGTCCGCCTGCGTGGGCCAGCGGCGGCCGTCGGCGTCGGGGTGGGGCGTCCACTGCGTTACGCGCGATGTCTTGCAGTAGGGCAGGAAGGTCGAGTAGGCGTCGATGTCGGCGATTAGGTCGTAGAGCTGGCGGTGGTTGTAGGGGAGCGTGCGCTGCGCTGTGAGCTCTTGTGGGGTGGAGGTCTGGTTGAGGAGCGAGGAGAGGAAGGGGCGGCAGTGGGTTAGGGGGTTGCTGCTGGCGGCTGTGCGGGTGAGGAGGGTCGAGGGCGTGAGGCTGGACCAGGAGGAGGTGAGGCCGGGCCTTGGGAGGAGGCGGGTTGCTGGGTGTGCCATTGCGGAGGATTGGAGGTGTGGTGAGGTTCCGGAGCGCGAGCTTTGCGTATTATTAGTCTATGAGGAGGCCATTCTATACCACTTGGACGACGCTACTCTCATGAGAATCAAACCAATGGCGAAAAAAAAAAAGCGTAGGCGAGCACGCGAGGTCAGTGTGATACTGGCTGAACCACAATCTTTTTGGTGACGTCCCTGACTGGGCCATTGACAATGTTCAATCCAGGGTCCGCACCAGCCACAGAAACCGAATTTCATGAAGACCCCACCACGCAAGCCACAACCAAAAAGCATTTCAACTAATTTTTTGACCTGGGAGTTCCCTTCGAAAACTTTTCCCACACATCTCTTGGATCACACACAATTCGGGATGCCACTCTTCAACCACTGTCGGTGACAAGCAGACATCGGGTAGAAGATCACCCTTGCCTAAAGAGTTCGCACACATCTACAACATGGCCCCCACCGCACCCGCAGTCGACGCGGTGCCAACGGCAGAAGACGGCTTGGTGAAGCAGACGTCCACCCTGACAGTGCAAGACACACCAGAGGCCGAAGTCCCTCCTCACCGCAACCATGACCCGCAGCACAAAATGAAGAGGAGCGATCCCTTTCAATTCGGATCCCGCTTCCTGCAAGAGGAGGACGACGTCTTCGAGTTCAATGCCTGGGACCACGTGGAGACTGACGATGCTTACAAGGAGTATGCCGAGGAGCAGTTCGCTAAGCAGCGCGCGTCGCCAGTCTCCGACTTTGACAAACGTACGTATCAATTTTCTTTCTGCTACTCCTGCTACTCCTATGTGTTGTGATGATACCCCAATTTACGCATAGTTCATCTGATACCCATGATGACAAATTGCATTCAATTTCTTTCGCTCCCATCTGACTCACCTTACAACCTCAACAAGTTTTCGACACGCTTGGGCATTGGATGTGTTGCTAACATGCCCACTTCAGACAGATTCAACACCGACCCTGCCAAATGGTGGAACCTCTTCTACAAGAATAACACTGCCAACTTCTTCAAGAACCGCAAATGGCTGCAACAGGAATTCCCGGTGCTTGACAAGGTCACCCAAGAAGACGCCGGTCCGACGACAATACTTGAGGTCGGTGCTGGTGCTGGCAACACCGCATTCCCCATATTAGCCAGTAACAAGAACCCTAAGCTGCGAGTCCACGCTTGTGACTTCTCGAAGAAGGCCGTTGAAGTCATGCGTAGTCATGAAGCGTATAACACTGAGTTCATGCAGGCAGACGTATGGGACGCTGCCAGTGAAGAGCTTCCTCCTGGTCTTGGGGAGAGCAGTGTAGACGTCGTCTTGATGGTGTTCATCTTCTCGGCATTATCACCGTTGCAGTGGAAGCAGGCCGTCCAGAACATTTATCGGGTACTCAAGCCAGGCGGAGAGGTGTGCTTCCGCGACTATGGCAGAGGTGATCTAGCACAGGTTCGATTCAAGAAAGGTCGATACCTGGATGAGAACTTCTACATTAGAGGTGATGGTACACGCGTCTACTTCTTCGAGAAGGACGAATTGGCTCAGATCTGGGGCGGCGTACCTGAAGCTGCGAGCGAGGCAAAGGAAGAGACAGGTGAGGTTGCTGAATCATCGGCGTCGGAGTTGCCACTCTTCGACGTCGAAGACCTGGGTGTTGATAGAAGGATGCTGGTCAATAGAGCAAAGAAGCTGAAGATGTATCGTTGTTGGATACAAGGTCGCTTTAGAAAGCAATAGAATGCTTCTTTCACGATGCCAAACATAAAATCCCTCGTGTCATTGTGATCAGACTTCAGTAGAGCTTCGTGATTAGTTTTTCACAGGCTGCCTCCTGAGATTAGCTATATTATGCTCCCAAGGCTTGGACCAACTTTTGCCGTTCCGACTTTCCAAACTCGATGCTATCTAGATAGCCGTCTATGCCGCCGTACTTCGTATTCACATGCTCATGTACTCTCACGACGAAATCCTCAGGGCAGTCTCCCCACTCGGGCGTCAACCCAAGCTCTCTGATCTCAGCCAGCCTGGTTTCCTTCTCGGCCTCGAGACCCGCCCGTGAGAGCAGGTAGTCGTGCGACATGGCCTCGACCGGCACGCCGAGGACCATGAGGGTCAGTGCGATGATGAGGCCCGTCCGGTCCTTGCCCTGCGTGCAGTGCACCAGGGCCGGGACGGAGGATGGGTCGGTGAATGTGCGGAGCCCCTGCCGGTTGTTATTTGTTAGGCTTGTATGTCTTGAGAGTATGGGGTTGGCTTGACGATGCTGTAGAGTGGAAGAGGGATAAGGGAAATAAGGGGAAGAAGTCTGGTAGACAGATGTCAGGGAGGGTCATAACTCACCTCAGCGATTTCCGACCCGGACGCGTCCATCGTGATCAGACCCAAGCCCACGAGGCCCCTCGGCTGCATGACCTCGCGGCCGAGCAGGCTGATGGCCTCCATGCGGTGGCCGCTTACGTAGAGGGAGATGAGCTTGCTGTATCGTGACCGTCAGTTATGATTAGCCCTCATATTCCCCTTAACTCGACTCTTGACTCTGGACTCCTCTTTCACTCCTTCACGACTTGACTCTCTCAAACGAGCCATGAAATTCAAACGAGCCATGGACTAAGACAGCACCGCGCAAAAGAGAGACGTACAGGTAGTTCCACCACGACAGCTGGCTCAGCAGGAACTTCTCAAACGCGCCGCCCGTGACTTTGATCTCGCGGTACCGCAGGCCGGGGATCTGCACGGGCCGCGCGAGGGTCGCGTTGGACTGCAGCAGCGCGGGGACCTGGAGGTCGGCGCGTCGCTTTTCGGCTTGTTTGAGGTGCTCTGTTCTGCGGTGGGTTGCGTGCGGTTAGATGATGTCTGTTTTTGTCTTTATTATGAGGAGAAGGGAGATATGATGGTGAGGATGATTATGATGGTGGTGATGGTGATGATGATGGTGGTGATGGTAAGCGTTCTGGCTTACTTGGTGCGCAGGTCGATCACGGTCTTGATTCCAAGCTCGTCGGTGAGCCTTCTGCGGTCCTGCTCTGTCGCATCGTCTGCGCGCCGATGTCAGTATTTCGCTCTGGCCGTGGGGCCTGAAGAGCAGGGCAGGGCAGGGCAGGGCTGGGTATGAGATGAGATGGCTTGCGTACCGGGTCGCGCAGAGCGGTATAGCACGCCTTCCTTGACGATCCTGTCTGGGTTTAGTCACATGGCTCTCGAGTGTTTCGGGAGTGAATGACAGCTTACCTGCGGCCGAGATAGTCGTTCACGGTCTTTCCCACATCGCGGAAGTTGAGGATGTTGTCGAATGTGAGGGCCATGATTGCAGATGGGTTCTTCTTCCTCGATGACGAGGCGTCGAGATAGGCGGGGTGACGGCTCTTCTACTGAACACCGATGAATGCGAACAAGCTTAGACTTCTTCAGCTTTGCTGATCACGGAATCGAGTCGCACGAAGACCACGAACAATCACGGACGTCTGTTCGATGAAACAAAAAGAATGGGAAGGTGCAGGTCGTAGCGCTGGTCCATTAAATATGGGTGCGCAAGGACTCCCGTGATAGGTAACCTTAACCTTCAGGCTGTGACTTCAAGCCCCCTCCCCAGAGACCCCAGATTCCAAGATTCATCTTCCTCAGAACACTAGAGTCTGGGCAAGTCTTGAGGATTCGAAAAAGTGTTCATTGCTTCATTGATCTAGACTAATCCTATATGCGCCGATCCTACCTTCTCGGGATGGACCGTTGACCAATGGCTACCTACCTCTGAGGTTATTCTCAAGAGACGGTATCTGTTCAGCAGGTAGACTTCGACATCATTGTACAGTATACTACCATGGCTATGCTGTCAATGCATTTCGACGACTAATTATTCTCCTAATTCTTCTAACACATCTTCCCACTTATCTTGAAATCCACGACCGCCTTCAACGGTGTACCTGTACCGCCGCTGTCCATGCAGAAATATGCTGAAGCTGACTCCCGCTCTTATGAACTTCTGTATCAGTTCTCTTGGGGGTAGCCATGTCGAACCCGGATGGCCTACACCTCTCGACTCATCAATCTCAACGTCAGGTTCGCCCGCAGTAGCAGGAGCCGCGTTCTCATCCTCTTCATCATCCTCCTCCTCTTCGCTTTCCTCATACATTTCCGGATGCCATTCAAGCGATATGATTCTCACTCTTTCAAGCAATGGCGTGAAATCGCCCCTGACACCCTTCTCATCTGGCTTCGCCATTCTTTCCAGCATCCCAAACAGCCAGTCGGGTCTGTCCGCGTCGTCCTCGAGGATCTTGATGTGTCCCATGTCATCGTAGTAGACTTCAAGCTCCTCAAGGCTCTTAGGGAGGTGCTCCCACACGGGAACGTCCGGCTCCAAGGAAGTGAGGAAAACCTGATTGACGTGCAACACCTTCAGTCTTTCGTACTGCCGGACATCGAGTTGATCCTCGTATCCGATCCCCTCGTGGTCGGGCGTCGGCCGCGTGAAGACCACCTTCTCGAGCGAACCGACCTGGTTCGCCATCGCCCGCTCGACTGCCGCGCAGGTAAACCCCGGTGCGTCGTTGTCCCCGTAGTGCCCGTCCCACTCGACCTGGTTTACCTCGTACCACAGCTCCCTGAGCGCCTTTGGAAAGCTCAACATCTGCGTGAGGGGCTTCTCGTGGGCGCCGCACTCTAGTAACCGCAGCACCTGGACCGGCGACGCCCCCACGTGGGCATCGTCTTCCCACTCCCAGGGCTCCCACAGGTCGAAGCCGCGGATGCTGATGGTGTGGACGTTGGGGAGCCAGAAGAGGCTGGTGAACTGCAGCATGCCGCCGTACCGTTTGACGTCGACGTCGACGCACCTCACGTACACTGTTAGGTCCTCGTTGTTGTCCAGGGTCGAGATGAGCTTTTCAGATCTCTCGGCGTTAGACGATAGGGGGATGTAGTCGTAGAGTGCTTCGGTTGCGATGAGGTATAAGCGACGGCAGGCAGTGCTTAGTGCTTGGAGGTCCTGTATCGACGCCATGATGGCTTCATTGTGTTTGTCGAGTTGCTCCGGCCAGTGATAGAAGGGCTGGCCGTTCATGAATGAGGCGCGTTGATGGGGCGTGAGATATGATATTATCTCGACGATGAGCTCATCGGAGAGATCTGTGAGACGAGCCATGATGATTGATGGTGTCGCAAGGTGGATGATCAGCTCGTCTAGGATGTGATGACTTTGAACAACGTTGCTTAAAGACCCAGGGCAGTGAGGCACTACCTCTTGAACAAGTGAGCTCCTCGAAATACCAACATCCTAAAGAAGCTAGTTAGCATGCCCAGAGTAGACATTCACGCCATATCGTCGCTGCTATTCCTTGGGCGGCAGGCCCGACTTCTTCTGTGTTCCCGGTATTCGGGAGGCCCCTTTTTATTATTCGGGTCGGCGTCAAACCCGGTTGGTGTCTAATAGTTCCATAGGTATTATGGGTCTACACTATGTGTAACCAGGGCAACGCGTGATAGCGTCCGGGAACTTTTAGATACCGCACAGACATCTTGAACGAGGATCCTGTTCAATGAAGCGTCACGTCGTAGGAGTCATAAGTCTATGTAGGAGGCTGGCATAGTCTGTCCGTGGTGTACCTAACTGATGATGGCGAGAGCCAATATTTAAATTTTCTAGGTGGTGGGATAATCAAGGGTTCAGGACCAACAGGAATTATTAGGTGGAGGAACAGGGATGGTGAATCCACGGGCCCAACCGAGCGGTCACCGCATTTCTAGACTCTGCAGGGAGCCGGCTCCCCCGCATAATGCAGCGATGCTATTGCCCTTTTCAGACTTTTCATCAGATGACTCCAAATGTCCTCGATCAGATCAAGTGCCTCTGCAGGTGGTCAAGAATGGCAGCGAAGAGACCAGTAGCACTACCTTGCAACAAGGTTATAAGCGCCTGGTGATTGGAGAGTAGGTGAGGAATTGCGCCCTATCACAATGACGTCACCCCCTTTGATGCCGGAAAGAGAGGACTGCCCGTGCCAGGAATGCCAACGACTAGAAAACCTCCATGACGGGCTAGCGACGCTTAGAGCCGACTATCTCACCAGGCCTATCCTCTTTGGTCGGATCGACCGCAACCCGTGGCTGTCTATCACTCCATTCCCAGTAACATACTTTTAAGCCATCGTCATCGTCTTCGCAACGGCGGATCTCTGCACCTCGTCCATAGACTCCATACCTACCCGGCTGGCAGCCTGCATAAAGTATTCTACGAACCCATTGTCTTCCAGCTGGACGCACCTATCTGTCTCTCTCCCCTACCTACTTACACAACCTACGCGTTCGCATTCACCTTGACTCACCCTGCGTCACCCATATTCACTGGCTTTTACAAGAGTCTTCCCCGCTTTGTCACTGTCGCAAGCTGCCAGACTGACTTGGCCGCTTCGGCTCAGATACCTACCCTGACCCGCCTATGTCGATCTCTCTATAGACAAGGACATCTCGACATACAAGATGGAGACCGGGTACGCCGGGTTCTCGCTCCCAGAGGAAGTCGAGCCCACCGTGGTCCCGTCAGTGTCACAGCCCACTACTGACTTTGCGGCCAATGATGAGGCGCAGGGAGCGCAAGGAAGAGGCGTGGAGTTCTCGCTCCCATCCGAGGTCGATCACCGACACCCCGAAGTCCCGTCGCAGCCCACTGACGTTGCGGCCAATGAGGCGCACCTGCAGGGAGCACAAGGAGGAGAGCTGCCCTATGACGACACCCATATTAAACCCACAGGTAAGCTTCGTGCGACAGTCATCCTACCCTTCGCAAACCACAGCAGCCCTGACAAAAATACCTTTGCGTTCTCCTACTGCTCTTCTACCGCTCTTTATTCTGACAATAGTCCGCCAGGTCACTCAAAGCCACTCGTCTACGCCAAACCACGCGATCTTCCGAGCTTCCCGTCGGTAGGTGTCCAAGACACAGGATCCGCCGCCGGTGCAGCTGCGAGTCTCGGCTGGGCAAATAAGAAATCACCAGAGTTGTGGAAACCTAGCAAAACGGCTTCGGCTTCGGCTTCAAAAGCAGCTCTCATGGCGAAAGACTACAAACCCGCCCCGGTCTGGGAACCTGCGGCCAGTAGCCATGGGGCCAAGGCAGCCCTACTTGCAGCACAGTCTGCCAAGAGTACCGATGCTTGGAAGCCTTCAGCGACTGATACAGGCCTGTCTGCCGCGACACTTGCTTTCAAGTCTGATCGCACTACACCGCGAGGCTCTCGAGGAGACACCACGGAGCGCCAAAAGTCGATGCTGGCTGCCAAGGGCGCCATGGCTAACCGCCGGCGGGCCGGATCAGCGCCTGTCCCCAGAGACTCATACCCAGATGAGGCAAATGCAACTGCCAACGCCCTGAGTGCCGCGACCCGAGCCCACCGACCTGCCAGATCAGCAGTACCCAGTGAGAACGCGGGCGCCGTCCCATACACCACGATGAATAGGCAGATGTTCACGTCGCACCCACCCGTTAAAGCCGAAGTCGATGAGCAGCAGAGAGCCGACGTTCTGCATGCTTCAGCAGTTGCCATGGCCAAGAAGATGTACACCCTACAACAAAACATGATAGACGCCCGAAAGACACATGCCGATGCCACCTCAGCCGACGACCAGCCAGACGCATCTACTACTGTCAGCGATGACGCACAGCCGGCACGTTTTACCACCCTACAAGATGCTGCCTACAAGCAAGCACAGGCTCGGCTTGCGAAGATGGAACAGGAAAACGCCAAGAACCGAGATTATCAGGAATATTATGGGACCAACAAGCCAGTCTCGCGTCGCTTCTCTGTGAAGGGCAAGCTCAGGCGAAGATCATCTAGCGACGGTGCTTCTATCGAAGACCGGAATCGATCACAGCAGATACGACAGCAGATGTCTATGTTTTCTAACAAGCTCTCTGAAGTTGACGGGAAAAAACGCCAACATGACCAAGAAGTCTTGCTCGCTGCAGCCCGACGAAATGTTCAGGCACGAATGAAGGGAATGGACGACAAGATATCGGCTGAGACGGGCATGGTCCCGGCTTCCACCCTGACTCGATGGGAGACGAAAGCCCACGCTGCCGCACAGTCGCGTAGCAACGAACGCGCAAGCCAGCACCAAGGCAAGATTAATATTGGCGCTGGCAAATATATGAGTCAAGAGGAGATCGACGCCATCGCAGCCAGTCGGGTCCAGCCGGTCCTGGATGAAATCAACGAAAAGGCCGAGAATGAGCATGCACGGCAGACTGAACTGCGGCTCGAAATGGAAAAGAAGAAAGAGGAACAAGAAGTCGAGAAAGCACGAAAGAAGGAGATCGACGACATCAATGACAAGCTGAAAGGTAAGATCTTTTTGATATGCAGAGGATTCGGGCTGACGCTGTCATTAGAACAGGAGAAAGCTGAACAGCGGGAGAGGAAGGCCAAAGAGAAGCAGGAGGCTAAATCGAAGAAGGACGAGGAGAAGGCAGCCAAGGCAGAACAGAAACGACTCTCCAGGGCTGAGAAGTCCAAATCTGTAGACATTGCTCGCCAAGAAGAACAGGATGGCGCACCAACCGGGGTGGTCGTGACGAACAGCAGCGGCCAACCTGTTAGTCTGCCTATCTCACAAGCACAAGCCTCTCCGACAACAGACCCAGAGACGGAAATGGACGGCCAGTCAAAGTCACCTACAGACAGCTCACAACCGGGCAAGGTGAAGACTTGGTTCAAGTCCCGCTTCTCGAGAGGTCCAAAGTCGCCAGACGAGGACAAACCTCAGGGAAAGTTGACCAGGAAGAGCTTCGTTGGCGGCGCGGCTCTGACCGGCTTGGAAGGCAACGAGAGCTCAGCTAGTCTTGACAACGGCAGTGCCAGCGTTCGGGCCGTTGCGATGGCTGGGAACCCCCAACGTGGAAGACGAAGCGTTTCGGGAAACCGGTCTTCTCAGCATGGCAACGCGGAAGCAGTCTCCCCAATGAGTAGCGAAATCGAAAGCGAGGAGGGGTACTTCCGCGACGAGGCCTCCCTGACGCCCCCGAAGCCGATCCGGGACTCTTCCACCCCTAAGAGCCAAAGTCCAGTCAGGCACTCGATGTTCCACGAGAACATTTGATCATTCGAGACCGCGGCGTGCTACAAAGCCAGCAGGTTTATCCAGCACACATGGGAGGATGGAGCGCGGGAAATTTGGCAACACTTCGAGAAAGCACACGATCAACGAAGGCGTTGGCACAAAGTCATTATACCCCTTTTTCTTCGAACCCCTAAGATGCCGGCAGCTGATGGAGTTGGATCTTTCTTCTCCTCTCACATAAGACCCACCTAGATTGAAGAGGTGGTCTCGCTCGGATGTAACAATTGAATACCCCTTTACTCATGATGTTTTGCACCTACTGCTTCCTTGTAATATATACGGATACTTGGAGAGCATATACTCAGGAAAAGTGGCAATGGAGATTGCTCATGCCTCACATGTCTTAAAACTTGCTTGTCTAAGCTTCCCTTGCTCGTTGCCTTGCATGTGTCAACGTTAAGCAGTCCAAATGATATGCCGGTGTTGCTACTACCTAGTGTAGTTTGCTGCACAACACATACAAGGCTCATCACTGAAGTTTGTGCCCGTTCAGGGACTCCAAATTTTCTGCGAATACGATGACGCCTGATCCTTAGCACACCAACCACTCTCACAACAGATGGGAATTTAACGACTGCCCTGGCAGACTTGAGCGATGGTGCTCGTCGATGGCTGCTGACCTCACACATGGTGCAATCAGAAAGAGGTATTCTCCATTCCTTTGTCCAAGACCGCGTGAGAGAGATATCACGCAGAGCCTTGCATACTTCTTTCTGGCCGAGGTCATCGCATTACATAGTGTTGCCAGCCATGCTTGAGTTGTGACCTGTGAGCGGAAGATGCAGGTAGTGAGTGATAAGTACATGTAGCGCAGGCTCGATGCTGATGGAAGGTTGTGGCTGAGGACAGAGTGTACTAAGGCTGCGGAATAACCGGCGCCTACGCACATATCATGTATCATGCATCGCTACACATTAAGATACAGTATGTCGAACACGGTCCATGGGACGCTTTGATACGACGAGACAATACCTACATGTACGCACCCCTTGGACTGGGACAAGCGCAGCTCCTAGACCACCACATGGTCGGATTTTCCACTCTTTGAACTCCCTCGCTTCCGCGAAAGCACGACTGCGCTTGGTGGTGTTTTCACCTACCGACCGTCTCTTTATAAAAGTGTGATCGGTACGGCTATCCAGCCCTCCCTCAACTTCTTGAAGCTTTATATAACGTCTCACGCACGTCAGAGGCCACGCCTCACGCTCGCAGGCACGAAGCCACGGTTCGCACGTATCACGAAGCCACGCTTCAAACGTCTCGTGAACCTTCACGCGCACGCTCGCACACGAACAACGAATCGAACACCATTTGGGCCTGAGTTGGGCAGAAGAGATCTGGCTACGCACACACGTCTAACAGCCCCTTCGGCGCTGTACAGCTCTCGGCGCTATGCGACAGCCCAGCCAGATCTCGGACGCTTATGCCCTATTCTTCCAGCGTGCCCACACTTCGCCAACCTTCCGCGACAACTTGGACCTGTGACGCCTGTAAAGCCTGGAACGCTTTGTAAAGCCTGTAAAGCTTGTAAAGTTCGTACCCTGCCAATGTTATCCCAATGACAACCCCAAGCGTGGCGAAACACACCCAGAATGATATGGGTGAGCCGTTGATCTCCTTAATATTCATGCCGAAGATGCCCGTAACGAACGACAGAGGCACGTAGACGAACGCAAGCGCCGTGAGCTTTGTGGCACGTCCGGATTGCTGAATGCTAAGCAAGCTGTCCCGTGCGCTCAAAGAGCTCGCAAGGAGCTGAAACGTTTCCATTAGGAAAGTTCCAAGCTCCTTCGCCTCACGCTTGGTCCTCGACAATCTCTTGAGCGGGGACGGCGTTGGAGGAATCAAGTCATCTCGGCGCATTCCCGCATCCTCGAAATAGCATCCCAAGCCCTTCGGCATCCATTCAATCGTATGATCGCTGCTCCTCTTCATCGTATCGAGGTCTTTCCGCATATCGTGCAGCTCCTCGTTGGTTCCTTCATTCGCCCTGCGAACCTTGCTGAAGCTGTTGTACTTGATCTCACGGTCCAGGTGTCGCAGATTGTCTTGCCACAGTGAGCCCGCCAGCATGTAGAGGAGGGGATGCGGTAGTATCACCGAGGAGGTCGCAAACAGATAGTCGGTGTGCCATGGCTCTCGCAAGAAGGCCGAGAAACATTCCAGCAAGTCCATGTTCGTTTCCGTCTTCGTTGTATATGGGTACTCCAATACATACGGCGGAGGCAGCAGTAGGGCTTCCTGAGCGAGGCTCGAATACGGCAATCGCAGATATGTCTTACCCGTTGGTCCCTCTTTAAAGATGCGCATGCCCCAACGACGGGTAACTCTTTCCACCTCCCTATACCGTAGGTTGGTGACAGGCGAATCTACAAGCACCAAATCTGTCAAATGTCAGTGAGATCTGGCAATAGGCAAGACAACAGTTCAGACGAACACATATATTCGTTGACCCGGCAATAGGACAAGCGTGTTGCGCATATCTCCTCGGATCTCTCCCTATCGCGCATCCTTGTGAAAAAGTTGGACCAACGACCCTCGCGGCCGCGGTCATCATGGATAAAACGGATTGAATCATCCACAATTTCACATTCGAAGATGGCGTCGATATGCATACAGTGCGTCCCATAGCCCAGACCGCTGGCACGGGCATCGGAAAGCTGAAGGTTGTCGACCTTCGACCAAGGCTGGGCTTCTGTGCGAATACATCTCGTGGATTTATTTCGTGCATGTTCGGCGAAGAAGGCATGATCGATTTTCCATAGAGCACCGAGATAGCCAATGAGGACTGGGGTGATGTTCTGCACGACGCAGACAGAGTGATGGCCTACGCTTAATTCGTTTGCAACTTCAGCACACAATTTCTTGAGGGGCTCCTCATCGGGCAGAACGGAATTCGTTCCACAAGGCAATTCGAAAAATTCGCGGTTATAGACCGCTCGGGTACGGCAACCAGGTGGCAAGTCAGAAGGCCACTCTATGCCCTTCTTTTTCGCGCCATCGATGACCTTCTCGAGATACTGCTCTCCTTCCTCGTCCGTAGGGTAGCTGGGAGGTGCGGTCGTCCCGGTGGCATTGGCACTGCCGCCACCTCCGGAGCTCATCATTGGCGCTCGGCGACAATAGAGCTGACGTGAACGAAGTTTTCAAAACAAGCTGCCTATAGTCAGGCGGCCGTATAGGCCGCTCGTGGGTGAAGATTGACTTGCGGTAGCCGTGTGCAAGTTAGATAAGCATGAGTGTCGAACCTGTCTGAAGAGATGAATATCAAAACGACAGAAGGGGCGCACCGCTCCCAGCCTCATGGACATCGTCCCGCATTGAAGCCCCTCATCTGGAAGCGGCATGCATACTGTACATGGTGGCCATTGTCTTTTGAGCGAATCAGATGTCTAGCCACGCAGACTCTGACGCGTATGGAAACCCTGGATAATACACGTTGAGGCTGGGTCGAGTACAGGGCGGGCAACAAACGGGTAGCGAGATGAGAGGTGGTGAATCAATTGGTTGTGGTAAGGATAAGGATGCTGGAGAACAGATTCTCCAGGTCTGCAGTGGAGATGATACAGTGGATTCCCAGCGCTGTGCGTCGCACCTTCCAACAGTTGGAGAGAGGGCACGGACCTTGGGCACCTTCCGAGCTTAAGGGGATAGATAATATCGCCCACTCGAGGACGATGCAGCATCCACTCGAATAAAACGAAATACGATTATCGAAAACCAGGTTGAATATAACACCGGCCAGGCTACCCATCATTTGATATTCGATTGCGCCGGCCTCTCCTTGGTACATCAGTTTCTGGATCGATTTCGCTGGTGGAGGAAGTATCTGACCAAATCCCGGATGACGTGACTCAAGCAAGGGCCTCTGAATAGAAAGACTTAAGTTTCAACGACGCCTTTTACGGTGATAGTCGAGCCACTCCTTGGACTTGATATGCCACACATCAGTCTAGTGTAACGGACGAGTACTACTTCACTCCATGAGGTATGTCGCTTGGCATTGTGTATATGTTTGGAATATATTTTCTTCAGATTGTGACTTGACGTACAGGATATGGGCTACACCAGCAGATTCCGAACATATGCTGTTCTAGAATTATATTATTAGCAGAATACACGTCGCCAAACGCCGTCTACAGGATGCTACGCTCCGGGTTTCTTCCGTCATGCACCAATAACCATTAAGTGCCGCCTCCCTCCCGTATACACAACTCGGATATCGGATTTGCATGATGCGAATTTCGTCAATTCATCAACGCCGGCCCTTGATGGGCCCACCTTCGAGCACATGCCTCGCCTAGAAGTCGGTGTGCGCGCTTCGCCCCTTGTTGTGGTGTGCCGGTGCTGGGGCATTGTGCGCGTTGGTCAGCGTACGGTCGCTATCGCGGGTGTCGCGCGGCTGGCCGAAGACGCTCGGGTGCTCCTCGCGCAGGGCCTCACCCATGTCGTTCGTGTTCATTGGCCGCAACGAGTACCGGTCTCCGTTGCGTGTCTTCACAGCCGGGTACAGGTCGATGATGAAGGAGAAGACGTAGAAGGTGAAGACGAAGGCCACTACCCACTCCAAGATGGCGGCGTGGTTGTAGTCCTTGCGGAAGTTGCACACGGCGAAGCCGATGGCGAGCCCAAGCTCCACGATGATGAAGGTCAGCTTTACCCAAAAGGACATGCGGAGGACGCGGTGCTGGCGGTATTCTGGAGCTGGTCAGTATGCGCGATCTTGGTATTAGGCCTCTGTCTGGGTGGAGAGGAACGCACTCTTTCCAAGACGTTGGTACTCCCAGCAGATGAAGACGGCCGAGATCAGGTACCCGGCAATAAAGAGTAGCAGGAAAATATCGTGCAGCGTCGGGTAGTGCGCCGTGTCGAAGCCAGAAAGCAGGCACAGACCAAAGGTACCGATGATAGCAAATACAATGGACAAGCCGCTCAGGACCTTCTCGCCGACCGACGTGTTTGGCACCAAGCGACCATTGTGGCGTAGGAGTCGATCGCATGCGAAGGCTAGGTCGAGGAAAATGGTGGTGATAATGCAGCCAGCGACGAATAAGGGTTTCAGCTCGGCAGCTCCCACATCGGAAATGTATGCGATTGTTTGGCCTCCATCTTCGGATCCGTATATCTTCCTGTGTGTGTCGATGATCCAGTGCAGCAGTAGTCCTAGGAGAGTCGCGAGCCACACAACGCCGGATATGATGGGAAAGACCTGCGACGGACGAGATGTTAGTGGGCTACATGCCTATCCATAGTAGAAGTCAACAATGGAAACGTACCCAATACGAAAAGACCCTCATGACTGGTTGTTTCTGCCAAATAGAGTTCTCGGGAAAGGAGTGTATTGAGGCTCACGAACAGGTATAAGAGAGGCAAGAAAGTGTAAAATGTTTTGGCAGTCGGGCCTTGCAGCTAGGTGCACATGTGGCAAGGGGATTGGGATGGAAGGGTAAATCAAGCAAAGCGGGAGCTAGGTACTCTATTCCAAGGTCGACGATGCGACTAGCATAAGTGGTGGAATTGGTGAAATTCCCGACGAGGGACCTATGACTTCACAACTGCGGGTCAGACGCGATTCGTCACCCTGACGGCTCGATCGCAGGGTCGCAGTGATATGGAGATCATAGCCTCGACGAGTCGACGTCAGGTAGGCAGGTAGGCCGGGCAGGATTCGCCGCTTGGTTGCTACCAGGTTACAAGGTAGAATTGTGCACGCCTACAGTACGGGGGCAGATAGATCACTGCTAGTGCTGGCGCTTATCATTAGTCGGGACGATGGTCTTGCGTGTTGCTTGCGGTCGCGTTGTTGTTGGGCGGTGATGGGTGATGGTGCATTGTGCCCAGGTGCAGGTCTGAGGTGGTCCTTGCCCGAGACATTGGATGACGTCAATTAAGATTTGCAGTCAGGTTCCAACTTCAGATCTGCACCAACGACCTGGAACCTTGGCAGGCGCGGCAGCGTCTGCTGCTAGCCTGTTTGATCATCATTGTAGCGGATGGCCACCTGGACCGTGCACCTGAGCCCCGAATCTGATCCATTTGGGAACAGGAACAGCCTTGTTCCAAGCAAGTTGAAGGCCTTCGATCCAGCCAATCAAGCAGTTCGACATCCGCCGACCTCTCGAGGCTGAGGTCGACAAGATTCCGAGAGCCACTGGTGTCCGAACACCTTGACTTAGCAAACTACTTGAAGATGGCGGTTTCCCCGCTGGTCGTGCACCCCACGGATGCTCTCCAGAACCCTCTTCAGAACGCTAGATCGGTATCGTCACCTCTGAAGAATGCTTCATCGGCACAGGCTTCGTCCAATGGCACGCCCTTGCCGACCCAAGTTGCCCCAAATGCTGCCGCTGCCATCCAGACAGCCTCCCTCGATCTGGCCGAGCAGCTGAACGAGGAGGAGAAGCGGAAATACGTCAAAGGTTCGTTGTTACAATGGTTGCCGATAACGAAACACTAGCTGATGGTGATTTTCTCTCAAGGCAAGAAGCTCGGTGAGGGTACCTATGCCAACGTCTACCTCGGATTCCTACGAGGCGACTCATCGCAACTCGTCGCCATCAAGAAGATCAAGATCCAAAAGGAGTACACCGAGGGTATGGCCCCCGATGCCGTACGCGAAATCAAGCACCTGCAGGAGCTGTCCCACCCCAACATTATAACTCTGCATTCGGTTTTCTCCTCGAAGGACCAGAACCTCAACCTCGTCCTCGAGTACCTACCCCTGGGTGACCTCGAGATGCTCATCCGTGACACTGATAGAGTTAAATACGGTGCGGCTGACATTAAAGCCTGGATGGGCATGCTGACGCGCGCCGTCTGGTTCTGCCACGAGAACTTCGTGCTGCACCGCGATATCAAGCCGAACAACTTGCTTATTGCGGCAGACGGGGAGGTGAAATTGGCCGATTTCGGGTTGGCCAGGAGCTTTTCAGATCCGTACAAGCCCATGACAGCAAATGTCATCACTCGGTGGTACCGGCCTCCTGAGTTGCTGTTTGGCGCGAAGCACTACTCGGGTGTGGTGGATGTGTGGTCCGTCGGCCTGGTCTTTGCCGAGCTGGTAATCCGCACGCCGTATATCGCTGGTGACAGTGAGATGCATCAGATCAATCTGATATGTCAGGCCATCGGCACGCCAACAGAAGAGAACTGGCCAGGTGTCACAAAGCTTCCCGACTACACAGTCGAAAAGGAGGTCGTGCCGCTTCGAGGGAGGGATCACTACATGGCCATGTTTGGCACGGTGGGCTACGAGGGCGTCGATCTTCTGATGAAGACATTGACCCTCGACCCCAAGAAGCGCATCACGGCGCTGGAGATGTTGAAGCATGGGTGGTGGCATAAGGATCCGAAACCAACGCGCAACAGGGACTTGCCCCGAAAGTCAGGCGGACAGTCACAGGAGAAGCTCGGTGCTGACCTGAAGCGAAGGCCCGGTGTTGTAGATGAGGACCGGGGCAGCAAAGTCTCACGGAAATTAGACTTTGGAGCTGCACAATAGACATGGCATGGTTCAAGACAGCTCCGAGGCTTACGGTATGGCGTTTGGGAGTTACATCAGTCGTCCATCGAGGCGTAAGTAGAGTCTGGCCGGCTAACAAAAGGCATAAAAGCCTCTCATGAATTTACCAATTGACAAGCATTGGTCTGTTTTATGTTGATACATGTTGTGTGCAAATATGGTACAGTCAAGTACAAGTGAGACTTCTCTGTCGTCGTCTATCTATCACAACTCGCCACGTTCCCTCATCTCCCTACGCTCAGCAATGCGCTTCTTGTAGCGCACCTCAGTCCGTCTTCTCTCACCACCATCGATCTTGTGGCCGCGCTTATCCTCCCACATGCCCTCGGTGATCGTAATGCGAGCGCCCTCGCCGTTCTTCAGCGGCAGCGCGTACGGACCGACGATAGTCTTCGCACCGCGCACCTGGAACCCACGAACGCGAGACATCTCATCGAGGCCGCACTCCTTGACAGGTCGGTCGGTAGGCACGTTGACGACGAGCTTGCGCGGCCTCACAGCAGCAGCAGCCGCGCTTTCACCTCCTGTTGCGGGCTCGGCCTCCAGGATCCGCAGGTCGGCGGTGCCGTCGGCGGACACGTGCTGCAGGTCGCCGCCGACGCCGTACTGGCCGGCGCGGAAGCGCTGGCGCCACCGCAGCAGGTACTTGCGCGCGCGGGGGGGCTCGATGCCTAGCTCGCGCATCTGGTCCGACGTGAGGCTGAACAGCGACTCCCAGTCCGGGAACTTGGACGCGTGCGCGCTGAGCCCGCGGCCGATTACCGTCAGGAAGGTCGGGACGTCGGGGATGAAGGGCGTGGGTGCCGGGATGAAGGGCGGGTTGGTGGATGTTGATGGCGCTGTTGCTGTGGACGCGGTGGCGTATGAGGCTCGTAGGGAAGAGACTGTGTTGCTCGTGTTGATGGTGCTGGCGCTTATCGAGGGGATGACATGTTGGCTGGGCGGGAAGTGTGATAGGGCGGCGCGCAGCTGTTGCGGCCGGAGTATGGGCTGGAACATTGAAGATGGTTGTTAGTTATGCCTGGTTGAGGAGCTTGGTTGAGGAGCTTTAGGTCAGGGGTGGAATTGGCTTACCTTTATGCGCACCATTATGAAAGCTGTTCTATGTTCTCAGTCCCTATCCAATTGCTTCAGTCGGTCATATCAGACTGAACGAGTGTTCTAGGCTGAGGTTGTTGTCCACGGGTGGAGGTCGTCTTGCAGTCGCAAGTGTCAGGCCAGTAGCCTCTAAAAGTTGAGGCCCGTTTGGATGGAGATTCGGGATAGGAAATTCGCAGACTCCGGTCATGGCCCGTGCGCGAGTGCAGCCATCGAACAGGAGCTAAAGTGCTGCAGGGGTGCGCTAGCGCTATCGATCTGATTTGTCGCGTGGCGTGTCTAGTGAGCGGATTCTCAGCGTGGGGTTGAAGCTTTATCGGATAAGATCTCGAGTACATAGCTGTCAGCGACCTCGGACTGGAGCAGCCAGCTTTCTTACATTCTACACACGAACCGCAGTCGTCTATAGGAATCCATCGGTGATATCGCTCGAAGCACGCAATCAATACAGGAACAGTTTGCCGATAATCATACATCGCCGGCATTCACACTTTGCTGACAGCAAATCGCTACACATCCACCTGTGCTGAACTTGAGTCCCCTTCTGCCAACGTCATGGGCCGGCGCAGAATAGCAGCAAAGTCTGCGCGGTTAAAACATGCCCCCATTCTTGAACAAGCCAGGGAGTCTGGTCTGTTAATGCCTACGAGTCTTACAGTATGGTAGCAGTACTGACTTCTTCTGTCTTCAGACCTCCTTCCAAAGAGCCTCGTCAATTTCCTGCATGCGCTTCCACGGGACACTACACCACCGGCCGAGGCAGATGAACGCCCTGCGAAGCGTGCCAGAGTCGAAGTCGCAGAAAACGCTGAACATCCTAAGGCGATCACAATCGCCCGAGAATCATTCACCTTAGCTCGACCCAGCCGCGAAGATACTGCACCTGACGAGCATGGCGCATTATCCTGGGAAAATGCCGGGGAATACGTCAGGGTGCAGTTCAGTGAGCGCACCAAGTGTCTGACCATTTCTTCCAGACCGAAGTCGCCCTATGGGGCGTTCAAGGCAGAGATATTCTTGAGCCAACCCAACTTTTCACGCGCTATTCTCACGACGCTGGAGGTATTGAACCAAGAGCGAAATGATGAGCCCAATGGGGGAGCTTTGGTTGTCAAAACCCACATTACTCTGGACAAGACAACCAAACAGGACCATCTACGTTTCTCCTTTGAGTTGAACTGGAAGCCTGCAACAATATTCCCACGTCATGCCGCTAAGCGGGCCTTGAGTCAGCTTGTTATGGACACTTTCTTCGGACCTGCAAAGGACAGTAACATCTCTAAACCTCTTCAACCTCAGGATTTCTACGAGGCTGCATTCATGCCCGACGATAGCCACACAGATCTATCATCAATAAGAGTTCCGGGACTGGACTCGAAACTATACCCGTTCCAGCGCAGGGCCGTGCAATGGCTCCTGATGAGAGAAGGAGTGAAGTATGTTGAGGAAGGCCCCGAGACAGGTTCACAACTTGTACCACATTCCGTACCGTCATCATCCGGGATGCCGTTATCTGTCAAGCCGTTCACGGATGCGGATGGTCGCTCAGCCTTCGTCAGCAATCTTTATCACATGGTGGCTAGAGACATCACCCCGTTTCGCCAGATGGAAGCTAGCATTAATGGTGGTATACTGGCCGAGGAGATGGGGCTGGGCAAGACTGTCGAGATCATTAGTCTGATCTTGATGCACAAGAGGTCCCGTTTGCCTCACCCACCTGAGATACTGGACCTCCACACTGGCCAGAAACTACACCCAACAGGTGCGACTCTGATCGTCGTCCCAGGGACCCTGAAAGACCAATGGTTCTCTGAAGTGCAAAAGCATGCACCAGGCCTCCGTGAGATGGAATACCATGGCCTCAAGTCCAGGGAATATAGGAAGAGGTTTCAGAAAGAAGGACCAGATGCTGAAGCTCGTATCATTGCCGAACTTGCGGCCTCTGATATAGTGATTACAACATACAATGTTCTTCAGTCCGAGATCCACTATGCCGGAATTGCGCCAGATCGCAACATGCGGCAGCAAAGACAACACAACCATATCAAGTCTCCCCTCCTCCAAATGTCTTGGTGGCGAGTGTGTCTTGATGAAGCACAGATGATTGAAAGGGGTGTGAGCAATGCAGCCACTCTAGCACGAATGATCCCTCGGGTCAACGCGTGGGGTATAACGGGCACACCTGTCAAAGACAGTACCAGGGACCTCTTGGGTCTGCTTCAGTTTCTCCGTTATGACCCCTTTGCTTCCTCGCAGGCCATCTGGCATGGACTACTCACGAGCCACCAAGACCTTTTTTTCACTCTTTTCAACCAGATCGCGTTGAGACACAGCAAACGTGCTGTTCGACATGAATTGAGCCTGCCACCGCAGAAGCGTTTCGTTGTCACTATGCCTTTCACGGCGATTGAAGAGCAGAATTACCAGGCCGAGTTCGGGAGACGAGCCCGGAGCTTTGGGTTGAACGAGCTGGGATGTCCCCTGGAAGAGGACTGGGATCCTGACGACCCAAACGTCGTAGATCTCATGAAGCGAGCCCTGGCTGGTCTCAGACAAACAGTCTTGCATCCTGGACTGGGTCCAGGCGGACTACCCGTTGGAGCTCAAAAGAACAAGCCTCTCCGAACCATCGATGAAGTGCTGGACGCCATGATTGATCAGTCTGATTTTAATGTCAAAACTGAACAACGAACCTGGCTGATTAGCAAGTTGAAGAGAGCCCAGCTGCTGGATAACTCACCGCGGGTTCGGGAAGCTCTCGCCATTTGGGAAGAAGTACGGGAGGATATTCAATCTATTGTCGCCGAGTGCCGCAAAGAGCTGGAAGCAGAGGTTGTGAAAGCCAAGCAAGCGGAGCTCGAACGCAGGCTTGAGGAAGTTGAAGCCGCCGCCAACGACAACCAAGGCAAAACCGAAGCTAACACATCAAGAGTTGGCGAGTATCGACGAAGACTCCGGTCCGCACTTGACATCGAGCACAGAGTCGTTTTCTTCATCGCCAGTGCTCATTACCAGATTAAGTCGGATGAAGATATGACCAAGCCGGGCTCTGACAAATTTACGCGGTTGGAGAGACGCGAGACCGAGGGATATGAGCGGGCGAAGGAGATTCGCAGAGAGATCCTGCAAGAGCCACATGCGAAAGTCTCGGGTTTCTTGTCTAGAACCGAAGAGCGCGCAAAGTCTCAGTCATTCGTGGAGATACCGGAGATCAAGTCTTCTCCTCATCGGGGCTTATTATTACGGAGCAGAAATACGTTGGAGGGCCTAGAGAAGCTTGGCACATCGCTTAACGTGCAAGCCAACCTGATCGACGAGTGGCGCGAGCATGTCATTCAACTGTTGCTCAAGCCTCTCGTCGATGCAGAACCCGAAGAAGTCACCGGTGACGAGTACGAAGACTCGACGAAGATCCAAGAGGATCTGATGGTCTATACTCTTGCTCTGAGGGCTGTCATTGCTGATCGACAAGACGCTTTGTCCGGCTCAACAAACGAGCGAGTCCGATATGATACACAGTTTGCCGAACGACAGGCAAAGAATGGAGAGGGGGATGCGCCTGAGAAAGTTCTGTCACTCCTGCGACATCGCGAGGAAGTCAGACCGCAGCCACAGGGATCATCTCTCCGCACCACGGTTGCGTACCTTAAGCAACTGGTCACCGATCTACGAGACGATACTGAGGACGGCAGCCTTCAAGCCAGGATCGAGCTGGATATTGTTCTCAAGCAGTTGAAACTGTCCCAGCAACAACTGACGGAACATACCAAGGTTGCTGCAAGCCTCGAGCGAGAATTGGACCAGCTCACCTCGGCCATGAACGCTCGCGTGGAGTTTTATAAACAGCTACAAGCAGTGTCTGACACAGTAGCACCGGGTGGCCCAACGAAAGAGGCGGACCTCATGCGTGAATGGAACGTCCTGCAACGTAATGAACAGGACGCGGAGAAGAAACTGGCGCTTATGCAATCCAATCATCGCTACCGTAAGTTGCCAAGCTGCCCTGTGAAGATACCTCGTATATGTACTAACTTATCGTCAGTCCTGCACCTAAAGGAGGCCGGTCGAGCCTCGAACGGGCCCCAGACCTGCGTAATCTGTCAGTTCGACTTTACTCTGGGTGTCCTCACCATCTGCGGTCATCAGTTTTGCAAAGACTGCATGATGACGTGGTGGAAGGCTCACCGCAACTGCCCTCTTTGCAAGACCAAGCTCGGTCCGGGGTCGATGCACGACATTACGCTGAAGAAGCAAGAACTGAAGCTACACCAAGAGCAGCCGCATAACCCTGACAACCCACAATCACGCAAGATGAAGAAAACTGGCATTTATTCCGAATTCAGCAAAGCCAAACTCGATGCCATCCAGAACATCAAACTTCAAGGACCATCATATGGAACAAAGATTGACACAATTATCAAGCATCTTCTCTGGTCGAAGCAAGAAGACCCTGGCTCGAAGACAATTGTTTTTTCGCAGTTCCGAAAGTTCTTGGACGTCCTCAACGTGGCGCTTGCGCGGCAGCCCATCAACTATTCGACGTTCAACCATGGAGGAATCGACAGGTTTCAGAATGACCCTATGATCAATTGTCTCCTAATGCCCTCCAATGCATACGCAAGTGGCTTGAATTTAGTCGTTGCGAACCACGTCTTCCTCTGCGAACCTATGATCAACACCGCGTTGGAACTGCAAGCCATCGCACGAGTGAACCGCATTGGTCAGAAACTTGAAACTACAGTGTGGCTGTACCTTGTAGAAGGCACCGTTGAGGAGTCCGTCTACAACTTATCCGTCCAGCGACGACTGAAACACATCGGCGAGAGCGGCAAGGGAAAAGGGAAAGAGAAGGAGACCCCTGGAGTCTCTGACCTGGACCTGGAGGACGCCAATTCGATGGAGCTTCAGCAGGCTGCCTTGGCGAAGCTGATGAATAAAGACAAGGACCTAGGAGAGGTCGTGGACAAGAACGATCTCTGGGAATGCCTTTTTGGGCACCTGGATAAGAGCGGTGAATCCGCCGCGGGCCCGGACGAGAGAGGCGAGAACCCTGCGATTGTGGGGTTCCTGGCGGCCGAAGCGGCCGAGGAGAGAAGACTGGGCAATGCCGGAGGAGAGGCAGAAGCCGGTCCAAGCACATGAGGAATGCGATACACGACATCGGCGTTGCTGAGAAGATTTGGCTTGATACCCTTTGCATTTGAGGCGTTCTGGTTGGTAGAGGCTGGTGGGCTCCTCTGTTTAAATCTCCGCGATGCCTTTATACCCACACTTTTCTCCTTCTTTTCCTACCAGTCTGTTTGACAATGCGAATCTCCTTCACCCACATTACCTGGGCTTGCCTGCAGGTACCCTTTCCTTATCCCATCCTCAGATGAACTTCTATCCATCTCTTGGGCACGACTGGATCGAACCTCGCAGCTCGCCGAGCCGTCATAATGAACAACCTGGGTCATCACGCCAGCCCTGGGAGGGTCCGGGGAGTCTTTCGCGAGCTTTTGGAACTCTTCGAACCACCGATAAGATTGACAAGGAGAAGCTCAAAACCCTCATTGGTGAAGATGGCGGGACTAGATATCTCTGGTCTGGTATAAGACTGAACTGAATAGGTTCCTGTGCGACAAGCAGTACGGCAGTCACAACGTGATTGTAGTGCAGAAATACGCCGAACTACAACAGTTGAGAATCGACATTCAATCCAGCAGAATCTTGGTGCTTGCATGGACTATGTCCGACACGAACCTGGCTGGGGAATTTGATGCGGCTTGAGGATGAGCTACGTTACTGCGACCAACACAGCCCTTACCTTATACGATACCGGCGCCGTTGAGCAGGTTTGGCATGATACCCTTTGCATTTGAGGCGTCATGGCTGGTAGAGGCCGGTAGGCTCTGGACATCTCCGGTCTGGTATAGGGCGGTTGGTCAGGAAAGCTTTGGTCATCTAGCATGATGTTGGTTGGCCAGATTCCTCCTTTTGCACCTAGACCAATAGATAGTTTCACCGGACTGGTTCTTCTCCCGCTCATGAGAGGTCTCCACGATGGATTTTCGTCCAGATAGAGAACAACAGAATCTGGCGTTTCTGAATTGAGTGGTTTCAGACTTGTTGCCCATCCCTCGTGCTTTGTGATGAAAGCTGTGGATGGTAGAATAATGACCGTAGCTGTCACGACTACAAGCTACCTGGTAGTATTGAACATGATCTGGCTGGGCAATTTGATGCCCTCATGGATTTCGGTCTCTGGGATAAGCATGCTCTTGCTTATTTGCAGTGCTCGTGGGCCAGGACGTAGGAACATGCGACCCTTGGGCAAGCCCAGCCCATAGGTACATATGTCAGCTGGAGCCTCGTCCTACCGCAACTTTCACATGGGACAGTTGCCCCTTGCATTGCCAGCCCAGCCCAGCCCAGCCCAGCCCGGCGGCTGGGTTCACTATCGAACGCAACGCAACGCAACGCAACGCAACGCAACGCAACGCAACGCAACATACCATTGCTGCTTACTACTCTTGACGCTGTGTCTCCCCACACGCGCCCGAACCAATCCTCCGGAGAACGGATACGACCCCTGAACCAGAGGCAGAACCGGTATGGGTGGGCGTCTGTCTGTGGTGGATGGCCGGGAAATAGGGGATATGTACTGTACTGTACCTGCGCAGTAAGGTAGGTATGCACCCCTGACGAGACCACGTGTATCGCCACTTTATTCTGGGATGGGTTGGTGTGCCCGTGTGGCATCCAGCCAGTTCCGGACAGTTCAGGATAGTTCAGGCCATTCTAGGTCGGACCAGATGAGGTTGGGGTTGATGCAGTTGGCTGGCTGTACTATTATTACACCATCGCCACATGTCGGTTGAACTCGCTCGATGTCCAGCCCTGCTGCATTGCATCAACGATGACCGATGTCGGGCGTCGTCACGGTGAGGTCGTCGGTGAGCGAGTACGGTAAACCGGCCAATGTCAGGGCGGCGTTGGGGGGCATTGCCCACTTATACGTGGTTGTTGGTATGTATATATCATGTCTCTCTATCTCTGAGTCTCTCTGTCTGTATGTCTCTAAGTCTCTGTGCCCCTATCAGCCGGCAGCCAGTCAGCCAGCCAGTCTGACGTGACGTGACAGCCAGTCTCTCTCTCTACTGTGTACTCCTACTCATGTGCACTAACCCACCTCCCCCCCTGTCATCTACAGACCTTCTATTCCTTCCGTCGCACTGCAGGGATGTTGGTGGCGTCTGCAGCATCAATATATGAGAGCGCCAATGCATGCATGCATGCATGCTCCTTACCATGTGGCGATATGCCATGCTTTATGTCGATCATGCCTGATCCGGCCGCATGGGATCTATATATGATCTATATATATATATATCTGTATCTAGATGTGTGTGTGACTGTCCGGGCCTGGACGTGTGCGTGTAAGAGAGACTGAGCATGCAATGCAACACATTCCCGAGTGCGCACTATTGGGTTGTATGCGTGCATCTCTGTACAGTACTTATGTAGGCATGTCGTATTGGGATAGATACTGTGATAGATTGAAGGACGTCGCCTCTCCTGTTCCTGGCTTGCTGCAGCGCAACCTTCACAACGTGGGCAGCCAGCCATGTCGTGGCTTGTATGTAGCCGCGTGGCATTCCCTCTCTTTCAATCCAGTACCTACCTTAAGTAGTAGGTAGCTAAGGTCAGCCGCAAGCGTGCAAGCCCCGACGTGACGCAGTCTGCGCAGTACTTATCGAAAGGACGACTAACGCAGCCACATAGGCAGGCGTGATATATCGACCTACCACATCGCCCGTTAGCCGAGTCTGCAGCAGAAAAAACGTGGTATGGCTGTCCTAAGAGCAGGGCTGCGGGAGGTCGACCAGTGGCGTAATATTTGAGTCTGACAACTGGAGAACGGCGTGGTTGAACTGGTCAGCGCTCTTGGGTACATAGCTGTCTTACTGACCCGGACGTAAGGGTTTACCAGAGGGCTGGATGGTCTGCCTTACGATAGACCGACTGGGGCAGAGCCTACAGGCTGGTTGGTTCCGGTAGCTCAACGGCGAGGCCGACGGACACTGCAGCCAGCCAGCCAGCCTCGTCTCAGGCGCCGTGACTACCGTAACTACCCTCCGGGACCTTGTAGGGCTGCATACAGGTTATGACTCGCGGTCACGTCTGCACTTGAGCTCTGGTGAATTCAACGAGTAACCGCCGTGGACTAAGGATGTATATCTATTCTATACAAGATGTGTATCTAAAGGGGGGACGGGGAAGTGGGACGACCCGACAGTCTATGAGTCTCTTTCTCGTACAGTAAAGTAAGGAAATGATAAATAGTACATGCTGTTTCGTAAACATTGCCAATGATCCCTCCCTGACCTTTCTATGCGCCGACTGTCGTTGTGAGCTCGTGATAAAGAGAAAGTACAATCTGTGGGTTGAACGAGAGGGGCACTATGCTAACAGGAAAGCTAAAGGAAGGTCGGTAGGACTGTCTTTCCATACATGTCGTTGTTACTCGTATTCTAGCCAACAGGGGATAGGGTTTCAATGCAAGCCCTCAGCCTTGGTTGTTTCTCCAGCTGGGAGCCCAGCGTGCTTCGCAGCAAGGCCGTAGGCCAGGAAAAGGGCGGCAGGACTCATTCCGCCTTCATGACCCCAGAGTCCTGCCTTCCCGTCCGATCAGGTCTGATGCGAAGAGCTGCCCCCGCCGTTATTCTGATCGTAGTCGTAGTCATAATCGTAATAATACGCCGACTGCTCGTCATAATAGCGGTCATCCCCACCACTGCTGTCGTGGCTGCCATAACTTCCCCCTGTCTGATGATACTGCTGCTGCTGCGTGTAGTACCCGGACGAAGAGGCCTGGTACTGCGCTTCGTCGCGGGGGTAATCATCTCTGCCGCTCCCGCGTCGGCTCTCGCTCTCGTGGCCCCGCGCCACGACGTGACGCATGCTGATCCCGCCCCAGGGCAGGCCGGAGAGCTCGTCGTCGGCGGCGGCGCCGAGGTCGGTCGCGTCGGGAACATGGTAGCTGCTGCCAGCGTACTCTTGGTTGCGCGAGTCTCGTTCTTCCCTCTCCTTCTGATCCTTGGCCTTCTCTCCTGTTCACGTTATGTCAGTGATGGGCCCCTGCGTGATCTTGTCTTGGTATTAAGGAGTGCGCCTCGTACGGAATTTGCGTTGCGCGATCCTGTTTTGAATGCGCCGTCTCTCCTCGGGCTCTGTGATTTCGGTCCAGTCGTCAGATTTGGGCTTGGACTTGGCCTTGGATGAATGCTTCCGCGAGCTCGAGTCTTGGTGCTTGGAAGAGCGTGAACTCATCTTCGGCTCAGCTTCGGTTCCTGTGTCTGAGTCTGAGTCTCGTTCTGTCGGTGACCTTTCCCTTTGCTCTAGGCTCGTCGTCTGGGAGATAGTCGTTGAAGCTGTCGGAGGACTCGTAGTGATCTCGGTTGTTAGGTTTCGAGGGTCCCGTGGATTATTCTCTCGAGTCTCAGCAATGGTTTCCGAGGAAGAGTACAACACTGGATTTCCTTGAGTGTCGGGCATCTGATAATGCGTAGGAAGTCCCAGCTCGATGGGTCAAGGTCTCTTTCTTATACGCGAAGACAGCAGAGCAGACGTGTGAGATTCATGACCACGTCCTAGATGCCACCAATGTCCCTCCGGGCACTCTCCCCTGGCAGATGCGATGCAACCGTAACGTGAGCTATGATAGTGTCTAACAAGGATGTAGTCTAGAGGATGATGTCGCAACAGGACTCTTGTCGTAGTGTCTGGGCGAAAGCTGAGGCGGAGTCTTGTGTGTCGGTGAGGCTTAGGACTCGAATACTGCTCTCTGGATACTTACAAGTAATAGTCTCGAATCAGCAGGCATGCTTATGTTTTCGAAGTGAAGCGCGAACACCGACATCCAGAACTGGCCATGCGATGACAACAGTAGCAGCCGCACTGGAGACTGAACCACAGTTACGGCTGCTTGCAGGTCCGGATGCATGGATCGATAGCTGATGATCAGGCAAGGCTGTCTGGCAATAATACGACCCCAGCTGGAGTCTGTTAATAGGTACTTCTCATTACTTGGGCGAGTGGTGTGAGGAAGCATCGAGATGTTGGAGTAGCAGAACAAATGGCCCCCAGTGGAGGATCGTGCCGTATATGGGACGCTGGCATCGTGACATCGTCAGACAACCCCTGAAGGGCGTCGGGAAGGTTGCGAGCCATGTCAAACCCCCCCATTAACTCGGACAAGCACCCGGGCAGGGTCTTGATCTAAGTGATCGACAGGGCCAAGACCACGATAGAGATGTTGACACCAGGCTGGGATCTTTGCAGCTCTGGGAAAATAAGCGAGACGGGCCAGCCAAATACGAAGTACGATGTATGTCTAGGTTAGAAGCCGTAGAGACATGGATGACACAAAACCTCCTCCCATTGGCAGATATCCTTCTTGTCCTATCGTCACCAAGGCCGCAGGGACAGCCGGCAACCCATTGACACTCACGAGTACCTAGCCGGGTGGGGTTAGCTTGCATGAGGTGGCTGCCAGGGCTGCCCAGTCTTAATCTAGATGATCTCACAGCCGAGGACACAGAGTGCAACTTGACTGGACTATGTCAGTATCTTCAAATATAGGTTCCAGGTAATGAGAAGTCTTGCTTCGATTACCAATAGAGCATTGAATATAGACAATCATGGATCCATAGTCCACATATAATCTATAGTCTAGTCGGGGGTATTTTCCGTCAGTAGAAGAAAGCAATCTGCTTTGACGCCCTTGAACGTTTTCCTCTGGTCGAGGAGACCAGGGCCCTGTGCGATCTTGACCAATGGTGGTGATAGGCGACGACGGATATAGGATCGCGGTCTTCCAATGTGACCGAGCACGATCCCGGGATAGGGAACCCATGAAACAGGCAGACAGGGTTCTTTTCGATGCCGTCGACAACCCCACCTGATTGTCAATGTCATCATCCATCCTGGTTCAGCGTCGAATGTGTAGCGGTGGTTCGTAGGATCGTTCGCTGACTACTGGATCAACGCTGGTCTTGGCCCAGCAATGAGCGAAGATCTATCGACAATAATAAAGCACGTCCCAGGGAAAATAAGTCCAAATCAACATCTATGTTTCGCGGCTTGCGTGCGGCTGAAGCGCAATGCTTCTGAATATCGACTCGTTGATACTCTTTCAGAGGGAACCTAGACTGTCCAGCTGATCGGAAGTGGAATTCCGCCATCGCAAGGGTATCGGCACCCCTGTCCACACTCTCTGCATGCCGATTTCGGCAACCGATTCGGGGAACCCAGCCATGTAGGAATGGCAGCTGCCGAGTCTGCAGATGCGAGATTGGCGGGATCTATATCCTGGTATGTTCCGACTATAAAGGGATGTGGCAAACCGTAACCGGATGTAATAGCGTGTAGACTGCATGATGTATGTTTCCAGGCCCCATTTGGTCTGGCCCTATTCTGCATCAACACTTGTTCATCTTGGTATGCTCAAGCTTGCGTCTAACAGTTCTCCCATATGTACGATTCTCCTCGATGATCCATGGGTGAATGCAAGCCGTTGGAAGAGGACACCGAGGCGAGGCTGTGAGAGAAGTCCAAGCCAGTGTATGTTAACACATCAGATGAAGATTCTGCCTTGCTCTGCCAAGCTCAAGCTCAAGCTGCAGGGTTCCTTGGATGGAGGCGCCCGCCCAGTTTGAGCTGGAGAAACATCGGGGAGCTACCGCCAATAGTCTGTATGCAGGCGGGAAGGATTAGGCGAATATAGTTGCACGATGGCATCGCACACCACGTGGATGATAGATTCCTACGCATATGTAGGGGTTGTTCGCGGATGCTTTTCCGCCTAGCTTTCAGCTCCTCAGCTCTTCAGCCCTGGTAACGCCCACTAGACACTGATGTGGCTGCAACCACGTGTTATACCCTGCTGCTGACGAGAGTACCAGTGGTAGGCGGGAGTAACGATGTGCATACTTCTCGTGGCTTTGCAATAAGTCACGCGGCCAGGGAGCCACCATTGCTCGATGACGAGCCCGAACACACTGCGTCAGGAAATCTCAAGCTGATGTCTTTTCGACAACCTTGGAGCTGGGTACGGGACTCATCCGGGCGATGGCTGAGCGATTGCTAGAAAGCCCCTGCGAATCTCGGACTCGGCAGCTGTCTGTGTTCGGCCGAGCAAAGGAGATGCCAGCTATAGCCCGGGAGATCAGATCCTGGAGTGGCACATACCGGCCAAGGAGCTTTCAAAAGATGCGCCTATCGACCGTGGACAGCCAATGTCATCAACACCACCGTTCAGGCCGTGGCTCGACGTTCGAAGCAGAACGTTTGGAGATAAGCCGCAGTCACAACTGCGATTTGGCTCTGCGCAAGCCGGGAATAAACCGTGTGCCGTTGAGTGTCGACCTGGGTGTGTCGACAACGATTACAACCCCTGAGAATCTCAGACACTCGATAGAGCCCTCGGTCTCCGTGAACGCGTGCCGGGTAAGCTACCTAGAGAGCCTTACCTTCCCGCAATCTCACCATCAGCCCTATGTCAGTAGTGGCGCCGATGCATGTCTTGGTCTGGCGATTCGGTCGCCCGCACGTTTTCAACGGGATGCTTAAAGAACCTTGCCGTAGTCATTCGTTGAGATACGAGTCTTAGTTGACGCCGACAGAGTAGTGTGTATTGCGTAGTACAAATATGAGGCGGTTCCAAGGCGTTGGCTTTTGGCATCGCAGCTTTGCGTCACCTCCACCCCCGAATGCATGAGGCCCTGCTAGTGACTATCAGGTTCGCCCTGTCAACCGAAACCCGATGACGTTGGGAGAACTACACGACAGAGGTTTCATTGCCTTGCCGAGATGCTGCTGGATCGCCTTTGCCTACCGGAGTGTTCCTCATCATACACATCTCGGGACTGCAGGGTTCGGGTATGATACCGAAGCTGGGGACATTGACGTAGATTAATATTGTTCCCTGATCTGGAAACAGATGGTGATTTTGTTCCTAAAGAACAGTCTGTCGTGGTAGGAAGAGTCAGGTCCAGTCGTCTGAACCAGGCGATAGGCACAGGGCATGGCCTGGTTGATCTACTCAGGCATAGCGCGCGACATATCACATAAGCTGGCATTCCAACCCATACATAGCCCTCTCGACAGCTCTCTTGACCTGATACCAGTCGGCCCTCCTCTCGGCGAACTCATAAACCTCCTCGGCTCGGAATATCCCACCAAACCGATCGCCGTCGGCAATAATCGTCGCCATCTCCTTGGCGTGTTTGGCGTCGATCAGGTAGATCTGACTCAGTTCGCGCAGCGCTTTGAAGTACGCCAACAGGTCCTGGTTCCTGAGCGTGCGGATATAGTCAAAGTACAGAGTCATGTCCGCGATCAGCTTGATTGCACCGTCCGTGCTGATGCGCTGGCGCTTGAGGTGCTTGCAGACAGCCGTGAACAGCCGCAGCCCAACCTCACTGTTGAAGACGTCCAGCATGGTCTTCTCCGTACTTCCTACCAGCATCTTCGTGTGTGAAGACACAAGTTCTGTTATACGTTTCGCTGTGGTTGTAGGTCCGATATCGAGGTCTTTTGACAAACCCGCTTCTTGAGACGGCGGGGGTGGATTGTAATCCGTCGGGAGTTGTGTCGTGGCGCATAGGTATTCTACTTCGTCCATGAGCACATCGATCCCTTTGTTGAGCCCGGCTGCAACGCTCTCATCCAACATCTGCTCGAATTTCTTCTTGGCTAGACCAGCGGGGTCCATAAAATCGTTCTTGTCAGCGATTTTTGGTGCTGCGAGCTGCTGTTCATAAAAGACGTCGATCATTTGCGAGATAATATCGCCCACATTGACCAGCTCGATGAACATGACGAGCGGAGCGACCCCCGCCTGGTTATGATCACTGATCTCACGAGGATTGTATCGTGAGAGATGATCGACAGCCTTCGTAAACCCATTCTTGACATGTGTCTGCCCAAGCACTTTGAGCAAGACCACGAACATGGCTTCGCATTGCTCCCGAGCCTCCTCTCCTGCGTGTCCACCTAGGCGAACGAACTTAGCTGCCCGACCCAAACTTGTCTTTGCGGCATGCACAAGACTCAGGGCGACTTCGATGCTGAAGAGACTTCTAATCCCTTCCAGCCGATTTGCCATCAATGCAGCTTTGGCGTTCAGTTCGTCCTGGGGTGCTTCGGAAGGCAACGGGCTGCCTGACCGTTCGAGACCTCCCCCGATACCCGGTGTCTGTGGCCGAGACGATGCAGGCGTACCAGCCGCGGCAGGCCGGAGCGAGGAGCCGTTAGTAGGAGCTGTCGAGGCGGTTTTGCTGCCCCCAAAGCTGGGAAGTACAGTGGCAGGCATCATCACCACTTTCTTGAAGGAGCTCAAGAAGTCATTTTTGTCGGTTTGGCGGTTGAAGTTTCCCATGTAGAACGACTCGACCGTTGCATCCTGCTCTGAAAGCTTCTGCTCCCAGTCACCGACCTCTTTCTCCGCATATTTGGTGAAACTGTCCAACTCTTCTTGCAAGTACAGATCCAAGTGCGGCTCAAATACCATGAGAGCTATTTCCTTCGCATGATCTTCCAGCGTCCCCTCCGAGTTATTCGGTGGCTCGAGTGAACGTACAAATTCCATGCACTGCTCAAAGAGACCTGATACGGCTCGTAGGTAGGAAGTCATATGTCGTTGGTGGGCGTCGTCCAGTAGCGGAGTGATGTATTCCATGATGATGTCTTCCCGAACCTTGTCCGCGAATGACCAGAACACGGTGGCAGCTTGGGGAAAGATACGACTTATAATGTCGCTTTGCTCATTCACTTTCCCCATGAGCAGTTCGAAGAACGCACGGGAAGGCTCGAGTGTGATATCGTCGCGATCGGCTTGGTTGATGCAGTTTATCGGATTACCCAGCGCCTCTCGATCGTTGAATATTGGATGTTTGTGGATGAAAAGTTCCATGGCTGCATTGCCCCCATTCAGTGCATGTAGGACATGCGCGTATCGTTGCATTCTGCCATCAACGTCCCAAAACTCGTAACCTTGCTCAAATTCTCGCAAGACCGCACCTTCGAAGATGCTTACCATGTTCACAACTTTCTCCTCTCGTTGAAACCACCCTTCGGCCCAGTCACATCTGCTGAATGTCTGCAGGTTGGAAAGCATTTGGGCCTGCCTCTCGGGATCTCGGAAGACCCTGAATACGATTGGTTCGGTATGTGTCTTTGCTCGTCCTAGATCGAAGTAGAAAGGTGCCAATGCACCATATATCTTCCCGAACTCCTGTCTCGCGTAACCCCGTATGCTACGGACGTTCTTGAGGACGTCTGTAAGTGCGGCGGGGTCTTCCAACGGAGATTTGGAACGTTGGGACGCGTTCAGGCCCAGTGTTTCGAAGCCGTCCACTTTCGCCTCTGGTGGCTGAGCAGCTTCGGCTTCCTGCTTCTTGCGTCGTTCCTCCTCTACGGCTGCATCGAAAATCGTTGTGTTTTCCTGTCTAACGGCGGTTGGGGTTGGTGCGCCGTTTGCATTGGCTCGTGCTGCGGCGGCGCGCTTCCTCTTCATGGCTTCTTCGAACCTCCGCCGTGCTTCCACCTCGTTCCAGCAGCCCATGCTTTTCAGTCTTGCTATCCACCTTGTGTCATCGTAAACCATTTCGCGCATACGCGAAGACGTCCTCGCAAACCGAATCTGATCCGAGATGGGCAGGTAGTCGAGGATGGCAACCATGATCTCTAAGTACAGAGTCAGCATCGCGTACTGGAATACAGCACTGACTTGATGCTTACCGGCAGGCAATGCAGCCTTCGTGTCTACCATCGAAGTCGCTTGCAGCGTGCTCAGGATACTTGGCCTGCCCGGCTGCGGTGCCCTCCTAAACGTAGACATCGTAGCCTATGTAATCCGCGTGTCCGTTCGCGCCCCTACTTGAGGTTGTCGACGAAGGGTGGTGGGGATCCGGCTGCAAGTCAAAATATACCTGATAGCCATGAATGCACGTTAACCTGGGCAACGAAGAAGAATCTCGAGCCTTAGGAGTGTATGCGAATCATTGAGCCAGGTCGATTGGGCGAATTCATTATGGTGATTACCTACCTACCTTGTTCCTCTACTCCATCACAGCGGGGCATGTAGCTGACAATCGCCACCAGCTGTCAAAGGGAGACTTGGAGCAAAAATACTGACCGCCTTTGTACCTGCCTCGACCCCAAGATCCAACCTCCGCATCGGCTGCTAGCCCTATGGGGTTAGAGCCCAGAGCTATCCCACTTTTGCCTTATCGCCCGATTGGAGTGATTCCAGCACCGCCAAAATTGAGTTTTCTGCTCGGATTCGCAGGCCAAAAACGAAGATTCGAGCTGCACCAATCGTGAAGCCCGTCTCGGAGGCTCTGCCGCAGCGACAAACTTCTCCCTCAGCTGAGGCATTCTGTCTCTAGTTGATATTCCTCTTTCCGACGTTAACCTCCCGTCTCCCATCCAATACTATTCACCCCTTCCACCGCCGCAATGTCGACTGCCCCAGTGGAGAACGACGGCACCTGGCAGAGGCTGGATCCAGTCCAGCTTCGTAAGGACGCCGAGGCCAAAGGTACTACTGTATTCCCCCTGCACCACGCACACTTGCTAACCTTGGTGTAGAGGCAAAGCTCAAGCGACAACAAGAGCAACGTCTTCTTCGAGCCGATGCACGCCGTGAGAAACGTCATTTGAAATCCGAGGCCAAGCAGGCACGAAAAGCGAATGTCAAGCGTGCTGCCAAATGGACGGACGAGCGCAAGGCCCTCGACAAGGAGAAGAAGCTCGCCAATCGCCCCCACAAACAAGAGAAGCGACGCAGACGCATGCGCCTCCGCGCCGACAAGCTGGAAGCACAGGCGCGCAAGCTGATGGCCGAGGCACAAAAGGCTAGAGCTCGTGCCGACTTGCTGGATGAAGTGAAAGCGGTATGTCCTCCTTCATTTCTCATCCTCTTCCTTTCTCGTGACTAATTGTGTGTACAGAAAGAGGAAGCGGTCAAGAACAAGCTTCGCAATGAGATCGATGAGATGGCAGCCGACCCCGAGAACGATAACTACATTCCCCTAGATACTCCGGAGCAGATGGAGAAGAAGCAGAAGAAGAAGGAAGCGAAGCTGGAGGAGAAGGCTCTCGACCACATAATGGAGGAGGAGCTCGGTCCCTCCATCACCGCGTCCGGCCGACACATCGAAGCCGAAAAGGAGAAGAAGCGGAAGAGAAAGGAAGAGAAGCGAGCCGAGAAGCGCAAGCGGGAGGCAGAAGAGGATGGCTCCGCTGAGCAATCTGGGGACGCTATGGACGTTGACGTTGCAGATGCTCCTTCGGCTGAGGTCGAGGCACCCAAGGACAAGAAAAAGAAGAAGAGAAAGACGGAGGAAGCTCCCGAGATCAATGGCGATGCCGAGGTCAATGGTGACGCTGAGGTTAACGGGGATATCGAGATAGTCGATGATGTCGATGCTCCCAAGGAGAAGAAAAGCAAAAAGAAGAAGGAAAAGAAGGAGAAGAAGCAGCGCGAGTCGGCCGAGAAGTATGTGTCCACGCCTACAGCCGAAAGCGAAGCCAATGCTGACGGCGGAGAGCAGTGGAACGTCTCAGCCCTAGAGGGTAATGACAAAAGAAAAGAGAAGTTCTTGAAGCTTCTTGGAGCGAAGAAGTCCAACGGGGCAGCAAAGGGTCCTGCTGCATCGGCAGCATCTCAGACCGATATTGCCAAGGTGCAATCGGACTTGGAACGTCAGTTTGCCTCGGGGATGAGAATGAAGAATGAAGGTCAGGGTCACAAGAAGGGACTCGGTGCTTGAACTCACTCTCGGGTCATGTATGCATACGGAAATGGCGTTCTTGGGAGAAAGGGGTGTCGCTATACCATCTGATATAGTTTGTTTCGCATTTGCGGGCAACAACAGAATGATCACTAGTCAAAACAGGCCTAGTAATTCATTGCAGCTTCTTGGTAACCACTACAGTCCATTATCACTGATGAATATGGCGCCAATGAATTCGACAGTCTTTGGGTGTGCAATCCCCTTGTGCGGCAGATAGGGGGCTGCCGAGGGTCAACCCAATCTGTGGTGCAATGAGCAACAACGAGGTATTCGTTCCGGCTCATTGACACTGTAATAATGGACGGACTTGCCGTTGGATATTGCACGCCAACCGCTGAAGCAGATACCTAGTCGTGATAGACAAACACCCACGCAACAAAAACCAATAGACAGTTCCGAACTCTCTCAATAATTCTCCCTCGTTCTATTGCGCGACGAGATCGAAGCTTCAAGCAGAAGCTGGTGCATACGCTCTGCTCCCGATTACATAGGTGATGTATATAGGTCAAAGCGCCCTGAACTTCCCAATCATGTGCTTCACCTCCGCTCTCCAGACAAGTATGTCTGCTTTTCGCGGTGTCCCTTCTGGACAGAACCGTAATTTGTTTCCTCCCACCCCCAGTGACCAGACAGTACCGTGATTTGTTTCTCCCACCCTCAGTATCACCAGCTCTTCATGGCGATAGACGTTCGAAGACCCGTCTGCTCGTCCACCCACCATCGAGACTCGCAGAAATCGTGTCTTCGGTTATCGGAAGAAGATGCGCGAGATGACCTCGAATACCAGGCCGCCGAAGACGACGAAGGCAAGGATAGCTGTAGTAGTGGCGCACGCCGCGTTAGCCCTATCCGATCCAGTCCAACCAAGCTGTTGTGGACTTGTGATATGTGGTAGAAAAAGGGGTACTAGGTTACTCACTCAGCCAGAACGGCGAGATGGGCGACTTGGACTTGGCCTTGGCCGTGGCGGTTGTGCGCTTCTTGATCTCGCTCTCCGACTTGCCCCGGCGCGCCTCCTGGTCCTTCACGAACTTGGCGTTCCGTCTGCGCTGCTCTGGTGTCTGGGCCTATGGATGGGGGAGAGGTTGTCAGTTCTTGGGGTCCTGAAGGTTGTAGCGATGGTCGAAGGAACCGACTCGAAGGAAGGAGCTTTAGGTTGGCGGTGTCTATCCGGTTTGAGGGGGCGGGATGGGACGGGACGTACCATTGTGTCTGTGGAAAGGGGTTGTGTAAAGAGAAGGTAGGAAGGAAGGAGCTCGAGGTCGTGAAAGGATTCGTCACGTCTTGGTGTCGTAGTCCCAAGTTCGTAGTTCGGGAACTTGTCGGCAGGTATCGTGGCAAGGGTCTGATTTATTCGTCGGTAGGTACAGTAATCGCAAACCCAGATCGTCGTCCGGAAACTCGATTTATAGAAGACGGGCCGTGGGAAGTGACAGTTCGACTCGAGAACAGTTGTCCGCTCGAGGAGGTTGAGTCACAATGGAAGCTGGCTGGTGGCTATTGTGGTAGTGGTGGTGGTGGTGTTGAGATGCGGCCACGACTGCAACTTATTGTCAAGCTCGATATGGACATGTGTCTACACCTACGATGGCATGGCATTCGGCATTGATAGCTCGATGCATGAGAACAAGGGACCTGCCAAGCCCCTTTAACTCCGCCAGTCATAGCTCAGGGTGCGGAACTCGCTGCTGATAATTATCAGAGGGGCCCCGCTCTATCAGGGGTCAATCGGATCTTCCCCACACTGCAAAGCCACATGTAGACGTGCGCCACAAGACAAGCCTCATTGGAATTTGGAGCTTGCCACATGCAGTCCAGAGGTCTCGAGAGCTTCAGATCAGGTCGCATCGTGACCCAACATCAGGTTTAAATCAAGCTTCAAGTTCTCCAAAGCTCAATATATCACACACACAATGCTTCCCAGACCAACCCAACAGCTAGCGCACCCGCTGCGCGCCCTCACATTACGGCGAACCGCCCCGTCCACAAGCATCCCACGCCTCTCCTCATCGCGCCTCTCCTCGTCGCAACTGCAACCACAACCACAACCACAATCCCAAGCACAACCGCGCGCGAAACCCCCGGGTCTGAATGCAAGCGCGCCCCCTCCAAAACCAAACCCAGTCTTCCCATTAACTCAACGGACCACAACAAGAACATAAAAGCTAACACCCGTGGCTATCCGCAGGCAGCCTTCTGGAAGACGTTCGGCCGGCCGATCGCCAAGGTCTTTCTAGGAGCCATCTTCACGTACCAGCTGGCGTACTACTTCTGGGTGCGGCTGGAGCACGACGAGGTTAAGAGCGATATGCAAGGTGCGTAACGAACGCAACACAACGCAAAGCCGAAGCGCGCGATAACCCCCTTGATGTCTTTATGGACCATAACACATACACGTGTGCGAGCTGCTGCTTAGTAGCAGAGGGAACGAATTCGCTGACAGGGTCTGTCTACCTCTACAGCGACGATATCCGATCTAGAGGCGCGGATAGAAGAGCTCGAGAAGGGGCGCAAGCGGTGATGGAGCAAACGGTGGAGCCGATGAAGACAAGAAGCCGACAAATTGTCAATAGTCAAGGATTGGGCCACGACATGACGCTCAGGTCGCGCTCGAAGCCTCTTTGTGCCCCCGCCGCTTCCTATACCCCGTAGCCTGAGTCTCGCGATCTGCCTCTATGGACATAGTCGGAGCTGGAAAGGGTAGATCATGGCTGGGGCCTTGTACGAGTAAGGGGCATATAGGACTCCATGTCAAAGTGCCTTGTGTTCGAGGGATGAGCACGGTAGCAAGATGTTGCCAACTACGAATGCTATGCCGGGACTGCGACATATGCCGTCGTATTGAAATCCTGTGGAAGGGCGCCGGAACAACGTCCGGTGCAACTGCATGTAAATAAACCCCAGAACGCCTACACCAATGCCATCCCTCTAGTGGTGCAATCCGCTAGCTTGTCATTAAACATAAGCCATGAAATACCCGCCCAACAGCTGGAGCTCAACACCGGTTCCTTTACGTTGTCCAACCTCCATTGATTTCCAACAAGGCATATACGGGGACTATGAACCAAGTACCAGGATAGCACTCATGAGTCCAGCCATGGCGATCCAAGGCACTGCCATCACATTCGCCTGGCTGGGATAATGAGCTGATCCGGGATAGTTGCAGGATAACTCGTTCCCGGGGTCTCGTATGGCGTAACTGGTATTGAAGCTGAAGACAGCGTTAGGTAATGGACATCCAAAGCCCAAAGATGCCGGGCAGCTCTGTATTATTTGATAGCATAAGTCGTCACAAGGCAACAGTTCCTTGTACGGTCCAGGTTGTACCGTCTCATCTATTTGTGTATTACGGGACATGTTGAAGGCTTTGCGCTCACCAAACATGCCCCTGATTTCCTCGTCGACGAACGATCCATTCGGGAATGGCGCATTGATGTTGCGCATTTGGAGGTAATTCGTGTCCGGTGCTGAGAAATCCTCGCAGCGTGGTATTGCAACCGAACAGAGCCAGTTCTTGTAGGCGGTCTTGCAGTCATCGCAGTCTCTCACTAGCGAATAGCGCTGTGTTGCCCCAGCCTGGCAAGGCACCTGCTGTAGGGACTTGTCAAAGTTGTCGTACATAGTTTGTGTGTAGTTTTGGTAGAACGCCGCAAGCGCTGTGCCATTGGGGAAGATGGCAGAGTTCCCAGGAACGGCGTATTGGGTCTCGTCGCACAAGGTCAAGTTGAAAACGAATGTACAGGCGCCATCTGAGACATGTTAGCAACCAAATATGTTTACGCCGGCCGTATTCCCATCCTTACCAGGTTTCGTCTCAAAATCGACAGCCCTATACACAACCGTACCGCCCTCGGACGCATCGGCTTGTCTCTTCTGGGTATCTGCACTGGGGACTTTTGCCACAATGCCCGAGTACTGAGAACTCGCATTGAGGCCGGTGACATAGAATTGTTCCGTGGTCAAGTTGGTCCCTCCTTTCTTCAGTCCAATCGATATCTGCTGACTCGCTCCATCATCCAGTAAGCGGATTTGAGCCCAGTTGCTCAAGCCGCAATACGAGTTTCGGATGCCGTTGATGTTCACGTTATCTTTATTCTGAGCGAACATGACGTATGGTGTTGTGGTGATGACCTGATCCGGAGTGCTGGTCAGATTGCGAGTGGTCAAGAGAGTAGACGCCGCATCACTGTCAACCCAAACAAGATTGGGTTCAGAGACTTCGTCATACGCGTGATAGGATCCGTTCGTGGACGCAGCAATTTCGAAGTTGTATGGCCTGGTGGTAGTGAAAAGTTGGTCAGAGACTGATGGAGCAGAGACACTAAAGTACACATCACGATCCAATGATGTATTGTACATAACAGCTCCTTCTGTGAATACGATGGTGTCCTGCTTTTCATCGGGCTTCCCCGGTCCGGGATCGGTGTTATCATCAGCGGTCGACACATACAGAGTGAGCTGCGGAGGGTCCATCGTTGTCTGGGTGGGCGAACTACGATCTGGCTGATCGCAGGTGTTTGCTGATATCCATAGGGTGGTTGACGATTGCTGGCGACGGGCATGTTCGGAGTTGACTACAAGGTCATCAGTGGCGTCGCCGTCTTCAGCCGTCCTTAGGGACACATTAACACTCCTCCGAAGTTCTGGTGACCTGTCCGAGTCCCCCGTTGACCTCTTGGTTGCTGAAGCAACTTGAAAGACGTATCGCATCGTGGTTTCGGGATCGAGATTGCTCTTCTGCGCATCGTTATCGCCGAGCGAGGTTACACCATCCGCAACCCTCCCTGTGATGCTTCGGTCGAAGAGCGAAAAGTCTGGTTCATACATTGGACTTCGGAGGTCGAGCGATTCGAGTGCTTCTTCGCCATCCTGTGGCTCGTAGGACCATCCATCGGGTGCATGGTTGCTGGTGAGTTGGCTGAGGTCGGCAGCCAGAGCAAATTGCGGAGAGAAGAGGAGCAAGTATATGACGAGTAAGAGACAGGAGGCTATCACAGACGCAGCCAGCCGCGACTGTAAGGGACTGAGTTGCATTCTGCGGACATAGCCCCGATGGGCATCTGACGGACGAGCTACGGGGTTTCCAATCGGTAAAAGCGAATGTCAAGAATGGCCGAAAGAGATGTCCTCCAGTAGGATCCTCCAGCACTGTTTAGCTCGCGCTCCTCATGCTGAGCGCAATGGCGACGCGCGTTGTTCAATTGGTGTCTTGAAACGATGCTCCGTGGTGCTGGATGGTGGACGTCGTCTGTTTCGAGAGGCGCTCCCTGGGCTCACGGAGAAGATGTCGTGCAATTGTTGGCGGTCGCTGATCAGGAAGGGTTTTGGCGATGTCGTAGGTAGGTACTTGAGGTGGGTATGGGAGTTTTAAAGTCGCAAAGCTGACAACTCACATGCGACACGCCGGCCCCTACCCGTGGAGTCTGGACCTGCCATCGTTTGGGGGGGGTCCTGATTGCCTCAGCTCCGTGCACCTTATCTTAGTGCGGTCAACTCTGGTCTGGTTGGCTAGAGCCAGCCACGTGTGGCTTGCTTCCGTCCTACACAACATGACCTCGAGTCAATACATCTCAGGTCTGCCTTCCAAACGGTGTGTATTGAAAGTCCGCTTTGGTTTAGCGATATACACGATGCCTCAATAAACAGCCTGTTCGTGGGCAAAGCAATGTCGACTGCCTTTAAAGGATACATCGATGGCAGACTGACTCGGGCAAATAAGACAGCAACGCCTCGAAGCCGGTACAGTCATCTCTTATATATACCGAAACACTTGTGTGCTGTCGACTTGTATGAGGCTATATCGGCGCATTGCTTGCATCGCTCTCGCAATCTGGGTTCGCTTCCGCGTTCGCTTCCTCGCCTGTTCACATGGAACCATCCATCCATATTGGTGAGGGGTCTCGGGTCATCATGCCCAGGCTCAGGCTCCAGCGCCATCTTACTACGCGCATACCTGCTTTCGTCGAGCAGATGCCGTACAAATAAGCCAGACTTGCCCTCTTTCTCTTTTCCACCAAAGGCAAACTTCCTCTCTTTAGTACTTCCATTATGTTGCGAGGCAGATGTCGAGCTTGACTGTGCCTCTACCTTAACGTTGAGTACCGGCATCGTTCATTGGCCCCCCTCACGCCCGGACCCTGGCCTGCAGGTGCCCTCGACTGCGCCCACCATGGCGACGTCACAGTACTGCCAGCTGGCAGTCCAAGCCACAACCTGCTGCGAACTCCAGTCCAAGCTGGATCATCAGACCTGGGTGACGGGTCCACTGCGAGTCTACGATGGTGTGCTTTTGCCAGAATGTGGCGAAGGCAAGCAGGTGCAATGACGGGAAGCACACGCACCCGCAGTGGCGCCTTATCACACCTGCACCGTCGGCCCATCGCCCGTCGCCCCTCTCTTCTCGTAGGCTGGGACTCCAAGCTTGGCTCATACCTTACCTTAGGTAGGCATGGACTTGGACCCGAGCTCGGGGGGCTGTGAATCGGAACTCCCACTACAGTATAGCGATGAATCGACCCTATTTCTCCAGTGGGTATCCCAAGTGCTCAAGTTCAATTGCCGAGGATATGTGATTGCGGCAACCGCGTCTTTCCCCTCCATCACCAACTTCCCAAGTGTGAGGCTTTTGCGAAATTTGGGGGCGTCCAGCTGCAGAGGACCTCGGGACCGACGCCACTCCGCCGCGAACGAAGACCCCGCGGATGTGTCGGGTCCGACGGTCACCGCCACCTTGTCGTCGATATGGACGAGAACAACTCCCAGGAGCACCGAACCCATGGTCCGCGCTTGTATCACAAGAAATCCCGGACTGGGTGCTTACGATGCAAGCAGCGCAGAGTAAAGGTACGGCGGTATTGTATCCCTCGCGTCATGCCACAGCCCTGGGATAATTGACCAACGTGCTCTGTGCTGCGTGTTGCTAACATGCCTGCAGTGTGATGAAATCCGTCCCAGCTGTGGCAGCTGCTCGAGACATGTAGTCGATTGCGTGTATCCAGCCCAAGCGGCCACGTCCGCCCAGGGAAAAGCTGCTCTAGCAAGTCGGGTCGACACCAAGCTACCCACGCGCTCGTCAAGTGCTGTGGCCTCCACGGGACGTGGAGCGCCAATGACCACGATAGCGGCATCACATCGGAATGCGGCGACATCGCTGAGCTCTCACTCCAGTGAAAACAACCCAGCGCAGTCGCCGCACAGTTCGGGTTTCTATCCATCGCCAGGCTCATCTCATCCTACTCCCGTGGACGACAGCGCTGAGTCTGATATCGACCTACCCGAGGGGCCAGGGCGCCGGTTCTGGGAGCTTCGCTTGTTACACAACCAGCAGACGAAGATGACGCAGCCGTTTTCTACGCCTCAGTCTCCCGAGGTCGTGCGCATGTGGACCCACGATATCCCCGAAATGGCAATGACCATGGCTCAAAGACAAGGCCGTTGCAGCCTGCTCTACATAATGTTTGCCCAGTCGGCTCTGAACATGTGGACCAGGTCCACCGACAAACAAGACCGCGATGAACTCATCAAGTTGCAGCAGACATACCAGCTCATGTGCAGCAAGGAACAACGGCGTGATATCGAGGAGCTCACCCAAGGAATCGCCAAGAATGCCGACTACATCTGTTTCGCTTCACTCAAGATCCTGGCACATTCGCTGGCCTTGGTCCAGACCTTGTCAGTAGATCCGTGGGAGCCGCCCACTCAATGGCTACATATGGGACGCGGCGCTGGGCAAGTGTTCACGATGGCACGCAGTCTGATGGACTTGAAATCCGAGGACTTTTCCGACAGCTATATCCTCCGCTTTGTGAATAGCGAACCAGTCATAAAGGACCCGAGGGATACAATATTGAGTGATTTTAGTCCACTGGCGTGGCTTCTCGACCACCCAGCTAGCCCCAGCTCTGTCGATGCACTTTTCGACCGGGAGCTGGAAGATGAGGAGACGAGATCCGTCTACGAGAAGGCCATGGCGTACACGTGCAGTGTGCAGAGGGCAATGGAACGAGGCGAACCTCAGTACGCAATTGTCAGACGGCTAGGCGCATTTGCGGTCTGGGTGCCCATCGAGTTTGGTAAATTCGTCGAGGAGAGGAAGCCGAGAGCCTTGGTCATTCTAGCTCACTTCATGGCTCTTTGGCTGGAGCACGAGGACGCCTGGGTCCTTGGGAGAGCAGGGGAATGGCAGATCCGATGCATCCACAAGGTCCTGCCCCTCGAGTGGAGCCACAAACTTGACTGTCTGTTTGCGAGGTTCAAGCAGCAGAAGCCGTGATGATGACGAACCGGCCCGAGACTCTAGATGGAGTATGGCGTGGACAACCCCGGTACTCGATTGAACCAAGCTACAACTCATCAGCTCCGGCTATAAGCTGGGCTCATTTCAGATCTCGACATATTCGAAGGTCTCCATTTGCGTCCTTTCAGGACTCAGCAGAGACAACCCTTTAGAGTCGGTCTGCCTCGAAGGCCATCTGCGAGGGACGGCGTGATGAATTTCTGGTCCGCGAGGCTACGACTTCAATGCCTGTCTATGTCGGCCTTATACACTGTTTCGCTCCGCCAGCTGCGGATATTTCATCAGTCGCCCGCACACAATTTAGTCGGGAATGGAAAGCAAGCATTCCATGCCTATCGGCAGGCGGCGAGGGTCAAGTCGCCCCCATTAAGTTGCAAGGCAGGCGAGTAGCTTACCGTTGTAGGCTGGACTACACAGAGAACCAGTGGGGCTCTAGTCAGAAGTTTCGCCATGAGAAACTCTTGTCTGCTGTATTTCTGCCTATTTATACCCCGCGCATTATGCGTACGCGTTGCAATACATCCAGACCACGTCCTTGAGAAGACCGACAAGTCTGTACTCACCATTCATCAGCTTACCAGCTGACTGTAGATGACCTAACTAGTCACCAGTGAAATAGTGAACTTGTGTTAGTCTACTCCTTGGCGACGCGACGTTTCAGGTTGTCGTCGTGGGTGAATCTTGTTGGAGGCAGCGTTGTTGGCCGTCTCTCTATATCGCCAAACACATTCGCACAACGAGTAATCTCGAAGCGGTCATATCCTTTGAGCTGAAGGCGAGGTAGCCGCATCATTTTCGGCATTATGTAACATAACTAGCGAGATCGAGGCCAAGTTAACTTGTCCGTGCTTCGCAACAGTGAAGCTTTGCTCATGCCCATCATGGCAAGGTTTCCGAGATAACGATACCGCTCCGAGCTACGAACTACTATATACTTGACAACAATCCCCCCGCTGATGCTGTCAGATTATCCCACGTGCAATGAGGCATCCCAATAAATACCGACGTCTTGGTTCCAACGGTTATACGGGGTAGCCTGGTCCACGGGGACCCCGAAATGGAGAGGCGACGCGAGCGCTAGGGTTTTGATGTGACCGCCGGCCTGGCTCTAAGCCGAGGTTTACGAAACCTTCCTGGCTGGGTCTCAGGTGTCAACTTCTTGCGAGCAGCTCATTGGGCACGGTAGCATTGCATCCGATTCTAGAAGACTTCTTTCTTGTTTAACTAGATGAACAAGCCCACACCCCGCAACTCTAGGCGATCCTGGACGGCATTTGGCGGCCAGCTACAAATCAAATTACTCCAGAGCTGACGATCTTGTCCCGGCCGCTATCTCTGATTCTGCAGCTAGGGTGTTTGATGTTGAGGACTAGGTGATGCTGGCGAGCCTTGTGGGGGTTCGTATTTGTGATCATGCAGTTTTCCATGAAGATATATACGACTCCCGGGACAGGTGGCGAAGCCACCGATAATTCCCTTATGCCTTCATATTGAGTTGATTTGAGAGACCCGAGGCCATCGAAGAGCTCTGTTTTGTCTTCTTCTTGCTGTCACGGAGGGGCTTCGCTGTGGACTCTAGAGTGTGACGTACGAGTCCTTCGCCTTTATTTCACCATGGACAAGCTGTACGATCTGTCTGGGACAGTCATTGCTGTCTGCGTCATCTTCATTGCTGTCTGCACAACTCTTACATTCTTACGCCTCTGGGTGCGATGGCAGAAAGGCAGCGTAGGGGCTGACGACTACCTCTTCCTCTGCGGCTTGGTGAGACTGGCCCGCCTCTATCGCATCAAATCCGACTTCACCCAACTAATACTTCACGCAGATGTTATGGCTCACCTCGACGTCATTTCTCTTTCCCGCGTGCTGGAACGGCCTGGGCGCCCACCAACACCACTACACGGACGAACAAGCCACACAAGCGATGAAGTACTTCTTCCTCTTCCAGGACTTCTACACCTGGTCCAACATCCCCATCAAGATGTCGCTGTGCCTGACGCTGCGCCGGCTGGCCAGCACCAGCCCCTGGATCACGTGGACGCTGTACGGCATCATGTTCGTCACCTTCGGCGCCTCGGTAGGCACCAACATTTACCTGCTGACCGACTGCACGCCGCTGGCCGCGACGTGGGACACGACGATACCGGGTGCTCACTGCCGGCCCCCGGCCAACATCACCACGCTCGGCTACGCGTACTCGGCTATCAACATCGCCGTCGACTGGGTCATCGCGCTGCTGCCCGTCTTCTTCCTTTGGCGCCTCCAGATGGCCTGGCGGCAGAAGCTCACGGTCATGATCGTGCTGGCGCTGGGTATCTTCGCCAGCTGTGCTACGGTTGTTCGTCTGTTTACGCTGGAGGCCTTTTCGAATAAGGAGGATTACCTCTGTGAGTAACCTACCGAAACACACTGACTCCCAGCCCATGCGAGCACTCTGCCCGTGAGTGATATCAAGATAAGTGTGAACCAAACTAACCTCCTCACCCACTCCAGTCGGCATCGCCCACATAGTATTCTGGACCGTGATAGAAATGGGCCTGGCCATCATCGCCGGCTCGCTCGCGACGCTGCGCCCGCTCTTCCGCAGCTGGTTCGGCGGCTCGACGCTCCGCCCCTCGCAGGGCGGCGACTTCGGCCCCCGCACCCGCTCCGGACCGGGAGCGTACAACAACAAAACCAACGGCAACGGCCTGGGCTACTACCACGACGCCATCAGCCAGGACTCGCGCATCGGCCTCAAGACCATGATCAACTATGACGGGTCGCGGGAGCACGAGCCGACGCCGGAGCCGGAGGGCCGGGGCCGCAGCCCGCCGTTGGGGGCCAAGCGCTCGGGTAGCATCAAGGTTACGAGGAGCTTGCGCGTTCGCGAGTCGATTTTGATCGCTGATTAGTCTCTTGGGCTTTATGGGTACGGATAGTGTCGGCTGCTTTTGTGTATTCAAGTATATATATCCTTGCGTTGTTTTCTTTATGTTGGGTTAGGTCGGGTTGGGCTCACGCGGCTTTGGGAGGGTGTTTGGATGGGAACTCGGCGTTCAGGGGCTTAGGCAACCACGAAGCTTGCTTGATAGAGGAACAGCGCGAGCTCGGAAGGGGTGCAGGTCTTCAGTCTTGAAGTGCGCTCATACTTCGATAATACCCAACAGCTAGGCTGGTGGCACTCTTGGATGCATGATGGGAAAGAGATTACTCATTGACGTGTATGGATATCAGTAGAGATATGTCCTCCTTTGGTATACGCTTACTGTTAGAGATATGCATATTATTTGTAGCTGAGTAGGTCGAACAAGGTGTACCAGAACGAGCACCTTGAAACAAGCAGTTATACTTGGAAGGCCAACTTCATGCTGATTCCAGGATGTTCGTCTTATACATAGGTGGACAACCAATACCTACCCGTGAACATCTACATAAGGGGCCTATGAGGACTCGACTCTTGAAGGTTCAGTTCCGCTTACTCACCCATGTCCCTCCTGCAGGTATTGACCCCAATGGAGGTCCCTTACTGATCGGATAAAAGAAGGGCAGATGGGGTCTGACCAGTTTGTCGGGACTGAGCTGATACCTACCTACCACTGGACATACGATTGACGCAAGCTCAAAGACAGCAAGTTCCCGTGTGGAGGTGCTCAAAAGCTAGCCACATCCTACCAGAATGACTTCGTCGGTTGTTGAGCCGGTGATAGTGCCAAAGGACCAGGATATCGAACTGGACGAGAACGTTCTCAAAGGTATAGTCGAATCGAAGACACCTCTGGGTGACATTACATCGACTGATGCACCGTCATAAAGTAATTCCGAATGCCGCACTCGCCGCCGAAATCCGTGCGACCCTCCACGGAGCAAGCTCGTGGGACGAAAACAGCTTGCATACGCGTGAGGTTTCGGAACGGGAACGAAACCAAGTACTTCCTCAAGACAGCCACGGGGGAGAGAGGTCGCGGGATAGTGCAAGGGGAATTCGAGTCGATCAAGTCATCCACACCACGATTCCGGGGTTCGCACCGGAACCAATTGCTTGGGGCTCCTTCAGGGGGGCTGAAGACCATCACTTCTTCTTGAGCTCCTTCCACGAGATGAAAGACGAGGTTTCAGAGATAGAGGCTTTCGTCCGCTGCCTTGCAAGCCTACACATGAACGCGCTCTCTCCTAACGGGAAGTACGGGTTTCATGTCACCACATACAACGGGAATATACCGCAGGATGTCCGCTGGACCGATACTTGGGAGGAGTGTTTCCTGAACGGAACGAAGCAAGACTTCGAGCTTGAGCGAGAAGCTAGAGGCCCAAGCGACGAGTTGGATCAGCTGAGAACGCCGCTGCTCGAGAAGGTTATTCCCCGCTTGCTACGCCCGCTCGAGTCTGGCGGCCGGCACGTGAAGCCATCGTTCCTCCACGGTGACTTATGGTACGGGAACAGTAAGCTACGTCTTGACGAGTCACGAAGAAAAGGCTGACCACCATGAAGCCGCGACCGATATCGCTAGGGGCCAGCCGATGGTCTTCGATTCTGCCGGATTCTACGTGCACAACGAGTGTACAGATCAGGAATAAGACGACAGTCGACATCAAGGCAATGAGGAAAGCTCGTTATAGATTCGGCCGCGATTACATGAAAGCATACCAAGCGCACTTCCCCATATCCAAGCCCATCGACGACCTGGAAGCTCGGTTGGCCCTCTATTCCCTCAGGAGGTGCGTCCGTGACACTCTACTTTGCGGCAAGTGTATTGACCGAAACAGCTATCTCCACGAGAGTACACTATATGTGGACGATCCGAGGCCTCGGGAAGCGTAAGTATTAGAGTTGGGTCGTCACGAAATCCAGGCCTTCGAGCTGACGTGTGATATTGAGCCTTATCCGGGAAACCAAAAAACTCGTCCAGGCATTCCCCGATGGCCTGAATGGTTACGACCTCGAGCTGGGCCAATCGATACATGTGCAGTAGGCGGCGACGAGGTGAGATATATTCCACTTTGGCGAATGAGGGTTGTGCAGACGTGTCCAGGGAGGGTGGGATGAACTGATACGGTAGTTACATACAGACCAAGTTGAGGGGACCGAGATCATACCTCCTCTTCTCTGATTCTCTGATGAACCGAGTGGAGTGACAGCGGCGTACACCTCGGTCAAATTCAGCTCTTCTTGGCTTTCGCCGTGAATGGTGTCGTGGGCCCCCGGGGATTGAAGTCGGTCAGCGTCCGACATGGGCTGTGATAGGGATTTTGCATGCCGTGATGCCGGAAACTGCGGAGCCGAGTGGGCGGTAACGGAAATGAGTTTCTAAATAGGCTCAACTAGCCCCCTGGCAGACCCGGGATCATCGCTCTTCTTGACTTCACTTATTGATGAGAGACGACGGCCCTTGAACACGTTGCCGAGATGGCTCCCGCCCGGCGCCGGGCGGGTGGAGTTCAGGTGCTTGAACAATGAACAGAAACCAGAGACGCCACTGGCATGTCAAGGGTTCATATCTACGGTACATATGCAAGCCGCCGATCAGTCCGAGAGCCGTGATGACGTATCTTATCTGTTGCAGTACAAGGTTGAGTGACCGTTGAGCTGGGTGACATAAAGAGACAACTTCCAGCTTCATCATGCTAAACCCATGATCATTGATTGTCTTCGGCTTCTTGAAGATGCATCGCCTAAAGATCTGGATCGCCTCAATAGCCAGCGTCGCCTGTGCACAAAGGGGCGCACCGGCGGGGCAGGGATTAACACCCTCCCTGTTCCCATTACAACAAAATGCTGACTCGACGAACCTGTTTCCCATGGCGCCCTGTGGTAACTTCAAGCTGGAAGAGGCGACCATCGCCGAGATGCAGGCCGCCATGGAGAACGGGACTCTGACGTCGGTGCAGCTGGTCACATGCTACCTGCTCAGGACATATCAAACCGACGAGTATATCAAGTGAGCCCGTCCACATCCAATACACCAAAACAGCTTGAGTTAATCATGAACCGCAGCTCCGTCCTCCAGATCAACCCAGATGCCCTCACCATCGCCGCCCACACGGACGCCGAGCGCGCATCCGGCCGCGTCTGCAGCGCCCTGCACGGCGTCCCCTTCACCATCAAAGACAACATCGCCACGGCCGACGCCCTGGAGACCACAGCCGGCAGCTGGGCACTCCTGGGCAGCATCGCGCCGCGCGACGCGCACGTCGTGTCGCGCCTGCGCTCGGCCGGCGCCGTCCTCCTGGCCAAGGCCACGCTGAGCGAGTGGGCCGACATGCGGTCCAACAACTACTCCGAGGGCTACTCGGCTCGCGGCGGCCAGGCCCGCAGTCCCTACAACCTGACCCTCACCCCGGGCGGCAGCAGCAGCGGCGGCGGCGCGGGCGTGGCCGCCAATGCCGTGGCCTTCTCGCTCGGCACCGAGACCGACGGCAGCGTCATCAGTCCGGCGGAGCGGAACGCGGTGGTCGGGCTGAAGCCGACGGTCGGACTGACGTCGCGCGCCGGCGTGGTGCCGGAGAGCGAGCACCAGGATACCGTCGGGGTGTTGGCGCGGACGGTGAAGGATGCGGCGGTGGTGCTGGATGCGATGTATGGGGTCGATGCGCGGGACGCGTATACGGCAGCGCAGGAGGGGCACACGCCTGACGGCGGGTATGCGGCGTTCTTGACCGGGAGGGAGAGCCTGAAGGGGGCGGTGTTCGGGGTGCCGTGGGAAAGCTTTTGGGTGTATGCCGATGAGGAGCAGCAGCGCGTGTTGAAGGAGACAATGGATCTGATGTGCGAAGCCGGCGCGACTATCGTCAACGGGACGGAGATACTGGACTACGAGACCATCGTCAGCCCCAACGGTTGGGACTGGGATTATGGTGGCACCAGGGGGTATCCGAATGAGTCCGAGTACACGGTGGTGAAGGTCGACTTCTACAACAACATCAAGACGTACCTGGCCGAGCTGAACAACACGAACATACGCTCGCTCGAGGATATTGTCCAGTACAACTATGACAACGACGGCAGCGAGGGCGGGAACCCCTGGCCATTGGGGATTTCGGCCTTCTATTCCGGCCAGGACGGCTTCCTGGCCTCGCTCGAGAGCAAAGGTATCAAGGATGAGACGTACCAACAAGCGCTCAACTTCTCGCAGACCTCGACGCGGAACGGTATCGACGCAGCGTTGAACTACAAGGGGGAAAAGCTGGCCGGCTTGCTGGTGCCGCCGGATGTGGGCCAGACATATCAGATCGCCGCCCAGGCTGGGTACCCCATGATCACGGTACCTGCTGGCGTCAACTCGGACACCGGTATGCCATTTGGGCTTGCCATTATGCAGACGGCTTGGGCAGAAGCAGAGCTGGTCAAGTGGGCTAGTGCTATTGAAGATCTGCAGCTGGCGTCGGGCACGCCGTATAAACGGACTTTGCCTGAATGGCACGGATATCTGCAGAGGAATATTCCGGTCTTGAGTCTCTAGCCTCGAGGTGCTTCTAGAATCCTCCGCTGAAGCCCCTTAGCTCAGCAGAGCATAACGAGTATGAAATTTACATCCATTAAACACCCACAGTTTCAATCGTGCTGGTAGATACGAAGATCGAAGTGGGTGTGTATCTAGCACTCGGGATATCCGAAGGCAATGAAGAATACGACGATCGCCGGGAAGAGACGCAGGAGAAGATCGACGCCGGGAAGCGATCCTCCCAACACATGTGGGGAAAGTCTACGCTCAAACCTTGCTCTTTTGTCTTGCTGATGCTCGGACTGTCCGCACTTATAGGGTAGATTTCAACGAAGGAACAGGATGCAGGATCCATGTCCCCATGATCTGTAATCGGAGACCGACTGCTCGGTAACATGAGCGGATCGTTAACAGCAGCAGGCGGCAGAGTTCTGGCGAAAAATGTATGGACCCAGCGCCCCGCCAGGCCGCCAGGCTATAGCTACCTGGTCTAGGCCTTTCATCCTGGTCCTTCATTGCTTAAGGCTACAATGACAGGAGAAAGAGCCTCGAGGAACTGGGCTTCCGGGAACACCGAGCCCCCTGTCATGCTCTCAGCCTTCAGATACGTGGGCTCGTGCAGACCGAGCTATGTGCTGTTCTATCTTGAGAAGGTCAGACATAGGTCCCGTCAGCGAGGCCTACGTCTATAAAACAATCAACGAGGGCCAACTATCACCATGATCAAACTTTCCAGCCAGGTCCCCACGACTGATAGCCATATCCAACCAACACCCATCTCCAGTCAACAGCTGTATCCAGTCAACAGTCGTATCCAGTCAACTGCATCCAGTCAAGAGCCACGTCGCAGTCTTACAGCCCAAAGAGCCATCAACAAAGTTTGACTCGAAATGCGTTTCCAGAGTGCCCTCTGCTTTGGGCTGCTTGGCTTCCTGGGCCAAGTTCATGTACTGGTAAGTACGACGGTCCGGCACAGGCACAAGCTACATTCGATATCGCAACCTATGACCTTTGATGAGTGACCTCGCGTACCCAGGCCCTCGTTCTGTCCAAAAGGACCTACTGGACAAACGGAGTGGTGGAATGGCCCGACATGCCCACAGTAAAAGAGGGGGACATCAAGGACAAGAAGCTCATCGAGATGGATCGTCCAGAACCACACACAGTGTATAAAGCGGAGGTCGAAGGGTTCGGTAAAGTGTTCTATAAGGAGGCATTCGCAGGGAACGGACCAGAGGATCAATATGAACTTCTGGGGAACGAGGTGGAGTCCTACAGGATGACAGTAGGCAAATCTGTTGGTCCGGAGTTCCTGGCCATTATTGTGGACGACAAAAAGAAGCCGGTTGGTTTCCTCGCTAAGTTGATCAAGGGCGCCTCCGAACCAGGCAGAGGCGACTTGGACAAATGCGTGGAAAAGCTGGAAGCTTTCCACGAAGCGGGCCTCCTCTATGGAAACGACCTCAAAAGAGATCAGTTCGTCAAGGATAAGGATGGGGACATCTGGCTCATCGACTACGAGTACGCACAGGCATCGAATGATAAAGCACAGATGAAAAGGGAGGTTGCAAAACTTAGAAAGGTTTTCTAACAAATTGATTGGCTTGGAAAGCTCCTAGTATATGCAGGACTGGCACTGGTGGGAGGGAGGGAGGGAGGGGGGGTTGTATATTCGCATCGTTTACCAAGATCACATATACGTATCAACCTTGCGAAGAAAGACACGATAACCTTCCAGTCAACCGGGTGTTGAGGCGACACATGTGGTCCAGCAACACCACCGTCTTCCCAATTGCTTTCACCCAGTCCGGTAAACTGGGTGGACAAAAGTCTCCGCCCGACCCACCACAATCTCCTTCAGATCAAAACAACGCGTCAATCACCCTTCGACTTCACCACTCTCTCAACACCGTAATTGATAATGGATTTACGATCTTTTGGGGACGAATTAAGCGGTAATCGCGTCGCTAACGGCGAATTCACTTCAGAAGCTCGCTCGGCAATCGTGGCGGCACGAATCGACGGCAGAACGCGTAGGGATGTTGCAACCGCGTTTAAAACAAAGCGCCTGAAAACCATCTCTGATATTACCACCAACTTCGAGGCCATTTCTACACCGAAATCTGCCCCAAGGAGCGGTCACCCACCCGTTTTGAATACTCACGAACGCGCTCATGTGATCGAAAAGGTGAGAGAGCTCCCCAGGGCGACGTGGCAGAAGATTCGAAACGAAGCCTGCGTTTCGTGCTCTCCTAAGACTATCAAGAGGATATGTCACGCACACGGCCTCCAGAAGTGGCGCGCAGCGAAGCGAATCAAGCTCACAGATAAGGACGCTCAGAAAAGGCTCGCTTTTGCCAATTATAATAGTACATCAGAGCGCCTGGAGGAATTGTTACGAGCTATGTTCTCAGACGAATGTACGGTCCAAAACTTATCTGATAATCCAGGCGATTGGGCCATCCGATTCTCTTCAGAGCGGTACCGTTATGATCTCGTGAACAAGACGGATCACGGCAAATCTCGTATTTCGATAATGGTGTGGTCTATGATCTGGCTACGCGGCGGAGAAGGAGGACTAGGCAAGTTGGTCTTCTGCCCACTCGATCCGGATGCTCCGCGCGGAGGAGTATCCGCAGAGTCATACAAATGGGTTCTTGAGGAAGGCCTGCTTCCGTTCTACGAGGCTGGAGATCCTTTTGTTTAAGATAACGCAAAATTTCACCTCACTGGCGGTGTTCCGGAGTGGATGGAAGAGCACGGCATCCACTATATCGACTGGCCTCCTCACAGCCCCGATATAAACCCAATCAAGCACGTTTGGCGACTTCTGAAGAAGAACATGGGTGAAATCAAGCCTGAATTTTCTGAATTGAAGGATAATATCCCCCATTATCGCTACGCACACGAGTTAATTGAGCAGGCGTGGTCAGAGATCGATCCGGAGCAAGTTCGGGCCTTGATGGAGTCACTGGAGGACCGAATAGCTGCAGTGAGGCGCACCGGTGGTTGGTATACACATTATTGACTTAGTTATTAAATACAATTTATTTGAGAATTCTATCACCAGAATTGGATGCGTTATGGTTTAATTGAGTTGGAGGGTATAGTAGATGGAAGGGGTAAAATTGGGGATCGGGCGGAGACTTTTGTCCACGCATTGTACCTGCGCAACGTGCTCCTCATTGAACGCACGTACATCTCCACGCAGGCGGCTCCTGTCACCCAGGACATCAAGGTCAGGAACACGTTGGTATATCAATGCCAAGTAGAATTTGTTGCGAGCGACATCGGGTTTCGGTAGTCCACCTCTCGCTACGGCGCCTTCCAGTATCCTACTAGGTATGTTGTCAGTACCCCTACGTCCCGATCCTACCAGGGGTTGGACCTCCGCTTACCATGCTTCATCGTACTTCTTGGCATGGTAAAGGAGCCGCGCAACCATGGAGGAGCTCTCAAGATATCGACTATCGAATATACCCCAGGTCTTCTTGCGTTCCTCGCGAATCTCGCGATGCAGTCGCAAGGCTGCACGTCGATTCCTAGCATGGTACTGAAGCGTGACCAGTGTGAATTCATAGTGCGAATAAAGACAGGTCCCCGAGGACACTGTCGCAAGAAGCTCGACGGCTCGCTGTGACTTCTCCAACGCCTGGCTGGCATCGCCCATCGCCATCAACGAAACTGCTTTGACGAAGTAGTAATTTGCGTATTCGTAAGGCAGACGGGCTTCCGTGGGTTCCCAAGCTCGATATGCGATCAGATAGCCCTCAATGAGGCTGTCGGCTCGGCCGAACTCCTCCGATTCAAGCCACCCCATCGCGAGGTCCGAACGAGCATTCTGTATTAGGATATCGTTGACCACGGGTGTGTCGATCTTGTCGTTTCGGAGCTGGAAGTTTGGAAACTTGGGCGCTCGCAAAGCCTCGTGGCGATACTTCGTCGACAACCCCCGGCTCTCAATGCCGTTCAGTCCACAGAGAATTCCCAGAGCGACGCATATATCCGCCCGCAGCGACAGGCTCGCGGCGGTCTGTTGTACGTGGGTTTCCTCCACCACTTCGAGAGCTGTATGCAAGACTCGCATTCCCGTGTCGATGTGTACGCGCTTCCACAACTCCATGCCCACGTCGTACAGAAGCCCAGCAAAGGCCAAGTTTCCGCGCAGGGGGTAGGGAGTCTGCGAAAATGTCGAGTGGAGTGCAAGGACGTGTGGGAGACTCGTGCTGGTCTGGAGCCTGCTGTGAGCCACGATCCTTGTGTCGGATTGGACGGTGGCAAAGTCGCGGGTAGCAGAGCGCAGGCCTCTTCGAAGCGGGCTTGATATACTTGTGCCTAGAGTATAGACCCACAGGCGAATTTACATCGTATGTGCTCGGGCATGAACAACACGCCTTGAGAGGGACGTTCGAGGAGTTAATGCGACAAGATGGGACCTATATGTATCTCGAGGCTGCATGCTTATAGTCAGCTCTGGTCGAATTACAAGGCTCGCCGTTAGGATTAATTATTCTGCTTTGGTCAAATACGCGTTGTCCGTTGGCTGTATACTGTCATATCCCAGGAACATGTCTTCTTGAATCGAGTCTGCGTCGAAGAACGAGGCAATCGACAGCAGTCTGATACTGGGCTCTGCCTCCGCTATCTTAGCGAGTCGCAAGTCCAGCTGGGTCTGCTCGGCCTTGGCCTCAGGGCCAGTATAGGACACCAAATGCGAAGGGGGTCGCTCATATAGCCACTTCAGCACCTCGTCCAGGCATGGACAGTTTGAGGACTCCGCGGGTGTCGTGGTAGCATCCATGGTTGCGGCCTCAAGGTATATCGGTAGAACAAGGGACTTAAATTTGGATAAGATTATTCCAAATGTGTCGCTGTCGCAGTCAAATTTGAGGGGATGTTTGATACTGATCCGTCATCCATTCACTGGAGTTTCGGCCACATTGGTGAGTGCCCATGTGCTTGTTCGTTTCATTTGCACTGTAAATGATACTAAAGACAAACAACTAATTTCACGCGTGACTAGTGACAGAGTATCAAGAGATAGGACGTGTGTTATCATCAAGGGGCTTATCTGTCACTGATGCTAGTGGGAATCATCCATTGGGCTGGCCACACAACCGTCAAATCAGCTGAACATGCAAACAAATCACTGCTGATGAGGTCCCAATTCATCCGTCATTTGGACACTCAACCACCAAACACAAGGGCTCGGACTTCGATACTGGACCTCGGCTTCGAGCCACCAACATCATTGCTAAGTCGAAACGCCGCATGGGGAGCATCTAGAGGGTAGAGGGCATGTCAGGTTAGTTCTTATTGTTGTGACCGTCGTAACCGCTGAGAAGACTCAGCTTACACTTGACTTGTACATGACCAGCTGAATCGAAGTTCTTGATGACAGTAATCTCGTCTGGTGACTGCCCACTCATGTAGAACCAGCGGTGCCACGGACGGTCCAATGGATACATCGTCGACCCGATATAGTGGCGACGGATGTGGTCGGACTCGACCAGGTCCTCGTCGTCGGCCGTGCTGCCATCACAAAGCGCAAGCGGCCAACTCTCCACCGGTCTCTATGGGTCTCCACACGCTGCGGCGTAACCTCAGCGGTGTTCGGCCTCGATGCGGAGAGCCATATTGTGCAGGGACTACCTACTTGATGACCCGAACGCGCTTGGATAGGAGACTCTCGGTCTCTTCGGGGAATTGAAGGCGGACTCGGTTGACGACGGCAACGGACTTTGATCTGAGACTTTCTGCTTTTTTTTTTTTAAGCTCTTCGACCGAAGGGAAGAGCTAAACATAAATATTTTAAAGGACAATAAAAAGTAAAGCTTTTATATTATATGTTAAGTTTATTGAAATAAAACGTTACAAATTATTTTAATTTATTAAACCTTTTATTACGAATAACGTTTATAAGTTCAAGCCGATATGTTATATATTAAACGGTATATAAAGTGGATGACAAGCGAGCGGCAATTACAAGCGAACGGCAACTTTTCACTAACCTTTTAACCAACATGTCAAATAACTCGACCACAGCGTATTTAATTCAATCTAATCAATCAGATTCTTTTTCTTCATACGTTTCTATCTCTATTATACAAGTTTGTACATTATGGCCAGTGTTGCCGCAAACGCTACAACGTCGCTCACGCGCTGCCGCCCTCCTTAGATGACGACTACCTTCACTCATTTCCTGTCTTGCCAGCTTACTATCATTCTTTATAGCCTGGAGACCTACTGCATCTTTAACAGAAAGTATTCCTCTTTTTATTAGATGTTTATTTTTTGTCCTTTGGCGTTTACTTAGTAGGTGATTGGCCTCCTCTAGCTTGCGAACCCGGGAATCAATCAAAGCGACCTTATGTATAAGACCGTATGTAGCCTTTAAAAACGAGCTCAATACATCAACTATTGATGTAAGTGAGCTTCCCTGGTGATTTCTGACTCGATTTCAGATATAAACTGACTGGTTTACCACTTCGTTGATGGTGGTAGGCGTCTTTGAAGTCCAAGTAATGGGTAGCAAATTGGGGTCTGGCGACGGTGTTCGTACGACAGCGACAGCATCCAGCTTCAAAATGACACTTTCTGGGTCGAAAGGAACAAGCCCAGTGGCACTGAAACCTGTTCAAATATTTCCTGGCGTCATAGCAGCGTTGTGTACTTCACAAAATGCTGCAAGGAAATCCTCCTTTGAAACATGGGTTATATGACGCCGGATGAGATCTGTGAGGACCTGCTCCCAAGCAGCCATCAACTGCCAGGACTGTAGTAGCCAATCGGAAGCTGGCTGTGGGGATCAGGCACAAGCAGAGCTCCACCTGCTCCTGGACTTGGTCGCGCTTTTCGCAATGCGTTGTTGGTCATTTCTTTCCTTTTCTCTTTAGCTTAGAATCTTCGTCTATAGCACCCAATGGACTGAGTTCGCCTCAATGCCTTGATCTGGTCGTGACAAGATCCTCAATTATGCGACCGTACGCTCGTTTGAGCGGGCTAAAACAACTGACATCTAATGGCTGGAGCCTGTGTAACGAGTGGGCAGGCATACAAAGGGTAATAATGTTGTTGTTCTGGTAATAATCCTCAAAGATCTGGGAATGGTGACGTTCGTAACCATCTAGGATGAGGAGGCGTTTACTGGCAGTCATACGTGGTCTGGTATACTTGTCAAAATGCCAAACCCATTCCAACCCAATCTCGTTCGTAGTCCAACCGTTATCGGACACGGCTACCTTCCAATCGCGTGGTAATGTTGTGTCGCAATACCATGACGCGAGGTGGGTTTTGCCCTGTAGAATGATGAACGGCGGGACCACCCAACCATCAGCATTGACAGCAGAAATTGCTGTAGACCATTCCCTGTTGTCTTGCTGAGCTTGTCTAGGTCTATTACGTCTTTTGGCGCTTATAATGACCATGCCAGACCCAATAATGCCCATCATAAACCCAGTCTTGTCAAAGTTGTAAATATCCGCGTCTTGGATACTATGTTTTGCGATTGCTGCTGCAACTTGGCGAAACCATGCGCGATACGCGTCTGGATCTTTATTCAAGACCCTCTGGTAGTCCATCTTCTGATGAAAACGCATCTGGAGGCCTGGTATGCGTTTAATGAAGTTCCGCGTCCAGTTCTTTCCAATGTGTCTATCCCCACGCGTTGCCAACAATTGATTTGTCATATCTTCAACATAACTGTGCCGGGGTGGAAATGCTCGCACATCCAGGCCAAGAATAAAGGAAAGAATGGCATTTTCTTTGGAAACCGTAAGTTTCAAAGTATTGGGCATGCTATCGTGTCGTGATGGTCGGCCGGCGATTCTAGCCTTCAAGGTATTATATGGGACATAAAAAGTCTTAGAAAGCTTGCCAATGGTGATATGAGGGTCGCGTCGCTTAGTTTGGACAGCAAGCTGTAAGTCTGATTCGCTATAACGCAATGCCATTATTGTTGGTTGATCAATTAGGAACCTTGATTGAAAGGTTAGGTGGCTGGTGAAAAGTTGCCGTTCGCTTGTAATTGCCGCTCGCTTGTCATCTACGTTATATAAAGTTTTATTTATAAAGTTAAACCTGACTTAAAATACTTTATTTTTGCTTTTATTTCCCTTCATATTGTTAAAATTTACCAAATATTATATTATGTTTCACGTTTTGCGTTATAGCTTAAAAATAAGTTATAAGTTTTTAAAAAATTAAGTTAACTTTTATTTAAAGATTAAGAAAACGATTTAAATTTTTTCAAAAACTTAATTTATGAAAGGTTTGTATTTAAACTAGTTTATAATAATATAAATTTAATTAAACAAGTTATTTTTATATCGATTATTATAACGATAAAGGAAAAGAAAAACGTAGTTATGTTATTAATTGAAGTATTGTGAGATTCTAGAAGGGTCACAAGCCTTTGGGGTGTGAGCGGTCGCTGCAAATGTTGTTGTCATTCTCAAGTATGCTCGGCAGGGCTAATCTACAGCTAAATACTATACTGCACTATGCCAGGGTGTATCTACTGTTCCCTTGACAGCCCCATAGTGGGTATTGCACTTAAGGGCACCATATCTGGGATCCAACATCTGACAAGTATAAATTATTAGTTTTTTTTTAAACGTATAATAGCTTAATGTTATACTTACCGACGTTAAAACGAATAATTTTTGTAACAATATAATTTGATTATTAAGAAGATTAAAAGTTAATGAAAAACCGCGCTTTAAAATAAGCTATGTCGAAAACGTTTAGCTATAATTTAAAGAAAAAATTTAAAAGTTAAATAAAAAAATTAAAAGGCGTAATTAAAATCGGATAAAGGGCAACGTAAAACGACCAGGTCGGAAGACATATAAAGCAGACAAGGTTACTAATAGTCGGTTATTATTCTACCAAATAAAAGATCTATCCCGCGAATGTTAAGTTTTAAATGCAGTTTAAGGTCGTGCCGGACCGGATCTGAGACTTCCCAGTTAGCGTCAGGTCCTCGCCAAAGCATGGAATCGACGTACCGACGTGTGCTTGTTCGGCGGGCAGAAGCCAGTCCATCGGGTTGTTGAGATCGACGATATCATCTTCTTCAGTGCGACCACTGCGCCTTAGCTAGTATATGTGTACTGCCTTAGCCAAGAGTTATTAAGCCATTATTGGTGAACTGTTGTACCCTCCAATCGAAAAAGAAGACCTACACATATTAAAGTCAGCACTTGAACATGTATCCTTCTCTGAGGTAAGCCGTATGTACTTTGTCAACGGTGCCAAGCTCTTCGGTGGAGATGTTCTCAACGTCCGGCAGATACTTTGAAGTAACCACGTCTTTGCTGATATCTAGAAAGTCCCCTAGTACTGAATGGTGGTTACGGAACGCAAACTCGTTGGCGTCTAAGGAGAAAGACGAGACATGACCGCGGACGTCGTGGATGGTCTTTGGCAAGACTTGCCAGGCGAGATTCGTGGCCCTCTTGTCCTGGGCATCGTCTTGATATTGATGAAGATCTGGAATGGCTTCTCACTATCGTACAAGTCATCCCACTTGAGAAGACGATGCTCGTGGCCGTGTCTTGGGGCTCGGCTTGGGCCATTGCATCCGCGAAAGCATAGAGAGTTGAATTGCGATGGAAGGGAGAGATCTGAGTCTCCTCCGGCTTGTCACCGTTGGTATGATGTGCTGGCAGTGCCTCTGCTCTTCTGCATATGGTAGGACGCGGCAACAGGCATCAGTGCAACGTAGTACCTTCGTCAGACTCAGGAGCAACATAAGTAAGCACGCACTCACGGGTTGCTAAAGATTCACAACAGATGACAACATATCCGACTTGATTGCTTCTGACGAGTGCGTAGTACATGATAAGAATTCCCGTAGTTTGCATAAAACAACAGCACATTCCGCCATGCCCCCTCTCCGTATCAATCTGCGTCGTACGTCCACCGTGAGCTTCCGCTTACCACACCACCACTATGGGGCCAAAACACTGGGTGGATCTCACTCCTCGCCTTCACGATCAGGCGGCAACGGAGTTCATCATGCTCCGGAAGGGGTGTGTGTTGTTACTTGTTCTCGTTGGCAACTAGTTCAGGCTGGTCGTCGAACTGGCAGTCGACTGAGTCGCCAAAAGTAGACTTCCACGGCTGAACCCTGCCTTCGCTGGTGGCTCGGTGGGTGACTTGATCTGCCCAAACCTGCCGTCTTCTCGGCGATGCCCTGCTGCGTCTGGATGTGGGCGTCTGTCTGGCAGGTTTGCGAATCCATTGTTGTTTTATCGTGTCCACTGGGACTGTCCTGTGAGGCTTGGTATTAGCGGAAGTGGGTGGTATGGCATCAATGGGTCGACGACTGACTGTGTATGTGGACTTGTGATCGAGCAAGGTGTTTGAAGGGAGCGATAGAGTAGGGAATATGAGAAGCCGTCCATCGACAGAGACGACAATTTTATAAACCCTGGGTACCTAAATACTACGAGAGATGGAACGGACGGCATCATCAGAAGACATGTTAGGCAACACACACACATACACACACAACAATATAGCACACCACAAACGATCAGGTAATGGCATTCAACCCTCAAACCCCTCCAGCAGGTTTGACCAGCATTGAGAAATGTGCGACCCCGTTGCTTGTTGTCGTTGTCCTGGAACCCCTGAAATGAGGAGTGAGGCAGGCTAGTGCCCCTTTACGCGAACAGCTTTAGTTTGGTGTTCTCTCCCACGTCAATGACGCGCCCCACCGTCCAACCTCAACCCCAAGCTCCACCAACACCTTCACTTCGCACAGTCATTACCAGCGCACCCTCCTATACAACCGAGCTGCGCAGCTCCGCATCGCAAAGATGGTCAGTTCGAGGAACCGTAACATCATCCGAGAGCTTCCGCAGAAATGAACTAACGGCATTACCCTCCCAGCCGCCCAAGCGCAAAGCGACCACCGCCCCGCCGAAGGAGCGGCAGTCCAAGCTCGCCAAGGAGCACAACATCACGGCGCGCGAGGAGCGCGAGATCAAGGAGGCCTACGCGCTGTTCGCCGAGCCCGTGGACGGCGAGAAGGAGGGCGCCCTGCCCTCCAAGGACGTGCAACGCGCCATGATGTGAGTCCTGTCCTGCCTACCCTACCCGCCCTACCCACGCAGTATGCGCACACACCTAACCTACCTCGCTAACCACCTTTTTTTGTCCTCGCAACAGCGCCCTAGGCATCCCCCCCTCGAAGCCCGAACTCCGCGAATTCATCTCGATCCTGGACCCCGACGAGGAGGGCCACACGACCTACGAGCCCTTCGTCGCCATCTGCGCGCTGAAGCTGCACGCGCGCGACGACGCGGCCGGCGACCCGCGGTCCGAGGCGCACCGCGCCGAGGTGGACGCCGCGTTTCGGCTCTTCACGGGCGGGGGCAGTCATGGTCATAATGATGGTGACGACGGCAGACTGGGCGTGTTCGAGGACGGCGGGCCGACGACGCTGACGCTCGCGCACCTCAAGCGCGTGGCCATGACGCTGAAGCAGGACGTCGACGAGGCCCTGCTGCGCGACATGATCCTCGAGGCGAACGGGGGCGCGGGGGTCGGCAGGGGCGTCGCGAGGAGCGAGTTTGAGGAGGTCATGCGGAGGGCCGGGGCGTGGAAGTGAAAGAGGACGTGAAAGTCTGGAGAAGCAGGGAATTCGGATGCGTTTATGCGCTGGAGATACACTATGACCGGATATTGGACCTTGCGGCTGGACTCTCATGTCGGCTGAGAGGCAAGGCAGATGCCGTTGTGGGAGGAAGACTCTGCGCCGAGTATCGGTTGTCCCAGGAGAGGGATGGGTGCGGCATCGACTTAAGAGACGGGCCCGGGGAATCCCCTAAGCACAAGCGAAGACTCCCGGCCTCAGCAATCATACGAGTGAAGCATATGCTGATGACTGCGCATCGGACCGTGCCAGCCAATCATGGCAAGAGGGTGCCGACAGTCGAAGTCCATCCCGTCGAGCTTGAGAGTCACGGCAAGAGAACTGGTGCGGAGTCGTGGCTACAGCCTGGACGAAGATATGGAACAATGGAGGAAGAGCAGGTCCATGCACCCACCGACTTAGGCAGGGTATACATATGTCAAATATGAGCGATACTCTCCAACACACCAAGGCTCGGGAGCTAGCGTGCTGGTTCACCACCAACTTACTTAAAGAAAAGCGAATAAGTTTTTTGGGGGTCGTACACCCTAGATTCGTTTAGCAGGGACCTTTCTTCTCTACCACAAAAGAGGTTAGTGCAAGTCTGAGACTTAGACCCTCCCCCTTTTACCCCTAATTGCGTGGTTGATGTATGTTGCCGGCCCCTATCTAGCTGGGTGGCCGAGATGATGGCGTAGCTGAGGTATCGGTTTATACGCACGGGACACTTCACGTTCAGAAAGAGTAATGAAGATATACCCATCTCAGCGTTGGTGAGACTTATTTAAGGCCAGCGATTAAGCGCCTTGCTTTTGAACTGGTAGTAAGTGAGTCTTAATAATCATATCCATCATAAACGCCCAAGTAATGCAATCCCTTTCTAAGATCAAGTGAGACCGCAGTGTCTCTCTCAAGTCGCTGATATCTCATTCACTGGTCTCAAAGACCGAAACCACCCTACCAGGTGCCAATATCCTCATTGGTGTAGAGTGCACCTTGGCTGTCTGGCGGTGCCTCTTCCATGCGATCGATCACTTACTCTGGAGGCGCAACCGTCACATTGGCATTCTGTGCCGTGGCAGCTTCTTGCGCCCTCTTTTGAGAATCCAAGACGACTTGGAGCTCCGGTGGTGCCTTGAAGCCGGCGTGGTCTGAGTGCTTCTTATAGAAGTAGTTGTCGGGCTTTGGCCGCAGCTCGACTGGCAGCTCGTCCAACACGGCCTGCAACATACCGTCGATGGATTTCTGCTTTGACGCATCTCGGTGCCAGATAGAGATCAGGTGTGAGTTGAAGCGCACCGAGAGGCCAACGCCGCAGATTTGGTCCCCTGTTAATTGTTAACCTCTGCTCTTCACTTCACCGCTCTTGATGTCCGTCGCCCGGTGTATTCACCTTCAGCCAGTGACTCCTGCAGCTTCTCGCCAATGGCCATCAGCTGAATCCGCGTCCAGAAGTCCGGGCCGGAGCTCTTGGGGACGCGGAAGGTCCAGCTGCCTCCCTGGATGTTACGACGGTCCTCCCAGACGGGCTTGAACCCGCTCTTGAATAGGTATATGGACTCGCGCATCTTGATCTGGTCGACGGGGGTGTTGTTGCTGTATCGCCAGAAGTCTTGGACCGACTCGACACGGGTGCCCAGCTGCTCTAGCGCGACTTGGTAGGTGCCGTCGTCGGGTTGCTTCTGGTCCCTGGCTTGCCTGCGTTATGTCTCACTCGTTAGCGAGTTTCTGTAGAGAATAAGATAGAGCTGTCTTGTTGGGGAGAGCTCACCTGTCAAAGTAGATGTCCCAGTAGTGCTGGGTCGGCAGTGGGCGCATAGACTTGAACAAGTTCCGCTTCGCATCGTCGCGCTGCTCGGCGGGCGAGCTGACGTTGGGTGAGTTCGGATCGGTGGTCTGGGAGAGCGAGGAGAGCCCTCTGGTGAACAGGCTCGGTCGTGCGGCCATGGTTGCTGGTAGTCAAAGCGATGTTGATGTTGATGCTGATCGCAAGCTGCTGTCGTCTGCGAGGGGGAGCTCCTTTGATGGTGGGGGTTCCTGGTCTTTAAGTGTTGCCAAGCCTCTAGACTATTGAGGGATGATCGTCAGGTCTAACAAGAGAAGAATCGGGTACTAATGTCAAGTCAGACGCGGACAAAGACGCTAGTTCACGGTAGGACAGGAAGACGGTTGATTGGTTGAAGGTCGATGGGCGAGGGGAAGAAAGAAGACGGACCAAGCAAAGGATTGCTTAAGGGAAGTTAAGGCTCTCGGTCATCAGACAGGTCGTCAATGAAGTGCATCTGTAAGTTGGGAATCAGGAGAAGGTCACGGCTGTTCTGAAACAAGGCACGGCTTACAACCATCCATCAGAAGAGCCGCAGTGAGTGCGACCTAAATATACTGTACAGTGCAGATATGCTGATAGTCAAAGCTCATACTGTAGATATAGCTTCATTGACGAATCAGGGAGCTGTATTGCGAGGCGATATAGCGCCCTTCAGAAATATCCAGCGAGGACTGTTGCAAGCGCCACGTAAACGGCACTGTGTGCGGTCTCGCTGTCAAAAACCCCTGACGGCGGCTCCTAAAATATAGTGGGGTACAGGGCCAAGGGACCAACAAGGGACCAACAAGTCCTCCCCTTATCGTTGGTGGGCCGCATCGTCTGTTTGAAACACCACACGATTGTCTTCAGACCAAAGAACATGAGGGTTGACCGATGACCAATTGCCCACGCCAAGTCATATGATCGACTACAATGATGCCGAATATCCAAAGTTCAGATGATTCTGAAGTACGGTTTTCCACACCCTGTGAACTCAGACCGGTGATTGAGTGGATACAGGCCACCAAGTGAGCCTACAGAAGTCGGACGAGTCACATAACATCGACCCGAAAGCTGAAGCAGAATGAGATTCGGCATCTAGAGGAGTAGACTGACGGCTGCTAGAACATCGCATAGGAGGGACGGAAACCGCGAATCTCCTGGTTATGGATGGGACCGTAGGTGTCAGACCCTTTGAGGAGGCGATGAAGACATCCATCCAAAGACGCCAGTTCGTGGGTCAGAGTCGGGTTAGCTCGGAGTCTAACATGACGTTCTGGGAAGAAGGGCAGGTCTCCTACAGCTTGACTCAAGGCCTCGAGTGGGATCCTCTTCATCTTCTTACCCCTTTGCTGGCCATCGAGCGAGACGCGTTGTCTAGGATCGCCACCATGTCCCTGACGTGTTCACCACCTTTCGATTGGGTTCCGAAAACGTCCTGCCAACCTCTCACATGGCCTCACTTTCAGAAGGGCAGGTTTGAGTGATTGCCAAATCAATGATTGATTGGGAGGGCGTGTCCATCACGCAAACGCGTATCGGCTATCTGCAGGTCGTGGTTTGATGGGTGACAAAAGTGCTGTCACAATATGCGCGTTCACCTACTCCATGGTGTATCTGCGGTGGGCGGGGTGCGCGGGCAGTGTAGCTTTCCTCACACCTCAGGAAATTCCCCAGGCTCTGAACCCTTTCCATAGGACAGCACTCACTTCGCCCTTTATATACCGGCAGCGATCAACCTCAACACCCAGAATTGACACAACTTCTTCACCTTGGTCTCAAACCACTCGTCTGATACAATGGACGTCAAGAAGATCACGGACGGCAACGAGTATGCATCCTTCTTCAAGCAACTGCTCGCAACCGCAGAGCTCGCGGCTCGGCGGAAGGGTGAGTCAGTGAGAGACCACCCACCTGCTCAATAGACGATCGCTAGTTTCTTGCGGAAGCTGCAAACGAGAGTTCTGAATCAACCAGCAAATGGACAGCACCAACTGGTCACGAGTCAGGTCCCAGCTCCATATCCACCTTGCACTCGTCCAGTACGCCACTTGCAGTGGATGATGATATCCGCAATGAAGCTCGAAACCCATCATCGCGGCACCAAGACGCTGCTTCGGGTCCTAACGCCTCCGGATAGAATAAACGCGGTGATGGCTGTAGTCGAGGACCAAGAGGGCACTGCGGTGTTGCTCCAGCTGTACCACCTACCCGAGGAGACTGTGGTACCTGCCGACCATGTCCTTTGCAAGGACCGGGTCTGCATTCTCAAGGAAGCCTTCTTCAAGGCTACCACAGATGGTACCTACAGCCTCAGGGTGGACCACGTCAACGACATAATCTGGTTGGCCGATGATGATGAGCATATACCGGCGAAATGGCGACGACAGCGACTTGCCGTCCAACAGGCAAGCTTGGAAGCACGGATGCAGGGAAATAAAGCTGTCAGTAACAATGACTGGGCCAAGGCAGAGCGTCTGTAAGTCCGCTATCCCCTCCCCAAACCTCTCGCCAACACCTTGGTGTCGTGAGACTAACTCTGTGACCTCGCAGTTACTCGTCTGCTATCAGCGCCGCAGAAACCTCCGAGGAGTCGATGCTAGCTCTTCTCAACCGCTCACTGGCCAACCTTCGACTTGGGCGTTTCGAAAATGCATTGTCCGATGCTACACGAGGCACCGTAGACAAGGAACCCTCCGAGTCCGAGAAGGCACTCTTTAGAGAAGCACGGGCTCTCTACGAGATGAGAAACTACAAAGAGTGTATGGGGAGACTTGTAGTTTTGACCAAGGAGTTTCCAGGCAACAATGCGGTGAAACCGGAGCTGGACCGCACGCAAGCCCGACTACGGGAACAACAGTTCGGGGAGTTTTCATTCCGCCGTATCTACCAGCAGGCCAAGGCTAAAAGCCCCGTCATCGACTGCGCTACATACTCGGGCCCTGTGGAAATACGACCATCCCCTGGCCGAGGCCGCGGCCTCTTCACATCTGCTGCGGTCGCGGCGGGTGATCTGCTTGGCTGCGAGAAGGCATTCGCCTACAGCTACGCGGGAGACGACCAACCGGAAGGCATCCGCAATACCACTCTACTGATGGATGTGGCCTCCAAAAGGTTCACTGTCGGTGGCCAGGCTCATCTCATCTCACAAATTGTGCAGAAATTGCTTCACAATCCCGAGTCTTCAAAGGAGTTTCTTGACCTGCACCCGGGGAAGTACCAAGCTGTCTCTACTAGAGAGGTCGATGGTCGACCAGTGGTTGATTCGTAAGTCAAGATTGGTCCATGCAACTGGCAACATGGTACATGCAGACGCTGACGCTGGTATGGCTTCAGGTTCCTCGTCGTCCAAATCATCTTGGCCAATGTCTTTGGCGCTCCCAGAACCAGCCGCTCCAGCTTCCGAACCACCACTCTGGAACTCAAAAAGCCATCGACCAGCCACACAACTTGTGGCATATGGATCCTGGCGTCGCACCTGAACCATTCATGCGTCGGAAATTGTCGTCGCAGCTTCATTGGCGACATGCAAATCATACGCGCAACGCGGGACATCCCGGCGGATACCGAGCTGTTCTTCAGCTACCGGCATGCCGAGACCATGGCTTCGTATACCGAGACTCAGAAGAAACTGGAGAACTGGGACTTCAAGTGCGGGTGCGCGCTCTGCCTTGACAAGAAGGTTACATCAGACGACACCTTAAAAAGGCGCAAAGCGCTGCTGTCCCAGCTGAAAACCGTCATGCGACCTTCTATCAACCCTAGATCAGTCGACACCAAACGAGCACTGGCAGTGCTGGAGAAGATGGAGGCAAGCTACGCGACACCTGTGAGGAAGGAGCCGTCCGCGGCCGACCTGAGCTCCTCGGCACTCGCGACGGTCCAGATAACTCCGCGCCTCGAGCTTTTGGACCCCTATCTTGGGCTCGGCCGCCTTTTCCTGACGATAGGCAAGCCGGCCGACTCTGTCAAAGTGACAGTCAAGTGCCTCGAGGCATTGGGCTTCGTGATCAATGCGCCTCCGCCAGGCTCAACAAGAGCCAACACGTCGCCGCCAAGCCAGCTCGTCCTCGAGGCCTGGGGAATGGTCGACGACCTGGTGGTTCTGGCATTCATGCAACTGTTTCACGCTTACATGCCGAAGTCCCCAGAGCTTGCGAGTAGGGCCCGCGAGTATGCTGCCACCGCCTACAGCATGATGGTTGGCGAGAAGGAGACGGTGTTCGAGGAGATTCCCGAACTCTGCTGAGCAAGGTTGGTTGTGTGCATAGAATAGTGAGGCTTGAACAGCTAGGTAGGATACAACACAAATGTCGGTTGCCCAGCAGCGGCGAGGTTAGGGGGTGAGTGGTAGACAACACTGGGGCGCAAGGCTACAAGTATGCAAACAAATGCCAAATTCACAACCAGCAAGGCGTAATGGCGCAACGGTCAGATGACCAATGCGCTCCGCATCGATCTACGTCTCTACCTGGCTAGAACAACTATCACCTAAAAGGAAGATGGTTTTCGTAGCAGCTAGGGGGTTTAGCCCAACCTGGCAGCGAGCTTTTTAATACTTTACCTGTTTTTCTTTGTTTTCCTTGCACACACGCACACACACCCTATTGTTCCCCCCTTGCTGTTCATCGGAATCCACCGCCGTACAGTCATATGAATGACTGATCGGGAGGCTACGAATATACGTTCTGCCTGCCTAGGTTAAGTAAGCAGAGGCTCGGTTGGGTAGCTTGGTCTGTCTAGCGCACTCGGTGATGTCTTGCTGCTTCTGCTCACCAGTGTCGGTCCGGTAGGATCTAAACTCCGTCTTTCTATTGTCACGTCTCATGGAAATGCGCTATGAGGCCTGACAGTAAAAGGAGTTATATAGTTATGGTGCCGGGTGGTTCAAGAGTTAAAACCGATGGGGGCCATATTTATTCGGGTATCGCATGGCAGGAGATCTGGTTGAAGTTCGACACTGCTGTGAGCTGCAGCAAGTCTCGCCCCTTCGCTCGGACCTGACTTGGAGAGTATGTGATGCCCAAGTAAGCTCGCCGGCTGGGGTCTCCTGACCAGCGATTGAGAATCTCGGAGGCTGCCACTGTCAGTAAACTGTGTCAGGTTGCCGAAGTACGTATTATTCACGGCTTTGCTCATCTCATCTTCTGCTCAAACCCCCTCACTTGACTCGTCAAGGTGCGCCGACGCCTCCTGCATGAGGTGCGAGAAGAATCTTGGCTCATCAAATGGTCTATATAGATAACTAGAAGATTGGGTTGGGGGTTGGGGTTGGGGTTGGGGGGTTTGGGGAGGTGTGACCTAATACTATCTTGCTTAAAGCTTACTACCCCCAAACACCCGAAGCTAGATTAAAGGGCGTATGGATCGGTAGAGAAATACGCACAGCAATGAGATGCTAAGACCACCCTTCCGCCTTTCCCTTTCCCCCCTATCCCCCCTATTCGACCCCTTTCTGCTCTCATCACCTTATCCCACCCCCCTTTCCCCCACCCCGGAAAAGTCCAGCCTCCGGTACATGTAGCCCGGTTGATTTCCAAAGAAGCCCTACGGGCGATGGAAGCCTCGGATGACGGAGCAAAGCTTTCACTCATACACTCTGTCTTCTCGTAACTATACACGGCCCTGGAACCGAGTCCGGGAATTCCATAACTTAGCTACCTAGCATCTTCACCACCCCAGCCGCGTTGATTATGTTAATATTATAACTTAGTCCCGTAAGAATACACGACACCCATTTACGTGAAGAAACACTTCGTATCTGGCGGATGGATGTACTGTCTGTCCTGATCTATACTCCCAAACATATGACAGTGCATTCAGCGTACAGGCAGGCGCGAGAAGCCAGAATAACTTCTCCGGGTGTGCAGTTCGTACAGCTGGAAACCTTGAATGAACCCAGTTCCCAGCCGGTAGGTGCATTGCTTTCCCAGCCAGTAGACCTAGACCTCTAGATCTCACCCTAACGTTATCCGCTAAATTAGGACAGCATCGCCTCAACCTGTCCTGTCCAGCTGTTGACGTCGATCCTAATTCATCCCGTCCTTTGACCACCGGCTCATCAAGCAGAGTGTCGACGAGAACCGGTTTGAACGAGCATAGCCTCCCAGGCACGTCAACAACACTAAAGAAGCAGTGGATGAATCTTTCTAGATTGTCTACCAATATACGGCCGCTCCATCGGGACGAGCCCCAGACCCCGAGTTACGCGATGAGTATATAATAATGGGTTAATCCCAAGGCGATTGCGCCCCGCCGCCCAGTCACATGCTCCTTGCAGCGATATATAATATGAAATGACCCCAGATCCAAGACCAGAAATGCACACTGACCCAAGGTATAGGGCTTTTCTCACGATGCCTTCCTGCCTGCCGGCCCGTACCCCTCCGCCACCCATCCGTCCTGAAAGCCATAGTATGTTCGTCCGTGTAAGTAAGTTTGTACGAAATGTATGTACCCAATGTGACTGAAGCGCCAGAACCTCGTCCCATCCGTTCTTTCTGTGTGTGTAACGTAGAACCGTGGCCATCGAGGCCAAACCCGATCAAGAAACCAACGAGTCGCCCATTAGCGGTCATTCCATCTCCCGTGCGATCCTAATCCGTTCTCGGACATGTATATGACAGGAAATCATAACCCAATCTGGCTTTAGCAGCATTTGAAGGGCACAGAAGGCTTGCTTCGAAGAGACGATGGCCCCTTACGCCGACGACTGCTCGCCGGCGGCATGCCGTCCCCTGTTTGCGAGTCGTCCGCCGTTTCGAATCGTTCGACACCGACTGTGATGACTTTGATTACATTACTGAGGCCCACGGCCACGCTGGAGCTGCCAACCCTGACCAGCGGGCCGAGATTCGTGACGAAGAGGTGTCCGTCGTCCTCGACCTCTGCGCATAGAGGCGCAGTCTCCCAGGTATCTTGTTTTCCGAAATGAGAAAACATCCATACTTCCCAGTCGTCTTGGACGATGTGTTGTTGTGTCGGTAGGCTGCTACGATGGCGGCGCCGAAGGCTATTTGGTGGCTGGAGGGTTTGCGGTGGTAGAAGACCATTTGTTCGTGGCTTCCCGGCTCCCTTTCGTCTTACCCCGACCATAATTCCGGACGGCAAAGCCTCCCAAATGCCGGGGTTTGGAATGACCCGCCTGGTTTCTCTGGCTCTTTGCCAGGGGCAGCATGTTTTCCTTGTAGGTGATGCTGGGTCACAGAAGCAGAGCGATTCGCCCTCCTGCAGTGGACTATAGGTCTGTACCACAAGATCCCGGGTATACGTGTTGAGATACGCAAGGGTAAAGCTCCATAACGCCACGGAACCGCATCGCATCCGTCGTGGTCTTGAATGGAAAACCTTCATACTCTTGGGTTGGATAGGATCCACCTTGAATGTATAAATGGCTCTGCGTGTTTGTGAATCGACGAGATCCACGGTCTGGGACCTGATGATGAGAAAGAACCCCAAATCTGGCAGAGCCTGAATCGAGATGAACTCTCGATCTCTCGAAGGCTGGACACTGAGTATGCTCGATTCCCAATTGTGCCCATCTTGAATAATAAGACGGACATCACCCTCTCGAGTAGAGGCCATGATTTTCGTCGGGAAAGCTTTGTACATGTTAGTACTCCTTCCTCTATGATCAAATGCCGCGTGGACGTACCCTTTTCAATGAGAGAGTCTGCTGAGACGATGACACTCTCCTCGGTGGTCACACAGCTACTCGTATGTCTCTTGTCTGACCTCAGTTCGGCCACGACACCATCTCGGCGGACAAGAGTCAGAGGAGGTATCGATGCACAATCGTCGTAGCCAAAGAAGAAGGCTTCTGGTTTATGCCGGTAGCGATCTACCTTGATTGGAGGACCCCAATGGCGATCGACCAGATTCCACAGCAGAACGCGGTCTGTCGTCAAAATGGCGAGCCAATGAGATTCGTCTTCGATGCACATGGCCAGGATTGGGAAGGGGATGTTTGGGGCAGCTTTATCGTCACCTAGGACGTAGCTACAGCAACTAGTCCTAACGTCCCACACGCGGATAATGCGATCCAGCCCAACGGATACGAGATGACCGGTGGAAGAAGCTGAAAGCATGGCAACGTCCAGATGATGCCCTATGCTCAAAGTCTTCACAGCAAGTAGGGGTTCTTCTCCGGGGCTGTCAACCGAGCTGGTCTCGGACAGCTCATCCCATAAGAGATAGTTCATCAGGAGGCGTACGGCGGCGGCGATGACAAGTACCGTCACCACGAAAGGAGCTGATTGATGGCGTGCGAAGTCGTAAACCGCTGGAGGGAGTATACGCTCATGAGCAGAGAGCATCCGGTCGGAACCTTTCAGAACGAAGATGTGAGGGTCAAAAACCTTGGCAATGTAGCTATGGGCGTCAGGTTTCACAACGTGAATGACTTCGCGGGCCGTTTCGTGATCTTGTAGACGGAGCCATGAAGTCGGGCTCCTAGCCTGGTGAATATCAACGAGTAACGAAGGTCGTAAGGGGCTGAGATGCTTGTATTTGTGAGAAGCGCACATGATGCGAGCGAGGGTTCTCATGACACTCTCATTCTCGAAGAAGTGCCACTGGGTGATGAGAACAAAGCCCACCATGATAATGGTACCAGCTATTCGGGTTGACATGGCTATCTTGCCCTGCAGCATTGCATCCATCCACGTTTGCCGTGGCTGGGGATCTGAAGGTGAGCGATGAGTTCGTATCGAGGCTTTCGCAAGGGCATCACTCAGCTCGGTTCTCCGCACGTCGACACTGAGGACTGAAAGAAAGAAGGTCGAAAGGTAGAAGAAATCGAGTATCAACGCGATCGCTGCGAATGTGCAGAATGCAGAGACACCGGGAGACACAATCTGAGATAGGCCATATAGGATGAGCAGGTTTTGTGCAACGCTAGCGACTGCAATATGGCCAGTCTCGCCGAATGCGTGGCCGATCCTGTTGCTTGTGTTGTCTTCGGATAGAGTGAGGATGACGGAGTTGATGAGTCGAAATATGTTTTCAAGACTCATAGAGAATATGATGAGCGGGTACCCGAACCGGGGTATCCTCGATAGATCGATCTTGAAAATGGCACATATGGTGAAGCTTGACATGATGGAAAGAACGATCTGGGCCACCACCGTGACCATCAGCCCAACCTTGGATTTGACAGCTCGTAACTTGGACAGACTATACAGGAAGTATATCAGGACAAGCAGGTATGCGAGCCCCAGAAGACAAACATCTTGAGACGACATAGGGCGGAACTGAAATTCGTATAGCTGAGCCGACTTGCCATCCTGAGGAGTGAACACTCTCCACTTGTCGGTCATCCTGCTGGCAAGTGCTTGAGCCCTCTCCTGCCATAGACGGCCGATTGGCGAGTCTCGGAGATGGACGAGAGTAATGACCAAGGCATCGGCAGCCACAAGACGGCGGTCTTCGAAACGTTTCCCGCTGAAGACATTCGAATGTCTCAAGGTTGTGTTGACAAACGTGGGCTGGTTCTTCCGCTCGTTTACCGTCGCCAGAATATCACCATCCTGCTCTATGGCATCTGAACAGCAGGACCAATACTGAAGTGGGGAGTGGAAGAACCATGACTCGTTGGTAAGGCCGTTGGCAACATGGAATGAATCACGCTGTTGCGGGGAGAGGTGTCGAGCGGTCGCTATGTCGGGCAAATCGAGGGTTTCGTTGTCGGGCAGCTGGCGGGGATCGAAGTCGACAGTCGGCCCAAGCAGTTCATCTTGCAGCTCCAGCGCAGCCAGCAGGACTTCCTTATCTAGAGCCTGGAAGTAGCTCCCGTGGACCCATATCGATCGCATTATAACATCGGGCTCCTGGACGTTCCTCTCCTCGAGAGGCTGGGCGTCGGTCCAAACATGGTTGGGAAGACTGGAGGCGCCATTGGTGAAGTCTTTGGTATAGAGGAAGGGAAACGGGTAGATGAGGACGGCGGCGACAGCGACGGATGTCAACAGGGTCGTGACGACATGGCTGGCGGCATATCTCCCGTACCGCGTGAAGGCGCTGCGCAGAGGGTGGGTTGGACCCAGCACGGGAGCTTCGGTGGTCCTGGATGCGCATGAGAGTCAATCAATGAGGCTCTGTCACTAATAGCCAAGGCACGCGACCAAGACAGTGGGTGCGAGGCGAGCAAGGTAGGAACAACGTACCCCCTAAAAGGATAGAGCAGATACCAAATCATCCTTCAGGACTGTATCTACCTAGGTAGCCAACCGATCCTAACGATCACCGGGTTGTGGACAGATTGGGCACGCAGACTGTATCGAGGCAAGTGGCCTGCGAGAAGAGACATGGGAGGCGCATAGTGTGAAGTCGCATCGGCAGATAGTGTGAGCAGTGGTCGAGGCGCTCACAGCGTGCTGGCTGTTGTAGAGTGTGGTTGTTATCTGGGAGAACTCCAACGGTATGGGTGGCTATGGGTGGACATTCAGCGAAGACATGGTCATTCGTGGTGATGCAGGGTCGTCCAATCGCTTGTTATGGAGCTTTGATGTTGTCGGGAGCAGAAAGATAGATAGTGGATGGAGCTTGGCCCGGCAGGAAGTAGGGACTGACCCGACATTGGCACTGGCACATGGAAATGTTTTACTGCGTACAGGGGCTTCAAAGTTCCGTTCCCCAAGCAGCCAAGGCATTGTAGAATGGCAGGATCAGCAGCGCATGTCCATAACAGGATAGAAACGTACGCGTACCAAGTGGGAAAGACTCTGGAGTCACAAATAAAACGGAACTATTACCTGCGGGCTTGCAGAATAGTCGGGCCTAGGGCGACGCCAACGTTGCTAGGTCTCCGAATGGATGTTTGTGATGCTCTAGCACTCGGTAGGCAGGTCGCACCAGGGCCGCGGGGGAAGGTCTGGGAAGAGGGGATAGAGGAGATTGATCAGTGATGGGCGCGACAACAAGCCCCAATCCCAGACAGACATCACCTACAAACCTCGACAGAATCAAAGACGCCAATAATAGTTGTAAGGAAACGTCGGGTTTTGCAGGTGCAGGTGCAGGTGCAGGTGTGGGTTGAATCCCACAGGTCTGGAGGGGTGCGACTGGATCTTCGCGCTGTCCCGGCCGGGCTCGGGTCCATCCGCGGGGTAGGGTTCTGGCCCCCAACCCGAAGGCGAGGTGCGAGCAGGGCGAGATAGGGGTCGGGGATAAACCCCCACCAATAACATGAAAGGAAGCAGCCTGTATGCCAAGCCCGGGGATGATCTCCCGCTGTTGCCCCGACACGGGCTGCACGGAACAGTTTCATTTCAGCCCGCCTGCATCAGCTGAAGATGAAGATCGGCCGATGGATGAACATGAAGATGAAAAGAAAAATGGTCGGTCCCATTTCCACAACCCCAATTCGAGAGAGACGACCAGCGGTGAGGCTGTGAGGGTCGCATCATACCCACTGGAGTGATCTCCACCTTGTGAAGTTGTGAAATGATGAGAGATGCAGCTGTCGCTCGAAGGTCCTGTGTGACTGTGGCGGTTGTTGATAGATCGATCAATGTCGGTGTAAGACATTGGCATGTGATCGACACCAGCTCGGATCTCGGGTTCGAGTTCGGTGCGATGGTAACGTGTAGTTAGTCGGTTGCAACAGCAAGTTGAAAAGCGAAAAAGAAGGAGGTGGAGAGGGAGACGTCGAGACGGGATGGTCGCTCAGATTATATGCTCCATCAGGTCGTCTTTATGACCCCTAACAATGAGACCACCGGCTTCCAGAATAGCAACGGAATCTGACCACCGACACCCCTACCTGAGCTGAGGAAGCTGACAATCTAACCGGCATCGTGGGTTCGCGAGGCAGACATCAGCTCACTTTGGGCGTCATGGCCCCAACGAGAAGGTTTCCATTGGTTCGCCGCGACCGGATTGGCCAGGGTCCCAAAATTCCTCCAGATGGCAACCAATCGTGGCTCTAGCCAAGTTGGCGCCAAAACACCAGAAAAAGCATCGCAGCCTTGCTTATAGCGCACCCCTGAAACGACTCTGAGCTCCATACGCACACGCACGCCGATCCTGCCGAGGATTTATGACCTGTCACAACAGCTGAGAGGCGGCAGCTGCGTCAGAGACAAAGTCCCATCCCACCACCGTACCTGAGAACAACATGGCATCCGAGGACCCAATAGCAGAGCTGCTCACGACCTACAACGAGCTGAACGCATCCACCATCGAGTCGCTAGACTCGGAGCCCAGCCCGCTGGAGTTCATGCGCCACGTCTCGCGCAACACACCCTTCGTCATCCGGCGCGGCGCGCGAGACTGGACGGCAACACGACGCTGGGATGCCTCATACCTGCGGTCCACCCTCGCAGGCCACAAGGTCAACGTGGCGGTGACGCCGTTCGGGAATGCGGACGCGCCTACCGTGGATACAGACGACAGCGGCGACCTCTTATTTGCGAAACCGCACGAGGAGGATCAGGCATTCGAGGACTTCCTCGACTATGTGATCCAACAGGAGAGGAGGGGCAACGGCAACTCCGAAAAGGGAACTGGGGGAGCGGAAAGGGGCGAGGTTCGCTATGCGCAGACACGTAGGTCAGCTGGTGTTCCCTTGAATGAATGGGGGCGTCCACTCATGAATGTTGTTGTGTCGTAGAGAACGACAATCTCCGGCACGAGTATATCACGCTCTTCGGCCAAGTGCAGTGTAGCATCGCCTTTGCGCGCATAGCGCTCGAGGTCAGTTTATTACCCCTTTCTCCCGCCTCACCCACCTCGCCCACCTCGCCCTCATCCGGGTCAGCGCGGAGCCGCCTATGCCACATGGAACTATGTAACCCGCCGGCCACAGACAAACAAAAACACTGACTCCCCGCGCCGAGAACAGAAAGACCCCGACGCCATCAACCTCTGGATCGGCAACTCACACTCCGTCACAGCGCTCCACCGCGACAACTACGAGAACATATACGTGCAAATCGCAGGGCAGAAGCACTTCGTCCTGCTCCGGCCGCTGTGCCAGCCGTGCGTCAACGAGCAGGACCTGGTGCCCGCCACGTACGTCCGCGACGCCGAGAACGGCCTCGCGTTGCGGAGGGACGAGGGCGAGCAAGGTGAAGGAGAAGGGGCAGGGATGAAAGTCCCCTTCGCAACCTGGGACCCCGACGCCCCAACCGCGCGCGCGACGCCGTACTCGCACCTCGCGGAGCCGATGCGCGTCACGTTGGATCCGGGCGATATGCTGTATCTGCCCGCTATGTGGTGAGTCCATTCATCTCCGTCCGGCCTCCAACTCACACATAGCCGTTCTGGCCCGGTCTGGCTTCAATGTTATACATACACATACTCACGATATGGTACTAACTTGGGGGAAAGGTACCACAAAGTCTCGCAGTCTTGCTCCGACGAGGGCATCTGCGTAGCAGTGAACTACTGGTAAGCTCAACTCCCGCTGTCGAGTCTCCTTTGCAAGAGAAACCGAGTCCCGAGGCTGATCATAGAATGCAGGTACGACATGGAATTCAGCGGACCGCTATACCCGCTCGTCTCATTTGTTCGGAATGTTTGGGCTGCCGAGGAAGGAGGTAGGTAGGTAGTAGGTGAAGATCAATGAGATGAAATAGAGCAGCACTTAGCTCTGATGTACTGCAACCGACAATGAGAGGCAGGGACTTGATCACAATCGTAAGTAAGTTCATTCATTCTGACATGATGGATATTATCACATGGGACCGGGCCATCAGCCAGACAGACCCCTTGCCAAACCACAGGAGCCTGTATACAACCCCTTTCTTTGAACGAACGAAACAATTCCAATGCGTATACTCCAGACGCCCAGGCTTGCCCAATACAAAATGCATGCTCTGCTTAGCAACACCATCCCGACTGACTCAAATACCCAACGCGAGTCCTGAAAAGTTGCAACTGACGTGACAGACCAAACAAACATCAGCGGTTGGTCCTCTCCCCCAAAGGCTGTCGCCGCGTCTCGTCCAAGAACCGATCCTTGTCATCGCCGATCTTGCGCCGGAACATGGACAGGTCGCTGAGCAGCTCGTGCATGTAGTCCTGCATATCGCTCGCCTTCTCCTCGTACACCTCGGACGAGTACCCGTCGTCCTCGTCGTCGTAATACGCCTCGTCCATGAGGCTCGCAAGGCTCTGCCGCTTGCTCTTTCTCCCGCCCGCATCCCCGTCCACTGGCGCGTTCTCCTTGTCAGCCTCCGGATCGCCACCACCGACGACCACCCCATCATCATCGTCGCCATCGTCTTCCACCACAGCAGCCCTGGGCTTCTGCACGGCGACCTCGGGGATCGGGTTCTTGAGGCTGTCGAGCGCGAGCTTGAGGTGCAGCCGCAGGGCCTCGTTCTCGGTCTGCAGGCTGCGGATCTTGCCCTCGGCCACGAGGCTGCGCTCCTCCATGAGCCGCTGCATCGCGATGACGTGGTTCTGGTACTCCTCGAGCTTCTCCTCGCTCTCGCGCACGTCCTTCTCGCGCCGCCGCGAGTCCGATACCGACAGCTGCAGCACGCGGATCTCCTCGGCCATGGTCGCGATCTGCGCGTCGCGCTCCGCCGTGCTGACGTGGTCCTGATTGACCACCGCCCGCGTGCGGATGCGCTTGGCCTGGTCCGCATACCGCAGGGTGGACAGTGTCTCTTCGTAGTCGGACGGCGCGATGCAGGCGATCATGGCCGTCTTGCTGTTTCCGCCGAGGGAGTCTTTCAGAAGCCATGTGAGGATGGAGTCTCGGTACGGGACAATATCTTTGCTTCGCTTTCCGCCACGCTGTTGTGTTGGGCCGGCCAGAGCCGCAATTACACGCCCAAGTGTTGTCAGGGACTTGTTGATATTGCTTCCCTCCCGGAGTCTCGCCCCTGTTGCCTCGGTAGATTTGGCTCGCTCACTTCCTGCCAGATCCACTAGTCTGATTCGTGAGCTGCGTTCTGTCGTCTCATCCGTCTCCATATCGTGGTGAATCTGTTTCAACATGATTGTAAACACAGCATGACTCCGACTACTTGTGTCGTTCATCTTGGTACTCGCTGTCGTGCGGCTCGCATCTCCAGACTTCATGTATCGCAGGATTTCCCCATAATTCCTGACAGGCACCTCCGTCAGATCTTTCACGTACGGCCCTTCGGATGGCGACTCGCGGATCTTCAGGTAGTACGGCGCCTGGCTTGGATTCACGGGCACGAGCAGGTCGCGCACATGCTCGTTGTAGACCTCGAAATAGGACGCTCGCACGTGATATGAGATATTTGGTGTCTCGTTTTGGGCCTGCTCAATGCGCTGGAACAGGTCCTCGCAGGTGCGCGGGATGAGGCCCGGGTGGTCGGGCGTGCCCATCATGGTGTACGACTTGCCGGAGCCGGTCTGGCCGTAGGCGAAGATGCAGGTGTGGTAGCCCTCGAAGTTGTGGTCGAGGAACTCCTCGCCTAGGCTGTTGTAGACGTCCTCCTGGTGCGCGTAGTGCCGGTCCTCCATGTCGTGGCTCCAGAACGAGTTGTCGAAGGTGAACGACTTCTCCTCGATGACCTTGCGGCTCTTGGCGCGGGCGTTGGCCGGGTCGCTGTCGTTTGGGACGTGCAGTGTTGTCATTTGTGTTATCGGGTCCATGCTGATCAGGCAGTCGGCACCGCGGTAGAGCTCTGTGGCCATTGCATGTTCGTCAGTCATTCACTCTCATACACAATAAACAGTTGTTCACCAACTGCGCAATAGGCCGAAGAAGCCACTTGAAAGGCAAAGTAGAAACGCACCTCTGGGCAAGAAAGCCCTCACCCGCACCACAACCCTCACATTTCCACCAGCATCCATCCTCATGGTCGGGGGCAGCGTGCCATCGCGAGAGCGCAGTGAGGGTGTCGAGGCGGAGGAGCGGAGGGCGGCGGCGGAGGTGGGAGGTTTCATGTCTAGCGATAATGGTAGCGTCGTGGAGAGGGAGGCAGAGGCAGGCAGGCGTCGCGGGTCCAACGGCACCATTCCAGTTGATAACAGTGTCTCGCAGATGTCGTCAAGAATGTCGCGAAAGCGCTGCTGGTACAGACATGGAATGCCGTACATCTGTGCACCGGCCTTAGGTAAGGTGATTTGGCTGGCAGGTACAGGGATTAAAGAAACTGTGTGGGGCGAGTATTTACTTTCCAGTGTTGGCCGTGGTTGCCAGAGCAGCGGGCGCGCCTAGGATGATGGAGGTAAGGCGGGATCGGATGTAAGCGGCGGTAGGCGAGGCCGGAGGGGCCGCTAAACTCCAGCTGCCAGCCTGGCTACCTATGCGGAGCAGCGTTGCACCAAAATGTTAGTACGTTATGCTGGCCAGTTATGTCACTACTTAATTTCAGGCATGATATCGAACTGGTAACTAATGCCACGGATTGTGTCAGATTTGAGCCAATCGTCAGAGTGAAGTGTGTGTGTGTATTCTGTCTGTCTAGAGTGTCCTTGTGCGACCGTGGCAGTTTTGTTGCCAGAGGGGCTGGATCGGGACGGAACAACTAGGTTCCGTTGTCTACCTGTCAAGGTGCCTTCTAGGCATACCTTTAATCCAACAGATTGACTTAGTGGCTAGCCGAAATAAGTATTCTAGTTACAAGGCTATATGAAGCCACATATAATATTAGAGCTATAACATTATATTAAAATAATATAAGCTTAAAGTTATATAGGGTTTAAGCGCCGGGCGAATAACGTATATAATTATTTAGAAAGAAAATCTTAAGATCTTCAATGATTATAACTTATAAAACCTTAATAATACAATAGTATAATATTTTCATAATTATTCCGTTTAAATTTTATTTATAATTAAAAAGCTTTTGAATATAAAAGCGCGCGCGTTTTTTAAAAGTTTTTAAAAGGTTTCAAACGTTTTTTCTTAATAATAGCCGCTTAAGTTACTTTTAATTATAAAACGATATTAACGTTATAATATTATTTTAAGTTAAAAATTACGGTAAGTAGTTATAATAGCTAAACGTAGCCATGATAACCTTTTAATAATCAATAGTTTAATTAATAATTACCGATAAAAATAGGTTATCTAACCTTGCTATTATCTTTTATAAACTTAATAGCCGTTTTAAATTTAAAAAAAAGTCCGTTTTTACCCGCGATGATGCTAAAGCTTTAACATCCTAGCAACATCATTGCAACACGATGTCTTAGAAAGCCCCCCCCACCCGCATAGGTACCTGGGATTGACGAGACTGCCCCGCGCTGTGACGTGCTGTTTGGGTGAAGAACATGGGTTCTTGGGAGGGGCAATCGATCTCAAACTTGGAACTGCGAGACCGTGTCTGGGATGTCGGGGTAATGGAATAAGATCTAAAGGTAGAACAAATCATCGATGTCAATACTGGGAGCTAGTGAGCACCTTACATGCCATGCTGCCTTACATGAAACATGTGAGTGAAGGCCAGTGTTTATTGTCCATGATAGCGGGTGTTTGGGCAGGAAACCAACGCACGCTATGCCGCAAGCTCCGGTCTATTACTCTATTTACGAAGGTCAAACGCGTCGCGTCTTGGCTACCTGTAGCTACCTTGATAAGTCCATCAGAGGCAATCCTTTATGCAGAGGTCTACTTCTTCACAAGTCCCTTTCCCAGCAACTCATTCCCGACCTCGTTGATCAGTGGTTCGTTCGGGAACTGCTTCTTCTTGGCTAAGATGGTCCCTTGAGCGCCCATTGTCCTCAAGAGGTCTACCAAGTCTCCTTCCATAGGCATGCAATATGCCAGGAATCCCAACGCCAACAGCATCCCATGAAGAGCCTCATTGGACGACTCCTCTTGCGATATAGTCTCTAGCACTGATGCTGCGAGTTCTATCTGGTCCTCTTCCGGCAGGACATCGCCCGACTCTTCCCTCCTGTGACTGTTGGCGCAAGCAACGTTATATAACAACGAAGCTGCCGCCACCCGAGTGTTTTTGTGGCTTTCATCCAGGAAACTTGCCGAGATGAGCTGCGTGATGGGAGTTCGCAACAAAGCCTGGCCAAGGATCTGACTCGGGTAGAGTGGGCTTGAGAACAAGTTGCAAGCCATCTGTAATGTTACCAGCCTGAGAGCGTAGGGGCACTCGGCGTCTCCGTCCACAGCATTCAATACCGCGATGACAGTCTTGTGGTCGGCTTCCTCGGCAAAGTAACCACTCACACGTGGGTCAATCAGAGCACATCGGAAGAGGTCCACGATGGTGAACAGGACTTCCTTGGGGAGTTCTGTCACAGACTTGCGCAGGAAGTTGGAAAACGCTTGTAGGTTGGGCAGTGTTGCTCCGGATGGTCCTTGAGCAGATCTTGTTTCGATGAATTGCTTGACCCCTTGAACCGACGCGTCGTTCGCAGCATTGCCCATTTTTGACAGCAGCTTCGGAAGCGGAGGAACCTTGGTGAATACCACGGGCTTCGCGTCTGGATTCGCAAGGTGTGGCAGCTGAAGCAGTCGATGAGGGTGGGAGGGAAGTGCCATCTGCGCCAGCAGCCCGACGGTGTCCCTCAAGCAACCCGCATCGGCGCCAACCCATTGTTCTTCCTGCTTGCCCTTGACGAAGGTCATGAACGTAGGTGTACCCCTGATTGAGTACTTCTGGGCAATGTCGTATGCATGTAATGTATCCACCTTGATGAGAGTTACGTTCTTCCCATGCTGCGCGGCCAATTCGTTGTATAAGGGGTAAAGCATCTTGCATGGCGGGCAAGTTGTGGAGGTGAAAAATATTATGGCGCACGACTTCTTAGCATCTTCGAGTGCCTTGTTCAGTTCCCCAAGGCTGGTAACGTTGACTACCGCTGGAGGCTGAGGAAGTGCAGGTGCGCCGGACCCGTTGGACTGCTGCTGAGCGGTGTTCTGGATGCCAAGTAGGCCGCCCTGCTGAGCCTTCCTCTGCTCAACCATCCGCGTCAACTGAGGCTGCATCATTCTGCCAAATGGTGAGTCGAGTACTGCTTGAGGCATGTTCGTAATGTGCTCCGGTATGCCTTTCCCAACAAGAAACGTCGAGAAATCATTACTGAAGTTATTGCAGTTGTGTCGGAATAGGTCGTATGCCTATCAGGTCAGTTCATCGTCGTTGTAGAGTAGATAAAGAGCTTACTTGAGGCGTATAGATCTCTCTTAGCGATTCCAGGTACTCTACGATGACTCCGAGGGGCAACTCTGTTCGACCAAGGTGTCTCCGCTGTAGAGGTCGGCCCAGATGAGAGCTGCCGGGTTTGATGGCATTGAGGCCGCCATCATAGACATATTCCATTCCATCAAGCTCTATGGAAGTGTGGTAGATGGCGTCGAGTTGGAATCCCAGCATGCGCATGGACATCTGCTTGGCAAGACCGCCCGACAGATCGTAGACAAGAACGTGAACGTCCATGGTGACGGTACTTCCGGGGCAGCGAGATGATGCTGGGGATTTTGCTATTGGCCTAAAGTCGAGTGTGCTACGTGGTGTCAATCGCCCTGTCGATCTCGAGGCCAGAGAACTCCAAAGTTGCAGGTGTAATGTGGAGGGGTAAAGTGAAGAATAGAAAGAGGGTCAGGTAGAGAGGACCAACTTCGAGAGAACAGACAACCGCGTTTCAATCACCGCATCTTCCCAGTGAATCCACGTCAGGTTGGAGGCAGCAACGTCCTTTGCGTCAGCAGTGACGGTAGAAGGTTGTGGCTGGTTCGGCGGGCTTAGTAAGCAACCCCACCCCTTCATTTGGCTTGCGGTGGCGTATGCCTTTCATCATCCGTGCCCCTTTTTCTCAGCCATCGCTATGTATGCAGCACCACTCCAGAGGAAACCCCTTCAACAATTGTCGAGGACCACATACGCTTCCGTCCACAGAATGCACGAAGCCTACTTATCATTCGTTGATGTGCGGAGGCTTTGTGGTATTGCACAGTAGAAGGCGTGTCTTATGACTGCATCCTGGCTTTCTCGAGGTGGCAGTTGTCCTGCTTCATGCTCAGCATTGCTCTTCGCAATCTAGTCCGAAGCCAATCATTGTGTAAAGGCAGTACTACGACGAGATCTTCAGTTGGGAGAACGTTTTAATCGAAAAAATGGATGACTCGAGTCCGAGGTACCGTTGGCTCCTCTATACAGGCGAACGGACAGGCTCCAAATGGGAGCAGCTCATATACCGCTTCAGCAAGATACACAGCAAGTGCGCATTTTACGTCCCTATAAGTCCCTACGAGAATTTTGTTTCCAGTACAGTACCGTCAACATGTGTCTAATGTATCATACAAACAACAAATGGCACGTGTGGAAGCGACACTTTGCTGGAGGGCCAGTCAACGGGCTGCAGAGAAAGGGGGGAAGTTTACTTCTATACCACCAAAGGCCGGTCCAACACAGAGCCGGACAAAAACTGGACCAATTTCGAAGCGTGAGAACTGGCGAAGAGGGACTCCAATACCACTAAGGTTTACCGTTACGAAGCAGAGGAGGGCGACTTTAAGGATGGGAAGGAAGACCACGCAGGCGTCTAAGAAGAACAATCTCCAGTTGATCTGGAAGCAAGGCGATGATGACCCCTTGGGTATGAGCCCAACTTTGAGACTTGGAAGCCACTGATACCCAAGTCTGGGTCCGCTACTGATTTGGAAGACGAGCCAGTCTCTACATGTATGGACCCGCACCTGGACAGGAACAGGTTGTCAATTGGAGGAATCAAGACATCTGGGAACTTGACGTCCGATGGATGTCTTGACACGAAGGGCGCGCAGCTCGGCCTGCATGATTGGCCCAGCCCGCCTCAGTGGCCCCAAGCTGGGGAAGCAGCCTTGACCGCCTGCAAACAATCACCCAACTCTTCAAAACCTTTAAATCACGACATATCGACTTCAACTTCAACGTCAACTCCAACTCCAACTCCAATTCATCATTACCAGCTTCATCCTCCCTCATCCCCTACAAACCCCACTTCTCCTTCAAGCGCCCACAATGGCATCCACCCCAGCAGCCACAGCCCCTCTCACAGCGTCTTGCCACTGCGGCCGCGTGACCTTCGCGATCCCCGCACCGCCAACCAAGTGTAACGAGTGCCGCTGCAGCATATGCTACGCGTACGGCGTGTTCTGGGCGTACTACACGCGCCGCGACGTGACGGTGACAACGGCAGGGACCGGGGCTGAGATCAAGGCCGGAGAGAACGCCGACCTGAGCGAGTACAAGCGCACCGATGCCGCCGCCGCCGGGTCGGAAGCGTTCTACCGGTGCGCGAACTGCGGGTGCATGACGCATGTAAGTAATAGTACCTCAGTCCCCTGTCACCCCCTCATTCCTTGTTGGACAGGCAGGCGGCTTTATCTTATTCTTCAAGAGAGGGGAAAGGAGATGGACATTAGCTTCTTGTCGTGTCTACGAGTAGGTGGGAGGAGTGTTTACCGTACTGACGTATCTACACCCGACTAGTGGTGGGGACTCGGCGCAAACGCCAGCGACGATGCAAAGATGGGCGTGAACGCGCGCCTGCTAGGCGAGAACGCCATCGAGGGCGTGGAGAGCTACATCGGCCGGTGCTGAGGGTGGAAAAGAAAAAGGAGCACGCCATAGGGCCACGGCTGGAGAACGGATCGATCAGGTCTGCAGAGAAAGCCAAGAGGCGCCCGTCCGGTCTAGGAAATCCGATGAAACAGGTTGGGAAGGTATGGAGAAGAGACTTCACGTGGTGGCATCATAGACCGCAGGCGACTGTAATCATTATCGTTTATGATATCCGGGAATGTCTCTGCACCTGGACGGAAAGAAACATCACACCAAACGCATATCTACTAATTCGAGGAACGGGAGAAGCACGCCAGCTCCCCAGAGTATTTGAGTATATTGGCAAAGTCAGGGAATCAGACGTCCAACCCCTTAACACTCCAGATGACACTTGTTGATATCTCCGGTGATATTACCTACCATCGTCGCAGGCTGCAGCTAGTCGCTGCGCTGAATAGCTCCACTTGATTTCATCCGAATGTGAGCACAACCGAATTATATTTCTCTTCTCTACTTATCTATGCGACTGCATATCAGTTTCCTATCCGATGCGGATCCTCGATGCCACAAGGAAAATTACCTCCATCACCTTCACCCTATCAAACAGTAACGCCTCATCGACCAAATCCACCAATCCACCAATCCATCAGTCCACCGGCATTCGAAGGGTCTTGCACTTCAGGGGCAAGTACTAGAAGCGCAACGAAAGTCAGCCACAAGCCCACAGCAAAGATGAAAACATACACATCAGGCCTCTACTCACGGGTAAGCGGGCTCGGATGCGTTGGTGAAAAGGTAGCTGTAGCCCAGCGTGTAGTTGGCTCCATTGTGGGCCTGGCCGTTGTTGATCGCGTGCTGGATGCCCCAGGTGACGGTGTACATGGAGCAAACACTTCCGAAAGGCTGGCCGTTGACGTAGGTCAGGTACGAGTTGAAGGCGCGGCATTTCTTGCTGACACCCTTCTGACCGCTCTGCTCGTTGCAGACGGCCGCGCATGCAGTCGGCTGCCAGCCCTTCAGGACCCGCGACCCGATGTACGTCTCGGTGGTGTTGCAGTCGAGCGGCGCCTTGATGGCCGAGTTGAAGGGCAGTTGCTGCACCAGGTAGCCCTTGACATCGGGGATTTGGATGGGACCGGCGAGTACAATGGGGCCGATCTGGTCGATTTGGTCGATTGGCATCAGCTGGGCCTGGGCCAGAGCCGCGAGGGCGGAGAGGAGGACTGCGGATGTCTTCATGGTAGCTATGTGGAGATCGAGCGACTGGCTATGCTGGGCAAGAGAGCGAGACTATTGATGAGTGTCAGAGTGGTTGGTGATCATTCCGGCGAGGAGACGGGCAGCGCCATGGGCTTTATAGAACGTGGTTGGTTAATCTGGTTGCATTTGGGACCCTCGCACCGAGGCAATGCGCCCAAGTCTGCTAGTACGTCTTGACGTGCATTGTCATAGCCGATCGGAATACCCCAGGCGATATGCATATATATTGCAGGATACAGCAGAATAAGTGCTATCAAGGCCGAAAAGCGTTCAACCGCAACTCCGGCATGTTCCAAGTTGATGTATTATAGCGCAAAGGATTCCCCCCTTGGCCCCGTGAAAAGGGGCAGCTCGCCAAGTCCCAACAACTCAACCACCCAAATATCGGAACAGCCTCTGCCGAACAGAATCAAATCGTCAACGACCAGCCGCACTAGGATGCACCGGTAATCGCCTGAAGCTAGCCTGCGCTCTTCGGCCGGATGGTAGCAAGCCACGATCAGTCGAGGCCACCATTTTTGCGGACATATGCCTCCGTTGAGCCCTACATTGGTCACTTGGGACTTTTCTGGACCGGACATGCTCTCGTCCCTAGTGCGTTTCCCCGGGAAGTCGACGCCGACGCCATGGGACTGGGCCGCTGTTTTGCTAAAGGCAACTCCTAACCGACAAGTGGCACCCCATAGCTCGACATGGTTCTCGCGCATACAGGATTAAGGCGCATATTCGGGCATCGCGTCTTCCCCACGACTCCCGTCCGCCTCCTGGGTACCATACAGGTTCTCTGATGATGTCCAGTGGTGCCATGGTATTGTTGCAAGAATATCCTCTCGGACCTCGAAGGGACCGCGCTCGGCACCCAAGATCCCGGCCGCTGCGGACCTATCCTTCCATCTCGTTATCTCGCCTTATGCTAGTGGCGTAAACTCCCATTCGCCAATGCCATGATGAAGCAAGTTCGCCGCAGGGGCGCGCTCATCAGCCTGGCATCCTTGTCAGTATATTGCTCTGCGGATGGCAGATTGACGACGACGTGGCGAAGACCCATTCATATCAACAATTGGAACGTTTGCCTCGAGCAAGCTAGGTAGGTACCTAGTCGAAGGCGGCTGAACCATCGGGTCGGGTCCCGATCTCTATCGTGGGCTGGCGTGGATGCGATTGGCCACGATCTAGCAAGCAAGGGGTTGTGAGGTACTTCCAGGATGCATGAGAATATTTGCTCTCCAGCTGTTTGGTATTCGCTGTAGCTGGGGTTCAAATTGATTCTGTAGAAGCCACGATGGAATCACGTGAGCATTCTGCTGAATCACATGGCCCAGAGAGGCCTTCTGCTCCGAAGATGATGATGTCTTCTCATCTGAAGCTATAGGTGGACGAGCCTGTGTGACACCAGGAGGCCCCTCCTGCCGTATGTATTAGCCATGCAGCGGACCGCTTGAGCATATATAAGTGTGCTTCTTCTCACCGTTCTCCACGACACCTGTCGAAGTTCAAATCCAGAACCCGAGATACTATGTCACCATAGTCCAAAATACTCACTCCATCGTCAACTTTCACAGTAGGTACCAGCCTGCTCTAGCTTCAAAAACACTGTCTGTGAAGCCCCATTAGCGCTCAATGGGACCTATGCTGATCACACGAACAGTTCGATGACCTTGTCTCCGGACCGCTCATCCCTATGGCCTTTATAGGAACAAGACCCAAGCGAGAGGACATGATTACTCCTACTTGAAGGCTGATTGACGGGCAAAGGACACGTGTTCGGGTTGCATGATGCAATCCAGCGCTGTGTAAAGCGGTCAGCTCATTTTCGCAATTGCAATCGTGGTGCCTCTGCATTTGGTTGGCATCGTCATCAGACTAGGTACAGGCCTGGAAATATACAAAAACAGACTCCTCGCGGATCAGGATCCTCATTTTGGTGGCGGACACCTGCGGACTCTTACCTCGTTTGACCTGCGCGTAGGACATGTTTGGTCGCTTCTATTGCCAGACATTAAGGCATGTCGGACGAATCAGAGAGCAACAGAAGACAGACTGTGTCCTCCATCAGGTCAGGACCTATGTTGAGCGCAAAAGCCCGGCAGACAAGCTTGGCAGCGATCGTCTGGAATAGCCCTCAGGTAGATAGATGATGGCCAGCTACGCAGCGTAACATGATGGGACTTCTCGCGGTATGCCCACCATCTTGGGTTGCGTGGTGACTCCTGAGAGTGTTTGCACTGTGGTGACATACAAGCTGTAACGCTATCCGGATGATGACCATCCTGTTGTTGTTGCTTTCACCTTTGGCATCGCTGGTAACTGGTCAGAGGTCACAGACTACCAGCCAGTTGACCATGCTGCTGTCATACTGCTCCACGAAGCACCATGAGCCAATAGCCATTTTGCTGCACGAAGTACATAGAGGTGAGACCTGACACCTCAAGTGTTAGACTGAGTATGGTAGACCATGATGGTTAGACGAGCTCTGTACGCCAGCTGAGTTAGTCTAGTCCCTCGACTAGAAGCACCGACATTGAATGAATATACAGCACGATGCTAATCTACTTGAAAGTGTAGCTGAGTAGACATGAGGCATTGGATCTGTTTTGTTTTGAAGCAAGCACTTGTATACGTGACTCTTGTAGTACAGATATGGATTTCACGGCTAGACTTGACTGAAACCTTTCTCTTCCCTGTGAAGTATAAGTTCAGGTGATTGCTTTGAGTGTTAAGTAATGGTAGCATGTTATTGAACTGGAACCAGACAGCCGTTACGAGCTCTGAGATTGACGTATGAGCCCTTCTCATATAGCAGCAGCGGAGGCACATACGCCCATGTGGCTATATAACACCATCTCATAGCCTCCCAATGCCCATGGGCCATACCAGACTTGTTACAGGGCCCTGAAGCTGTTTCGTGAGAACTGTTGACTTTCAATGGTTGCACTGTTTATACATGTGGGTTTGGCTGGATGCCTTGTCGCTCCTCTGTTGCCCAGTTACGCTGCCAATCAGTTTCCCTCAGGCTTCTTCCATTTGCCAGCTGGGCGTTCTCTCAACTTGATCTGCCCCCAGTTCTTCTTGTGCACCAAATCAAAACCTCTCGCCCACATCGATTCGGCCTGCCAATCTTTCAAACCCGTGTCTGCACCAGGCCGTATGGCGCAATGGTCAAATGCGCTTGGTTGTGTTTTCGTTTGTGCGGTCGGCGACGAGAACAAGTGGGTTCGAATCCTGCTACGGCCCCCTTCTGACCCGGCCCCCTTCTGACCCGGCCCCCTTTCTGACCCGGCTTGTGCGAGTCGACAACCAGCACACGACAGTGGAGAGGCCCCATTATCGCAGAGCCCGATAGCCAAGCAGCTTGTCTCCATAACACCCACTCCTGCGAGGTTTTTCCCCTTGTGGTTTCCCTCGCCAGCAGATAACAAACACCTGCTTCATCCACCAATACGACATATATCGAACGGCTACTGGAACGATGTGTACACCAGAGGACTGAGGTCCACTGGGTCGCTTTGTCACTGGACAGGAGGTTTTGCTGACAGAATCGTGCTTGGGTATTGACTAAAAAAAAAACCATCTGGACACTCCAGGTTGGTACCGCTACAGCGAGGATGGGCTCGTGCGCGGATCTGAATGTATCTAGACTGACACCTCTACAACCTTGCGATGCAATGGCTCTGGGAGGCGTGGTTTGCCCTGTTGAGGGACTGCACCCACGATAAATAAAATCAATCAATCAATCAATCAATCAAACCGTGTCTGCACCAGCTTTCCCATAATCCCCTCACACATCTTGGCAGCCCTACAAGCAATGGCAGGAGACGAATTTCCGGAACTGCTTCTGCACCCAGCCATTTGGCGCCCTGAGGAACCAGATACCTTCCGTCCTCCGGCATGCGTGGTGGCGTAGTCGTGGTGTTTCCGCGACCCGTGGCTCCTCTCAGAGCCTCAGCTGCATCCTTTCTTCCTCGTCACGCACAGCACCAAGACACATCAATTCCCAGATTTTCCGCGAACTATCGCGGCAATCCCTTGCGGCGGGAGAATTGGTCGGCCGACGTACCTGACGAAGCAAACACATCGGCCTTCATCACCGGTCTTCCACCCAACTGCACGGTGTCAATGCTTACGGGCGCCCTGAGTAACACCGGGAAGCTATACGCGACACACATCAACCACTCTGACCCGGACCTCGGTCATCATACCGCCGCAGCGAAGGTGTGCTTTTTCTACCGACAAGGCATCGACAGACTCCTCGAGAAAATCAGCGCAGGCCTTTTCGTGGTGGGCGGCTACGCGCCCCAGGTACGGATGAATAGAACCCGAACAGCTTCGCAGGAACCAGATCAAAGACCTCGTATGATCCAATTAACTGGGCCACTCAACATTGTCAATGTTGAGCGACTGACGAATATCTTCCACGATCACTTTTACTACGACCTGTGCTCCGCAACTGTCGTATCGGGGACGGCGAGCGACGCCACTATCGAGTAGCATTTTGGCTCGTATCGATGCCAGGCCGCTACTGCCGTGGCTGTACTCGAACGACGCTTCGGTCGATGGGTTACCATCAACTTTGGATTTGACCCTAGCGAATAAGCGCTAACTGCCTCCTGTTATCGCCAGTCCTTGCTTCCCCACACGAACAGAGACGAAGACGAAGACAAGGACGATGTTGACCACAACAACGATGACGATGAAGAGACTGCGGGCTCTGCCCTTCGCCGGGTATCCTCCTTTCCGACAGCCTAGAGGCTACGTCAGTAACGTTCGCTTGACCGTTTATTTGTTCGGGCTCTCTTCTTCATGTGCAGTGGAGGAATGGCGTGGCCAAGGAACAGGACAAGGACAAGCTTGAGTGCCCTCTGTGGCAATGAATCAGAGTTTCCTGTTTGGGTTTCTGCAAAACGAGGTCGTGAGATAAGCACGTCTGGTATGAACAGGTGCATAAGTCATCCGAGGGCGATAACGATTGGGCAAACTGGAGGGATGTGAATTTCACATAAGACGGAAAATCTCAGCACTTTCAGCACTCCTTCCAAAGACTGGAAAGCTTGATTGAAGCCGAATGCGAGAGTGAGTATACACACCGTTGATGCTCTCGTTTTACCTTTGCCACCCTCTGTTGCTCTAGGGTTTGTACACTAATACGCACCGCAACTGTGACACCCCTGCGACAAAACCCTTTGGCAAACACATAAGGCGAATTCGGAGGATACTCTAGACTTTATTACGAAGTTGGGAATTATCACCCCGAACGTTGTCTGGCATCCCGAGACGGACGGAGAGGCCATGGAGTATGTTTGGCAGTGGCTGCACTCGGTACGCGACTAGTAAGCCCATTCATCATTAGTCAGATGCCTCTTACAAGCACTGTCTACCTGTGTCCATGTTGGTGTTCATAACACATGTGACGTTAAAATTACTCTCCACAAGATGAAGTCCACCTCTTCATACTTGTCAACCTAAGATCTACAGGCATGCAAACATTGATGACCGCGAGAATCTCCAACTCAGGCTGTCAGTTTCCGAATCTCCTCGGCTGTGACGAAGAGCAAGCACCCTTCGGGGGGGTCATCTATGTTTATAGGGCCTCCAACCTGTCCTAGAACATACCAAGCAATGTGTTTGGTATGTCTCTCGCTTTTCATGTAATACTCTCCACCTGAACGTTGAATGCCGTCATCCGCTACCTTTCTGACTTGCCGAAGAAGCTCCTAGCTCTGTCTATGCAGCTTCAAGAGATTGACCTGTAGCACCTGGGCCTCAAATTTCAACGTCGATTCAAGAGCTTGGAGTACGCCTTTGCTGATTGTCGTTGCTGTCCTCTTCATCTGCTGCGGGCAATCCTCCGGGGCTGTACCCTTTTCAAGGACCACCCTAAGCCCCTGCGTAGTCGCTGTCTGGTCATTCCGATTTGATCCGGAGAAGCCACTTATCGCGGAGGATACCTGTGCTTTCGGCCTCAACTTTTTGCGGTGCTCTTCCGAGATGTTGCCTCTTGGGTCGACTCCGATGCGCCGGTTGTGGGTGAAGACTACCGCACTGGCTCCCGTGGCCATAAGATATCTTCTGAAACACTCTTCTGCCTTCGGAGGGGTATCGCGGCCCGCGAATATCGCGTTATGGGCTTGCGTCTGGGAAAGGACTTCCACGTCGCCCCAAACACTGTCAAGGTTCTTCAGGTCCTGGGCGTACTTGTATAAGTGCGTCGCACGAAGAGTCACACCCCAAGAGTTGGTGAAGCTGATGCAGACGGAATGATACAGGGACCGGATGGATAAAAGCAATACACCGCATAAGACTGGGTTTAGCTTTAGAAGCTCGTGGTGTTCGCATTCGATGTCTTTCTTTCTCGCGCGCTTCGCTGTCGGGTCTTGGAATACGTTGACCTTGATGTTGAGGTTCAAGTTTGTCAACTCTAATAGATTGACTGGTTTTTGTCCTTGTTGAACCGAGTTATATTCATGAGCGTATCGTTGATTTCAGTACACGCTACCTGGAGTTCTTGGAGGGGCTTCTTGTCGGCTTTGGACACAGTATGGTGGGTCATCTGCAGCACAAGTGCAGTGAAAGCGTGCTGTATGCTTATGCCCCCTTTTCCCATGGCGGCACCGATGTACGCTGTGTTGATTGTCAGGAAGCATATCCTGGGAACAAAGGAATCATACATGTACATATACATGGCCTCCAGGCCTGGTTAGTATTGTAGCCCTCTGCAGAACAACATACATCTTTACCCCCCTATATGGTTCGCCTTCTGACATTGATTGGGTGCTCAAATATTATGGGCATTGGCTCCGGTGCAGGCGCTGGTGTAGGTGTAGGCGTTGGTACCAGTATTGATGTCGGTGCCGGTATCTGTGCTAGTTCGGCGTGGTTACTTCTTATGGCTATACTAAAGGGAGTCTTACGACGTGTCCCATTCCCGGAGGCCGAATGGAGTCGGGGTCTTCTGGAACCCAAAGGCCCGGGTGGATCACGAGGTAGACGCTTATCATAGCTGTTGGCTTGATTGGAATGGGGTAAGCGAATATTCAGGGACGGAGATCCAGTGTGCCGAAGGGACGAAAAAATTCGAGACGTGGTGGGTGGGTTCGTGACCTTAGGAGATGTTGCGGGTGTGATCGCAGAAGACTTCCGCTTATTCTTCTGGGCGTTTTTTAGATATCGAAATATTGTCGAACCTGGTGGTATTGCCCGCTGCTGGCGACTGTTCAAGGCCAGTGGCACAGGCTTGAAGAGCCTAATACATATCTGACAACTGCTGTATTATGTCAAAGCGTTGATCGCCTTCGGTGTTCTTGCTCGAAGCTTGAAGACGCTTTACAATATCCATACTTCTTGAACGAGGTTTAATAAGGCTATATAAGTCTCTTCTATATCGGTGGGGTTACACAGTCGGTGGGTATTCGCTCGTTGCTTGGAGCAGCATAATTTAGACAGAAAGGTCGAGCTGTCATATAGGCTAAAGCAGATATCAAGCCAGAGTGGCCTCAGCACCAAGATTGGTGTTTTACATTGTATATGTCGCACAGTCACGCTGAGATTCATGAATACAGCAAGCTGCCAATGACGTGACGTATTGGTTTCCACCTCGACACCCGCTATGGCTCCCTAGGAGGATCCTGCAACCTGAAATGGAATGTAAACAAAGTGTAGCATGGAGGCAATAGGCTTCTAGGTAAGTTATTTGTAAGTTCAACTGTATTGCTGGAGTTAGAGTATCTCATGCGCCTCTGGAGTTAAGATGATATCATCGTATATAGGGCCCGCGGAATGGTGCTTATGAAGTGCGCTTGCTATGAAACGACAAAATACTATAGAAACAAGCTGATTTACCTTTTACGACGACCAGAACTTGTGACACAGTAAGTATCGCCCTTTCTTATGCAGATTGTTACCCCTTTACTGACTGTTTGGCTAGCATTCACAGCCTGGGCAGCGAAACTAACGTATAGCTACACGATACCTAACCCCGTACGGGCATGTCACCTACGGTACCTATCTACAAGTTGTTACCAGTTCTCAGTTTGTAGGCCAAGGGTGATAATCGTTCCTGCACTGTAGAGCCCCTTGGAGATCTCGATCGTGAACGAAGTTTGCGCCTCGCCTATAGGCTTTACTGCTTACTTTAGCCTGCACACATGATTCCCCAACCACAACATCAGGCACCGAGATAATCCTGAGCCGGGCTAGATGGCTTTTCAACCGCCATCCCCTGAGCTGAGCGAAAGCTAGCAGCCCGCCTAAATGGCGGCCAAGCCAACAGCTCGAGCTGGGACCATCTCCGGTTTGCTGGTTCTTGGTGTAGATGTGTTGAAACTGCCCTACGAGTCCGCAATTGCACCGGCGGCTAGGCAGAAGCTCAAGAGCTGAAAAAAGAATAAGTTGCGGTTGGTAATGATCAACGCAACCAAGGCTGCTTGGATCCTCGTCTGCTCGTGTCCCAACGAAGGACACACGGCCCGCATTACACTAGTTCCACCGGCTCCATGGTGGACGAGAGCTAGACTCTAGAGCTTACGGAGAGACGCATGAGCCACCTATGGTGCCGTCTAGACGCAAGCACTATATCCCTTGGCTACACTTACTAATAATCCAAAAGCTGGTGCCTAAAAGGATTGAGGTCCATTCCACCGGAATCTCTTCAACTTCCATCTTTGAGCTGAAGGCTACAGTGATCGTGGGTGACAAGACGGTCGGGCCAGGATATCTAGTGTGACACTAGCCTCAAGATGAGGTTTAAATATATGTGCCCTGATTTAGGTATTGTGGTGAATGCAAGGGATATACCACGATATGTAAATAGCCTATTGTCGAGAAGAATATATATAGAGCAAGATGTCATCAATACTGGTATAGACGTTGGTGTACACCAGCCTCACGATCAACCCAACCGCTCAGGTCTTTTCGCCTCCTCCGTGCATGACTTACGAGACATACCATCAAACTCACGGCATTGTCCATGGCGCCCCTGAAGCTTCTGGCCAGGCTGGCCGTTGGTATTTTCTTACTCAGTTCACCAACTCTGATACATGCGGACGCTGACAGGATCCACCCCCGCAACATCACCATTAACCTACTGCAGAACGGCGACAGCGACTCCCAGGGCACGCCTTTCAAGGGGGTTCGACGGATGTTCCGACCCCAAGAAACAGGCCCTCGTCAAGGCCTGGTGGGACGTGGTAGACCTCGCGAGGATACCCGCATCCGTCAACTGGGACGAGCCCGGGACGTTGGAGGAGAGGTTCTACGGGGCCGACATAGGCTCCAGGGACGATGCCAAAGAGCAGATCCAAAGTACGATTTTAAACATACATACACGCGCACACCCACACATCCCCTCTCTGAGAGCAAGAAACCTTTGCTAATCAGTGATCGCACGCACAGCGGTCTTCAAGACCATCATGGACCTATACACGTCCAAGACGACGGGCCAGATCCGCATAGCCTGCCAGGACATGCACCAAGACCACCGGACAGACGACGAGCAGACGACGTGCACGAACCGGGTGCCCGGACGGAAACCCAAGCTCATCGGCGGCTACGCGTTCGCCTACGGCCCGGCGCACGACCAGGGCACCGTCGTGCTCTGCGCGCCCTTCTTCGCGCCCGGACAGGAAAACCTCGGCGAGGTGCTGGCGGAGCTTCGGAGCCACAAGGATCAGCAGCACGACGCTAAGGTCATGAGCGGCAAGTTCACCATGTTGCTCCACGAGCTCACGCATCTTCCTTCTATCGAAGGGCAGCAGACGGGTAAGCAGTCATTTTGTTGGGGGTGGAGGTCATGTGTCACGGTGTCGTAGGTTACTGACTCAAGCAATACATAGTTGTCATTGAAGATCAGAAGTTCAATCCCAAGGCGCTGATACCCGATGCCGCATACGGCCTGTACTGGGTGGAGAGGTTGGCAGACAGTACCAAACAGCGTGCCCGGACGCATCTTAACGGTCAGTGAATAATCCCACCTTTCAGAACCAGAGGTGCCTTGACTGACACCGTTCCTGTGCCAGCCGACACCTACGCGTGGTACGCCAGCGAGAAATACTTCGAGGCCTTCTTCGGCACGCCCGACGCCTACAACCAGCCGCGCGTGGACCCGGACCCCCCAGCCCCTGCCCCTGCCCAGGACCAGCCGGACCAACCCACCAAGGCCCTCAACATCGTCCTCGAGAACAGCCGGCACGGTGTCCCGGGCGACGCGGACTTCTACGACCGGATGGAGTGGCTCCTCTTCTCCGTGGCCTACGGGACCGGCTCGCTGTGCGCGACGGACCAGTCCCCGGCCCGGTACCCGACCGACGGCACCATCACCCAGCTGATCCACGCCGAGCTGCTACACGGCACCTTTGCCGTCAAGACCCAGGACGGGGACTGCGAGTACAAGAACGACGGCACGGGGAACCCGGGGGCGCTGTGGTGTGGCGGTACGGCGCATAGCTGCAGGGAGCAGGCGGATCTGCGGAAGGGAAGGGAGGCCGATCATTATTGCGCTGAGCTCGGAAAGAGTATCACGGGATCCGTGGAGCAGCGTGCGGCTGTTGTTTGCGAGTGGTAGCTGGTGCCATCGTAGACATGTAGTCAATCTCATAAGGGTATGGTGACAATACACACGCTGCTATCGTATATGGTGGACTGCGCAATCATGTGCCTGAAGTACTGCAGTTGTGGGTTAGTGATAATGGGAAGACCGTGAAGTCGTGCCAGTCGGTGGAACCCATCTTGGGCTTCTCGGCAAAGTAATTCCCCTGAAGTAAATCATCACGACTTTGATTGCGCAGACGTGAACATGGTCGAGGTGGTTTGCCTGCAACATTTCGTTTTGCTCTTCTGAACTACTACTACTTCGGAATCCATCAAGAGATCCACTATCACTCTACTTGCGCTTCGCAATCCTCTTCTCCGCCCGGAGCTCCTTCTTCATCCGCGAATCCACGATCTTATACCTGCCCTTGACGCCGCGAGGCCGGCCCTTGACACCCTTGTTGGTACCGCGGGCAACGACCAGCTTGGGCTGTTGTCTGGCGGGCTTCTTCTTGGCGGCCTTGCTCTTCAGCTTCAAGATGCTCTCGGCCTTTTCCTTCTCCGTCATGCCCTCCTCGTTGGCCAGCATGTCCGACTTTTTCCGTAGCTTCTCCAGGCGCTGCGCCGTCTTGAACTTCTTGCGCGCTTGTGCCTCCCGTACCTTCTTTATGGGCCGTGCATTAACTGGAGGGTCTGGAGTCAGTTTCGGTATCGACTACGAAGCTTCGTTGCGAATCGCCCGTGACCAATGATGTACCAGGGACAGACAGGAGCGGAAGAAAAGGGAAGAAAATGACTTACAAGCTCTCGTCTTTTCCCTGATCGCAGCAGCCGCCGCTTTGGATATGGGCTTCTGCGGCCTGTCATGCTTCTGCTCCTCCTCAACAAACCAATCCGGCAAGCCGTCGCGGTCTCGGAAGGCATGCTTGTTAAAGCCATCATCCACGACATCTTGGCTGGTCTTCTGGCCAGTCGCTAACTGGTGAGCCATGTGCATTGCCTCGGCAGTTATAATGTCGATGTCTGGTATCGTTAGAGTTTTCCTTACGGAGGCAGGAATTGTGCATACCAGGTTTGCCGTCAGGTCGCCGCTTCTCATCTTCCCAATCATCATTCTTATCTTCCACAACCTGGCTTCCAGCTGCGTTATCATCCTCAGAATCAGAGGGCGGCGCATCAGTGGCAACCTTGTTCTGCTTCTGTTGCGGAGTCTCCTTGCGCTCCTTAGGTGGCAGGGCTTTGGCGACCGCCGAGACCACTTCTTCGACCTCCTCAGCCATGTCTTCGTCTTCTTCCGACTCATCTTCTGGTTTGGGAGCGGCTTCGTCAAGGAGCCCTGGAATACCTTTGAAAATGTCCTGATTGAAGAAGCTCGTGGCACGTCTCGAAAGACCGCCAGGTTCAGAGCTGTTATCCAAATCGGTGAGTAGCCGTTTTCCTGGTGTAGGCTCTTCATCGTCCGACTCATCACTGCTATCTTGATCAAGCTCGCCATCGTCGCTGGATTGTCCTTGTTCATCACCCGACAGCCCTTCCCACTCGCCGTCGTCGTGTTCAAGCCTAGCCTTCTTTGCCCTGAACTTGGCATCTGAAGAGGCTTTCCGGTCTTTGTACTGGTCGTAGTAAGCATCCAGCTCGCGTTCCAGTCTATCTTCTTCGTCGTCGGACTCGTCGTCGGTTTCTCCCGAGGACCCAATGCCACTGTCCCGATCTTTCTTGGCATCTTTCTCGTTGAGCAAGGCCATTCGACCCTTGGCTATCTTGCTCGTTGCTTCTCTTCTCTCGAGAGGTTTGAGCGCAAAGAAGCCTTCGCTGGTTTGTTCCTGCCCGATGTCCATCGGAGCGGTCATATGCAGCTGCAATCGCACGATTTCCTTTTGCTTCTTCTCATTGTCTCTCCGCTTCTCGCGCTTCTTCTTAGTATCATCCTTGTCTTTCAAAGCTTGTAGTTCTTCCTGCAGCCTGAGCTCCTCGCCCATTTCCTCGACTTCTGCAACTTCCTCTGTTGGGGCAACTGCCTTCGAAGACTTTTTCGTGGGAAGCCCGAAAGCCTCGCGAGCCTTGAGCCTCCACTTGAGCAGTAACTTGAACTCTCTTCTGCCGAGTACCTTCAGGTCGGCGCAGTATAGCCGAATCTCTTCCGACGTATCGGGCATCTTGTCCAAGGCAGCGAGAGCCATGTCGCCATTCCGTGGTTGCTCAAAGCTCAGCTTGTTGTAGTTGGCCAATATATTGATAGGGTCTGTAGTCTCCACGAACTCGCTCGCAAGCACTTCCTTGAACTGGGTATAATCGCCTTCTTCGTATCCTCCTCGTTTCCGCTTCTTGACTTCGGGTTTGTAGACCTTGGCCTCGTTGTTTGGTGCATCGTCGGTAGTGTCCACAAAGACGGAGCGAGGATCCAGGAACCGAGGATCTATGTGCTTTGGGGCTTTGAAGCCGCGGCAAACCACAAACACTTCAGCTGATACATTTCGCGAGCTGGGTGGTTTTGTTGCTTCGACCTTGGTGAACAGGTTTTTGAAGACCCAAAGTAGCTGTTATGGGTCAATGACTAGCCACAGAGAAAGTATTCGTCGGTCCAGACTGACCTTGTTGTACTCTTTACTGCGGAAGACCTTGGTGACGAATGTACCGCCCTCAACGAGAAATTCGCTAGCTAGTTTCATCGACTGAAGCACGAGCTCGGCCTGGTTGAAAGAGTCCTGAATCCAAGCAGTACCGACGTTGGGCGCTCCATCGTGCAGGACCGTGTCCGCCTTCCATGTTTTAAGGTGCTGGCGGATCGTCGCGCGGCATTGGCTTGTGGTAATATCGCTCTGGAAGGTAATGACGCCGGGAATAGGTTTGATCGGAGACAAGTCGACTCCAACAATCAGGGATTGAGGCGGCATGGCCTCGGCGGCAACCTGACACCAGGAACCGGGAGCAGCGCACAAGTCCAAAAGAACCCGTGACTCCTGGAGGAAGCCATATTTCTTGTTCAGTTGGAGGAGCTAGACACCTGTCAACTCTCGAGTTCAGCAGTAGCCAACGACGCTCTCACCTTGAAGGCAGCACGAGCACGATAGCCCTTCTCTTTAGCAAGGCGGTAGAACTTGTCCAGCCGGCCCTTGCCAGTCTTCTTTTGGAAACCCCTTTGCAGAGTCAGCATACAGGTACATAGGCTCGTCGATAGGCGGAGCTGTGACCTACATCGCAGCAGCTAGGTCGGGTGTGGTGGTTCGTCGGGTTGAGGTCTGTTGCAATCGTAATTTGGCGGAGCAGGTGCTCTACTCGATTCGCCCTATCTGATCAATACTCCAGTCGCAACAAGAGAATGTCAGTGGGGGGTTGTCGGACCACAGGGCAACAAGGCTGGGAGGACTGGTAGGAATTGTCGTCGTTGGCCCTATCCTACGGTTTGTCGCAGAGCTTGGAAATTTTCGGGGAAGCATGTGGAGTGGCTCGTTCAGATTGTACTTTTTTCTACTATCGATAAGCCGCTCCCCGCGTTAAGAAGATTAAGGCTACCCGATACCGTGCAGCAGGCACCGTGCACTTTAAGCCCACCTAGAGTTTGCTACTACCACAAAGACCGTTAGCGGGCACGTTACTACTAGTCCAGGTTTGCGGGCGCACTCGTGGCTGGGACGACTAGCTTGATACCTTAAACACAGTGCCAGCCCAGCGGGACTCCCCTCATGTCTGGCTGTCCAGGTCCAGACTCCATCAACAAGGGTTTAAATTGAAGTGCCTGCAGGCATGACACCAAACTGAACCGAGAAGCGCGTCTTTCGCGTGTCTGGTGCTGGTGCCACTCTGCACGCTCTCATCTTCATCTTCCCCGCCACTGTGTTTTCTGATTCTTCCTACTGACGACTCTGCCGGTCCTTGGTATCACATTCCCGTTCTTCGTTCTCCTGTAATACTTCCTGTCATGCCCGATTGGACCTCCATATAACGTGTGCAGTCATCTTTTGTCTCTGTTTTTCTTTGGAAGAGCTTGGAAAGCAGCATTGGTGCCGGCCGTTGTGTGGATATGGCAATGGCAGGCGAGGCGACTCTGGGAAACGGCGGCATCATGAGTTCTCCGGTACCCAACGACAACTCGAGGCTGCTCTCACCTCCAAGAGCAAGCAATGGCAAGGAGAGAAGGAACCCTCCCATTACGCCTAGAAGGTTCAGACGCTTCTTCACTCCGCGCTCAAGAGTTCCCTCACCTGCACATTTGAGCCCCGCCCGGAAAGCACTCCAGGTCCTAGCTGGCCCCGAACTGAATCACCGACAACGATACCAGACCCCTGCACCATCCAGTCCTCTGAGGCCTCTCTCTGAGGAGCAAATACGCGATGAAAACCTCGACCTCGACCTCGACCTTCAGGACGATCGATTGGCCAAGAGAAGGAAGTGTCATCATACGCTCGAGTCCTCGCCATGTCGACCTCCTCCGCTTCCCGCTTCGAGTGATGCGAGATCAGGGCTCCTCAGCCCTATACGATCTCTCCATCCCAGCCAAGAGATATGCGAATCCGATGAGGAAATGAGTGACGACGAACTTCTATCGATCCATCAACCTGTGAAGCGCCTGGTGCCTTTGACGAGTCGTGGGTTGACTGGTCAGCTGGCCCAGCGGCAGCTGGGAGGAATGCCTCGTGCTGGACGCTCACACATGTCATATCCTACCGCTGACTGGAGGGTCGAAACGGCCGACTTCCATAGTCGACCAGATGATGTGCACAATTGCATCAGCCATGACGGACCAGGCCAATGTATTCCGTTCTGTGTCGCCACCTGCAACCGCAGCAGTCTGACTGCTGTTGGAGACGAGGAAGGCCGCGTGCGGCTACTGGACTCTTCAGGCCACCCCCAAGAGCCGTTCAGCAAGATTCATCTTACTCTCCAAGCGCACACCAACGCCATCATCGACCTTGCCTTCTCGGATGATGACTATCTTCTTGCCACCGCATCTGGTGATCAGATGGGGCGAGTCATAGATATGATGACACAGACCACCGTCGCCTTCCTGCCGCAACATACTGCCTCTCTCAAACAAATCCGCTTTCAACCTGGACAGGCGAACAGCAGTGTTCTTGCGACGTCATCCCGGGACGGGAGTGTCCAGATATGGGATCTGCGCTGTAGTCGCCCAGCGCATGATTTCTCACTTCCAGAGAGCCGGGAGACCAACTTGGTATTCCGACGACCCCAAGCGAAGCGCGGGTGTGCTGTTAACAGTCTCTATCAAGCTCACGCGCACACGCCGCACCAAGTTCGGCAAGCCCACTTCATCGGATATGGCGATACTCCTTCTCGTGGTGAGCTGCCGGGGCGGGCAAATGACATATCCGTCACGGCACTGCAGTTCCTACCTGCAGGGCAAGAGCACTTACTGCTCACGGCATGCGAGGCAGATGCATCCATCAAGCTGTGGGACATCCGCTCCATACACTCCTCTCGCACCAAGGTCCCATCACCACTGTCGGCGACAGCTCCACCGGAATCTCATTCTACCTATAGACCATTCGGCATCTCGTCACTGGCGCTTAGCACTGATGCCTCCAGGCTGTATGCATTATGCAAAGACAATACGGTGTACGCATACTCGACCGCGCATCTGATGCTGGGACACGCACCTGAATTATCTTCGCGTGGCGAGCCGCCGAGACGGAGACAGAACGTGGTGACGCAGCAAGGTCTAGGTCCGCTGTATGGATTCAGACACCCTTCATTCCACGCGACGAGCTTCTATGTCAAATGTGCAATACGTCCGGCACGGGATGGCAAAAGCGAGCTTCTAGCTGTTGGAAGTAGCGACAACTGCGCTGTGCTCTTCCCAACAGACGAGCGGCAATTCAGAGATGAACTGTCGGGTGCAATGGGCTCCATGAGCCTCGAGAACTCGACTATCGCCACTGCACCTCTTCTTCCTGCCGCGCTCGCAAGCTTTGCGTCGACACCAGCGGCCAATACTAGAGCGTCGGGGGCGTTCCGCAAACCGCTTTTCCCAGCCAACAACTCCACGAACCTGTCGGCGCGGTTGAACGACAACATTCCCATCGTACGCACGGGGACGCCCCTCGTACGCGGCCACGAGCGGGAGGTCGGCTCTCTCGCATGGACAAACCAGGGCAAGCTAGTCACAGTCGGAGACGACTACCTGATCCGGTGTTGGAGCGAGAGAAGAGACGACGCCGCAGACTTGCGCACAGGGGGCGAGACTGGAGGCAGACGCTGGGGATGCGGCTGGGCTGACGTCGGTGATGATTGGGATCAGCCCGATGACGACGAGGATTGATCGTTTGGATGGGAGTGTCGGAGTGGCATGTTCTGCCGTGTATGAGTTGGAGCACGAGCGTGTGCGAGCCTGTCTGTCTGTTTCACCATTGTTGGTTGGTTTTGTGGATGGTGTGGATGGACAGAGTAAGAGAGCACTGCGATACCCCAAGTACCATTTTGTACGAGTTGGAGGCGAGAGACCAGCCCTGCGGGGCATTGCATAGCATGGCGCGGCGCAAACTTAATTTTGTCTATATACGCATGAACCTTCATTCATACGCTATTAGTGTGTTCATTGTCTACCTTGACGGCCATTCCCCACGGCCATTTCCCCTCATACTTGGAAGGACGTAACTGCAGATTCCTCTCAACTTGCTCGCTCCCTTGAAGTTTCCGCCTTCTCGCCACACTGGTGATTCGGGCACCGTCCTGAATCAATCGCCAACTTCATCGGTCTACCAGGTTTGCTGAGAATAAGAACGCTCCTGGGCTATCGCCAAATCGTCGCCATGCCACAAAGGTCGAGGTTTGTGCCTCTACTAGAAATATGTCACAGGTTAGTCAGTCAAGGGTTACCAGCGAGCGAGCCGGCCAATAGACCACGACTCTCCCACCGCATGCTAGACAGAACCTACACACACCGGGGATCTGATAGCATGAGTTGGTTAATCAGGTCATGGCTCTTTATTTTATTTTATTTTGGGGTGGGGGGGGAGGGGCTGTGGTTGCGCAGGAATGATCTGAGGGCTCGTCTGATATCGTGAAACCTCATCAACGGCAGATCGAGCGGGACCTGACTTGATATGGGACGGTCGGTGTGGTATGCTCATATAATTTAGGTAGGTGTACTTGCCGGCGGAGCAACAATCGCCTCAGGCTCTCCTTGCCTATCGCGACACGAGGGCGAGGGAGGATATGGGGACCAACATGGAGGTGGTTGGATCGCATGTATAAACCGAGAGCCCTCTTTGGCCTCCTCCCTCAAACCTCCATCACCCATTCATCATGACCACCATGACATATTTGACATGAAAACTACCACCTCGCTCCTCGCCCTCGTTCTCGTCCTAGCCCTGGGCGTCTCGGCAGCCAGCCCCTATCAGTGCCGGCCTCGACATGCCGAGGTAGGCCTGCCAAAAGCATCCCATATCACCATAGTCGTGATGCTTTTCCCATGACAGGATGGATGGCAACTGACATGGTGCATCATCCTAGGCCCAGAGGGAGTCAGTCCATCGACACGTCTCCCGGCTGGAAGAGAAAGTCCATTGATTTTCCTCCTCCTGGCTGGAAGAGCAGAATCCATTTGATCCCGTCCCCAAGCTGGAAGCGGGAGTCTAAGAACCCATCTCCGGACTGTTGAGCCTAGGATCTGGCCGACAGACATACGACGGCAATGCCAGAGCCTCTGCCTCTTTGCCCTGCAGACTTGCAGACTTGCTTGGGCCTTTTACTCGGGTTGTGTAAGATAGCAGCTGACTCTAAGTCTCATGTCTATGTCTAGAAACAAGGTTTTGCCTCAACGCCTGCCGAAAATGAGGATGTGGCCCCATGTATTGGTAGCATACATAAGGGGTGGCAGCCGCCCGGATGCGCACGGAGGAAGGACGGAGATATATATAAAAACATAAAACAATGTGATGCGCTTCAACGGCTCAGCACTGATGCAACTCGATTTGACTGGGTCTAGTTGAGGAGGCTGCCTAACCGATATGAGGCCCGGCAGACACTGAAGAATCCTCGAGAGGAGTGATGCATGAAGCCTTGATACCTAGTGTTCTGTTCCTGAATGCGGGTTTCTCGACCTAGCCACCTACCCATTTGCTCGGAATGGGATGACCATAGGACATCCTCAAGATACTGCAAGCGATTTCACAAGAGGTCAAAGCTTCAATTTCGGGCCTTGAAGTCTTTCAGATACAATGATATTAAACAGCTATGCAGAACCAGATAGCAAGAGCGGCAATATCCCTCGCTCGCTCTGCGCATACTGTACGCCAGCCATATGAGCCGCATGGCAGATTACAACCACTGCCAACAATGCTGGTAGGCCGATGGGTATCCCAAGGTCAAATGTGACAATACCGGCTTGATGCTAGACTCCTGAACTCCCTGACTATGCTATGCTGATTGATGGAAGGTGGGGGCGGGAGTGCGGGAGAGGGCGAGGATATTGGAGCTGCAACGATGAGATGTTGAGCGTTCCGGTTGATGTCGGCATCTCGTGCACCGGCCGCGTGCTAGGATAATGTGTGGAAATCCACGTCTTGCAAGATACGAATCGTCTCTGGCTCTCCGCGGCCGTAGCTGGATGTCTTGCGGCCTCTGAACTCCATGACGTACCCCCCCCCCCATGGGCTCGAGGTAAAATCTGGAGTTTGGTGGATTGGCGAAGCTGTAGGTTACCACACTGTACCTTCAGTCAAAGGCGCGCGTTGTGGTGGGTCTTGAGCCCGGATATTCGGCTGGCTTTTTGAGAAATTCTTTATCTGGATGTGGCGTGGGATGAAGTTCAGCAGGCTGCTGTTCATATTGGGTTCTCCATCCCTGCAGCCGGAACGGCCGTGGCGACGCTGTCTGCCTGTGATGTTCCTTGCGTCGCCGGGCTAGCCCCTCTGGTTCGTAACGTATTGCTGGATCCAAGCCCTCTCTTCATCATCTTGCCCAGAACCGTGACTAGATCGCACGCGTCGTTGAACATGTCGTCATCCATGCCCTCCGACGCATCGTATACGCCGGCGATTGTCTCCTTCGCCAACTTTCGGCTACCCTCCTGGTCGTGTAGGCACTCGTAGAGGAACGCTGCATACTCGGTCCTGACGGATAGTCGCAAGGAATGTGAGCCCCAGAGCATACCATCGGCTAGTTCTACAGCGTCCTTGAAGCACTGGTGAGCTGTCAGTCGGTAATCGGCCGAGGGAAGCAAGAATGCTGCCGCAGGTACTGGTGGTTGCGGCCCAAAGCCCGGAGGCGGCCCTACCGGACCTACCGGACCCACCGGACCTCCCTCCAGGGGATGCGTGGGTTGTAAGGATGAACGCGCGGTTTCCGGAATGCTGTCACCTCGGTCGACGCCCTTTCCCTTGTCGAGCCGCGGTATTGGTGGTATGTCAGGGATGACCGTCGAGTCGCTTACGCCCATCGCGGATACTGCAGGCTTGTTGTGAAACAGGACGAAAATGTGGTAGAATGAGGCTCGGAGCTTGTACGCGAGCACCTTCAGCTCTACGTAATCTCCAACCATCGGCAGAACGTACTGTTCTAGCATGATCAAGCCTTCACGCGAGAGCCAGATAATGTGGAAGTATAGTTCCAAGGACTGTGTCTCTCTTGTCGTGTCTAACTTGCGTTGCTTTCGGGCCTTGACTGTCTGCTCTGCCAAGGTGATGGACAGGCCGAGGATCTTGTACAACATGGACGAAAGGAGCACATTGTTAGGCTCAACGGCTCTCGCTAGTCTGCCGAGGAATTTCTGGTCGACCTCTGAGGAGGCCATTGAGACCGACCAAGAAAATGGCCGATATTAGAACCCTGGAACGTGATGAGCAGGCGGCCTCTGTTTGTCAATTACGAAAATGCAGCGTACGAGGGGTGATATGGGGTGGACCGATTTGGCATTGATATTTGGTAGACGTAGAAATTGACGGCCCAGGTGCCGTGGGGGTTCACTTCGAGTATCAAAGGATGAAGGAAGGGGTGAAGAGGGATACAGGAAAGTGTTGCCGTACCTGACAGCTCCTGGTTTTCCTCAAATAATGGCTGGTCCAGTCGCGTAATGTTTTGAAACTAGCCAATACCGATGCTGCTCAAACAAGCTGCTGGCCTGTCTGTGCCTGATTTTGCTTGAGGTCGAAGAGTAGTGTTCGAGACTAGGAGCGCCCAGGAGGTGTACGGTAGCGGAGCCCACTGTCAGCTACCTCGAAGCTGCCAAATAATATTGGGATGAGGATGATGAGAGATGTGATCCCCCAAATGCAGGAGATTTAAAAACGAATGACTCTGGCGGTGACTTGGTCCATGCATGGGCATAAGACAGGTGATGGAGGATCGCACGAGAAAGGGTGGTGAATGGTCCGTTCAGACAGTGGTGAAGAAGGCGAGTTTAGTCGACAGAGCTATCCCAGCTCTTCAAAACCTGACCAGAAGTAAAGTCCAATCAATATTAAACATTCAGAATTACAAGAGGACTGGCGTCACACGCGTTAGTTGGACACGGTTTGTCGCAAGATGGACCAGATACTGGACTCTTTCGTTATTGGACGAGTACTGACCAATATGATACAGTATAGTTGATACAAGCAGACAACGCCAATTGAGAGGCTGGTTTGGTATGTCCACTGCGCAGGTTACCGTTGAGGTAGGTCGGCGCAAACAGGACGCGCGTGAGGGCGCGAGGGTTGAAGATGTGTGGAGGCGGCGGCGGCGGACGTTCCCAGACTTGTTCGATCGAGAAGCATTTCGATGTCAGTGGTCGTTGTGGTGCTAGTGGGTGGTGATCAGTGATGAAATGGTATATATAGGATCTCCACGCGGCAAGGAGAGCCTAGATAGGCGTTCGCAAGGACGCCAATGGCGGTGTGAGGTCAATTGGCAGGTTTTCGGTTTGGAACCATGTGGAGATGGACGATGTTGAGCGACGTCTTCCCGACGCTTGGCCCCGCGAAACCGAAGCGGCTCCAGATGTGGATATGGGCGGCGTCCTCAGCGACAGCACGGTGTGGAGGAGAGTTGAGATGGCAAGGTCATGATTGTAGGTAGATAGATAGATGGGTAGGGCAGAGACTGGATTTCGCAGAAGACAGCACGCCGGCTGAATGTGTGTAGGCCCAGATGTTGAGTCTGGTATGTAGGGTACGCGTTATTATTAGGGTTGCAGGGGATGAAAAATAAAAATAAATAAAAGGGGAACTGCAGGTCGACGTCTTGTGCATGAACATGAACCAGTCTGTGGGCCGTCTTCGGAAGGGACGCAGCCAGATGCAGACGCAGTTGCATACGCAGACGCAGACGCAGGTGCAGATGCAGATGCGCGCGTCGAGATCTCGGGGGTCTATCTTGAGATCTTAAGCGCTCGCTCTGTGAAGCGATCGGGAGGAGAGCAGGTGACGGCGACGAGTTGTAGGTTCCAGATCCGGGGGCGGATGGCACGAATATGTATGTAGCACCCTGTGCGCTGGCCGTGTGGGTTCGAGGTTGACAAGCGAATGAGACGCCGTTTGTCGTAGCCGCGCTGATGCAAGATGAGTTGTCCAAAGTCCTGATAAAGCCTTGGAGGGTTTTGATAGGATTCAGACCCGAGACGGAGCCCACAGGAGTAAGGCTCTTGTGTAACTCAGATCTACATGTCTCAGGGGGCGTTTGCAACTCAGAAAGGTAGGAATAGATTGCTAATCTAGAGGCAGTCAGTTGGTGGTGATTGAGGACTGGAGTCGTCGTGGTTGACTTCCGAACGGTGTTGCGAGTCAGCCTGTTGTTGCAAGTCAAGCTGAGCCGAGTTGGACAGGCGGGAAAGAAGAAAAATGAGAAAAGTCGTCAGCAACAATGCAATGCAATGCGATGCGAAGCAGCAGCAAGTTGCACCGCGGCAAAGCAAATTACCACGGGCTCAGCCGCCACACACCCGCGAGGGGGGTCTTGGTCAAATTCGAGGCACCAGGAAAAGGTGTGAAGGGACCCTTGGAACCCTTGAAATCGGACAAAGCTCCGACAGGGTTCAGGGAACCTGTTCATAACTTCATATCCTGATCCATGGACCGACCGGTCAGTATCCCATGGCTCCCATGTTGGCATTTGCATCTCCAGACTCGTCGAGAGGCTATCGGGGTCAAAGGTGCGTTGTCTTGCCGAGTCCAACGGGCTGACGGGATGGACCCGGACCCGACTCTTCCACGTTCACAACTGCCTCCTGTCTGAGACATGATGACCGGGTGTCATCTGAGATCTCGAGAGCCAGAGCCGCGGAAGCGTGGCCAGAGGGAGCAAAGACTGCTATGGCATCCCATCTGGATACCTGCAGCCCGTCGTACGACAAAGGCATATCGGGCGCGTGGTGTATTCACCGAAGCCCAATCCCAAACATGAGGCAAAGTGAGGTATAGGTATGCATGCAAGCAGGTACGTATCGTGAATGATAATGATGGCCGGGGCCCGGGGCATCAACAAGTTACAATGAGACGGAATAGTGACAGGGGACCGGCCCCGAGGCCCACGTCGGGACTCACGACTGGAGAGACTGACGCGAGTCCGTGACCCCTAACTTCTAAGCCCTGGACCCACATGTGCAATTGGCCAATCATAACAGACCCTGCTTCTTCCCCAGCCACCCACAGCCACCGCGTTTTTCTCGTCGGCGGGAGCTAAAAAACCAACGGTGCCAACGCACACCGGGATGACGGGGATGACGGGGATGACAGGGTGACTTCACCTTGTAAATGTGATAAACCGTCTGGGCTGGCCGCAGCATATGCGGCCATCCCCCCATCCCCCCATCCTCCACGCAGCTCCGGAACCAGCTGTCGGCCAACTCCCTCACCTCACCACCAGTGCAGGTGGTCTACTACCCAGTACCGGGCTCCACTGCAGTTCCGTGGTCTCCTTCGACGCGTTCGTGCCGGCAGCAAACAGAGCGAGCGAGCAACTGGCGGTGAAGACGACAAACCGCATGCCGTCATGCTAGTGCAGGGAGAAAACCAGCAGCCGACCAAACAGGAGTCCCTGATTACACCGAAAACTGTGTACACATGCATATCATATCTACGTCCAGCAGATCCCGAGGGAGGCATACACGAACTACCCAGTGGTGACAGTCCGAGAATATGTGTACTGTCGAGTCTTCGCTGTCGTTGAACACATACATTCCCGTTCTTTTGGCTGTGCGACTTGGTGTGAGTGCCGGGATCGAGCCGACGTGTGTCAGCGTCCCACAAACGGCTGCAAGGATGACCGCTCGCAACCAGACGGTACCGCCATCGAGCATGGATGAAAATCGTTCACGTCGCTGCCGGCACTTCCACTCCGGAAACACGAGATTCTTTTCTCGGCGTTGACATGGTCGATTATGCTCAACAGTCTGGGAACATGGGGATCTGCTACCTAAGTTTGGCTCGAAGAATCGCAGCGATGCGCTGTGGGATTAGACATGTTCAACGACTGCTAGCCACCGGCGACTCTGGGAACGAGAACAAGTGGCCATTACCCCCCAGTGTGTCAGGCCATGAGATTGCTTTCTCAACGGCAGTTCGGGATGGTTGCGAACCTACTCTCTTGCTTTCCAATTACACTCCTTTTTTGAGGTGAGGACACCCGAAGCTTGAATGATATGTGCAGTCTTCGGCAACGCCCAGAGATGACGACCGAGCAGACTGTCAGAGTGCAACCGATGGTACTCGTCTCCTCTAAGGCACACCACGCTTCAACCGCTCTACGCGATATCTCACTCTTCATTTTAAGGACCTAGGTAGTCTCACCAGCTCATTAGTTCTCGCCCGACAGTACCGGTCGGGACAGGCAACTAAGGTAGGAGTCATAATTCATCGCAAATGTGTAAGCCAGACGGGTCTGCATTGTCGGTCTTATATGGCGTCCATCTGTCACGACTACGTTTTCCTCCCAATCACTGAGTGCTTTCGTTTGCCCAGTCTATCAGACACAGCGCACGCTCGCCCAACTCGACACGACGGAGAGAAGGAGTGGCTAGTGTATAAGATACCGTCAAGGCGTTGCCGAGTCCCTTGGGACACCTTCATCTGCTATCGCGATATGATATGACTGGATACACATAGATGGCTCCACGTGTCTGTCGTGGTCTCGCTTCCATCCGGCGTGGTGGACCACGCAATCCCTCTGGCCCACGAATTGTCGTTGCCGTGTGCCCCAAGTAGATCAGGATTAGTACTACCTACCACGTCTGATATGCAGTGCAATGACCGAGTCTCTGGCAAGCGAGGGCTTTGTTGTTATTGTCTTCATCGACCACCCCTACGACGGCCCCAGTGATCAAATACCTAGGTGGCTCCTTGGCAGGAGCTGCAAACATATCCGCAGACGACGTGGTGGTAGTCGAGGGGGCTCACCCTGATACGTGAACAATCCATCGTAGCTCTCAAGCTGGGAGTCGCCTCGCCTGAAAGTCACCTGCGTTAAGGGGCAAAGGGGGTGTCTATACCCGTCAAAGTCCCACCCGGCGTACATCTCGTTCTCCATGCCTCACCCAACGTACGGAAGCGGGTTGAGGGTGGTGGTGGAGTCGACCTCGAGAAGAAGGTCACTTTTGGCCATCATCACGTACCTCCATCCTATGGCCACCTCACTCGGTGGAGCGACGTCAGCCGCCGCCATTTTGGTCGCAAAACAGCAAGGCGCTGCTGCATCAGGTGGCTCAACTCGATACGATAAAAGAGAAAGGGGGGAGAGAGTGGTCGGGTTGGTAGGGCCAAAAAAGAACAAACAAAAAAATATATTCCAGCCGCTAGAGGAATCGAACAGCTGTGCCTAAGACTACCTTGTAAGAATACTTTGTAAGAATACTCCGCTAGGCCGTACCAACCCGGCTACCAGATTAACCTACTGAACTCGTGTATATATCCTGTACCGTCGTGGGTGGAATAAGGGGCTGGGCGGGCTATATTTAAGCTTTGCAGTGTGGCTGCTCTGGAAAACTTCGACTAAAGTAGGCCTTCCTATGTGAGTTATATCAGTTTGTAAATCTATAACCACGCTTCCTCCGTGATGTGAACCTTCATGGTCGACTCTTCGGCCCGGTGAAGGGACGTTGAACACATGAATATCTGCTAGCACACCGGTCCGCATAAGTAGCAATGGGATCATTCAACACCAAGTCATCGCATACTTACTCTTCAACACACATTCGGCAAATGCTGAGGACGCAACGGGAGATCGGTGCGGACCTGACATATCGATGACTTGCGTGCTCTCAGATATATGGCTCCCACGTGTGGTCTTCCAAGGAACGAATGAATGAGCCGGCGGGAACATTGTCGACGCCGCGAGGGAGTCAGGTGCCTGCCTACCGTCGAGACGATGGTTGCGTCCATGGCGACCAGAGCCGGAGAAGGGCGCGAGTAGCTAGGTGACCGTCCGTTGACCGTCGAGAACTACCCATCGCCAGGGAGCGATCTCTTGCCTAATATAGAAGTACCTTTGTCTGACTTCGAGTACCATAGACGAGAACCTTCCCAGGCTGGGAGCCCGAACGCCCAGTGGACGAGCTCGCTGTGAAGATGGGGCCGGGCGCTGGGGACGGATCCGGAACCGGGTGCACTACTAGACGGACGAGGAGAGATTGTGGGCGCTGGAGGTGAGGTGAGGCTCGTGGCGGATGTGCACTGGAGGTGGGCATATAATGAAGTGCCCTTTGACGACGCCCGCTGATGCGAGCAGGGACTTTGGCCTTAGTTCTATGGAGGAGGATTTTCCTCGCGAAAGAACGCCCTCGGGATATGTATTCGTTTGATTGAAGGACCTGTTGGAGCGCATTCTCCGTGTCGTGGATATGAATGCCTATGAATACCTACGTCTTTCTGGAATTGGTTGGCTGCACCTGTACCCATAACACCCAGTGACTGACTGGACTTTCTGGTGAGGTTATACATACCTATGGTGGTCTCCTAGGTACATGATGAAGCTGCGAGAGCTGAGAGAAAGATTCGCAAAGGCCAGCACCGTACCTACCTCCACGGCATGGGAGGTGCCGTTCGTTGATGCAACAACCCCTATCCGACTAGATCTATTAATCCAGAAATATTCAAAGTGTGGGCAATTAGCACCCACCAACACGCTTGCCTACCTATATAGACCAATGTCCATAATCAACCGAGACACCCGCTTTCGAACTAAGTGTGCCTTAGCAACAAGCCGGGCAGGTTGTCAATAGTCATAGTCACCTGCGTTCAACCACCTGCAGCGCAGCAGTCCAAGTGGCTAGCTAAAGAACTGTGGTAGCTCCCTAAAAAAGGGGTACATGGATCCCGCCCAAATATCCGCTACTCACCCCTTTTCTAGTACGCGCCCGACCCACAGACCTTGCCGCCTCAAGACTATAGCGATTCAGTTTTTAGATTATCGAAGTCGACCCTAGTGCTTAGTCTCTTTAGTTCAAACGCCACTGCCGTACTTAGACATTCTTGGGATCGCATAAGGTTTGATGGACGTTTGTTCCGGGCTGGCCGACTCTAAGCTTACTTCGACCCGACCTTTCTTAAAGTTTCCAGGTTTCAACGGTCATGCTAGAACGAGCCACTAGGCTCAGGTAAGCACGCCTTTATCAAGTCCTCCAGGGGCACGGACATACATCACGTCACAAGACCCTTCACACGTAACCAAAGACGAGAGTTGGTGATCTTTCTTTCTTTTTCTAAAGATACTACATTTCTTGGGGTTTGTGGTTGTGCAGCGAGCAGCTCCCAGGCATCTGCTCGTTACCCCTAGTCCCCAGCTTATGTCTCTGCACGAGAAGCTTTGTCTCGTTGCAAGTGCGAAGTCCGATCGCCCAGACAAAGCGTCATCATTGATTATCGCGTTACCATCCCAAAAACACAATGAAAGAGCAGAGGGGTGTCTGACCTCTCCCCGTCTTTGGTCTCGTTTCTCTCCAATGACCCCACCCCATTCACCACGATGAGCCCCTTAATGCGGCCCCAAGGAATGTACCCAGGCGGGTTCGCGTGCTTGCTCCTGGAGGCGAAGCCTCTTCTCCCATGTCGATGAACCCAGCCTCAAAATGCCCAGAAGTGAAATAGAAAGGGGCAAGCAATCCAGAATGTGCTGAATCATATGTTCACAGAATCCGGGTGAGCGAGTGACTACCCGCAAAGTGCCGATTATTTTAGGACGGCAGGTCATAGTGAAGTCCTACGGCCAATTAGTGCCGACAGAATCCGTGAAAAGGTTGATAAGCCGGAGACCCAACGTGTAGATCCCCGGGTGGCACTACCGAAAGTGAGTCGTTCTTTTGGGCTGGCCCAATGTGTTAAGTTTCTTCAAAAGGTACCGCCTTCTGCGACTAAGTCGTCGGAAAGCAGTAACGAACAAAAGAGATCCGTGATGTGAAGAAAACCAGTGGTATCAGAGCGCAGACGCCGTTTCGTGATATGCTTGCTTCGCCATGCAGTTCAAGTCATCAATGAACTTGATCAATCAAGTAGACATTATGCTGGTAACGCCAGGTGGAATGAGATGGAGTGCCAGTGTATCCTATTGCGAAGCCGCGACACACCAGTGCCGGTGGAACGCCCAGGCGCTCTTCTGGCACTCCTTGCTGCAGTATTTTGTACGGCGGCAACGGCGGCACTTAGCAAACTGCCGTGTAAATTCTTCCCATTTGCCACATTGGTAGTATGCGCATTGTCGTATTCCCCCTCGGGTGTCATCCTTGCGGCAAAGGTTGCGCATCACCACCCCAGCCCAGTATTGCATGTCCGTGCTGTGATAGCGCACGGTAAACTTCTCTACCAGAGGGAAGATGTTGAAGTCATTGGGCAAGAGATACTCTTCTTCGTATTCTCGCTTTCCCAATGACTCCAGTGTGACATGGTCACCATCAAGTAGTTGCAGCTCCTTTCCAATCTTGAGGCGGGGCACCAAATGGCTTTGCTGGAAGTACGATCGAAGGTTGCAATATTTTGAAACGTATGCAAGCAACTGAAGCGACATCAACACGTCCTCTTCGCGAGGCATTGCTGCCAGCATCTGCGGGTTGGGGGGCAACGGTCGGTCCAAAAGATAACGAGGTAGGCTCGCATGAGTTGGTAGAGAAGGCTGGGGAGTCGCTACGATGGGTCGGTGGGGAGAGAGCCCCATCGCAGGGCCAGGAGTAGTTGTGTTGTTGGGAACGCTTCCATCCATGGGAGTTCGGTGCGTGATGTTGAAGGTGCCGGCATCGGGGATCTCAGACACAGTGGGAGTAGTCAAATCCAGAGCAGTGCCTCCCAATGTACTGTCTCCTTCCTCCATCGCCATATCCTGAAAGCCAACAGTGGGTGTAATGTCAGCAGTACCAGACATTTCAGCATCTCCAGACTCGTCCGATTGCACGCTGTCTGTATTCAAGTCATCTGTGTCCGTGGTCGAATTCTGATGGCGAATCGAAGGGCGTCTCCGCGACCGACCATTTGGCCCTAAGACCGAGGTGGGTCGAACTGTTGGTGACCTAGTTTGCGGCGGAGGCAATGGGGTGGTCGGCGAGGCAGGTTGGGACCCCAAGTTCGGGTGGAAGACAGGGACCATAGATGGCAGACGGTCGATGTCCCGAACAGGGCGGATGAACCCATCGATCGCCTCCATGGTGGGAACAGCGGTCGCCAAGGGCTGAGAACCTGGGCGAGAAGGCGCCGCCACGCTTTGACGACTCTCATGCCTGTGGTGATGGTGGTGGTGGTGATGATGGTGATGGCGGTGGCTGGAGAAAGATGGTCGGTCGGGGGGAGAAGTGACCGGGAACGATGGCACAGACGGACCAGCTTCCGCATTGCTCGACTCAGCCGACGCCGATGTGCTTGCAAATGTGGCAGCGGAAACATCTATGGACGGCGGTGGAGCCTGCCTCCGGAAAGCTCTCTGCTCGATGTCTAAGCGGCTTGGCCTGTTCGTGAAGGAAGACGATTTAGTTGAGTCCCGATGGCTGTGACTTGGGTGGCGGTGATGGTGATCCGCGATTTGTTTCTGCTTAGCTTCCTCTGCCTTTTCTCGACACTTATCGATGACTTTGATGTAATTGTCGAGGATGGTGGCAATAACAGGGACCATGTCGGCTTCGACAACCCGAGTCCTTACGTTCTCGGTTCCGCGGACCCCTATATTGACGACGCACTGAAAAGCGAGGTTCCACTTCCACATGTCCATCATGTCCTTGCTCCGACCTTGTTTGAGTATGCATACCAACCTCTCGATTCCTCCATCGACGGTCAGGATGTCTCGAATTCGTGCCGAGGATGTGGTAAGGTATGCGAGATGGTTGAGCGAGTTGATCAACGGCAAGGTCGATGTGCAATCCAGCGCCCGACGGTCGTACAGGGCGGTGGTGATGCCCACCGATGCCTTGTTGACATTGGGGATGCTGAAATTGACTTCCCTCATCTTGGATGGCGAGCAATCGAGGTGTCGATGAATGGTATGAACAATGAAGAGCCCGGCTGCGGAGTCGGAGAAGGAGTCGATGAGGACGTACAACCAGAAGACCACCAAAGCCCGTACGGACTCGCGGTGATGGCTTCGTTATAGTATATAGCGATGCCGACGAAACACACGGAACCTCTTGTTGGTATTGATTGAGATGTGCAGGTTTGAGAATCAATGCGGAGAGTTAATGCAAAGAGGAAGTATGAGGGGGCGGTTTTGTACGGGTGCAGCAAATTCGGAAGCTGATCTCCTTCAACAATGCGTAGGTATTAAAAAGAACCAGGATTCTCTGTCTGCGGCGAGGGTGTGCAAAACGATAGAATCAGAGGGTGTTTCGACCAGAAGGATAAATCAGGAGCAGGCTGATTTGGTGTCCTGGCGATGATGGTGATGGTCTGGCAGGTTTGGATGAGAAATGCGCATCCGAATCTGCACACTCAATCGTGACTCGACTGTCGATAAGGCCAAATGCCTCAGACCGCCCGTCCGTCTTTGTGGAACTCGGTCGGTAGGGGAAACAGGAAGATGGAGGCCCGGTTCTCCAGCGCATCGGACTCTACGTGAGGACGAAACTCTCCATCCAGGTCGATAGGACAAGAGATGGAAACGAGGCGGCAAGTCGTAGGGGAAGGAAGTCGGTTCGTATCGGGTATGGACTTGGTCGAGATGTGGGTGTGGGCGTGGTGAGATGATGGATGAATGGGATGGATGGGCGATGGGCGGTTGGTGGTAGCAATGAGTGGGAAGCATGTCAGGCGTGTGCACTGAAAAGCAAGAGGCGACTAAGGTACCTAGCTAGGGGTGCTAGGGGCCCGGTTGCAGGGTGCGACAGTCGGCTGGTCGGGCTATTGAACTCTTCCAGGCCGACAGGAGTGCACCACCGCTATTCCCACCGCTGTAAGCCTCCCCTAAAATGCCCCAAGACTGACCTCAGCTACCGGTTAGGCACTGGGCTGGTCCAAGCGTCACTAGAAAATAGGCACTCTTGACGATGTTTTGCAGTGGCACGAATTAGTATTACTTGTTAGCGGCTGACCTGACAGATGGCTAAGGTATAGAATGACGGCGAGTCCGATACTGCGTTAGGCTGTTCCGATTGTATAATTGTAAACAAATCTCAAATCTCTTGGACGCAGTTATCGGTATAGGTAGTTTCCAAGGTACCTACCTACCTGATCGATCCCCAAGTGAACAATGGAGTGAAGTGCGTCTGCTCGAGTGCCTATCCAGGCCGGTCTCAGTCACTTGGCAAAGCTCCAGTATTCGCCCTGAGCTTGTGGTGAGCATTGAAGTTATTGCCCTATTGGCACTCAGCACCCGGAGCATAGAGCTGTCCAGAACGCGATACGTTGCATGGGAGCATTAATACCAAAACCAAGAAGTGCAACCACCAGCACCGTTGCCCACCTAGTCTGATACCACATGTCCACCGAAAAGGGTGAAGGAATGGGCTGGAGATGTCGAGCAGGTGACTAATACGATGCCGCCTTATTAGAGGTCGTTCTATATCTGATTGAGTGCGAACGAGCACCACCTGGGATGTGGCTGGTACTCTCGCTCCTTGCAGTCGCATATGCCCCACAACGACCCCTGCTGTGCTAAGGCGGATTGGGCATTCTGTGTGGAAACGTGGCGTAGGCCCTAGTTGGTACCAGCCACATCCTAGGTGGTGCTCGTTCGCACTCGATCAGATATTACCAAGCACATCAGTTGGAGACGATGTCGTTTTTCAACCTTGGTTCACACTATCAATATTGATGGCTCGGCATCTATATCAGCTTCTTGGATCTTGAGATTCATTCAGTGCATCTATCTTCTAGATCACATATACATATTCCATTCAGATGGCACTCGCTAAGTGAACGTGTGTTCAAACTGGCTTATTACATACATACCTTACCTGGAGGTCCTTCGAGGATGCCTGTGCAAAAAGCAAGAAGTCCCCTTTTCTAGATGCTCAATGGTATTTTGTGGCTAGCGGGAAAATGTCAAACGTCTCCAACCTTAAAAAAAACAAGGTTACATCGCACCGTTGGGCACGCCTCGGCCGTGCTGCCGTGTCAGAGGACCCTTCTCGACCAGCAGCCAAAGACAAGATGGTTGTAGATCCTACCTCGATTCACAAGCCAGAAGTGAGGAGACGGTGAGAAAAGAGAAAAGCTGTGGGCTGGCAGCTGGCCGGCTGGGCAAGTGGTGTGCACGGTCCTTGCTCCTTTTATTAACCCTTTGTGATTGTCTAGCTGAAGCTGTGGAAGAAGCATCTCCAATGGGGCTCTTACTATGCTTTGCCCTTCAACCCATCACTCTCCACGAACCTACTCTCGACTCTTTATCCCTTTTATGACTCCATCGGACTATGGCATCAGGTGCAGCTAGATGCGTCTGTGTGGCCTGCTGCCAGCTCTGAGCGTGTCAGTCCCGTCTTGCTGGCACCAATGGGGACACACGCAATAGAAATTGTCTGTTCTCAGCTTCTTGGCATGCCACTTCCCGAATATCGAAGCCACCTGCATTGCCGCAGTCGCTCACAGCGCCTCGGCCCTTCAGCGGCCAGTGCGGAGAGCTTTGTCTATCTCCAGCTCCACGATCTCCTACGATCTGTCAAGGTATCCTCAAAACCTCCTCATCGACAACCTCCACTTTCGGCTAGAATTGGATGTTTTGCAGCAAGGGGATTGATGACTGACTGATTGATAACCGGTAGCAAGGACGGCCAGCCCCTGATGTCGACAAGATACCCCCATGCTGTATGATCATCAATCACACATATCAATGATCAACCCGGCCGAGCCCTCAAAACAGCTTCCCCCTCACTTCCCACAACTCGCACCTCACAGCTGTCAGTGCCACTAATGCAAAGATACGGCAACCCGGTCTGTGCCGACCTATTGCTTGGGACGGCCGAGAGACCCCAACCTCGGAGGCTGGGTGGCACTTTCAAACCCGGAACACTGCCAGGTCTCCTCACAGCACCCATCGTAGCATCTACTGCGCTGTTGGTCGCGTCACGAGATTATTTTGGCCTGGGCCAAAGGTGGGTGGTCAAAGCAAAGCGAGCCTGCACGACACCAGTCATTCATTTCCCATAGGGCTGTAAGTTGCGAGTCAACTCGTACCGACTATCAGGACCGCTATGTCTAGCTTCAGTCCCGGCTCAACACTTCCGCAGCTTCGGTAATTCCAGCCGAGATATGACATCCAGCGCCGCGCCTATTGACATCGAGGCTGCGACTGCTAACGATTTCCTGAAAATGGAAGGAGGCTGACGAGACCCATTGTCGCACACCGCTCTGCCTTCTTTGCAAGTTACCCATTTCGGACCTCGCTGGCTGTTGGGGGGTTGGAAACAAGCCACATAATTACTGAAACGATCTAGGGGATGCCCCTGTCTTCCAGCTCCTCGGATGCATGGCTGGCTTGAGGAACTTCAAGTGAAGCCATGCTCTTGACTTTCAGAGCGGCAACACGATGCATACAATTGATACATAGTGAACAAGGCTTATGACAAGCTCACGACCGCGCGACTGAACCCCTGATCAGCCGAATGGATTCTTCGACTCTAGAAAGCCAACCCAATCATGCTCTCAATATAACGAGAGGCGCGCTTGGAGATAACGTTGTTCGTCTCTCAACTTCTCAATGGTTCCTTTGGCGCCCAACCCGCCCATCGCCACTCAAAAAGGTTATCTTCCAGCTGTGGACCCTTAGGGGTCCTCGATCAAACATCAGATGATTTGTCTAGGAGGCGTTCGTAGCCGCCGCGGCAAGCGCTCACAAGCACATCACTGGCGCAGTAGCGCCGCATCTATTCTGATTGGGCTGACTCCTGTGACATGCCTCGTGGTATGCAGCGCCTTTGTTCCAACTTCCATGAGCTGAACACAGCCCAGGAGCTCACCCAACCATCCCAGATTCCCAATGGAACATTGAAACACATGTCAACCTCCCCACTGACGTCAATAATATTCTTCTTGGAAAGATCCGTGCGTCGCCTGCCGAAAGGATTCAAAGGAAGGTGGTCGGGCCTCCCCCATCTGACGGGGGTTTGACGGGGGATTGACGGGGGTTTGACGGGGGTTTGACGGGATGGCGCGCCGTGGCGCGCAGACGACGGCAGGGTTGGCTTTGACCCGGAACAACACCTCACGAAGTCACGGACTGATTCCTGCCACCAATCGCGCGCTGACACGTCCAAGCCTCCATGGTAAGCCATATCTGAGGTCGCATTCGCCCTCTGAACCTCATCCAAAGAACACTTATAAGAAAATGACACTCGGTCAGTACCGCATACAAGTTCCATTGCCAAGACAGGTTGCCTATCGACTTTGCAGCGCAAATTTAAGGGATCTTGCAATATATTACCGATCACTCCGTCATTATCAAAGGCAATGTGGATGTCCAATCCTTCCCGTCGCAAGGGCCGAGGCCCAAGGCCCAAAAGCCATGGATCTTCCAAGCCCGTGGGATCGTGTGAAACGTTGTTCGTCTCGATATAGAGTCATCGTCTCCACGGGCAGTCAAAGCTCAGTAATAAGCTTATTATTGAATCGGCGTGGAGTCTGTCTCCATTCGATGCCCAACTTTAATAATAAGGCTCTGGAGGAGCAGAATGCTGCTGCTGCTGCTGTTACGCGCTGCCCTCGACTTCTTTAGGCGATGCTTGAATAAGCCTGCATCAAGTCATGGCCTTGATGTACCGTAGGCCATGAGCAAAACTCAAGGCAAGTAAGTTATCGTGGGAAACATTGCAGTGTTTTATTCGTGACAGGCAAACAGAGTCTGCAGGTCGAATACCCTTGAGAGTCTCAGTGGTCAGTGGATTCACTCGAAAGATATTGTATCCCTACCCGGTCATTATGTTCTCCACGCAAGGATACCGATATTGAGGATGCCACAAAGTGAAAGAAGCACTGACTGCAGATTACGGGACTGTCTTTCAGACGAACCTGCCTTGGCCGCCATGTGCTTGCTATGGAGTTCATGGCAAGGTCCCATCTGGCTTCCCTGATGAGTCTCGTGGCTAGTAGGCTGTCAGTCCGAGCGCGAAGAGCGAGTACCGACAATATCTGACTATCAGGAGAGCTTGGACGTCTCGTACAAACAAACATCTTCTTGTGGGACAGCTGCTGCTACCTAGTGACTTGGGGTCAGATCAAGACGTCTGTCTGTCAGTCTGTCTGGTGATCCCTGCCTTGCCATGGCGGCCTTGTGTAGTGTTGGTAGGCGAGCCGACGAGCTGGTCAAGGACACCCTTGAGTTGCTCATGTAGGTAGTTGCCAGTCATGATAAGATCTACTTAGCATCATCATAGCAAACCCCTTGAACATCAGCGCAGACAGTTGCGAACTTTGAGCTTATTATGACCTCCCTCTTCAGGCTCATGGTGGTTCTCCAGGCCCAAGACCAGGCGTGAATGAACGTCTGGAGAGATCCATCATGAAGGAGCGTTTGCTATTGGGGTTTAACCATCACTATCATTCATACAAGCATACTTGAACAGCTAAATACATGTATTATGAAGTACTGTTCCTGGTGGAATGACTCCCTCCATACGTGTACGGCTCGAATAAGCACCTAGATATCTGTCAGAATCCAGGACTTAGGAAGTAGCAATCGCCAAGAGGCAAAGATGACTGACAACTCCAAACTCTTGGGAGGATCGATCAGTGCTATCTATATTTGGTAGTGCAGATACGACTATAAGCAAGCAACAAGTGCCGCCCTCCCGTCCCTTGTCTCTAAGCACATTAATGCAATTACAGTCGTTGGCAGACTTAACCAGCTAGCTCCCCGATATACGAGCACTTCGTCCAGCCCAGGTGCTTGCTTGTAGATAGTAGAAGGTAGGTGCAGTGTACACACACTCCAGCAATGGAAACCTTCGGAGCAAGCACTGGTTGGTTCACCAGGGCTCCTTCATGGCAAGTTGTTCCAATGACGTACCCAAGGTACACTCGTGTAGATATTGTTTCTGACTTTCACTGCAGAACAACGTCTTCCAAGCCAACAAGCAAGCAGCAAGTAGTGTCAGATAGTGCATTCAATCGTTATCATACTAATTAAGGGCTATAAGTGAGGCACCAGTCACTCCGAATCCCGTCTGTGTAGGTACTCTAGTCGCCGCTGATCTTAGCATGCCTGAAGTACTTCATCCCGGTCCACGCAACAACCACCCAGACCCAGGCCATAATACACGTCAATATCAGCAGGGCCGGATAGTAGCCCGCTATAGGCAGCGTAGGGTCGTCCTCGAGCTCCGGCGGCGCGTACGGCGTGGTGCCGACGTCCCAGGCCCAGCTCCAGATGTTGAGGCACGAGCCCATGCCGATGATGAAGACAAACCAGGTGACGACCAGCACCACCCAGCCCCACCACTCGGTCTCGCTGTAGTCGTGGTCCTCGTCTGCCGCGGGGAGAGGGTTGGCCGTCAGTCCCTGGAGAGAGAGTGGTGACTTGGCATGTTTGACGGAGCGCCGCCGCTGTATCGAGGGAGATAGCGCGCGACTGGGTGGGAAATAGGAGTCGGAGCCGGAGGACAGCGAAGAGAGCTCCGGGCCCAACAGGGGTGGCGGGATGTTGACCGGTATGGAGAGTACGTCTTCTTCGTCGGTAGTAGAGGTATAGGATATCGTGGGACTCGTAACCTGCGAGTCGCTGTCAGGGGCAGGTGGTGGAGGTATCGGAACCGGGACCCTTCGCGCAAATCCATCCATCGAGGGGCGCGGGGTAAGGTCCGATATGCCCAGGCCAAATTCTTCGCTTCCTGGAGTGCTTAAACTCGAGGGCGACTCGACCATGGGTTGCACGGCTGCTTCGGCAGGCTGTGTGGTTGTGGTGATGGCGAGGGGTGTCAGCTCGCGCCTCTCGCGCGCGGCGCCACGGCCCAGGAGTGCGACTTTCCGCAGGGAACCCTTACGCCTGCGGGTCTTCTGCTGGTGGGATATGGTGGCGAGGGCGCGCGGTGGTCGGCTGGTGGCATCTTCGGCGATGGCGATGTTTCGCGACTCGTTCAGGCTCGACTTGCTCTCGGAGGTGCGCAGAAAGGGGAACTTGGAGAGGATGCCGCCCCCGGAGCCGCTCCTCTTGCGCCCGCCTGGACTCAGGTCGGGTGAGCGGTCCTGGGCAGGCAGCTGAGCTGGAACTGGAGGGAGGTTCTCCATTGTGACTCAGAGTGAGTGTGTTGAATGCTTCGACTCGGACCGGGTGGGTTTAGAAGGCGTAGTCGCAAAGTATGCCCATCATATCAGGAAGCTGGCGAGAGCATGGGTATTGGGTGTGCAGGCGCGTTTGCCTGCTTATATTGTTAAAATAAGGACATTGGAGAAAGAAGTTAAGATAAGGTTGCTTCTGCGAAAGCCATTCGCCCTTTTTCCGAACTCAAAATGTGTGGGATGGCGTCAGTGACGGCCTCAAGGTTGTGATGGTTCACGACGGGAGTTACGCGGTACCACCCGTGGGCATTAGGTAAAATCATAGCGCGGCTCTTTAGCGCGCCTCCCCCCTGATCTCTCATGTCCCCACACAGTACTTAAGTACTTAGCAGTTGCCCCCTGGCCCTTGCAGACTGCAGTTGCCAGTCGCCAGCAATCTGAATGGGGAAGTCAGTCTTCCGCGTTCCTGTTTCGAACCCCAAGGCAGTCTGTCTTCGCTGATGAGACAATCTGTCGCGAAACAGCCGCTTATGGAAACGAGATGAAGTAGATGACGGATGACTCGCGGCATGCTACTAGTAATACTACCTTCGCTATTTGGAAGCCAACTGCCCGTCGTCATTCTTCCTGCTGAATCGGGACAAGCGCCAGGAACAGGAACAGGAACAGGAACAGTAACAGGAACAAGACTGGTAACCCACAAGACTGAAGGGGGATGGCTCTCCCACCACCTCCCATCAGCATCACTCCAACCATCCTGACCCCCGACGACCACAATCGCGACCGCAACGACCGCAACGACAACGAGGACCCGAACCACTTCGCCTACCGTTATAACAATCGCCACTCGTCCCTCCTTGGCCCCGCCGGCGACGGCTTCGACGATCACCCCCAAGCCCGCTACCTCATCTACGATTCGAACCGCCTCTCACCTGTTGCCCCGACTTTCCCAGGCAACCCGCTCCTGAGCCCCAATATGGCACCCGGCTTGGGAGGCATCAATGCCATCATTGACGAGAATTGCGCTCCGCTGGACATACCCAGTGCGAACGCGCCGAACCCCTTCAACTTCCAGACCCAGGTTATATCCACGTCACCCGTCAAGCCCAATGTCGGCCAGCGGCGCGGTCACAAGTACAAGCACTCGAGCATCAGTGCCCAGCACCAGATCTTCCTAGAGCCGCCTCCACGGCCACCCCTCGCGCTACCACGCGACTTGCCGGTGCCCACGGTGAAGGAGGCATGGAAATCCATGTCGAAAGATCAGCGCCGCCGCCTCTACTGGTGCATATGCCACCTCTTGGTGGCCGTCGCGGTCTTTCTCTCCGCGCATGGCTCTCTCGCCATGACAGCCCTTTCACATCTGGTCTTCTTCGACGTCGGGTCGGCTCTGATCTGCGTATCTGTCGAGGTCCTCGGCAACTTCGAGGTCTGGAAGCGAAGCAGCATTCGGCATCCGTTCGGGCTGGAACGGGCTGAGGTCCTTGCCGGATTCGCCATGAGCGTGTTCCTGATCTTTGGCGGTTTCGATCTCGTCAGCCACAACCTAAAGCATGTCCTCGAGAGCCAGGGAAGTCATGCTCCGCATCACCCAGATCCACATGAGGGAGACGAGCCGAGAGTACCATTTGGGACTCTAGACATGGCGAGTGCGGCAGCTATTGCCGCAACCTTGGTCAGCGCTTACGGACTGAGGAACCACGCTCGAATCAGCAAAGTCATGCGTGTGAGCTATCTGGCCAGCCTGCCCAGCGTACTGTCCAACCCGTTCCACTTCCTAACTCTATCGACCTCGTCTCTCATGGTGCTCCTCCCACTGCTATCAATCTCCATCCCTATGTTGCTTGACAGCGCTATCTGCGGGCTGGTAGCTGTGTCCATGTTTGGGCTCGGGGTACGACTTGCTATTGCGCAGGGATTGATGCTCCTCATGAGTTACGGCGGCCGTTCTGGGCCCATCCCTGGCAGGAAAAAGGACATTGGAGTTGCTGACGTCCTGCGGGAAATCGAGACGGATCCTAGCGTCGAGAGGGTCGACGAGGCCCAGTTCTGGCAGGTGCATTATGGCCTCTGCATGGCTAACCTCAAGCTGTGCGTGACCAAGAGCTGTGATGACGCGACCCTGAGCCGGCTGCGTACTCGGATCACAAACTTGATTCAGAACCGACTAGGGGAGGGGTATGGCAAAGGTGGCAGTCTAAAATGGGAGGTCAGCGTGCAGATGGGTACGACTGGGAGAGCAGCATAGAGGTTCTCTACGGCATTATCTCGTTTGGAGCCGGTTTGAGTTATAATATAGAGGCATACATGGCGTTTGGTTCTCACGAGATATCCTGATAAAGCAGACAGCACTGGTGTTTGATATCTGGAATATTAGTGTATGCTTGTATATACTTTTTATGCCCATCATGAACAGGACTGTCCGGCTTCAACGAATTCAGCAAGTCATCATCCGTTATTGTCTAGCCACCGTGTGGACTCGACTCCCTATCGTAGACACGTTCTCGTCGGTGCAGTAGAGGGGATGAATAACCTTCGTCATTGTCCATGTCCTTGAGGCGTAGGTCGTAGAGCAGAGAGGATTCGCGCGAGGCTCGCGTGATCTCGGTCATGTGTTTCTCTTGGATTAATACACTAATGCCAGGGGGTGTTTTCTACTCGAACTCCAACAAACCTTGCATGGGTTGGATATGGAGGTCCTTTCACATGGATAGGGGCTCTGAAAAGTTTCCTTCCCCTAAATTTGTTGGCTATTGCTCGTGCGAATCAGTGCGAAGAGATGAAAGTGAGCATGTAAAGCGCCTTGACCTAGGGTATCGCAGCCCTGGATGCCATCGCCACTTTCGAAGCTCGCACATTTCCTGCAGGCCGTCCACAGACTTCATCACACCATTGAGTGCGCCATCGAGCTCCGACGGGCCCATCAATGGTCAGATGGTGCTTCTCATGATACGCGCCGCCATGCGTGCACCACCGCGTGCCTCCAGCTTCCCGCTTCTTCCGCCGATATACGAACGAGCTAGACGGCCAACACCGCGACAGCGAGAGCGTATAGGGCGCCTAAGACGACGCCAGCTATGAGCCCGAGCCACACCCGTTGCTCAAGCTGGAGCTGGAGCTGGAGTTAGGGTTCGAGGCTGTGGATCTCGTGGCCTCGTTGTGCGGCGCGGTGCTTCGTGGCTATCGGTTTGCTTCTGCTGCTTGATGGTGTGGAAGAAACAGCGACAGTCAAGGGCAAGTATTCAGCTAACTGACCTCCCGGGTACTTACAGAATCTCAACAGACGACATCGTGAATACGAAGAGAAAAGGCCTTCTCCCCCTCCTCCTCCTCCTCCACAACCCCCATTTGTATGCCTCCCCCTTAACTTATCTTACACACGCCACGAGAAGGAGAACTCTGACCAGCTGGATGCGTAAAGATCTCCTATGCCAAAGTCAAGCTGATTTGAGAATGATCATAATGACGAAAGTGTGAGGGACTTCACCGTATTGTCTGAGTAAATCTATGCCTTCCTATAACGTATTGTATGGAAGTGTCGCTCTCGAAGTCAATGGAGAAAGAGTCAGGTTATGGTGGAAAGCGATGGCGGCTGCCTGACTCCTAGCACAACCCTGTAGACACAGCTCCGGGCAGGGGCTCCAGAATCTAGACTCCTTCGATCGTGCCATTCACAGCATATCTTGATGATTTGCCTCGCGCCCTGAACGCCAACTGTGGCACGCCGGTACGTGCCCACGCAACCTACAGCATCTCCCCTTGACGGTAAGCTACAGACCATCAGGAGTAGCGAACAACTCGTCCAACGTTCATCTATGTCGATATGTTCGTCAAAACTGACTATGCAGGTTGGGACATGGCAGCCGTGAGAGGGAGAGGCCTGACGTCGAGCCAAATACCCAGCTCTCCTGAGAACAGTCAGGCTTCCGTTGATTATTGTTTGCGGTTGCCAGGTAAGATTTTCCTCCGCAAGGATCATCGTTTTCTTCCGTGTTTATTCTTCAAACCACTGTCTTCCTACAAGTGTCGTTTGCAGACCCCATGTTGACCCCAGGCAAGAACGACCTCAGAAAGGGGAAGGATGTGTCGAGCGGTGCTACGTGCGGAAGACGATGTTGTTTATTGCCAGAACAGAAGTCTGTACTATCAGCCTGGCACGTTACGATTAGCTAGTCCACCCGTGAAGAAGTCTCAGTCTTCCTGTCGACGTCTCTGCTTTCGAATGGTCACCTAGAGTGCGCGACCCGAATCAGTCCATACATAGACTTGCGAAGTTGCGTGCCCTAGGGCGGGTTCGGTTCGTTCCTGAGTCTTCTGAGCCGCAGCAAGCTGTCCTGTAGTGTCGACCAGCAGCCAAGAAGCTTCTGTCTGCACACTGCGGGCGTTCTCTACCTCCCTTCAGTATCATAGGCACCGTCAAGTGATCCTAACGAACAGCTCAAACGACTGCAATGACGCTCGCGGCAACGCCGAGGTCTTCAGACACTGCGGGCCGAGCAGGGCGTGGCGACTACACAGTGACGAGCCAGGTATCCGATTGAAATCAACCGTAGGATGGAAGCGACTGTGCAAAGCAACAAAGACGCAAGAGCACCGAGATCTGTCTCTGAAGCGTGGCCACACCTTTTCGAGGGCACGTGAAAAGAAAATAGCACTCTCGAACACGATGATGAAGAACTCGGAGGCAGCGACCAAAGCCAACCAATCAGTCGATTTCACGTAATAACGTTGGCAAGTTCATGCAGACGGAGCAAGCGTTTGTCCTCGTCCAGCCCATGAACCTTCCCATCTCCTGTTCTTCACATCCCCGACCGCCGAGCGAGGCCGGCTGGCTCGCAGTATCCGTAGTACGGACGACAGCACCAGCCAAACCTTCCTCGCAGCCCACGCCGACCACTGCCAGGGACAGGGAGCTGCTGCAGTGGTCACCAACTCACGGAGCAGGGCGTTTGTGTGCCGCAGCTAGATTGCCTGCGAGGACCCAATATCGGGGAGCCGAGGGGGTTAGCTCTGTGAATCTCAGCCAGGCATAATCGTTCGAGGCTGGTGGAGCAGCAGGATAGATCCAGGTTGGCCCGTAGCAAGCAGACACCAAACAGATATTGTTGGCTGTCGAATTTGCAATAGTCTTGAGAATGATGAGCAGTTCTGTGCGACACCGCAGGCAGTGAGAAGTCTGCCGGCTGTATTGGAATGTAGTAGGCAGGCAGGCAGTCCACAGTTTGGCAGTCGGGAGAAGAACGGCGGTCTAATAATAACCCGACGTAGGAACTACCTCCACCAGAAGAGCAGAGTCCAGTGTCCGTCCACAGGTCTTGCTTCGGCGCCACGACCGTTCGTCATTGCCTCGGCAGCACACAGTTGAATGACACGACCGAGTTGAAGTCACCCCGAGGTCATCTGGTAGAATATTGAACGGAGCGGCTGACACGGTGGTGCAAGCTACCGAACACATTCATATAACACCGAGCTTACCGTTACATTAGAGGCAGGCACTTTCTGAACCCCGGCCTGTGGCATCCATCGGGAAAAAAGCGTCCCTGGAGCTACAATCTGCTTCCGGGAACTGGTGCCTTGCCAAACCGCAATTCGCCACCATCGACGGCGTGCGTCTGTCCATATTATCGTTGTGACGATGATGAACCTCGTCTGCGTCGGGGCATGTTACCTCGACACCATCATAAGGCAAGCTCTCCCCCCCCCCCCGAACCCCCGTCGGTCAGCATACGTACCTTGTCGGGCATGGATGACCCGAGTCAGTCGCCCAGTCGCTCACTCATGCGACTTGCAGCGTGCCTCACTATCCCGAGGAGGACTCGAAATTACGTGCCACGAGACTACAGGTTCGTCGCGGGGGCAACTGCCCGAACACACTCGAGGTGCTCCAGCAGCTGCTGCAGCTGCGACGAGAACAGGATGGACGTGGTGTGGTCAGGCCTTACCTGGTCTCGTGCTTACCTTCACCGGAGTCCCCAGCCGTGACCAGGATCATCGATTCGTTTGGCGCCGACACCGCCGTGGACCTCTCACGATGCATCTACCGTCTGGGGAGCACGGAGCCGGCCAGCTGCTACGTCCTGCGTAGCGAGGCCAGCGGCAGCCGCACGCTCGTCAACCACAGCGACCTACCGAAAATGACGACCGATGAGTTCGCCACGGCTGTCGATGGCCTGGGCGACGATGACACCTGGTTCCACTTTGAGGTACGCAAACACGGTCGACGGGCAGCATGTAGACGAAGGGCTGCACGATGTAGGTTCTAAGGCACGCACAGGGACGGATCCCAGAGACGACGTTGCAGTGTATCCAGTCGCTGAGGCGGTCAAACTCGAGGGTGCGAGGGGTGAGCGTCGAGATCGAGAAACCGGGCCGAGACGGTCTGGAGGACCTGGCGGCTGAGGCGGACGTCGTGTTCTACTCGCGCAGCTGGGCTGAAGTATGTTCGCCTCTCTACCCAACTAAGCGACGGGATCGGGGAAGAACAAAGACAGACAGCGGGTTGACCATACCTCGCGCGTTGTAGAGCAAGCACTACGAGACTGCCCAGCAGTGTGTGCGTGCCCAATCGGGCTTGGCCCGGCGAGCGTGAGTTGCATTGGCCCGATCGCCTCGCGAAGTAATGCAGCACAGCGGGCGGTGAGATGCTGATGGTTGCAGGTCCCATCTCCTGTGTACGTGGGGATCGGAAGGGGCGGCGTGTCTGTTCGTCCCCAGCGGGAACACCGTGTCTTGCCCGGCGACGCATCCAGGCCAGGCGACTCGCGTAGTTGAGTATGTCAGACCGCCCGGCCGAGCTGCTGCTGCTCAGTACTGCACTGCTGCTGCAACTTGCAAGACAGACAGCCAGTCAGCCAGTCAGCCAGCTTCACCCCAGTCCCCAGTCCCCAAAACCTCATATCAAGTGCGAGACAGAACGTGGACTAACGGCCATCCCTGCGTTAGCACGGTAGGAGCAGGTGACACATTCGTTGCCGGGATGCTATTCGGGTTGTTGTGCCACGGGGAGGACTGGGACGTCGAGACGAAAGTTAGGTTTGCCGTGCAGCTGGCGACCTGCAAGGTGCAACGAGAGGGATTTGACGGCGTGGGAGCCGATGTGCTCAGCTGTTTCGATGTGGCGTCTGCTACGCAACGATAGCTACTGGGTAGGTAGACCCAGCCTGTGAGAGGTTACGGCTTGCGGCTGCCAGTGCTGTGGTCGTGTGACAGACAAGTACGGCACGCAGAGAGACGGCGTCGACCCTAGAGGGAGCCTCCACAGATACATTCTTCTTCATGTGTGAAATAGACGGCGGTTAGGGGTTGCAGCCCAATGACGGCCGAAACACCAAACATCGATGTGCCATGTAGCCGTATGTATGCAGTCGGGCGTAATAAGAAGCCGGCATCTCACTCCGTCACGGGCTGCATGAATTGATGACTCGTCGTAACCAGCACGCTCGGTGGCCCCATGGCCGGGCATAGGTAGGATCTTATCAGAGAGGGGAAAGGGCCGGCCGAGACTGGACGATGGCCTGTAACATAGTAGTACACTCTCGCCTCCTACCAAGGGGACCCGGACCCCCTTTAAGCCACGTGTTGTATGTATCAATTAGGCAGGCCAGGCTCGCCGGGCGGATCGCATAATAAAGTGATAGCCTTGTAGGTAGGTGGTCACTGGTCACTGGCGACAGTGGTCTGGGGGTGCAATGAGCGGTGAGACTGGTGCATGTGGATCAATCCAGCAGATGGATGGTTTGGTGTGGTGTGGTGTGAGGTATTGGGATGGAATGGGAGGCGGGACGCCGACGGGCTACATGATGATATGCGAGCTAGTAATAAGACGGCGGGGAACGGATATGGTGGTGTTTTTGTGGTGTTGCCGGCCAGCGGCTACTGCATCAGGTATTACACACAGCCCTGGTCCCTGGAGTTGACAAGCCTGTCAGCCTGTACGGTTGGCATGTAACCCCTCGTCTGTTGATTGCGTGCGCAGTACATGTCTCCTTATTACCTTCCCTACGGCCCTGATGACTGCATTCCACATGCGGTATTGAATGCGATCTCGGTTGGGCTCCGGAGCCGCTTCCTGCACACATGTAGCCCGAAAGACTGGGTCATCCCGTACCCTTGAAGCTGCGACCGGATGAAGATGGCCGTGGATGGCGTCGTATCGAATCAAGGCTCCTTGACGTACATGTAGGATTGATTGCGCGTCTCAGGGCTGGCGGGCTTGGTGACAGCCTACAACTACTAGTAGACGGCACACGCTTGTGAAAGCTAATTTTGTACTCAGCCTATCCATCCATCAGCCAGGCAGCCAGGATAGACTGATGATGGTAGTCGAGTTCCTCCAGCATTCTAGGCAGTGTTGCCTGTGTCGGGTCATACCAAAGTCCCATGCCGGGGCATGGACGAGGGCATGGATGCGGATGCGGGTGGACATCGTAAGCTACGGTGACTGCGGTGGTGGTGGTGATCCCCCTTTTCCCTACGGTCGTCGGTAGGTAGCGTCCTTGGAATAGCACAATAGGCGCTCCTCCACCAGTACTTGCGGGTCGGTTTCAGGCGTCGGTCTATCGTGAACGGCGCCGGTTCTGCTGGGCCAGTTCTGACCACGGTAAATAGTACCGGGTTATAGTACAAATATCAACCGACTCCTTATTACCTTTGACTGTACAAGGCGCAGCAACATACACGGAGGCAGGGCGGCCGTTCGGGATTGCTGGCCTTTCTGTCACACGGCGGCGCCAATCATGACGCAAGCCCAGTTTTGCATCGGCTTCTGAGCTGGCGCAGTGACTTTTTCCAATCGACGAGTCGGATTCCCGGCTGCCAAGTCAGCTAACAAACGGGTGCCGACTCCTGACTGGTCATGTGAGAGGTGCCGTTGGGAGCGATGATCACTCCCAAGAGAAGGAAGGGCCTCTTTCATCCCGGGCGGCAAAAGTATGAAAGTCAGGGCGCACGGAAGCCTCCGACTAGAGGGTCCATCCATATCACACTTTCGTACCGGGTGGCTCGTTACCCATTTCCTCCTTACCACAATACACGGACGTCCAGGCGGAGGTGATTGCTGCGTCCACAGGGGACGCCGTGTTGCACGGATGATGATCCTGTGATGCGATGGTCAAGTCAGATTCCGCGGGGTGTCTCTCCATCTGATCAGAGTGCCAATGTCGAAGTGGCATCTGGAGAACGATGCGTTGACACACATAGGGTCGCATCTTTAGAAGGTACTGGTACCGTCCGAGTGTGTGAGAACCGGCAGTGATCACTGCTGCATGGCAAACGGCAAACCAGGCAGATACGCGGACATGCTGGTTTGCCATGGCGCGCAACATGATACGTCGATGGCTCAGAGGCCCAGAAGGAATGGCGACCACACATGTGCCCGTCGCAGCCTACGACCGCTGTGCTGAATTCGTTTAGGCGACCGACCGACCTGCCTGCGTGCTGACCGGCGTACGAGGAAGCCGATCCTTTCCGCCATGTGCGGTCTTGTCTCTCTAACAACATGATCAAGCCGAGCCCGCACATACATACGTACGTGCCTCGATACAACTGTGAGGGTAGCACAAGGTGGGATGGCTTGAATGGGGTGTGGTCAGACTTGAAGCACTGCACGGCAAATATGCCTCGTTCGATCCCAAGACTCCAAGCGCTATGGGCACTTGTGACCAATCCCAATCTCCGTAGCATGCGGTTCAGATCGTAACTGATAAGTTGGTCATGATTGGCTGATGAAGGTAGTCCAGGAAGTTCAGCTGCGGCTTGGTGAACGACAAAAATCAACACCACGTAAAAGTCTCAGGGGCCTCGTAGGTTCCCCTGTGGGTAGCCGGTCGTCTGATCGATGGACCATGGGCTGCTGCGAGCCTGCGACAAACACCAAGTGGATGTCCGGTGTTAACCTCTTGCATGACTGTGGACAAAACAGTCACTATCCATTCTCCCGGATGCGCTGGGATCCTCGTCCCTGCGCCAGCACTGTGATCTATTAGTATGCTAATAGATCAGCTCGAGTGCTGCTATCAATCTCCTTCATCCGGGTGAGGGTAGTGCCCGGACAATCTTAGATATCTGTTGGATCACGACCCTGGATGTGATTGCTTGGAGTTGATACCGCAATATTGTGGTTTCACGGAACGTCAACAAGGGGCTACGAACCAAGTGTTGGGCCGGCAGGGCTTGGAAACAAGAGTGGTGTGCCCCCGCAAGGTGTGCATCTCGCTACATGTAGGTTGTACAGCTCCCGTACCTCTAAGTACGTTGCTATCGGTTCGTTACTTAACGATGATATGGGTAGTGCTTACCTATCGCTGGTAGCTCCGAAGAGCAAGTAGTGTAGACGCTACTTCATTCATATCAGACAGGCACATGGATGCTGCAACCTTGGGGTGAGACCCAGACATTAGAATTAGACAAGCTAGGGATCAACGGGACTTGAAATAGGAAGTTTTCCAGAATCCCCTGGCGTTAATTTAGTTTTCCTTCAATCCGTTCCCCGTCTTTTCGGGCCAGGGATGTACTCACTTGTCCAGTGTTAGACTGCATCTTGGGGGGTATTTGTCGGCAAGGCTTGCTTCTGCTTCGTGTTGCTCATGGCTTTTGAAACACAGCGGAAAACCAAACCTGAGCAAGCTGCACTGGGGTAGCCTGGGCACACAAGACGTACGCAGTAGTGGAAGTGGTAATCCCAAGTCCTTGCTTGCGTTGAGAAAGATGACGATGGTGGAGTTGGGCGGAAGAATTGCTCGAATCATGCACATGCTGCGCCGGGTAGTTTGGCTTGCCTCCGCCGCAGGAGACCTGCACCCTAGAGTGGTATCACAATCCTTGTCAGTTGATAGTTACTATTGTAGAATAGTACGACATCGATGGAAGAACGGCGGGACAGGGCTGGAAATGCCAGGATTGCATAGATCATTTCCGAGCTTATTGCGGAGTCCTTTTAGCAAATGCAGATGGAAGCCAGTGCGTTTGAATTTTGAACTTTGGAGTGGGGTTGGACAGACCTTGATTCTTTGTACGGGATTCTGGACCATCGTCACTCGAGGAACTCGGCTGAGCATAATTAGAAGATACGCCGAGGCCAGAGTCTTCTTGGATCCAGATGCTGCACATCCTCCATCCTTTGGCGCAAGATGCTCGCAACCTTTTTTGGGTGTGTGGAAGGGTAGTCCATCCAACCTTGTCCTTGTCCTTGTCCTTGTCGTCGTGACTTGAACAGTCCACAGCTCCCAGCTAGCCATACGCCAGTGACCAAACATGCATAAGGCCACTTTTGACCCCGGTTTCACCGAGGCTCTTCTTGCTCGCGAGTGGGCTCGTACTTCGCACACGTCTTCGATCTTCAAGTGCCACGAAACCCACGAAACAGGCGCCTGCAGATAAGCAAGCTACTGCAGAGGTGGCTTGATGAAACGAATTTACTGGCGCAAGGACGATGGATGATGGGTGGAATCAATGGATAAATGGATGGCGGGGCTTCAAAACTAAACAGAGTCGAGATGACGATGACCCTGCTTGCACGAAAGCCACGCATCAACAACGAAGATGTCTTCCCCGTGCTAATCGTGTGAGGTATCACGGGACGGCAGCGCGGTGCGTCCGTCCAAATGTCGCGCAAGTCCTGTGTCGCGATGCCTGAAAGTTCAAGGAGCTGAATGTGGTCGTAATCAAGATGGAGCAAGGCTTTCTCGTGGATAAAGTGAAGAGTCGCAAGTCCTCCCAGCCCGTGCGACGCAGTAGTCGAGTGGCGGTAGGTACATGCCTATGTTAGTCCCTGTAGATGTGCTCGGATGTGCTCACAGTAGTAATATCTGATGAGTGAGATTCCGATCATGCAAAACAATGATCGTCAACTTTCATGGGATCCTTGGATGATATCAGCACGGTGCTGGGGGTCGAGACGGTCCATCCATCCAATCCATCGAAAGAGTTTTGCAACTGCCAACGATCCGCCGGGCCTGACGCGTGTCTGGTTTGCTTGCTTTTGCAGACTGCCACTGGGCTGACTGGTCCAAGGCATGGAGGGTTTCATTGTGCGCACACAGGCCACAGGCCACAGGCCACCCGGCGAAATGATGCAGATCGGTGGCCCTAGATGAAGCGGTGTCTGGCGCCTGGGCACACTTTGTAGATTGTGGATGTGCAGCAATTTACAGGTTTGTGTCCGGCGCAGAAAGACACATTTGATTTTGATGCAGCAGAGATGTAGCAAGCCACAATTCGACGGCTCGCATGCAAAGCCCCCTGGCCAGTGGCAGCTGCCTCAGTGCTGGACCTAGCTGTGTGCATGGTACATGTACGAGAGCAGTGGAGTGGGAGCACCCTGCCACCATTCACGGTTCACCGTCAACACCGGGCACTGCACCACTGATCGCTGATGACCGAAGGCAGGACTGCAGGAGCCACTTGTCAGGCGACTGCGAATATGTGGATATGGATCGCCGAACAGACCGGAGGAATGACCGAGTGTTCTTTCTCATCTCGAAGGAATTCCACCGGCCTGCGTTTGAGACCGATGACTCTGCCACTCTAGGGCCGAGCAGCTGCAGCAATGGATCAATAAGGTACTGCGAGAAGTGGATGGGCAGAGGGGGCAAGAGGAGGGGGGATGTGTAATGTAGCCTCGGAAGGGATCCAACAGCAGTGATACCCGTTGACATTGGAAGTCATCGATGATCAAGATAATTAGGTGTACACAGGGGACGGTGAAACTTGGGTCTTGTCACTTTAACACTTACCGTCTGTCCGTCAGCCACATGACTCTCACGCCTACAATAGTACCAGGTAGGGCTATGTGCATGTGTGCAGACAGCATGTGATATGAGACATGCAGAGAACTTCCCCGTACCTTAAGCATACGCACAGGCAATGGCGTCCGCCGACACGATACCTTCAAATTAGGTCGTCTGCGGTAGGATTCAGTAGGGGCGATGTATGGAGAGGGCAGGTGGTATGGTGCCCGACGCCAGGACATTGAACAGCGAGCAACGCGAGGTACATTGGAAGCCCAATGTAAAGTTGGTCAGGGCCTCGTACAGGGGGCTTAGTCCCACTACGTGCAGACCGAGTGCGCTGTATCCCGCAGTTCTCATGTACCGCGTATGTGTGTCTCGCATGGAAAAGGAAGCATCTGCAAGGTGCCGGACCAAAAAGACGAAGTTCTTGCGAGGCGCCTATTGGTTCCACATCGCCCCTTGGATCTGGTTTGCAGAGCCTAGAGGCGCATGGGAAGGAGGCTCGCAGGCTTGACCGCACCTGGCAGTTGAGTAGTGCAGTACTTGCATTCAATCCAATGGTCCCACCAATCCTGAGCCTGAAAAGACGATCGTGAAGTTCCACCATTCTGTCTGCGGTACGAGTCTCACTTCTGTCCAGCTGCCAGCCTGGAGTCCTGGACGCCAACCATCTTGGAGTTTGGTCAAAGCACCAATCACATCACGCGAGGCAAACGACATATCCGATCCTCAGGTGGTTTCAAAGGCTACCTACCGTAGGCCGTCGTAGGCACGGCATCGTCTCGAGCAAGCCATCATTCCACCAGACGCCCAGACGCTCAGACCAGACCTCAAGAGCTCAGGCTCATCAGACTACGAAGAAGTACGGTGTGTTTGGACGCAGCCGATCCGAGGTCGTACTTCGTCCCCTGCCTTGGTTCTTGCACCGGCCTGGTAGGGGATGAAGGGCCACGGCATCAAGTTGATACGATGCGGATACAGTACGCGGGGAGTCCAACGAGGCGCCGGAATGAGCATCCTCTCGGAAGCTTACTGCGCTCTCGGTAGCATCCTTTATCCACCCATCTCACGAATAGTAACATTCAATCATCCATGCCGTCCGCAGCTGGCGGCATGCGGTACGTACTATGTACGGTACACGGGTGCCTGTTGCGTTGCCCACCTCCGGGCACAAGGTTCCACGTCCTTTGCAGAGCGTCTTCGTCATCACGGAGGCGGCGAAACATGATCAAAGAGAAGTCTCGAAAGCGGGTATCGGATGGGATAGTATTGCGGGGATGCAAGAGAACCGACTAATCTGACCCTTGTTGTGAGCATGCATGGGCGTGGGCATGGCGAAAACGATACATCGAGAATCTCCTCTACCCGCTTGTGGAATGGTGTCTCTCCTCCATGGCCCCCAATCCCTGACCAGTTGACCAGCGACGCGTGGGTACCGGAGCAGTGCTTGCATGTGTTCGCGGGCAGGGAATCCAGATTGAGGATGGGAGGATCAAGCGTGCCAGATCAGCCAAACACGGCCTCATCTCCACACACTCCCCACAAAGCATCAAAATCTCACCCCCTTTTCCCTCATCGTGTCCCAAACGGACGTCTCCCTGCCCCAAACCCGTAGCTGATTCGTCAGTATTGGTCCACAGCCCTGGCTCAGATGCGGTAGCGTCCCACACTGTCACCACCCCTCGGGTTGCGCTAGAGACCCTAGGGTACCTGAGTTGGTTTTCACCCAGTCCCTGTCTATTCTGCCCTGCCCTACCCTGCCCAGTACGTACCGCAGTATCTGCTCGTCGGCAGCACGTACTGCAGTACATGCTGTAGTACGCCAATAGGGGCCTTCGCCTTGCAAGGGCCTGGTGCATTATCGGGCCAGTCAGATGGAAACCACCCAGGGCTACCCTACCGACGGAACCGCCTCGGATTCGAAAGCGTCTCTTGGGTTTGCCGGAACGGTCTGCCTTTTGACTCCAGGTTATTTTTGGTTAATACACTCACCGTGACACGCCTCCCGGCGTTTGACACACCCCTTTTGATATGGCGTACCGGGCAAATCAGCAAGCAGCAAGCAGAACCCCTCTCACAGCCGCTATGATACGCACACACGTCCACCCCTACCTGACCCACCCGTCAACCCCGGTACGGAAAGGGCAAGGCCATGACCATGGGGGCTAAGAATTGTTGCTTCAGCGCCTAGTGGCTTTGTCCTATCGACATCGTTCCAAACCCCGTTTCTTTGACCGCCCACCTAATCAGAGTATACCTTGCAGACAGCCATGACTTGAAGTCAAAGACTCTGCAGCCTAGTCTAGTCCACCACATACTGACACCAACGCTACCCATCACCAAATCCACCCGTCCCCGGCCATGGGCACACTGAAGGACCCTCCTCTGGGCTTGTCAGATCCCTGCCGGAACCATATGACGCAGAAAAACGTCCCTAGCGAACCGTCATACAGGTGAAGCAGACACGCACACATACATGCACACACACACACACACACACACACACACACTTGCATACCATGCCAAACCGGACAATGTCTCTACTCTGTATTGTTTCTCGGCCCTACCGCCCCAATATAATCATCCATTTGCCACAATGGTAGCTCCAGTCTGCGTTTAGTCTGACTTATCCTTCATGAATCAACCTTTGGTAGCCCGAGCCCGAGCCCGACATGCAACATTCTTGAACTGAGTAGTCCAAGTCGATCTCTTTACGTCTTTCTGCCAGTCCTCATACAAAATCGCCTACCCTCCCGCCATACACAGACGCTGCTCACTCCTTGCAACGCCCACTACCTCTCACTTACCTTAACATAGTCCAAGAACTATACGGCCGCGCCTACATATCATCACAGACAAGCACCATCAGCTACTGAGAACAGATCAAAGATGATGCCTTCAGTGTTGGGGGCGAACGTCTCGCATATCACGCCTCACCACTATCCTACCGACACCAACCTGGAGGAACTCTCAAGACAACTCGCCTTATCGGATTCGATACGGCGCATAGCGCGTGGCTCCAATGGACAACGACCACCAGGCGCCATGCGTGTGGTGAAGCCGAAGAGTGCTAGTAACAGCCCACAGGCCATGATGGCTCGACGGAGGACGCTGATGAACGATGGGAGCTCGGCGCGGCGGCGGCAGCAGCAGGCCCTGGACCAGGTTGTGTTCCAGCAGATGCAGGACACATCGTGCTATACGAATTACCAAGAACCCGTCAAGCGAACCAACCGCCCAGTTAGCTGGCACCCGAGCTCGCACTTCCAAGAACCGCAGATGCATATCCCTGCGTCTCAGGCCGACTATTCACAATATATCATGCCGGCGCCGGTGTCGTATCAGCCCACAGACATGTACTCGGGATACCAATACTTTCCTCCAACGCCAGCTGCCTACTCTGGGCACACATCGCCGGCATCTAATTTCTCCCCGCTATCTCTTCCGTACATGGCTCCGTCTCAGTCACAAAGTGTACCGCAATATGTGGCGGCAAACTCGTGGAATTCGGCATCCCAGTTCGCCCCTCAGTTGTTCAACACGAATGCAAGCCCCGGCACGACAGAGTCCTACCCGTCTTATGCTGACCAGGCTTCGTATGACTGGGACACGTTTGCCCCGCAAGGATTCAATTCTTGCATGGCCCCTCCGACGCCGGACGAGTACCAGGCTGTTCAGCAACACGTGGCGTCAGTGCCACCGGAGGAGTCGATACCTTATCAGCCGCTCGAAGAGCCGGAAGAGGAGGGGGAGATATTAGTCGGGATGGGACTATATGATACACCTACCAAGACGGAGACAGACCCCGGACTGGACAACTACCGCACGACAACATCACAACTGCTCGACACGACGTACCGGAGTGGGAAAGGGTGGAAGCTAGAAGAAGCTTGGGAGCCGCCCGCTATAGATGAGTCTGACGGCGACGAGGACGTTGATGGAGAAGAGCAAGACGAGAAGGACAGGACGTCGGAGTCACCCGCGCCGCACCCAGCCTGGATATGAGCTCGAGGCTTACTCCCCTTCAAGGGAAAGCCCGAGCAGTATGCCAGCACCACCTGCCAACGAGAGATGGCGCGCGGATTGCGAGCCCATGACGACTCGGCGTGCTTGTGGCATTGGAATTGAAGATCCGCAAAGAAGAAAACTTGATAACCGAGGGCACGGTCTGGATCCGTTGTTGCAACCGGATATCTATTCCTCAAAGGCCCGTATGATAAAAATTCACAAGAAACCACTGTTCAAAGTACAAAGCATGGTCTCTAGCTGCAGTGCAGGTACGATGTGATTGCCCGCCGTGATGACGAAATACCCGATGTACACATCGTATGTCCCCTCCCGTATTTCCCAAGATCCAATTCCACACCGGGGCCGTGCTGCGTTCATGCCTCGTCCCTAGCCTACATAGGCAGAGAAGTCATGCTGCTGCAAAGACCCGGTTTGCAGCTGGTGGCTAGTGGATGGCAGAAGTCGCCAACGGTCGAATGCCCACCTTTATTCAATGCAGGGGTCCCCAATGTTCTGGGTTGGGGGTCGGTGTTAAAGAAGCTCTGACCAGCTGCGAGACAGGGATGTCCCGGACTCTCGGGCGTTCAGACGTTTCTACTTGAAGACGGCCGGCCGCCCTTCGTGGCCCATTTCTTGTTCTTTTTCGCTTCCACCCGCCAGTTCCAGTTCTACATTCACTTCTAGGCGGGGGGCGTCCAAGCTCCAGCGTCCTGGTCCTCGTCGACATGTGGGGTCCCGCCCACCACCGCGTCTGAAGTTCCGGACACCCCTCCCCCCCTATTGGGGTTCCCACTCTTTCGCGAGGGTGTGAACGCCCGTGTGGTGGGGTGCCAGGGGTGCTTGATGGAATTGGGGAGCAGGCAGGCGAGGATGATTACGCTGGTTCTATTAATGACGAGAGGGGGGTGTACCGTGTGATGAGGGGACGAAAGCTGCTGGGATGCAGGTGCCAGAAGGATTCAGCTCTGTGCTTGCGTCGCATGCCGAAATTAGATGGTCGAAATGTGAATATCCGTTGGAGAGAGGCTTGCGATGCCACGAGAACATGACTTCTTACTAAATTTATGAGCATGGGCTATGAACATCGCCTCCTTCGAATTGGCACAGCAGTTACGTGGCACAAAACCAACAAGCCAATCTCTACCCGTTGAATCTTGGAAGTCGGTTCGTCGAGCCAAAGTTCGGCTCGGGCTTGGGGCCAGCCTGGACCTCAGTAATGCCGCCGGAAACGGACCAGTGGTGATACCCCTCTGACAACATGCAACACCTGCGGCTCACCCCCCAATCGCGTCTACAGCAAGGTCGTGATTTGAACATGTCGAAAACAAGGATGATTATGATGAGATCCCCTCAAAACATCCAGTAGCAAACAGTCTCTCCAATAGACAGCGATATCACAACCATCAATCCGCTGTTCCTGCAGTTCGGTCTGACTCGATCGGTGCTGTGATGTTGCCGTGATCGGAACCCCGCGTGCCCCTCCACGTAGATTTTTATTTTATTTTTTACTGCTACAAAGTCCAGCATCATCGCTTGAATCAACAAATACATTGCGACGAGACAGAGCACACTTCAACAGACGGACATATCACCGTTTGACCAAAAGCAATAATGGCATCCCAGTAAGAGCTATCAGAAGTCTATATGTTCTCCAAAGCGGCTCACCGTGACTTCGCAGGAAGGTTCTCATGCTCGGCGCGGGCTTCGTGACCCTGCCCACCCTCAACATCCTCAGCGAGGCTGGCATCCCCGTCACCGTCGGTATGCCACCATCCACCGACCTCCCGAACCGCACGGCATGCAATTGACCTGCCCTCCAAAGCCTGTAGAACCCTCGCCTCCGCCGAGTCGCTGTCCAAGGGCGTCAAGAACGCCAACCCCATCTCGCTCGACGTCACCGACGACAAGGCGCTCGACGCCGAGGTCGCCAAGCACGACCTGGTCATCAGCCTGATCCCCTACACCTTCCACGCCACCGTCATCAAGTCGGCCATCCGCCAGAAGAAGCATGTCGTCACCACCAGCTACGTCTCGCCCGCCATGATGGAGCTGGACCAACAGTGCAAGGATGCGGGCATCACGGTGATGAACGAGATTGGGCTGGGTAGGTTTTTCCCCCACAGATTGTTTGGCATGTCTACGGCAGACTAACTGACTCTTTTGCAGACCCAGGACTCGACCACTTGTGTAGGAGCCCTCGCCGAACGTGAACGGAGCATGCGAATACTGATCCTGCCAGACGCTATCAAGACGATCGAGGAGGTTCACAAGGCCGGAGGCAAGATCCTGAGCTTCCTTTCATACTGTGGTGTATGTAAACTCCCCGAGTCATTCGTTTCCCTCCTGCCCGTATCTCAGGAGAAAGTTTCTTCTTGGGCCTGCTTCATGAACCCATGGCTCCTGAGACATGCCTCTTGGCTCCTCGCCAGCTACGAAGAATAAATACTGACTCCTGTTTCTGAAGGGCCTTCCCGCTCCGGAAGATTCGGATAACCCCTTGGGCTACAAGTTCTCGTGGAGTTCGCGTGGTGTTCTCCTGGCCCTGGGCAACCCTGGCAAGGTGTGGCAAGATGGCAAGGTCGTAGACATTGCAGGAAAGGATCTCATGTCCCACGCAAAGCCGTACTTCATCTACCCCGGATACGCCTTCGTTGCCTACCCGAACCGAGACTCTACTCCTTACAAAGAAAGGTATGTATTGAGCAGCCAATTAAGCTTTACGGGGAAGCTAACAAAGCAAGATACAACATCCCAGAGGCGCAGACCATTATCAGAGGGACTCTCCGATACCAGGGTTTCCCCGAGTTCATCAAGGTACTAGTTGACATTGGGTTCCTGAGCGACAAAGAGCAGGGTACTTTCAAGCAGGCCGTCACATGGAAGGAGGCGACCCAGAGCCTGCTGGGTGCTTCTTCGAGCAGCCAGTCTGACTTGCAATCGGCCATCCTGTCCAAGGCCACCTTCAAGTCCGAGGAGGACAAGGCGAGGATCATTAGTGGTTTGCGGTGGATTGGCATCTTCTCGGGCGAGAAGATCACCCCTCGTGGCAACCCCCTGGACACGATCTGCGCCACGCTGGAGAAGAAGATGCAGTACGAGGAAGGCGAGCGCGACTTCGTCATGCTCCAGCACAAGTTCGAGATCGAGAACAAGGACGGTAGCCGAGAGACCAAGACGTCGACGCTATGCGAGTACGGCGACCCCAAGGGCTACTCAGCCATGGCTAAGCTAGTGGGTGTGCCTTGTGCGGTGGCTGTCAAGCAGGTCCTCAACGGCACCATCTCCGAGAAGGGCATCCTCGCACCCATGAACTCTAAACTCAACGACCCGCTGATGAAGGAGCTGAAGGAGAAGTACGGGATCTACCTGGTTGAGAAGACTGTCTTATAAGAGACCTGCGGACGGACATACCCAGTAGTTGAGAAGTATTTAATGGGATCTGGCATGCCGGCACAGTAGTGAGATCTTGTTAGGCGTTCAAAAAGACAGATTAGCAGTTGTGAGATGGTAGAAGGGTTTGCAGACGCCGCAAGGTGATAGAAAGTAAACGCTAACTAAATCATCGCCTTTGAACATGACAAGCGTGCCCAGGTGCAGGTGGTTGAGAAGATCGAAGTTAGGACGTCTAGCCAGAGGTACAGTGGGCAGACAAAAAAACCTAACACCTTTTAATTTTACTTCTCGCACTTTTACACACGCTTGTTAAAGTCTTTATTTAATTAGAAATAAGGGAAAATCTTCAATATTAACTTTACTATATAAATATTAAACTACTAGTTTTATTTCATTTATAAACAGTTTTTCTTTTATTAATAGCACCGCTTAAAAACTTGAGTATATATTTATATAAATTTACCCTTTTATAACAGTTTTATAAAAATAAGTATAAGAAAAAATAACTAAGCTATGTTTTAAAAAGTAGAATATTTAGATTTTTATTAAAAGAATATTTAAATACTTCGATTATATTAAAATATGTAAGAATGAGTAAAAAATAGCTAGTTTTACGTAGTTTTGTTAATAATCTCGATAATAATTCAAGTTAAAAACTTTTTGAATTTTGACTTTATTACGCCTTTAAAACTTTATATATTAATTTTTATCACGTAATTTTCCCCTCCACGTAAAGCTTTGAATGTGGTTATAATGAGGAGGGTTCTTTTATAAGAGTGGGGTGTTCGGTATTTGTGCTGACCCACTGTACCTTGCCACGCCCTATATTCGTTAGCGGTTTGTGAACAGTAACTTTAAAAAAATAGGCCCAACTTCCTAGAAAAATACGTCGTTAACCGCATTTGGAAGCGATTCTCGCAATCAGCTAATCGTAACTCACGCATCTAGTGCGCAGCTTAATACTATATATTATCACTATTCTTACTATTATTATTGCACTATTATTAATACTACGCGTATATAAAAGATATATTTATAAATAAAAGGCTTACACCGCCTTTCAAACCTCTGAGTAACCTTAATTATTTACTTTAACTTTTAACCTTAATTTTGACCGACGTAATCACCTAGTAAGATTAATTTAAATAATTTTAATCCATTAAATGTAATAATAATCGGGTGTTATATAATAACTTAATAAGTAAATGTTTAAATAACGGTTGATTAAAGCTTTTAATTATTTATTTAAATAGTAATTTATTATATTTAAACTTTTTCATAAAACACGAAGATTCATTTTGGGTTTAATATTTTATATTTTAACCTCTATATAGCTTTTTATACACTAATATTCTTGGTTTTAATCGATTAAAAGCTTACGATATATATATATATATATAATTAACTAATAAATTATGATTATAAAGATAGATTTAAATAATAAAAGCTATAATTTTACGTGTAAAGGTAAAACCAAAAATGTTAGATCCATGTGATTCCACAGTCAAACCATCCATACAGAACCCACATGTATGATTAGATAAGAGATTAGATAACAGATTGTAAGGTCACTTAGCTGGACCTGCAGGTCTAGCTAGACTTCCTAATCCAACCATCAGCAACATCATGATATTGACCCAATACTCGAGTATTATGATTGATCGTTCAAGCCTGTTCCAACAAAAACCGATATTATTTCAGAACGCGAAAATAACGTGCTTTAAAAACTTTTTTTATTTTATTTTAAAAAGCGCTTATAAGCGACCAGTACGTTCAATGATAAAGTTAACGACGCTTTTAAAAGTAACGATTATAAAGCTGGTAATAAACGTGTTAAGAACAGAACCCCGCTTATTTTAATTATAACGTTTGATTAAAAAAGCTTTAAATAATAATTAATTAAAGGATATTACTTTTGCGGCTTTAATAATTAAAAGATATAGCTTTTAACTTTTTATACCGTGTAAAACTTTAACAATAAATGTTTTATAAAGCTTATACGCGCTAATTAAAATAAGATAAAACGATATTTAAAACGTCTTTAATAAAAGACTTATCCGTTTAATTAAGAGCCTTTATTATAATGATAAGATAATTACGTATATTAAAAACATATATAAAACTAAAAGCGAAAAGTAGAAAATTACGGTGTAAACCGATTTTTAAAAATGCCGTTATAATAGCGGCTACTTTATCTACTACGTTATAAAATTTGAAAACCTTAACAATACGAAATACGGATATAAATAACATTGTAACGGAATGATAATAACGACCTTTTTTTTGACTAGCATACAAAAAAAAGGTAAGAACTAAGAATAACGTTTACGTTTATTTATTTACTTCTTTATAAAAATAACGGTTTACGCTTTTTAAACCGACTTTATTAATAAGTTTTAAAGTTGTATTGATAAAAAAGCCACGTTTTATATAATTAAGAAAATTAAAAATTAAATTTTTACTAACGTTACAATCAGGAAGACCACTTTAAAAAAAACTACTTTAAGCCTTTATAAAACGGTAGCAGAAAAAATAAAGGCGATTAAAAAACCCAACTTTATTAAAAAAAGCAAGGTAAAAGCTACTGTGATGGTGCAGACCCCATCAGTGGGTATCACGTGACCTTATGTCATGTGACCTGGCCAAACACGTTGTCCTGTCCCAAAAGGTGGGGCGTAGGGAGCGGTCGCACAGATCTACTTCACCACCCAATTTGGGTGCGAGACCTGATCTTCTCTTCTCTTCTCCCCACCAAGAGATTTTCGTACATATATAGTAATTAGAGCTATTATGCTCAACAACCCTTATATGGAACGTGACATCTACTCTATTAAATATAAGCAATATTTTTAAAAAATTAAAAAAGTTTACTTATTAAATTTTAAGCGATAAGGTTCTTAAATTTAAACAATAACACAAAACAAAAGCCTTTCAACGATTAAAAATATACAAAAGCCTCTTTTAAATATAATAAAACTCTTTTTATATAAAAAGTATATAAAACAGCCTTTTTATATAATGAAGTATATAAAAAAGCCTTTTTATAAGAAAAAGTATATAAAAAACCTTTATAAGAAAAAGCACAATAAAATATACAAAAAAACACGATATAAAAGCCTTTACATATCAAAATAAAAGATAAAAGCCTTTTTTAATGAATATCTTTTAAACACGATTAAAAGTAAATAAATATTGTTATAGAAAACAGCTTATTGCCTACTTATTTAAGTGATACTATTTGTGACGAGCCGTCTAACCTATAAGGCTAAGGGGTTCTATAGGGTGTATATTCTGAGGTAAGTCAACACAAAAGATGATAGAGGCTTCTGTCAACTAGAAGACACTCAGATGCTGGGGCTTGGTCTGAACTGGGTTCACTGTGTAGTCGAGTCGTCAGGAGATTTCTCCCACCTTAGGGTTGGCTAAGATGCTTAGATTGATCACTGAGGTAGAGACTGTCTATCTATCTGGTTGGGAAATGTCTGTCCTTATATATCCAATCTCTCCCTCACTGATTAGGTGGCTCACCCTGGATCACCATGGTGATCCAGTGATCTAAATTCTTAGTCACGTGACCCAGGCTCTGCTGGTTGCGTGATCTGTGTACCGTTGCTCCGTTGCTCCGATCTCTCCACTGATCAGCACCCCACTCTCTGGTCAATCTATTTCCAATCGTCCCTTCTAGGCCTGCTATCAGGCCGCACTGTTCGTTGGTTCGTAACAATATCATTAATAAATCCTGATTTTTTTAACGCTTTTAAATAATTTAAAGCTTTATTAAAGCTTAAAGTATTACATACGTTATTAAAAAGCGTATTGAATATAATAATAGCTTTAATATATAGTTTAACGTAGTTTGTATATACGTAATAATAATTAAACGTTATATAATAACTTAATAAATAAATATTTAAATAACGGTTAATTGAAGCTTTAAGCTACTTATTTAAACAACAATTCATTTCATTTAAATTATTAATAAAATACGAATAAAAAAGCAGTTTAAACCTGATTTATTCTTTATTTGAACACTGTGAGATTCTAGAAGGGTCACAAGCCTTGGGGGTGTGAGCGGTCGCTGCAAATATTGTTGTTATTCTCAAGTATGCTCGGCAGGGCTAATCTACAGCTAAATACTATACTGCACCATGTCAGGGTATATCCACTGTTCCTTTGACAGCCCCCTAGTGGGTACTGCACTTAAGGGCACCATATCTGGGATCCAACATCTGACAAACACTTATATAAGTTCTTATATAGTTTAATAAAAAACGCACGTAAATAAATATAATTGTAATACTGTAAATAATAAGACAATTACGTGTGCAGCCCTTTAAAATGTAGATCGTTTTTAACTACGGGTAAAGACCTATTTTTTTAAGGAGTTAGGCCTATTTTTCTTTAAAGTTACTGGTTCGTGAAGTACCTTCGAGTGGGGCGCTTAGCAAAATTTGCCCCTGAATCGACCACCCATCTCATTGATCGTTCAACTGAAAAAGATGGTCGAGCCAGGTTATTACGAGCAGATTACCGGACTGGCAAGGCAGAGCATTCCACCCTTAGCCGCTTGCTGCTCTCGCCCGTTCTGATGAGCAATTGCAATTTCGATTTCCACGACACACAATGGTCCAGTATATCCACACCCCCTGGCGGGACCGGCAGGAGCTATTGAGAGTCCGGCAGCATATCTATCCTTCTTCTTCGTCTTCATCACCAACGCCATCGTCGACCAGCGCCAACGCCAGCGCCAACAACCACAGCAACAATGACTTTGATGGACGCAGCGAGGCCGACGATGATGATGATGACAACGACGAGCGAGAGACGACAGAGAGGGGCCAGCAGCACGCTGTCTCCCGCGTCTCCATGTGGATGCAGCGCGGCGGCTGCCCCCACTTGGTCGAGTCGACGGCCCTGCTGACGGCGGCCATCCTCGGCGACGTCCACGAGACCAGGGGCGCGCGCGCGAGCTCGTCGGCTTATGCGCTGCGCGCCGCGTACTCGGCGGCTTTCAGTCGGTGCGTTTTTGACTCCTTTCTTGCTTCTTGTTTCGGTCTCAACCTTCTCGCCTCGCTTTCTCCTTTTTTTTTTTTTTGTTCTACGCACGTTGCACTGCGCCTCGGGTCAGACTGGGGCTGGAGGTCCTTGTCTCGTATGGATTCCAGTCGGACACCCCTAGTGCGCTTCGGCTCGCGTTGCTGGATGAAGCTTAGGGTGGGCGGAGGTGAGAGGGAGAGAGAGTGTGATCTCTCCCTCTCTCGGGGCGAACGGCATGTTGGGATCTGAGTTTGGCACTACTGTGTCAACTTTGCGATGTCCCGGCCGTTGCCCACCGGGCAACAAGGTTTCAGCGCGAGAGTCAGACAGTGGCGTTGTCGTGAAAGCTTCTCCGAACTTTGAAACTCTGAGTTTCTGTTTCCACCTGTGCAGTAGTCATGGTCAAGTTACGTCACACTAACGCCAGGATGATAGTTTCGTCACGGGCCTCCTGGACAGCCAGCAGGACAAGCAACGCAAGCTGAGCATGTACGCGCTCGCCAAGACGATCGGGCTGCCGGCCACCTTTGTCGAGCTGCGCCACCAGGCTACGCACGAGCAGCTGCCGTCGCTGTCCAAGCTGCGCTCCGCGGCGCGCAAGGCCCTCGCCTGGATCTGGGACTACTACTGGAAGAACCTGACCACCCAGGTGGAAGGGGAGGAGGAGGAGGGAGATGGCGGGGTCGAGAAGGCGGACCCTTGTCGAGAGATGCTGCTGAGATGTCTGCGGGAGGACGAGGCGATGGAGGATGAGGTGCTGGAGAAGCTGCGAAGCCGGTGGGACGATGCCGTCTTGCTTCGGACGCTGGCGGATGTTGGGGAGGCCTCGGAGGAGCCCCGGATTATCCTCCGGTCGCTGCAGCTGTCTCGCGGGATACTGGACGGAAGCCTTGCGAGCTCGCCGCCGGCTGCGGACCCGGATTCAACTTGGGTCCCTGTGCAGAGGGATTTCGACGCCGTTCGGGCCGAGCTGGAGAGCTTGGAGAACCAGCTCGATTCAGCTGGGGCTGCTGAGATTCAGTCTGCGGAGAGGGTTGTTGTCCCTGCTGCACCAGGCGAGGCGCCTGCTCAGACGAAGGGGTGGGCGAGGTATCAGGGGACGTGGAGGCCGAAGCCTATTGGGGTTGTGTAGGTAGTTTGGGACGGTGAGGTGGCGTTATAGGAATGTGAATACTGCTACGATACCGCATGACCTTGCTTGAAGCTACGTTCGGGGTCTCTTCTGTCTGACTCGGTTTGGAGCAAGATGATGTCGTGGTTGCTATCAAAACCAAGTTCAAGGCTGTGATGCTCCTGTTACACTGATAGAGTATGAAAATTTGATGATATGGGCTATTCTACATTGTCGAAAGCAATAGACATGACATGCCGCAAGCCGTAGCTACACTGATGCACATCCAATTCTTTGCCTTGTCTCGGCAGTGCGGTGGATCTCTGGTAGACTGTTAGAATATGAGAATTTGATTTCCTAAGAGGATTGTACGTATGAGCTACAGGCGTATACACCATTCAACGTTTTCATCATGTCCCTCCGAGACTACATTCCATGAGTTGACGCGACTGGGAAGCTGTGGCAGCTGATGTCACGATCGCCGGCGGCCCGCTCCGACCGTCCGACGTCATGGCTGTCAGCTCTCTAAACTGCAGGTGAGCTCACACAGCAGAAGACTCCAATTTGTCAGCGATAGTACAAACACCACCACCACCAACAATCACCACTTTCGCAGTCCCTATGAATTTCCTTGCGAGAGCCGCAAGACCTCTTACTCCTCGAAAGATAGGCACTTTGACCGCAACAGTGAGTGGCAGCTACACACCGGCAACTAACGTACCCTCCTTCGACCTGTTCCGGACTAATTAAGCTGATATAGCTCGCCTGCACCCGCGCCATGCATATCCAGTCGATTCCCATGTGTAAGTCCAAGTGACCGGTCGTGTATAGCTTCGTATAAGCTTCGTGTTGATGCCAGAGGCCAGGGACGGGGAGTAGCGACAACTACGCCTACCTCGTTACCGACGAGAAGTCGAAAGATGCTGTCATCATCGACCCCGCGCACCCCGAGGAGTAAGCTTTCACAACTACCTAGATATCCGACGGGGAGGCCGTTCTGATGCTGGAGGTTAGGGTCTCTCCTGTCCTGAAGCAGGCTGTTCAGGACGGCAAGATCAACCTGACGGCTATTGTCAATACGCACCAGTGAGTGCCATCTCACCTCTGAAGATATATGCAGGAGCTGATGAGGCTGCAGTCACTGGGATCACGCCGGTGGCAACAAGAAGCTGGTAAGGCATTGCCGATCCCTCTCAGGCCTGACGCACTGGTGCTCTTCAAAGATATCTAATATTGTTGCAAACAGCTGGGCGATCTGGAAACTCCGGACCTGCCCATCATCGGCGGCAAGGACTGCGACGGCGTCACCAAGACCCCGGGTAACGGCGAGGGCTTTAGCATTGGGAGCATTGCGGTGAAGGGCTTGTACACGCCGTGTCATACCCAGGACAGCATCTGCTGGTTCATGCAGGATGGCGAGGAGAAGGCTGTCTTCACCGGAGACACGCTCTTCCATGGTGGTAAGCACGCAACTTCGTTTGAACGCACCAGGGCGAGTAACAGCAGCTAAACTAGATCAGGCTGCGGGAGGTTCTTCGAGGGTAACGCAGAGGAGATGCACACGGCTCTGAACAAGACCCTGGCATCGTTGCCAGATGAGACCAAGGTCTACGTAAGTTGATTTAGGGGGGTTTTATATTGTCGATTCGCAGCTGATCTGACCTCATGGCAGCCTGGCCACGAGTACACGAAGGCCAACGTCAAATTCGGCATCTCGGTCCTCCAGAGCGCGGCGGTCAAGAAGCTGCAGTCCTTCGCCGAGAACAACAAGGAAACGCAAGGCAAATTCACAATCGGTGATGAGAAGGTAAGCACCACAAGAGGATACTGTACGATGGCGATGATTACGGTGACTAACCTGTGGGCTATATTAGCAACACAATGTCTTCATGAGAGTAGAGGTAAGTCGCATTTTGAGGCAAAAGGTTTGCTGCAGTGCTCTGGCTGACTGACCGACGCACTGCAGGATCCCGAGATTCAGAAGGCTACTGGTCAGACAGAGCCGGTCGAGGTCATGGCTAAGCTACGGGAGATGAAGAACAACTTCAAGTGAGTACGTAGTATACTGCCTCCTCAGGGCTACGTGTGACCGGGAGGGCCCCCGTTGATGGATGCTAGGCCAGCAGCTGCGAGCAAGATGTAGAAACAGGCGCGCGAGAGTGGTCTGGAAGAAGCCTCGCGCAGGAAGTGAAGGACCCCAAGTTGAGACTTGCTTCTATATTTTACGTCAGGAAGATTGAAATCACAGCTGAACAGTTTGCCATGGTGTAGGAACGTGTATGTGTGATCAATTCAACTATCTACTTAGGTAGGTATTGTGTATGTCTCCAACAAGCACCAGGCACCAGCCCATCTTCAAAACGGGCTGAATGCGAACGTGGCCTTGCCGGACGAGGCTCGATAAATCGAACAACGGTTGTTTTCATCTTGCTTCATTGTCCACACTTGCATCGCTGTCTGTGTATCGAAACGGCAAGCTCTAGCATATGTAGAAGCTGGTGTGGGGGTCTGGTGTTTTTGGGATGATTGGGAATGGAGGATGGGAGAGAGAGGGTTCAGTATGTTCTGAGCCATGCATGCACGGGATGGCCCAGTGAGGGTGTTGTTGAATATCCTAATGGTACTCCGTTCGTGCACGGCGAGGAGTGTTGCCTGCGCGAGCGGCAGCGCCGACGGCTGGAAGTATCCTACCTGCTGTCATGCATTGTACTCCAAGCAATGAAGTGCATGATGTTTGACAGCGAGCACGAATGCTTCGAAAGACTGTGATGCTGCAACATTTGCTGTAGGTAGCATTGAACTCAACGGGGTCTTGTTGAGGGTGTTGTTGTTGAAGAGTGCAGGAGCTTCGTTGATGGGAGTGCGAAATTTTCCTCTTAAAAGCCTTTTTGCAGGGGCCGGCCGGGTGGTGGCTGCCAGATGTGGGTCGACCGGCTGCCGGCTGCCTGGCATGGATAGATGCCCCTTTCTTATTAGAATCGAACTTGCATCGCAGCTGCCCAGCTCTAATGCTCCTCGGAACAGGACGGCTGCCTTTATAGGAGGAAGGCCTCGAATTATGCTGCTTATGTATCTTCAACTCAGTAAGCTTGTATAATGAAGTTGCAGACGAGTAAACATATCGTTCGATAGACCGAGTGTCTTTCTCCCTAGCGCGGGATACGTTGAAAGATTCGACTGCATGGGCTGTCTACCTGCCACGAATTCCTGTGTCTTTGGGACATGAGATGGATCCGTGAGTTGTATTCTTCGCTGCGTGACCGCGGGCATTATTACCGATTTTTGAACGCAACCATGACCGCTCGCATTCGATTGCTTGCCTCCCTGGTGGCCGGCCCTGCAACTGATGATGATTTGGTTCTTAGCAGCTGTAGGTGTATGATGGAGCTCAGTCATGGGGTAGGACTGAGTCTAGCTGTTGTGGGTTTGCGTGTTCGACATGCTGACTCGGATTCCGTCTTCGGGGATCATCACTCGATGTTTAATGGTCTTCGACAGGCCCCTTTCGACCTTGATAATTACAGAGTATCCCCTGTCCTGGTTGACCTCGCTATGGGTAAGTGGTCGGTACGTACAGAACAGGATGTCATACAGAAAAGGTCGTCATACAGAACAGCTTGTCATACAGAGCAGATTGTCATACAGAGCAGAATGTCATACAGAACAGCTTGTCATACAGAACAGCTTGTCATACAGAACAGGTTGTAATAGAGAACAGGTTGTCTTGATACGATCTGGTGGTCCCGCTGAAGTTGTCCGTAAAGGGAGATCAGCTGTCCAGGTCGACTGCAGCAGCTGGTGGGATAGCTTGGCTATGTGACTGACTCCTCATGTCGGAGAAAATTGGTCAGAATGAGAGGACGGGTTATGTATACCCTCAAGCCGTATTAAGATCGTAGACACATGGTACTCCTCGTTCGTGCCTTAAGGAGGGGTATAGGTCCCCAGGATAGACGATGGGTAGACTAGGTAACTGCTGCTCGACTGCTTCACGGCAGCAATCAGGTATACCTAAGTAAAGTCCGATTGACCTATAGCCATTTGTATATATGAGGGACAGAGTCCCTGGTCACATTGGATGCAGACGAGGAGTCGAGGAGTCGAGGAGTCGAGGACAGCTTGGACCTTCAATGGTGGGGAAGAAGGGGAAGAAGGTGGGGTGTGCCGGCACCAACATGATAGCCCCAGGGGGTTCAATCATTGCTGGAAGTTCTGGCCGCCTCCAAGTCGGATAACGATAAGGCCAAACTACACCTGGGCATCTACTGCTGCTCGCTGGGAGGACAAAGGAGCATTCACCACATGCAAGTCAACGTCCCACCAGGTCACCGTGTCTGAGTACATCAGTTTGAGGTTACCCCTGGCTTACAATTGCAAACACAGCGACGCATTCTGACTCCTGTCGGTCGGGACACCAAACGCCTGCTTACTTCGATATTGCGAGACGTGTGCGAACCACGAACACCATACCCTTTCTGCCCCGACCGTCGTCTGTCTTGCTCCATGTGAGGTAGACATGGTATGACCTTGCCGCGATGGGTGCCAGCGACTCCAAGCTAGTCTTCAAGAAGGGCATCTTCAGACTGTCGGAAGAGCGGAATATACCTGCCGACGACCCTTACTGGACATCTGTCAGTGCCCTCCCCGGCCATAGGCAAATATACTCTCCATACTAAATGCCCCTAGTTCTGGGAGCTCCCTGAGTCTTCCGAAGATGTATTCAGCCTTTTTTCTGCTGCCGATATCCGACGAGCTCGCGACCGCGCCATCGAGAATCTCGAAACACTCGTGCTAGCTGTGACATCCCGGCTCTTCATATTACGCCATCATCCATCCTTCCCTGACCCAGAGCTTGCGCCGGAACGCGACGCCTTGAATTGCATCCGTGTCCTGACCCGTATTCTACCATACCTATACGAAGTCGATCAACTGGAATCTTGGGAGGACAGGTTCTTTTGGGGGACGAGGAGGAAGCGGACAAGACGAGCAGCTATCGCAAATGAGGTCCTTTTCGATGAAGCCCAGGCCGAGGAACAAGACGTGAAACCACCCACCGACGAGTTCGAAGACGTGAAGCCACTGGCCGAGGAGCTCATAGACACACTCGTCGATCTACTATTCTTCTCCGAGCTGACTGGCCCTAGACAACCTCATGGCAAACCCAAGGTCACCTATGCCATCTGGCAGAGCGGAGTGGGATGCAACACCGCTGTGGCCACCACAAAAGGGTACGAGAATAACCGGTGCGAGATCTTGCGCCTGCTCTTGACCATGGCCAGTAAGAGCATGTACATGGGACCCAACTTACTCCCGGTCAAGGGAACGAAGGCATTGACATACATCTGTACTTGTCCTGACAAACAGGTCGTGCTCTCCATGTTGTGCTCATTGCTGAACACGGTGAGTCCAATATGCATCTGGTCTGCATCTGGTCGCTAACTATCTCAGACTCTGAAATACAACCCGGCAAGCTGGCGTGTCCCTATGAATAGTCTTGTGTTTAAGGATTCCAAAGAGATACTCGTCACGTATACGCTGCAGTTTCTACTAGTCGTTCTCCTCTACCCGATACCCGATTCTTCCTCTGCAACTACGCAAAAGAACTACTATCGACACTTCTTGGGACGACTACATCGCGCTCAAGACTTTCAGTTCATTGTGGATGGCATGACGCGGATACTGAATCAACCAATACAAGCTAATGCCTCGTACATCCCGGGGACACAGACTGCAACAAGGTTTTCCCCTGAGATCCTCATGCTGTTCTGGGAGGTCACCCAATGCAACAAGCGCTTCAGGTCGTATATGATGGACACACAGCGTGTTCATGATTTCGTCATTCTCATTTTCTTCTACGCAACCGAATATCAGGCGGATGCGTCCAAGCATGGTGTTGTACGGATGTGTGCTTTCTTGTTGCAGACTTTGAGCGTCGAGAAGAATTTCGGTGTGAATCTCAACAAGAACTTCGAGGGTCAAGATACCCTACCAGCGGTCATCAGGATACCCGGATTCCAAGGAACCTACGCCGACTTCCTCATACAAGTGAGTATATCAACAGCTATGGCACGGACACTGCTGACCACTTTTCTTAGTCCATATACAATCTTATCACAAGAAGTCAGGGAAAACTGTCTGCCATATACCCTGCGCTTCTAGCTGTGATCAACAACATCGCCGCTTACCTGGAGGGCATCAGCAGCACAACATGTTCTAAACTTTTGCAGCTGTTCAACTCGATGTCTTCCCCGTCATTTCTTCTGGCCAACGACAGCAACCACAGTCTGCTCAGCTCGCTCTTAGAGTCCATGAATGCTATCATTGAACATCAGTATCAGAGTGAGTCAACAAGCCTGATCCTTGAAAGATACACGCGCTAACATGAAGCCAGAAAATCCCAATTTCTTATATTTGGTACTCAAGAATAGGAAACACTTCGAAGCACTACGCAGCTTCACACTCGAAAGTGGCCAAGAAGAAATTGAACGTCGAAGTCGTCGAAGAAAGGATAATGGGCAGCCAATTGACCCATTTGATACTAGCTCCAGACGAAGCTCGGTAGACAGTCTACGCAGTCCTACTTCGGCACAGCCAAAGACACCAACACTGAGTGATGTGCCAGAAGAGGATAGCACGTTTGCCATTGGCGACGATGAGGACGAAAGTGACGATGATGGCCAGCCAACGCCGGCTCAGTCGAGTCCTAGTGAGAACCCCTCCAGGACCTCTTCTGTCGCGGATGTGGAAGATGCGGTACCAACGCAACTGAAGGGAATGTCGGAGAAAGCTAGAGGAAAGATGCCTGCTGGAGTCCCTGCATTCTCAAGACAGAACAGTACCACGAGCCTGAGCAGCTACTCTGTCGCGGGCCAATCCACCACAGGCTCATTTGAGCCATCGGCAAATTGGATCGAGAGCTGGCTTCCAGAGTTGCCCTTACACACGATACTAACCGTCATTCAACAGCTGACGGCTCTCATAAATCGGCAGGGACTGTCTACTGACTCTCCTTCATCGGTGACGTTGAAAACCATTAAGGAAGCCGATCTTGTCGCCATTGAGCCATCGCCGGCTAGAGTGCATTCTTTCGAATGGTCACCACTGGCGCTTGGCTGGTACGAGTCGTTGGTTTGGAGCTTTGTATTTGCCAGCGAGATGCAGGTCTCAAAGGGAACAGTCGGCATATGGAACGGGACAGCCATCAAGCTCTTCAAGGTACAAGAGACGGCAGCAGAAGGGCCGACATTGACATCGCCGCGCGGAGCAGTGGATGCTGTCGGCAGCAACATTGTGTCGAGAATTGGGTCTATCAATCTACGGGGTCCTACGTCGCCAGCCTCGCCAGCCTCAACAGGCTTTCCACCGCAACGGAATGCGCAGACATAGACTCTGTTTCAATGGTCTGGTCGCATAGCCAGCGACATACATGTGCTAATAGTATGGAAGGGAACGGCTTTTGTATTGTCTACGGCCAAGGAGCTGAATGTGCGTTCGTGTAGCTCGAATGATTTTGAATCTAATCATCATCTGCTTGAATACTGTGGTGTGATGTGACGACTGGTTTAGGCCTGCTAACTACATGGGCGTCTTGTATGCGAATCCCCATGTTTCTGGAGACAGCAGTTAGCTACTGAGCCAACAATCTATAGTTGCAAAGCCAGAATAGAAGCTGAGTAGTTCAACCGTCCCTAAAACAAGGCTACGACTCGATGGGATTCAAGTGCCGCTGTGTAAGGTAGCTACGACCATGTGTCACTAGAACCAACGTATTCGTCGTGGGATCTGGGCATCTAAGGGCCGGTCGCCCGTGACGCCTGTCCAAGTCGTGCAAGACCAATGTCGATTCCAGAAGCCCAGTCATAGATCATGCTCTTACGTGCGACTGTCCAAGAAGGATTGTGACATGAAGACAGTGGGGAGCTGCTATCTCCCCAACAAGCACACATTCATTGGTATCTAATGATGGAACACGCCACTCAAGAGCTTAGTGCTCCTGGTCTTATGGTCCTCCCCTGCAGACACGAGGCGGCGGTACCAATTTGTGATAGCAAACAAGCCTTAGCACCCCAGATGGAAGTGACCACTCCCAAACCCTCACTCTCACTCTCACCGCTTCCCAGCGCCAGCCTGCCGCCTGCTCTTGCCCAGGCGCGCCGTCTTGGCCACCTTGCCGGGCTTGGCGCCCGTCTTCATCCGCTTCGCGCTGAACCCGCTCATGTCGCCGGAGCTGACGGCGTCGCCAGACTTGGTGTGCTTCTTCTTGCCGCCGAAGCCGTACTTCTCGTTCTTCTTCTGGCGCTTGTTGTTGGCACCGCCACCGGGCGGGCCGCGACCGCCGCCGTTCTTGTAGCCCGAGCTCTTCAGCTCCTTGTCGACGGCCACGTCGAAGATGTCGGCTTCCTTCTCGCCCAGGTCGCCGCCGCCGGATTCGTGGCGTTCTGTGCGTGGGGGAGTAAAACGTCAGTCATGCAAGTAGGAGTATTTGAGTATTTGTGGGTGGGAAGCTTTGACAGGCAGGGGAAGGGAAGATAGAAAACGGGCAGGGGGTGCACTCACTCCGCTTCAGCGTCTTGATCTTGTCCAGCGTCTCCCGCTTCTCCTTGTGCCGCTCCTGTAGCTTGGCGTTCTGCACCTGCTTGCCGAACTTCTTGAGATCGCGCTGCTTGCGCGCCTCGGCGGACGCCTTCTTGGCCGACGCCGCCTCCACCAGCTTCTCCTTCACCCTCGCCATGTGCCCGTCGTCCTTGACCATCTCGGCGAAGTAGTCTGTAGGCCGCGAGAACGGGACGCCCTCGGACTTCAGCAGGGCGCGTGCTTGCTTGGCCGCAGCGAGACTTTGACCGTAGACTGTGAGAGTGGAAGTTAGTCACCATATCCTTAGCAGGTATTTCGGCCCTAATCCCGAAGGACGGCCAGAGCTAATGAAAGTTGGGAAGATACTTACAGGCCAGTTCTCGCTTCAGATCGTCTTGTACGTCCTCGATACCATCGGCGGTAGGTTCGGCGCTGACAATGCTCTGGTGGGCAGTGAAGGGTACGGACTTGTCGGTCGGTAAGGCTATGCGCTTCAGGGAGGCGAGGAGGGCGGTTGTGTTGTTGATCGTCGTGCGGCTTCGCACCAAAGCATTGAGCTCTTCTCTCTCCTCGTCTTCCATGTCTTCTTCGAGGTCAGACATGGGTATGTCCTCGTCGTCCTCGTCCTCTTCGTCATCCTCATCATCCTCTTCAGCAGCCTTTTTCGACGCAGTGGCGACTATACTGGTGACCTTTGCTTTCGGCGTGCGCACGATCTTCTTCTCGAACTCTATCGAGGAATCCGAGTCGTCGCTTTCGTCCAGTGCCGCCAGGTCGGGGTTCTCAGCTTCGTCTTCGTTATCGTCGTCGTCAGAAGAGCGGTCGCCGGCTTCTTCGTCTGCGATCAGGGCACCGCCCTCTGTCTCGTCCTCGTCCTCCCAGCCGTTCTCGTCGTCGGAAGCATTTTCTGGTATGGCTGCTGTCCCACCATTCGCGCCGGCCTTCTTTTGCTTCTTGTGCACTCTCTCCTTGTGTGTTTTTTTCTCCCTCAATTTCTTGAAGTCGACACCCTTCTCGTGCGCCAATGCGACCTTCAGCTTACTTCTTCCCATTGCGATGGTGGCGATCAGCTGCAAAATGGATGGGTGGTATGGTTGCAGGTTGGATCTCCCAACTTTTTTTTCCAGCTTGCCATGGTTGATAAGATAAGATATGTGCGAAAGTGGGTATGTGGCTTATACGTGGCTAAATAGTAAGTGTGGCGCTCCCCGTCTGGACCAGGGGACGCGCTTGAGCCGCCTTCACCTGACGACGCGGACCTTCATGAGGTCTAGCTTGACGAACTTGAGTGCCCACCCATCCACCCATCAGTTCAAAGTTTATTCCGGTCGACGGCGCGGGGTCGGGCAATCTGGGCTCTACCAAGGGCGCGGTGCCCGGCGCTTGCCAACCTTCCTTTACAGCACGCGAGGCTCAGGGTCGGGACTCCAAAGTTGCAGAGGGTGCCGGACAACCGGACTGCAACTGAGCGCGCTTACAGCGACGATGTCAAGCCATCCACTTCGTCATTCACTGTTCGCCGCCTCGTCCAAGGGGCCAGGGGTCAGCAGCCGCCGATTTCGCCAGACACTGTTCGCCGCGTCGCTAAAGCGCGTGGAGAGGCGAAACCCCTGATAAACCCCGAAGATGATGACCCGAAGCGCTGGGAGGTGATACGTCCGGGCCACCAGTTCTATCCTGATCTGCCCAAAGAGGAGCAGGAAAGGCTCATCGTGTTGCGACGCACGAACTCACGCTCACCTCGGATGATCGATCGGCAGTGGGTGCGCAATGCTTGCACCTGTCCGCGCTGCGTCGATCCTGCCTCCGGCCAAAAGCAATTTTCCATCTGCGAAGTGCCACAAGACCTGCCCATCGGGCAGGCTGACTTCAACGAGGCCGGCGACTTGGAAGTCTCCTGGACGGATGATTTCTTTTGCGATGGCATGACCCATCGTTCCACCTACCCGGCCCGACTTTTTGAAGCGCTTCGGCTTGATCCGTCAGCCATGCGCCGCCGTTCGCAGGCCATCATCGATACTCAGCGACTACGTCTGTGGAACAAGGAGTTGATGGAGAAATCCGTTCGCTTCGTGAACTATGACCAGTGGATGCAGGGCAGTAGCAAGGAATTCAACCTCGCAATTGAGACCTTCCACCTCTATGGCATCCTCTTCCTCAAGGACATCCCCTCAGATGTGACCCAGGAACAACTTGCCGCGCCAATAGGCCCGCTGAAATCAACAGTCTGGGGGCGCACATGGGACGTCAAGCATATACCGAAGAGCCGTACCGTTGCCCATGGGCACGGGCCCGTGCCATTGCAGACGCAGCTGCCTTACTTCAACAATGTTCCGAGAGTAGTGGTGCTGCGGTGTTTGGAAAACAGTGTCGATGGAGGCGAACTCATCTTCAGTGACGGGTTCCTACCAGCCTGGGAGTATTTCCTCTTCAAGAGAAAAGAGTTCGATATGTTGCAAGCTTCCACTATTCGATATCAATACAACCATGAAGGCCATCACTTTGCCAAGACCAGGGGAATCATGTCTTCTTACTTTGGGTTCCCACGAAAGGTGGCCTTCTCTCCGGCTTTCGAAGACCCGACTCAATACTTCCAGGCTGATGATCTGCAATGGAGGGCTAATAAAATGGTCTGGCACGGATTCGTGAGGCGATTCAGCCTACCAAAAAACGTCTTTGAGCACAAGCTGGCACCTGGTGAAGCCGTGCTCGTTAATAATTGGCGCATTTTGGTACGGAGAAGGGGTTTCGATCCATCGACGGGTTCGAGATACCTGCAGGGAGTGTACGTCGATATCGATGAATATATGGACACCTTGAGACGATGCGGCAATTCCGAGGTCATTGGGCAAACAGAGCTGGGTCCTCACTATGTGGATCAGCTCAGAGCTTTGGACCCGTCCCTCGGCGAGGATGGATTGGAGAATATCCCAACTGTATGAGAATTCGTGTTGCGCTGCATCACACTGTCTACATCCCTGGCCATACCCCTCTGCTAGGGACCACATAGGAGCTATACCGTTGGAATAAACAAGTGAGCATGTTCGAGACCTGCTGCTTTTGAACTGATTCGGGACTCCCGGTGTCTTCTAGGTAGTCCGAGGCGGTGGGCGAGACAACTGACAGAACTGCGCCTAAAGTGTTTCATATCCTCCATGTGGCTGGATCGCAACATCATTACTATAGCTCGACGAGGAATATCTTCCATTGTATCGGGACCAGATTGACCCCGGGCTCGCTTATCCCTTCATTTGGAGGGACGTTTACACTAATATCTACCTGACAGGTATCACGCCGCTCACAACCATTGCTTGTTCCCGAACTGAGACACGAACGACCCGCCGTCCCCGGCTTCGACGCTCGCCTTGTCGATGACAGACAGGACCTGCCCGACGGCAAGCTCAGGGGTGGTTGGGCCGTTGAAGTGGGGCGCATAGTCCTTGAACTTGTGCAGCATCGCGCCCAGCGCCTGCATCTGCTCTGGGGTGACTGGTTCACTTCACCGTTAGCTATGTGTGTTGATGCGAGCCCAGTTCTACAAGACTTACATTCGGTGTTTTGTCCAGTTTCTACTAATCCGGGCGAGATGCTCACTGCAGCGTGGGTGGCCAGTCAGCCATCGGTTTCGGATACAAGTGAAGGCAAGGAAAACAACAGAAAGGAAAGAAAAGGAGTCGCTGTTGAGGTTACTCACTGAAAAGAACACCATTCTTGGCGTGCTCGGCGCTGAACTTGGCCACCACGGCGTTCAGCGCCGCCTTGGAGACCGAGTATATCGCCGAGTCTGCGACCTCGAACTTGGAGATGAGCTCGATGTCGGCCATGCCCGACGAGATGGCAATGACCTTCTTGGCGCGGCCGCGGCGCACCAGCGGCAGGGCCAGCGTGAAGAGGTGGACGTTGCCGATAACGTTGGCGCGCGTCGTGTCCAGCAATCCCTGCTCGAACCTTTCTGGCTGCTGGGCCCTGGATTTTTAGGGACGGTGTTAGTCGCATACCTCTCTTGTGGTTTGTGGGATGTTGGAGGCTTGAGTGCAGAACGTACATGACGCTGATGGGATCGAAGCTGGACCCGCTGCCTATAATGGCCGCGTTGGCGATGACGTAGTCGAGGGCGCCGCCGGTGATGGTGGCGGTTTCGTCGACGGCTTTCTGCGCCTGAGTGTCAGCTGGAACACTACCGATGGGATGTGCGCTGTTGTTCTGGCCTACCTTTAGCGAGGCGTAGTCCGTCATGTCGCCTTGGACCACGTGGATGTTCTTGCGGTTCGGCAGCTCAGCCGCCACCTTGTCGTCGGTGGCAACCTTGTTACGAACGATACCGACGACGGTGTTGGCCGGGTCATTTGATGTCTGGCGAAGGAATTCGAACTACACGCAGCTGTTAGACGGCTTCTGAGCGGGTGAATTGGCTCGACTTACGCCCAGGCCACGCGATACTCCGGTGATCAGGTAAGTAGACATATTGGAAGCTGAGGCTTTTCAAAGAGGGTTCTGAGAGAGCTGATATCGTGATACTGCTCTGCTGGAGGAGCTGAGGATGGACTGAATATCTTTCTTTCTACAACATGGCGTCCGGCCACGATGGTATATATATCCATCCCTAGGCCCTCACACGGCTTATCATGCTGCACCGATTTCAAAGCTACTATAAGTGAAGTGGGTGGAACAGAGGAATACCCTCATCATGGCGCGAATACTTGCTTGCTCACACAAGTTAAACGTGTCCAAAGGTGGAGTCGGGGATAGTTGCCATATTCGCGAGTGACAGGGGTTAATAAAGGAGCGCCGCAGAGCCGCAGATGCCGCCCCATAGGCTGGTCGTGCATGTGATTGGCTCACGACCTTCGGCCGATATCGTGCTGACATATGCCAGGCCTTGGACGGACCTTGGCGGCGGACAAAATGCTGACATACCATAGCCCTGTAAACAGTACTTCCTTCTGGTTATTTTCTGACATACCAAAGATGCCCTGGACTTTCGAGCCACATCGCAGCTGAGCGGCGCCGGACGAGGCAACTTTCCACGAGAGCCCTCTCGGTTGGACCATACGGCCACCGTCAAAGGTGCATCACCATGAAGCCGCCGCGTAGGAGCTGTTGGACATGTAGAGGTCCGGACTATCCCCCTTTGACCTGTTCCCTGCGAAGCACACTGGCTCACGAGGCACACAGAGCGCCGTATCTTATGTGATCGAAGTCTGCCGGCCTGCTTGCATTGCGTCCAGTCAGGACGCCAGTGCCAGGGATATGGGATGAGACTGTCGTGGCCCAGAGCCAACGATCGGAAACGCGCCATACTGGGGAAGCCGACAACGACCAGGGTAGATGGTGGCCTGACGTTCCCAGTCCGGATCGTCAATACATCGTCTTGGGACATCGAATGCCATCACTACTTGATCAGTTCCGACTCCCTCGGTTTGTCGCTTCCAGAGTCGCAGGGGACGTGATACTGATTATCCTCAGCATGCCCGCCACGCAAAGTCCCCCAGCCCATGTCATGGAGCCCGGTGAAGACGGACACCGATAGTGATTTGCTGCAGTACTGTAGGTAGACTATCTGGACATGGTCACGCTGCACTTACCGAGTTGACCCGCTCAGTCAAAGTCGTCGTTTCCGACTCTCTCACCACCGTCAGGCCAGAAATGGCAACATTGCGTGACGTTCTTATGCCGATGGCCCTGTCCAACGCACCCCTATCAGAGGCGGTGCTGCAGTCTCTACTCGCACTCTCGTCGCTCCACCGACACGGCCTACAGTCCCATGCGGCTCGAGCCAAGCTTTCTGCACTGTCTGCCTTGGCGACTTCGGCGAGGTCTGGAGTGGGCGCTCATGAGGTGTCGCCGCATGTGGCTGCTCTGATGCTGCTGTGCTGTTTCGAGGTTGGAATTCGGGATGGATCTCGATGTCGGTGTATCGTGGGCGCTGACTTGGCATGCAGATTCAAGAGGCGTCAGATACCTCGAGCCAATGGCTGCATTATGTCTCAAGTGTCAAGAGTCTACTCGGAGCTGTTCAACCGAACCTGCTTGGGCAAGACAGCCAAATGGCCGTCTTATTGTGTTGGGTTTCTTATCAGTACGTTTTCAACCAACTCTCTACACATTCTGAGGGGGGATGGTCCTGCATTCACTATGTAGCGTCCGGATCCAAGACGCGATTAGGAGGAAATACTAACCATTTCCCGATTATGTATAGTGATGTAATGTCCAGGTTCAGTCTCCATCATTGGCGGACGCGCAGCTCAGCAAAAGAGATGCTGCTTGGAGGTCTCGGCATCCCGGCTCCACAGCCCGACACATCCAGAGCCTTGATGGTGTGTTACGGTCCATAACCACTATCAAAGCTATCACTTACACCCAGCTACAGACCTCGTCGACCAGATTCCCATGCGTGGCCATGCTAAAAATGGCAGCAGAGATCTTCAACGTAGTCCTGGAACCAGACGAGGCGCGAAGTCGCGGCATCGACATCCAGAACCTCCTCACGGTCCTCGAGCAGAAGCTCACAAGCTTCCCGCTCCCCGCCGAGCCCGCCGTAGACTCAGCCCATGGGGGACGCGCAATGCTGTCGGAGGATCTCGCCACAATGGCCATCTTCCAACTGACGCTGCTCGTGTACCTCGAGCGCGCCGCGGGCGGCCCGCCTGCACAGTCGGGGAAGATGAAGTCGCGGCTCAAGCGCGCCTTCGCCATGTTCGCGCGGCTGGAGACTTTTCAGAGGCAGTTCCCCCTCCTGATCCTGGGCTGCGAGGCGCGGACCGACGCTGATCGGATCGTGGTGCTCGATCTCATCGCGCGGACGGAGCGGGACACGGGTGTCAGGAGCCTGCAGGGCACGAAGGCGCTGCTACAGTCTTTTTGGGCCCAGGACGATCTGGCGGAGACGGGGGTGGCGTATATTGATAAGTTCAATGCTGTTTTCAGCTCTAGCGATATTTTGCCGGCTTTTGTCTGATATTGGACAAAGTATCGATGTATAATTATGGCATGGAATGGATATCTAAGGAGAGAAATCGGCAAAGTTGTCGACATGTGATGCGAATAGGGGCCCGCTGAACGACACTTTTTCAAAGCATTACGAGTGTCATGGCTGTAGCTACAACAACTCACTTACGCAGTCGCTTACACCAGGTCAACCACACTCATGACGTACCACACGCACAAAAACCATAGTCCAGGAGTCCAAGACGTAGGCCGAGGAAGCCCTAGGTATTGCATAGCAGAAGACTACTTCCACGAGCAGTATAAACATATACACACCAACCCGACCACTACGCTTCTAACGCTTCAAAGCCTATCAAAACATAAGCATACATACCATCCCAAATCCCAATCCCAACCCCAAGTCCAGCTCCAATCCACCCCATGTTCTTAAACGCCTTCCAACCAACCCAATCCACGCCTAAGGCTTCCGAGCAAACATGCCATTGCCCATGAGCTTCGCCTTATCAAAAGTGTTCTTCATCCCGCCGACCAGGAACGACGACCGTTGCTGCTTCAGCTGCGGGCGCGACGCGTCGTCCCAGTCCGCTCCGCCTTGCGCGTACATGATCTCGTCGTACTGCTGGTGCTGCTGATGCTGCTGTTGGGTAGTGGTGTTATTATAAGTGTCGGCACTCAGGTTCGGGCTACCGCCGTAGTACCCCTGGTACTGTTGCGCCTGCGTCTGGGCCGACTGCTCGTGGTACAGCTGGGGCTGGTAGGCCTGGACGGCGCCGTCGGAATTGTAGACTTGCTGTTGCTGGGTGGTACTGTTGTTGCTGCCATACGGATCGGGGTGGTAGGCTGCGTAAGTTTGTTGGGACGACGACCCGCTCGCGTCGCCGTAGTGCGAGCCGTCGTACATTGAGGCCCCTTGGTACGGGCTCGGGGCCTGATACGCGGCGGCCGGCGCGGCCTGGGACGACTGGCTCGGTTGGTATGCTTGTATGTTCTGGTAGGCCGCGGTCGACGCTGGCGGAGGTGTGGGCTGTTGTTGTTGAGGACTCGGATACGCTGGTGTTGGCTGGGACGTCTGGGCGCCTTGGAAGGAGCTGTTGTCTCGACTAGGCCGGTAGGGAGCTATCGGTGGTGGTTTGTATCCGACGTTCAACGGCTGAGGCGACGGCGTCTGGGTGTAGAGTGAGGATTGGCCGTCATAGGAGGCTCTTGGAGCTGGTTTCCTCTTGATAGGTGCTTGTCCAGGCAGTTCAGCTGGCACTTGAGCTTGCTGGACTGGTTGGCTCTGGTTCGTGGTCGGCTCCTGGGACCGTTGCTGGGATGCGGCGTACTGGTTATGCTCTGGTTCTATCTGCCAATCTGACTGACGATGGTAACTGGGCTGCTCTGGGACGGCATCAGGAGCGGCTGCTTGCTCCTCTGTGTTTCTGGGCGAAAATTGGGTGAGTAGCGAGACTTGCGTTCCTATCGCGGCTCTCAGATCTTCCGGCAGATCGCTTGTGGTGTCTGGGACGTTGAAGACCTGCTGCTCCTCAAAGGCGCTCTGGTTTTCAGCTTCGCCTTTGTCGTGGTTGCCATCGGTCTCCTCGGCTTCCCCAGGATGTGTCGAAGGCGTGTCGTCGTCCTGCTGGCTACCCTCGTCTTCATCACCACCATCACCACCCTCCTCCTCCTCCTCATCATCATCATCATCATCGCCACCATCATCACCATCAGTGTCACCTCCGTGCTCAGATGCTTGCTTTGACCCTCTAGCATCGGCAGTGGGAGGCTCCTCGTCATAACTGAGGCCTTGCTTGCTGCTCGCCACACTACGCACAATGCTAATGGCTGCCGTATTGCCTGAGTCCATAGCCGTCTTCAGAGCGCCGAACAGCACCGTGACGCGGTCCACGAGCACCCTCATGCAATCCTCGTTTTCGTTCTCCAGCGCCGCATGTAAAGCATTTTCGTTTTCCTTGCTCGCATGCATGATGTCGGCACCGCTATCGAGCAGGAACGTGACAGCCTCCTCGTCGCCTCGTCTCGAAGCAACAATGAGGGCCGTGTCGCCGTCTCTGTCCGGCAGGTTGATGTTAGCCCCGGCGTCAAGCAGTATCTGGAGCGATTCTCGCGGCATGTAGGCTGCGGCGTTGATGAGGGGCGACGACATGTCATAGCCGCCAAACACGTCCAGATCGGCCTTGGCCTTGACGAGCATGGCGAGGATCTCTTCTTCTGCACGCATCGCGGCTGCGATGATGGGTGGCGAGTCTGTACCTCCGCCGAGATTGGGATTCGCGTTGTGTTCAAGTAAAAGCGAGACGATGTCGGCCTTGCCAGCCTCGCAAGCACCTTGGAGGGCTGTCCCGGCTTCGAAATTCTCATTCGTAGTGAATGCATTGACGTTAGCACCTTTTTCGAGCAGTTTCTCGACGACCTCATGATGGCCCTCCGCTGCAGCGCTTTGGATCGCCCAGCCTTCAGGGGCGTTCACGTCCGCACCGGCGTTCAGTAGCAAGTCGATGATCTCCATGGTGCCATCGTAAGCAGCGGCTGTCAATGCATTGCCATAGCTGTGGAAGCGTCAGTCTCATTCTGCCGGCACGCCTGACGAAAGAAGGACTTACTCATCTCCGGTAGCATTCGGATTGGCCCCAAACTTCTCCAGGAGTAACTTCACCGTCGACTCCTTCTCCCTATCTGTGGCGTCATAGAGTGATTTGTTCAGGGTCTCTGGCGAGATCGACCCGTTTGTGTACTGCCAGACCACTTCAAGTATCTTGTCTTGCGGCTCCGTACCTGTAGCTGCTTCGTAGAAAAGGTTATTGCAATCGAGTCCAGGTCGCCTTTCGAGTAGGACTGTGACGATATCCCAGTTCCATTCGCCGACCGCTGCGTCGAGCGCTTCTTGGAAGTACTCTTGGCTGTGCTGGAACTCGAGCAGCTTGTTGAAGACCTCGATCCTGCCTGCCTCGGCGGACTTGACAAGGGCCTTGCTATATTCCGTAGCAGGCAGCTTGTCTGCATACTTCTGTATGAGATACTCGAACATGGAGACGTCAGAGAGTAATGCGGCCAGAGCCAGAGGCGCGTCGAGGTCAGGCCGATCCACTATCATCAGTGAAACGCCTTTCTCGACAAGCAATTCGACAGCGGCACGATTACCAGAGGAAATAGCCGCGTTCACCACAGGCCCGATGTCGCTCGTCGTCGCGTTGGGATTGGCTCCCCTTAGCAGTAATTTCTTCATGACTTCAACATGACCCCCAAATGCGGCCATGTGGAGGGGTGTTTGTTCGCCTATGTCATCCCCATCATCAATGACCGCGCCCTTGTTGAGAAGCTCCTCGACGATCTTTGGACGACCGAAAAATGCCGCAAAATGAAGCTACACAGGGTTGCGTTAGCGACTGTCCCAGTGATATAAGTTTCGCGGGACCTACCGGCGTGTTTATCAGCGAATCCCGTGTCTTGATCTCGTCTTCGTAGCCGTTCCGGATCAGCGCTGCTACTAGTCGTCGGAAGCCAATGGAAGCAGCTATGTGCAAGCCTGTGAGAGACTTGTAGTCGAAGTCGTCAAACGTGCTGGTCATACGACAATATTCAACAAGCCATCGATGCCGTATACGCGAACCCGGCATCCAGAAGTCTCGTTCTAGGCTCAAGTCTTCGGCAATTTCCCTTGTAGCTTTGCTTGCATGACGAAGCCAGTACTTCACCGCGTAAGGCATCGCGCGATCCTCTAATATGTCGGCTTCGGGGTCCGGGTCGTCCTCCGACTCCTCACTTTCGGACGCGTCGTCATCATCGTCTGAATCTGAATCTGAATCCTGCTCGTCGTCACTATCCTCTTCTTCTTCGTCACTCTCTTCGTCGTTGTTGCTGTCCCCATCGTCTGCCTCTCCTCCGTGGTCAGACGCGACCTCATTTGCGTCGCCGTCGGGGTTCACTTCAGGCTTCGCCTCTGGCTCAAAATCGAATTTCTCCTTGATGTGAGTGAACGAGCGAAGCGCGAGGATGCCATGTTGCCACTTGATCTCCTCGGTCGACAAGCCAAGCAGCTGCTTGGAGTTTTCGAGAAGATGCGTCTTGACAACTATGTTCATGAAGCAAACCGTGCCATCTCTCTTGATGGTAATTAGTGGCTTGCACTTCTCGATCAAGCCGTGTAACTCGGCCTTTTCTTCCTCGCTGGAGCAAAGTCCAGCAAGCACCCCAAGTACTGCCTCCGTGGGGTCCTCATACGTGATGACAAGAGCTCGCAACATCTCCTTGATCTTCTCCGCCTCCTTTCCACTCGACTGAAACACTTGAAGCCACGCATTGTTGAGCAGCGTTTGCAGGTCCTGCGGCATAGTCTCGAGCACACGGCGTACCTTGAGGTCGCTCTCGGCTTGGGGGAGCTCTTCAAGTTGTACGCAGGTGATGTCGATCCACTGCGTGTTCTGCGCTCTCTTGCCAATAAGGCTGCTCGCGAAATAAGCAAGTGCTTTGTTGTACTTCTTCGCCTGTTCCAGCGTAGAAACCTTGTCCTTCGCATGCTTTCTGAGGGACATCTGCACTTGGTCGCCGTACTTCTCGTCCTCGAGGTCGATGAGTCGAACACCATCAACCTTCAGCGCTTGATCGAGATTATGTGCCTCCCTACTGGTGATGAACCACCTTGTAGGAACGCGCTTCGTGTCCATGCTGTTGATGGTCTGAAGCTCGGCGTTGATGTAATTCATCAGCTTGATGGTGGAGTCGGAGTCCTCGGGAAGCGCGTGGAGATTATTCAGGACGAAGAATACCTTACTGCCGATGAACTCGTCCGTGAGCATGTCTTGGAGTGACTGCCTGCGTGTACGTTAACATCCTGTCTTTAAACCCGTACTGCCATGTTCTAGATGCAGAATGAAAGGGAACAGAAAAGCTTGTTCTCGAAACCAGGGCTCGGGGTCTCGGGCTGGGATGTTTATATATGTACCATAAATTCTCGACGGTCACCTGGGCCTGTGACTTGCTTCCTTCTTCCTTGGTCTTTTTCTTGGCAAAGGACTTCGCATACGGAGCCAAGGTCTCCTGTTGACTGATGAGCTGCCTTACAAGGCTCTTCAGTAAGTCTTCGGCTGTGGAACAATCGGCAGCCGTTGAGTCGCAAAAGAAGTAGACGAGGAGGATAGGGTCCTGGCCTGTGTTCTCCTCGTCGTTGATTCGGATCAGCGTCTCTACCTCGTCAATCGCGGCCATTGATGCGCTGGTCTTGCCTCTACCTTCGGGGCCCCTAATCCACAAACATTCCCCTCTGGGGGCGGCTGCCTGTGCTGGGTCACCCCCCGGGTGGACAAGCCATTGAGTATACTCGGCTTCCTTTGTGATCCATGAAGATTGGGCGAACGTCTGTGCTAGTATCTTGCGTTTCTTTTGAAGCTGCACTCCTTCCAAAGCATCCATGATACCGCTGACCATTGTCCGATCAATATCGCGCACCGAGTTCAACCTGTTTTTCACCGCGAGGTGGGCTCCATGAATCACGCTCTTCAACGGGTCGCGAACCAGCTGACTCCATCTGTTGTCTTTGGGCCCATCGAACTTGACCAGATCCCGGTGATTGCAAGCAAGTCCGCACTCCTCAACGCCCGGAAGAGTCGCGGAATCACGACTCACGAATTCAGCGTATTTGCTGGGTATCGCAAGCTTTGACAGCCCGAAGAGACCAGGCAAACCCGCCATCTTCGAAAAGTCAGTCGGTTGTTCTTCGTAAAAGCACAAGCAGTCGATTTTCGGGTTCAGCTTTCCCACAAGGCGCATGAACTCATGCTTCAGTTCTCGAAGCGCCTCGTCACCAGGCTTCATCAGGTCCAGCAGCTTGGACGCGGTCGCTGCACCGATCTTCTCGGCAAATTGGGCATACATGGCCGCCACTGACGCGACGGGAGCTCCATTAAAGGGCGTCCCGAAAAAGATGGACGCGGCAATTGCCTCGAACATGATGGGGAATTTGTCGCGTCGTGAGTCGGCGATAGTGATGGCCTTTGCGACCACAAGACCGCCCATGCTATGTCCAATGAAGACGATAGGTCGTCTCGAGCAGCCCTGAGATTCTGTCAGACCCGAGTTCGCCGGGAGGGTTGATGTAGACCTACCTCGCGCTTGCTCTTGAGGCCAACCAGTAGGGTCATGGCAATGTTGCTCATGAACTGCTTTATTTTCAAGGAACCCCTCCAGGCAGATTCGTACTCATACAGCAGTATTCGTGCTCTCGGGAAATCTCTGACCAAGGCATCCGTAGTCCAGTTGAATTTGGTACTCTCAGACATCCAGCTTCTCTCTGGGTGGCCGCCAAGGCCCGGCACGAGTACGATGCTACCAACTGTCAGGACTGAACACTTCTTCATGGATGTCCGACTCACTCGATATCTGGGACGACATTGGGCTTGTCAGAGGGGTAAAGTTCCTTGATTCCCTGCTGAACAATGTCGTAGTCCTTCTTCCGCTTCGCCGGGACTGAGCCGGCCTTGCGCGTCGCAGAACGCTGTAAAGACATGACGAGCGGCGACTCCAGTGTGAATGAGGCCAGCAGCGATGACTGGATAGGCTTGCGCGACGCAGCAAAGGGGGTTTCGCGGTTGAATGAGTATTAATAAGATGGCAGAACATGTCAGCAACTTCTCAAGTCCAAGGTGTTGGGTGAGCCGCCCCCAATCTTCGCCGGCAGACACCCCGGCCCATGACCATGCCCATGACCATGCCGCCATGGCGTCGCCTCGAAGGGCTCGAAGAAGCCCAGGCAGCCATCGTTACCCGCCTACCCGCGTGCGGCTGAGGATACCCCCCGGCGGCCTCTAATTTAAATCGGCATGGGTAGGGTCGCATTGGAAATACAGTCAGCACCGTATCACGTTAGCTGACCTTTTGCTATGGATAAAACTAGTGGGAGGAGCCGCTGATCGGGGTCATCCTCCTCAATGTTTTGTGCCTAACATTTAGAGTATGCGAATCTCCCTTTGCGGAGCCTGCATGTTCGATGTTCGAATGCCACACGTTAAGCCTGTAACATTATACTATACACGTACCTGACTCCGGGAGGTTTCATGAGTCCTCGCCTCCATGAACTGGCATGTCTGACTTGTCGCTTAGAAGAGTATCTACAAATAGATCACACCATGTGGCATGCAGTAGTCGTGGTGTGGTGCCCAACTCCTTCTGATTGGGTGTCCGGGGGCCTGGTCAGACTAAATCAAACCCATGATAGTCCAGAAGCCCACCCCTTCAGCCCTAGAGACTAGAGTCCCCTCCTGCGGCAGACATTCAGCTTCAGACTTCTCGCCGGCAGACGCGCCTCTGCTTTGTTTCCATTTAAATAGATTTACTGTGGGATCGAGGGATATTTGCAGACTATCGAGCTATGAGACTTGCCCATCCTACTGTGTACAAGGCCATACAACAATCATCATCATCATCATCACCAATGGACTACCCATGTTTGCCGTTCACAACTCGGGCTCTTGGGGCTCGGGGCACACCACGCGACGCCCACCAAGCGTCAGATTTCACGGCCTTGCTACCAGCATCGCATCGTACAGAGGCGGATCACATCGTCGCGCCACAAGCCGATTCCGACTTCCTGAAGGTTGAACTACTCGTCAAGAGACTCAACGCCGTCCAGGACTGGCTATGGGTACGTAGGCACAGAGAGCAAACAGCATGACACCCAATGAACGCGCAGGACTAACGACTCCCAGGTATGTGGCCGGCCCATGCCGCCTCGCCCACTTCACCACCAGGTCCTCATCAACCGGGACATCACCATCACCGAGAACCCGGAACTGCACCTGGTATGGCACAAACACCGCATCTTCCTGAAGCCCATTCCATCCTGGCTTCTCGAGCCTGACGTCTGGACGGAGCGTATCCTGCCCAACCCCGAGCTCGCCCGCTGCGCACGGGGGTTTCTCTTCTCGTACACGGCGCTCATCGCGTACGAGAGCGACTTCCGTATGGCGAAGGAGAAGGGCCTATTTCCCCTAGAAGTCAATTGGGAGAACTGGAAACAGCTCTCCAGGGAGATATTAAGTAATCACTGTTACGCCACTGTTAACCCGAGGTATTGGTACGGAGAGCTTCGCCTGAGTCGCCTGAACAAGGTCTACCGGCTCCGAAAGGGCTGGCTTCTGCGCGGCTACTCCAAGGTCGCTGCGCACACGGTCTATGTCGACCTGATCCGCGACAACTTTGGCGCCCTGGCGACAATACTCGGTTACGTCGTCATCGTGTTGACGGCGATGCAGGTCGGGCTGGGGACAGATCGGCTCCAGTCCGATGGCGCTTTCCAGAGCGTGAGCTATGGCTTCACCGTCTTCAGCATTATTGCGCCGCTGGTGGCCGGTGTCGGGATCATCATTGGTGTTTTGGCCATGTTTGTCAGTAACTGGATCGTGACGAAGGACTACGAGGGGAAGAGGTTCCGGGAGATGGGGGTAGAGCCGTACTGGAGGAATGAGCCTGGGAAGGCTATCGCTGTGTCGTCCATCAAGGACAGTTCACAAGGCTCGGATGGACACGGAGGGGGAGTCTAATACCGTGTTTCGTCAAATACCGTCAACATATCTACGCAATAATGACCTATGAAGTCCCAAGCTGCGTATCAAAGAGCAAACACCACTGACTACTGCTTGCGAGATAGGACCCTTTCAGCGGTGACTCGACCTTGGAGGCAGACTGCGAGTCTGTGGTCAGTGTGTAGAAGCCCAGACCCCTGAGTGGAGGATCACGTATCGTGTACCGTCGACTTCAAATTGAATCTGAAGACTTCCTAGCATGGCGGTCCGCAGCAGGTCAAACCACAGGACTGGCCATGGGGCATGTACTTGTCAAACCCTCGAATGTTCTCTCATTCGAAGATAAGTACCCTCCGTGACTAATGCGAATTGAGTACAGTTACCTGCCTTTGCTCCGCTGTGGTTTGTCCTTATAGTGAGTGACCCCGACCAGCTTGCAAAGCGAACTCAGGATTCGACAGCTGCTTTCGTTTCGCTTGACCGCCGAACCTGATCGGACGAACGTCTCACAGCTGAATAATCACACGATGGGGATGTCCCAGTGAAACAATGCATTTCATCCGTATGCGGTCACTCCGCTTACACTGACCGCCTTACTTGACAAGATGCTTGCCTAATGCATGGTACATAGGAGACAGGAACATCAAGACCCCTAGGTGATCAGAGCTCGAATACATAAATAGGAGGCAGTTCTCGCTTTACCTCTCCTCCTCTTCTTTCACTCACCCGTCTCTGAAGCACCGTTTCTGCTCTCCACCACACCAACAAGCACTCAGGTCTACCAACTTACGCCACAACAACTCACCACCATCGCCTCCTTCTTCACCATGTGTACCTCAACCATCATGCAGCTCTCCACCCTCTTCCTCCTGCCCCTTGGCGCCCTAGCCTCGCCTACCCCCGGCGCGGTCCCGACAACCAAGCGCATGGACACCGTCCCCTTCGCCCCCGACCCCGCCGGCTCGGGAGCAGCCCCCTACTCCAAATGCGCCTCCCACGAATTTAACCCGCATCTCTACAACCACGCCGCCACCATGGCGGACTGCCTCGCCATCGCCTCCTGGGCCCGCGCCAACCCGGGCATGTGGGTTCTCAATTCCACGACCGACGCCAACAACTTCGCCGACTGGAACGTCCTCCGCACGAGCGGGAACTGCAGCCTCGTCGTGCGGAACAACAACCCCACCGAGGTCGGCAACGAGGACGTGTACGAGCTCATCGAGGCCATCAACGCGGCCGATGGTGGGGTCGATGTGGAGGGGATGGGCAACTTTTGGGGCTGCCAGCAGAATGCCACGGTGAGCTTCTGGCTGCGGGACTCCAATAATGTCACAGTACCAATGCTGCGAGATACTGCACATCCGGTCCGGCGGGTGAGGGCGCGCACGGAAGTTCGCCGAGGGTCGAGGGTCGAGGGTCGAGGGTCGAGGGTCGAGGGTTGAGGGTTGAGGGTTAGATGGTGGATGTTTGGACGCTCTTGCCTCGTGGCACCAAACGTGAACAGGAAGAGGCAGATAGTTCATCACTAGACAACGAGAGAACTATTGACCTCGACAGGCGTGTGGACTTTTCGTCATGCGAGATCCTTTAATCCCCATTGTCCAGTAAATGCTGCCCCTCGTAGTAACACGAAGCGCCATTAGTCGCAGCTCTATTTATACCTAGTCCGCTCTCCTGACATATGGGCCTCGGTTGGTGCCACACAGCAGCCAAAAGGGAATGAATGACACGCTCCGATCGTATCTTATGATATGCAAGGTAGCCACCATGCAAGTCCATCAGTTGGAAACCCCCGTTACTTCAGTAATTGGGCTCGTGGTCCGCATACCGTGTACAATACTCACGTTCCCAAGTGAAGCAGCCGATAATTACTTCAACCATTCAATAAGTGGTACGGGTGTCGAGACCACGCAAGAGACTCCTCGGTCACCCCGAACGAACGAAGGTGGGTCAGGTTCGACATGCCAGGGAAGTTCGGGCACGTGCTCGCACGATGACCTTACGGGAGGCAGTTAGTTGTAACTCAGACGCGTCCAGCAAAACGTCAACAGGCTGTAGTTCTTGATTCGAGCTGAATTTCATTATTGCAGCTTATGTCAGGTTTAAGTGATGCATTACCATGTCAACATCTTCCTCCGCGAGAAACGATCGTAGCACTGCTACCGTGCCGACACTTGGCCGTACACAGGTTGACCTCTCCACAGGCCAGATCTTGCCACCAAGCCATCATGGTCAGGAAAATACCGCCTGATACCAAGGCTATGCACCGTCGGAGTCAGATTTGTCCTCTTTCTCCTCACTAATCTCCCACACCTGGACCGAGTCGCGCTTCCGCTTCGTAACAGCAAGCATGCTGGAATTGCCCCCGTGGCTAAAAGCCAAAAGTGGAAGTTGAGAGTCGGGTCCTATATCGCTCCAAGGAATTTCGAGCGCCATTTGTCTCGTGCGCAGGTCCGTAATCGAGATCCGGGCGATATCGCAATAAGCGATGAAATGACAGTCCTGCGAGACAGAAAAACTGCCGCACTCGAAGGCCCACATGCTTGGTCGATGCCGGTAGGTTTGTACATGTCCAGTAGCGAGCCATTTCGAGGTCGGCGAACAAGAACGATGGTCTCTACCTCGAAGCTGACACGAAACTCGATGACTCTCCAGCTACAGTACGGAGAGTCACTTCCGTCAACAGTGAAGCTTCGTGGTCCCCCCAGGGGGAAGTAGTACGTGTTGTCTCTATCGTCATCCTCTGTAGAGGTGGATAGAGTCTCAGATCCTTCTGTATCATCTGTAGCGCCGGACAATTCCTCATCCTCCTCCACCATGTCATCTAAATTGTCGGTCGGATCCTCGGGATCTTCTTGTGTATGATCAAAATCAAATAGCTCGATGTGGGTGCCGTTCAAATGTTTTCAGAAGAGCTACACACGTGTTGCCAGTCGCTATTGTCTCGTTCCAAAGATGATAATCAGGACCACCGATGTCCTGGATATCAAGATCTGACTCGGGCGTACTCGAGAACTTGAATCGAAATTCAGGATTCCACAAGATATGGTCGAGCTGCTCCTGTTGACCGGCTTCCATTTACCATTTCCGCGGCTCCATACCTCCACCTCAGACTCATTGGCTCTCCAGGGACGCGCTCCTTTGCTCTGGGAGTTCCATACAAACACATGATCTGCATGGCAGGGGCATATTTGGATACGGTAGGGATTCTTCAGGTTCTTCAACTTCATTTTCTCCTTTGGGGTGCCTTTGCGTCCGAAGTGATACATAGCGAATTCCTTCTGTCCAAGCGTAGCCAGAAGGGACCCATAGGTGGACACATCTAGGGAACAAATCTTGAAGCTGGGTTTGGTGGTCGCAAGGTACAGGCACTCGAGCCTCGACGTATGCATGAGTTCGGGCGGCGGCAATGTTATCGGCTTCGATGACGATGACTGGATGGGCTTTATTGTTCCTTGGTAGGATGTATGCCGTGGCGTGTCCCTGCTTGAGACGGCTTGGGGGAAGGGACCACTGGGAATCGAGTCGGCTGGGCTTAGGGTTGTGAGGTTCACGTGTTCGCTCAAATCGATCAGATCCTCATGGTGCTGTTGGGATACTTCCTTTCGAGACGGTAACGGCGCATGCTAGATCTTGGATTAGTTACAACATATCTAGTTTATATATACGTGAGCTAGTGAGCTGCACGACTTACCTGGGTGCCTTTCCGCTGCCCATTGAATAATGTGGATTGCGTAGAGCTGAAAGTAGAGCAAGGTCGAGCCCAGCTAGACCCTGACGATGATGAAGCTTTTGTGCTATATGCTGTTGTCACTGCACTAGTTTGGGAAAGTCGCGGCGCAGGGGTCGAGCATATGGACGATAATGTCTGCTGCTTGGAGTTTGCCTGAGACTCGACGGCGTGAAACTTTGCCGAATATGCATCGTTGCTCAGAGAGATAGGAGCGGTCTCATTGATGGCGATGCTTGACTCCAGGTCATGGCAGACTTCTTGGACTAAGGTAGTGACCGTCTCTGCGCAATGCCTCAGAAGTGAGCCCCTATTGTTTTCGGATCCAATGCCATTCGAAGGGTGATTGTATGCATGGTTGACATGTTCCACGAGCTGGTTTATGTCGCTCCTGAGAGCCGCAAGGTCTCTCCGGGTGGTACTCGTGTCATCCTTGATAGACGTGGTGTCTTGATTGATGGACTTGGTCACTTGCTTGATGGACTTGGTGTCTTGCTTGATGGATTTTGCAAGTGATCTACTGCCTGTAAGTAACGAGCAGTTCCAGGGAATAACCGAACATACGCCGTGGTAACGCTCAAAGTCAGAGCAAGTAGTTCTCGGCGTATTCCCAGCTGGCTTCGCATAGCTCCAACTTGGTTCTCCATATCCTCAGCCCACACGACCACAGCCCCGACTGGGCCAGTCCTTTGCCCGAGTTTTCCCAGCAACTGGTCAAGTTCAGTCACGACGCTGTAACAGCCGTCGATCATCGACTTAATCGCCTTTTGGTGAGACTTGGGAACAACATTCTGGTTGGGCGTGTCGTTTTCGAGGACCTCGAGAATGAGACGAAGTTCAATCAGCTCATTGTGGATTGCAGATAGTTCTGTCTTTGAGTCTTTATATTTACGGATGATGCCAGGCATCGCCGAAGTGATCTTGCACACCGTGGTCAGGAGACCGATGGGATCCATGGTCTGTAGAGATGTAGCTCACGTCGAGCGCAAGTCGTCGTAGACCCGGGAAGAAAGTCTCGCAGATCAAATTGCTTCCATTCGTAGGGGTATTACCACCCCTATCGGATTGAGGGGCGCACCAGGTCCGGATTATGAAATACCATGGCTTTAGACTGCGGCGTCCCACTGTCCCCTTTTCGCTGATTGAAACCTTTCACACATGCCGATGGTCGTACAACGATACAAGGTATGTGTCTGACTCGACCTGCGGTACATCGTTACTCAGAAGGCTTCTAGGGGACACGTACCTACACTCTTTAACGCAGGGTGCCTTCGCACTGAAGCCAGTATCATCGTGGGCCTGACACAATGTTCTGCGAAGGAGTCCTGCATTAGCATAATGAACATGACAAACATAGGACTTGCCGATAGGCACGCTCCAAATCTTCGAGCTTCGAGCTGCACAATACACATAGTGGAAGCATGACCTCTGTCTTGATGGCGTCAAGTTGGCGGCTGATGTGTTCTCGGCTGAGAAAGATTTTCGAAGTCGACCAGCGACCTTGCACCCCACCTGCACTGACATATTCACCGAGGGATGTTGTGAGAATACGATAGCTGATCGTGGTCTGTCGGCAGCGGATATGCTAGGAGTAAGGAACGAGACGAGATGGCGGCTAGAAGGCTTGCCACCGCAGTGAGCGGCATCACAACATTGAATGTAGCACACGAGATAGGAACACGGCCTCAATATGAGCATGCCTCCGTTGTGTACAATGCAAGTGCGAGCAGTTGTGTCAGAAAATAAGATTGGTTGGCCCTTCCGCCATTGGGTGTGCTGCTCTCGTCGTACCTTCTCCATGCGAAGCCGCGATATGCAAGCATTACATACATTGAACTTATCCGACACCGCTTCCGTGGTCCTCCACTAGAAGCGGGTGAAAGGCAACCTGCATGACTTTAGTAATGTGACAACGGCACATGAAGGGGAAGGTACTTACCACTTGCCCCGCAGGGTGATGTTGACCCAACTATCTGATTGTCAGAGACGGAACGTTGAAACAATAGGAATGGGTTTACTTACGCCACTCCGTCCTGGTCCACCTCCTTCTCAACCTTGGAGGAGAACGCAATGGCGCTCATGATACCGTCGCCAAACTTCTCGTTCATGACGGCCTTGAACGCATATCCGTAGTTCTGCACAATCTCGTACAACCGATAGATCAGGGGCTCGACCGGAGGCATGGGTCCGGCGCGGCCGCGGTCGGGGAATCCCATCATGGCCGATTCCAGGCTCTCCTTGGGGACCCCCAACAGCTTCGACAGCTTCTCTACATCCTCGGCCGACGCCTGGGCCTGGCCGTAGAACAGCGCGGCTACGGCAACTTCGCTACGGCCTAGTTCCTTCGCGATGGCCTCGAAAGTGAGCTTCTTGGAGGCCTTTCCGTCGAAGAGCGTCTTCGAGTAGGCTGGCAGTCTATCGACCAGGGTCGACTGGAAAGCAAGGACATTAACTCAGTGTGTTTTCCACGGGTCTTGGGCGACTTACGTCGAGAGTAGCAATGTGGGTTTGGTCAGTCATGGTGAAAAGCGGTCTGAATATGATGGTTTCGAGTCAGGTTTCCGACCCTTCCAGTTCAAGGGTTCGTCCGTGAAACGCGTGGTTCGTTATATACCACAATTTTAATACATGCTAGTTGCGTGCCCACACCGAAGATGCCGTCGTTGACGCCGAACGTCATGCATCATTATTACTATGTGACCCCGCGCCGGCGGCTCCGCCCGGGACAGCGGGGGAAAGCCGGCAACTCGGAGTCTTATTACTCGAGACCTTTAGGCTCGACCTAGTAGTCCCGAGGGCCCTTTGTACGTAGGCGAGGCTAGGTACCTAAGTTATGCTTCTTCGAGTTTGAGATCTAACACAGTGAGAGTGCATTTGATGGAAGTCTTTTCTAAACCTTGCTCATGAACGTCCACTTGGAGGCAGGTGGCTGGAAATGCGCCGGAGGAACGCTCCGCTAACGGAGCAAGAAGCTAAGCCTGACAAGGCTAATCACTACATGTATATAATCACTAATCAGGGATGCTTGGTAAGGTTTCCATTTGGAGGGGCACAGGTACGAGCCCCGCCAAGCACTGAATAAGCACCCAAGCTCTTGCAACGTGATTTCTGTCATTTCCAAACTCAAGGTTCTTTGCCCACGACAGTCTCAACAGTCTCAAGTGTGCGTCTCCGATAAGTAGATTGACCACATTCGACTTGGCTCAAGGTAAAATGACCATCCCTGTCAATGCCGACCAATCGCATGATGCGCACGACGACAGACAGGTCCATTACGAAGACCTCCCGTCTAGCGCAAGCGACGATGACATGAAAGCCGTTGAAGTATGTACTCAAGCCTCCCAGTGCTATTGATTGAGCAGCTCACGCGTGCGTTACAGGTCACCTTCGACCCTACAAATGTCTACCGCAGGAAAAGCTCTCTCGTCACCAGCGACGCCGTGAACCCTGCGCTCAAAAAGCGAGCCCCGAAACCCGTATCAACTCAATGCTTGGTCCACCAATTTCTCGAGGGCCACAGACGCGGTCAGAACCTCGACAACGACAAAAACGGTCCCGCCGGTCATGCCAACAATGGTGTTGAAGATGTCTCTAAGGAGGTTGGTCTCGATCAGATTGTTGAGCCGAAAGGCAAGGACAGTGGACATAAGGGCACGCTAGTCATAGAACCAGAGAGCGATAACAGCGCTGGGTCTGGCCAACTCGACGAGAGATCATGGAAGACAGCGCTTAGCAAATCCAGGTCCGAGTTGGATCTGGCAGGCGAGGAGCAAGAGGGTCTACACAGCCGACTGCTCACCAAGAAACAACTCAGTGATATGGCATGGGGTGTCCGAGAATTAAGCAGAAGATTGGGGAGTGTACGCCTGAAGTTCCGGGCCAAGACCATCTTTCTTCTCACCAAAATCTACGACCTCGATCTAATACCGAAGACCAGAGAGGTTGCGAAGTGGTTGTTGAGCAAAGACAGGGATGTTCGGTACACTGTCTATATACAAGAAGATTTGAAGGGGAACAAGCAGTTTAATGCGCCAGGTTTGTTAGAAGAGCTTCGCAAGGAGTACATCGAGAGCGGCGAGCTGGATGAGAACACTGCACAGGATGCGCTGAGCCGACGATTGCGCTACTGGAACGAGGGAATGTGCCGAACAAGACCGCATACATTCGACTTTGTGGTCACTCTAGGAGGTGATGGAACAGTGCTGTACGCCAGCTGGCTATTCCAGCGCATAGTGCCCCCAGTACTCAGCTTTGCACTAGGAAGTCTTGGGTTCCTCACCAAGTACGACTTCAACGAGTATGAGGATATCCTTAGCACGGCTTTCCAAGGTGGTGTCACCGTAAGCCTGCGCCTGCGCTTCGAGGGCACTGTCATGAGAACTCAAAAACCGAAGAGCCAAATGGCTCTCAATGACGACGCTGATGAGGGGATGGCTCATCGAAAACGGGATCTCGTCGAAGAACTCATTGGCGAGGAGAAAGATGACGAGCACACGCACAAACCGGACGGCACCTTTGAGATCTTGAACGAGATCGTCATAGATCGAGGACCGAATCCAAGTAAGTGGCTCCGACTTGGGAAGCGAGCTCGTTCCAAGCTAACATCGCGCAGCCATGTCGAATACTGAGATATTCGGCGATGATGAGCACTTCACCTCCGTGCTTGCGGATGGTGTATGTGTTTCAACGCCAACGGGCTCCACGGCCTACAATCTCGCAGCGGGTGGTTCTCTTTGTCATCCAGAAAATCCCGTGATGCTAGTAACGTCAATATGCGCCCATACGCTCTCGTTCCGGCCGATTATACTCCCGGACACGATTGTTCTGCGTATAGGGGTACCGTACGACTCGCGGACAAGCAGCTGGGCTAGCTTCGACGGCCGTGAGCGCGTAGAGCTTAACCCGGGCGACTATGTAACCATTAGTGCAAGTCGATTCCCGTTCGCCACTGTCTCGCCGCAAGGCAGACGCAGCGAGGACTGGGTCAACAGCATTAGTGGTAAGTTGGGTTGGAACACCCGAGAGAAACAGAAGAATGAAGGGTATAAGCCATGGAACAAGTGATCAGGCCTTCGGCGGTGACACTCCGGGGACTATTTCGATATTCTCATAAATGGGCATACGGTCGGGGCTGACCTGTTCTGATCTGGATATGCGACCCATTGGAACAGCTCTGAAATGGTTCGCTGGAAGACACTGGGTCATGAACCGAGTATCCAGATGTGCACATCCTCGAGGCCTGTAATGCCTCGTCGACAGTACCTGCGAGTCGGTGGACTGGACAGACAGTTTTACTATCGAGCCAACACTGTTCACTATCTGGTTCTACGACTGTTTCAAGCGAATAATCATGACGAATCAGCACATCTCTTTTCATCTTGGGGGAGAACCAGTGACCGATCCACACCGGCATAGGGAGCAAGAACCCAAAAACCAGACCGCAGACGCAATGAAAGCTCAAGAATACCTCCCAATCACAGACCAAGACCCCAGCAATGGCCCAGTTTGAGCCTCCAGAGCCTCCCTTCTCCCCGCATCCCTGACCCCTGAATGAACGAGCCCCTGGTCCGCCTGCCAAAAGGGGCAACCCCCTGGACCCGGCAGTTGCACCACAGGGGACCAACGGGCCTTGGCGACGGTCAAGCTACCTCTTGGCCTGTCACAGCGTTCGTATGCTTTTGCGCCTTGAAACATGTCCTCTTTGATGCCCGAATGCGATCTTTTGCCATCCAGCTGTCAGCCTCCCTATTATCGCACACATGAGCAGCGGACGCCACTGCAAGGCTTTTTGCTGGCGGTTGGCCGGTGGCCAGGAATCTCTCATGCGGGCGCATGATGTGATGGTGCGTGGTGTAGGGATTTGCTTGGGCTTTTCTCTGCTGTTGTCTTCGGCTGCATGTCTGTCATCAGTCAGTCGGTGTCTCGGCTATGACGTCTTGAGGTTTACTTATTCCTGTCTTGCGTCTCCGCATGCTGACGACATGTTTGGCGGAGCCGTCTGAAATGCGGTTGCGAGACATCTCGAACGACAGGTCTCGGATCTTTCATTGCTCGACAGCAAACATCAACACAGCGGGACGGATATTCGATGGTTTTTGGTCACGAGATAGTTGGTCACGAGATACCAGATAGAGAGTCAGTTTCTGTTCGGTCTCGACCTAGATACGCCAACAATGGCCGGTCGTATTCAATTGTTTATACTATAGACTAGAGGAATTAAAGCCCTCTCTTTCCCCCTTTCCCAACAAGAAGCAATCGCTCGCGAACCAATGGAGGAATCTTGCGCGTTTTTAGACCAGATGCTGAACGCCCAAGCATTACAAGATGATCGGGTCCCAGGAGAGATGATGTAGTAAAAGCGCTACAATGACCCCAAGTGCTCGAGTGCCGTATATGATCTCCCGATCAGCCGAGAGTCTTCCCAAACCCCGTGATGTGGTATCAAGCTGTGCATGATAGATGTCGTCGCCTCTGTACAATGTGAAGAGGTGGAGAAAGAAAGGATATGATACTAAGGTGATAATTGATTATCGGGTAATGAATGTCCCTCCTCTACTCCTCTATCGCCGCGACTTCTTGAGCAGAGTCTTCCTCATCCCCCGTCTCGAGGAAGGTCATGGTGATGCCCTCATCGCCGGCAACGTTCAAGTTGATGGCGTCGATGGCCTCGGCGCCATCACGCTTGGGCAAACCCGGGAGGTTCACGACGGAAAGGGACTCGACAGTGCGAGTTTCGAAATCACTGGATGTCTGGACAGCTTTCAGAAAGGGCACTAGTTAGCAGGCTATCCAGTGATGTGGCGCATGGGGCTCGCGAGATATCATTGATGACTTACAGGCTGGGATGCCGCGCTTGACGTACATGCGGGTGACCTTGGTTCGGCGGCGGGGCAGAGAGGCGTCGTCACGCTTGACGGTGGCGGCGGCGGTGGCGGCCTCGGTACCTTCTCCGACAGTGCCACCGTTGTTGTCGACAATGATGCCAACGCCAGCACCGCCCTCGCCAGTCCCGAGCTGAATGGTGGGTCCCTTGGTCAGGGCAGCCTCGGCGAATGTGAGAGCGTGGTCAAAGCCTTCAAGGTCACGCTTGGCCACGGGCGATTCCGAGTCCTCGCGAGGGGCAATCTCCTTGCCCATCCCTTGAAGGGTTGAGATCTGAGCAGCTGTGAAGACCGTTAGTAACGGTTGCATTCAGACAGTGCGTCTTTTGTCACTTACCTTGCTCTTGCAGGTTGGGGTCTTCGGTGGTGGTAGTCGTGGTAGCGACTGGTGCTGCGACAGTTTTGTCCTGCCCGGCTTCCTGGGCGGCGACGGTCTCATCCTTAATGGTGGTGTCGGGAGTAGCGACCGCGGCGGCGCTTTCTGTCCCCGTTCCCGCAGCGCTTGTTGCACCACTGACAGCGGCACCCTCCAAAGCATTCATCAAGCTCGTTACATCTTGTCCTCCTCCAAAAGAGATTTCACCATCACCGACCACCCTGAATGATTGTTAGCTGACTCCTGGTAGTCAAGAGAGGGGCCCTAGAGGGGGCATACAATGCGGGTGAGTAGGCACCAAGGTTGATGTTCAGGGGAAGGGCGTTGCCGGAGGCGAAGAAGCCGGCAACGGCAATCATTCGGTAGCTGACCATCTTGACTGGATTTTCCGGGACGATTATACCGTGGGGATTGGTTGGCTTGTTGGGCTTGGGGTAGGAAAGAGTGGAAATAGCTAATAGTATAAACGAAACGACCAGCGGCGACCAGCGGAAGAAGTGAAGTTCAGAATTAATCTGAAGGGGTGGAAGCAAGGAAGAGACCGGAAAACGAAAGGTTAAAGACGACGACTTGAGCACAGCTGAGTGAGGAAGGGAAACAAACAGAGGTTGGGGCCCACGGCGGCCTTGATATAGCACGAGGCTTTGGGCGAGACTCGTGGCGACCGCTCGTAATACTGGCTTCCCTATGAGCCAAGTAAGTGGTCAAGGTAGATGAACCACGTCGGAGACTCATATCCTGAGCCGCCAAGGTGTTTCTCCTCTGGGACTGTGATAACTAAAAATATCTCTGGCAAGGGACATCACAGCGACAGAGGCATGAGATCGCGGTGCAACCCACGCGGCCTGCCAACGGAATAGGAGACCAAACAATGCCAATAGGTCATGAAACGAAAACACCGCTGGTCAGCAGTGAAAGGGCGTGACGACACTGACGAGATGTGCTTGGCTGAGGATGCCAAGTACTGCGAATCCGTCAATGCGACCGTCCGGAGGCGGAAGAAGAGTGTGTGAGACCAGTGTCAACCACTGTCAACCGGCAGTGGGTCAGTCAGTCTTGAGACCTGCCAAGCGGACGCCAAGTGCGCAGGACCTTTTCTCCATGGGCCATGGCCAATGCGCCCAGCAACAGCTTGGGTTCTCAAGCTTTCTGATATTTGCGCCGGTTGTCTTTGCCCGCCGTGGGCTCTTGGGCCTGGCTCCTCCCGCTGGTTCGCCGCGAGCTACATACGTAGCGTATGGAGGTTGCTAGCTGGCTGTCCCCGGTCCCGGCCCGTCAAGTTCGGTCAAGTTGGCCTTACGCCAAGGCTGAGAGGAGGCGATGCGCAGGTGCCGGTTTTTTTTCTTTTTCTCAACACACTCGTCCTTGTCATTGGCCAGTACTTTGAGGCTACCCTTATAGGTGAATAATCCTGTATAATATGCGCGTGTAGTGGGCTAACGGGAGGAGGTTGCTCACGAAATAACCTACTGATGGGTAGTGTAGACGGGATCTCCGACCACATCGAGAACTCGATCTGAGATGGGCTCCTCGGGATGGTAGCTGGTCGAAGCTCTCGAACAGCCAACTGCCAACTCCAAGCCAGGGCTGCCAAGGTCAGCCGCCATTCTGCCATCACATTCTTTGCCGTTTTGACGCCTTCAGGAAGGCGGCAGGAGTCCACGACTGACAAGCTATGAATGCATATAGTTTCATTATTGAATTGTCGCTGAACGGCCTAGGAGAACGGTTCGTGATGACCCATATAGTAGCTGAATGCATAAGTGAATCTGAATCTTTGTCGCGGCTGGTCGACCGCCGGATCATAGCAGACGTCTGAAGTATTCTTACTAATTTAGACCATGACGGCCAGCTCTCTGCTACATCCAGTGAGCTGTAGCGCGTGATGCGTATTTTCAAGCTGCGATGCTCGCTTCCCAAGTATCGACGGCGTATGGATGGCCTCGATCGCCGTCCCAAGGACGAGTTTGGATGCAAGAGCCAAGCTTTCAAGCTCGGCTCAGGTAGACTCCAAAGCATTGCAGGAAAGCAGCCAAGAACTTTACTAATATGGAGATCAGATTCTGACGCTTTGTTTGCATCACGGTTCACCGCCAAGTGAGACTGTGAGAAGCGAGGACGATGGAAGCGAAGACAGGATAAGATACGATCAACACTTGTGCTCTGGAAGGAACAAGATTTTGTGAAAGGGTGCCATCCGATCATCATGGTGAGGCAAAGCCAAGATAATATCCGATGCGGCATGGGTAACCTGTCAGCCTGCCTGCAACTTGCAAGGTGATCTGTGATCACGCTTACCAAATCATGAGCGTGGTCAGGTGCGGGAACCCCCTGGGGTTTGCCCACGGGGCGCCAGCTGAATCGCATTCGTGGCCGGCGCTGTGAGGTGATTTCATGGTCTCAAAGGTACTGGCGCCAACGGCCTGAGACTGATTGAGAGATGGGTATGGGAAAAGATGTTTCAAGAACCAGAGATGAGGTATAATTTCGAACCCCGTTGAGCATTGGCGGGGAATTTGGTCAATCTCCTAAGCCACACGAGCTCCTGACGCAAGCCACACACGCCATAAGAGACTTCAATGTTCACAACACATTGAATGTCCTGTGTTTTCATACCGCAACGTCATTTCTTCACCTTGATCCTTCATATGCTTTTTCTTGTCAACGATCTATCTTGTTTCTCGCCTTCACCCTGTAGAATATAAATTGAGGTAAAGGTCGTTATTTCAGCAGGAAGAAACCCGCGGCGTAGTTGCGAGATATGGTCACATCGCTACGGGAGCAGAGTCTGTGGTTGGACCGCGGAGGATAGAAGGATTCCTCAGCGACGCCCTCTATTGGTTCTCTCTTCAGGCACAAGATGGTTTCCGGCCGATCTCTTAAGAATACACCTAGTACTTGTCTGCACAGCCGGCGCCTCCTCAATGCTCACTGCGCAATTGCGATGCAGCTGTTGTACGATGTAAAAGCTGAGCCTTGTGTTCACCCCTCTTCTGCTCAGCTGTTGCCTGCTTAGAAATGTCGATACAGCATATGTCTTGAGCTTCCTCATGTGCACTACTCTACGACTCTGTCCCAAGAACTTCAGAACATACAAAAAAGCATGGCATCAATCGAATCCTCTTCCCGTGAGAAGAAGCTTAGCCCTGCCGTTGCACGAGGCAACCAGCTACCGCCGAGGAAGCTGAGCCGGAAGGGGCGGAATATCATCTATAGTGTTTGTTCCGCCATCCTACTCGGCGCTCTTGTTCTGCGGCGCTATGGACGTGATCACCTACCCGATGCCCTCCAGTTCGTAGGTCAGGAATACCGACGTGGCTTTGAGGGGTATGAGAAACAAAGCGATTGGCGCAATGTAAGCCTCCTCAAGACCTCTTCAATATACCGACTGCGCGTGGTTTTGATCAAGCTCCCATTCACAGATGGCACCAAGCGAAAAGCTCAGGTGGCAACCGTGTCTTGAAATGTTCGTTCCTGATCTTCAGTGTGCCCGACTCACCGTTCCTATGGACTACCGCCGCCCTCTTAACGAGTCGGCTGACAACCCGAAAGTGCATATTGCGTTGGTGATGAAGCCGGGCGCAAACCGTACGGCTGACGACCCGTCCTCTTATGCCGAGTCGCCTCTCCTCATCAACCCGGGCGGTCCCGGCGGCAGCGGAGCACTGTTCACGGCAGGTGGTGGTCGGATGCTGCAAGAGATTGTGGGCAGCCAGCACGACATCCTCGGTTTCGACCCACGAGGTGTAGGGGCAACTACGCCCAAAGCCGATTGCTTTAGTTCACCCGATGATTCGTACGGTCTTGATGGACGCAATATCGCGTATATGAACCGGCTCAATTGGCTCGCGACTGGTCATGACGTCGGCGTTGTCAATTCCAGTAACGTCGCATTCAGCAAGATTGACGCACGATCGAAGGCAGTAGCAAAGCTGTGTAAGCGGTTGGACGACCATGAAGGCGACAACAGCGTATTCCGCTATTCCAATACTCCGAACGTTGCACGCGACATGCTTTCTATCATCCAAGCCTGGGACGAATGGAGAATGTCCTCGGTAACCCACACAGCTAATGCAAAGCAACAACCGAAAGGCCCAGGCCCCTCAAAACCCCAAACGAGCCCCGAACTAAAGGCCAAGGAGAGCTCCCGAGGGAAACTTGTTTACTGGGGTTTCTCCTAAGGCACACTACTTGGGGCAACCTTTGCGTCAATGTATCCCGAGCACGTCGGTCGTGTCATTTTGGATGGAGTCGTCGATGCCGACCACTATGTCGAGCCAACTTGGATGGACAGTCTTCGCGACGCCGACGCGATCTGGGATGATTTCTTTGTGTACTGTGCCCAAGCGGGCCCGGCTTGTCACATCTTCCAGATTGGCGACCGACCAGAGGACATCAAGAAGAAATTCGACCACGTGATGGCACTCATCGCGGAACAGCCTGTCATCGTGGTTTCTGAGTGGTCAAACACACCCATACTAGTGACGGCTAGCGACCTGAAGGGGATCGCGTTCTCTCGTTGTATGAGAAAGATGAGAGTGACTAGGCCAAAACTCCAAACCACCGCCCAGGCTCTTCTCTAGTCTACCTGTATCTACTGGGCTTGTGGGAGCGGCCATACTGACAACCCGCTTTTCAGTACGGTGTGGTGACATGCGGCTGCCAATTTGATATCACACGCATTCGAGGGCAGGGCCCAAATCAATTACATTACATCCACGAAGACACGGATTCGCGTGGATGTAAGGATTTACACCAAATCCACGAAATAGTGGTCCACTGAAGCCCCAAATGGATGTAATTGATGGTGGATGTACATATTTTTGGTGCTAAAGCTGAATTCCTCATCTGGGATGGCCCTGACACCCCCATATTCGTGCTAAAGCCGTAATATTTGTCCCTTTGCCCGAAAGGGTGTAATAGCCTCTCGTTCAACTGCTAGCAGTATTCTTCGTTGTCTGCTTCATGTGTCCTTTCGCTAACTGCTATCCACGCAGTTGCCCACTTTACGAGCTCGTCAGAGGACATCCTTTCGACGTAATTAACTTCATCCTTCTTGTCGGGTGACAGCAATACGGGGTCTAACTCGTGTATAACACCAGCTCGTAGCCACGACCGCAGTACCTGGCAGAGACTGATGATCATAGCATCTAGGGCGCCGCGAAGGCTAGTCGTCATCCGCCCTGCTGCCGAAAAAACCCTCTCACATTCGGCAGACATCGGTTGAACTGTGAGGATGTCAAGCGCCATTTGTGAGAGACGAGGGTATTGGTGACGTCGTTCGTGCCAGTAGGCTAAAGGATCGAATATTGCGTTATTCACAGTCTCGTGAGACTGCCAGATCTCGTATTCGTCTCCCAGAATGGGTGAAATCGGGGCCGAGCTTGCTTGTTGATGGATGAATTCCTTAAGAGGGTTCAGATCGATTTTACGGCGCTTTTGGGCAGGCTCGTCGTCATTAAGGGTGTTCTGTATCTCGAGATCACGGTATTCGGTATCCCACAGCTCTTGGACCAAATCTTTTGCCTTCTGAATCCATTCGGGCCGATCATTCCATTTCTGTTCGAACCAGTGCCATCGGAATCGGGGGTGAAGGGCTATAGCCGCGTAATAGAGGGGGGTCTCGTCGAGCTTCTGATAATATTCGTCTAGCTTCATCCAACCAAGGTTGATATTAGCTACGAAGTGTTCACTATCAGGAAGCTTGTTAGCAGTAATTTTATAACCCTTAAGCTTGCCAAGAAGGAATTCAAATCCAAAGATAACATCCCAGATGTTACCATACGAACCGGTCCATCCTTTCCGCTTGCGTTGCATGCCATCCCCTTCGAGTAATTTCACGGTGTGTTCATAGTCAGTAAGGATAGCGGCAGTGTGCTCAAGAACGGTCCAATCGTGATCATTTAGATGATTCTCTTCTTTGAGGATTCGGGGCCGCCTTGCCATGGCCCTGCCACTAACGAGGCCAGTCCTCTTGGATCTGTGTTGGTCTTCCCATTCCTGATTAAATTGGGCTATCATTCGAGGGAGATACGGGCGAAGCTTGATGAGACGGCGGATCATATATAACTGTGAAAGCCATCTAGTGTCGTTATCGAGGATGACACACAGTGCCCTGGTGTGAGGAACTGTGAAATCGAGGACATCTTGCCGTTGGACGTCAAGAAGGATGTAATGCAAGCGGTCAGATCGCCAGATATCAACAACGAGGTTGTGAGCCTTGCCAACAGGGCCTAATCGGTGATACAACGCGTGTTCAGCAACCGAAAGAGATTCGACCTTGCTGATCTCTGTTTCGAATGCTTCAACATCAGTACCAAACAATAAGGATTTGGCAGAGAGATTCAACTGATGCCCGAAGCACCGGCCACGCCGTTTCTTGCCCTCGAAGCCTAGGGCTAGCCCTATCTCGGTTGATGCCGTATCCATATTGGCAGCGTTATCGAGAATAAGAAAGCCGATCTTATGATCAATACCAAACATCTTCAAGACTTCGACGATTTGCGTGGTAATATTTTGACCTGTGTGACGAATAGAGACCTCGGGGATGCCGAGAACTAGTTTGCAAGGCTTGTTGTATTCATCTCTGAAAAAGACGACTACGCCATACAAAGCGCAATGATTACCTGACCGCCAGCCATCAAAGGATACGTGTATCTTGCCAGGTGAAGCCCTCAACGCCTCGATGATGGCTCCCTTGTGCCGTTGGAATTCGCGTATGATTTTTTTGCGTAGCCCGGTCGAGGAGATGTGCCCGCTTTGGTCTGTGATACACGGGTTGAGGTATTCGTGTGCAAGGCGTAATTTGGGATGATTCACAGTAGCAAAAGGAAGGTTCTCTTCGACGATCCATTCCATAAGGAGGCGGTGAAAGGTATCTCGATCGAAGTTCTTCAGCATGCTATTGGTTATTGCTTGGTCTCGAGGGTTCTCTAGGTTGACGGAGAGATATCGGTGAAGCCGTTGTTGGCTCGTATCGTTGATTGTTTCGGCTCGTAATTGTGCCTTGGATCTGGTCTTTTCACCCCCAGGGGCAGAGATCGATTCAACTAGATACAGGTGCTGTATGGCGTTCTGAAGGCCTGCAGATATGAAAGAATCGGGTACGGGATTGCGGCGAGTGATACAGTATCGGCACACCCATTTGAAGGTCCTACCCTTCTGGATGTCATATCCGTGATCCCAGGCCCAGGAGTTGAGACCTCGCTTCCACTGAGCCCACGTGTAGCCATGAAAACACGCAAAAAGGAAGGCTTCGTCGCCCTGAGAGATGCCGTGGCGGAGGGATTCTCGTCAAGATGATTGGGGTGCTGGCGAGGGGGTTGCGGACAAAGGGACGTCGTTTGGAGGCTCGGAGCCACCGTGTATCGAGAATTCGGGTGTACCGGCCATGGTGAAGCGTGCTGAGGGTACTGCTTGCAATTCGAGGCGAAAAAATTGAATGAACAGGTGAGTTCGAGTGGTTGGGTCGTATTCGAGTGAATCTGAATGATTTGCCTGCTTTGGAGTGGTTTGCGTGGTCTGAATGTTGTTTGTGCCATTTGGTGGCTGCATTCAGAATTTGCATGCTAGCTAGCTAGGTGGTTGAAATCATATGTCAATGTTTCTACCAGTGATATAATGCCCAACTCTTGATTAAATGCGCATCATCTTGGTATAGTGGTATGGTAGCGCAAAGTTTGCCTTGCGGAAAAGGCTACGTTCAGATCCTATAGGAAGCTCGGGATTTTTTTTTTTGTAAAAAACGGGGCTCTTAGATTTTTGGACCAATCAGAGCCCATATTTCATCCACTGTCATACACTCGTCCATTACGTCAATTACACTAAGCCTTGAATGTAATGGATGACCCCTTCAGCTCCAGTGGATGTACGCCAAAGTGCTCCACTAGCGTGTACACCAGTGGACTAGCGTGTAATTGATTTGACCCTTGTTCGAGGGTCGGCTGAAAGGTAAGCTCGCGGGTTTGGATACTTGCCCCAGCTCGCTTGAGCACTCGAAGCGTTCCTGCGCTCCACGAGAGCTATCCAGTAACTTCGGCTAATAATGTTTTGCTTCTCTAGCCCTGGCTGGCATTTTGCAGCCGGTTGGACGCAGCATGTTGCGAGCTATTGGGACACATTCAGGATTGATAGTAACTTCAACAAGTTGTCCGTTTTGAGACAATGACAGCACGGACAATGTCTAACTGTTATAACATCGCTAGCGTTTCCTTTTATGTCACAGGCTGGCTGAACAAATGTAGTTAATCAGCATTTAAGTCCACTGATAGGTTTTATAGAAGGACCATGCTATGGAGAACTAGGTAAGGTGTTTTACACAGGGTGTTTGTCCTGGCAAGACCGGTTTATGCTTCAATATCTAGTCGGACTCATCAGACTCCCATCCCTCGTCCGTCCCATCACTCTCGTATGCAACACCGATATCACCTGCCTCAGCAAGGATTTTATCCGGGTAAATAGATAAGCTCCAGCTTGTTTGCCAACGGTGCGTCTCTTCCTCAATTGGGCCCGCGTAGCTCCTTCCAAGCGCCTTTTTCAGCTCTTCGAGGACGAAGCTGTTGAATTCCTTCTGGTCCTCGTAATGATGCACTGAGATCTCTCTCATGCTCTCGGGGTTGGCCATGACAGCTATGACTTCCTCTGCTACAAACCCGTCCTTGACCGCCGCCGAGAGCAAATCGGTGAACGTGTTCATCTCTCGCCGCCGCTTGGGCCTGTATATATGCGCCCCGAACAACACGGGCTTGTCCGATTTGGCGGCCGAGCTGCGGTCTGGGTACTTACCCCGAACCCCGATCCCAAAACAGTCGGAGAGCAATGACGTCACCTGTAATAGTTTGAATTAGTGGCTGTCTTTTGACAGGAAGCATGGAAGAATGAGTAAAGCGGAGTAGCTGGGTAAAATAATACATGGGTCATTTCAGCAATGCTTGCAGTTTGGTTCTTCGGAGGGACAGAAAGTAACATAGAAAGCTGCTCACGAGATAGTTTTTCGAGGTTCCCACGACGGAGCGGCCTTGGGCGAAGGGCTCGTCCGTGAGCTCATCCACGCGACGCAGGATCTGCGGCTGTCGTTTCGAGGCGGTACTCGCGGCGGTACGGCCAGCAGCGGAGCTGCCCGTGACGGCGGCAACACTTGTGATGTCGGTGTTCGGCTGCGCATACCGGTCATCTTGAGCAATGCCGGCAATGGCTGAGTGTCAAGGCTTAGACGAACAAAGATTGGCCGGTGAGTAGATTGACTCTGACATTGCTATCCTATGTACTAGTGGTAGAGTACAAGACGAGAGACAAAGAGAAAAAGAGGAAACAAGCAAAGAGATGTTTCACGAGCCAACTATATAGAATCTCGGACAGAGATTCCATCTCGTTCCACGATGTTCTACGCGTGGTTCCAAACTATTCCAGATCGTTCCATGACACTGAGGATGTAAGCAAGCCGAGGGCGAGAAGCTTGGGCACGCTGCTTGAGACACAATGCAACTGCATTTTGATTACGGGTAGATGAGGATGAAATGAATCGCTGAGGGCGAGATGAATAGATGAACATGTATGAGAACTAACAACGAGTGCGGGAGATTCACATTGATGATTTATACCAGTCTGCTGCCAGGCAATATTCCACTTTATCATCACGAGAGGCGAAATGACCCCTGTTTTTTGGTGACGTTTGTAGACGTCTAGATTTGTAGACGTTTACTTTTAAAGATATTTACATTTATAGCCGTCTAGAATGGTGTCCGATGGATGCACATCCTGCTATTAGTAGCTACCTACCTAGGCAATTACTTGACCGAGCGTGGTGGGAAGTGTTATATATAGATGTCCAGGATGGTGGCCAGGAGCGCGCCCCATTCCCCCAGTTTTCTAGATAAGTAGGTAGTTATCAACTCACCTGAATTACCTTGAGATATACCCGTCTTGATAATCCTGTGTTACCTATCCATTCCTGCTATCGCCACCTCCATAGGATGTATATTTCACTGTGATTTGGCCGTGCTAATACCTGCATTTGTAGATAGGTAATCAGTGGGGTGGAGGGCGCTACCCGGACTGGTTACCATCCTGGACATCTGTAAGTCAAAGGACTCTACAGCACACATCATTGGGCTACCGGTGTTTGAGAGGAATTGCACGGATTGGGCGGGCGTGAGCCTCTCCAAAGGGGCTTGGCCGGCTGCCGCGTGACCCCGTACAATGGTCGTGAGATGTGGAAGGGAAGTTCCTCCCGTGTCTCCCGTCCCAACCTGGTCTGGCAGCAGTCCTTCTATGGACTGCTGGCGGGCCGTGCGCTGCCCTAGCCCTAGATTGTCTGTACTATGTAGAACTAACCATAATAACATTAAGCTCACCACCAGCCCTCTTGGCAATACTCGTGAACATAACAAGCTCTAAACTAGATAGCCAAGAGGACTTGGCTATTGCTTGTCACGAACGCCGACGCGCTAACCATGTCAGAGACTGTCGGCTATCCTCGCATGGGAATTCCAGATATGGACAAACACGCGGATTCTCATCGTCTACGGCGTCTAGTGGATCAAGCTGTTCCTCTGGATCGAAGATTCACGATGGCTTCGTCGTTCGGAGTCTGCCTGTCATCCCCAGCACACGATGAGGTAAGAGCCTTTTCCAGAATATTGCGAGAACTATGTTTTACGTACATGAAACCGACACTCACTACTCAGATATCGTGATGGAAAATCGGCAAGCTGCGATTCACGCGAACGCCCCTAATAATCGAAGTAAGCAGTGGGTGGATACCCGCATTCATTCCCCAGGTGGCCAGACTGGCGATCATAACCCCGACCTCCAGCGGGCAGAAGTCTACCTTAGTGAGACTAGCTATGTGTTCAAGCCAGGCATTGGCCATGTGCCAAACACCGGCCCAGCACGGTTTCCTCACGACCAACGACCGGTTGCCTTCTAGAAACAGGCTAGAACTCCAGGACCGCAGGACGTGTGTGATGCCGTCTCCACAAGGCCGGTGGATCTCGGTCTTAGTCGCGGAGCCTCCTCGGCGTTCGTCGCGAGTCAAGGCCCGCACGACTCATCCAAATGGGGAAAAACACACACCCGGATGCCCCAGACCCACGATAGCGCTCGTCTGGCAGAGGGTTTCGTGGACCGCTCTGATGAGACCCATGGGGAGTCCCCCAGAAAGCCTGTCACGACCGTCTGGAGAGTGCTGGAGATGACGAAAGCTGGAGCGAGAAATGGAGAACCCGTCGGGGCCCCAGCGAACCAGTGAACCAGCCGGCAATGCGACGAAAACCATCGCTCCTACCTCGGTGGTATTCTCATCCCATTGTTCCACTAACGGCGACTTCGATGACGATGCTGCCTCGTGATGCTTCTACAATCCACAATGGCATGACAATTGGAGACGCTGGCTGACGAGGAGGAGACGAGACGATCCGGAGTACTGGCAGTCTTAACAAGGCTCAACAGAACGCTCATCGACATGTCAATATTGGGGAGGATGAGGAGCTCCCGCGCGCTGCTGAACTCTAATAAGCCCAGATACATCAACCTAGCAAACCAGGCTCTGCGTCTGATATCCCACTGGGCTCGCAGAGATCCCGTGCCCGCGTACCGATAGTGAGATTGCGGCTCTACAGTAAAATCGAAGGCTGCCGGTGGACCGGCCGACCCACGCCAAAAGCTTGAATCGCTCCCGGCGGCCAAGGCGGCATCGTTATAAGTGAAATGGCACGATCGTCAAGAAGCGTCCGTGGCTATACTACTATACTAGCTTAGGTCATTCCTCAACTAGCGTGTGTCGAACTGTGACAGGAAGGTCCAGGAAATATACAAAATCTCCCCATCCCTCTCCCCATCCCTCTCATACCCGTCTCACGACACACGCCTCTTCCCCATGCCCCGGATCTCCAACCATTTACTGAAACACTGATTCAACTGAAGATGGCCGACGAGAAGGTGACACCGGCCCCAAAGGCCCAGACCGCAAAGCAGGCCGAGGGCCTCGACGAAGCCCAGGTCGAGAACCTATCGTCGAGCCTACCCCCGCTCAACGAGAAAGATGCCATGGCCGTCGCCCAGGCTGGCGGCTGGGAGGTCGATACTCTCATAGCGAACATGGAGCAGGAACTCGAAGCGGCGGGTGGCCTTTCCAAGGGGTTCTTCGATCTAGAGTTCCAGGACAAGAAGTACTTCACCTGGGTCATCGTCGCCTTCGCCTCTATGGGCGGTCTGCTGTCCGGGCTGGACCAGTCCCTCATCTCGGGTGCCAATCTGTTCCTTCCTGACGACCTGGGCTTGACTACACGTCAGAACTCCTTGGTCAATTCTGCTATGCCCCTGGGAGCTGTCGGTGGTGCTCTGATCTTGTCCCCCTCGAACGAAATTCTTGGTCGACGGTGGTCTATCATCATTTCTACCATATTGTACACGATCGGCGCTGCTCTTGAAGCTGGCTCAATCAACTATGGTATGTTCCCTATGTCCACTAACCAGTAGTCAATGCTGTTTCGTTCGTCGGAAACTAACCCAATGTCCAGGCATGATCGTCGCTGCGCGTGTCATCCTCGGCATCGGTGTCGGTCTCGAGGGCGGTACCGTCCCCGTCTACGTCGCTGAAACCGTTGAGCGCAAAGTCCGCGGCAACCTAGTATCTCTGTACCAATTCAACATCGCCCTGGGCGAGGTTCTTGGGTACGCGATCGCCGCCATGTTCGTCACCGTCCCGGGCAACTGGCGCTACATCCTGGGCTCCTCCCTCGTCTTCTCGACGATCATGTTCATCGGCATGCTCTTCCTGCCCGAGTCTCCCCGCTTCCTTATGCATAAAGGACGCACGTTAGACGCCTTCAGGGTGTGGAAGCGCATACGCGGCACCGACACCCAGGAGACCCGCGAGGAATTCTTCGTCATGAAGGTGTCCGTTCTCGAGGAGCAGCAAGCCGTCGGCGAGGGTTCATCCAACAAGCGCTTCCCCTGGATGGACTTCTTCACCCGCCCACGTGCCCGACGCGCCCTAGTCTACGCTAACATCATGATTCTTCTCGGGCAACTTACCGGAGGTATGTACCTTTTAGAGTCTTTTATTGCCCCCTATGGCCGTGTCTCGTCTCCGGGGCGAATTCCCTCTTCTAGCCTGTCAGGGACCCTTGGTTCCGAGACACGCATCTCGGCTCTTCGCTTCTCGTTACAATTCCTGACAGGATAAATACTGACTCTACTTTCCTAATAGTGAATGCAATCATGTATTACATGTCAGTTCTGATGCACCAAATCGGCTTCGACGAGCTGCGAAGCACCTACATGAGTCTTGTCGGCGGCGGCGCACTATTAATCGGCACAATCCCAGCCTGTTTCCTGATGGAGCGTTATGGCCGAAGATTCTGGGGCAACATGATGCTTCCGGGCTTCTTCGTCGGCCTCGCCATCATCGGCGGCAGCTACCAGATAAACATCACGACCAACCCCGGGGGCGCCGAGGCCGCATACCTCATCGGCCTCATCCTCTACATGGGCTTTTTTGGTTGTTACGCTTGCCTGACCTGGGTCGTGCCTTCAGAGGTTTACCCGACGTACCTGCGGTCGTACGGCATGACCGTTTCCGACGCACTCCTGTTCCTGGCTTCGTTCGTCGTCACGTACAACTTTGCTGCTATGCAAAACGCCATGGGCCGGACGGGACTCACGCTCGGCTTCTACGGCGGCATCGCGGCCGTCGGCTGGGTGTACCAGCTGTTCTTCATGCCCGAGACCAAGGACCTCACGCTCGAGGAGATCGACCTGATCTTCGAGAAGCCGACGCGCGAGATTGTCGCCGAGAACACCCGGAACATGAAGCAGGGCCTGAGCGACTTCTTCGCCGGCCGCTGGGGACGCAAGCCCGAGAACCGCGCGATACGGCCCGAGAAGACGGACAAGGACAGCGAGTTATAGGTGATAGATGGTAATGATGGTATGACTATAGGATTCTGAGATTCCTGGTTGAAGATCGATAACCCATAGACTTTATGATTTCATGAATATGAGAAGAAGTTCCAAAATCTTCATGGCGCTGGTGCCGACCTTGCTTTAAGTGACTGTAGCTTGCACACCATAGATAATCTCCCTGACATCCGTGCGATCGCTGTGGATCCAGAGAACAGGTAGATATCAACCTACAGTGGGGAGAAAGGAGCGAAGAGTTACGGTTAGTAGCTGGCTACTGGCGAGGGTTGTAAACGGACAAGAAGGCATTTTGGCAGGACTGCGGCAAGTAAAGAATACGGCACATTGGTGTACATCAGGGGTGATTCTCAATGAGGCTCGCTCGAAGTAACGATCATATGATATCTTTGCGCGCCTTGTGGGAAGCCGCTGTTAAGTATTCTGCGGGTCGGACTAGGCAATGGGCAGAGCTTGGGCTTAACGATGACTACATGTAGGTAAACATGCCGTGGCCACCAAGAGTGGTGCAGCGCGATAGGGATCAGGAGACATGGTGGAGGAAAGTGAGGGTAAGTAACACGAAACGATTTGGTGTAACTGGCTGTACGCCGCGTTGGCAGCACGGGATATATCAATGTATGACTACGGCGCAGGCCGCTTGGCTATCGACCACCTACACTTGTTCTAGCTGCGACGAGTATTCAGGGGCACATGAGAGCGAAACGAGATGAGTCGACGCGCTGTTATTGAGCCTTGAGTGGTCGGAGAGGAACGCCTTTTCAATCTTTGCGTACTTGAAATCATGTCTAGTTATGCTGGACAACCAGCACTGGCTATTATTCATCGAGTTGTAAGTATTCATAGTTGGTTTTGATTTTGTCTCTAGGCAGAAAAGGAGAGGCATGGTGAGAGTGCCAGATCACCTCGCAGACTCGAATGACGGCGACAAAAACCCCGTCGCGCGAACATAAGAAGCGCAGGGAATGCAAAGGTTCGCTGCACATCGCCAATGCAAGAATGTATCATATACAATCACGATCCAAACGTCGGTCCTCCAGCTGAGCGGACTCTCGGGGGCTTCTTGCGGTTCACTTCATCCGGGCGTAGTCCCGGAGTGGATGAATGGCGAAGATAGTCTCGTTATCTATAATACGCCAGGTGGCAGTTCGAAAGGCCACGGACGAATCTGTACTGCTATAGTGAGTGTCCTTATTATCTTCTTTGTTGGTAAAGACTCTCTTTGTAGATATCATCAGGTCAGAAGGCGGCCATGATTTGTTGCCCGGGAATACCCAAACGTTTCAACCTCGGCGAGACCACCGACTGGACTACATCACCCATGCGGATACCGTCAAGGGCACATCGACCAGCGGCGTCCCGATAGGTAAACGATATTTCCTTGCTCGACGATCCGTTCCGAAAATTCTCACATCTTGCCTTTTGCGAATTCTATTCGAGACTGTGGCATCTCCAGTGGGACGCCCGGCATAGCAGTGACAGAGGCGGTCCAGCTCACATCCAATGGAAGCATTTTTCATCAATCTGCCCCCGATAGATAGCTGTTCTTGAAGGACCAGATGGATGACCCCAAAGTCATACAGCCGCAACAACGGGAATGGGCTCGGGAGCTCGACTGACTGTACTTATTATCTTGATACCTCCACAACCCTGCGATGCAGAGGCTCTGGGAGGCGTGGTTTGCACTACTGAGGAGCGATCCCCCACGTTAAATACAATCAATCAATCCAATGGAAGCATCCCTCCGAAGTCCGAACTTAGAGCAAACATTGACGGCGAAGAGCGATTGCGAGTCGAATTCCACTGGGGTGGCGCTTCCTTAACGTACGATCCCTCGACCTACTCGAGCAGTGACAGAGAACAAGTAGAAGAGATACACCTCACCAAATGACCCGACCAAGTGAAAATCTGTCTGAGGATCGTATGAGCCCCAGTGGTCATCCGGTTCACCTGGAAAGTTGGAAAGGCAGCATGGGCGAAAGACGCCAGAAAGTACGACTCCGACTTCGCGGGTACTGTTGTGGCTGGTACGGGGAATGGAGGTCGATCTTTACGGTGAGCCACTTGGTTTCATCGTCGTTTGAGGCTTTAGGGTTGGAATCTCCAAAAGCATCGAAGCCGCTTGCACACACAGCGCTGTAACAGCAAGAAGGTCTCGATGGCCAATGCCTTACATCACATATCGGGGAGAGAAATTGAGCGCGCTGGTTTTGCTAATAAGCTTGTGGTTCTCCGACAGGATATGCGCGAACTTCTGAATCGAGGGTAGACGATTGTCAACGGGTTCAAAGTCAGCTCGGTCGAAGACAAATACACTTGTTGCGGCTTCTTCATAGGATTAAGGGGTTTCTTCTCGAATCTCACGACCTTGACGAACTGGTGAAAAGGGGTGGTGATGAGTGCATTCTTATCTTATCAGGGTGACCTGTGCTCAGCTTGGCGCGAATCGGCATGTCAGGAAATTTTTCTAAGGTGCAGCTGCACCCTGTCAGGAGCTTTTGACGAGCTCTTCCATTACCATACCTCTTCTAAACTCTTGCCATCTTCCATCCCCTCTCCGTTTCCCTTCCTCCCGTCCTTCTCAATAGACGTTCCTTTAATTGTTTGTTCCAGAGGCCTTCTACCAAAATGCCTTCTGCGCCTCTAAGAACACTTGCGCCGTTCCTGCGCGCCTCCCGGCATTGCCTGAGACCCGGCAGCGCCGCCAACCCAATACAGTTCGCCGTACGGCAGCAAAATGTCGCGGCAGCTCTCAACATCACGCGATCATATGCTGCCGTCTATCAGCGGACGAAGCCCCATGTAAACATTGGTACAATCGGACACGTCGATCACGGAAAGGTAGGTGCTCGACAGACTTGAACTTCTAGTATATCCCCAAGCGAGTACTGATCGGATCTTGCGACAGACCACCCTATCTGCCGCCATAACCAAGAGACAGGCCGAAAAGGGATTGGCCAGCTACCTCGACTATGGCTCCATCGACAAGGCACCCGAAGAGCGGAAACGTGGTATCACCATCTCCACTGCCCACATCGAGTACTCGACCGACGAGCGACATTACTCCCACGTCGACTGCCCCGGTCACGCCGATTACATCAAGAACATGATTACAGGTGCCGCCAACATGGACGGTGCCATCATTGTTGTTGCTGCTTCCGATGGACAGATGCCCCAAACCCGTGAACATCTCCTCCTTGCGCGCCAGGTCGGTGTCCAAAAGATTGTGGTCTTCGTCAACAAGGTTGATGCCATTGATGACCCGGAGATGTTGGAGCTCGTCGAGATGGAGATGCGTGAACTTCTCTCACACTACGGCTTCGACGGAGATGAGACCCCTGTCGTTATGGGCTCTGCCCTGTGTGCTCTGGATGGAAAGCGGGAGGAGATCGGTGTGCAGAAGATCGACGAGCTGATGAAGGCCGTCGACAGCTGGATCCCGACGCCCGAGCGCGACCTCGACAAGCCTTTCCTGATGTCCGTCGAGGATGTCTTTTCTATTGCCGGCCGTGGAACCGTCGCCTCTGGGCGAGTTGAGCGCGGTACCTTGAAGAAGGACTCCGAGGTCGAGCTGGTCGGCAAGGGTGGCGAGGTCATCAAGACCAAGGTCACCGATATTGAGACCTTCAAGAAGTCCTGCGACGAGTCTCGTGCCGGTGACAACTCTGGTCTTCTCCTGCGAGGTGTAAAACGCGAGGATGTGAGACGTGGCATGGTGATCACTAAGCCTGGCACCGTCAAGGCTCACACCAAGTTCCTGATTTCACTATACGTCTTGACCAAGGACGAAGGTGGCCGCCACACTGGCTTCCTCGAGAACTACCGACCTCAGATGTTCTTGCGCACCGCTGACGAGGCCTGCGCTCTGTTTTTCCCCGACGACGTTGAGGACAAGTCCCGCATGGTTATGCCTGGCGACAACGTTGAGATGATGGCGACGCTTCACAACCCCATCGCTATTGAGGCTGGTCAGCGAGTCAATGTCCGTGAAGGCGGCCGGACCGTCGCTACTGGTATCATAACCCGTATCGTACAATAGACGATAGTGTTTGCGGTGGGACAACTTAATGTGTAAGATGAGACTAAAACAAGCCGGCAGCTTGCTTCGGTGGCAGGCAAGGGGAAAAGGAGTTATGCAATTGTGTATATAGGAACGCATATGTACAACACTGTTCCGAGCTATGTACACTAGATCTCCCAAGGCTCCTTCAATCTCCCCTCTGTTTCTATCTCGTGTTGTTTCTCATACAGCTTACAGCATGATAGAACTGCGACGAATCTTCAGAAGTACCAATTGTCTTCCCATATCACAACAATTGAATCGACCGGGCGAGCCTAGCCCTGACATGGGACGCCCCAGCCCCTTAGTCATAACGCCCTGTACATACAGTCACATGTTGGTGACGGCAGAAAGAGCAAGATTAAGAAGCTAGGTGTGAGCGGCCTCAACCTTGATGAAGCCACTGGAGATCCCAACAGACGTCCTTTCCCCAGCGCCTCGGTTGTTCCTGCTCGAAACCCGCCCAATGGGCACTCACTCCTACCTAGCCGGATACCTCTCTGGGTAGGAGGTACGAATTGAGGAAGGGTTCAATGTTGCCAACCTACCTTACCTCATTCCCCAGGCGGTAGATAAGTTATTTGGACTTCCCCCATTCATCATCAACCACACTTCAGGGTATTCATTCCAGTATCGCAGCTTCACACAGCCTTCGAAAAGAGAACACGCTTGGGATTATATTCTTTTCACCTACTGTCTGCACCAAGAAATAACAGTCCACCATGGAAAACAGACTCACTAGAGAGGAGATGGACCGCGAGTGTGCTGAAATTCTCGGCCCCGACGGCATCCCCCCTCTCGATTATCCGAACAACAGCAGACAGGCAGCTCAACAAAGTGGTGAGGTTTTCGAATATGAAAACGAACACCCGTGGGCCGCGGCCACCACTCACCATCCAGACAGGCTTCAAGGCTCAGGGAGTGTTCAACAGGGAGGACCTCCACCAGCGGATCGAACCAAAACACCTGACATCGAGCCGTTAGCCCGAGCGGTTGTTTCTGGCTCCAGTAATGTCGCCTCGACGCCGGTCACTCCTTCGGACGGCTCTCAGTCTATTCATCACAATCTCCGAGGCTCAGGGAGTGCTCAATAGGGAGGACCTCCACCAGCCCATTCGGATCGACCCAATGAACCTGACAGGGAGCTGTCAGCCCCAGCGATTGCTTCTAGCCACAGTAATGTTGCCCAGACGCCTGTCACTGGTCCGAGCGGCTTCGAGTTTCGTCGTCACTACTATCACCCCCCATCGGACACATATCGGCCTCCTCCCACCACCAGAGAAGAACACACTGCAACAGGGTCTGTGAATGAAGCGGTTCCATCTCTGACGGGGCCCAACAACCTGCCTGCTCCGCGACCCCATCTTGTCCCTACAGGAAGCTTAGACTCGCTTGTCTTACCACGCCCGATAATCCAACTCCGTCACGACGAACCGGCTCCACCCCTTGCCAACCTGAATGTTAGGAATAAGTATCTGACGACAGAGCCTTCGGCGGCGCGACGTGGGACCCGAGCGAGGGTCATGCGCGACGTGTTGAATGCGACGACCCTCCACAGCGAAACGTTCTTCACCCAGAGTGGGCTTGCCCAGAGTGGGCGTGTCGTCTCATGGGCGGACCTGCGCTACGACTTGAATAATATGAACCAGCACGGACTCCAAAACTAGTGGTTTTTCATCGAGGGGGGTTCGCCGGCACCACCAAGCTAGGTAGGATATGCGAAGGGTTCGGTCGCTAGATTATGGACGTACTTGTGGACTACACATAATATCTGTCTCGAGTCTGCCGATGGGGTATAGATAGAACGACGGGCATTGAAATCGCGAGAGGGCTTCGCCGGCACCACCAAGTTAGGTTACGCGGAGGATTCGGTCGTTAGATTATGGACGTACTCATGGACTACAGAGAATATCTGTCTCGAGTATGCCAGTGGGGTATAGATAGACGACGGGGATTGAAAACGCAGTTCCCATAGTCAACGACGACTTTATCTGGGCGTGTGTCACTCTGTTCCCTGCTGTGACTGTTGATTTGGCAAGTGGTCAAATATTTTAATGTGTATAACCAACCGCCTGGCAGGAGTACTTACTCTAGGGAACCTAATCCGGAATCATTACCTGATTACCGGTCATGTCATTTTCAGGATCTCACCATGAGCGTCTTGTTCCAGAGTTTCTCCCAAGACAAAAGAAAGAAGATACATACAAAATTCAGGGCTAAGGAACCATTCGCGCAGTCCTCTGATTTAAATACTCGTTGGGCGGCATATGACGTCTGTCCCCTGCTCGCGATGTTGTTCATCAGAGTCGGCCGATTCGAGATTGGGCAGTGTGCTCGGCCTTATCGCCTTAAGAGGACCACGCGAAGATCGCGTGGTTTCGCGCCGCGAGACTCTTGGCAGGGTCCCGCCAAAAAACGCCTCGCTATGGTATGAATCATGACGATGGATCTGCGACTCCTTTTGAATTGATCGCTTGTCATTTTGCAGAGGCTGTTCTTCCCTAGGTACATGTGGCTAATGTCGCGTTGTGAAGATGAGGAAGTTGAGAACATTCAAACGTTAGCAAGACCGTCGAAGATAGGATGTTTCAATTGAGTGCGAACCTTCAGGTTGTGTGTTGTTCGTTGTTCGTTGGTTCCAAAATTAGTGTAACATGAGAAAAGGGGTGGATCCCGCCTCAAGCTCACGGAAGCGAGAGAGTGGATCATCGGCTCCGGGCCCCACTCTTATCGAAAGGGGTCCAGTCTTTGACGGCCTCTCCTCTTCTGACAACGTCGACGCTTGCCAATGACTTCAGAAGTCAAGCGGGCATGAGGTCAGGATTCAGGCCTCTCTGTATGAACACTTGACTGCCAAACTATCGCCCAGCTTTGGACACAATATACAGGTAGCTAGCTCGCTGCCAGTTCTAAAGAGTCCCTGGGATTTTCGTCAAAACGTGTCTTCGGGACGGTGGGTCTTCCTAGGGGCAGAAATCCTCAGCTGTCAATATCCCCGAGTCATCTCCGTCGCTTCTTCGTGCAACCCGTGGACATTCTAGTGGAACATCAGAAGACTAGTGCGACGATGCTTATATTGTGGGCCACAAGTTACAACGATGACTTATTACGTGCCGTCTTGTTTGCACTCGTGCGAGACATGGCAGCCCTGACAGGCACCAAGGGCCAGCAAGGCTACTTTCGCTCGGGTGTTGACAGGGACTGGTCTGCTTCCGTCCCGTCATCAGTGCGTGGCAGCGTAGTGAACAGAGGAGCCAGACCCTGCCACAATAGGGAAAGGAGCTGGGCTCTCTCCGACCATCGGCATTGCGAGGACGCGAGGAAGAGGCGCAACTCGGGACTCCCCTTGCCACGGCCCAATGGAGATCCTCCTCGACGTGGAGCATGGGCGACAGGAGTCAACAGAGCTAGACTTCATGTTCACATCCCAGCAGATTGAGGTCGACCTTGAGATGATATAAAGAGGGCAGGGTCCCGCCCTTGCCTCGCATTCGCTGTTGAATCCTGCTACTAGTCAATGTGTGTGAGAACCCCTGAGACCAGTATTTTTCAGATTGCAGAGACCGCCCAACATGCCCGATAGCGACAGCTCATCCACGATAGGAGGAAGAGACTCCGGCCACATCAATACCATGCACTCCATCAAGCCGGCCGTCACGCCCCCGCCGGCGAACAACAACACCATGCCGGCGAGCGTCGACCTCGTCAACCTGCCCACGCGGACGCTGTCCGCCGGCGCCAACCTGGCCGAGTACACGGTCGAGACGGAGCCGGGCGAGATCCCGGGGCCCCTGGAGCCGGACGGGCAGCATCATTACAAGCTGGTCACCTTCCACCCCGACGACCCGGAGAACCCGAAGAACTGGTCGAAAGCCTACAAGTGGTACTGCACCATGGTGGTGGCGATCACCTGCTTCGTCGTGGCGTTTGCGTCGTCGGTCGTCACGGCCGACATCCCGGGCGTGGTGAAGGAGTTCAACGTCAGCGAAGAGGTTGCGCTGCTCAGTATCACGCTCTTCGTGATGGGATTCGGAATCGGTACGTCTTGGTGCTCGCTTGCCAGGGAGCGGCTATTCCATGAGAGAGAGAGAGAGTTGGGACTGAGACGTGAACAGGACCCATGATTTTCGCTCCGTTGTCCGAACTCTACGGGAGGCGGATAATCTAGTAAGTGTGCCCGACCAAAGAGGTATATCCTGCACTGGTGCTGACGAAGATGGTTTTTGAAGCGGAACTACGATCCTCGTCGCTGTGGTCTTTATCATCCCCGGTGCTGTGGCCAAGAACATCGCTACGCTCCTGGTCGCCCGTGCCATCGACGGCATCGCGTTCTCGGCGCCCATGACACTTGTCGGAGGCACCATGGCCGATATGTGGAAAGCCGAGGAGCGAGGAATTCCCATGGCGGCCTTCTCGGCTGCTCCCTTCATTGGCCCTGCAAGTACGTCTTTGCCTCCATCATCATCATCATCAACATCATAGCTTTCCAGTCGAGAAACTGACTAACCACCGATCATAGTCGGACCCCTCGTCGGCGGTTTCCTGTCCGACGCCTGCGGCTGGCGGTGGCTCTACTGGATCCAGCTCATCATGGCCGCCGTCGTCTGGATCTTGATCACCTTCACCGTGCCCGAGACGTACGCGCCGACGCTGCTAGCCCGCCGTGCCAAGAAGCTGCGCGAGCAGACGGGCGAGCCGGAACACGTCACGGAGCAGGAGCTCGACCGGCGCCCCCTCTCGGAGCGCATGCGCATCTTCCTGGTCCGGCCGTTCCAACTGCTGTTCGGCGAGCTGATCGTCCTCCTCATCTCCATCTATATGTCGGTCCTCTACGGCCTTCTGTACATGTTCTTCGTCGCCTACCCGATCATCTTCCAGAAGGGCAAGGGGTATTCTTCCGGCATTACCGGCCTCATGTTGTGAGTTTTTACTACTGCAGATCCCTGATTTGCAATTTTGTTTCTCAAGAGCGAACGGTTACTGACTGACACACCATCAAGCATTCCCCTGGCCGTAGGCGTAGTCTGCTCCGCCGTGTGCGCGCCGCTTGTCAACAACCACTACCGCAAGCTCATCGCGCCACACGCGGGCCGCCTGCCCCCGCCGGAGCTGCGCCTCGTGCCCATGATGGCGTCCTGCTGGCTGATCCCCATCGGGCTCTTCATCTTCGCCTGGTCGTCGTATCAGCGTCTGACGTGGGTGGGGCCCTGCCTGGCCGGCTTCCCCGTCGGCTTCGGCTTCATCTTCCTGTACAACTCGGCCAACAACTACCTCGTGGACGCGTACCAGCACCAGGCGGCGTCGGCGCTCGCGGCCAAGACGTGCATCCGCTCGTTTTGGGGCGCTGCTGTTGTGCTCTTTACTAACCAGATGTACGACCGCCTCGGCTACGAGTGGGCCAGCTCCTTGCTTGCCTTTATCAGCCTGGCCTGCTGCGGCATCCCGTTCCTGTTCTGGATTTACGGCGCCCGTATCCGGCGCAGTTCAAAGTACGCGTATGCAGGCGAGGAGGACGAGAAGGCGGGCGGTGCGAACGATGGCGGTGCGCCCGTCGTGCGCGAGGATGACGAGGATGATGAGGATCTGAGGCGCGCGAGGAGTTACGTCAGTAACCCCTGAGCGACCTCTTTGGAGATGGTGGTTTGATATCTGTCGAGTCTGTCAAACGGCAGAGCGCGAACCTGTTGATGAAGTTGAGGATGGCGCAATCACAACGGCTCCGTTGCCTGTGACATAGTTGAGGCCCGCGGCCTCCTTGTTGCACGCGAGCTACGGGTTAGATGTTTGCGGATATGGAAGAACGGTGGACAGAAAGCAAGCCAAGGCGTTCGGCGTCTTGGGAAGACTCGTAGGAGTCAGCGGTATCGACGGATACCAGATTAGATCAGAATAATAATAATCATATGCAAAATCGCGACTCCGTCATTTGGACGGTTGTAGGGAAGCCTGAGCGCTTCTCGAAACACGAGACCTGTGATCTAGACAATGGTACAGTCAAGATGGACAGGAAAAGCTCTCTTACTGAGTCCAGTCAGTCGCGAAAAGCATGAGGACTAATGAGTCTCCTCGAAGGTCCGGATCCCGACTGGCGAGTCTGTGAGCGGGGTGCTGGTAGTGTGCATCGGATCGCACCTAACTGGAGTCACTGGTCCAGCCCGTAGGGCTTCCATATCGCGAGCGGGCATTCTAGGTGCGAGAGCGACGCCGAAGTGCGAATGTTTGCTAAGTGGGTGATGCGTCGTCCGCCCACGGCCATCCAAACGTTGTTATGTAGACCCCAGTGATTCGACCTGCCCAGTCAGTGTATTCCTGCGCGGCGAAAAAACATCGGCTAGATTGTCACAAATGAAGCCCACGTAGCGGTGCCGCTATCTTCACAATATTTCAATCGTCCAGAGAAAACAGACGCAGATCGTCATCGAGTATTCGTAAGCATTGCCGCGGTGATCTAGCTCCCTAGCTAGACATGAGCTAACCTGCTCTTCCCTCCACGCAAGCCCGTGTTCTCGATGCCTCCTCGATGCATTAGACATGTGCTGAACCATGTTCCTGATCAAAATCCGACAACTCCATTTCCGCAATCGCGTCGTAGATGCCTGTCGAGAAAAATTCGTGGTGAGGTGTGGGAAACTGGCGTGATGGAGAGATTTAACGGTGCTGGACAAAATTATGTTAGTTTCTGCCAATTCTCTTTCCCTCGTTCGCGTATCGGTCGCGTTCTCGCGGATATCCGTACCTTGACGAAACCGATCTGGTGAGACTTCTCGCGGAAGCACTGACGGCAGATGTCGAGGCCGTACTTGCGGATCAGACCGGCCTTGTGAGTGCAGACTCGGCTGTGAGGGGTCCATCGCGTTAGCAGCATATTCCGTGGCCTTCTTCAAGATATCGTCGATCTGGAGACGTACCAGCCGCGAGCGCCCTTGCCGTAGCCGCGCGGGCGGGAGTTCCAGACGGATTCGTGAGACATGTTGTCGGTTGTGTTGAGAGTGAGGTGTCACGAACGGTAGCGTTGCGTTGAGTTGCTGGACGGACGTTGGCTGGGGATGAGGAAGTTCGCGATGTGATTTTGTGGATTAGCGAGATGGTTTTTTTGTGTGGTGTCGCTCAGGGTTGCAGCGGATCTCCGAAGAATTAGCGCCTCCTGAGTCCTGTGCCACATTCATTCAAGGGCGGGGACGAACGCATGGCTTGCTTCAATCTGATGTGTCCCACGCACCGCCACATATGCCTCGTGCCTCAGCCTTATCCTTATCGATAGCTCCATCCAAGCTGTTGATGAAGTGGCATCTTTGTCCGCCAGGTAAGCTTGCATTATCAAGCAAGCACATGCTGTCAATCAGCTACGGCTAGAACTAATAAGAACCACCATTCGCCCCTCGCTGTACCTACCTTTAATCAGACTATCTCCTCCCCGTATCCTGTGTCCTCTGTCCTCGTGCACATCTTTTGTCATCTGCAACCACCCGTACAACCATTTGCTACCTTCTTTGTGCAGAAAGCAATCATGGTTCTCCTCAAGAGCTTCGTGCTCGCCGGTCTTGCTGCCGCCGTGGCAGCCAAGTCTGCCGTCCTCGACCTCGTCCCGGGTAACTTTGACGACATTGTCCTAAAGTCGGGCAAGCCCACCCTCGTCGAGTTCTTCGCACCATGGTGTGGACACTGCAAGAGCCTCGCACCCGTCTACGAGCAGCTAGCCTCAGGATTTGCTACGAACAAGAATGTCCAAATCGCCAAAGTCGACGCCGATGCTGAGAAGTCACTGGGTAAGCGATTCGGTGTACAAGGATTCCCTACCCTCAAGTGGTTCGACGGCAAGAGCGACACGCCGCAAGACTACCAAGGCGGCCGGGATCTGGAGAGTTTGACAAAGTTCGTCACGGATAAGTCTGGCGCGAAGGCCAAGAGAAAGCTGGAGATGCCCAGCCAGGTGGAAATGTTGACCGACAAGACGTTCAAGGAGACCGTTGGCGGTGACAAGGATGTCCTTGTTGCCTTCACTGCTCCGTGGTGCGGTCGTAAGTGCCTAATGCCATACCTATGCCGCTTTGTATCCTACTAACTCGGCATAGACTGCAAGAGCTTGGCTCCTACCTGGGAGACACTGGCTGAGGACTTCATCAACGAGCCTGGTGTTGTGATTGCCAAGGTCGATGCCGAGGCTGAAAACAGCAAAGCAACTGCCAGCTCAGAGGGTGTCTCATCGTACCCTACCCTCAAGTTCTTCCCCAAGGGCTCGGCTGAAGGCATACTGTACGATGGCGGCCGTAGCGAGCAGGACCTTATCACATTCATCAACGAGAAGACTGGTACTCACCGTGTCGCCGGTGGCGGCCTCGATGCGTATGCCGGCACCATCGACATCCTCAACCACATTGCCCAGAAGTACACGGCCGGCACCGACAAGATCACCGAGCTTGCTGCCGAAGCCAAGAAGGCAGCTGAAGGACTGGCCGGAGACGCACAATACAAGTACGCCGAGTACTACATCAAGGTCTTTGACAAGCTCTCGCAGAATGAGGGCTACGTCGCCAAGGAATCGGCTCGATTGGATAACATCATTAGAAAGGGCGGCCTTGCCCCGGCCAAGTTGGACGAGCTCCAGACCAAGTCCAACATCCTCAAGCAGTACCTCCAGCAGGTCGCCGACAAGATCACCGGTAAGGACGAGCTATAGGCTCTTGAGTGACGGCTGGCGGGGGTGTTGTGTTGTAGTAGCAATTGATCGAGTTTACCTGGACTAAAAAGGCGTCCTACGGTTTAGAGAAACGTGTTGTATCATTCAAACCCTAATATCCCACATGCCTCGAACTCCAAGAACGCCGTGCTGTGCCCATAATGACTCCTGCGTGTATCCCGTATCACTGCAAAGATTTCGTTGACGCGTCACTGCTGCTCCCTTGGTTGGCCTGGAGCGCGGCTTCGAGGTTGTCCAAACGTCGCGACATCTCGTCCACTGTGCAGAGCATTGAGAGTTAGTATTCAGAACTAGCTGAGTGTATACCGGGCGGAGCACACTACTCACTCTTTGCGAAAATCTCGCTCGACACGCCTGCGAACTTGTTCGATAGGGAATTGAGCAGCTCCTCGACCACAGCCGTCAGCTCGTCCGAACTCTGAATTCGCCGACTTGTTAGCTAGTGCTTTGACAAACTCTCCCACATGCAATGGACTTACGCTGCCAGACTCCTTCTTGACAGGTGATTCAGACTTTTTGGACGACATGTTGAGGTCAATTAATGTGAAGTCACGGGCCAATTACCGTGAGGGTCGAATAACGTTTTTGGGGATTTGCTCGTGATGTTCTGCGTCCTGATGTCGTCGCGTCAAGGTCCGCGCTGACTTCGCATGTTGCCAGTCGGCATTGAGAATCGATAGCTCCGCGCTGTGGTCTGTGCACCAGACCCTTTGAAGCTTCCCGATCCGCAGCTGTGGGACTGCTATTACGGGCAGCTGCTGACTTACGTTGGTACTTCCCGAGGTTCCCTTGGTGACTCGACGACATGAGGTTGCCAAATTTCTGATATTCGAACAATAACATTACCGTATGTCAAAACGCCGCATCATTCTCTAGCAGTACTTATAAACACGATGGGCACACGATACTGCTATGCCGCCTCCGCAAGATAACGCACGCGTCCTCTTCCTCATCCTCGTACTATTCTGGCTCGTCTCTAGTCCGGACTCGGGACCAGGGCTGATCGCCGGTCCAGGCCTGGTTAGAAATCGCCTTGCACGTCACCGATATGCCCATGGCATCCTGAATAGCACAAACTGGGGCGACTTCGCCCCTCGACTTCACGATGATCCACTCGAGACGGAACCGAAGTACTTGAATATCACGGGGTTCCGAGAGGAGGACACATACGTATGGGAGGACCTGGGACGTTTTAGGACTCGATGCGAGGAATGGAGCCGCAATGCCGTGGGAATACCGGAAGCCCAGCAGCCCGTGTGGCAGAACGCTACAGGTGTGGTGCGCGGCTTGTGGGATAGGACAAACACATCTTCACCGAGGTTCCATTCGAGCTACAATTTGAGCGCCATTAGTCCGGGTGTCAATTGGAATGGCGGGAACTCTGACTGGGGCAGGAATGTCACAGGTTCAGAGGGGAAGATACTGCTTCGAATTGACGATGACGAGAATGCCAGCACTGAGCCAGAGAAGATCGACCCAAGAATTTTACTAGAGGCAGAAGTACGGGCCCGGGAGGTCGCTGCTACGGTCAGCATCGACGACATCAAAGGGATCGGGAGCAATTGGGAAATGCGCCTCCATGGCGTCCACTGGCCTCGACAAGGAGCAATGCTCCTGACAACCACCAGCGAGAAGTTTGCGGGCATCTTCGGCCTACCTCACCTCACCACACGGCCCGACTTCTTTCAGTCAAGCCAAGCACTCCTGAACAGAACTCTGGATAGAGTCTTAGAGAGAAAGGAGAGGCGAACCTTCACCGATCAGACCGATCCTTGGACGTCAACAGTAGATGCTCCGGGTGAAGCTTGGAATCCCACTCCACACTGCGAGTACCTGCTTTATATCCAAATCCACCCCCTGGACCGCGATATTATGCAAGTACAGCCTAGTCTTACAGGGCCTGAGAACGTGGTCAAAGCCATTCAGGATATCGAACATGAGCTTCGCTTTCCTCAGGGAGTTCCGCATAAGGCTACGCCCAGACTTCAGATGTCATCTATCATCTACTCTCCTGATTGCGGCTTCTTTCTGGAGAGCAAGGGGCCTCCAGCATATGCGCCGGTCGACGGGGAGCACCTAGTCGGCGTGAAGCAAGAAGTCTTTATCTACAGTGTTAGCACATGGCTTCTAGGTCTGGCACTAGTCATCTTTGGACAGGTTCAACTATTGAAGTTGCAAATGAGGGAGACATCCACGCCCTCAACGCTCGGACGAGTCAGCTTCTACACAATGAGCATGATGCTGCTCGCTGACGGCATCATCTTCGCCGGCTCAACTGGGTGGAGCTTGTCCGCATCGACCACTTTGTTGCCCTCACTGGTGGTGACCTGTGTTTCGTGCTTGGCTGCCTCTGTCGGAGCCTTCTTCCTCTTCGAAATACATAAGGTGCAGGAGCCTGAACGACGACGACAAGAGCGGAATAGGGAACGACAAAACCCCGCTCCAGCGAACACATCAAGGCCTGCCTCAACTCCTGCAGATGTTCCAGTGCCGGCATCGGCAAACGCCCCCTCCAGTGCGCCTGGTCAGCGTCCGGCTCTAACCCTGGACACTGCTGGTCGGCCACCATCTCCTCCCATCATAATACCTTCGGACCAGGACCTCGATGCTGAAATTGCCGAAGTAACGAACAACAACGCCAATGCGACCCTTCCAGCACCCGTCACCGCAGGGGCCCCGGCAGCAAACGCGCAGAGCAACGAAACACCCCTTACCACCATCATCGGTCGCCTTCTGCTGATTGCCATATGCACGATATTCCTTAGCCTTGCAGCCTCGACCTGGAGACCAGGTCTTCGCTCCGCATACTTCAATACTGTTGCCTTTGTCTACCTCTCGTTCTGGACGCCTCAAATATACCGCAACGTGTACCGCAACTGCCGGCGGGCCCTGTCCTGGCAGTTTGTCATTGGACAGTCTATTTTGCGCTCGGTTCCCATTGCCTACTTCTACATCTGGGCCGACAATTTCGCATTTGCAGAAACTGACTGGACTGCGTTTGCTGTGCTCGCGGGCTGGGTATGGATCCAGATCTGGGCCCTTGTCGCACAGTCGGTCCTTGGGCCCAGATTCGGAATACCTAAGGGGTGGATGCCGGAGGCGTGGGAATACCACCCGGTACTGCGAGAGGACAACATGGAGGCCGGCGGGCTGCCGATCGGGCTCGTGTCCGCGTCCAGCAGCCCCACGATTGAGCGCGTCAAGAGCAACGAGGAGAGCAGGGGGGAGAGGAACAAGCACACGAACATCCATGCGATCGACTGCGCGATCTGCCGGGAGGCGCTCGAGGTCCCGGTCGTGAGGGCGGGCCACGACGACCCCGCGGCCGGCGGCGTCGCGGGCGTCTTTGCGAGGCGCATGTACATGGTCACGCCGTGCCGGCACATCTTCCATAGCGTCTGCCTGGAGGGCTGGATGCGGTTTCGGCTGCAGTGCCCGATTTGTAGGGAGGAGCTGCCGCCGCTGTGAGTGGCAGGCGGCACAGATGACCAATAGGAATGTTTGAAGCAGTTACCCCCGCGTCTTCCAAGGATACCGCCTTTTATGTGCAAACTTCGTACAATCCAACCGGTCCATCTGCTGTTTATTGGCTTCAAGAATCCGGGGAAGCCTTGTTCCGCCGCCATCGCCGACGCCGTCGGAAGACGGAAATGCCCGCTTGCTGGCCTTGGGGGCCGAAGGTCGTGGTCCGTACGTGACTAGCCAGCTAGCCAGCTAAAAGAAAGCCGCCAGTCAGACGTGTAGTCCGTACGTTGCCAGCCAGCCAATAACCCTGGAAACCCCAGCCAGGAGGCAGCCAGCCAGGAGGGAGGCAGCCAGGAGCCCAGGCTCCCAGCCAGCCAATCAAACCAGCCATACAAATCGAACATCAGATCGGGTACAGAAGCCTCCGTACCAATCAGATCGCAGGATTTAAGTTGGGCCACGCCGACCCCCACGCCCCCCACCCCCTTTTTTACAGCTGAGGTTGCCGACTAGTAGTCCTACACTAGGTTTTGGAACAAGTCTTTCACAGCTTCCTAATACGCAAGGCTTCCCCGCGTTCCTCAAGCCAATGATACTTAGGTATATGAGCATTGCCAGTAGGTACTGGAATCTACCCGTATCAGCCAACGAACGCTCGAGGGCTTCTCACGATTTAATTACCGTTCATGGACGGGGTGTTAGAATTAATAAATGGTAATCGATTTCAACGTTTGGGTGACATTTTGCCCGTTTAGTAGCAGTTTATTAACTGATGATTGGTCGTTGTTGCCTGGTCCGGAAATTCGTTAATGTTAGAAGGTACGAAGTTTCGAGCATTCATTGACTAGAATCGCCAAGGCCTAGTACGTCTGACATTGCATATTGATCAGACATTGATTGTCATCCGAGCCTCGCCCATTCTTGCTTCCTTCCCTTTGAGTTTTCTCTTACTATATTTGACAAGTGATCGTTTATCGCCACATCGTTAATTTGCTCATGCTTGCGGCAGAGCCTGAGTTGATTCCAACATCGATACCACCCTGCTGGGCTGGGAAACACGAAATCTATCGCTACATAGCAAAGCCATCAATCGACCGACTTCCGGCCACGATGCGCTTGCTGAACGTGGAATCGCGCCAACTTGAGGAATACTCCGAAAGCAGTTTCCCCCCGGCCAACTACGCTATCCTATCGCACACATGGGGCGAAGATGAAGTCACATACCAGGATCTTCAGACCCCCGAAAAAGGCAAGTCGAAGGCGGGATATGCCAAGATCGAAGGCGCCTGCCGACAAGCAGCCCGGGATGGATGGAGGTATGTCTGGGTCGACACATGCTGCATCGACAAGTCCAGCAGCGCCGAGTTGTCAGAAGGTAAGCTTTATTTGCCTTCGAACTGGTTCGGTCAGAACTAATGGAAAAGCTATCAACTCCATGTTTAGGTGGTACAATAAGGCCCGGGTGTGCTATGTATACCTATCGGATGTTTCGCGCTCGGACGATAGTACTGCTGTCGAGCGGTCTCTCCGCGATAGCAGGTGGTTTACCAGAGGCTGGACTCTTCAAGAGCTGTTGGCTCCGCATGAATTGCGTTTCTTTGAATCTGTCTGGGAAGGACTGGAATCCCCGGGTTCTAGTTGGCACCCTCTGATCATGAGTATCACTGGAATCGACGTATACCATTGGGATAAAGAGCCCCTGCTAGTGAAACTGTCCTGGGCTGCCAAACGACAGACGACGAGACAAGAAGACATGGCGTATTGCCTCCTAGGACTCCTGGGTGTCAACATGCCCTTGTTATATGGCGAAGGAGAGGCGGCCTTTCCTCGCTTGTTAGAGGAGGTGATCAAGAAGTCTACTTCTCACGCCGTGCTTGCTGCAGGCTACGGTCTGACGTTGACTGCACTGCAGGAGTCTCGCATCGATGGCTCGGTGCTGCCCACTGCGCCAGATGCTTATGCAGGATGCTCGGCAGGTTTCCGTGAGGTCCAGGTCCCTGGCAGGACAACATCTGCGCACTTCTCTATGACCAATGCCGGTTTGCTCATTGAGTTGCCCTTGGTGCAGATAGACCCAGACACGCGGACCGTACTGGCACTGATTAATTGCCAAGATAGATCGCACGAGGGCTACCAAATTGCGATCCCACTGTCCCACAAAGAAGGCGACAAGTATGGTCAGTTCTACGAACGAGCTGTCGGTAGCCAACCCTTTCGAGTCCCTCCCAATTTCAGTGACCATGCTCAAAGGACGAATATCTTCATCAGCAACCGCACGACTGTACCGGCTTGGGGCAGGCAGTTGCGCACCGAGAACTACTTCGAAAACATGGTCTACTTTGGAGCACTTCTGAACGCGGGGTATACTCTGAGCTCATATTACCCACCATTTCCTGCGGAGACATGCAGATGGGACATCAAGATTGATTGGATCTGGGACTCGGACTTCTTTCTTATGATGTTCGACGGTCCTCCTAGCTCACCAAGTCTTGCTTTTCTCCTTGACCACGCGAGACAACCAAAAGTATCGTTGCGACTATGTACTTCGGCCAGCCCTGTCACGGCACTAGGGTATTTGCTGGACGCACAGTCAACGGAACAGGGCTCTGAACCGGACTCTGCACCCAGATCGTTGCGTGAAAAAGTCGACTTCGAAAAAATACGAGGGGAGGAGATTGATTTTGGAAGAGTGCCTGAAAATTCCAAAAAAAAAAAAAAAAGATATTTACGCTCTTCGACCGCAAGGGAAGAGCCAAGCCCCAATACCCTAAAATAATTCCGACACCAAGCCTCACTGTCTCTGTCCCCTCGGGACCAACAACATCCGACGACCAGGCTGGCACATACTACATATCATGCGACTGGTCTTTCATCCCCCGTGGGGCCTTCGGAACCCGTGGGTTTGTGATAAGTTGTGAAAAGATGTCTTGAGCCGATGAGACGGCGACCGTGCAGGGAAAGGATAAGGTCGTTTGCGCGCGTACGGTGTAAACATGGTGGTCGGTATGTGTGGGCGCCCCTGGAACTCCAGGCCATCACCTATACAGGCATCATCAGCCAGTCAGCATCCCAATGCCGAATTCACATAGACAGACTTCAAGCGCACACCGGCATAGTGATGGATCGAGTCTATGGTCTCTTAGCCAGTTATGGAGAGTGTCTGTGTATTGGACCTGTGGAGGTGTGACTGTTCACAACCGACCCGTCTTCCAGCTATTTGCCGCTTCCTTCCCTCAAGGATGGGCGTTCCCGTCAAGATACAGCGCGGCTCTTCCAGGGAAGATGGGAAGAAGCGAGTACTGGAAATTCAAAAGATGGGCGCGCCTCGAAAAAGGTTGACGATTCACGCGACTGGTGGTGCCGAAAGGTAAACACCGTGAAAGAGGCTGGAAGTATGAGCGAGATAGAAGGAGTCGATTGGCGCGTCTCTATGATGAACTTGGACCTGGTTTTGGAAAAGGGACAATCTGTTTCGACAGACCTTCCTCTGACTGCTTTCACCCTTCCACAGGCACGATACGTGCGTTCCATCGTGATGTTCCGTATACACCATCTATGTCTAGAATCGACCTGTGATCGTTACTTCTCGGCACAGCTAGTTTACTGTCACGTCTCAATTTGAATGGCTTTGGCCTTTCCCAGCACTTGGCGGGTGAATCTGGAGTCGCAGATCTTCAGGGGAACACAGGTGCCCTGATGAGTTGACTCTTCTCAACATGTCCTGCACACTCAGGGGCCTGCATTGCAGCTGTATTCACGTTAAGATGCAGTGTCGCGATGTCCATATCGGCAGGTTGCTCAGAGGCATCGCTTGGAATCGTGGAGAGTGGCATTCCTGATCTCAATCCTACCAGTTTATAGACTGCCCCGATCATTTTGATGCTGGTACTTGTATGTAGAGGGAGATCGAGGCTTTTCGGGTCCCTCATTATACACGATGTCTGTGCTACCGCGTTGAAACCTGGATCGGCTTTCTCACCAGGAGGTGACTTCTCGGTAACAAGAGTGGATTAATAGGCCCCCGAACTTCGGTCTCTGCCACAAGGAGGAAAGGAATGAATTCTCAACAAATAAATATGGTATTACTGATACAGTTAGACAGTGTGGTTCGGATGTACGTTGTACTTTGACATACGTCAGGTAAGATAGATTATGCTGATGTAGCTGAATACCTCACCGTGTCCGGAATGACGATTCTTATCCGGGTACTCCAGCACCGACTCTTGCTCATCTTTCCATTGAAAGAGTTCCCATGGCACATTCAGTCGGCCGAATCGTAGATACTATGGTTTTACAGAGAGTAAATATTGTAGGCGACAAGCTGCTTTCCTATCGATAGTCGCGAACACCGTGGATCCGATACGCTATCCTGATATTACGTCACGGGCACTGCATCGCCGCAGACATGATCCCCTTGCCCTGGAGAACAGCTCCAGCTGTGCCAAATTCATTATATCGCCTGGGTCTCTTCGACAGCACAAGAAAGCTATGCTAGATCAGACATACAACTGGAATCGACCTAGGACCTGGACTAGCAGTGTTATACCAGCAGGCATAATGGTCACGGTAGGTCGTAACATGCTACGAGGTATTACTGAGTTCACAAAACCAGAGCTATTCACTTTGCTCAAGGTTGCAGCGGCGCCTCAGCCCTCTCTCAACCTGCTGATCAGAAATCATGAAGTCACATACATCCAAAGATCTACGTCTAAGGTCATGTACAGAAACGCTCACGACGCTGGTCGCTAGGATGACCGACCAGCCCATGCTCATTCAGTGACAAACAAGCACCAGCCAGGTCACAGCTACCAATCTGGTCTCCGATGTGTCATCAAGAGCCTGAGCACACAAAGAAGGAAGAAGTGTAAAGTGCGCCGAAAGGTCGAATCCTACTCCTTACCAATAAATCGAAAACGGGAGCTCGTATCTGCCCTTTCAAGAATTGCGCTACTTTGACATCGTTCTCGACATGAAAGTATTCCTCCCAAGCGCAAACTAAGGAAGAGGATTCTCTATGTAGTGGTACTTTGACCAGGTACTCGATCACCTGGTCTGAACAGCAATCTGTAGCAGGGTATGAGGCACGTCACATTGACTACTGTAGTGACAATCCTGGGTTGCTCCCCTATCTTGCATATTGGGCTGGTACGGACTTCTCTAGTATCAAAGTGCAAGGTTCTAAACAGGGTGGTACTATCTGCAAGTCGACAAGGCTGCAGATGACGATGATGTTATTTCTGGCGTATTCGCAATAACTAGGTTACTATGGCTGCAGGTGCCATGGGGCTCCCGGGAAACACTCCCAAAGATATTATGACGGGTAGGGATCACGAACACGAGCTTTTCCAAGCGACCACAGGCCAAGACAGCGCGCCTAATGATCCTCAGGCCCGAAAGAGGTCACCGAAGACTGACGTTGGAGGATCCGTTCCTGCCCGCCTTTCGCGAAGGGATCCGATGGGCGGCGGCGACAGTGCTACCAACCTCATCCTCCCCAACAAAGGCCCTGGCTACCTAATGGACCAAGACCCAAGGAACAACGTTCTGGAACAAACACCGATGTCGATCCTGTCTTCGTCATGGCCTTCATGTCTCCTTCCGATGTTGGTTGGCCTTATCATCCTTCCGCTGCTCCACAATCCTTCACGTGGAGGTGGATGTTGGATGTCTGTCGGCGCGCACTTCGACGTCATGCCATGCGATCCTTTAAGAAACAATCTGGCCAACGTCGCCGGGATATATGAGGATGGATTTACCACGTGGGTGGCCCTTCGGCTCCTCCTGCGGTGGGAACTATGTTTCGCCGCCAGTGTCAGGGGCGGTTATCCGGCAGTAAGAAGGAGCCGCATCCATCACACCACATGGATCAGGCTGCGCGACGCTAGTGTAGGGGATACCACATAAGACTCCCAGCCTCGCATTGAGAGCCTGGCTGCTCCTTCGAGCACGAAGGAGGCATGACACGATGCCGCTGGTCCGGTGGAAGCCGCAGCGGAAGATACCATCGGAAATGGAGATGATCCATCGGAGGCGGTGCCGATAAGAAGGAATGTAAGGCGTTTAAATCCCGCATGTCGTCGACCCTGGGGACGTGTGGTAATTCTCATGGCGAAAGGCTTTGAGGGAATAGTTAATCAAATTGATCGAGTCGGCGAAGGAGTCCATGAATGGATGACCCAACCATGCAAGCCGAAGCGATCCTTTGAGCCACTGCTTCCGGACTGCGTGGTCCGGCGTCGTGGTTTTAGACACTGTCGCGTGTGTCCATCTTTGATGCGATCAACTGCAGGCGCAAGTCGTGTCGTGTCGTAAGTCTTGTGACCTGGTCACAGACGCATTCAGATAAGCAGACACATGCCGAACCAAAAATCGACTCTAGCCTCTTGCGTTTCTAGCAGCTTGCAACTCATGCAAGACCTTTCCCAATTGAGAACCGCGTACCAGACTGACGATCGAGTGTCCAGCTGTCCGAATGATCTGATACCGCCCCATCATCATGACCTTTTGGCCAGCAAGGACGACCCTTGGGGTGGTCGAAATCTCGATAGCAGACTTCGTTCACCCCTGACTCCCAGCCACGAGCCTATTGGGATTGAGTGCTCTAATATCTTTGATCTCGATGACATCGAGATAGCTATGTAGCATATTAGATTGGAATGACACACGACGGTAAACACTGCACACCAGCAGACTCAGGACTCGCACGTTTACTTACAGGTCATCTAATCGCAACAAAACAACGGGATTGGTGACGTCGAACCCGTGGACAAGGGCACGGTTGCCCTTCTGTAGAGCATCGGCCGCTCTAGTGAAACGATGGGTCCGGAGCTCAATAGTCTTTGCCGCACCATCCATGCAAACCTGGTGTTCGCAAAGCGGCGCACATGTCCTGGGCCACTGCCGCCTGATCGGACAGAATCGATGCGGGGTGGTGTAAATTCTCCGCATACCGACGTGTCTGACCAGATTGTCGTGCCGTTCTGCGGCAGGCAGGAAGTTGGACCCGGCATTGGCGTGCGGCTCAGCAGCAGCAGCAGCAGTATGCAGTGGGAGGGTGGCGGTGACGTCGAGTATGAGATCATCGCTGTGCTGGACTAAACAACACGTCAAATTATCACACGTACGATAGGACTGCCAAGCGAACTTACCAAGCTCATGGCTGTACTGTCGTGCTGGATGTTGGCAGGCTCGAGAAGAGCAGTAGGCGCAGGCATCATGTCCCATCGGGATCACGAAAGGCGTGGTGAGCGTCCGGGTACAACGTACAACGGTACAAGCGCCAGCAACTGACAGTATGGAGGCTTCTCATGCACCATGACTGACCTCTCTCTCTCTGGACTTTGAGATTGAGTGGCTTTAGCCTACCTTCATTTGGCATCTTGAGGGCATTCTGAGTATCTGACTTTTAAAGTTTTGGTATCCAGGCATCGCAGCCACATTTGATGCCTTTGGAACCGACATGGACGCGTGAGCGTGAGCGTGACTGCACAGCCACAAGCACAGTCGACATCAGCCTCAGCCTAGGACTCCCGAGATCTGGACAGGGATAGTCTCCTAATTCGTTCGGCACGACTTTCCCTGCTGCAGTTTCGCTCCCCGAAATACATTGGCCTTACGTCGTTTCGTTGCGAATGCAAGTCGTCAGTACTTTGTGCGTAACGAACCGTTGTTCGAATTGTAAGGTCGTCTAGGGGTACTCTCCACTTCTCTTGGTTACATGTAAATACCCACAGACACCGTTGACTGCTGGGGTAATAAGGGGCGCCCCGTGCGTCAACGCGCTACGTACTCAGTACCTGGACTCCCTAACTAGGGATCCAAGCAATACCTTATCGTCTCAGCGTCTGTTCGCCCTGCTGCCCGCTACCCAAAAGCTTGGGAATCGCAGGCGGAGGCAGTGGACATCGGAGATTGGGCGCGATATCGAAATCAAAAACACGAACGTCGAGCCGGCCGTTTCCCGTTCCGCCGGGATGGTCTGTGCTCGTGTCTGCGCGATCCCACGGACGCGTGCTGGATGGACATCGATCCGACTCCTGCGTCGATGTCGATGGCCCCGGACGGACGATCGGGGGCTGCATCCAGTTTATGTATGCCAAGTGTAGAGCGAAACCGCCGGAGGGTGCGTTGAGACTGTCAGACGTAGGACAGCCGGTATATCACAGCGCCGCGAAACCGAGTCGCTGTTTCGACGGCGCTGAATGCGACTTCAAGGCTGCAGCTGAGATCGGGCCCCTCGAGGCAAACCAGCACCGTAATGGAGAGCTGAGCTGAAAGCACGCGCCGAGATCTCGCGTTATCTGAAATCGTGCCGAGGGAAGCAGGGGGGCCAGTTTCTCCGGCTGTTTGATCACCAGCTGGGACTGGTGGCAAGCATTCAACCCAGGCCGTTTCAGGTTCAACGCCAGCGAGCCAGGGAATGGTACAACCCAACACATGCACATAAGCTGACGACCCCGCGACGATAAGCTTATTCATAAGATTAACCTGCCAGCCGGGAGGTCTTGCTCCTCGCTTGTCGTCAGCTCTCTCAAGGTTCAACCACTATCTACCTATCTATCGACGTCGGCCAAACCCATAGCCGATAAAGAGGACCGATATTACATTTATATTGTCCCGTTGCGGAGTACCTTCGATACGCCCTCTATTGAGGCAGGCCGCGTCGTCCTGTATTGTCGTAGGAATAGTACCGCACCTAGTGGTGCAGAACAGGAGCGCAAACCCGGGCTCACAAGTCGATAGGTACGTTGCGCTCGTGGTGGTCCTTCTGTTGCATCGTCGACCTGATTGGCGCCGGTGTCGTGCGCCAACGCCACGGGGGTTGCCCGGGCTTAGCTCCTATGCTCCTACCTAGGTCAGGACTTATGCCTTCCTTATGCGCGTGGTCCGGTAGCAAGCAATCCATTATGGTGGTCACGATGGTGTCGGTGGTGGTCAGAGGGAGCGCGCGCCTGCTGTGTCCAGGCGAACCGCTCGGGAAGCGAAGCGGAAAGCGAGATGCGGAATGGGGAGCTGGATTTAGCATGCGCAATCCCACCTGCTCAGCGCTCATATGTTCATGCACGCACTTATAGTGATCGATGTACGGGCCAAACCAGCGATCACAGTCATAAGATAGTATCTCTTCCCATGATAATTGTCGGGCCGGAGCTTCGTTGAAGATGTCCATCTACCCATATCTGCGAGCCCAAAAGGGCAAGACCTCGCCCACCGCATGCGATTGCAGACGCACGGCACTCCGATACTGTACCCACCGTCCACTTCGGGCCTCGTCGACGCACGTGGTGAGATGTTTATCAAATCGTTCACTCCTTCGCAGCGATCCTCCGCGAACTTTCTCCCGCCATGCACCCCTCCATCCTCATTCATTTTCCTCCCCACCATGCTGCCATGTCCCGTCCGCGATGTTACCGAGGCAGCGGGGGGTAATGAGGATAGATAGGATGGGCGAGTGAGTGAGTGAGAGCGCGGCCGCCCGACCCGGCGGATTGGTGGAATGTTTTGTCATCCTATGGACGAGCAGCGGAAGCAAAGCAGCCAGCCAAGTCTGGCTTCTTTGGGCGATTCCTGAGTGCATTGCATTGAACACAGTCAGTAGGCGGTGGACACGCCGGCGCCGGCCGGCAGTACTCCAGATGTATCCCGTAGTATAGTCCACCGATTGGCGTACGCATGCCAGTCCCCGCCATCCATCCACATACACATGCTACATACAGCATACATAGAATTCCGACTACTGATCGAGAATGCCAATGTTGCGGGCAGAGGCTCGGCAATGCGTTGATTACTGTAGTCTGTAGATGTATGCAGTCATGAACCTGCAGTCAGGGCAAGCGAGGCATACATATGCCGACAGTAAGCACCTGCATAGGTAGCATTATCGTCTACGTGTATGTGTCTACCTAACTATCTATCTCCAAACTGTGGCATGGCGTGGCGTTGCGTTGCGTGGTGTGGTGTGATGTGCATTGTCCGATCTACATCAGCCAGTCAGCCAGCCAGTCAGTCAGTCAGCCAGTCAGTGTATGGGCACACGCTGGCAAGCCGCCAACACAGAGGGAGGCGAGGGCCAAGTATTCAAAGAGAAAGAAAAAAATAGATACGCAACCCTAGAAAGCCCAATTGCCGTCGCCGGCAAGCCCCCAAGGAGGCGAGCGATTGGCGGATGTGGCCAAGTGTTGCATGTTACCTATGCAGCCCGTTCCTTGCATGCATGTGTCCATCAATAACCTATGTCCAATACTATAAATGCGTCTATACCTATCGCAGCGCGGGGCCATTGTATTGCGGAGCGCGCGACTCCAGGGGGGCCGGAATCGGGGGTGCAGGTGGCGGCCTTTAGGTTTCGGGCTCTGCATCTGCAGCAGCAAGGGCGGCAGACCAGACGCAGACCGCCCTTGGAATTTCTGCAGCAGCGGTAACAGCGGCCGTTTCCTGGGGAAGCAAGACCGCTAAAACCTAAAGTACCTACCTTACGCGAACATGCGGGCACAAGGGAGGAGGGTGAGACAAGTAAGACAATGCCATGTTCTACGGAATGTAGCACTACATAGGGGCTCTTCAACCAAGGGGAGGAATGCGACTCGGAACTACTGAATTCGCTCTTAAGACCAAAAAACCGGGGGTAGGTCTCCTGGCTGTCTATGCAGTAGCACGAAGTCAAGTGTGCACGCAGCAAAAGCCAATTGATGAAACCCCTGGTGTTGAGGATAATGCGCTGCGTTTCGTTTCGCCAACCGCGCGACCAGGAACTTAAGCTTAATAAAGATACCAGGGCCACTTCGGACGGAAACATCAACGGTTTGAACGGAAACATGGTACAGTATGATAAGGACAATGGGCGTTCACGGTTCACGGCAGATGCAGGTGTAGACGCGATGTGAAACATGTGTTCATTGTTCTGAGAAAGGCATCATAACGTGCGTGATCTCATTCAGGCTTCCGCTATAGCGTAGTAGTCCATCTGCTCGCTCTCTTCGTCGTGCCAGCGCCTTTATCCGACGTCTGCTCTTGTTGGATCGTGATCCTCTCCCTCTGTGTGGTCATTAGGTATCAATTGCTGCAGTATGCAGCCAACCAGACGGTTGGAAGCAGCCTCCCGATCATGTGCCCACCCATGGTTACAGTAGAGACCCAATGCGCCTGCTCCGAACTCCGTGTCATACACATTATAGCCATCCCCGGTTAACGCCCCGCCGCATGCCCCAAAAAAGTAAAGAAAAATAGGAAAGTGTAGTGAGGGTGTGATTATGGCCTTATCCTAACACTGATACTGCTCCGCCGCCGGTTCATGTTCAGGCCACTTAATATGCCCCTCTTCGCTGTCGCCGGGCTGATTGGCGACATTGCGGGGGATGATGAGTAAGAACTAAAAGATATCGAGTTCTTCCTCGCAGACCGAAGGATCTCGTGATAGGTAATTGGTGTTTGCGGCGTCGTGGGGGTAATCGCCGACATGGGTTCCGGTGTCATGGGCGCTTCCTCCAGCCCTGGTGACGTATTGAGATATAGAAGGTTCGTAGTTGAGCGGGATGGTGTTGACGCTACGTCCTCTGTCGAGGTGGCAGGCGCTTTAAGGTTCGGACGGCTTCGCTTCCTGGCCAGGCTAATGGATTTCTGAAACCGTTGGAATGCCGCCGTCGGGGTCGTAGGGGTCTTTGGGACCCGGGGATTGGCGGTGGATGATGTCTGTGCCGTTGAAGTGTCGAGCTTGTAGCAGCCCGTCGCGAAAGGATCTTGCTGGAGGAATGCTGGGGCGGCCTTGGCCACGTCCCTGCTCGGTGTCAGACTGCTGTGCCGCGGTGGGTGTTTCGGCCGGCTGTCGAGAGAGTCGGAGCTGAGGAGCGATGACGAAGAGGACGATAACGACTGGTCGAACACGCTGGATTTCGGTCTCCTCAAGGGAGTGGCTGTTCTCCGACCACTGGCCAAGTCCACAATGCAGGGCTTCCCCACGTATATGACCGAGACTGCTCTTGCTGTGTCCTCCTGGCTCCTCCGTCGAGCCGGTGATTTCTCGGACTCCTCGCTCGAGGATCCGTATTCGTAGTCGGAGAAGTCGTCTGCGGACGAGGAGGGGTCTTCTTCCGAGGAGAGGTAGATGTCGTGGGGCGTGTGGAGAGACTGGGTGGCCGAGTTGATCGAGTTGAGCTTCAGACTGTCAAGGAGCTTCGAAGTTCTGAGGGCGTTCCTCTGCGGCAGTGCCGGCGGCTCTATCATGACTTCCTTGGTCTTCATCTCTCTTGCGTCTAGAATGGTGGCTTCTTCGATCATGCACTGGTCGTCGTCCATGTCCATGTACAAGTCGAGCGTGTCCTCGTCGTAGGCGGTCGTGAAAGAATTGCGCGAATGCTCCGTCAATGCCGCGGTCACTTTCCGTGCCAGTTCAGTCTGCCAGTCCTCGCAGTCTGATGCCTCCGAGAGACATTGTGGTTGTTCGGCGAGAGACATATCGAACCTTTGTAGCACTTCGGTTTCCACGTTCGGGGACTCCGTGACGCGTGCAATAAAAAGGGTAATGAACACCGGAGCTGTCTGATCCACAACAATATATCGTAAGCGTCCGCTCGAGGCCAGCTCTCTATTTGAGGTGAAATGACGGACGCATCGTAGGGTAGGGAAATAGTGGGCAGCAACGAAGAGTTTATTACATATGGGCAGAGGGGTGGATGGATGGCAGGGGGAGGGAAGGGGGTGAAGGGGTGAAGAACGGCAGGGGTCGGGCATACATACTGGGCGTGTCCACTTCTGCGTGTAAGTGGTGGGTGTGTACTTGTACCTGCACCTGTACCTGTACCTCGCAAAGCAGGGGTTTTGGGGGGCTTCCCCTGCGCCTGGCACCCTGGCAGTGAATACCAGCCCTTGCAAGAGGCCTGGTGGGGGAGGGAGGGGCGCCGCTACCGTAAGACAAGCAGCACCTGATAGCCGGAAGAGGATGGCGTGGGATGAAATAATACACTGCTGTGGACGGCGCGCTGAGAAGGCAGGAGAGGGCAGGATACGGTAGGTATCTTCGCAGGAGTGGCCAGGGCGGTCCTGGTCCTACTGGCTCTCTGGCTGGCGTTTGGTCCAATATGTGCGTTTCAAAGTGAGCAGGGGGTTTTTGAGCGGTAACAGTGTCACAGTGGTGTAGCGTGTGACGGGCAGGCGTAACAGCACGACTCTTGGGGTCGTGACTTGGACGAATTCTATCGTGATCAAGTTCAAGTCTGTCAAGTTTGTCAAGACTCAAGACTCAATAAGTACTCAAGAGGATGACGGGTGAAGTAAGTCGGGGTGAATTAGAATACAGGATGAGCAGAGTAGAGGCAGAGCGAGGATCCAGAACCCTTAAGGGTCTTTTGGGTCTTTTAGCTTTCACAGCCACCGACATATCTGGCGTTGGAACTTATCTGCCTATTGACGGGAAAGAACTCTTTTTCGTCATTGTGTAAGCCAACTCGTCAGAAGCTGGGTTCGTCGGTCACCAATTTCGCCACCCATGACATGATGCCAGTTTGCCAGTGAGGTCTGCTGGGAAGCCCACGAGTTCGCACACCAAGCGGCGGGCACACAGTCGGCGAGAGGCAACAGCCAAAGGCGTCGACGATCCATCCATCGCGAATCCTGTATGACGATTGAGCCATCGTTTTGGCACACCGATGCTAGGTTGACTGGAGTTGAGAGTCTCTGTATATAGCAACTCATTACGCCACCAGAATACCGCGCCGCGGGGTCCTGAAGCTCTGGGCGATGTGTTCACTTGAAGGTGGATGAGTTTTGATGGAGTTGGAGTTGGGAGATGGAGATGGATCACAACCTTGGCCGCGTGTTGGTAACACGATGCAGCAGTTTTCCAGCGTTGGTGGCGGGTTGCAAACCGTTGCATGTGGTTCCCGTCGGTCTGTCATTACAGTGAGTGGCTAGACGCCACGACACCCGCCATCTAACGTTAACGCATCAGATGTCATCGTAGAAGCCAAGCCAATCCGCCAACGTTACCCGTCTGTTCTATGTCCTGACGAGGACACCCGTGCGCGGTGCTAGCCAGTCGCAGCCTTCCGCATTTGTATTTCCCAGGTATGGGCTAGCAGCCTAGTTGGGTTGTCCGTATAGGTAGGCCGGTCCTGTAATCGGGGACGTTCATCTACGATTCATGCGTCCAGCGACACGCAGTCGTTGACAGACTCGCATGTCTTTACTGTTCACTGTTCCGTAGGCTACTGTTACCTGCACGATCAATGCCAGTCAGTCTGCATGATCCCTCGCTGCCGTTCCGCACCACCACCCAACACCGAGCAGTGCGGCCACCGCCGGGACGTGGTTGATGCTATTGGTTCACCATTGATCCTCCAGATAAATACAGTAGGTAACATACACGCCTATGTAGGTTGCAGACGCCAGCAAGCCCACCTACCCAATTGTAAGTGCCCCCCCTACAGAATAAGACTGTAGTGCCGTCTGTCGGAGACTTGGTCAATCTGGCCCTCGGGAGAAGGCGTAGATAGGGGAGTATTCTGAACAGTCATGTGAGAGGACAGAAAGGCCGGCAAGGGGATGGAGTACAAAGCTGAAACAGCCAACCAGAGCGGCAACTCAGACACCTGCAGCGCTGCAGCAGAGCAACCGTGCAGTCGTCGTGGCCTGCGTCGTCGACTGATTGGCTGCTCGAGGCCTCTCTGTCCTGTCTTGGATGCTTGGGTACCACCGAGATGCTGCAAGGCCCATTGTCGATTCCTCATTCACCAGGGCAGCGAGCAAGGGCACACACCCTCGACACCTTCATTTTCGTAGCGCCGCCACGGTTCCTGCGAATCATCTTGCGAATCATCCATGATGTGGGGGAGTCCCGTCCACGACCCCTCGACCCCGGGCAAGGCCGACTATACCACCGGAGGACCTTCTGCATGCTGGTCGACGATCCTTTTGGACGAACTAGATTGCTTTCTATACCGATGCCTTTCACTCCGGGCCATATTGACACCTGTCATCTTTGTGTCGTCACATTAGCTCCAATTGACCGGTTCAGCATACCTTCTGCATTCGGGTCTGGGGGATTGACGGTGCATCCGTCGCTAGGTCCGGCAGGTTTCCGGGGGCGGCATGGTCTGCGCAGAATGCAAGACCTGTGACGAACGATGCCGCCCTACCCAGGTATCTCAGCGTCTGGCCAAACCCCGTGGCGCGGAAGAAGTTTGGGGAGCCAGTCAATGAGGTTTCCGGCCAAACAGTTTCGGGTGCAGCGTATCGACAACCTCAGTCATCATGAGCGGCTGAACGCCATGAAACATGACCTCCATTCCTCTCCCTGTCTGTCCGTTCATCTGTCTACCTAGGTCATCAGTCGGGTCAAGTGCCTTCCGCCACCATTGATCGCATTCCCATCGCAAACGCTTCAGCTATCTCTCCAATAGAAGTGCCGATGATCGGTTGCTGGTCATCCTCTGGCTCCTCTGAACTCCTACGACGTAGCCAGACGTCAGATGCTTCCGCAGTCTGGCGAGTCTGCGTGTCTGGGATGTCGTTCACCCCCATCATACGTATACGTATGCTCGCCACACGTCATTCTGTGCCATCTGTGCCTGTCAGGCTCGAGCAATGAATTTCCTCATTGGGGTGTTGTTCGTCGGTCTGCGTGCTCGCCGAAGGGTCCCCCAATTCACATGCGGCTGCTAAGAATAGGGTGTCATCCATCCATCCGCCCCTCAACACCACGATGGGGCTGTGGCGCAGCAAGAAAGACACACCAGGAAGGACGGACGAGTATTATTGGGCAAAATTCTGCTACAGGCTAACACGGAATTAGAATAGCAACTGACCCTGAAAGTCAAGGATGGCATTGTGAGAAGTGCATTAAATCACAAATCAGTGTCCAGTGAGGCGTAAGTCCAGGAACGAACCCTTAAAGTTCTGCTGACCGATAGACGATAACATGGACAATTCCGGCTGTTGTGATCTGCTGCTGCTGACAGCCACCCTCAGGAACAATGCTCATATGCTTATACGATGACGCGTTTCAACTGCCGATTCATCGTCAGCGGAACTGAACCCATCTTCATTGCAGGTGGCGATGTCGAACAACATCACGCCTCAGCAGCTCAGCTGAGAAAGAGTCCTCGGAACCCGATCCCTGACAATCCCTACTTTCAAGTTCGCGAACTTTTCCAGCCACGGCTATCTCGGGTCACGACGAATATAGATGACGCTACGATCTGGATGATGAGCCCGCGGCCACCTCGGCGAAGTACCTCGTGCATCTCTAGACCATGGGTCCTTGTTGGGGTCACTGACGGCCCAAAGTTAGATGCGTTTTACGAGGCTCACGATGGCGACTAGTATCCATCGCTGAAGCTAGTTGCCAAGGCCCTCGGCGAGAACTGTAACAATGTGACAGAAACGCTCTTGTGGCACGGCGCCCCGAGCGGATACTCGCTTGTACCGGATGTACCATGACTCTCGGGAGGTTTTTGCTGTTTGATCGTCCGGGCGCACGAGGGCCACGTGTGCTGTTCAGGGTCTTGGACGAACCCATCGTCTGGAATATAACATCAGATGGTACGACTTTACTCACTAATAATGCTGGCGTCTGACAAAAATAAGTTTGTGTTAGTCAACAAGCGCTCGCTAAATCGGCTAGCACATACCCGCGTGCAACGTGCAGGTGGCTGGCTACCTACATGTAGGTGGTACAGGTGCTTTTCTCAAGGGCGGAGGCGCGGAGGCGCGGCTGCGGCGTTGGTGATTTGCAGCTCTCACTTCTCTGCTCTCTCAGGTGCATCTGAGGCAGGCAGAAAGGCCGACTTTGGCTTATACCAATAAGAGCCCCCGAATAGCTTGGGTAACGCCTACGCGGACTTCAGAATCGCCATTGCAAATACCCAAGTAACTAGCTGCGAGCTCGGCAGCTCCAAACTCAGCCTCCGATTATATTGGGTCACACCAGACTCGGTGTCACGGCTTCGCGGCTGAGCTGGGTTGAGCTGAGCTGAGCTGAGCTGACCCTGAGCTGAGCTGACCCTGAGCTGAGATGGGGGCCAACACCAGCCACCCAGGTCACTCCTGGCAAAGTCCAACGTCTCTACTTGGGAGAACCCGGCTATCTGTGCAAGACTATCTTCCGTCACTGAGTTCCGCTCCGGTGAGGCAGTGCATGACTGTTTTGCATATATATGCCCCTCGCAATAGAATCGGAATGACACCAGGCGGGCGATTGCTAATAATAAATATCTGCGACGGCGGTGCTTCATCGCGTGACGGGAAGATAACGGACCTCCGAAGCACAGACCCGGGCGGAATGTCTTCGGTGCCGGTTTTGTCATGCGCTCTCCTCCAGTAGGCGGGCGATAGCTTTGTACTGTGATCCTAGAGTAAGTTCAGCGTCTTCTTCTGGTCACCCATAAAAGGCAACCCTAACCTCGGCTGTAAAGCTGAGTAGCCTTCTCTATTACGCGCTTAATTTTGACTGTGCTTCCCTGACGTCTACATCCTCCTGCGCTACGCCTGCAATCGAGGTCGCACCCCAGGATCGGCAGTGCGTGCAGCCACTAAACTAATGCGGTACTTGACTTGAATTATGAATCTCACTGCAGCTTACGGCATACGGCGTACAGGACCCCCAATGCACTCGGAAAATCCTCCGCATGAAGAGTCTGCAGACTGCAGCATGTCAGCTCACTGATTGTACCAGCCAAGACAGCGCTTAATTCATCGTCACGAGATGTTCTGAACACCGCCTGATCCGCGCCACCAAGACATTGATTGGAGCCTAGGGTCTAGATTCGATAAGTGAGCAGAGGAAGGGCGAATACGACGTCGTGGTTCAAGCTGAAACGCGCTGAACGTGTCTCTCAACGCCTTGGTCCTTCCTTCGAAAGCCACCAAGGTGCAGCCGCCTCAGTCGTGCGTCAAAGGTGACTTTTTGCGAAGCCATTGCGGCCGTTGAGCTTTGGGAAGGAAGGGCGAGAGCTCGTATACAGCCCTTTTCAAACGCTCTATGCCGCCTTGCGACAATCTCACATTACCCCCTGTTCGTCTTGATCACTAATAAGGGATGAGGGATGAGGGATGAGGCTCCCCGAAGTATCACTACGCACAGAGTACTGTACTGTAGTCTTGTCATTACGACCCCGAGACTTCATCTAGTTCTGCACATTGATCCGCATGGCGTGCTGCCTACCTCTTAGCTGTGAACCCCTTTTCCTGACCTTGCCTACCCAGCTCCATCCTCGGCAGTGCCTTGCGGCAAGGCTGCACCGCTTGCGCGTGCGGCTTGCGCCCCTGGCCCCTATTCCATTGCTACTTAACGGCGCTGACATTGCTTCTGGGGTAGATGGACAAACGGCACTCGGGACTCAGCTCGCGGCGCGTTGGCGGGCCGCAGGGCGGGCTGCAGATGTATCTGTCTTGGTGGAAGGGGGAAGGGAAAGCTCTGACTGGGATACGTGGCTCGCCTCGGCGTACCTCTTCGAACGGTCAGGCCTGAATCGCTCGCTGAGTGCACGATGCCACCACCAAACAGCAAGAAAGCCAGCGAGAAGTTCGCAATCCCAAACCTACCTTAGACATCGCCCTTGGCTATCGACCGAGCAACGGCCAGAATCAGGCAGGCGAGAAAGCCGAAGCAGCCCGCTGTGATGACATTCTACCAGTCGAGGCCTTCGACAAACCGGACGTCCCAGCCGACGGAACTACCTCTCCGCGGACAGGCTTCGAGCTGCCTCCGAAGCTTCCTGGGAGACCTGTCGTAGAGGAAGAGCGTCACGTCCGCGTAGCCAGGGTGTTCAAATAGATGCATGAGCATGTTCTGCCCGATGGGAGGGATCGCGTCCGCGGGGGTCGGGTCGTATGCATACTCGGCAGCATGGCTATCAGGCGTCATCGCTGGACAGAGCTGGATACCCATCTGCTTGCTCCGGAAGACCTCGAACTGGGGGAGATCTCATCAGCCTCGCTCGGTCTGTAGGTTGTGTTATTCAGCCCTACCTGGACGAAAGCCAGTGCGGGAGGCGGAAGGCCAGCTGGCCCAAATCGACCTTCCAGCTCACTGCATAAACGGGATGTAGAGCAGAATTTAGCACGTATATATGGTGTCACGGTACTAGACGATAGCCCCACAGCCCCAGGGGTTAACCCCTATATATACCAGATCCTGTCATTTAGCTAGCTTCATAGTTTCCTTCCTTCTTTACGTACGTCAACAAAGTCATTTCTGGAGTCACCAGCAGTCGAACTGTGACATATGGTTAATTTACAACACGAGCATCTGGCACTGCCAGCATAGCTTTAATAGCCTAACGTTTAAAAGATTATAAACACGGGGCTTGATTGGGCGTACCTGCATAAGGAAGTTTGGGTGACTATCTATCCCTTTAAACGCGTCGTCTCTAAGCTAAGATAGCCACTGCTATATCCCTCGTGCTATCCGCTCCTCAAGTCCCCCGCAGCACCATAATCTCACTTTCTCAGTCGTATATGCCTACGGGCGGTTAGGTGCTTTGTTTGCATACAAGTGGTTTGAAATCATTGAGTTATTTCTGTACCTCAAACCAACGGCGATCGTACGCAGCGAGTTTCAACCAGTCTTCCCAAACGGAATGTCCAATAGCAAACAGGGGCCTAGATGGGACGTAAAACAGCCGTCTGCAGTTCAAGTGCCACAGCTACAAGGACCGTTTCCTTTCCGAGACTATAAGCCCCGAGAACGTCGGACGAACAACATTCAGGCAATCTTTCCGTTATACGGAGGTTCGTGCCTCTTTGAGAGACAGCGATGAAGCAACGGAGGACGACTAAGATCAAGTTGGAGATTAGGAAGTCATGAAAGGGGACCTGTGAGTCGCCAATCTATTGTAAGCGATCAATTTCAACAAAAAAGCTTTACCCACACATGTGATTTTCTTCCTTTTTGTCCAAACTTCATATTTTGGACAGACACCATCCACCAGCATCACGTCACTCAAACAGTCGAGGCTCTTTCATTTCACCAACATCACTCAAACGATCGACCATCTTTCACTTAGCTGCTAGTCGCTATGGACGACCACTCAGCTCCACCACCTCTGTCCTTCGAACAGGCCGAGCCGCCGCCTTGTATTCCTGAATGGAACGACGATTTGATGTTGAACATCGATGACTTCTGGGGATAAACTGTGCCATCTGCGGCACCAACATTCTGGGTTCCGAGGTGCTTGATGACAGACTGGCGCTGCCGCCTCGTTGCCGTGAGCGATCCGGCTCGCGAGTACGAGTACATCAAGTCCGCGGCCAACAAGGGGTTGAACCGCATCCAGGCACATCGCAGCTACCTATCATCGCCGGACCGAGAGCCGGCTATCTATCCAACCAGGGATGGACTATTATTATGACGAGTTTAAAGGATGCCGGTTCTCTCTGCAGGGCAAGGTGGTCGCGCACATGTACGCCGCTAAGATGCGAGGTAATGGCGGCCCCAATGGCGAAAACGTTTCGTACCTGCCAATGCACGACGCGTGTCTTCGAATTTCCATGTAACCTCTGGTGCAACGTCAGGTGGTATGGCAACAAGCAGCTACCAAGACCACAATCACGCCCCTTCGCGCTCTGTTTGGCGTGCTGCGTCATCGCTACCAAGTCGCGTTTGAGCAGAAACTCAGCCAAGGGTGTGAACACGACTCTGAACCTGCCGGTTACGCCGGGTTTGGAGACAGAACCATATAGTTCTGCGGCTTTCAGAACACAGACGGCTCTGAGAGGGGCTACTACGACCCGGATATCGTCCAAGTTGATACCTTTCGCGTAAGACAAGGTCGCTCATACTTGCAAAACGATCAGCTGCGCGTTCCAGCCCTGACGGAGACGCTCTTGACCAACCTAGAGCCTCGAATTTGTGTCAAGCCAACTGGCAACGGAAAGCGCTCCAAGGAGCAATTCGCCAGATTGCCTAAAGAGCTAAAACGTTTGGTCTTTAAGTTTGTTTGTTTGTTTGTTTGTTTTGTATTTAACGTGGGGGGTAGCTCCTCAGTAGTGCAAACCACGCCTCCCAGAGCCATTGCATCGCAAGGTTGTAGAGGTGTCAAATTAGATACATTCAGATCCGCGCACGAGCCTATCCTCGCTGTAGCGGTACCAATCTGGAGTGTTCAGATGGTTTTAGTCAATACCCAAGCACGATTCCGTCAGAAAAACCTCCTATCTAGTGACAAAGCGACCCAGTGAACCTCAGTTCTCTGGTGTACATATCGTTCCAGTAGCCGTTCGATATATGTCGCATTGGTGGGTGGAGTAGGTGTTTGTTATCTGCTGGCGAGGGAAACCACAAGGGGGAAAACCTCGCAGGAGTGGGTATTGTGGAGACAAGCTGCTTGGCTATCGGGCTCTGCGATAAAATGGGGCCTCTCCACTGTCGTGTGCTGGTTATCGACTCGCACAAGCCGGGTCAGAAAGGGGGCCATAGCAGGATTCGAACCCACTTGTTCTCGTCGCCCACCGCACAAACGAGAACACAACCAGGCGCATTTGACCATTGCGCCATACGGCCTTTTTGGTCTTTAAGTACTTGGCCGAAGCCCAGGACCGGCCTCTAGAGTGTACGAGACTACTGGGCACGCGCTTCTGGAAGGCTATGTTTGACGAACACTCTGCCAGCCTGGTCTGGCTGTGGTATCTCGATCATAAGCTGATACGTGGGGCCGACCCGAGTTGACCTCGGATTGGGAGCTGTTCTTCAGGAAGCTGTCACAGAGGCCCAAGACACCTAACTGCTACCCCGTCAATCTCGACGGTGGCTACGAGTGCTTCACATGTCTCCTGGCCAATGTTCCGCCGGGTCTTAAATGCCAACGGCGACTGTGCGCCCTTCTTAAAGAGATGTACGTTGGTGACAAGAGTACGCGATGGAGCAGTGACCAGTGGAGATGGCGCATCGACGGCCGTTCCGTGCATGAATGGTACCGCCCTGTGCCCGAGATACCTGTGTACCGGGACCGAGAAGGACAGCCGCTCGGGGATGACGAGCTGCGGGCGCTTTGATCGTATCCTTTACCACAGCCTCCTCTGCCAGTCATTTAGCGACGGTGGCATGTGACAGGATCGTTCTGTGAGATTGATCTTTGCGAATTTTACTTGGCTCGGGATATCCCTCCACTTCGGCAATTCCAGGCAAAGTACTGTGTACGGTCTTCGAACGAGGGTTTGGGTGATTAATATGGCAGGCCAAGATATCCAGCCATGGTACGTCAGCTCCAACACGATGAGCAAGAAGTCTTCCTGGCCAGACACGCTCTGTTTATATCACCCAAAAGGGCTCCCGTAAATTGGGGGTTCTCTGAAGATTGACAGCACGCCTCTTGATGGCATATGGCGCTCATCATGGATGCACCATGGGGCAGTGAGTCTATCACTTCCACCACATCAACCTGGTCATCACTAGAACCCGCCATGGCGGCAGTTCTAGTACTCTTCTCAACTCCACGTGGTCTATTGACTACCCACTCATCGTCAATACCACCTCTCAATGGTTTCCAGCCACTCCAACAGTGAATGTGTAAGTAGCCTCATTTTACAGCTTACCCACCTTCAGTCTGGGATCAGCAACGAAAGCTTGCGTCAAGACACAGACTGCTTATTACAGACTGCCTATTCCAGGTGTGAGATGGCGGCCTAAGTAAGATTGCCACTTCACTGACTGACCCCTTAGCCCAATTCCCGGTTCCAACCAGCGTCCCCCCGTCGCTCACCCCAACTGTAGCTGGCCCCGTCCATCGACATAGTCCTTACTTCGCCTCCCTTCACGTTCTCTTCCCTGATCTCCCCCGAGACGTGGACGGTGGCAACCATCGCACCGAGTTTCGACCCCTAGCCCGCAATTGGCTACGATGACACTGCCTTCACATGGATCACACCAACGGGAGATCACAGCTCGACCACATTCCTGCACGCAGCGGGCGGCTTTGCTCATCGGAATGCCCCAATAGCTGTAACTACACCACCTGCAGCACAGTGCCCTGGTATGCTTGATGATCAGACAGAGTTCTGTGATCCGGATGAACCGAACTGCGTCGGATGTATAGGAGACGATCCGGACTGCGATAGTCAGGACGAAGAACACGAGGCTCCCAAGTGGACAAAGCGGCCAAGGGGCTATAGGCGAGACGGCTTGCCTACTCCAGCTGGGAAGCCAGTTCTATCCAGCGGTCCGAGTGGTGGGAACACTTGTGCCCACTCAGGTACCCCTACCACCTTCCCATGGCAAATTCCGGCGAACTCAATGATCAGCTACGACCTCGGATTATCCGCTCCCGCCACGAACATGTTTCTCCAGGGCACGAGAAACGACGTGTCACGCTTGGTATAGCAGAACGAGCGACCCAGCCAACTGCCGTCCTTCGATAGTAGTGATATCAGGTGCAGAAATGGTGGCCAACCAGTGGCTACGGGCGGAAACGCCGACACCAAGAATCCGGTCAAAGCTACCCTTGTGATCACAGTTTCGGCCCATACCTATAACTATTTTAAGCGCCAGCACCCTGTGCTCTCGGTAAGTGGTGTTGTTATTTTTACCAGGTGATGTCTATCATGGTCTTTGATACTAAATTTGTCGCATGAAGCGCTCCATCTACCAGGACCAAATAAGCCGATATCTGTTCGCTCTATTGTCATTGCTATTAATAGCGGTAGGGATTTTTCTATTCTCACTTCAACGGCGGGGCCATATGAATGGGACACACCTATATGTAGAACAGTCTCCCCACTAAAAGGCCACCACTTGCACCCACGTATAACTGTTACGGGGCAGCTTAGAGACCAGGATGAATGTGCCTATCAATATCTCCAATTGTATAAAAATACTTTAATAAAGAAGGGAAAAAGGATATATAACAACAGCTAATTTTAATAAGGTGATAGATCTTAAATCCCGACCTATAATTATTAATTTATATAACGAGGTAACGCGTTTATTTAAGTTACGTAATAAAGGTATATATATTATATAAATAGATAAGTATTATTATAATAGCCTGATCGATATAAAGGCTTTAAATAATATTTTAAAATGAAGTATCTACTTTATGAAAGACTTAATTTAAATATTATAAAATAATTAATAAAATCTTTTTTTGATTCCTAGTTATATAACTATAAAATAAATATAAAATATTGATTAATTAATTTAACCCTTTTGATTAACGTAATATTTATTAAGTAAACCTATTAAGTATTTAATTTTAAATACTTTTTTGTAAAAAAATAGAACAATTTTAGAATCAAAGCTTCGCTTTGACCTTCCAGATATAATAGATTAAACTTTTAACGAAAATACGAGATTGTAGATTTTTCTTTATTTATCACTTATAATACGGATTGTTAAAAACCAAATCTTTAAGCGTATTAAGCTAGGTAATTATACGGTAATAAGCGATTTTTTTTGGAAACAATTCAATTTAACGGCTAAAAGATACAAGATTACTATTATTAATAAAATATATAACTTATAAAGCATAAATAAGTATATATAAACGTTATAAATATAATATAATATAAATATATAAATTGATTTAAATAATAGTTATTATAACCGTTTAATGATAAAAGGCAAAATTTATTTAATTTCTAAAAATAGTATTAATTAAATAAATTTAAAGCTTAACCAGTATATAATTAACGGTAATAAAAATCACTTCTTTAAGTTATTATGACGTAATCTCGTTGAAAACTAGCCGTTTATATAAATTTCGCTTTAAAATAACAAACACATATAACTTTATTTAATATAATAATCGATGTTATCATTATAATTTATATAAAGTCGTCATTAAACTTAACGTTAGCCTTTTCAAAATTGAAATTGTTTATTACAAAACTATGAAACTTATATTTCTGTTACTTAGCCGTTTAAAAGCTATTTAAATAAAATAGTTTATTATTATTAACTATATATAGTGCCATCTTTATCGACAAGTACTTGGTTCTTTAAATTTATTAAACTATTACGAACCAACAAATACCACGGCCTGTTAGAGGGCAAAGGGGAGTACACCAAGCACCAATGGAATCAGAAGCCAGGAACGGAACAATGGGTATTACGGATTACATGACAAAAGGTCACGTGACGGATCACGGGATCACGGAGTGAGCCAGTGAGCATCACTCTGGGACAAGGTGATCCTACTCCATCAGTGAGGGAGAGATTGGATATATAAGGACATATATTTCCCAACTAGATAGATAGACAGTCTCTACCTCAGTGATCAATCTAAGCATCTTAGCCAACCCTAAGGTGGTAGAAATCTCCTGACGACTCGACTACACAGTGAACCCAGTTCAGACCAAGGCCCAGCATCTGAGTGTCTTCTAGTTGACAGAAGCCTCTATCGTCTTTTGTGTTGACTTACCTCAGAACATAAACCTTATAGAACCCTTTAGCCTTATAGGTTAGACGGCTCATCACATAAAGGTAGAATTTTAATATATATTTTAAAAACTATTAATGTTTTTAATACTCTTAAGTATAAAGCGATAAAAGACCCGTTATTATATATACGTCAACTATACTGTTTTATTTATTATATTTAAATATAACTTTAAACTATTTTTATTTTTATTTTTATTTTTATGTAGCCGCAGCTTAGCCGTTTACCGTTTAAGATTCCTTACGTTTAAAGTTTACGCTTTTATTTGTTTATTTACTAATTTACTTAGCTTTAAGTTTATAGTTACGGATTAGTCTTTCGACTTTTTATTAATATTCGTTAATATCTTCATTGAAAACGAAACTAATCGCTTAATCGATTAACGTAAAGGTTTTTTTAAGCTTAAAAAATAATAACGTAAATACGTAAGTATATTGTTTTATATCGTAACGAGTAGGCTTATAAGCTTTTTACTTTTACGAAATATAAGGAACTTTAATATTATTATAAGCTTAATATTATAGCTATAATAAGGTTTTATTTTAATAGTTTTAAGCGACGTTATTTTATATACGTAAAGACTAAGATTATTAAACTATCGTTAAGTATAATTCGAAATAGTTATTAAATAATCTTAACGTTTTAAACTTAATAGTTAAAACGAGACGAAAATATTTAGGTTATTTATATATAAAAAGTTTTAACTTTTGTTACACTTTTTATAATGTAAAGCCGTAAACGTTATTACTATTAAATTTCACGCTTATATTAATAAGTGATATTAAAGTCTTTTCTCGAGCTTAGCGCCCTTTTTACCGGACCGCGTTAACTTACGTTAAGAGTTAATTTTAAAAGCTTAATTAATAGTAGCGCGGGGTAAAATACGCGCTTTTAACTACGTAATTAAATACTTTATAAGTTAACGATTAAAATAATAGCTATTAATAAGCTAGGCTAAAGTTAAAAGCTATATTAATAATTTCTTAGTTATTATTCTAAGCTTAAAGGTACAACCTCTTAAACTAGTTACTTTTTCCCCTTATTATTAAACCTTTAATCTTATCATATTCAAATAACTTATAGTTGGAAACTAAAATGATTCGATAAAATTAAGAGGTATATAATTAAGATTCTATTTTATTTTGATCCTAATTGTAAAATGTTAATAAATACAATGTTTATAAATATTTATTCTTTAAATAACTCGATTTTTCTTCAAATCAAACGATCTTTTAAATAATATACTTTATATTGTTACAAGTTAGCGCATAGTTAGCATTTTTAATGAATCATTTATAAAATAACTTTTTTTACTTAAAGTTTATTCCTTGCTTATTATGAGCGCCTTTATCATAAATTTATGTTTAAATTATCTTGATACTTTCGTTCTTATAAGCAGAATTTAAGTTTTATATTTTATGGCTTTAAACGGCCGTATATAAAACTACTATTATTTATAGTAGTAACTACCTTACCGAGGGGTTTTAAAGTATATAAAAAAATTACTTCAACGTATTAAAGTTTATAATACTTAAAAAAGAATAGATCTTTTATTAAATTAAAAAAAGATAAAATACACGGGTTCTTTTACCTTTTTAATTAAGCTTAAAAGTATTAACTTTTAACCTTTTTTACCGCGAAACTCGCGCGAGTAAATCAAAAAAACCAAATTAAAAACAATTTAAATCTCGTACTGACGATACTATAAGATTTATTAATTACAAATATATAACTATATAAATTAATGAACATTATAATGTTAAGTGTTAACGTTATTTTATATATATTTTAAAGCGACGTATAAAGCGAAGAGAGAAAAGAAAGAAATCACCTTATAAAGTAACCTTTAAACATATTAATATAACGATAAATACCTTATTATATACGTTATAAGCTTTACTTATTCAACAGCTTATAATTATAACGTAATTATAATAAGAAGCCTTATTTTTAATAAAAATGTAACAAAAAGCTAAAGCTTTTTAAAAAGCACTAGCGTATTTTATTTAAGATTTAGCGGCTAATAATATAATAAGATATGCTATTTAAAATTGAATATACGACGGTCAAAGTAAGAAAAAAAGGACTTTTTATTTAGTTAAAAGGCTTAAAAACAAGTAAAAATTTTAAATTTTAAAGTATAATAAGTACGGTTATTATAAAAACCAGTGCCTTAGCGAGAAATCTAGTAATTATATAAGTAATAAAAATTAAAAACCTTATAATATTAAGGTTAAGCCTTTTTTAAAAAATGTTCTATGAAAATCTTAGGTTTAAACGACTATTTTTAAAGCATTATAACAAGTAATAAAAAGATTTATTCATAAGTAAAGATGTTAAAAAAAAAATTAAGCGTTATAATAATTACGGTATAATAACTATTTAAATCTTAAAAAATAACGAGGAAAGAATCGTAATAATATAATAGAATTTAAAAGGAAACGACTATTAATTAACACGGTAATAATAAGGTTTTAAATAAATTTAGTTATAACGTTATAATAAAACAACTCGTAAAATATTATAACTAGGTATAATAAGTGAATAAACGAAATTTGAATCGTTGTAATTAAAGTTAATTAAAAAAAGCGAAAGGTCTTTAAATCGATCAAAAATTATTAAAAATAATATATTTATAGAAGAAAAGGCAAAAACGAGCGTGTAAAAAAGTCTCGTTAATTATTAGCTATGAATTAAAGGAGTTAACGGGGTAGGTAAATGTTTTATTCATTAAGAATTTGATCGTTATGATAATTATACCGCTTATTTAATAAAGCGATAATACTACTATATTTAAATTAAGTTTTTATTGCGTTTTAAGCGTTTTTAAGCTTTATTAATCTCTTAGCGTTAATATTATATAATTAACTACTTTAAAACGTAATTAACGGTTTTAAACCTATTTCATTATAAAGGTAAGTAATAAAGTAGCTAATAACACTTAATAATTATAAGGATATATAAGAATATTAATGCTTATTAAGTGTGTTATAGCTAGTAGCAGGCTATAAGGAGGTAAAAGAGGTAAAAGGAACCTTAAAAGGGTGAAAAGGGGGGCATTCGGGCGTTGTTTAGCAGGTTTGTTATTTAGTGTTAGGCAGCCGGGCATTAAAGGGCTCCCACAGCTGTATTTAGGTGGGAATCTCCCCTATGGGTCCATAGTTAAGACACCGAGCATCATCCATCCCATCCTGACCCCATCTAAACCCCTGATCTCGACACATCGCAATAGGTGGAACTTTTTCGTTGGTATCAAATTCACAGGTCGCTCAAATGGTGTTAAACGGCATGCAAGCACAGTGGCGTTCAGGGAGGTGGCAGTGCACCAGCAGTGCTCTTAGGGCAATTGGTGTGCTGTAGCACACATCAAAAGAATCTTGAAGATACACACATGTACCAGAAATCATCAAAATGCACGTTATTGGCCATCTCAGTGGCGGTTACGGGCATCATACCTAGGTATTGGATTCAGACCTATACCCTGGAACCGCTGACCATCACCATTTTTGCCACCCGCAGGAAGGCACATTGCCACCACCTCAGCTACTGTGTGGGCTACGCCTCGTAAGTCACGACATAAAAGCCTCGAACGTTCGTGGTTCACTGTGTAGTTGAGTTTGTCAATATAACCCCGATACTACCTACATTTGGCACCTCTAGCACATCCCCCAAGTCACGGAGCTGACGTCAAAACACGAGGCTTCAAGATGAAGTTCCAATCCATCATCACCTTGGTGCCCCTCCTGTCGCCAACCATTGCGGTCTCGGTGCAAGAAGTCACACAGCAGATTTCTAGAAGGCATCTTTCGATCAAATCCGACGCCAAAAGTGGGAGAGTACCGTGGCCTGGTGGGGAAGTCACCTGGTGCATCGACAATCCTCGGGATTATCCCGACTACAAGGTGTTCATAGACATGGCAGCAAGCGCCATAAATTTGTGGATGAAGGCTCTGGGAGACGATACTAGCCTTGAGGTCTCGCCTTCAGACAACGCAAAGCCGGAATGCGACTCGGACAACGCCGGCGACATGCTCCGTATCAGATTGAACAACAAAGACAACAACCAAGCGTATGTAGGGTTCACGAAGGGAAACAACTATATGGATTTCGACCCTTTTCGAGCGGAGTCGAAAATCAGTCTGGTCGCGAAACTGGCACACGAGTTCGGCCACGTCTTCGGCTTGTATCACGAACACCAGGATCCCACGACCTGGGGAGAGCTGAAGATCAACTACGAGAATCTGAGGGACTGGAAGAAGTTCGAAAAGAATGGGAAAAAGATGGATCACAAAACAGCCTCGGAAGCTGGCTTTTCGGCCGCGAATCTGCTGCCTTATGATAAGATAGCGTTGCCTGGGATGGACTCGGACGGTCGTCTTGACTGGAAGTCAATCATGTTATACCCCTCGGAAAATTACGCCAAGAACCCAAAGAAAGGCGCGCTGGTCAAGGCCAATGGCCAGTTGATCCAGAGAAATCTCAAGCCATCGAAGAAGGACGCCAAAAGAGTTTGTGAGCTCTACCCGGCTTCAAATGACGAGTCGGACGACTAGACAGTGCGACGTCACCCCATTGTTTAGGGTATTTCAGACCCCCGTGGTTTGGACGACTGATGGACATTAGAGGTGTTCCTCGTTGGATCTCTCGTTTGTATTATAGCATTTTGGTAGTGAGAATAGTGGCTTTTCATAAGGAGTTTTATCATTTGCACTCAAATATCTTACACACCGGTGTATTGCTAGGGCTTAACACTTGATTAGACCTTGATCGCACCGGGGATTGCCCAAAATACCTAGACGGTGGTGAAAAAGGAGGCGGCCGCTAACAGTGCTGTAGGGTGGCTGTCCTGGCTTGGAAACGAGGTGGTAAAGGGGATAGTTATTCTAGCTTCATTCATTATGCAGGTGCATCTAATCAAGCCCCATGTACACAATAATTTGAAACTTGAGTGACTAAAGCTATGCTGGCAGTGCCAGACATTCACAAGTTGTGAATACACCACATCTACGTGCTAGTTCACGGGAGCACGATAGCCTCAACGCCCATCCTCGGCCAACCTGGCGGCGTGGTTCCCCATTGAACAAACCACTGCAAATATACGTAACGCCCACTTTTGGCTGGAGCTCTATTCTCGCAAGAGAGTTCCTCCGTGATAGAGGTTACGCCACATGTTTACTTGTTTACACATAATGAATCACCCTCTTTGCTTCTTGGGGCAAGCTCCAATGAATGACCGATCCGGCTGTATGGCGCAATGGTCAAATGTGCCTGGTTGTGTTCTCGTTTGTGCGGTGGGCGACGAGAACAAGTGGGTTCGAATCCTGCTACGGCCCCCTTCTGACCCGGCTTGTGCGAGTCGATAACCAGCACACGACAGTGGAGAGGCCCTATTATCGCAGAGCCCGATAGCCAAGCAGCTTGTCTCCACAATACCCACTCCTACGAGGTTTTTCCCCTTATGGTTTCCCTCGCTAGCAGATAACAAATACCTGTTTTATCCACCAATGCGACATATATTGAACGGCTACTGGAACGATATGTACACCAGAGGACTGAGGTCCACTGGGTCGCTTTGTCACTGGACAGGAGGTTTTTCTGACGGAATCGTGCTTGGGTATTGACTAAAAACCATCTGGACACTCCAGGTTGGTACCGCTACAGCGAGGATGGGCTCGTGCGCGGATCTGAATGTATCTAGACTGACACCTCTACAACCTTGCGATACAATGGCTCTGGGAGGCGTGGTTTGCCCTGTTGAGGGACTGCACCCACGATAAATAAAATCAATCAATCATCAAATCAATCAATCAATGACCGATCCATTTTGCGTAAAAACTCTATCATCGACACAGGGCGGTACCAAATATCCCAATGACAGGCCGTAGAAGCTCTAGAGGAGTTTCGAGGGCTCCTGTCTCGTTTGTGGTAACATCGAGTCTACCTACCTATGTATTAGCAGTGACGTGGTAACCCAGGCGTCACCACCGTGACTCCATTTCAGCCTGGCTTTCCCTAACTAATAATTCAAAGTACACCGAGTGAAGTAACTTCAGCTTCCAGGACACCTCAGGCAATTTCATTTAACGGTTGGATTACTGTCTTCCAAACAGAGTGTGTCGGTTCGATTCCGACTGGTCGTAATATTATCCATTTAGATTATGAACATTTCAGCTTAAAAATAATTATAAATTTATAATATAGATTCATCTTGAAATCTCTGCTGAAATAAAAGAATTAGTAGCTTAATTGGTAAAGGACCCTCCTGTCACGAGGGTAGATATCGGTTCGAGGCCGTTCTAATTCGAAGATGAAGGAAAAGTTGCTATAGGTAGGGTAAGATATTTGCTAAATATTGTGTTAATTACACATGGGTGTTCGAATCACCTCTTTTCCGAAAAATATGCTTTTTTAAGAGTATAGTTTAATGGTAAAATAGGGAGCTTCAACTACTCTTGGTTGAATTTCAACAATCTGTCCCCGATAGATAGCTTTTCTTGAAGGACCAGATGGATGACCCCAAGGTCATACCGCCGCAACAACGGGGATGGGCCCATGAGCGGGACTGACTGTACTTATTATCTTGAGACCTCCACAACCCTGCGATGCAGAGGCTCTGTGAGGCGTTGTTTGCACTACTGAGGAGCTACCCCCCACGTTAAATACAAAACAAACAAACAAACAAACATACTCTTGGTTGAAGAGCCGGGTCTGCGAGAGCGCTGGGGATGTTGTAGCGACATGTTACTATCGTATTGGCGGCAAACTTAAGCGTTTGCAGTGCTGACTGGTAGCATTCTCTGAGGGAGACTGTGTTAGATATACGTAAGATAGGTAGAGCTAATGAGTCTTAGCTTGAATACAATTTACAGATATCCAAATCGCCTGATAATCTTCCGCTGACCCTTTACAGCCATGGCCGTTTTCTCCTGGAGGCTCCCCATGCGCTGCCTCGGGTATAATAAGTCCTACCCAGGGTAGGTGAATTATTCGTGCTACCTGATCTATCCTGTCGACATTGTCAAGACTCTAGGTAACGCTCGGAGGAAACCGAAGACATTAGGCCCTTGTGTTCCATATCTGGGCAGACAAGCAGATATATAAACAAGCAACCAGGTCACTAGCAGATTGGTCTAATTATAAGAGGAAAGGAGAGCAGGCATCACGTTCAGCTTGCTGCTTACGTGCTATAATTACATGGTTCCAGGGGTAATCCAACCAACAGCCAAGATTGACTCACCCCTTGCATCCAATCGGATAATTTAGTCAACGTGGTGGATATACTCCTTCGCCCTGTTCCGGGCCCGTCGGCCACCGAGTTTACGACTGCCAGTCAAGATACTCATTACCGTACTTGGAACCTTTCACAGCGACACAGCGTCTACGGACGACCACGTCACGCCGCGTACCGATGGATACGTACTTCTTATCCCAAGAGCGAACCGCTACTCCATATATAACGATAGCTATTTCGAAGTCGCTTGTGGGTTGTTGGTGAATAGATGGACGGCGCAGCAGCGACCTGTTTCATGACATGCTTGGAAGTTGATTATACATACGTCTGGGTCGTGATGGACTGGAAAGCAATATGGTCTCCTCTTTCTAACCTGCTACATCCAAATGGGACCCTTAACCTTCAAATCTCCAGGTGCATCGTAACGGAAACCCAACTCCTCCAGCGTCTTCGCCCTCCTCCCCGTCTTCTCAAACTGCATCTTCGCCTGCGCATAGATACTACGCTGCCACAATTCCTCATCGCCCCAAAACAGCGGCTCCTTACCCTTACCCTCCATTCCTCCCGCGCCCATGTTCGACTGCATAGCCCACTCGTGCATCTCATTGATATACCGCGCATCGCCGCCCTTCGGAAAAACATGGAACCCCTTCCCCTCCTCGCCCCTCTCGCCATCCCTCCGCTCCCAGTCCCGCAGCTCGTCCCGCGCCGGCAGCGGCAGGGCGTTCGACCACAGGCGCGCCAGCACCGCGCCCTGCGCCTCGGCGAGCGGGAACGGTATGACCTTCATCGGCAGGCCGGGAAACGCAAGCGTCGGGTGCACAATGTGCAGCAGATGCCGCGCGAGGCCGTGGACGCGACGCCCGTCGGTGATTAGGGGCGGGTCCGCCTCGACCGAGGCGAGGGAGAGGGAGAGAGACGGCAGGAAGGGGAATGTGTAGAGGTATCCCGTGCAGAAGAGCACGGCGTCGACGTCTCGTTCAAGGCGTGGTTCACCACCGTCGTCGGCGCCGAGGGCGCGAAACTCGACGCCCCTGTCTTGCACTCGGAACTGCGATATCTCGCCCACCTCCTCGACGCCGGGCCCCAGGTGCGCCAGCGTCTCGGGCGCGGCGCGCGACCGCGCCGAGACGAGGATGGGTGGCTTGCAGACGGTCTTGATCTGTGCTGCGATATCCAGGCCTGAAGCACCGGTGCCGACTACCACGACCTTCTTGTTGCGGAAGACGGACGGGCTGCGGTAGAGCTTCGAGTGCGTGATCACGCCGGGGTGGGCTGCGTTGAAGGCTTCAATGCCGGCCATGGAGGGGTGGCCGGGGTTGGGGTTGGGGCCGGGAATGTAGGCGGTGGAGTAGTGTCCCGATGCCACGACAACGGCGTCGTAGGTTGAGTTGCTGGTGGAGTTGGTGAGGAGGTCTTTGGTATGGACATCCCACTGGTCTTGTATCGGATGCTGGCTTTGATCGTTGCGCAGTGAGACTTCCACTACCTGTGTCGAGAACTTAATCAGATACCGCACATCTTGCGAGTACCGCACCAGATAGTCCTGCACAACTTGCCGCGAAGGAAAGATCTCGCGGTCGTTGGGAAACTCTAGATCGGAATACTGCATCAATGTATGCGGGATGTTCGTATGCAGGTGGTCGTACATAGGCGACGGGAACAGTGGTGGCTGCTTCTGACTCCCCTTCGTCACCTCCTGCGGCCTGGAGCACTGGCCCGACCCCGGCACCGAACAGCCCTCTTCATCCGAGTCGAACTCGTAGTCATCCTCGGGCGCGGATTCTGGTTCAGGCAAAACTGATGTTTCGGCCGGCGCATGAACGGCATCTGTCTGCGGCACCCGTAGCCGACCTGCCGACGCCGGCTTTGCGCTGTAGTTCCAGACACCGCCCACCTCGGCCTGCTGCTCGTAGATATCGACGCGCTCGAATGCGTCTCCCTGCGCCAGCAGATACTTGGCTACGGCGAGGCCGCTGGGTCCGGCGCCGATGATCGCAATCCTCTTCACGTGGAAAGCTGCGCTTGCGTGGCTATCTGGGGTCGTGACGGACCCCATAACTCTGGCTCGGGGCTGCGTTGAACCCCAGAGAGCGCATCGGATGCGCCCGGTCTGATTGAGGAGTTGAGCTCCTTTGAGGACTGGGACGGTTCCAGATAGCCTCGAGCGCATCCGTATACCGAGCTGTCGGTGACCTGGTGTCGACCCCGATATCCTTGAGGAAGATGGGTTTGAGTTGGTAGAATTGCCCAATGCTGCCAAAACGACACAGGTGGATTACCTATCCAATTGATGGCGCCATTCCGGCTTGCGGGGACCGAAGGCCGAGCCGGGTAACTCATCGTCGGTCCGGCCCGGTTTTTAGTTACTTCCTCGCCTCCATCACGACGAACACATCAAGCGATTCAGTTCCGCCTACATTGGATCACGTCCAGGATCAATACCGACTATTCATGGATGGGACGGTGTCTGCCTGCTCAGTGGCACGGTTGTGGGGCCACGGGCAGTCCGTGGACTAGAACTTAATGGCCAAGGTGCGCCGCAAAGGACCGACAGCACAGGTTGAACTTTCGATGGGCCACGGTGACGGGGCGTAGTAGGGTGGCGATATTTATTTATATGGTCGTGGTGGATGAAGGACTTGGCGCGAGTGTTCCGTGGTCTCACGTACGGTCATCCTCCTGGATGGTGGATCACCACCCATTCCTTTTGGATCACCACCGTTCCCTCGGGTGGATTATTAGGTCATTGGTGCCTGTGCCGCCTCGTCTTAAGTTCATATATTTCCAATGTCGTCATTGGACGAGGTTCAATTCCTGACTGACTTCACACCTTCGCCGCTTGCCGTTCGATCCCCCCCTGCCTCATTGCCGAGACAGGACCCTTCATTCTGCAAGGTATGAGGCTTTGTATATTCGAGGCCGGCTGCTACATAGCTAATAGTCATGGGTGATTGGCTAGTATATATCGTCAAAAGACAGGCTTCGTGTCACCCCAACATGTTGATGTATAAGCCATAGAGTGGATATTATGTTCTGGACCGACATTTTTGTTACTATTTTAATGTTAGCAACATCGTACTAGGTAAGTGAGTACTTGCTCGACACCGTCGTCTAATCCTCCCGCAGATCTCTTCCTTTGCAAACTGTCATTACCAGGTGGGATCTGCGGCAAAGCAGAGCATCGCCAGGCAGGAACTTTGTTATCTGGCAGGCTGTGGAATATCCCTGCCGGAAGTACGGGCACTTGACAAAAAAAGAAGTCGTCTTGTTGTTATTTCGAACCTGATAAGTGGTCCAATTATGTCAAATTGGGGAGCCGCTGACCAACTGCCTTCCACTTTCACCATCGCCTCGAAACAAGAATGATGTGCAAAGGGTAGACAGATTGCACCGAGACTCTATATAAGGCGTGCTTGGCCTCCAGTCTCATCGTCTTTCTTTCCACCATCATCATCATCACCACCACCACCACCCAGAACACCATCAACTTGACACACAGCAAGACCACACTCGTCATCCTCAGCTTTTACCACCAGAACCACCAAACTCGAACACAAGATGCATCACGCAGCCCTCATGAACATCGTCGTGGCCGCCCTTGGCTTCGGGGCCACCCATGTCGCCGCCACCCCAGCCGGACACCGATCCAATGCCGGTGGCCTCGAGGCCCGCGGCGTGAAGTGCCTGGCCTGCAAAGCAGGCGCAGGATTCGCTATCAAGGGAGTGTACGACCATTTCAAGGGCGAGCGCGGCAAGCGTGGTATCGGGGAGTTTGCAGGGGACACAGTGGAGTTTGCCGCGATCGAAAAGCTGGGGTCCGAGGTCTGCCATTTGAGCGTCCCCAGCGAGACGCTTGAGGAAAAACTCAAGACAGTGTTCGACGCCCATCTCGGAGGCGCCCCCTGCGTGTCGGACACCAAGCGGTCCGAGCCCATCGAGAGCGACAGTGCAGTACAGCCCACCAGCACCGCCTCGGGCGCCCCTGCCGCCACCAGCTCTGGCGCGGCGGCGGGAGCGCAGGCAAGCACGTCAACCACTTTCTACCAGCAGTTATTCACGCAAATTTTCTCGAACGGACAAGTGACGACGGAAGTGCAGCAGTTGGTGACCCAGTACATGGGTTCTTCCTGATCGAACATAAACCTGTCGCTACCTCGTCCCACGGCCGGTGGGCGGCAGCTTGAAGATAGATATGTTGTACGATAGATAAAGGATCCGGACCGCACACAGATCGATTATGGAGTTCGCATATTGAAAAGATTGAGCAGTCACATGTAGTCTTGCTTAGTCATTTTATTTGATTTCATGACATTGAACCTAGGTCACATATTTAGATATCCCATGCCCCTGAAGTCCAACCACCCTCCACGTAGACGTCCCTACTGACCTCAGCCGGGACCAAGAAGTCCACCCACTGAACGGTGCCTCAAGGGATACGTACTTGTATACTAGCACAGCTAGGTAGAGGACTTTCACGGTGAAACTCACGTTGATCTCGTATCTCGGCAAGCGTAGTATTGTAGACGGTTGGTTTATTACCTACCTAAGACCAACGGCATCCCCGATGCTGCGTAGTAGTGTTCCATCTCTTATATGGTCCTTTTGGGTGGTCGAGATATCCGGCTCGGATCGGATGCCGAGTCACGAAACGGGGACAGCTGTGGTTACGATATCAGCTAAAAAGGAGACCGCCTCTCGGGATAGGCCCCGAGCATTGGGAACAGGAGTCGCATCAACCTGAGACTCAGTAAAGAGATTACTTACTTATTGCTGGCAAGGACCACTGTGATATAAGAGGACTGGTCAAGCGGTCCGAATAACACGACGACGGCTGGCTGGTGTCCTAAGACAGAGGAGGTAGTAACAAATTGCAGTGACTAGCAGAGGACACGGTGATCACGCCATTACGATTCCATCATAAAGCTATCTTCATTCCATACTTGTGTGCACCATACTAACCTTGCCTAGTATGGCAGTATGGTTGGCAGTTGCACTTTTAGGTACTCAGGTATATATGGCAAAATAAGAGCAAAAATTCCATCGAACGTGGATGTATGAACTCCGCTTCATGCTGCTCAGCCTGCTCTGGGCTTCGAAACACCGCGACATGACAGCGCACTTGACAGATGAACTAAAGTTTTCTGGGGGTTCTGCTTAACGAAGTAGAATTCTTCTTCTTGTCGTCCTTTGGACAGCGTGGGGATTTGAGTCGTGGGTTGGTAAGTGAAATACCCCCTTTTGTCTCTCTCTCCCTTCCGGTTAGATTATAAAATTGCCATGGTTCTGACGAAGACAGGTCATCAGGGCCTGTTCGCTTGGTCCAGGCCTCTCTCTGCTGCTCACGGGCTATCTTGGGGGTTTGAACGTTCTCTTATTACACGATGCCAAACTCAGCGACGTCAACGACCGGCCTTTCCACCCCGCTGCTGTCCTCCCTTCCTGGCATTCCTCTTGCCGTCCGTAGCCTCGATAACTACAGCCTCCCTTCGCACCAGCCCGCACGGGATCTTGAACGCGACACAGATCAGCTCAACTGGGCGTCGAGCTCGAACGCCACCCATTGCGCTGTGACCTTCCGCATGTCCTCTTATGCCACGCCGCATCCGCCCCACTCTGCAGCCGTGTTCGCGCTGGTCTTGGAGTCGCCCTCCTCGTTCTTGGGCTCGAACATGAAGACATGGTTTGGGTTGAAGCGGAGCCCGACGGTGTATCCGAGCATGCACTCGACGTTGGGCACCGTTGTTTTTTTGGCCCTGCTCGCGGACCTCGACGTGCGTACGGTTTGATGGCGATGTGGATTCGTTACCGTTGTTGTCGTCATCAGAGCCCATGTCGATGAGCTCCTCCTGGTCCTTGTCGTGCTGCTTCTTCTCGTCCTCGCGGGTTTGTTCTCCCCATCCGTCGGCCTCTTCATGGGCTCGGGCTTCAGCCACCATTCTTTGGACTACTCGGCGGCGGATTGCGCGGGTGAGACATGGGTTGCTCGTCACTGCATCAATAGGACTCAGTAAATACTCTCCTCAGACAGCACATAGGGAAGCGAGGAGCCCGGGTCCATGTCTTGGGGCAGACTCGTTTCTTCGAGCCTGTTACGTTGCATGAACGTTTCACCTTGAGGATATGGCTAGAAGGAGAAAGAGCCCTGGATATACACACAATATCAGGGGGCTATGGCGTTTGCGAGTGGCGCGGTGATGAAGTCCCCTGTCGCTTGAGTGCAGTGTTGCAGCGAGGGGTTTTGCACATTATTGAACGTTATCTTGTTGGCCGGGTGGGCCGTATGGCGCAATGGTCAAATGCGCCTGGTTGTGTTCTCGTTTGTGCGGTGGGCGACGAGAACAAGTGGGTTCGAATCCTGCTATGGCCCCCTTTCTGACCCGGCTTGTGCGAGTCGATAACCAGCACACGACAGTGGAGAGGCCCCATTTTATCGCAGAGCCCGATAGCCAAGCAGCTTGTCTCCACAATACCCACTCCTGCGAGGTTTTCCCCCTTGTGGTTTCCCTCGCCAGCAGATAACAAACACCTACTCCACCCACCAATGCGACATATATCGAACGGCTACTGGAACGATATGTACACCAGAGAACTGAGGTTCACTGGGTCGCTTTGTCACTAGATAGGAGGTTTTTCTGACGGAATCGTGCTTGGGTATTGACTAAAACCATCTGAACACTCCAGATTGGTACCGCTACAGCGAGGATAGGCTCGTGCGCGGATCTGAATGTATCTAATTTGACACCTCTACAACCTTGCGATGCAATGGCTCTGGGAGGCGTGGTTTGCACTACTGAGGAGCTACCCCCCACGTTAAATACAAAACAAACAAACATTGTTGGCCGGGTGGTTGTCTTCCTGTTTCCTACCTTTATATTAAACTGGTTGGGGGAAGAAGCAGGTTTCGGTTTGTCGAAGACGAAAAGTGCTCTCCCACGGCAAATGATGGTTGATTTCAGAGTGGTCCAGATCGCTCGCTGTCAGTGCCTCTACAGCGGCAAACAGAAGCATCTTTAGAGAAGCGTGCACGAGACAGAGAGAGAATTGTATTTGGAGGAAAATTCTCGTAAGCCCTGCATCGTGACGTGTGGATCATGGGCAATTTTCGACACCATTACTCCACGTAAAGACCGCGTAAACCGTTGTTGAACCAGATAATCTTTACTCTGACCAGCATGTAGGAGCGAAGGCCCAAGCTGGTCTGCGCTGCAGTACGAGTGCGACAGGTAGACTAATGTTATATGTGTCTGAGTCTCCGAAAATGTGACATTACAGGAAATACGAAATGATACGTAGAAAGAAAAAAAAGACACCAGAGCATCATCCCATGCCATACCGCCTCAAGCTTTGCTATAGCTCTTGATGTACCCCTGCTGCCCCTGACACATCAACTGCCCGCCCACAACCTGCAAGACCCCAACATCCGACAGCTCCACATACGGCGCGCCCATCATATTATCAGCATGGCAGTTGCACATCAGCAAGACAGACTCCTTCGTCACCGCGCCCTTGTCATCCGTGTCCTTCTTTTGCAACTGGCACGTATTGCAGCTGCCCGCAAAGCTGCCGTCGGCCTCGGGCCGCATCTGCCGGTTCTGGTTCATGAGGCAGTGGTTGAGGTCCAGCGTCGACACGATCTGCATCTTGGTGACGCCGTCGGACTGCACGCCCGCCGGGCAGGCCGCCGTCAGGTTGCGCAGGTTGATCGACTCGAGGTGGATGTCATAGCAACTGGCCGCGCCGAGCGCCTTCTGGTACCGCTGCGTCGGGTTGGCTTTCATGGCGGCGCAGAGAGCGTTGGTGTCTTGGGCGGCGCGCTTCTCCTCTTTCTTGTCTTCTATGTTGTCGCTTGTGACGAAAAGCCCGTCCTCGTCCCGCGCTTCTGTATCCACGTGCATGCCCCTGGAGTCGTTACCCGCGCCCACGAGATGGAAGACCTCCTGCTCCGCCAGCTCATCTCTCGCAACCTTCTTCGCCCCGCCCAGACACCTAATACCATTCCTCGTGAAGTTCAGGAACTTCTGGACATCCAGGTACCCGCCTGTCGAGCTCTGCCGCAGGCCCTCAGCCGAGTCGCAATTATTGCAGTGCAGCATCGCGTTCCTGCTGCTGTGCGGCCCGTGGTCGACGTACGCGCCGCCGACCACTTTGCCGTCCTTGGCGGTAGCCCGCTCCCGCGCAGGAACGAGCAGTCCTGGCAGGAGTTGCCGAAGCAGCCGTTGGTCTCGTGGACCAGCTGCGCGCCGCCGAAGTAGCCTGGCGTCGTGCCCAGACACGCGTTCAGGTCGAGCTGGCCTGCGATGTGCGCGCGGCCGCCCGTGCAGTTGTATGCGAGGGTGTGCTTGTCGTCTTTGATGTGCAGGTCGGCGCACGTCCAGTTGCCGCCGTGATGCTGCTTCTGGCGGCCGGCTGCGGCGCGGCCCGGGTTGGTGGAGGCGGTGCCGAGGAGGAGGGCGCCGAGGATGGTGGTGGTGAAGTGTTTCATCGTAAGTTTGGTCGTAGTGTAGTAAAACTTGATTTGCTTTGGTAAGTAAGTAATTGCTTCTACATCACAAGTCTGAACCCCGTGACCGTCGCGGGAAAGCGAGATGTTATAGATGTTGATGTTGGTCTGCAGAGTCTCTTCAGTCTGTTTGAATATTGTCGGAAGGACAGGTTTCTGGGTAACGGCCGTGATTGTTCTTTGACGGCCCGCGGAAACGGCAATGGGATTGTGGCAAAGCACAAGCAACACATAAAGCGGGCAGACAAAGAATTTATAGAGTAGTCATGGTGAATCTTCATTTCCTCTCATTATACTTTACATGTGTCCAGCGATCAAAAGCGGGAGAACAAAGAATTCATAGCATAGTCGTGGTGAATCTTCGTTTCCCCTCATTATACTTTACATGTGTCCAGCAATCAAACAGCGAGTTTGCCCCAATGAGCCCTATGATAGTTTCCCCCACCAAGATGTCGTTGAGGACATGCTCAGTTGACCTCGGCAATAGGTATCAAAACCTCCTGGGTATCGTACGTTCAGTGATAAACTCCCTCGATTTGCATTCCTAAAGCATTGGGAACGCCGACGAGAACTCTGTGTTTCGGGACCTTGACTTCCTAGACCTGTTCAGTCATCAACTCCCTCGATTTGCATTCCTATAGCATTGGGGACGCCGACGAGAATGCGGCCTTTCGGGACCTTGACGTGCTTGACCTGTAGTCTATGGTCAGCAAAGACAAAAAAAAACTAACTAAATGTGATAGGAAGAAAGGAGACTTGCCTTCATGCAACCGAATACATTCAGCTCTTTCAGAGCTGGACAGCACCGGAAGATGGATCCGACGATGAAATCGGTTACTTCCTCGCAAAAGCTGATCTCCAGCTTTGACAGCTGAGGGTACACTTTGTCCTCCGCAAAGACCTCCTCGAAAGCCGCAGCTGAGATGTGGCGACAAGCGTGGATATTGAGATACCGCAAGTTTGTGCCCGAGTGGGTCATGATAGCACGGAATCCCTCGGAACACAGACCAACCATGTGCTCGTTTTCTCTGGGCTTGGCCGGATCAACATGACGGCACTTCTGCAAATCAAGGAACACAAGGGCGCGGTTCTTCCAGCCCTTGAACATTCTCGCAAATCCAGCATCCGTCATGTGCTCACTATCAGTGACGCGCAGCTTCTTCAAAGAAGTGCAATTCTCATGAATTGCATCAAGCAAGCGATTATCGACATCCGCGATGTTCTTGAGTGACAGGGTCTGCAGTTGCTTGCCCAGGCTCTGTACAACAGCAACGTAAGGGTCGGTCTTGGTTTTCTTGATGAGTTGCAGGCTGAGATGTTCCAGCTTGACTAGGTTCGCAATGAGCTTGATGCCATCGTCGGAGACTTCTTGGTTGTGACAGAGCTTGAGCCGGGTAAGAGAAGGGCAGGAGACTTTCAGAGTCGAAACTACAGCATCGTTGACATGTTTGTCCATGTAGTAGATCTGGAGAGCTTTCAAGTGCTCCCCCTTCGCCTTCAAGTACTCGATCCAACAAGCCTCGCTCACAAGATTGGCGCCATGTAGATAGATGCTGTCCAGATTGAGGTTCCTGGTGATGAGATACTGCATGACCTCGTCCTTGAACTGAATTGCATTGCGCAGCTTGAGCTTCTTCAGCTGCGTGACCTGCTGAAAGATGGTGACGTAGTCTTGCGAGCTGAGGCGCGCGGCATCATAGAGGCTGACTGCATCATTGCGCGGGTCCAGGAACAGCCGCAAAGTGTCTGGTCCAAGCAGACGGTGCTTTGAGAGCTTTCTCGCAATGAGATCGACAACTCGGGGCGGGAGATCGCCAAGACCATCAGCTAGCTGGATGTTCTTGGCTAGAGTCTCGATGCACAGATTCATCAGAGGCTTTGCGCCAACATGGTAGGTACCATCGAGAATGCGACTCTGCATCTTGCGACGCCCGCCACCACCCTGAGCTGCTAACTTCGGCTTCTTGTTCTTCTTGGCGTCGTTCTGGTCCTTTGCAAGCTTTTTGCCGCAGGGCGAGCAGAGCATTCCTCCATTGGGGCCGGCGCGTGAGTACGGAGTGACGGTGAATCTTTTGTCGCAGATCTCACAGTTAGCCATCTGGCCAGGCACAGGGCCCGGCTTCTCGTCAAGGAGCGCACGGGCAAGGTCGTCCGAGTCAGACTCTGGCAAGTCTGGACTATCGCCACCGCGCTTGCGCTTGTGCTTCTTCTCGCGCGCAAGCTTCTGCTGCTTCTTTTTGATGTAAAGCTTGCTCTCCTTGATCTTTGCGATCGCTGCCTCCTGCTTCTGTTTCTTCTGCTCTCGGGCGCGGGCTCTTGATGCAGTTGTAGAAGTCGAGCCGCCAGCTTCATTGTCTTCCTCATTCTCGTCGTCATCAGCATCGTCGTCTCCGTCCGCATTGTTTTGGACATTGGCGGCGGCGGCGAGGGCTGCTGCAGCGCGGCGTGCATTGGCATTAGCTCGAATTTGGTGGGCCTGGATGTTCTGAGAGGACAGGAAGTCAGTCAGGGCGGACCGAGGACCTCTAATCCCCTGGTTCGGACGATTGGCACTCCTGCATTTATCTGTTAGTATGAACCAGCTACACATGATAGCATGGGATGTGATTCGACGTACATGATGATGGTGGCAAGCAACTCTGAAAAGAGCACGAGTTGGAGGTGCTTTCTTGTTGGGTATTACTGTCCAGTAGAGGTCGGCGCAAAGGAGGGTGTGAGGGTGTGAGCCTTGAGGGAGGGATGTGAAATGGAAAAGAGTCGAAATCGCTGAGGTGCCTCGGTACGTACCCAGGAATGGTTTGCCACCTCAAGCGCGTTAAGTGTTTCTTAGTCTGGGACGGAATGATAATTAGGTAATAAGGCGCTAGATGATCATCGGCATCCCCCATATTGCCCCTCTAGCCCTCGATAGCCGCTGTGGGCCCCCATGAACATGCCGTCAATGACGCCTCCTTCGGGGGGGCTCAGGGGCTTTCAACCTTTGATGAACAGCTGGAGTGTCTGATTGGCCGCCGGCTCGGGCTGCCGAAGCACCAACCACTGCTGGTCCCGTGATCACGCGTTCACAAGTGTCAAACCACTCGACGCGGCCTGCCTTAGCCGGGCTTATCGTCTCTTATCCGACACCCTCCATTGTTGTCCCTGCCTTTATTACCCTTGTATCTCAGGTACGTACCTGGCTGCCTAGTTACAGTGCTTGCGTAATAAACCAGAGCTCTGGGTTTCTTTTGCAATTCGATCCGATTGAGTTGCCACTACCACCACCATCACCTTTCCCTTTTCCCTGACTAGGTAGAGGTCGTTCGCCGGATTCCCTTGAACCTCTGGCAGCTGGTCCTCCCACCCTTCCTTTCTTTTCTTTTCCCATCTCTCGCTGATGGAAGCTTGATACTCAGAGGATCGATTCACGCATTTTCTCATAACTAAGGTTAGGAGGTATCTACCGCTTGAGTAGGGACTCGGGTCACAAGGTTCGTCTGCCTGCATCTATCTCCATTCTCCCCCGGCACATGCACGCACCGCCAATTGTTTATTAACCTCCAACTGGTACAGCGCCTCGACCGTTCTGCTGTTGCGCGAGTCGCCTTTGTCTGCTGCTCTCTGCGACAAGAACGCCACGCAGAAAGTCACACAATTCACATTCACTGCGCCGTCGCTCTTCCTACACATTCAGCCTCTTGCACCCTTCCATCCCATCTGCATTTCGATCTGATATATTGTTGCTGGTCGTTGTGCAACTTGTACAAGCCGCCAACCGATCTGTCAATGATCCGATCTTCTTGCACCTCACAATCACATCTCACTCTCATCCAGCGGATACAAGATGGCCCCTCAGACTAGACGTTCCATGGGCCTCAACAAGGCCGCTGCCAACACCAATACTGGCATGCCTGCAGCAGATGCAACATCGCAATTCGCTCTTGTTGCCAGCCCTGCCTCTGTCCCTCCCAAGCGTGGTCGTGGAAGACTGGCCAAGACCTCCATCATTGGCTCCATTGACTCTGCGTCTTCTGCGCCGACTCCCACTACCACAGTCTCTGACAGCGAATACTCTACTCCGGCCACTAGCAATGCCGTGACTCCAGCCCCTTCGACTGACGCCTCTACGAAACCTGCCAGCTCACGCTCGCGCGCTACTTCGACCCGTCGTGCTCACCTGGTTGTTGAGCTCCCCGACATTGTCCAATATGCGGCTGGCGCTCAGCCCAAAGCCCAAGAGTTTGGTATTGTAGCATCATCCACTAGCAAGAGACCCCGACGTGGACCCATCTCGTATGCCGAGGACTCAGATGAGGACGATGAACTTTTTGGCCATGACCAGTCTGCTAGCGCAGTCCTGGCTCGCAAGCTCCAGCGCGAGGAGGATAACTGGCAAGTAACACCGTCGTTTACTTCCAGATTGCCTGCGCGACGAACTACCAGAACTGCTTCTTCGCCTGTTGATCTGTCCCGGGATGACTCAGAAGATGATGTACTGTCTACAAGTCGTCCATCCAAGCGCAAGGCTCGTCCGTCCAAGCGCAAGGCTTTGGAAGCTAGCACAATCAATGCTATCCACACCGACAGCGATCCCGAGAAGGATGATGATGAGCCTCTTTCCAGCACTGCTCCAGCCCGCAAGAAGCTTAAGAAGAGTGAAGAGGGTTTGATTGCTCGTGAACTCGCGGCCCTCCCGGATCTCCGAGCAGAACTTCAGTCACTGACCAGCCAAGACTCCGATGCCGACTTCGCCAACGTTGAAGTAACAGATGACGACGACGACGAGGTTGAGCTGAGTGGAGATGGCCATCAAGACCCCAATCAAGACGTCCCTGAGGACGGCGACAATGATAGTGATGTTCAGCTCCAGCTCGGCCCCGGTCGTGCCAACCTGACTCGCGGCGCCAGGAAGGCCAGAGAGAGGCTGGAATTTAATCACCCAGAACTTAAATCCATGTGGATTAACCTCAAGAAGAGGCCAGTCCTCAAGGCTGGTAAGGCGGAGCAGCCAACTACCATATCCCGCCTGTTGAAGCCTTTTCAGCTCGAAGGTCTGGCATGGATGAAAGCCATGGAAGGAATGGACTGGAAAGGCGGCCTCCTTGGAGATGAAATGGGTCTGGGAAAGACTATTCAAGCCGTCTCCCTAATTATGTCTGATTATCCCGCCAAGGTCCCTTCTCTTGTCCTTGTCCCACCGGTCGCTCTGATGCAGTGGACAGCCGAGATCGGGTCTTATACTGGCGGAACACTGAAGACCCTGGTCTACCATGGTACCAACACCAAGGCCAAGCATCTATCACTCAAGGAACTCAAGAAGTTCGACGTCATTCTCATGTCCTACAACAGTCTGGAGGCCATGTACCGCCGGCAGGAGAAAGGCCTCAAGCGCAAGGATGGCATGTACAAGGAGAAGAGTGTCATGCATCAGATCAAGTTCCACCGCGTTATTCTCGACGAGGCTCATTACATCAAGGTAATTACTTTCTCACCAGCTTGTATGACTTCACTGCTAATCAGGACCTACAGACTAGGGGCACCATGACAGCCAAAGCCTGCTTTGCTCTCAAGGCAGACTACCGCTGGTGCTTGAGTGGAACGCCCCTGCAGAACCGAATTGGCGAGTTCTTCTCGCTGATCCGATTTCTTAACGTTGCGCCATTCGCTTCTTACTTCTGCAAGCAATGTGACTGTTCTAGCCTCGAATGGAGCATGAACGATGTGGGCAGTTGCACACACTGTGAGTCTATCTTGCTTACCATTGTTATATTTACTGATCAGGAATGCAGGCAACCATTATGCTATGGGACATATATCAGTCTTCAACCAGGAGCTTCTGAACCCCATTCAGAAATACGGCAACAGTGGTGCGGGCAAAAATGCGTTCAAGAAACTCCGGCTCTTAACTGACCGAATCATGTTGCGTCGGCTAAAGAAGGACCATACCGACTCGATGGAGCTCCCGGTCAAGGAGATCTACGTCGACCGTCAGTTCTTTGGAGAAGAAGAGAATGACTTCGCCCACAGTATCATGAGCAATGGTCAGCGAAAGTTCGACACCTACGTGGCCCAGGGTGTTCTCCTCAACAACTACGCCAACATCTTTGGTCTCATCATGCAGATGCGTCAGGTAGCCGACCATCCGGATCTGATTCTCAGGAAGTCGGGCGAGGGCGGGCAAAACGTACTGGTATGCTGCATTTGTGACGAACCCGCTGAGCAAGCGATTCGGTCCAAGTGCAAGCACGAGTTCTGCCGGCCTTGTGCAAAGAGCTACGTGAACTCGCAAGGCCAGCCGGATTGCCCTCAGTGCCACATTCCACTGTCGATTGACCTTGAACAGCCGGATATTGAACAAGATGAGGCCATGGTCAAGAAGTCGTCGATTATCAACCGCATCAAGATGGAGAACTGGACTTCTTCATCAAAGATCGAGCTGCTTGTGCATGAATTGCACAAGCTGCGCTCAGACAATGCCTCGCACAAGTCGATCATCTTCTCGCAGTTCACCACCATGCTTCAGTTGATTGAATGGCGGCTCCGACGAGCGGGTATCACGACGGTCATGCTCGACGGTACCATGACACCAGCGCAAAGACAGGCGTCGATCAACCATTTCATGACCAATGTCGATGTTGAGTGTTTCTTGGTTTCTTTGAAGGCTGGCGGTGTGGCACTGAACCTGACTGAGGCGTCTCGCGTCTTCATTGTTGATCCGTAAGTTCAGCACAAGTCGTACATTCTCTTCTCTAACACTCATGCTAATGTTTCACTCGCAGGTGGTGGAACCCGGCCGCAGAGTGGCAGTCGGCTGACCGATGTCATCGAATCGGCCAAACCCGCCCTTGCACTATCACCCGTCTTTGCATTGAAGACTCGGTGGAGAGCCGTATGGTGCTTCTCCAGGAGAAGAAGACGAGCATGATCCACTCGACCATCAACTCAGACGACGCTGCCATGGACTCTCTCTCCACCGAGGATCTCCAGTTCCTGTTTAGAGGAAACTGAGGAGGAAGGCACAGAAAGGCACAGAACCAGCAAGGCACGATGAAAGAGTGAAAACAGATGAAAATGGAAAAGAAAGAAAAGAAAAGAACGATAGTCACCGGTTGTTGCTGATACCCCCATGATGTTTTGTAGGATTAGATGGCGAGCTCAGTTGGCACAAGACATGCTGTGGATGACGCTTGAGAACCAGCCAAGGTCACACTGCCAAGGTTAGATAGATAGAGGTTTGCACCAGTTGCATCATCTTCTAGTATATGTACTGGGATACTGAGATTTGAGGGCCACCAGGACCTCACTTCTGCTTGGCAAGTAGCAATGAGGCTACAATTGACTGTATAGGAGTGGATGTCGACGTAGCTAGAGCAGATAATAAAAATCCTGACCGTAGATGGTCTAAAACCCATTCCCGTCTGAGAGGCTCTTCGATGTGATAAAAGCTATTATGCTTAAGTGGTTTTGTAGTGGGCCCGCCCATATTACATTGGCCAAAGCGACCTTGAAGATTCCGTGCCGCCCGGGCCTGAACCTTTTAATAAATCTATCGTCTTCAGTCTTCTCCCGCGTGCATTCGACCAAGCTCGTCCGAGCTATGAGGACGTTACTGAGAGCTTCAGGTCGACCACTGTCGTCACTGAGGGGTGGTGTCGCATTTCGAAGCAGCTGGGTATGCCCGTCATGCAAAGCTAATGGAGCTGGAACCGGAGCTGAGCGCATGCGCATGCGCATGCGCTTCAGCAGCAGCAGCAGCAGCAGCAGCCCAGCTCTGAGAAGGCTCGAGGAGAAACCGTACTACGTGACGACGCCCATATTCTATGTCAATGCCTGTAAGAAGTACCCTCCGGTGGCTATGCCATCCAGCACGTGCTAATCGAGCCGGTGGCAAGCCCCCCACGTCGGCCACCTGTATAGCATGCTCATCGCAGACGTCCTCAAGCGATGGGAGGTCCTCAAGGGCCGGCAAGCCTACCTGAGCACCGGCACCGACGAGCACGGCATGAAGGTGCAGCGCGCCGCCGAGCTGCAAGACGTGCCGCCCAAGGCCCTGTGCGACACCAACGCCGAGACGTTCAAGGACCTGGCGCGCCGGGCGAACATATCCAACGACCACTTCATCCGCACGACCGACCCCGAGCACCGAGACGCCGTCGAGTACTTCTGGGCCCGCCTGCGCGACAGCGGCTACATCTACGAGACGAAGCACGAGGGCTGGTACTGCGTTAGCGACGAGACCTTCTACCCGGAGTCCGTGGTCGAGAAGCGCGTGTCGCCCCTTACCGGCAAGAGCTACGTCGCCTCGGTCGAGACGGGCAACGCCGTCGAGTGGACCGAGGAGAAGAATTACCATTTCCGCCTGACGGCCTTCCGCGACAGGCTGCTGCGGTTCTACATGGAGAATCCGGCCTGGGTCGTGCCTGAGAGTCGGTTTGTCGAGGTCATCGACTGGGTGCGGAACAATCTGGAGGATCTGTCGATATCTCGCCCCGTCAGCCGGCTGGACTGGGGCATACCTGTGCCGGATGACCCGAGTCAGACTATCTACGTGTGGGTTGACGCCCTGGTAAATTACCTGACGACGGCCGGGTATCCAATATGGCCGCCAGGCTCGGAGCACGACGGCGGCTGGCCGGCAGACGTGCACGTCGTCGGCAAGGACATTATCCGCTTCCACTGTATCTACTGGCCCGCCTTCCTCATGGCGCTGAACATTGAGTTGCCGCGGCAGGTCCTGAGCCACGGCCACTGGCTGATGAGCAAGCAAAAGATGTCCAAATCCAAGGGGAACGTGGTAAATCCCTTCTTTGCTCTGGACCGCTGGGGTGTGGACACCATGCGATACTTCCTGATCCACGGTGGCCAAGTAGCCAACGACTCGGACTACGACAACAGTTCCATCGTCGACAAGTACAAGAAGGGTCTGCAGGGCGGCCTAGGAAACCTGCTCAACCGAATCACGCGGCCCACGGCGTGGAGCGTGAGGGAGGCGGTCCAGGCGAAGGCCGCAAACAAGTCTTCTGTGTCACTCCTGGCTGTGCTCGTCCAGACTCATCGGGATCAGGTAGATCAGCAGGTCCAAAAGGCGGACGCGCACATGAAGGCACTGAACCCCGGCGGGGCGCTGAAGGAGATCATGGAGCTGGTATATGCGGTAAGCTCTTCTTCCCCTTCTCTGCTAATATAGTAGGTATGCAGCCCCGCTGACGAAGCGACAGACCAACAGGTTCCTGCACAACACGGCACCGTGGGATAAGCGCAAGGAGGGCGACACGGAAGCTGTCAACCAGATCATATACCACGCCGCGGACTCGCTGCGCGTCGTCGGCATCCTGCTGCAGCCCTTCATGCCGGAGAAGGCGGCCCTGCTGCTCGATAGGCTCGGCGTCGGCGAGGACCGGAGGGGGTTTGGGGATGCGAAGCTGGATGTGGATGAGGACTATGGGACTCCCGTGGTGCCGGTGGGTGCAGGGGCGCAGAGCAGCTTGTTCCCGCCGCTGCCTGTGGAGGATTGAGTGTCTTGACGTAGATGCGAGCTGCAGAACGAGCGTCTCTAATGAGTGCTGGGTGGGTGCCTGATGTTGGTAGCAAGGCTGATATGTGAATTATATAGTAGAGCAAAAGTGTACATAAAGTGTATAATGCAAGAAGAAGATACCCCAATTCATCCCCAAATTTTGTATCGTATCTCTGCCCGGTTGCAATGGTTGTGGCGATGGGTCTATCCGCGGCTTCAAGCCCGCACCAAGCAGAATGACCAGCACACAAATTATCGGCGGTCTGGCAGCTTGTCTTGCTATATGTCCAACTCCCAACCCACAAATCCACGGATAGGACATTCATAACCAAACCCATGCATCAGGCCCCTGGACATTGACCGTTCAATTATAGCAAGATGAGACTCAACGAAAACATTGGTAAGTCCGAATAAACCGTAGGGCGTCGTGTGTGGAGGGAAGTGATCCCGATGCTAACTAAACGTCCGAATCTGCAGCCGTCTCAACACCCAAGGTCCTGCTCGTGCCGTACGAGGCGCGCCACGTTTTGAAGTACCATGAGTGGATGCAAGATCCTGTACGTCTCATTGCCCTTTTTACACCTATCCTTCGCGGGTGGTTGATGTGAGCCTGTGTGCGCCTCGAAATGGGGCTTGTGCTGCTCGCCCACGCGCGCTCTCTTTCTTGCATTGTCAAGCTCCCGTCGTCTCCCTCCAGAGCTCCACGTGCTCTGGCTGGCATCTACGAAACCACTTGCCTTGCATTTTTTCGCATTTTGCCCTATACAGCCTGCTGATTAATTTGGATCGAAAAGGCGATACGCGAGGCCACGGCCTCGGACCAGCTCTCGCTCGACGAGGAGTACGAGAACCAGCTGTCGTGGCGCGCGTCGGCCGACAAGCTGACGTTTATCGTTTGCGAGCCCTTGTCTGACATTCGTGGCGATGCCGATGATGATAATGGGCCAGACCGCAGCGAGAATGACGGCGGCGGGAGCGAATCAGTCGCTGCGGGCGAGGTCGATACCCCAGAGCGCATGATCGGAGACGTGAACCTGTTCCTCACGCCGTGGGAAGAAGAGGAAGAAGATCCCGACGACGAGAGCGAGAACGGGGCAGTACGACCGCAAGAAACCCCGGCGAAGGCTTCTGGAGGTGGTTATGGTGACAGCGACGAAGAGAACGCCGTCTACTGTAACGGCGAAGTCGACATCATGATCGCGTCTCCGGACCACCGCGGCAAGGGCCTGGGCAAGGCGGCCGTGGCGGCGTTCCTGCTCTTCGTTCGTCGGAACTTGGGGGGTATACTGGCGGAGTACGGGGGGAGTATGCATCTACAGTCACAACTGCATGGACACGCACAAACACAGACACAAGCACAAACCCAGACGCTACCAGGGGCAGCACCCACACCCTCAAAAAACCCGAAGCTGAAAGACATGGTAGCCAAAATCAACGCCGAGAACGCAGGCAGTATTGCCCTATTTAAGGGCCTAGGCTTCCGGCAGAGGGGCGAGGTGAACTATTTCGGGGATATCGAGCTGGCGCTTGAGGGATTCGGGGATGACAATTCCTATGCAAGAGAGACAGGCACAGCGGCGCCGGTCTGGGCTGCTGGGATGACGGGGGAGGAATACCACGAGATCCCTCCTCCGCCAAGTACCGGTACAGAATGAGGCGGGCCTAGAGGGACGCCGCCGTGCATATCCCGTGCGGCGCGGTGGCCTGGACGCCAACAACTTACCAGCGTTGCCGTTGGCTAGCTTGCGGCGAGGCGGTACGAGAGAAAGATGGACGGACGGGCATACGGACGGCCAGCCGTCGGAGCCGTACTGTATATGTACCACAGCAAGAGAAGCAACAGCATCCAAAAACATATAACAACCGTATCAATCATCGCAACTCTTCATTGAAATTCCCAATCTGCTCGAGAAACTCGTACATTACGTGCAACATGCTCCCAGCCTATCCTATCCATAAGAGACTGTACTGACTGAAACCGTCCGTGTGAACTAGAAAGTCTAAGCATATTAAGATAGCTAGCAACTTGTCGCAACCCAATATCCCAGCCCAGATTCGTTATTCGAAAATCATCCCGAGCCATGTCATGACCTGGTACGTGAAATGACAGAGAGGCCGTTCTCATTCCCCCGTATGCACTCCGTGGGCTTCACCGGTGTCCAACCCAATACCAGTCCCCCCTCTTGTCTCCTGTACGCCGAGACGAGAAGAACAAGGTGATTGGAGGTAAGCAAGGTCGTTAGAAACGATGCCTAGTCTGAATGCCTGCCTTGTAATAAGGTAGCCGGGTCGCCGTTGAGTTGGCACGGGTAGAACCCATACATCACATCACAGGTATCTGTTGAATGTATTAAGCATGAAAGCTGACCGCAGATCCTGATAGAACATTATAATGGATTTGTACGCGGCGTCGTCTTTATCGCATGTACAGCTTCCCGTACACGTAGATGCTACACAGTATCGGCTTTTAATACACTCTCCTCCAGCAAGACGACACGAAAACCTGAGCAAGCAGCTTTGAGAAAAAAAGGTAACGCCCGTTCCATGGTTTCGCGTGAGCTTTCTAGTTCAATCATGCCTCGATATCCATTAAAACACCCATGTAATTGGCTTGCTCGAACGTTCGCGTCGTTTCTATGCCCATGCGTATCGCCGTTCGGTCGCCACCGAGCGACGCCCCTGAGTCTGTGCCTCAGTCCAGCTCTTGCTCAGATCCTTCAACCAAAGATTCGCCGGGCTAACTTCTACCATATATTATCATGTTCGTCATGAACAGTAGAGGTCAGGTGATGGGGATCGATCGGTAGTGATAGCCCGTGAGTCCCGAGGTCAAGTTGCGGCCCTACGCACCGTTGACCTCGACCTCGTCGGCCTCGGTCAGTTCCTCTTCACCGTCGTCGTATTCATCCGCTTCCAGCCTCTCCTGCTGAGCAATAGCCTGGGCAGATACTATCTCCGCCAGTCGCTTCAACCTGGGAGTTTGTAGCCCTAGATTATCATAGTCAGCATCCACCTTAGTCCAAGTCAGTAACATCAACCCAACTTACATGATGGTGTGTACGTCTCGAGAGCAGTAATCGCTCGTGGCTCCGCAATCTCGTAAGGTCCACTATCGTCCATATCTACAGCTTGCAACAGAAGAACGTCGCTCTTCTCCGTCACTCTCGACGCTACTGCCTTCATGATCTCTCCGTTGATAGGTTGTTCGTAGTCTGCCACGAGGTATTGATTAAGCAGCTTCTGTATTTGGTTGGGCGAGAGCCTGCAGTGCGAGATTAGCCATTATATCTCAATTTTGTACCTGGTCACACTCACATCCAGCAGATATCTTGGATAATCTCGATGTCGTTCAACGTTGCCTTCTTAAGTTGCAGAAGCTTCGTTGCTTGCTGGGATCACTGTTAGTCGCGGCGCATAGAGGAAGGATAAGCGAGTGATGAACATACCATCAGATGCTCAAGCTGGAGGGTACCCTCCGGCATGTCGTGACTCTTGCACCACTCTTCAATGCGAGTGATATTGTAGTTGATCTGCAGGCCTCGCTTCCACGACAGGAAGTTTCGTCGCATGAGCAGATCGTTAAACGCCGTCACACCCACCAGCTTGAGGAGCTCCGTCACCGTTTGGGTGATGATGGAGTCTTCCAAGTAGTAAGCCTTCATCGCCCTGAATACATTGTTCAGGAGGCTGAGCAAGTTGTCCATGCTGTAGGCAGGTGCCGAGTTGGACTGCAGCAGCTTGCCAAGGAATCTGTTACTTTCATTCGTGACAAAGCCGGGCAGTGACTGAGACTCGATGATAGCTGGGATGATCATCTTCTGTAGCTTCTTCTTGAGAATCTTCATCCACGTGTGGTAGATGTTGAACTCCAAGCTCTCCAAATCGTGCTTGACAATCTCCAGTAGTCGGTCGTACTCATAGTTGTCCGTCTTCTGCGCCTCATACCAGTCCTCGGCAAGGAATACGAATGAAAGCATCTCGTGCACGTTGGACAGCCAGAACGATCCAGGATTGATGGCATCCTCGCCATCGTGTTGCATAACCTCCTGCTGGATGGACTGCATCACATTGGCCAAGAACCTCTCCGATTCCTTGACGAAGCCGTTATTCCACATCTCGGACGTCACCAGGTTAATGAGATAAGATGGGAAGAGGACCTCCTTGTCCGAAGGTGGTGGGTTGGTGTTGGGCGAAGGAATCTTCAGGTTCTTGATAAGTCCCATAGTAACCTCCTCGTTCAAACCATCCTCGTCGGCGAGGAGATTCTCCAGTTCCATCTCGATAGTCTCCGCGCCGGAGATGAAGTTGCCGCCAGGGCGGAACACCACAGACCCCGGGCGCGGGTTGTAAGCAGCGCTGACACGGTCGAACATTCCACTTGGTTCCGCCCCAGCACTCCGTCGCTTGGGCTTCTTGGACGAGACCAGGTTGATCAAGCCGTTCTGAGGTGGAGCCACAGTGTTGCCGTTCGTCAGTTCCCCGTTGACTGGACCTGACCTCTTGGCCAGATCGAGTTCCTCGGACATTTGCGCCAACTGTTCCCGCAACGTCATCTTCTCGTTCTCGTGGACAGTCGTCGCTTCGCGCACTCGTTCCAACTCGGCCGTCGCAGACCGAAGAGATTCCTTCAATTCCCTCTCCTCCTCCTGCATCCGTTTGACGTTCGACGTCGACTCCTCGAAGTTGAATTGCAACTTCTTCATGTCGTCCTCCATAGCCTGTAATTTAGCAACGGCAATACCGGCTTGGTTGGCCTCTGCTTGAAGCTCCTTTGTCCGTGTCTCGAGGGCATTGTGCCGGGTCTTCCACGACTTGATCTGACTTTCGTAGTTCTCGACCTGCCCAACGAGGGTCTTGTTTTGCGTCTTCATCGAGCCCAACGACTGTGTCAGTTCGACGACTTTGTTTTCCAGCTTGTAGGAGATCTGCTTCAGATCGCGAGCTTCCTCTCGAACAGTCTTGTACTCCTTGCGGGCCTTCCTTCCACGCCACAGACTCTGGACCAGCACAATCTTCCTGCGATAGCTTCTCCAAGAGCGGAGTTGTCGCCTCGCTCGCCAAACGCGTTGAATGAGTATGACAGCGTTGCCCACGCGGGTTTCCATGATTTCTCTTCTTCGCAGATAACCCTTGGCAGCAGCCTGAGCGAGGATGACATCGTTGCGGATCTGCAGGAACTGTCTTCGCTGCTTCTGTCCCTTCCATACTCTCTGAATTGTGGTCGCAGCCTTGACTGTACGAAGCTCTTGGGCCTTCACGCGGGTCATGTACGCCCTTGACAAGGATTGGAAAGAAACAATAGCTTCCCGCGCGTCAAGGTACCTGCGTCGATAGTACTTGGCTTTAAGATTCTTCTGGATCATGATGGCAGCCTCGCTCATGCGAATCTGGCGCAGATTCTCCAGGTGGGCAAGCATACCGGCACGGAAAAAGATCTTGGTCAGACCTAGTTGATAAGTGTCGTTACCCGTACCCGTGAGCGAGCCAAGAGCCTGGCCCAAGATATCCTTGACTAGCTGCCGGATCTCCGTCTGCCATGTGGTCGAAGGGACGAGCAGGTAATACCGAAGGGCAAACTCTTCGTAAGTCCAACGTCCGGGATAACCAGCACAACTAATGCGGATAGTCTCGAGGACACCACAAGCTCTAAGCTGGCTCAGAACCATGGGCCCTTCGAATGCCCACGCTTCTTTAGCCTCGTTGGGTTTGATACATCTGATGTAGTGGACGTTTGTGTTGCCAATCGTGGACATCAATTCGATAAGTGACGACCGGAAGATACCACCTAGAGTCGGCTTGCGGTTAACAGCGACTCCTATCTTTCTTCCCGCCGCGGGCTTGGCAACCGCAGAGCTGGAGGATGCGACGTCTTTCTCGCGCACAGCCAATGCCGCGTTGAGTACCGAGGCGAGGAACTTGTTTTTGGAAGCACGCAAGACCTCCATGTGCTCATCTGGCACCGTATCTCTGTTCTTCTCGATAAATCCATCTGACTCGTAAGTAACATCGACGGCGTAATGGCACACGGTGAAAGAGGATTTGCCGAATCGGGGTTTCTTGTAGAACTTGCTCTTGTCGGCGGCATAGTTGTGGTGAAGCTTGGTGACGAATTGCTCGTCCGTACCCATCGGCAATCTTGACTCTTCATCAAGTAACGACAGGATACCCATCTTACCCTCGATCAGATCGATACACGGCTGGTTGTCGGAGAAGTCAATGAATGTCCAGTCGATCTGCTCCCGGACGTATTCCTCCTGTTCGAGTCGGAAAACGTGCGAGTTGAACTGCTGCTGCAACTTCTCGTTGGCGTAGTTGATACAGAACTGTTCAAACGAGTTCTTCGCGAAATGCTCAAATCCGTATATATCGAGAACACCGATGAATGAAACAACACGGCTCAGGACCTCCTCAGCGGCAAGACTCCTGTTGATAACCTCTACAAGCCAATCGAACAGACTGGAGTAGATATACTTTGCAACGGAGTCACGCACGACCGTGGCTTGTTGTTGTGTGAGGTTTGAAACAATCTTCTCCCCACGAGTAACAAGCTGTTTCTTCACAATCCACTTGGCGAAGCTGGTGGCATCAATACCAAGAATAGCACAGGCACGTTCCAGAGCAGGCTCGTTTGGAGCCAGCACACTGTCGCTCCGCGAGGCGGCGATCTTAACGTTACCAAGGTGTAACAAACCAGCGAGAAGGTTGAAAATGCCCGCCTGCTGGGTCTCGTCGACACCGATGGTCTTGAGAGAGCTCTTCGTAGCCATGAATTCAGCCTTGTCGTCCATCCCATCGATTACAGGAGCACTGCCCTGGTTAAGGTAGTCAAACTGCTCGACCGGCAAGAGACTCAGTTCCTGCCTCTCCTTGTCCGTTGCTCCGGCCAGAAGTTGGTAGAAGATGTGATAATTCCTTTCCTTCAGGGGTTGGAAGACCAATCGCGACCGTTCGAGGAGATACGTCCGAATCCTAGCTCCGATGATGTTTGTCTTGTCGTCAAACATGATCTCGATATACTTTCCGAACCGGGACGAATTGTCGTTTCGCGTTGTCTTCGCATTGCCAAAGGCTTCCATAATAGGGTTGGTAGCCAAAATCTGCTCTTCCGTCTCGCTCATCGCTTCGGCGCCTTTCCTGGACCGGCTCTTTGGATTGTCTGGCGATTCTCTTGTAGCGAAGTATCGCATGATGTACTTTGCGCTGACGGTCTTTCCAGCACCGGACTCTCCCGACACAACGACAGTCTGATTCCTGCCATCTTTGACCATTTTTCTACACATTGTATTAGTCGAGTGTGCGTTGATAACGAGGAGACGGAGCCGGCTTACATGAAAGCTTCCTCGGCAATGGCAAACAGATGGGGAGCTTGGGTCTCCCGCTGTTTGCCAGCGTAGACCTGTACCATACCTGGCACATAGAGGGAGTCTACCCGCGCGAAAGGATTCGTAGCTATTAGGACTATACCGCTGTATGTGTAGATCTCTTTCTGTGCATATCGAAGGCGGATGGCTTGGAGCACTATGCAGATCATGTTTGTCAGTGACACGAGCACAGACAAGGGGGCGCCCGATCGCGGTAGAGAAGAAGCGTACCAGCGGGTTCATTCAAATGTGACAGGTTTGTTAAGTCGTCACTGGCTTCGAGCATAGCCGGGTTCATCAGCGGTGGTAACGTCTCGTCGCCATTCTGCAGGGCGTCCGCAGTGACCTCGACAGTCTTGATCTGTGGGATTCGGGTGGTCAGCTTAAGCTGGAGCGGGAGACAGACTCGTGGCCGGGGTGAGTGCTTGGTTTGTACGTACCTCTTCATTTTCGAGCTGGAAGATCAGGGTCACCTTGTTGCCGTCGACAGACTTCTTGACAACCTCGGATGCCACCCAGCCCTCGGTGGCATCGGGCTGCCAGGCTCTCGTACCGACATCGTAGCTATGCGACATGGGAGGCTGCTCGTGGACTCGCGCTGCGGTAAGATATGTGGTGAGATCGGTCGGTCGCGTCGCGGAGAGTTCGAAGGTCGGGGAGACAGCTTAAGGGGTAGCGAGAGCTGAAGACATTCGTGTGGATTAGGGAAGATGGGGGGTTGGCGAAACCAGAGGGTCGAAAAGGGAGTATGTGCTCAAAGAAAGACGCCAGTTACAGCCAGCCACGGGGAGTGGATGGGATGCAGAGCGGGAGAAGGGACAGAGGGGGTATCTAATGGCGGCTTCGGCTCTGGATTGAGCCGACGTGGTTGACGATTGGCGACGCTGGCGTGGTCTTGCGATATGCAATGGGTAGTTCAAGCTGCGATATGCGAGCATTCGTGGGAAGATGGATGGACTTCTGCTTGCCTTGTCTTGTCTTGTCTCGCCTGCTTGTCTGATTGTCTGCTCGACGGTGAAATTTGGGGATAAAGGGAGAGCCCGATACCAGCTCGGGCTTAGCACCGCCAGCAGGTAACAGGGGTAAATAGGGACCTCCCAGTGCCACCCCTCGGCCCCTCCAGGGCCTGCAGTGTCCCCATTGGCTCCGTGTCGCCGACTCATCCACTGTTCTTCAGCCAGGCTGACCCTGCCCGGGGCTGGGACCGGGTACTCGCAACCTGCCGCTCCCCGCTGGTTACCCCTTAAAGGCATGTACCCGTCACTTCGCACACCATCTCGCTTCCTCCCTTTTGTCTGCAGCACCGTCACCTCGTGCTCTCTCACCGACAAAGCGTTGAGCATGGTTTCGTTTCTGCATTGTGACATCTCGCAACATTCTCATATGTCGTCGGTCTGTACATGTATGTAAGGTACTGTAACTACATGCAACCTCGCATTCAATGTTTTGCCAACTCGAACTAGACTTTACAGGGCACGACAGGATCGGCGTAGCTTCGATAGAGTTTAAGGGGTTCAACTCCGATGCATGCGATCCTAACATCGATCCATCTTCGTCCCATCTTGCCTTTGAATCCTGAACTTGGCTCACCAGCAACGCTTCCCATCCCCCCTCACCTTTGGACGGCAAGATCACAGACTAAAAGGAGAGAGTAAAATAAACATGCGCGTGGCAGCCAGCTAACAAACCTAAACCCGCGCGTGGCAGTAAGTTTGCTCCAACGCGCGCGCCTCGCGCTCTGTAAGGTAGCATCTTGGATGTTGACATCTGCAGGGGGTGCAAATCCATTGGAAGCTTCCAATCCGAGGAGGTCGGGATCAGTTGGAGGCTTGGCGTCGTAGCGTCCAACCCCGATCCCCGGATCTCCAGCGTGCGAGCGACTCGTCGGTTCCTACACGACGTGACGCAACGCAACACATAGTGCCACCGTATCCGATGCTTCATAGGCCGTACGAGGTCGTTATCGACGCCCATCACCAGGTAGCAGGTAGCTGTAGTACGTGTACGTCAATGATTGTTTATCAAGCGTTTCGACGTCTCATGCAGGAACAATATCGAGACTTGTACAACCTTGGAACACATCGACTCGTGTCACCTCCATCAAAGCCAGCTATTATTGCATCGTGGTTCAAAGCAGGAAACAGTAACAAAGAACAGCATGAAGCACGTTTCTTTGCTTTATAGAAATTGATGCAGATATTCAGACACCGATCCCAGTCATTCATGCTCACCTCTGGTTCACCGCACTTGTTTGATGCCACTACTTGTTGGAAATGACCGACCCCGGCATTCTGGAAATCATCTTCATGCGGCTCCGGGTCCCGGGACCACGTAATGAAAACACAACTAGTATAAATTTCCGCTGTGGGGTTAGTTACGTCTAACAGGGCAAGAAGAAATCCCAGGTGGCACTTCTCTCATTATTTTATACCGTGTTGAAGTTTTCGTTTCCTTCCTTTTTGTCTATCTCTATCCGTGACGCTCAACGCTGATGACAACATCTATGGCGTTGAAGCCATGCTGCATTACAAGAGGTAAAATATCCGGCATAAGCACTGTCCTGGGTAGCGATTAGGAGCTCTTAACCCTGCTCAGTACTTATTCCACCCTGATCACACCATGGTCTTCTCGCATGTCTAGTAAAGCACGCGGGTCAAGATTCGGGCTGCACACGTTAATCAGCCTGGTTTCAACAGATCTTTGGTGCTGTACTCACAGCTCAGAGTCTCGAGGCTATCGTAAATCTCCTCGAGATCACTAGTTTCCACATCCTTCACGTCGGCCATGACGTAGGCAACCTATAGTTGAAATCAGTACCTGATAGCGAGAAGCGGTTCATTGTGGAAACTTACATCGCCTCTGCTGTCGCTCATTTGCCTGTCTACGTTGTGGGAACCGAGTATATCGTTGACTGTCGTGCGTAAGTTTCTCGTTTCAAAGATATGCCTGTGAGTCCATAGCTTACATTTGCGTAGAACGCCCGGTACATTCTGGTGGATGAACACGATCTGCGAAGCATCAGTTGCTGTTGTAGCTGTGAGTGAAGTGCAAGTAAGGCTGCTCACTCTTGCATGGTTGGGTTCATCCAGTGTCAACGAACGCATGTTCAGCTTCGGCATGTTGACGCTACTCAGCGTGATACCCTGGTTGATGTATCGGACAAGTGCATCAGCAACTGCACAGCAGCGTCAGTAAAGAGGATCGCAGATGCGTGTTGGCTTGCCTGCATACCTTCAATGCCAATGGCTCTTTGCGCCTCTTCGGTGCTTCCGCCAATGTGTGGGGTGAGGATGATGTTGTTCAGGCTTCGGATATCCTCCTCCCAGCCGTTCAGGCTGTTGTTGAAGTAGTCCCCATTGCCCCGTGGCTCGGCGGGGTAGACATCGACGGCAGCGCCGGCGACCTTTCCGCTGCGCATCGCGTTGATTAGGGCGGGTAGATCCACCACGGTTCCACGGCTGGCGTTGATCAGGTATGCACCCTCCTTCATCTGCTCGAACTGTGTAGCAGACATCATGTCCTTGGTCTCAGGCAGCTCAGGCACGTGCAGAGTCACGAAGTCGGCCTGGCTCAGGAGATCCTTGAGGGTCGGCACCTGTTGAGCTGAACCTAGAGCCATGAGGCTGACCACGTCGTAGTAGATGACCGACATGCCCATGGCTTCTGCAAGCACAGAGAGCTGGGAGCCGATGTGTCCGTATCCGACGATGCCGAGTGTTTTGCCGCGAATCTCCCAGCACTTGTTGCTCACCTTGTTCCAGGCGCCCTTGTGCATCTCATTCGATCGATCACCAAGCTGGCGCGCGAGGGTAATGATCTCGGCAATCACCAGCTCGGCTACACTTCGAGAGTTGGCGAAAGGGGAATTGAACACAGCAATTCCATGGTGGGCGGCGAATTCCAGGTCGACCTGGTTGGTGCCAATGCAGAAACATCCAACTACAAGCAGGTTCTTGGCCTCACGGAGAACTTTCTCGTTCAGCTTGGTCTTTGATCTTATGCCAATTACATGGACATCCCTGGCCTCGGATTAGCCAGTTTCTCCTCATGGGTCATGAGCGACAACGTCACAACTCTGGAAACGGCATTTATGGCAGTGCTTGTGCCAGACAACTGAGATGAGGACACACACCGAATCTTCTCAATAAGCTCATCCTCGGGCAATGAGCCCTTGTGTGCTTCGACCTGGTAGCCCTGGCCGGTCAATATGTCCTTGCCGCTCTGGTTGACATTCTCCAGGAGGAGGATCTTGATATCCTTGGTGTTGAAGGGCTTGAGCTGCTTTGGCAAGCCTTGTTGACAATTGGGTCGGCCAAAGCTAGAGGGCGGGGAGAATGTCGTGGTTGGTGAGGCTGAGACGCTCATCCGATGAGCCAAACCCTGCTGCGGGGCCTTCGAGATATCTTGGGGGTTTGTCATGATTTTGTGTCCACGGAATGAGCGAATTCGTGGGATAAGCAACAAGCGCGGATGATTATGCAACCTTTAGCAACTGAACGTTAATACCCATATGTCACGGGAGAAGGGACTGGCAGGAGCGAACTCACAATTGAAGATGAGAAGTTGAAAGTCGATGGCGGATTCAAGTGAGTCAGAGTTGGGCGGATGATCGTTTTTTCCACCAGGTAATTCAGGGTCCACGTTTCTTGGGGTCTTGGCTGGAATGGAAGGTGGTGACACTGGTGACTGGTGAGGTCCACGGCAGCCCCGGGCGCAGTGCAGTTCCATTCCGTTGTTACCTCACTAGCAAGCACTTGAATTAGGTAAGGTGACTAAAAACTCTATTTTCTTACACCGGCGTGACCACTGACCAGCAAGCTCCATCGAGACAGACCCATTTTGATTCGTTGGCATGGAGCCCCATTCACCGTTCGACCTTACGTTTTGCCATTTCCAGTGTAAGAGTGTCCGGCTTGGGGTTGGAGAAGATTCAATCTGAACATCCTTCCGTCATCGGATCTGTAAAGTGCAGGTAGGTAGTTACTAAGTACTTACATATCATGACTGATAGCTGGAGGTTTTCTGGTAGCCGACCAGCCCGGTCCTCATCGAGATTTCCGGAGCGACTTCACGGCCACTCAAGAACGAACAGTCACATATTGGCGGGCAAAGTTCTTCCTGCACCACAATCACACGGCAGTTTCGTTTGACAACGACCTATTAAAAAGGCTTTTTGTTTGGGTTCGTGATTCGTCGCCGCAGGGCATCAATGCTGACGTCCAAACGAAGACGACTCAAGCCCACACGCGCAACGTACATGTTATATGCAAGGGGGGCGGATCTCCATCAACTTCATCTGATTCTGTGTCCGGGTGCTCTAGTAGCGAGCCAGCAACATCGACAGTTCCCGATTCTCAGTCTGAAAGTCTGCTCTTCAGGTCCACCTCTGACTCTATTGACCATACTGACAGCCTGTCCAGCCATCCGGCCACCCTAGACCAGCCTTTGGCTGGCCGCAAATGTGTAGAGAGAAAACTACCAACCAGTACTGAATGAGATTCCGAAAGCAGCCTAAAACCTGATGGGAGTGCCAGTCTATTTTGGGAAGAATAACGTCGCATAGACCAGCACGGTCTCAGGCAACGTGTCGACGACTAAATTATGTCGTGATCATGAGCAGCAGAGACCTAGGATGATTGGACGTGATGCGTACCACTCGCCCGTTTTGTCCTAGCAAATGATTATGTCGGGCATTAAGTAGACAGCCCGGGGGGGGGGATCAAGGGCGGGATATGTTTAGCTTTGCTTGCACTCCTGAGCCTCCTGCTTCGGCTTCGCACCATCATCCTACATGAGAAAGTTAGTTGTTTTTTTATGTCCGTGGTTGACAAGTTGGCGGAACATACATCATCGTCGGACTCCTCCTCCTCATCGTCATCACGATCTTCGCTGAGATCATCCTCTTCATCATCCTCATCCTCGAAGCCGTCCTCATCGAGGTCGTCAATCTCCTCGAAGGCCAACGCCTCACCGGTGAACCAGTCGATGGCGCGAGGGATGAGTTTCTCCTTGATATCTTCACCAAGCTGGTAGTCAAGTTCCAGACGCTCCTCAATGTCGGATGCAGCATCGTCGTCGTCATCCTCATCGTTAGGGGCCTTAGGAGGCGAGAAGAAGTTGAAGAATGAGTCTGTGGGCACTGTCTTCTTGACAATGCGGGTCTGTTTCGTGTCTAGAAGGGATTAGCAGGAATTTCAGTACAAGAAGTGAATTGGGGCTTGCATACTCTTGTTTCTCTGCTTCTTGCTCTCAACACGAACGGTCAGGTCCTGAGCATCCTTCCAGTTGATCTTGTCACCCTCGGCGTGGTCGTAGATGAAGTCGCCACCATAACCGCTCTCGTTCTGATAGTAGTAGGTCTTGGTAATGGTCTTGTTGGTGAAGTAATCGTTGTCGGCGAAATCAAAGATCAGGCGGAATCCAGGCTTGTCAAGGTACTCCATTCGGATGTCAACCAGAGAGCGAAGAGCATGCTCATCCCGGTCGGTGATCATCTCGGCAAGCGAGATCTGGTTCTTCATGGCCGATAGCCAGAACTCGGGGATACCGGGTACGTTCTCAGCGGCCTCGGTAGGCTTCTCCTCAGCCTTCTCGGCCGTGTCAGCCTTGACCTCGGCACCCTCCTCGGGCTCCTCCTCGCCCGCCTTGACCTCATCTTCGGTAGGCTCGGTCTTTCCGTTGATGATCTCGGCACGCTTTTCGTACAGAGGAGTGAACTTGGCGAAGTACTTCTTCTCGAGCTGAAGAACCTCCTCCTGGAACTCGGCCTCGAGCTTGGAGTGATCCTTCTGGATACCCTTCAGGCCAGCGACACGACGGCGGACAGGTGCGGGGAGGGACTCGATGTAGCCCGAGGATCGACCAACAAGGGAGCCAAGTCGACCTTGGATCATCTGGACGAGCTTCGGGTTCTGGGCGAAGATCGAAGCAGCTGCAGCACGGTCGAGGTCCTCTGCAATGCGCGCACACAAGTTAGCGATACTGACCCGACGAAATGACGCAGGTTGCAGGAGTGCCGCTTACCCTCCTTGATGCTCGAAACACCCGGTTGTTGGGCATGAGACGAGATGGGAGCATTGCTGGCGGGGGTGTTCTGCGGGGTACTGTCAAGTGTGAATGTCATATTAGTGTTTTGCACTTCGTCGCGCAGAGGAGCAGGCATCGGCAAGGACTTACGGCGCAGTTACGTCGGCACGACGGTTCTTGATGGGTTCAGCCATTGTTGATGCTGTTCTTCGCTGATGGCGATGATATGGGAGTGTTTGTTGATTGAGGGAGTAGTTGCACTGGCTGCTCGCAGGCTCACAAAGAAAAAGTGGCGGCGGAAAAAAAGCAGGGATTAGTGATGAGGGTCGATGGTGGGAGAGTCGAGTGCGGGTCTTGTCTGGCTGGGCACGTCGAGAAGTGGACGTGGGTGTGGGCGCGGTGAGTGGTGGATGGGCGGATTGATGGATTGGTGGATGTGTGGATGTGTGTATGTGTGGATGTGTGGATGGATTGTTGATGATGATGATGATGATGCCTTCGCGGTCACACAGAAGGGATTGTGTAATAACAGCACGCTTCGCACGAGTCAAGAGGCTGCGAAGTTGAGAAGGGGAGAAGTCGCAAGACTGGATCAAAATCCGGAGGGAGTAGAGACTGGGGAGACTGGCAGACTGGCAGACTGGACAGCTGTCGGTCTATGGGCTGCACGGGTCCTCAGGAAGATACCCGACCTCTCAAAGGGGCACTCGACTTGGCCTAACTTAAAGTCGCTATGACCAGCGATGGACGATGGGGAATTCACAGTTTGGCATTTGGTGAGGTCGAGGCCTGCTTGGTCCTAAAAGCACCTGCTGCTACGGTCTTCCTCATTGGCCTTATTGGTGTCGGCTGCTTGGTCGTTGGTCGAGGGGCCCTTAGTGGGAGAGGCGAAGTGGGGTGAAGGCGCAACCCTGTCAGTCAGTGACAACAATGGATGGAGGGGAAGCTCCAAAGGTTGTTGAAAGAGGCCCAGGATTGTTGGGTTCAAATGCCACCGTCGGGTCTACCGACCTCACTTGAGCAAATATTTTTGGTTTCTTTTCTACCTTACTACCTTACACATCACGACTGCATGTGATCATAGAAGACCTGGCTCGGACCCTGATATACCTAGGTACAGAAAACTAGGCAGTTTGACATTTGAAGTCACTGGACGATTCCCTCGGTGCCATTTCTTTTGGCACCAGACTTGAGCTGGCGGCAGCTGGCTGGCCACGGCCTTTTCACCATTGTTGGTGCCGTCCAACCCCTGGACACAAACACAAATACAAATGCATTGTCTGTTTGGTTGTGGACGAGATCAACATCCATACTATTGTCTACCTACATACAGTAGAAGCGGTGTGAGTTCCATAGGTGATACTACCTTGAGTGCAGTACACTGGATAATCTGTACCTACGATGCCGGGCCAGAGCATGAAATGGATAGGTATGCCACAAGTTCACAGCTTCACATGCATCAAAATTGCAAATTCTAACACATGTAAGTGCGAAGATATTCACAAGGGTATACGTCTCATCTCAAGATGCTGCTGGAGACACATGCCAGTGGAATATCAATGTCTACCTAGGTACATATGTAGGTAGGTAGGCAGCTCTTGTACAAGACCTCTCCCCACAGATAGATCAGATCCGATGGAACCCACGTAGGTAGCCACGTCAAATTTGCTGGTTGGTGTTTGCGATCAGCATGAGCATGCGAATATCAAGACGATCCAAAAGCTGGAGTTTGCCGAGTTTAGAGCATTTCCTTATCGTTATCGCTATTGGGGACTTATCGCCATCGGGGGCTTATCGACAAGAGATAGACGGCACTTGGCGTACATAGCTAGCAGATTCCCGCCCGGCGGCTCAGGAACACTCGGGCTTTCAGGAGCCCTGTTCCGCCTGTCAGCCGGGCCCCGTCTGCAAATTGTCGCATTTCTACATCGGAGGTGTTCACAGACCTCACCCCCGAGCCGCACATCTGCACATATGTGTGCTGGAGTTGAATACCAGACAGAGAAATCAAGTATCCCCACCAGTTTAGGTATCCAGCAATCCTCCGCGATCCTCAAATACTATCCAGTATCACGATGCGATCCGGCTCACATATCCTTGCTTGGCAGTATCGATAGCACCCTGCGGAGGCGCATACCTTAGTCAAGTCTCTCTTAGAATTATCCAACTCCGCAGACAGTCAACCTACCGGTATATGACTCCTCGATCCAGTCGCCCGCCTAGAGCTTGACTGGGGCCTGTCGTTCTGCGATATAACTGAAGCTTCTGCGCCTCGAGCTCTCCCACCCACGATGGACGAAAACGAGGACAGGCCCGTTGCGTACTCCCGGCGCAACGGTGCTCCAACTCTGTATAGGCTCAGCTCTGCCCAGAGCAGCTCGAGCGTATTCGAGGATGTCGAGATGGCCCAAGATGAGGTATGCGAGAAACCTGCTTCCTCCACGCCCAGCTTGTGCTGACTAGGTGTTGCTGCAGTTGTTCTCTGGCCCAGTCGCTGAGAGCTTGCCCACAAGCATGTCTGCCTTCTTCCACCGACGCCAACGTGCCGACTCGAACGCGAGCTTCGCATACTACAACGAGGAGGAGAATGAACCGGAGCTGCCGTTTCTGTACAATAGGGATGGTTCAGTCTCTTTCGACATTGACGAGATGCCCTTCGACCTCGAAGACGACGAGGAGCAAACAAGCTCGGGGACTGAGCTCGAGAATGGTATTACATACAATGACTATCCTCTGAACAGAAGGTCTTCGACACTTTCGAGGACTTCCGTCCATGCCGGACTCCTTCGTACGGACAGCGGCAGGACAGATGCTAGTGGACGTGGTCATGGTCGGATCAGTCAGAAACTGCACATGGTCAACGAGGACCTCACTATTGTCATCGCTGGCTTCCGCACTAGCACGATGGGCTACATCGCCTACGTCTTCTTGTGCGCCGCAACTTTTGGCCTGGCTTATCTCCTTCTGCGCTGGCTTCCTCGGTGGCAGGTCAGGTTGATAGGCGAACCCTGTCCTCTGCGTGAAAGCCAATGGGTTGTCCTCGAGGTTGGTTGCTACCAGTTCTCAATATGAATAAGTTGTGGCTTGTTGACCTGTATGCAGAATCAATGGGGCGAGATGGCCGTTCTGGACGTGAAGAGCCAACCCTACGACCGCCCTATGTCCACTGTGTTTGGAGCACCGGAAAAGATGTTCGCGCAATGGCTCGAAGATGATGCCGATCCAATAATGAACGAACTTCGCGTTCTCACCTACCGCTATGTCCGTTTCTTCTTTCACCCGCTGAAGGACAAGTTTGTCATTTGCAATGGGTGGAAAGATCCAACGTGGACCCGGGTCCGACCACTACGGGCGGGCATCGATGGCGATGAGAAAGACCAGCGAGAACATGTCTTCGGGTCGAACATCATCGATATTGAGCAAAAGTCCATACTGCAGCTACTCGTGGACGAGGTTGGTATCCTATTTGTGAAGATCGGGACGTTTCTAACCGAGATCAGGTCTTCCACCCATTCTACGTCTTCCAAATAGCAAGCTTGGTTCTCTGGTCACTGGATCAGTACTTCTACTATGCCATCTGCATCTTTGTTATGTCTGCAGGAAGTATAATAGCAACCCTAGTAGAAACCCGCGCAGTCAGTTTCCCATCTATTGAAAGTAGGCTATTCCGACTAACCGAGGCAGACTATGCGACGTCTCCGCGAGATCTCCCGCTTTGAATGCGACGTCCGAGTACTTCGGAATGGTTTCTGTGAGTATTGCTCAAAAACCACGGTTCTGCTACAAACTTCTGATTTTCTGCAGGGGCACATGTGTCATCCAGCGATTTGGTCCCGGGCGATGTGTATGAAGTCAGTGATCCCAACCTCACACAATTTCCAAGTGACAGTCTGCTGCTGAGTGGTGATTGCATTGTCAATGAAAGTATGCTCACTGGCGAGTCTGTGCCGGTATCGAAAATTCCTGCCACCGACGAAACGCTTGAGATCATGAATCTCTCCGGCTCGACTGTCTCGCCAGATGCCGCGCGCCATTTTCTGTTTTGCGGTACCAAGATCGTTCGTGCGAGACGGCCACAAGAGAATACTGACGAGGAAGCCGTGGCGCTTGCTATGGTTGTAAGAACTGGCTTCAATACCACCAAAGGCTCCCTTGTCCGGTCGATGCTTTTCCCGAAGCCATCTGGTTTCAAGTTCTACCGGGATTCCTTTCGATATATCTCTGTTATGGGATGTGTCGCGTTGCTCGGTTTCATAGTGTCTTTCGTCAACTTCCTTCGCCTCGGCTTAGCCTGGCATTTGATCGTCGTCCGAGCATTGGATCTTATTACCATCGTCGTTCCGCCAGCTCTCCCAGCTACACTTACTATCGGGACTAACTTCGCTTTGAGCCGACTCAAGAAGAAACAAATATTCTGCATCAGCCCACAGCGGGTCAATGTCGGCGGCAAGTTGGATCTGATGTGTTTCGACAAGACGGGCACCCTCACGGAAGAAGGTCTGGATATCCTCGGCGTTAGGTTAGCGTCTCGAACTTCGAAACGATTTGAAGAAGTCGTGTCAAAGGCATCAGCGTTGGTTCCCCATTCAGAGTTGGCCTCGACCACAGCGGACAAGTATGACTCTAGCCGTGCCGCGCTTTTCACTATGGCTACTTGCCACTCTCTTCGTTGCGTCGATGGAGAGTTAGTCGGCGACCCATTAGACGTCAAGATGTTTGAATTCACCGGCTGGACGTTTGAAGAGGGTAACCAAGGTGGTGGCGAGCAAGAGGAAGACGAGCAAGGAGGTCTCTCCCCCTCAGTCGCCCGGCCACCTCCGTTGCCATTATACGACACCGACGAATATGGCAGTGCCCAGGGGCAAAACGTAAGTCTCAACCTGCAATGCCATTTTGGACCGAGCTGACATGGGTACAGGTGCCTGTTGAACTTGGGGTGCTCAGGACTTTCGAGTTCGTCTCTCAACTGCGCAGAGCGAGCGTCATCGTCCGAGCCTTCGGCCAACAGAGTGGATATATATATGTGAAGGGTGCACCAGAGTGCATGCGGGAGATCTGTCGACCTGATAGCTGTCAGTTCCCCGTCCGAAGTCTTGTGTTCTACAATCATAACTAACTCCTTTAGTCCCGGATGACTACGATGAGCTCCTATCGTACTATACACACAAGGGGTATCGAGTGATCGCTTGCGCGAGTAAGCATATGAAGAAGCTTTCGTGGGTGAAGTCCCAGAAGATAAAGCGTGACGAAGTCGAGGCCGACCTTGACTTCGTAGGGTTCATTATCTTCGAGAACAAACTAAAGCCAACCACGGCTGCTGTCTTGAAGGAACTCACCCAGTCCAACATTGGCTCGGTCATGGTGACAGGAGACAACATATTGACAGCGATTAGCGTGGCGAGAAACTGCGGCCTGGTTGAGAGGGACGCACACTGTTTCGTCCCTCATTTCGCCGAAGGAGACTTTCGCGACCCCAATGCTCGACTACACTGGGAGAGCATTGATGATACAGCTTACCAACTTGACTACCGGACACTGCTTGTAAGCCCTTGACGGTGGAAAGTACCAGAGCAGCTGCTAATCAGATCGATAATAGCCACTTCCAGCGCCAGTCGAACGTGATGCATCGTTGCCATATGATATCACAAACCTCAAGAACTATTCCTTGGCCGTTAGTGGCGACGTGTTCCGCTGGATGATCGACTTTGCTCCGAATGAGGTCATGCAACGGGTAAGTTCACTTCATCGGTGTGAAGTCCTCGTAAGAGGCCGTCATCACCCATCACAAGACCCGAGTTCTCGGACGCTGTATGTTGACTGGCGATAGATGCTTGTCCGTGGCAAAGTATTTGCGCGCATGTCCCCTGACGAGAAGCATGAACTTGTCGAGAAATTCCAGAGTATAGGCTACTGTTGTGGCTTCTGTGGAGACGGCGCCAACGACTGCGGTGCCTTGAAAGCAGCAGATGTCGGAATCTCGCTGTCAGAAGCTGAGGCTTCAGTGGCAGCACCCTTCACATCGAGAGTGTTCGACATTCGGTGTGTCCCTGATGTCATCCGGTTTGTAGCCCAACATTCGCGCAGTACTCCAGTTCAGCTGCTAATGTCCTGCTAGTGAGGGAAGAGCTGCTCTTGTCACCAGTTTCAGCTGCTTCAAGTTCATGAGTCTCTACTCCGCCATCCAATTCACTTCTGTCAGCTTCCTCTACGCCTCGGCCTCCAACCTGGGAGACTTCCAAGTAAGGATGTTAATAGCTACACTCTCTGTTCTCTCGGCTGATGACTGGTTCTTAGTTCTTGTTCATCGACGTCCTTCTCATATTGCCGCTCGCTATCTTCAGTAAGTGGGACGAAAATGATGGTAACATGACTTAATAACTAATTCATCGTGACAGTGGGCTGGTCTGGGCCTTCGCCAGTGCTGAGCAAGAAGCGACCGACCGCCGATTTGGTATCACGAAAAGTCCTTACTCCCTTGCTGGGGCAGATGAGCATCTGCATACTGATACAGGCCGCCGCATGGATTATTGTGCGAAAGCAAGACTGGTCAGTACCATACAAACAATTCACCCGAGAAAAGACTGCTCACTTATACACCCCAGGTATATCCCACCGCATGTCAATCCCGAAAAATCAAATATCAAGAACTCGGAGAACACAGCTCTATTCTTGATGTCCTGCTTTGAATACATCTTCATCGCCGTGGTCATGAGCGCCGGCCGGCCCTTCAGGCAACCGATGAGCCAGAACTGTAAGGCACCACCAGCTTCCAAATCCATGCCACCACACCTGCGCGACTGTCTGTCCGTCCAAGAATAGTAGCTGACAATACAAATTCCAGGGCCGTTCATGGGCACCATTCTCGCAGCGCTCGTCCTGACCGCCTACATGGTCTTCACGCCCGCCCGCGGCGTGCGGAAGCTCATGCAGCTCACGCGCATCAGCACGTCCTACAAGACCACCCTGCTGGTGCTCGGCGTCGTCTACCTGGTCGTCGCCTGGACCGCGGAGAACTACGTCTTCCAGCGGCTGGCGCGCGGTGTGGGACGCGCCAAGCTGGCCCTGTCTAAGAAGGCTAAGGTGAGGAAGGAGTATAAGGTCATTGCGGAGCGGATGCAGAGTTGATGTTTGTGTGGTGTATACCTTGTGTATATTGTACGTACGTCTTTAAGACGTATCTATGGGTAAATGCATATATAGCAGCAGCCTGACGGAACAAATAGAGAGGTAGAGTGTTTTTCCACAAATGCATATACAGCAAGCAGCCTTATGGAGTAGAAAAGTAGACTGTTTTCCCACGACGCACTCTTTTTACGCATGACCTTGGTGAATCGAGAACACATGAGCTGTGACTAGGTAGTCTGCATCCCCTATACTTCTAGGCTGGGGCTTGATCGTGCCGTCACGTATCTCGAATTCTGTAGGTTTCCCGATCACGTTATTCGCCGAACTTCACCGAAATATTTTCCTGTCACAAGGACCGCAGGCATAGAACATAGAGTACAGAGCAGATACATCAGCACTATGTTGAGTCCATGAACGTAAAGTAGTTCAGCAGGGTATCTGATTCCGCAGCGGCCTCAAGAGAGCCTGCCACATCAATTTGTACAGCTCTTTGAAAGCCAACAGAGACAGCTAAGACGGCAGTAGTCTGCGAGCGTAATCTAGCACAATACACGGCAAAATAGCCGTCATTGTCCGCCTGTTGACATGCATCATGCTCCGTTCTTCATCGCAACATCGCCGTCCTCTGTGCCGTTCTGAAGGGGTTCATTCGTCGCCCTGGGTATCTCAAACACGACCAGCCCGTTTTTGCCACCCTTGATATTCTTCCACCGCCCAAGACGAAGCTCCTTGCCCACGGCGCAGACGACGCTCAGGCCGTCCTTTCCGCGCTCGCCCCGCTCCATGACGGCAATGTCGTTGATGACGCCCTTGATAAGCCACGGCTGACTTATGTCATCGGTTTCGCCATCTGGTCTGGTCTCAGCAGCCTCCGCGGATGCGCCATTCGCTTGGAGATCCGCAGGAGAGTCGCTGGGGTTGCCTAATATTCCCACGGGCTCGAGCGTCTTCTTAGCCTCGTCGAACCTCCACACCCGGACGAAGCCATCCCACGACCCGCTAAGAACGAGATCTGACAATGGTACGGTCCGCAAAGCCGTGATGGGGAGGGGTTGGGCAGGTGGGATGTAAGCTTCCTTCGGGTCCGTCTCGGGTGATATGTCTGTTGGTTGAAGCGGCGGTTCCAGCCCATGGGCTTGGTAAACGACAGAGAGTGGTCTCTTCCGTTGTGTGGTCCAAAGAGATATGCTTCCGTTATCGGCGCCCGTGACAAAGAACGTATCGTCGATCTGCGCCACTCGATCCAAGCTTCCTTCGTGGGCCAGTGATTTTGGGTCTACGTCTGGTTTGGACAATTTCTTCGGCCCACCGCCACCTCTGAAGAGCAGCTGCGTTTCCTCGACCACTTTCCACAAGCGACATGTGCGGTCACGGCTGCCGACAGATATACATCGTTCTTGGGTGAGGGCGTCGATATCGACGACGTGATCTCCATGGCCATAGAGCGTTTCAACATACGCTTTCTGTTCACGGTCGACCTGAAAGACCTTGACGGAGCGGTCTTTGGAGGCGGAGTAGAGCTGGTTCGACCCTCGACGGAAAGCCAGTCCGGTCACTGCATCTCGGTGGTCGCGGAAGAAATGTATCGGTTTCAGAGACTCGTCCCAGACAACAATTCGACGATCCGACCCGCCCGTCACAACAATACCGTCATGGCTAACCGCGACGCAGAGTATGTCCCCACCGACATGACCCTTGTAATCCTTGTCCTTGGACTTTCTGCTATCTCCCTTCCAATGAGCTACTTTCACCGGTCGTTTCCTGCGCGGTGTCAGTATTGGACCTTGGTGGAGATTTATAAGGTCTTACTTGGCTGGAGCGGTCCGCTTCGGCTTCTTTTTTGTAGTTTGCTTGTATGGCGTTGGGTAATCCCACTTGATGAGTTGACATCCTTTGTGTGCGGAATATATAAATGGTGACCCTATGGCGACTGCGGTAGTGGTCTGTGTATTATTTCTGACGAATGTTTTCGAGGCTCGGGGCAAGGGCAAAGTCGCGGCTATTCGCTTGTAGACCTTTCCTTTGTTTTCACTGACGTCCAACGCCAGGCGCTGTGCGATGTTTTCGCGGTCGATCTCCTCGGCATCGAAACCCACCGTCTCCTCTACCTCGTCTTTCACCCTAGCCAGGTAATTCTCCGCCATCCTCAGGCGCTGGACGACGACATAGAAGTCAGCAAATGGCCCAGGACAATTGAGTTCGGAGGCCCGTTACGCGAGACTGTCGTACTGACCTTCTCTGCAGCTGTCTCCCCTTCATGCTCGGAATCTGAGCCAGAGCCCGACAGTCCGGCATCCTCACCACCGTCCCCGCTGTCAGAATCGCTCCCCGATATCGAATCATCGTCATCGCGTTCTACCTGTCGCTTCGGGGCAGACTGGGGTTTCGAGGGACGCTGAGCGGTCTTGAAAGCGGTTCGTTTTTGCTTGGGAGCGCGAGCTCCATCGGTTGGCGCCCGTTTCCGCTTGGTCCCGGTTGTGAAGAAGGACAAGGAAGACATGGTGGGCGTATACGAGTCACTCGAACAGCGTTCGGTCAAAGTATTGACCAGCCGATTGTCTCGCGCGCTTCTATGCCCCTGGGAGAAAAGTGCGTCGTCTTGCAGTGCTGCGATTAGAGGATGTGCTGATCTGCGCGGGCGGCTTCACTTGACTTTCAACTTTTTTTTTGCAGCGATAAGGTAGCTCGCAGCAATGTGGGGTCCCGATAGGGAGCTGTGGCTGATGTCGGTGGAGGGACCTGCCAAGTCCGCGCTTGCTTGGCTGCTTGGCCGGGGATTGTTGGAGCTCTATCCCGACTTCGTGAGGCTGATGACTATTGACTGGCGTAGGCTGTAGCTTCTTGCGCGTCTGCACCATTGATTGACCTCGTTACGCCTGTGAGCTCCAGCCTCCAGCATCCAACATCCAGCCAAGCACACCACTGACGGCTCTGTTCACCCCAAACGACACTTCCCAGAGCTCATCAACATCCCAACGAATCTGTCAATATGTAAGCCGTGTTCTATCCCGCGGTATCTGGCATACAGCATGCTGACAGCGGTGGTGCCAGGGAGGTGTTACTAGGAATCACGGGCAAGGACTTCACCTTGATTGCAGCTTCGAAAGCTGCGATGCGAGGTGCCTCCATCCTCAAGGCTGAAGACGACAAGACCCGACACTTGAACAAGCACACGCTGGTAGCCTTTTCTGGAGAAGCTGGAGACACGAGCACGTCTATCCCACCTGGGCTCTGGTGACTGTAGCTAACCGCGAGCTAGTCCAATTCGCCGAGTACATCCAAGCGAACGCCCAACTCTATTCGATGCGAAACGAGAGCGATCTGTCACCCGCTGCCCTGGCCAACTACGTCCGAGGCGAGTTGGCATCGAGCTTGCGATCGCGAAAGCCGTACAACGTCAACCTCCTCCTGGGAGGCGTCGACCCCATCACCCTCAAGCCCTGCTTGTTCTGGCTGGACTACCTAGCGGCGCTGGCGCCCGTTCCCTATGCTGCCCACGGCTACGCACAATACTACTGCCTCTCTATCCTGGACAAGCACCATCACCCGGACATGACGCTGGTGCAGGGGATGAAGGTCCTAGAGATGTGCACCGACGAGCTCAAGAGACGCTTACCGATCGACTTCAAGGGCATGATGGTCAAGGCAGTGACTAAGGACGGCATCCGGGACATCGAGTTCAATGATGACAAGATTGTAAAGTGTCCTTGAGAAAGGGGAGGCGACGGTTTGGTAGAGAGAACTGCGCGTGTACATTAGAGCCCTATAAATGGGGTAACCACCAAATAGCAGCTGAATGACCCAGGCGTTGGCATGATCAAAGACATTGTGATGGATATATCACTTAAGGGTTTCTAAATGCGGCTTGTGGTTAGCACCTGGATCATAGGGCAAGATGTCTCCTGATGATGAAGTAGCACTTGCTTGACAGCCGTCCATTGACTATCAGTCAGTCATTGCATGTAGGTCGCATGGTTTGATGCCCTGTCATGGCATGGCATGCACCCACGTACATGAGAAGACCACCAGATATGAGCATTATATATCAGGCAAAGGCAGCGTACCTACGAAGGCACCGCAACGACGTCATTCAGCCCCGGCATGCCCGGTCAGCCCGAGATATCCTCATGAATCGGGGGAACTTTGGTTAGGTTTCGTAGTTTCAGCAACTAGACTGGCCGAAGTCACAGGGCGGCATTCTCCTGAAACTTTACCTCGTAACAGATGGTGGGGGCTGTCGTCACTCTACAGCAGACTACTTTGCCGGCCTACCTAAGCGACAGAGTCTGAGAGTGCAGCGGTGTACGTACTGTAGGCGACGACGAAAATTTCTGTCTGTCTACAGTACCTAACTGTAGCCCCAAGCCCCAAACGTTGCAGTCGTGGGCGGTGAGATTTTTCTGCATGACCTTCACACCCACTCCAGACCTGCGTCCTTTGGGAAGCGATCCTATTGGACCCCCGCGGCCGCTCCTGATGCTGCTATCAAGCCTTGTCTTTGGGGGGCACTCTTTCAGTCAACAAACAGGGGGTGAGGGAGCAGGTTCTTGAATCTTCTACCAGTCTATCGGCGCTGCCGGCAGGCTGGCAAGCAAGCATGAGGCAGCCTCAGCTGCCAACAGGATTCAGACATACAGTAGAGGGTTTTTTTGAGGGTGTGCTAGGTAGCTGCTAATCAACCACTAGCAGTGCCAAAGCCGATGATCAATCATCCACAATACGTGGGCATCAGCAGCAAAGACGCAGCTGTGTGGGGGCCTATCCAGGCTTGGGGATATGTGGTGGCGATGAAAAGGTTCCTACGGCTACATCATAGGTCACCTTGCGCTGCAGTCATTAGTAGATTGTAGACAACTATGAAGTCTCGATGGTTACCTCCATGACTTCTGGAATATTCGCCTGAGCTATGAATCAGCTTTGGCGCTGGCAAGAGTCAGTCCATCAATCACATGAAGAGTACCTACGTTATCAGAGGAGGTACCTACTTGGGGAAGTTACTTGGGAACATGCATGCCTCATCTTTTACTGCCAAAAAGTCCGGTATTGACAATGCATTCCCGGGCATGTTTGGTACACAATCAGCGATGTTGCATCAATAACAGCAGCCCAAGGGCGCCTTTAATTCTAGCCTTGGGGGCAATCTTTTGGCTGGGTTATACTGCCTCTTGTCGGAAGGGGCGAAATGGGCGGGAAAAGGATTTGATAGTCGCAAGCGGCGAACAAGGGAGCAGTTATCCAGGGACGCAGTGCATACTGTAGTAGATGAACAATCAAGAAGAGATAGTGTTCTGCAGCTGCCTGTGAGGATACACTAACAGCTAAAGTCGTTGCATGGACCCTTGTAACTTGTAAAATCCTCAACCCCTAAAAAGTCTGCACTGGCTGCTAGTCTCCCCCCGTAGTGCCCTGCACAGACCAGTCAGGTCTCGACTTTGGCAAGGGGTAGGCCCGTCCAAACTTCAATGGACCCAATGGCGTTGCCTCGCTGACGTTCTTTGCCAACTGATTTCCCTCTTCTCCCCCACACAATCCCTTTTCTGCCATCCTCCCATCCTCCCAACCTCATAAAAACACGAGTTCTTCCCCCCTCGCACCTCCTGCCTGGGAATTCATTTGACAGCATCTGCGTTTAGTCGGGTCTTCTCTTTCATTTGAAAAGATTTGGTTTTTTGCTTTCTTTTCGCAAGGAATCACAAGACCACACGAACGGAACGCTCTAGACGTGTTAATCTGCAGGCGTCCTCGCACTGCACAGACACCTCACAGGCACACCTCGTTCTGCCATCTGCATCCACCCAACGGCTGCAGCCCGCACAGATCACAGATCACATACCCACTCAATACTCTCGAGAAGACTGCATCTTTCTGCCTTCCTTCTCTCCCACCACAAAACTTACACCCAACACCTTCATCCTCCTGCATTCTGGTTCTTCGCTGCGAGGACCTGCACTGCATATCTTTTCTGACTTTCCCACCTGACTCTCATTTCTCTTCAAGGGAACGAAGGCATTCGTTCTTTTCGAGAGTTATAATCGGCTGGGTACCGCGCAGAAAATTTTTCTGACACCACAATCACTCACCTACCAAACAACAACACGAACCTTCAACCATATCTGCCACTCTCAGACATTGTCAACATGGCTGATCAACTCAACATGGGCGGTTTGACCCTGGCCGAGCAGCAGCACGTTGGTCCTGGTGGTCGCAGCTCCTACATCCCCCCTCACATGCGAGGCAAGGTTGGCGGTCCTGGTCCTGGTCCTGGTGGTAATGCCCCCATGCCGGCTGGCCCTCCTCCCGGAGCCGCTGCCATGAACGGCCTCAACAACAGCGCTTGGGCTGGGTAAGCAATTTTTCTTCAATCAATCCTTTCTCTTGACCCCGCCCCTCCTGCATTTGCAGGGATGCTCTGCATCGCCCCCAGCCTTCCGCTTGACTTGAATTTTCTGTACATCAACACATGAAGGCTCAGTTCAGTCGCTAATGTTTATTTGCCTATCAGTAACAACAACTACGACGCTCGTCCCGCTCCTGGCGGCTGGGGAGGTGCTGCCGACTTCCCACCCCCTGGTGCACAACCCGCTCCGCCCCAGCAACGAGGTCCCGGCGGTGCTGGCTGGAATAGCCGACCTTTTGACCGCAATGCATACGGTAACCCTGGCGCTGGAGGTACTGGAGGCGGCGGCGGCGGTGGTGGCGGCGGCGGCGGCGGCGGCGCTCATGCTAGAGGCTCGGGTGACGGACAGTGGCGCGACGGCAAGCACATTCCTGGCCCCCCCAACCCTCGCTTGGAGCGAGACCTGTTTGGTGTGCCCGACGATCCGTTGAAGCAGCAAACGGGTATCAACTTCGAGAAGTACGATGACATCCCCGTCGAGGCTTCTGGTCAGGATGTCCCTGACCCCGTCCTTGCCTTCACCAACCCGCCCCTGGATGACCACCTCATTCGCAACATTGAGCTGGCCCACTACAAGGTCCCCACGCCTGTTCAGAAATACTCCATCCCCATTGTTATGGGCGGACGAGACCTGATGGCTTGTGCGCAGACCGGTTCCGGAAAGACTGGTGGTTTCTTGTTCCCCATCCTCTCCCAGGCTTTCCAGACGGGCCCATCCGTGAATCCTCCCGCTGCCGGGGGCGGTGGTGGTGGTTTTGGTCGCCAGCGAAAGGCGTACCCCACGTCGTTGATCCTTGCCCCCACTCGTGAGCTTGTCTCCCAAATCTACGACGAGTCTCGCAAGTTTGCATACCGATCATGGGTTCGACCTTGTGTGGTTTACGGTGGTGCCGACATAGGGTCTCAGCTCCGCCAGATCGAGCGTGGCTGCGATCTCCTCGTTGCTACTCCTGGTCGTCTTGTCGATCTCATAGAGCGAGGCCGCATTTCCCTCCAGAACATCAAGTACCTGGTTCTCGATGAGGCTGATCGCATGTTGGACATGGGTTTCGAGCCCCAGATCCGCCGCATTGTTGAGGGCGAGGATATGCCCGGTGTCCAGGGCCGTCAGACACTCATGTTCTCGGCTACCTTCCCCCGAGACATCCAGATGCTCGCTCGTGATTTCCTCAAGGACTACGTCTTCCTTTCGGTTGGTCGTGTCGGTTCAACCTCAGAGAACATCACCCAGAAGGTTGAGTATGTCGAGGACGTCGACAAGCGCTCTGTCCTCCTTGACATCCTACACACGCACGGTGCAGGTCTCACTCTCATCTTCGTCGAGACCAAGCGCATGGCCGACTCGCTGTCCGACTTCCTGATCAACCAAAACTTCCCCGCAACATCGATTCACGGCGACCGCACACAGCGCGAGCGTGAGCGTGCTTTGGAGATGTTCCGCAACGCACGGTGCCCCATCCTAGTGGCCACTGCTGTTGCTGCTCGTGGTTTGGATATTCCCAACGTCACTCATGTCGTCAACTACGATCTTCCTACCGACATTGACGACTACGTTCATCGCATTGGTCGTACCGGTCGTGCAGGTAACACTGGTCACTCGACTGCTTTCTTCAACCGTGGCAACCGTGGTGTTGTCCGCGACCTCCTTGAGCTCCTGAAGGAAGCCAACCAGGAGGTTCCTGCTTTCCTCGAGACCATTGCTCGCGAGAGCTCTTTCGGTGGTGGTGGTGGAGGCCGTGGTCGCTCTGGTGGTGGTGGTGGTAGTCGTGGTCGTGGCCAGGGTGCCAACCGTGATTTCCGAAAGTTTGGTGGTGGCGGAGGCGGCGGCGGCTTCGGCGGCGGTGGTGGTGGCTTCGGTGGACCTCCCGCTTCCGGCGGCTATGGTGGAGGCTTTGGCGGTCCCCCTCCCAACCCTGGATACGGTGGAGGTGGCGGTGGCTATGGCGGCGGTGGTGGCGGCGGCGGTCCCGGTTACGGTGGCGGCAGCTACGGCAACCCTGGCGGCGCTGGTGGCCAGGCCAGCTGGTGGTAAACATCACATTCATTGCAATGTCCCGTAAGTCCTACAGCTCTATCTGACTGCGGTGTCATGGTAGCTGACCTGTGGGATGGGCGCAATGATGGAGTACACTGACCGCTTCCTGATTTCCCGCAACACTCGACTGCTTTTCTCCAGACCTTGCATTTTTCGCCTTCTTCCGATCTTCTCCTTCCCTCTGCAGACACAAGTTCCGCCCTCCCACCAGGATCGGCAGGTTTGAGTCCTACGGCATAGGACTCTGGCATACGATAGACGGCATTTGTCTTTGTTTCGGCTGCACCCCAGTTCCCCCACGACTTGATACCCATAAGAAGACTGCGGGGACTACACCATGCGCAGCTGCATGAGACGCACAGAGGCTAACTAGGTGCCTCGATCACAACGTCTCTGGAGAGACTCATCATCAGATAGAAAGATGCTGGTTCTCGAAACCCGACCGACGCCTTTTACGACGATGACGATAATCTCCGTTTCGATGTACCTGCTTTTGCCCTTTGGAAGGGGGTTGAGATCTCTTTCTCGCATTCTCATAGAACGGAGCACCGCGCGTTCCTGCATGGCACGCGAATATGTTGTCGGCATCTTCATAGACAAAAGTGGATTTCTCGATTTTCTAGTCGGTATGGCTCTAGGCCCCCTCTCAAGGGCCTCGCCACGGCAAGGGAACCCGAAGGCGGCAATGCACATAGAATGGTAATTCCGGTGGTTCGCGAGAAAACAACACGGCGTCTTGGTGTGCAGGCAACGTCTTACACAAGGGCATTGTGTGGTTGGTATCTGCTCTGACGATAATGGCACATGAGAGATGAGATCCCATCTGCGAGGGATTGAGAGTTCCCATACCAAATACCAAAAACGCTTCTTCTCTTACTACCAATGAGGTGTCTTCGTGGCCATGGAGACTTGACAATGCGTGACTTTGAGTGCAATTGTGCTCAAGATGTGACTTCCATTTCATTAATAATAAGTAGCTGCGTATATGTATGGTGCAAGCCAGGAGAAAACCATGAATGTCCTATGAAACCCGTCCCGGCAGTTCTGCCTGTTGCAAAACGAAAATTCCACTCGGGAGAGGGTCGCGACGACTACCCTCCTTGCGCACCTCACGATGATGAGCGTCGGTACAGGCACGTATTACTGATTACAAGCTTTAGGTTCCTGAGATATCTGATAAAGTATGATATACTGTATAATAGATTATATGTGCGCTTTTGAAAAGGTAGGGGTGTACTATGTACTTGCAACCGCAGCATCCACATGTCAGTCGGGTTGTAGTATCATGATGATAGGTTCAATGGGTGTTGGTCAATGGTGGTGAGGAACCTTAAAAGCACATCTGGAAATGTGGGTCCCGGCTTCATTAATCTCTGCGATGCTTCAGCACTGGCAGGTGGTCCAGGTGCAGGCGAGGCAGGTGCAGGGCTGGGCTGGGTGACGCGACGTGAGTGAGGATTTCGCTTTTTTCGGTTTTGATTGATTCAGCCAACAATCAGCTAACAAATACCTCCTAATCAAGCTCCCACGCGGCCACGCCTCCCTCCACGATCCATAAAAGCTGAACCACCCCAATCTCCAGCTGTTTCCATCTCCAGCTCCAGCTCCATCTCCGACCGACCGGCCATGGCACAATAGCCATCTCCATTCCATTGCCCGGCATCAACGGGGCATTACATATTCTTTCCCTTTGTTCGTTGGGCGCCGCCTCGTCGTCGCGCAACCCTCATTCTCAGTGCTCACCGCGGATTGCGCTAGCTACTTCGCACTGCAGTGTACGGTACCTCACATACGATATCCCGCGAAACCTCATTCCCCTCCGTCAACTCGCATCCCTCCACATCGCCGCCATGTCAAGAGACGACTCGCCAGACAAGAGTCGCTGGTCGCGCGACTCCAGCGCGGCTGGACGAGTTGACACGCCTGGCGATGACGACGACTTGGATTCCAGCATGCTCGGCGGCCCTGATGCTGGAGGGAACAAGCGCAAGTCCAAGTCCGCCGCTGCTGCTGCTTCAGCCGGCGGAGCGTTTTCATCCGTGGGCAAAATTAGACATCTCAAGAAGGAGGATGGCGAACCCTTGTGGAGAAGAGACATTCAATACGACTTCCTGCGCGCCGTCTTCGACGACGACACCAGAGTCTTCACCAACAGCTACGAAGCCGAGCCGGCCAGCACCGATAAATCCAATTTCGCCGACTTGTACATCGATACAATGGCACGGAGCAGCAAGACAAGCAAGGTTCTTCGCGACAAGCTGCTTCTTGATCGCGAGGCTGCGAAGAGCATGGCCATGGTCTGCTTGCTAGTCAACGTTGGTCGAATGAACACAACTCTAAACTGTATGTCATCCATTCTACTTCGCCTCACCACTGCGCAAACAAGATATCTATACTAACTAGCACTTGCAGTCTTCCCTGAGATGCGAGCCCAGCTACGAACCTATCATGCCATCCCCTCGTTACAAGCGCACCAGGATGCCTCAGCCTACAAGCAGTTACAAGATGCCCCGAGACTGAAGTCCATCCTCAAAGGCGCAGCAGAGGACCGAACCGAGCCACATGACCTTGGTGAGTTCAAGGAAAAGTCGCCGCCTCGTTCGAACCCGGTCAACCTCATATTCCTCGTCTGTTCCTCAGCATCCCACATTGCCGAGCTGCACTTCCCCGCTGGTGGAGAGTTCCATGATCTGATCATGAAGACGAACTACACCAGTCAGTCGCGGGCCAGAGCGTTCTTGTGGCTCATGTGGCAGTACCTCGAGTCAGATTTTACGGAAGAAGGCTGCGAAGAGAATCCGTTCGGACCTGGTGTCGACTATGGTAATGATGTGGCAAACCAAGGCGTGCCGCGGATGGTGGAGATGAGCGAGGAGGACGAGGCCCGAGAGAATATCGATTCACAGGAGGAGATCGACTTCGGCCGCGAGAAGCAGAGCCACAGAACCAAGATCATCGCGGCAGACCAGGCCTACATGGCCGACCACCAGTCGAAGCGGGGCTCGAGATCCAAGCTTGTGCCCGAAGAAGGGACCCCTACCGCGGCCATATTGCCACGCATCCGCCCATCCAAGCACGAGTCGGATATGGACAGCACACGCTCCACTCCACCCCCACGGGCTCTATCTCGCATGGGCGCCAACAGCACCGCCCGCCGCAGCGGCGCACCGCTAAAATACCAAATATTCGAGGCCTCGTCGCCTGCAGGTCCCAGCTCCCATTCTCAAGCCATGGAGGGCATCGTCCCCCGGAAGCCACGTCCCCCCACGGCGCACCAGCTCGCCGTGGAGCGGAATCGCAATCAGCGTGTTGAGCACATCCTGGACCGCGGATTGCGGCGACAGCACCACACCTCCCGGAAGCTACGGCGGCAAGAGGGCTCCGTGATCCGAGCGAAACGTCGCCTGGCCGCAATGACCGACCCCTTCGCAGACAGCGACGAGGAAGATTACAGAGTGTTCCCGGCTGACAAGGCGACTTTCCGAGATAGGGGATTCGGCGGTCTCTGTCAACTCACGATGGAGGAGGACGATTTTGGCGAGGAGTTTACTTCATATGCTGCGTCACTGCGGCGGGCCAACCGGCGGCTCGTACGCTGGGAGGGCCGACCCGAGTTAGGAGTCGTGTCATCGGCGAAGAAGCATTCCTCACTTCGGATGTGGGATGATGGCTCGCCTGGAGGGCAGATGGATCTCGACGGAACTGGCAGCCGGAACAAGAGAGGAACTGGTAGATCCAGAGCGAATGGCAACGCTAACGGCGATGTCATGATGGAGGATGCTGACGACCTGGACGAGATGGATAAGGAGTTACTGGGTATTGGCAGCGGTGGGGAGGAAATCGAAGGCAAGGACGAGGATGAAGAGCTCGACGACGTCGACAAGACCTTGCTCGGCATTGACGGTTCGGACGGCTACGACAGTGGTTGAGTAGGAACGAAACCGCCCCCGGGGCGTATCATGGGGTTGTCTTCCTTTGCCGCGAGCGGTGGCGCACCATTACTTTGCTTTGCTGTTTTCTCTGCGAGGCGTTTTCGAGGCAGGTTAACCGCTCGCTCGGTCGTGTACTGGCTTTATGGCATACCCACGATTGTAAGAATATACCAAAAAAGGCGAGGGCATAGGTGACATAGACACTATGATGCAATGTATTCTGATCTGATGTGTTGCTTTACTCCTTGCACTGGTGACCGACCGCTTCTCACGAGGTGAGGTGGCTGTGATTCCCGGCTAGCCATGATATCTGATATCTTGGCTTCTGTCTGTCTACTTAGGTAGGTACTCGTCCGGCTCTCTGCTCGGGCCACGCGTGTTTTACCTGTATTTCATCCTGGAAAGGCGGTCTTTTGACCGTGGGCAGGTCCTCGAGAGCTGAGTAATGAGATGGCTCAATGTTGCTTTCAAGTACATGACAAATTCGGACTGGCTCCTCAGGCTGGCGGTGACGTTTTTGGACGGACCGGCGTGCGTGTCCGGGGGCTTGACCGCCTCTGCCGTTATCCTTGTCTTGGGTATGGACATATCTGCCTAATAACTCAATGTGCGTATGCTCCTCGGCCGCAACTCAGACGTGCGTTGCAATTTGCGATTCAGGCTTGTACTATGTGACTGACCACACGTGCGTTCATCGCCAAGTCGGTCGGTCAGGCTTGAGCCCTGCGGAGTTTTGCTGCTTACCGACTGCTGATGTTTTTTCTATTGCTATAATTTATCTTGTCTTACAATACAGTAGGGGGTCTAGTTCCGTTCTGAGAGACGCCGTTTCTGATAGTTTGAAGTGTTCGATACGACAGTCCTGTGGATGATACATGTGTGGCTGGATCTGCGTCGGTCAGCTACCTACATAAGGATATTACGAGTGGCTGGTTTATCACTCCCTGTGTTTTGGATGGAGTGGTGGGCTACACGGAAGATGCTCGTGTGCGTGTGTGCGTGTGTGCTTGTTGCTTTGTGCTATGTGTAGGTAATGGGTAAGTGTATCTCTTTCGGCCGGGTCGGACTCCGGATCCTGCTTATAGATCCATCGTGCTTTAGGCAGTGCTTGTTGGTCTTCTCTACCTACGCAGTGCACCTGCTTCCAACCCTCTGCTGCTGTGGCTTGATTCTATATGTTGCGTGAAAGGTGTCTCACAGACTTGACTTGCTGTGGGGAGTATGATAATTATATGAGATCGGCAGAATATACCGGTGTGTGTAGGTAGGCACCGCCACGCGGTCCGTCTTGATGTGTGTCCAGTCACCAATTCCTGGTCTCTGATGGATGTAATTTGGATCTTGTTGTTACAACGTTGAACGGGGTGGGAATCGTCCCGCCGGTGTGGAGAGCGCGGAGGAGGAAATAGCTTGACCCCGGAAAGGCCTTGGATCGGATCCCCTTCCGGTAACGTTCCCGAATGTGGACTAGATCGAAGGTTGGGAACGCGGGCGCTTTACTACCGAGACAGAGAACACAGTTTGGTGCGGAGTGGAGGACGTCTGCAGATTTGGGCATCATGACGACTAAAGGTTGTTGCAGTGATCGACTACCAGCCTCTCCCGTCGGCTTTGCTCTGCTCTAATCGGCAGTAAGCCGAGGTTGGTACCGATATGCGGAGTCGGCTTGAGCCGGCAGTCCATGGACGACTTTCGATTTGCAGGCCGCCTCCATTTGTTTCTCATGGAGAACTGGGGTATTCTGGGTCTACGGTAACAATATACTAGCCCTGTTCCTCATGCAAGCCGGCAAGCCACGCCCGTCACCAACGACCGGGAGACTTCGTCCGTCCGAATCCCGTTGGAGACAGGTCTGTGATCGGATACTTCTTTGTGATGGGATACTTTTTTCGTGCATTCGCTTACATTCTTGACCGACATTTGCAGGTGACTCATGGTCTGTGTTGCCTATTATCTTATCAACTCCAGAGCGAATGCGAGTGAGCCGACGCAGCGAATCGAAATGTGACCCGAGTCCCCGTATCTACAGTCCTTGCCACTTGCCGTTTTCGAGGTAGCTGCTGGCGACTTTGTTGAGTCAGTCGAATCAGATGGCACTGCAGCACAGATCCCGGTGCGGTATGCATTAGGTATTACATGCACGGAAGCATGGAAGGGCCAAACAGCGAGAGAGAACTGAAGGGACCTCAAGAGAGTTGTTATACTGCTGTCGGACTCGGTTTACTAATACCGGAGGTGGAGCTCGGTTACTTGGCGGGGCCGATGAATCAAAGCATCATACCTACCTACTCCAAGTTATTATATCCCGAATGCCCTTTTCCAATTCTCAGTTCTTCCCTTCATTGACCCAGCGGCCCAGAGCCCGTTCGCTCTTTCCCATCTTATCCAAGAACTCTACTTCCCCGTTCATACCGAAGCATCGTACATGTATCGTGCTTTGTAATCGTAATTGGAAGTTGGCCCACAATTTACAAGCCCGCCACCGGATCGACACATTTCTTGGCTCCCTCTGCTGTTCAACAATAAAAAGGGACATGCTTGGTATTTGGTGTCTTCGACGGAGAATCGCCTAGGTAACCACCTAACTTACTAATAATCACCGAAATTCGCTTGAGAAATTAAACAACTAGACGGCTCGCTCCTCCGAGTCCGAGACACGAAACAGCTTATATCCGAGCTTGAAGCCGTTAGTGCCAAGCTTCACGATCTGATTTATAAGAACGACACTTGCACATACCGGTACTGCAAGTTGAGCGGCTGTTGGTTGATACCCTCACATCCGCCAAACCATGGCCAGCGAAAGCGCAGAGAAGGAGACGAAGCCGGCAGATCCCCTCGCAGAAGTCAACGCGCCGGTCGACTCGGAGCCGGCATCGCCCGCCTCACCATACGACCATGGGGACGCAGATGAGCACGACCAGTCTGACGAGCAGCGCGCCGAGCGGCAGGAGCTGAAGCACACGGAGAGCCACGCCACCGACTCGAGTGCCATCACGCGCGCCACCACCAGGGGGTCCGTACCCAAGGCCAAGAAGCCATGGTACAAGAACCCGAACCCCTTGCGATGGGGGTCCATCCCGCCTGTGCCCGAGGTCAGGCAGGTCTCGCCGGAGCACAAGGCGGGTTTCTTCAGCAAGCTGACTTTCCACTGGATGGCTCCGTTCATGAATGTCAGTGACATCCTTTTCGTCTCTAGTTCCGTTTGCGGGACCTCGGCTCCTAACCATGTTATACTGACCTCAAATCTAGGTTGGCTACAAGCGGCAACTAGAGCAGGACGACCTTTGGACCGTGAACCCCAACCGTACGGCCGACGTGATGTCAGCCAAGTGTAGGGAGTCATTCGAGCGGCGGGTGAAGAAAGGCGACAAGTACCCACTGCTATGGGCGCTGCACGAGACCTTTTTCTGGGAGTTCTGGGTCGGCGGGTTCTGCCAGCTCTGCTCCTCCATTCTCCAGGTCATGTCGCCCTTCACGCTGCGCTACCTGATTGCCTTCGCGCAGGACGCGTACACTGCCTCGCAGACTGGGGGACCACCGCCAGCCATTGGACCAGGCATTGGCCTGGTCATAGGAGTGACGATCATGCAGATATTACAAAGTCTAGGTGTTAACCACTTTATCTATCGCGGCATGATGATTGGTGGGCAGTGTCGTGCCGTGCTGATCAGCTTCGTTTTTGAGAAATCCATGGTCCTCTCTGGACGGGCGAAGGCGGGTGGTAAGCAGATGATCACAGATGCCCCAGTTGACGAAAAGTCAGAAGAAAGGGGGAATGAGAGCGAGGGAAAGAACAAGAAAGAGACGAAAAAGACGAAAAAGACGAAAAAGACGAAAGATGAAATCAAGGCCGATAAGGCGGGCGTTGCAGGCGATGGTACTGGCTGGGGCAATGGGCGGATTGTCAACCTCATGAGTGTCGATACTTACCGAGTCGATCAGGCTTCCGCCTTGTTCCATTTGATCTGGACCTCGCCGATTACTTGTATCATCACTCTGGTCGTTCTTCTCATTAACTTGACGTACAGCGCACTGGCAGGTTTCGCGCTCCTCGTCATCGGCATTCCGGCCTTGACCAGAGCAATTCGATATCTGTTCCGGCGCCGTACTCTCATCAACAAGATAACCGACCAGCGTGTGAGCTTGACCCAGGAGATCCTGCAGTCCGTCCGATTCGTCAAGTACTTCGGCTGGGAGGGGGCCTTCCTGGAGCGTCTAAAGGAAATTCGAGGCCGCGAGATCCGCGCCATCCAAGTACTCCTTGCGATACGTAATGCTATCAACGCTGTGTCGATGTCGCTTCCAATCTACGCATCTATGCTGTCGTTCATTACATACTCACTCACGAACCATGGCCTGGCGCCTGCCGAGGTTTTCTCCTCACTCGCACTCTTCAACGGCCTGCGCCTGCCGCTCAATCTGCTCCCGCTCGTCATTGGGCAAGTCGTCGACGCCTGGTCCTCGCTCAAGCGTATCCAAGAATTCATGCTGTCTGAGGAACAGGAAGACGACGCCGTGTTCAAGCCGGAAGGTGAGAGCGCCGTCAAGATGAACATTGCTAGTTTCACTTGGGAGCGCACGCCCACGCGAGATCCTGAGAAAACGGTCGCCTCCGGCCCTGGGAAGAAGGGCGCTGCTGCAGAAGCACCACCAAAGAGCTCGAGGTCACCACCCAAGTCGGAGAAGAATGCTGGAAGCTCAGAGGACAGTTCGGACGACACGGCTAGCACCCTTGTCGACGAACACCAACCGTTCAAGCTCCAGGGCTTGAACCTGGAGATTGGCCGGAACGAGCTCATTGCCGTTATTGGTACCGTAGGTAGCGGCAAGAGTTCCTTGTTGGCTGCCCTTGCTGGTGATATGCGGAAGACGTCAGGTGAGGTTGTTCTGGGCGCCTCCAGAGCGTTTTGCCCGCAATATGCGTGGATCCAGAATGCAACTGTCCGAAACAACATTCTCTTCGGCAAGGAAATGGACCGTAATTGGTATAAGGAGGTTATCAAGGCGTAAGTGAAACCAACATAGGGGTTCCCTCGTGCTATACTGACCGTGAAGCTAGTTGCGCATTGGAACCAGATCTAGACATGCTACCTAATGGCGATGCCACTGAGATTGGCGAAAGGGGTATCACAGTCTCGGGTGGTCAAAAGCAACGGCTCAACATCGCGCGAGCAATCTACTTCGACGCTGACATCATTCTTATGGATGACCCGCTGAGCGCTGTTGATGCCCACGTCGGTCGGCACATTATGGACAATGCCATCCTCGGTCTTCTCAAGGACAAATGTCGTATTCTCGCAACCCACCAACTTTGGGTTCTTAGCCGCTGTGACAGGATCGTCTGGATGGACGGAGGAAAGATCCGTGCCGTTGATACCTTTGATAACCTGATGCGGGACTATTCCGACTTCCAGCATCTGATGGAAACGACAGCTGTCGAGGAGAAGGAGGAAGAGCCTGACGCGGTGTTGGAAGACAAGACGGCTGAAGTCGAGAAGAGCAAGAAGAAAAAGAAGAAGAGCCCAGGCCTCATGCAGGCGGAAGAACGTGCTGTGGCCAGCGTTCCGTGGTCGGTATACGGCGCATACGTTCGGGCTTCCGGGACCATATTCAACGCCCCCTTGACGTTCCTTGTTCTGCTGCTTTCCCAGGGCGCCAACATTACGACAAGCTTGTGGCTCTCGTACTGGACATCGGACAAATTCGGATACTCCACGGGAGTGTACATTGGCGTGTACGCTGCTCTGGGAACGGCGCAGGCAGTTTTCATGTTCACTTTCTCGATCATGCTGACGATATTTGGCACTAGCGCCAGCAAGACGCTTCTCAGACAGGCTGTGACGCGAACGCTCCGGGCGCCTATGTCCTTCTTCGATACCACCCCGTTGGGCCGCATTACGAACCGGTTCTCGAGGGATGTTGACGTGATGGACAACAATCTGAGCGACGCGATGAGAATGTACTTCCTGACGTTGGCTCAGATCATCTCAGTATTCGCACTGATTATCGCGTTCTTCTACTACTTTGCCATCGCACTGGTGCCGCTGGCGATTCTTTTCGTACTGGCGGCGTCCTACTATCGAGCCTCGGCCCGAGAAGTCAAGCGTTTCGAGTCTGTCCTCCGCTCCGCCGTCTTCGCCAAGTTCAGCGAGGGCCTCAGCGGCGTGGCATGCATCCGCGCCTACGGACTCCAAGACCGCTTCGTAGCGGATCTGCGCAAGGCAATCGACGAGATGAACGCGGCGTACTACCTGACGTTCTCGAACCAGCGCTGGCTCTCGGTGCGTCTGGACTCCATCGGCAATGCGCTCGTCTTCACCACAGGTATCCTGGTCGTGACGTCGCGCTTCAGCGTGTCGCCGTCCATCGGGGGTCTCGTGCTCTCGTACATTCTCTCTATCGTCCAGATGCTGCAGTTCACAGTGCGGCAGCTGGCTGAGGTCGAGAACGGCATGAACGCCGTCGAGCGCCTGCTGCACTATGGCACGAATCTGGAAGAGGAGGCCCCCGAGCACACGGTCGAGGTTCGGCCGTCGTGGCCCGAGCGCGGCGAGATCGTCTTCGACAACGTCCAGATGCGGTACCGCGAGAACCTGCCGCTGGTGCTTTCTGGCCTGAACATGCATGTACGCGGCGGCGAGCGTATCGGCATTGTAGGTCGCACCGGCGCTGGCAAGAGCTCCATCATGTCGACGCTCTTCCGGCTGGTCGAGCTCTCGGGCGGCCACATCACTATCGACGGGCTTGACATCTCGACGCTGGGCCTGCACGACCTGCGGTCCCGCCTTGCCATCATCCCGCAGGACCCAACACTGTTCCGCGGTACCGTGCGAAGTAACCTCGATCCTTTTAGTGAGCACACGGATCTGGATCTCTGGTCCGCGCTGCGCCAGGCCGATCTCGTGCCCGCGGACGCGCAGCTCGACGACCACACGAACCAGGGCAACAAGGACGCGTCGGCGTCGTCGGCGTCGCGCATCCACCTCGACAGCGTGGTCGAGGAGGACGGGCTGAACTTCAGTCTGGGGCAGCGGCAGCTCATGGCGTTAGCACGAGCACTGGTGCGCGGTTCTCGGATTATCGTGTGCGACGAGGCGACCAGCTCGGTCGACATGGAGACGGACGACAAGATCCAAAACACCATCGCCGTCGGGTTTAGGGGCCGGACGTTATTGTGCATCGCGCACCGGCTGCGGACTATTATTGGTTACGATCGTATTTGTGTTATGGATGCGGGACGCATCGCCGAGCTCGACTCGCCGCTTGCGCTGTGGGGGCGCGAGGGCGGGATTTTTAGGGGTATGTGCGATCGTAGTGGGATAAGGGTGGAGGATATAAGGGGGGCTGTTCGGGAGTTGAATGATGGGGAGGAGGTGGGCGCTGGGGGGGAGGGTTTGAGGGGTGAGGAAGGTTTGAAGAGGGAGAAGAAGGAAGGTGAATGAAGTCAAGTACAGTAAAAAGCGGTTGGTTGGTGCATACATGAGCATATATGAGGGCTTTTTGGGTTTGGATATCGATACATACCTACCTAGGTAGTGGAATGCATAGCGTGCTAGACCAGTGAATTTGGTATCACGGTACTTGTTCAACTGCTTATCTCTTGGGTATGGTTATAGATATGGGAGGTCAGATAATGAGTACGGGTATCATCGATATTGCCTCTTCAAGTTCGTTGTTGTTATCCCATGTCCCTTCCGGGTTTGTATGTTTGTCTGTCTGGTTGGGCGTGCTGGCAGTCCTATGGTTCAGATGAAGTCCATCTTCGATCAGACGCAGCCACCCACCCTGCTCTTCTCTGCTCTTCCTGCTGTCTGTACTATAATATGACATTATTTGGTCCATGGCCTGCCGGGCAGGATTCGTGTATACGCAAGAGACCGACCGTACATTGCGAGGTGGAATAATCAGTGAAGCGAAATTGAATATTAAAAGCATAAGGAATTTCCGATTTGTCAGCTGTCAGCTGTCCGAGAAGACGCAAGGGGGCATCGATGGTAAGGTAGTGGACGTTCGCCATCGTCGGTATAACATGACGCCATGTGGCCTGTGGTCAAGCCGCGATGAGCCCCCACCGTTCGTGTGATACAGTTGGTCCCCATAACTCTGCTCCCTTGATAGGATATAGACAGTAGAACAAGCACCCTGGAATAAGCAAGCACAGGTACCTAACCTAGGTATGCTCTAATGAGCCCAGCTTTCATGCTTATTCAGAGTAGGGATTATTCCACATAAAAAGCATTCCTACATGTACCTAGATATACAAGACCTCGAGTACAAGGAGTACATACGGAGACTTTTGAGGGTCATGAGTACCGGTAGTGAAAACAAGACACCAGAAAGACAGAGAGGCGGCACGGGCTGGCTGGCCATAAGCCTATTAGGGAAACCAACCAACCAACCAACTTGCTCAATTGGGTCGTGTCAGTAATACTTGCGCACGTATTAGACTAGGTATCCAAAAAAGAAAATGTACGTATATAATTAGGTACTTATGCAAGGGGACGCTCGCTGACTGGCCTGAAGGCAGTGCTCGGCTGGTACTGGGAGTGCAGGTATTGGTTCGCTACAGTGTGTGCCTACCGGCTTTCCTCTTTCACCGTTGACATATCATGCGTACACTCAAGTATAATCGGTAGGAACTAATATGAGCTACGTCTGCAATCATCTGCGGCCAGATGTTCACGTATGCAGGCAGTGTAGAAAGCGGAAGTCAAAAGTATCGAGCTTGTGCTCCAGAATTTTGGATTGGGGAACAGAAGTTCCATTACACAAAAACACTATGTACTCTGGTGGTGAGCAAGATATGTGATGGGTAGGCAATGCCTTTAAAGGCCGGCAAGCCAATGCTCCAAACTCCAACTCTAATGCCCCGACACGCGGTTGTACAAGAGGACCGAAAGAAGATATCCATAAAGCAACGCGTAGTCCTGCCTGTATTGAACATCGCCTCACTACGCTCTCCTATGCTGTTGACCGAACGTGTACCGCTCGGCTGAACAAAACACCGCCGTCCCAATGCTCAAGACCTTTGAGCGACCAGAAACAAGGAACAGAACCCCGGGAAGGTACTCCAAACCGGTTCCACCCGGGGAGGACTTAAAGACAAGAAAACAATGCTAAGCAAAGTCTACATCCGACCTTGGGACTGATGCCATGTGTTGCGATTGCCGGGTGGTGGGAACTGCTCAGGCTGGTCGCCCAGCAGGTCCTCGAGATAGGCACTCGGCGCGCGTCCACTAGACGGTCGGTGGAGGTTCAAGGTACTGGAGCTCGGATTCCGCCGCGAGATGTCATTACGGGGAGCCAAGTTGGGCGATTCAGGAGGGCTAGGCTCGAAACTCCGGGAAGGGCCGCGCGAATCGGGCCTCAGGTTCAGGTTTGTCATGCTGATGTCTTGTTGAGGAGCGCCAGCAGCGTAAAAACCCGACGGCAGAAAACGCGATTCGCGATTGCCAGCAGTGCTCGCGAGACTAGGCGCAGTGGGGGAGAAGAAGAGGTTAGACTGGCTTGGTGTAGCCGATGGAATTGGGCCTCGTTGTGTTCTTCGCACTCCGCGACCGGCCGTCAGGTTACCGAACGAAGCCGAGGACGCATGGTCGCTATATTTATAGAAATTGGAGGACGGCGCGGGATACGATGCCTTGTCGTTGGCGATATGTTGAACCAAAGCAGCGCGCTTCACAGAACGATGCAAGAGGCATGCGACGACAGCCCGCCAGATCAGCACACCGGCACCGAAAGCACCGAGGATAGCACCGACGGCGATGAATATGGTCCCTTGCGGCAAAGTCTCCTGCTGCCTGTACGGAGCATTGTTTGTGGGAGGGACGGTGGGCGCAGGATAGCTGTATGCACCAGGAACGTCTGGCAGATCTGAGTCGTCATTCGTAGACGTCGAGGTTGTAATGCCGGGAAGGGTCTCGGTCCCTGACGAAGCAGCCGTCGTAGTGGGAGCAGCCGTGGTAGTCTTCTCGGTCGAGGTCTGGTCTATATCAGGCAGAGATGTGTCGGCGTCGTCCGCGGTGGTCTCGGCAGCCTCAACTGCTGTCGCCGTTGCATCTTTATCGGCGGCTGTGGTGGTCCTGTCCTGTGCTATGACAGATGATGCGAAGAGGGCGGCCAAGGCGAGCAGGATGGGTTGTGAGCGCATGGCGGGCAGTTTGCGCGTGGTGCGATGATGTCCAGGGCGCGAGTGGTGGATGGAGCCGGAGCAGGAAAGGAATACCCAGTCGGCAAATGTCGAGAGGTATCGACTGTCGCAGATGGAAAAGTCGGCGGCTGTACTGAATTTGGGAATCTGAGACCTGGTGCCTCGTCGGCTTGGGCGGGCTACGACAATGGAAAGGGCGCGCGCCGAGGGGAACAAGGGATGAAGCGAGATATTATGCGAAGGAGCGTATGTTAGCAAACAGAGTTAGAAGAAATGAGACCGCTTGGACTGTTCAGTGTCGCATTGTCGTGTTCTCGGCGATGGCCCTCGACCTTCCTTGCGCAGCGACCGAGCTGGTATCGACGATGCTGGCGGGTAGTTGGCGGTTGGTTGGTTGGATGGGTGGGAAAGGAGGGAGAGCGTTCTCAAAGGTGGTCTCCCCCATATTCAATACGATGGGTGATCCTCCACTTGGGGTCTGCCATCTGGGGAGATCCATGCACTGTGGGATGGCTGCAGTCAGTGCACTGGAAACTGTTGGTTCGGCATGTGGCCCATGCTGCAACACAGTGCACGACAGGGCTCGGTCGCTGCAGACACGGGCTGCATGGTGGCTTGGCGTGACACCAAGTACCTACCATTTTTGGGATGGGCTGTATCCCCAGCAATTCAGGTGACAGGCTCGACAGGCTAGTGGCATCAATACTCGTATAATTTCCAGTCGAGCAGTCATTCACTATGATATAGGTGCTCATGCTTAAGTTGCTACCTCTTGAGATGTTCCTTACGCCTACGTCTGTGCCAAGTTCATACAATCCGGACAATGAAGTGCAACAATCAGGCGCATTGACCAAGCGTCGATCATTGGATCATCAGGACCCTGCAGTTGCGGCCCCTGCGGCAACACCAGCTTATTCTCTAAGCGTAAATTTGAACTGCTAAATTGTGGAGTATTCCCCAAGTCTTGGGCGCTCCACTTTTCTTACACTGCAGGTCAAGAGATTTTCAGAGTGTCCGGCTGTACTCACTGCCAGCGATTCACACGCCACACCAAACCATTCTAATATCAACTTTGCGCGTACACAGCCTTTCCCCCGACCATTTGAGCCCAGAGAAAGACACATCATACAGGCACTCGCGTCGAGGTCACAGCTAGCAATATGGGTGTGGCCAAGAAAACGAGAAAATTTGCCCAGGTTCGCCTTGTCCCGCCCCGAGTATTGCTTATCCGGAGGTACTAATCAATCCGAGTAGGTCAAGCGCAGTGAGTAGCAACACATGGGAGGACCGCCGGACAGAGGCTGACTATTCATCCCGCTGAAAGTTATCTCGCGCCGGGACAACCGATTGAAGGAAAATGCTGGCAAGGCAGATGCCGCGAACCCTCAGAAGGCCAAGACCGCTGGCCCTTCAAACGAAGTCGTCCGCGAGATCCCTCAGCTACCTTCATCGCTCTTCTTCCAGCACAAGTACGTGTCACTCGCCTATCTCTCCGTGCTTCGTATGGTTTCCATGTGCATGAGCTAATACTATCTTGTAGTGAGGCTCTGAAACCGCCTTACTCAGTCCTCGTCGACACCAACTTCCTCTCGTAAGAACCCCTTTCGCCACCAGAACCCAGTTCATTTCTAACTCTCTTCAAGACATACGGTTCAACGGAAGCTGCCCCTACTCGAGAGCATGATGGACTGCCTGTACGCCAAGTGCGTGCCTATTGTAAGTAACGCCATGATCGTTGTACTCTAGCTCTCAGAGCAACGCTACTCCGTTCACGAGACCACCTGGCCCATTGGCGCCAACAATCTATCAACATGCTAATACGAAGTATTAGATCACGTCCTGCGTCATGGCTGAGGTCAGTTACTCTCAGAATTTCCCAGGGCCATAGACTAACTTATTCAGTTGGAAAAACTTGGACCTAAGTACAGAATTGCACTAAGAGGCGAGTGACAGACAGTTCTGCTCTCAGTATGGAGCCCTTTTCCAGAACTGCCGCTAACATTGTTTGTAGTATGCGAACCCTATCCTGGTCTTCCGCCATGCCAACTCCCCGCCGTATCTAGGGCTGTAGGGGCATGCCGGGAAATCTCGGGACCACTCTACCAAAACAGCATGTTAACAGGGTCTAGATTGCTCGCGACGAGCGGTGGGAGAGAATCCAATGTGCTCACAAGGGAACAGTAAGATCCACCAACCCTCCCCATTCGAAGACGATGATGACTGACCTGTCACAGTATGCGGACGACTGTATCGTTGATCGAGTCATGTGAGTTGGCCAGTAGACGCGGTAGCCCCCTTCGAATCTGACAACGCGAATAGGAAGCACAGGGTCTACATCGTCGCCACGAACGATAAAGACCTCATCCGCCGGATACGCAAGATCCCCGGTGTGCCAGGTATGTTATTCTCTTGTGTGTTGTTGTTATTGAGAGACCATCGTTGACTTATCTGTACAGTCATGAATGTTGCACGAGGCAAATACGTGATTGAGCGGTTACCTGGTGCCCCTCAGTAGGGACGGAAAAGGGGAAACTCATGAGGCATGCGTTCTGGCGTTTCGGGAAAACTTGTATCTGTGCGGCATATCACTCGGCGTCGGGCGGCAAAATTAGATGTAGGAGAGGTTGACCTCAGCGATGAATCACGTTCGTCTCAGTCTATTTATTACTCATGCTGTCTTTGATGTCCGGATGATCATGAAGGGGTGTTCCAATTCTCGTGTGGGAAGACGTCCATGGTGCTGTGCGGACAGTTGTTCTTGAGGTAGGTTACTGTTTGGATGAAGTAGGGACAATACTTCAACGGTACTCCATTCCGGTGAGCCTCTATCAGAATAATGTGTGGTGTTCTTAAGCTGATAGTGCTTGGATGTAGCTGTTGGCCTACTTGATTGTTTTATCTCGTTACGGAATCAATTTAGTAGGAAGTTCATTGATAGAGCTATGGTGCTTTCGTACGTGCTATGAATCAGCCACCTGCAACAACTTGAAGTCATCAACGGCCAAGGATCAGAGTGCCTGGACCTAGCGAAGAAGATCATCTTGGTCAGTAGTGCTTGCGTAGACAGACTTTCCTCAGCCTGTACATTCTCCGTGACTGCCGGCCCCGAGGGCTCAGAAAACCAGCTACATATTCGCCCTATCCAGCCAGTCCTCTTCTTCACCGCCAGGCCATATTGGTGCGTCGTGTCGAAAACAGGCTTGGGGAGGACGCAGTTCTCAGTGGCTCGAAGAGGTATTCCGAACCGATCGGCAATGTCTTCAGCCATGGCGATCATTCTCGCCCTTTTGCCAGCGTCACGCACGACCTTCGGGATGAGCTCGTTGACGTCGACGGAGAGCTTTCGTGCGAGCTCGTCGTTGCCTCGCAGGGGGACTTGCGAAATTATCTCCTGCAGGACACCTGTATACCCCGTCATGCCGTCTCTGTAATCCGCAGGCTCCAGGGTCTGGCGGTGCGTATGGTAGTAATAGAGCATCAAGGCGAAGTCGGCGTGGTCTTTCCTGCAGTTCGTGAAAAGAGTAGCGTTGAGATAGCCCTGACATGTTCCGCAGATGGCGGTCCCGTCTTGCAGCGTCTAGCAAGCTCAAAGATAACCTGTGCCAGAGTATTGACACTTTGCCACCGAGACTTCCACTGCTCGCCGTCTTCCGCCCGGGGACGGGCATGTACTGGAAAGGTTCCGATGCCATAGTCCACAAGAAGCATTTGCTCGAATAGGGGTGCGAAAAAGCCGAGATTCCAGTACCGGTTTTACTGACGAAGGTGTCGATTACTGCCGTGGACTCGATATTCGACTCCATTCCCAAAGCATCACCATTGCACTCCATGACGTATAGTATGGCCGCCACGGACTGGAAAAAGGGCGTGACGAATCACTCAGCTCGCGTTTTGCTCAGCCTGGAGAAAATCGGATGATCCTCCAATGCCCGTCCCTCACAGCATATCGACGACTGGATGGTCCGTATTACTCGGTCCCACTTTGCACTGGGCGGAAGTTGGAGCGTCATCGCGTATTCTGGTCTTTCCGGGCGGAGCGTACGGGTCGCGACACGGTCGTCCCAAGGAGGAAGACATAGCTGGCTGAGCTTCAGCAGCGCGACGTCGTCGTCTTCAATGGCGATGAGTGGGGATGCCATTGTCTGTGATGAGCTTTGTCGAAGGCAGAAGACCTGGGCAACACCAGATGGAGAGAAGTAGGCCAAGCGCCATATAAAAGACAGATGCGCCCCCTGAGAGAGTTTGCTCTCTTCGCTAGCCTTTAGGGCGTGCTCGGCTCAGCCACTGCGGAATATACTTTACAAGCTTCTGGGGTCGATGTCAAAGGGGCTGAAAAGAGTGCTCTGGCAGCACATCCGTAGATGTTGACGCTGGAATTGATGTCAATGTTCTTCAGAGCTTTTGAACTGGCGACTCAAGTGATTCGTACTCAAAGCTCATTTGAACTTCCGTTGGTGCTGAAGAGAATTGAGCTTATAGTCGTTCCGATACCTACTTCAGACACTGCCACCTTGATATGGTAAGGTCTGCACCTATCCAACCCCATGACGCCGTGCCTCTTCTCGGATGAAAGCACATGCTCACATATATACCAGCCTTCTTCGGACTGGAACGCTACTGTGAAATATGCGCTGTTGCGTGACAGTCCAGTCGAGCGACACGTCGCTGCTGGCTCGAAGAAATACCTTGGTACTCGGTCGAGACGTGATAATATCGTGGCTGGCTGAAGGTATCTCGTATTACACCTCTCCTCTGCTGTGGTGCTCTGTTTCCTGCAAACGACTGAGCTTAATGGCTCTGAGAAGTGCTCAGATCGCAGGGTCTTTCAGACTGGGCCGAAGTCACTTAATGAGATAGCCTCGAGTTACTGGTAGTACTATAACTGCCTACGATGAGAGTCACAGTTTCTTACTGATTTTCATCACATCTTTCTTTTTAGTTGACTCTAGGAAGAACATACTTATTAGCCATGTGACATAGAAAGCTCCGTGCAAAAACCCAAGCTCCTGTCAGAGGACGTATCTGTCGCCGGTTGCAGCGATTAAACGCCGCTTCCGGCCAGGAGACAACGAACGCGGGCCGTGGTTGGTGACATCTGCAGGTTTCAGGATTCAGGGAGTTGCAGTTGGTGCATAACCGTGGCACTTGTTAGTCCCTCACGTCGTATGTGTCGGGTTTGACATCACGAGTGGGCAGGGCATCTGGCCTCCATGATGGGGAAAAAAGTGGATGGAATCTTCGTCGCCGTACCTCCTTGCGTTGATGCTTTGAGGTCGAGATGTTTGTACCTGTATTGATGGCGTTGTCTGCACCAGTTGTGTCCATAATTCGGGGTGGTCCGGGCCAGTCATCGGCCCCATATCCCCAGACTCTGATTAATTAGCGTGTGGCTCATGTGTTCATGTCCCGTGGATCAGCCACATCTCAGTTTACTTGGCATTCATCCCTGAATCAGATTTCGGCTGCTGCCAGCCAAAGTCGACTTTTCGACGTTCAACCTCTCCGACCTCCATTCCCCAGTTTCCACACGTTTATCCTCCCACCCTGCGAGAGGCGCCCTCCATTTCCGTGCATTCACGGCCACGTCTTCTGCGACCCTTCGCGACCATTTTGCATCGACTATCTGCCTGCCCACGCGCCTACATCGATAGATACGCGCTTCTGTCCCTTCTTCGCCAGGTACCACACGTCAGATATCCGATCCTGTCGCGTGGACGCAGGAGTTTCGCGTGCCCTCCCGTCAATCACACCCACCCTTCCACCTTCCACCTTCCACCTGCCACCCATCAATCGCCAACTCCCGCCGCTGCTTCATGAAGGTGTCAACATTCGCTTTCGACTCGAGATAGGAGGGTCGGTGGATAGCGGCAGCCACCAGCATCGCCCCTCCGAAGAAGCATGGCTCCCAGCGCTGGGTATAGGGAATTCTTCCCCAACGCTCCGCGCGCCGCCCGAGACAAGGCTAATGAGCGGGAACGCGAGAGATCCAACAAGATAACAGAATCTGCCGACAACCCCGCGAGGACTGCGCCTCCTGCTCTCCGCGATGTGGCCAAGCACGACTCGTCGTTGTCTGATAGTGTGCATCCCCCGACTGATGATACCCAGTATCCACAAGGAGATATCCTCAACGGGGTTGGATCTGCGAGCTCTTATGAGAGCACCTCCTCGTCCATCTTCAGCGCCTCCAACAACCCGCCTGCTTTAAATGCTCCGTCGCGCGCCTCCAACAACAGCGTCACTCCTGTCACCAATGCTGGCTCTCCTCTATATCCTCCCAATATGCCGTCGGCGAAGCAGCAAACCTCCACTCCTCCCAATACCGGAAAAGCTGAGACTACGAGTTCAACGACGGTGGCCATGGCCTCGACTCTCCCTAGTGTCACTAAGCGCCTTCCGGCTCGCGATCCCAACCGTACCATAACGGGCGTGAAGTGTGTACACGATCCGTCAACCGACAAGAAGTTGTCCTCGACCGAAAGGAAAACCATCAAGCCCAAATATAAGAATCTCGGTTCGGTACGTGTACTATATAATATATGGGAGAGGGGAGCGTCATCTGACTATATGTGCAATATGTGGCTAATACGTTGAATGAATAGGAAGATGACGCTCCCCCTCCGGACCCGCGACTGGCGAAAGGCAGTTGGCTCGACTACATCAATGTCGATTTCCATCTCCCCAAGGCCAGGTTGCGCCAAACGCCCTACAACCTCAAACCGTACCCGTATGATGCCGCTACATCTATTGGGCCGGGGCCGCCCACTCAGATTTTGGTCAGCGGGTTCAACCCATTGATTACCTTTTCCAAAGTCGCGACCCAATTTGCTTCATATGGCGATATCGCGGAAAGTAGTAACAAAATGCATCCCGATACTGGAAGCTACCTCGGGTTTGCGACCTTTCGGTTCCGGGACTCGAGACAACAGCGACGGCCGCCCGTATCCGCCATCGACGCCGCGAAGAGAGCCGTCAGAGCTATGAACGGGCGCAGAATCGAGGCAAATCAAATCAAGGTGGAGTTCGACCGCGGGGGGAAGAAAAGTAGAGCCATGCTCGAGGCTGTCCTCGCAAAGGACCGAGAGGAGCGAGCACGTGCTATAGCTACACCTCCAGTGCCTATGGCGCCGAGACCACAGCCTGAAGGCAATGCCAGCGGCGCAAGACTACAGGTGGAGGCCCCTGCGCCAGCAAGAACAGCGCTCGACGGCTTCATAAGACCCCCTCCTACCGGTCCGAGAGGGCCTACCATCGAGCGACCGCGACCGTCTATATCGGAAACGAGTTGGGCGCTCTCGAACAAACCCAAGCCTTATCCCATTATGGCCAACACTGCGCTCATTGCGAGCAACCTGAGGGGTGAGCCGTATATCTTCGTTCCCGATTCAAGTGTGCCTGTGATGATTAGTACCATCCCCCACATGAAGAAGCGCCTCAAGTCACACTACTTCGACGACATACGTACCGATCGTACGGGGTACTACATCATATTCCCCAACAGTTCTCGCGGTCGCGAGGATGCATCTCGCTGCTTTAGGTCTGTAGATGGCAGTGCCTTCTTTACATACACGATGGCCATGAAGCTCTACGCGGAGCCACCGACTGGGTCTACGCATACCGCTATTCTTCCAAAGCGAATCGAGACAGAGAGGCCGTCTGGTCCAGACCTGCGCTTCAGGGATACACTTCAATACCGGCCTCGCGATGAAAGACGTCGGGACGAAGAGGCCGTGCTAGAAGAGGAAAAGAAGCAACGTGCCCATAATTTCGATCCTGTCATCGAGGCCGTAGAAGTTGCCCGTCGGGAGATGATGGAACACTTGATCAGGCATATCAGAACCAAGGTTGCCATTCCCGCGCTGTTCGCCTTCCTGGATCCTGCCAACCATGCTGCCAAAAGACGCAGGTTGAACCTGGAGGGTCCCTCGGGTACTTCCAAACCTTTCATTAGCATCGAGGACCGTGAGGCCACGCCCATTAGCACGCCCAACTCCCGTGCTGATCCGATCGAACGCCGTACTGGTCGTCTTGATGTCGCAGCATTACCTCGCATCAGGAAAGCTAAGGGCCAAGCGGCGGCACAGCGAAATCACGGCTTCAGTGATCCATTTGGCCGCAAGCGACCTACCGTGGTGCGCAATGCCTTCCGCTCCCTCCATCACCGCCTGCAACCTCCAGACCCGGACAGTGACGAGGAAGCATCCGAAGATGAAAGAGAAAACCGCGACTCCATGGTGCGGGATACTGAGGAGCCAGAGTCGAGGCCACGCAGCCGTATGAGCACGGACGAGGATGTCTTTGAGGATGGTTTCGGTGACGAGGACTCCATGACGGAGTCGAGCTTCGCGGTCAATGATGGCCCTATCAAGTCGAAGAAGAGGAAGCTCGATCTCAACGTCGAAGCTGCTATCAAGCGACAGAAGAAGTCTGACGAGGAGCTTTTTGGAGTCACTATTGATACTCTCGAAAACGAGTTCACTAGCCCCACGGAAGACATCGTTATCCCCGGTGCTAGCATTGGTGATGATAAGGTCACGGAACTCGCAGATCTGCCCACGCCTACTGAGAAGGGCACCAAGGGCAAGAAAAAGCCGACTGCTGCCAAGCCTAAGAAAAAGACGAAGAAGCAGATCTTTGAGGAGCGTGAGGCTATGAAGAAGCAGCAGCAAGACGCATACGTCGAGGAAGCACTAGAGCAGGCTGAGAAGAAAGGGTCGGTTGAGCCGCAAGAGCTGCTGAAGAAGCCCGTAGTTGTGGAAGAGGTTGAAGAACCTATTGTCAAAGACGATCGCTTTTCGGATGCTGTGGTTCCAGCTATGGAAATGCCCAACGCTTTCAGCCTTGCCGTTCGGACTGTCCAAGATCTGCAACTTCACTCAAAGGATCGGCCGGATACTGGCAAACTACGGAAGAATTTTACTGTCGGCAACGTGGGTGATCCCAAACTTTGGGTCTGGAGACATGACCGCATACGAGAGCTGAATGCCGACGACCCGTCAACTACCAAGCCCCTTACCATCGAAGGCTACTACGTGCCGAACTCGACTGGAAGTGCTCGCACTGAAGGTGTCCAGAAGATTCTCAACTCGGAAAAGTCCAAGTACCTCCCTCATCATCTCAAGATCCAGAAGGCCAGAGAGGAGCGACAACTCCGTGCCGCCAAGAAGGACGGCAAAGATGCTGTTGTTGCTGCCGCTGCTGAAGCAGCTAAGCTTGCTGCTGAGAAACTTCTTGCGAAGGGCAACTCACGAGCAAACCGTGTCAACAATCGCCGCTTTGTGGCTGACTTGAACGACCAGAAGAAGACTCTGGGCCAAGACTCGGATGTTCTTCGATTCAACCAGCTCAAGAAGCGGAAGAAGCCGGTCAAGTTTGCTCGTTCTGCAATCCACAACTGGGGACTCTACGCCATGGAGAACATCAATAAGGACGACATGATCATCGAGTACGTGGGTGAGCAGGTCCGGCAACAGATCTCGGAGATCCGTGAGAACCGATACTTGAAGAGCGGCATAGGCAGTAGTTACCTGTTCCGGATCGACGATAACACCGTCGTAGATGCAACCAAGAAGGGCGGCATTGCTCGTTTTATCAACCACAGCTGCATGCCCAACTGCACTGCCAAGATCATCAAGGTCGAAGGCAGCAAGCGAATCGTCATCTATGCCCTGCGAGATATCGCACAGAGTAAGTGCCTGGCTCCACAAGTCCATGATCTGATGTTTGGCAGCACTGACTAATGGGATTTCAGATGAGGAGTTGACCTACGACTACAAATTTGAGCGGGAAATCGGCAGTTTGGATCGCATTCCATGCCTCTGTGGGACTGCAGCCTGCAAAGGGTTCCTCAATTAATCCCACTAATATCTTGTCTCCTGCAGACTTTGGCGTGGCGGTCTTTGTTTTACTCCCTTGGCATGGCGGCCTGCTGCGCTGTGAACGGTTTCACTTCAATGCTCTCCCTTGGATCGGGCTCGATTATATATGCATACAAAAGGGGTCAAAACGGCAAGGGAAATGTGTACCACTACTTGATTTGCGCCTCACACAGGTGCAGACGGGGGGGGCGTTTTGCGTGGCATCGCACTCTAAAAGGATAGAGGTGGTTCATGACGCGAGCTCAGCCTCTGGGAAGCGGATTAGTTTCCAGGTGCTTGCTCGCCTGAGGAATAAGGAAGAGCATCATTCATCTTGCTTGCGCTCGACACACTGGATGGTCGAGTGCACCGGAGAGTCAGTCAACCTGAGGAGGTTGGCAATGTACATAGAGAGCTGACTATCCCCGGCAGTCTTAGGTTCCCAAGCTGCTTGGGGATATTCATTACAATTGTTCATATTCGACAGGGCTACTCCCAGCAAGACGAGTCCGCTTAAAATCGCACAATCGAGCTTGCTCTTTTTGCTGAACGGTATGCCCTATATGTTGTGCTGTCAGGAATGACTCTACTGAATGCAAGGCAGTGCTTCACTATTGTCTTGACTGGGTCAAATTTGTTGCGGGCATTCAGGCAATAGAAACAGGCAATAGAAACAGGCAATAGAAACAGGCAGTAGAAACAGGCACGCTGCAACCTGCTCACTCCGGGGGAAGTCGTGGTAGTAGCCAAGGGCGTCTCCTCTATGTATTCTCGGAGAGAAGCAGGCCATTCTCATCCCAACAGGCAGACGGTCTCGATCAGATCCTGCGCCCGAAACCCTCATAAGCTTGCCCACAGGTTTTTAGGCGGCACGGCCATGCCGAAGGTAGGCAAGCAGACACCTTGACGAACCCATGGGGTTTGTTTTGAGAAGCTGCCAGGCCTTGGCGGAGAACTGCGTTGGCTTCTTTCCACTCAGGATGTCGTTCTGGTTCCGGTGAGATGTGTGCATGGTGGCCCGGAAGGCCTATATGGTGACGATCAGTTGTGACACTGAACCTCCAAAAGTCTGCGTACACTCCTCGTTCACTGAGCGAAAGATATATCTATGAAAACTGGAATGAGCAGTCTGGAATAAGCATCGAATATGGCTCATTACATTAAACCTGGTTATTCCAGGGTGCTTATTCCATCGATACGAATGTAGTATTAATACTTAGGAGTTGATACGAGCAGGAGCATGACGGACGGAAACTGATGAGGGATGACTGTATCTTTCTGTTTTGAGTGCTCATGCATGGAGCAGAATTGCCTCCGGTACGCGGCTAGGTTAGGTAGTGAAGGTGGGTAGGAATATGAATAGGGGGCTGACGCTTGTGGAAAGGGGCTGGGATTGTCGGAGCTCTATGGTCGGTCTGGAGCCGAAGCTCTGTGTAGCATTCGAGGGAAATGGGTACGCTCACGTTAAGCATAAGATATCCTACGTTTGGTACGTATGACAGGAAGTCAGCCAAGGTGTTTAACGCCTGAGGTTGAAAGCATTAATGATCAATACCAGATGGAACGTTTGCCCTCATCTGAGAATCCATCTAGCTGTTCATCACTATCAGCCATTCGCCCACGCCTCCCACCTGCCCTGGAAAAGAACGCACAGTACAGCACCATTACTCGGTACCCCGGGAGCCCATCCTGTCAAGTGCCAGTAAAGATAAGCTGCCCGAGCACCTGTACTAAACGAGTTAACCCGTGCGAGGCCAGTGGAATACCATCGCATGGCTGCTTATGGCACTGCGAATGGATCTGGAAGCACCCCGCCCGGGAGAGGCCTCCATGGTACGACTGGATAGAAGCTGCGCAAGGATGGAAGCTCAGTTGACCTGCTAGATTGACGACCTGAAAGTGTAAGAAGATCTGGCTGTGAGGACTTGAGTGATAAGCAGATTGGGCTTCTGTGTCAGACGATCATGAGTCCATAGAGCATACAAACTCCACAACCAGTGGGGGGACTGCTCTGCGTCCCAGAGTCTAGGCAATGGGGAGTGGTAAGGGCCCCATCTGAGTTGCTGCTCTCGGGGACCAGAACCAGGCAGTCGCCCGGAGACCTTCCGAGACTGTAAGGATAGACGCTACTGTCTGTCCGTGGCGACTACGCTCTCAGTGGGTCATCATCAGCTTTCTTCCTCGGCGGTAGTTGACAGATGTTGTGGGTGGTCTCTACGCTAGAGTAGGGCGATATATTTTGGTACTGCTGCGGTATTTGACAGGTTGTTGGAGATGAAATGTAGATTTCATTGCTCAGGTGTAATGCCCCTACCGCGGTTTAACATTTAGCTGGACTACGTGGATCCAAGAATGTTGGCTACTTCCCTATTGCGATTATCCCAGCACGGGAGAGTCTAGACGCCATGTCGTCACTCAATACGCTGATATGGTCAAACCTGATGGATACATATCAACAGCAACCCGGCCTTACACGATACGTAGTCTAAATCTGATGAAGACACCCACGTAGTGCAACCCGAGAATTATCAGAGATTGTGCCTGGATGGTCAACATCGCCAAACTGATACTTCTGGAACACCACAAGCTCCTCGGGGGCAGGCATGAGTATCCGCAACGTGCTCACACATGCACTCGAGCGAGGAGAGAAGGGGAATGGGGACAGAAGACGCAACTGACCCCCAGAACCAGATATGGCAGTAAGTCTAAGGCTAAGCCAAGCCAAATACCCGATGTCCAGGCCACTTGATCATCCTCGCAGTATCACCAGCAGTCGAATAAAAGGAGGATGAACCAGTACGTCCTCGGCAATCACCTCGATTTTTGGGACACCGCGCCCTCGCCCTCGCCCTTGCCTCACCCCAGACGGCAGTCGCCACGATGTAATCACCACCACCCTTCCGCAAGTCTTGGTATCCAGGTCGTGGAATATGAGTGTGAGCGAGCACGAGAAACTGCCGGACCAGGCTAAGAATGCATTACAAGTCGCTCCGTACTGAACCTCACTGGCTGGTCAAGGGTAGGCTTGTTGGTAGCACATATGTTTTGAATGCGAGACAGCCAGCCCCTTATCCTGCTGAACGGAAGTCATCCCAGTAATCCAATAACTAACTACCTTACTACTGTAATTTCGAGTAGCCACGCATATTTGAGAACAGGGGGTAGTAGTGTAGTCGGTCACCTGTGGAATTAACATCGAGGAAGGCTTCTATCGAGATATACATCACATGCTGAGAAGTCTCCAGGGACGTAAGTACCTGATCTTCAAAGCGCGCTGCAAGACACCTCGATCCCGGCTCCGTGGTATATAAACCCACCCGGGATTATCAATGCAGTGGAACTGTTGTGCCTTGTGGTAGCGGTATCCAGAATGAGGACCAGGGTCACGATAGGTGGCTATTGGTCTGTATTCTGGAAGTTGCTTGATTGAAAGAAGGGATGGGTGGTGTCCCCATCCCAGAAGTAGCTATCATCCCAGTTGGGTACGAATCTGTTACAAACGGGTACCAGTTGGGCTCCAAGGTACCTTATATCCTGGTCCGTGACCCATCCGTCATTGTGGCTGGAAAATGGGTTGAGGAGCCACACTGTTACTCCCATGGCGCTGATAACTATCGGTACTCATTCCATTCACGCATATTTCTAGACGCAGGCAACGTGATTACCCTTACCTAAGCTATCCTCGCTGAGAAACCCGTGAGAGACCAAGTCTGACAGCTCGTTAACAGCCGGTCACCGTCGACATTGACACAATGTGTCGATCTCAGTGGGCATAGACTAGGAACAGAAGTCGAGCCCCTATACTGTGACTTGCAAGCAGACAGAGAACCACACATAGACAAGCTCACTTCCTTCAACCAAACGCGATTAATAAGTCTGTGGAGTTGATGGTGTGTATTCTATATTTCGTCACAATGCATGGATGCTATGCAGTACAGGAGGTGCGTATCTATCCCCGGCTCCCACTCATTTCAGTGTGTGAACGGGATGACCCCTGGCCTTTCCCCTTTCCCCTTTCCCTCGAGCCCTGTCCACTACGTTCAACCTAGTACTCGGGAAAATATGAAAGTCTGCTTTCAAAGGTATCATAAAGTGCTTAGCTTGCCCGCCTCACCCAATGCCCGACGTCGTCGTAACCCAAAAGCCGCTGCCAAACAGGCAAGCTTGCTCATCCCAAACCCTATAACTCCAGGTGCTGTGTCGGCAGCTCGTCACATCTCGCGGCTTCCCCCATAGTACACAGGCTACGCTGTAGCATTGATACTTTTGAATTGAAGGGTCTATGTTGACTTCCGTTCAACGGGTCTGCCTCCACGCCAGTTCTTCCTTCTGATCCTGGGCCGAAGGAGGCTGAGTGTCGCGAGGACGTATAACACCGAAATCCAATCTCTACGTGCGTGGTTGCCACGAAGTTGCTTAGCTGCCACTCCTCCTACTCATGACCGTCGTATCGCTACGACTTCGGTCCCTTCCGGCGCCTTGGCGAAGAGCATCGCTATAGCTAGGGATCGGTGGGTTGTGTGGTCGTAATGTAGCTGCACGACTCCGTACTAGTGTCCTGATCAAAGGCGTCTGATCACCTTCGGAACTGCTGCGATAGCCATCCTCGTCCGAATGATCGGGACTGGTATACTCGGGTGGGGGGTGTGCGGCATCATGTAGACCTAATCCGGCAACATCCACCACGTGGTCTCCTGAGGGGCCGGCAACATTACTATTGCTCGCTTCGCCTGCCTCGTCGGTAGGTACCAACTGCGCCAGGGATATGTCAGTAGGACTCCTCTGCGGTCCAGGGCTGGTAGGCTGAAGAACTCGGAAGTTGCCGCTACGAGATCGTGAATGTCCTGCGTCTAGTGTCGGCCTGCGGTTCGTGAATGTCTGCACAGACTGCGAGTAGCTGTGGTTCCCTGCCGGCGAACCCGAGTACTCGTCCTTCCTTCGGCCGGTTTCGAGTAGGATGCTACCTTGCTCGCTTCCGTACGGTGGCGGCGGTGCTAAGCTGCCGGTGATTGGCGCCAGACCCCATTTCTTGACGTTTGCCTCGATGAAGACGAAACCGGCCTGGCCAAAGTTGACGTGGACTGTGCAGGGACCGTTGGCACCAACTGATGGGAAGAAGTTATGCGACTTCAGCCCATGAACGACATCATCTAACCGCTTGCCGTTGCGAGTAAAGAAAACACTGCCAGTTCGAGGTCGGTACCCAACTCCGATAACATCACCTTGGACGTACTGTGGCCCATAAGGCGTAGGGTTAAAAGGTTGGTTATATCGTCGAGCGCCCGTGGAAGTATAGGCAGCCGAATACTTGTGGTAGCCTAGAATGAGTAGAGATCAGCCCACCGTAATCCTTAAGCGATCTACAGCTTTAGAACGTACCTGGGAGCCTGAACAGCGGATACGGCTTGGTGGACATTCCTATGCTCAACAGTGTGCTCTCGGGCTTGTCGTAGATCTTTGCTTCCCAGTAGTAGACTTCGTTTTGTTTGGGCACGGGCAGATTGCTCATTACTGTGCACTCGGAGTCGAAGAACTCGATTTCGGTTCTGGCTTCAACGAAGCAGTTGGCAATCTCCAATTCGGGCTCGAACTCCCATGCCGACACTCCCTTCTCTTGTATCGCTAGGTATTGTGATAAAGAAATGTCCGTCTGGACCGAATCAGGCGGGTTTCCTTGGATGTATGCTGCGAGTTTGGTTAGTGACAACTGCCCACTACTGGCCGGCAAGCCGCAAGTGATCCAAGTCCGATGGGTATTCACCTTTTGCTCGAAGGTATTCCGTCCGGTGTAGATCGTCCATCGTCTCCAAGGCCTCGGCCTCCTCCCTTGCAAATGCCTGCTCATCGTCATACTCGCCGGGCCGACCGATGCGATCGAGGAAAATGCGACCGGATGTCGTGTATCTGAAGAAGTAGACAACGAGGAATATCAGGGCGACCAGGATGGCAGAGCCAAAGGACGACAGCAGTCCGATGACAATGCCGTCTACGGGAGAGGACATGTTGGCTATCTAGGGCGTTTGCCGACGCTTAGCACAATGTGAGCTTCGACTCTGCGACGTCTCCGTCACCGTAGCCCTTTGCTCATTCGGATGTGGGTTTGTCGAGGACGAGTACCCCGAAGCTGCCGCCCAGAAGCAACGGATCTGTTTGTTTGGACAAGGCGATAACCGGCCAGCAGACGAAATAGTAAAGCTTGATCGATTTCGCAATGGTCGGTCGAGTTGGTTATTGGTTGTTGGCAATTCACTTGGGAATGTGAGTGTCGTGTGTCGTCGCACCATGCATACGCAGCCGACACACCTCGCTACCGATTGTCTGCCTCCAGTACGGTCGCGGGATCGGTATGGGCGGCGATAAGGGGAAAGGCTAGCTTCCAGGTTTACAAGTAGCGGGCGGGCGGTCTGGGACGAACTCGACAGGCTGGAATGATATGAAAAGAGAGGACAAGGAAGGGAGACTCCTTGGTCTCGAAGCCGTGGCGGATGGGAAGATAGATCTCTGGGCCGGAGAGAGAGGGATAACTGAAGAGGAGAATAACTAAAGAAGGCAACAGAGGGAAGAATGAAGAGTGAATTCAGGTCGGTTCGGTTGGATGCTGCACCGCCGCCTGGCTGAGAGCTGAGAGAGTTGTGACGAGTGAAGAGGAGTGCAGGTGGCGGGCTGAGCGGGAAGGATGGCCAGGCGTGGACCGTGATGGGGACTCTGTGTTGATAGACCAAGGTACCAACAGCCCTAATCAAAGCGTAGAGGTACTTTACTCGCCTGACCGACCGCGGTATTCCCTGCTTTATAGCGCTTTGGTTAGGCGCTGTAATGCCCTCAGTGGCTACCTAGGTACAAAACTTTAAGTCACAGGCTGTTAGGGGACAAGGCCAAAACAGGGGGGCCTCTTAACAGGCTGCGGGGCTGCGGGTCTGCTTCAGACTGTCGAAATAATGCTTGCCCAGACAACGGAATCCCACGAGATGACGCTGCTGACTTGTCGTGAAGATCTCAACCCCTGCAGATAATAGCTGCTTGACAAATCTTGCTGTGCTGCCGTGGTGTTTTCACCTCACTCAACAACGTGCATCCTCATGGGAACAATAAAGTCCAATCCGCCGAGTTGAGAAGAACAGAACCATCTAATCATTACCTTACTCTGACACCCCAAACTCCAGCAGGTGCGCACAGGCGTGCTGTCACCTGTGCATAAACGTGTAACATCAATGCCCAGGTCACACAAGTCGCTCGGCCTTGCCTAAAATCCAATTCAGTTTCAGCCGGCCCATTTCTTCCAGAGGCAGTCTGCTACGTGCCTTTCCGGTCTCGAGTTGCCTGCAGATACTACTTCAGCCACTTCCCGTCTTTTATAAGTAGTCAGTTTGGGCTGGAGCCATATTTGCGTTGAGGTTGAGGGAGAAGATAAACAGAGTTCAGCTATAAGCCACCAATAATAATAATAATCTTTAATTTGCTTAAGGTTGCGGCAGGGGGTGATTTGATTCTGACATCGATACCATCTCTCAAACTGCTAGGTTAGGGACTCAAAGTCATCGTCAGTTTAGCTCCTCTGCTACTCCTCTATATATATACTGGAAGATCCTCTAATATCTGTGCATAAATATGTTGAAAGCCCTGACTTACCACCATTGAAATGTTCTGGTTTGTAGCTTGTGCTCCGAATATATATGGTCTATCAAGCTGTCTCCTATATTCATGACTGTAACATACCACACAGCCATATAAACAGCGGGTAAGGATAACAAATCTTATCAGTCATGTCAACGCTCGTATTCTTATTCTGGGCCTACGTTCTTAGCAAACTCGAGGTAACTAGACTCAAGTCTGATTATACTTTCTTCTGCCCGCAGCCGCAGAGGTAATTAAAGATAATCCTTGACGCCGCGAACCTCGGGGTATACCTCCGTCCAGGCCAGACTACCAAACCCAAACTCGTGGATTACGCACGCTCATGAAATGCACCGGAAAGCTGGTCTTGTCCCAGCATTACACATAATCCTACACAGTGATATGCCCATCCCTAGTTGCGACGCTGGCGATGCTGGCCACCCGGATGGTGACCAATTCCAATGTTTGGTGGCCATCGTAACCGGACCGAGTGACGAGACCTATCAAGGACTTCGGCTCCGTCTGCGGCTGCGACTCCTATCCCGTCGGCCGCGCCTGGACTCGATGCTCTTGTCTCTGTCTCTTCGCTCACGTCGGGGCTCCGCACTCTTGTCCCGTCGCTCCCGTCGAGATTCGGTACTTCTGTCGCGTCGACTTCGCCTGTCTCTGTCTCCATCTCTATCACGGTCCCTATCCTTGTCACGAGGCCGATCTCTGTCCCTGCCCGCATCTCCTCGATACCGATCATGGGAACGATGGCGCTCACGATCGCGACTTCTGTCCCGGTCCCGGCTTCTCTCACGATCTCGGCGCCGGCTGCGGCTTCTGGTTTTGCTGCGTTTTCGTTCGCGGCGGCCGTCACGATCTCTGTCCCTATCACGGCGATCATCTGTCTCGTGATCTCGGGCGCGGTACTTGTCGCCTCGCCTGTCAGGATCCCTATCCCTATCCCGATCTCGATCTTTGTCGCGATCCCGTTCCCCTGGCCGGTAACGGTCAATGTCGTCTAGGGGTCTGGACCTTGCCACCTCAGGGGAGCGTTCCCCGACACTAGTTCTATCGTCAAGTCCAGGGATGGGTAGTCCCTTCTGGCGGGCATCACGCTGCGCAGCAAGATAGGCTTTCGCCTCCTGCTCGCGTCTCCTGATCTCGCCCTGCTTCCAAATCTCTGCGTCGTTGAGCTCCGGTTTGCTCGAGGTAGTAGGTCGAGAGCGAGACCGACTTTTGTCACGCCTCTCGGTTCGCGGCCGAGGAGAGCGGGACCGATCCCGGCGTGTACCAGTATCCCGTCGATCAGAGCGAAGTCGTGAGTGACTTCGGTCTCGTTTGTCCCGGTCGTCTGCAGCGCGCGATCGGCGACGGTCCCTATTGTCTGGTCTGTAGTGATCTCGATCTCGATCTCGCGACCGGCTTCGCTCCTTGCGTTCAGCCAAACGAGTTCTAGAACGGCTCCTTTCGGGCCTGTCTCTCTCGCGAAGTCGAGACCGGCTTGAGTTTCGAGCCCCTGGCCTGTAAGAGTCTCTTTCCGGTTCCCGCTCGCGATCTCTCGAGCGGCTGCGCTCTCGGCGATCCGACCGATGCCTCGACCTACTTCTCTCTCTCCTTTCGGCTCTGACGGGCGAGCGACTACGTTCTCTGGCACGATCGCGATCTCGATCTCTATGTTTGCGGTCGTCCCCGGTACCTCGTGTTCGATCGCCATGATGCTTCGATGGTGCAGGGCTGGCTCGACTGTCACGCCTCTCGTCCTTGGCCTTCCCATCCTTGGAATCTTTGGAATCTTTGGTGTCCTTGGTCTCCTTCGTATCCGTGGTATCTTTGGCATCTTTGGCATCTTTGGAATCCTTGGAACCCTTGACTCCACTAGGCTTCAGAGGATCGTTGGGTTCCTTGGTTGGCTTCGTCTCCTTGACTTCTTTGGCTGGTTTCGCATCCTTAACCTCTTTCGAGCTCTTGACCTCTTTGACGTCCTTGGGCGTGTCTCTAGAGCCTGTCTTCACAAGCTCGGGTACTTTCTTCAGCTCAGAGGGCTTCGAAGAGTCGCGACGTATAGGTTGAATAGCAGATGCGGGCTTGGCTCTTCGAGGGGGTGGCGCCGGCAATGCCTCGTCAATCTCAACTTCTGGTTGTTTAGAGCTACCCTTGTTGCTCTCACGCAGAAGGTCGGCCAGCGCCTCTCGTTCGAGTCTCTCATGATCCTCCTTGGTAAGTTGCTTTTTGAGATCCTCGGTTTTGCCACGCTCTTTCTCATCTCTTGGTGATCGGTCGCGCCGCCGTCGATCCCTGCTGTCACGCCGGTGGCTTCTGTCACGTCGGCGACTTCGGTCACGGTCTCTATCCCGGTGGCGGGATCTAGATCTGGATCTGGATCTGCGTCGGTTTTCGCGTTCCCGATCCTTCTCTCGATCGCGCTCTCTGGCGAGGCGTCTCTCTTCTCTCTCTTTCTGCCGTTCGAGTTCGCGCTCCTCTTCCTTCTTCTCGCGCTCACGGCGTCGCGCATCTCGTTCCTCTTTTCGCTTGGCTTCGGCCTCCTCAACCTCCCGTTCTCTCTCGCGCTCTCGTTTCTTCCGCTCCTCCCGCTCGATCTTGCGCTTCTCCTCTAAAATCTGCTCCTCCTTGAGGCGTAGCCTTCGTCGTATGGTTTCACGCTCGGCAAGTCTTTCTGTTGATTCGGCGGCATATTCGACGTCTGTTTTGGAGCCACGTACTCGTTCTGCCTCTGCCTCTTCGGCACCAATGTCAGCCGCGCGCAGTAGACGTATCTGTGCCTCAATAGCCTTTGTATCGATCAGCTGGTCTAGGACTTCTTCGGCCTTCTGGTAGATTCCGGAGCGATCGAGAGCGCCATCGATCAACGCAGAGGCTTTGCGACGGTCGAGGCTGAGGAGCTGGGAAGGGTTGCGCTCGACTTCTTGTTCGGCGACTTCAATAATCGATTTGATCACTTGAGCTTCCAAGTCCTGCAGATTGAAGGTTGTCAGAAAACCTCCTTCAATGTTGCTGCAGTCGTGGCATGGCGCAGCCAAAACTCACACTTTGCTCGAACTTCTCCCAGACTTGCTTGCGTGATGCATCGTAGCCACCCTTCTTCTTAAAGCTGTGGGCTAGACCTTCGACTGAAGACCTTGTGGCTTTTGACAGAGGCAGCTCTGAAGCCTTGAATTTCCGAGGTGCCAATGGAGCAGGGCCGGTCGCTGGGGCGGGCGTTTGCTCTGCCGCCGCCATGGTGACGGCCGTGGAGGCCATTCGGCCCCAGGTGATGCGTTCGATCAGGTTGAATCGGATGCGATGCAATGCTGCAGGAAAATAAGTCTAGGACACTGCGCCGACCTGTTCTGAGAAGAAAGAGAGAAGTGCGCCGCAGAGAGATTTGTCTGAAGTAAAGCTGAAGGTGATGGAAGGTGGTCCCATTCGCATCGCATGGGGAAATTCCATTTGGGTTCGAAGGGTTCAACGCGTTCTGAATTAAAAGGTGGACCGTGCACCGCAGACACCCCTGCGCTTCCCAAGCTTGGCTTCAACTCCCTCACAATTGACGAACCTCACTTCAACAACCACACCACCGTCAGACCATCCCGACTGCAAGCAACAGAACCGCACACGACCCCGCACGGCACCTACGAGCTGCGACCAGCGACAACAGCACACGCGAAGAGGCCATTGAGGCGAATCTCCCCTCCAGTCAATCACAATGGTGCACAGAGTTCTTTTCTGGTCAGGCTTCGGTATGGCTCCAGCTCTCCCGGATTGAGGAGCATCTTGCTACGTCTTCTATATGTCGCTGACCATGGTATCTAGGCGTTGCCGTCCGCTTTTGGCAACTCGGCCTCGAAATGCGACCGCTCTTCAACCGGGGTTCCCTATGGGCGTGGCCTCTCTTTGCCGGAGTGGGTGGGAGCTTCGGTTACTGGCTGCAAGGCGTGGACGAGAGACAGACGGCGACTTTGGAGGAACGCAAGCAGATAATCCTGGAGAAGAGAGCAAGAAAAACAGGCAGAGACGCTGAGAAGTCACAAGCATGAGAGAGGCGGGGCCAAATATCGCCCGGGTCAATGTACATATACCAAGCTGTGGGATTGCGGCTACCTAGCTGGCAAGATTCAAGACTGAATGCGAGCAGTATCTGCAAAACATGAGGCTATCAAACATGAGGCTATCTTGATTCGTTCATACAAAACCCTGCTGGTCTGCTCATTATGGCTGACTGCTGCTAGACTTGATATCTTGCAGCGTGACCAGCCAGCCGTGATATGCAAGGACATCTCTATATACCTGGTAGCATACCCAGGAGTTGGTGACGACGATCCAGATGTACAAGATCCTGGCTCTCAACTGTCTCATCAGCGCCTACAGTCTCAGTGTCCTCTACCTCGAGGGCATCAAATTTGGCGATGGGCAGATCACCATCAGCGGGATGCTGATGAGCGTCTGCTTCCTGTCCATCTCCTCTCCCCAATTGACGGTTCGTAAATCACCTCAACCGCTCATCTTCAAGACAAATCCGTCCTCTAGTTGGATTCCTCGAGTTTTCGCAGAAGGTCTGGAACCGATGTGGGTTGAACACTCCCCAGTTCGGTGACTACCACCGAGAGATAAGCGCTGGGGGTGGTGTCATAGAGCAGCCGGAACGAGGCGGCCGAGCTCCGTTCCGGATCGATCTCGTTGTAGGTGAGAGAGTCAGTGGCCACTCTCTCTGTGATGTTGATCGTCTCACAAAGGACGATGATGTACAATCCCAGTTCCTTTGCGGCGATTGCAAGGTCGCAGCTACCCGACTTTCCATACATCGCCCCGTTGTGGAACATCGACTCGGCGCCGAGGAGGACCTTGGTAGCGCGTTGTGCATGCCATCTCAGACCACCAAAGTCTCCGCTGTAGGTGACCTTGATACCTTCCGCTGCCAACTTCTTCGCAAGCACCTGGCCTTTTCTCTCATAGGGGTCGTCGACGATAGTGACTGCAAACTTCTTCCCAGCGTCACAATGGGCATGCAGCAGCGCGCGCTCGACGATATTGCTCCGCCCGAACACCAATATGGTATCACCATCTTTTATCATATCTGTAGCCTTCTCGGCGATGACTAGGTCGGCCACGCTAATGCGTTCTTGTATAAAGTTGTCTATGCTGACGCATAGCTCTTTCTTGGCCTCCTGGTCAGGAACGTCCGGGTCAATCTTGCTGACTTGCAACTTGAGCCAGCGAATTGCGTTCCCCATAGAAAAGCACATCGGCCGGCAAGCGGTCAGGTAGTCGATCTGGGGATTCAAGACATGGGGTGTGAGATGCCGCGCGAGGGTGTTTCCGGGGGGCGTGTTGTAAGATTCGATGACCTGGCAATGTAAGCGGGATGACAACAAACTGTTGACGTGCATGTTAATCTTACCTTCTTGAAGGCGAGCAGGGTGGCCTTGAGTCGTATGATGCTCTCATCAATGGCAAACGTAGCCATCTGCTGCCCGAGCGCCAGAACCGTAGGGTGGACGTCTTTGTCGGCCTGTGTGATAGGTATTCTCTTCGCCATGGGGAGGTGGCTAAAACATTCCGGTATGGTGACCTTAGGTTCCGTTATAACGGCTGGCACAGGTCCTTTGGAGGTTGCTATGCGCCCTGCCGCCGTAGCTCCTGAGGCAGCTGCGCCATCTTGTTTGCCCTTTGCCTTATTTCCCTTGGCCTCACTAGCTGACGGTCCTAGCGGAGTTGGCGACGACGATACTGCGGCCTCGCCCTTTGCGCCATCTTTCGAGGCTTTCACTTGTGCGCGCCGCGCAGCCTTCTCGGCTTTCGCTCTTGCCTTGATTTCTGCGCCGGAAAGCTTGGCTGATGCAGAAGATTCCGCCTTTTCGTCCTTGGGTTTTGCGTCGCTCTTAGAGGATGTCTGCGCCTGTGTGACTTCTGGCTGGTCGGTTTTCTGAGGAGCGCCAGCCTGAGGAGCAGCGGCCTGAGGAGCAGCGGCCTGAGGAGCGGCGGCCTCTCGAGGAGGACCATTGGGTGCGGTCGACATGATCTATTTCTGGCCTGACCAACCGGCGGGAAGGGACAACGGGCGCGAAAGGACGATGAGGGTGAATGGGGAAGTGCTCAAACGGCGCGACGATGGTAGAGATTAACCGGGGTGTGAGTTTTGGTCGCGATGCGATGGTGGATTGGTGACGACCGTGGAGTCAATACTGGAAGAAACGGAATGACTGGACAATGCGCGCGCGTCTCTATGACACGAACGGAGTGAGGTTTTGTGTCGAGGTGAAAGATGTGCGCGCTCCTAAAGAATGCTCGCCGGCCGGGATTAAGGTTGACTCACGATCAATTCCGCTGCATGGCAACGTGGGGTGACAGATCGACAAGGAATAATTTTTTGGAATTCGGAAGCTCCCGGGCAAGCCACACTTGCAATCTGCATGTGCCACAACATCCCCGGGTCCAACGAGCAGGGGTCTGAGGTGGGGCATGGAGCTCCCGCTGGAGTTGGACCAACCCCACGTCCATCGTCACCCCTCCTTCGTTCTCTGGACAGTCACAACGTTGGGAAATCTACCGACCACCACCTCTGGGCTGTTAACTGGAGCTTATCACACCGTAGGTCGAATCGGCAGGCTCGAGTACACGAGATCCTGTTGTTAATATGTGACGCAGTCCAGAGGGGCAATTTCTAACACCACGCATCCACCGGCCACGACCCCGCGTCTGTCCGCCCTCTCACATCTTCCGATATCATCAGTCCTCTAGATAGGTTCCACGCTCGGTAACTGGTCTGGTCGAACCGTTAAACAAAATCTTCTATTCCTTCTGTATATGTACCTTCCCTACCTTGAACAGCACCTTCTTGGCACCGTTGTATTTATATAGTTCCAGGAGCAGCGAGCTTTAATTACCTGCACTGCCATCTTTTTACCTCCCACCTTGTGTGCCACCAGTGAATAAACCGCCCTCCACTCATCCATCCCAAATCTCACATGATGTCGGCCAAGCACTTCGTCAACGACCCGACCCTCCTGTTGAACACGGCCCTGGAGAGTCTCACGCTTACTAACCCATCTGTGGCATTGGAAACGGACAACAAAATAGTCTATCGACGGCCCGGAAATGAGCAATCGCAGGTTTCCATCGTCAGTGGCGGCGGCAGCGGGCATGAGCCCAGCTTCGGCGCCTTCGTTGGCGCGGGCTTGTTGTCTGGTGCTGTAGCCGGCACAATCTTTGCCTCGCCCAGCGCTGAACAGATTCGCAAGGCTATCATGTCCAGAGTCGACACCAACAAGGGTGTTTTGGTGACCGTCATGAACTACACGGGAGACGTTCTCAACTTTGGCATGGCGGTTGAGAAGGCCAAGGCTGCCGGTCTGGAGGTTGAGATGCTGGTTGTCGGTGACGACGTGGGCGTCGGTCGAGAAAGGGGCGGCAAGGTTGGCCGACGTGGTATTGCGGGCACAGTACTCGTGCACAAGATCTCCGGCGCCCTTGCTGCTCAGGGGGCTACTCTCGAACAAGTCCATAAGGTCGCCAAGCTCACGGCGGAAAACATCGTGAGCGTAGGCGCCAGTCTCGAGCATGTACACGTCCCTGGACGAGCTCTGCCGGGCCCCAAAGCCCCAGGCAGTCTAGCTGTCGACGAGGTCGAAGTAGGAATGGGCATCCACAACGAGCCGGGTTCTGGAAGAGCAAAGGTTGAACTGCCGGAGCTCGTGAGCACCATGATGTCGCAGCTGCTGGACAAGAACGACACGGATCGGGCATTCCTCAACGTCAACTCGAACGAGGTGGTGTTGCTGGTGAACAACCTCGGGGGTGTCAGTGTTTTGGAACTGGGAGGCATCACAACAGAGGTTGTCAAGCAGCTCGGTCAATGGGGCATTCAGCCCGTACGAATACTCAGTGGAACTTACATGACGAGTCTGAATGGGCTTGGCTTCAGCATCTCCCTCCTGAACGTCGTCAACACAGACATAGGAGGACCAAGCATGATTCAGCTGCTTGACTACCCATGCGAGGCCACCGGCTGGACGGCGCCAATCTCGAAGAACACCTGGGAAGTGAAGAACACCAATACCAGAGAGGACACTGCAGCGGCTGACGAGAGCGTCAAACCTAGCGGGCTCAAGATTGATGCGAGTGCGTTTACCAAGTCTTTGACTTCCGGGCTTGAAGCACTCGTTGAGGCTGAGCCTGAGGTGACGAGATATGACACCGTGGTCGGAGATGGCGACTGTGGAATCGGCTTGAAGCGTGGTGCTGAAGGTGAGCTGTTATCACTCATCCAAAAGAGCCTAAACCTGACATACTCTAGCTGTCCTAAAACATCTGAAAGAGACTAAGGCGACAGGGGATGCCGTCATCGATGTTGCTCAGATCGTGCCTGTGATAGAGACGGCAATGGACGGGACGTCAGGGGCTTTATTTGCCATCTTCCTCAACGCCCTCGTTCACTCGTTGCGTGTGTTTGGGCCTGGCGAAGCTACACCGCAAGTCTGGGCCGGCGCTCTGAAGCAAAGCTGCGACGCGCTGTCACGGTACACACCCGCTCGGCCTGGCGATCGTACTATCGTGGATGCCCTCTACCCCTTCGTCGAGGTCCTCGGAAAATCAGGTGACATCAAGAAGGCGGCACAGGCAGCAAAGGATGCAGCAGATGGCACCAAGGGCATGAAAGCCAGTCTCGGTCGGGCTGTGTACGTCGGTGGCACCGGATTCGAGGAGGTCCCCGATCCTGGGGCTTGGGGTCTGGCTTGCTTCTTCAATGGCCTGGCTGGGTTGAAACCCGAAGAGGAGGGATGGGAGGCCGTCTAATCCATTCACCTGATGGGCTGTGTACAGTATCGCAATGAAAGTGGCTTCTCGATGTGCACATCAATTCGTGGTATCTTTTTATGTCTCTCCTGTCGCGTGGCTACCTCTTTTTTGGGGCTCCGTTTTCCACTCTGCTGCGGTTCCTTGAGACCTCCTATTCCACCGCAAAGAGCATACTCACGATCCAAGCCACAGCATTAGTACATATTGTCCCAACTACCGGCTTGGTCTTGATATTCAGCATCCTCTAATGAGGGAAAACGCCTTGCCGAAATGATTTGTTCTCCGTTTCCACACCGCTTCGCCGCCTGCTTAACTGAGAAGGACCAGAATGACCGAGTCTCCTCTAAGGAACCTGTAGTAGACAACCCATTAGCATGAGCTGACACATGACCACCACCACTGTACCACCCTTCCAACATCGTCCACCACAAACGAAATAGAAAAGGAACGCAACGCAACGCAACGGCATCACAGCCCACAGATAGCAGAACATAAGGTGGACGTACATCTTGCTGATGAAGCGGTCCTTGTTGACGGGGCGGCCCTTCTTGCCGCCGGCGAGGCGCGGGGTCTCGGTCCACATCTCCTTGACGTTCTCCAGCACCATGTTGCAGTGGCGGTCGAAGGCCTTGACGCGCGCCAGCAGCTTGCGGTTGTTGCGGATCGATATCAGCACCTGCGTGTGGCTGCGCACGGCCGTCTGCAGGATCGACAGGGGGCCCGCGCTGAACTCGTGCTCCTCGAGGAGGGAGATCTCGTATTCACTGTTTTGGGCGTGTTAGCTACTGGAGGGCTCGAGGGGCGGGATGGTAGGGCACGACATGGGGGACGGGCGGCGCGACGTACGTTAACTCATTGCGCGGCTTCGTGAGCAGTTCTCTGGAGGTCATAGGTTAGCTAAGGATGTTCAGAGGATTGGGTATGCGCTGCTCGAGCTTACTGTATCTTGTTGTCGGCCATGATGTTATGTGGTCGCACTGTTTGATGGGTGCAGGCTGAGGGTGATGACAAGGCTGAGAGGTCTGGATGCGAGTTCAAGAAATCTGAAAAGTCTCGGTGACGCTGGAGGCGGACGGGACATGTGATTGGCTGTTCACCAAGGAAGGGTGGGCTCGGCAGCCAAGCCTTGAGGCCCAAGCTCCAAATAAATTTGGGGCCCGAGGATTACCGCGACAAGCCTGCAAGCTCGACTCAAATTGCATCTATTGGACGATTGATTGATGGGCTGGTTGATGCCGAAGAGAAAAAGAGAAGAGAAAAAGAGAAGACCATCTGCCGCGATTCAACATTTGGACAAGTCGAGCTGCAATTTGCAAATTGACACCTCTCGATGCCCACATTCCGGCCTACAGGCGCATCGGGGCAAGAAGCAAACTTAGATGTCTTTCAGGCTATTCGTCAGTCGAGCTGGCTCAGCAGCTAATGCTGCATCCCCGTTCCGGAGAGCTGTGCCAACCACCATGCCTTTGAGAGCTAAGATCCTAGATCCTCGGGTTGCATCACGGGCACAGGTACGCGCAGCATATGCTCGGCGCGGATCGCAATAGTATAATGAAACGGACGGCTGATTCTCAAACCCTCGCGCAGATGTCTACGAGTCCGATCAACGAGACCATAAAGGAGCTCCCCGGCGACGAGCCCGAAGATGTCCTTTGCAACAACCTCTATGGTCTGCGGACCATTGAGCTCAACCGACCGGGAAAGCTCAACGCCCTCAACGCTTCCATGATCCGAAAGATCGTCCCGCGCCTGGTCGAGTGGGAGAAGTCGGACATGGCAAATGTGGTAGTCATGAAGGGTGCGGGCGACAAGGCTTTCTGCGCTGGTGGAGACGTCCAAGCCCTTGCGAAGAAGAATATGGAAGGCCCAGAAGGCCAGAAGGCGTCTTCCGACTACTTCGCCCTGGAATACAAGCTGGACCACTACATTGCGACATATCAGAAGCCATACATCGCGTTTATGGATGGCATCACAATGGGCGGGGGTGTAGGGCTCAGCATTCATGCTCCATTCCGGATCGCCACGGAGCGGACCGTCTTCGCTATGCCCGAGACCACCATTGGGTTCTTCCCTGATGTCGGAGCCTCTTTCTTTCTGCCCAGGATGGCGGGCTCAATCGGGACATACCTGGCCCTGACGAGCGACCGGTTAACAGGGGCAAACGTCTTCTACTCTGGCGTCGCTACCCACTACCTGCATTCGACGAGCTTACCGAGTCTCGAATCTCGTTTGGCCGAGCTGCGGTTCAGAGACTACGACGATATCCACAAGCGGTTAGCCATCATCGAGATGACCATTGAGGAGTTTGCAACGGGCTTACCACACACAGAGCCACTGCTGCTGGGTGGTGAACTGCGGCAGGCCATCGACCGTTGCTTCAGCAAGGGCACCGTAGCCGAAGTGATGGAGGCCCTGAAGCAGGAGCAAGGCCCCACCCAAGCCTGGGCGGAGAAGACATTGGATACCTTGCACCAACGGTCGCCCACCAGTGTACACGTGGCCCATACGCAGATGCAAGTAGCGCGGGACTGGTCCATCTCAGACACCTTCCAAAGAGAACATCAGATCGCCTCCAATTTCATGAAACACCCTGACTTCACAGAAGGCGTCACAGCCCGCCTGATCTCGAAGGAGAAACCGAAACCGACACCGAAGTGGCAGCCTGCCAGCCTGGAGGAGGTGCAGCCTGGTGACGACATCGCCGCGCCGTTCTTCAAGGTGTCGAACGACGTACCAACACTCAAGCTCCTGACGGACCGGGATTATGCGGACTATCCCTACAAGTCGTTCGGCGTACCTACAGAGGATGACATCCAAGCCGTTGTCAGCGAGGGCAGGCGAACTCCCCGTGAGGTTGTCGAGCACTTTATCAGGAGAAAGAACGGCAGACAGGGCATCAGCACCATCGTGGAAGAGTTTCTCGCCAGAAAAACCATCGTCAATGAGGCCGGCAAGGCTGAGTGGGAGAACGACTTTAACCGCATGTCGGAGCAGTAGAGCTTAGTACCATATGACGATACTTTTGTACAATTAGGAATAGTCGGTGTTGACTATGTGTGAATAAGTTTACTTGCGATCTGGACTCTGATGACGGTGGTTGATGTGGATGGAGCAGGGTGTGGCAGGCACCGTCCACGGTCGCATGGCCTTGAGTGTGTGTGGATGTGTTGGAAAGACCGAAAAGTACTGTACTCCCTGATTGAAAGGGGGGGTTCGAGCGGCGAGCAGTTGGGCGAACAACACTTCAAAACTCATCTCTGAGTCATATGTATGTGATGTGATGGAAATAGGGAAATGTGGGGCGCTGCCGGAGGCCCGGGGGTATAAAGAGAGCTTTGGATCCCCTCCATTGAAAGAAATCGGCAGCTCCAAGCTGCATTTATTTCTGTTCATTATGGCGTGTTGAAGACGACCTTCCTTCCGGTGCTGTTGTCTGCCTTTCGAACTGTCGAGGATTTGATGGGCGCTAGTCCCCCCTAAACTCGGGCATTCGGCGATCCTGATCTGATCTGACGTGGCCTGTGCGTCGCATCCGCGCGCGCGCTCGGCCCCACCTAGGATTGAGGCGCTGGCCGGCAGCCCCACTATCGAGTCCCAGCCACCTCCAGCTCAACCGACGTGACGTCCACGCGGGACCGAGGGTTTTCGCCTGGAACGCGCTTTCAGAACCTTAGCTGGTGGGCCCGCCGTTCTAGCGCGAAAGCCCCACCTGCATAACCACCCATACCGCGTCGTCGGTGGTACTTGGGTTTGTCGGTAATCTCCTCTGCCCGGCTTGTACCTCGACAATCGTCGTCTCTCCATACATCCAATCCACCTGCATCGCACCTGTCGTTCTGAATACCGATTTCCATTCTTGCCATTCAGTTGAGCGAGCATTGTTCTGTTGTCTTCAATCGGAGATTGTACATAGACTTGGATTCGTTACCATTCTCGTCGCGTTTCCTCCATTGCTCATCCATCTCTTCAGCGTACTCGTCTCGTTCTGTTGTCCCGCCGACACAAAACACACGCGTGCCTCCATTGACGCCGAGCACGACAACGACCACGATATGGTACTCTACAGCACAGTGACGCCGATTTGACCAACTCTAGGATTCCGCCGAGTCGGTGGTCACGGACGAAACCTAGCCGACATTTGTTGCTAATACCAGCCTGTTCGCCAATACCCGTGGCTGCCCGCCTTTCTACCTGGCGGAAACTGGAGACCTGAGTGGCAGGCATGGCACAGTACAACAATGGTCCTTGGGGAGGTGCACCCCAAGGAGGTGAAGACTTCGGCGTACAGATGCGGCCGATGGGATGTATGGCTCTCAGACACCTCCAAAACACGTCAATGGCTGCTGACCAGTACTCCATAGTGAAAGTCCATTACACCTTCGATAAAGACAACCAAGAAAAGTGCCTTGCCCGATGGCCTCACACTCTTCACGTCCAGACGGTCCCGATAGACGAGCAGAACACCATTGGGGCGATCGACCTGAGGTTATGCTTACAGGCTGTCACGCAATGCAGCCCGGAGCTCGCAGGAGACAGCGATAAGGACTATACGATTTACGCGTTCGACTATTCGGAACCTGATACGCCATTGGTCGGACAGGGCATGCTTTCCCGGGTGCTTGGCCAACCTGGTGGTCCTCCAGCCCCCCAGCAACAGTTGGTGACGGGCCGCGTCACGAAGAACACGTTTGCTATCTTCGGCAATGGGGTTAGAGAGACATTGGAGGTCAAGCTGAAGTTCACGGGCGTCCCGAAGGTCACGCGAGATACTCCCACACCGCACCCACAGATCCAGGCAGGACAACGGCCGCCCTTCGCAAGATCTGCCTCAACAATGTCCGAAAATATGGAATGGCAGTCTTTCATCCAATCCAACCCGCATCTGGGCCATACAGCAGGACCTCCGACTCCGCACTACCCGACCCTCGCACCTGCACCGGTCAGACGTTTCAGTTCGAATTATGATGCCAGACATGATATCACTGCACAAGGCACCCCTGGGCCACCATCAGCCGCAGGGAGTCGCCCAGGATCGGTCGATCCGACTTTGAGAGTACGACCTGGTTCGACCTTTAGTCCTGGTCCCCAATCGGCAACTCTGATGGAGAATTCGTCATTCGAGGAGTCTAATCCAATACAGGCTCCGGCTAAAGCTAGCAAGGCTCATTCCCGTCCTACATCCAGAGCATCGAGCCGGCCTCCAACCGGAAGGCCCCGAGGACGACCGCGTAAGACGCCTTTGGCAGGCGAAGGTAGCACATCCGGCTATGAAGATGGCACTGATGGTGATGATGCACCTCAGCCGAGCAAGAAGAGAGTCAAAACTACTCAGGTTCAACGTAGCAACACTGCTACCTTTGGTTCAGCTCCAGACTCTCTGCGAGTTGCTGCAAGTACTGCGGGTTCGATCCGCAACTTCCGTCCCGTCGGCATGGTGGCGGATTCACCAGCCGGCAATCATCTACATGAAGGTCCCAGAGCACCAACCCCAGTTCCCGAGTCGCGGTTTCTACCTCAATCTCAAGGACGACCCATGGCCCCGAGCAATCTGAGACGCCAGTCTACGTCAGGTCATGTCACAGACGGCTTACCTGGGCATATAGAGCCGAACCGCTCGATGTCCCAGGGCCAGAACGCGGTGTCTCAAGGATACTCTGCCGCGCCATCTCCATCAGCATACAGTGATGGACCCAGCCCAGCAGACATTGGGTCGTCGCCTCCGGTTCCGAAGTCTGTTATGTACCGCATGCAATCTAGCCCCGCCCCATCAAGTCCCATCCTGCCTCCTATGCCCATGGCGATGCAACAGCCAGACTCAGGATTCATGAGTGGTGGGCTCGAAGGCCCACTTGACGAGGACAACACCGCCAAAAGTTCCGCCGAGCATCCCCCTACGGAAACGGAAACGGCAGCAGCAAAGCCGAAGCCAAAACCGAAGCCCCGTCGCAGTCGTGCGAAGAAACAACCGCCGAAAACGGAGCCGGCCAAATCTCTACTACCGCCCAAGCCTCAACCACCCAAGACTGAGGCAGGTTTCCGTAACGAAGTCCCAGGCCCCCCGGGATTATTACCAGAGGCATCGATATACAACCCATCGGTACCCTTATGTCGCAGAGTCAGCGCGAAAAGAAAAAAGATCACCAGTAATACGGCATTGCTTCCACCAGTGTTCGAATCGTCCGGGTCGATGTCTGTTATACCAGAACCTGCTGGGATCCTGCGCATGAGAGCAAAGTCTGGCCAAGTTGAACCCTTAATCCCCAGGTCTGATGTACGTGGGCCTGACGTGACTGAGCCTGACGTACCTGCGCCTGTCGCCACTGAACCGGCCGATTCTGTCTCTGTCGCTCCTGAGCCTGTCGTTCCTGAGCCCGTCGTACCTGCGCCTGTCGTTCCTGAGCCTACCGTTCATGATCCTGCGGTGTCTAAATCAGTCCAGCCTATGCTTGTGCAGCCTGAACCCTTCTGGCCTCAGCCTCCTGAGCGCGATACTGCCGAATCTGTTGAACCCCATGCTCCCGAAGCTAGCGAGGAACAGCCGGCTGACCAACTCGAGCACCTCGAGGTAGACCATACACAAAGAGAATTTACTAGCTTGGAGTTAGCGTTCATGGGCGAGTTTGGCAATGAGCGGCATGAAGAATATCTGGACTCTCTGGGCTTGGGCGACCACTCTTTCACGCCAGCTGATGAGGATGCTTCCCAATACGATGGCATGAATCCCCATATCGAATCTGGATTTCGGCTGGAACCTCCCCCAGCCCCGGCACCAGCTGCGGAAACCTCTGTGGAGCCCGAACTCCCGGTGGCACCAGCAAGTGATCCCGTTCTGCCGCAGCTGACACTGCCAATCCCACTGTCAGAATCTGTCCATCCACAATCAGATGTTCTGGATGCTTTTGATGCTCTTGACACAAAGTCCAACAAGAATTATGTCAAGAGGCAGCAGATCAGGCAGAGGTTGGAAGAAGCTATAGAGCAGGGTCAGCTTCCACAATTTTGCCGCAACTGTGGTGCGCTGCAAACGCCAACGTGGCGGAAAATCTGGAAGCAGGAACACAAGGGGGTACCAGCGTACCACGAGTATTCAGAGAAGCCTGGCCATGTTACTGCGATCAACATTTTGCTGAGGGACAATGAGGGCAAGCCAACTTCGTACGAGATTGTCAAGAAATCTCTTGGCCCGAAGGATGATAGGAGCACGTGGACCGAAATCCTCCTGTGTAACCGTAAGTGTAAGCCCTGATTTGATATTATGAGATGTTGCTAACTCTATCAAAAGCGTGCGGGATATGGTTCTCCAAGTGGAAAGCCCATCGACCATCAGAGAAGTGGGAGAAAGATGAGCAAAGACTCTCTCAAACACGGAGAAAGCGGGCCAACGGCAGTGGAGCTGCGCGAGGAAAGAAGGCTCGAACCAAGAGCGACGCTCAGTCAAACCTTACTTCAGAAGCTTGTCTGCCGACAGACCCTCTTGGACCACCCGAGGGCTCGCTGTCGCCCAAGGAGCCGCCAACGAAGGCGGCAGGCCATGGAAGACAGGCAGGGAGGGCTTTTGATAACGGGTCTGGGAAAGATCGCAAGAGGCTTGCTCCAGAGCCGAAAGGACCAGGCTCAACTCACTCTCGGGGATCTACCCATTCTAGAGGGAGTGGTACACCTGGAAGCCCTATTGCTATAGACGACGAGCTTGGCGGCACACGAAGACTTTTGTTTCCATCTCCCCGCAAAACCGGCGAGCACAGAATCCTAGGAGAAGTCGCGGTTAACATCGTGCAGACCTCTCCTGGATTCGCTGAAACTAAGGGGGGCGAAACCGGACCAGAGAAGGAGAATAGTGGACCAGCTTCTCCAAGTCAGAATCCAGCTAATGACGATATGGCTTACCTCTTTGGTACACCACCGCGGCCATCAACGCCGCCTCCCAAACCTGGCAACAGTGAGCCTTTCAAGACGCCGACACGTCCCACCCCAAGTCATCGTCCCGTCACCAGGAGTGTCACCAGGTCTATGCGCTCCGGAAGGTCTATTACATCGCCCGGCCAGATGCTACTCGAACGCACTCCGACAAGGACTCCCACTAGGACACCGCGCTCGACACTGCTCTCCCTGCGACGTTCGCCACGCCACTCGCTACCCTCGCCCCGCCACGCGCTACCCTCGCAATTTCTCCAAGAAACAAACTACGGGTCCCCTCTGACGAGATCAATCAACCAGCTTCTTTCTGAGGCGGACAACTTCGTCATGCCAGGCCCACCTCGCGGGTTTCAGCTTGACCCTTATTCTCTGTCTCAGCTGAACAGTGATGATCACCTGGGTGGCGGCCCGCGTTTCGACTTTGGCGACTTGCTAAGCACAGACGGCATTGTGCCCAGCTCGCCGCCCCACATGTTTCGTTACACGCAGCAGCATGCGTTTGGCGGTAACCTAGTAGAAGACGATAAAATCGCCCGACTTTTGGACCCCTTCAACACCCATGTGAATGAGAGTACGAGTTTTGATAGTACGAATTTTGGGGAAGAGGGTGGTGAGGGCGCTCCCTGAGCGCTGGGCGCATACTGGTACATACTGGTGCCTCTGAACAGAACCTATTACGGGCTACGAAGATTTTATTATAAGTCACGGCGTTCTGCGATATACTGTACGCATTGCGGTGCATCTACTAGCTCATCGTGAGCCACCTCAATGGGACAGATGGTTGGGTTGGCGGACATACCCCAGGTTCGGAGTTTAGGTAGCATTGTGTCCAAGTAGCATTTGCGGCGGTTGATGGAGTGGGCTGACGATACTCCACGTAGGTAGTGTCCGGCCTTATTGGAGCACACGATGAAATATATTCTTTGAGCATGCGCCTTGTTTTTGCGTCCGAATTTCATGTGCATGTCCTACGAGTAGCTGGTGGGATAAGGCTGGATCTCGCTGTCGTCTATGCATCCTGCCCGTAGGCCTTCCACACAGGTCCAGTGTACGAAAACCTTGCTAGGTACGTGCCACAGCCAGACTTTTGCAGATAAGCCTTGCAGAGTGTGAAGGGATCGGACAGATAAAGGGCCTGCAGGTGTCCAGGGTACAGCTGTCATACATTGAACTTGACAATAGCTTGACAACCTCAACTACTTTGGTTGCTGCTGCTACTTACTCACTACCTAATGGAACCCAACCCGGCCAGCTGTGTGTGCTGTTATTCTACATCTCTATATCAGGACCTTTCCTAGCTGCGCCCTTCGGTCTGGTGGTAGCTACACTGAACCCTTACCATCACATCTCAGAAGTCTCCGTACACTCGTAATCAAAGTTTGGAATATTCATGGATTATTGTCATCTATACAATAATCACTTTGGAATGAGCCTAGAGAGTCGTATTAGGATATAGCTGATTATTTTATGGTGCTTATTCCACTGTTAACATCCTATAGGGGGGCGGGGGTGTTAGGAAGGGTGTGAGGCCCTCAAGGTGCGCGGACGGTGACTTATAGGATGTGACTATAACTAGATGTGCCTCTTAGATCAATGCCCTAATCACCAAGGCTCTTCCTTACAATTCACAGTTGTGAACAACGTCGAGTTTTCTCACACCAAGTCCAACGCAGGGTCCCTGAGCCCAGGTCCGCCGGTGAGACCATTTGTCGGGCTTTCCGAGGTTTCACCCATGGGAAACTCACTGGCTATCTATCCAATTCTCGACACCCCACACCCTAGGGCCTGGAATAGTTGCGTTGTAGATTGCGGTTGATGACACTTCGAAGCTTTCCGATGCTTACTGTTGTTGAGTGGTTGCTGTTTTCTTCCCTGCTTGCAGACACCCTTCTACTCATCTCGGTCCTACGTGAGAGAGCTGCCTCCAGAATTTCCGACTCGAGTCTCCGACCGATGAACAGATGCCGCCAAGTGTGACCTTCCAAGACCGTACTCTGTGCCTCGTTAATGTCCCTCATTGCTCTCCGTAATCAGGATCAGGGCGCTGCCTGAATGCGCTGTCGGGGACGCATGCCAACACTGCGATAACAGGCGCGTTGTCACGGGGAGGCCAGGTGATCCACGTTTCAGTTTCAACATCCGGATACGGAAGTTGGTAATGGTTAGCGTATTGGTCCAGTTCCTCATTGAGCGCGTCCAAGAAAAAGTGCATCGATGCTTGGGGCCTATCGTCGCCCCAGATCCACCCGACGGGCGCATCGGGGTCGATGAAGTTGTACTTGCCGGGACGGGTGCAATTCAACTCGTCAGTAATGTCGATAAATGTACAGCCCCTGCCTCGGAAGGTCGTCAGCCCCTCGGTGTCTAACGGCCCAGCTTGGGGGCCGCATCGAATGCGGTAGTCGATGAACCAGAGTCGGCTCGCCCATTCGCCCAGGCGGTCTGTAGCGGCTTCTGCGACGCATCCGAGTTCGGTGTAGCACCGACTGCACACGAGGTCGGCATCGAACCTTTGATACGGTATCTTGCGAGGCGCACTTCCTCCTGGGTGCGGCAGAAACCATTTTGTATAGCCGTGTTGATCCGGGTCATCATCCATCCAAGCGGGTCGAACTCTAGAGCGATGTGAGGCCGAGGGATCCCCTGCTTGTTGAAGATTGGCACGTCCCCCTCAAACCTATCCCAACTTATACCGCTGCGTGTACCGCCAAATGGCTGTATACAGAAGAGGTCCGTCTTGGGGCAGACGGTGAAGTGCTGGCGCCTGCCATCCTGCACCATGGTACCGATAGTAGGTGCGTCGACGATGTGCTCGAACGGCTCGATGACGGCGGGCTCGTCCTCGTCGACGGGCGGCCGCTGGTAGACGACTCTGTGATTGCCGAAGCGCTTGGTCGTTGCTTCGCGCGACTCCTTGCACGCTGTCCAGAGTCCGCCGTCCTCGAGATACACCGACGGGTTGTTGTCGAACCACGAAGGGATGTCGGGTTCTGCTTTGTTGCGACGCGGAGCTGCTAGGCCGCACGGTATGTCTCTGTCCTCGCCTCGACCGGCTACGGACAGCTCGGCCATCCTTGGGTATGAGGCGTGTTGCCGGCTATCCCAGGCTGAGAAGAAGTGGGCTGATGGGACGTCGGGGCGGATCGCTTCCTCCCATATCTGGTCTCTGAGCTCCTTTGGCAGTCGATTGAACGGGTAGAAGATTGCGGCTGCCATGGTGAGTGGTCGTCTGTTGAGGCGTGCGATGGTGACGAGAGTTTGCAGTAGAGTCGACGGTGTTGTCTCGAAATGGTGCTGCCAGCAAGACTGGTATTGGTGTGCTGGGACACGGTGTTGGGAGCAGATGGTGTGTGCAGGTGGCTTGCAAATGTAGGGCTTTGTGACCTTAGCAAGAAACCAAGCAGAAACGGAGACGCGTTTTGGCTTTGGAAACAACGTTGGAGGCTGAAATAGAGTTCAGTCCTTACCGGAAAGAGACACGGTCTCCTTTCCCTATTCCTTTCTCCTCCTCCTTTGGTTTCCAGGGTTGCAAAGCATTTCCCAAGATATACCCATGTAGCAGGCAGCCTCGATAGGGGACATCGTTTCGAGCACACTGCCGACCGTGACCGATGTCGTGGATGCATCGAGGCAGCTCGGGTTCATGCTGCATAGTGGACGGCGAAGGCATCTTATCTAGAGCAACTGAGAGAGTTAGGCTTTTTTGCTGATACTTAGAGGGCATTTTGAGTGTTTAAACTTGAAGACGCCGTCTTTCAAACGGGCATGGGTTATGTGCCATCCCGAATCGACACTGCTAAGGGTATGCCGGAAGAACCCGTGAATGCAGTTCTTGAATCCAGAGCATCCTAGCGAAGTAATAGGCGGGTGGATGAAGTTCAGATACAGTGTGGCAATTCCCACAAATGAGCATGCAAAAGCAACTGAAACCTGCTTGCAGTGGCGGATTGGAAAGGACACTGGTCACAAAATAACCCAAGAATTATCGATGTAAGATGCAATGGGGTCAGCCCAATGTCAGGTTCTTCTAGGTAAGCAATGCCAGTACTCGTTGACTGTCCTCGGCCTCACGGCAAGGAGCGATAATACCATTCTCCTCTGTCTTTTCTGGGTCTCTGTTAGCTGGGGCACTCATCACTGATACTTCATGCGTTCCATACCGCCAATTTTGTTAAGCTAGTTCTGAAAGCATCGTCAGTTGGTCAAGTATAGCCTTTTGTCGAGAGGTTTGCGTACGGTTCTTTCTCGCCGTCTCTAAGTCCCAGTTAGCCCGAGGAAATGATGATCCATGCTCGATGAGTTCCCTACCACGAGATTTTTGTTCTGCCAAATCTGAAAAGTGTTGTTAGTTGGTCGAGTACGGGCCTTGATCGAGGAGGTTGCATACTGTTTTTTTATGAAAATCTACTAGACCAAGTCAGTAAACTGCTAGAGGATTAATGGTATCAATCAGTACTCACACCACCACCACATCTCCTCGGACACTCATTTATGGCTATATGGCCCCTTAGCCATACGTCCGGAGGCGGAATGATCGGCTGAAAATCATACTCGTTCTTCTCGGCGCCGGTCTAGAAACGAGTGCGTGTTAGCTAGCAGGTATATAAAAGCCAGAAACGAACGTCCATTTACCATGGCGGGACCAGGAGGCTTGAAAGTTGTGTATGTCAGCTCGCAGGTTTCCGTAAGAAGTAAACCATCAATCAAGTGCGTGGCCTACATTCTTCTTGGGCGAGATGTTTTAAAAAACTGTAAGTACTCGATCGATGCCTTTCAAGCAAACCCCCACAGGACTGTTACCTACCATTCGCTCGGCCTGTATTCTCAAAGATTAGCAAAATAGTATGAGTGTACGCCGAAGCTTCCAGGGACGAACCTCCTTCTCCTTTTCCTTTTTCTTCTTCTCCTTCTCGGCGATCTATATTCCTTTAGCGACACAAGTCTTCAAACCGCGTACTGTCATGAAGGTCTTACGAAGGCCGCCAGATCGTCCTAAACGCCGTTCGTTAATTGCCATTCCTAGTATGCCATGGGCTGCGCGAAACTCACCTACACTCTCTTGCGGGCGGGCTTGGGAGAGGATAGAGTTAGCCAAAATCCAAGTTACAGTCACCCCCAGGTCTCCGTCCGGCATCCCTCGATCAATCGTGGATATCAATGCTGCCTTCACATTAATGGAATAAGCACCCTGGAATAAGCAGCTTTACCCCAAAAAGTCATTTTCGATGCTTATTCCGGAGTGCTTATTCCAGTATAATGAATATACTCCACGCTTGCTGAACGAGGGATGTACGAGACTTTTGGAGGTTCGGTGTAGAATAGACAGCGCAGTACTTATAGGCAATGCCCAGTACGGCATACGTTGGTCTCGCCCTTGCTTTCTTCTCTGTTTGTTGTTAGCATATAGCAACAACCAATGTTGTATTCATAAGGCTGTGTGACAGCTGCAGTGGTATGAAAATCGGTAAATTTGCTCGATTGAAGGAATTGCTTATTGTGGGTTAGGTGTCGTAGTGGGAGTGTGGAAATTTGAGGTAAGGGCTCCAGTACGCTGTGTTCGTACCTCGTTCTGTCGAAGAAGCTGCTGGTGACGACGGCACCTGAAAGAGGGAATGGTGATGCAGATGGTGATTCAGATGGTGGTGCAGATGTTCGATGGTAGACTGGTGCGACGACGAGGTGCTGGAGAAGGGTGCTGGTGAGGACATGTGAAGCAGAAGAAGAAGAGATACTCACGTTGACAAGATGATGCATGATGTTGGGATGTCTTCAGTCGTTGCTAGACGCCTTGAGTGCAGACGTGGCCACAGTGTTGATGGTGGTTGTGGGAGGAAGGTTGAGGGAGGTGTATGAGACTCGGTGGAAGCGTACGAGTAACATTTTCAAGCGAGGGTGTTGGATGCCTGAGGTGAAGAACAGAGGTGTGGCTCCAGAGGTGAGCTGTTCTAGAAAACCCTATAGTGCCTCACAAGATCACACACGAGGCAGCACCCTCAGGCCTCGATGGCATTGAGAACCTTGTTGGCTTTTCGGGGCCGACTGAAACACTTCTTATGCACTCGTGGGCACCGTCATTCTCTCTCACTGACCATATCCCGGGACACCTGAGCGGGCTTCATCATCCATCTTGGGTGACCCCGAATATCGCCCCTACATCTGTGAATGCTGCCCCAAGAAGCCGAAAAAGTTCGGAACCCTCGAGCAACTCAGGTAAGTCCAACTACCTATATATGCCCCATTATTGGCTATAGGTTCCATTGCTGCTAACACATGCGCAGTAAACACGAGGCCGAGAAGCAGTACGAGTGTACTTTCTGCCCGAATCGGTTCAAGTCCAGAAACGAAGCCATACGCCACTTGAACAGCGTCCACCTCCGCCACCACAGCTGGTCATGCTCTGCACTCGGCAACGCTGGGGCCCCTTTCGGCCTTTCGCCTGCATTCCATGACAGCCCCTCGCAGCCAGGAGTGGCTGACTCCTGTGGCTACTGTGGTGAGGACTTTGCGCGTAATGGAGGAGGTGCTGCTGTTGGTGATGGCGGTGTTGGCGATGACGGCGATGGCGCCCTATGTGCGACTGTGGTGGACTGGCACGAACGGTTGCACCATATGCGGCATGTCCACCACTACATGGAGTGCAACAAAAACAAGAGGTTCTACCGCGCCGACCACTTCCGCCAGCACCTCAAGCACAGCCACGCCGGGACGAGCGGGAGGTGGACTAATCTGTTGGAGAATGCATGTATGCTAGAAGAGGAACCACCTCAGCCCCGTGTGTCTAAAGTCTCAGCATTGGATATGTTCTTGGGGGAGCCCAGACCCAGGCCCAACTTACAATGATGTAAAAGTTCGGACTGGGCGTGAGCCTCTCCAAAGGAAGCCTGGCCGACCGTCACGTGGTCCGCAGCCAGGCTTCTTGGGAGCTGCCCACTGCCTAAGAAAAAACAAAACAAGAAATCACCACCCAGTTGATATCTCTCCATTCATTCCACTGCGCGATAGACGGCGGGCGGGTGAAATAGCGACCGTTGCGTGTCGTTTTGACCCGTACAACGGACGCGAGATGAAGAAGGGGCTTATATGGGTCCGTTGTCGGGCCGTGCGCCCTGAGTATCAGCCGGGCAGGAGTACGGCTCCTGTGCTGTTCACGAGCATCGCGGCTGACAGTGTATGTTTCCTTCTTTGCGCGAGACCAGACGAAACTCGCAGGTTGGTGCGAAGGATTCGGAGCGTGTGTTTCTCGGTGTACGGTAAGCCACAAGCTGATGGAAACTATTCACATGCATTGGTCAGCATCTGGTAGCCCTGCTCTGGCTTCCTATCTTAAGCAGCCTACAGCGGAGGTCAGAAGGGTAGAAACGGCCATCTAGCACTGGTCTACCTATTAATATCTATGGCCTATCTGTCATTCCGTTACACTCAGCCCTCACATTGAAGTCTCCGTGCGGCTGCGCCATGTTGATAAGAATTCAGATCACCCGTAAAGATAATTAATACTGAAATAAGCGCATAGGAATAAGCAGCTTTGGTTTGATATGCCACTATTAATGCTTATACCATTGTGCTTATTCCGATTCGATCAATATACTGTTGTTTGCTGGACGGGTGGTATACAGAGACTCACAAGGGCTCAGTGTACCAGGCAGAAAAGACCATGGAAATGCGACTTTTCGGCATCATGTCAATGAGCAGTCGTGCATATGTATACACGCTCCTAATGTTCCAAGTCTGCGTCAGACAGAAGTTCACGTGGTATCAAGTTCTATTGACGGCGATGGAAGGTTGACATGGGCGCGCTGCAAGATTGTACAGTGGTAGGGACTTTTAGGGGACCATAGTGATAATCTGACTTCTACCTCATGTTACACTGAGGTGATGTCCCCCACGAAAGGCTTCCTGCTGCATCATCAGCCTCCATCGCCCAGCCTCGTCCATGCTCATCTCTCCAGCTTGCGCATTCTCCGCAGTTTTGATGCCCTCAAGGATAACCCCCAACAATTCATCTTCACGCTTCATGTCTGACTCCCTGCTGTGTCTGATCTTGGCCGCGCTGACAAGATCGCCTGATCTATTGCGGTATAATCGTCCTTTGCGGGAACGCATTGATGATGGAGATGGCTGGGAGGAAACGGGAGAGGGGTAGGAATAGTCGTGTCCGGCCATAGTGATTTCCGGTTGAGAGGATTTTTGTGGTGGTGTGCTTTTTGTTATGGTCTGTGTTGATTTGTCCTGTGTGTAGTGAGTGCTCTCGGTCTGGGTAGATCGAGTTGTCCGGGTGCTGAGTCCAGGCGACAGCGCCCTTTGGGCTGTCGACCACGACTGGAACTTGTCCTGAATGCTCATTCGCGAAAGCTGATCATGCAGGCGGGATCTGGTTTGGGATGGTTGAGAGCTGGCAGCAATGGTTGATGGAGGTGGGGACTGGGGTTGACTTGTACGTCGAATACGTCCTTGTCCAGCCCTAAGCCGGACAGACTGGCGACGGGACTGGGGTTGAGGTTGTGCTTTAGATTGTGAGAGGTTAGGTGATGATGGTATGCGCTGCAATCCAGTCGGCCAGCCCAAAGAGGCCCGTCCGCGTGGGGACCGTCAGTTCATGCCTCCCTGAGACGGATACACGAAGAGGTCTCTGTACTGCTGTGTGACGTCAACGACGTTCTGGCAAGCTTGGAAATCTGCGGTATCCACAGTTAGCTTCGGTGTTGATGGTCACACCGGACGGTACTGTGACTTATTGTAGAGTCCGATGAAATGAAGCTCGATATAAGGGACTTCATGTAGGGGCCTGGATGTGTGTTCTGGTACAATTTGGAACATGGATATGGTGCTAGTCATTCAGGCAAAGAGAGGGGCGTATTGAGCTGAATCGCAGAGGCGGTAACACCGCCCTTGTTGTACATACCGACGTTGTTGCCCAGATCCATGGCTTGGAGTACTTTGATACTCAGATCGGGCAGCACCTTGCCAATGATCTGAGCGCCGTTACCTGCCATGAGATGGCTGTCCTATTTGATAGTACACGTGTGAGCAGGAGCTTCCCATCACGCATATTGCAGGAATAAGAAGCACTCACTCGGCTAAGCAGGGCATGAACTTGGCCGTTGGCATCAATGGTGGCAGTCTCACCGCGGAGCTGGGTGACCTTGCCTACGACCATGACGTTCTGGCCAACATAGTTGGCGATCATGTTTCCGGAAATGCGGGCTGTCGAAACGGACTCCATTGTGGAAGGTATGGGAGGCAGGTCAAGATGGAGAGGTCAGATGCAGAGGTTCACGATCGGGGGCTCCACCGTTTATCGCAGTGTTGAGTGTGCAGACTGAAGGTTGTTGCTCTCAGGGGTTTGTGTTTGTAGGGGAGGAGCGTCTGACACGAAGGCGACGAGAAGCTGTTGGTGGGGGTTTCTAAATTCTAAGACGCGTCGCGCGTTTAAGAGCCGGGCAAGGTCCACAGCTACATGGGACCTCTGAGCAGTCGCTGTCAGGTGGAAGCTAAGTCGATCACATGATCGACTATCCAGCTCCAGGCTCCAGCTGTCTGATGCGCAGCTCAGCTGGCGAGTGCCCCGCCGGACCTGACGTGAACTCCACCAAGTTTAAGCACCCACGGCCGCCCAGTAGGTACGCTGTTGAATGGGAATTATTAATCAGCATCCCGAAGCCATCCGGGAAGGTCGGATGACAGTTCATACTTCCCACCGCAGAGAGTTGGAATAATTAATGCAATTGCCCGGAGCATACTCCGGCTCAGGCGGCCAATGATCTACTGACTGATAGACCGGGCTGTGGCACAGCACAGCGACGTCAGTCTGAATTCAACCGGCCTTTGAACACAATTGGCCTTATCCATGAGGATACAAACTGCAGGAGCAAGAGCCATTCGTCCGCGAGTGCTGCTTCCGGGCTCGGTTGTCCGTGATGCATCGCGAAGATGTCCGGAGATGATTCGGCGGGCGGAGTGTGGCCCGACCACTGATGTGGCTGGTGGTGGCTCGGTGGTGGCTCGGTGGGAACAACGTGCATGCACCTTGACAGACACTCGAACCTAGATTTATCTGCAAAACATGCCGATATTCTTCAGGGTAACTTCAGTGATCAGACCAGCCAATCTGGGAGCTGGTAATAAGTCCCGGCAGGAGTCAAGCCCAAGGTTTTGCCTTGCCGCGTTCCCGTCCTGGCACATCACGACCTCGGGAATAGTCGATTGGATTAGGGCTACCAATCAGCACTGAGGGCTCAAATCTTCTGACACCGAGCCACCACATCTGCTTCTCTTCTGCCTCTAATACTCTATGGTGTCCAGCCACCAGTGCGATGACGAATCTGGAGACCACAAGGCTGACTCTGTGCTATGCCTACCATGCCAATGCGACCTCCCATCGCATCATCTGCACCTTCAACCTTCAACATTCAGCAGCCAAGTTTCCCATAAAGTTAATGCCGTTGTGTGGATATCTGCATATACTTCTGTCCATCTTCGACGCTACATATATACCCAGTTCCACGCGCCAATCAAGGCGTTCGACTGCAACACCGGCAAACCCAAACCTCATCGTATGATCGTCCTACTACCAAGTTGGCTGTGCCTCATCAGATGACCTCGGAGCTGCTAGAACTTACATAGTCGTTAGTGCGTTGTCCTCCCGCTAGGCCCTAGTCTACGGAACAGTCGGTTCGTCTGCTTGCAGGGAAGACAGAAGCATATTTCCGACTTCTTTCTCTATGGCCGTCTCCCTCCAGTCCAGGGCTTGTCGATCCCCTCCAGAGTGAGACTTCGACTTCGAGTTTCACTTCGAGGGCCGAGTATCGGATGATGGACAGACTTCGCTCCTGCTGCGCTAGAGGCCTCGTCTCATCTTGACATTGGCCATCTGAAGTCTCTCCCCACCTGCTTCTCACCTGCACATCTCGTAGCATCTTCAACATGACCATGCAGCTGCCATGCCGCCGACAGAGGCATAACACCTGGTATCAAGCCTTGGCGCCTCACACGTGGCAAAAAAAGCAGCCGCGAACCCTGCACATCCGTCCTCAAGTGAGTGACCATATCTATAATGTTCTGTACAGTATCGAGGACCGAAAGGAGTCACTCGATGCTCAAAGACTATCCACTCAAAGGCACCATTTCTTCCCGCCTCTTTCCCTTTCTTGATGGGTCCTGCATTCCTTGTTTGTTCCACTTCTGTACTACTCCTCAGAGCCGAGTACTCTCGTCACGAAGCAGAAAATCCATATCCTCAGCTGTCCAACATTGCAACCTATTGCTGAGCTGTGAGCTCCGCACCGGCAGTGGCAACCTCAACTCCGCCTACCCGCATACCTCTTAGAACGGCGGCTCCCGTCTGAGTACCTAGCGCCGCACCGTTGCTCGTTACTACCTTAGTTACTACCCGGGCAGCCGGCAGGAGAAAAAACTGGTGCCTCACGCCACCCAAACAATACCTCGGCGTTACTCACGTTTCCCAGCATTACGCCGCCTCGGGTTCTTTGGTGCGAACAGCCTCTAATGGGAGAATCTACCGGTCCATCACAAAAACGTAGATTCGGCAGCCAGGACAAAGGGAATCAAACAGCCATCACCTGAGGGGTTGGGCAAAGAAAGTTTCGTCCCATGCACCACGTCGCAACTGACCTCTCGTTTGGCAATTGGCAAGAGCTATACCTTGTTCCTGCTCCTGCTCCTGCAAGGAGGAGGGCTAATAAGCGCAGGACCTTGGAAACGGGCCGGGCAGGAGTTGGTGTGTTACTAAACCGCCCACGGTTACCAAAACCTCCAGCAGGCATTTCCCACGAAACCTCCCCATCCGCTAGTACCGCCGCTCTTCCCAGGCTGTCCTGCGGCCAGTAGCAAACACACAGCTTCAGACAGCCATCATCGTTTTTCTCTTTTCGCTCATCCAAGTCTCAGATCGTGCACTCTGGCATACTTGGATTGAACGGAAAACAAGCGCTGCCCGTGACGCTGAGCTCGCCCGCATCTCCCGGTGGGTTTTGCGCATGCGCAAACGCTCCGTCGACACCGTTCAATCCTCGAACGGTTCAGGACCTAGGTACGAACTCATTCACACAACAATAGGCTGGTTCGTGTGCGGCCTCATTGCTTCCCTCCGATCGGCTCGCACAAGTCTCAGTTCATGCAAACGCCGCCACCGGAATGGACGGGACGCCAGACTACTTCACTTATAATGAAGACCCGGGGTACAGAAGGTTCGGTGACCAGGACACGGCACAGATGGACTTTCATCAAGGCAACCTTGATAGCTTCCCCAGCGATGGACCGCTAGCTCTGAATCACTTGTCGAGCTCTCTGCCAATGGATTCACCTCGCTTTGTCCGGTCACCTGTAATGTCTGCGGAAGATCACATATCCCCTTACGACAGCCAAGACTTCTCGGCGACATCGCACACTGCGCCGGTCAAGGTTGAATCCCCAGGACTGTCAAGCGGATTGTCGTCAACCCCCGAGACACGCGCATCCCAGCAGCTCATCACGCCATATGAGAACGCACCAGTTCGAATGAACAAGGGGCCGCAGGAGGTGATCGAAGCCTCTGGGCACTCTCCGCCTGCACCTGCGAATGGACCTCCTTCCAAAAGGAGGAGGCAGCAAAAGCCAAAAGCGAAAGAAGGGTGTGACCGCGGTGAGGAAGAGGCCAAGCGAGATAAGTTCTTAGAGAGGAACCGGGTTGCAGCAACCAAGTGTAGGCAGAAAAAGAAAGAATGGGTCTCGGAATTGGAGGAGGCAAAGCTCGACCTAGAAAGCCAAAACACTCACCTTCACATGGAGTACAGCAACTTGCTGGCCGAAGTGAGTCAAGTCAGAGCGCACATCATGGCCCATGCTGGCTGCAAAGACAAGAATATCGATAAGTGGATCGAGAACGAGGCGAAACGATACGTCCTAGGCACGGGCGAGCGGTACGACCAGATATTGTCGAATTATGGCCCGACGCCTAGTCTGGACGTCCGGCAAGGAAGCATGTCCTCGGCCCTGGGGTTCCCAAACGCTGGTCCCAATATCACCAGCCCGATGCCACCTCCATCACAGCGTGGCAGTGTGTCGCTTTCCAGTGGCCTGATGGTGCCCAACTCGCCCATCTTGTACCGTCCAAACATGGCCCCAAACAGCAATGGGGGAAGCCTCGAGCAAACATCAGATACGTTCCAACCTGGGTTTGGGCACACATCCGAGGTTAACGACATCACCGACTTCGATGGCATGCGGATGTAACAGGCAGTAACATTGCACGACCGCTCTATCTGCTGCGCTGACCGGAACGACTTGACTCGCCGAAAACCTTGGGCTTGAATGATTCTTGGGGGACTGGGTTTGATCGCTCGTGGCTGGCATCTTGCGATACATGATAACCCACGGGAGGATTCATGTCGACACCGTACCGGGGATTGCCGTACCGGGGATTCATCTTGCTTTGCCTCGACGACTTTCGCATAGACTGGCTGGCCCGCTGCATTGCAACGGGAGTGCAAATCCGACATGCTTGGCGTTATTGGTTGTCTTCGGGACAGGCATTCTTCTGACAATGTTCAACTGTTTCTTCGGGCCAGTCTCACATATACCCCCTATGGCAATTCGAAGGCGGGGCCGGTAATGATGCTTGGGATAATTTGACGGGGTTCAGTGGTGGGAGCAGGAAGTCTTTTGCTGGGCAAAATGACGAGCTATACGAAATTGCTGTATATGCGGCACACGGAACGTGCTGCCGCAAGGTTCCCGGAAGGGATTTCGCATTCGAGGGCACTGATATGACAGGCTGTCAAAAATATGTGGAATATGACCGAGTCGAGTCACGCCAACAGAAATTGACTGGACGAGGACGGGACCGGGAAGACGTTCGAGGCGGGCTCGACGCTTACCACCGCGACGGCCCGGTGGGGGACCGAGGCCGATTCCACTGGTGCCGGTTGAGAAATATTGGCCTATGGTGTATGGGCTGTTAGGACAGTAATCAGAGTATGTTCTTGAAGAAGAAGAATCCTAATCTTCATGACACAGAGCAGAAGCGCCTGAAGAGGGACAGAGAGAACCTCCACCAGAGGCACTTTGGCTGTACTCTTTTTAATGTGATCTTGTGACATCCACATCGTGCCTAGCCTTCCGATGCTTCGCGAGAAGTACTATATTGCCAACGTGTCGGTGATCAATGACGCAATGATCTGTTCCCGACGCGTCGGAGGGACCCTAGGACCATGTTCCGTCATTGCCCGCCGGATGCGACGTCACCTGCCCGGGGATCGGGGCCCGGTCCCGGGACAGTCGAGATGACATAAGGTAACCTCAGATATCAGCCCTGGAGTCAGCCGATATATACCACAGACTTGAGTCCAGGCCCAGTACCTCACCTAGGAAGCCGTTGGACGGATCACTTACCGGTACAATGGAATAAACAGCGAATTAAATGGTTATTCCGCCGAATTATTCAGGGGGAATAATGGTTATGGCGGGTGCTTATGCAACATATTGTCGGTTTGTGTTTGTTACTTACCTGCGTACTTCTAACTTACTTCTCAGAGTCAGGATATCGTAACCACCTCCTAACTCTCAAGGTCTTTATGTATGCCATTTCCTCGCATCTGCGGGTTGGGTCCGGATACGACGACTCCATAAGGCGGTCAAAGTGTGGGCTCGCCTGGGATGAGTCCTGTTTCGCCTCTTGAAGCAACATTTGAGAAGAATGTAATTTGTGGCCATAGTTGATGGGTGTATTTTCGCATGTGTAGTACGGTGTAGAGCATAGCTGTACTTGGAAGGGGGTTTGGACCGTAGAGACCCTGATCAACCTCTATGTGCGGAGGGAGGCATGCCGGCTCTGGAGTTTCTTTGCCATTCGACTTGGGCTTTATATCTTCGACTCTCGCATCATTCGCTCAGAATTACAAAGTTTTCGGTAGCCAAAGGGACCCGTGAGACGGCATTTCAGTAAAGGGAAACGGAGCACATATGTATGGCAATTGCAGACCTTAGACGACAGTGGGCGGTCGCATTCCTACAGCAGGGCCTCCTCGTTGGAGCCAAGAAAACCTCAAGTGACTTAAGATATCATACATTCTTCTTTCACGACGGCTACACAAATGTACGTGGTCTCTAGATAATATACAGCCATTAGTAGACGTAGCTACGATTCAAGCACGCCAGTAGTGGCATTGCGACACTATTCGACCAGAATCTGGCCGCTCTGGGGCCTCCTCGGCAGGGCAGCATTCGTAACGAACACGCTCGACACAAGATCGCTCTGGTGCTGCTTGAGCATCTCCTTCAGCGCACTTCTCTCGATGATAATACGGCCCGTTTCCAGGAGATCCTTGACATCGACCATGCCCAATCCCAGCGCGCGCCCCTGCTTCGGCACGAGGTCCAGCGCCTCGAAGAGGTTCTGCCGCCTGTCGCCAGTGATGAAGGTGCTGCGGCCATTGGCACGCCCCCACTGGTTGGTCTCGAGCACCTGGGTCAGCCACTTGGCCTTGAAGCTGCGGCGCAGCTCGTCCTGCGGCAGGTCGCCGCGGGCGACCATGGCCTCGAAGGCGTCGGGCAGCGGCAGCTCCATGCCGTCCTGGCACACGACCAGCTCGCCGCGGCGGTAGCGGTAGCTCAGCGCGGTGCGCCAGGCCAGGTCGTACATCTTGCGCGTGATCTTGGTGCCGAAGTCGCGCGGCTTGGGGCCGAACGTCTTGCCGCCGCCGCGCCGGATCGGCGACTGCCTGTCGCCCACGCGCGCGCGGCCCGTGCCCTTCTGCGGCGCCATCTTACGGTGCGAACCTGCTACTTCGTAGCGCGTCTTGGACGAGGCCGTGCCCTGCCGTGTGTTGTCGCCCTCGTAGACCACGGCGTGGTGCAGGATGTCGCGGCGCAGCGGGAGGTTGAGGTGTTTGGAGGACCAGGACTCGAGGCGTTGCGGCTCGAAGGAGGGGAAGTTGAAGATGGTCAAGGGGACGGTGGTTGCTGTTCATCCGTTGCGTTAGTTAGGTTTCGTATAGACACGCACCGTAGCAGAGCGGTTGGGAGACAAACCTGGTCTCCATAGAGAACCGGCCGCGGGCGTGGTGTCTGCAGTGGTCTCGATGGTAGGCAGAGGGGCTTCAGTCGCCATCGAGCGTGTGAAAGTCGAAGATGGTATCCGGTGCTAAGTCATGGTTAGCTGGTGTCGATCGACTGCTTGTCGCAAGAGCTCAATGGACGTACAGAGGCTGCTTCTCTGCAGGTCTGTGATGATAGACTGAGACTCCTCATGGCCTCATTGAGACCCCGTACCCCTTTACTCGCCATCGCTGCGACCGCTGAAAAGGCTCGTCTCGGTAGGCACTTTCGAATCGTGGGTGCTGGTCGACGGTAGATTGATACGAGGTGCATCGGCAGCACAGCTGGGTCGACTTGCTCGTGCTGGCTGTTCTGACCCCGGAAAAATTACTGAAGGGGAGATGGAGGTCGTAGCTTCGTCGCGGAAGAAGCCGACCGGGTCAACCTGAGCTCTCCAGCTAGTAAATTTTTAGTGGATCTCCAACTTCTCAATTGGAACATTGAAAGTCCCTGGCGCGCAAGCTTAGCTTCAGAAAAGTTCCCATCTACATCTAATAAGTACAGTGTCTCGACGACAATCGTGTCGACATAACACCGCCATGTCGAGCTGTCGGAGGGTCGCAAGGCCGCTTGCACAGTCCCTACGACAAGAACGGCTACTGCAGAGCTCGACCACGCACTTCGCCCGGTCCTTCTCGCGGAGTGCATCTCGACAAGATGAAGTGACCACCACCACGCCTCCCCCTTCCTCTACGACACCGCCGCCGATATCATCGACCACCTCGATCGACCAGCTCGAGGCCGCAGCCACGAAGCCGCGCATGCAGGAGCGTCTGCTGGACCCGGACACCACAACAGCCCACTGGGCCGAGCGCAAGCTCATCCGCATGGGCACGCCCCCGGTCGGATCGCGACGTCGTCGAGCCGCCATCCGATCCTCCGAGAACGTGCCCTTCGAGCAGCTGCCCTACCAGGCCTTCCAGGAGGCCCGCAAGGTGCTGCAGGAAGACCGCGAGCAGAAGGTCCGCGCCATCGCGACCGAGCTGGCCAAAATCAAGCGCCTGGAGGACACCCCCGCCGACCAGGTGCCCGGCGGCGAGCGCAAGAAGAATCTGCGCCTGGCCAGCTTGAGAAAACACGTTCAGGAGCTCAAGATTCTGGCGGATATCAATGATCCGGTCGTCAAGCGGAAATTCGAAGATGGCTTTGGTGAGTGCAGCGTGTTCCTTTGCCATTCATGCCCTACTGCCCCCTTTTGGTTGGTTAAGGGCTACTGGTGGGAGTGCCTGCCCCTTTACAATTGTACGAATCAGAACAGAGGGAGTGAGTGCTTCGGTGAAGGTATTGCGGCCGAATAATATGCTGGGGGAGGGTTGGCCGCTCAATCCCGACCTATAAGGCCAACAAACAGGCCAATCAAGCACATACGACCAAAGGATCAGGAGAATTGGGCATCCCGTCCGATCTGCCATACACAAGCCTGATACCGCCGGATTAGTAGTTGGGTCGGTGACGACCAGCGAATGCCCGGTGTTGTATGTTTTGCTTTTTGGACTTCACCCGATTTCTTTCATCCTGATCACAAAGCTATACTTCCTTTTTGCCCGGAGATGATTGATACTAATAATTTCCAGGGGACATGAACAAGCCTATCTACCGTCACCTTGCTGAGAAGAAATGGCGCGGCATGCCATGCAGGCTGATAACACAGCGTATCTCGCAGCTGGCTATCGTCCCTGATGTGCTGCCCAAGTTTGAGCCAGTCGCTGATGTCCAGCTGTTCTTCCGTCGGATCAAGGTGGAGCCTGGCGAGATGATAGACTCGCGCGTATCAGAGGTACCTCCGCGCTTGAAGGTCCAGGTCTTCAATGCGGGCGAGCGCCTTGTCTCAGTCGTGGTGATGGACTCTGATGTTCCCAACGCCGAGACGGACTCTTTTGAGAGACGGTGTCACTACCTCGCAGCCAACGTGCCTATTGGTCCCGACCAACCATCCTTGCCCCTTGGTAAAGTCGACAAGGAGACGCAGCTGGCTGTTCCTTGGCTGCCGGCCTTCTCTCAGAAAGGCGCACCCTACCACCGATTGTCTGTCTTCATTCTGGAGCAGAAGCCTGGAGAAACCATGGATATCGCCAAACTGCGCGAGCTATACAGCGGCCGGGATGGATTCAGTCTGAAGAGCTACAGAGACAAGTTCGGCCTCAACCCAGTCGGGTTCAACATTTTCAGAACCATCTGGGACGAAGGCACCGCTGGTGTCATGGAGAGAGCTGGCGTGCCGGGTGTCGACGTCGAGTTCAAGTTCAAGAGGGTCTACTCCCTCAAGGGAGAGAAGAAGGCCAGGGGCTGGGAGGCAAAGAGATCCAAGCCCAAGTACAGGGGCTTGTGGAAGTACAGCAGGAATATCCACGGTATGAACCGCAAACGGTAGATGTATCAACGCTGATGTATCATATGTACAAAATGGGGAGCCTAGAGATAGATGGACCAGGACTAGGACTGTATCAAGATGGAGCTGCGACTCTGTGCATAATCCAAAGCTTCAACTCGAGATAATGGGTTCATCTTCAGCCAGATCTGAGTTCGTGCCAGATTGAAAAACGCCGTCTCTCAAGGGGGAACTTGAAATTAAAAAATTTGAAGTTTTGGTCAGATGCTATGGGTAAGCCCTTGGGCTCGCATTTAACCTACAGTACATACCTCCAGCCTTGAAATTACAGATCACATATCGCTGTTGGCGAAGATGGGGACAGTGCCATCCCCGATATAGGGGTTGTTGACAATGGCGTTGCTAAGTATATTGGTGTCATTGCCAACGCAGGCGATTCTGAAGTAAAAAATGCTGGAGTCATGCGTGTTGCTGTCACTGTACGCGATGGGCAACACTGATGCCAGAAAGGGCGATGGCTGCGACAGTTGCATGAGGCAGGGGACCATGGTGGTGGCAACGGCACCTCCAAAATCAACGCCACCCAGGGTACCATACGGCACCCTCGCCACAAGGAGGCCGCGCCAGGAAAACAGCGAAGAGCCTCCCCAGCCCACCCACAACTCTAAGCCATATACCCGACCCCAGCTGCCCCTAATTCCAAACCGACTAGGTGAATACACGCGGGAGCTGCTACGGCTCTAAGCTATGCATCTGCGAAAACAACACGCTAAGGACCTCGACGAGCAGCACTCCGCGCACGTCAGACATCTCGCAGAACGGCAATCGAGCCACGTCGGAGAGGTCTCGGAGCAGCGAACGATATACACCCGGATGAAGAAGATTGGAATCGACACAGCTTGGCTAATCATTACACGTCTGTCTATAGATGGTTTATTCTCCAATCCTCACTCTCATTTAAGCTGCCACATATATTTTAGACCTCATCAGCTAGTAACCATGGGCTTGGAACCATAGTAGCGCTTTTGCGTGGAGTCAATGACCATGGGCGAAGGGCCATAGTAGCGATCAACCCTCCCGGTAGGATCAACGTCCATCGGTGTTGTCTTACTCGAGGGCTGGACGACCATCCAGCTCCTGTCATTGAAAACTCTCGCCCTGCCCTTGCAATGTAAGTTCTCATTGGCCACATCCTGACACATTCGCTCAATGAAATCTAAGAAAGCATGGGGCTGCGTTAGACTTGGCCAAGAAGAAGTCTGGATTGCGGTAACTACTGACCAATGCTTTCCGGCAGGCGAATGAGATGGTTCCTGTGCAAGGCGACGAGGAAATCCTTGACCCAAACCCGGCAAGTCCACTGAGACTCTCCCTTCGGAAGGTAGCGCTTGTCCATCAGGCGGATAGACGAAGCCAATGACTCGAGCTGTTGCACCCCGGGCGAGCTTGCGATGGCCAGAAAGACAACCATGGTTCTAGACCTCTCGGGTAGTTTGACATCGTGAGACTCTTGGTAGAGGTCCAGCGGTGCTCGCCCCAGGTCAGTGGCATGGAACAGCTTGCCGGCCGGCGGTGCATTTCCGCTGGAATATACACCCCAGTGCTGTACTCATTATCAGCACTGCGGGCGAACACACCATGGAGAGAACGACTTACGTATTTTGGTATCCATTGACAGTGTGAAGGTACTGCATCGTGATATACAAGGTGTTGGGGGAGTTGACGTTTCTTGGATATGATGAACCAGAAGAGCCTCCATTGGGCACCTGTAGGTTTCCAGTAGGCGCAATGGCGAAGTTTCCAGTAGTTGCAGAGGCGTGGTACGCAATGGGCGCAGAGGGACGATTCCCACTGACTGGAACGGGGTTCGAACGCTTGAAGAAATCCACGTTGAACAAAGGGGGACTTTATGAAGATATAGGGGTGAATGATAAGGGAAAAGAGGCGAAAAGAGGCGAAAAGAAGTGATCGAGCTGTAGTAGATTTGGCGGCTTAGACAATGATCATGAGCAACGTAAATATTTGATATAGGGAACTCAACGGCATCTTATACAAGCATCGAGATCGTTCGTTCCATGTCACATCCCTCTGGTGGTTCTACTGTCTACAAGTACAACATTGGACGGCATGGCCAACAAACAGAACACTGTCCGACAGCTGCAGACTGTCGGTAACGGCACGCTCATCTTCTCTGTGCACGTTTCTTACGAGAGCGGAAGATAGTATTCGACTGGTCAGGATCTTTCAGTTCGTGGCCTAGATCCCAGTACAACGACCCGGTCCGGCCGGTATAGGGGCAGGGACCCGGCGTAGGCTAGCAATCGGGCGCTTGGAGACGGCAGACCCTGGGAATATCCCAACTATCGCGGCCCGACCTCTTCAAGTCCAGGGCCTTATCACCCCGATAACCCATGATTCATCCTAGCTATTCAAGAGTTGGTGTGCCGGGTATGCTCTGTAGCCCCTGAATCCCTGATTTGGTGGGACTGGAGTGGCGCGGGGCTATTCGCAGGTGCTGTAGTGGGTCCGCCCCACACGAATCTTGGTCGCAACGCGCCTGCTCCCCTTCATTCAACACAAGACTCAAGCACTTCCCTCTTCATCCACGGGCAACCTTCACACGCACCATCTCATTCCGCTCCACACCGAGATCTTGGTCATATTTCAACATGGATTCGAACGACGCATCACTACGCGACACACTCTCGCTCATCGAGGAGACAAGGCTTCCCCACCCTTTGGGACCGCTGCTCTCATCATTCGTGACTGAGGCTATGAACCCTCCGCTCGCTGCTCGCTACATCAGCGATAGACTGCTGGCTGGTGAAGGAACCTCCGTAGCATCTGAATGGCTGTACATTCTCGAGTCAGGTAAGCTGAGCCATCCGAGCCGTTGATCTGCCATTCTCACACCCCCAGTCACTCAGAACGGCTGCTCTCCGCCGGCCCCAGACACCGCCACTAGGCAAGCCATCATGAGGCGAGACGGAGGCAAGTGCTGTATAAGCGGAAAGGCCGCCAATTTCCGTGATCCTCTGGTCGTTTCCCCAATCCTGCCGGTGCCGTCTGGCTGGGTTTCAGATGAGCACCAGGATCGAGTTGCCAGCATGTTTGGTGCTTTTTTGGGTGCTCCCTACCGGGACTGGTGGATGTCGTATGCCCGCCATCCCGAAAACATGTCTCCATACCATAACCACTGGCTGGTCCGAAAATCTGCCGCTACTTCATTTAAAGCTGCATTATTAGGTTAGACAGGTTGCAGCCGTCGATGGTCGAGGTAAGCCACTACATCGTTGGGGATCCCTGAACCCCTACATGCCTCAGTTCCTTACGGACTATCGGCACTGACTTTTACAATAGTTCCAACTGAAACTTGTTCCCGTTGAACCTGTCGGGCAACTCGACGCCGACGGCGTGTATCCGCTGCTGGCCGATCACTCACGCTTAGGCATCCCAAAGATAGAACCCTGCTTCATTGGGACCCATGCTCGCCTATCACCGAGTATCCGGCACCTCCAGATCAGCAAAAGCTTCGGGCCTAAAGGATTCCAGGTGTCATCCAATTCCCCTTCTGAGACGCTACCTCCCGCCCCCAATTTCAAGGTTGTGCAATCGAAGCGCTCGGCTATCAGCCGAATGCCGAGAAGAATTTTGCTTTCCATTTGGCTTATGGTTCCCAGCAGCCTCAGGATAGCTGCTTACGAGGTGCTACAACGGCTTGGACAGCGCCGCTATGGCTCGTGCGAGGAATCCGGGAGCGTCCAAATATTGCCGTTTGGTCTTTACATGAAGTCTCATGTGTTGTTCGACCATGAAGCTGTCGACGATGAGCTTCGTAATGAGTTTAATGCGCTCCAAATGGTTCTTCGGCATTCGACAGTCCCTGTCCCAGAGCCACTTGACATGGTCTCATCTTCGTCTCGGAGCTACCTCCTCACCACCAGAGTTCCAGGCTCGCCACTATCGAACTACCGATACATCCTGCCCGACGGAGGGTACAAGCAAATCGCAGTCCAGATGCGTGACTATCTGGCTCAACTGAGAAGAACCCCAAAGACCGTCAACCCGGAAATGGCCATCTGCAACACGCTCGGAGAACCCTGCAGAGAGCCTCGTATCCGCTGGGCAAGGCCTATCGGCCCGTTCGCGAACGAGGCAGCTTTCAACCAGATGTTGCGGTTCTCGGACGACCCTGCTCGACATGGGCATCAAGTATTCTTTACGCTGCAGATCTCAACCCCCGGAACATCCTGATTGATCCAACTAAAGAGCAGATGGGAGCACCAGCTGCCGAGTGACCGGAATAGTGGATTGGGAGAACTCAGGGCACTACCCCGAGTACTGGGACTACACCAAGGCCATGTTCGAAGGGTTTAGGTGGCCGCTCAGACACAACGACTGGGTGAAGGATGTTTTTGCGACCTTGGGGGATTATTCTAAGGAGCTTGATGTTGAGCGTAGAGCCTGGGCATCTGGCGACGCTGTCTAAAGCTTGGCGTATGTGAATATCCTTTAGCTTCATTCCAGACTCGGACGCGGACAAGCTCAAGGAACTTTTACGAATGCGCTCGGTTTATCAGGCCGCTTTCCTGACGATTGCCGCATCTGGCGCTGATGCTGCGGCGGAAGGCTTTCTGGGTACTGCGAGCAGATCTCTTCCGAAAAAGCTTCACAGATATCGTGCTTCAGCTACGATGGCAAGAGACAAAGTATCTATCCAACGCCCTGGGTCCCCGTGGAGAAGCAAGCAACCAACATGCGCCTCTGGTGCAGGGTTGATCACATTCTGATCCCCAGGTACCTCGCTTTCGACTCAGTGCAGAGAACGGTTTAGTTATCGTGTCGAGAAGGTATAATAGGATTGGCGGCAACAGAGGGCTGTTGGGGTTGGAGGATTCGCAAGCTTACCTCCACAGAGCTCTTCCTGAAATCAACGCAAAAACGAAAACACACGAGCCCGTACACAGTCGCAGCCCCTCCAAAGTTCAATCGTCTAAAAGAGCAGAACATGAGTTCGACTCCGAAGGGTGGTCAGATGAGACTGACTCTTCTGGTGATCCTGGGAACACGAGCGAGGACTCCGACTCAGACCCGTCCACCGCGGAAAGAATCAGCTAATGGCAATCTGGAACCACCTGGTGGCCAACTACAGCTCAAGAGGCATGACGAATTCCAAGGATAAACTCTCGGCCTTCCCTGGAGTCGTAGAGGATTCTCATCAGCTCAGCAGCTGTGGGGTGGTCGATGCCTAGCCGGTCTCTCGGGGCATCATTTTCCGCAGTGTTGTTCTGGTCAAGATCAGGGTTCAATTGCGTGATCACTGATGGATTCGTTTCTTGCCTCCAGGAGCGGGAAGTTCTACCCCATTCGCATGTAGGCTGTAGCCTGGCAGGTGTGGGCTCGGGGTCCCCGCGATAATCCTCCCAAGGTGGGGTCTGCACGAACTGGGTTACTTGTCGTCTATATTCTATCTGTGTGAGCCTCACGGGATGGGTTCCTTTTGGAAGATGGGATACAATCCTCCCTCCGACGGAGCTTTCGAAACTCGCACACCGACATGCACCAATGGCCCTTGCTGACGTACTATTACGGCGAGAGGGGACATGGAAGACGACAATGGGGATGACAACGGAGGTACATTTTACCTCTCTACTTTACCGGGCAACTGGTATGGTCTGAGATCACTCGTGTAAGTAGAGAAGCGCATAATTGTCGTGGCAAGAAGCCGTTTTCCATGCCCATGCGCTGACCTTGCCTTATTTCCAGCGCCGAGCGTCATGCTTGCCACGTCGAGTTTCATTACTACTATATATAACGCCGTCCACATGTTGTGTCTATTTGAAGAGCTTTATGACTAAACAAATCGTGTTACCGGCCATCTGCGCCTTCCGCGCCGTCCTCTTGCCACGTTCGGTCTCGGCTATCCCCCTGTCCGCGCCGCCTGCGCCGCCCTCCTATATTCGGTCTCCGCCACGTGTCTGCCTATTAGTTTAGGCACAGGATCCCAACCCTGTCATGGCTGACTCTGTCACTTCATCATAACTCGCCACGAGCCACACGTTGCCACAAGCAATGGATGATCTCGCTGCCTTACACAGGTATAAGTAGCGTCAACGTTGAACACCATTGGGGCGTCTGATACATCTCAAACATCACCATCAACACACGCACTCTCCTCCATTACTCGTGCCCCGCACCACTTTCCACCTCGCTAGGGCTCACCACGTAAAGTGGTGCTCACCACAGTAGCACACCAACCACAATAACACACCAATATGAGGTTATTTAGCATTAAAATTTACGTAGCGACCGCATCTTCTTGCCAGATTCGTAGATATCAGCAGCAGGTAGTCTCTTAGTAATCCTCCAATGCCTGGCCAACTTTGCTGCCTCCTTAGCGAGGGTTTTTCGTGGTTGGAGCTCTTTCTTCGCCAGGGCATCCGCCTTCTTCTGGAGGCCTGCCGCGGTCTCCTGCTCCTTTTTCCTCGCCATCTGACGCCCGATTTCAACTGTGAGGACTCCTCCTGATTGGAGAGGAGTGTTCTTTGCAGACTTGCGCTGTTTGTTAACTCGAGAGGCTAATTCGGTCCTTCCAAGGTCCCTTTTGGTCTGGACTAGCTGGGAGGCGTGGAAGCGCGCCCCCTTGGATAGGAGCCTGATCCTCTCAATATCTTCAGGAGTAAGATCCTCGCCATCGTCCAGGTTGTTCAAGGCCTCGTCTACTTGATATGCGACCTTGTGAATCTGCCGCATTGTAGCTGGGGTGGTAACTGGAGAGGAACCAGGCTGGTTAGGGGGGAGTGACGGGGTCCTCGCGCGAGCTTCGCGTTCCTTCAACTGATTAATCACAACGGACGGTTTGAAAGGATGGATGCCCGTTTTCTTGAAGGCAGAGAGGATAGTGGTCTTCTTAAAAGCTTGCTGGCGAACCCCTTTAATACACGATAGGAACTCGATCTTCCCGATGTGCGTGAGACCATCACGCACCATAATATCCAGGGCTTTAACATAGTAGTGCTTCAAGGGCTGGAAAACCACCACATCGAGCGGCTGCAGTAAATGCGTCATCTTTGGAGGGAGACCAAAAGGGATAATGCCGTTGTCGTCACAATATCTAATGAATTGTATCGTGTGGTGGCTACCGTGACCGTCGATGATTAGGAGCCTCTTTATACCAACTTGAGAGGTTTTAGAATGCTTATTAAAGTGCTTAATCCACTCTAAGCTGATCTCGTCGTTCGAATAACCACTCTCCGCGGTTACAATCGCCATCCTGGGGTCTAATTTGGGTACCTTGTACCATGGAGACATGTGGAGGGTGCCAGAGAGGATAAGGAAGCCTGGGATAACCTCGCCGGCGGCAGAGATAGCTTCTATGCCAGTAGCAGACTCCCTATTTTCTGGTATTCCGAAATAATGGGCTCTTTTTCGCTTGGTAATGACCATCTGGTCCTTTCCAACCCCTAATCGAAAGCCAGTCTCGTCCATGTTCCACAGGTCGTCAGGGAGGATGCCCTCCTCCCTGATGACCCTCCCCAGCTTCTGGAAGTATTCTTTAGTGCGTTTCGAGTCTTCAGCAGCTTGCCGATCTTGTGAAAGGACTTTCTGAAACTGCTTGAAGTATCCGTGGCGCTTGATGAAGCGGGAGGCCCAATTCTTGCCAACTGTAGGTAGTTCCGTGACCGCGGTACTCGCCGACTCCTGGAGCAGCAAGTTGGCAGCCTCTGTGATGAATTCTGGCCTTACGGAGAGATTAATGACATCTAGGCGGTCGATATAAGCACAGACGGCTTTTTCTTGTATTGCATTCAGCTTGGTGGGTGGTTCTTGTGGCCCTTTTTTGGAAGGGATGCCCTGCAGGCAGTTGCGGAAGCGCTCTCTTGGAACCCTAAATTGGCGGCAGATACCGCGTTCGGAGGCATTCGGATGCTTGTCGGCATATTCTACGGCTTCGTAAATACGGGATTCCATCGCGAAAGAGTCGTCTGTCCAAAGAGATAATGACTTTGGTGTGGTTTTGGCTGGAGGGTGGTTATTTTGGAAGACTGGTGTGTTATTGTGGTTGGTGTGCTACTGTGGTGAGCACCACTTTACGTGGTGAGCCCTAGCGAGGTGGAAAGTGGTGCGGGGCACGAGTACATTCTCCATTCGAACCGCAACGAATATCGCCTACCCGTATCCGCCAAAACTCCAAACGCTTCAGCACACAATGCAGCTTCAATCTACCTTCGGAACGCTCCTGTTGGCTCTGAGCCTCGGCTTCGCCGTTGCAAAGTAGGCTTCCCCTGAGTTCTAACACATCTTCAGTCCCCCAAGACACGGGCTCTAACTAACGATGCACCCGTGTGTATGGCAGCCCTTGCAATGAAAAGTACATCAAAGAGGATGACTGCAACAAAGACTGCGCGGACTATTACGGGTCCTGTACCTCGTACAATGGGGGCGTGCTCAGTCCTCACAAGTGGGAATGCATCTGCGACCAGTACCTGAAGGATGGAGACAGTGTTGCCAAGTAAACAGAGACTCAGACACGGAGTCTCTTGAGCGGGCAAGCTCCAGTCAGGTACCATTCGACTGAATGGCCTCACATTCATTCCCTTGTACCAACAGCGTCGGGTATCAACTGGAAGGTCTCACATTCGCTTGTATCAACAACATCAGAGTATAGATTGTATAGATTGTATAGATATAAATAGAGCACATCATACACCTCACCCCCCCTTCCCCCCAAGAGGTCATGGAGGGTCTCGCGACCCCGTCTCCCGTGATGTGTCATGATGCAACGGGACAGTTAACTAGATGTTTAGTGCAAGTGTCCCGGTTTGATCCCGCGTTCCTGATCTTGCCAGCGAGCAACACACGTCACGGCACTAGAAGACAGACAGTGTCTGGGGTCAACCCCTATATATTACAGATCATGTCTCCCAGCTTGCTTTATAGTTTCCTTTCTTCTTCCCGTACAACAACAGAGTCATTTCTGGAGTCACAAGCAGTCGAACTGTGACACAACACTCGGAAGTGCGGTATAGTGTCTGGTCAATGGCGTGAAAGGCTTGGTAGGGTATCAATTCGTGGAAGTCCGTCAGACACTCTTATTTCGACCAGCTAATTCTGGCCCTATCAAAGTGGCCAGGTGTAGACGGGAAGGTAGGCCGAGTAGTATATAGTATAAACATGGGCCGACATCAAGTACTAACCTCCGCTCAAGTATAGGGGAATCATATGCCAGCCTGTCAGTAATCATAAAGCTATGCTCTACCGCCAGTCTCCTATGCTTGTTCTTACACGTAAGGTTACAGCTTCCTCCGTAATGTTATCATTTTTTCATCAAGTATTTCTACTCAAATCAACATCGCACTTACGTGTAGTAGTAAAGCTTCAAAGGTGTCTAAATTCTTTTGGGCTAGTGAGAGGTTGGCTAGGGGAGGAAAAGTAGACGCCATGGGCCGGTCCGCCAGCTATCCCGGTGATGAGGTTCGCTATCTACAGCACATTTCAGGGCATCTGATTGGTAGGTATTATACTGGTATTAGGGCGTATGCTAGAGCAGGCTCGTCGGTAGGCACTATTATGCTCGAGCCGCCGTTGTCGCAGGACTGGCTCAGTGCCGTACCGGCGAACCTGCAACGGGCGGGACGTATTTGATGCGATCGCGCAACCAAAATGCCTCTGAAGTTGTTGTTGTAGGAGGAAGGTTCGGCGGGTGGACCCTCCTTCTGGCCTGTCCAACCATGCAGGTACGCGAGGTCCTTCGGCTCCGGCTCCGGCTCCGGGGTCGTGGTCGACGTCGAGGACATACCGTCACACCGTCACATCGTGGCAGGCAGGCGGGCGGGCCAACGCAAGCGAAATTAGGGGCAAGCACCAGCCCCCTGGTTCAGAACGCGTGGCCCGCGTGGGGAGTCTGCACGTGGATTTAGGAACGAACGCGGGATCGCTCAGGGTCCCGGTCGACGATACCGTTCGATAGGTAATCGGGCAGTTCAGGGTGTTGCAAGATACCTACTGCTGTAGTGGCTTACCGGCTCAACGTCAAGTTGTCTTGCCTACGGCATTGACCTGTGCTGCCGAGACTTCCCTGCTTCCTGTGGAATGTTTTCGGACGCGTCCTGCTCGTGGAAATACGATAAAAATGAAGAAAGCGTCGAGGCTACTGCTTAAATAGGTATCGATAGACTGAAGTCAAGTGGAGGCGGGCTGGTGTCGCGCAAGGGCCGCCGGACGTGGTTTGGTATCGACTCCACAGGACCGGTCACCGAGGTCTTCACACCTCTTGCCAACACACCCAGCCACCTTCGAAGAAATCAGATGACAGAGACGGACGGCCCAAAGCTACAAACGGCGCCGCGCTCAAATAGACGAAGACAGCGGGTGGGAGTTGTGGAGTCTAGCTCCCTCCAATCTTGCAGACCGAGCAGACCGAGGTGACCGTCGGACGGGAGTGGCCCGCAAGTGGGGTCCTGCCTATTCCCTCACACGTTGCCGAAGACGCCGTGGACGCGGACATCGTCGCCAATTTCTAGCTCGAGCGATCCGTCCGCGATAGTGCTTTCCCGTTAACTTGTTACTGACCGCCTTATTGAAACTTGAAACTTGTAGTAAGATGGCATATGCAAGACCCTGGGACTACTGATCATGGCGTGAGAGGGTCCCGGGGGGCGGCCCGCTGTGCGATTGTCATCTTATTATTCAGGTACCACAGATGTAAGGCACGCCAAACACCTAGGAACGCTGCAAGGTTCACCCCACGACTGTTCCAGAAGCTGTGCAACTTGATCTCAAACTTGTGAGTGAATGACAGACAGCTATGGTCAAATGATGCGTGTAGCCGGGCCGTAGAAGCGGTGAGCTTCACATCGGCTGGATGGGTTGTCGATCAAGAGGGATACCTAGCAGCTCACACCGGAACCAAAATAATTTAAAATTCTGGAGCTGTTCATAACACACGGATACGAATACGGGGCCTATCCCTATGTTCAGGGACAGAGTCGCTGCGTCGATTTTGGTCACGGGAGTAACAGTTCTGGTTTGTCGTGGCGATGCGTTCGACATGCAGGTGTGTAGAGATCGAAGCTGGTGAATTGGCTGCAAAGATGCAGTGGAGCAAGGTTTGGGGCAAGTTGGATATTTCGGCGGTTTTCACGCGTGCGTTTGGTTCGACAGACTGCCTGCCGCGCCGGATTGGGGTTATGCATAACTCAACCATAACACGGCTGTGTTTGGTACTGGGATGCTTGGCTCATGCCGGAGACAGAGGGAAGGAATATAGCTGGGTCAGAAGGCACGCTGCCCAAGCCGACGGTAAATGAGGGAAACCAACGTGTGGTTAAAGCCAAGCAAGGCGTTCGTTTTACACTTGCATATCGTCTGGAGGGCAATAGTATCGTGCGGTATAGCAGTCGCTAACACATTTCCGTGCGGAACCGGAGCGCGCCGACGTCAACGGTTCTCATGTCTCTCAGCCTCCAGAAAGGTGCGCGCGCGATTGGATGAGGATCACTGCTCCCCTGACCAAGTCCAAAAACCGTCGCCGTAGGAATTGGAAAGGGTAGATTGGACCGGGTCAATGGGTACCGGTCACCGCCTCTCAGGGTTTCGAGGTTGCAATCGCCCGAGTGCGACCTTGAAGTTGCAGCCGGTCTGGAATATGGCCTTTGCATGGCCACCCTTATCGCCAACGTCGCACTCTTAATTGCCCATTTTGTATTGAAGACAGTGCACTCAGCGTTCAGAGCGGCGATGCCGCTGTCGCTTGCTGACAACGCATATATCGTTTCTCAAGATTGCTCTGCGCAATATCCGCGTGCCGCACGCGCATGTCTTGTGCGTCTTCTGAAACGTTGCCGTTGGCGAAGTGCGAAGATGTCTCTGTTAGGTACCCAGATCAGCAGGTGAGAGCCATAGGGGTGAGGAGCGTCGACGGCCTCTGAAAAGTACCAGGCGTTTGACCGCCCAGGAACAGGGCGCGAAGTTGACGCCGTGATACTCAGGCCAGACTCGGGATCACCACATCAGGCTTCAGCCAGCCAGCACTGGGTGCAGGAATTGGCTGTCCGCATTACTGACCGGGAATGACCGGCCACGACCACGACCAGGACGACACGTTTACCTGAGGGTTGGAGCGAACTTCGGCATGGACGGGCGTCATGCGAGTCACACCGCTCGACACATGCCTCTCCATGCCGTGTGTCGAAGTGTTTTGGAAGCAGGAGATGAGTTTCTGCGTGTTCGTCTGTTGTGTTATTACTATTAAAGTGTCGAACGGGAGCGGTAGGAGCGTTGGAAATGACGAATGGCCCGACCGCTGGACCCGTTGGCAGTCCCCCCTTTTCCCAGCTTGGCCATTGGCCTCCGAGGAGCAGCCGCCCCACCCGCAATGTCTCGGCCCCTGATCCTTGCCGGGATCGCTCTCGGCTATCTCCCATGCCCCGCAGGGAAATCAGATGACTTCGACTTTTTCTTCTTCGCCGTTCGGCACCGGCAGCGACTGTGGAGGCCACGTCGTCTAGCTGGAACGCCCGTTCCGGCCCGTGCGAGAGGAAGGGTTCATTAGTATATACGTATGCAGACACAAGAATTCAGAGACTTTTGTATAGAGTTGTTGAGTATACTGCTCTTATTAAATGCTGGACAGTCTTTGGCGGATCCCCACGCAATCCGTGGCTTCTAGAACAGGAGGGAGGCAGGTTCGACGTACTGCGTACTGCATATGGACGTTCTAATCTCACGACGATCCACTCATGTTAGAACTGAGCACCTACTTACATGCAAGCCACATAGGCAGCAACTGCAGTAGCTTGCAGCGAGCTGTTCGATGTGATCCATCCTTCGACGGTTGTTGGCGTCGCAGTTATTGCTAATTGGATAGCAGGTCTGTACATTGACAAGACAAATCAGTTGCAAGTTAACTTAGCAAACTAGAAAAGCTGAATTGGGTCGGGTTGATGGATGCTTCCGAGACCAAGTACCGAACCTAGCGGCAAGACCTGGAGAAAGATAACATTGGATGTCTCGCCTTCTCTGGGACTCGGACTTGACCTAGTACAGCATTTATATTATAGTATATTGGAATGGTCGCTGGTATGTTGGCAATGTTGGTCACAAGTCGATAGTGTGACCGGCGGACTTGTGATGGCCTTGAAAGTTAATATATTCATAGATAAGGTAGTCGCCACTTGCGCGAGGACAATCTACCTGTATCTATACCAACTATGTACCCTACGATGTCTGTCTGAAACGGTGCATTCTTGTTACCAGGTATAAAAGGAGAGCAGGCTCTGTCTGGCAGGCAGGATGCCAACATTGAATGATCCATGGATGATGACCTGAAAATAGATGCGTACCGACCAGGACCCAACCGCCGCTATACTGATTTAGGTGCTAGCACCGGTACCCCCATTGCACATTTATGATTTTATGAAAGAAGTTCATCATTCAGCCCCTGTCGCCGGCCTTCCAGAATCCAATATGCCACCTGCAATGCAGCGAACGCCTGAGGCCCCCACCAATCCGTCATGACCCTGGTTTCCAGGCCCGCCAGGCACTGTTCAGGATTCGTCCAGGGGCTTTCATCTCGCATTCTCGCTGCACACGCTCTCTTCAGCTTAGGCTGTGTCGTTCTCGACCCCTGACTGTGTTGAATTCATCTGAAGTCGCTGTTGTTCCTACTATCACCTTTTGATGTTTTCCTCCGGCCAAAAATCCTCCGGCCAAACTTTGTATGTGTATTAGGAGCATCAATGCTAGCACGACTGGGTTATGGACCCGGCATCCACTCACACACTACCAGGACTACAGTACAGTACGAGCTGATTTTGCATAATACCTGTCCGTCACTAATCTGACATGCATAGTATAAGGTGACTACCCACATGCACTAAGTAGGTACCTGCAACCTAGTCGTGACTAATGCGATCAATTGAAGTCCAACTAAAATAGAGCCCACTTCCGAGTCCTTCTCCCGTCTTGCGGTCCTGCCCCCATCCACTGTTGGTTGGCTCGTCTCTTGTCTGCATCTTCATGTTCTCACTGCTACCCTCTTCCGGCCGGCTGCCTTTTCGTTACCTGGAGACCCAAGAGTCTGAAGGGCATCGGAAGCACCCGAGTATCTATCTGCTTGCGTCTTGGTGCATGGTGCATGGTGCAAGGTGGATCCGTGGTTGCTATTTTCTGTTGCGAGGAAAAGAAGGCCATCGCCTTTGTCTCACGCACCACCAATTTCCTCGACTATGCTGCTGGCCTGACATCGAATGAAACGAACCGCCGTCGTTGCTTCGGTCCCTATCCCGTTGTAGTTGTGCGCAACCATACTCTGTCCACCGAAGGCGAGACCCGACGAATTTGCGCAACCCGCGCCGTAACGACCACAATCCACCCGCGCCGAGCTGAATATGGAGGGCAGTCTACTCATTCCCCCAGATCGGGGTGCTATTCTTGGACGAGCCGTTTGGAAGGTAAAAGAAAAGAACCACCCACGCTGCCACGGGCACATCGCGGCGTGCGCATTCTCAGTACGTCAGTGCATATGCTGATCCTATTTTCAGACACGATATGTTGTCATTGGTCCATTGCCGCAGAAGGACGGACACCCATCGAACCTCTCCCTCTCCCAAGTCTTAGCGAGCGCGAGAATCAAGGATGTCGGCGGCTGGGGCTCCAGATCGCAGCCAAAGCCTCCCACCGACGCCATCTACCTCTCGGTCTACAAGACAAAGGTACTTCGGCTCCCACCAAGCTGCATTGGCGAATTTTGCGCGCTGACACCCCGTTAGGACGACTCGGAACCCATTCAACAACACTCGCTGGCCTACGTGACAGGATGTGAGGTCCAGCGCGTCGCTCACCGCAAGCAGGGACATGTTCTCCCAACCATGTCTGTTCATATATCCCCCGATCCCGCGACCGACAAGCTGCGCAAGCGCCGATCGAGCCGCACTGCTGGTCTTACTAGTTCGAAGGACTCGGCGCCGACCACCCTGTGGTTCCGCGCCGCTGATGATACAGGATATAGCTTGGGCGACTGGGCACGCTATATACAGTCGCTGATACAGCCTGAAGTCCCTGGCAGACAGCCCCTGAGTCCCGTCAGTCCTATCTCGCCGTCCTTCATCAACCCATTTTCTTCCTCGCGTTCCGACGCGAACGAGTATTCCTCGTCCACGTCCAGTGCGAAGAGCAAGAAGAAGTCCAAGTTACAAGCCAAATCCGCTGGCTACGGTGCGACCCGCGACCCGCATACCACCACTACATATAACTCCGAGTCTCCCAGCATACGCTCTCTGAGAAGCGACATGTCGTCGTCTCACGCCAGCTCGATGAACCCTGCTGCCATGGGTTTCATACAGCAACACTACACGACGGTGCATCCTTCCGATCTTCCGTCGCCCGCCCCGACCGTTGGGGAATATCAAGAGCAATTCATAGAAGGGTGGACATCAGCACAGGGAAGGTCATCAACCTTGAGCTCGCCGCCTAGGGGGGGGGAGAGAAAGTGTCACTTCTTCCCATGGACCAATACCACCCAGTCTACAATCTAGTTCGCCTCCGGCACCACGGCAGACCATCTTGGATAGGGCATTTCAACTGCAATATATTCCAGGCTCCGACCGAGAAATCCCAGGAGAGGAAAAGCTCAGCTCCATCGCAAGATTCGAGGCATTGATGCGAGAGGCGGAAGTCAAGTCAAGTGTTAATGCTAAGGGAGTCGTCGCGACTAAAGAGCCTATGCAGAGCACCTGGGATGAAGATGATGAGAGTGACGATGACGGCGAATTTGGTAAAGAGGTTGACGACGACGATGAGGATGATAGCGACGAGGACGCATTCGAGCAAGATGTCGACGGTGATGGCATCGGCCCATCTGCATCCAGAGCGCTCCAATTCATCGCCAATCGGCACAGTTCGGGAAGGCCACATTGGTCACAGAATGTCAGGACTTCCGTTTATAGCGATTCCGGAGGTCTGAGCGGCGGTCCATCGATTCTCCGACCACATACAGCACATTCGAGGTTACGACCGGGTACCCAGCGGACGACTAGTCAGCCACAAATACCCATCTCTTCCTATGATGTGCGCTCCGGTAGACCGACAGATGAAGGTGTCACGCGGCGTTCACATGAGAAACGCCACTCAACATCTGACGTGAAGCACTTGAACTTCAACGAGTTCACCAAGCGCTTAAGCAGCTCGAGCAGCTTATTGCTTGTGCAGACCAACGCAAGTACAGGGAGTAGTCGGGGGAGCAGCGAAATTGACCCTGCGACTACCCCAAGAGCCGCCTTGAGCCCTCGAGGCACAGGCCTCTCACCAGTTGAACGTGAGGAACGGTGTCGTTGGCGTGGCAGCGTCGGCGTGTTCGGCACCGACGAAGGCGGGTTCTTGTAAGAACAGAGCGCCACAAACTAATCGCATATTCAATTCTCACCAGGCTCCGCGGAGCCGACGACCATTCTGTATTAATGATACCTTTGTATTTGCCTATCACGACGCTCACGACGATCTAAGGTGTGCTATTTTCCAGCGGCACAGCATGTTATGATTCCCCGAGGATGAAGAGCTTATGACGGCCCCATTGCATAACTGGCGATTCGGTGATTGGGCGAGGGACTAGAGGGGGAAACGAGGAGTACTTCCCAAGTACGAGAACCGTTGTTGAGGAATTTTGAACGAGACGGGAGCGGGATTCCGCACGAACGGGATTGGGTCTACGAACGTCATCAACCATCTGATATCCAAACTTTCATTTTTGACTTCGCGTCTGTTAGAGAAAGAGACGAGAATCTTCGAAGCTCGTGTGATACCGTTGGGCATCACCATGAATATACCTACGCAATACACATTCATCCACGTCAGAACATGGTTGTCTCCAGTTTGCGTTCACCCTGTGAGGCGCTTGTTTCTAATTCGCAAGCCAGGTGGGCAAGTATCGTTTCATCCCGTAAGGGTTGCTATGGAACTAAACGCCGAATACACATTTTTCATTCCCAAGCTTGGCGCGATCTGTAATACGCAGATTGGGAATTTCACCAGCATTTCCACGAGCCGTTGACTACCTAATGGCTCTTGCCTGTAGGTACCTTTCCCTGACTCCCGCGCTCATCACACCATGTTCGAGCTACTCGATCCATCCTGCAACCCGCAGACTGGAATCCCATCACTGGCCCTTCTAAGGTTCCTAGCCATTATTGACAGATGCCAAGATAAAAACATTATGGGCAGGACGGCAGTATCATGTACCCGACGTCTGCATCAGATTCTTAGATGAGTTGAATTCCGTCCATTGCCACTACCGTCCCTCGCGGTCGGAGCTGGAGGTCACGACAGAACCTGACCTGACCGGACCTGACCTGACCGGACTTGACTTAACTTAACTTGACCTGACATGACATGACCGGACCGGACCGGGTCTGGTGCCTTCATTTCTATCCCGGCCTCTTCCTCCTGGCCGGGTATGCTAGATACCGAGCATCAGGACGGCGCCGTCGAGGGGGGAGAGCCGCCAGCCTGTGAACAACCCACTCCAGTCGGTGCTGTCAGGCCCTTTTCAACCGTTAGCCATTGTCCTCTGCGCTCCCATCCACACTCGCGCTTCAAGGGGTGGCTATCATGCGGAATACCTATGTAATGAATCGTTCGAGATACACGTGCTTGAGGCCAGAGGAGCTGGTTGATTGTGCATCGCGGGTCCGCGGCTCGAGCGCCTGATGAAGGGCGGGTAGGATCGTAAAGGGGGGTCGGTGGTTCTTAACATGGCTGTTTCGTTTAAGGGGTGAGGTGGTTTACTTGATGGTAATGTGACATGGGGCAGAGTTGCTATGTCTGCTGGCAATGGCCTAAATTATCCCCTTAAAAGACTGGGTAAAGACTCCTCGAATAACTACATCAAGCACATGTCGAGCAGAGTGGTATTTGTAACGCGGCCCCTCATTGCACGTTCAAACAGTGAGAATATATCCTTACAATATACAGGACAGGCTTGTAGAGCACAAATCTAGAGACAGGAGGTGCATCATTAGGTTTGCGTGCGTTCGGATGTGCCGGACTAGCATGTTATCATGGATACGTACCGAGTGCAACTCTAGAGTTTATATGGTGCAGTATTCCGAATTCGCTGAGACGTCAGGATAGATCACCTGTATATCGTCTACATTTCTGCTATAGGACCCAGACATGTCCTCACAGAGTCTATTCCCAGTGGCATCATACCGGACCTGCTTCCCCTGAGATTGTAGCCTCGCCAGTTCTAGGTGAAGGCTTGTCACACGGATATGTGCTTCGTGATTCGTAAATCCATCGTCATCTGCTGTCCCTCGGGGCAGATCCTTCTTCCGACAACGTCATCCAGTGCCAATCCACCATTTGCCATCTCTTACATGTATCCAGGTCAGCCAACCCTTGGACAAGCGGTCCGACTCGTTCACAACTCCTGTGACTGATATCGACATACCGTAAGATTGGGTTCTCCTGGTCCAGGCGAGGACTAGCAACGAGGATGCGACCACCGACACCACAACGATGAGCGGCTTCCGTGCAAATGGAGGAAACCGTATCTCCCTAGTGCCCCTCGTCGTCGAGCGGTCCCTAGCCCACTGAATACTTGCGTTGTAGTTCGCTTGCAACTCCTGCCAACTCGACTGGTAGAGGACTAGGCCGCCTAATGCCAGTCCGTATCCAACTAGCTGTATCGAGGCGATCGAAGTACCCCAAATAACAACCGCGGCAGCGACCAGGAGGATGTTCTTGAGGATGCCGGTGAGGACGAGGACCAGACTTGATGTTTTGCCAATCTGTCAAATATTAGCAGCTGTAACTCAGCACTATTGATAGATCAGATACATACGAGCAGGACGCTTGACACGTTCAGCATGAAGGCGACGACAGCGTTCAACAGCAACATCCAGAACCCAACCTCGACAGCATGTGTCCACTCAAAGGAGCTCCACCCACACGCGACAGAGACCACGAGGTTGGTAATAGCGCAGACAGGGGCGTAGTAGTAGAGGCTGACGAGCGGGTCCATCTTCAGGCCTGCATCCGACACGAGGTGTTGGATCATGATGACGCGAAGGGACTCGAACACGATGCCGCCGACCTGGTATACGAATCCCGGCCACGAAAAATGAACCTCCCCAGCGCTGGCCATGACCACTCCTGCGACGATGAGCAAGATGTATAGGACCTTGGACCATGTCGGATGCTCCACGCCCCATAGCCAGCCGATGAAGAGGGTAACAACCGGCGCGGCAGCCTGATGAAACAGATGGTCAGCTTGCTTGGCGCCATGTGTAGGCGGAAAGGGGACGGGCGAGGTATGGGCTGACCTTGAGCATTTGTATGAAGGGTACGCTGAGGTAGAGGTAGACGAGGGTACTGAAGATCATACTCCCACTGTACAGTAGACCTATGGGGACCACGGCGCGGCAGTACAGCGTCCTGGTCATCTTGATATCATGGCGGCCATCGAGCAGCGAGGTGGTGAGCGCGAGGACCTGGGTGGCCAGAGTGGCAAAGGTCATGTGCCACCACGTTAATATGACGGCTAGGCAGGTCTGTCAGCAGGGCGGCGACGGGGACGATCAGGATGTGATGAACTCACGGTAGCCTAGGGGGCGGGAATGGTTAGCGCCGAGGACACCTGAGTGGAGGAGGACGTACGGAAGCCGGCATTATCGATCAGCCATTTGTTGAACAGAATAGTGATGTTGGAGAAGAATATCCAAGCCCTAGAGGACCAACGGGGATCAGTCTCGAAAATTTTCGATTCTAGGGAATATGACTTACGCTATGTAAAAGCCAGGGTGCAGCGCCAGTCCTGCTCTGGGTTCGGGGTTGGGCATGGTATCGATAAAATGCTTGGTGAGAGAAAGAGGGTCAACGACTGTTGCATCTGTGAACCATGGAGGAAGTCGAAGCAAGAGACGCCTTGTGACACGGCTGGTTTGCGGCGCGAATTCTGGTTTCTGGCGGCCGCAAGATCAATGGATGGATGTCTCGACTCTTTGGCGGCTGGCGTTGGCCCAGTCAAGGTGAGCGGTATCTTAGGCGCGGAATGTTTGCAATGAGGTTGGTGACGAATGTGACACCCATGTTAGCTAGCAACGAAGGAGATTGCCTGGTACTATCGACTGGTGGGTGCTATCGCGAGATGCATCTCAGAATGAGGCAGACAAACCCATTGATGGCTAAGGTAAGGTACTTTACCGAGGCGAGGATCCGCCTTCGGGCCTGAAACACGCAAAAGCCGTAGGACGACGACAGGGAGAAGGCAGGAAGGAGCCATTATGCAATGATTGAGCCATCTTATGGCAGGCAAGGCCCAGGGCAACAGGTTACAACAGGCGGAGGCGCAGCAAAGGATGTCCGGCAGCTGATGTCAATTGGGGCGCAGCCACCTCTCACCGCTCATCAGCCCGATTGGACTCATGGAAGCTTGAATCACACATGCACGTGCAATCACCAACATCCACTTGTTGTTGGCTGTATTACATGAACTTACCTAAGGTGCATAAGCCACATCCAGTCATGTGAGCCATAGAAACCCGAGCGGTTAGGTCGGTAGGGTTGCGAGCTGCAGCTCGAGTTCCAGCCGTCGTTGTACCACACCCTGTGCCGCCGCAGGGATTCCATCAAACCAGCTTGGATCGGTAGGCAAGATCATCAAAAGGTTGTTGGTGTGTTTATAGGTTGGGGATAGTACCTTGACGAGGCGGGAAACTCTTTTGGGTTAGACCCTGAGGGGAACAGCTCAGAAGCTCAAGACAACATGAAGGAGCATGCATTCGAACATGGAACCTGGCGTCACGACTAACAAATACCGTCCGCACAATCGCTCTCAGCGCACTGCCACTCAGGTTGAAGGGAGTACCTACTCACTGACGATCAGCACCCCAAGAGCCGTGTGCCAAAGTCCCAGCCCCTGGGACGAATAATAGGGGGGATTACGAGAGAGGCTTCTGCGTCTAGGTGGAATACACCATGCGTGACGGGCAGCCCAAGTGTCTGACACTAAAGCTCTCACCGAGACCGGACAACAAATGTATAAACCCATGATTCTACTCGAATATATACCCACACAGCGCCCACACCCGCCATGCAACATAACCGCCGTACCTGACATGTCCGCTCATATGCACCGAACAGGCAATCAGGCAACCAACCGATATCCGTCTACAGCACACATACACCAAGCTTGCCCTTCTATGCTCCAAGCTTGAAAGAAGCTCAGACTAGGGCAGCACTCCCGCCGTCTCATCCAGCGCCTTGTTCAGCAGCTCCGTGGCGATGGGGTCCTGGGGGTTGATGGCGAGGGCCATATGCAGGACCTCGACGGCGTTTTCAAAGGCGCGCGCGCCGCCCTGCTCCATGTAGATGAGGCCCTTGGCGGCGAAGACGGCCGCGTCCTTGCCGCCCTGGCGCAGCACCTCGTCGAACTGCTCGAGGGCGTCGTCGTAGCGCCGCGCGCGCCGGTACGCGTGCGCCAGGTTCGTGCGCGCCGACAGCCAGGCCTGGGGCTCGGCGTCGATCTCGTCTGCGACCTCGAGCGCCTTTAGAAAGAGCGTGGCGGCGTCCTGCGGCCGGTCCTGGTGGTAGTAGACTACGCCCATCTCGTTGAGCAGCAGGGGGTCGGTCCGGCACAGGCCGTAGGCCGTCTTGAGGAACTCGTCGGCCAGCGTCATGTTGTTGAGCGCGTGGTTCTGCATCCCCAGGAACACCTGCGGCAGGTGCGTGCCCATGAAGAGCCGCGCCGCCGTCGAGTAGGCCGAGATGGCCTGGTCGTGCTCGCCCTCGGCAGCGAACGTGTGCGCGAACCCTATCCACGCGGGGCCGAAGTGCGCATCCATCATGCTGGCTTTACTAAAGTACCGCCGCGCCTCGGCGATCTTGTCGATGGCGAAGTAATAGATGCCCACCGCGAGCCACGTGCACGGCTCCTCCGGGTGGTTGTCGGCCAGGTCGTGCGCGATAAGGAAGAGCACGTTCTTCATCTTGAGCTCGTAGAGGCAGGCGAGGTGGAGGGGGTAAATGCTGAAGTTGTACTTGTCGTCTTGCAGGACCGAGTCGGTGATGCCTAGCGCATCTTTATATCGGCACTGGGTATACAGTAGATCTGCGCGAGCGAGTAGCAGGTCGGGGTTTGAGGCGAGGTTGTAGTGAGTCGACAGCGTCTCGCAAGCTGTGGTGAAAGTTTCGGGGTTCCGGTACTTGGAAAGCCTGGTGGTGTAGAGCATCTTGGTGAATTCGGCGGCCTCCTGCGACGAAGACGCATCTCCCGGCACCGAGACGGCATCGAAGTCTAATGATTCGAGGAACTGCCATTCTTCCTCGGGCGACATGAGCGAGTTCTTCATCAGCTGCTGGAAAGCCTCGAAGCACTGAACGTCAATTCGCACGGCATCCTTATAACACTCTTTAGCTCGATCGAAAGCGTTTTGCTTCGCATAGCAGATGCCTCGCAAAAAGCACATGGCAGCCTCAAAGCGCCTGTTGGCTGTGTCTTCCTCCGATGAGTCTGTCCGATCCTGCGACTTGGACGCACCTCTACCTTGGTGCGCGGTCGCCCGACTGCTCGTGTGCTGCGTCTTGCGCTTGCTTTCCGGGTTCGATATCAGATGTGTAGGATTCCGCTCCCCCAGCACGGCAAGCGCTTCGTCGTAGCGAGCCTGTTTGATGAAGCAGTGACCAGCTAGATACTGACATGATGGGTTCCGGCTGATGAGATCTTGTTTGGACAGAAATGCTTGAGCTCTTGTGTAGTTCCCTGTGGCGAAGTGAACCTGGGCGAGCCAGAAAGCATCGTTGTCATCGTCTGTGCATTTGCGTAAGCATAGGATGGGGCGATCACATGGCAAGAATGCAGGACCAACTTGTTAATGCCAGTAGTTTGTCGCCAATGAATATGGCTGAATCGTGCTGGGCTTTGTTCAGGGCATCTTGCCTCCACTCACGAAGGAAGCTCTCCATGTCTGCCCCCTCAACATCAGGTCCGGGGCCGATGAGCGATGGGCGTGGATGAAGCTCTCCAGTGCGTTGTTGACGAGGTGTGGGGCTGGGATGGTGTGAGCATGAGACGCGTTTTGGCGATGTGCAGCAACTGGAAGGACCGCTGCAGTCGCGGTGTAGCCCCTTGCGGGTTTTCAATGAGACTTTCTCCAAGAGCCCGCTTGGTTCTAGATCTGGCAGTCACAATACAGGTGTGGCATTGGGCCTGCCGCAAGGCACTCTCGCTCAAATGTGAGATGAGAATGAGGTGAGGCGTGCAGCCACAGCTGAGATGCTGTCAATTGGTGGGGCTCTACAAGGAGTTATGATTGGTCCAAGCTTGGAACTATCCTACCTGATTAGTTGCGCCCAGGTGGTCCATGCACGCGTGTCATTTTTGAACATTCTTCCGCGCGAGGGTGAAAGCCAGCACGGTACCATCAACCGTCGTGTCGCCGCCTTCTTGGTAACCTGTCGTCATACTTCTGGTACCACGGTCTCCCCCAACCGGTTCCATCCCGGCACCAGCAACCAGGAAGCGAAGGGAGCATCGCGGCATACCACGCCGCAGGATGAGAGACGGTGGCTAGTAATTGAGGCCGGGCGCAGAGTCGGTGCGCCCAGCGTGTTTTCAGGCCCGACGGCCTCCGCGAGTATTGGGGTGCCGCCGGGGATGCGAATCAGCTGCCAGTCCCGGCTCCAAGTAGGCTCCGGGCCGTTCCCAACCCACCCCGCTCGAACCGGGAAAAAGATTCATTAGAAACGGAACCATCGGCTCACGAGATTGTGCGCCTGGAAGGACAGCCAAACAATTATCAACGACAAGGACATCCGAGGCGGTGGGCGGTGGGCGGAACACGGACAGGTGACGCCCCGTCCGGCCGTATCTTCACCAGCTTGTGGTTCTTTTTCACCCTGCAGACGAGGATCCCTAGATCGTATGGTGTGCTCTGAAAAGTGCAGCGCCGACTTTTCTTATCTTGGGGTGAATGGCATGCTAAAGAAGAGACGACTGTACGGGCGCGGAAGAACAAAAACGACTGCCACAGGCTCACAAAAAGGAGAAAGGAAAAAGGAAAACATCCAACATCGGGGATTCGCTGGTCGTCACCGACCCAACTACTTACTAATCCGGCGGTATCAGGCTTATATAAGGCAGAGCGGACGGGATGCCAAGTTCTCCTGATCCTATGGTCGTATGTGGAGGAAATTGGTCTTTTTGGGGTATAGATATCTTACGGAAATGGGACTCGGTTGAATCAAGGCAGCCAGTCGGGAGAGACGCCGTCTTTCAAAGGGGCACAAACCTCTGCTTTCACTCCGAAGATTGTGATCGCTATGACCACAACCACTCTAATATTAACGGGTGCGGCGTCAACTCCGAAGGAATGTGCGAAGGACGGAAGATGGAGACTGGGTTTCGACCCATGTCATCAGGTTCCCCTGACACCGGATGGCCGCGTCATGCCACCCACCCGTGTCATTCCTTGTTCGCATTGGATCCCCACGACCAGGCTTCCTCCTTTCCCCACAAAAATCCCCGTGGGAGTTTGGTCCCATGTGCAATGCTCAACCTCGTCCCTGATGAGCAGGAAACAAAACACCCACATAAACATCAAGAATATGCACAACGTTCGATTCTACGGCTCATACCTACCGAAGTAGGATAATCGCAATTAACCCAGATTGTGCCGAGCGTCTTGGCGATCCAGTCCTGATTCACTGGGGTCAGGCAATAGGATTCAATCGCGTAGGATTCAATCGCGCGGATTACACCTGTCTCCGACTCTCGGTGTACCTATTTCTGTCCCATACTATGAGATCCCAGATTTTTGCCGTCCTCGGCTGGGGCATAAAGGTGGTGAACCAGCGTTTTGCGCACCTCTCATGCCCATCAGTCGCCGCAATGCTCTCCTACAGGGTCATAACGGTATTCGTGCTGGCGATACTCATACTCGGTAAGCCCCCAAATACTCATTACAGCCCATACCCAAGGCCATACAGTAAAGCTGATTGGTTAAACACAGCGGGCTTGTTCACGTCCGGCTCGGTTGACTCCCAATGGAGACGGCTCGCGCACACGGCCAAGAGCACGGGCGCCGTGGCCCGAGGCATGCCTCTCCGCATCATGTTCCTCGGCGCCTCCATCACGCGAGGTGAGGTCTCTACGAGCAGCGTCGGGTACCGGAAACAGCTCCGCGACCAGCTCACGTATCTGGGGAATCCCGTCAACTGCGTTGGCTTCAACCGGTTCGGCGACGACTTCGACGACAACGACGTCGAGGGGTACGGGGCGAACTGTGTCAGGCAGACCCACGAGCACGCCGCGCAGGCCGTGCCCGCGCTGCTGCCGAACCTCGTTCTCGTGCAGACGGGGACAAGCGATTGCTTCCGGAACGACGATCCCAGCAATGTAGGCACCCGGATGCGCGACCTCATCAATCTCCTTCTAGAAGACTCGCCGCAAGCCACTGTGATCCTGTCCACGCTCGTCACGACGCCGAACGTGGACATCGAGCCCTGCATACTGAGCGCAAACGCGCAGTTCCGACAGGTGGCGGCCGACTTCATCCATGAGGGAAAGCGGGTGGCGTTGGCCGAAATGCACTACGACCAAGGGCTCCCGAACCGCCCATTGCCTGCCGATATTGGGGGGGACCAGATCCATCCCACCGACAAGGGATATTTCATGATGGGCGTCATATTCATGGAGAAGATACGCGAGGTCGACGCCCTGGGGTATTTGAAGAAACCAGTGGATATCGGAATCCCTAACGATGGCAATGAGGGCAGGGAAGAGGAAGACCGGCTCCGAGAACTGGCGCAGGCAAAACACCCAATCGACGTATGAAAGAGGTGAACTCATTTCTCGACAGAAAGGGGGCGGTTGTGCTCATCCCTTAGATCAGTTTCACAGTGCTTGGAACATTAGAGGGCTAGAATCAGCCTCTAGGCCTGTTACCACTTCCCGTTTAAGATACCCCAATGCGACAATTGATATTCACGTCATCTGACGCGCACATGTCACACCTAAAAGCTGAAGAAAGGTGACAGCACGCGAGCGCGTGTGGGACGATGTGGAAGTGAGAACGACTCTCGCTTTCGGCCGTTAGGGACCACAATCCCATCTTTCGCGGACTCGCAAGACTCTCATACGTGGTGAGGCCCAAATGAGCAAGACTGTACCCTCCACACTTCTGATAGTCGCGCTCAGCTCCCTGCTTGCTCGACAGCAACGGCTGACGAGTTGGCGGATGCTTCGGCGAGCACTAGGGTGGACAGCCCAGTGGCTTGGTAGTACAGACGCTCGGTGTCTACGACATGGCCCCGTGGGAAGAAGTTCGGGAAATACTCACGTAAGAATAGGACTATTCCAAAAATATACCCCTGGTGATAGCGCTGTACCTGCATCCGTACCTGCAGATCCCAAGAAGGTGCCCTGCTTATTTATACGTGCAGGATTGGGCAACTCATCCATGTATTCTCTACATATATCTGGCTGGGGTGCTCCTTGACTTACCGTCAACAGAGAAATGCCAGACTTTGTTTTAAATAAAGTTGAGCCCTATCAAAGTGGACTTAGGTTCGATTCCTACCAGTGCTAGCTGGTGCTTTCATTTTTAGTTCATCTCATAAGTTGTCAACAGATGGGACCTAGCGGCCTTCTTCGAAATGATACTGATCTACCAACAAGCACGAGTTTATTTTTACTTCGAGTTCCTATTTGAGAGACGGCGCCTTTCGAACGGGCATTAACCCCCCATGAGAGCTACCTTTTAGGCGGCGTTTCGGACACATGGGCGAGCATCTTGGCCGAAACGAAGCAAAGACAGATCAGCAATAAATGGTGAAGCTGACTACCGAAATTCGATGTCTGGCGACGTAAACGGCCCGCAACGCTGTTCCTACAGGAAGGGTAGATCTCAAATGCCAGGTAAAGTTGGGGTGATGTGCTGACTGGGTGACGTGACAGGATCTAACCTACACACACCCTCTTCGCCATCAGCATATCCACCCCCAATCCTTCGAGGATTCATCGACGCGTCGAGGGTTTCACTTCGAAAGAAGTTCCTTATTTCTGCTCGAACCAAGCTCTGATTCTGACGTGCTGCTCGCCCTATGCCCTGCGGCACTGCTTGCTGTGCCGTATATACGACAAAGGCATCCTGTTGGTTCCAGACATCCTGTTGGTTCCTAGTGGCGAGTACGAGTCTCCACCATGAGGAGGTATAAGGTACGATCGTTTCCCTTGAGCCAACGCTTATGGCCTTTGAGCACATCTTCTTCGTCGCCAATCACTCTTTTGGTCCTGATTTCCCATGCCAGTACGCGGTTCCGATCACTGTAACCACCGCCAAATAAAATAAAAAGTAATTCCTTACCAAGATGTTCGTCAGCAAGCTCATCACCTTCCTATGCGCCACCGCCAGCGCCGGCGCCCTATCCCACACCCAGATGCACAAGCTCGCCGAGCGCGCCGCCGCTAACGGCACCAATGGCGGCCCCGTCTCCGTGACGCCGCACGCCCAGTTCTCGTCGTCCATCGGCGTACTAGGCTGCAAGATCGACGTAAACCGCGTGGCGTACTGGCCGATGTTCCCCAGCTGCGACGACATATGCGTCAAGGTCAGCGCCAACGGGCGCTCGGTACACCTGCTGCGCATCGACCAGTCAGGCGGCGCGAACGACATCTCGTACGATGCCTGGAACTACCTATCGACGGGCAAATCGGCGCGCGTAGCCCCGATCTACGGCGGCGGGCTGGCGGCGACGTGGGAGCCGGCGCCCATGAGCGCTTGCGCGGACCTACTAATAGGCACGGGGGGCAAGCTCGCGTTGTCGGCGGCGAACTCGATGAACTTCATCTCGTCGTGCGCGGCGAACGCCACGTGGGTCGGGATGAATTACGCGCTGTATAACATTGCGGACCCCCAGTGCAGGTACGGCTTTGACGAGCTGTGCTTTCTGCCGCCGCCCAGTCAGGGGAACCAGGCGAAGTGCCAGGGCCATCAGCTCGGGCTCAATACGCCGCTGACTACGGCGCCGGTGTTCAACCTGGATTATGGGACTGGGTTGCAGTCTTTGGCGCTATAGTGGGGGTTGACGCTCGTGTGCTTCTCAGGGGTAAGGGGTGGAGAACGCTGCTTGCAGTTGGATAAATAGCGGTTCGGGTGCTATTTGCTGACGCAGCCGGCTCTGTGGAGTTTCACTTCGACCATTTGATGGACAATACTTCTTTGTATATATGTAATGAGAGCTCCAAGCAGTTCGACCGCTGCTGTATAGTTATAGAAGTGGAGAGCTAGTCCCAGTCTTCAATCATCAGACAGGTCTTCCTCGAAGATGTCTTCTTCGTCTTGGTCGCTCTCTTCTGCCACCTGCTTCTTCGAAGATGAAGAGCTCGCTGTCATCTTCCTAGGCCGGTTCATAGTAGAGGATTGTGGACTAAGGTAGTCTGATGGTCTTCCATGCGACGACCTCGGGGCCAGCGACCTTCCGTAGTCTTTCTTCACCTCTGGGGCCTCCGGATCATGCATATCGTCCCGCCATTGGTTCTCGCGCGCCAGGTAGTGATCCAGGCCCCTCACGTTCGTGAGGTGGTCTTCGAATTCCCGGGCTGCCTTCGCGATGTCGCGGAAATTGGCCGTCGTCAACCTCATCATCATCCCCTTCTTCTGCCCGGTCTTTTCGGCGTCCTCGCTCGTCATCTTTGCTTCTCTAAGTGCCTTCTGCCGATCGTATTGGCCCAGGGCGATGGCTGTCTGGAAAGCGTTGCGGATCTGGCGGCCGTTCCAAGTTGTCTCCGTCTCCTCGTGCTGATTGTAGTGCTTCTTTGCGAAGGCTAGGAGTGCTCCTCGGTCAAATTTGATCTGCACCTTTGTCCTCTTGTTGTCGCGCTCTATGCGTGCCAGTGTTTTTTCCCACAGTTGCTGCGTCTCTTGCAGCCTGAGTCGGGGATAGCGGAGAGACACGTGTATACGGGACTTGAATGCTTCATCGATGACTCCGACGCGATTGGTGGTGAGGAACAAGATGCCAGCATAGTACTCAAGCTGGCGTAGAAACACTAGGATAATCAGCATTGTGTCTGAGGAAGAGGCAACTCAGAATACAGACCTGACACGAGTGCGTTCCGACTCATGTCACGCCAGTCGCGGCGTGTCAGGAAGACGTCAGCCTCATCTAGGAGCAGTACACAACCCCATCGATGAGCTCGGTCCGTGTGCTCTCGAAGGCTATGCTCGATTTCTCTCGGTGAGAGTCCGAGATCTCCGCAGGTGACTGCATATAGCGGTCGCCGCGTGTAGGCAGCGACAGTCTCGGCGGTACTGGTCTTGCCTGAGCCTGGGGGTCCGTGTAACAGAATAACAAGCCCACGGCCCTTGCCCCTAACTATATCGATCTGTGAAGCATCTTCACTAGCATTATCTGTGTAAAGGTCTGTGACTCCGCCCTTCGTGTGATTCTCGACCAGCGATACCAAGAGGTTCCTGTGACCGTCAGGAATGACCAGGTCTTCCCAGCCGGTATCTTCCGCGTCATCGATATCCTTGACGTTCTCAACGTATACATGTACTGTAGAAGTATTAGTAAACGTATAAAACACATTGATTCACTCCTACCGTATTTCCTGTGACGAAACAAGTAGGCAGGGACTTGGTGTCCAAGGATCTGCACAACCTCGGGGGAGTCTTGCACTGCAGCACCTGCTGTTAGTATTGATTTGTCTAAACAAGATAAAGACTCCCTGGGTTTATATGAATCTCTTTCATAGTCCGTGAGTAAGACTCTTTATAATGAAGGAAGACTCTGAGGATGATGCAAGGGTGTGTGGCAAGCCTACGTGCGGCGTACCACGATTCGAAAGGGTTGGCTCCATGGTAGAGTAATGAGAGCATATAAAGTTCTTGGTGATCTTTTCATCCACCTCATGGTCGAAGAACCGCCTTCCGTCCTTGCCTTCATCCACCTCTGTGACATCAGGTGCTGCCTTTTGCAGTGTCCCGAAGTGAGGTCTCTCCAGAGAGTATCTCAGATAGTATTCGCGTAAGTCGATGTATATGTCGCCTTGGAAGTGTTCTTCCTGAGGCCCTTGCTTCGTCCGTGTGATAGTGATGCCGCTGTAACTCTTGTGACCGTAACAGCTTATGAAAGCCCGGCCCCTAGCTTCGAGCTTGGCAGTAACCTCCCATTCCTGTTTATGAAAGCGAAGCGGGTAGATTGGTAGATCAGTGATCTTGCACCTGCGACTGTAGTGCTTGATTTGCCTGTGAGTGTCGATTGGGCCAACGAGAACCCCGTCAAACCCCATGGTGAAACAGTCGATCATGAATGGGCTCCACGTTCCAGACCCTGATTCCTCGACAGCGGTGTACACTACGCCGTCGAGTGGGACAGGGCGCTGGGGGTACAGTGAACTGTATGCCGTCGAATGAGATATGGCGCTGGGGTACGGTGACGTTTCGCCGGTCTTTCATCTCATCTCGAGTATGGTTACGCCTCCGCAACTGACCACCCGTGAGGGAATGAACCTTGTACAGCTGCTCGTGTCCTTGATTCCTGGCGTACACAACATCGCCCGGGCGGAAAAGATACCAAAGGTCTTCAAACGAGATAGTCTCTATTGTCTTGTTTACAATCTGGGTTTGCAGATCGAGGTAGTAGGCTAAGTCGGTCGTGATGAAGTCCTCCAGTAACCTGAGATGTGTAATTCGATTGTTCAACTCTTCTCGCTGTCTCTGCTCCATGATATCGATAGCAATGTATTTTTCTTGACGTGGAGAGCCGGACATAGCAGTGCTTTTCTGACCTGCAGCATTGTACTCAGTGGCTGGTTCTCCGGAATTGCTCCTACTTGGCTCTTACACGGTCCGGTCAAGTCTGCTGTGTGCCCATAACTGGCACGAAGCGGCAACCTTCGTCTTGGGTATCGGGCCATGAACACCGTGCAGTATTGAGATCTGGCACGGAAGCCAACTGTCGGGGCCCATTAGCTCAGCTCCACCCTTTCAATTGCATGTTCACGATCCTCGAGGTTCAAAGCAAGATGGCGTTCAAGCGGGAAGACCATGTGGTTCGCGAGGAGCCAACACATCCTGAAGTACATGAGTACATGGTCCGAAGGCTAGACGGCCAAATCCTTCCGGTTTTCACAGCCACGCCAGATTCAGGAGTGGTATACGATGGCTTGACGCATGAGTGGGTTCCGGAGCATGTTGAAGATGTAATGTAAGTCATCAATGTTCTTGTTGGGCCTCGTGGCAAGTCTCCAGCTTACCTGGCTCCGTACCTATCTAGCAATCTCGACCAAACCTACAGTCACTGCATCAACGCCCAGAACTCTCTGGTGGTTACCGCCAACAAACTAGCGAGAAAACGGAAACTGCCTTCTATTGACCTCAATACCATACACTCATGGACCGAGGTCGAGGAATCCGTCATTGGTACTTGCAATACGCTGGAGGCAATCCCCGAGAGAGACAATGCTATTCCTTCTGGCTTCATTAATAAGCTGAAGGGAGGATCTCGGAGCCTTTGCAAACATGCTGGAGCAGGGATTACCTTGGCAAAGGTGGTCCCCACCGATTCCTACCTCTCTGTTCTTGCTGGTGGGCTCACGGGTGTTTTTACGGCGCTCCAGAAGACTGGGCAATACCGAAAGGACATCCTCGATGCTTTGGAAGACATTACGTTCGTCCTCAATGACCATGCCGCGTTGCTACACTTGGACGAGCAGGACGAAGAGCTCCACAGACGCGCTGCGTCACTCTACAGATCTCTGTTCAGCCTGTTGGAAGCTATTCTGCAATGGTTCCTCAAGAAGACGCTTGGTAGGCTCCATTGGCGCCTCAAACTTGCAGGGCGTGGCTAACGCTTCATCAACTATAGTGACGGGGGTGAAAACTCTGATTGATTCTTCTGGATTTTCAGAGCAACTTAAATCCAGGCGCGACGATGTGAAGCTCTCAGTCGAGCGCTTCCGCAGACATACCAACCAGATCTACGCAAGGAAGCAGAACGCAATGCTTCAGCAGAACAACACGATGCTATATATGCAAGGAACAAGCATAAACATGCATAATCGAAACTCCCACGAAATATTGGGAGAACTGGCCCAGATGCAGAGAACACTCTCAAGGATAGCAGTCCTAGAAAAGCTAGAGTTTTTCCTCAATGTCGACCAGGACGCAAGTACGTGACGTAGCCCTATGAAGGGTTCAAGGATACTGCTAAACTTCATAGTGGAGGAACGCATTGCACTTATCGTAGCACGGAGAGCCAAGCCCAAGTCCAAACTTCGAGCTGTAGACATTGACGGAATTTTCGAGCATTACCTCTACGAGCCGCGCCTCATCACCACGGACAGCAACAGTCTGCTCGATGTTCCGTTCAGGCCCGGGTACGATATGGATGAGCACCGCATCCTTGCCATCCGCCAAAACCCGAGCTTCAAGGCATGGCTGGTGCTGGACCAGTCGTCCATGCTTCTCTTGAACGCCAATTCGGAGATGGCATCGAGTTTGGAGATGTCATATCTGAGTGCCAAGACGTTCCAACGTGTCCTTGAGATATCTACAGAGCAGGCCGACGCGCCGACGAAGCTGATTACCCTTGCCTTCTTTTGCAGCCGCCACCAGGACTACATGAGGGACATCAACGGCAAGCCCGCCGAACTCGCGATGACCCTGCTGCTGCAGTTGCTAGACCAGTACCGAGACTTCGATCAGAACATGCTGGCAGCAATTCCTGATCCACTCGACCCCGATGACCTTGGAAGTATCTGCTTGACATTCGGGTGTCTTCTGGCGGCACTTCCGCAGAATGTGATCGTGATCCTGATCATTGACGGACTGCGATTCTACACACAGCCCGCCAGACGAAGAGACCTCACAAGACACGTCATCGAGTACCTCGTGGACGTTTATCATGCGCCTCACAAGGCTACGATGAAGTTTCTGTTTGCCTTGCCAGCTCATCAAAGTCTATTTTCATCGAGGACTTGTTTACCAATGACGAGGTTCTGAACATCCCGAAGTCCATGTGGGCCACGGAGGGATACAATACTTCGGTGTGGAAGAAGCCTATGGCTCTAGAGAGGCCGGCGAATGGCTTCACAGATATCGACATGATTGAAGCCATCGTGTCAAGTAATTGCAAGGACTACTTAGGCTCATAGACTGATTGTCCCAGCACTAGAAGACAGCCCCACAGCTCCAGGGGTCAACCCCTATATATACCAGATCATGTTCTCTAGCTACACTCAGCCCTCATAAGTCTCCGTACGCGCCATGTCGATAAGACTCCAAACCACCCGTGAAAATTTCAAAATACTGGAATAAGTATATAGGGATAAGCAGCTCTGATCTAACAAGTCACATTTGATGCTTATTCTAGCGTGCTTATCCCATTTATAATAAACGTATCTTTCGCTTAGTGAATGAGGGGCATACGCAGACTTGTGAGGGTTCAGTGTAGCTTCATAGTTCCCATTCCTCCGTCACGTACATCAACAAAGCCATCCCTTGAGTCACCAGCGAGCGAATTGTGACACTAAGCGACGGAATAACGACTGCGAACACGCAGTCGGCGCCTACTGCTTCGACTCAATTGCCTGAGGGCTGTTGGGCGAAATTCAGATCTATGGCTCAGCCTGGGGATCCTGAAGACAGCACGGCGGAGACCAAAGGGGCGGTAATACCAAAGAAGTTACCTTGGAAAGGAGCCGAGGGAAAAGGCACTTGGAAAGTAGTGCCAATGGTCTACAAGTTGCGCAACGCCAATGACTTGATCCCGCCATTCGTAGTTTCCGCTCACATGAAGTTAAAGACATATGGTGGAGAGTACACTTGGTGAACATGCCTTGGGCATAGCTCATCAGTCTGTGATGATGTGACTACCTAGGCTAAAGGACTACGAGAATGGAAGCCTATAATAGCGGTGGATGTAATGATGACGACACAAGACTGAGTACAGTGAAGAGAAGTTTCAGATCCAATCATCCTGTGCTTGCCGCTTCGCTTCATTCTTGGTCAACTCGGATGCAAGCCTCAGAGGCCGTGGGTCCTATCTCGTACATTCGACTGAACCCTTCTTGGCTACCACTCGACCCATCGCCAGTCACCTCCGGCAGAGACCATACTTGAGATGGCTGTTCTCAGAAGCATACATCCTATTGCGGATAGGCGAATTCAAGTGGTTTGCGGTTAATATGAACCAGATCGTCACCATCTCCCCGCATCGGAACGTGAAGTAATCTCAGTATTTGCCGTCCCAATTATGCGGAGTTGGCAAATATGCCGAACCAACTATATTCATATATATAACAACCAAAGTTCTCGAGTATATTGCAATCCTACCCCTGAGGGCTTGGTAGCGGGGAGTGGCTACGGCCTCCTTTCGTTAAGTAGGGGACGGATCTCTCGTGAGAGTCGAATTTAGAGGTCGAGCCGTGCAAGCATTTGCAGACGCTCGTCTTCTGGCTTCTAGAGAGTACCGATAAGTATGTATCTGGCAACAATCTTTGCGGGCGTGGCCACCTTGCTAGGCGCCGGTATGGACTACACGCCCTCGCCCTGCAAGCATCTCCTAACTGAACTCAACAGGCCATGTCCAAGCCGCGATACCGGCTCTCCCACTACCTACCAACTGCAGCGGTGTCCCCGTAATGCGGTACCCATACACCATCGCACCAGACTGGTCCGTCACGAAGATCGCCGGCGGCCTGAAAGGCGTGCGGACGGTGATCTGGGACCCCAACGGCAACATGCTGGTCGCGCAGGCCGGGACGGGCATCTCGGTGCACACATTCGGCGCCGACGGCTGCATCAACAGCACCAGCATGCTCATCAGCAGCATCGCGCTGAACCACGGCCTGGCGCTCACGCCGGACGGCTCGACGCTGTACGCCAGCGGCGAGCGGACCGTCTACGCGTGGGCGTACGATGCCGCGACGAGGATGGTTAGTGGCCAGAGGACTGTCGTGACGGGGATGGACTCGGGCATCCACTCCACCCGGACCCTGATGGTCGTTGCTTCGCAGCCCAACATGGTGCTTGTCCAGGTCGGGTCCAACGCCAACCTGGACATGGACTCGGCGCAGCCGGCCACGGGCCGCGCCATCATCAAGATCTTTGATATGAACAATGCCCCGGCCACCGGGTATGACTACAAGACCGCGGGAGAGGTCTTTGCCTATGGTTTGAGGAACGAGATTGGGTTCATCCAGGACCCGACCGGTGTGGTCTGGGGCGTGGAGAACAGCGGAGATGTTCGTACCCTCCTGTTCTCGCTTCTGGAGGGATCGGGCTGATGTGCTCCATGTAGGACTTCACTATCAATGGTGACGATATCCACAACGATAACCCGGCCGAGAAGCTCAACAACCGTATGTTCTCCCCAGGCCCCAGGCTCACAGTGCAGCTTGACTCGGCGCTGACGCACCATAGTTGGAGATCCCCTCACGGCGCGCGACATCTGGTACGGCTACCCGACCTGCTTCTCAGTCTGGGACCCCACCGCCTTCATCAACCGTAACCTGACAACAGGCGAGCAATTCATGCTAGCAGCCGACAGCGTCAACGGCGTGTCGACAGACGCCGACTGCGCGACCAAGGCCACGCCGCCCCGCCTGACCTTCGAGGCGCACTCGGCGCCGATCTGGAACGCTTTTGACGCGGACGCGACAAACATGTACGTGACGCTGCACGGGTCGTGGGACCGAACGCCCCCCATCGGCTTCAAGGTCGTCGAGGTCCCGTTCGCGCGGCTCGCGAGCGGCGCGTACGACCCCGTCGCGCCCGCCGATAGCATGACGGGGTTTAGTGAGATCTTCTCGGCGCCGGACCCGGAATCGTGCACGGCTAACGGCTTGACGATGAGTAACTGCTTCAGGCTTACTGCTGCTGGTTGGTAAGTGTTGCTTGCTCTCCCCTTCGTGGCAACTGAGGCTGTTTTGGTGGATGGATGCTGACTGTAACTACCCCCTGTAGGGACCCTGCTGGACGTGGCCTGTTTGTTGGAAGTGACAACAGTGCGGAGGGAGAGATCTATATCCTGTCCAAGAAGTGATTTCTCATGATGTGGCTGTCAATGGCTTTGGCTCTTTACCGTATGATGTCGTCATTGAAACGTGGCCTGTTATTCTCTAGTAAATCAGGGGCGTTCTATTCTATATTCATTCCTAAAACTTGCGTGCAACCGTCGTGACGAGGTTCGGGCAGTCAATTCACCTCATTGCCCGTCGCTGCTGGTGAACGTGACCACGCCTGGAATAGGTAGCCAGACCCAACGACCAGGCTGGTTGGTCACTCACTATACGAGAGGCGCTATTATACAACGAATCAAAAGACCATCAGACACCCGGCGGACTGGCCGACACCAGAATCACCCTACGGTCAAGCTAAAGAGTTAGCAGGCGACCCCTTACGCCCTCCCATCATCTCCACCTCCTCTCCTCCTCCAACATCCAAGCCCGAGCCCGAGCCCATCCCCCTATCACCCCCTCGGCCCCCGAACATCTTCTCCGCCCGCCCGCCACCGAGCCGGTGCTCGCTGATGATCGCCTTGTCCATCCCAACATGTCTGATCGCCAGCGAGACCACCAACGCCACGACCGCGACGCCCAGAAACACCGCGTACACGCCGCGCAGGCCGAAGGCGTACGCCTCGAGCAGCTCGTGCTTGTAGTCGCTGGCGTCCGGCAGGCGCACCAGCGTGCTGGAGACGAATGCCTCGGCGTCGCGGGCGATTTCCTCGGGCAGCCCCTTCTGCCGCAGGGCCTGCGCGAGGATGTTCTGGAAGGCTGAGCCGCCGATGCCGACGCCTAGGGCCACTGTGTGGAACGGGGAATCAGTTGTTGCTCGAGTTGATTTTCGGAAGGACTGGAAGGAAGGAAGGAGAAAGTGGCCCGTGGTGCCCCGGTAGGCGGTTCAGGGCCTACTCAGATAAGGGGCTCAGGGACGAGGTATCTTGGAGCACTTGCTCCGTATACCAATCCCTGGATTCCAAAGCAGAAAAAGGGGGCAGGTTCACATAACACTTACTCCCAAGTTGCCGCATAAACGCATACATCGCCGCCGCCGCGCCTTCGTCACCCACGGAACAACAAGCCTGCGTCGCGAAGTTCTGCGCCGTGAGCACAGCTCCATGCCCCAGACCCAGCGCAACCAGCGTAGACGCCCAGCGCGCAGTGGGCGTATGGTCGACGTCCCACAGCAGGGTCAATCCGGCAGAGAGCGCCGTCAGCGCCCAGCCGGCCCAGATGGCCCACCGGTAGCGGCCGATGCGCGTGATGAGCGCGCCGGCGGCGATGGACGACGGCACTAGGGTGAAGAGCGTAGGGAACATGGCGATGCCTGTGTCGGTAGGGCCGAAGCCCTTGACGGACAGGAAGTAGAGGGGTACATAGTAGAGGCTGCCGTAGAGCTGGCGGGAAAGGAATGAGTTAGCCCGCCTTTTCCCTTCTCCTTCTTTTTTGCTCGATGGGTGGGACGGTACAAGAAAAAGGGTTTACACACCAGTAGACCTTGGAGCATGCTGCACACGTACGCCGCGACGGACGTCCATTTCGCAAAGAGACTGTGCCGTAGAAACGGCTGTCCCGCACCGAACCGCTCCCAGAGCACCGTAACGACCAGCCCGACAGCGCCGAGACATAGCGGCACGATGGCGCCAGCACTGCTCCATGCATACTGGCTGCCGCTCCACAAGATAGCGATGAAGAAGGCACTCGCAGACGCGATGAACAGCGCGGCGCCGGTCCAGTCGAGGCGGCCCAGGCGCTGCCACGTCGTGGAACCCCCGCGCAGCTTGAGGTTGTTCAGCAGCAGTGGGACGGCTACGAGGCCGAAGCCGCAGAAAGGGAACATCAGGTAGAATACCCAGCGCCAGGTCGTGTGCTCGACGATGACGCCGCCGATGACGGGGCCGATGCAGTTGCCGACGGCCCAGGCTCCTTGTCTGGTGGAGAGTTATATCGTCAGTAATCGGCCCGGTGTCATGTGGTAGTTGAGAACGTGACAAGAGTTCGGATGGTCGTGTAGTGGTGGGCGGGTTTCCGCGAAAGTTCGAAGATTTCAGGGGATAAGGAAAGGGGGTTCGGAGTTCGGGGACTACTCACACGGTCCCATACCACCGCGGCCGAAATCGCAGGGGTATGATATCCGTAAAGATGACCAGGCTCAGCACCACGATACCGCCGCCGCCGACGCCCTGGATGCCACGACCAGCCAAGAGGACAGCCATGCCTTGCGCGAGGCAGCACAGCAGGGTCCCGACAGAGAAGAACACCAAGGAGGCGACGAGACAGCTTGTGCGCCCGAAGATGTCGCTGAGGGAAGCGATCAGCGGCATCGTCATGGCATTGACGAGCAGGTACGAGGTCCCAACCCAAAAACCTTGCGTGGCACTGCCGCCGAGGTCTGCTACGATGGCCTGGGTAGGAGGGAATGTGTCAGTTTTCTTCGTGAAATTGGATGTGAGAAATATAAATACGGTTGAGTCCGTGAGTAGGCGTATATGGGGAAGGAAAAGGGTTGCTCACGCTCAAAGAGGTAACGATAATACACGCATCCAGCGACACCATGAACGAGATGACCGACAGCGTCGCCATGATGAGCTCCTCGTGGGTCGTCGGCGACCACTCGGGCCTCCCAAGCGGCAGGCCCGTGGTGGTGTTACCCTCACTGTCCATCGTCACGTCCGGGCTCTTCTCGAATTCGCCCACGTGCGCTTGCCTCCCCATCCACATCTCCATCGTCATGTCGCCATCATGCCTTGACGACCCTGGCGGCATGATCCTGGGACAGGATGAATAATATTGATGGTAGTGCCTGGTGGTACTGATGTGCGTGCGTGCGGTAGGAGGTAGGCGAGTTACCTGTGAGGTGTAGCAACGAGTACAACTGGGCAGATGTCCTGCACTGCAATGCGTAAGGAAGAGGAGGAGGAGTAGTCGAGGTATGAGCGGAAGACTCCCGGGAGGAAAGTCGATGGACGTGCAAGCACTTGAGCCAGACAGACGGACAGACAAAGAAAGAGATATGAGAGTACGTCCCGTCGCGCCATACCTACCTACCTATGCGAGAGGCCATGACTCCCACCACGGAATACAGGTGCAAGATCCACCACCACCACCAACCCCTTACCTTTCTTCCTACACACCACTCTCAGACGCGCGCATCGAGGCATTCCTAGAGTGAGATAACGTGTAAGCAGTCGATCGGTTGGCGCTTGTCGTGAAACAACCTTGATAGGTCAGCATGTGAAAGTCAACCTGGAAGACGGAACGAAGTAGAAGAGGCCAGGTCATGTATCAGTCAATCGTGTTGGCCCCCGAGTGTCGCGCCCCCGAGTGTTGTTCGTGCAGTCGAGTCAGGAATGTACCTTCAGCACAGGATTCGGATTCCGACTCGGGGGCCAGTACACAACCTCCAATAAAGAACCACCAACACCAACAACATAAAAAACGACAAGAAAGCCAGCGGATGGTCGGATGGATGACAAGTGATGACAAGGGGCGCGGGGCCTGAGGGCTGATGGTCCAACACGAAACAGCATTCCTCGCCAAACAACTCTACTCTGAGCCGCGCGATCAAACCCACAACGCCGTCCGCCGTACCAACATCTGTCATCCACGCAGTGACAGACAGTACCTATACCTTACAACCTGACCCAAAGTAGTAATCGTGACGTTATACGATGCCGTCCTGTGCCCATACGTGGCAGGAAAACGCAGTTGCCGCCCCCTACCCAGCCCGTTGGAATTCGGAGTCGTGCGGCGTGGGGGGTGACACACGTCCATCCAATTTACCCATGGTCGCCAAACAACATGAGGCTGACAAAGCACCTCAACTCGCCGCATCGCAGTAACTTTATTGCCCGTGCTATAGCAAGCAGTCAGTCAGTCAGTCAGTCAGTCAGTACCTGCATAGAAAGCGGCTGGCGCCAAGCACTTTGAGCTTCTGTCTGTTGGTTGGTTTTCGGAGTTGAGGATGCGAGCGATTCGACAGCCAGCACACGCCTGGAGCGCCTTTCGAGCAACGTTGATCGAACCTTGAGTCTGTTTTGACGTGCAGAACCTAAGTATACCGTCGAAACGGTCGAGCCGAGCGTCTTTCGAAAAGGGCGGGCACAAACAAACCTTACAGCCGGACGTCCCGAGCCTCGAGGTCGTCGTCATGCCGGTTCCAACGTTCTGCAGGTGGGCGCGAAGCCCGGCCCGCGACACACCCGCACCTACTAAGCCGGGAGCTTAATCTAATCTACCGGGTGTAGGCACCTATCTTTAAACCTGGGGATAGTCCGTGAGCTGTGTCTGGGGTCATGTCTGCCTGTTTAGGTGTGTAGGTGTTGAATCCATTGGTGGTTATTGTCAGATTTGAGCCAATTGTCAGAGTGAAGTGTGTGTGTGTATTCTCTCTGTCTAGAGTGTCCTTATGCGACCGTGGCCGTTTTGTGCCAGAGGGGGCTGGATCGGGACGGAACAACTAGGTTCCGTTGTCTACCTGTCAAGGTGCCTTCTAGGCGTACCTTTGATCCAACAGCAATCGGGTGTTGTTGAATACACGGATGTTGATTGATTCTATTGATTGTGTTGCTCTGCGTGCAGAGATTGATCATCTGTCTTCTTGGTGGGTCAGATGCCCTGTGCGTCTCTGCCCCACTGGAGATCTTCCGGTGTCTATCTCCGGCTCCCATTCAACAAAAAACGTACTTTCTGGTTATCTGGCACCAGCTCAGAATTGTCTGTGTGTATGTGTAAAAGTGATATGAGGCTGGACATGTCGAATGTCAACGGCAGTAAGTTAGCGGTAACGTAAAACATAGTAACTTTAGTCCTCCCACGGTACGTTGCACCGTCCCACAGTGTCGATTAACTGTAAGTACCGTTAACTCACGCCACGCCCCTATAGATGTCGGGGATGGTATATGTTAGCGGCCTCCACACCCCCGATTATCCATGAATACAGGTATCAACATGGCTAAATCACAGTGGGAAATACCCTGAAATATCCGACCTTCCAGGAGTGGCCACAGCAGCGGACGATGACATAAAATTATCAAAACAAGTATATCCCACGGCAATTCAGGTGAGCTAATACCTGTGGGGATAATCGGGGGCATGGAGGCCGCTAACATATACCATCCCCGACATCTGTAAGTTAGGTAATGTAACACGCGCTGGAAATATATCAGAAGTGCAGCATATGCTTCGCATAGGATCATACCTGCGTTGGGATTTTGCTGCGGTTGTAAGGCGTGCACTCTCGAAGATCAATCTATCGCCATCTCAGCTACTTCATAGGATGCTACTATTAATCAGCAGCGCAAACACTCTTTGACATGTAGCACTTCGCGGTTAAGGCATACGATGTATGACTGAATTGTTCTTCTTATATTCAAATAGACCTGTCGAACTCCTGCGCCTAAGCTGCTATGTATATACGTTGGGTATACAAACTAAGTATGCTGGACATCGCCTGACTCCAAAAAGCATCCAATGCAACAAGATATGACTTTCTCATCTCTTCCACAGCGTCCCACCCCCGGCCGAGGACCCTGCGCCTACGGCCGTACCAAAACGATTCTATATAAGCTCTCACAGCGACTGCTTCTCGATATCCTCGACGTTCTTCACAGGCGTCTTGTCTGTGAAGCCCATCTCAGCTGCGTAGGTGCTGTGGGGCACCCACTTGGCTGAAGTCCGAGGGTTGGTCTCCTCGAGCATCTTGTCGACTTGCTCCAGAGTAAGACCCTTGGTTTCGGGAACCAGGAAGTAGGTGTAGACGAAGGCACACGTGCACAGGCCACCCCAGACGTAGAAGACCTTGGGTCCCAGGTTTCCCTTGTCCTTGTCAACCATGTAGGGGGTGATGACGGCAATGATGCAGTTCCACAGCCAGTTGCTGGCGGTCGACAGGGCGACACCACGTGCGCGCATCGGCAGGGGGTAGATCTCTCCGATCAGGACCCAGGCACCAGGACCCCACGTGCTGGCGAAGAAGAAGAGGTAGATGCAGATGAAGGCAATCATGGCCTTGGTGGCAGGGGCCGTGTCGGTGACTGTGCCGATGATGGCGACAATGAACTGGCAGACGATCATGCCCACAGCTCCCCAGAGGAGAAGGGAACGACGACCGAACCTCTCTATGCTCCAGAAGGAGATAGGGGTCGAGCAGACGTTGACCAGAGTGGTGACCAGCGAGATCAGGAATGGGTTGGTAATTGTACCCAGGTCCGTGAAGAAGGTGGTTCCGAAGTAGAAGACAAAGTTGACACCAGTCCACTGCTGCATCATTTGGAGCGAAGTACCCAAAATAGTTCGGCGGAGGTTGCTGGAGCCCTTCCATAGTGAGCCGCGGAAGCAGTTGCCCCAGGTGCTCCAGTAACCGCCGGCAGGCAGGCAGGACATCTCGTACTCATGGTTGGCGATGATCTCGGCAAGCTCATCCTGGATGTAGTCGGACTCGATTGGCTGGCCACGGAGACGCGACAGAACTCCAGCGGCCTTGTCGAGCTTGCCATTCTTGACGAAGTAACGGGGCGACTCAGGGAGAAAGAAGAGACCAGTGGCGAGAATGAGGGCCCAGGCCATCTGGATACCAATAGGAATGCGGTAAGAGCCGGTGTCGTTGCGGTCCTGGGTGCCGTAGTCGACACATGAAGCGAGCAGGAGACCTAGTCGACGTCAGGGGGAAGAGTACTTGTGATAGGAGGCTAGGATTACTCACCGATAGTGACACAGAACTGGTATCCAGATACAATAGCTCCACGAACCTTGCGAGGTGCGATCTCAGACATGTACAGAATCAAGATTGCCGAGACAGCACCGACACCGAAACCGGCAACAAGGCGACCAGCAACGATGAGACCCAGTCCAGCGGAAGCAGTCTGTAGCGCAACACCAATGAGGAAGACGGCGCAGCCACCGATGATAGTTGTGCGTCGGCCACACCAATCAGCAATATCACCAGCGACAAGCGCACCTGGTACGAGGTTAGTCATCAACTGTGTAATTGCCAACCTGGGAGCAGCTCATGACCTACCGAAGAAAGTACCGGCGGACAGAATGGAAGTGATGAGAGACTTGTTCTGCGAGGAGAGCTGGGTGGCATCGGGACCCTCGATCTGCTGGTAGAAGAATTTCATGCCCATGACACCGCTGATGTATCCGGAGTCGTAACCGAAGAAGATACCACCAAAGGCGGCGAATGCGCACATCATGTAGGCTTTGACGGTAACGGGGGCTTCGACCCGGTTGACGTCGGTCGACCCCACGGGAACTGCGCCGCCGGGCATCGTGACGACGGGGCGGAGTCGGTGCCGCTTAGATGAGGATGCGAGGTATGTGATGTATATATAAGGTGATGTGAGCACAGACTCAGGCGTTCGTTAGGTATAGGACGGCGAACGCAGGCAGATATGTATAGGTTATAGGTATGTATATATAGGTAGGTACCAGGTAAGTGAGGAGGGGGAGAGTGTAGAGGAGGGATTGGTACAAGGGGAAGACTTGGCGTGAGGATGAGAAGAAGCGAAGTTTGAGTCGGGGAAGGAGATCGTGAGCGATGTTTATATAGCAGCAGCAGGAGCGAGCGTCGCTCCCACGAGGAGTGACCAGTCCCCTTCCTCTGGGACTGGAAACCCGAAAACGCGGGAGACCCAGACGACCTGGAGGGAGACCCACCTCCACCCTCCACATTTCCCTCCACCCTCCACTCTCCACCCCCCATTTCCCTCCATTTCATCCCCTCCGGAGTGCAGTGGATCGCACTCATTACCTACTCCAGAGTCCAGCGCCACTAGCCCGGGATTCTAGAATACGTGTTGCTAGCGGTCGGGGCAAAGCCAGACCGTTCTCACGTGGCTACCATCAATCCGGCACCCTTCTAGACCAGACTGGTCGTGCTGGTGCACCAGTAGAGTCATGCATTGCCCAGCAGAATTGTGTCGAGACTCCTTATTACGTATTCTAGCCGGCCTCGTTTGAAGCCATCGTGAGATTTCCATACCAGCTAACGGTCGGGTCATGCGGCCGTCTCTGGGACGGTCAATGTCCCAAGATCGGAACGGACGACTCGGTCAGGAGCAGCTTGTGACAGTCACCACTCCATTGCCGACCGGTTCGCGGCGTCGGCATCTGTACACATCTAATGAGCATCAGCTCGCGTGCTCGCGTACAGTATGATGGTCCGATATCGACGTGGCAGCAGCGCGCAGACCCGAGAGATCACGCATCGTGAACTGATTTCAGCGTTAGCATTTTCGCAACCCCAGACTTGGACTGGTTTGGCAGGCAAATCCGGAGGGCCGACTCCAGAAAAAGCAGAGGATTCCCCATATCACCCTCGAGACGGGGGTGGAATCGTGCCAACTCGTCTCCGGACTCCAGTCTCCAGTCTCCAGTCTCCAGTCTCCAGTCTCCACTGTTCAGTCTCCAGTTTCCCGGTCTCCAGAGGGCACATGATCACTTCCCCGGCATCCCCGGCTCTGTCATCAGTGCTATCCCACATTAACCAGGATGAGGAGACTCTCCGCATCGTCATCGTCTCCTGACCAGCACCAGCAGCAGCACCAGCAGCAGCAGGAGCAAGGAGCAGAGACCGGACCGATCCCAGCAGTGAGCACGACCGAGGCCCATCATCACGAGTCCACGGACCAAACGCGGGCTTCTACTGCAGCGCCCTGGCCTCGCTGCCTCGGTGCATTCGGCCTGATTGTGGAGCGGCGGCGGTAGCGTCGGCGGTCGGCCGTATTCCTGTCGTTAGAAGACGGAGCCAGCCATAATTGCGGCTCCGCAAGGGATTAGTCTGGGAGTTGAGCCGCCATAAGCACGAGTTTTAATTGGCTGGGACTTGATGTCTTGGTGTCTTGGGACCTCGGGCCCCGTCTTCGAAGGAGGGGCATCACTGCATCAGGTCTAAATTTATTACAGTTGGAGCCGCGTGGTCTGCTGGGAATTCGATTTTCGAAAAGCCCACAGCCAAATCTGGAAAATCACACCACGTTGGCTTGTCGGGAAGGACCCGAATGGATTGGACTCCCGTTCCTGATCGTGTGAGGTTGCTGAAATAAACGCATCAGGAATCGCGTGATTCAAGCAGAGAAGAGAACAAAGTGCCCAGCCCAAGTCGCGACTCGCGAGTCGTCAAGATGAGAGAGGACTTGCACTTGCAGTTTCGCGCTCGCCAATTCGTTCCATCTCGAACATGCATGACCCAGGACGTTCCTCGGCCATTTCCAAAAACGTGCGACAGGGGTAATAAGTTCTGCTAGTGGCGCCCCATGCGCCGATGACTAGCCGGTCACGTGCCGGTCCACCATGGAGCTCTGGACTCTGGCTGCTCAGTCATGACTGGAATCGCTGATGATCGACCGCCACCTTTTATTAGCGGCCGGCCCGCCAAACTCGAATGTGTATGACAGACCACCCGAGGCTTTGGGACCGACGCCTCGGGCCATGACTGGACCGGACTGCGTTGTTTATTTATCGGCTCTCCCGTCATCTCGTCAAAATCATCACCATGTCGCCAGGCGCCCTGAGATCCTACCTTTTCAACAACCAGCAAAGGTTGCGACATAACCCCTCCTCATAAAACGTGATGCCATCTCTATATACGTGGGCCGTCACCTCATTGATCAGAGTTTCTGACTTTGCTGGTTTGGCTTTATTAGAGAACCATATATCTGGTGGCCATGGCTGCTTTCCTGCCACCCATCCAGGTTCGCGCGACGGTTGACGCCATCGTGAACCTTGATAAGGGACAGGCGCACATTCATTGTAAGAACAGTTGCGATTTCAACCGGTAACAAGGGACCACTCTGAGTTCGAGTGGCTTGCACTGCTGACACCTTGACGGTATATGTATGAATCTTGATCGGGAGTCTTCTGGTTTAGATAGAGTTCCTACTAGAGGAACGCCATGTCTCCAAGGGGCGCGAACCTCTGCGTTAGGAACTATGAAGATCATTATAAAAAGGCAAATCTTCTGGGTTGGGCTTCACAAAGTCACATCGACGCGCACATAAAAAGCAGGTATATGTCAGATGCAAAGCACAGAACCAGTATCTCTCTTCATAGACTATCATTCGTATCATCTCGTGACCTAACATGACCACGAACGTTCCAACATTATTATTTTGTACAGCTAGCCAAGCCGAGCCCAGCCCGGCCCAGTGGTCTGGTATGATGCGGCCGAACTACAAAGAATCTTCGACCACGATGTCTGTGATGAGAAACCTATGATGCAATCGTCAAAATGCAAACACCTAGAGTCCGTACGTCCGTCCGTCCGGTACGCCGCCGAGTGTGATGTGTAAATCAGATCAGTAGCTGCTCGATCACCCCTCCGCAGCAGCCATGCATGCGCAAAGCACCAAGTAACGCCGAAGCCGAAGCCGATGCATGCAGGATATAACCGCCGTCTCCAACCTTGAATCGGCTAGCCAGCCAGCCCCTTCTTGGAAAAGACCACATGCGAACCCGACCAAGCGTGAATCAATCGCCGTCTGGGGACTCTCCAGACTCCCTGAATCTTAATACAATGTGGAGGAGTGGGTATTCACCCCATGCAAACCCACTCCGCAAAAACGCACCACCGAGCCGTGCGGTCGGCGAGCACGAGCCCGCGCCAGACACCGCGCTCCGAGCACTTGATGATGGTCTCCCACGTGCCGCCGTCGCTGACCTCGTCCTCGCCGCCGCCGCCCATGTCGATGCCGCGCCCGCCAACACCAACACCGCGCCGTTCCTCCTTGCGCATCAGCCGCAGGATCTTGCCGCCCGGGGTCTGGATCGCCAGCTTGGCCGGCTTCTTGCCCTGGATGCTGCCAGTCGCCGAACTAGGTGCGCTGCTGGCCATGCTCATAGCACTGCCCGGCCGCAAAAAGGGCAGCGGACTCGTGCCGCCTGGGTTGCTGCTGGGGCCTGTGGCGCTGGCGGATGGGTGCTGTCGGATCGCGAAAACGAATGTGTTGTTCAGAGCGAGCCGTTGACACTGTGGCTGGACGACGTAGATATCGTGACGTTGCGCGTGAGGCGTCGGATGGCGCGTCACGAACTCGTACGGTGGGTTCTCGCCCGTATGGATGATCGGCAACGCAAATGCGAGTGGATGCGGTATGTCTTTGATGCTGTGCATGAGCCCACGCTTGCCGGCATACACCTTCAGTCTACCATTGCCCTCGTCACCCGGCAGGAGGCCCTTGACCGTGTAACGCTTCGTGCCGTTGAACCACTCCGCTTGCGCAAGTGCCCGCTTTTTGACCACGTCGCCACTCTCGAAAAAGTCGCCGTCGGAGTCGCGAGTGTAGGCCCGCACTTCGACCTCGGCAGCCACTTCGACGTCAGGAGGTACACTGAACTTGATGTGCACCATCTCGAGGTCCTCGATTCGAGTAAGCGACGTATTATAGTCAACCATGGCGATGGTGTTCTTGAAGAAGGGCGGGCAGGCACACGGTAAATTGAGTAACGTCTCGTGAGCCACTGGTGGACAGACATGCTGTTGACCGTGATGTTCGGGAATATGCGTCCAGCACAGCTCTATCGGACTGGTGAGAAACCACCAGGGATCTGCGGCCCCGCTGCCGGCGCTCGAGTATTGAGCGCGGCGAGGATTGGAAGGGCTCGCCAGACAACAGTCCATCATGCGCCACTCGTTGTCAATGATGACGGCGTTCCACCAGTGATTAGACCGCGGCATGATGCTGGTCTCAGGCACTTCACCTGGCGTCTTCAGATAACCACGGATGATCTCCGAGTGGATGCCAATCGCTGCGCACATCTCATGTACAAGAACGGCATACTCTTCGGCGCATCCCCGTTTGGTCTGGATCACTCGTCGAGTGTCGACTTCGCCCTCAAAGTCTTCTTCCCAGTTGATCTTCTCGGCGGCCCAGGTGAAGATGGCACGAAGACGCTGCACCTCGCTCCTGTAGGGCCGGCAAACGTAGTTGGTTGCGAGAGTCACCGCCGTCGTCATTGGTGGCATGCTGCTGATGAAACGCGAGTTCTTGTCGACCTGGCTCAGATTGATGACCTGATAGTTGACTGGCTCTCGCACAGGCATTCCATCGGCTCCCTCGTCGCCTTCAACACTCTCGTAAAGCTCATCGACAGGGTCAATTGCCGGATAGTCCAGCATCTGACAGCGGTCACGCCGTTCACCGCGCTCGTTCTTGCTCAGTGTATTTGATCTGTTCACGTCTCGTCGCACCTGCACCCAATCCACGCCATTGCCGAGTCCCATGTCGCGAGCGGCATCCCTCACCAGGCTCGTGGTGCTGGGACCTCCTGCGATCGATGTCACTCCGTTGCCCATCATCCGAGCGCCTGGTGACGAAGGCACAGATCCCGCCCCTGTCGCTATACTGCTGCGGCCTGAAGCAACTCCTGTCTTTGTCGCCTCGAGGATCCTCTTGATGAAGTTGGACTTCTTCGGTTTGATCCCACCTGGCTGCACGAGACCACCAATTGCCGCAATGCCGTCGTCATTGAAGCCGGCTTGGGACTTGGGTCTCATGGCAGATGTCGAGTGACTCGGGTGATAAGACACACCACTGAATGGTGTAGTTGGACGATTCAGATCCAAGTCCTCATCAGCCTCCCGGAATCCCAAAGCACTCCGCGCTCGCAGATTCTTCCTTGCTAGGCTCCCGGCACTTGTGGCACTGATTCCACTGGCCGAGACACCGCTCATCAAGCTTCGGTTGGTACTCTGAGTGTTAGTGCTGCTGGCGGTGGCGGTGCTACGATTGCCCGAGGAAGCATTGGTCGAGTTCGTTTTCGTCGTAAATGTCCGACCCAGGTGTCCCACTTCGTAGGACGACTTCTGTTTGCGAAGACTCCGGCCTGCCTGAGAGGGTTCACCCATGGATGATTTTGGTCGATTCTGTAGGTTCTTGAGTGGTGGAAGCGGCGGCGGGCCCATATCATGGTCAGTGACACCCACGTGATCAACGACACCCACGCTCGAGCTGGCCGTGTGCATTTTCCGTAGTCGGCTCTCCATTCTTTCGACATAGTTGCTCAGCTGCGGAAGGTGCGGCTCCTCTCGGTGACCACTATGAATCGTGTTCTCCTGCGACGTTTCACCACCATACGATTCATATCCAGAATCTTGGAGTGCGACACCCATCGACGTCTGCGGTCTCGCCTGAGCTTTTTTCCTCGATTGGCGATGGACGAGATCGAAAGACTCGGGTGACCAAGGATCAAATGCTGCTGGCTCGGAGGACTCACTGTCACGCGGCATACCTAAAGCATCCAGTTGTTCTATCACGCCGTCCATGGCTTCCCGTAGAGGCGAGGGTGTGAAGCCGGCCACGCCCGGGGTTTCAGGACCTGGCGATGGCACCCGTGGTGTATGGTAACCTTGCTGAGGAGGATTATCTTGATACGAAGCGCCTGAGTTACCCCTGTTCAGGAGGTTGCGATGAGGTGGCGGGGGAGGCGGGGGAGGTGAACCACGCTCAGCTCCTGGGCGGTATGGTTTAAAGGACGGAGCTGGAGAAGGTGACCTCGATATGTGAGAGTGCATTGATGGCGGAGCAGGTGAGGGTGTCCTATGTCCGTAGTAGTGTATCGGAGGGGGAGCTGGCGATGGTGCTCGGTGACCATAACCCAGCGTCTGTGGAGGAGCGGGAGAGGGTGGTCTTGGATTATAAGAGTGCATGGGTGGCGCGGGAGAGGGTGCTCTCTGGTTATAATGCATTGGGGGCGCTGGGGAGGGTGCTCTCGGATTATAAGAGTGCATGGACGGCGCAGGAGAGAGGGCTCTCGGATTATAAGAGTGCGTGGGAGGAGCGGGAGACGGCGCTCTGGAGTTATAGGACTCCATGGGAGGCGCGGGTGACGGGACTCTTGAGCCATAGCCTCGAGTCTCGGGCGGCGAAGGCACGCGACTTATATTGCTGTGAGCATTGTTTCGGAACGAACTCGTAGAGTTCTGTCTCGGCGGCGGATTCGACCCCTCTTTGTAGGTCACGGGCTGTTTGGCTGTCGTGTAGTGAGGCGCCTTGGAATATGCTTCGAAAGGTTTCCGGAATGGCTTCGATTTGGCCTTCAGTACTGTGCCGGTGGGACTCGGTGTGTTACTCGAAGGCAGAGGACTCGTTGATTTGGTGACGGGTCGGAAGTGATCGGGCAAGACTTCGACAAAGTTGGATGGAAAGACGCCGACAGTCTTGTTGCGCCGCAGCCTCCCCGTCCACCAAGACCCGTCTCCTGCGTTCAGACATTCTATCAGATCTCCTTCGATGAATCCCAGGTCTCGTTGCGACTAGAGCAGAGTGCACGTCAGCATTCCCTTCATTGGCTTCACAGTATGTTCACAGTTGCCCAGATACTTACTTCCCCTCCCCATGAGTAGACGGCTCTGCACCAACACGGAAACCGCGTAGGGAGCGACTGAGGTCCTGGCACCATTGCGCCTGAACGTGCCCTTCAAGCGAAGAGATCCTGTCTGTATTTTTACGCCAGCTTGGGCGTGTCTCCTCGGTGCTCGTCAGCTGCTTTTTTGGTGTTTATGCGCGATACAAGACGTCAATGTTTGGGGGCGTAGCTATTGCGACGCGCTATCGTAGCAAATGGTGTGGTGGTCGAGGCGATCCGAAGCGGTGTGACGATGGTGTTCGTGGGAGTTGAAGGTCGGTGAATGATGGATCAACAAGCCGTGGTAATAGCAGCTCCAATATTATGGCAATTCGCAGCAGAGCATGGTCAGCATTGCAAGAGGTCCAATCTTAGTTTCCAATCTGGTTGGGCAAGAGACGACAGCGGTCAATTGCCAACACATTGATGGACCCGGGGAATTTACAGGGTGTTTTCTTGGATGTTGCTGCTGCCCTCCGATATGGCGGTAGGAGGTAGGTGGTGGAGGAGCTTGGGCAATCAATTTCGGGGCCGGCTGCTTGCCGTTTGGTACCTGTTCCAAACAGAGGGGTGGTCTCGACGGTTGCCGGGCGACGCGCAGTCCTGGAGCTGGGCCGAGGGAGCCACCACCGCCATCGATACGATACCCCACAGCATCTAACCTTAGGTACAACATTGAAGATGACTTCACTGTTTCGGGCTGCCCTCAACCTATAGGTACAGTCGGTTCATACCAATTAGATGCAAACCGCAACATCCGGACTAGGTGTTTATATCAGACGTTGGATACGATAACCACCAATTCGCAACATCCTATCTCGCTGCAAATTATCTCGTCCCAGTACCTAAGTGCTACTTACATGTGTAGTAAGTCACTTCCTTCAGGCTGCACCCAGATTCGCCTAGGTAAGGTACCTTAGGTTAGCCGCTGGCCACTGGCATGACAGGCATGACGCAGTGAGACAACATCAAACCGCCGTCGTGTGTCTCGACCTGCAGCGGCCTTTATCAGTCGCGTGCAGTCCAGCACATGCGCCCTCTGCCTTTCCCCCCATATCTCGCAGACATCCATCCCACTAATTCACCAAATTCACCATGAGAAGCATCGTGAAGCTACAACAGAAGAAGCCTCTGATATTCCCAATCCGTCGCAGGAGAAAAGAGAACTTGAGGCTAACTGGTACCTTGTCTAGGGTTGTTTGAGACGGCGGGATCCCTTCCACTCCTTCAACCCGCCTGCCCCCCGATTGCACTACACCCAGAACGGCAAATTGTTGTTGGTCATAGCTCCTCAAGGAGCTGCGCACCCCGACAACCACCCCGACTGCCCGACAACCACTGTGTGTTCGATTGCGCAGCGCTTTAACAACAATTACCTCGACATCCTGCCTACCTACTACAACACACGAGGCGGTGCTTGTTCGATTGTTCGATTGTTCGATTTCTCCCTGTCAAGCTGTCTGTCTTCACTGTCCGAGCACTCCTCTTCAATCACCCTGGCCCATCTTCAATCTCGACATCTTTGTTGTCTGGTGTAGTGTATCTCGGTATTGGTGCAGCTGTTGCCCGCTCGGCGCCTGCTACTTGCTGCCACTGCGCCCAGTTCCGATCCTCGTTATCGCCTCTCTGTGCTTTTTTGCGCCATAGTGCGACCAGCCGCATACCATCCCCGGCACCATGACAGATGAGGCTATTGCCAGTCACTACCAAGTGCTGGAGGAACTCGGCCGTATGTCATTCTACCTCGGTCCTGGACCCAAAACCGTCACTTTTCGCTAACATTCCTCCGCATCTGCAGGTGGTAGCTTCGGTGTAGTGTACAAAGGCATTGAGAGGGCATCGGGTGAAATCGTTGCCATCAAACATGTAAGTGACACATCACAATTGCTGTCGTTGCCACGGGAGAAGCCGGCACTGACCAGTATCAATCAGATTGATCTCGAGTCGACCGATGATGACATCCAAGACATACAAGCCGAGATTTCCGTCTTGAGCACCTGCGCCAGCTCTTACGTAACCCAGTACATCGCCAGCTTCCTCCGGGGAAGCAAGCTATGGATAGTGATGGAATATCTTGGTGGTGGATCATGTCTGGACTTGGTAAGCAACCTCGAATACTATACGCAGCCCTCCCTATCTAATATGGTATACTCGCCAGCTCAAACCCGAACCATCCGTGTTCAGCGAGACGCACATTGCTGTCATCTGCCGCGAGCTCCTCCGCGGTCTCGACTACCTCCACGCCGAAGGAAAGATACACCGAGATATCAAAGCCGCGAATGTCCTGTTGTCAGAGACTGGCAAGGTCAAGCTGGCCGACTTTGGAGTAGCTGCGCAGCTTACGAACATCAAGTCCCAGCGGAACACCTTTGTCGGCACACCGTTCTGGATGGCACCAGAGGTCATCCAACAGTCTGGCTACGACTTCAAGGCCGACATCTGGTCCCTGGGGATTACCGCCCTGGAAATGGCAAATGGTGAACCCCCGCATGCCAACCTCCACCCCATGAAAGCCCTCTTCCACATCCCGAAGAGTGCTCCTCCGAAGCTGGAGGGCAATTTCTCGAAGGACTTCAAGGACTTTGTCTCGCAGTGTCTGATGAAGGATCCGGACCGCCGACCCTCCGCAAAGGACATGCTGAACCACAGATTCATCCGATCGGCCGGCAAGGTAGAGGCATTGCAGGAACTGATCGAGCGACGACGAAACTTCGATGCTTCAAAGAGCAAGAAGAAGAACAGGAGCTTCTACCAGGAGACAATGCAAGATTTCTCGCCGAGAGACGAGCATGATGAGTGGGTGTTCGATACCGTCAGATCAGTTGCCCCTAGGAGAGGCACTATCAAGTCGCGAAAGCCGTCGTCAATATTCTCTACTGAAGAAGCATTACGTCGTCTCGATATCAAGGATGCCCCCCTGCAGCCCTCATCGCCCGCTCCGGCAACCATGCGCAAATCCACTGTGCGAAGACAACCTTCCTTGGCGCAGATCTCGGGCACAGGATCCATGCGTGGCCCACCGGCTCCAGCACTGAGACGGCCCCTTCAACTGGACATGTCTTTCGGCAACTCGGGTTCATCGCAGCGTCTTTTTAGGAGAGTACCTTCCGATAGCTCGACTTCTGGCCATGTCTCCTCCTCTTCAGATCCCTTCGTCGAGAACACAGACGAGAATCAGCAACCCGGTGCAGTAGAAGCGACGAGCAAGGAGGCCACTCTGGGTCGGCGACTCTACTTCAAGGCTGTAGAACCCACCCTTGCAGAGTTGCATGCGCAAACATCCAATCTGGCCAAACGAGAAGCGCTTGCGAAGCTCGCTGATGCATTTGCTGCTCTGGATTCGGTCGACCCCGAGGGGGCTTATCATCTCCTGCGCAACCTCAACTCCAACGTCTCCAATGACACGAAACTATCGAATGCATTCTTGCAGAACATTAGCTCTGTGAAGGGAATGATCGATGCTGATACGCCTCAAGGCACGGTTATCATCAAGACGCCAGCCCGCCAACCTTCTTCGAGCCCAACGAAACTAGTCATGGCGTCCAGCAACCCACATCTGAAGAGCCATAGGAGGCGTCAGGAGAGTGTGGCGGTCAACGGTGCTGGTAGTCCTGAAAAGCTTAGCGGCAAGGAGAGAGACCCGGAGAGAGCTGCCTTGCAGGCCAAATACCCCGGCCGAGAGACGGAACCGGGCATGGAACACTGCAAGCAGCTTTCCGATGTCCTGTACAGTCGCTGGGTCGATGGCCTGCGCCTGCGTTGGCCAGGCGCCTAGTCTGCCGGCAGGCTTGTGTGCTTTCAATTGGTCACGGGATAACGGCGTATGGAACTGGGTTGCGAAGGCATTGGAGGGTTGTTTTCGGTCTTAATTTGGAGACCTTCTTTCTGTACGGCATACTTGGCGATAAAGGGGCATATGACCGCCCCTGGGATGGATTCGCCATCGCTCGAGGCGGGTGATGCTGATATTGGGTCTTCGCTTCCCATGCATTCTCGGCCGGTGGCCTGTCGTTTTGGATGGGGATCTAGGATTCGCCACGAGTCACGATCTCTCTCCCCTCTTTACGTACGGCCCGCTACTCGCATTGCATGGTGTTTTTCGCGTTCTTGTACAGCATTTGTAAAGCAGGTAGATGATGTCGGATAGTTCTCCGCTAGGTAGATAGCTAGGTACCCAGAATACCCAGATTGTAATGAGTACTTAATCTTGGTCCCGTTTTGAAGCGAGTGTCTTTGCTACTACGTGTCCCTGATCGTATTGATGGAATGGATTTGCGAGGACCTGTCGCGGACTCACGGATGGGGAGGATCTGATGGATGGGTCGAACTACCTACTGGTCGTCCTCAGACATGCACGCATCTATGTATATATATCGTTTCTAGGACGCCACATTACGGTGTACGTATAGGATGGAATTGCCAATGGCTTCGACCGACGCTTTTCATCATGGACTATGGGCAGGGAAGCTGGTTTAGAACGCGTCGAAGCGGCGGCCGACACCACGCCCATGGGGCTGCGCGCACGGTGGATGCATGATAGTCACCTCGATCTACCGGGTCGGTCAACCCGAGACTGCTAATGCAATGTTAAGATGTTGCGGTTGGATTGATGCGGTAGCTGCAACTTGGAGTCGTTGCCACCACACGCCTTCTTCGTTTCGAAAGTTAGGGGGTATAATAGGGACAGGGGGGAAGAGGGGGGGAGGGGGAGAGGAGAGGAGGAGAGGAGAAGAGCTGGTGTCGTAAAAGGAGAAAGGAGGTGGGTGGGATGAGCGTCAAAAGCTGGACTTGCATGTGAACACTGGACTCCCAGGACTCGCTGTGCGGCAAGACAGGGAAACCCGAAGCACATGGGGTGAGACTGTCCGGGAGTTGGTGGCGGGCGATAGATGATGGTTGAAGAGGTGGTGGATGGGAGCATGCGTGGGTTGATTGTGGTAGTCGTTGTGAGTTGTCTTGGCTGACCTGTTGGGAATATCCAATGCCATATGGGTGAGCAATTGGCATTGGAAGACGGGCTTCAAAAAGCAAGATGCGGGCTCGAACGGTGGTGCTTCAAAGTGTTGCACAGGGGCGCAAAAAAAAAAATCCGCTTCGACAATGTCGGCAGCTCGGTCCACGATGAAATCAAACCTGGTAGACTGACTTATGTTCACCACTTCATGGATGTACCCCACCGGCGCCAACATCATCATGGGGTTCAAGTTGGGGAAAATTCGCTACATTTTGCAAAAGCCGTGACCATCGAACCTCTAGTCATGCTTGATAATGCAAGGAAGAAAAATGAAGGCTCGAAGCGGAGGAGTAGGTGTTGGTCGCACGGCTATGTTTTTTGTGTTGTCTTCTTTTCTTTCTCTTGGTTTTGTTTTTGTCTTGGTTCGCAATTGCTACCTTGGAGACGATGCCGCTAGTAAGTGTGCCCTTGATCAACTAAGCTATTTGCTACTCCGCTAGGAATGGTCTACCTTAGACTCGTACATATGTGTTAGGAGGATTGGGTTGGAGTGGTGTGGATGTCCGGATCGGGCCTTTAAGTTTGAAGTTGAAGCCACGGGTAAGTGTGGTTGGTTGAATACCGCCCCCTTACGAAGCGTGTGGGTCTTGAGAAGAAACTCTAAGTCCGGGACTTAAGCTGACACCGGCAGGAGGCCCACGCGATAGGACGGGTGTTTAGTCAGGGGGAAATCTATGCGGGCTTTGGGAAAATGTCCTTCCTTTCTACGTTGATGAGGCTCGGTTGAAAAGGGGGGGACACGCAGTTCATGTGATGGTACTGGCAAGCGGTTAAAACAACAATTTGCAATGGAATAAGCAGCGGTTTAGTCCGCTGGAAAGTTGTCTCACACATAGACCTGGATACTGCTGTAACTCAAAGGACGGAAAGTGATGTATTGGTTCAAGTGTGATCTGGCCAGACGACCTGCTGTGATCCCCCTATACAGATATCTAGGGTGGCCGACTAGCAAAGGTGCTTCCGAAGGCTTCGTGTTCCCATTGAGAGATGGTATCACTGGTGTGGAATCAATCCAGGCTCTGCCGTAACCTTGAGCCGCTTCCGAAGGAAGCGGCGTCGCCTGGCTCGTTGCAGAGCAGCATTAGGAATAATACCTGTATGCAGATGGTACTGCCATCTATTTTTAAGTATTACTTGGGTATCAGCCTCCTCCTACGCCAGCAGAGGAAGCGGCGTCGCCTAGCTCGCTACGGCGCAGTGTTCAATGGATAATTTCTAGTTGGTAATGCCACCTGTTCTCAAGTATTATCCAGGTGCTCGTGTTATGGGATGCGGCACAGCGCAGCGCGAGCTTCGAAGAAGCTTGTCGTCCCCTGAACCAGCTTTGCCACTTGCAATCCTGCATGGCGGTGATCCCGATAAGTTCCTGTGTTGTAAGGCTGACTCGTAACGTGCACTGCTGACAACCTGTCAATTGAAGTGGAACTTCCAAATTCATCTGTGACTTATGAAGAAGGAAGGATTTGCCACAATCCGCATCGATCTTGTTCTTGTGCTTCTTGACTTCGCTCAGGCATGGTGTGTTCTACCACGCCCGTGGGTCACCACGCAGGTATATATTCGGGCCGCATGCGTATCCTCGAATTCGATCTTGTAGTTGCCCAAGCGCTTCCATACATTTCGGAAACATCAAGGTAGTGGACTGCTTCATCAACGTCATCTCACTTTCTTCTTTGATCACAATGCGCTTCTCACTAGCACCCTTATTCTTCGCTTCTGTGGTCATCTCCTCAGTAGCAGCTACAAGCCGGGCGTACTTCGGAGCGGCCCCAAACCGGCGGTCTGACAAGACCATTCGTGCCAACGACTTTGGCGTATATATCATATACCCCGAACATCCCTCCGATGAGCGGCTCAATAAACAGGTGGAGGAACGACTGGGCGAGATAGCGGGACGCGCTCAGGTATTCACAGGGAGGACTGACCGTGTCTTGCTATGGAGTGGTAGAATGAACGCGGCCGAAGCTGCAACAGCCCGGAAGACCCCGGGCGTCCGAGCCGTCCATGAGGATCGAGGCGCGACAGGCCCCTTGCCAGACACTGCTCACAAGGCAATTCGATCAGCGGTAAGCTCGACGCACGGAAAGAGAGGCGATTCAGATAGTGGATACATTCGCCAGAAAGGCGATATCGCCGACTTGGCTGCTACTAGCCAGCCGAAGGATACGGAGCAACGTCAGTATTCGGACTACGCCTTTCATGAAAGTGCCGCGGAAGGAATTTGGGTGTACAGCATAGAGGATGGAGTGATACGCAGTAAGGCGAGTATAGCACTACACTTCTTTACAAGACACGTAAGGGTTCTAACACAAACGGATTTAGGAGCTCTCGCGGGTACAAACCGTCCAGACCCCGAGGGCGAAAAGTTCAGGCGTGAATCCCGACATGGAAAGGGGCATCGAGCCGCACGGGAGCTGCGTCATGAGCAAAGCCGTCGGTCAAGATTACGGCATCGCGAAAAAGGCCTCCCTCGTTGCCGTCCAGCAAGGTGCCGATTCCCGTAGCGAGTTCCTTTTTGCCTTGGTCGAGGCATACAATCACATCACTTCAGATGACGATCGCAAGCGAAAAAGCGTCGTCAGCATTACCCTTCAGTTCGAGGACGAGTTCAACGACAATGGCGAATTCGATGTTTTCAAGGAGACTATGGGAATTTTGTTCGACCAATTCGTCAAAGCCGACGTCCCCGTAATCATGGCCGCTGGCAATTCGGGGCTGGAGCCAGGCCACAACGGAGTTGATAGGTACCCGCAACTCTTTGCCGGCGAGAAGCCTTTGATCGCCGTCAGCGCTGTTGATGCCACGGGGGTGCTTCTGCCAAAATCCCAAAGAGGTCGCGAGACTACCATATATGCCGCCGGTGAGGGCTCCTGCAGTGTCAACGGTGTGAGATATTTTGCTTCCGGGACCTCACAAGGTACGTCCACACACTGCTTCAATGCATCATGTTTTGTGTCATCTTAGAAACTGACCTCCACCCAGCGCAGGCTGTTGTCACAGGCGTCGTGGCATATTGGTTGGGAATGCCGAGGGGCAAAGGCCCGCAAATCAAAGCCAAATCTGGCGAGTTCGTCAAGGAGCTCATCAAATACATGCAATCCGACGACGGCAGCTGGGCTCGCAAGAGCGGGCTACGGATGATCTGGAATGGAGTCACCGAGGACCAGTACGAGGGAGCAGAGAAACCGTAACTTCCAAAGGTGTGGATCTCGTATATCGGGGAGAGGTAGCTTGACTGTTTCCTGATGAAGGACATGATCATCCTCGGTGTATGTACAAGCTGTAGACCGTGGCCGTGTCTCAAGAAATTCGTTGAATCTTATCTTTTTTGGGATGACAGAAGCAGGACGATTATTATGACTTTTGTGATGATACTTTTTCAAGCAGTGGGTGTCAAGAGGAGTGTTGCTGCTGGTGTGAGCTCATCGCCCCCTATTGTCCCGCCTGTGGGGGTGGTGCGCGCAGCCGACACTGTGCCTATGATCATGGGGAAAGTGCCGTGACTCGACATGAGCCATCAGAAGTGAGAACCAGGTGAGCAACAGATACTATACCGGCATCTACCCGAGTTGAATACGTCGATTGAACCAAACCATCAACCTAAAGCCCTAAGAACGAACAATAATAAACCGCCATACTCTCTTCTCATACCTACAAGTGCTACTAGAACCAACCAAAGTCGCCCGCCGTCCACTACCTAATCAGTTCCTCGACCCGAGCCAAGCGTGAGAAGGCTCGGCTTTGACCAATCAGTCTGGTAGCAAGGGCAACGACACCGTCACCGTCACCATCACCGTCACTGTCACGGGTTAACCTATCACAGGAGGACTTGAACTCGCATACTCGGCAACCCACGAGCTCACCCACATAGACACACACGTTCACTCACTCACCCACCCACCCACAACCTCGTCCACACTCACTCACCCTCAATAACCGAAAAAAAAGAACTAACAGGGTGGTGCCTCACCTACAGCCCACCTCATCCCATCCGTGATCCCATGCCTCCAACCAGCCCGCCTCGCAGCCTTCATTCAGGCCGATACTAGACTAACCACAGTGAGCTCCACAAGCTCGGCATGACGCACTGCTTCGCTATAGCTCATCATCATGAAAAATGACGGGGCCAGTAGTTATGAGCTACGGTGATGGTGACGAGGAGTAGGTGTTCTACGACGCGGTGCGGTGCTGGGGCAGGACGAGGAGCCCCAATGTAATGGCCGGGTGGCGGCGGTCACAGAGTGGGTGCCGGCCAGCCACAGGACGGTGGCGTACAGGATGCCCAACGTGCGTGTGGCCAAGGAGGCAAACGAGGGTACAACCCGGGGCATACGAGCCGTACCAGGGCGATTCACGACCTGCTTGGGAGCAGGGTAAGCATGTAGAAATCTGTCAGAACTCTTGTCATTCACCATCCTATGTAGAGTAGACGCCATAGTAGTCCTACGCTTCAGGAAAACAGAGAGCACACCAGAGATCACACCGGGTTCCGGGCGGGGGTATAAGACAAAGTAGACACACCGCTCGACTCCATTTCCATGCAAAAGTACGACGCCCATGATGCCTTCCGTTGAATGCTCCTCGTGAAAAATCTCGATTCTACAGTTCCTGATCTTGGAATCCCAATTGAAACCATAAGCTACCGATTACTCAGTCAGAAATATCAATGACTTTGTGTTCCGCGTCATCATCATGCAACTTAGCCGAGGCCATCCGATCGCCTGGTTGTCGGCCAGCAAAGTGATGGCTTTGTGTGGTCTCTTTTCGAGGAGGAAAATGGCGGCTCTGCGAGGAGGTCTCCTTTCGACGGTCGGGCTGGGTGCCCGCATGCGACTGCTGATTGCGAGAACTGACTGTTGACAGTTCAACCACGAGTTTGGGCTTCCTCGGCTGACCATTTTGACGTCTTTGAGCATCATCCCCTGTGCTATGACGAACCGCTTCTGAGTCCTCAACGAGCATGGGGTTCGTCGGCGTCCCGTCACGGGATGACTCGGACGGAAACTCCAGTGGCTGGAGAAATCGCTTCTTGATATCGTCGACACTATCTCCACTAGGAGACGAAAGGCGATACTTCGTACCCGCATTGGCCCTAACAGCAGGGGATGTAGGAAAGGTACCTGGCATGGACAGCTCGTCTCCCGATTCCAGTGTCTGTGTTGAAGGTCCGGGGGAGAGGAGAACTGTAGCCGACTTGACCTTCGTTATCGCCTTTGATTCTTCCCCTCTGGAGTGGCCCTGGTGGTTGCGGATCTTTGTTTGAACGTCGCCTTCACCGTTTAGAAAGAGCTGCCCATCACCTGACTCAGGGTTCTCACCATGCACCCGAGGCAAAACCTCCAGTGGAGTCGAATCGGATTGCAATTCGACATATCTCTCTTTTCCGCCGGAATCGCCTTCCTGGTCAACGGGCTGGTTTAGCATCCTCACACCACCACGATCGTTGGAGCTGGACGACTGCGGTCTTGGTGTGCCACCCTTTCCCATCACGTCAGGACTACCACTCTGGATATTACCCTTGGACGCTCCTCGAGTCTCACTGTGACATGACGAACTAGGTGGGCGTGGGTCTGTCGCAACATGCGATGCTTCCCCTTCGGTACCACACTTTTCACGCATGGCTTTGGCTTCCGCCGGAGCATCACTGTGCTTCTCTGCAGGACTAACGGCTGGTTTCTGGGAGTCACCCGTCTCCTCGGCTGTGGTCATCTTCTTGGATCTTGCCTGTCGCTTCTTTTCTCGAATAACATCTTCCTTTCGTTGCTGTTCTCGCTGCATGGCGAAGATCAGGTCTCTGATCTCATTCCGAAGCACTGACGGATCTAGGTTCCATTCAATCTCGTCGTCATGCTGGAGTAAGCTGCGAACAAACTTGTCGGGGTTCTTCAAGAATTCTTCAATGTAGCCCAGCACATACACCCCACAATCGCAGTGATTCGACTGCTCAGGGACGCCCTTAGCTGTCATACCTAAAGCACCAGGGTTCGCAATCTCTATATCTCTTTTGTCTTTCAGCTCTGCAACCAGGTATGACCGAAGAAAACTGCAGGTTGGTGAATGGGTTCCGCCGAGAGAGTCAAGTGTAATGATCTTGGGCGCATCGAGGTTGTGCTTCCGAAGGCCAGTGTTATGTCTCTTGCCTGGCTTCTTCCGGCTTTGACTGCTGACGGGATCCGAGATCTGCTCGAGATCAGCCTTCGATTCATCCGAGTCCTTAACTATATGGATAACCGAAGAAGGTTCGTCCGATCGCGCATCATCGTGCACGGTGTCTTGCTTGCTGTCTGTTGCCTGCTTAGCCTCACTAACCAGAATGTCGGGGCTGTTGATCGACATACGGCTCAAGTCGCTGAGGACATCACTCTCTGCAGTAGCCTTGATGGTTTCATCGTCCAGAAGACCGCGCGTCGTTGCTGTCCCCGCGGGAAGCTCTCTAGGGGTTTGCGCAACCTCTGCTTCATCCTCAATCGGGGTCGATGCCCTTTGGTCGGGAACCAGCGTTCCCGACCCATTAGGAGACGGCACGAGCTTTGGTGCGTTGTAGATGATTGCAACATACCAATGATTATACTCATTTATCGGGACAACGATGAAGTCTTTCGTGAAGATATCAACCTTGGAGGTCCATGCTTTGACACTATCATAGTCGATCCCGCGGCTGTTCTTCGACGGCTTCAGCTTATCGTAGAAGAAAGTATTCTGGAAGTAAATTCGCTGAGCTAGGTCAGGCCTTTCCCGCTCCAGCTTGTCCTGGAGGTACCGCAGATAGAAGATGACCAAATTGTCATTCAGGAACTGTCCTTCATCCAGCCTGAGAATATCGTCTTTGTCAACGGTTGCTCGGTTCTTGCCCTGGGGGGGGGAAAACAAGAGAATTGCACCATTGCTTTTCCCAGTCAGGATTGGCCATCGTCCAAATCTCGGGCCTAGGACCGAATCGCTTCGGTGAATCTCTCAGCGCGAACGTCCAACGCGTCGTGCGTTCTGTCCTCTGTCCGTTATGTTCGTCTGTATCTGCCGATTGCGTGACCACATCATCATTCTGAGTGGACCGGGAGCTGGGAGATGGCCTCATGGCATCCTTCAATTTTAGTCGCGGAGCTACGCCAGATGGACCGTGACCTGGTCTCTGAGCCACACGAGAACGAGCTTGTTTGTTGTGTGCAATGAGTAGCATGTCATCGGCAACCGAATCCTCATCCCTGAGAACAGTGTCCCTCTCTGCCCTCTTGAGCAATTCCTGGAATTGCTTTGTGAGAATCGCACTATTGACGTTAGCCATATTTTCTATGCCACCGAACCACAGGATCTTACGGTGAACAGTGTTTAATCTGGAGAGTTCGGCTCTCAACTCTCTTCATCAAGGCCCATTGCATGAATTTGTCGCATGAGTTGCGGTTTGCCAGCTCTAGCATAAGCTTCGGTCCAGCTCCAGTCATGTGATCAAGACTTTGGGCGACAAGGATGATATTGCTTTCGTGTCGTTGCTCACACCGCGCAATTTCCGTGACATTCCCGAGGTTCACTGTCAGGTATTCATACTGCTTTAGGGGGTTGCCAGCCTGGTCAGTAGGTCGCAGAATGGTACTGATCATCCCTGCCGAGAGAAAGCAACGATTGGCTTCGGGGACATGTGACTGGTAGTATTTATAGCGACCAGAAGCACCACATATAATGCTAAGCCCGTCGCCAACTATGTCCTTGGCGAGATCACGATCTGCATCTGATGCCTCGACCACCTTGGGTTTCGGTGGTTTCGTTCTGTTGAACTTTGTCCGCAGAATATCGCCTTTCGTCGAGAGACTTGGCGACGGTTGCAATGGTTGCCTGACAGACACCCTCTTGAAATCGTCTGCATTCGGGGCTAGCTCATCAGGGCTATTGCTGGGAATCTTCTGCCGTTTTGGATCCGTATTGTCAAGGACCTTGATGAATTTTTCCAGAGCATTGGCCCTGGTATCGAGAGTGAGTGAGCTCCCATTCCCTTTCTTACGAAAACGGCCTTCATAGTCACCAATGGGACGCTCCTGCGCGGCATTTCCCTCTTGCCCTCCTGAGACCGAGGGGACTGGTTGGCACTCAACAATGTCAACGTCGTGGTCCTTGGGCTCGTCCTCGACTTCGCTAGACGTGAGACATGACGCTGGAGACTTTCCGCTGGGGCCTTCCATGCGTCCTTCATCGGTGCGTGTACCGGGTGCGCGCTTGCTATAACGTTGTCGCTTCTTACGAGGGTAAGTATTATTCTTCTCGACAACTCGATTTTCCTTGACGTTAAGGTGGCTTGACTTGGAACCCAACGACTGAACACTCAGCGTTGGCGAATCATCAACCCCAGAGGCCTCGCTGCGGACACGTTTGCGCGGATTCTTGTCGTTGGCCGCCCAATCAAGTGATGGCGCGAACTGAAGATTGGTATGGGTAGGAGTCGGGGCATTTCCTTCGATCCTCTGTCGCTTTACAGGTGGCGGGAGAGGCGGGCTCGACCGAGTGGTTACGGACGTGGAGGGGATAGGTTGTCGCGGGTTTGTGGTGGTGTTCACGGCGAGGGTGTTCACAGGCTTCGGTGCACCAAAGCCCGGCTTAAGTCAGACCGTTAGCAAAGTGCACTCGTGTTATATCAACAGCGGTCTTCAAACATACAAGTTTCTTCATGTCGTGAGCCTTGCAAGCCAAGCTGGCTGCTTGGATCAGCAACAGTTCCAATCCGGGGCTGCCTCTCGGGTCTCGCTGGCGGCCTCAGGACGGGCGTGGGGAGAAGTGGGATGCTGGAGAAATGTCCCTAGTGGTGTGTGCTCGGGGACAGAACTGGGTTGCGATTGCCCACCCGCCGACATGCTTGAGCGTATCTATATTCTCGTCCGTGTGGCTGGTGGTAGCGGGTGCACCTGCACCGTCGTCTGCATCGCTTTGTGGCCGGTCCAAAGGAGAAGAAGGGGACGGCGTTCGCTGACGCGCAGGTTCGATTCGTTCTTTGCGTGAGTGGTACAGAGCAGCAAACAGCAGAGAGAGCCGTGCCGTGTCTACCTAGTGGCCAAAGGCAGGACACCGGGTGTCGTGCAGAACTCGCAGATGCTCGCAAAACGATAAAAAATGACGGTGGTGGGGCTTCAGTAGTTGAGGTCCCTGGAAATAAGAATTACCAACATTAATTCGTGAAGTGAGTGGGAGGAGAACTCCATGCCCGGGCCACGGCTGGAATCAGTCAAATCACGGGCAGGTAACGGCAGCGTGACGAAGTCCACGGCTGTAGCCGAAGCTCTCTAACAATAAAGCCGCGGCGCTAACAAGGGCAGGTGGGTACCCTCTGTCGCAGCAGTCTCACACCTGCCTGCAAATTTTCACGCGCTAAACGCGCTACCGACAAACGCCCTGGCCACTTGCAAGAAAGGAATACAAAGATGTACCTAGGTACCTCCGAGGTTGTTCACTCTATCACCTTGTAGGCCAGGACATAAAGAAGTCATAATCTTGCAAGAATTACTATCCAGCCTGTCGGGCACCAGCAGCAGTGCATCGTTGGCGAGGAAAGTCTAGCAGGAGAGTGAACAATAGCCAGTAGCCTTATTGTTGCCACAACATTCCACTACAATGCCAAAATATAAGGTAGACGAGAGGCCAGACCAACCATTGTGTTATTAGCCCAGCCATTGGCAAACTTCTGAACCCAGATCTCGAGTGAAGTATTCCCAGGCCTCGGTCTCAGTGTGGGCAACACCAGAATCCCATTCGCTGGAAAGTCGACGCGATATGGGTTCATTGCCGGTTCAGTATTCCCATATCTTTCCTATTAAGCCGCTTGATCTGGCCGGCTGGTGGCGATGTAGATCGGAGACAATAATGCCATGGCCCTGGTGATACTCGGCATTGCTGGCTGTAATGACCGCTAAAGAGACACGTCACGTCTCATCACATCACCACATCAAGTGCTCAGTATTCTGAATGAGTATTCATATCCGTATCTCATTACTCATTCCTTGTTACTCATGACTAGGTGATGAACCCTAGTGTGAAGTCTGCTTCGTAGTTTCGTCATCCACATACACATGAACATATCTCGTATCGTTTCGTTTGGTCTGATATGATCTCATCTAGACCCCATTCCCTTTTACCCTTTCCCATTCCCATCCCGTTATCCAAACCCAAGCCCCAGCCCATATCCAGTCATAGTACGAATATATCTATCGTACTGTTGTTTTGCTATCCCATCACCGCCACCGGCCAGGGGTCATCGACATCCATGGCCAGGTCAGTTAGTCTATCCCACTTCGGCTCCGAGTGGGATCTGGTGTCATATTTCACTCCCACCGCCGCCACTCCCGATCGATTTTCTCCGCCTCGGCATCGACCCACGAGGTCCCACGCGGCACGCGATCGAGCGCCGCGACCTTGTCGTGGAACTCCTGCTCCTTGTCGAGGCGCTCACGCACCTTGGCGTCCAGGTACCCCAAATCCCGGCGTTGGATAGCCCGCGCGAAGAAGGCCCGCATACGGGACGAGTACAGCTGGCACGCGGCGACGGGAATGCGGACCGATTCGTGGTGGAAGTTGCCTGCGATGGGCAGGGCGCGCTCGTCGTCGCCATTCACCAGGGGCCTCACCACCTCCCCGAAACATTCCTCGCACACGGTGAAATCCGGGATCGAGCGCATGGTATGCCACTTCTGGCCATGGCGCTCGCGCCCGTTTGCGCATTCGGGGATCTCCATGTGCCGCCTGAGGCGCTCGACGAGTACCTGAACGTTAGGCGGGCTTCTGGTGACGAGGGCGTGATCGGCCGTCGTCTCCAAGACATCGAAGTACTGCACGAACCGGCCACGCTCGTGCTGCCGGTCATTCTGCTGGCGCAAGGCGCAGACGCCGCGCGTCGGCTCGGCGGGCGAGTCCATGGGCACGAAGAGGCCGGTCAGATTCGGCAGCAGCACCTCGATTGTCTTGGCGCAACTGTGGCACACGTTGAACTCCTGGAGCGGCCGCTTCGACCGCGGATCCTTGACCGAATACCAGATGCGGCTCGCCTCCCGGTGCCCAGTGCAGGGCGTGTTCTGGGCGCCGATCTTGGCGATGCTCATGAAGAGGCTCAGGTCGGGCTTCTTGTACTTGCGCGTGAAGAGCCACGCGATGCGGTAGTACTGCGAGGTGCCAAAGTCGCATGCGAGAGGTCGGTCGCGTGGGCGGATGGGCGGCATGACGAAGTGGTGTGCGAACTCCGTATTAGCGAAGTTGGAGTTGTAGCACGATGGGCAGATGTTGAAGTTGTCGCAGCGTGGTAGCGTCAGCCAGTCCATGTGGCCCGCCTCTTCTCTCGTGCGAGGGCAGTGATGACCTATATCGGGAAGCTCTCCGGATTGGGTATCTAAGGAATATCGTCTGTATGAGGTGATAGGTTTGCCTACGTCAGCACCATTCCTTGAGGGCTCAAATTTTGGTGGCTGCCACGTGCGCGTGGATGGACTTGGAGAGGGCATCGCGGATGCTGGTGAACGTATGTCTACTTTGGTCGCTGCCTTCGGCGGTGGAGGAACCGTAGACCGACGATGGTCAATCGGACTGCCTGACTCAGAGGCAGCTGCAGTTGCCGCTGCGACAACGGCTGGAACCAGAATTGGAGCAGCCGCATTCAAAACGGACCTGGCAGTCGAGGCTCTCGACAAGGGTCGCTCGGGGCGATCCTCCTCACGCGGAGCTCTCAGGTCCCTTGGGAACGTCGAACTGCGAGGACTGGAAGATGACGAGTAGCTCTCATTGTGTGAATTTTGTGATACCCGCGGGGAGGGCAGTGGAGATACTCCTCTGGATTTTCGTCTATCAGCAGTCTTCGTTTCTGTGGGAGTCCCCAGATACTCGGTTCTTTCTGTGGGCAGGGCCGACTTTCGTCGTCGGGTGTCCAGCCGAGGCCGTTGCTCCTCGTCACTGGAGTGGAAAGTGTCATTATAATGCGGAGAGTGTCTTTTTTCTCGTGGACTCGCTGATTTCAGAGAGGCGGAATCCCGCTCGGACTGAGCATGACTTGAAGTCGAGCACTTTCGACTGAGCTTGGGGGCTGGCATGTCCGAGTATTGGCGGCGCATCTCGTGGCCACTTTTGGAGGGACGTCGTGTTTGCCTCGGTATATCTCCAGTATGCCTCTTTTGGAAAGTAGGGCTTATCGGCTGGCCTAGCTGCAGACTGCTGTCTTTGTGTTTGTGGTCATTTGGCAGATTGCGGCTGTGTTGCTGATCGGGATGAGCCGACCTGTTGCGGCGCTGAGTGTTGGGGCTCAGCCCTCCATTGTAGTAGGATCGGTCCCGACCATGTGTAGCATGCTCTGTCACATCTGGCGACAGCGTGCTCTCACCTTGGAACCGAGAGCTTAGTGAGGTTAGCCGAGGCGAGAAGTAGTCTTCGCCACGAACATCAGCTCTCGTCGTTGACTTCGCGCGCCTGACATCCCGTGGCCTTGTCTCAGGCTCAGCACCAGTGATTATCGGAGGAAGTTCATCCATTCTGCTCCGGCGCCTCTCACGGGCAGGCCGTGCCTCCCGCTTCTTGGCCGTCTCATCTCCTCGAGGCGTGGGCGCGACATATTTGCGGCCCGTGTTTGCCTCATACGGAGTAGGTTCCGGCTCGGCCCGCCGCTCCTTAGACCTGGGTCGCCTCGGCGGCTTCTTTTCCGACCCTGAAGACTCATCCGACGAACCAGAGGCGTTGGACACGAGCACAAAACGCCGCTCGGGGTTATACTCATGCACGGGCAGGAGGATTGGGTCTTGGTCGGGTTCCCCGCGGTACGGCGGCTCCTCAGAAGGCGTTGAGACGACGGATCCATATTCCTTCGCAAGGGCCTCAGATTCATCCTCGACGCTCGGGGGCGGGGGCGGCTGGTAATGCCGATTGTGGACGGGCAGAGCTACTTTGAACGGCAACCTTCTCGGAGCCGTCGGGTCTATATGAAACGACTCATTCGACGGGCTGTTTGAGTCTGAACTGTGTAGGTGATTCAAGTCTCAGCAAACGATGCTTTATCACCCAGCAGAGTGGCACTCCCCGCGCAACGGGGGCTTCGAGGCGGAGGGGCTTGGAGCGATCGGCATCAGGACTCAACTTACAATCTTGAATCCGGGCTTCTGGCCCTAGAACTCGGCCAGTAGCCGGTTTGCAGGAATTTTTGAATGTCAACACCCTCGACCATATTCGCGAAAACTCAACGTGATGAAGCGGTTATGGTTCTAGCTCATCGTATCTGGGCGATGGCGGGCTTAAAATGTGCAACCCTGGTGACTGATTCTTAACACAGCCTCGCTGACTAGGTAGTTCGAGGCAGCGGCGGCTCTCAACGCTGCCCAATGCCAAGGACTTTTCGTTTTCAAGGTGAGATTTTCGACAGGCAAACTGGAGGTGGAGCAGCAGCTGTTCTGAAAGCTCGTACGCAGCAGAAGCAACCTCAAGACTCCAGACGACGGGCAGGTTGGTGTACAAAATCCCGATCGCAGGTCCCGCCAGGAATCAACGTAACGAGCGGTGGAGACAGACGGATGGACTGGAGTCTGGAGGTGAGACGGAGCAGTACAGAGCAGTACAGGGCAGTACAAGACAAGATCAGCAGACAGGGCACTGAAGGAGGACAGACAGCCTTCGAGACTTGTAAGGACACGGAAGTTTGCGAACAAACAAAAACGTCAATCAAGTGACTTTTCGAGGTGAGGCGGTGCTCGCTTTAATATGTAATAAGACGAAGGCGCGGCCGCCGAAAAAGCACTTGCTCACCGTGGGGTCGGCGGTCCACCGTCCAGCCTATGAGGTATGAGCGGCGGCAGGGGTACGGGGGGTCCCAAGACGCGGTCTGACCCAGCGCCGCCCAGGTACTACCTTACCACAGTACTAACACGTTTTTGATGAGTTAAGGCCACCGTCAGGATTTATTACCTTACCTAGGTCAGGTCACAAGTCATTCTCTTTCAATGTTGGTTGTAAGGAAGGAGGGGCAACTATGCATGTTGGTATGCATGTCTGCATATCGGTAGTTTGGAGGCGCAAGACGATGGAAGGGTGGCAGTGTGGGAAGCAGGGTTTGTCTGCGAGCTGTCGTCAAATGGTAGCATCGACACCTCGTGGACTCCTCAGGCTTTGGTTCGTATGCATTTATGCCCCTCGCTATTCCCAAGCAAGCTAAAGCTGGTGTCGATGCGATGCAGATGACTAGCCACGACCCTGTCGCTCAGGAACAAGCAAGCAGCTTAGTACCTCAGCTCGAGTTCAACGACTCCTGTCTGCCTATCTTCGACCGTTGGCAGTCTCAGTCTCCGTGACGCCTCAGTAATCACGAGGCAGGCCTGACGTCCGAGTAATAACTGCGGTAGTCCATCCACACTATCCAGCCGGGCGTCAGCTAGAAACACAGCCGTGGTGCCACCGCGGCCCGCCCCATAGACACCTGCCACCGCCCAGATCTCAAGATATTCCAAGGAGTGCGTGTGCGACAGAGAGTCGGGTGCTTGCCGCAGATACACCTGCTGCTGGCTCAACTGGATCAAAGCTAATAACACTTGTCATAGATGCCGTGCACTGATGTATAGACCCGACTGTAGACCCAACGCACCGTTTCCAGGTGTAAGCCCACAAAACCACGCCACCATCACCAGGGGAATAAGTGGTGGCTCTAGAATCGCACGGGCTCATCGAGCAAAAACAGCAACGCCACGAACCATAAAAACGAGAACTCGTGCAGAACATCCCTCTCATGTACGTGAGGAGGCAACGAGGCAAAAGAGGCCAGGCTCCACCCCGGTGCTTCGAGCATTGATCATTACCTACCGGGTAAAGACGGCCTGCAGAATGGAAGTTGGCTATGCATGAGATCATGTCCAGTTCGAAGCGCGGCGAGCACCGAAATGCAGCTTACATAAGTAAACCACACCGAGAGAGAGCCTCGTTGGCTGTTGCCATCGCTGGAGCAGTCAAGGGAACTACACCGAGAGAGAGAGAGCCTCGTTGATGTTGCCATCGCTGGCTGGCTATGTCCACCTTACCATGATGCTGTTGTGGATGTCCACATTGGGCCTGCCGGTGTATCTCCACCATCTGCTTTCGACGGCCTTCCGGTTGCACGTGTGCGACGATGCCATTGCTTTGGGGCGTCGGCGCGCGAGGGTGGAGGTCTTATGTCGCCTCGTATACCCACCTAAAGTCTCTTGATACCTAAAGTCGTACGGCAGCTCGCAGCGCATGCAATGCAGCCTACACAAACAACAACAATCAAGTCAAGCAGACAGCCCTCGGATGACGCTCGACGCTCGTGATCACACACGCGAATCCCAAGATGGTGTGAACCAACTACAACCACCACCACCGACCGACCGACCCGCGGCCGGTGCTGAATCCGACGCTATGCAGGAGAAATAGATGAAGTTCCCGCCGCCTTGGGACCTCTCACGGAGCTTCAAATGCGCCAGCGGATCGCGTGCGGTAAGGATCGCGGTCATTGCCACCTTTAATCTGTCGACTACACCCCTCCCAGGCAAAAAACGGTCTGTCTGGAAGATGATCGATATGACAGCCCGTGGTTGCCTTTATGTAGTGTAAGAGGCAACTACCTCCTCGTCACCAGCGAGGCATCGCTAATTCGTCATCTCATCATATACCCGCGGGTAGCTCGAAACCGCGCCGGCCGGTCCTTGTGTAGAAGACGGCCAATCCGAGCAGGCCAGCAAACAGGATCGCCAGGCCCTGAAGCGGTTCTGTTATGACTCCCCTGAGGATCAACAGGCCGCTGACGAACGAGAATATGATTGGGTTCCCTATCCACGTCTTGTACGTGTGCGCGGATCCGGTGGGCTTATGCCGGTCGGCCTTGCGTAGGATTAGTATGCCCGAAACAGACATCATGAAGAAGAAGTAATCGGATAACCCTTTTGACACACGTTAGTCATACATACGAAAGAAGGCGTCCAGGAGGCAAAGGCAAAGTCACCTATGAAAGTCACCAGCCCGTTGAAACTACCGATGGCCACGTAAAACGATGCAAGAGTCCCATTCATCAGCAGGGCGAATCTGCCACATGCATGAGACAAGCTTGCACAAGCACGAGGGTTCCCGGTGTGAATCTTACATGGGCACGGATTGCTCCCACCGCAAGTCTCGGGTGGCCCTCGCAAAGACCTGCACAGGGAGTCGAACCATCCACGGCAGCGTCTGGCGGAAGTATGCTGCCTCGTCTCGCGCCGTGCTACAGTGTAAGTTTGCGAGAACAGCGGGAAAGTAGGCTCGTCCGAGAGGCAGCTGCACAGAGCTTCGCTGTGGCAAACACGTTGGCGTTGAGGGCCCCCATTGCTGACAGCGCTACCACGACCGAGAATACGAGCCCACCCCAGCCGCCAACTGTTCGTCTTGCGAACTCCTTTGACTTGATTATTAGCCTACCTCTACTTCGGCGGTGTCCGCCGGCATCGACGGGACAACTTACTACCGCCACTGTTGTGGCTTCTCTCATGACATCGAACGGCAAACAAATCTACTGGGTGTCAATTTTACTTCCGAGTCAGACCATCTCGAAGGCAAGATAGTTTGTCTGTCCAACCAAGCTGATATGACTTGTGGGAACCTCGCCGTACGTACTGTAGAAGTGGTTAGGCACACCGATCTCAGTGGCATGAAAGAACATCAGAGTGTCGGCGCTGAAGACTTCACACGTACCATATAATGCCGCGTTCATCAGAAAGAACCCAGAAATTACGATGGTCATGGCTCCATTGATTACAACCGGTAGATCCCCAGTCGGATCCCTCATGTCTCCGAGGACGAAGCCCACTGCTTCCCATCCGCCATAGCTGAATAGGGCCCCGAAGAGCGCAGTGGCAGAATTGCCAAGCCATGCCCATGTGCTGACCTCTGCCGGAGGCGATCGATCCCATCCGAACCATCCAGCCTCTGTGGCCGGGACGCCATCTCCGTAGCCAAACACGTAGACCACAAAACCGATAATGATCATGCTCGCAAGCGCACTAAGCTTGAGCAGTAAGAACACGTTGGCAGCTTTCGCTCCGGCAGTAGCACCCAAGCAGTTGACCAGCGTGAGTGTGGCTACACAGGCGAGCGCCACGATCTTGATTGTCCATGGCGAGAGCGGCTCGAAAGGCCACAGAGCTTTGAGGAGGTAATCAGCGAATATAGTGGCTATGACGGCGTTGGCCGCCGGCTTTAAGTCGAGACCGAAACTCAAGTGAACAGGTAGCCCATGAAGTCTCCCCAACAGGTCCGGAGGTACTCCTGGATCCCCCCGTTACTGGGAATGCGCAGCCCCAGCTCGATGAAGGATGCCGCGCCCGTCCAGACGAGCAGGCCGGCAACCACCCAGACAATCAGCCCATCCGCCGGCGAGTTGACGTGCTGGCTTATCAGAGTGGGTGCCGCGAAGATGCCCGAGCCAATCTGTAAGCTGATAACCAGGGCCAGACCGTTCATTCGAGTCAGCGAACGTCCGTTACGCGGGGGTGCTGTTGGTCTCCGTCGACCGACGCCCGGATCAGCGCGTCGTCCTCACCGGAGAGGCGTTCGTCCGCTTCGTGGTGGGATGGCACCATGCCCGAACTGGGCGCTGGCATGGCAGCGGGCGGAACGGACCGTTACAGAAAGGATTCCATGCGCGAAAATAGATGCACGTAGATATTGTAGTCAAAGCGCCGTCATCCGGAGAGGGTACATTACGTGATGGAATAGATACGTGGATGTAAGGAACCGTCGCACGATGAGGTAGATTGGCTGAAGATGCAGTCTGGAGGTTTTGACTGGCCGCGGAAGACACGCCGAGCTGCCCGTGTTTTCGCTTCGGTCCATCCTGGCGGTATTCGGGTAGCCTAAGCACAATACTAGCAAAGACAGGGGCCTCACCTTAGGAGACATGTCCACGTATGTTCGGTATCAGGAACAATCTTACTACACTGTGGGGGTATTGGGGGCATGGTTGACACTGCGAGCGATTGTTCAATGGCGCAGAGATCGGCAAACACGAGATTGGCGATGGCTCTGATATGCTGACACGAAAGAACTGCGAGAACAGGGCAGGCAAGGTTGCATATGCATGAGTCCCCGAGTAGAAGCGGCACGTTAAGCTGTCGGGTACGGACGAAGTCTTGGAAGCGTCTCGACTCCGGCCCTGGGATGGTTGTACCATAGGTCCAAAGGTTGGCACATCCCTTAGATGTCGATATGTTCAGTCAGCTCCAATGTTGAAGTGGACTCGAGCTCTGCAAGGATAGCGCCATTGTCAGACAGGATCACAGATTCGACCTGACCTGATGCATTGATGCCTTGTCGGATGTTCTCGATCGCGGACTCTTACGAGCATGAGTCGAGTTCGAGTTTGTTCTCTAGCGACTGTTGGGACACTGCCTAGTTAGGTTATTGGACACATGTGATTGCTATTCAGTGCTGAAGATGATAGTCGAGTCGAAGACAAGAAATGTGAGTTGCTGATTGAGGGTTCATGGTAGTCGCATTATGTATAGGATGATCCACCGTCCCTTCAATGTTCCGCCTCTCCGTCGGCGACCTCATCCGACCAGGAACTGCTCGATATCCTTGTCTTCCTCTTCTTCTTGCAGTTCCTGGAGCCTCTTCTCTTCGATGTCCAACATCTTCTTGATCATGTTTCGTTGCCGCTTGCGAGCCTTCTTCCCCCAGTCTGATGAAGTGGTTTCGGCCTGTTCCTCCTCGTCGCTGTCTTCCGGTATGTCGACCTGGCCCCGCAGCTGATTGGGGGATATCTCGGCCTGCTTTTCTTGTTCGATCTGGTCTTTTGCCATCTGCTTCTCCTGGAATTTTGCGCCCATCTTGACGATGTAGGGCCGAAGCAGGGCGTAGGCCCCAACGATGATTACCAGGCGGATCCAGTGCTGCATTGGCACTTGGGAGAACGACTCGCTAAGGTTGTTCGTGAACCGGTACGTGACCAGCCTGTATAGCTTGTGGACTGAGTCGCCCAAGTGGGCAAAGAGGTCGTAAAGTTCCGACATGGTGAAGTCTGCTCGGGTGTAGTTGCGACGTGCGTCGTGCGTAGGAAGATCAGGAATCGGAAGCGTCTGAGGCGAGCAGTTGTTCGAAGGAGAGTAGACGTAGGGCAGGCCCGAGTATGTCGCAACCAGAGACTGATAGTAATACACGAGGAGAAGGAGTAGAAAGACAGGAAAGGCAAGGACAAGAGAAATTGAAGCTTCGGAGGCAACGGATCTGGCGGGCAGTGCGTCGTTTTTGGGTTCGTGGAAGGTTTTAGATGTTTAGACCACGAGGGATAAAAGTGCTGGGCGCAACGAAACAAAAACAGTCCGGAAATTGGGTTGAACCTTGCCCCACCTGCCCAATATGCATGTGCCGATAAGGGTCTTATCGTCCTCGCCTTCTAAGACGCGCTCGACGCGTTTGACAGGTATCATGGTACCTTATCCACCACCTCCTCCTCAGGACGCCACTAAACAAGTCATCTGTTGCCGTTACCTGTGCCTCATTCAACGCATCTCCCGAATTGCGATGGCGGACGATGACGAAGATGTGAGGGAGGTGAGCAACTATTCCACCGGACCCCTGTGCTGCAGGTAGTTCCCTCCGAATCCCAGCTGATATCGCGAAATAGCGACTGAAGGCTGCGCTGTGGTTCGCTGTCGGCAAAATGGTCGATGAGGAAACCCTACGGAGAAACAGAAATGTGACTCCTCAGTTCATTGGAGCCTTGACGGAGATGGTCTGGGCTCAGATCGGTACGCGACCTTCCTTGAGGTACTGAACAAGGTAGATGGGCAGAGCTGATGAGACTCAGAAAACGTCGCAATGGATCTGGAGAGCTTCAGTCGTCACGCCGGACGCTCGACCATCACGACTGCCGATGTATTATTGCTTGCAAGAAGGAACAATGACCTGCACGCCATTATCAAGGACTTTGTCGACGAGACAAAAGCCGCCAAGACCAAGGGCAAGGGCAAGTCCAAAAGATGATGGCGCAAGGCAACGACCCAACCAAATTCAAATTTGACCTTAGCAAGGACGTCAACCCAATGGCCATCTTGATACTGCGCACGTCTAGCTCCCTCAGCTACGACTGTACGATGGTTACGACATCTTGTGAACAGGCTCAAGGCCATAGGGACCTCGGGAGTGTCACTTTCGGAGCCGCATCCAAGTACTTGGCGTTGGCACGGGGGATGGCAACAAACGTGGGAAATGGCACGTGACGATCGCAACGAAAGACCGGTTGACGAACCGAACGCAACGTCTGAGTAGCTACGTAGTTGATACCACATGAAGGTGTCCGCACCTTACAAGGTATCTACTCGACCTTCTTGGGGCCGATTACCCGAGTATGAATGCAGAAATCACATCAGCTCGAGGTGGAAGATGTGACATGAAAACGACAAGGTGTCCGCAGGTCAAGCAAGCAACATGGTCGAGCTATCTCAGCAAGAAGGCTGCGGAACCTGGCTTGGTGGGAACAAGCTACTGTTGCGAAGGAGTGGCTAGCTGTAAATAGTACCTTGTCAAGCAGGCAAGGCTGAGGCAGGATCACCAGATCCACCTGGTAGGTTCACGACGCATGTAATAAATGCCGCGCCCCGACTAATGGCTTTTATATAACTGTACTCAAGTGATGGAAGCAGCCCGAGAGGCAACGCAGTATCGGCCTTCGGCCGTCACGGCGCCGGGCAATAGTAACATGGGTCAGGTGCTTTGCAACCATCGTCACCGACCAAAGCCGATTACAGAAACCAGCACCATCGTCACATTCCTACGTTCGTCATCGGATCTGGACATTGTCAACTCTATCTAATTATATCCCCATGTAATCATCAGCGGAGGGTGATTGTCACCAGAACCCATGGTGACAATGAGATCATCATCAGATGCTCTGTGAACCGAAATCAACACTGCTCTGTGGCAAACAATCGCGAGACTTGCATCATACCCTTCAGGTCTACAACCCACAGTCCCATCCTTCGGGCAGTAAGGGAACATCATGATCGGGCTGAAAATAGTAAACATGAGCTTGGAGGGCGAGGTGCGGCCAAAGACCTGTCGCTGAAGACATGACGATGTCATCGAGAACAGTCCAGTCTCCTCTTATATTTAAGACAGACAAGACTCACGTTGTCGGTGGTCTCGGAAACTCAACAATAGCAACAACACAAACACCACTTCACTTCCTCGAGCCAAGTCACACCAACGACTCAAAGCATCAAAACACAGCACTCTGAGCTTTCCGGCCCGAACCGTATCTGAAATCACCACCAACAAGATGTACGCCATCACGAAGACCCTCGTCGTGAGCCTCCTCGCAGCTGGAATTGCGACATCTATGCCCGAGCTACTATCGGCACGCAACGGCTGCGGTGATCCCGGAATCGGTGGCGGAGCATGCGTCCACGTCTACGCAGGACCCGACTGCCAACACAGCACCCTAATCTCGCAACACGGCCCAGGCAAGGTAATCAGCGCCCCCTTCCCAAAGTGTGCAGAGCTCTATGATCCCGAGCACAGTCTCTCCAAGCCGCCTCATCCCCCTTTCCTTTGGCACGCTTCCCTCTGTGCACACACGAGGAACGTGGCGATACCTAGTTATCTATGGCCAGCTGGCTGACCGATCATGCGATACCTACAGTGCAACCGTGAATGCCAGAGGCAGAACTACCGCCAAAACGAGACCGACCCGAGCGGGCCCTGGATCGTGGATCCTATCGGCAGCGTTCTGGCTGTCGGCGATGGGAATCGCGGGACCAACTGCATGGTGTATACCGACCCAAATTGCCAGGTGCAAGCCGGCGAGACGGGGTCCGCCATAGACGCCGGGGGCAACAAGTGTTTCAAAGGCCTTCCTGATTCCGTTCAAGAGTACGCCAACAAGGCGATTCAGAGCTACGTATGCCTGCGCGATTGCTGAATTGCGAGAAGCTGCTGGTATGACTGGAGGGGCGGCTCGAGGGTATGAAGAGGAAAGATACGATGGGGGGTGGGAACGGTGGCTGTTTTCCGGCTTGGCGTTCACTGCTCATCTGTGATTACGAGCAAGTCTTGTATGATTGAATCAACTCGCGCATGTATACTATTATTTCGGTCCAGGGAGACTGTAACAGATAACGATCATTATACTTCACATGATGCTCTCTCAAACGGTGCCTGTGAAGTGCTGTAAGACTGCGATTGAGGGTAGAAAGGCCGCCTTGATAAGTAATTACCCCCACCATGACGATTTTATGCTTTTGCGCAGGGTGCCATGTGGCTCCTCAACCCATTTTCCAGCCACAATGACGGATGGGTCACGGACCAGGGTACAAGGTACCTTGGAGCCCAACTGGTACCCGTTTGTACCAGATTCGTACCCAACTGGGATGATAGCTACTTCTGGGATGGGGACACCACCCATCCCTTCTTTCAATCAAGCAACTTCCAGATACAGACCAATAGCCACCATTCGTGACCCTGGTCCTTATTCTGGATACCGCTACCACAAGGCACAGCCACATGTACTCAGTTGACCTGCAATACACGTGCCGGTAGGTGAGTACCCCTATTTTGCAAACACATGTGGTACCCCTTTCCGACATGCAGCGCGACCATGCAGAGGCAGGCAATCAACCAACCAGATGCAGCGGGATCAAAGGGACAAGTTGTGAGACTGCGCACATGGACATCGATGTCATTAGCGGCTGGTAGAGGTCTGTATTTTCCGGGGATATTACACAGAGAGCAGCGCATCTTCGAATATTTCACTAGGTAAGAGAATGACGCCATCAGTTGACGTATCCAGGTGCTCTTTTCCCCAGACCTATGGCTCGGACCTCGCTGGTGGCAAGAAAGTACCATATAATATCCCAGAGCCATGGCCGTACTGTCAGATATCTCCTAATAACGAAGATGACACCCCGAGCCGGAACCGTACAGTCGGTGGCCTTCTGCGAGGAATCCAGCTGCTGGCCAACCACCAAGGGGGACGGGAGTTGGTAGGGTGAGAGTTACGCACGATGCCCCTCCTCCCCTATCTCAACGATTGAAGGCCCCCGTTAACAACACCATGGCATCATGAGTGTTCTGGCTGGGGTAAGGACTCCTCTCGCCCGGACTGGCTTCAACCTCGTCGCGACAGTACAAGCTGCTCCCCTATGTGCCGTGGCCAGGGTTCGGGCCCGCGTGGGAGACTCCGTCTCTTGGTAAGAAGACACCCTACATTAGGACACTTAGGCCAAATACTCAAATTGCCCTACAGGTAGTAAGCTGAGATTAAGCAAGTGCCCATGACGTCAAGGAGCTCCTCAGCACCCCCGATATTGCGAATGCCAATTCCCATGGCTCCAGATGCAGAGGCGCCGACGCCCGTTCGGCAGCGCGCCGATTCGAGAGAGATGTCATAACATTATGTGCCGAGGTGAGCGACCCTCTGATGCAGTTCCACATCCATCTGAGTTGTGAGGCCAGGCACGGAATAGGGAGGTGTAGATCACAGGTTCGTACCTCGTCAATAGATTATGTCTCTCGAGCAACACGCTGCATCCTCAGACTCAAGGGAAAATACAATGAAAAAATCAACATGCTCACGATATGTGGATAAAACTACTTTGGAGTATTCAATAGCAATGTGAATGTTGTGCCTGGCTGAGAGAAACAGCACACCCGTAGACCGTCAGCCACAGCATCAATTCACGATACGATTGATGATAAACAAAAAGTTATAAGCAACCCCACGCGAGACTCGACTGCATTACGTCAGTAACTATTCATTTAAGAAGAATAAGGAGGACTCCTCACACTCGCAATCTTCCGATGATGATTTGTAGAAGTCGGATGCTTTAACCATTAAGCCAGCGGGGCTAACAACATCGTTGGAAATCGCGCGTCTTGCGATGGCTCATATTCCAATCTGCCCTAATCCCATAGCGTAACGGATTAGGATGTGCCTCGGTACGATTGCCATTGGCGATTGCACAGAAGGATAATGCAGCAGAGCACCGCCACAGGCTCGTGACCCTGCCAGTATGGCTCTGGTGTGGCTTTGTTGAGAATCGAGCAAATCGGAGAATTGACTGAGTCGAACCCCTGTCGGTGCTTGATGTCATGCTGCGGCAGGGCTGCGGGGAACAGGCCCTGCCGCACCCCGCCGCACCTGGCGAGCTGGGCTGATGCAACCTGGAAGCAGCAGACGTCAGCGAGGGGCGACTCCCCGCCGCGTTTGCGACTGCTAGTCAGGTGACCAGGGTTTCGAACAGACTGTTTCCGGCAGGTTTGAAGAATGAAGAAAGGACGATAAACCTTGAAAGTGTTAGGTTGTTGCGCGGCGCATCTTTCGTCATCGTCTTCGAAGCTTCCTTAGCACGCCTCACAAACTGGCGGATTCAGAGCTAGCAACTCCGTCCAAGACACCTTAATATCCCACGATCAACATGAAATCTCCTCCATCATCTCATTCATCTATGATCGGCTCCTTCCAAGGTTTTTAGGGCCACCCTGTTCCATTCTTCCGTTATTAATTACAAGTTTACATCCTCTCCCTCCCACTTTTCATTATTCTCCCATACTCTCTCTCACACACACATCTGAAGCTTGGACAACAAACCACAACCAACCGAGGGTACACCCGCCCACGATACGAGTACGACTTTCCGCACCCACACACATCGCACGAGAACCGCCAACATGGGAGCCAAATCGGGTTTCGCCCTCAAGCTGCTGCAGTGGTTCATCCGAGGCATCCAGCTCTGCTGCTGCGCTGTGGCCCTTGCGCTTTTTTCATACTTCCTCGCCGTGGCATCGCGCCACAATAATATTCCCATGCCAACATGGACAAAGGCAGTTGAAGGCATCGCTGGCGTCGGTGTCATATACACCCTCATCGGACTTTTACTGCTATGTTGCCTCGCGGGACACCCTTTCACGTCGTTCATTGCCATTATTCTGGACATCGCCTTCATCGGCGCCTTCATCTACGTGGCCCAGGCCAATCGCGGCGGTGCTAGCTCGTGCCGCGGCAACGTGGACACTCCTTTTGGCAACAACCGTCCTGCTGGCGACCGGCTTGGCAATGGTCTGCCCAGTTACAGAACAATCTGTCAAATGGAGACTGCCGTTCTGGCTGTTTCCATCGTCGCCATGTAAGTTATACCCTCTCCCCACACCAAGCTGCTGGGCGCTAACGACAGCTGCAGTGTTTTCTTCCTGCTTTCCGCCATTGTTGAGTTCGTTCTTGTCCGCCACCGACGCAAGGAGCGTCGCTTCGGCCCCAGCCCCAACAACAATTACACCTCTGGCTACGGCCAAGGTGGTTTCATGGGCAGGTTCCGCCGCAACAAGACTGGCGACTCTGACGGTAACACTCTGCCTACGCACACCCACCCGGACCAGGTGCGTCCAAGCTACAACACCGACAGCACTGCCATTGCTGGCAATGAGCCCCACCTATACAGCAACAAGCATGGCGATACTAACGGCTTCGACCGCGAGGGCCACGTCTTCAACCACGACGGCCAGACTGCGTACCCCGAAACTGGCGTGGCTCAGAACCTTTCTCAGCCCGCTGGGTACCGATACGGCTCCTAAACAAACAACCTCTTTTTCGATACTCAAATTGTATGTGTAGGATTGCCAGATACCCAATTTTATCGAACCGCTACAGGAACTGATTTGCGCATTGACTTGGGGCTTGTAACGCTGCCCATTTGGCTTCTAATGTCGAACGACCTTCTCTTGGCGACATATGAGAAAACGAAACTGCGAAAAGTTTTGTACATATATGTAGCAACATGATTCCCCGGTCTATTGCCTAGCTATATATAATGCCTAATGATAACTCGTTAACTATTAGTCTCGATCTTGACCTGGGGAGTTCTTGTCTCTGGTGTAACTTCCTCCGATACCTTGTCCAACCAACAAACAGAAAAGGATGTTCTTTGACATATCAATTCTTCATCACAAGTCATCCGATGGAATGAAGCTTGTTCTTGTTTTGAGATCTCGGCAGAATGGTGAAATAAATCAAAATCAGCAAATGGATCCGGCGATGCAGATTGGACAGGCTAACACAATAAGGGCGTTTTCTTACTAGTGCTGCTCAATACGTTTTGGTGGTGGTAATATATCCTACACGAAAGCGGTACACATCGGTCGACGGCCATGGTGCCAATACACAGCGAGAATTCTTGTGCTGAGAAGTTGATCCGATATCACACAAGACCATCCGAAACCATCCGATACTATACGTACATATTGATACCAGATGCGATCGATACTATGCGATTCTATTGACCTTATATACATCTCGGTATCAGACGCGCGTATCTAGGTCGTCATACAAAACCCCCACGACTGGATCTCGAAATGAGACATGACCTAGAAAGATAATGGCCAACAGTCCGTTTCTCTGGGCTCCAAGCACGTGGACCAGATGTGAAACCTGTAGACGTAAACCGGTCCTTTGGAAAGGCAGACATCTATCTGCACGAAGAAAGATGGCACACAGACCATCCATCCCATCTCATTCCCATTTTCCCGGGAAATCAAGCAAACAACATTTGACTGTCTTCGTATTGTCGAGATTTTACAATTTGTATTTCTATTGACCCCACATCCCTACACACTCAGCGTCCCCTTCGTACTCGGCACCTCGCCCTCGCGCCCCGGCACGCGAGCCGTAGCCATGCGCACGGCGACGGCCAGGGCCTTGAAGGCGCTCTCGGCGCGGTGGTGGTCGTTGTCGCCGCGCAGGCAGTCGACGTGGATCGTGACGCGCGCGGCCTGCGCGAAGCTCTGCAGGCAGTGCGGAATCATCTCGCAGCTCAGGTCGCCGATCTTCTCGCGCTTTAACCCCAAGTCCACGATGCTGAACGGCCGGTTCGATAAGTCCACCACGGCGCGCGAGAGCGCCTCGTCTAGAGGTGCGTAGGCCGACCCGAAGCGCGCTAGCCCTGTCGCGCTGCCGAGGGAGCGGGCGAAGGCCGACCCGAGCGCGATGCAGACGTCTTCGGCGGTGTGGTGGTCGTCGACTGTGCGTGGGGGCGCGGGTTAGCGGTTGCTTTGTTCTGCGGCGGGAGGGAGGGCTCGGCTGGGGTGTATGTAGATGTGAGGTATGATTCTGAGGCCCGGCGGAGAGGTAGCACCCCCCGTCCACCACCCAGATCTTCGTATATATGTAGATCAAAGAAGGCAGTTACGGAGAGTAGGTAGTCATAACGTACTGTGCAGGTCGCCCTGGCACGCCAGCGCCAGACTCCAGCCGGCGTGTTTCGCCAGCGCGTGCAGCATGTGGTCCAGGAAGCCGATGCCCGTGTTCACGCTGATGGTCTGCGACTTGCTGGCCTGGCTCGCGTGTCCCTCCTCGGCGGCCGACTTCAGCTTCGCGTCTGTCTCGGGCGGGAATGCGCCGCCGTCCAGGTTCAGCGCCAGCTGAATCTTGGTCTCGTTCGTGTCCCGCGCGAACGCCGCCCAGCGGGGGCTGCTGGCCTTTTCTGAGCCCATCGTTTGTCGGTGTCGCGGTGGCCTTGACGGGCAGATGGGTGGGTGGGTGGGTGGAATGGGAGGCGGGATTGTCGGTAGAATCGTAGACTTCAGGAGGCGTTGAGGGTGTTAATGCTGGCGGTAAACTGGTTGTCAGTCAGTTGGTGTTGTAACATTTTTGTTAGTATGCCGTGTCCGACTATCGGCATGGTGGCAGGGTGGGTTGGTTTCGATTTCAATTGACCAACCATCATGCATTTGCAAGACCCAAGAGCGGGCAGGTGCATCGGTAAGTCTAGGCCCCGCCAACCTCCCTCTATCGATAACGATTTTCTCCAAACGATTTAAGATTTTCTAGGAGCCGCGATTCTACCTATTGATTGAGAATCTGCCCGCCGCACCAGCTTCTTCCAGGGACCTACACACCACAGACACAGACAGACAAGATGCCGCCGTCAAAGACGAGAACGGTCAAGAACAAGCACGCCGCGAACAAGTCCGGCATCCAAGGCAGCAAGTCGTCCAAGTCTGGCCCCCAAGATGGCATCGTCAAACAGAAGGCTCGCAAGCAGGGTCCGCCTCCCTCGAAGCAGGCGAAAGGCCGAGGCGCCGCTGGTGCGTTGAAGAGGAAGAAGAAGATCTATACCGAGAAAGAGCTGGGCATTCCGGAACTGAACATGGTCACGCCGGTCGGAGTCACAAAGCCGAAGGGAAAGAAGAAGGGGAAGGTCTTTGTGGACGACAAGGTAAGTTGGACTGGGAGCCTGCTCACCCAGGCCCGATCAGCCCATATCTAGGGTCGCAAGAAAGCTGACTAACGTGCGTCTTCTTCTCGAACAGGAGAGCATGACCACAATCCTCGCCATGGTCCAGGCCGACAAGGAAGGCGAAATCGAGTCCAAGATGATCAAGGCCCGGCAGATGGAGGAGATCCGCGAGGCAAGAAGAGCCGAGGAGGAGAGGAATAACTCGGAGAGGAAGAGCAAGCTCGACGAGACCAAGGACTCGCTGCGGAAAAAGCGAAAGCGAAGCAGCAGCCGGCCGTCGGACGGAGGTGATGATGGCGAGGGCGCTGGCATCAAGGACGCTGTTTCGTCTGGCACCAGTACTGCGAGACCGAAGAAGAAGCGCGTGTCGTTTGCGTGAGCTTGAGCTGGAACGGGAACGGAACAAAAACATATACTCGGGCTACTGGGAGGCGGGCGTTCGACGGCGTTGCTTTTGCTCCACGGATGTTAGGTCTACGCATATGAGATTTGCGGTATACAAATTCTTGTGATACCCCTTGAAGACGATTCAGTTGCCTTGTATGCGTCTCCTGAGTAGGAGTCGGCCAATATCCGTCTATAAAGACTTGCGTTGTTGTGAAGACACCGGTCATGTGAGCCCTGTTCTCTTGGGTGCGCCAAACGGAGAAATAGTCCATCGTCACGCAATACTGCATGTGAGTTTAAGTGAGGCGCTGCTGATCCTTTACCATGAGATTGGGGCAGGCAACGGAGCCATTGAAAAGCTGAGACTTGGCCCCAACCCCCCTAACCACCCAAAATGGTCCTTTGCAGCTATTATATTCACATACAACACTTGATTACGTCGTCCCCAACGCTGGGGGTTGACATCGGGGGGTTCCACGGGGCCAGTTTCATCTTTTCTTTCAGCGCTTGCCTCCTGACTGGTGGATCCATGTAGATACGGCATCTGGGCGGCCAAATGCTGCGATAACATGATACCAATCGACAAGACTGCAAGATGGATCGTGAGATTACTGATTCCACGAATACATTTGCCAGCTGCCGCCGGCCAATCGCAGGCCTGGCTGGGACTCCAAGTTGGTAGCTACGATACCCCACCTGCATCTCACTATCAGCCTTCAGGACCACATGCCTGCTGCAGGTCTGTCATTTGAGGCTAGGGCGATCACTGCTCCCGTCCCGTGTTGCCAAACTTGAAGCAAGGGGCCCCGTGTGCTAAATTCAGCAGCGGCCGAACACATACCTAATACCTACATTCCAACTTGCAAGTTGTTGCAGGTACGTACGTGCTCGTTTGATCTCAAGCTTGGGCAAGTGTGCAATTGGTGGATTGGCGCATGTTGGAATGTTCAGTGTCGCGCTTTCGATTTCGATCTGGCATATCTGTTGGCAATCACTCGCTGCTGATCATGACGCAGACTCGTCCTGGGTCCAGACTGAGCACTGAGCACTGAGCAGTGAGCAGTGAGTGCGCGTACCGTGAAATGAAGGGATCCACCAATCCTTGTACCTGCAGGGACCGACCCCGAGCACGCCAGATGCGCGCAGTCGTTTCAACAGGAACAGCCCTGATCAGTGATGAGGAATATGAATATCAAGACAATATTCACGTGCGGCCACGCCCACCGCACTGAAAAATACGAGAAGTCTAGCTCCCGCGTGGCAGCGACATGCAGCCAACCATCGTTCCACACCGAGCACGCCATGTGAGCACAGCTTTGGGGGGGTTTTCGTGTTCCTGCGTCTGGCCGGCCGACCTATCAGATGTGTCAGATGTACCTATCTCAGGCGTCGTCCCTGAAGCCGCCACAATACGCCCAGCATGCAAGATGAGAGAGCGCTGCCGCCAGTCAGCACTCAGATCCAACAACTTCCAGCGTCGACTCTCGAGGAAGCGAAGGAAGAGGACCAACAAGACGTCAGATAGTATTGAAGATACCCTGGCAGCACCGACTCATCACAATTGAAGACAACGAATTGGCAAACGCGGATGTTTGCAAAGAAATGCCCCCGATCACTACGGGTAGCCCCCAGATGGCCCCTTGGTAGAGAGTTGTACCGCAGCAGATGATTGGGGGATTGGCCCAGCAAGCGATCTACGATTGGGTGTCTACACCCGGATCCCCTGCTGAGAGAGAGAGACATGGCTCCTCAAGCGAGATGAGCTCGTCGCTGGCCATAGTGAACGGCCACCAGACGGCCATAGTGCCCGCTACAGTCTACAGGGCAGTGACAGGGAGTCCCAGCACTGAGCAGCGCACGCACGCAGGCCTGGCAGTCCAGAGCCCACTACTCGGCAGCCTCTCATTTTAAATTTGGTGGGCATCCATAGCATCAAATGAGACCACCTGCACCTACGCATCCGTCGGTCTACAAACACGATCCCTCTCGCTCCAAGGTCCCCCTTCGTCGTCCTCCTCCACCTCCTCCTCCTCCCCTCCGCCGTCCGTTCATCGTTGCCGTGTCGATGTCCGGTGCCAGCTTCCCTCGCCGACGATGAGGATCGGGTGACGAAGACGACAACACACAGCCGAGACAGCGCAGACGAACACGATATAGGGGTAGCAGTAATGATAATTATGGGTTTCTCCGCACGATCGGCAACATAGCGCATTCATTCACTACCTGTCAGCGAGTCAGCGAACAGCACCCGGCGGATTAACACGTCGGCATTCATAACACTCTCTCAGAACTCGTATTCTTTTTTACACCGCCACCCAGCGCGCCATGGGAGAACCGGTTTCTGGGTCTTCTTTCCCTCAGACCCGAGAACACGACCAACATCAACAACACCTTCATTCACACACCAGTCGCGATTCCCACAATCACAACCATCAACACCACCACGCTCGTTCCCAAAACGATAAGAATACACACAAGCGGGACGATTCGGACCCGACTATAATTGTTGAGACCATCTCCGTTCTCCAACTAATCGACAACACCGGTGCGGTCCTTACCGTCCAGACACTTCCGAAACAAACGGCCAGCCCCCGCAGCGAGACCGAAGCCGCTCTGACTGTTGAAGCGGACCCTGCGACTGCGACGTACCCAGGCCCACCGGACGCTACATCGGGAGACGGCGACGACAATGATGGTGACAATTCACTGTCGTCCGCCAGTTCAACGACAGACCCGACCGTGACACCTTCGGAGTCCTCCATGCCAACTTCGTTTCCAACCTTGTCTTATGCGCCCTTGACGTCCACTCATTTAACAGGTTCTCCTGCTTTTCCTTCATTGGCCGGCGTAACAAATACCACTTCAACGTGTCAGTGTTGCCCATATCTTATGTGTCGGTCATGTTATTAACGCGTTTCTGCAGCTATTTCGAGTTCGGCTTCGACCTCGATCAACTCTACTTCTTCTTTACTATCCTTCACCTCTTCAAGCGGGAGCAGCTTTTCGATATTCAGCTCGGAGAGCAGTACATATTCATCTGGGTCCACATCTTCAAGATCATCGTCTGAATCTTCAACCTCTTCAACCTCGGTTTCAACTTCAACTTCATCTTCAGCTTCATCTTCAACTTCTGGATCCTTCTCTGGAACCGCTACATCTACCGGTCCTGGAAGCGATGGTTACACTGTAGTGGGAGGCGGGGATGGATCAACATCGCCTACGGCTACTGCAGCGGCCGGCGACGACCCAAATTCCAATTCGGGGGCGACGGACCAGAAATCTGTGGCTACCGTTGCTGGCAGCGTGTTGGGAGCGGTAGCTGGTGTCGCATTCATCCTGGTTCTCGCCTTGGTTGCTATACGATGGAAGAAACGCCAGAACACCTTGAAATTGATGCGAGGCTCTACGGGCGATCGAGGTCCCGGCGGTCTTCTCAGAGGAGGGAGTGCCGCGCCTAGCGGCGGAGGAGGCGCCGCTGGCGACATGTCGCAACGAAGACGATCGATTCCGTTTGCTGTACCCGCGGCTCTCGCCAACTTATCGGGATACAAGCGTTTTTCTAAAAGCACAGCATCATCTGACGGAGGCGAGAAGGGCTTCACTAAGGTTTCTGGTAGAAAGCTGCCACCAGTGCTGCAGTTTGGAGGCGATGGCTACACAGACCCTCGAGCAACAATGATGAGTGATCAGTCGATTGAATATCGCGACTCGCAAATGTGGCTCGGCCAAGCAGGTCCTTCAAGGCTGGCTGTCGGATCGCCGATGCGGCCGGAAAGCGGAATCCCGGTATTCCACGCCAGCCCGGCGCGGACGCCCGTGACGCGGCCTGGACCGTTCAGCCCTTATACCGACAGTTCTCCCCTCGAGCCGCCTCAGAGAGATCCGCTTGGACGTTCACATCCATCACGTGATGGATCAACTCGGTCTCATGGGTCTGCCTCAAGATTCACTGAGGAACTATGAGTCCGGTTCGCTTCGGCCTACCCGGTTGTTTGTTGTTTGTTTGTACAAATTCTGATTTTCGATGATACCGCTTGGCATAGTGTCGACACGTTGATAATGCCCTAGCATCAGTTCCGGCGTTAATATGATTAAGGCTTTTGGGGGTTGATGAATGAGCTGGGACGACAAAGCTGGCTTCAGCGTCGTCGTGTCCTAGTTTATATGGGATGTCACATTTCTTGTAGATAGCCGTCCGAGGCGCTGCCCTTGCAGTGCCCCGGACGAAAAAAAGAGCATGACGATCGGCCGGTCGAGATGCACGATTTCCCGGCCTGCTCATAATAAAGCATAATAATTCTCGGATCCGTCTACCCGTTTGTGTCATTCCGGACCCTTTACTTCGGAACCATCGAGACATCTATGCGTCTGGCATGAGTGGTGCTGGGACACGCGTCCCCTCGTGTGTGTGTGTGTGTGTGTGAGACTGCCATCATGCGCCATCTTTGTTCATGCTCTGCGGGCAGGTTGGGATTACGTTATCTAGGTGAGTCCTAATGACCACCGGCATAACGAACGAAGAATGGGGGCTAGAGGAAAGCATCGAAACGCCATGCTTATCCAACCGCGGGCGAAAGAAAGCATGCCATTTCTACTGGGCATCGACATGGCTAAGGCAAGTGCAGAAAAATCACCGTAGACATGTGTCTATCATGCCCCCAAACCTGAAAACGTGGAAATACCTGGGGCTGCCCGCCATGAGACTGACATGAAACGCCGCAGGCGCGCAGGGAGGAGGCCATCCCGTCGCTTTGGCCCTCTTGGTCGTGACATTGTCAGCAGGGAAAATAATGTTCGCTCTGCGATTTTGGCCATTTGGCGCGAGAACTCCATGCCCACAAAGGACGTCAAGGTGTTCCCCTGGAAAATACTGGCTGGGGCGCTCAAGAAGATCATATTGAAATACGTGAGTAAAGTCTCCACCCTGGCCGTCTTTTCATTCTTTTTCTCGCGTCTCTCGGTCGATTGATTTTCCAATCTTCCGGCAGGTGAGTTACTGAATACCATGTCGTCGTCTGACCACATGTATGCCGATCTGCTTTTAAGGGCTACCTATCTGTAACTCTGAAGCCTTGTTCAGAGTCGGGATGTCCAGCGAGCAACTCTGCTGCCGGTGCGGGCAGGGGTGGTGAAACAGGTTTGAGATGTCACTCCCGGGCTCTCGGGGTCTCGTTGCACGCCGCAGACGGGAGTCTGGGTGCGTCTGTGAGGCCTCTCGCGCGCGGGCTGGGCGGCTCATGTGGTCGATCGTCATCATATGACTGCTGATGGGTTTTGGAGATGATGGCCAATGGTCTTGCTGGGACCCCATGCCGCCGTGCTATTATTGCCTATTGGTCATGTCTGCCGGCACTCTACTTGCAATATTGGTGATATCACCAGACAGCAGACAGCAAAGTTGCTTGCCAAGTTGCTGTCAGATCTGAGTTTGCTTTGATAGCGGCATCCGACGAACCACTTTTCGACGATCCAGGCCGTGGACCGAGAAAGGGCGCCAGAGAGACCCGCGTCCCTGCGTCTCATTTGCTGAATGGAGTAAGAGGGGTTCGGGGACTCTTCCGTCGCGGGTTTGTGAGGTTTATTTTTCATTATCGAGTTGCTTCGCTGGTTCAGGTCCGACCGTCCGAGTCCCATGATTCCCCTTATTAGAGATTAGAAACATCTTCACAGGTGCTCTCCTATTGGCAACACAGGTGAAGCCGTCACTGCATTGTTGTCTGGACAGGAAGCTCTTGCAGGTCCCTGATGAGCGTCGTAGGCCACCGGGCCAATGAGGAAGTCAGACGGAAGAAGCCGCACCCCTTGTCTCTCGGCCGGGCCTTGTCATGCTGTCATGTCCCTCTTCACCCTCGTACGGAAATACATCCCGCTGCAGAAAGAATTCTTGGAAGTTGGTAGAGATTTCCTTTGATCGTCCTCTACAGTACTATTGCAGTACTGGTGGTACGGGAACACCACCAATGGTATTGTGACGTTGTCAAGAAAACCCGAAGGCTACACCGGTTACCTACATGTACATACCGCCGCCGTCTTTTAATAGTTGCCTCGGCTTGCCAATCACGGACGAGGTGCCTCTGCCTTTGCGTCAGTGCCTCTTCCTCCCGCCTGCGCCTGGGCGTTTAGACCGCTCAGCCCCCTTTGAAGTTGCTTCCGGACGAATAGCATGTTGCTTCACCTTTTAGCTGTCCAAGTTGATTCGTAATCTGGGTGTCTGGGCTAGTTTCCACGACTAGATCGAAAGGGAGGAGTCCCCTTATTTCCAAATTCTCGTCCCTATTATCGACCCGGCCATCCGCTAGGTCCCACCGTCCGTTCCCCCATTCCCCAAGCCCGTCTACTCACCCCCACGACTTTATCTCCGTCATACATACTCGTCGACTCGCTCCCCGCCGAAAAAACCACGCTCTACCCAGTTCAAACGCGAGCGCAAGAAGACGACGACAGCGACGACTACCAGGCCGACGCCACGAACGCATCCATCATGGATCACCTCCGAGTCGATCCGGGGGGCTTCCAGATTCCTGGCATGCCCCCTCCCCAGCTGATGAACCAGCCGCCCCAGATATTCGGAGCATACGGTCACGACGGCATGTCTGTACTACCACCCGAGCTGGCCGCTCAGATGGGCTTCGACCCATCGTCGCTGCTTGACGATGCGAACGAGGCAAAGCGGAGGAGGATCGCGCGGGTGAGCATATTCAAGCCAACGACGCTGGTTAGGAATACTGATCGCAGTGCAGGCCTGCGACATGTGCCGGAAGAAGAAGATCAAGTGCGACGGCAAGATGCCCGCCTGCACGCATTGCATCAATTACAAGACGGAATGTGTCTTTACACAGGTCGAGAAGAAGAGGAGTCCTCCGAAAGGGTACGGTGATTACTCACGTCGACTGCTTCCTGCTTGCTTGGCTAATGCGATGAACCCAGAGCCAAATACATCGAGGGTCTCGAGAACCGCCTGGGACGTATGGAGAGCCTGCTCAGGTTATCTGGTAAGTGCCCAACTGCCCGTCTGCGATGCGCCGGATCGTTTCAGCTTTAGCCCATTCTCCGGACTTCAGCTGACACACTTGCCGAAGGACTCCTCGGAGACGACGACGAATCGACCGATCTCGCTACTTTGGAAAGGCGCCTCGCCGAGAAAAACCAACAATCGAGAAGTGCCTCTCATGTACCACAATCGAATCCCACATCACCCTCGCAAACGTCAGGCTTTCAAGACGGCACTGTCTCGACACCTCGAAGTTCATTAACTTCGCCCGAGCCAGCCAAAGATCGAGACTACAGGAGGGACCAGTCTCCCAACCCGGAAGGCCATGGAGGTGAGGAAGAAGTGTCGGCCCTGTCGGAGATGATGTGTTCGCTGGTAACAAACAATTCTGGCGAGACGAGATATATCGGTATGCCGGCCTATTCCGTATTGTGCGCTCTAGCTAACGCGTAGCAGGATCTTCGTCTGGGTTCTCTATTTTCTCGCCCAAAGGCATCCAGTGGGTGAATGATAGAACGGGGGACACATCATTCCAGCAAATGATCTCAGAAGTCTCGCTCGACGATCACAAGTGGAACCACTGGAAACCCGAAGTCTTTGCTGACCTTTTCCACCGTCCGATATTCCGGCCCTTGCCGCCAAAGGCAGAGGCTCTGTCTCTCCTCAAAGATTACTTTGAGAACTTCAACTGCATGTTCCCGCTATTCCACCAGCCCACGTTCATGCACCTCGTCGAGATGCAGTATTCTGCCGAGCCGTATGAAGGCTCTGGATGGTGGGCTAGCTTGAATTGCGCCTTCGCCATCGCCCATAGGCTTAGGGTTATGAGTAACCTCGTGCCGGCGGAAGAGGATGAGAAGGCGTGGGCGTATTTGAAGAATGCTATGGGTGTCTTCTCCGAACTGACCATGCGCAACACCGACTTGCTGAGCGTACAGGCTCTGCTCGGGATGGCTCTATTCATGCAGGGAACGCCGAATCCCCAGCCTTCATTCCTCTTAGTCGCAGCTGCCATCAGGCTGTCACATAGCATCGGCCTACATAAGAGGGGCAGTGGTTTCAACCTGAATCCTGTCGAGATTGAGCAGAGGAAACGGGTGTTCTGGATCGCCTACATGTTGGACAAGGACTTGTGTCTGCGCTCCGGACGGCCGCCGGCGCAAGACGACGACGACATGAACGTCGAGCTTCCAGATGCCGACCCGGACGACCACATTGGCAATATTCCTCTCGCTAACGGGAAGGGGAAGATGAACCTGTTCCGAGTGATGTGCGAGCTGGCATCGATCGAGAGCAAGGTCTACAAGAAACTGTACGCGACGAAAGCGACCAAGTTGTCGAACGGCGAGCTTCTGCAGACGATTGGGGAACTTGATAAGGATCTCGAGAATTGGAAGGACAACATTGACATCGATTACCGACCGGAACACGAGATCAACGCTTCGCATACGCCGTTGATACTGCATATTGCGATGTTACATTTCTCTTATTACAATACTCTTACCACCATCCACCGCATGTCAGTCCACCGCGGCTATTGGACAAGTCGCTTATCAAACTACGCTATCCAGGGTCTAAATGCGAGACCCCTGAACCCGAGAGTGTTCTCCTCGGCGGCGCTATGCGCTTCTGCTGCGCGAGCAACGATCTCTCTACTGAAGTACATTCCACAGGGTGACTTCTCTTGTGTTTGGTACGTAATCACACCAGATCTAGCCTGCGTCGTCAACCTTGCTAACGAGAACAGGATGATATTGTATTTCCCTGTTTCTGCTCTGGTGACGTTGTTCGGCAACATCCTCCAGAACCCGCACGATCCGCGCGCCAGATCGGATACGAAACTCATGAATCTAGTGGTGACATTTCTCTCCACGCTCGGTGAGGAGGCCGAGACCGGTGGTGTCTATCGTATGCTAGGCGTGTGCTCGGAGTTCGAGCGCATCGCCAAGGTTGTCATCGACAAGGCGGAGAAGGACTCGTCGTCCCGGAAGAAGCGGAAGAACAACGACGTCTCAAAACAGAGCAACAACAACAACAACAACAACAACCACTCTTCTCCATCATCGCATTTCACAGTGACTCCACGCCCGACGACGTCCTCGGCCGCAACACCAACAACCAACTACAGCCATAACCCGCAGGTGGCACAATTGTCGCCCAAGTTCAACGGAGAGCAGAACCGTCAAGCCAACAACGGCAACATGAACGGCAACGGGGGCTACAGCCCGATGGAAACGGCGACATCGACGAACGGGGCAGCGCCGCGCGGTGGGCCCGGAGGTTGGCCGTCCCAGGAGTTCGACCCCAATGCCATGTCAGACATGGGCTCGTTCTCAGAATTAACGGGCTTCGGACAACCCCTGGCGTCGCCACCTGCCATGCTGGGGCCCAACGGTATGGGTGGTCCGAACGGCGCGCCCGGCGGCTTCCACCAGCCCCTATTACCACAAGATCTGTGGCAGCTGCCCATGACGCTTGACTGGGACTGGGCCGAGTTCATGGGCGGTGCGTACCCGAGCTTCGAGAACGGGTCTACGATGCACAATGGGCAGCAGTAGTAGCCCCCGCCCATGACCTAATTTGGAGCAGCCGAAGATTGACTGAGCATAATATTCGATCTGGAGTGTTTAAATGATGTACAATGATTCATGGGTCAAACGGACCACGGCAGATGGAGCGAGCGCAGGATGAGCGGGAGTACGTAATTTTCATTCAGAGCGGGCAGGTTGCAAACGTGCACGGGAAAACATCATGGGCGGGCATATGGAAAGCGTGGGAGATATCAAACTGGTGTTTTTTTACGTGTTTGTCCTTTTGATTTCGCGTTCGTTATGTACGCCAGTGGATTGGCAACAGCCTAGCTATTCCTTCCGGGCTGGCTGGGGCGGGGACGGGAGTTCTATTTGCTTCAATGTACTTGCGTACGGGGAACGGGATGCGGAGCATGGTCTACACTCGCCACTTGCTTAGGTATAGGTACTCTTGGGATATATATCATGAGACTTTCTCTTGTCTGCTTCTATGTTTATGTGTAGTTGATTGTACTTGTTATCAACCGATTTTATGCGAAATGGTGCACTTAAGAGTGCTGCGTAGGCGAGGACATGTGATAGGAACCTAAGAGCCAGGGATACTGGGCGGACAGGCGGGATGGTAGAAGTGATGTACGGTTTTATTGAGCTCGGAGGATGGTCGCGACTTGTGCGGATTCAAAGTGCTTCATAGTGGATTAGATGTTATATAAGCCGAGAGCAACACTCTTGAGACTAAGGTCACAACTCTTAAGGCTGATGTTATTACTCTCAAGGTAAACGCCAACGCTTTCCACGAAAAAGCTCGATCAAGCTAAAAAAAGCGCCTCGCGGCCCCGCATTGATTGGGGGAGCTCTAGGGACGACATGATGGCGGGTCGTCTGTAGACTTCATACAGATGATTATGCGCTAGATTACGATGACCAAGGAGAGAAAAGAGCGCAAAAGACCCCGAGGCCTTAACTGAGATACGTTGCTAGTACCATGACGAATTCTGTTTGTAGGTATATTACACTGACCCTCCAAAAGTCTCCGAGCATCCACCACGCTAGTTTCAAAACGCGTCTACGCGCTCGCGACCCCCTTCCTTCTTCACCTTTTATTTACTCAATACCAAAACGATGGATTTACAAAAGGTTGGTATAATTCTGACCGCAAATCGCGGGCCAAACCAGGAATTTATTTTTGAAGCTCGTGCAGCTATTGTGGCTGTTAGGGCGGCAGGCGCAAGGCGCGACGATGTCGCAAGCGCGTTCCATCTGGATCGGCCTCAAACCGTGACCGACATTATTAACACTGCTAGAGAGCATAACACCACGGTCTCTCGATCTTAAGAGGGAGCCATAAGGACTCTAAACAAGCGCAAAGAAACTCAGTTAATTAAAACAGCACGAAAGTACCCCAGGGCTACCTACAAAGAGCTCAAGAAAGAGAGCAGGGTCCTCAGCTCCCATACCACTATTAAGCACGTTCTTCACGCTCACAGGCTTCGCAAGTAAAACACGGCGAAACGGATCGAGCTTATGGAAGATGACGCACGAGAGAGGCTCGTTTTTTACAATAAATATGACTCGCCAGAGGCTCTTAAGGAGCTGATACAAACACTCTTCTCAGACGAAGTCACGGTCCAGAATTCATCCGATAATCCGGGCGATTGGGTCATCCGCCTCTCTTCTGAACGTTACATGCAGGATCTCGTGAACCCTCGGAGTCATGGGAGACCCTGTATCTCTATTATGTGTTGGGCCTTGATCTGGTTACGCAGCGGAGAAGGTGGCCTAGGCAAAATCATCTTCTGCGAGCCCGATGAGGATGCTCCTCGCGGAGGAGTATCTTCAGCTTCATATCAAGACGTCCTTGAAGAAGGGCTCCTTCCGTTCTACGAGGCTGGGAATCTTTTTATGCAAGATAACGCTCGTATCCATCGATTTGGAGGCACTCCAGAGTGGCTAGAGGAGCACGACATCTGGACGATGGACTGGCCTGCTCACAGCCCTGATTTGAAACCGATCGAGCATATTTGGGCACTTCTAAAGAAGCAAATACGGAGAATCGAGCCTGGTTTCGCTGATTTGAAGGCTAATATTGCCCACGAGGTATATGCCAGACAGTTAATCGAAAGGGCGTGGTCAGAGATCGATCCTAAGGATGTACGCGTTCTCGTCGAATCTCTCGGCAAGCAAATCGCCGCAGTGAAAAGAGCAGGTGATTGGTACACACACTATTGAATGGCTTATATAATGCAGTTTTTTTCATATTATTACAGTGAGAGATGGGTGCGTGGTGAATGGTGAAAGTTGGAGGGTGTAGGCGTGTAGGGCTGCTCGAAAAGTGGGCTCGGAGACTTCTGGTCGGGGAGTGTAGCAAATGCTTGGAGCGTCAGGTGCAAAAGATGGATGACACCCCTATTGTCGATTGCCTCTAGCATAACTGCTTATGCCAGGTGCTTAGCTTTATGCAATTCGTTATTCCCACTACAAGTCCGATAGCGCCGAGGTTATCACGTGTGGTGCTGCAGCGGCAGCTCGGGCCGCTAGCTGTGTTGGGTTAGCGAGGCAGCTGCAGCTTTCTAATGATCACCACCTCTTATGACCGATGACTGGTGTGAGGCGAAATAGCTTTCTACCGTAATAACTTTAACCACCTCCAGCCCGCGCCACGAACACCAACCTCGCATACTCTTCTCTATGCGATAATACGGGCCTCGGAATTGCCATCTACCCCCATCCATCCACCCTCTATCCTCCGCCTCCGCCTCCGCCTCGTCAGGCCCCAAGCTCTTGACCTGCGTTATGTCGAGCTTGCTGAGGCGGTCGACCGGACTTGCGCGGGTCGCCAGCTATTCGCTAAGCGCTTCGACCCGCGCAACCCTCCGAACACCACGAGCTCTACGCACAACCTCCTCGGCATGGGCAAACCAGCGACCTCGATACTACTCTTCCGACCAGAAGCCACCGGAGCGCGAACGCAAAGACAGCAAAGATGGCGAAAGTGATGGTGCGACACCGTCCAAGGAGGTGCCGTCGAAGCCGCAGATGAAAAACCACAACTCGCCAGGTCCCACCGAGGGCGAGGCGCCTACAGCTTCCGAAAATGCGAAGGACGGCAGGCTGCCCTTGCCAGAGGGCTGGGTATACCTCAGCGACGCCGAGTACGAGAAATTACAGAATATGCTCTCGACGGGACCTCTGTCCTTGAAAGAGAACGAGAAACGTGCCATCTCCGAGATCAAGCGAGTTGGCGTACCAAAGGGATTGGCAGACATATTGAAGAAGCGGCAGGACGGCACTTTGGGTATCGCCGACGCGGGCAAGGCCTTGAAATCTATATATGCTCTATCCAAGAGACTCGCAGAATTAGACTATCCGGAGCTCCAGAACGGATCGCAGTCGAAGCCATCTAAAAGCTACGCGGAATCGTCCTCCAAGAACAGTTCAAATGAGGAGGGGAAGAAGGCGCAAGACGGCGAGCAGAAGCAGGACGATCAGAACCCTAAGATGGGCGAGAAGGGCTTCAACTCGAACCGGCCGCCGAATCCCGAGAACAACTCTGACCCCAGTCCGCTGAGGGGGAACGACTGGGTGACGACAGTCGTGGGGTCCGCCATCGCGTATTGGATCTACACTTCGATATTCGACGAGGGGGGACGAGAAATCACGTGGCAGGAGCTGAGAAAGAACTTTCTGGAGAAGGGTCTCGTGGAGAAGATGGTCGTATATGGCCACAAAGTCCGCGTTGAGCTCAATCGAGAAGCTACTGCGTCCATGTACCCGGATTCTGTTGCACTACGCCCTGGTTTCAACTACTACTTCTCCATCGCTTCCGTAGAGGCTTTCGAAAGGCGGTTGGATGAAGCTCAAAACGAGCTTGGTATTCCCAACAGCGATCGGATACCTGTGAGCTATGCCGGAGAGAGTGGTTTCATGAGCCTACTCATGGCGTTCGGACCTACGCTCTTGCTTGTCGGTCTACTCTTCTACGCTAGTCGACGGGGACCTGGTGGCGGCGGTGCCGGTGGAGTCTTCGGCTTTGGAAAGAGCAAAGCGAAGCGGTTCAGTCAAGAGACGGCTGTCAAAGTCAAGTTCGCTGATGTTGCCGGTCTAGACGAAGCCAAACAAGAGATCATGGAATTCGTGAGCTTCCTTCAAAAGCCGGACAAGTTTGTAAGACTAGGTGCCAAGATTCCCCGAGGTGCTATTCTGGCAGGACCTCCTGGAACTGGTAAAACCTTGCTCGCAAAAGCCACTGCAGGCGAGTCTGGTGTTCCTTTCTTCAGTGTGAGTGGTTCGGAATTCGTCGAGATGTTTGTTGGTGTTGGTGCGTCGAGAGTACGGGATCTCTTTGCCACGGCGCGGAAGAGCGCTCCGTGCATCATTTTCATCGATGAAATCGATGCTATCGGCAGATCGCGTGCGGAAGGGCAGAGGTTCGGAGGTAATGACGAGCGGGAGGCAACATTGAACCAGATCTTGACCGAGATGGACGGTTTCAACACCAGTGAGCAGATTGTTGTTCTTGCCGGAACCAACAGAGTGGACGTCTTGGACAAGGCGCTGATGAGACCTGGACGTTTCGACCGGCACATCAACATCGACGCCCCGACCATGGCAGGACGACAAGACATCTTCAAGGTTTACCTGAAGAAGATTGTCACGCACGAAGAGATAGAATATCTGAGTGGTCGCTTGTCTTCTCTGACACCGGGCTTCGCTGGTGCTGACATCGCCAACTGTGTGAACGAGGCTGCACTTATTGGTAAGTATCCTTGTGGGCGACGCGTTTCTTGGTATGCGATGTGCTAATCAGTCACAGCTGCGAGGAATAACGCGGCATCGGTGACGTTGCAGCACTTCGAACAGGCAATCGAGCGTGTTATTGGTGGGCTCGAGCGCAAGTCACTCGTCCTGAACCCGGTGGAAAAGAAGACGGTCGCGTACCATGAAGCTGGCCACGCTATCTGCGGCTGGTTTTTTAAATATGCTGATCCGCTTCTGAAAGTATCCATCATCCCTCGTGGAAAGGGCTTGGGCTACGCCCAATATCTTCCCGGCGACGCCTACCTCATGTCCTACCAGCAGTTGATGGACCGGATGGCCATGACACTAGGAGGTCGAATCTCGGAGGAACTACATTTCCCTACCGTGACAACAGGAGCAAGTGACGATTTCTCAAAGGTGACGCAGATGGCCACGGCCATGGTGACGCAATGGGGTATGTCGGAGAAGGTTGGACCTCTCCACTTCCGAAACGACGAGAGCAAGATCCACAAGCCATTCTCGGAGATGACGGGACAGACGATCGATGAGGAGGTCAAGCGCATCGTTGAAATGGCATACAAGCAGTGCAAAGACCTCCTGACGGAGAAGAAGAAGGAGGTTGGTATTATCGCCGAGGAATTGCTGAGCAAGGAGATGCTTGTCCGAGATGACATGATCCGTCTTTTGGGTCCTCGACCGTTCGATGACCGGGACGACTTCACGAAATACTTTGGCGGCACAGCTAGCACAGAGCCGAAGGGACCACCGCCGCCACCTTCGTCGCCCAGTCTCCCCGACACGCCCGAGCCGCCTGCAGCCCCGGCGATGTTCAAGGCGGTGGACGCCCAAGACATCAGGTGATATTGATGGTGGTGCACTCCGTATATATCCACAACCAGGCGCAGGGCATGGCGGCATGGCTTCGCATGGAAAAGGGTTGTCGAGGGGCTCTCATGGTCACATTCTGACGCAAAAGCTCTCAACTCATCCCGTGTATGTTAATCACCCACCTACTTTTCCCAACGAGGGGGAAATTAAGGCACACACACTCCCTTGTCGGATAGCGACGTGTACCCAACCCATGTACTATTAGATAGAAGTTGACAAATCGCAAGGGAACCGGGAGTTAGGAACTCTCGAGACATGGGTTTTGGTTGCCTCTATATCTTGAATCGAGTACACTTTGTTTCTTTTGTTCAAGCTTATAACAGCAAATGCATACGCACATACCTAACGTACTGTTACCACTTTCGGTGACTGCATCCGAGTTGACCGGCAGACCGGGAGTTGACCGGGAGTTGACCGGGGGTTGATGCAGAAGTTCTGCCCGCGATCCTGAGTGCGTCTTACCTCGGTTTAGCGCTGCCCATCATCTTTTTGCGTAGTGGGACGAACTATCTACCCTGTCAGCCTGTACATCTCGAAGAATCGAAGCCTCATCTTCATGACCAGATTCTTGGGAATTCTTCGAGGTTGAGGTTGCGCTTGTAGTACCGGTATTAGCTTCAGGATGGCGAGGTTCTTTCGAGGTAGGTAGCCTTCCCGCCTCGTCTCTGCGTATCTGAACTTCAAATGTTGTGATACCGCTTTTATCTTGACATCATCCCTAGCGATCCCGTCACTCTCATCCCTGTCAGTCTGGCGTACGACCCCCACAAAATATGCAGATTCTGTGGGGAAGGAAGCCTTGAATTTGCTCGCCCCTGCCGCTGCGCTCACCGGGCTTCGCTGATATATAATTAAGTATATATCTTGACGGGCTACCTACGGTCTTGATTGCCTCTATGCTTGTTTTCGTTCCTGTCTTTCCCAACGACCTACGGCGACAAAGCGACGGGAATAGTGTTTTAGGAAACATGCCGCGCTACGCTACTCACTGAGACATACTCTTGATTCACGATTAACGGTCGTCTTGTCTTGTCCTGTCTTATTCCGCTCTGGCTCCTGGTCCAGATCAGACTTAGACCCAGCCAATCGGCTGCTCCCGCATTCCTCACTATAGAGTCTGCGGTAGATTCTCAACTCAAAGTCAAGCCACCACCTACAAGGCTGACAGACACACCCAGCCAACATCTACAACAATGTCGCCGTCAGCCGCAACGCAGCCCGCCCACGGCACCGGCACCGGCACGGAGAGGAAGCGCCGCGGTTGGGCGAGGGCGTTCAAATCGCATAATACCACCAACTCGAGTCCCGGCGATGATGTTGTTGACGATGGGGGCAACCGCAGCACCGGCATCACGAGCAGCACGAGGATAAGTGGGCGGAGTAGGCCGCGGTGGTGGAAGATCCATCTCTTCCGCGGCATGGTCAACGACGTGCGCCGCCGCGCGCCCTACTACTGGAGCGACTGGCGCGATGCGTGGGATTACCGCGTCGTGCCTAGTACTATCTACATGTATTTTGCCAAGTAAGTACGGACTATCTTTCTTTTTCTCTTCCGTGCTGGTGGGAGGGTCTTGCGTTTGTCCTTGTTTGTGTTGTTGGGTGGTGGGTTGCTGTTTGACGTCGCCCCCCCCCTTGAATGGGAATGGTGTTACGACGGGGAGAATTTTGAACTGACTGACTGACTGATGGTGTCCTGAGAATAGTATCATGCCGGCTTTGGCTTTCAGTCTTGATATGTTCACCAAAACGGATATGCAATGGTACGTATAGAAACCTCCCTTTCGTCAAACCCCTTTCTTCGGGCTTCGAACCGGCTTGTACTTTGTCTGGATTTCTACTAATATTTTGGTAGTAAGTAATCCGGCAAGGCTTGCCCGCACCTTCCAGAAGGTGATGTTGCAGGGACTCACGCGGTCTGTTTTCATTCTATAGATGGTGTCAACGAGGTGCTGCTGGCGTCTGTACTCGGTGCCGTTGTCTTTTCGCTCCTGGCGTGTCAGCCGCTCGTCATCGTGGGCGTTACGGGTCCTATTACAGTCTTCAACTAGTGCGTCCTCCCCATCTTCTACAAGCAGCCCCCATTCCTTCCCTGCTTGAAGCCGGCGGAGCATTTCCGCTGATATGACTGACGTCGAGGGAATATAGCACCGTCTACGACATCATGTCGCCGACAGGAACGAACTACCTGGCCTTCATGTGCTGGATCGGGTTGTGGTCGCTGATATTCCACTGGATCCTCGCCGTGACGAACGCCTGCAACTGGCTGAAGTACGTAACGCGGTTCCCATGCGACATCTTCGGCTTCTACGTGGCCTTCATCTACCTGCAAAAAGGTATTCAGGTCTTGGAACGCTTCGGAAACGACTCGCCCTTCTATCTGAGCGTCATGGTTGCCCTGCTCGTCTTCATGATCGCATACATATGCGGCGAGCTCGGCGGCAACAGCGCCCTGTTCCGACACCCCGTCCGCGTGTTTGTGAAGGACTATGGTACTCCGTTAACGGTCATCTTCTTCACCGGGTTTATACACTTTGGCCGCATGAAGACGATTGATCTTGAGAAGCTGCCGACGAGCGCCCCCTTTTTGCCGACCGCGGATAGGAGCTGGCTCGTCCATTTTTGGGACATCTCCGTCGGGGATGTGTTCATCGCTATGCCGTTTGCGATCCTGCTTACGATTCTCTTCTATTTCGATCATAATGGTAAGAACAGCTTGTCTGTCTTGAGGACTATAGAATGGCACAGACAGCTGATAAAGCGACAACAGTGTCGTCCCTCATTGCACAGGGCACCGAGTTCCCGCTGCGCAAGCCCGCCGGCTTCCACTGGGACATCTTCCTCCTCGGCATCACCACGGGCGTCGCTGGAATCTTGGGATTACCCTTCCCCAACGGCCTGATCCCGCAGGCGCCCTTCCACACGGAATCGCTCTGCGTGACCAAAGTGGAAGTCGACACAGACGAGACAAGCCCGACGAAGGGCCACTTCTCCTTCCGGCGCACGCACGTCGTCGAGCAGCGGCTCTCGAATTTCGCCCAGGGCCTCCTGACCCTCGGCACCATGTCGGGGCCCCTGCTCGTCGTGCTGCACCTGATCCCGCAGGCCGTGCTCGCGGGTCTGTTTTTTATCATGGGCTACCAGGCGCTCGAGGCCAACGGCATCACGGCCAAGATCCTGTTCTTGCTCCGCGACGGCATGCTGACGCAGGCGGACCACCCGCTCCGCCAAATCGAGCGCCGCGCCGCCGTCTGGGCTTTTGTCGTTATCGAGCTCGTCGGGTTCGGCGCTACGTTCGCGATCACGCAGACGGTCGCTGCGGTCGGGTTCCCGATTATTATCCTTGCGCTTATCCCGGTGCGTGCGGCGGTGTTGCCGCGCTTCTTTCGGAAGGAAGAGCTGGCGCTGCTGGATGGGCCCACTGCGAGCCCGTTTACGATGGAGAGCGTGGGCGGGTCTTATGGTGGGGGCGAGGAGGCGTTGGGTGGTGGTGATGGTGGCGATGGTGGTAGAGCGGAGAAGGGCAGTGCTGGGAGTGTTCCGGCGACTGCGACGGGTAGTGGGCAGCCGAGCGTCTTGTTTGGTGGTGCCGATGAGAGGAAGAGTGGCGATGTGCTGGCGGAGGAGGGACGGGGCTCGGGTGAGGGTGAGGGTGAGGGCTCGGAGGCGGGTGTGGATAGACGAGGTCCGTCGGTTCGATAGCGCGGATTCGGAGGGAGTAGTAGAGGGACTGTTAATGTGCTGATAGAACGGATGAAAAGATCTGATGGTGCGATTACTAGAGCTTTATAGAGTCGAGCGTCGGCTTGGGGGAACTAACGGCGGGCTGTGATGTCTGGACGAAGAATACCTACGCTTCGTGCTGCGAGGAAACGGCGAGTTCGATGATATAGTGCTCTAGGGCACATGGTATATAATGGTAATCATATTCTAGCTCTACGTCGAGACTTGCCTCTATGTATAGACACGCGATCCTATGCTGCCAACATGCCTATGGTGTAGCATACCTACGTCCTGTGGTTCAAGCTTGGTGTCTCCCAAGATACCTGCGCAGCTCTTCTCGTAAGAAAAGGAAAGTTGCCTAACCGTATATTCTTATTCCACACTTTTATGTCCGCTTCGTGACTATATACCTCTCTTCCGTCGCCTGTCCGCAGGCACACAACGTGGTTCTTTGCTGTTCGCAGTTACGCCGGCTCTAGTGACATGTGGAGGAGAGTCCTGCGATATGGAAACGATAGCGTTATTAGAGGAGATCGTAAATCGGGGCGCGAACATGAACGCGTGAGGAAAAAGATGCGAGCTCTTAGCACTTAGTGTGAAGAGTCATCCGTCGTACCATTCAGCAGCAACCAACTCGTGTCGTGACTTCATTTCTTGTTTCCGGCTATCAAGGTCCACTAAATGAAGTCGAGCCGCATCATCGAAGTGCGAGCCGCATCAGAGGATCGCTGCATATTCGCGTAAATGCAACACGCGTGTCGATGCGTCATTCTTGCCATGGCCTCCGTCGAAGGCGAGCGTGGACCTCGGTCGTCGTCACGGTTGCGACAAAGTTGCGTCCTTATGGGAAGGGACAGTGTTCGTCGGTCTCGTTTACTATGCCTTGACCATGGAGACGAGGAAAGTGTAGAAGAAGGGTGGGATAGGAGTAGGAGTGATACTAAGCCATCGCAGGAACGGACTGGTGGTAATGTCGTCGGTGGCGGTCCAGGACCCCAACTCGATGAAGACGGCGCAGGGCTACAGCGACGTAGACCATCGCGAGGAGCCTCAGGTCGTGGTTCTCCGGTGATATGACCAACATATGCACCAAGCCCATGGCTATAGATGGTGCCTCTGCGTCAGGCGGTGAGACAGACTGTCGATGTTGTTCTTGGGTGCTCTTTTCGAAGTAGAGTTTCGAGATCATGATCGCGGCGGCGCGGGGTGGTCGTCGAAGCTCGGTTTTCAGGTAAACGGAGGACCCTGATGAACTCCTAAAACGCTACTCAGTAAATCGATAGAATTAAATGATGTATGGCCGTGTTGTCGATGACTTAGCTAAACCTCCCCTGGGCTGGGTAGGTAGGTTGGTGGTTGGCATCGAGACGTGGACGAATCTATTTGTTTCGCGGCAGCGAGGCGAGCATTTTCAACTCTCGTATCGGTTCAGGGGGGATATTTTCAGTGTATAGCATCCCAGGATCATGTATCCCGAAACTGCGTTATTTCCAGAGGTGTTGGCGGCGTTCTTCGACATTGAATCATCGTGACTCTGCGGGCGAATTGTCAGCCCCTGAAGAGACAATGCAAGATGCAGAGCGATCGAGAACAACCTAGGTCGAGCAAGCCAAAGCAGTTGCCTGATAAAAGTAAACTCCAGGACGTGTCCGCTTCACTCGCTATTCTTTTCTACACATTCCGGCAACCCTACTGACCAAGTAGGCCAGAGACCGATCCCTCCCATCGGCTTATCAGGGTGCTGCAGATGCGCATGCTTTATCCGCCAGTATCACTACCTATCACACGCAAGGGGGCTTGATATGGATTGATATGAACAGCAACCTCGCTTCATCAGGCGTAATTATCTACCTGCGCTCACATATATACGAACTACTTGTCTGTCGAGATGATATGGAATTATCTATCTATCCAGGGCTGTGCCGCGAGGCAGTAAGAGTCCTCTGACATATTTCGCCATCTGGAACCGTACGTTCGGGATCCTCCCATTTTCGTTGTTGTAGAAGGGAAAGTTGTCGCATGCATTCGAAAGATGGACTACATCCGCTCGCCTGGAGGCGGCAGCGGCGCTGGCATGTCCTTGATGGGTAAACGCCTCGCCTCGCTCCGTCAGACCTCAAACGCTGCATACATACTCAGGATCCTTTTCTATACGGTATCGAGACCATTTTGGTTCACCGTACCGTTTCTACTCCGTCGGCGGTATCTATGCGCCGCCGCCGGCGAGTGACTGCCGTGCTGCCCTCCCCCTCGACCTCGATATGAGCCACCGCTCTCTACAGCAAAAGAGGAGATGGATCACGAGGTGAAGTATTAAAGAGCTTACATACCTACGGGGCGAAAGGTCATTCTTGTCTGCTCCTGGAAGGTGTCCCGTATCTGATGTCCCTACGTCCACAAGCACTAGCTACACTGGACCCTCGTAAGTCTCGGTACACCACCCGTCCAGCATACAACGGTGTATTTATCGAGCTGGAATAAGCACACTGGAAAAGGCATTGAAAGTAACGTATCGAACTAGAGCTGCTCATTCCTATATATGCTTATTCCATATTCCAAAAGGTATTTTAAACCCTCCCACGGGTAATATAGGATCTTGTCACCATGCTTGTACGGAGACTTATGAGGGCTGAGTGTAGGTAGCATCGAGTCACAGCCACTGACCACCGATTTCTGATACCTTGACTTCTCAAGCGATAGGCCCCTGACAGACGGGACACCACCAGCCGTCGAGGAAGTGAGTGTTAGTTCATCTTGGGACTCGACCTTCCCTGCCACATCTCATCAAGGAGCCCTGCAGGCACTCAAACGCTGGAGGCCCGGTCCTAGGAACTGCTGCTGCTAGATAGATAGGCCCCGCGCTGCAGGCTCCCAGCCGCCCCGGATCTGCAGCGGCTGCGAGCCAATACGTCTCCTGGGCGAACGGATGTTCAAGACCTGACCATAGTAGTGTCTTTGAGGCTCGATCACTTGCAAGGCGAGTCCCTTGCTGTAATGCCTCAGATATCGTCACTGCCGTCAGGGACACCAGTTCGCAACATGCGTGATCATCAATGTCTTAACCTAGCCTGAGGTGCCCCTATAATATAGTTATCCATTCAAGTCCCTCCCAAGTACCTCCAGTATCTGGGGTGCTGGCCGACCAGACCCCTGCCAGGCCGCAATCTACCGTACATGCCGTAATCTCTCGGGGCTTTTACGTGCCTGGTGCCTGTGCTCTATCGGCCAAACAGATATATGACTCTGCATCGCAGGATTGGAGGCGACAAGCGACGACAGTGCGAGGACGACGACTCGACTCAGTTACCACACGGTCATATATAACAGTACAGCCGGATTGGGGGTTACAAGGAAATAATACGACGCCCCACGAAGATCCGGTCGAACACAACCGGGAACCGACCGCTGCAGGCAGGGCCCGACGCACGGTTTATCGTCTGTCACGCTCTGTCACCTGCAAAGGTGCTGTGTCCCGCCTTCACACCCTTCCCCTACGTTACCGTGGCGTTGTGGAGGAGGGACGGCACACGACTTTTGGAGACAAGGCGGACCAGACCTTCTCTCGCTCGATGAGCGGGCGATGACTGGCCCTGCGCGGTCTGCGAGGATGGGTCAGAGGCTTCGGCTTCTGGCCGATGAAACTCGAACCCCGACCGGCTTCGCGGGCGAGTGGCGTTTTCTTGTCTGACGCCGTGCTCCCACCGGTCCAGGAAACTCTATCGTGTCCTATGATGCGATCTGATAACTGATGGAGTCGAAGGCAGGGGCATGCTGTGCGATCCTCCCCGCCATGCACTTCGTCAAACAGAAAGCTTTGGCCATGGGTGCGGGCTTGGAGGTCTTGGATGCTCCTGAACGCATTCGTTCGCACACCGTGGTAAATATCCCTTGCACCGTAGATGCTAAGACTGGATATCCCTTCAAGTAAAAACTTAGTCACCCAGCAACTTGGGGAGGTGGTAAGATGGTAACAAGCAGCCGCGAAAAGTGCCGAACCTTGAGCGCAGGCAAGATAGGTCCTCCGGGCCTGATCACTGCCCTAGCATCTGCCATCGCGGACCCGGGGTTTCCGTATTCAGTCCACCTCCCAGATACTCACAGTCTCCGTGTTGAGACGAAATGTGTCTGTGGTGATAATTTCCGATTCCAGGTAGTCACGTCGGATTTACTTTAGCCCTATGAAGTTCTCCCGGTTAGGCACGGGGGCGTCTTCCCTGGTGCAGCTCATCTCGGCCCAGGGGCTCTGGCCTGTCATTCCTCAACTTTTGCCTAAATAACGGGCGCTGCCCCCGTACCAACGGGTTACGACTTGTAGGCAGTCTGCTCCTGACTCCCAAGCGCGGCAGGCAGGCAGACAGACGGGGGTCTGACGGCCACCGGCCCCGGGGCGACGAGAAGCTCAATGTCTCGTCATGAATACCCTGACGCAGTCTCATTGGCTTTTGAGCCTCAGCACGATTGACAGCTCAGATCGCAGGTTGTGGGGGGCCAGTACGGACACGGACATGGCATGCCGCCAGGGGTTCTGGGGACGTGCTACTGTAGCATTCCAGCACAGACGGCACGCGGGCCAAGATGAGTCAGTCAGTTGAAGGTGAGCCAAGTCGGTAAGGGGCTGCCGCGGTCAAGGGAAAGGGTCCCGTAACGTCCGGAAGCTTGACGCGAGGAACTGATCTGTCAGTTCCGCGGGTCCGCTGCTCTGGCCGTGCGTCTTGACCGAGCACAGGGAGACGTACATAGCCAGGCAGGTAACAGGTTGCCGTCCAGACCAGGGATTCCGAAGAACCCTGCCTACTGGAGAGCAGCAGCAGCTGTCAGAAATGACAAGCACCAGCGAAGAAGGGTCGCGATCGGAAAAGGTGGGGATGGGACTGGGTGGCTATATCAGGATCATCTTATAGCCAGCCCTGTCTGGCTCGGCTTCGTCGGTAACCTGCAGCAGAGAACCAAACTTTGTTTCAATCGGCTCCGCACGACTCGTCCGCAATCTGCTTTCGATCAGATTCAAACCCAGGCGGCTGCCAGGGTACATGGCTCGCCGGAGCCGATCACCTTGGTTACGGAAGTAGGCACCTGTATGTCTCCAAGTACGAACTATCATGAGTAACACCTGTGCCCCCGAGCTCTGGCCTGGAAAATAGTAACTACCTACGCAACGATACAGGCATGATCCACGTTCGATATTCGGCTGCACGTAAGACAAACCAGGCTGCAAACGGCTATTTCGACGAGAGTCAGATCTGACGACACCTTTCAAGGCCGATGATGTACCTATGTGTAACGTGCTCGCCAGCACCGTGGTATAGAGAGACCCTGGACCAGTCAGCCTTTAGGGCTCGCCCGAGAAAGGCTTGAGCGAAAAAGGCTTGAGCGAAAAAGGCTTGAGCGAAAAAGGCTTGAGCGAAAAAGCTTCCGAGGGCAGTGGTGGTGCCTGAGCCGGCAGAAGGGCGTCTGCGGTCTTGGTGCTGCTGTACGATGCCTGCTGGAGCTCAGGGGGCTGCGACGCTGTCTGTCTGCTGCACCTGCACACAGACATATGCAAAGTCCACTCACACATATCTCTGCCTCTCTTCTCATAGTCTCTCCTCAGCAAGGGGGTACGATCAGTACCGACACGGCGCACCTATGATGTAGGTCCACAGGGTCGAGGCAACCGTGCGTCCGGCATACTCAGTTCCATAACAACCCCTGTCAACCTTGGTCCCAAAGGAGCCGGGCAGCAGACGTACCGTCTAGCCAAAATACCGGACCCATCTTGCGGCGTCGCAGCGCAGGTGTCTTTTAATCTCGAAGCGGTCGTACCAAGACTCTCCGCCGGAAGTCGTCGCATAGCCCCAGTTCAGCCCAATCCAGCCCAGGCCAGGGGTAGGGAACACGGGGGGGGGGGGGGGGGGGGGGGGGAGGGGGGAGGAGTTGGAGCAGACAATACCAGGCTTCTTTTTGAATTTTCCGGCAGGCTGCTGTGTCATCTGGAGGCATGTATATATGCCTGTAAGTATTCATGTGCTGTGCTCTGTGTCATGGTGCCGCAAAGACAGCCATGCTAGCAGATACGCATATCCGCACGTAACTTAGGCTGGCAGATATACGGGTACGTGCCTGACGGCAATAACCTTCTTCTTCGAGGTGATCCATCGCGAGGCCTAATACGGCAGCAGGGAAGAACTACAGCAAATCGTTAATTATGGTGCTTTGGTCTGTGGCATGCCTCTCTAGCTACTTGGTAGGTAGAGGAGATATCGTGGTCCCATCCGGGTCTCACAACGTGTGTGTCCAGCTCTACTACCTACCTACCTTGACCCTGCCTGGTGTAGGGTTGCACCAGGAACTCAGCAGAGAAGCCGCCATCATGATCACCGTCATCATGCCCCCTTTTCCCTCGTAAGCTAAGCTAAGGGTGAGAGAAGAGAAATTAAACATGCGGGCTGGGGACGTTGTGCCACCCATCATCATGCAACTTGTCAGCCAGCTCTGGGCCTTGAGTCTTACCGAAGAACAGCCAGTAGCCAATAAATGCGCCGCGATGGCCGTGTCACAGGAAGCTTTCAGAAGGGCAATATTCAGGCCCGCGTTGTCCCCCTTTTCACGGCTGTCTGCTTGCTGCCGGGGGTAACGGACGTCAAGCGGTGGGATTCCGCGTTATGGAATACACGATTCCATCCGGACGTGGCGACTCGGTCTACAGCTTGCAGTGTGTAGGCGATAGACGCTGCTAGACAGGTGCTGAACATATGGTTGCGATTAGGTTCGAGTCCTTTCACCGGTGGCCCGGTGGGGCTTGCTACATCTTTCTGTAGGCTTTCTAAGGACCTAGTTAGGGTAGATAACTATATACATACATAGGTAGATAGAGAGTAGTAGGTTACGTGTAAGCATTCCCCACGCCATGCCCTGCGGTGCCCTCCCTGTCCATCACGGCTCGCGCACAGGCGCCCTGTGCGACCAAGACCCAGCACCAGGCGAACATCAACAGAGAAACAACCACAACAAATCGGTGAGTGAGAATACGCGAAGACGCACCCGCGCCTGTCCTCTCAGCCCTAACCAGTTTCCACGCTGTCGTCCGGCTGAAATGCCCAATCCACCCGCCCGGCCGCCCGGCCGGTATAAGCGGGGGCTGAGGAAGGGGGGGTGTAAGCTGAGGGAGGGAAGAACGCGTGAGCGAGACGTGTGGTGCAATGGAAGCTTAAACGAGGTAAGCAACGGAATCAGCTGTAACTGCAATGTCGTATTCAGAGGACCATCTCGAAGCTCCAATTCGATCTGTTCTTTGCACCTACACACACACACCAAAGGCCACGACAAGTACCTGAACGCACACACACACACACACACACACAAACAGCGAAAACGTGTTCGGGGAATTCTTTCCTCTGCGGGTGGGTACGATAGGTAACCAGCAGATCTCCAAAACGAGGTTGGTCCCATCCATCTATTCGGCGTTGCATTCCGAAGAACTCCCCCAATCTGTGTCGGCGGGCGCGTCCGGGATGTGTCGTCCGCGACCATAGTCGATGATCAGATGAGCCGGGTTCCTTGAATCGCTCGTCAAGTCAATCTTACTCGGAGGGCCAGTCGCATGTGTATACTCGATCGGGGTTTCACTTCAGCCGCTGTTTCCACCCGCGGTACTCAGAGCCAGTCGTCCAGAGTCTCAGTCGTGAGGCTCCGCAACAAGCAAGTGCAGCGGTATATCCCGTGACACATTGGGTGCGAGGTATCTCGACGAGGTAGTTGAAGTATATTAGGCAGCGGTGAAACTGCAATTGGTATGTATATCTCGGCCAGCTAGACTATGCAAAGCAGGCTCCCGCGGGGATCGATAGAATGGAAGTGAACTTTGTACAAAGAATCGAAAAACTCCACAGCCAGCCAGCCATCCAGCCGCTCTTCAAGGCGGTGCCAGGGTTACTTTGATGAAGTGACATGGTCCCCAAAAAGAGGATCTATGTACAGCCCAGGGGCTTATGTTGGTTTTTTTGAGCGGGGCAATATATTGGAACCTCGCCCTTGCCCGTTCTGCCCCATGTCGTACCGGTCCGTAGTCGCATCAGTCGTGCCCTTCTTCCTGTATATTTTCTCGCCGTGAAAGAAAAAACAACACAGAAACAATCAAGTCCGAACCTATGCCGCGCGGAAGCAGGAACCCCTCAAACCATACCCAAAGCGTGACAAACGCGCACTCCAAAATGCACCTGCTATGAGAAAAAAATCACCGGGTCAAGTATCAACATCAGAAAGGTATATAGTAGCACAAGGGTGGTATAACAAAGTCCGCAATACAATTGGGTATTATCCTTGAAGTGGAAACGAAGCGCGCTGTGCAGATCTCGGGTATGACCTCGCGATGCAGGGCTGTTCGGGGGTTTAAAAATGTCTTGGTTCTGGAACACCACCCCTATGTTGTGTGCCCGTACGACTGAGAGCTCTGCGCAGGTCCGGACGTGTGACCGCTCTGAGAGAGACTGAACGAGCTCCGCTTGCTTTTCAGGGCCGCACTTGACCCGCCCAGCCCATCCTGGGAATAGTCATCGCTTCTCTCATTAGATCCCTGGCCTTGGCCGATGCCTAGAGGACCACCGCCAAACGTATCCCTCATCGGAGTCCGTGTGCTGGAACCACCCATGTTCCCGTGCAGCGCCTGGCTGAATTCTTGCGAAGGCGCTATGGGGGCGCTCATCTGAGGCATGTGGTAATCGTGGATCGCAGATCTGATGCCACCGGGGTTCCTCGAATGCGGAAAGTCGATCGGCGCAGTAAGAGGAGCAGACGGGAAACTGCTGGTATAAGCAGATGAGCCACCGTAAGGCGCAGTACTAGATGATCGAGGTGTTGATGAGTGAACTGGGGGCTGGAGCGAAGATACGGATCGAAATTGGTGTCGTAGGTCGAGGCCGAGGGGAAGTGTGGCCGAAGCCGCTCGCAATCGGGATCGGTTTTGTGAAGGTTGCGGTAAGCTCGAGTAGTTGATGTTGGTTGATGAAGTCTGAACTCCCGAAGCTGCTTATGAGGTCAATACGTGATTACTGAAGGACCGGGAATTTGCCTTACAGGAGTATGAGCCGGAATCGTAACCCAGCGCACTCCCAGGGTTGCTGCCCATCTGATCCGGCTGATAGACAGAATGGTGTCTTCCTGCCATTCCCGGACTGCTTCCACTGCCCGGGTATGCTGAGTAATCAATCGAATCGCCCTTCCACGACATGCTCGAGCGAAGAGGCGACTGCAGGTTGTCTGATCTCGATCTTGACATCGTTTCCCGAAGCTGGAGCGGTTGTAAGGGGCGAACCTGCTGCCGTGACTGTAAGTGCATCTGAACTCCTGTGTCGAGACTGTTCTGTCTGGCGAACGGATTCGATGTCCGGGACCCTCCAAGAGGACTTGTCAATTGACCCGAATAGTACCCCCGATCATTGGATGCTGGCGAGAGTGGTGAAAGAATGTCCGAGTTGCTCATAGTTCCCGGGGTTGTGAAGCCAATATTACCGAACGCCGGGCTCAGTCCTGTTGGCGACATGTGATCATCACCATCGCCTCTCCGCATCGTGTCCACCATCAACGGTCTCATCATATGATCCGCGTACGAAGACGATCCGAAGTCAACAGGGGGCGTGATTGGCGTTCCTAACGCATGCACGGCTCCGTACGGGGAGTGCAATGCCTGGACGTTGTCAAAGTCGTCGGGCACCGCGCGCATTTTGATCATTCGATCTCGGTCGTCAGCTGTAAGTCTCTTTATCTTGGCTCTCCTGTAGATTGTTTAGAACGTGCATCGCAGCTAGGGCCCTCAACGTCTCTTACCGATTCTGAAACCAGACCTGGACCTGCCTGGGACTCAGGCCTGGAATCTCTCGCGACAACCGCTCTCGGTGAGCAGCATCGGGATGCGGCTGCTTTGCGAACTCGCTCATTAGAAAACGGGTCTGCTGGTGTGTGAGCCTACTCCATTGTTAGCCTGGAGCCCGGCCGTTGACGACAGATCCTACCTAAACCGCTTCATCTTCCGTCGAGCAGCAGTTCGCTCGGCGGCTGTCATTGGTACCCCTGACCCCTCGCCTTCAACTTCCACCATCTCATCGTCATCGAGTACCTCATCGTCCTCCTCTTTCCCTAGGATGGTGTCCTCATTTCCGCTCGTGGTAGAGGCGGCGTCCTGAGCTTGCCCTGCCGACGATTTCGATCCTGTTGGGTTTGATCCAAGCGAATGGCCAGGAGCATCAGTAGAGCTCAAGGTTTCCTCGTTAGCTGGTTCCGTTTTGATGGCATAATTCGTGCCTTGTATGTCTGATTGTTCTCGTGTAGGAGTTTCGGCTTTGGATTGTCGCAGACCTAAAGGATCTAGATGGTGGCTCGTGGGAGAGTTGACTGCGCTTTGCCTCGACTGACTAGGGTTCTCTAGGGTGCTGTTCTGCGCGCTCGACGGGCTCTGCTGAGACTGGACGTCATTATTGCTTCCAGACCCCAATGCTTGCTGGAAAGGCTGCGCGAAGATGTTGTTCTCCCCAGGAGGGAGAAAAGAGTAGTGCCCCTGCCAGTCAGGCTGTGTGGATAAAGGACCGTCGTAGCTCGACATGCGTGTGCTTGTGGACTTGTCGAAGGCGGCCTCGAACTTGCTAGACCAGTGGCTTTGCTCCGTATCAAACTGCCTGGTAACGAGCATTGGAAAGGTTGTGCAAGGACTGCGAAGGTGAGAGGGTACAGTAGCTGCGTATGACAGCTTTTCGAGTGAAGGATGCCGTTCCGACCACACCTCCAGGATTCACGCTGCTGATGAACGAGCTGCAAGAATATGATTGAATGCCGTGCAAACGCGATCCAACGTAGAGTATCCTCGTAGCATGAGTAGGGGAGTTCTAAGGTAATGTTCAACGAATGCCGGAGACCATCCGCCCCAAGCTTCAAGTTGCCGTATAGGCTCGAACCGATCTCTGTCCAGCAGATCAGCTAATCGGGCACTGGTGAAGATCAAGTACGCTTGCCGACGGGTTGTTGTGAGTCCAGTGCATTCGTCAGTTGACGTGATCTTCTGCTAGCTCTCGGCGCAGATCAGACGAAAGATCCTCCCTGGGTATTCGTGGGGTACAACGGTGCCTTTGGTCCAAGACTGATGGTTGGTGTTTACTATGCTTGAGAAGAGAAGACGTCGAAAGAAGTCCAGGCAAAGCGTGCTTGCTATTTGACGCAAATTAATGATCGACCGAAGGCATTGGCTGGCAAAAAGAGGAAAAGAGAACGACAAGATGGTGGGCGGCGCCAACCATGGATATGTAACAAGGTGAGAGGGAGGTGCCGTGAAGCTCGTCAAGCTCTGGTTGGGGGTGAATGCTGTATAGATTCGAGGACCCTCAAATGATGCTTGTACTGGTGGGGTCGGTCGCCTCAAAACGTCCAGACACTGACAGGCCCCGTGTTATGTAGTGGGCGTCGAGAGTGAGCCGTGGTTGCAACGAGGCCGTCTGTCAAGGGAACCCCTGCTCTTAAGAACGACAGAGGTGGAATTAATACCAATGGCTACCGCTCGTCCTCACGGAGAAATGTCTAGGGAGGATCCGAACAGATGGACAGGTCGACAGGGCCTGCACGGGCTGCTACTGCAGACGATCAGAGGGCGTTCGTGAGTCTGGGGTCAGGCTGGGCTGGCCGGTACGGTACCTGGCCCGATACGGTAGAGCAATTGTGAAGGGAGTGGATGATGCACGTTTCAAGGCTTTGACGACTGGACAAAAGCCGCATGCTTGATGGAGCAGGTATGGTAGTAGGTAGCGGCCGAGCCACACGGATTTCCTGCCCTGGCCTGGATGATAGCATAAGTACCAGCGTTCTATATCGAGGGGAGCTTGAGCATCTGGTTCCCGGCTGAATGGCTGATGCCGTGTTATGGTGTGGCCTGCCAGAGAACCAACAGACGGACCCATGCCGTTGCGGCCCCCAACCGGACGTGAAACAAAAAGATAGGAACGGTCGCTAGAGGCGTGGGGAGTATCTGCTGCTCACGACGTGATCCAGACCAAGCGTGTAGGCAGATATAAAATGAGCAAGTGAAGGCGAATGGAGACCAGCTCGAATCCGCCACAGCTAAGACGACGAGACAAGGTTACAGGGGTCTGCTGCTAGCTGCCTCGAAGTCACGGAGGTACAATGGTACGACGGCATGCCAAGCTCTCGGAGGAGGACAGGAGAGGGAAGACATAACATCTCGGCTGGGACATCTGAGGCGGGCTCATTGGTCCTTGGTTACATTAGCTCAGCGTCCACCTTGCGGATGAACGCATGACCGTTGTTGAGACTACTGGCGGTTCGGGCCAATAGGAAGGTCGACGCATGGTGGGTGTGGCCGTCTGATTCTGCGGGGAGGGCCAGGAGGAAGGCGTCCAGAAGAAGGAGTACATACTACACAGTACACAGTACTCACTGACAGCCTACAGGACTTGGAGGATCGCATCCGAATCGGTAGCAAAGCAGGCCAGCAAGCTATGTGGAGTTTGTACCGAGAAGTGCGCAAGGGGTATCGATTTGTGATGCCTGACCCTGACCCTGGCCCTGGCTGTGGCGGCAGGGGATCATGAGCAGATCAAGGCGATCTTCGTACCGTACGTGTGTATTTCGGTAGGTGCCCTCGAAGCCTTGGCCCATGAACGAGTTGTCATTACGGTAGATATGCAAGGACCTTCATCACAGACACTGGCTCGAAGACGGCCACGCGGTGCGAATGTTTTTAGCACTGCAGGCTCTGTCCAGGCCGGCTTCGAAATTGGGCAGAAGAAATAATGTCGGTCTGCCAACAGTCAGCGACCAGGGCCAGCCAGGACCAGTCGACTTGAGGTAGCCTAGCGCGTGGTCGGCTTGCCTGAAGAGGTGCTCGCAGCTAAGCCGAAGAAGGCGTTGACAATCACGGCGTGGTATGTGTGAAGTAAGAAGTGGCCGGCCGCGCGAGACATGGACTCACGGATAAGTGACTTCTGGGTCGTCATATCTCCAGCTCCCAGCACCGGCACGAACCAGATGATCATGCTGAGGGCTGGTGGAAATGTGCGCCGAACAAGCCGTAGCCTGATATGATGTGTTACCCGCAATAGCCTGTGGGGCCTGGGCCTGGTGCAACAGTAAGGAAAGCTAGGTGAGTAGCGAGGTACCGAGGACTCAGGAGTCAAGGACCTGTGGTCCGTGGTCCGTAGCTGCGTAAGTAGCAACATTGGTGGAGCGTACGGGCTTCCAGAAGGAGCCCAGACAAAGACACCAGGTGGGATCTGGGTGGAGAGGCTCGCGGGAAGATGCTTTGATGATGGATACTGCATAAGTCGACGACAACGTTCAGGTACTGCCTTGGCCCTTGACGGGAGGTGTGAGAAGGCTATGTGAAGGCATCAGGCCATGGCCCATACATAGGTACCATATGCACTACAAGTCCATCGGAGCTTCAAGTGCGGACTGCCAGCACTGAGCACCAGACGCATGAAAGCAAGAGGTGGAGAATAGCAGCTGAGATAGAACCATTGCACCGATGCGGCTAGACGGACGACGGACGACTGACGGTGGAGCGGGCCTCTAGCGGTCTGCGGCAAGGATGTCAGCCCACGGTTTCATCCAGGGAGGCTGGCGGCGACCAGGGTGCCAGGGCCCAGGGCAGCACTGAGCAGGGCTTGGGTGCGTGTAGACAAACACCGTGGAGGGTGGCTTGAGTCCTTGACCAAGTTGAGGATTCGAGTCATGAGTTTACCAAGGCCGTTGCGGTCTCGCGCGCACACTTGCGACGGCAATGACGGCAGTGCCAAGCGCCATACCTGCGGACGCGAGCATCACCAACCTCCAACTAAATTTCAGGGTCGCGGCGGTCGGGGAGTCGAGGGGTCAGCGGGGGATGTATCGATGTGTGAAAAGTTGGGAGTTGGCCAGTGAATCTGATTGAGTATCTCCCGAGTCCCAAGTGGGAGCGGTGGAGATGCGATAGGGGAGCCCCTTTCATTCCTGCGAGACAGTCCTCTTCGAACGGATTTTCTAATTACCTGATGGGTATGGGGGGCTTCCCTCGAGAACTGTGAGAATGGTGAGACGGTGAGACCTCTCTCCCGTCGGACCATCATATCATGTTCATCAGCCCCAGCAAATAAACTTCTTTTGGAGATACTGCCTGCTCACGAGAGAGACATGGTGTTGCAGAGTGCGACACACGACTTGTCATAAAAATAACCTCCATGGATGTCGCATTGTACAGTATGCACGTGTTCAAGATTGACGGATGCATTGCGTGAGCCGCCCATCCCCTTGTCGCGATTATTGATGCTGTCAAGCATCAGTGAGCAGGACTCGAGAGCGAATCATCTGCCTGAGTTGGGGGAGGTTAAAATGATGGGCGAATGAGTTGGGATTTACGGGGGCTGGTTGGATGGGAAGGATGGGTTTTGGATTGTGGGTGGCAGGGTGGGTGTGTGGGCGATTTCAAGATTCACAGATTCCCATGTCCTGTTACCGTGCTTTCCATCTTCTGTTACCTCGTATTGTCACTTGGTCACACCTTCCCCTCGTCACCTCGTCACAGGTCCACTCTGCCCGGGCGTACCTGCATCCATAGCTGCACTCCGGCGTGACGGCTGCCGTCTCCGGGCTGTATAAAAAACGTCCAAGGTTCTTCGGGTAGTGTGGGGCCGCTGTCCGTGCAATCTGACAGTCTCATTGGCACTCTTAATACCGACAACCCTGTGTATAATTCAGGCACCTTGCGATGTCTTGCAGCTCGGGTGGCTTGCCTGCTTGCCTGTAACCCATGTGATTTACTAGCTATTCTTACGATCCCACGAAACAACATTCAAGTGTATCTCTGCTGCATTGCTATCGCCAGTTGGCAGGAAGTAGTCATGCAGGATTGAACCATCTCCTCGCTTTGGCCCGACTTGGCCAGTTCAAACACCACCATTACTGCGTATGTCGTCTAGCGGAAGAAGCTGAGACAGCGACTCCGTTGGCGGGAGCGCGTTCCTGACTAGCCCAGCCCAGACTCGGACTAGGGAACATGTTCGCCCGTTGTCAGTTTGAACGAGTTGTCAGATCCTATGTCTTGCGGAGGGTCTGAGAGCATTCGGGGATAGCTTCTTAATAGAAGGTGAAGTACCGACCGAACTTGAGGTATGGTGCGCCGCAGTCTGTCTATTTTCAATTTAGGGGCAAAGCCGCGCTGCCACCAGTGACCACGGGCCAACCCCAGCAGAGCCGCAAGACATCAACGAGTCGAAGAACCAGGGAAGGTACACCATACCTACCTACTTTGGGTATTGTGATACACGAGTTGTCATGGAGATTTGGTGGCGTTTTGTTTGTAACCCCACGAAAGACTCTCGCTGTTTTCCAGTGACACCATCCAAGAAAGGTGCTGACCGCGGCGCCCTCGACGACGACCGACGCGACGAGGCATGTAGCCGCGAGGATCGGAACTGCGCGTGTCTCGGATATCAGCCCTCTTTAACTCAGTCGCCGGGCTCCTGTGGCTATCCTCATCCATCTGGAGACAGCTCTAAAAAATTGACTAAGCTTAGGTAACCAGATGCGCGATGCGCGATGCGCGTATCCGTTTCCTTGAGCAGGAGTGAGTGCAGGTGAGATGCGGTGTAGCCGTGACACCTGCCGACGTCCTTTCCCCTTCTGGCACTGCGATGGTCGTCCCTGCTCACCGGCAGTAAGACGATGCTCGGGGAGGGGACCGGACTGGATCGTCAATGGCGCTCTGCCGTGCGAGGTGTCGAGCCCCGGAGGCCATTGACAAATCAGAAGTCCGGGTAGCTCTCCTATTGTTACCTGTCAGCTGCGCTTACGGTACGTGTCATCAGAATGTACGCAAGCACGCTTCGGACCGCGTTTTAGTCAGTCATCGCAGCTGTATCTCAGAGCGCCGCCGGCACGCTGCAAGGCGTAGGCGTAGGCGTTTGAGGCATCCTTGAAGAGGACGTCTAAAACTGCCGGGTTTTCTCTAGGCGTGACAAGCTGCCGAGAAGACTCGAAACATGGTCATCGGCCGAACCGTGGGTATTTCACCTGGAATAGAAGTTCAGTGGATGCTTTCTCTCACAGGTCATGATTGGTCACGTATGTCAATACATCAATGCCGTATATGGAAGCTCGTCACGGCTGTGCGCGCACTTGTTCCATACCGAGAGAGATCTGATCAGGGATGGATGCTGTCAGGAAAACAGCATGGTCGATGATTGTCTGCCAGCGGGTACGCAACGGTGATCCCGATCGCCATCAACTTTCTCCGCTGGCCCACATTTGCATAGATAGATGATCGGTGTTCGTAAACAGCCCCGCGACTACGGATATTCTAACGGGAGCCGAACCGGACACTCGTTATTGGAAGGCCGCGCAAAAATTTGAAACCCATTACCCATTAGTAGTTTCAGTACAGATACTTACACATACAGACCCATCGAGGTTTCGACGCGATCGTGTCCGTACCTGCAGACTCACGCAGCGGAACTTCGGAACGGATGTGGGCAGACACTTCTCCCCCACATCCATGGATGGCCGCGATGAATGGGAGTGCCGCCGTCGGGTGGGCAGTCGGGGCTCCACGCCGTAATTAAGGAGCCGCCTTGCACCCACAAATTCACAATGACTGGATCGCCGGGAACATTCCAAGGCGGGACCCAAGTATACCCAAGTGGTGCCGTGGCTAGCTTCCAAGATCGAACGATTTTCTCTAGTCGATGGATGTCCAGACGTCTTATTACAAGTCTAGACGTCTAGAGCAATCCTCGGAGATGAGTGCATCCTCCATGATGTCTGTTAATCTGCTTTTGAGAGAGCAGGAGAGGTGCATACAACTACCTACATAGGTAATGAGCACGCACGGATTATCCGAGGTGTTGCCAAGTTGGCAACGGCGCCGTTCTAACTTCAACTGCCGGCGCGATTAACAAACAAGGTAAGCCTATCTATTTTGCACGAACATGTATGTTACCTATAGGTACATATGGTATTAAACCCGACAGTGTGGTTTATAGGGCTGACTTGCTGGCCTAGCTGAACGACACTGCTGCTGCTACCATTCGAGTTGAGGACTACGCTGTATTCGGCGGTACAATACCACTTTGATATTGTTCCTACCCTTACCTTTGTCTGTGCCCTCCTGCCAGCCCTGCCAGGTGTCAGGTCTGGGTGTCTGGCAATCTGGGGGTGAGATGCGATCAGGATGCCCATTGCAGCAGCACTGAAGATACATGTACTATGAGCCCTGCCATTCTCCATTCTCAGATTGTCACTGTGGGCAGGTGAACGACGCACGTGCTACCTAGACTCTAGACTAGCGCCGGAGACTAGAATAGATAAGCTTTTCCATCTGTTTGGGACGTCACCCTCTAATCAAACATAAACACTCGTTCTCTCATCTGGGTCTCATCTTCGAAGTTCGCTGCCTTCATGAAGCGGCATACGATACCGGTATTTGTGTGTCAACTAAGGCGACAGACACGCAACCCTCTGCTCTGCTTCAGGTCCCCTGTGCCAAGAGGTGTTCATTGAAATACCGTCCATCTACCGTCTTTGCCGTTCAGTATTCTACTCCTCCAGCTCACGGCTGCCAGTGGCACGCCGAAAGCCACCTCGTCCTCCTCTACCCGGAGCTATTCTGGGACTCCACCTGCCATTCCTTGGGGTCTTAGACCGCATCGATGATCTGGGTGGCTCGAAGGAACAAACCGGGACCGAAGACAGCGGCCGTGGTTGGAGACGGGGTCCGGCCTGTCGTCAGGGCCAGGTTGCCTCGCCGCCTCAGATTCGTCCACACAACTCCAACAAGGCAGCCTGCACTACCCCGACACAACTGCCCGAGTCACCGACGACAGCCCGCGGTGCCTTACTGACTCATACCGCCACATCAGATACGCCAGCGCGTACCTAGGTAGCAGAGAAAAGCAGACCAACCTAGTAGTAATAGCGAAGGAGACGGCTTGAGTGTCTGATACGCCAATATTGGCCGACTCTCGCTTCCTACCGCTTTCCCCGGATGGCTGACACGAGACGAGCTATTCCAGCATTCGGCATTCATTGCCCCATAACGTCTTACGTTGCGAACAAGACGTCCGGACGTGGGGTGCCACCGTGTATGCCCTCTCATTTGCGCGTCGACAGCATGTCCACGGTACAGCAGCAACAAAAGCAGCGTCAGGTATTGCTTGGCAGGGCGACAGACGTGATAAGCACATCGAGACGACGCGCTGACTTGGGCTACGTGTCGCTCTCATGGGCCTGTCGCAGAAATGCAGCCAACCAAGCAGGGGTCATGGTCAGGATCTGACTGATCGGGATTTTCGGGTGGTGGTGGTGGGTCCCCTTGCCTTCCCCTCCGCCCCCGGTCCATCGTAGCCCGCAAGGTTGACCCTTCTAGCACTGCATTCGCATCTTACCCCAACCAGTATTTCATGCGAAAAATTCCAACACAGGGCTCAACGGTCAAGCGGGAGCGAACGCAAGCCACAAAACAACCCCTCGATGCGCGACCTCGTGCGCTGGGTAGGTCAGAGATGACGACGGATGGTCTCAGATGCGAAGCTTCTGTCACCGACGCGCCTTGCGTCTGTGGGCGGGGAAGTATCTCTTCACGGCAGTCGTGAAGTCGTCTAAGGTACCGTCGAGTACCTCCGCTGCGTCTCGATCACGCGAACATGACTGAGCAGAGCACCAGCTACACTTTCAAAACATAGCGGGCCTAGGCCTCAGAGTAGCAGGAGCTACAGCATGGGCGACACTGCCTGCGTCACTCAGCTGCCCTGATTGGAGGCCGAGCAGACGGAGCTTCACGCCCAATGCGCGTGCCCTGCTCACGCATATTCGCTTGACAAACCTTGGAAGATCATCCAGATATGCCATCGCGGCTAAAATATCCCATGTCATGTCATCTTATTTGGCCAGTGGACGGCATCTCGACACGGTTCCGCACGTGCTGTGCTGTCAGCGTCGGCCGGCTACTTTCCAGCGACAATAAGTGAATTCTGGGGATGAGAACCCGTGAGTGTCTTATTTCTGTACGTGCAAGTAAGCGTCGCCTCTGTGACAGCTGACTTTGAGATCTGATACTCATTGGTTGGCTGGCAGACCGTCAGACTGCTTCTTGGTCGGGTCAATGCAGTATGCCTCGAACAGTCACTCATCCAGAGGTGATCGCATCTTATGCACTCAATCAAGCTGGGCCTCCTGAGCAACTTCACTCACAGCTCTGAGCACTGTTGTGATGGTTTGTGTTGGCTTGGTGAGCCTATCTACGGGTTGTGCTGATCCCCAAACTGCCTCCCCCAGATGCAGAGATAGTAGGTTTCCAAGCACGATTTGCTAATGGCAACCTGATATTGGGCATTGGCAAAGCAATAGCTATCATGCTCAATGAAAGCGAATCAGGAGGACGTTTTACTGGTACAAGGATGTCGATCTACTCGCACAAACCAGGGGTTGACCATTCTGCTCACCGCCGCGATCCAGGCCGATTCCTCATCCAGTCTTCTGCCGGCAGGGCATCAGAAGGGCTTGTTGCCCTGTGTGCATGATCGATGGGCACATTACGTGCATGACGCTCCGGCACGTGCTCCATCAAAACTCTTCTCATTGCCTCAACTCGTACTGGGGACTTCCTCTATAGCTGCGGGCTACGGCTACTGCCTGGTCTGACTGGACCTTGCTCTTATCAGCCTGTTGCTATAGCCTAGATGCAAGCACGTCACTCGCCATACCCAGCGTCGTTATTTGTGAACAACTATGGAACCTTCTCCCAGGTCCGTACGTACCGTCTCGGTAGCCGGCTCAGTATCTGCCGTTGCGAGACATGTCTTCGTTCAGGAAGCAGGCTTGATTAATACCATTAAGCTTGGCGGACACGGCAGTCATAGTCCAGCTCATGGGGTTGTCCTGGATGTTCCTGATTGATCCGATTCTCAGTGATCCGATTCTCGTTAGCCAGTACTCCCCGCGGCCTTTGCAAGCTACGAAGGGATTGACGGCAGACGTCAGTTACCATGGCGGTGAGGGACATTGTGAATCAAGCTATGCTTAACGATAATGTTCCTCCAACGATCTCTGGTACCTGGATGCCACTCTTGGGCTGCTCTAGCCGCCAGCGCAGCGCGATGCGAGAAAGTGAGATCTCTCGGCCCATCTAGGAAATGCCGGACTGTAGAAGCCCCCTAGGTCTGCCGGCGGCTCATACGGCCCATCTCGCCCCTCCGGGTCCAGGGCGGCAGGGCCAGGCCCTGCAAGCAGCAGAGGCGGGCTGCGGACTTGAACCTTGCTTCCGAACCACCATCGTCAGTAGACAGGCAGACAGGCAGGTACGAGAAATACGCCGTAGTATAAGCGGCACAAAATGCGGAGAGACGAATGGCAAGGCAGCAAGGGCTACCGCGATTGGAATTAAGGGTCGTCGCGCACAGCAGGAAAACTTCCGGGGTAACATCCACATCCACATCCATGTCCCGAGCCTGACCTGACGCAGGACAGTATTAGCAGCCGCCGGCTTAGGCCGGAAGGAAAGACTGACCTCGTGCGTGCCTCTCACAGATTATGAGCCACCGTTTGTTGGAGGAGGGCAGCACAGCAGCAGTAGCTCGTGGGGAAGGTTGTAGCTCGTGGGGAAGGTTGTATCACACACCTGAGCATTCCAATCCCGCTTCCTAGGTGTAGCTACCTGACCTGACTCGGCTCGACTCGCAGGCTGGTAGGTAAGCTCAGAGCTGGTTGCTGCTGCCCGCTTTCCGGTGCGTACTCCTGACCAATCGGTCCCGCTCCCTCTCCGTCATAGATTATCGCAGCGGTAGCCAGCCTGCTAATGCTAATAAGGCTCATGCAGGTCAGGTGAGTGTGACATCGCGGAGGACCCTTAGGCTGTGTGACATTGGAAAGGGGGCAGGGGGTGGGGGAGATATCAGCGGGCGGCGGTAGATCTGCTTGCTTGCTTATGTGCTTGCTTGTTGTGAGTTCTCGTGCACGGAGTGAACCGCTGTCAGCTGATATCGCCTCGCCCGTCAATTTCGCCGTCTCCCTCGTCCGTTGCACGGTTTCACAAAAAACTGCAAGTTGCTTGCTTCCTTCAGCTCTTTCTGCCTCGTCCCAGCGGATGATCGCTCTTCTTGCGAACTAAAGCTCCCATTATAGCTGGCTTCCCCTGAGGGAGTTGGCGGAGGCCTCAATGGGCCGATCCTGGCAGGCTCGATACTCCTGTAAGGGTTTTAACATCACAGCTGGCAAGATTTCTCCGCTTTGGTCTGCCTTTGGCGTCCTGAAACTGCGGCAAGTCGAGCCGGTCCATCTCCGGTACAGTGTCCATTGCCTCCGGGGGTAGAGACCGGCGCGGCGTGAAAGGGACTGGGCAGCTGTATGCGACCAGGGACTGGGCAGCTGTATGCGACCAGGGACTAAAGGGGTTCTCGCACTGTCCACATGGCCTTTGTGAGTTTCGGGCGGGTCTTCTGATGATGCATGGTAGCTTTGGTTGGTGGCGTTGCTTCATGTAGGTTCTGATGATGCATGGTAGCTTTGGTTGGTGGCGTTGCTTTATGTAGGTTCTGATGGCAGACTTAAAATTGGGAGACTGTAAGCTACGAGGTTGGACACTTCCTAGCTGTGCGGTGATTTCGGGTTTCTGGTGTAGGTCTACTACCCCTATCTTTGGACGTACACTGTGCCCTCATAACATATCGATTGTAATTAAAATAAGCACACTGGCACAAGCGTTAAAAGGAGCGTATAACATCAATGCTGCTTATTCCTGCATGCTTATTTCAATATCTTTAATTCTTTACGGGTGATTTGGAATCTTATCAACGTGCGCGTATGGAAACTTATGAGGCCTGAGTGTACCTAAGCAGAATCCGCCTGGCGCCGCCTATGAGTATGGGCTCAACGGCGGCGAAGCACATGCGCCTACCAGAAGTGCTTGGATCCTCGCGGGTTTGTCGATAGATGAAAAAATTCGATGGGCAAGTTGCTGAGGAAGTTTGTCGCTGTCTTCTCATGCTTTCCCATCGAACAAGTGCGCTTTCAGGTACAGAACCCTGCAAGCATCGCTCCGGGGTTTTTGGACGCCAGAACTGAGATCAATGAGCGCATTCCGTTTAGAGATGTCGGTGATGAGTTAGTTCCTGGAAGTTGCCGAAACTGGCTTCGATGAACTCCGGGGGGCGGAGATACGGGAATCTTTTGATACCCTTACCCGACTCCTTAGTAAGGGGGTGAGCGTCGCCGCACAAATCCTTCAACAACTCCGGACCGGTACGAGGCGTGCTCTTCCAAGCTGGCACTGAAGCAAGGCTTGACCCTCTCGCAGACCCCAGAGGACATCTTCTGGTTCGTCAATTTTGGCCGAGATGACTGAGACCAGACGCTTGAGATCCATTTTGGTAGATGGAAGATGAAGAAGCCTCGGGATCGTTGTGAGCGAGCGTGGAGAGGCCTCTTCCCTTGGCGTTGGCCGAGACAGACGCAGGCTCCGGGAGAGGATTTGGAGCCGGAGATCAACTTGGTGAGTTGGACCCTGGGGCATACACGTTGGTCCAGGGTTATCACGTTCAAGTAAGAGCTCTTCGATTCCAAACCCTCCCAGAGTCGTCGGGCCTCGTTGTCGAGTGCGGGTACCTGGCGCAGCTCCCATACATGGCTTGATATTCCGGGTTTAAAGGTTCCTTGGACGTGTCTTGTTGAAAGAATTGATTACTCGGACTGATACCTCAGAAGAAATAGAGATGATCTCGTAAGGTCCTCTCTAACGTGGTTGAAGTTTTGGAAACCTCACTTTGTCATTGTTCTCAGAAGTGGATCCGTTTCTCTGATGACCTCCTGTTGTGGTGTGTCGATCTGGAGGGAAACACTCCATTCTACTGGGTACATCGACCCACGGAGGTCTTCTGGTGGTATATCGCCAGCAGAAAACGGGAGATGCCGTTTTGGATCTCGAGGATTAGTAGACCATCACCAGGGGCACAAAGGCCATTCACAACTCCGAGGGCATCGGCCGTTACTGTCGTGCCTTCCATGATCTTTCGACACATGCGCCAAAGGTGTCTGGTGTGCGTCCGTCTATTATTGAGCGGCATGACGCAACCTCCCAGTCCACGCGAAAACTCGATGCAAGCAGAGGCCAACCCGAAGCTGGTGAACTGTGGATCTCGGAAGGCGAAGTGCAGGGACCTGGCGGCCTCTCGAGTTTACATGAGGAGGAGCGGCCGAGGTCTTTGGTCAGATCCTCATGATTGATATAGGGCACGATGAAGGCGTTTCGTTTCGGCTGGCCTGTTGTATTTCCTGAACCCGACGATACGAGGACGGTGGGCTGACCAACGTGCCAGGCCAGACCGGGAGCAAGGAGGACGTCTTCATCCAGCGCTTCTGGATCGTAACCTAATGGCGATCCATAATGGCTCGGAGGGTGTCCCGATTGCGAAAGATGTGTTCTATGCGCCGTTTGGTCTCTGTACACACTTAACCGGGCTAGATATGGTTCATCAGAGCCACATCCTCGTCACTAAACGCACAATGGTTGCTGCTGGTTCGCTTTTCAGATTCATCCGACAGAACCCATCAACAGACGGAGGCCAGGATGTACCCGAATTGGAACGATGTCGAAGAATGGCAGGAACCATTCTTGACGATTGAGATCTCGAACTGCGGCCATGCCGCATGTGCAAGCAAAGACACTACAAGGGAGCCCGTCTTGCCGATCCATCGACGTTTGTGATTGCGAGTATCGACGTGTAAGTAGGCAGCACGAATCAGCCTCCAAAAACCATGAGATCACATTCATAAACGTCACTTACGGCCTGTCCTTTAAAAAACCACGATGCTTTACTGTACCTGTTCGCTCTGCGTTTGATATTAAGGTGCCCCTTCAGGAGAACCGGACGGCTACTATACTTTGGCCAGCAGAGACACGTGCCAGCCACCGAGCGATTGCCTAGTCCTCGCAGAAAAGCCAGGATGGAAGAGGTAACATGTTCTCCAAAGTCGGTGTACTCGGGATGTATGCTTGGCTCCCAGAACGGCGAGCAGGAAGCCAGTTGAGCATATCGACATAAGGCGGCAGGCAGGCAAGCGGTGGGAATAATCCCCTGCATGGTCTCCAGTGGTCAGCGACTACACCCAGGGCAGGCAATCTGCTGGAATGGCCATCGAATTGGTACTTTTATCAATGTTGGTTACATGTCCACCGTCTGACTGTCTGCAGGCGCCCTCGATGATCGATGCGCCACCCTGTCCTCCAGGCTGGGTCCATAGCGCTGTCTCCCAACGCTGCTTCACATGTTGGTACCAAGTGCCACCGACTCCACCCAGCATGTATTCGAGATCGGCATGTTGCTTGAGGAGGTCACAATGTCAGATGGAAGCCTTTTGAATCTTCCTGTGATCAGTCGGTGTCAGTCAGTTGTGGAGACACAGCTGGCTGCAGCTGGAAGGCACTATGTGTGGTCAGAGGGATGAGAGAGAGGCTTGGATGCACGGCAGTGAAAGGGCTTTGGGAACTAGATCAAAGGATAAGCCCTGCCTTGTGTTGAGATTGTGTATCTAGTACTAGAAGTCACCTCCAGACCCATGGAGGGATCTGTCCAATCAAGCCACCATCATCCACCCCAATCACTGGACCTGACTGCTGATACTTCCTATAGATGTCCTGATCAGGGATTTGAGCTCGCTCATTTGGATTGGTTCTGGTTGCTCGAATAGGAACCGTCGAGGGGCCCCTTCACAATATCCTGAGTCCCCGATGTGGCACTGGTATGATCGGATGATGCCTGCTGCCGATTGGGCTGCCGGTGGCAGAAGTAGTTGTAGGAGTAATCAGGTATCGAGTATCGATATACCGATGTGGAAATTGTTGGTTTGGGATGAGCTTGAGGAGGTCACAAGGTCAGAAGCCATATGAATATTGCAATAAAAGTCTTGATCGGATTTGCGCCGGCCACCCATTTCGTTACAATGTGCTCGTCCAGGCACGGCGATGCTACTTGGACTTCTCCGCGTCCTTCTTCTTGATAGCCGGTAGCTCAAACGCCTTGCTGATGCCCTGGCCCATCTTCTTCCACCGCCCAAAGTCGAAGTTCTGGTTCCACGTCAGCATGCCGACCCACGGCTGCACGTTGTAGTGTACGTGTAGCGTCACGTCGTCCGTCTCGGCGATCTTGCCCGTCGGGTGCGAGATCTGGTATTTCGGTTTCTGGTTCTTGAACGACAGCTTGCCCCTGCAGATGCCACCTCGTTAGCCAGAATCTCCCATTTCAATTGCCCTACCCCGGCCATCGGTCCACGGGCCGGGTATGGTCTGCCGCTTTGTTACATACCGGCTCGGGTCTATGCTCTTGCCCTCGGCGCTCCTCTTCAGCTTTTTTAGCGTGGCCGGGCCCAGGTTGCTCAGGTAGTCGGCGCTCGGGCTCGTGATGATGCTGTCCCAGATGACGGCCTTGTTGGTCTGGTTCATGCTGTCGCCAACGGGGGGCGCGGGCCACTCGGCGGTGATGTAGACGAAGAGCTGCTTGGTGTTCCAGGTGAACAGCGACGAGAGGTCGGCGTCGAGCGAGAACTTGATGATGGCGTACTCCTCCTTCTTGGTGCTGTAGTAGTGCGGACGGCCCTTGACTCTGTACGCGGAGCTGGTCAGCTGCTGCTCCTTGGAAGGGCGAGGGCGGGGTGGCCTGCTTACACCTGGACGTTGGTCGTCTTGATAGTTGCGCTCGGGGTGCGCGGGGATGTGAAGTCGGAGGCGGCGATTATGGCTGCGACGACGAATGCGACGGTGGTGAAGAAGCCGAATACATTTTGTATCCGTGTAAGTGAGTTGTACATCTTGGGCTGGATGGTCACGGGGACCGAGGGAGGACGGCGAGAGATCTAGAGCATCAATGTTGCGAGTAGTTGATCAGCCGCATGGGAGCTCGGGTGAGGTGGGTGTTGAGGTTGGTACGGTCGTGGGGATGCAAGTGGTTGTGCTGGCATTTGGCATCTGTCGAAGAACAATGTGTCATCAGAATGAGGCTACAATACCTGGCTGGCGGGCTGGCTCTGTGAGGCCACGTTTTTGGGCGAAGCTGAAGGAGCTGGATCCTTATCCTTATCGGATGCTTATCAGGAGCACAGCTTGTGTTCCACCTCTTGGCAGCCTTTTTCGACCATCATAACGTGGATCCCCTTATTCCAGCACTAGAACTTACATACGGTAATCTTTAATAGTTTGTTGTTCTACCTGAAGCAGGTCAATCGCTGCATTGTACGACGCTCATCCTCTTTATCGTTATAAGCATACCTAATTGAAGCTCCTGTCAAGCAAAAGCATTAGGCAGCCCCATAATCGGGCCATCCCAGCTCAGGTTGGGTGCAATGGGCTCTAGCATTCGGCTTGATTGACGTACCGTACGGAGCAACTTGACGACCGGCATGCCCCTGGTCGGCCCAACTCGGTGACCTGCTCTCCATGCTGTGTTCCGGGTCAGACCTCCTTCCCTAGGGCCGATCCTGAAGTCGGGATAAGGAACATCATTCTCTGCAACTCCGAACCGTCTTGGCTATCTATTTCCAATCGCTTATGGATCATTCGTGTCAAACCGTACCTTTACTAGCAAAACCACTGTCAAGGCTCAGGCCATGCAATCGCGTCGTCCGCGTCACAGGATACTGGATACCCCAGTACCATGATACTGGCAAATTCACATGGCTGAGCAATCATGACACACGTCGTGACCTAGCATCACAAGTTGCTGCCGGCATACATCTGCTGGAACTATTTCGATGAGGGCCATGATATAAGTAGATCGGGGTTCTTAGTAGAAGTCCGACTCATCACACTGCTCCATCGAGTATCATCAGTCATAGAAACAATACTTCAACATCTAATACTGTCAGTCGATCGAGGCAAACTCAGCAAAACAGCATCATCTGCCCTTCCAACTCAATCATGGCATCCCAGATCAGAAGCGTTGCCCTCGCAGGTGTAAGTCAAACATCTCATTATGAACTGTTGGCGCCAAACTGACACTTCCAAAAGGCCACGGGCAATGTGGGAGTTCCAACTCTAAAGGCTCTCCTGGAAACTGGCAAATTCGATGTGACCGTTCTCATCCGTCCAGGCTCTCCGCACAAGTTCCCCAGCGGAGTCCAGGTCAAGGAGGTGGACATGGCATCCTCCGAGTCGCTGATCGCAGCACTTCGAGGTCAAGACGCCGTGGTCAACGCCACCAGCGTCCCAGACCCGTCTGCGCACATCCGATTTGTTGATGCCGCCATTAAAGCTGGCGTGCGTCGCCTGATCCCAGCCGACTTCGGCTCCGACCCAGCTCGCGTCGGTACGCCCGGCGAATTTCCAGTATTCGGGTTCAAAACCGCGACGTTCGCGCACCTTCAAGAGATCACCAAGAACTCCAAGCTGGGCAGCTTGACCTGGACCGTCGTCTCCAACGGCTGGTTCCTGGACTGGAACCTGGAGAACGGGTGGATGGGCATCGACATCCACAAGAAGCAAGCCGAGATCACCAGCGGTGGAAACGTGCCCACCTTCTTCACCACCCTCGAGACCATCGGCAAGGCCGTGGCTTCCGTGCTCCTGCACCCGGCCGAGACGGAGAACCGCGTCGTCTACATCAAGTCGGTCTGGAAGACGCAGAACGAACTCCTCGCCCTGGCCCAGGAGGCGCTCGGGGCCGATGATTGGAAAATCACGCATCAGGATCACAAGGAGATGTACGACTGGTCCATGGCTGAGATGAAGAAGCGCAACTTTGACCTGCCGGTGATTATGCACCAGATTCGCCGCACCATGGCTGATCCCGTGATTGCTGAGCCGCCTGCGGAGGTAAGCAATATTTTGAGTTACTTGCGCCCCTGTAACCACCTCATAGCTATCATGCCCGATGCGCGGTCTCAGTTGCACTGCTTGCCCCCGAAGCCTTCATTATCCCCCCGTTCAGGATATTGACTGACACAAACCGTGGTAGTGGGCCAATGACTTGCTCGGCTTGAAGACGATGACTGACGAGGAAGTCAAAGAAATGATCAAGAGGCTGGTTTCTCAGTAGTTGCGATGAAGGCAGGCTTCTCTCGGCTGTAAGAATTTCCGACGGGGTGGAGAGTCTTGCCGAACACGAAGCCGGGCAGAAGGGCGGGGACGTGGTTGGGAAGCAGCTGCTGGGGCGGGGTGGTGATGGCAGATATCAAGTCGGACGGAGAACTAGAGGAGAATTTGCTGCTGGCTCGTCGAAGAAACGTATTTGATCTTGACATCGCGATTTGACAGTCTGCCCTGCCCGTTGACGATGAAGGTGAATCGGAGCGCCGTCTTCCTGACGCTGTCGGGTCTGCTCCTACCAGTCGCCAACGTCCTCTTCCTCTCGGGCCTCCTTCGCCCCAAGCCCGTGTTGCCAGTCGTTGAGAGCACGGGTGCCCGCCGGCGGCCTCGAGAACGATGTCGGCGAGAACGACCCGCCTCCCCTGGACCGGGTGGTGTTCATGCTCGTGGACGCGCTCCGGAGGTAAACAAGCACGTGACACTTTTCCCGGCTTCTCCAGCATGCGCGCCCGAGATGCTGATTGTGACCAGCGATTTCGTGTTCTCGAACAACTCAGGCTTCTCCTTCGTTCAAAGATAATCAAGGTGTTGCGTTGAAAAGGTTGAGCTCGACTTGTGAGACGAGAGTCTGACTGACTTTATGACAGCCTCATCCGCAAAGGAGCAGCAGTGCCGTTCACGGCCCTGGCCGGGCCACCGAACCTGACGATGCCGCGGGTGAAGGCCATGACCACCGGCTCAAGCCCCTGTTTCCTCGACATCCTGCTCAACGTCCGGGACAACTAGGACAGGACCGAGTACGCAAATACCTGGTTCGACATCCTCAAGGCCACGAATGCCGACAGGAAGCTGGTCTCTTATGGGTCTAAGACGTGGACGTACCTCTATCCCGGGGCCTTCGATAGGTTTCAGGGGATGGACGGAAACTACGTCCCGGTAATTCTTTCTTGTGTGTCCAAGTGTGTGTGCGTGAACCGGGGGCGGGACGGGCAGGGGATGATGAAATGGACTCCGGGCTAAGTAGTTTTGTTGCGATTTTTAGGATTTTAAGATGGTGGACGACGAGGTGGTCAAACAGGTCTCGGCCGAGCTGCACAACGACGACTGGAGGGCCCTCGTCCTGCACCTCTGGGCACTGGACCACGTCGGCCACATCGGCGGGCCCAAAAGGTAGGTAACGCCCACCTGTATAAGCCACGTTGGCTGACGGACCACCACACTGTCCCTACATGTTCCCCAAACAGCGCGAAATGGACCAGATAGCCCAGGAGATATCTCGGCGTCGTCCTGCCACAGCTCCTGCCCATGTTTGGGCGGCTGGGTGAGGATCAAGTGGTGCGTGGGCTCGTGTGCGTCTGCTCCGCGACAACGCGCTGCAGCTGCTGCGCGTCTACATGGCGCAGCGTCCCACGTTCTCCGTCGATAGCGGCAGCGAAGACGACGACGGTCGACTTTCGGATTGCGGCGGTGGCGCCCTACCGTCATCGTCGCCTTCAGATCGTCGATTCGCGTGCCTCTGGAAGAGAGCAGAAGACAGCCTGAACTCGGACCGCGAGACAGCGCTGGATGGCCTGTACGAGGTGAGGCCCAAAAGACGTCCAATGTACAGTTGTTTGTTCTTTGCCAACTGACATTTTCCAAGTCCTGCAGGCATGCGCAGCGGACCATGAGCGTCCCGCGGGGAGAGGCTGACCTGCGATACCTCCTGTACGGAGCTGCCGCGGCCGGCACGTGTATGCTGCTGTCGTTCCTTGCGTACAGGCATGAGGCTTCCACCTTGACAGTCACTATTGACAGGTTTGCCACTGCGGCGGTTGGAATCGGCTATGAGCTCACGATGCTGGATATCCATCTCATTGAAAGCGAGCACCTGTTCTGGTATTGCGCCTCACTTGGTTATTTGACATGCATCGTTGTCTTGAGGTACGTACGAGTCGCTGATTACCGCTTTGGAACTCGTCGAGTCGCCCTCGACGCAGAAATGTTGCAAGAAGGACTAACTGCTAGTTAGTCTTCGCAATGGAGGTAGTGCAGCAATATGATCCCTTCTCCTCCTAGCTCTCCACTCCCTAAGCCTGTCCTGGAATGAGGTTGGGGAGCACCGCTCGGAGGCAGCTCGCGCCATCCAGGGGTTCCTGGGAGCCAACACGGGCAGCTTGTGGCTGCTCGTCGTCGCGGCCTTCTTCAGCACCGGCTCGCACCCTCTTGACGGCAAGAGGCCAACGTCCGTACTGTCAATATCGCGGTTACCATCCCATGTGCTGTCTCTGGCAGCACCAATTTTCAAGTTCGCGTCCACGTACGCGCAGTCCCCAGAGCTTGTGGCTTCCGCACCCGAATGGGTGAAGGACGCCGTCGCCGAGGTTGACTTGACATTTGCGTCCCGCGTCCTCTTCACGGGCCTCGCCTCTGCACTGATCGTTGAGTTGTTTAGGCCGAGAAAAAGCACGTCGTCGCGAAAAGGCACGAGCTCAGTGACTGGCATGCATGAAGGATGACCTTTTCTGTGTGATAGACTAACTGTGCAGCAGAACGTCTATCCAGCACACTAGACGTAGTAACCCTCTACCTCATGACCCAGTCCCGCGCGACCAACATCCCGCTATTCCTGCTCTTCCGCCTCCAGCTCGCGTGTCTCTATACGTAACCCACAGCCCCCTTCTCTCACCTTCTTCCTCCTCCCAGCCGAAACCCTCACTAACCACAACAATCAATAACAAACAGCGTCCCTAACCACCACCACCCTAACCCTAATAGCCCACCTCCTAGCCCGCAGCGCCTACGGCGCCCTTGGCCACACCAACTCGGTCGCCGCCATCGACATCCCCAACGGCTTCAACGGGACGTCCGCCCGGTCTACATCCCCACTAATCCCGGCGCAGATCTCGGTTGCCATGTGGGCCTGCGGCGCATGGTGGTTCGGCGGCGGGCTGCGGGCCCTGCTGCTCTCGCGGACAGAACCAGAGGGCGAACAGGACAGCAGAAGCAGTAACAACCACAACGGCTCAGCCACCAAGGGAGCGACGAAAAAGAACATGAAAATGAACAAGAAGAAACCAAGAAGCGCGGGCGTGTTCACAAGCTACGCAGTACTGGCCACCTTCCTCGAGGCCGCTGGCGCCAGCCTGTTGCACGGCGGGTCGCTGTCGGTGCTGCTGCTGCTGGGCGACGACGACGCGGCGTTGTGGACCAGGGTGGTGCCGACGTCGCTGCTCACCGTGATGCGCTTGTTCATCCACCTCGGTGTCAACTTGGGCTTCTGCGGTCTGCTCTGGTGGCTGGCCTAGGAGGACCAAGGAATGATGATTGGAATAGAGGAAAAGGGGGGAAGAGGAGGGGAGCGCTGTGTAGTTATGGGATGTGTACGAGGGGTAGACTGACTGTCTGTCTGTGGGAGGAAGTAAAGTATATGAGCCCATGGTAAGAGTTCTCCTTACCCACGGATGGTCAGTTAGATATGGCCGTATATAATGGACAAAGCACCAGCAGACTGCCTTGAAATCATCATATCGACATAGAGGAGTATCGCTTGGAGTATTTATCTTAATTGCCTAAGAGCTTTGTTTTTTTCAAGAGCGGGGGGGCCGCGGTGGGCTCGTTAGTCGTTTTACATGTCTCAGCAAAACCAGCTCTAAACTTAGGGGGCGAGGAAGACATGTACAAAGGAAACCTTCTCGTAAAAAAAGAGGAGGATTCTTTCACTTCGTTATGACGATAGGATGTACCTTTCAGCAAAGATAGCTCAGACATCAAGGAAAGCTACTATACTCTGAAGTTCCAGTCCACTTTGCTGGGCTGGTTCCACCTCCTTCCCTTAATTGTGGCTTAATAGAGGATGTATATATCCCTCCGTATCTTAGGCAATTGGTCATCGAGTCCAGTAACTGAGGCAAGTAACGTTATATGTGCTGCACCAATTCAATTATTACCTTCACAACGAAGAAGATGAGTGGGCCTTGCACTGTTTCTTGGAAAGTTGCGCAATAAACAATGCTGAATAGCGAGTGGTTATAATATGATAACATCTCTATCGTCTGCCTAGCTGAAGACGGACAGAAGAAGTCCTGCGACAGTACATTCCTGTCCCAGACACAGCCCAATGATACTTACGATATTGTGGTGTTGTGGCTCAGTGTGTAGGCAAAAAAGCAAACCCATCTTGCCTGTTTCACAGATTGTGGCGGCGGGTCATATGTGAGACGAGGCAAGGACTGGAGCACAGCGTGGTGATGCATGCCTCCAACGCTGTGACACAGGGATCCTACTTGCCACGGCCATCAAGCCAAAATCGAGATTCGCAAGGGGATGAGAAACAATTTACAGTGGGATGAGCAGGAACTAGGCGTTGCTTCCAGTCCCTTGCCCTCTGGAATAACTGCTTATGCCTGGTCATTATACGGACTATTCCTTCCACTGCTTGACTCTGACGCAGTGCACTGGCGTAGCTGATGTTGGAGGGATCCGATAATCACAACGGCAGCCTCGGTCGGCTATTTCGACAGCGTGGTGTAGATCCCTGGGTATCCGCATGTCTTGATCTCTTGGCAGCTAACCAACCCGCTGCAGGGGGTCGCGAAGAAGAAGTGACTACCCGAAAATCATACGAATGAATGCTCTTTAATTGGCTGCTGCCAGAAGTTGCCTGGGCGGCCAGGGTCAGCCCAAGGCTGGTATAACATAACTTTCAGTCAAAGACCAAAAAGGGAACAGCTTCGATATGAATGTTGGTTGGTTTGTTGCAGTCTTTTGCTGAGAAGTGAAGCAAGTCCCCCAAGGCATATATAGAAAGACTCCCAGGAGAATGCTGCTGGTTGTTCCTTACTTCCCGCGCGCTAGAACTACAAATCAAACATTGCTACGAACCTCACTTCCATTCGCTTTACACAAATCCGCCTTACGACCACTGACTGTCGAACTACTCCGACAGAACCTTTCAAACTGCAGCCTAGTCGTGCCGACAATAGTTGGTGTCAGTCAGGTAGTATGTACCGAAGCACGGCAGGTTCAACCGTGACTGCACGTGGTTGTCAATGCTCCAGACCTTCAATGTGATAGATCTGGCTTCGTCAATTTGCTGGGTTGAATTCTGAAAGCGCTATGCTGGGACTACTGGTTATAACCTTGTGTCTCAGCTTCATCTGTTGAAGTCGGACACAAAGATCTGAATCTGATATGCGGATGATGCGCTGGTATGTTGGATAGGGGTAGAATACCTTGTAACAGAAAAGGGGCGCTGACCACTGCTCTTCTGAAGTGGCGCTGCGGTTGTGACTGAGCGGGGGCGGTGGAGGGAGGGACGGCTGAATCGAGATCCAGCCAGGGCCCAGGGCACGGGGGGATTGGCGTGCCCCAGTGGGCGGACCCCCTGGACTAGCCCTGGACTGGCCTGCATGGATAAAGACGTTCATCCAACCTGTTGAACACAGGCAAATTGAAATTGGAGGAAGATTTTGAGATTGTCATTTGGACAAGTTGCACCCGTTGTCTCGTCTCCCTAGTCTCCTATCCATTCATCAATCCTACGAACCACGACGCCCGACCGGACTATTCAGTCGCGGCGCCACACAAAGATCTCCCTTCTCTCCTCGTCGGCCTCCCTAGCGCCCTCGCCCTTCCGCCCTCTTTCTTCCCTTCCGCATATTCCCCATTTCCGTGGGGATGCACTGTACTTAAAGGTGATGAGGAGAACATCCGTATCGTTGCCTACGAAGCACGTTCGTCGCGACCCTTACGAGAAAGCTGGCCGGTACGACGCCGGTCACAGAGACGTCGGCATCCTGGAGAAATTACAGGCCGCCACCATGAACCAGGCCCAGAAGACGCGGTGGATAAAAACCACCGCGATCGTGGTGTTCCTGGTTTTCCTATTCTACTACCTCTCGCCGAAGGGCGCCGACATCTACAAAGGGGGTGCGTTGAACTCGGCATGAATGGACTCGGTCAGCAGGCGACAGTACTGACCCCTATCCTTAGTATCACATTCGGGAGGCCAATCACCGTCGGACGCGACCTACGGAACCGACAAATGCACGAAGTCGTACTCGAAAGACAAGCCCATCGTCCAATATGTCCTCATGATCGATGCGGGTAGCACTGGATCGCGTATCCACGTCTACAAGTTCAACAACTGCGGTTCTACTCCCGAGTTGGAGAAGGAGGAGTTCATGATGACTGACAAGAGCGTTGGTGGCTTGAGCAAGTACAAGGACGACCCGATTGCCGCCGCGAAGACCTTGGACGCCCTGATGGAAGTGGCGATGAAGACCGTGCCCGACAAGTTGAAGGGATGCAGCCCAGTTGCCGTCAAGGCGACCGCTGGACTCCGGATGATCGGTGCTGAGGCGAGTGATAAGATCCTTGAAACCGTCCGAACCCATCTCGAGGGCTACCCTTTCCCGGTCGTCTCCAAGGAGGAGAACGGTGTCGCGATCATGGATGGTTCCGACGAGGGTGTCTACGCCTGGATTACCACCAACTACCTCCTGGGCAAGATTGGTGGTCCCGACCAGAGCCCGACTGCCGCCATCTTCGATCTCGGTGGTGGTTCAACCCAGATCGTCTTCGAGCCCACGTTTAAGGGAATCCCTGGTGGGGGCATGCCCGAGAAGATGGCTCCAGGCGACCACAAGTACGACCTGGCGTTCGGCGGGCGAGAGTTCGAGCTCTACCAACATTCCCATCTTGGCTACGGTCTCATGGCTGCTCGCAACTCGATTCATCTGAACCTGCTTCAGGACATTTACAGCCAGGAGAAGACCAAGGGATTCCTCAACAAGCCTATCTTGAATCCGTGCATCAACGCTGGCCAGAGCGACATGGTCAAGGTGAAGCTTGGGGACGGCAGCCCCTTGGGCACCGGCGAGCTGGAGCTGAACATGACCGGTCCCGCTACTCCTGCCCCGGCCCAATGCCGCGCCTTGGCAGAGAGAATCCTGGCCAAGGACAGCGACTGCAAGTTGTCGCCTTGCTCCTTCAATGGTGTCCACCAGCCCTCCCTGGCCAAGACCTTTGGCAAGGAGGATGTCTACATCTTCTCATTCTTCTTCGACCGAACTAAGCCCTTGGGAATGCCAGACTCGTTCACCCTTCGCGAGCTGCACGACCTCACTAACAGTGTGTGCGGTGGCGAGAGCGCCTGGGATGTATTCGGCACTGTTCCTGGTGCTCTGGACGAGCTGCGTGATCGTGGCGAATACTGCCTTGACCTCAACTTCATGATCGGCCTCCTACACACTGGATACGACATGCCTATCGACAGAGAGGTCAAGATCGCCAAGAAGATCAAGGGCAATGAGTTGGGCTGGTGCTTGGGAGCCAGGTATGCTTATTCTCATCCACGAGCCAATCTCCACGTGTGCTAATATCATCTGCAGTCTGCCCCTGTTATCGAAGAATTCCGGCTGGTCATGCAAGGTCAGCCAGTCGTACTGATCGTGATTTTAATCCAGCTGGTTTTGGCATAGCATCAACTATAGAGATAACTTAATGATGGGAAGAAAGCAACGCACACACGGAGGATACTGTTACGAAAGGTGGTTTCTCATTCGCCTAAGGTGAAACGGCGTTCCGGATCTGTATTCGTGTAAAACCAAAGACCCGAAGACAAACAAGGGCTCTGCCAGTCTTCCAAGCCCTCAATGAGTGAGGCATAGAGAAGAGAGGTAGCTCGATGTACAACATGTCGAGACTAAGGACATCGAAATTTCAAGAACATCTGTCACAAGCGTGCGCCCCTCTCTTGTAAACGCGAGGCCTATATATGGCTTCCTGGATTTTGAAGTAATATCAATGCCAAATTGACTTTTAACGCCTGGGTATCTATGTATCTATCCATCTATGTATCGGTCCACCTACCGATCCATGCCCCCATCCTCTCGTCTCTAAACCCCCATCCATCATGCCCACATCACAGCGGCGGCGCCACCAACCCCAGCACGTCCTCAATGACGTCCTCGGGCCCGACATCCCGCAGCAGCGCCTCGACGGCGGCCAGGTCGCTGCCCCACTGCATGCTGCGCTCGCGCTGCGGCTCGACGACGCGGATGCGGTGCAGGTAGATCTTGCGCGCGGCGAGCCCGACCAGCGCGGGCGTCGCGTAGTCCAGCCCGTGCAGCGCGGCCAGGCTGCGCAGGAGCGCCGAGAAGTGGTGCGTCGCGAGGGGCGGCACGCTGGTGCCCCCTGGCGCTACGGCGCGGTGCAGGCGCAGGTGGCTGATTATGTTCATTTGGTAGCGCTGCACTTCGATGTCGACGGCGATGGTTTGGGAGAGGTGGGATAGGGTGGTTATGTCGGGTTCGGTGAGGGTTGGGATGGGCGGTTCGTCGGCTGCTGGAGGGCCGGGTGTGGTTGGGTGCTTGTGGGTGCTGTTGTGATTGTGGCTGTGGTTCTGGGTGTGACCGTGATTCCGCGTCCAGTCCGCTGCCGTAGGCGTACCCATACCCGCCGTGCTCGTCCGCCTGCCGTCGCTCTGCTTCCGGCTCCGGCGATGGATGACGCTGCTCCCGCTCTCCAGACTCGCCGCATCGTCCCTGTCTCCATGCTCGTCCCCAAGCCCCCCACCGCCATAACCACCCTCATCTTCCCCCTCCCTCTCCTCCTCCTCCTCCTCCAAGTGCGCGAACCCATCCTCAGGGTCGTGCCAGTGCGCAATATAAAAGAAGTCGTTCAGATGCGGCGTGAGGCGCGCCCCGGCTCCTAAAACGGCCACGAACAGGAACTGCTTCGGACACGTCTGCACGCTCGTGCGCGTGAAGATGCGCCGCGTGCGCAGCAGCTCCAGCGCCTGGATCTGCACGGCCTTGGGCGCGCGGTCGAGGTTCTTGGCGAGGACCACGGGCGCGATCTGCGGTGTGGGTGTTGCGTAGGAGGGGGTGTTGAGGGATGGCGAGATCGGGGAGAGCGCTCGTAATGGTGTTGCGTGGTGGTGTTGCAGGTGTGTGCTGCTGTTGCCGCCGCTGCCGCCTCCATTTCCATTTCCATTTCCGCCTCCACTTCCTCCATGGCCATGATTATTATTCTGGTGATGGGGGTGGGCGTGGAAATACGAATCGGCACCACGCGTGCGCAGCGGCGACGTCGAGTGCGGCGTGCTGGCATTGGCATTCGGCTGCTGCGGGAGCTGGATGGCGGCGGCGAACTCGTCGAGCGTGGTCTGCGGCGTGCAGCCGACGATGATCGGGGTCAGGTCAAAGGTCTGCGAGGCGACGAGCTGCAGCTCGGCGGCCAGGTCGTCGAGAGAGGCCGGCTCGGTGCTGATGATGCAGTGCTCGCGGCTGATGAGGCAGAGCAGCGCGGCCAGGCCCAGGTCGCCTAGCCCGTGGACCTTTTGCAGGAGGTCCTCATCCGTCATTGCTTGTGTGGATGTGAGTTTGAGGGCCCATTAGATCACATCGTCGGAGGACTCCAGTGGGTGTTGTCGCACTTCAATGTTGCTATGTAGCTGGAGGTGTTGGGTTGAGATTCCATCCAAGGCTAGGGCTCCGAGCTCACCTTTATTAGCGGGGCGCGGAGCTCCGAGGAAGCTACCCCTACACCGGAAGCTCCCGGTCCCTCCACTATCGCGAGCCAAATGCCGGCGTCATATTCGTAAGGGACATCTCTACTTATTAATCGGCCACAAATGATCACTTGTTTAGTGCTTCCAGAGTGCCTCAAAATAGTTTACGGTTGCCAATGGTTTGAGATGTTTTGTGACCACGATCAAGTCGCATTTGTAGACATTACAAAGCTACCTAGGTATGAATATACGGGGGAGAACACATAATACAATGCATCAGGCCTGCCTACTTCTCCTTCATACCTCACGAGCGTGTAGGCACAACTAAGCGTTCCAATCGATCTCACCACCTTTTCGACCTCCACTACCACCTTCTCGACCTCCACTACCCCCGAACAGTCAGTATTCACTTCGTACAGAACACTTGCAAAACAACAGACATCAACAGGAACAACTCACGTCCCGCCCCAAAACTTCTTATCGACCTTGTCGTCCTGGGCAGCAGCGGACCTGTCGTGCTTCTTGTCGAAATCCCGGTTATGTTGCTCGACTTCCTGCTTCTGCTCGTCACTCAAGCCCTGCTTGACTCCAGGTACAGACTGGTTATGGATCTTGGGTTGCGGCGCTCCCTCGCCTTGGGGGCCCTTCAAAGCCTCACCTCCTTTCTTGCTTGCCTGGTCGGCGATGTCTCCTCCGGTGGGGCTGCCGCCCGTCTCGGTCGCCTCCTTCGATCGGGATCCGCCAGACTGCGCGCTGGCTTGCTCTTCGGGTGATTTCTTGCCGCCAGACTTCTGTCCGACGTCGGGAGCCGCAGGGCCGGGGTGCTCGGAGGATTCTTGTGCTCCGGACGAGCTGGGCTGCTTCTGCGGGTTCTCGCCCACCGGGTTGCCCTCGCCGTCGCCGTAGCCCTGCTTCGCCTGGAAGCGCGAGGCCGTGACGAAGGTGCGGTGCACCTGCGGAGCTCGGGTGCGGACAGCCCGCATGGCGGAAAGAGAGTTGCTGATGCGGAGAGCCACCATTGTGAATGTCAGGGAAGTGATTGAGGTGTATGTATGAGTTGTCGAAGCTGATAGCAGGGGAGTGTGATGGTTTTTGAGAGAAGCAGATTTCCAATGGATGGATGTGGAAGTTACCTTAGGGTTGCCGGGTGCAGGTGGTCAACGAATTGATCTACAGATGATGAGGTATGACATCATGAGAACTCAAGCTCCGTCGCACCTGTGACAGCCCGCCTTGCAACATTGCACCTGCACCGCATGCAGTGCTAGTATCGTTGATCTTACGAGATAATTGACTCTAGGCATAGCTCCTGTCGAGTTGTAGGCTCTTTATTATTCCTCATATCTGGCTGTGACGAAGCCCCGGGCATTGAGGCAACATAGTACAAGTCTGTGGCAGAGGCAACTTGTGGTAGTGCTTGCCACTCAGCTTCTTACGTAGTATCCAGGGTGAAGAAAACGCTCATTGAGACAACTAGAAGGCACTGTATGTTGTAAATCGAATACTTGTAAAAGCTAGATTGGCTTCATATTAAAATGGGAATGGAGTTAGATGCAGTTGCGAGATATCTGATATGCAACGAATGTAACCTAACAAGCTGTTGAACACCATATTGCGCCTTGTGGTAGCGGTATCCAGAATGAGGACCAGGGTCACGATAGGTGGCTATTGGTCTGTATTCTGGAAGTTGCTTGATTGAAAGAAGGGATGGGTGGTGTCCCCATCCCAGAAGTAGCTATCATCCCAGTTGGGTACAAATCTGGTACAAACGGGTACCCGTTGGGCTCCAAGGTACCTTGTATCCTGGCCCGTGACCCATCCGTCACTGTGGCTGGAAAATGGGTTGAGGAGCCACAATATTAGGTTAATTCAACCGCTTCATGCATGCGTTGCCTCAACTGAAGCGGTGTCCATTGTGTGGCTTCAGCCCAGACAAGCCGACCCCATCATGTGTGGCTTGCGTGTACAAAGCCGGCGTTGTGGCCACAGCCAGCCAATCAAGCGGCAAGGCCAATTCAGCGAATGACGACTGCTGAAGTTGGGTCAACCCACTGTGTTGACCTCGTGCCGGCAGCCTAGACACACCTGGCATAGATAGAGAGTTATCGGTATGTCCGACCGCCGTCGCTGCTTCGTCTCATCATCCCAAGCTCCAAACAACAACACAACCGTCGATTCAACAAGCACACAACCGCATAACGTCGCCATATCGCTCCCATAAACTCCAGGTCTCGCCTCGAAGACGTCTAGCTGAGCAACATCGCATGCTCTCGTCGGCGAACACGTCTCCCCGATCGCCCAATCTCCCAAAGCCGCCAGGCTTGATCCTCCATCATGGCTTCTAGGAAGAAGGTTCTCTTGAAGGTGAGGCCGAGCTAGCGCAGGCTATTGATTGGAACTGCCTTCTGTTGAGGATCTGAGACTAACAGACAACACTTAGGTCATTATCCTCGGCGACAGCGGTGTTGGGAAGACCAGCTTGATGAACCAATATGTACGTCGCCTTCGTCGATGCCAAGCAGCCTTTCTTCCCACGATCCAATTAGTCCAACGCCCGCCCAACACACTCGCTGACTCCTACTATTGCTAGGTCAACAAGAAGTTCAGCGCCAGTTACAAAGCTACGATCGGTGCCGATTTCTTGACTCGAGAGGTCCTGGTTGATGATCGGCAAGTCACGATGCAGGTATGACAGAGGTTCACGAATGTCCCTTACATAATGGACACGACTGATGCAATATAGCTCTGGGATACGGCCGGACAGGAGCGCTTCCAATCTTTGGGCGTTGCATTCTACAGAGGAGCCGACTGCTGCGTGCTGGTATTCGACGTCAACAACTCCAAGAGCTTCGATGCGCTGGAAAGCTGGAGAGACGAATTCTTAATTCAGGCTTCACCACGGGACCCTGAAAACTTCCCCTTTGTAGGAATTCCCTTGGGTTCGAGGCTTCGTAGTGCACTCACCAATTGCTCGTAGGTCGTTCTCGGCAACAAGATTGATGTGGAGGAGAGCAAGCGAGTCGTAAGTGGTACCTGTTACTTTGGGAACTCTGCTGAACAATGTCTAGATCTCAAGTAAGAGAGCGGCTACCTTCTGCCACTCGAAAGGCGACATCCCGTACTTTGAGACTAGTGCCAAGGAAGCCATCAACGTCGAGCAAGCCTTTGAAGGTAAACTCCCTTCCTCCCCCTTCTTCCACTATTGTCGGATACTGGTCTGACTTGAGACCTAATAGTCATCGCGCGGAATGCGCTCGCGCAAGAGGAATCTGAGGAGTTCAGCGGAGATTTCCAGGACCCTATCAATATTCACATCGAGAGCGATCGTGATGGATGTGCTTGCTAAATGATCAACCACAACTATCAAGGACTGTTTAAGCACATCACTGCCGGTGCCAGTTCATTTAGCGGAGAGGTAACAGATCTTCTACCGCGTATGCTCATCCATCCATCTCCTAACGCTCCAAGCACCAGGGAGGGGTTGTGGATTATCCGTGATAAGGTGCGAGGTGAACATGAGGCATCAGGATCCACTTATCACATTGGTGATAACTGTATAGTCAATTACGGTGTTTCGCGGTTCATTCTGCCCATTAATAGAGGGCTTCATATTCAGTCTCATTTTCTGTATTATCAGCCAAGTCCGTTGAAGGACATAGGAAACGAGACACTCCTATCTTTTGAAGTAAACTCGTGCCTGTGTATTAAGGTGGTGTTGCCTGACGAAGAGACGCAAGTATAGTCCAGGTCGTGATCTCGTCGCATGTGACGGGAGTCAATACCCAAATGGCGTCAATGGGCGTGACTTAGTGGCGCCGGGTGGAAGCGGTTGGTGGGCAGCTTCAGGGGCGTCGGCGCATGTGGTGCCCAGACGCCGACCGCGTGCTCCATCGATCCCGTCCAGAATCCGATACAGTCAGTCAGCCGTGACATCGGAGGAACATCAATGTGTCTGTTCTGTTTCAGGATTTCGAATTTGTATCAGTCACGTCCAGGATTGTCTCTTCGATGATTGACCGTCAGTGCGACTGTACAAACCTGGGGTTTACCATTTCGCGCCGTGTCAATCGCTTTGTTCTGTTACGATAGATGATTCCTTCGAGCGCAGCCGGTTCACCCGCCGAGAGCGACCTCTCCTCCACCCGAATCCCCTGCTCGACTCGACTTAATACCACCCAACATGGCGCCGCAAGAGCCGCTTCTCGCGAGCGAGGTGCAACCCGCAGGCGATATGTCTGGAAGGAGACCCTCTGAACCGCTCACGCTCTCGGGCAGCCTTTCGGCATCCTTCGTGTCGGGGCGAAGCGCAAGCACCCCCAGGCGCAAAGCTGGGATCTGGAACATGGCGCGGAGGACGCTGGGGATCAGTCTCTTACTCGTTACTGTCTTACTTTGGACAGTATCAAACTTTCTTGCAAGCGTGAGTGACCGCAAACTCCCATAAGAGTATCCTGCATACTGGGCGTGCGACTGACCAGGTTGGCTGCTAGTATATATTTTCGGACCATACATACGACAAACCTTTCTTCCTGGTGTACATAAACACGTCCATTTTCGCGATCTCGATGATACCCCTCTCCATCAAGCACATATTACAGAACGGCGGCTTCGCGCAGACTAAGAGCATCGCGCTGCGGGCATGGCGGGAAGGATACAACGGGGCGGAGAGGCTGAAGACCCAGGAGGAAGAGGAGGACTTGACGGCGGGGGAGCGGCTACTAGTGGACGACGAGGGAAGCCTCGAGGCCTTCGACCTCCCGCCGAAACAGGTCAACAAGCTGCCGTTCCGCGACACCGCCAAGCTGAGCCTCGAGTTCTGCATGATCTGGTTTCTGGGGAACTACTTCGCGTCGGCGTGTCTGGAGTACACGAGCGTGGGGAGCGTGACGATCCTGACGTCGACGAGCAGCGTCTGGACGCTGATTTTTTGTGCCGTCATGAAGATCGAGCCCTTCAGCGTGCGCAAGCTGGTCGGGGTGCTGGCGTCGCTCGCGGGCATCGTCTTGATCTCGATGGTGGACCTGTCGGGCGCCGACAACGACGGGGACCGCGGCAACTTCCCGCACAAGAGCCAGGCGCAGATCGCCATCGGCGACGCCATGGCCTTCTTCAGCGCCGTGGTCTACGGGATCTACGTCGTGGTCATGAAGGTGCGCGTCGGCAACGAGGAGCGCGTCAACATGCCCCTATTCTTCGGGCTCGTGGGCGTCTTCAACCTCGTTCTGCTGTGGCCCCTGTTTCCCATTCTGCATTATACGGGGATCGAGCCGGTATGTCGTCGATTCTCTTTGGATGAGATAGGTGGGACGAATGCTAAACTCGCCCTAGTTCGAACTGCCGCCGACTGGCAAGATCTGGTCTATCATCCTGGTAAGACAGATTTCCTGCATGAGCGATGGCATTGACTTGGCAATAGACTGACACGTTTGCAGCTTAATTCGATATCCTCCTTCATCTCCGACATATCATGGGCGTACGCCATGCTGCTGACCACACCACTCGTGGTCACAGTCGGGCTGTCGCTGACCATCCCACTATCGCTCATCGGCGAGATGATACAATACGCGCAGTACTCGAGCTTCGTGTACTGGATAGGCGCCGGCATAGTCTTGCTCTCGTTCATATTTATCAACCGCGAAAGTCAGGACGATGAAGACAGAGCGAAAGTCGGTTCGGAGGGCGGACCTCGCATATCGGAGGCGTAGAGTGATTGCAGGCGATTCTCCTTTCGCAGTTGTTCGGAGATCGATACCAGGGGGCGGATGTAAGCTGTCGCATTGTCTTCCATCTGTAGCACATCTTACATAGACATGGCCCGGCGTTTGCGGTTGACTTTCTGGGACCTGTTTAAGGTCGTCGCCGATGAAGAAATAAGGCTTTGTGGAAGGGAACACCAAAGATCAGATGCTTTACAGTTGAGTTCGTCTTGATACGATCACTGTACTTACGGAGGCAAATGTAAGGACAATGTATTCTTCTACCTGTGTTCACCCGCTCAAACCGCTGCCCGCTGCCGGCCACCCGCCCGTGATCGACAGGGCCGCAGAGGGTTGACCCATCGTGTTGGTTTTACCCCGTGTGGCCCCATATTAAGCTGCGTGTCTGGCAGGGATATCCATAGCTCCCTAGGGCGGTCACGTGGGCGGTATCGCATTCTGAAACCCGGATCAAGATTTGCCATCATGAACGAGAGGGCGATGTTTCTAACGATCGCGGTGCATGTATGATGTGATAAATCGGGCGGATTGGGCTCTAAACATTCCAGAAGCCCCTAGCGCTTTCCGAGGCGCTGTCACTGGCCTTGCTTTTTGGGGATTTCACCCAGCCCACGCGATCGACGTAATGCTGCATTTTGACGTAGCGCCATAATGTCTCATTTATTACCTTATGCGGCCGGCAGCCTATGCGTGTCTGAGAGATGGACGCACAATCAGTGACCAGGACTGGGTCACCACTCACAACCTCGGACGCTACCTGACTTAGGGCTGCTAGGTACATTCCCGTGGGACCGGGTGGCGAGTCAGTGACAACGACCTCCGGGCGAACTCTCTGGTCTCGTGCCAGACGTTGAGTTGTAATCTTTCTTTAGCCTGGTGACGCCTTATCTGACGGTTACAGCGCCTGCTTCGCCCGTCGACTTGTCAATCCTATCACAGGACGGCACTTATCCCCCATGAGGCTCTGTCATCCCCGACCTTCTTGACTTGCAGCCTTGCCCTTCCCACTACTAAATGAGGGTAGCCGCTATCAGGCGATCACGCGTGCCTCGTACGAAACCTTGCTCTTGCTGTACGCGGACGATTCGTGGCTTCCCCTACCCACTATACTCGCGCTCTGTTACTCCTGACAGCAGCGCCTGTCTGGTCAGCACGGGGCCGCCGGTCCTACTTGACTAACACGCCTTGCAACCCAAGGTAGGAAGCATCGTGACTGAGTAGCCACTTGGCGTTACCTGGTATTGCGCACCTACCTACTACAGCTGTACCACACGCAAACTACACATCAGACTTCAGCCTCATCCTCTTTCTTATGTATATAAACTGCCCTTCTTTCTCCCTACCTAGGTAGCCTGACCTAGTCGCTCCTTGATTTCCCGAAGCACCTATAAAACCTACAGCACCTATACCACACATACATACCATGCCGTCGAAAACTGAGGAGAATGAGCGGTCTCTGTCTCAGCTGATCAACATCGCCACCCGCTCTGTCCACACCAAGCTGAACAAGCTCGTCCTCGCTCGACTGCCCCTGGCCCTGCCGCCCCAGGCCGACGATGCCTCCCAGTACGTATCAGGACTGCTCCACATCGCGCCCATCTACATCTCCTTCGAGTCGCTCTGGCGGACGATCCTGGACTCGCCCGTCTCGGTAGAAGAGGCCAGTACCGAAGACACGCACGTGTGCGCGGCCTGCGACCCGGCAGCCGCCGCGAAGGCACCACCAGCATCCCCGGACGTCCACTCGGCGCCCGACGGCAACGGCCTCGACGCGCCGCACCGGCCCGTCATCTGCTCGCGGATCCACAGCCTGCTGGCGCACCTGCACCTCGAGGGCCTGCAGCGGTCGCGGGCGCTGCAGGACGACCTGGCGGCGCTGACGGGGTGGTCGAGCCGCACGCTCGCCGAGCAGCTCAACGACGCGGCCGAGTCGCCCGTGCTGGCCGATTTTCTTAGACACACCAAGAGCTCCGTGCGCGCGAACCCGCACGTCCTGCTCGCGTACGCCTGGGTGCTGTACATGGCGCTGTTCTCGGGCGGGCGCTTTATCAGGGCGTCGCTCGAGGGCGTCGACGCGGCGTTCTGGGTCCCGGCGTCGGCGCAGCATGCGGAGTGGCCGTCGCATAAGGCGGCTATTAATGCTGCTGGGAACACCATCACCACCGTTCCGTGCTCCTCTGGTTCATCGTCTAACGCTAAGTCATTTCATTCCCATCAACAACAATCACAGCAACAACCACACGAACCGAACCAGCAAGAAGAAGAGCAAAACCAAAACCACCACCCACCACTCGACTTCTTCCGCTTCGCCACCCCCGACGACGGCGAGGACCTGAAGCAGACGTTCAAGGGCCGCCTGGCGCAGTCCGAGTCCTTACTCACGCCCGCCGAGCGCGACGACGTCGTGCAGGAGGCGCGCTGCATCTTTGAGTTCATGGTGTGTCTGTGCGGCGAGCTGGACGACATCTGCGGCACCGACCGCGAGGCCGAGTCCGGGACGGCTGTGGGTGCGGGTGCCCGTGCGGCGGGGCTGCTGAGCCTGAGGAGCAGGGACAGCGTTGTCGTCGAGAAGGAGAGAAGGCAGCTGATGGAGATGGCGAGGCGGGTGGAGCGGGAGAGGGAGAGGGAGAGGGATAGGGAGAGGGAGGGGAGTGGTAATGGTGGTGGCGGCGGTGGGGGCGTGGCGGCGACTTTGTTGCTGGGGAGGAAGGGGAAGGGGAAAGGGAGCGGGGAGGGTGGTGTGAGGTTCCAGGGATGAACCTGGCTGTTGGATTGGCGGGCAGAGGAAAGGAGTATGAATAGAGGGATAGAGGCATAAACCGATAGAATCGGGTTGGCGCGGCGTGGCATTTGGGGCTTCAATTTGTAGAGGGCTGGGAGGTGGTTAGAGTACAGGTACTTTGAATACGATACCCTGGTTTGATGTTACGAGCCGAGAGTCGCCTTCGTCTTGGTCTTGGTTTTGTATTGGTATTGGCTTTGTATTGGTCTTGGTCTTGGTCTTGGTCTTGGTTTTGTATTGGTATTGGCTTTGTATTGGTCTTGGTCTTGGTGGTTTCCTGGGTTGTTGTTTACCATGTTCTGCCTTGGGACGGTGCTGTGGCCAAGTGACAAGAAAAAAGGGGCGGGTCTCTCGTGTTGTATTGTTCTTCGAGGTGCTATCACCATAGTCAGAGTTTACTCATCAATAGCCAGATTATAGCCTACTTCTTGCACGCCCAGTGTAAGGGTCTGCGTAGGGTTCTCCGTGTCTGGCATCATTACTTGCCAGGAGCCCCTTTTCCAAATCCAGTCTCTCTCCCTTCTTTTCTTCTTTTTTTTGGGGTTTGGGGGTTTGGCGGGCTCGGGACTTGTACGACGGCCTCTCGCCAGCGGCATAGGATAATATCCAGTCGGTTTATTTTGGCGCCGAGCATACCTACGGGAACGGTTAGGCTCTGGAGTCGTCGGATATGGGAGCTGGGGTGGCAGGTGTGGAGGAGCAAGGAAGATTGAGAACATGCGGCTTCTGAGAATTAACCGCTTTGGGTGGAGGAAAGAAGTTGAGGCAACAACTGTTTAGAATTAGACTTCGGCTTCGCTGGCTGAAGACCACGACAGGCGGCCCTACCACGAACTTGCCGACGAGGCTCGTTAGATATGGTTGTAGGCACAGGCTTTGACGGCACCTGTCGACGTCGAGCATGTGACAGAAGCATGCTGCCCTCTAACGGCTGTGAAAAGCTCCGTGCCGTGCGAGTCTTCGTGGCGAGCCGATGACCTCTGCTTGTGCCTTCTGAGGCGTCGTCTTGCAGCAGCCCAGAAAGGCAGTAGTAATATTTCATACCTATACTCTACAGATACGCGTCACCACATCATCTCGCATTGGAAACTCATGTAATATCTTGGTTTTCCTTCACAAAGCTTCTGCTAAAAAAATCTCTGTTCAGTCTGCACCGCAAGCTCCACATCCGCCTCATTTACGAGCAGTGCGGCGGAGCAGGTCAGGTGTCAGTCAGGTCAGGTAGAGTTCCCCAGCAACCAACAACGCCCCTAGTGACCAACCACCCACATGTACCGCAATACAAGCCCAATCTTTCATAACCCCCCCATGGCAGCCCCAAGCTAATCTGGTCTAACTGTTGTGGGGGGTGAGCAAAACCCTGGGGACGCCCGGGCGTTTTCGTAAGCCTACTGTTCGATTCCGGGGCGTGGCTGAATGCTGATTAAAAGATCAGTTAATCAGATTGACGGACGCTACCCGGGTCGGATGGTAGGCTGAGCTTTTTGCAGTATTGTGTGTGTATTTTTATTCGAACCTGATGAAGTTTTTTTCCCTTCCTGGTACTTGCAGCCCCTGGCTGCATCTTTGTTTTTGGTATATACCTCGCGCTGTAAGCAGGCGCATATAGTGATTGTACGTGATCTCGACCTCGTACTATACGTATCTCACTCATGTGAGCCGGGATGATCTGCTACAGGTCATTCCCACCAGGATTTATCGCTCACGTTCATGCCTTACCTGCCTGGCTCCTTTCCAGTAGGAGTGTGTCACTGATGCATGCTCGTCAGTCTCGGCCCGACGTCAACGTCAATCCGCGGCAACGACGTTCCCAAGAATCGCAGATCTCATGGCACTGGCTTGATCGAACCCGCGCTGCGTGCGCTGCGACGTAAAGCGCAACGCGGCCATGGGAGCCACAGCCAACCGTACCTCCTACCTGATAACCGAGAACAAGGGCATGGACGGAAGTTGCAACCACATTTACTCGTAACCAGCAGGCTGGCAGCTGCCTCCTGCCTCACGCAAAGCAAACCTAATGAACTGAACTCGGACGAGGCTCCCTGGAAGTGTCGGGTTGAGCTCGTCAAGGATACACACGTCATCACAACAGCATCAATCCATTGCATCCAATAAGACATCTCCATATCGTTGGCATCCAGAGCGCTCGGAACACCAGAGCAACTCGACTTACACAATGTCGGAAGAGAATCAAGCACCCCGATAGAACCCACCGACAGACGGAGGCCAGGATGACCCGGAGTGGAAGAAAGCACTCCTTGACGGGTTCGATTTCGAACTGCAGCCATGTCCCGAGTGCGAGCAAAGACACTACAAGGGGAGCCCCAAGTGTCGCCCACCACCACGAAATCGAGTGAGGCCCCGACGAACACGATCGGAGTCCCCAGAGCCACGACAGATGGCACAACAACCACGACCGGTAGCCCAACTACAACGACAGGCGCCCTGGGCCCCATCGCAACCTGCGCACCTACTGCAACCTAGGAACCCACCCGGCCGCCTGCGTCGTCTCCTGACATCCCAGAGAACTTAGATCGTCCTCGGCTTGCTGTTCGCCTATGTGTGTGCCTACGAGATGCTACTTCGAGTGGTCCAAACGCTGTTGCAATGGCTCTATACGCTTTGCTACTGGTTGCTGGGACTGGCGCTTGTTGCGATTGGCTCGGCAATCCTGTCGACCGAAGAGAGCAGAAGGCTTTTTGAGGGTTTGGCATGGATTTTTATTGGGTTTGCGTTGGACTTCCTTGTTCGGTTTTACTACTCTGTGTTGAGATTTTAAGATGTACGTTGGGTTGAGCGTCGGGGGTACAAGGTAGTCCACACACAGAATTTACTGTGATAGCGATTAATCGGCATGAATTCTTCCAACTACGCCAATCGTTTTTAGAACAAGCGCCCTAGTATAAGCATTCAAAGCAATGGATCAAACTCAAGCTGCTTATTGCTATATGTTTACTCCAGTATTTCAAAATTTCAAAATTTCAAACTGGTAATCTGGAACGTTCACACCATATCTTCCAAACAACGTCTAGATGTTCTGCACTTGGGTAATAGAGGTCGTATGGGGACTTTTAATGCTTCAGTGTCCCTATTTCAAGTAAGAGAGAGAGGTGTGGGTGGCGCTGCCACATATCAATAGCTCTCGTCATAGACTAACTAGTTCTAGCTGAACCATACCGTCAAACAGGACTTTGACCATATTGGTCCGGAATGCGTCGTCACAATAGACTTGTTCTGGCAATCCAAGCACTAGAACCATATGATTTTCCTACATCTGGCTCATAGGCCACCATCCAACCTTAGTACTCCACTGAGCGTGAATGAATTAGGCATAGTAGTTTACTGTTAACAGGATGTATCTTGCACCGTTCGGGCCGTTAGGGCTGATTGGTGCAATGAGTCCATTTCACCAATTTTCCAGGGGGTAAGTCAAGGACTGTGACTATCAACGATATATCAGTGTTAGGTCACTACAGGCTGTTTCACAGCATATGTGGCAACTGCGACATCATCTCTCAGTGTCCTGGTACCGCGGAGAGGTGATTTCATCAATGTAAGCGCGTGTTTCGAAGTATCGGGAGCGAGGAAGCCATATATATTCGAAACCGCTCTAACACTCGGCTTTGAAAAGGCTACGGACATGCAGTTCAGTAAGTTACATTAATCATCTGATAGCAGCAGCAAGAAATTACCATGCATTTGTGTAACTCCATGGGGAATAAGCGAGCTGGTTCCGACAGACATCAATTCAACACCGCGAGAGTCAGGGTGGCAAAAGTATACCCCTATGTACATCCGAGCCCTTGAGCTCGATCCAGAACACGGACAACACCAACACCCCAGCCCAAGGCAAAACCCAAACCCCAAACTCCACGCTCTCGTCACTGGGCATGCACTCCCACACCCGCTCCCACTCCCACTCCCGCGAAACCACTTCCAGCCACCTCTCCTACTCCTCCTCAAACTTAGCCTGCAGCAGCATAGCATCCACCATGCGGCCCGTGGCATTGCAGAAGTCGCTCTGCAAGTGCTGCCACTTGAGCGCGCGGTAGCGCGCCTCGATCGTCGCCAAGATGCGGCAGTCGCTGGCACTGTAGAACTGGTCGGGCTTCAGGCGCTTCTGGTCCGGGTACATGTCGCTCCAGACGCGCTCGTATAGGTAGCGCTGCTGCGCTGTGTGCTCATCGATGTCGGAGTCGGCCTCGTCTTCTTCGGCTGCGGCTGCGGATTTATTGTCTTCGGCTTCGCTGGACTCGGTGCCGGCGTCCGAGGCGGAAGAAGAGGCACTGGAGCTGGAGTCGGAGGAGATGACGACGGGCTTCTTCTTGGACTTGCCGTTGGACTTGGACTTGGAGTAGTCTTTCTTGGTCCTTTCGCTCTTGCCCTTGCTCTTGGCTTTCTCCTTGTCTTTGCCGTTATCCTTGGCCTTGGACTTGCTCCTCTTGTCGCCATTGGAGTCCTTACCCTTGGTCTTCGACTTCTTGGCCTTGGATTTGTTTTCGTCGATGTAGATCTCGGCCAGCTTGTCGGCGGTGATGCCGATCTTGTCGGCGTTCTCGACGAGCTCCTTGTAGTGCTTCTGCACCTCCTTCTTGGTGCGGCGGATGACCTTGCCGATGTCGGCCCAGCTGCGATGCGTGGTAAGCCGGGTGAAATTCTGAGGTGTGGATGTGTAGGTAACAAAAGATGTGGAAGGGCTATGATGCCAATGGTTGTGCAGAGCAGACTCACGTGTTGTTCTCCGACTTCATCACGCAGATGGTGCGGTCTTCCTCACGGGTCCAACCCGGGGCGTCAGAGGAGTCGTCGGTGGTCGACATCTTGGACTTGGTGCCAGAAGAGCGTTGGGATTGTTCGTCGTCAGATCCAGCTACAGCTCGGGTAGATTCCTGGTCGGTGGTCTCCGCTGCGTTCATCTGGTCGTCCTCTACTGGTGATGCGTCGGAGGTCTCGGGACTCTGGAAGGTCACCTTCTTCTTAGGCTTGTTAGCTGGGGCACCTGCCATTGCGTGCTTTCTCTTGATTGTTTGATAGTTTAACAGATAGGAATGATGTGGATATCGCAGGGGTAAGTAATTTGGTGGTAACAGGCGTGAGAATGAGTGGTGCAGGGGGAGCATCGTGACTTGGTGCAGCATGTAAACAAACGCGCCGGGGGTGCAGGTGATCAGAAATAAGGTTGCGTGCATTAAGCGGGTCTTAACAATGCTGTCGATAATGAGACTTACCTGTGAGCAATGGTGGTGGTCAGCGATGGTTGTGCTCCTAGCTGGGTATCGTGGTCTACGCCGGCAATGTGGCTTGTTGTCGTCGTGGGCTACCAAGCAAAAGTGCGGAGCCGGAAAGAAGGAAATTCATGTCACATTGGCAAAAGAGAAAAATCAATTGCATAGACGCTAGTTTCCTAAGGGATTATTGGCTGCTTGAGGCATCCAGTCCCCAGCACGCAGCCCTGTGCACACACCTGCGCGTTGCTAGGTAGTGTACCCGACTATGCCGCCCGTTTCTCAGCCTTCTGAGCATTACTCCCCTTCCCCCGTCTGCACCTCGTAGTATTCTACCCTTCATTCGCCAAGTATCAATCCCTCATACTTTCCTATCCTCCTTCATTGGGCACTTTTTCAACCCCTTTTCCGCCGACGGAGAACTGACGTCGCCTCAACAGCTGCGGCTTACGACAATACCTAGTGCTTGGCACAAAATAGAGAAGCATGGAACAATTTAGACTCGTCTTCTTTTGCCATATTCACATTCACTGGTCAGCCAGCCGTTCCCAAATCAAGCTGATATGTGCGTGGTGGTCGCCAGGCACACAGATCTCCCTCTATAGCTTGCTCTTCTTCTTAGGTCTCCACCTAGCATATGGATGCTCCTCTGAACGTGGAACCAAGTGGTCAACGGCACCAGTGTGTAGTAGCCCAGGATGGACCTGATCAAGACTTGTAATGCCGCATTGCTGCATGGTGGTCTCCAACTCATCAGTCAACACTTGGCGAAGTTAGCAAAGCTCTCCTCATACCCCATATACACCCACATAGTGAGCCGACTTACTGTTCACGAACTGCTCAACACCTTCCTTCCCATAATTCAGCGCAAACAAGAACCCACGCCCTATGCCCACAGCTCTCGCGCCTAAACAGAGAGCCTTAAAGATGTCAGTCCCTCTCGTTATGCCCCCGTCGATGTACACCTCCATCCTATCAAAAACCTCCGGACAGCACTTCTGCAGCTCCAGGAGCACCAATATCGTCGCGGGCGCAGTGTCCAGGCTCCTGCCTCCATGGTTCGTGATGTATATCGCATCCACACCCACTTCCATCGCCTTCACAGCATCCATCGCAGTCTGGATTCCCTTCAGCACGATCGGCAGCCCAGGGACCTGCCGCCTCAACCACGCGATATCATCCCACGTCAGGGAGGCATCAATGAAGCTTCCCATGATCCTACCCAGGGAACCCCCTTTCTTGTCGTTCTTGGCCTGCAAGCCAGACATGGGTACCGTCAGGCTCTCGTCGGCCTTGATCCTCTCGTCGGCCTCCCGCTTCCCGATGACGGGCGCGTCTATCGTCAGGAAAATCGCCTTGACGCCGCGTTCCCTTACTAACTTAAGCAGCCTCTCCGACTTCCTGCGGTCCTTGTCCACATACAACTGGAAGAAAACCGGCACAGTCCCCCTCTCCTCGTCCTCGTCCTCGTCCTCCTCGACCGCATCCATGACCTCAGGCAAGGTAAACGAGCAGCTAGTCGACACGCAAAGCGGCACGCCCAAACCCCGACAAGCGCGCCCGAGCTCGCGCTCGCCCTGCGGGTGGAACAGCCGCCCCATCGACGTCGGCGCGCAGAAGACGGGCTTGCTGATCGCGCAGCCCAGCATCGTCGTGCGCACGTCGACGGCACTCACATCGCGCAGCACGCGCGGCCGCAGCGTGATGCCCGCGTAGGCGGCACTGTTGCGCTCTTTGGTCAGGCAGTCGGTCGCGGCCGACGACGCAAATGCCCAGGCCTTGGGCGTGAAGCTCGACTCGGCCGCGAGCGCGAAGTCGTGCGCGTTGATGAGGCTGTCGAGGGGTGGCTTTTTCCCCTTTGGGGCTGTCGAGCGCGGCGGGGGCGGCGGCTTCGCCCATTCCTCGGTTACCGTCGCGGTGTCGAGGAGGCCGATCTGGCTGGAGGCGGGGAGGGAGTCCCGGATTAGGGATTTGGAGTGGACTTCTGAGTAGGCTGCTGTTGCGTCGCGGCCGGCGTGCTGGAGGAGTATGTTGATGCCGCCTGGGTGCGAGGGCGCGAACGCGCTGAGGTCGTAGACGGTGCCGTCGACGACTAGCCAGAGGTCTTCTGGGGACTTGTGGCGGGATATCTCGTCGATGCCCACTAGACGTTTCGCTGCTGTGGTTTCTTCAGCGCTCATCTTGATTGGGTCTCCGATAGTACCGATTCGAAACTTGAAATGGGATGCTGGCTCTGATTCGAAAGAAAAGACTAGGTATAGTCGTGGGAAGCTTTCCCTGTCTCGACTTATATATAGTAAGTCTTTTCCAAGATACATGCTTCACTTGCATAAGACTTGACCAAGGAAGAATACGGATCTCTAGCTTCGATGTTTATTGTACGAAGTTGACATTGTTGCGGGCGGGCATCTCTCGTGTCGTCGGCGGAACGGACGCCGAACTGGCATGCCAGCTTCCCCACCAGGCCTTCTAGAATGGTGCCCATGTTCCCCACGACACACGGACTTCTCTCCGCGATCGCCCACTTATTTTCGGCGTTAGTTCCGGGCTCGTGAGTCGTGAGATAAGAGTCTGCGTTACGGTCACGGCCGGTCACAGACCAGCCAGCCACGGACAGAAACCCGAGTTCTCGCGATGCTGCACGCAACTGTAGGTGAGGCATGCATCATTCCAACCACCCAGTACCAACCTCCACGCAGATCGCCCACCCAACGGATACATCTCAACCCGCCAAAGCCTTCCCAATAAGCGCCTTCGCCCTCTCACTCATCCGCATCTCCAGCGCAAGCCCCTGGCCCACATCACTCATCTTAACCCAAGTCTTGCGCAGGATGCCGACGATTTTGTCCTCGTCGATGTCCTCCTTCTGCTCGAAGTCGTCGAGCTGGTCGTCGAGGAACACGAGACACGCCACGTCCTCGAGCACCTGCGTCTCCTCGTCCGCCTTGAGGTTCTCCTTGCGGATCAGGAACGCGATGCGCTCGATGGCGTCTGCTGGGATGGGCGGGCTGATGGCGAAGGAGGAGGAGGAGGAAGGGGAGGGCGAGAGGAGGGTGCTGATTTCTGAGGCTGCTTGCGCTTTTTGCTTTGCGCGCCAGGTTAGGTAGCCCGGGCGCGTCATGGGGAATGTGTTGCGTGGGATTTCCCATCTGCGTTCATCCGTCATTCAGTAAGTAAGTGCAAGTGAGATGACATGCGATCTTGATGCTTTTAAACCTCGAATGGATGACCATATCAGCTCCGTTTAGGCCGAAGTCGGCTCAAACTCATTAACATGTGCGAAATCTCATTTCTGTACGCACCTCCTGAAGTGTTGAGCTCGACACGCAAGCTGCAACGTCGACGACGCATCTGGCCATCGCAGGGCGAGCCAGCGCGTCATTTTCTGCGCGTAGTGCAGCTCGTACGGTATCGTGCCGTCCCCATCCGCGCTCGGGATGGTCTTGGGGTCGTCGGCGTGGGCCTCGTCTATGAGTTTCAAGGCTGCTGCATAGTTTGCCGGTAGGTCTGGTAGGGCTGCCATGTTTCGTCTTTGTATTCGTGATGTTGATGTGACGGCTTTGATGGTCACGGATAAGGATGAACAGAGTCTTGCCGGCGGCGTCTTTTTAGCTCGCCAGTCACACTGTGGGGTCTTCCCTAAGTACATTAGGGCAGTCAGCCATTGGGTCTGAACTCTGCGTTCAATACCTTACCTGCTTTTAGGAACTGCATTTCTGGAGCTATGTATGGGCAGACAAACAGCCCATCGAGACTATAGTATGAAGTTCATACGACCGGGACTCCCTTAATTGTCGGTGATTGACCTTGGATTTTCACAGCCTGGAGTGGATTGGTCGCTTCATCGAGTTCACACCTGTAGGCCGTCACTGACAACTCAAGGCGAGGATGAGCATCATGCAATACGCTTGACCACCATGGACTATAAAACATTCAGCGAAAGAGACAGTACTCTGGTTAGTGGTCCCTTAAAGAATACACATGTACCAACGGGTATATTGGTTCTTCCCCAGTCTGAGCTGCTACCTATCCGAGTCTCGTCAGCTTCCCTAATCTGTGAAAGTGTCCGCCTCCTCGCTCGCCCGGCTCTCCCCCGCCCCCCTTCTAGACCCGTCAAGAACTAGAGCTTCTCGATCACACAGTCCGTCGCTGGTAGAATCAGGTTTCATTGACCTCGCTCATAGGTCGCGAACTGTTTCGCGCGCTGCGCGCAAGATTCGCCATGACGTCACATCAAAGCCCGTTGATGTATCCCGTCCTTTATACATAAATGACCTCGTCCCTCTTCGCACATAAGGTCTCAGCCAACTTCCATTAATATCACCAGTCAGGCGCAATCAGTTCTCAAACGAGTACCTCAAAGCCCAAGCCTCAAGACCAGACACCGAACAGCCAAATCGCGATGCCTCTCAAGCAAGGTCCGCCTCCCCTTCACCCAAGCCCAAACCCCCATCTTCCAAAACACCAAAACTGACTTCTCTATAACCCTTGCAAAGACACCACAGCCCTAGACGACCCCTTCGAGAAGGCCGAGGCCAAGAAAGAAACCGGCGCCTCCGCGCCCGACGGCATGGTCGGCGAAAAGGAGTTAGACGCCGCGCTCGGCGACGAAGGCGACGATGACATCGATGTCAAGAAGACTACGGCGCAGGATGATCCGCTGGAGGAGGCCGAGGCGAAGAAGGTGTCTTGAGCTCGTTTTGGGTTGGGTTGGTGAAGGTTTTGAAGGTTAGGGCTGGGAATTGGGATACTGGCGGTCTTCGAGACAAGAAGCTTGTTCGTATTTGAGAGAGATCTCAAATGTCTAGCATGGGGATCGGGAGCTAGGTTGAGCGGCCGGCCGAGTTTGAGAAGTTGGATAGAGAAGAGGTCAGCGCTTGCACATGTTAATACGGTCTTGAAAAGGAGACTCTTGCAATGAGTTCAGGCGCGCCGATAATTATCGGGTTGCAAGTGAACGTTGTGAGACGTGATATTTCATTGACCGCCGCACCGGCGGTTTAGACCTCCCCTGACTCAAGATGCTCAGACAGAGCAAAGCCAACACCTGACACCAGAGAAAAAAGGCGAACACACACCACCTCAAGATTACATCCCTCATATACATCGTAACTTCGATCTGCATCATTGCCGAAGCAACAGGTATCATGCGCTGAACCACCTAAACGCCAGAAACCCAAAACATCATGTTAACGGTATACACAAACTGGTGCCCCTAATTTATACTGTGAATCGAACTCCTCAAACGCCAGTCCTCGCTTATCGACGGTACTCCAGCTAGGTACCCGGATACGGTCGATAAGACTGGTAGTGCTGGGGTGGCGGGGGACTGAACTGTGAATAGTCCGACTGTGGAGGCGGTGGTGTCAGGTTCGTGATGGCCGACACCATAGTGTTGTACTGCGCGCTGGGACTAACGTGACTGACAGGGCTGGGTTCAATCGGAGACACGAGGTCGTCTTGCTGCTTCGACGGCCCCGGCCCTGGCCCTGGACGCAGCCCAGTGACCGGGTTCGCGCCCGGAATAAAGAAAGACGGCGAGCCAGAGCTGTGGTCGTCCCTCGCAAACATCGCTGTCGACGTCCCATATCCGTCATGTGGATGTCCAAAGAAGTTCTGGTCTGCCGTCTGTACCATCCCCGGAGGCGCTTCTCCGTAAAAGGTAGAGGCATATTGCGACCCTGGAGCTGCTTGTTCGTACACCATGCCAGCATGTGGATAATCATGCTCCACTGGGGCAGAGGGCTCTCTGTTCCGTCTTCGTCTGCGGTAAAGGAGAAACAAGATGGCGACGACGATCAGTGCAAGTCCAGCAACACCGCCTACTGTACCACCTACGATCGCCCCTATATTTTTGTGTCGTGAACTGCCGCTCGCTGAGCCGGTAGGTGTCGCTGAACTTGAAGGATCGTCGCCAGGAAAGACTGTAATCGTCGCCACTATCGTACTTGTCCCTGCTGTTGAGGGTGGGAGCGGCCCACCGTTTGAATCCAGAGTCGTTGAGGTGTTCCCTCCAGGATCTTGCCACCCAGGCGCAGGAGTGGTCGCAATGGTACCAGATCCCCCCTCTGAAGCACATGCTAGAAAACTTGCCCCATACAATACGTCGTAGAAGTTCGCATCATAAAAGTAAGTTATACAATGCGGACGCGCTGTGTCACCACTGACCCTCAATCAGCAGTGAAAACATGACCAAGTGCTCCAGGCTTACCAATACGTCGTTTGAGGATCTCCAGACCACTGTTGTGAGGCAGTCGACTCTAAACAGGACGTCGGGATATTGCAATTTCGTGGGTTTTGCTCAGTGCAACACCCTACGATGCCATCTCGACGGTCGAGCATACAATATGATTGGTCTTCACAAGAAACAGCCGGACCTGAAGATAATTAGATGTCCTTCAACTCAGGGCAATTTCATGCACGTACTGCTCAGGTCGTCGACCGGAAAGCCGCAGGTCGAAGCCTTCGACTCGTCCCTCTTCCGTAGGTCAGCATTGAGCGGCTGGACGCCGGGCGCGGGCGTCGGTGTAGGGGTCGATTCCGCAGGATCAAATTCGGCAATAGCAGCGGTCCGTGTCGCCGGGCCCCAATTCACGGCGTCACGACCGGTTGGAAACCATCTCCCGTAGACAGGTCCGATCGCACAACTCAAGGCTGTCAACCTGAGGGCGGGAGTCATTTTTCGCAGGTACATTTAGCCATCAAGAACAAGAGGACGGACGGAAAGCAGCGGCAGCGGCAGCGGCAGGGTAAGCTCTTTAAAACACGTCCTGCTGCATTGACGACTGCCGGGGTCGGGCTTCAATTGTCCAGTCAGTTGAGGCTGTCAGCTGAAATAGAAACCCCACCCGATAGACTGCCATGACAGTGATGAGACCCTGTACTGCCTGTGTCGGATTCTGCGCTACGTCAGAAAATGGTGAGAGTGCACCGGATCAGCAAGCCATGGGAAGATCTGCCATCCTACACCAATAGGCGGTACAGAAGTGTGCCTACATATGCTGTCAGCGCGAGCAGAGTACTGCAAAGTTCGCAGTGTGCGATGATCGCGCAAAGTACAGTCAGTCCGTCAAACAAACATCTGTCCGAGCACCGCGTTCGACAGCACTCCGAGGTCAACGGCAACATTTGAAGTTCTTTTCTCAGAACACACAAAGGGGGGAAGATGGCACGGGACCGAGACATCGACGAAGGAATTGGGCAATGGATCAGGGTCTCGCACGTATGCGTCACCCGTCTCAGAGCTCTTCATCCTCGGAACAGATTGGCGCATTTCGAAGCACGAAACGACGGGACAGACTGGCTGGCTGACCCCAGCTTGACGTCGGGCCAGGCCACCGCCGCCCACCACCTGGCTTACTGTCGCCACTTTGGGCGCAGAGCCGATTGCACCCCGCACAAGGATGTGCCGATCGTCTGGGCATCATCCTCTTTGGTCCTCTGATCATGTGGTAACATGTGGTAAAGGTGTCGTCGTACAGAGTGGCCGTATGTAACGACGGACAGGCGGCGCCGAGCCTGCGAGACCCGAGAGTTGCGACTGGCGAGAAATCGACTTGGTGGTGGGTGGATCATGGTTGGTGTGGTCGCACCACCTGCCGGCTGGCGGTTTGTTCGGACGGCTGGTGGGGCAGCCCCCAATGTCCAGGTAGGTACTTAGTAAGCACTCTCACCAAGAGCCTTGGTTCAAGCGTGGCTCTTGTATGAAGTTGTTTTTTTATGGAGGTGTTCATACTCAAATAGCCTAATATCCCCTGGGCTCCTCTGGTGCTTGAGGGAAGCTCATTGCTGTCTACCTTGCTACATAGGTTATGTACCATAGGTAGTTGGCTTCAGATGCCGCCATCGACAGTCCCATCAGGAGCAGATTGTAAACGCAAGTCGTCACTATTTAAAGAGCCCTCGGTTACACATCGTATAATCCCCAGAACCTGATAAGGCATACTGGAATGCAAATATAGTGAAATCAGTCTGAATCGTAACAGTCCACCGTTATCCCCAGATGTCCCAGTCGCCTTCGCCCCTTGGATTCACCGAACCCTATAGCCGAAGAACGTAATGAAGCTCAGCTTACACCCTCGCGCTTATGGTCTTCATCAATAGTCGGCGGTGAGACATCTGTTGTAGACCCACCGTCTCGCGCCGATCCGCTCGAGCTGAAAGCCCGAAACCTCACCATCGGGCTGAAGGTCACCACGCCGGCGTCATCAGAGCCGCGGTGAATGGAGACGACCATGTCAGCGAAGCCGCCTGTCACCGGCACCCGCAGACTAACCTCAACCACTGGGCCGTGGCGAAACTCCTTATATGCAATTTCAGGTGGCTCCCCAGCCCCAGACAGCGCTTGTATCATTGAGTCGGCGCTTCTCCAACCAAAGTAAGATATTGTCCTTTTAAACCCGTTTTCGAAGTCCTCCATCGTGAAATGATCATCGCTGGGAAGACCTTGCAGGGCAATCAAGAAAGTCGAGCTCCCTTTATATATAGCTAAGCCCATGACATTTGCTCCCGCCACCGACGTGGGTTGGAAACGATAGAAGTTCAACTCTATTGTGTCGATTCCCACGAGCTGGTCGCATATTGATGATGTTTGGGTCCAGGCCCAGCCATTGCCGCACTTGACGCGAGAATTGCCCCTGTCGTTTGACCTTTGTGTGCTGGCAGGCCTGCACATCTCGCAACACCGCAAAGGCATGAGTGCGCTTGGACTCCTCGGGGATCGATTGACAAGCTCAATGGTACACTTGAGGAATGACCATCCAACAGCTTCATCTGGTGGAATGAGGCGATAAATACACAATGGAATTAAGCTTAACACCGGTGAAGTGGAAGAGGTCACGAAATACCGTGCGACGTATTGGTCTCCCATTTTGCATTCGAGGAGACCAAGACAGATGATTCTGAATCTTTCCAGCTGGGCCATATAATGCGCAAGGCGGCGGTCGATGTGGTTGAGGTCGAGGCATACAAGTTGCGTGCCTTCGGGGTGTATCCTCGCTGATTCAAGGGCTACCTCCCGAAGATACATACGAGTTGAAAGGGTCCCCGTTCGTATCTCTGGATTTTTGGGAGATCTCTCAGCACTATAAGAGGCATAGACGACGTCTGTACCGACGTCTTCGGGCGTGATCATAATGCTTGGAACGTCAAACAGATGCCGGCTGTCTAGTGAACTTTGATCATCGCCGGTGAGGCTGCCGAGAAAGAGTGTGTCGTCATCGGTACTCTTTAGAATCATCTCGTGGAGCCTTGAAAACGCCTTGCCACCTTCCCCGTATAGCAGCGGCATGTTAACGTCTAAGATACCGAACAAGCAGTAAGCCTTGTCTTCTCTTCTAGTCGTATTCCTGCCTTTCGCCCATAGCATCCGAGTGGCTACTGGTATCTCCTGCATTGCCTCTTGGTGTAGAAGGATACCCTGCGAAATCCGAGTGGTCCTGGCCAGCTGTTCAGAGAAATGCCGCTTGCTGCCTATTTCCTTCCATGTTCTGAAATAAAATACGACCTCATAGGGTGCGATGAGCTCTTGCAGCGTCCAACCTCGACGGAACCAGTTGGATGTCGTCCACTCAACCCAAGGTCCCGGATCGAAGTCGCTGAGAAACGCATAGCAGATGGTCGCAGCCTCGTACCATTTGAACATGGAGTTGATGGCTCCGAGGAGGTCAGCGATGTCGCTTGTGACCTCGAAGAGACAAAGACACTGACCTTCAGACAATTCTGCACTGCTCGTTTTATCAATGCAACAGGTATCGACCCAGGCCCAGCGCAGGCCTTCTTCTAAAGCCTTCTCGCAGCATTTCGCAATTTTCGCAAACCCCTGCTTCTGGCGGGCCAGCTCGAGATTCTGGATGTCGTGGAAGCTGACTTCTTCCTGACCCCAGGTGTGAGACAGAATGGCATATCTGGGGAAGTCGGGATCAGAAGGTTCCCCGATGAATTCCTTGACTTCAAGCGTGGTGGTGTCAATGAGTCGCATGACGAAATTGGGTGTTTTGCAAAGATCAGGCAGTGAGGGGAACGCGTGGAATATATTTTGATGAGGGGGTATTAGGATGATGATAAGTCAGGCAGGCTGTGGGCTGCCGCCTGCTTGCCGACTCTCTTGCATTACAAGTACCTGAATGTAACTGGTCAGACTATCCAGCTACATGTCGATGGAATGCAAGGCTGCTTGTACGATGGAACACCACATCTCTACAAGAACTTTTCGTTGTTTTCCTGGAGAAGCTTGTTAGAAACCAACAGTAGACAGAGCGGCAGGTAGTGCTTCTTAACAACTCGCATGCACGACTGCTCTTCCGCCCAATTCCGATACGATGGAATGAATCGTATGTGGCGAAAGGTGTCTGGATGCGACAAAAGGCAGACCCTTCCGGCGTGTCGTCCAGCCGATGACAGCAAGCGTCTCGGCTAGGGGTTCGAAACGCTTCGCGAGTTGCCAACTGAAGCAGTCGATGGCAGCGACATCTGCCATCCCCTTCGCAACCGCGACGATCGACTGGCGATGGCCTCCACTAAGCAGACGCTCGGAAAAGATGGTCAAGTCCTCGTCCACTGAGGCGAGGTCTTGTGTCAGAGCGAGTATACCGGACATCGACTCCGTCGAGTTGTAAGCAATGATCTTGCTGCGCAGGAACTCGAGTGGTAAGTTCTGCCTCCCACCTGGCGGCGGAGGGACGTCATCAAAGGCACCACCATCATCATCTCGGATCCGCCTCGCGACGATAACGCTGGAATAAAACTCGGCCTTGCCGCCGTCCGTGCCGGAATAGTCCTGCTGGCCGACGACCTCAACATGGCCAGCAAGGCCGAGCTGCATCGGCCCCCAGCACGTCTGCGCGAACATCAAAGACGGATGCCGCCACAGCGTTGGAAGGTCCAATGCATCCGGGGGAAGCGAAGCAGGGTCTGGCGCGATCACGTTTCCATCAGCGTCACGGATGCCGTCCGGAACCCCAGGCATGTCGGCATTGCGGCGCACGAGTCGCTCCGGGGCGTCGACCCCCGCCGCCCGCAGGCGGTCACGCATATGAGCCCATTGTCTATCGACTTCGGCCGGTCGCTCGGGCCAGTCGTACATGGGCAGCGCGGCGATGAAGTCGGACATTGATTGCTGCAGGCTTAGCGAGGACCCTGTGAAGAGCGAGAGCGATAGACCGAACGTGAGGTACAGTGACTTCCCTTAATCGGACATATCGTTCTAACAAGCTGAAAGTATGCTCTATATGGATAATTGACTTAAAGGCTATTATCAGTCATTCGGAGCCATCGGCTTTAAACATCCGCATGGATGCCAAGTTCCGTTCCTTCAAGCCCGAGGTTGCTCACCAAGGCTGTGTGAAGGTAAGCGACTTCCTCCTAGAGTCCTAGAGTCATGAACACCGTTTCCCTGAGGCTGGCACGTAAGCCGGCTGCGTTGATAACATCTCCTCTGGCACGAAGGCAATACTCCTCTACATCTGCTCTGCCCACGTTTCCAGCCTCCGAGTAAATCTGGTGTTCAGCAACAGTCAACATGCGTTTGCTCAATGCAAGGACATACGAAGTCCACGAGTTCCTGAGTGAGGAAGCAGGCCGGGACTACGCCATCCTGTCTCACACCTGGGGTCTCGAAGAATGCACGCTCCAGCAAATGTCAGCGCCGGGCGTCGCGACACGAAAGGGCTATGCTAAGATCAAGTACTGTTGCGATCAAGCCCTGAGAGATGGCCTTGAGTGGGCTTGGGTCGATACGTAAGTGCGGCATCCGGTCTGCATGTGCTGCTGATATCTACTTAAGTATCTGACCTAACTACTCAAAGCTGCTGCATCGACAAGACCAGCACCGCGGAGCTGTCCGAGGCTATCAACTCCATGTTCCGATGGTACAGGCAAGCAAGTGTATGCTACACGTACCTAGACGATGTTACCACTCTACAGGACCTCGGCAGCTGCCGGTGGCTCACCCGAGGCTGGACCCTCCAGGAGCTCATCGCGCCTAGAGACCTGCGCTTTTATTCGTCGACCTGGAGTTATCTCGGTTCGAAATTTGAGCTCCGCGACATGCTGTCTGATATCACCACCATAGATCAGTCCGTCCTAACGACCGGTGTCTTCGACCAGGTCCCAGTGGCCCGGAGGATGTCTTGGGCGGCCAAGCGACAAACAACCCGTGTGGAAGATCAAGCGTACTCTCTGCTGGGTATCTTTGATGTGAACATGCCTCTGTTATACGGCGAGGGCAAGAAATCATTTACTAGGCTTCAGGAAGAGATCATGAAGGTGTCTGATGACCAAACACTCTTTGCCTGGGGGTTGCCAAAGACTCTGGCCAGCATCGGGGATTTCACCACGGGTCCAATTGCAGAGTCGCAAATGCACGGTTTACTGGCTGACTCGCCATCCGACTTTGTCACCACACACGTTCTCCTGCCACTTAGCATGCATTCAGATATGCCACCAATACTATTCAGCAATGGAGTGCGACTCGACACCCAAATTGTCACTCGCAAGGTGCGGAACTTCGAGTATCTATTCGCAACGATATCATGCACCGTGCAAGGTCAACAAAGGAACTATCTGGGCATTCCACTACTATCTTGGGATACAAAATACACCGCCCGCTGCGGAGACATTGTCCTTCTTCCAGCGAGTGGGCTAGATATGCGCACGGGAACCCTACTCATCAAGGCGCCAACATCGGCTCATACGCGACGACCACTGGACGATTTCGCAATCGTGCGTGTACCGAGTTTGACAGAGTGTCATTACCTACTCGAAGAGGTATACTGTCTACCCGGAGTGGAATATTATGCGGGAAATCAAACGGTCAGAGTCTCTCAGCAGAAGCAGCAGCATCTGAGTGGCCCCTATGCGGTGCTGTTCTTCGCCCCGATGACTCGGTCGTTCGGGGTGCAGTTGAAGGGTCAAAATGCGGAACTTCACAAACTGAGTTCAAAGGGGGCTCACAAGTTTCGTCGTGGTGTAGCGGCATTCGCTATCGTCCTCGGGTCAGACTCCGATATAAGACACGACTCCTGGACCGCTTTCGTACCAATACTACGAGAAGCCTGTGCCGACGAAGATTTCCATAGCCTGCTTAGACATGACGAGAAGCTAGTCCAGTACTGTGCGACCAAGGCCCAGCTGAAGAGCACACTTGCAGATCAGAACTGGGGAGCGAGTCTCTCTACGAGAAAGAGTCATCTCCACCAACTCCTGCAGACCCGAACGTACCCTATCGATGACAGCTATGCGAAAATCTGGGCGCTCTGCATGTGCGTTGAGCTTCAGGTCGCCCCGGCCGATCTGGTCGAGGATGCGGTATATGTCTGCATTAATATGGTGGCATCAACAGTACGCCACAGCGTCTTGTTGAAATTGAGCGATAATTTCTGCGACAAGTTGAACAACGGGGATGTTATCGGGAAGTTACTGGCCGAGACAAATTATACACCTGAGTGGAGGACACATTTCGGGACGGACCGGATTTTATGGCCAACGGGCCGTTAGAGAATGATGGCATGCGCACGAGAACAGGGTCGGGCACCTCACAACTCTTCTTCGCGCACAACACCAGCACGCTGAAGAAAGAAACTGAAAATGGCCAAAAAACACAGCAACAGGCCACCGGGTTCAATGTCAACAGCCTCGTAGGTGGGCGACTTGGAGGGCCAGACCGAGGCGATGCGATATGGTCCTCTCAAGACGACTGATGAAGCACGACTCATGGTTGGGAGGGTGTTGTGGTATATGTGTCTCCCGCGCTTCCTGCGCATGGCGTCACTCATATATATGCCATATCCAGGCTTTGCTACTGCCAACTTTCTCTGCTACACTGAACCTCCAAAAGTGTCCAGACACCCCTCTTTCAGTCAGCGAGGAGCACGTCTCTTATAAACGGAATAAGCACTCTGGAATAAGCATCAAATAGGGCCCATCGAATTACAACTGCTTATTCCAAGGCGCTTATTCCATTAATACAAATTTGAAACTGATATCAAAGAGTTGACAAGAGCATGACGAATAGAGAATTATGAGGGGTGACTGTATCTCTAGCTTGATGGCAGATTGGTATTGTACGGGATTTATGGGTAGCACGTATGTGTCGTCGGATCAACTACTCAGAGACCGCCTTTGGCAACATCTTCAGCAATCATCTCCACGCCCTTACTAGACGACGAGAATTCCACTCGCCACTTCCGCTGGTCTCTGGGCACAATTTCAACCGGCAGTTTGTCCTTGGGTGTTGGCATAGCCGATGTCATGGGGTAGTTTTTCCGCGGTGTCACCCACTTGCCACCTTTCGTAGTGGGCTTCAGGTCGAAGCGGAGTAACAGCAGGGCAACAAAGGACATGACTTCGGTGCTGACGAAGTGACGCCCCGGGCAGAGAACCGCGCCTCCGCCAAACGAGCGGAACGCCGCAGGATTCGTCGTGCGCTTCTCATCCGGCCCCCGCAGGAATCGGCGGTGGTCGAATTTACCCACCGTCGGACCCCATAGCGACGCATCGGTGTGTTGGACTGGCGTGATCGTCATCACCGTGGCGCCTTTCTTCAGGAGGTATTTGTCCAGCATGGTGTCCTCCATGACCACCCTCGCAGAGACCCGGATGTGCACATAGCGCAGGGTTTCCTGCCACGTCAAGAGGAGGACGGGGCAGGACGACTTGACTTTCGCCAGCAATGACGTGCACGTCGTCGTCATCATCGACTTCCATCTTTACGAGCTGCTGTTCTACCTCTGCCCGACACGCGGCGAGAACGACCGGGTCGGAGAAGACGTGGTAGACCATCCAGAAGGCGCTCGCCACGCTGTTCGTCAGCGACGCCACCATCTGGCCGATCTCGGTAGCTGCTACGTCTCTGCCTCGCAGGCCGTGGCTTGTGTTATGCTCATAGCGGCACTGCACGAGGAGGGAGCCCTGGAGGTGGCTGTCCTCAGCGAAGTATTTCTCGAAAGCGGGGATGAGAAGCCGGTCTCGCGCGTGGAGGCTCTTGCGCGCCAGGAGGCTGGGCCAGGCTTGAAGCATGTGGGCCATGATGCCTGGCTCGAAGTCGCTGGTGAGGGTCAGATATAGCCGCCTTAACGTTTATGTCGGCAGGACCGCTAGAACATTCAACGGATTCAACTTACTACTAGGCTTGCTCAAGGGCAGGATCACGGAAGGGGTTCTTTGGTCCGTAGATCGACTCCGTCGTGGCCATGAACAGCTCCTGACGAACCCAAAAAAACAGCTCTACTGCCATAGGCTTCCCCCCACCGAGCTTTGCCAGGGAACCCGACGCGTATCTTATTGCCGCCCCGCTGAGGGCGTCAAGGCCGGGGCCAGGGGATAGGGCTGGGTGTGTAGATGGCACGAAGGTTGACAGGTAGGAGTCGGCCTCAAACATCTTGTCTGAACCTATGATGGCGTTACCCGCAGGGCCGATGCCCATGACCGTCGCCACAGCCTGGGCCTCGATTGGGGCAAAGGCAATGGTCTTGATCTGGCGTTGCACTGCCGGGATGAGAGACAAGGAATTGACGACGTATATGCGCTGGCCTGGCATACGAAGCGTGTAGATAGCAAGGCCATACTTGTCTCTGGGCGCGAGTAATAGCAATCAGTCACCTGTAAGGTCAAAGTGTGGATTCGAATGGGCTTACCTTAGCTTCACATAGTACTGTTGCATACCGAAAACAAGACCAAGCAACGGGCTGATGAACGGCAGCGCAGTCTCAATCGCAGGCGGCTCCTTCGAGTCCTGCGTGAAGTAGAGGAGTGCTGAGACGAATACATACGCGGCACCCACTGATCCAAGGACCAGTGCAAACATGGAAGTCATCATGCTGTGTCACGCTGAACAAGTGTGCATGATTGGGCTCTATCGCGCGATGTTCGGGTTGACAGGTATATTGTGATATTAAAACAGAGAGCAGTTGAGATATCCTCTCAATCTAAATTGGCTTCCCAGGCTAATAAGACCTAGAAGTTAGTACGACCTAGCCGGAGGGCGCCAGCGAGGTCGAAGGAGCGCGCGAAGGAGCGCGAAGGAGCCCTGGATGACTGTATCAGGCTCGCGAGAGTGGATTTGCCAGCTTTGGTGACGAAAAGGGAGCCACAACGTGCGTGGAGGCCGTATGGACAGAGCGCAGGCGTGACCGCGGAGATTTTCTGCCAGGAGAGGTCTCGTACACCGCTTGTTTGTTGAAGGAGTGTGTAATGGCTGTTGCTCGTTCGATTTTTATTGCAGATTCGAGCGTTTCGAGGCTCCTGGAGGCTCTGGAACCTGCGTAGCCAACTGGCCAGAAGGCGTGTCAGAAGTGTGTAGTGGGCCAGATGGCTATGGGAGTCGGATGGTTCGGAGGAGGTATCATACCTTCGGGCCCAGTCATTGGCGATCCAAGCGAGATCTGCACCTTCGACCAACACGCTGCCCCCCCTTACAGCATCATCGCCAACGCCGTCAACCGACACCGCCACTTGGATTATGATTATCAGCGAAGAAGGCCAGCCGCTCTGACCTGCCCTATACATAATTTGGGAGGGCGTGGTCATGACTCGAATCTTGCAGGACGGTATGCCAAACCATACCCACGGAGGCGTATGGCTTTTCTTCCCCGTGAGCATGCACTTCTGCTGCGTGTCACGGAACGAAGCTCGAAGGTGCACCCGTTTCCCGCACTCGCACCACGCCGGGTGCGACGTGCTTAGTGGCACTTGCGGCCCGCAACTGACGTTCTCAACATAATGCCACGATACATAGAACCCAGTCAAGATAAGGTAGGCGGAGGAGATGGGATACGAGAGATCTCCGAGGACCGGTCCCTCTAGGATCCTGGGCCACTACACGAAGCTTAAGACGCTGTCCATCATCATGGACGGTAGATTGTGACATAAACTATCAGCCCTGCACATCTCTGACCATCATCGGCGTGGACGTATCTGGCGTCAGATCCATAAAGCGTCTCGACTCCGAGGGCCGTTCCCCTTCTTTCTCGGGGAGCTTCATGTCGTACTTGGTGACCAGGCAAATGAGGATCAGCTTGATGGTGACGTCGGCCATGAAGCGCCCCGGACACGCATGCGGCCCCCCGCCCCAGTCGAAGGCATCCTCGGCGGTGGATGCGAATTGAAACTTGCTCGTGTTGAACTCTGCACGGCGCCGCAGCCAGCGCTTGCCTTCAAATATGCCAGCCTCGGGCACCAAGCCGGTCGTGGGGTCTGTGTTGTATCGCAAGTTGGGAAACGATAGTACGATGCCCGCGGGAACGTGCAGGCCGTCTTTGAATGTGTATGGGTCATAGCGAAGCGCTGAACTGTGGCTGCATATAGTCAGTACAGGCAGTCAAGTTGGGGTCGCGGGAGAATGGCTGTGAAAAGGGGGAAGGGGAGGTGGTGGTGGGTATTTATCACATGCCTTCTTGGAACGGTTTCAGTCGCAACGTCTCTTCATGAATGAATCCATAACTCTAAGTTCCCCGAGGGCGTGACGCGTCCACACGGGAGAATCCTTGAGATCATTCCTCGACACGCGTTTGATTTCTTTGCGAATCTCAATCAGGGCGTCGGGCGTGCCAACCAGGCTGAAACGCGACTGCAACGCGATGAAGGATGTACCGTGCATGGATGCAAACATGACGATGAAAATGTTCTGTACAATATCGTCTGGAGTAGCTGTCTTGCCACTTGCGCGATAGCTGTCCATGATCCATTGGATGAAGTCGTCGTGCTTTTCGACCTCGGCGCCGCGGGACGCGTAGGCGGCCTGGCGAGCCTCGAGAACAGGGCGCACGAGCTGGGCGGCTTGGCGACGCGCCTTGTTAACCTGAGCCACCTCCGGACTCAGGTAGTAGGCCGTCCAGTATAGAACGGGGCAGTACTTCTTCCGAATGGTGCCTTGGGCGGCAAGAACACTTTTGATGTACTTCATTGCAATGGCTGGCCAAGCCTCGCAGAGCTCGGGGCCGACCATGACGCGCGCCGACATGTGCGAAAACAGCTCCAGTATCTTGGGGTAAATGGCGACGGACGTCCAGTCTGGACAAGCTGGCATCTGTTTTTCCGCAGCTTGGAAACACAGCTTTTGCATGGGTTCTATAAGCTTGTTCAACGCGCGGTTGAGGTCCACGCGGGTGCTGGCTTGGATCTCTTCGGTGCTTCGGGGGCCACCGACTTTGTTCATCGTCGAAGTCTGGTCAGACCGTCAGAAGCATGAGCTTGGAGGGATTATGGGTGGGTGGAAGGTTATGCAGACGTTGTGTAGAATGGCAGGAAGACTCAGCTTCTCCTGCGGCACATTCCTGAGTTCCTCCATATACCTAAGAGGCAAAAAGACTCGGGGTCTGCCCGGGTTCAAGAGATCCCGGGTGCAGAAAGACCGTCCGTGTCTTGTGTACTGTAGAGATAGTCATTAGCCATCGCCTTGAGGCGTGGCGGCGATGAATGATCTCACAGTGTCGTAGCCCTTGCTTAGAAGGCTTCCTGCCTCACTTGTATATCGCTCCCGGGAGTTGTCGCCATCGAACTCGACAAGCGGTATTCCCGGCAGCGACTTGGCTGGCGAAACCTTGCCCCAGAGGTTCCAGGCCAGCCAACCGGCCGAGAGAGCGGCAATGAGGACAATAAGCGGCGAGATCAAGACGGCCATGGCTAAGAGTCTTTCTTCGCAATGAATTAGGCAGTTGCGATTTCCAGCTTGTATGACTTGGGGAGAGCGAAAAGACGCAGGAGAGTAGGGGAGTTTGCTTCTGCCGGTTTCTGCCCTTCGGCCTTCGGGGCGGCTCACCTGCATGTTGGTTGTTTGCATGAGGGGGTCGTCTATCCCTGTGAGCAGAATTGTTGGTGGCAGTGACCAATCGGTTTTGTGCAAGTGAGACCGCTTCTTCGCGGCATACCAACTGGTTTAGAGCTCTCTGGCCTAGGATAGGGAAGCCGAAACAATCCGAGATCGAAACGACAATAGTAAGTGCTTCCTATCATGCTCGCTAACGTTAAGTTTTTCGATTTAATAGTTTTACACAGCGTATGGTCACGACTCCAAGTCGAAAGAAAACGAGTTCAAGTCAAAACGCCTATGTAGTTCGCCAGTTCCTCTTTGAGAGACTACGTCTTTCTAACAGGCACATATCCTCCATAGTCCGCGGCTTAGCTGACCTAGAGCTTCTTAGGATACATGTCCCACACGCAAATCGGCACCATCTCACCGCCCGCCGTACCTTCAGGCGCCTGCACACTGTTCGATCTCGTAATATCCTGGAGGGTAATTGCATCATCCTTGTCTTGGGTCCAACTCGCCTTGACATTGAACTTTCCCAGGTACTTGCCGCCCTTTTCGACAGAAGCCTCTGCATCGCTGGGTATGTAACCGCGAGGATTCATCAGGACGGCCCAGAGGATCCGCAGCAGATGGAAGTCGTCGGTCTCCATATCGCTGACCTTATCCTTGGCTTCGTAATTGATCTCGAAATTGAAAGCAAGATTTTTGTCCTTTGCCACCATGAGTTTCTCCTTGTACTTGACGGCGTTGGAGTCGGCAGCCGCCTTCTTGAACTTCGCCCTCAGTTCGTCGAAAATGCGAAGCGAGAGCTCCTCATACCCATTTCCTACGTTCCTCGCGTCACGGCCGCCGCCCGGGAACTCGCGACTAACGGTGTACTCGCCAATGGTGATTACGCTGTTCTCCCACCAGGCATCGTAGTTGAAGGGGGGGGAGGTGGGATGCCCTATCGTCAGGTACCCTGACGAAGCTCCAACCTTGCCAATGATGGTGGCGCCTGCTACTTTGTTTTCTACCAGGCAAGTATTGACGACTGAATTTGCTGCCTTCAATATTTCTGTCGGCGAAACACTCTTGGCGGCATGGGGCGCCCTGCCGCAGATGCTAATCTCGCAGGTGGCGGATTTGGCAACTGAACATAACTATTAGAATACTGTTCGATATAAACAGTAGGAAGTTGTTGACTTCTTACCAACTTTACATTTACCATCTTCTTTTGGCAACTCAATATCTTGACTTCCACCAGATAGCTTATCGAGGGCGGCCTGGCAGTCCTTCGGCTTGGTGGGCTCCACAGGGTAGTTGTGCCTGACAGACAGGTCACTGCCTACTTTACCGACACTATAGCTCTCCGCTGTGGCCCGCGCAAGGTTTTGACTCGGTGCTACCATCGCTGAGGTGAGCTGCAAAGCCGCCAGCAGAGCAATGGACTGGCGAAGCCGAATATACATCCTGGACGCTTGACCTGGGAAGGTTGGTATAATCAAGTGAACGATGGCGCGTATCTGAGTAGAAACCTTCACCTTGGAATCTCGATTGTTCGGAGTTGCGGTAACGAGACTGAACCAGATGGGGGATGTTTGAAAGATGGGCAGGTGATATTGGCTCTACAGCAACGGGTGCAGACCCAACTATATATATATAGCCGTGACCATGCCGAGGGAAGAGTTTAACAAGAAAATAAACAGTGTCCACCCTGAGTATGAAGTGTACGTATGTGTTGCTAAAAATAAAGTGAAATAAAAGAGTCACCCTTCGCATCCACTGCCGTGGCGACTCAGTAAAGTTCTTCGGCATACTAGAATGGGGAGCCACAGGGGAATCCGACTCTACCGGTATATTGTACGAGGCACCGGCTCCTAAAAGCGTCAATATGGCCGCAGGGGACAGTCAACAATGAAGTTCCAACTTTAGTATGTCGTAGATCCTCGGTGATGGCCGAAGCGGAGCCGGCTGACTGCTGGCTGCCGATGGGTCCGCTAAGGGAGCGGCATAGACGTCGTGGCATATATATATAACAGGAATTAGGATCGAGGCGTTAAAAAGTTCCTAGACCCGCACAATTGATGCCGTTTCTCGTCAGGATTCTTGTCATATATCGCTCTGTCCGGGCTGAAACTGGTGGTTCTGAGTGAATTCGGTCCACTCACGACGCAAGGGCGGGTATCGGGCAACCAGTATATAATGCTGTTTCCTGGCTGTCCAACCCGTGTTGAAGGCATCCATCAACTCCACCACCCGTTCAGGTGCACGTTACGAGCAAGACTTACTCTTGGAACCGGCGGCCGGTGAATCTTCATGGGAAGGGAATCATAGGCGACGAACCCCGTGGTGCATGGATCTCGAATATGTTGTCCAAAGAATACAACCCGGCCAGTGTCCAAAAACTGTTCAGAGTTGATGGCCCTCTCGGAAGTATTGCCTAGAGGCAGGAGCACAGTTGGCATGACCATCGTCGGTGATCGCAGCATGGACCACTGTGAGTCCAGCTTACAAGATCCTTAGCTTCGAGGACTCTCTACCGACCAGCACGACGGGCCCTTTCGCACCGTCCAGAGTCCCCAGAGCGGCTTGCTGGCGAGCACAGCGACACTTTCCAGTAGGGACAATAACAAACACACACTTGCACATTTCGATATCAGCGAGCGACGACCTAACACACCCCCAAGTTCCGACATCATGCCTCAATACCGGTCCCAACAGCTACATCCGCCGACGAGTCCGAAAGCGGCCCATGTTCCTGACAGGGAAGCCCAGGACAGGCGCAGCTCGCAGACCACGGAAAGCCTCACGCGGAGACCCAGCAGCATGACGCATGTAGAAGCACGTACCCGGCCGGTGGTGGCAGGGTCTCACAACCACATGGGTGGAGGCCACGCGTTTCGCGGCGCCGCAGCGTACCGCAGGGCACCACAAGGCAGCGTGATTTTTGTCCACGCAGGCACGTATATTCCCATAGACAGGTGAGCAGAAAGGCGGGTACGCAATGTACCAGCGCGCGAACCGCACCCGGAAGCGCACCATATTGCGTGTAGCATGCTGCAGTGGCACATTGCGCATGATGACACGGGATATCCGGGGCGGGCGCCTCCCCGATTGCCGTTAGCGGGCAAACTTGCGATAGGAACACCACAAGGTGAGGCGGGAGCCGAGGGGACGGTACTCGCACCGCATGTGTTTGCGGCGGCAATTACACCGCAGCAGGAGAAGTGGCCCTTTGTAGCAGGGGATCTTGCCTCTTTTCCATAGGCAGATGTAGGTGAAAGCCCTGGACTGACGGGCAGCGCATGGATGGCGGCTGACTGCAGCGCATGCCGTGGCGTTTGTTGGCATTGGCAGGGCTGCCGGAGCGGTCCAATGGCAATGGCGGCACGCGACGACCCCCGGATCCGGGGCTTGCGGGGAGACCTCAGCGCCCCTGCACGATATTCGGAGAATACATGGTGCACCCAAATCGTGGGGATCGGTCCAAGGGTCCTTTGCGGCACGGTGCTGATCGTACGCGTTTCGACACCGAACGGCCATGTTGCATGACATGACAAGCGGTTTCTGCCCGATGGAAAAAGCTGCGTGGACTAGGTCGCGAGCATACCCTGATTGTTGGTAACAAGTCTCTCTCCTCTCTCCAACTGCTGGTGCACCTCGTTTGGTAACAAGAAGAGTTCCGGTCAAGCGGAGGTCGAGAAAGGTTGTCAAAGTCACGGGGACACACCTCTTCTGGTCAATGAGCCCCTTCAAGAACCGTAGCGGATACAGGCTCCTGCCGCCTGCCCGCCTGCATCTTGAGCAGAGAGTCCTACAAGGCTGTTAGCAAGTTCTCGGTCGCCCCTATCAACCCTGTAGACTCATAAGCATATCCTAGACTTCCGACTGCTGAGAGTCATTGCTGCACGTCACATTGCAGCTTCATCATGCTTATACAGTTGGTCGACCTGGGCACGTATATCGTTTGCGTAGAATGAGGTGCATTGCCGGGTTTCGCCCTTTCAAGTCGTAAGCTCCAGGGACGGACGTCCAGAACTAGCGGGAATGTGGCTAGACACTTGGAGAAATCCGCTGCAAACATCAGAGCTCTGACTTTCGTTGATTATACGAATGATTCTGTATTACTGCGAGGTGAGCAGTGTGCAAGGCCATTGGTTGAGGTCTTGGGATGCTCCAAGCACGGATCAGGATGGACCTCATTAGGAGACAAGTAGACGAGATACCCAGACCCTGTGTAGTACGCGGTTCCATGACTGAGACCGCGAAATTGTGATTCCGATATCCGTTCCAGATTGTAATATGCCCGATGATGGCCATTATCCCATACCTTCCGCCTGAACATACTGACGTAATGAGTTGATAGAGCGTACGCCTCGAACGAGGATCGGTGGGTAGCTTTAAGCTTTGAACGAAGACACGCACACTACTCTAGTGTGGGGACTTATTCCAGAACAACGGGGGTTGTAGGTAGAGGAAGTCCCGAAGCCGCCATGGTACTGCTTGATGTGCCTGCTGCAACTTGGACGAATTCTGCCCTGTCTCGCACTGGAAGTGGTGATGAAGTGTCAGCTACGGTGGCTAGGATGAGAAGTGAGAAGCTGTTAGGACATAGGCACTTACACTAGAGCGCTGCTCTGCAATTCTTGCCAGTATTTTTCAGCCGTCCATGGGTGTATTCTTCACTAGACCACAGGAGGTCGGAAGAGGGGGACGAGTTCCGGGGAGACTGAACTGGCTCCTGAATGGCGATCGTGCGAGGTCAACGCGCCATTGGGCGATATCGTCGCCGTTTCCGCACGGGACCAGCCTCATTATTAGGATCTGATCGAGGAGCCATGATTTTGCTGCACTTGCCGCACAGTCGCGACGAGGACTGACGTTGGCTTGAGATTGACAAAACCTGCCAATCTCCAACCTACCACTGCGATATCCCGTGCCGTCCGTTTCCTTGTGGATGACGATGGCACCGAAAGACGGCAAGCTGCATAACGCCTTCCGTAAACCGAAGAACCGGGGCCTTGGCAGCTGGGTTCTCACAGCATACCATATCAAGTGGCATAGCCTCGATGATGCATGCTCCCGAGGTCCAACGCTCCTTCGGCCGACTAACCCTGAGTGGTAGATTAGGAAACAGTTGACGATGGTAAAACTGTGCACAGAGGGGAGCTTAGAGCTGGCTGGAGGGTGTCCGGGCTGTCCACGTTCCCAACGGTTAATGCCGAAGGCCGTGAGGACGCCCATGAGCAGGTTTCAAAGCCATTGATTCTCGTGCATAGCCATATGATGCCTAGTGTTGGGTGTCTCTGGATGTCTTGGATGTCTTGGAGTCGAGGTGTGATGTGGTGTGGGAATGCGAACGGTTTATCCCGCCTGGAACCTGCCGTGTAACCGCGCCAACGGGCCGGGTCTTCAAGCACAAATTGGTTTCTCCTGTCGGTCCTTGCGGCTTCGGTTTTTGGCGATCTGCTCTGTGATAGAGAGATGTGCTGATCGGAAACAGTAAGCCATGCCAAAACACGTGATCATCCCAGCCAGAACTCGATGCCCATAAGCAATAGATACATGCTGGGTTATCAATCTCCAAATGCCACATCTGAAGAACTGGTCAGAAGCGTCATAGGTATAGGGGCTGTCCTCGATAGGATGTACATGCGAGTGTCGCACAACAAGGTGCTCACCTTGTTGTCGCTGATAGTGGCAATGATACTTGCGTTTGACCTACGCGAGGCGTTTGGGAGGCAGCCAAGACCCAGATACTCCTGTGCACTGCTCATTGCGTGGCCTCTGTCCGACTGGGAGGTATAGGATGTACTTCCATATGCTGTCCTGTCCGTCTGATTGTAGCTGCATATATCATAGGAGTCTCGCATGCTCCCTTCGTGAGACGAGCTCAGGCCGACATGGTATTATCGGAGGAGCCGACGACGATTTGATGGGGCAGAGTAGGCAAGCGCCAGCTGAGGCATGGGATGCCCCGTACGTAACGAGTAAAACTCCAGACGGAAGTGGGTGATCGTTGAAATCATTGAGCCTATATGGTATATGGCTGTTGTTGCAGCATGTTGACACACGTCTACAACATGTTGCCCATCAATGATGTGCGGCGTAGGGCCGCCTATAGAGATCGACGAAAGGTTCAACGGCAATAGGCTGCTGACCAATAGAGCCATGGTTTCCAATGATAAAGTGCCCGAAGATCTGGTTGGCCTCACTTTTGCAGTTGCCATCGACGTGGTGCAGAGCAGGTCTTACTTGCTCTGTCTGTAGCCTCCCGCCAATAATTGTGACCGGATCCTGTGACCGGACCCTGGTTTACATGTACGTGGTATGCTGGTGGAAAGAATGACAAGCCTGGATAAAGATTGAGGTGGCATCTTGTCGCTTCGTACACATCCACTGCATCGTCATTAATTTCGAATTTTGAGTGTATATGCAAGACTTTGGCCGATCTCGGCCAGATAAGACTGTGTCCTGATAGAATGCTCGGCGGCCATGGCCGTAGTTGGTGTCAATGCACGACATACAGTCGTGTCACAATGACGCCAGCCACCTGGGACTACGTGCTGCAACATTCCGGAACGATGTAGCTCTTCCAGGGCGTCGTTACTTGCGTCGGGTCCTGGCAGATATTAACAGGATACACAAGTTGATACCGAAGCCGTAGTTGTGGGTTTACTTCAGTGGAAGTAGTCGCCACGGGACAAGGCGAAGAAAACTCTTTAGTTTTTCGCTGCAGTGGCCACGTTAATCCGCTGGTTCTACGAGGTCGCGGAGGTATAGGTGATCCTCATAAAGTCGATATTGCTAAGCTCGTTCCATCTGGAGACAAGACGAAGCCGCGGCGAGACCAGACTGATGCGAACATGGTGGATCTCTCCTGGATTTATTCACAATGACTTCGGAACGGATCCCCGTGCGCTCGCCACCTAAAACCGCGATAATTGAAGCTGTTTGTACGAATTGGAGATCTCAATCATCGATTGAGACTGTCCTGTTCAGCCGGGCAGAGGCCACACAGAAAAAGTGTCGATCGTTGCAGGATCGCACGGCCAGTGGGTGCCAAGCAGCCAAGGTATGCGGCAGCTATCGAAGCACTCGAAATTCGAAAGTCGAGGCACTGCCACACTGGACCAGCAGCTCAGGGGCCCCCTGAAGAATGTTGTCTGGGGTTCGTGGGGGAGGGAAACCGGCGGCGAAGGAGCGTCGTCATGGGGAGCCTCAAGAGTCTAGACCACTATCGCCAGAATGACTCGACAGGACTACACTTTGGCCGCGTGGGAAGACTCCATGGTTGACCTCGTGACTCGGGCTGGATCTGTTGATTCCGAGGGTAAAGGCCCGACGATGGACCATGCAACGCTGTGCACTCGGTCAACCCCGAGACGCCCGGGCGGGAAGAAGTCCGCGGAGGCGAATAGTCGGCCCAGTTGTGCAGGGCTGGCAGGAGGAAGCCTGTTGCGGCAAGACTGGCATTGGCCCATCGTGTGTGTGATGTAGATATCTTTTGTACCAGCGAGTTTAGAGGGTCGGTTAGATAGATAATACTGTCCATATCGTGGAGACGAAGCTGATGATGAGATCAGAGGCCAGGTGCTATTCAGGTGCGTGAGAGCTGTACGCCGTAAGTAGGGCACGTCCAGAGCGGCAGAGCGGCATCGTCGGAGAACGACGCAAGACACCCGAAGATATGGCAGCACCGAAGCTGTCATTGTTGTTTTTCGATGTTGTCGGAGGCCTGCGAAAAAATCGGGAGCGGCGGGAGGTGAATAGGTACCCCGGTAATGAAAGCAGGTAACGTTAGCAGAAGCGGAGCTCAGCGGTGGTGTTACTGGGTCACACACACTCCCTCCAGGGCTCTCACTCAGCTGCAGTCTGGTGTCTCTGCTGCACTGTTTCAGCCCCCAATGTGTCCAGTGGTTCCAAGGTTCCTTCCAACCTTGAACTTTGAAGCTCCCCATTCAACGCTCCTCCCTCCTTCCTCGGGCCGCGGGATAGGTAGGCTCCTGGCGCTTGGCAAGCCCTGGACCCTTCGCACATGCCTGAAGAGTGGCGGGGTTGCGCTCTAGGGCTAGCATTCCGGGCATCTAGGCTCCAGACTGCCAGAGTCCATCATGGTTTCCCTCATGATCCCTCCCTCCTCTTCCTCCCCCAGCTTTTTGCCCCTGATGCGAACGAGCTGCAGACGGTACTGGGACTGCTCTCCAATCAGTCCCGCTCGCTCTACTCCGCCGTGACGGAATGGAACAGGCGTCAGGGCGAGGTCTGGAGGTTGGAGGTCTGGGCCCACCGCCGCCTCATCAGCGTCTTCCCGCCCTTCAAACTCACCGAAGCTGCAGCCGGCAAGGGCATTGGTTGAGAGAAGCTCCCGCCGTCTCCTCGTCTTCCGCCTCATCCTCAACGGAAGCTACATGTACCATTGAAGGTTGATTGTGCTTTATCAGCCTACTCTCCTACGCTATTCGTGCTATTCAAAGATCTACTAGGTTTCGATCCGCGACAAGTTCACCTGCTGCCCACACGACAAAGCAGCAGATTGGCCAACTAAGTGAGCTATATCGATTAATTAACTTCCAGGAACACCAATCAAACTGGCCAATTCCAATACTTTCAACGATGCTCTTTTGTTCCTACCCAAATTACTACTCCGGCTGACGGCCGACACCCTTCCCTTAGGTACGTGGTGGATCATCGGAGCCACGGGCTTTCCCGATCTCGAAATAGCACCCGAAGCTACCTAGCACCTTGTCTGCCCTGTACTCATCACTCCTCTGCTACCTGGTGGTGGTTCATGCGGTACCGGTAGCAAGCCTCACCAGTGTGATTGGCACCCCACAAAACTATACCGCGGCTAGAACCTGTCACAATCGTTGAGCCCGGGAGACATCCTTGGATGCACTACTACACACATGCATGTCAAGCACATCTACCGACTCCTACCTAACCTTACCCCTACCTCCTTACCTTACCTTACGTCTAGACTCTAGACTCTAGACTCTATCGGAGTGGCGTTTCCTCTAGCTGCCGTGGCCTGCTGCTGCATACTCCGTTGTTACTGGGTCACGCCGGTATTTGATTTTATCTATTTTCAATTCCTTCTTTTCGTCGTTTCTAGAAAAACACAACCACCTCCCGCGGCCTCCTATTACTCCCTCATTGGAAGGAGGTCTGTCTTAAAAAGTCATGTCTACGAGGCCAACATGTCGTCTGCCTGCTCACCAGTATTAAAGGCATCGCTGATCCACCGCTACTTTCGGCCATTCCTAATGGTCTGCTATTGACCCGTCTTCTCCATTCGACATTGGCGGACCAGATATCTGCCTACTCATTGCGGCGCCCGAACTTTTTATAGAGTGGTACCCTCACCTTTCCGCTGCTTCAACTACGTATCACCTGGCCACCGCCCACACTCGCGTTCTGGCTCCGTTATTATTCAGAGTGCCAGAAGCCTCGCTCCTGTGGGTAGTTACTAGACACTCGTAGAGCTTTCAACAAGAACACAGCTCAAGGAACGGACCCTGGAGCTATCCATACAGTCTGGCAAGCTCTTATACCTCAAGGTCGCCGCCACTGCCGCCGAACCATTTCACCCCTTGAATACGGCATAATATTCTCGATATCATGGCCTTTTCCCAGCAGGGCAGTGGGTCTTCGTTCCCCATTTTCTTCCCGAGCCGGGCATCCTCCGGCCCCTCCCAGCAGCCCCCATCTGCCGGAGTACGAGGCTTTGCGTCGGAGATGAACACGTCGAGCCCGTTTCTCCCTCTTCAAGAGTCCCAATTCGACATTCTTGAGTGGTACCCGCAATTTCAATCTTGTGTTCGGTACTTCCTAGATCACGCACAATACGACGGGCCAGTGCAGGCCATGGCGGCTTTTGTGAACATCCAACTGCCCTTCCAGAAGTCACAATATCCCATTGTCTCGTCGAGATCAAGCGGATCGCCACTGGCCGTACCGTCCCCGCCGTCTGCAGCCGCCGGGAAGCTCCCCTTGCCGAACCAACCACCGGTGTCTGTCAGTCTGAACCCCTTTATCCGTCGGTTGGTAGCAACAGGCTTCGACTTTCCCGGCGTGCTACATGGATTTTTCGGGGACAACTGGGCCGCGGGGATCAGCCGCCTCCATGAGGTTGAACGGAGAAACTATCTCTTTGCCGCCAAGAGCGCGAGCTGGCTGGATGTCAAGTCTCAGTACGACATGCCGGACGGCCAGAGTATCCCCTTTCTACGGCCGCTCCAAAACGTCACGGAGAAGGAGATCGTTGGTGCAGAGGCAACTTGGAGTGAATGGTTGGCCATGCAGGACTGGATGGTTGGACCACGGAATCCCGAGGCTGACCAGGACATGCCACCGGTCTTTGTCAAGAGGGAAAATGACTGAGCGACGAGAACGATATAGGGGAGAGAAAAATCAAATAACCACAGGTCTGCCTGCCACTTGATAGGCAGACCAGCACATAAGTGTACGAGTAGCCCATTCAATTCGTTACGGAGTCACGGATACATTGTCAGGGTGAGCATCATGAACACAGGACTCTGGCTCACAGATTGACTTGGAAGGACCAGCACTGGAGGATTTTTGTGATCGAGTTTTGTCGAGTCAGGACATCAGAGGAATTAAGCAGCACTCTGAACATGGTCCCATTGCCGAGTAGCCATCGCAGTTCCCCTGTACTTCGTTGAAGCTTTTTTTGCCAAACGGCTCGTATGCCTGCTCCCAGTACGTAGGGGCAACCGAGGCAACCCATCACGCAGCCTCAAGAACAACTTGGGTCTTCAATAAGCTTGAGTCTCCCTCAAAGCGTACCTCACGATGGAAGTTGCTGCCAGGTTTTAGATGGCCCAAGCTTTCCTCTAGAGTAGGCTAGGGGCGGCAGACCCTCCTTCACATGCCATTCCCCACGTGAGCTACATATGGAAGTGTCAGCTCTTATCGATAGCGCAAATAGCTGCAAGGTGCTCTCGGATTCCTCTTTGAAGATCGCCGCTCCCAGCTTCCAACCATCTCTCTATCGTTTATCAGCTTCAGTTTGATCGACTTGACTGCCACCAGCACACACATAACCCTCACGTAGCAGGCTCGCAACGCCGTATCGATGTAGTCGATCACGTTTATCACCTTAGGGACCGAGCTTATTGTTAGAAGATGCAGGCGGCCATTGACATGGCGATGGCCGGGCTGGACTTGGGAAGTGCACCACCCACCCTCGATTACAGCAGGCCGAGAGAAGAATGGGCCAGATTCATAGCGCAGTGCATCCATACGCGCCTCGATCCGGACAATTTCGATGAGTTTGTGTCAGTGCAAAGCTCAAGGCATCCGTTGCCTCCAGCAGTCGTTGCCGACGTTTGTCTCCGACCCCAGCCGACAAACCACGAAAGCCTCGACCCCCGCATTCCGCGATACCTTCAGGTCCTCACCAGGCGCAAGCTAATCGACACCCCCTCGATCCTCAAGGCGCTATACAGATACTCGACCTCTCATGTGCAATCCCATAGTGCCGCTGGAAACGCGCCGCAAGAGAATGCCCAACATGAGGTGCCGCAGAGATGGAGAAACTCGTACGCGGCGGAGGAAACCATCTTTTGGCGAGTGTCGAAGGCAGTCCGAATGGTCGATGGCATCATGAATGCAAGCGATGCCATCGAGACGTGCAAGATCGTTGCCAAATGGATGGTACTGTTCACGTCGGCCTCCGCGGCATTCGCCCAAGATGTCATGGGCCAGCTTCAAAGCAGTCAGTCTAGACTGGAGATGGAAGCCACGCGCGGTGCATTCGTCATGTTCCTCTTAGGCGTATACGACAATCCAATTGTTTTGGATGCGCTTAGTCGGCCGTTTGCCAAAGGTGCGTTGACATGCCAACAATTTCATGATAAACTACCAAGACACCTTCGAATTGACATCCTCTGTAGACGCTCGACGGGCACTGTCTGAGAGTTTGGCCAGTTTCGTCCCTTCTATACTGCAAAGCTCGTCGCCAGATGTTTATGGGCGTTTGGAGCACTTTCGCACAAAGACTCTTGTGTCGTTTGAGCCTGCCGACAAGAAAAATGAGATCATCAACTCCGCGATCGATGACATTGAGTCATCTATGGCATTGGATAGTAAAGTTATCCCCGAGTTGCCCATTACCAACTCGAGAGCTGGTTTATACATATATCTGAATGCAGCTGTAAGTGCAACGAATCACGTCTTGACTAAGCAGCTAAATCTTCTCAGCTCGTTGGGCGACCCCTTCTTGACGACGCTGCTCTCTTCAGCTACCTACACAACAGATATCAGGTAGGAGTCGAGCCCAGCCGCTTGAGGTTCCGTGCTAAGCCTTTCAGGGCGACATCCAAAGCACCACAATTGATCTGATCCTAGCATCATTTGACGTCCTCGCGAATGCCGTATTTCGCAACGAGGGTCAGAAGGTCGGACACCTACTAAGGTCCTATCTCATTAACAAGCTTCCCCTACTTCTTGCGACATTAGCGACATCCATGTTCCCTCCCTTGACACCCCAGTTCTGCATCACCGAAGCTCTGAGTCAAGTCGACACTAATGCTTTCCCGACTTTGTCTGCTATGTTCGATGACACCCACAACAGCAACACATTCACGGACGGTGTCCGCCAGGACTTCTGTTTCGCCTGTTGCTTGCATGGGTTGATCCCCGAGTCTAGTATTGAAGGCTTACTTGGGGAGATTACCTACCAGACGTTGCCTCAGGGCGGTAGATATGTGAAGGAGGCCCTCGTCGAGCAATGTATGGCCGACCCTGAGCGTATCCAAAACTTTGTCAGGGAATTAGACAACATGGACGGCAACGTCGGGGCAGTGTGTCAAGCCCTGATCGAGGCGAGTCTCCTCCGTTCAAGTAGATTGATTATACTCTGAGCTAACACTCGTTAGGTTATTGGTCGTCTGTGCAACAACAAGGAGACAATGACTCTAAAGCTGCTTTGTATACAGCTTGCTAAGAAACCCCTATCTTTAGACGTTATGCTTCTCTTCGGCAAACCGACAGCCGTTTTGCAGCCGCTCTGCGAATTGCTCGATAATTGGCGGTACGACGAGGATCAAGGAGAATATCAGCCCGTGTACGAAGAGTTTGGGGCAATCCTACTCCTCCTTCTTGCATTCGTTTTTCGATACAACCTCACGGCTCTGGATCTTGGCATCCGGTCCTCGGACTCTTTCGTCGCAAAGCTACTAACTCAGGGTAAACTTAGCAAAGCCAAGGATGAGTTGACCGATCAGGAGTCTGGTCATTTGGATGGCTGGATTCATGGGCTATTCGATTCCGAAGCGGGCGGACTCGGCGATGAACTGATGTCATCGTGTCCACCGCAAGACTTTCACTTGCTTGTCGCTACGCTCTTCCACAACCTGGTACTCGCGGTCGGTATGAATTACTTGGACGAAGAAAGTCTGAAGACTGGAATCGAGTGTGAGTATAATGAGACAGGAGCCCCGAGAGTGTACTGACGAATTTACAGACCTTGTCGACACATTCCTCCTGCCATCTCTGGTCATGGCAATCTCGTACATGTTAGATCAACTGTGGATCGATAAAGCATCGGACCAGGTTGCGGTGATAAAGATCTTGCAACTGATACTACTCACAAAACAGGGCTCTAATGAAGCCCAAACGATGCTCTCAGCGGTAGTCAACATTGTTGCGAAACCTCTAGAGCATTCACTTCGGTTGTATCAGCGGCAAAACCCCAAATCCCAGGATATCGAGCCTCTGCTTAGCACGATCAAAGACAATGTTCGGCTTTCGCGGCGAACAGCAGGCGCCGGACATAACGAATTGGAGGCCTGGGCCAGCACGCCAAACGGAGGCCTCGCCGCCTCAGTTAGGGAAAAAATACAAGGCTTCATACAGTGGAGTCTTCACCCTGGTATCAACATCATGCCAACATCGTATACGCACCGTCAGATCCTGGCCGCTCTCAATAAGCTCGGTGCGAAGCGTCTCTTGCATATCATTCTGGAAGAAGTGAAGCAGCAATCGGACGCCGCTGGTAGTGGCAGCGTCGCGCATGATGTGGCTACGGCACTCATTTGTGCTCCGGACGTGACCAACCTGCCCCCGTCAACCACAATGGGGTTGCTCGTGGACCCGAACAACCCCCCCGTACCTTCACAGACACGAATGTCACTCCGTTCAGCATTGAAGTACGAGGCAGAGGACTTCAAATCGATACAAAAGTCCGACCCGGCAATGGCTGATATGGTTATCCGCCTGTATCGAAGGGTAGAGGCTCAGCTCCACATGCCCCAGGCGACAGAGACAATGCTGCAAGGTGGATTAGCTTTGGGGTTGGATGAGAACGCGGCCGCACTCGGCGACGCATTGGCTGCCGCCCAGAACGATGGCAGTATGAACCTAGATCTTGGCGGCGGTGGTGGTGGTGGTGGTGGAAATGGGATGGACCTGACTGCAGGAGGGGACTCAGCAGGCGGGCTAGATTTCGGTGCTGATGATGATATGTTCGGCAACCTTGGTGCTGGAGGTGGTGCCGATTTGCTGGAGGGGTGGGATGACATGGACCTGTCTTAGGTCGCAGGACATCACTTAATAACTCGGCGGTTACTGGACCTCTGGTCCCGCCTTATCTGAATGACCTGTGGTCACAAAACAAAACAACTCGATAACTCGGCGGTTGGGCTGAGCCTTGGTGTAGGGGAGGCAATCCCTGGCCACGGTGGTTCTGGAGGCAGTTGCGCCAATGACAGGGTGAAATGAACGGCATGGAGTTGGCTTGGGAGGAGTTCGAGGGGCGTTAGAATACCTTCTTTCAATACCATAGCGTTGGACGGTAGCGGACGTACGGCGACAAGAACAGATAATACCAATTAGGTTCATTTTCATCCACCGGTGGCCGTTCTGGGCTTGGCAGCCTATCTCGCAGTGCCTTGATTATTCAAACAAATTCAGGGGCTGGGCAGTACCGATCAGATCATGGGCTTGTTGGGGCGGCATCTATGAAACATGCACTCCAACAATCCAAATTCAACGACTTGTACAGTAGAGATGATGAAACAGAGGAACTCATCCGATTCGTTACGCTAGTCATGTCCCATCTCAAAGTCTACCAACACGAACCAATATACGATTGATATCCCACCACACTCAACGAGTCTCGGCCCAACTGCCAAGCGTAAACTGCGAATTGCACATATTCGTCAACTCCCAATCCTCAGCGCCCATCTCGCCTTGTAAGTTCTCGTCGCCGCGGCCGCCGCACAGCCCCCCCACGAACATGGCCGCCATGAAGTGGTCGTCGGTGCCGTGCGCATCGCGGTACCGCGGGTGCTTCATCAGGCTCGTCGCGCGGCGCCTCAGCGCCGGTCCGCCAGCCGGCCGCGCGCTCTTCACCACCTTCCCGGCCGAAGACTCCTCTTTTGGGTTTCGGGTTTCGTGGCGCGGACAGAAACAGCTCAAAACCTCCTGCCGGAAATCCAGCGCCCAGGCCTCGGGCGGCGTGGGCTGCGCGAAGTTGTCGCGGTGCGCCAGCATTGGGGACCAGACGTTGCGGTATAAATTGTGCACGGCGCCGCCGGAGCCGACGAAGAGGGTCTTGGCTGATTTTGCGCGGAGGGGGCGCAGGGCCGCCCCTACTGAGAGGTGGAAGTGCGGGTCGAAGAGTTGGTTCATGCTGAGGATCGTGGTTGGGGGGCACCCCGAGGGGAACATCCGGATTAGGATTAGGTAGGTGTCGTGGATCCAGTCGAAGTCCGAGGAAGTTTGGGATGGGATCCCCGCGGCAGAGAGGTGGGATTGGATGAGTGGGATGTGCGGGAGGTCGGGGATGAGGGTGTAGTTGAGGTATTTGGACGGGGAAACGAAGGCGACTGGGGATTTTCCGGGCGTTGGGTTCGCGGAGATGAGGATCCCGGGGAGTGTGGTGGCCCAGTGGGCGCCCTGGGTGGGTGGTGGTTAGATGGTTTGTTTGTCTAGTAGGTAGGGTGGTAGGCTGGTGCGAGGCGGTTGAGAGGTTGGGGGCCTGCTTTGGAGGCTTGAAAAGGGGTTCATAGGAGTTGCTGTCGTTGAGCGGTGGAAGAGTGGTATTCGAGTTTAAAGTCTAGGATCACTCCGTGTCTCACTTGAGACCAGAGTTGATAGAACACATGAGAGATGAGGGATGAGTGGATGTGGGAGTATGAGTATGCGCGTACCATCATGATAACATGCTCGACCCCATTTGCAAGTGCCTTATCGCCGGCCTTCTTCCAGTAGTCGGCCGACGCGCTCTCCTCGCCCAGCATCATCGTGCTGCCGTGCGAGAACAGGTGGACGGGCGCCATGGGCTCCTCCTTGTGTCCGATCGCCATGACTGCTACCTGCTCGCCTTTTGCCCTGGTCTCTCTTGGTTCCTGGAAGCTAGACGGCTTCTCAGACAGGATCTTCGATACGCAGTAGAAGCCTGGTAAGACTTAAGAGAAGTCCCTAGGCCCTATGTCGAGTGGCAATGTTCAGGCTTTGGTGTCCCGAGGGTTCTTGGGTGATGATACCCCATTTTCCGATCACTTACACACCGGTTTCGTCGTGGTAATCTGGTACGACGGGATGGGGCTTGAGCGAGAAATGAGCGACCATTCTCTGAAAATGCCGGAGAGATGAGAACGAGCACCTGTTACCTCGGCGTTTGCACCGGGAGACGTGCTCTACTCTACAGACTACACGTTCATCCACGTCCACTCACGCATCATATAATCGTCCGCTCTGCGGCTGCGTGTGGGGGCGGGCGCTAGAGATGGGACAGCGGAAGGGTGGGCGGCGGGGGAAGAAAGGGTCCTGTGGGGTCCCGGTAGCGACGGATGGGCCGTGGCCTGCGGGTTGCATGCATCCGTAGATTCGGGGCAGGTGGGGTTCCATTTTGGTTGAGCGTCGATCACGACGATCAGTCAGTTCGTAGCCCACCCGTCCCGAACCGAGCCGGAAACGTTCGAATCAGATTACCAGATAGTAGGGGAATTGAGCCATGGTTCTGGCATCAATCGCATTGCGGTGTGTATGTTGTGAATATGGGAGCAATGGTTAGAGTATTGTGATACTCGGTGTCGGCAGTAGGTCTCATATCGGTGGACGCTCATGAACTGGACTCTGCTGCAAATGCGAAGAGGTTTTGACCTGACAGTGACTTGACTTCCAAGTGAGTGAACTACAAATAGCTAGCAGGATCTCACAGAGTCATACACTCGTCAACATGCAACGATGAGAATGAGAATTTGTACAAGACCCAAGCTAGACAACAACCATCCACACAAGTCTGTCCAGACACCATTCACTTCTTCAGCTTCATCGCCAACTGAAACCCCTTCCGACCCGTAACCCAAGTCGTATACCCAATTACCGGAGCCACAACCGTCAGGATCAAGCTGGCCCCGATCAGGATGCCCTGCTCGAAGAACCCGATGCCCCAGTTGCTCGGCTGGCCCGTCGGCCTCAGGGGCTTCACGGCCAGCGCGCGGACGGAACTCGTGCTGATGCCCTTCACGCCCTCCAGTAGTTGTTCTGCCTTCGCGAAGGCGCCCATGGACTTCTCGACGTACTGCGGTCGCGCGACTGAGAACATGGCCGTGCTGTAGCGGTAGCGGAAGTCCGCGTCGTGGGCGAGGGGCGCTGCGGGCCCGACGAGAAGGTGTGCGGGGATCTGGTTGAGGCAGGAGATGTGGCACGGGAGGTGCTGTGACATGTACTTTACGGAGCCTGCGTCGCCGAAGAAGTAGCCTGCGAGCAGTGGGGGGCTTCTTGTGTACTTGTCAGAGGGTTGATCCATCGTGTATTAGGTGGTCATCGTGATCTTTGGTACTTACTCGAATTGTTGGGTGAAAATGGCGTCGACGAGGCCTGAACATGTCGTGATGGGCAGATAGCGGCCGCTGATCTTGATGTTCATGAGAGGGGTGTTCCTGAGTATCATCAGTATACTTCTACGCTACGTTACTCGGAAATATACATTAGATGGGCAAACCATAACTCACTTGTCTATAATGTCGATCAGCTTGAAGTCATTGGATCCGAAACTCGTTGCTTGCCGACGGTCTTCAGCTTCCTTGACCGCCTTTCGCGATTCCTCGCTCTGGTTGCCGCTGACCTTCTTCACATTCGAGTCCTTTGCGAATGCCAGCGTCGCATATTTGGAACAGGCTTCAAAGAACGCTATCTTGACGTACTCGTTCACCAGCACCAGATCCGGGGCGTAGGGCGATGTACCGCCAAAAGTGAACCTCGCGGTTGTGATCGCTTTCGCTGCGGCTTGGATATCCGCTGTTCGGTCCACTATCGCGACGGTCCGGGCGGCAGAAGATGAGAGTAACTGGGTAGTCAGGCTTTTCGACGCGGCGCTGCTTGTTTGGTCCACGAGCACAGCTGAGTCTAGTATCGAGGCGTCCGTGATCGTCTTGCTCAGACAGAATGTGTTGACATCCAAGGCAGATGGTAGAACCTCCCCTAGGACAGAATCCACTTGTAGAAGGGTATCCTGAAGCTCCAAAACCACACAGTTCCCAGCACAGATAGCAGCAGCCAGCGGCGAAACGATCGAGTAGAGTCTCGTATGGCTCGTCGGGCGGATCACCACCATGCCGACGCCCAGCCTCCTACTCGCATAGTCCCTCGCCTGCGTCACGGAGTACTCGTCCTTCAGCGCCTGGTCGAAGTCGAGAGACTCGTAGAAGTGTCTGACGGCGTCCATGGCTAGGTAGTATTCGCTTTCGACCTCCGCTGCCGACCCCTTCGTATCCTGAGTTAACGCGCTGCATATTGTGCTCGCGTCGGTGCGTAGGGCTTCGTGGAGGCTCTGCAGCTGGTCCTGGCGATACCGCACGTTTTCAGTGCGGCCGTCCACGACGGCCATCTGCAGGCGGTCGATGGCGAGCTCTTGGGACGACATGTTCACACGCAGCTGGGCAGAGTCGTCGAATAGGGGTTTGGACTGTATTTGGAGTGATGCGCTACTGGCAGAAAGCAAAGCGATGGAAGTAGGCACAGTAAATATCCCTGAGATGGAGCTTTCAAGCTCAACTCATCTTCCGGCTGCCAAATGCTGGTTCAGGGACACAAGCTATGGTCGTAGACCGGGACCCCTGCGAACGGCAAAGTGCGGAGCGCCGCGGCGGAATGTGGGGGATGGAGGCCAGGCCGCTGCCACGACACCAATGACCGTCGCGTGGGCTGGCGATGACCCCTTGCGACGATCCCTGGCCTCCAATTGTCACGGAATTTCCAAGGTGCTATAGCTAGGCAGTGACCAGCATCGAAGACGTGTCGAACTCGCAACAACATCGCGACTTTCATACTAACTGGCTGAGACCTGTCACACCAATTTGGACGCTGGCTCGCACAACCAGCCCTAATCACCTTTACACAACCTCACACTCCATCCTAGAAGACCACCAGTAGCACCCCCTACAATACCGCACTCCAACATGTCAGTGACGACCACGGAAAACCCAGTGTCATACACGCTCCAGAACACGCTGCAGGACTACGAGGTTCAAGTCGACGGCGCCTGCGACCTGCCGCAGCACCACTGGGTGCCTCTGCGCGACCGCGAGGCACCCGAGGCGGACAACCCGCCGGATTGGCCCACGGACGAGCGCCGGGGCATGCCTCGCTACCGCCCGATCAACTATGAGCTGGACACGGCACAGAGGCCGTGGGGCGCCAATCCGATCGGGACGGCTTTCGTGGCGACCATGTTCACTGGGGTTTGGATCCAAGCTGTGAGTACTTCCCGCTGCGGAAATGAGGTTGGGGTATAGGTGGAGGAGTTCGGGACAGATGAGAACTGACGTGCGTTTGCGTAGACTGCGTCGTGGGTGTGGAGGAAGACGGGTGGACGGTTTAATGATACGTATTTCAGGTATCAGATTGGAGGGGAGGTTTAGGTCATGTTGAAACTGGTGTGTTCCCTGATGTAGGGGGAGTATTCTAATGCTTTGACTCCGGCTCTTGCTCCTGCGGCTGTTCCGCATACGCTCATGTTCTGATACATTACTGTAACACGTGCATTTGTATGTGCAGCTTGACTGAGATTTCCTATTCGAATTACATACAACTACCAGAAGGACACTTCCCCGGTAGTACCCAGAAGACGCAAAGAAGCGAACAAGCATGTCACATTTTACTTCATTCTCCTTCATCACATCACATCCATCTCCACGATCGATTGGACGTGGCATGGGTTTAGGACTGCAAATTTGGATTTCTCTGCCGGTTTCCTCTGCTCGAACAAGATGTCCAGCTCGCAACAGGTACCTCCTTTCGCCTGTGGCAGTCAGAAGTAGGTTCAAACCAGACATGTAAGCGACATTATAACCCAGAGAAAGCCAGACTTGCCCTTCCCCTTTCCAAGCATCAGGGTTCGGCATAAACGGTGCGGTGACGCCGTTAATGATGCCTTGGTCGTCACACAAGCTGCGAGCCAGTACAGTCGTCTTGATGCGCAGACGACTCTGGTCGGAGGGCTTTAGCAGCTCGCGTAGCACTCCTGAGGCAATCAGCTGTCTCAATCCCCACATCATGTTGATGTAGGTCGTCAGGAAGGTACGAAGAGCCACAGGACAGACCTCGGCGACGAGAGGCTGTCGGGGTTTAGAAGACACCCCAAAGAACTCCAATGACTATGGCGCCGAACAGCAAGGTCTGCACTTTTTGGGCGAAGAGCAGGGTGAAGATCAGGCCGATGAGCAGGGCCGATGTACCCAACAAGGTCTTCTTCAACCCAAAGCGCTCAGCTGCAAGGCCATTCGGTAACCTTAGTATCTCCCCGACGCGAGCCCCGTTCGATAGCGCGACTTGCCATGCTGCCGGGATCTGGTAGCTGCCCGACGCCCCTTTTGAGGCTGTATTCCTGGGCGAAATGAGGGAACGCGAAGAATGATGAGATAAGCACCAGATTGTAGCCTCCCAGGGCGATAGCTGCGGAGAAGAGGGTCGACCAGACGATCATCGTTGGGTAGAGCTTGATGGCTTGCATGACTGTCAAGGCATGCACGGCGTTAGTGGCCAGTTTGGCCTTTCCGCTGAGTGAGTGTGTTAAACGTGCTAGTGAACTCGGCAAGGTGTCGCACAGCGCTGTTCTCCGTGTTCACTTCAACTCCATGCTGTCCAGATTGACCTGTGCTTAACTTGATCAATATTGAGTGGCGTGGTATCCCCTTGAGTTTGGAATGTGACCACGTCGCTACTCGTTCGTTTTTCTTCGGCCATGTACCTAACCCGTGTATTCACGTGTGTTTTCGCGCTTTTTATACGCGTCGATACCAATATGCAAGCAATAAGGTACGTTAAAATGTTTAATTGATTTTCTTCAAGCTATTACATAGACATTCCTTAAGCCGAAATTAGCTGCGGGAGGCGGCCTTTGTGCCTTGTGGTAGCGGTATCCAGAATAAGGACCAGGGTCACGAATGGTGGCTATTGGTCTGTATTCTGGAAGTTGCTTGATTGAAAGAAGGGATGGGTGGTGTCCCCATCCCAGAAGTAGCTATTATCCCAGTTGGGTACAAATCAGGTACAAACGGGTACCCGTTGGGCTCCAAGGTACCTTGTATCCTGGTCCGTGACCCATCCGTCATTGTGGCTGGAAAATGGGTTGAGGAGCCACAGCCTTGGCCTGAAATCTGATAGGCTCTGGGGAATGCTTAGCGTCGTGGTCACATTCCGAACTCAAGGGGATACCTAGAAGGGGTTCATCTTGTTGCCTCCGCCTCCGATTTCGAACCCCTGACCAGGTCAAGACAAGCCGATGGTGGTGACAGTCTCAGAAGGCATTCGTGTCAGCTTATCACATGCTCACTCAATCCCAGCACGCAGTGAGGGGTATCAGACCAGTTGACGGCAGTAGTCTGTTTTTCATCATTGGCCTTGTCCAACCTGCCAACCTCGCTGCAGGTGCGACCCGGCCTTGAGGAATGAGGGAAACCCAACGAAGCACCGGGGGCAGCTGCAAGTCGGACTTAGCACCAAGTCCCACCCACTCAAGGATTTCACGTGATCACGCGCGCCCCTAACCCTTAGCTCTTGCCCTACTCAGGTTGCTTCCTTATTAGTACCTTCGCGACCTACTACTAGTGTAGCTGAAGTTCTTTCTCCTTCTCGTCGAACACATCACGTCAAACCTGCCTACTCGCCGCCAACCCTCACACTCATCGACTGCAAGTCCTGACCAAGTCCCACACTCATCAGTCCGGCACCCCAGCACTTCTATCAGTCAGTACCGTGCACCTTACTGAGGCCCCCAAGGTTAGTGGAATAGTCAGGACCAATGTGGTCACTGCGCTAACCGTCAGTCCCCCTATCTATAGAGTGTGACCAAGATGCCGTCGCTCCTGGACTTGCCCAACGAGCTGATTACCCACATCGCTGAGTGGTCATATGAGGAGGACCTGGCGGCCCTCCATTTCTTGTCGTCATGTTCACGCCGTCTTCGACCACAGCCTGGTGTCAATCGCCGTCAAACAGTACCCATACCTGCTCTGTTGGGCCGCCGACTCTGGTTATGTCGACCTCGTCAGAAGACTGCTGCACGCTGGCGCTGATCCCAACATGGCCTTCATCGCAGAGTACATGCATCCTCCCGGGTATGAGCATAATCGATGGTTACTGGGGAGTTCTTGCATCCCCGCGAAGATGGCTCTCAACTCAATCTACTGCCATGAATCACACTCGGTTGCCCAATGGCGCCGATCCTTACTACTGAAGTCACGCAGAATGGCTGGGGACATCTCCGTAGGCGGCTTTGACGACTACGACCGATGAACCCTGGCTAGGGGGCGAGGACGAGCTCTCAGAGAGCGAAGGCGAGTCCGATAAAGGCCTATCGGTACCAGTTCCTTGGGATGCTCACCGGACAGGTGGGGAGGATCTGTTGCGGCCCAGCAGTACATCGACTCCTTACTGGTTTCCGCTGCATGCCGTTGCGCGTTCCGGACATAAGAGCACTGTCCAGCTGCTTTTCGACAGCGGTGCATCGCTCAACCCTGCGTCCTTCCTCTTCCCCCAATATCATCGGATCTGGGGAGCTCCCATCTCATTGCCGACTCCACTTCAATCAGCTCTTAATGGTCGAAAAGACAGCACCGCCAGCTTGCTCTTATCTCTTGGGGCGTCTATCAACGTGGATCTGGCTGAGACCCAGAAAGGCCGCAGCGCCCTCCACGTCGCTGCAATGAATGATTTCTCTCTACTGTTCAGCTTCTTGTGGAAGGCATTTACAACTTGCATGTAAATATGCGAGATCCTGAGAACTTGACACCTCTATTCCGTAAGTCGCTACCCTGTCTTTCAACTCGTGATGCCGTTGGTTGCACTTCGGTTTCCGCCAGCGGCATTGGATGTCTGTGAAGTCTTCCGTTACCAGTTTATGGAATCCGTGCTGACCGTAGTTGCATAGGTGCCTTGCATTATCGCGGGCCGCATGGTTCAAACCGTAGTATGGGTCACGTCAGTCGCTGGCTCCTGCAGCACGGTGCTCAAGTAGACGCGGACTTGGGCGACGGGCGTACTGTCCTCCACGAAGCATGCCATCGTGGCTGGTATACTGATGCAGTCGAACTCATCGACCGGGGAGCGGATGTCCATACCCGCTGGAAATCACACCCACTGGGTGGCTTTACGTATCGACCTTTGGAATTGTGTTGTCAACCACCTGACCGACTCGCAATCAATCGGGAAGTTGACATAGAAGAGCCAGACTACGTCATAAAAGCTGCCGAACGAGCCTCGGAAGTAGCACGGGCTCATCTCGTCAATAGACTGATTGACGCAGGGGCGATGTTCACCCTCATCCGGACTGTTCGCAATCGCCGCTGACTTTCGCCGCCGGATCCATGTCCTTGGCCATTATGGAATTGCTGGTCAACGCTGGTGCACGCATCAATGATGAGGATTCTCGAGGCTACGCCTACACCCCTTTACTTGGGCTCTCGCCGCATATTTGACATCAGTTGGAGTGGAAGTGCAGTATTCGACCGACCTGCCAATGCAGGATATCTCTAAGTGCGTTAACGTACCGCACGTTTTGTACGCGGGTATTCATTCGAAGATGACGCCGGTAAAGGGTGGCTATCCAACTACCAACGACCTCTTTGGGCTCACTTTTCCAGTCTTCATCACTTTGGACTTCACTGTTCAGGGGTCAAGATGAGCGAAGACGCTCTGTCAACCCATCATGAGGAATGGACGGCCGTACTGGCTCACATCCCACAGGGCACCGCTGTCGACAGCACATCAGGCGAGCGACTCAACGAGGGAGCGAATGGCACCCTAACCAAGCATTTCCACGAGCACCACAACGAGCACCACTATGGCCACGACAGCAGAGCTGCCAATTTTCGCGAGGCACCCTTTTCGTCCGTGGCAGGTGTTAACTCTGTTCTCCTCATTGGCGTAGAGCCTCCCAAGTTCTCCCTCTCTACTACAGCAATCCCAAAACACCACAACGAAATCCCCATACGTAAGCCTCGGAATCCCGTAGGTCACCCGTGAGCTTACTGATAACGCGGCAGGCGTCTACGTCGCGAACACGGAGAGCTCCCGGGTGCTGGCCTGATGAACTCCAAGATATCTTTTATTGCATGGCTAGAATGAATGAACGACTAAACGACAAAGACCAAATGAGCGACACTAAGAAATCCCCCGGCGCGCCCGGCCTCCCCATAACTCCTCCTCAAGTCAAGATGTCGGCTGGTAGTGAAAGATCAGTAAGGCTTCTGGCCCGTCCAGTTTCCAGGGGGCGAGTACCGCCCAACGATATAGACGCCACCCTTGGAATCCTTGGCCCAACCCATGCCCAGCTTGGTGGTAGACTTCCACATGCATTGAGCTAAGGGGTTCCAATGTCAGTGCAAGACACGAGTGACCACGATGTGTTCCGGAGTCGGATATAGCTTGGCTTACTGTAGTGGCCGTAGGACCCGAAGTCGCCCTGCCCAATTGGCTCCCCATGGTAGTCCTTCTCTTCGGCGAGCCACATGTTGGCAGACATGACCAGAGGGGTGCTCGATGCGGAAGCCCTGTTGAGCACGCCAGTTAGTGACTGTTTGCACATCATTGATTGGGATAAGTAAGCCATTGTCTTCCTTACCACGCGAGGTTCTCGCCCTGGTTCGGGCGCTGGTCGCCAGCAGAATGCTCGAGCTTGCCGATCTGAGCAAGGTGCTTGGCGTAGCTCTCCGCGTTGCTGGCAAGTTGGCTGTCCCACGCAAGCGCCGGGAGGCCCTTGCCCTTGCGCTTCTGATTGTGGGCGTTCAAGGCGTTCTGCTGGTCAGGCCCCAGGGTTGCGGCTATGCTGAACGCCGCGAGCCCCTGGATTTCGCCCTCCGCAGGAGCCTCAGCGACGTGGACATCGCTCGCGTCGTGTGATAGTGGCTGGCCCGTCTTCGCGTCGCCGTCTTTCGCTTCCGCAAGCACGTCCTGGTCTCCGGTGACATCCGCCGCCGCAACGAGCGTGTTCGTGGCGATGGAAGCTTTTCCGGGGGCTGTCATGGGCTGCTGGTGCACGTACATCTTGCCCAGCTCGGTGAAGTTGCCGTTTGCGTCCATGAGCTGCGCGGCCGGGCTGACGAAGCCGTCCGCCACCTTGCGCTGGAAGTCGAACAGGCCGTACTCGGCGACCCAGTCCTGCTTGTCCATCCAGTTGCAGATCTGGACGGTGAAGTTCACGATGTTCGGGTAGCTGCGGTCGATGCAGGCGATCTCGGTGACCATCTTCGAGCGTGTTCGTTAGCCGGAAGCGGAAAATGGATGTTCGGTATATCGAACTGGGTACTTACGACTTTGGGCTTGGGCCACTTGTTGTGCATGTCCTGGATGTATTTCTGGGCATCGCCCGCGCTCTTGGAGTAGTAGTGGACGCAGACAAAGTCGGGCATATCCTTGGACACGAGTGACATGAACTTCTCGAGCCACTTGCGACCATTTTCGTCCTGAAACTGTGTTGGATTTTCCCTCAGTCGTTAAAGAAGAGATTTCTTACAGAGGCGACAGCCGGTGAGCCGAGCTTCTTCCCCTTGTTCTTCCTCAGGGGCAGCATCTGGTTGTACCAGATGTCCCTGGCCTGCTCCGGAGTGATGCCGGCACGCTCGGGCTCGTTGAGGAAGAGGATAATGGGGTACTTGGTGTCCTGGACGATAGCCCAGTCGTTGCCCTTCGTGTTATCGAGGCCGCGGACCATGGGCCTGAAAGGCGCCCTGTCTTTGAGCTCAGGGGGTACCCACACATTCCAGTTCACGACGGAGGCAACGGGGCTTTGGCCGCCAAAGGGGACTTGGTCGATCTTGCCAGGGATGCCGGGGTTTCCTGCACCACCTGTGTTGGTCCAGTCCCAGAGGATTTGACGCTTTTGAATGACCATTTTGAAAATTGGTGCAATATGTTTGGTAGTAGTAGTAAAGAAGTAATGCAGTAAGTGGAAACTGGGCCTGGTGCTATTTCGACTAGCTCTTGGTTGATTTGTTCCGAAAGATGCCCAGAGACCGACTTGATGTTCTTATATAGATACGCTTCAGGGAAGAGGATCGGAACGGAGTGACACGTGGGCAAGGCTCGGCCGTTTGGAGTCAGGCGAGAGCACGCCTCAGGCTGACGGAAGAGGGATGCGAAAATCTCGGATCCAATGTCTAAGCTCCCACCGCTGTGCACTGCTTACGTGTTGTGCGAGACACGCAATCTAGCTGTTTGTGCGAAACACACAATTCAGCCCTATGGACAAGTCTGATGACTATACTACATGTATCAAAATAGGTGCGGAGGATCGGCCCCCTATTCTGGTCATAAAAGGGGGGTGGGCAGCTCTCATCGCCACGTGCATACCGCCGCTGTTGATGACAAGGCTGTCACGTTCAGCTGAAGCTGAAAAAACGGCCTATACGGGGCTATGCGAAAGTATCCGGTGAGGTTCATGCCGTGGTGAGTAGACCGCACAGAACACGTCAGCTTATCCCCGCCACCCTCCCCCCCCCCCGAATCGGCGCAAGACTCCGCGGTCTCTTGCCCTCCGACCTCCTCGCCGCAATGGCGGACCTTGTGACAGTAAGAAGGATTTTAAATGACGACTGGGTGTCAGACGAAGGACTCCCGCCACGGATATCAGGTGACTATCGGGTCGGCCGAGCCCCTCTGGCTCAGCCTTCTGAAGTCTTGGGGTAGGTGTAAGCTCATTCCTAAGATGCGTCTATACGACGACAAGCGAACAGCTCCCGCTCGATATGATCCGATTCAGGACCTCATTCTCATGAAGAGGCTATGGCGAGGAAGATCGTCGCGAGTTTTATAAAAGGCTCCTTTCCCCCCTGAAGCGCAGCCGGCATGTCACAGCACCAAGACAAAACTCCTAGCAACAGAACACAGACCCTCAAAACACTTATATACAAGACATACAATCAGAACCCTAGCAAAAATGCATTATCTTCGCATCAAGAACAGGTCGAACCATGCCCAGACCTTCCAGTGCCATGGGGCGTACAATGGTGGGAAAGACTGTGAGTAGCACTTCGAACTACCTCCTCCCCGTCTGAAAAGGCCCTCGCCTCTACGAGACACGTGCACATGCTTCAGCAAGCAGCTGTGCTGTTCAAAGCAGCTGTTGCGTATCCTCCAAAGACAGACAGCTGACCTGCAACCACCAGTGACGATCATGGCCAACGGTGAAGCCAACATCGAAGCGCCCGACGGCACCTCAGGCGCCATCATCGCCGTCCACGACGGCGTCATCGGCGAGCAGTGCGAGATCACCAAGAGCGGCTGGATGGGCAACGACACCATCGACATCAGCAACATTGTCGGCGCCGGGGGCAACATGACGTGCCAGCAGGTCGGCGACCCTGCGGGCAAGTACAAGGGCCACGAGACCTTCATGCAGGCCTGCAACACCGCATACCACAAGCTCCCCCAGGCGAAGAAGGACCAGCTCAAGGGCCATGTTTTCCTCGACGGCAGTGGCAACGTCAAGCGCATCGGTCCCCCGAAGGACTCCCAGCCCCTGGAGCAGTTCGTGGTACGTATAAAAAACATCCCATCCCAAGACCCTGACTGAGTCTTGTATTCGAGAACAAGCTTTGTTTCTTCCCTTTCCTTCATCATCATCTAGACAATGGCCCCAGGGTTTAAAGACGGGATGTTAACATACACGCAGCGGACCTTCGCGAATGGCAGAACCTACATCGGTGTTGGTGCATGGTGAGTGTTGCCTTATCCCTGGTCCATTTTAGTCCCCTTCGTGCTGATGATTCACAAGGGGTGGTAATGCTGGCAACCCAGAGGACAACAAACAGAGCAGTGCCGGCAAGGGCAGCAAGGACATCCTCATTGTGTACAGTGTAAGATTATGTTCATGCCTTGCTATATTCTGCGAAATGTGTTTAGTACGAGAACTGACTGACCTCAAACATTAGAACGGCAACGCTGCACCCGACCCTTCCAAGCCCTTCACAGGACAATCCATCCAAGGGTTTGCCATGGTGGCTACCGCTAATACCCAGCCCGATCAACCCCAGCAGGTTGCGCTCGCCGCGAAGAACGACGTCAACGCAATCTCAGTCAACAAGGTCGAAAACGCATCACAGCCAGCTGGGGCCGCCATCAAGACGCTGGCCGCCGCTGCCACCACCAGCGCGCCCGGTCCAGGTATCCAACTGACGAACCACTCAGCCAAGAAGAACACCTACTACTTCTACGACAACTACTGGAACGGCAACGGAACCGCGGGAGCAAACTTCGACCACCCACTGAAGCACGTCGAGCTCGCGCCCAACCAGACGGTCCACGTGCCGCTCTCCGTGTCCTTCAAGGGCCGCGTGCAGCGCGGCCGGGCCCTGCCGGCGACCTGGGGCGAGTTCCAGGTCAAGGCGTCCAACGACGGCAAGGCGCACGGCGACATCTCGCTGCAGCAGGGGTGCGACGGCGCCGCCACTGTCGCCTCGACGGACGGCACCGGCGTGTCCAACGGCTTCACCAAGAACATCGTCAGGGGCGCGCCGGCTGCGGCGCTCGGGAAGAAGCCCGATGGCGAGGTGGTGTTGGCGAGCACCGAGGGCAACTGGAACGGGCCGGGGAACCAGGCCGCTGTCGACTGGGAGAACAAGCAGCTGGGACAGGGCAAGGCGTATATCAAGGGGGGGACTGGGGTGCCGGACATCGCCAGCAAGAACAACTGCCTTCACTTCACCTTTTATGTGGTCTAGAGGTAGGTAGATGGCCGGGGTGGGTGGTTGTGTATTCATATCTTATAGGCAGGTGTATTGTTTTCTTGTGGACGGCGTATTCATTACTTATGTAGTTTAGATATTTACGTAAACCTGCAGGCCCGTTGGCAGGCCGAGTATAAACGAACGGGTTTAACGTATTTATCTGTAAATCAAACATCTAGCATGGAGGCATCTGCTGCTCACTTGTGAGAGAACACAATATCTAGGTCTCCATTCTAGGTGAGCGAGGTAACAGGGTCGTACAGACCCAAGGTCACGCAGTCGTTTCGGAGAGAAGTTCCGTACTGTACAGTCATATTGAATGATAGGGAGGTAGTCAATGCCGCCATACATACCACGTCTTCGGATATCCGCCCACATGGAGACCGGCGCGACATCCAGGTGCGTCCTCGGATTTTAGGCGTAGGGAGGGAGAACGCGGGACCGGGACCACATGCACCGGCACCTAGTTCCCCTCCCCCACCCTTCCGCCCGGTAGCATTGCAGCTTTGCGACGAACCTGACGAGCCCAGAAGGCGAACGCAGGGTCTAGTTCGCCCGGCGGGACCTCTCTCTGGAGCCCCTTCGCGGACGAGGGGCAAATGCGTGAAACTTGAACTGCTGCTTCCTGTCCTGTGGTGATATGTGAATTTCGGACCCAAACAGGAACGTGAGATAGTAATATAGAGAGCCAGCCACCAACACGCGATCTATATCTACCGCGTCAGTGTCGTCACTCCCCTCACCAGACCCCAGACCCTTGATTACATGCAACAATGGAAGTCCAGACGCCCCCGATCCGCGACATCTCGTCCGTGGCCGACGACGCCGAGGCCGGGCTCAGGGTCATGATGAACGTGTCAGTGCCGCTGAAGGCGTCGAAACTGCCCATCCGCGCCAATGTGTACCTGCCCCTGGCACCACTGCTGAACACCGAAAGCACCGATGCCAAGTTCCCCGTGCTGGTCACCGTACGTATAGAAACATCCCATCACAAGACCTTGAGCATTGGTTTCGAGAATGACCTTTGTTGTTTCTTTTCCTTCTTCATCTAGAAATCTGCCATACGGGTTTAAAGATAGGATGTTAACGTACGCGCGCGCAGTACGGGCCGTACGGCAAGGACATCCCGTACGCGACCTTCTTCCCAGCCAGCTTCGGCCAGGTCAACCCGGAGCACAAGTCCGAATACAGTGCCTGGGAGACGCCCGACCCGGTTTACTGGACCGGCCAGGGCTACGCGATCGTGCGCGCCGACGAGCGCGGCCTGGGACAGAGCCCGGGGTTCCTGGATACCATGAGCCGCGGCACCAGCGAGTGCTTCTTCGACGTCGTGGAGTGGGCGGCCGAGCAGCCGTGGTCCACCGGGAAGATTGGCTTGCTGGGCATCTCGTATTATGCCGGCACGCAGTGGCGCGTCGCTGCGAGGAGGCCCAAGGGGCTGGCGGCGATCATCCCTTGGTGAGTGCTGGAAACTGAGAGATGGGGTTTGGGTTGGGATGTGGAAGCTAATGGGTCTTTTGTTTATAGGGAGGGCATGTCCGATTACTACCGCGATCGGTGCCGCCATGGCGGTATACTTTCGGACAAGTTCATCAACTTCTGGCAGAACCGTCAAGTGCTCGTCAACCAGTACGGAAGACCGGGGAGGTCGAAGCTTACATTCCCACCGGACGGACCGGGTGCCCGCGGGCAGCTAGACACGATCGAGGGCGATCTACCTGAAGACGTCCTGGTCAAGAACCGCCAAGACCAGACCGTCGACAACGCCAAGTACCAGTACAGAGACCAAGACTACTACGCCAGCAAGGACTTTACTCCTGAAGATATCGAGGTCCCGTTGCTGAGCGTGGCAAATTGGGGCGGTATCCTACTTCATTTGCGCGGTAACGTAGAGGGCTATACCCATGCTGGCTCCAAGTTCAAATACCTCCGGTTCATCACGGGCCGTCACGACTTGCCGTTCTACTACCACGACGAGGTAGAACTTCAGAAGAGCTTCCTCGACGCGTTCCTGAAAGGTGACGATCGGGTGGGCTGGAGCAAGCCCGGCAAGGTCTCGCCCGTTACCGTCACGCTCCGCAAGGGCAACGTTGGCTTCAACGATGCCGAAAAGGAGAAGACGTACCCGAAGAGGGAGGAAGAGGCTTGGCCGATTCCGAGAACCAAGTATACCAACTACTACTTGACTTCCGACGAGAGCCTCGTGACGAGCAAGCAGAGCTCCGAGCCGAAACAGGTCTCGTACCCGGCGCTCGGCACACTGGACAAGCCCCAGGCAGTCCAGTTCACTACGCCGCCTTTCGAAGAGGAAACCGAGATCACTGGGCATATCACGGCTCATCTGAACGTCTCCTTGACACCTGAGGAGGTTGCAAGGGAGAAAGACATCGATCTCTTCTTGACCCTGAGACACCTCAATGCTTCAGGCAAGGAGATTTACTATACCGGCACAGCAGGCGATCCCGTTCCCATATGCAAGGGCTGGCTCCGGGTGAGCATGCGAAAGGTCCACGAGGAGAACCCCAAGCACAGGTCCTGGCTACCGCATCGCGAATACTTCTCGACGGACGTCCAAGAAGTGAAACCTGGAGAGGTCTACGGCGTCGACATTGAGTTGTGGCCGTCAAACGTGATTGTCGACAAAGGCAACCAGATCGTATTCGAGGTTGCGAGCGGAGACACCCAGGGCTCAGGTATCTTCCAGCATAACTCGGCGACCGACCGGTAAGTCTACTTCATACCAGATGATTTGTGAAATCGTGGCTGACTGACTTCTCTCATAGATATCCGGCGAAGTTTGCCGGGCAGAACCATATCCACTTTGGAGAAGGACTTGAGAACTATGTGACGTTGCCTGTGATCCCACCCAAGTAGATACATTGTAGTATAGAGCTCCAGGTCAAGCTGTCTCTCCAAGTCAGAAGAAATCACGCTTGAGGCCCTGCACTCATTATTGAGTCATTCTCATCAAGAATAATTGATGACATTGCGTGACGGAAGCGTGCTAGCCCTGAAACACTCAGGGTTGTGAGTGCGGGTGGGAGGTGCCGAGACCAACCCCGAAAGCGTTCCGGCGGGGGCGGGGTGAATTGTGCTGGGAGCACAGCGATGGAAGGAGTGGCACGCACCGGCGTACCGCGTGCTCGACCAATGTGAGGTAGTCGTTAGATCAGCTGTGCTGGTAACCATGGTACGGACAAGAACTTGGGGTTTGACCGAGAACCTCACTCCTCAGCACCATCAGACTAAGCAAAGATGAGTTACACCGACCACTTCTCCATCGCCAACATTCCCTACGGGATCGCAAGCGATGCATCACATGCCGACAAGGCAGTCGTTACCAGGCTTGAGGACCTTGTATTCTTTCTCGCCGAACTCGACTTGGAAGGTAGTGAAAGCGTCAAGTCCGCGTTGTCCCAGGTAAGCTGACACTCGAAGTATCCAGTTCGAATCGGAAACTAAGAAAGTAGCCCAATCTCAATGCTCTGGCTGCGACGAGTAAGGACGAACTCAAGCAGTTACGAGCGAGTATCCAAATCGTCCTGAAAGACCAGTTTGTCGTAACGAAGCATGGCAAGAAGGTCGAAGACGTCACGCTTCACATGCCTGTCGCTGTCGGTGGATTTACGGATTACTCTTGTTCCAAAGAGCATAATGAGAATGCGTCCCAGGCGATGTTTGGGAAATCAGTCATCCCGCCGGCTTTTCCACACTACCCGATGGGATACTCGGGACGACCATCGTCGATTGTGATTTCCGGAACGCCGATCCGCAGACCTTGTGGTATGTACAAAGCCGGCGACAGCGTGGAATACGGCGCGTGTAAGGCCTTGGACTATGAGCTCGAGATGGCCTGTGTTATCGGAAAGCCGAGCAAGATGGGAGACCACGTTCCCCTGAAGGAGGCCGACGAGCACATATTCGGGCTGATCCTCCTCAATGACTGGAGTGGTGAGTGATGGATCACTTTTGCAGCACCCCGTACCAGCTGTCACTGACGACAAGCCAATAGCGCGTGGTATCCAAGGGTTCGAAATGACACCACTAGGGCCAATGAACGGCAAGAGCTTCGGGACTTCGATATCGCCATGGGTAGTGACGCTGGAAGCGCTGGAGCCGTTCGAGGTCACGCCGCCGCCCAGGGACATCCGCGTCCCGGCTTTCCTGGAGGAAGTCAAGCAGAAGCCGAGCTACAGCATCACCCTGGAGTCGGAGCTGCTGAGCGAAGGCAAGGCGACTAAGCTGTGCAAGTCGGACGTGTCTTGGATGTACTGGACGTTCCGTGACCTCGTGGCTCAGCAGACGGTCAATGGTTGCAACATCAACACGAGCGACGTGCTCGCGACCGGCACTGTGTCCGGCAAAGGGGATGATGAGCATGGGTGTCTGCTGGAGGCGACCAAGGGCGGCAAGGTGGACTTCACTTTGGTGGACGGGCAGAAGCGGACGTACCTCCAGGATGGCGATGGCTTGCGGATGACTGGGTATGCGGGCAATGGGGTCGGGTTTGGTGACTGCACTGGCTTCATCACCCTGGCACGTGCTTTGTAGGATGACTCTCTGAAAGAAGCAAGACTCGTTTCTCGGAATGAGTTAAACCATGGATTGCCTGATGTAGACCGCATGGAAATGAAAGAGATATGAGCTCGGTGGTGAACTCGATGAAGGAATAAACATGAAGCCATCAGAGTGAGAGCTGGAGGCTTGAGCTTGAGCTTGAGCTTGCCCGGACATAGAGCTTCAGCCACACGACCCACAGCAGCAAACAGCCACATGCACGCAAGCCACATAACCATTTGCAGTTTAGGGGTCGGGCTGTCGGGGTCGAACAATTGCATTTGACCAGATTGCAACACACACGCCCACACTTTTTGGTAGCTTCGGTCTTTGGTCATCGAAGCTCTCTCCGCACATCCTCCTTTCGCCTCTACCATCCTTCCGTCCTGACATCTCCTCCACCCCTGCTGTTGCTATATCAGCCAAAATGGTGGCCTTCAAGTACTCCGTCCTCGCTGCCCTCGCTCTGCACGTCGTCTCGGTCTTTGCTCAGGACTCGGTGAGCCTCCCCCCTGGACCGTCCCGATACTCCCTGAAGCAAGTCAGGCTGACTAGGTTTCTGATTATTAGCCCATCAACGACAATGCCGGCAGCCCCCCAAAGACCGAGCTGAAGGCAGATGTCGTGGCCAACTTCCTCGAAGCCGACATCTTCGGCGTCAAGCTAGTCAACGGGCGGCCGACCAAAGCAATCGTCGACGTCACGAACAATGAAGACCAACCCATCCAGGTCGCCTTCATTGGAGGCCAACTCTTCAACCCCAAGGTCCTCGAGTCCGAAGGCAGCCCGACGCAAGCCATTGTTCGCAACCTGAGCACCGTCCGATACGAAGCTACCATCCCCGCTGGCGAGAAGCAGTCTCTGCCCTACTCGTTCGTCCTCGACATGCAGCCCCAGGACGTCCGCCTGCAGATGGTTGCCGTCATCTCGAACTCGGAAGACAAGATCTACCAGGTTGGAGTCTATGACCAGATCGCCAATATCGTCGAGGCGCCCACGAGCTTCTTCGACCCTCAGATGTGAGCTGCCCCTATTCAATCCAGGGTTTTGGGGCCGAAGCTAATCTCACCACTGCAGCATCTTCCTGTATATGTTCCTGTCCGCCGCCTTCGCCGGTACCTGCTACTTCGTCTACAAGACCTACATCGAGGCCTTCTTCCCCCAGACCAAGCGAGCCAAGGGCCCCAAGAAGGTCAAGACCATCGAGAAGGAGCCTACATCAGGAGGAGAGGGCGCCGCTACCGGAGCTGACAACAAGGGCTACGATGAGAGCTGGATCCCCTCTGACCACCTTAACCGCCCGGCTGCCCGACGCGTAAAGAGTGGTGTCGCTAAGTCCAAGACGAAGGTTGCTGAGTAGAAACGGCGCACCGAGTCTAGCCCATCAGCTAAGCACCTTGTGCAAATCAAAGCATAGGGATGACTTTTGGCTAGTAAAAGGAGCATTGGGTCGATCGAGGCATTCAACGGCTGGGAAGAGGAAAAGCATATTGCGACGTCGCTTTGGAGCGGCCCTGTGTATTGAATACCGGCTGTACATCAATGGATAGCTGAGACAGGGTTTCAGTGACCCTTCCAACCTGGGTTGTGAGCGCAGCTATTATTGCACACAGATCCGACAATTTGCCAAGTACACAAGGCTTGCCTTCATTCTCTGGCCAGTGGTAATTTTGGGATATTGCCCACCAGCGTTTGGCCACCCCAAGTATACCGACGGCGGAGTGGGATCAGCCCTCGAAACCCACGTATTTCGCGAGGTGTTAGGCGCATTAGTGTCCAAGGAACTTATATGATTGATGATTCCCAGGTCGGGATACAAAAGCGTATATCACCTAATCTCCATCTTCATCCACGAAACGGCGGCCGTCATGACTCTTACAGTCGCCTGTGACGAGCAGCCATCTCAGGGGCAATTGCTAGAATACACCAAGCAGCAAACCAAACAATTTCTTGAACCGCTTTGATATGTCTTCACCTACCGTTCTGCACGCTGTTCGGAAGAAATCGGATCCCAATCACGTGAGTCTGAACATGGTGCAAGAGATAAGAGTACTTGTCGCGGTGGCGGACTCGAAACCCTTTGGCTCGCTTGTTTGCTGTTCTTGTTTGGTACAGCTTGCTGCTTGAGTACGTCACAGTGTCATACCGCTCAACTCGAGTTGTTCGCAGCCAGATATTGACGTCCTGTGAGTGGCTTTCCTCGAAGGTTTGTTGGTAGTCTGTCTGATCGCTGCTTGTTGTGCCACAGGGCTGGTCGAAACATTAGGATGGGTCTTTTCAAGCCGCCAACCGAATAGGCTCCGAGCATGATTTGCGCCCAGACAGTCGTTGTCTTCGGATGAATGGAAAGTCAGAGGATGCGGGCCTTTTGTCTGTGGTCTTCAGAGCTTATCTACGTATATCAGGGTCCCCCACAAGCAAACTCAGCTGTCCACACCTCATCGCCTTCAAGCGTCATGACTTTACCTCTGCCAGGACGCGGGCGGACAGCTCATCGTGATCATCTTATATTATCAATATCAGGATCTCTCCAGACACCGTTTCTTATGCAGGTGACCTGGGAAGTGAAACGAGGCAAGGAGAAGCGACGCATGGAGGTTCCCTTGTCTGATAGGCGGGCATATGAATTTGTCATGTTGCTCTGATGAGAGGAATTAGCAATCATCCCCTTGAATTTCATTACGCACTGTCACCGTTAGGTGCCCTCGGCACCCGTCACCGCTGTAGAAGCTGTTCATCCATCGTTCTGATACAAACCTCGTCTGATTTGTTCACCGTCTCTCCAGAATGACAGCAAGACGCAAGCGGTGGCGGTGACTTGTTTGTTTGCTCATTGGCATGAAAATCTGGCTTCAACACCACCGGCGTGGAATCTCTGCGTCGATTTGTCCCACCAGAAGTATGGACTAGCCGCGCACAAATCGGCGCCTTGACATTAGCGGTAAGCGACCGAGCGGTGATGAGTTGGTTCGAAGACCTTTCGTACTTCGTATGGCTCTAGGAATACTCGTGCGGCCTTGGAGTCGACTCTCGTATAAATAGTCGATGGCCCAGCACTTGGATTCGTACATAACAACCGCAGCTCAGGTACTCTCACTCCTGACACTACATCACCACATCCCACACCCACTAGAACCAACCACACACACGCACTCCAAAACTCAAGCTCGACAGCCAAACCGACAAGATGCACATCCACGCCACCCTCGCCGGCGCCCTGGGCCTCCCCCTCCTCGCCGCCGCCGCCCCAGCCCCAACCTTCCCCAACACCACCGTCTTCTGGAAAGCCAACCAGTACACCACGGAGCATTGCGGTACGTATAAAAACACCACATCCCATCACAAGACCCCGAGGCACATCCCATCACAAGACAGCTCTGCCGTTCCCTTCCCTTCCCGCTCTCCTTCTTCCTCTCATTCTCCAAATTCACCATACAGCTTCAATCAAAACAAAACACAATGCTAACATACACACAGAGGGCGCCCCCTACGCCACACACGAGACCAGCGACACAATCATAGCAGTAATCGATGCCGGCATCGCGCACTCGATCGACACTTCGACGCCCGACGCAGACCTGTGGGTCTGGCAGGCGTACAACGGCGGCTTGACGGCCGACCTCCAGGACTGCGCGGGAACCTACCTTGCGGACGTGCCGACGGGTTGCGTCAACCTGGATAACTTGGGCAATTGCATTACTTGTCTGGCGCCTGTTTTCCGGGGGCACCCTTGAGCGGGAGTAGAGTTGTTGGGGGTTGCGGTGGGGTGCGGTTGTTGGGGGGAGGGTGGAAAGGGGGTGCGGGACATGGCGGTGCGGGAAAGGGGGAGTGGAAAAGGAGAGAGCTGAGAATGGCGGTATTGCATTTTGGTGAGGTAGTATTTAGTGACGGAGTGGTCTTAGACAGCGGGACGGACTTCACTTTGTCCTGGCGTTCACGTCGCCCTAGCCAATGACAAATCTCGTATCCCATCATTCCCGTTATTAATTCACGCTCTAGGGAGTAGTTATGAGCTGAGGAAGGTAGGTTTCACGTGGATCAAATAACTACCCGTGGACCGAGCACAGCAATGTCAAGAGACTCCTCGACTCTCGGAGCTAGAGCTATTTCACAGGAAAAGATCTGCCTGCGGCTCTGGTCGCAAACAAACAAGAGCCATACTGCCTGCCAGGGATGGCCGTTACCGGTCACGTAGAGAAGTCCAGAACGATTCGCAAAAGGATACTGGAAGCACGAGCCGGGAAGGAAGATCTAATCATAAGACCCAGGCGGCTAGAGAAGAAACTACCGCCAAGCACTGAAGACGCCAGACAGATAGATACTGAATAAACATCGCAGACCAAGCGAGTTAGCCACGACAGGCCATCCAACACCTGTATACAACGATTGGAGGGCAGAACGATCGCAATAAACCAGAGAATATCGGCCATATTCAGATGATCATGGCTCAGGAGGGAGCGGAGTGAAGGTTTAGAGGCGGAAATTTTATTTTTATTCGGTCTCGAAGGCTATAAGGCCTTTGTTGACCGCAACTTGTACGGGCGCCTCATGAGAGTGGACATAGTCTTGTGTCACGCCGAAAAAGTGTGGGCCTAGGCCGACCCGGCAGCGCCTCGTTCTGGCCCCAGGCCTTCGGTGGTGGTGGACAGCAAATATTACTCTCGACCCTCCTAGGTAGAACAACAGATGGGTTTCCGACCTCAGTCGTCATGGCGTGCTGTTTGGAAACCCACAGGGCAGGGCGGGCCTTGCCCCTGAGGCCCTTCCGCACGAGGCTCCTCGGCCGTGGTCAGCCCCGCCGTCGACGTCGGGCCGCGTGGCTGGGTTGTTGGCGAACCGAGCCCGACCTAGTGCTGATCCTGGCCGTGCTGCCCAGCTCCTCCTCGTAGCCGTGTAGGCGGCGTGCTCGGAGGGCGTGTTGTATTGTCGATGGCGAACGAGACCAGACCGGGATGCGGCCCCGTAGTAAGGTAGTTATCGCGTCATGACCTGCTACGCGTACCTATCAGAGACAAAACGGCCGGGGAGCGCGGTGAGGTCGTCGAAGACGCCCAGCGGTTGGTCGACGTGCAGGCAACGTCGCGACGGGAGTGACCCTCCGTATTCCGAGCACGTGTTCATCACGCCCGTCGTAGTGGTCCAGAGCTAGGGTGTCCACCGGTGTGGCCGCTGACTACGCTGAAGGGTAACTTAGCACTCTGGGCCAGGATATCAAGAAAGAAGGGTACGGGGTTCCGCCAGCCGAGCTACGTCCCGAGGTATACTGGCTTCGCATCACAAGTCCAGGGAGTGGGGGGCACTCCGCGCCGCCGGCTGCTAAGCCTTGCTCGTGGCACGGGCGTCGTTCGACTGTACCGGATCTACCAAGGCAGACGTACGGAGATACATGCGTGCACAGGGAGCCAGGACGTCACTTGAGGGGTATGGGGTACAAGTCGGTCTAACATCTTGGTTACGTTGCTGATTTGGACATTATTTGGCTGGCTAAGTGATCATCCAGATGCGCTGGCCAGCCTAGCGTAGCCAGCGCTCACACCAGATCTGAAAGTGTCAAACCGAGCCCCGAGACGTGACTTTAGGTTTGCTTATAAGTTAACGGCGGGGGCCCCCAAGCGGGACAGCCCCCCAAGTGGGACACTTTTCACACCCAACATCACAATGTTCACTTATACACATCTTTATCGGCAATGAAGCCCTAGATACCGTAAGTACGGCATTAGAATTTTTTTTTCTTGGTGTTTTTTCCAAGGTAGATTTTATTAGGTCTGCCGCTGCGGGATGGCCCGTGGAGGGGGGCGGAAGTTAGCACTTCCGGGCCTAATCTGAGGGGTAATAGGACCCGTGCCCCCTATTACGTCCCATCCAATAGAAGTCTTGCTGTTCTTTTTTTTCTTTTTTTCTGTAAGCAATATCAGTTTCAGTATGACGAAATGCCTCCTTTATACACTAAAGAAGACCTCGTAGAGGCAATAGCCGTTGTAAACGATGGCCTATCTCTCCGCAAGGCCTATCATCGCTGGGAAGTACCCAAATCGACTCTCTCTCGCAAGGTAGATGGCACCACGATGCGCCCAACTGCCAAGATACAAGAAGGGCATTCTTATACTCAGAAGTTAAGCCCTCCTCGAGAAAAGAAGGTGATTTCATGGATTATGTATCAAGAAAAGGCCAGCCATGCGCCAACTCATGGCAACGTCAAGTTCATCATCCGCCAGATCCTAAAATCTGAGGGAAAATCAGATCACTTTGGGAGCCATTACATACGAAACTTCATCCGCCGGCACCAGGAGATCAAGACCAAGATGGGCCGAAAGCTTGATTACAAGCATATCAACGCTGCCACGCCTGAGAACGTGAATGCGTTCTACGATCTCTATAAAATGTTCGTCTTCATCAAACCCGAGAACCGGGCAAATATCAATAAGTATGGCATTATGCAGGGCCGGCAGTACGTGAATTGTCCATTCTAAGTGGTTTTCAGACAGCTAACCGGGAAATCATAGGTCTGATGGCCTTGTAATAGGCAGTTCTGGCTCAAAAGGGGCCAACATCAAGTCTAATGACAACCGCACATGGACTACAGTGGTGGAATCGATCACTACCACTGGAAAGAAGCTCCGGCCGCTCGTTATCTTCAAGGCGAAGTCGATACAGATACAGTGGTTTAAAGAACAGCTTATTAAGGAGCATCCTGCGATAGCAGAGTGGTTTATAACGTACTCTGTTAATGGCTGGTCCTTGATCAAGATTGCGCTGCAATGGCTTAAGAAGATATTTCTTTTCTTATTGAATGGTGTTAGCTATATGCTAATTAAGCCCTAGATCTATTTACCTTATACAACTCCTGAGGATCCCGACAATTTTCGCCTCTTAATACTAGATGGCCATGGCAGCCACTGCTCGGACGAGTTTATGTATCTTTGCTACATAAACAATATATATATGTACTTTTTTTCTGTTCATACGGTAGGTTATTTGATTAATTAGTAGTTATTCCGCTAATATAGGTAGTTTCACATCTTCCAGCCGCTAGATTTGACCGTTTTCTCTGTGGTGAAGGCCGCCTATCGCCGTCTCATCAACCAGCTCGGTCAGCTCAATGATTCGGCCTCTATTGGCAAGATTAAGTTCCTCAGTTGCCTAGCAAAAGCTCGCAATAAAGTCACGCCAGTTATCGTACGTTCGGGATGGCATGCTGCTGGCCTTTGGCCTGTGAATCAGCGGAAAACGCTGGCAAATGAGCATATAATGAAGACAGGGAAGATACAAGCAGCAGTAGCAGCAATAATGGACCCAGAAACCACTCCTAAAGCATTAGAAGCCCCTAAATCAACACAGGACATAGCCTTCATGCTATTAACAGTTCTTGAGACCCCTGAACAGCGAGCAGGAGTCCGCTCGGTTGCAAAGGCGTACGATGAGATGGTGGTTGAGATAGCCCTTCTGAAGCAGCAGATGGAGGCAAAAGACGACAAAATTGAACGTCTACAGCCAAAGCAGCGCTGTAAGGCCCCTCAGGAAGAGCCTAATCAACAGCTTTAGAAGGTTAGGGATGTTATTGCTGAATAAATCGAGCATACAGAGGCCACACGAGCTGCTATTGAGCAATGGGCAGAGAGATGACGAGTTTTACGTGAATTGCAGAACTTATATACTGACGAATCAGAGAGATCACTCTCTGAAGACTCCCTCTCTCTTGAATCGTTAGATTCAGAAGAATTAGACAAAGGGGTGGTTGTTGACGATAGGACCGAGGAGGGGTCTGATGAGCCGGATGATGAAGCCGACGAGCCCATTGTGGTGCGATCTTCGCGCCGCGTAATCCAACAGCCCGCACGGTACCGGGCGAACAATTAATATTGCTGAAGACTTCAAGAAAGGGCGGTTCTAATGCATTTATTATATAATTTATAACTTCAATTTGGATGGAGTTGTCAGTGGGTGTAAATGTGGCCTTTTAGTGTGAAAAGTGTCCCACTTGGGGGCCCCCGCCGTTACTGGTGAACATATAAGCGCAGAGTGTGCCCGAGCTCCGTGATCCTCGCTCTAGTGCTCGTCGGCATGGTCACACGACGGCGTTCGGCCGTGATGTAGCCGTACGAAATGAGTTCCATGCGGTCAGGTGCGCCGACGGTCCTCGTATCTCTGTTGCCGCTCACTACCCGTAAGCCCCTCGCGCAAAAGGTCGGACCACGAGGGCAAGGGCTGTACGGTCTTGACAATCTGTCTTGCTTGGCATTCTGTCTTATGGGCATCGGACGAGCCCCCCAGCCTTGGCCTATTGCGGTGTCTCGCTATGAGGTCTTCGACCTCTTCAGTCGACGGCAAGGCTGTAACAGGAAAGTTGCAGCGTCTGATACACCCCTCGGTATTTCCAATCTCCGCGAGCGCTCGTGGGTACGTCTCCAGTGGGTGGGTGAAGTCGTTATCAAGTTCTTTCTGCCTTTGCTCGAAATAGTTCGCGTTGGCGAACGGTCGGGATGACACTAGATTGCGTGCATAGCTCTCTCTTATAGCGATCTGCCACGCGGCCTCGCGGCGGACGGTAGTGTCGAAGATAGTTGCACATAGTTCAGCTGCTGAAGCTGGGCCACCGTCGAAGAAGGCGGTAAATGAGCCAATAGGCATTCCGAGCGTGGGGCCAGTCAGTGCGAATGCTTCGACAATGAACCTGGCGACGGGTGTGACAACTTCCATGGAACCCAGACCGTTCCCACGTTTTTCGCTGGCATTCAGTCGGTGCATCTGGTTCCACCCGTTGCTACGAGCCCCGGATTGGAAAATATTTCTCCACAGGTCGAATCGGCGCTCGACACGGAGAAGACGATTGCCTTGACAGAAAGGAATCAAGCCCTGTGCATGACTCTCCGGAAAGGCGACCGATTCGCGATCTTCGAGGATAAGGACGTGACGCATGTCTTCCACGCGAACTGCGCGACGCCATCTACGGGCACTATCTCGATGTCCAGGGCATCGGTTACGTCTTCAACTTCCGGACTGGCAAGCTGAGGGTCGGCCTCGATGGCTGCTTGGGCCCTCACCACGAGGGCGTCGACTTGTCCCTCACACTGCCTATCGACCTGTCACTGGCCTACACCTGCCGCCGCACCGCCGCCGAGATGGCAGGGCTTGCCCTCAGACGCAACATCGTCGTCTTTTCCACTGTGTACGATGGCGAATCCGGGCGGGTTCGAGCCGCCCGCTATGGTCACCTCATGAGACGGCTGCTACACTCCCAGGCTATGATGTTGTACGCTGTTCGCCCATGTCTCACGAGAGGTGGGCCTGTGTACGCCGAGATCGCACGTCGTCACCCTGACTTTGTGCCGATTCTTGAGGGCTTGAACATGTGGGGTTCCGGGAAGGAGAGCCAGGGCACTCCTCGATTTTCGCTCCTCCGAAAAATTGTCTATACTTTTTCCAGCCAGACCAGTGGATAGCAAGTACATGGGGACTCGTTCCATCCCTGTATCGGAGAGCAGTCCGAGATACCCTGGAGATGGCCCTCTCAACTGCGCCTCGGCATGTAGTGGAGGAGGGCCTCAGATTCTTCGATCCCCCACCATCTGCGAATTTCCCATATGCCCTCATCGCGGCGGCCGAGTATGAACTTTGGACGCTTCCAACAGAGTCTGACATAGAGAAACTGACCGAAATATTACACGGCGAAGGCTGGGATCCAAAGATGATGTGCTGCTGCAAAAGAGCAGACAACCCCCGCAATTCCAACGTCCACATACGAATGCACGAACGCTGCCAATATCTTCCCCACTCCTGGTCGAGGTATGATTTTGGAAAACATCGCTTCTCGGGGGCCTCGGCCGCCGTCCATTTTCTTGGAACGATGCCAGAGTATTATCGACCTAGCTCTACGCAAGTGTGCCAATCACAACATGGATGCCGTCGGAGTGGATCGCGTGGCAGCGCTCCGTGTCCACTCCTTTTGGGCCATGGATGCTAGACAATGTAATTGTCAGATTTGAGCCAATTGTCAGAGTGAAGTGTGTGTGTGTATTCTCTCTGTCTAGAGTGTCCTTATGCGACCGTGGCCGTTTTGTCCCAGAGGGGGCTGGATCGGGACGGAACAACTAGGTTCCGTTATCTACCTGTCAAGGTGCCTTTTAGACGTACCTTTAATCCAACAGTAATCCGACTCCCTTCGCGCCACCTAGCTCGGCCTTATAGAGAGAGACTCGTAGCAGAGCCTTGCCAGCTGAGCACAATCTAAATCAAATAAGCCTCAAACATTAACTTAACTTGATTTTAAATTACTAAGCAATTTAAATTAAATCAAGTTTAAGGTTAAGATTATTCATAAATATAAGCTTAAAGCCTTAGCGCCGGCCTTTAAAATAATTAAAAGCTAGGATTTTTTCCCGACTTATATATCTTAATATATATCTCTTATAATATAATTACGTTAGTTAATCAAAAATTTCCCGATCTTATAATTTAATAATCCATACATTATTTATAACTTATATTTATACCTTATGATAAATCTAGGGGAAATAACAATATTATAATAAAGATATTTTAAAAAGATAAAGAAGGGCCAATAACAAAACACTTAATAAACGTAATAAGTATACCGTATAAATATATTTAAATATATTCAAACTAATCGTGGAATTATATATGCTATATATAAGAGGTAACTGTTTATAAAGACAAACGTAAAAACGAAAAATAAACGATGTTTTTTATATATTATAAACCTAGCTAGGCATTAACCCTAACTCAATAAAATAGCGTTTCTTAACCTTAATATTTTTAATATTATCATATTGCATACCTTTTTATTAGTTATAAGTATTCAATTGCTTTAAACGGTTTAATATTTATTTAAAAGCGTTACGACGAAAAAATTAACTTATAAGCTGAAAAAACGCGTTCATATTTTACTAATATTAAAAGTATACTTAGTAAATCTACCGTTATTTAATATGAATAAAAAGAAACAGCCTTATAATTATTATTATAATAAAAATATATTACTAAATATGTCACTTTTTACCGCGTTTAAATAACGAATAATGTCGTCATTATCGCTTTTGTCTACTTTTTGATATAAATATTTGAATTATTAAAAGTATTAAAATAAGTCGTTAGGTTTTTAGTTATTATTTAACGGTACAGCGTTACTTTTACCGATCGAAGTTTTATTAAATCGACCTTATTTACTTATTAGAATAGATTAAACTTTATTTACAATGTTTTTTTTCCAATAAGTTAATTTCATTAAATTTAATATATTTTTAACTTCAAATTAAAGATAAAAGTTAAATAATATACCGGCGATGTTTAAGTAAATTTCTTACTTTTACATAGTATTAAGTGTAATTACCGGGGTAATTTTTAAAAACTTTAAGCTATATTATAAGCATTATACTGTTTTTTACTACTATTATTTTTATTATCGTTATTGTTTAAAATAATAAAAAGAGTTTATAAAAGTAACAAGATATTTACTTTAGCGTTATTAAACTTTATGAGCTATTAAATAATATATAAATTTTATATAAGTAGCTTATTTTTTCGTTATTATTATCGTTGTTGTGATGGTTGCTACGTCGCTACCATCGGTGATGGTCCTGGGATCACGTGACAGCACGTGACCTCCTGGACGACTGGTGTGACGGCCTGTACAGACCTTCCCACATGACAAGCCGATACTTCCCAATAAGGGAAGGATCTGACCAGAGGATCCCCTTAAAGGGGCAACCTCCCGCTGTACCTATCTCTCTCTCTCTTCCTTTCCTCTCTAGTCTTGATATTCTCGTCAATAGAGTAATAGCTGCTTGCTGCAGGCCATGTCCCAGCTCCCCAGTATGCTCGCCGTGACAACTGGTTGTTCTAGACCCCCTAGGGCTCTGAATTGAATTGTGGGGCGGACACACTTATCTAGTTGCCCACCAGATTTGGCTGTGCCGCTCAATCTTCTTTTTCCTCTTCAGCCAGAGATAGTTACACGTACATAGTGAACAAGAGATTCTATGTCCTATTTATATACACAGAACGTCACAATAAATTTAATATTTATTAAAAAAAAATTTAAAGTAAACGCGTTGTTTTATTAAATAGATAAAAATATAATTATAAGTCGGGATTTAAGATATATTACCTTATTAAAATTAGCTAGTATTAGAAATCCCTTTTCTTTTCTTTATCAAAGTATTTTGTATAACTAAAGATATTAATAAGCACTTTTGTCTTAGTTTTTAAGCTGCCTTGTAACAATAATCGAGAATCTGACTATATATTATATAAATGTTATGATTTAATTACGTCTTGACCATTAAAAGTAATACCTATATAATATATTAAAAGTTATAAAACTTGCGGTTTAAATAGTGTTCTCTTAGCTATTTTTAAACGCTCTTTTTATATAATTCTTTTCTAATATTAAGTTGCAATTATATTCGATCGTTTTAACTTATTAAAACATATACGAATATATTAATAACAGTGTACAAAGTCGTTATTTAAATAACTCATAATATTAAGTTATTCAAGTCAAGTTAACACCTTATATCTAAATTATAAGCTTTTGTTAAAGCCGGATTCGGCTTAATTTATCTATTTTAGCTTGAATTTAGCCTTTTAAAGCTTAGACTGTGCGAAACGCAGGCTGGTAGCTCCTCTTAATGACCACCCGGTGCCACTATCCAGGTGTGATGGTGCCAACGGTTTATTCCCTATAGCCATGGCCGGGTGTCTAGGCCTGCCGAGTACATAGACCATTGCATTGGGACGATGCGTAGTGATGGAGTGTAGAAGCTCATCTGGCATTTGTCAGAGCACGATCGTCTTATTACCGTAAGCTCCTCCTCAATAATGTGTCCTGATGCCGACCCGCCAGTAACATAAACATAGGACCTCCAATGTGCCATTGATCTGGTGGTTTTGCAAAACTAGGTGCATCTAAACTGCATCGCCGCGAGGCTTCGCCACTCGCCCCACACGCCCGAAGCTCTTCGTGAATCATCACTTGCTCGGGTTGATAGGGTGTTTCCAGGCCTGGTATGCTATCCAAGCTTGATATGCGCTCACAGCAAGTGACAATGCCCCCAGAAAGACAGCGAAAACGACGCCGACCAATGTTGCCGTCATCATGTGGCGATCTGAGCTCCGCTCCTTAATCTTCTGCTCTAACCAGCCCCGCGGCATCGGGTCTTCCATCTCGTTGCGCAGTTCTGAAAGACGTTCGGCGAGGTAGTAGAATGGGATCTGCTGTTCGTCTGGTCTGCGGAATTCGACGTGGTCGTAGTTTTTTACGTCGGCATCCCATTGCTCGTTGCCTTCTATGAGTGGACCTAGGAGCCGCCATGGTTTTGTTCGAGTCAAAGGGAATAGCATACCCTGTACGGAATCGAGCGTCTCCAACATGAGTTGCCTCGGGAGAGCACCTTTGGAACTCCAGGTTAGCTGTTCTGGAGTATTCGCAAGTTACCAGATCAACTCACAACTTCAGGGATGCCGGCATATCCATGTCTCGAGGCGCTGATTTGGTCAGTCTCAATTGCTCCTTGAGGAACGAGGTATAATAATAGATTTGCAGTATATTAGATTGTCGGTCGAATTTGAGATGGTCTCTCAGGTTGCTGGTGGCTCTAAATGAGAGCCCCAGTCGATCTTTCAACCTGTCGGCTCTGAGCTCATTTCGGAAGCGGGAGTATGCTGCATCGCTGGGGAAGCTAAGTACCGAGTGGTTTCGGCGTGGGAAGGCCTGCTCAAGAAATTGCGCAAAAGGGGTATTGTCATTCCAGCGGAAACCAACGTCACTCCTGCCAAGTCTCCCAGATGACTGATAAATGGAAGAGCAATCTACCATGGTCATGATGTTAATCGACCTATCGATCAAAGAAGCAATGGCCATATAGGGCATGCTATTATCGGTGGACTGGATCTGCTGGCTGAGCCCGTGTCGTGTGATGTCTGGATTCGATCTCAAAATAGGTGATAACTTGAAGATGCTGATCATCGTCTGTTGACAGACGTGTCGCACGATGAATGGCATTGTCGGGCCAGACGACCGCTTCGTAGAAACGGAAATACCGCTGCAATCTCGTAGATCGTTTGCCTGCACAGCCATCTGTCCTGCAGTCATGGCCGGCTTGGCAGTCCGCGCATACGGCCCATGACCAGAGTGTCACGGCTAACTTGATGAGCTGCATTTTCTCGCTCGCCATCGTTTCGTTTTCTCGCCTCGTCCTGCCGACAGGTTAGTTTGAGCAAAGACTCGACGGATTCTGGTATAGCGCCTCGTGAGGGGTTTGACTGAAAGGCAACACTTCGGAGCCCATTGCGTCGGCCTTGGTTCGCCAGTGTCTACAAGCAGCAGGTGGGAAACTTTACGCTGCAGGGCAATCGAAATTCTCGTTTTGATGTACCGTCCCCCACTGTACTGGCCGTAGCCTCATGGTTCAGCCATGAGATTTGGCCATTTCACATCATTTGACTAGACTGTGAACATGTCGACTTCCGGAATGCTTGCAACTCCACTCCCCATATTGGCTTGATGCTCCATCGATATAAGCTGCAATCAGCTTCGGGCTTGTATTGATTCACTTCACAAATGGCCTGATCAAACTGGTGAGCAACCCAACGAGAAACCGGAAGGGACTGTGCAACATTATCCTCACAAGATGGCAGGCCAACGCAGAGATGCATGAGAGAGATACGAAACACCAAAACTTCGTACTCATGGCTTCTATGGACAAACACGGACATCCGAACATTGTAATCAACAAACGGACTAGGTGGTACAAGAAGATCCACAAGCATGTCACATCAGTCCTCAACAGGAGACCAACGAGCGGACACCCAAGCACAGTGAGCCCTTGCTCTCCACTATCGGGAAGCTTCAACACAATTTCAAATCTGCCCGGAACTACACTCCCGACTAGGAAACTATCAGTTCGCCCAGCTGTCTCCTCATCTGCCGGTCTCTCACGTCAGAATTCCAGGGCCCCTCGGACTAGCTTGGAAAGGGATACCGCAACACAACCGTCTTTCGACACTGTCGCAACATCTTACTCTCCCTCTGGAGCAGCTAGAGGGCTTGGACGGGGTAGTAATGGAGCGAGTGGATGTGCGCCTTTGCGTCAAACCGGAGATGATAAGAGCAACAAGCCTATCATCTTTCATGATGTACCCGTGTCGGACACTATACAGGACAAGTTCACCGATATCCATCACCACCTGTGACCAAGCCTTGTGGACCACATCAAGTTGCAAACAGACCCCCTCAACATTATATGGGAAGTCAGAAACGTCGGCTATTCAAGGTCAACAGCTAAGCCTACCATGGTCTTCCACAGCAATAAGCAGGTAGCGAAGGCCATAAGGAGGTTCTTCAAGCAAGGCCAGGTCCGGGATTTCATCAAGCCATTGACGATACAATTTGTGGTGATTCCACCGAAACAACTAGCAAACGACGATACGATCTCGCTTTGGACACACGTACTTGACAGACTGTCACACAAGACTACGTGCGGACTCCCTCTCATAGCAGCGCTGGGCAGCCAATGCAGCTGGGGAACTCTTGGAGGTGTAGTCCTTGTAGACGAACGATTATTCAGCATGACTTCTCGACATCTACTCTCTCAGCTCATATCCTCAACTTCACAGGACCTTGTCAATGACGACGTGAGGTCCGAGACAAGTCTGACAGATGATGGAACGTTTTCTTACGTCAACGAAGTGCACCTGACCGAGACTGAGGTGGAAGAGGATTGTGGGCCTTATTCAACAACACTTGACGAAGGCGACCTTCGTCACCAAATTGCATCCGTCAATCCATGGACACTCGAGTCGTTCGCAGGGTCCAACGACCTTGACTGGACACTCATGAGTCTCGAGACTGACTTCTGGCTGCCAAACCTTGTGGACAAGTCTGAGATACAAGTGGGAAAATCGGTCTTGCATGATCCGAAGGCTATTGTTGACTTGGTCATGGTTCACCCCGACGTACGGCCGAGATGCCAAGACGTTCTCGTGCTGTCAGGTCACGGACTGAAACCAGGCATCCTAAACACTCAGCGGGCATTTCTCTTGCCGAGTGGTGGCTCTGAGTTCGTCGAGACGTTCACTCTTACGCCTAACAAGGAATGAAGTAGGTCTACTCGAAAGCCGCGCTCTGACTAACCATAAATGGATAGAGCTGCAAAAGGGAGATTCGGGCTCGTGGGTGGTCAACGTGTTCAGCGGAGAGGTTTATGGCTCCCTTGCCGCGGCAAACATCTTTGGAGAAGGTCATGTTGTTCCCATGCACGCCAGTCTCAAGAAAATAAAAGAGCGCTTTGGTGCTGAGCTCGTCAGACTTCCCACGCGAGGAGAAGTTCAAGGTGCCCTCGAAAAAGCAGCTCTACCGAGACTCCAATCGCCACCAGAATCAAGAAGGGCAGGACAGCGAAGCATAGCGGATGATAACTCGTCAGGTAATACTTCGTACCCACTACACTCAAATTCTGAGTATCACGGGATGGTTTCGACCAGGTTTACAGCGCCCACGTCGAACCTCAGTCCTACCTACGAACAAGACGAGTATTTACCACGCAGTGCGCTCCCTAAAGGCACCGGTGCTCCTACAGTCATCAACTATTACACGCCGGATCTGACGACAATGCTCCTCACCCAGGTTACAGCAACGTGCGTCCAGCACGGCAGAAACTGAGGTTTACAAGTCGTTACCAGAGGAAGTATGCCCACCAGACAGAGACTACTGATGACCGAGGAGTTGGCACTACCCTGAGGCCTAATATTCATTCACGCCCTAGGAAGTACGAGCTGAGGAAGGTTCACGTGGACCAAATACCCGTTGACCGAGACAGTAATGTCAAAAGGCTCTTTGACTCTCAGCACTACTCACAAGAAAAATCTGCAGCTTTAGTCGAAACTAACAAGAGCCATACTGCCAGGCCGTCTAGAATGATTCTTATAAGATATTAAAGCACGAGACGAAAAGATTTGATTATGAAAAGACCGAAGCCGAGAATCGTCTTCTCTTTATACATGCATTCGCCCCGTTCCACTACTAGGGTTGACCAAGTCTAGGATCTCGAAGCATTCGGCTACTCCTCACTCTTTCATGAACATAATTGGCGGCAAATTCCTCTGCTTTCATCGTCATGCAGCTGCATTATCTTTCGGCGACTCCGCGTTTCTAAACAAGTGTGAGCAGTATCCATCTGTATATGCAAGCGGTATGTGGGGATCAGCCACGCTGTCGGGTCGTACAGGGACCCACAGGGCATCTAAGTGTATTCTACCACCAACAAACAGTCGATAGACCTTTTCCTGAAAACAACAACGCTGTCACGCTCATACTGCACTTATCGTTCCACGAATAATGCTCTCAACAAGTTTGTTAATGCCTCGCGTGTTCCTCCGCGGGTGTTCTTCCGCGTTATAAACAGAAAACAGCCCGCGGCCCTCCTTCAAAACAAGGCGGCTTATAGTCTGAGAAGAGCTGGGTCCCAGACCGCAATGCTTAAGAACGGCAAGAGATTATGGATCCGAGAAGACACACATGCAGTTAAACGCGGAATAATACACGCGGAATAACAGGAAGAAGGAGTGTCGTCAGGCTGGTTTTACTCGTCTCCTCCGGGAAAAGATCGCACTTAAGACTCTTCCGATGTGCTTCCTTCCCGGGTTGTTCTTCAAAAGGCATTCGTTTTGTTGAAGTCTTCCGGGGTATAATGCTATTTCGAGCCGGGCCAGTCTCTCTCGTGGGCTTCTTCAAGGCTCCTTTTATTCGCTTTCCTTGAGACGTGAGAGATTGTTGTAGCGTTTCCATTTTTCCATTTTGGAGAGGCAGCCCAAATAGAAAGAACGACGCAATATAACCCTATTTTCCTCCACTCATACCTCCTTCCATTTCCAAAGAGGGCATTGGATTCAAGCGGTCATCAGTGCCTCCATGTCCTTCGTCAAATGCTTTCCCCACCAACTCCGGAACGCTTTCCACGCCAACACCTAGTTCAGCTGCCCTTTTTCTTGCCAACTGCCAGTCGTATCTCTGTCCTCTACCATCGCTGTTGAAACGCTGGGAAGGTTTCGCCCATGGCAGACTCAAGTACGCATGTCGACTCGACCAGATCTGGCTGGCCGTCCAGTCAATCCGGTCGTGTTGAAAAATGACTTGCACAACGTGCACGCGAGACAGCCTCAGGTTCGTTCTAAGCATTGATACTTCACTTAGCAGTAGCTGATTAGCGTCTAGGAATTTCCTCTTCCCTGCCGGCCGAAGCATGGTCACTCACCTGTCTCTACTGACATTGTTGAGGTTCTGTCCTGAGTCTCCACAGTGCTTCATCGATGCAAGCGCTATATCCGTGACTAGGAACCCGATGCCCAATCCCGAGGGAAGTCTGTTTAGCCACCTCCACAGCATAACACGCCTCAAGGCAGCAGGCCGCAATGGTTCAAACCTGTTTCCACTGTCTCTTCAAATTACACGCATACATGAACGAGCACCCGAACGAGATTGATATCATCATGATGCAAGACATTCCCTCCGAATTTCCAATCCTTGCGAACCACCCCCACTACTACCTCTGGTGCGAATCCGAGCGAGTACGCGTGAGCGAGGACGATTCGAAGCACCCCCACTATCCTCCAAAGTTAGGCAACAGCTCATACAAGCCCCCCAAAGTCAACGATGTCGGGTTCGACATAGCCCACTCCGTGAAGGGAAATATCGAAGAAGCCCCGTGGACGCCGACTGGAGTCAACAAAAAGAAAGTGGCGATTCTGTCCATCCGTATGTCTCCACGCACCATTGCCTTTGTTAACACATACAATCGGTATACTGATGTTCCAAGCATGCTTGGATTTTGAGGGCCTGTATGACATTTTTGCGATGTACCCTCATATCATATTCGGAGGTGACCTCAACGCCCACCACCCACTGTGGGGCGGACCTGAGAGTGGTACCACAGTATGTGGCGAGGCCCTGTACAACTTGGTGGAGGCTTTCGGCATGAAATGCCTCAATGAGGTTGGTAGGCACACGTGGCATCGAGATGCTGCTCGTCTTGGCGCCTGTTCCGTCCTCGATGTCACCTATGGTTGCAACTGCGGAGCTCTACGACGAAGCCTTCAACCCCGGGGCATGGAGGATTGTCGACGCCTGGGCTTCGAGTCTGACCATGCCGTTAAGTTACAATGGCTGCGTTTAATAACGAGCCTGTGGATTCCAGCCACTTGATCCAGCCACCAGTACCTTATCGGATCTCCTGTCATCCAGGGCGTTCTACGATAAGGTTACCTGGGATGGCTGCCCCAGGTGACAGGTACCAACCCACTGTAATTTAGGTATTTAGATACTTCTCGGATGGGATCCCTTCCCATCCGAACTTAACAAAGCACCAACCAGAATACAGATCATCCCAACCAAGACTTGTGATAGATCTCCGTTCTGGTTCCGCTACCACAAAGGCACAAGCCTATGCGGCGCTTGCACGCGTCTTACAGGCAGTACAGCAAGTTGTTAAACAGCGTGCATTATGGTTGATCTGGTTGATAACGTGTATTCTGGTGATTCTTATTAAAGTGTTGTCTCTCTGTGAAAATCCTTCTGTGGGCTAGGTGGCCTAAAAATGCCCTATTGGCCTTGTTGGTGCACTGCCACCTCCCTGAACGCCACGGTGGCTTGTGCGCCATTCAACACAAGTTGGACCGAGAGAAGTTCGAGAGGACCGTTCTCGAAGATATCAAACAACGCGTGGGTGAGCAGCCATCTGCCATGGACTCGTCGTTTACCCCTGCTGTCGACGCCTAGTTACTGGAAGGAGATCCACGGTGTTTTCACATCTGCGATGACCCGTTCGGGTTTAAACTCCACACCCACATCACCTCAACGTTCTGCACAGCACAGGACGCATCCAGAAACGGCAGCATCCGAAGATGCCGCCATGGAGAACCTGCGAGGAAGCCGCAAAAGCCATTACACGAAAAGTGATAGACACTGGTTCCAGGAGGAGTTGCCGACGAAAACCGAAGCGCAGCCAACCAATCTCGGAGGAACCGAAAGGGCTGGCAGTATCGTCAACGCATTGCCAGGCAAACAGACACCATTCAGTGTCTGTACAAGGGCCAAGGCGGTCCGGGTACCCAAGAAAAGGGAGTCTCCATCATTGTTCCCCTCCACTGGTGGCATTAAAGATGCAAACGGCGTCCTACAAACATGGCCACAACAGAAGGTCGAAGCTCTATTGGACTATTTCTATCCACCGGAGGTCATGCCGGATGGGCAAAGTCGCAGACATTGGGGACCGGAATCAGAGCCAAAGGCCCAAAGCCAAAGCCCATACAGATGACCAGTGCCACGTCTTCCTCGAAGCTTGCCGCGGGTCTTTCTCTCCAGGGGCTGGAGGAGGGTTGAACTCAGTACGATTCTCGATGAATTGCTCTCGACAACTCCTGGCGATGACGATATTACCAACGACGCTCTCCAGCTGGCTGCGGAAGTCATTATGCCTTACTTGGAACACTTCTACGATGCATGTCTGTCGCTGAACTACCACCCTGCTGGATTCAAGCTGGAACATGTCATTATGTGTCCGAAGAAGGGCAAAGACATGACGGAGCCTAGCAGCTGGAGTCCTATCGCTCTGCTATCTTGCCCAGGCAAAGTACTCGAGAAGGTACTCGCTAACCGCTTGAAGCAGTTGGTGGGCGATTCCAACTTGTTGCCCTGGTGTCAGTCAGTTTGGTAGCGCCAATCGATGCATGCACAACTTCGGCCTCTGAGTACCTACCTACCTCTACAGTTTGCATCTTCAGAAACTTCCAGCTCCATCGAAAGGTCACCCTACTTAGCCTGGACACGACAGGTGCGCCTACAATCGGGTCCTTGCACCAGCGTCTGCTTGCAAGTACATCGTCGACGAAGGAATGAATTCCCAGCTGGATCCGTGCAATCCGTCATATCGTTTCTTTCGGATCGACTTGTTCAGAACGAGCTACTACAAAGCGGCTGGCCACGTGAGTGATCGTTATTGGGTATCCAGAGGCCTTCCACAGGGCAGCCAGCTCTTTGCCTCCAATACTTTTCCTATTATTCGCATCTACCATGTTTGACACTCACTGTCTGGTCGCTGCTGCATTTGCCCCCCGGGGTAGAGGATGGTTATCCTTGCCTACGTTGACGACGGGTGCATGGTAGTTGGTAGCTTCAGACAATTTTGGAGAGAAATGTAAGGCACTTGAAAAGATGTAACCACCGAAAGTTGTTTGGTTGGGCAGGTCCCAGTGGTGCTGAGTTTTCTCCTCATAAATACAAGGTTATGCACATGGTCAAACCTGGCAGCTGACACCATCCCGACCCCTAGACTGCGTGCTTCCCGACATTCCAGGCCTCAGGGATCAGCCTAATGCAAAGGCGGTCGAAAGCATGGCCATCCTTGGCGTGGTCGTTCATTGCCGGCTCAATTGGGACCTACATATGTCCAAGGTCAGTCCAGTTCTTTTACCTCCTTCCTTATGCTGCTCGTCCAACTGTCGTCCCGAGAAGCCCACTAATGCACTTGGCCTAGATCAAGGCAAGTGTTAGTACGGAAACATACTCCCTCCTCAAGCTCCTACGCACACAGTCTGGGCCTAGACAATGGCGCAGATTATTTCTGAGCAACGTCCAGTCCAAGATGACCTATGCATGTGCGGCATGGTCCATCCGCAACCCCGGTATCATCTTCCCCTCTACAAGTCCAATCCCAGACAGTTTGGACATCCCCAGTGGGTAGTTGTGGGATCAGCGATACATACATAGATGAAGCGGCTTGAGTTACGGTAATTTAGTTTGAGTCTATCCGCAAGATGTCTGGCCACATGCCGGGAATATCCCGCGGGGTTCTATACCTACCTAAATAATGACCTGGAATCTGCCGAGGCGGCATTGCAGCGAGTGGCCATGGCCCATCGGATTCGAAACTTGCGCAGTCCTGAGGTGATGATACGACAAGCTAGTTGTGGCACTGAAGCGCACGGCTTTTGATGCATTAAAAGTAGGCAATCTCCTCGACGCAGTGAGGAAGAATCCTTTCGAGGTTCTTCGTGCGCCTACCTTACCAAGCAATTACGCTGCCAGATCAAAAATCACTTTATTAGCGTCCCATGGCGCAGCGATTGCTTGGGCGACTGGGAAAAGAAGTCGATCCGCAATGAGGCAATCAAGAGATATTTGAAAAACGCATCTTGGGCCCACATGCTCAAGACCTGGAATGCGTACGTCGAGAAATGGCGCAAGCCCGGCCGCAATCGAGGCTTGGGTTTCACCAAGGGCTTTCCCAATTACCCCGAGCCTTTCACTATGAAAGTGCCCTTCTTCCTGGGATGCAGTCCAGCGCCATGCACAGCAAGAATAGAACAGCAACTCCCTCGCTGGCAAGCGGTACTCCTAGGGCGCCTCCGGACTGGCTGCATTCCCCTGAACGCACATCTTTACAAGATCAACGTGAGTTTCATTTCCTTTTTTCCCGCGATCGTATCCCTTCTGCTTCGATTCCACGCTGATGATTGTATCGCAGTTGGCAGAGTCACCCGAGTGCGAATGCCTAGAGGGGCCGCAGACCGTCGAGCATATCCTCATCCATTGCCCGCACCTGGGGGACCAGAGGTGCGCACTGAGGTCAGAACTTGGCCACCTGGACTTGAAGCTGATGCTCTCCGCCGCCGACGATGCTCGTGTCACTGTCACATGGTTCGCCATGAACGCCCCCGCGATGCGGCACCAATACACAGCCGTGCTTGGCGACAAATCTCTGGTGCGCGAACGAAAGAGCGAGAGGCCGGGGGAGGTGATACGCCCAATCTACATGAGGAAGGCTTTCTTGCAGTAAGGCAGTTTTCCTGTTGATTAGGTAGGTAGGTAGGTAGAAAATAAAACATCTTCAAGCATCATCAACAGGGCATTCGGCGCAAGTCATTGCCTCCGGCTTCGCAGCTCGTCCCGCCGGGGACATTAAATATACGTTGATACCATTGATTTCTTATTGATTTCTGATTGATGTATGTTGCATTCGCATTGGCTCGTTCCGGTCCTCCCCCTGCTGGCCGGCCGACTGACTGACTGACTGACTGACTGACCTACCGTGTAGATAACCTCATGGCATACGGACTACCGTTCAGTCTGTAAGTCGCACCACCCACTCCTTTCCACTCCACCGCGGCCCCCGGGCTGCAGTCAGTCTCGGCTCAGCGATCTCGGTGTCTCCCAGCCAAACACTACCTAAGTCAACCCAAACCCGTCCATACTAACGACGTTTTCGAGCAGGATCTGTGCCTTCCGCCACGGCCTTCAGTGAGTCAGTCAGTCTCTTTGCATCCATCTCTGCCCTCCTCCCGAAGCAAAGAAAAGCGCGCGCCTCGCTGCCCTGGGCCTTGCAGCGCTGATGTGCCGCTCGCGAGCAGTGGGTGAGAAAGAAGCCTCCCGCCGTCCGTAAGTAACGTACCCCTACCCACCCACCCACTCCCACCGTGGGCAGCCCTTGCTTGCCGCCGCGTCGCTCCTGTTACGGACGCTTCTGTCTGCTCTGCCAGGGCGCGCGTCGCTGTCTCTACTACGCGGCATCGTGAGGTGCGCCGGCTTTTGCTCCACAGCTACTGACGTCGTCTGTCGTCCGATATGAATCCGGGCTGTCGCGCGATCGCCGTCGCGTCCGTGATTCCCCTTCCTGGTCTCCCCCCGGCGTGGGCGTTTTGCGCTCGGCTGACAGTTTTTTCTCTGATTAGGTCGCGCCCTCTGAGCCTCCGAGCCTCCACCACCGATCAGGTCCCTGGATCTCTGTCCCGTATGTATCGGCCACGGCCCCTCGGGATCTGATGTTCTATGCTTACCGTCACTCGTCTTCAGCCACGGCCGACTCGACAATCCGACGCACTGTCTCGATGCGCATCTTGTTCGCGATGATCAGGAGCTTCGCGGCGTTGTTGAACGTTGCCTCCTTCCGCCAGCGCTTGATATCGTTGAGGCAGCTGACGATATTCCCTTGGATGGCATCACATGCTCGAAGGCTCTTCAAATCGAGCTCGAACAGCTGTAAGTGCAAATGTCAAGTATGTAATAACTATCTATATTTACTAAACTTTATAGTCAATTTGGTGTCGTCGTCTGGATTTATCAGGTCGTCGGGGCTTGCGTATTCGTCGAGTGGTTCTGGATTTCGGTCGAGATATTGCTCGAGGTTGTCGTAATGTCGAAGAACCGTCAAACCCCGTGCGAGGATCCGTCCTTATATAGGGCTCTCATGACTCATGTAAGCTACCTTTCCTGTCATCTCTGGGAGCTGAAATGCTGACGCGGTTGGCCATGTGCAGCTGATGAAGGTGTGTGAGTAGGTCGCGCTGCGAGTGCGTGGTTGTGCCAGACTAACACGGTGCCGGAGCAGACGAAGGTTTCGCTAGTGGCGTTGAGGTTGAGTGAGTCGCCCCCCCCCCATTCTCGTTTGTTTGCCGTGCTCGCACTCTAGCAGTGTACTGGCAACCGACCCCATGCTGACACGTATATGAGCCACCACAAAAAAAACCATTGTTTATTTGCTCAAGGTTGTGGCAGAGCCTGAATTGATTCCACAACATCGATATCATCTCAATCTGCTGGGTTGGGAACACGAAGTCTAAGATAAAGCGATTTGCCATCGTACCTCTCTCCGTTTGTCAACCCGCCCGCCGTGAATAACGTGAATGATGAGCCTCCCTAGATCCTGCCCTGTGAAATGTACGGTAGAAATGAGTGGACGCTTGTTGTGAATGTGGGTGAGTCGACTTTGACGTGACGCTCGTGAGTCATCAAGGCACTACCGTATCCCCTCGGCCAGTAACTTTGAAAAAACAAACCTCCCTCCCTAAACGTCAGTCTTCTAACCGCGTTTAGGAGTGATCCTTATGATCATCCAATCATAGCTCGCATCTACAGCGCGCAGCCCCGCTCAGCCTCAACACCATCACATATACAGGATTGCTTCCGAATGCGGTTAGAGGCTCAATTTTTCAGGTAGGGAGGCCTATTTTTGATAAAAAAAACTTATTACTGTTCCCAAGCCCCAAACTTTAATAATAGGACCACATCTCCGATGGTCACCGGCTGGCACATATATATCCGGCCCCCCTACACCCGTCTCTCTGTCTTTCGCTCCCTCACCCATCAACCATATCTCGCACAGCCCAAACTCTTCGGATCCAACGGCTTCCACCATGAGTTGCGAAATCCAAGGCCAGATCCGACGGCAGGGGTTTGCGCCCGCGCCCGATGCCGCAAGCCCTTCGTCGCCCCTGCGTCACACTTTCTCAGTCTTTGAGTTTGGGTCGTTTGGGTACCAGTATGGGGTGCAGACTGTGAACCAGACAGATGGCTCGTTTAATAGGCACTTCAAGAAGAGCTTCCCTCATTTTATGAATTCTTAAACACGCATATTAAATCCGGATAGTGGTACATAGCTCCTGGCAGCGACGAAGGGGCGACGGGCTGCAACATGCGGTAGATCTCGAACACTATTCAACCTCGATACATAAGCAAGAAAATCCAAACAAAATTAAAATTTTCCCGTCCTAACCTCTGCTTGGTTGTTTGAAATCACGATGCGGCAGCCACCATGCCCCCCTTTGCTTCCTCGCGCTTATCCATCGCCTTCTTCTTGGTGGCCTCCAAAGCAGCAAAGTTGCGCCTCATCGCAGCCTCCGTGAACTGCGAGCCGGTGACCGCCGGGTACTTCTTCAGCGGGCCCTGGATCACGCAATCGGTGGTGGGCTGGTTGAAGTAGGCCATGCTGTACCGCGGCCCGTAGTAGTCGACGGCCGGGTCGGTGGGCGTCTTCACGCGGTGGAACGTCGACTTGAAACGGTCGTCGCTCCAGCTCATGAGCAAATCGCCACTGCGCCGTGCCGTCGTTTTAGCTTAGCCACTTCGTTTGTAGTTCGTTGGGAAAGACAGATAACTTGGGAAGGGGGGGAGTGGGGTTTGGAAGACAGACTCACATGTTGCAGACTATCTCACCGGCAGCAGGCTCGACTTTCGTCCAGGAGTCGCCGAGGCCGAACTCGGAGAACACCTCGCGGCCCGGGCAGATCTCCAGGCCGCTCTGGCCGGGCCGCTGGAACAGCAGGGTGACGAAGTCCCAGTCGGCGTGGGCGCCGGCACGGTGGTATCCCTCCGGTGTCGGGACAGAAGGGTCGACGGCAAAGTAGTGCAGCTGCCTTAACACCGTCTGGATATTAGGCCTGGTCACATCGTGCGCCTTGACAAAATAATCGTCCTCAAATCCGAGCCCGCGCGCAAAGCACACCATCAGCTTCTCGCTCACGGCCTGGACCTTGTGCATGAAGGCCAGACTGGCCTCGCGGAACCCGGGGAGCGTGTCCTTGGGCAGCCACATGCCGTCCATCATGGCGCCGAACTGCATCTGATAGCTCTCCTTTTGATCGGCCCTGCCGGTACTCGGCCGGATCTGCGCGCCTTTCTCCCAGCCGGTGTTGCGGTGTGAAAAGGGCACCGTGGCCTTGACCTCGTCGGGCAGCGCGAAGAAGCGCGCCGCCTGCTCGAACTGCGCTTCGATCTCCGAGGCCGAGAGCCCGTGGTCCACGAGCGCGAAGAAGCCGTCCGTCTCGGCGGCCGCTACGAGCTCCGCCGTGATGGCGTCGATGCGCGAGTCGAAGTCGTGTAGGGAGATTCTGGGGATGGACCGGGTCGAGTACTGCGTGTCGGGCATTGTGAATGGGGGTTTGGTGATAGAGTGAAGGTTACGGTATGCTATCACGACTTGCGGTAGGTTATTGGTAAGTGCGAAGTTGTCTCCAGTGTTTTGTGGGAGCTGCTGGAACTATTATATTCGGGAAGTGGTTCAGGCTCGGAAATGTGCTGGGTTCCTCGCGTGAAAACGAACCTCCAACGATATCTCATGCGATGATACGCGAGGGATGTCAGATATCTATCTATCTATCTATCTATCTATCTGGAAGCTGACGGCCGAGTCCGGAGTGGGGATCCTGAGTCTGCTTATCCGACTGGTCGGCGACGGAGGCGGCCGCCCACCCGATCATCTCCTGGAACACACCTTGGGACCAGTCAGCACGGTCATCGCTGCCCTTGATGGTGGAAGAAGTGATGGATGAGCCTCCTCTGTGGGTCGATATAAGCTCTGATCGGCCAGTATCTCAATAATGGATGAAGGAATGCCATATCCCGCGAGTTGCCAGACACGGAACCGGAGCACAGCAGACAGTTGGTAAAGGAGCACACCGGCTGATAATGGGACACTCAAGCGAGCTAACACTCCTGAAGATGCGGACCTTCATCGCCGTCGACGCGTCCCGAAGAGTGATCCCCAAGGGGTACATCCTAATCCCGGAATCCCGAATCGCACTAGTCTCCTCCCAAGCCCCTGACAGCTTACCCCATAAGACACGAATCATCTTGCCAGAAGACCTGCCGCTGCGCTCCTGGATCCTGCTGAGCGGGACGACGTGCTTCTTAGAGGCGATGCTCACGCACAGTAGGTAGCGGGTTGGGGAACGTGGCGAGAGCGATATCTAGAGATGCGGTTTGGAGGCATGAACCACCTCGAACAAGAAGTCGTCCCGATCAAGCGTTTCCGCCGTGATCTCATAGCTCCAGGCGTGCATAGCCTACCTATCTATACCTCGCTCCGCCGCCCTTCCCTCCTTCCTTAGCACCCAATCTCCTCCCTCCCCCCTTAAACTACCTTAACCACCCTATCGCCCCTCCGCAGCCAGCCAGCCAGCAAAATCAGGTCATCATACCCTACCCTACCCTACGCAGCGCCTCAACCATCCCAAAGATGCGGCCTCACAACCGACCCAACCTCCCCCATCATAGCGCCCTCCAACCAGCGTGCATAAGCCCTCAACCCAAACCCAACCCCATCCCCATCATCCACACACCCCACGACCCTCGCCCTCCTCACCCCACGCACGCCCTCAAACAGTCTCAGCACGTCCGGCCCGGCGCCCTTCCACGCCGCCCGCCACGCCTCGATCGTCACCTCATCCCTACCAGAAAACTGCGCCGACACACTCACACGGTCGACGCCGCGCGGGGGTTCGGCGTCTAGGCGGACGCGGATGCGGTATTTCGTGATCAGACCCGCGAGGGACGGCGTGCGGATGGGCGGGTAGTGAGTCGGGGGTAAGTGGGGTGAGTGGGGGTTGAAGAGGGAGGGCAGGGCGGTGAGGAGGACGGGGTGCGCGTGGAAGGTGTTGGTGCGGTAGAGGAAGGGGACGGTCTCGGCGTGGAGTTGGTGGCAGGGGTGGAGGAGGGAGGGGTGCAGGGGGGGCGTGGGTTTCGGGGCGTGGTAGGGGGTGGGTGATGGTGTGCGTGTGGAGGGGGTTGTGGAGGTGGATGGGGGAGGTGGCGGTGGCGGTGGGATGGTCAGGAGGTAGGCGTATATCTCGAGCCGGATCTCGAAGGGGATGGTGAGGAGGGTGGGTGGTTTGTGAGCTGGGTCTTCTATCACTGGAGATAGTGTGATGATGGCCTCGTGGGCAGTCTCTGAGTGAGGGCAGGTGGACGACTCGAGTGCGTTGCCTGCCCCTGATGATATCACTTCCTCTGCTTTGGCCATGGTGCCCATGGATATGGTCGGTGAGGGGACAGGTTCCGCTTCTTGCGACTGTTCTGCTGGGCGTGGCTCAAGCAGGGCCTTGCAAGATGAGCCCCGGTCCTCAAGTAAGGTCGGGTTCTCCGTTCCCGGGTTGCGGTGATGGGGTGGCGTCTGCTGATCCGACATCCAGTCATGAAGAACACCCCGCCGCGAGAACTGTTGGACTTGGGTGTCAGCCATGCTCATAGCTGGTGTTCGTTTTCTTCGCCCTCCGAAGTCTGTTGGAGGCGTATTCTTGACAACCCGCCGACTCTGAGGTACATGTATGTTCTTGTACCCCAATGCTGAAGTCCGGACGGAACGATGATGACGGTTAATGAGGCGCTTGGTTTCAACACGAAAACCGCTGCTCAGTCTTTCCAATGAAAATGATGTCGTTCAATATCAAGTTGAGCTGTTCGAGAATGTGGGTGTGTGGGATGGAACTTGATCCATATCATATCGTGATCATTGTTCGATCAAGAACAACTTAGCGGCGGGTGTAACTTATAGGACGTTGGGAAGCTCAGAGACAAGCCACATTCTTATATCGCAGGTTTTACAGCGCACACAGTGCAGCATACCAAGAGGACGAAAGCTGAGGGCCTTTCAAAGAGCGCACTCATAACTATATCTGGGCAGGGCCCGTCCTGACCTTTGTATCCCAAGTCGACCTCTCCGCCAGCTCCTCCAACTGGCGTGACCGACCAGGGTTGACACGCAACGTAGGGATCTCCGCACCGGGAACCGAGATGCGACCCTATATCTCGACGTTCCGTGTGATGGATGGCCTGCAGCGTGCAGAGGCATATATATATATACCAATGGTCTGGACTCCATTACCCAGTTCGATTCATGCTGTACCACCCCAAGCTACAGGCACGGTACTCACCATTGGTCTCGACTCATCGGGGACCTGTCTGTCTATCCTCATCGGCTAGCATGCCCTTGAATGACATGCTGCAGGGTCTCCTCGACAAGGAGAACGCAACGCGGACCCCCTTCGACACGATTTTATTGGTCAAGCGTGCTGTCGCGCGGCAAAGAGGGGTGTTTACGAATAGAGCTACGAATATCATCGAGATGACCGATGCTTGAGATATTTCACCGGCTTTTCACTTTCGACACACCTTTGTGAGAGCCTCTGGGTTGAACAATTTGATTATCGAGCCACATACAGGAAGAGCCAGGGAATAGTCAATGGCAATGAAATCGTTCGAGCCCAGCATGGATTTTCGCGACACAACGTTTCACATATCACTCATTGCCTGAAGGACTTAGTACAAGTCGTATATTCACGATCTATGTGTATATGAACAGCTAGCTAGTCGAGACTGCAAATGCGTGGCGATTTGCCACACTACCTCTCCTCAGTACAGATCATCCTGACGGTGATCATCCAGATTCGTCTCGTAGTTTGAGACATAATTACACAAGATGCCATACCTGGCGTAAACTCTCCAACAACCTGTTCATGACAAAAGCAAACAGCAAAGGTTCTCGCCATGGTTCTCCTTTCCTTGCCGTGTATCTCAAACGCCGGGTTCATGCAGATCTTGATATCTCTCTAGCCTCTAGCCTCTAGACTCTAGATTCTAGACTCTAGAGATGGAAGAAAGGTTGTGGAAGAAAGAGTCGTAAAGGTGAATTAGGGTTTTGAGCCAACAAGGAGCTTGGGCAGAGCATTCCAGCTCTTCTGGTCCGGAACCTTGATTCGACCAAAGTTCTCATCGATATCCAGGATGATCTTGAGGGCGTTTCGGCTGCGAGCATGCGGGGATGCGACGTCTTTCTCCTTGATGGTGTCGACGACATCGGCAACGCCAGTGTGAACCTGTTCAGACTTCTGCTTTCCGGGGAAAGGTAGGACGCTCTGCAGGACTTCGTATGCAGCAAGAGTGAAGCCGAATTGCGGTGAAGATCGCATGATACGGGCAGGCCCACCCTTGAAGAAAGCCTTGAAGCCTTCTTCCTTCATGATGGTAGTAGCCGCATGTCGTACACCGGTGTAGCTGGATTCTCCCTTACGAGCTTCAACCTGCAGCCGGGTCTTGATGACATCACAAGGCGTGGTCAAGTAAGCAGCTGGCATACCGGCGATAGCTCCAGCCGTGAGCAATTGTAGAACGCCCAGCTTCTTGGTAGGGGACTCTCCGAACATGTCCTTCTTCAGGTGACTGTAAGTTGGGAAGTAGATCATAGAAAATGGCACGTCGCGGAGCAGACAAGCTGATGCACCTTTATAGAGGCCCGCAAGGCCCAAATTCTTAACAATCCACATTGCGGAGCGCTTCTTTGCACCCTCAGCGGACTTCGCAACTTCACCTTGTACTTGAAGACGGATCTTGACGATTTCAAGCGGGTTCGTGAATACCTAGGAGACGATAGTCAGCAAATATGCACGGGTTTTGAGGTGACGAGTTAGTTGTCTTGACTTACGACTTGACACATTCCAGCTGTGCCACCAGCCAGGATCTCGTAACGCGTCTGGATATGTCCAGTCTCCTTATCGGTAAAGGTGCCACGGACAAGGTCGTTCACGGTGAGCTTGATGGCCTTCTCTGGGGCGACACCAACCAACTGGGGCAGCACGCCGGAGTACAGACCACGGAAACCCTCATTTTGGATGACCTTTCTAAAGCAATCAATCGAGTTCTTGTAGAGTCGCTGGCCGGGATCAGCGCCGCGTTGGTTCTGCAGGCGGGTTTTTACCAGGTCGATAGGATAAACCATGAATGCACCAAATGCACCAGCCATGCTGCCAAGCATGAAGCCGTAGGCTGACTCTGCAACCTTGAGCAGGCCTTTCTGGGTGGCGGTTTTGGTCACATCAAGCGCATGGTGCGATTGCGAGTCTTCAGCTGCAACCCCACGGTTTGTCCAAAGAGGGTTCAAGACTTTGGAAAAGTCAGTAAGACCGAGGCGGCCCGAGGGCTCATCGAGACTGGCGAAGTGGAAGAGAATGTCTGCTTCCATGGGTGTGAACAGTGAGAATCTGGTGATTTTCGCTGCTTCGTTCAAGAACTCATTCCTGGTAATCTTGCCATCTGAACTCTTGCTAATGGCCTTCCGTATGATGAGCTCGACGAGATCCATCTCTTTGATCATGTTCTGGAAGGCTCGGACGTTGGCGTACGAGATCTTGCTGCCGGTAGAAATGTTGCATAGAGTCGTCAGGTTCTCAAGCAGGTGGTCGGACAGCTTATGCTTGGCGGTCTCCTCGATGATTCTGGCAAACTCGTCCGGCTCGATATAGCCATCCTTGTCTTTGTCGAGATACTGGAAAGCTTGACGGATCCGCTCTCCCTGGAGACCGCGTAGCATCTGCGAGAACTCGGGGTACGTGAGGGTGTGTCGTCTTGACTTGTCACCGATGTACAACTTGGCCCAGTCGCAGTCCCAATTGAATGGTATGGTGCCTTCGCCCTTGTTCTGCTCATACAATCCTCGGAAGTCCTCGTACTTAACGGAGCCGGTTCTATCGACGTCGAATAGGCGGAAGGCAATCTCGTACTCGGCATCAGACTTCACTAGGAGGTTCATGAATGCAGCCCAGTCTCCGAACGTGACCTTGCCGGTCTTGGTGCGGTCGGCGACATGGAAGAGAATGCCATACTGGTTCCGATCGATCTTTGACTGTTTTGGGGGCACATGTCAGCAAGTATGCCATGGTGGCGTTCAAGGTCTGGATAGTTGCTCACGTAGTCTTCGTCGGCAGGAGCAATGGCATTAATGAATTCGTCTGGTCCCATGCTCAGCTCGCCCGTCTCCTCATCCTCCTTGGCATTGCTGGTGAAGGTAGCTCGATGCGACGCCGAGAGGTTGGTGGGCTCGTCGGTGCCGAATAGGCTCTCCTTGACGGCCTCTTTCACAGTGGCAGGGGTCGACATATTCGCGCAATGATCACAAGTGCGGGCGTTGACACGCGTAGTTGAAGGGAGGGTGCAGGTGCCGAGTGAAGGCTACGGGGAGGGCAGACTGGGCAGACTGGGGAGATTCGCGGCAGTTCTACCAGACGGAAGGGCTTGACCGACAGCTCGTGAGCGCAAAAGGTCACGATAGACTGTGGACCTCCCGAGGAATAAAGAGTGGATGCGGATGGCACGAACTCGGAGAGCGCCGGGATCTATAATGACGATGGAATGAGAGAAAGAAAAGACAAGCAGCGGGTAACAGAAGAGGAGGAGGACGTGTGCTTCTCGCGACGATGCTGATTGAGGGTGTGAGAGAGAGGAAAGGCCAAGAAGACACTTTGTCGACAACTTGGAAGGCAGTGAGCTTCCTTCAGCTTTGCAAGAATCGGCCAAATTTTGCGCAGGTGAGAGGTGAGAGGTGAGGGTGTACCTTGTACCGTGTACCGGATCCAACTGCCCAAGGGAGAGCAGCAGCTGGGCGGGATGATGGATGCATCCAATGAGATGGCCGTGCCTGAGCCCGGGGGGCGCCAGCGGGCGGCATTGCGCGGTTTTCTGCTTCATCGTTTATCCGACCTCCGACCACCGGGGCCATCCTTATCGCTCATCGCAAGCGAAGACGCTAGACGCTAGAGGGCTAGCGTGGCGATCGAACCATCAAAAGGAGGGATCCATCTGCTCGGGTCGCGGATCACCCCGCGTCTGACTTCCCGGTTCCTGACGATCATCCCCAGACCGTTCCCCAGTTCTCCAGAGTTCAGTCCAGAGTCCAAGCGCTGACCAGAAGTGGGAGAGCGGACTGGCGCAATTTGACAAGATGAACGAGAGATATGGCTGTCGATATCAACTCGGGACTCAGAGTCGCAGGGACCTGTTGTATCAGATGTCACGAGTCAGGTTGCCAAGTGGCTTCCGTGGTGGCCATAACACCGACAGTGGCGGAACTGCTTCGTTCAGACCTGGCATTGCCACCTGAAAGCACTTGCTAGTCCGATGGGTGACGGTCCAGGGAAGTAGACACAGAGACGAATAATGCTCAGTGTCGAAAGGTTAGACCGGCATCTTGGAGCAGAGTGCGTCTTGAAACGTTCCTGCGGTTCGTTGTGGCTGTTGCGGTCCAGAAACTGTGTCTTGGGGCGAGGACCATGTTCGACAAGGACGGGACATGAGTGTGCAAGCATACACCTGAAAGCACAGTGACCACTTCAGTTGTTATAGAAAGGACAACTGGTTTCGAGAAGATGGGGAGTTCCGGACAATGGCTCGAATACCCGTGAAGTCTGTCAACACGTTCCGGACTTGGCGGGTGCATCCGGCTGCTTCCGGGTAATGTCACCCTCGGCTCTTCTCGGTGGATGTTATGCACAACTAGATGACAATGGGACGCCTGGACGGGTGATGCCACATAGCAGAAGCATCTGATTTGATTAATTGAGGGTACTTTCAGGGAATGACTGCGCACTTGGCTGATGTGGGAGATAGACTGGAGGTAGGCAACACCAAGTTGCTCTGCTGACATCCATGTATGCCGGACCCCTCGCGGCTGGCATCAAAGCGGCTGGGCAACTCTATCTTGCTTGCACCAGACATCTATACTTCACATGTGGACGTGTCACATGCCACAGCAATGGCTACACAAGCTCAGGTGGTAACAGCGACACAGCGGATAAGAGCGGTGGATATTGGGCGAATTGGAAGAGCGTGGGTTCTGGAGGGCCTTGGAAGTGTCCACTAATGTCCAAGGCGAGGGATGTCATATTAATGTGCACGGGATACGTGCCCTGCTGGCCCCAGCGTCAGTGGTGTTGGATTTCAGTATGTAGACTTATGGTGTAAATCATTTAGATGCGGTAGCCAGACAATTACGTCCGCTTGAGATAAATCGGAGTAAAACACCATCAATCCATGCCCAAGATGCGACGGACTTGAAAGCCCTGAGTAAAAAGGGGCGAATACTGGAAGCCGCGCATTTTCAAGGCCCAACGGCTGGGGGAACGTGATGAGATACCATAATCGAGCGCCCCAAGGTCTGCCCTTTACATCCATCTACCTGAATATATCTAGACCTCGGAGGTGGTATGGAAAGTGTAGGATCTTGACATATCAACGCGCGACCACTGCTCGAGCGAACACCAGGCTATGCCAAACGAGCAAACTCACTAGAGCGCCTATACTCCATTTTAATATCCGGATGGACATCTCAGACGAGTAGCTATAGAGGTTTGCAGGGCTGTATCGACAGCTGGAGTCCGAGAAGCCGCAATGCGAAAACGCACCATTGCGGCGACGCAAGTCAGGACCTCGAATTGGACTCAGCCGGTGCTGGCTTTACTCAAGGACAAACCGCATCGACTGAGATATCCTCGAAGTTCCAGGTCAGCATTGAGGCGTCATGTGACAAAATCTTGATGGTCCGGCCAAAGACGAAGCTGGGAGATCTCCTTGTGTACCCTGGGTGATGCACCCATGATGGTGTGTTGGCATCTTCTGCCGTTCGTTCAGCCCGTCCTCGTCTTGCAACCATATCTCTGGTTCCTGAAGGTAGAGATTGCTCTCTTTGTGGAGGCATGCGTGTGTATTGGTTGACGCAAATCCTGGACCAGGCATGATAAAGGGTAGCACCGCTAGGTGTAGAAGGGACTAAATATCCAGTCGTGTCGATTATTCAAATGGCGCCACCACCACCGCCACCATGACGATACCGTCCTCTATCCAAGCAAGAGTTCCCTCAACTCAGGGGTCCTTCGGGGGACACAACCGCATAGCCGCATCGGGCGAACTTTGGTAGCGGCTTAGCGACTCCATCCATCCAAGAAAGTCATAACCACCACGAGTGCGACGAGTCACGATTATGAAGACGCGAGGTGCCTCCCTCCGCACCTCCGTACGTGCCTTACCTCAGCCCCCCTCGTAGAATGCAAGATTCCCGAAGGGCATCGTGTGCCCACGCTCTCGTAAATTCCTGTTTTCCAACTTCAACGTCCAGCCGTGGCAGCCGGGACGATGGTCGGAAGCAAGGGGGCTGGAGCTGAGAATCCTTCGCTGCTATACGTTTCTACTGGAGTAGATAGACCCTCTAGAGGGACGCCATCTCTCGAAGGGGCACAAACCTCAATGCTGGAGTAGACTCAGTCGTTGACGAGCCTCGGACCTCAATCCACAGTGATAGTAAATAGCGTAGGATAAAAGGCATAACCTCGCCTAGCACCCTGAGGTGGAGGCGTGGTGCGGCTCCCGGACGGCGTATATTACCTATGCGCAGCACTCGGTAGGTTCACGTAGACCATGTCGGTTTGGCGGTACGACGGCCGGCGCTCTGTGTAGTTCCCGGTAATAGCTATAGGTTGTTAGCTAGATGGCAAGTAAATGTCGTTTTGATGGGGATAACCCTACTTACTTACCTTCATGGCAGTCAGAATGGTCGGACTGATCTACGGTGCATGGCAATCAATACCAACATATGACAGGAGGCAATCTGTATTTGAAGCAGACACAGCCACATCACCAAGGGAAGACCGTTTCGTGGTTTCGCAAGAAAGTTTATTGTCTAAGCTTTACCTGCTGATCTGCTTTCACAAGACCGAGATAACTGAACAAACGAAATACGCATCTCGCGTCTCTGGCTTTTCCCAAAGCAAAATTATATACTTAAACAACAGGACATAAGCATATGTCCCTTTCATGGGGGCATGCCAGCATCGTTTAGATCACGAGAATCTCCTATTGCTAGCACGCCGTTCGTAAAAAGCATCGATTTCGCCAAGCCTTCTTTGCCGCCCAACCCTGGGCCCTACGCCTGAGTCCATGCTTAAACCTGATTGCAATGCAAGTGCCAGTCTCTTATGTGGCGAGCTCCGCCGGAACGCCTTGAGAAAGAGTTCCACGCTGTTGGCGAAGGAAAGGTATCGCAAATGGGAAGTGTGTCGTGTCTCGTAAGCCTCGTGTAGCTTCGTCAATGGTGCATCAATGCTGAATTAAGTGGTGTGTGGAATATTAGCCGTGCTGGAAGGGTGGAGACGGAAACGGGATCAGCTCCCGCAGGACGGCAAGAAGACCAGTCAATCCCCAAAGTTTGCGCGGAGCGGATGTGGTGGCATAGGGTGATTTGTGCCAATTGGAGCGGGTATTTAAACCAGGTCCGAACATCCCAGGTTCGACTGCGGTTGATACCTGCGATGTTTCGTACGCGATGCGGCCGTACGAGACCCGTCGACGGCTGACATCGATGTCTTAGCCCTGGATTCTTAGCCCTGGATGGGGATAGGCATCTTCAGACCCTGGGGCGCAGAGTACGGTTGCTGCGCGGGCTTGAACCAGTCGACGGGGATATTGTACGCGACAGGATGAGCAAAGTTTAGGCTGAAGCCCTTTGCCAACTGTGTTTCGACGTAAGCGGAGGCTCGCTTGTATCGCTTGTCGGAGTATTTCTCGAAGATGGCACCATGATGCTTGCGTGCAATACGGCAGCAGTCCAGCATCATGGCAACCAAGGGCTTCAGCTGGTTGAAGGTGTAACCTGAGTAATAGACATGCTCAGGAGTCTGGAGTTCGAAATTAGCAATGTAGACGGTCGCGTCAGTAGAGGGAGTCTTACCCAGTCACCCTTGCCCAAGACCAGACGAGACAGGCAGTGAGATCCGGCGGCGACGTAGCTCGGGGGACTCGGAACGAAGCGCTCGTCCATGATCGTCATCTCAATGAAGTACTTGGCAACAGTCCGAGCCTCCAGGTCATAGTCGTCTGCCTTGCTGATGCGCCTCAGGAAGCTCATCGGGCCGGGCCAGCCAAGCTCGAAGTTGAGCATGGTGAGCATGAAGCGCTCAGCCTTGAGAATCTCATCGACGGTGTAGCCGCCATCTACCATATAGATGATCTCTTGCACCGAGGGACAGTTGATCTCTTCGTACTTTGCCGCGACAAAGATAGCCGTGGCGCCAACGAGCTGCAGCTTTCCAAGCGAGACGATCTTGTACGAGAGAAATCGGTCGATGAAGTTGACGGTCAGGAATAACGTCTCAGGTAGAAGTCCGAAGCGGGTATGCACTTGAACAACCCAGTCCATGAGGACGGATCGCATCGACCACTGAATCTCGGTCTGGATATCCATGTAGTGGGCGTTCGGTAGGAGGTTCATCTGTCAACCATGTTAGTATCGTTCCTCATGACTCGTTTGGGCCGCCTCGGGGGCCCTTACCTCGAGTTCCTTCATGTACTGAAAAATCTCGTCACCATACTCGGCAACCATGCTGACATCCCAGGCATCTTCCTGTACCTCTTCATCGGTACGCTTGCTCTCCACGATCTCTTTGGCTGTCTCGATCTCGATCTCGTCCTGAGCCTTGAATTTCGGAAACATGACGGTCGTAGCACCGCCTGTCGTGTTTTCGCCACGGAATCGCAGCGAGTGGTCTGTCATTACTCCCGGATCTTCGTAGTAGTCGTCGTCATCGTAGTCAGATAGCTCGGGGTGCTCGTCAACCACAGCCGGAGCAGGGTGACTAGGTTGAGGACCAGCCATCTTGACGTCGACCTTTGTGGTGGTCTTTGCCGCGTGAACTGGCGGATCAGGCAGGGACGCGACGGGGATCAATGGGCCCTCATTCGGTCCCCATACGGGATACTGGATTTCCTTGTGTGGCATCTCTTCAACGATCTCCTCAACGGCGTCTAGGTAAGGAAGGTCGTTGCCGTCGTCCTCGGCGTGGTAGGAGCTAGGAGGATGGCTCTGCTCAATGATCTCGGGGAGTTTTGGACGGGTGAAGGCGTGTGTTGGCTTGTGATCAAGGTATTCTTGAGCACGACGATAGGCAGCACGTTGCTCCGGATCGTCAGGCGTCCACGTCTCTGGGCCCGAGTCCTCCTCAGGCTCCTCTATTTCGGACTTGCAATCCTCGTGATATTGTTGATTGGTGGACGGGGGTTGGTGCGACTGTTCATTGTTTAGACTGTCGCGCGTCATTGCCCAAGCCGCAAGTACAGGATTGAGGTGTCTGTAGGTATTCTGCGCCTCAGCCGGCTTCGCAAGATCCACCCGCTTCTGGTCATTTGCGGGTTGCCAAGCTTGAACGTCACTGTACCCGTTCGCTGTTGCCGTGAAGGCCTCTCTCTGCTTCGGTTCGCAGGCGAAGAAATGCTCCTGGACCTTCACAGGGTGACTGTCGTTGTAGACGTACTTGCTCGACGCGCTGTCTCTGCGGACGTTGTACTGGGAGGATTGTGTTCCGTCGGGGTAGGATCTGAGTTGGCTCATTGAGGCGGAAGGAGCAACCGTCTTGGAAAGAGGACGTTGCGCTGGCCGCAGGAATGATGGGGCCTGGCTTTGGCTTTCCTGTGCCTTGACGATGGTCATTGTGGAAGAAGTACCATTGTTCTTGGTGGTCGGGTGCGGACCATTCTGAGTAGTTCCGGCCGAAGGTTTCGGGACACCATTGCGGTCACCAAGCGCGGTGCGCTTCGCTGCGACGTTGAGGCCACCTGTCGTCGACATGTTGACCAGGGTTCCGGTCGACTTGTGGCGTTGGTGAATGGCTTTGGGCGCAGGAAGAACGCGGTTCTCGTTACCCAGGCCGGGAAGAGGGCATGCGGGACGGGAGGGCTATTGTGCGCAGTCGTGGTTAGCCTTGCGCTGGTAGGTGAATGGCAGGCAGTAGGGGGGAAGGCAGAAGGAGGGAAGGCAGAAGGAGGGAAGGCAGAAGGAGAGTGAAATGAAGTTGAAGAAGTTGAGGTGAGGTGAGGTGACGAGAATCACAGTAAATGGCAGGTGAAGCTCTAGTGGGTTGGACCCTGTAGCTGTAGCTCGGGCATTACCTTAGGTAGCCAAAACAAACATTGGGAGAGCCGGACGAGTGGAGGTCATAGCAGAGTGAGTGTTGGTAGATTGAACTGAAGGGAGACTTACTCTGGCGTCCATGTTGAAATCAGTGCTCCTTGGCAGTTCCGTAGGGATGCTTTCGTACGCTGCGGGTGACGCGACGCGGTGGTTCAGAGCTTCAGAGCTTCGGTCGAGGACCGCTGCAGGCAGAGTAAGGGAAGAAGGGAAGAATGGACAATAAGGTGAGAAGTCAGTGGCGATACTCAACACCGGCTGGGCGTCGTCGCGTCCAAAAAGGCATGCAGGAGAAAAGTACTGCGGGATGGGCAGACGAGACTCTGCAGACCAGACCCAACAGATGCAGATGCAGATTTGTGTGGTGTTGAAATGGATGGAGGTGGTGAACAACACTTGCGAGGTTGCTCCCGAGAAAGGGTGTTCACTGTCCTGGGTGTTGCCCTGGAAGTGAAGGAAAAGTGTCAGTAGGAGGTAAACGTGAAGGTGCGCGAGGTACCCAATCAAACATCCATGGCCCATTCGGGAAATGACGAGGATCCATTCGGAGATACGTACCTGAGGTAGCTGCGCAAATTGAGCCTTCAAAGTTTAGGGGTCCCAAGGTCTTGCTGCTACTGGAGGACCGGGGCGCTTTTTAGTGAGGTACCAGGCACGCGGCACGCTGAGGCAGTTGAGGTTCAATGCCTGCGTGATGAGTCTGAGTCTGATGAAATGATTCAGAGAAGTCGCAGCCTCAGTCAGTGATCGCGAGGGAGGAGACAATGCTGCAGACGCTGCAGAATGCAAAGGATGAATGGACGAGGCGTGCAACACCAAGACAACAAACTTTGCCTCGAGGAAAGTTGGCCGCGGGAGTTGCTGTGGTGCTGGCTCTCCAAAAATGCACATAAGGTTTGTTGACGTCCACTTGTCCAGACCACCGGCTGGGGCTCGCAGCTTGCGCAAGCTTGACGGTACGTACTGTCTAATTGTGGTCCGTGCCGTACTGGGTATGTGGAGAGGGAAACAAACAATGCCCAGGAGGTTGCCAGCGATGAATTGAGGCCGGATGCCTGTCGTGGTTGCTGGCCGTTGCCCGGCCAGCTGGAATGCCCCACTTGGGCAAGGTCCTAATTCATGCATTGGAAATCGGTGCCTGAATGATCCGGCTGACCCACTCAGAGCCGAATCTGAGTCTCTGAGTGGGTGAATGTACACAAGGTGGAGACCTGGTGAGTCAGCAGCCTTAGCCTCAGCCTCATCGTCCAAGCCACCTCATCTACGGCATTTGGATCATTCACTACCTATAATGACGTAGACCCCAATGAACAGTCGCGTCTCTCCTCAACGACGCAAAAGACAAAATTCTCGAGGAATCAGCCAACATCAAGTTAACATGAGCTATATACGGGCATTTGCATTCAGTAGACTCCCATTTTCTCTACGAATGAATTTTATTATCCGGCGAAAGGCTACCATACTGCCAGCCAGCATTGGATATCTGCCCCGGAATCATGGCGCAACCCGCGCCTGGCTTGAGAGGGGAATCGCGAACAATACCCGGAACCACGTGACCCGCCGGCTTTCCCATGCCATCACCTCTTGACGACAAGACTTCGTCACAACTTGACCTTCGACTGGCCGGCGCGATCCCTGAAGGGGTCGGACGTGTTCCTTGCAGCTACGCGACAGCTATAAACACCATGCAGGCGTCGCGACCTCTAATGGTTGGCCATGATGTGACCAGCGACCGCGCTGGCGGTGGTGGCCAGCTAGGGCTACATGGCCAGTGGCCGCCTGTGCCAGCCAGTTGCGGCCGATCCGGTTCTTCCACCTGAAGCACCTACATCTCGAAAACCGAGCGCGCAACGTCGACGTACGCTCGTCTTTGCGCGCAGGCATGGAAACATGTGGCGGCGCTGCTGAGTATACATACGGCTTCGATATTTTGAGTGATGTCACTGCCATTTCCTGCGCACAAGATGGAACTGCGACGGGTTCGCCGGAGCGGATACTTTCGCTGCGAGCGACCTGAGAGGAGCCCGCACAGGCCCGTAATCATTGTGGCCCGCGGACCCCTCTCCGCTCTTCAGTGGCTCCAGTGCGCAACAGCTGGAAGCTTCGCTGACCAAACCTCTCATCAGACAGCACATTGACTGCAGTATACCGATACGTATCCTATCTAATACCAATTGTCCTCCCTGTCACGACTGTGCATCTTGATCGCGACACTCGAGTTCACAAAGGGACAGGCTATCTTCCCTCGGCAATGTGCCATGCGACGCGATACCGCACCTGGCGCATCATGCATTGCCGTCTCCCTCAAACCACTGTCGCCGCAGCATGGGACCGGCGTTCGAAGCCGCAGTCGAGTCGCCATTTGACTACTGGCTGAGGTAACAAAAGTAAGATACGTTCTCGATGTACAATGATGGCAGCAAGGCCGAGGAACCTTGTGTGTCAAGGAACAATTCGTGAAAACGGATGATAATAAGACATTGCGAGCGCGAGTGTCGTGCAAGCCCCTCGGGGACAAGAAATCCAGATTACATCCTCCTCCTTGCCAGTTGCGGCTTGCCGAAAGTCGCTGACACATATGACGAACCCGGACGTCGATCGTCAGGGCTCTATGGCGCTTTTTCTGCACGGATCGCAGAATCTCAACCAAAACTCTCATCATCAGGAAATCGTGCCATCGCGCATCAGCTTTCTGCGATGGCTGGCAACAGGCCGCATACCGAAGACACTAACCTTAGATAATACGTGCGGTGCGCCACGAGAGACAGGATGCAACAGGATTACGCAGGTGCTAGGTGAGGTTCCTATTGGACAGTTGCGATTCCACGTTTCGACCTGGCGGTCAAGATAATGAATGGACTGGGCTCTCCATTGGCGTCCTGAGAACGCTCTGAATTGCCGCGAGGAATACCTCCAATAACCCAGAGACCTTCGATTGAAATACAAGACATCTGTATGAAACTAGCAGGCGGTCGCGACCTCGATTAGTCGCCCCTGGGTTTGTTTGTTTTGGCATTGACTTGACGAGACGAGACGGACGGAGACACCAGCCCGTCAATGTTTACACAAATGCCTGCTGCCCATCCACTCAGGCCACTCCAGCAAACCTAGCGCACGGGGAGACAAGTAGTTGCATGCTTGCAGAGGTGTGTGACCAATGTGACCAAGGATAGCTTGCGCTTGGCTGCGCAAGAGCAGCTATGCTCCTCCCACTGCTCAGTTTGTGGCCGGAAGGATGGGGTCTCTGCCTCTCTGGGCTGTCAGAAGCAGGCATTGCCGGGGTCTGATTCGATCCAACATAGATCCAAGTGGGTTGATGAAACTCTCGCCAGCGCATACAACCGTCTTCTCCATTCCATCCCCAATGTCTTTTGCCCTTGCGTGGACTGAGAGTTTCCGCCGGTTTCTCGATCGCGGCCACCTTGCGAGGCCCAGACACCTTTGATCTGTCTTTTTGCGCCTCTAGCGGAGACCAAAGGAGACAGTATCTGTGCGCTCGTCCGACCCTATCTTTATGTACCTCCAGCTTCCAGGAAAGGGTGTCACTGGCCTGGACTCAATGGCCTCATTCTGTCTGTCCTGAATTCGCCATCGCCGAGGCCGTTGTGGCCATGCCGAAACAGTGAGACACAAAACACGCATGGGGCCGGGTCTCTTATCCCTAATTAGCTTTGCGATGGTTGTCCAAGGTGACGGATGACATGACAGCTGACGGCACCGTCTGACGGGCCATCAAGGCCCTCGGAACTGGATGTTTGGCCATGGACGCGCGATCGTTATCATCATCCTGTGAATCACGGGTTCTGGATGCGACTTGCCTTGCGCAGCCCAATCACACACTATGATCGTCTCTAGGTAGAAGAAGACGAAGCCGGCAAGGTGCCGGGCAGATTGACAGACAGACACACCCTCACACTTCGCATGGTTATCATGTACCACCTCACGTACCCTACCGTACCATTTTGTCAGGCACACCTCTGCGTGCCGAATCCCTGCTCTGACCATCTGGCGCACACAAGTGGTGGCGCCACTGGTTGGATCGGCCATTGACTAGCCCACTTGACTTCACCTCAGATCGCATCGACGCATCCAAGAGAACTTCGTTTGGACTACCGTATGCGCTGCTTGCTTGCGCGGGGGCTGGTACTTGTCACTGATTACACATTCGAGGCCTTGCGCGATGCGACCTCTCTACAAGAGATACGGAATTGGGAGCAGAATGCGCCGTCACGGTCAAGCGCCGCTCTTCGGCGCAGACACCTTCCAATCCTCTCATGTTCAGCTCGCCCAAAACACAAGACATTCGCATTCCCCTGTAACGCCCGTCCCCACTATGACGGCGCATGGCGGATTACTTCAGTCGTATCCGGCGTCAATCGCAAACTGCGCCTGGCGCCTTTCATACCGACTGACACAAGGGGACAGACCTTCCTTTTGGGATAGAAAGCTGTAATAAGCTGTGCAGAAATACAGGCCTGTGACACGAGCGGATGGGCATCGAGCATGCGCGCTGGAAAGCGTGAAGGATGGAGCGATTGCGCCAGCCAGTGCGAGAGCGCAGCGCATAATGTACAGTATGTGTGTGTGTGTGTGTGTGCGTGCGATCCAATGTGTGCGCCTGGATTTGGATCAGAGGCCCGGCTGGTTCCGTAACCTACCTGCCTATCTACCGTAATATGCTGGTCACAACCGCCTCGGAAGTGCCAGCAATATGGCAGTGCATCCCGGGGACTTCGAGGTCTGATGTCGCAATGCGCGAATTCAAACAGCCCGTCCACTTGCCAAAGGAGCCAGAGCTACTGAGTCGGACAGAGACCACGAGATCTGAAGAAGCCAATGTATAGAAGCTGACCAGCTTGTTTACGCCTTCTTCCCACGGCTGGCTTGTTCAAACCTCGTCCGTATGATACCTGATAGATACGGCAGATAGACCATGCAGCCCAGGAGCGGTTACCGCTTCGTGACCGCCCATTGCCAGCTAATAATGCACAGCGCGCGCACTACCGGACCCAACCCAAGCGAGTCGCAAAACGGATGGCGCTCTAGGTAATTATGACCACTCTGTTTCCAGACCTGTCACCCGAAGGCGCATACATGTAAGGAGGAGGAGAGGGAATAGACGGATAGAAAGACTGACAACCAACCAGAACTGTCACCAGCTTCTACCTACATGTAGCAGGCGATCCAATGTTGTTACTCACCTATACAGTCTCTCTGACAAGTAGCAGTCAACTATGTCTTCCACCTACCCACGTTACTTGACATGATGGTAGGTAGGTAGTATTCTTCAGCGCGTAACATGGTCGCTCTGTCTGCAGCCCCAAGATCTTGAGCTTGCGACTTGTACCAGCTGTGCGCATACGTAGTAACAGTCCATACGTGCATAACCGTGTTGAAGGAAGGCTGGGGAACATTACATGATCTGCCAGCTGTGTTGCGCCTCGCCGAGAGACATCTGGAATTGGGCGCACAATAATACGTAGTAAATCCACAGGTGTTGAGGACTCGATCGGGCCCGGAATAAAAGGCAGAAGGTTTCTCAGAGGTAAGTGTCTGCTGATGCATCGATATTGAACTCGAAGTATACAGATTATCTATAAGTATTTAGGTGGTTTGGTTGTGTGTGTAAGTTGTAAGTGCAAGAGTGCGTGGTCAACGGTGCGGTTGCAGGCAGGTGGGCAGGTGGTGGTAGGTAATGGCTGTATTCCGGCCTATGGTGGGAAGGGCTTTTCTGGAGACGCTCGCTGTGCAAAACCTCGCTCTCTCTTCCACCTCCTCTTTCACAACACCACAACCTCCCGGATCGTCGCCCAAACCCCATCCAACCTCATTCCTCGCTCCCGGTAAGCCACTCGAGTCCATCCTCATCCACCCTGCACTCTGCTTTGTCCTTCCTTGTCACCGCTGCCCTCGAGTCGCAAGTCCCAGCTGGCACCGGTGCTGATCCACTCGTGCTGTAGGCCGATTCGGGGCATCAAGGGCTCAAGGTCAGGTCGAGTTCATGCATCTCTAGCAGCACAACACCATCGGTTCTGTCTTCCAGTGAGTTTTTCTGGCCCCGGCACCTAATGCGATCGAACATTCATCCCAATCATGACCCTATCCGCCCGCGCTGCTCCCACAAGCCCGCCCTCGCACGCTGGCTCCTTCACCATGCCTGCACCAGCTGCCGCTTCCCCAGCCATGGTAGATGGTCGTCCCCAACCCATGACTGGCCGCCCGTCAACGCCAACTCCTACCAACACAGCCTCCTATCTTGTTCGCATCCATACTGACGGCGCCTTCTCCCCAGCTCGGGCGAACAAAACCAAATCCTCGACTATCATCTCCCTCTCCTAATTTGCCGTCGGGCCCTAACCGCCCTCGTACCTCCACCAGGCATTGCCCATGGTCCAGCAGCTCTTGGGCGAATCCTCGGATCGGAAACACGATCTCTGTTACAAGACACACCGTTCTGGAGGTTGTCCGACTCGGTGATGGAATTGTCGAGTCTGTTGTCGGCCAAGCCCTCCTCAACCGCGTCAAGACCGACCACCAACCCACCCGTAGCGGGCGCTTTCCATCAGTTTGAACATCAACACTATTCTACAGCTAGGCTTGTCCTTGACACGGAAGTCGTCCATAAAGGAAGCGAAATGGCCTCCACTTCGCCCATTGAGACCTTACCGGGCGCTCCCGCTGGCCTCAACAGCGGCAGCGCCTCCCCTCGACAGCCCGTCAACCCCAAACACGTTCAGTTCGAGCTCCTCTTTCCCGAATCCCCCCAATACCGCGCACGGCTCCCCTTGCGAGTACAGATCTACCCTCATGATGACACCGAGTCGATTATCTCCACTGTCAAAAACTTCTACGGCCTCTACCATGGTGGGAAGGGCGTCAGTTTTGAGGACGATCGAGGCAATACGCTGATCGCAAGATATGAGAACTTTGTCAACAAGATGGTTGTCTATGTCAGAGTCATTGAGGAGTCGCCTCAGCCTGCTGCTCCGTTTGGTCCGAGTCCTTTTCAGGCCGCCCCAATCGAGTACACAGCCGAGCAATTGGGGCAACACGTCTCAAGACCAGCCTCGAGAACATCTCGGAGGCGCAGTCCATCTCCTGATGGAAGTCGTGGACGACGTAGCGCGTCTGTCAGCGCGAATCCGACTGGGAAGAAGGGCCGCTCCCGTTCCTCCAAGACTCGCGGACCGAACTACGAGAACCGTAGCGATAGCTTCAACGGCTATAGCAGTGGAGATGGTGCCGCCGGATCCGTCTCTAGCAAGGCCAAGGAACAGCTCGGCAACACTGACATCAGTGTGGAAAACATCGTTGAAGGTGGCCGTCGCAAGCGCGCCAAGTTTGAGAGCTCTGTAAGTCCACCATGAACACACACTGGACATCACCCCCATACAAGCTCAACACTGACGAGTATGTCCGCTGTTTAGGAACTACCTCTCTTCGCGCCCCCTCAAATGCCAGCGGCTATGTCAAATCCGTCGGTGTCACCTGCTCGTCGAATTGAGCACCAGCGACCTGCCCTGCCTTTCGCGCACCCCGGCCAGAACCCCTTTACCAACCCCCGACCTCTACAGTCCCCGCAGAGCTACAGCAATGGGTACAGCCACCCAGGCATGTTCGCGACGCCGATGACCGACTCGCGCCGCCACCGGGGCAGCATAGGCTATCCCAACAGTGGCCCGGGTATTCTCCCTACACCAGACCCTACTATTGGCAGCTGTGTCTCCGAGGAGGATAAAGATGTGGCACTCCAGCTTATGAGACTGGGTGACATGTCGAACATCTCCCACGGCAGGACGTCCGCCTCTACATTGGATGACACCTTCAGCGGCAAAGCTGATGCCGCTTCCTCGACTGGTGCCACCAGCGATGCCGACAGCGACTGTGAGGTGGAACTCCCACCGGCCCGGCGCCAAAAGCTCGACCTGGCCGGGGCGAGTCGCAAGATCCAGCCGACCATGGATAGTCACTTGATGCCATCGCGCGAAAACGCTGAAGCCAGCGGAGATGATGCTGATTACGAGGACGGAGCCGACGAAGGCCCTCTCAGAGCCTCACAATCGAACGACACTAAGGTCAAGGTCGAGATGCCCGGAAAGCCAAGAGCACCCCCAGCCATGAAACCGAGCAAGCCCAAGGTTGCGAAGGCGCCCAAAGCTGCAGGTGCCGCCAAGACGAAAAAGGCGAGCGTTGCGACTACTGGTCCGATGTCGCCTGCGTCTTTGCCCAACCAGTCACGCAAGCAATCCGTTGCCTCGGCATTTTCAGGTCAGGCCGGTGATGATGACCACCCAGATCTGTCAACCCAGCCACGTTGCCAGCGATGCCGCAAGAGCAAGAAGGGCTGCGATCGCCAGAGACCCTGCGGTCGATGCCGCGATGCTGGCCTGAGTGCTGACCAATGCATCAGCGAGGACGAGGGCAACGGGCGCAAGGGCCGATATGGACGTCACATGGGTGTTCCAATCAAAGCTGGTGCAGAGGCACCTGCGCCTCCTACTCTTCTGCCTGCCGCTCCCGTTGCAATTCCCATGGTCGCGACCGCGACCGACAAGAACAAGAAGCGGAAGCGGTAGGTCATCTGACCTGCACTCCGCTGGTGCAAACCATGAAACTAAAGCAGGTGATCCTGGTCACCCGAATCACGAACCTTTGCTGAATAGCAGCGACTGAGCCCACCATGGCAATGGTACCATAGACAGAGCGATGTGTCGTCACTCGGTCACATTCCTAAATCTATAACGGGGGGAGTCGGCTTTCGAGACGACGTCTTGGTGCTTTCCTTTGTCGGAGTTTAATTCCTACTGGAACCGGAAAGGCGCAAAAGGAAACAGGGATTTCATCATGGGCCGCGAGGCCATCACACTCCTTTTACTCACCAAAACGCTACGCTGGGAACGAATCTTTTTAACCAGAGGATTGTCTATGAGTCGGCGTTGGGTTCGCACTTGCTCGTCGCTTCTTGTCCAAACTTGTCTACTTTCGCTGCAAGAGACTCAGCCAAGGCATCGACGCTAAAGAAGGAAGAAAAGGAAAAGCGCGCGTTGGACAAGAGAAACACTTGTGGTGTTGTTCTCGGAAGGAGCAGAGGACCCAAAAATGGGAGTGTCGCTAGATGGAGTGCGTGACTGATGGCGGAGGGATGGCTCAGGCGCCCCTGTTATCGACCAGATATCAGGGCGAGCGTGGGGAGACCGAACTAGGTACAATGGCATGGATGCAAGCGAAATCGTGTCGAAGGTACGTCGTCGGCCTTACCGATATGGTCGGGCGACCAGTGCTTTCTTGGGAGCTTTTCGCATTGTCTGTTTTTCTCTCCTTCTCTTTTGACTCTTCTTATTGTTAGCTAGCGAATGTTTAGGTACCATGAGAATCTAACTAGCTGCAAACATAAATGATGTTCGCATTCCTGGTTGGGGACCTTTCTTTCGTCTGATGATTCTTGTGAAGCAAGGCCCATGCGTTTGATGTTGTTGCCAGGTATCACGGCGGTTGGTCTGTCGGCGCGATGTGTGAACCTCCGATCGCCACGGCATGAGGCGCGCATGGTCGCGGATTTCATAAAGACCAACAATCTGTCGCGCAAGACCCGGCCAACTCGGCCGGCGAGCCAATACCTTCCATTCCATCCGGTATCAAGTTACTTACCACCTTACTTACCTTAGCCGCGCGGTTGCCGCGCGCGCAATCAATCCAATGCGCCCAGGATGGGGATGGGAAAGATGGAAAATCCCGGGAGAAAGACGACCTGACGTTGACTTAAACTCGATCGATGGGTCGCCATACCGCATCGGGAGTAGTCCACCCCAGGCCCCCGGCCGGCTTGGCGGCTTGGCGCCTCGATCGCTCGCTGACGCTTGGGCCGGATTGCGCGGGGCGGTGCGGTTCTGGACCGTGAGTTTGGCTTGTTTGGGACTAGTAAGGCCTTTTCTGGGTTAGTGTATTTGCTTTGGTGGGATGCTACCTGGTAGCCTGGTTGTCGATCTTGGGGGGGTAATACTAATAAGGTAGGTACCTGATGGTTGGTTTCAGGGTTGTCGTGATAATCTTGGCATTTCGTGGGTAGTGCCTGTGATTAGGTAGTGCCCTGGTGTGGACGGGACGGCAGTTATGGTAATGGCGATGGTGGTGGACGAAACTTTGTTTTCTCGTGCGATTGAGTTTTTTCTAGGAATCCCGTTAGCTGAGGTGGTGGCGGGCAGTTGATGCCCGGGTTGAGGTGAGGGGGCTTGTGAGGTGGTGGTGTGAATGGATGATCCGTGCGTCGATGGCGGGGCTCCCGATCGGGACATGGGAGCTTGAGGTGGAAAGTGGGGACGGACGCGCGCCGTTGGGCGGCCACGGTGCACCATCGACCCCCGTTTTCCCGGATGTTGAGGTTTGTGCCCTAGTTTTTCCCGGATATCAGCATTAAGGTTGGCATTTTGTCTTATTGGTATTGGGACGGAAGGTCGGGTTGAGTCAAGTCATCTGCCTTAGCTTTCAAGACGCTTGCTGGATGGACTTCACGATCGTGTCGTTACCGTACGGGAAGCTCTTCCGCTGAGCTTTGTGCTCTGTTGCACAAGGGCTCAGGGCTCAGGGTTTAAGCGTCAGGTTCGGTACCTGGGATTGCTGTGCGGCTCATGGAGTCGGACTTGGTGTGTGTATTGCGCATGGGAATGATATTCTTCAATGCACATCCCTGGGAAGGTCGAGCCGCGACTCCGATACGGGTATATGAGGGCCGGACGGCTGTGCTTTCGTCGAGTTGACCTAGCCGCTTTATCATTACCTCTGTGCTATCTATCAGACCATCGTTCATAGTTCGTTCTACTCTTCATCTTTTTGTGTGTCATGTGGCATCTTCTTCGCCTCTCTGTAGATAGCTTGCGAACGGCAGCAGGCCCCATAGTGTCAGCTGTATGATAGCTTTTAGGCGCAAGCAGTAATGCATCGAATCCATTGCTGCTAAGGTCGTCGGCGGTATCCTAAGATGGAAGGGATCTGGAGACCGTTGGACAGCTACTTGATGATGGGCGTAATGTACTCGCCTTGCGGCGCTGTAATACAACAGCGTGCAGGTCTGAGTGGCGCCGTTGTACTTTGTTGAATGTCTTCATCGGCACCGCTGCCTGTATCACGGGAGACGGTGAGCAGGTCGTTGTAGCCAGCATCGTTAGAAACTTGTTCGATCGGACCCTTGGTTTTCGACTAGACGATCGACGAAGGGCTCCAAGCGTGGGCGAGAGTAAGGTAGCTAGCTAACAATTCCTTCTCAGAGTACCTGAAAGTTTTCCCACAGAACAGCCGATCGCCATGATTGATGGTGTGATGTATCTCTAACATTCCACGATATCGTGTGTCCCACCATTGCCGCTTCTATGATCTCCACCTAGGGTCTTGAGATTGTAGGCCATCTGTAAGCGCGACTCACCCCGGGTAGACGTACCTCGACTACAGCCACGTAATTTATCCATGAAGCAACGGCAATGACCTCGGCACCTACCATCTGCACTTTGGAGCAGAGAGGATGGTGACTTCGTGTTCCCAACCCAGCAGATGGAGAGATGGCATCGATGTTGAAATTAATTCACGCTTTGCCATACTTTGAGCAAATTCACGGTGTTTTTCCCCTTCTTTTTTCTTTTCTTTTCTTGGTGGCTTATGGCTGAACTCTGTTTGTTTTCTCCCTCGATCTCGACGCCGAATGATTCAGCAAAACCTTCGTCTGTTCCGGGGAGAGGATGGTGACCGGCTTACACGACCCTCGAGAGGGGCGAGGTCTAACAATCTCTTCAGCGTAGGCAGGGATAATTCTTCAGCGTAGGTAGTGATGCATCGCATTCAAACCCACAGTTGCTCCAAGCTAAGCTATGGTCTAAGCGACCCATCTAACCACTGCGTCACCGACATGGCAAAGAGACACGTATCGTCCTCATCCCCAAGCCTCGCGTCGATGTAGAAAGCCCATGTGCCGCTCCGGAGGAACATGGTAGGGATCTCAAAATCGAGCAGCAAGTCCCCGCCCTTACTGGGCAGGTAGTCGACCTGAGTACCCTCCTGATCCCGGACTGAAAGGTGTGCCGAGCTCAGATGGTTGAGGTTCATCATGGTCTTGAGAGGCACCGTGGTGGTCTGTTTCTCATCGTGCGCTCCGTCGGGGTAGACGGCAGAGCTGCTCACGGCGAGCTTTGCGTCGGGGAGGTGCTTGTCAAGAAGTTCCTGGTATCCCCTCTTGTCATCGGGCAGGTAGACGCGAAGGTAAACGAAGAACACGCGGTCGCTTCGGAGAAATGTCAGCACAGGCAGTACCAGGAGACGGTTTATTGACAAAAGAAGCTTACGCGAGTATAGGTGTCGGTGCGATCTCGAGGAAATCGACTTCGAACAGCTGGTCTTCCTTCGGCACGGGCCCGTATATGGCGTCGCTGTGCCCGGGCACCTTGTCCTGCTCGCTCATGATATCCACGTTGACCAGGGGGACCTGCTGCGCAATAGACAATACCGCGGGGCAGAGGATCAGGAAAAGTGAGAGAATGGCTTTCATGACTTGATCCTGGAGCGGAATTTCGACTTGAGAACAGTGAGAGCAGTGGAAGCAGTGGGTGGAAGTCTTCACTGATGAATAACGAACCGTTCCTGCTTATTGGACGCGAGAACAACCTCAGCATGCACTTGGCGGGGCAGTGCTGGTCCTTCTGTACAGCCCCTAAATCCTATTATAAGTTACCCCCTGGTCATCCTCCCGGCGCAACCCCAGCTAGTCCAGCCCCAGATCAGGAGATCTCCAGATCAGCCCCAGGCCCAGCTTCCTCCACCGTCCCCGCCATCTGCGGGCTACTATTTCGCTGCACTTGGAATGGTCCGCCAAGCCACAAGACCGCCGGGAGGACCCCGAGGGCCTAGGGGACAACTGGACACCGGCCCGTTGACTTCCTGACTATGCCGGAAGACAACTGTACGGCCAGAGAGACGTCATTTCCACGCGTCGAGGCCCCGGAGCGGGCCGCTGCTGCTACGTCACCGGAGGGCCGGGTGTGGCGGAATCACGGACAAGACGGACTGGATTTCAGGACCGTCAAGACAAATGCACTGTTCTGGGTGAACTTGCTTGCAAACGGGACGGTTGACGGCCGCACCAAGCATGCTGGATTGCCCGTGGATTCGAGCGTCAAGCGTTGATGATTGTATGGCCACTAGTGTATTATTCTTGATAATTCGAAGCGGCAGCGGCGCTGGTCCATTGAGATAATCGGTAGTCATGTCCACAACCTCGGGCGGATCCAGGAGCAAAGACGAGATGTTCGCTCACCGCTGAACGGCGAACCCCTGTTCTAGAAACGCACCAGGCAGAACTTTGCGGCGCGTCTCGCGCGTTGATGGCAGCGCTCGAGAGCCTTTACTCTCGCATTGGTGAGAAAGCTCCCGTGTGTCCTACGGCTCACTTGTTCAACCTGCCATGTCTGAAGAGCAGAAGAGGCCATTATCTGCAACAGCGATTGTCGTCTTGACTTAGCCCACTTTCGAAACATGTGTATGGTATTGTGAAACCAAGGTCGCGTCCAGGTGTTGTGTCGAGGTGGCGGGTGGATGCCCTGCGAGGAGGCCTGTCATGTTGTCTTCTGATCTGGGATGTTGACTGTGCCACCTGTGGCTTGCGCCAGAAGTCGTGGCGCAAAAGTCACGGATTTAATGTTTCCCTCTCACACCTCCAACTCAGTGAACTTCAGTCCAAAGTCAACGTCACCTCATCCGTCCTTCATGTCAGTCTCCGAATTGGTGAAACACACCCGTGCCGCAACCATAAGACGAATCTGCGAGAAGGTGGTCTGATTTCGGTGCGACCGTGACAAAAGCGCAGGTTATAACAGCCGGTCTTATGATTTCGACCTGCCGTCGCCTGCTTGTGTGCCAAGCGGCAGTGGTGATTTCAACGCGTCCCATACCCCGGCATCCGCTGTGTCCATTTGCTCCAGCCCGGACAGCTGTCGACCACGCCCTGAATACGGCCCGGCAGTATTTCAATGTCCATCATGGGTTCAGTGATGGCAGCCCCCGTGGCTGGCACTGACTGTGAGTCAAGGCTAGCTTAGATGGACAGATGGACACAAGCCTTCACGCCGTCCATCGTGAAAGGGCCAAGGTCTGGTAGTGGGCTGAAGCCTCAGAGTCCAGACGAGCAACGATGCTCGGAGCCCCGCAGCGCCAAGCGTTGGCAATGCTGTTTCGCGGGGTACCCTGATACTGCTTTTTGCCAACATGAGGTGAATAACGTTATCCGTCTGCGCGAGGCCACGGGTCGAGCCTTGATGCACTCAAAGGCCTCCGTTGATCTGCCGAACCCTGTCGCTCTTCTCTACTCTAGTCCTTGGGAGATACCCATGTCTTTGGCACATTGGAGACACAAGGAGGTTGGCTGCCAGCCCGTTGGTTATACATATACGATCAGCGCGTCTTGGTTCGCCAAGTCTGCCAGCCAGCCATCCTCGGTTTGTGACCTGTCTTCTCTCGTTCCCTTCTTTCTCCTCGACAACTTCGTCAGCTAGTCGAGAGCGCACGTTCCTTCGTCCATCATGGCGGCGATACAGGCTGTTGACGAGAAAAGCCGGGTCGAGCACCGGGACGCCGTCCTCGATTCAAAAAGTGATGAGTCCATTGACACACCCAATTGGGCCGTGGAGGAAGAGAAGGTCGTGCGCAGGAAGTTGGACATGCAACTGGTGCCAACCGTAACCGTTCTGTACCTGCTCTGCTTCCTTGATCGGTATGACATCCCTCGCTCGCTGTGAATGTTCACTTGCTGATCGTCTCTTCGCAGCGTCAATATCGGCAATGCTCGCATCCAAGGCATGGCGGATGATCTGAATCTCATCGGATACCGGTTCAATATCGCCACGAGTATCTTCTATATCGTCTACCTTACTATCGAAGTGCCTTCCAACATCATACTCAAGCGTGTTGGTCCGCGATTCTACATTCCTGGACTTGTATTTTGCTTTGGCATCGTGTCGCTAGGCACAGCTTTCGTCAAAACTTTCGCCCAGCTTTGCGTGGCGCGTGCCTTGCTGGGCATCTTTGAGGGTGGAACAATGCCGGGCATTGCCTTCTTCCTGAGCTCATTCTACAGGCGAGAAGAGCTTTACTTCCGAATTGGCATCTATGTCTCAGCTTCTTCGATCGCTGGTGCTTTTGGTGGACTCTTGGCGGCAGGTTTTTCGCAGATCCCAGAATGGGGTGTCGAGGGCTCAAAGTTACACACGTGGCGCAACATATTTTTCTTTGAGGGTATCCTCACCATGATCGCGGCAGCGCTGGCACCCATCATCTTGCCACAGAGCCCGGGCACCAATAAGCGTCTCACCGCGCGAGAACAGTGGATTGCTGTTGAGCGGCTTCGCTTGGAGCACAAGGCGCGTGCCAACGAGAAGGTACAGGCGCACCACGTCAAGCGCGCGCTGCTCAACATCAACAACTACGTGTGTGCTGCTGGCTTCTTCGCTATCAACATCACCGTCCAGGGCCTTTCCGTCTTCATGCCGACCATTCTGAAAGAGCTTGGCTATGAATCTCTGGAGGCGCAGTACTACACGGTCCCCGTCTATGTGGCTGCTTCCCTTGTTGCCATCCTCATCGGCTTCATCAGCGACAAGACGCGGATGCGTGGTCTCTACCTCGGCCTCTTCACTTTCCTGGGCATCGCCGGTTTCTCCATGTTGCGATGGGGCGCGACGGGCTCCGTAAAGTACGCGGGCGTCTATCTCTGCGGTACGTATAAAAACATCCCATTACAAGACCCGTAGCCTTGTTTCGAGAATAAGCTTTGTTGTTCCCTTTCCTTCTTCTTCCAGAAAATGGCCGTACGGGTTTAAAGACCAGATGTTAACGTACACGCAGCCGTCGGTGCCTTCCCCGGCGGCCCCGGGTTCCTGTCCTGGGGCCTCAACAACGCGTCTGGTCCCGCCGTACGCGCCGTCACCAGTGGCTGGATCGTGTCGCTCGGCACCGCCGGTGGCATCCTTGCCGTCTGGGCCTACCTGCCCGATGACGGGCCCAACTTCCCCATCGGCCACACCATCAACCTTGTCGCTCAGATCTTCATCCTGTTCCTGTCAGTATTTGGCGTCGCCTACGTCGTGCGCGAGAACCGGCTGCGCGCACGCGGTGGACGCGACAATCGCCTGGTGGGGATCACAGAGGAGCAGAAGGCCGACCTGGGACACCTTCATCCGGATTTCAGGTACATCACATAAGAGCAAACGTGCTGGCCCTACCGGTGCTGGGCCATCGCTTTCTTACGACATGTCACGAATCAATGCTGAATGTTCATGTTGGGAAGCGTGCGTCGATTGCGCATGGCTTCGGGACACTTCAGAATTAGACCATATCCTATTTACGATATCAAATGAGAGGTCTGAATTAGTACTACGACTTGCGAACTGCCGTCATCGCCGCCGTCCACTTAAGATTCTGACTTGTGTTTTTTCATACTTACTACACTGCATGCATGTACATCTGCAATCACCGTCAAGTTTGGCGATGTCGTCTTGGCGGTGTCGCGTTTCCTTCGTATGTCCGGGGGGCCTGGCCGAAGTAAGGGATGCGGTTCGCTACTGAATGTAACACCGGTCGTCTAGTTGGCAGGCGGTAAGGACATGTGTTACGAGATGAATATACAAGCTGGGCGAATGTTGTTGCCTGCAATCCTCACCGACAAACGAGTGGCGATGAGCTAGACTATACCCCATTATTCTAGGCAGCACCGTATCGAAGATTTGAACCCCGCGTGACCCAGCGCAACCAGGTCGACTCCAGCGACGGTGTCGCCGTCCACAACCATCGAGCCAAGGGTATCATAGTGGGCATGGTTGTGTTCAACGAGACAGCGTGCCGAACTTCATTTCGCCCTGCCAGCCGGGCTTCCGTGTCTTCCTTTATAGGATTTGCTATGGATCCCCTCGGCGAACTCCTATAACGATTTATTGAACTGTTGCCTACCTCGCTAGCAGGGGATTTTGTATAGGATTGAGGTTACCGATGGTCAGCCAAACCTTTAGGCAACATTCGGGTTGCTACAAAAGGGCGGCTGACCCGCTTATATATCGCCCCCTTCTTCCCTTGTTGAGCAGTACCACAGAAAATAAGGATTGCGGTTATCATGCAGCGCAATGACAAGCCAGAAACGACGGCCACCATCACTTTCATCCAACCCACACAACAGTTTTAACCAACCCACGTTGGCATTGTCATCCACCTTAACACCAAATAAACCTACGAAGAAAAATTACAATGCATATATAATCCGTCGCCGTCTTAGCGTTATCCGTCCTCGGAGCAGCTGGAACACCCCCGGCTGTGACCGAGAGCAAGGCAAGCGAGCTGAAAGAAGGAATCAGAGAGGATTACAAGAACTGCGTTGAACAGGCCGCACCGCATGAAGACACTTGACTTGAGCCGCCTCCCCGCGGAGCCTACGTCCAATGAGGACGGCGCACACAACAAATGGGAGGAGGACAACAAGGACAGGCTGAAGGAGATCAAGGGTGACCTTGTCGAGTCATTAGATGATTGCGAGGAGGCCCGGAAGGAACAGCTGGAAAACTGGGCAAAACTACGGATAATTACTTGAAACGCACTTCAAATAAAGGGGTAAAGCCGGAGATCTGGTGACCTTCGGGCTACGAGACCGGGTCTGAGTAGTGTACGAATAGGGGTGGTGGAGAGACAGCTGTGTCCGCGGCCGCTTTACGCTCGTTTGTGGATCCTCGCTGGAGAAAGCAGCCAAAGTCGATGGTTACTTAGATATACAAAGGGAATTAGGTATTAAACTCCGTACGGGCCTCGTTGATTTCCGAGGAATGTGGTGAATTTGAAAGATCGTGGTAACACACAAATCTTACTAGCCTTTAGCATGAGATGCTGGAACCACGACCAGAGCGTGAAGCATTACAGGTGTTCCGTGTCTTTTCCACTATTTCGAATGATATGCCTGGTTCCTGTGCCACACCAACCCGCAGCAGCTTGTCCAATGTCTTCTGTATCCTGGCTGGTGCTGCCTGCAGACAAATATGCAGACACCAGCACAGTTCACTCGGCGCGTTGCAGCTACCCATAACTATTGCAAGGCAGATGTGAGGAGGGCTATTACCTTGACGACTACGAGCGCTGGATCTATCTGCGGTCCAGCTACTCGGTGGTAACCGACTACTCATTTGAAAGCAATCCTACTTCAGCCAATACGGTACTACGATGAGACCGACTACTATAGCGAGACTCTCGCTTGGCAGGCTAAGTATGGCAGTAACTCGGTCGACGAATAGCACCTACTCCATACCGGCGACGCACGTGGCCTCGTCACTTGTGGTCGGCCTCGGGAGTGACATCTACGGGCCCTCGCCTGATGTCTAGGACCGTCGGAACAGTCATTATGCTGGCCCTGAGAGGCGTATGTGCCTTATCTACGTGCAAGTATGCTGGAGCACGTTGACTTCGTCACGGCCGAGGTGTCAGGAAGCACATCCTGGGAACAAAGGAACCATTCATGTACATATACATGGCCCCCAGGCCTGATTAGTATTGTAGTCCTCTGCAGAACAACATACATCTTTACCCCCCCATATGGTTCGCCTTCTGACAGTTTGTTCTGCCTTCAACAAGATCAATACGATCAACCTCACAATCACCACTTCAGTTACCGCTTTAGTCCTTGCTTCGCGCTCTCAGATCTCAGCTCCCAGCCACCAGTCTCAGTCTCCTCACGATCACCGCTTCAGTCCTTTGTTCAGCTTCCAGCCTCAGTCTCAGAGTCACTCCGCGTACGATACGTCACTTCAGAGCCTCAGTTGCAGCCAATCGCCTCCCATTTCTCGCGCTTAGACGCGCTCACAGACCTCTCAAGCCTCAAGAAATCAAGGAAAATGGCGTTGAGTCTGAGACATGCTGCGTTTACAGCACTGGTAACGTTTGCGGATTTATCATCATTAGTAAACGCGTCAGTAGTAGGAGCTACGGATATATGCCCTCTTCACCCCGAGACATGCCCTCCTGAGACCACACCGTACACCATCATCGACCTATCTGACCCTGACCCTGACCCTGACCCTGATCCTGACCCTCACTTCGGACTCTCTCAACCTACAATGTCTTCTTCCGACGGCAACTTTGGCAATGCTGTCAACGGCCCCATGAGCCTTGAGAATCTCTTCGGCAGTACCTGGCCTACTATTCTTCAGGCATGCCTCAATAACAACTGTGATGGGGACTTCCGCTCCTTTCGCGATGCCCTTGACCCTGGGAGCAACAGACCCGCCAACACCCAAGCCCTGCTCATCTTCAACGCCTTGGAAGAGGCACTGCAGATGATCGATCAGAAGCAGATGCAACTGAAAACGGAAGTCCACACAGGCGACGCCCTGAATCAGAACCTTCGAGACCAGCTCGCTCAGAGCAAAGGCCAGGTGGCTGCGTACGAAGGCGGTATCGGCAACCTCGCCAGGTCCTTCGAACAGGGCATCCAGGGCATCGGCAGCAGAGGGGGCCACGGGCCCTCTTCCCTGGTGTCTGACCCTGACAAGTTTGATGGTGACGAGAAGGATGACAAGAAGCGCCGACGGGACTACTGAGCCTGGCAGGGCGGTGCCCGCCTCAAGCTCAATGTTGAGAAGAAGAAGTACTCGACCGAATATAGCAAGATCCTGTACGCTGTTTCCCGCCTGGGCGGTGGTGCCAGGGTAGCCGTGGATTCGTACTTGATGAATATCTAAAAGTACCCAGAGGAGCCGCATCGGTGGGAATGGAAGGACACGGATACCCTCTTCGATTGGCTGGAGCGCGCGTATGACTCTCACGACAGGTCTGGTGATGCCAGCCGTGAGATGGACGATCTGAAGCAGAAGAACTCTGCCTTCAGCGTCTTCCTCTCAGAGTTCTTGGTCCTCGCATCCGACCTGGGTCTTAACGACAAGGCCAAGGTTAAGAAGCTGAAAAAGAAGGTAAACAACGAGCTGCAATCAGCGATGATCAGTGTGTTCCCGAAGCCCCAGAACAACAACTTCGACGGATGAGTCGACTGCTATCGGTCCCTGACAGAGAATATCGCCGACTACGCGCACCATACGGGTAACAAGAACCCGTTCTCGAACAACCCGTTCAACAAGGACAACAACAAGAATCACGGCAACAACAACAAGAACAACAACAACAAGAACAACAACAACAAGAACAACAACAACAAGAACAACAACAACAAGAACAACAACAACAAGAACAAGAACAACAAGAACAACAACAACAAGAACAAGAACAACAAGAACAACAACAACAAGAACAAGAACAACAAGAACAACAACAACAAGAACAACAACAACAAGAACAACAACAACAAGAACAACAACAACAAGAACAACAACAACAAGAACAACAACAACAAGAACAACAACAACAAGAACAACCAGAACCAGCACCCCCCACGAGCACAGCAGACCCCGGCCCCCGCAGGCGACCCCATGGATATTGATACCGTTAAGCTGCGCCGCTTGTCAACGACGGAGAGACAGAGGCGGATAGATCAGGGCCTCTGCTTGTACTGCGGAAAAGATGACCACGTGAAAAGGGATTGCCCTGATACTCCCAGTTCTCCTGCGTACGGTCCCCTCTCGCGTCAGAACAGCAACACCTTTCCTGAGCGACCAGGCTCCGCGCCCCCTGGAAATAACAACACCAACCCGTTCTGGCAGGGACACCCGCAGGATCTCCGTATCAGAGCCATCGGCTGGAAAGGGAACGCGGATGACTGGCCTGGTTCCTCAAGCTCGTCTCAGTATTCGGGCAGCTATCTGAACACCCCTTGGCCGGGCATTCCTGCTGGTCACGGTGGCCACCAACACGACTCGTCCTGTAATGCTCACGGCTCGTCGGCGGAGTCAAAAGGGTAGGTCCTGAGGAAAGGCGCCCTCAGGACCTTGACCACGAGGATGTGCCAGAAATGGACGTGTTGTACCTCGAATCGGCAGTTACCGGCAATAATTCATTTCTCTTATACGCGACTGTCCGTCAAGGGGGCCGCGGCAAGATAAATGTTGTCACATTGCTCGATTCTGGGTGTACAGCACTCTCTTTTATGGACAATACCTTTGCGCGAAACCATAACTTCAACATTTTACGACTCCCAAGCCGAAACAGCTATGCCTTACCAACAGGGAACAGAAAACAAACGTCACAGAATTCGTCGCTGTGACGATGGAGGTGGATGGCCACATAGAAACGCTCCTCTGCTTCCTTACAGACCTAGGCAACAAGCATCCCTTGATACTTGGCTTTCTATGGCTTCGTACACATAATCCCGCGATCGACTGGCGGACATGCGAAATCACGTTCTGTTCCGAATTCTGTAATAGTAGCTGCTTTCACATACGGCCTGCACAAGTCAGAGGCGGCTACAAGACGCCGAATCCAAGCCAGAAGAGGCGAAAGGTGAGGTTTACAGACACGGTCGAGCTGCGAGACTGCTCACTCGATGACCTGAAAATCTCCTCTGTTATGAACTTCGCTTGGTTCTGTCGACAGAAAGGCGTCACGATCTCGAGGATCACTGCTGAACAACTGGAACACGTGAATCTACCAGACCTTGAGCCTCCAGACCTTGCCGAGTGCGACCTCCGACGGGTCCTTGCCACTGAGGGCAGCCTTGAGGAGCACAAGGCGAGACTGGATATGTGTTGAATACACGGATGATGATTGATTCTATTGATTGTTGTGCTCTGTGTGCAGAGATTGATTATCTGTCTTCTTGGTGGGTCGGATGCCCTGTGCGTCTCTGCCCCACTGGAGATCTTCCGGTGTCTATCTCCGGCTCCTATTCAACAATATGCGATACCACGCGTTTGTTAACGACCTGTTTGACAAGCACTTCATAAACAGGGTCATAGACGAGGATATCGAGAAATACCTTAAGAAAAAAAAGCCCGCGACCATACAAGAGATCAATAAGAAGCTGCCACCAGATTACCACAACCTTATCGATGTATTCCTGCCCTATAAAGCGACAAAGCTGCCGTAGCATAGATCATACGACCACTGTATCGACATCGAACCCGACAAATCCATCCTCAGCTCGAAGACGCGCCCCATGTCTCAATCAAAACTCCGAGTCGTGAAGAAGTATCTCGGCGATAACATATAGAAAGGCTTCATCCATCCCTCCCAATCCCGATCCGCGGCGCCTCTGCTCCTGGCGCGTAAGCCGGGCGGCGGCGTATGAGTCTGCGTTGACTATCGCGGCCTCAATAACGTCACTATCAAGAACAGATACCCTCTCCCCCTCATCTGTGAGACTCTCGACGCCCTATGCATATCCAAGGTGTTTTCCAAGCTTGATATAATCGCAGCGTTCAACAGGATACGGATCGCGGAGGGAGATGAATGGAAGACGGCATTCATCACCAGATTCGGTCTGTACGAGACCCTTGTGACCCTCTTTGGTCTCTGCAACGCACTATCGACCTTCCAGCATTACATCAACGATACACTATATGAGTTCCTTGATCGATTCGTCTCCACTTACCTCAATGATATCCTCATTTACTCCAGGAACCTGAAGGATCACAAAGAGCACGTTCGGAAGGTCCTAGAGGCTTTGAGAGGAGCAGGCCTCCAGGTAGATATTAACAAGTGCGACTTCCACACCACCAAAACCAAGTATCTCGGCCTCATCATCTCAACCGATGGCATCGGCATGGACCCCGACAAGGTGGGAGCACTGCTCGATTAGGAGAGCCTTCTCAATATTAGGGACCTTCAGAGGTTCCTTGATTTCGCGAAATTTTATAGGTTTATTCAAAGCTTTTCATCAATAGTAAGGCCTCACACGGGTCTCCTCAAGAGGTCCGAACGTTGGGAATGGGATAGCACCTGCCAATCGTCGTTTCAGAAGCTCAAAGAGTCGTTCACACGCGCCTCAGTCCTCTCGCACTTCAATCCCGTGAGACGAACAGTAGTCGAGACGGATGCCTCTGACTGGGCAATCGGGGGAGTGATATCTCAATATGATGACGAAGGAGAGTTGCACCCCGTTGACTTCTGCTCGTCCAAGCACACGCCAGCTGAAGCGAATTACGAGATATACGACAAGGAGTTGCTGGCGATAATCAAGTCTCTCGAAGAGTGGCGACCCGAACTCCAGGGCTCTGATGAGCTGTTTAAGATAGTTACGAATCACAAGAACCTGCAGTACTTTATGTCAACCAAGCTCCTGACTCAAAGGCAGGCCCATTGGGCGGAGTTCCTCAGCCAATTCAACTTCCAGATTGTCTACAAAAGCGGCAAGCAATCTGTCAAACCAGATACCCTGAGCCAAAGACCTGGGGACACCCCGACTTCAAAGAATGATACCACTGACTCACGAGTCGCAGCGAGGCAGCAGATACTCCTCCCGGAAGCGCGTATATCTCCAGGGATGGCCGAACGCCTCTGTGTGATTGATATTTCCGAGGACCTCGACGACCTTATCAAGGCAGCATACAGCACAGATCCAATGACAAAGAAGGTCGTGAAGGCCTTGTTGCGTTCGAGGAGGTGGCCTGAGGTTATGAAGCGATTCATAAATATACCTTTCGGCGACTGCGAGTTACGAGATGGCCGTGTTTTTTATGAAAACAAGCTCTTCGTCCCCAAAAACGATCACCTGTGTTCCCAGATCTAATATTGCATGCACGCGCTACCTGCCAGTGGTCATCAAGGAGAAGCAAAGACTATCGAGCTGATCAGACGTGACTACTGGTGGCCAAGGATGTACGCGGAGATCGGAGGCTTTGTCGGAGCCTGCCATATCTGCCGACGTGCGAAAGGACTGAAGCAGAGCCCTTAAGGGCTTTTACATAGTTTGATGGTACCTTTCAGACCCTGGGCAAATATTTCTTTTGATTACATTACCGGCTTACCTGAATGCACGCGGCACGGAGTCATCTACAGTCACATCCTCGTAATAGTTGACCGCCTGGCGAAGATGCGTCACTTCATACCTATCGACAAGCTGGACGTCGATACGATGGTCGACGCGTTTGTCAACAGGGTGTTTTCACTCCACGGCGCCCCCGAGCTTATCACTTCTGATAGGGGATCACAATTTGTTTCACACTTTTGGCACTGTTTGACAGAGCGCCTGGGCTCCAGGCTGAAACCCTTGTCCGCGTATCATCCCTCCACGAACGGGCAGACAGAGATCTTGAATGCCGTGCTAGAGCAGTACCTCCGTATCTACATCTCGCTTGATCAGGACGATTGGGTAGACCACTTGCCTCTCACGGAGTTTGCTTCAAACAATGCCGTCTCTAGTACTACGAAGTTTTCCCCGTTCTTCGCCAACTACGGATGGAACCCATGGATCGGCATCGAGCCTCCCTCACCAAGGCCCCCGAACTTGACCAGTGACGAGACGCGGGAATGGGACAAAGCTGACAAGCACGCCGAGCTTATGAAGGACTTGCTCAAAGAACTCTGTCATAATATGGCTAAGGCACAGGAAGATCACGCGCACTATTCAAACATTAAACGCGGTGACACCCCCGTGTACGAGGTAGGGGACATGGTATGGCTGAGCTCTGAGAATATCGTCACACAAAGACCGTCTAGGAAGTTGAGCAACAAGTGGCTAGGTCCATTCGCGGTATCACGAACGTACAAACGAGCATGTGCTCTCGAGCTTGATGGACAATTCAACAGTATCTTCCCTGTGTTCCACCATTCACTTTTGCGACCCGTTGAGAAGCCGAGGACCCAAGAACAAGTCGAGATTAACAAGGACTCCCAGGACGACCAGAAGGGCCTCATCATCGTCCCAGACGACAGGGGACGCCTCCAGAGGAAGTGGGTGTTCAACAGAATAACTGATAGCTTTCTGGATGAGAAGGAAGGTCTCCAGTACCGGATCGAGTGGCGGGATGGGACCACATCGTGGCAACCTGCTCGCAACCTCCAAAGATGTCACTGGATTATTCACGAGTTCCACCGCATGAACAAGGGTAAACCAGGACCCCCATGGTGGTATCACAAGAAGAAAGCCCTCGAGCAAAGGGACTGGCATGAAAGAAAGGCTGGGAATGAATCAGAGTTAAGTGATAACGATTCGGATTGATTAGGTGAAAACTCCGCTAAAAGCGACGATGACACTGATTTTGACGTCTGAATCGCCTCATTTATGGTCAAATGAGGTTTGGAAGAGGGGAGTACTGTCAGGAAGCACATCTTGGGAACAAAGGAACCATTCATGTACATATACATGGCCCCCAGGCCTGATTAGTATTGTAGCCCTCTGCAGAACAACATACATCTTTACCCCCCCATATGGTTCGCCTTCTGACACGAGGAGCTGAATCCTGGATACACAACCTGCCAGAAGCTTGGCGTGAGGGCAAACATGTCGAGCACGGGGACGGCCAGTACTCATGACCTTGTCCCTGCCGACGACGTCGAGGACATAAGAAACATGCTGGTGCTCGGAACGTCCGGGCAGCGTGGTGTTGTGATGACCTTCGTACGGGTCGTCGGACTTCCCGCCCAGCGCCGTGCTACGCGATGATGCGGACGTAAAACAGCGGCGGGGATCTGTGGAATGCACACTGTGGACGTCAGCTATTTTTGAACGCGATATGTCAAACAGAGCATGCGGGCTTTTAGATGGGTGAAAACATATATTCTGGTGTAATCAGCCTTGTTGCTGTGTCTGTGTGAAAATCCTGCTGTGGGCTAAGTGGCCTAAAAATGCCCTATTGGCCTTGTTGGTGCACTGCCACCTCTCTTAACGCCACGGTGGCTTGCGCGCCATTCAACACGATACCGCAAGGGAAAACATCACGTCGATCTAGGCTTCGGGAAAGGGACGCCGATCTTCGAGGTACGGATGGAGCGGAGCGGACTTGGATGACGGACTGGAACGGCGGCACCAGACGGTGGCGTCCAAGCATCAGAATAACAGGCAGGCAACAAGTCCCAAAAAAATTCTGCTGTTTTGCTTGGTACGGTGACATGATGGGACGACTCGGGATTGCAGGACATGGTTTCGGTAGGTTGAATGGGACCATGACGCAGCTTCGGTGTATATAACGATCAGAATATTTATAGATATATTGATTGGAGACCATGATGTAGCTTCTTAAAGTTCAGTATTTATAGATACAAAGGGGCGAACCTTCCAACACCTGTCTCCGCTTAACCCACACGACTGATTCCTAGTGGATCACGAGAATAGGTGTCCCGGCATCGCCGCCGGTATAATAATATAATTCTGCCTGAAGGGATCCTAACCCGGCGCCGTGCAGACCCTGGTAAACGAAGCAGCCCAATATAAGAGCACGTATGAATTACTTGCATCTTACTAGTAGTTGAGCGAGCTATCTTCACCTTCTATCCAAGACTACCTCCATACTCAACCAACCCTACTTGCAAGCCCACCCGTCAACATGCAGATTCGCATTCTTCTAATCGCCACAACCGCGCTCGTCGGCGCCCATGCCGCTATAATCAGCTCGGGCGGTCCAGGTGTCCGGGACAACGAAGCGCGCGGCATCCCTCAATATACGAAGGAGAGGTTAAAAGCGGATATCGTCAAGGCCCACACGGAGTGCGTTCAAAAAGCGCTCGATAATTATGACAATGCCTATGAAAAGAAACTCGGACAAATTATTTCCGAACACCCGGTCGGTCTCCCAGATTGGCAGCATGACCACAAGGACGAGATAAAGACACTTCAGAAAGATCTGGACGCGGACTTGAAAAAGTGCGACGACACTCACAAGGCGCGATAAGACATGCCAAAAATGGTCATTAACAAGAAAGCGCGCGGCCTATCCGGGCTCGCACAGAGCGCCGGAATTAGGAGGGTGGGGGGGATGGATGAGATGACGGAAGAGGACCGCGAGGCTTGACGAGCTCGAGCCGGTAGTACCTGAGACCGAGGATGATGTCGTCCCCGATAAAGTTCTTGGAATTGATACGAGCGTGGGCTCTTCATTACTTCCTGTTGAAGGCCTTGTTCCTTGTCTGCATTCGTATGATGATCTGTGTGCCGGTGTGGCCACTCGTCCGTGAGCGTCGTAGTTGATGTAATAGCTCGTGGTCTTGATGGGTGAGGCAACATCGGCTCGATGGGTGCTTACACTAGCATTGATGCTGCAGGTCAAGATCGTAACAGCCTGTCGCATGTCTGTTGCCATAGACTCACACAAACTGCCTGCCTGGTTCCCCTCACACCAACTTCCCAAATACCACCCGCATCATCCTCGCCACGCCATCCCCCTTCTCCCAGATCTCATCATGATCACCCTCAAGATCCTTCATCACCACGACTCCCGCCACCCCGTCGGCCCCGAGCCGCCGCGCCATGGCGTCCACCTCGGGCTCGTCGACCAGCGTATCGTCAGGCGACCACGCCAGCAGGGCTACCCTATTGCCTCCGCCCCCATCCCCATCCCCGCCTCCACTTTCATCTTTGCCTCCGCCCTGCCACCTATCGCGATAATTTCCGGTAAGCGTAACCGGCGCCGCCGCATTCCAGTCCTCCGGGTTCCCGAACGCGCCCGACATAAACCCGGCGTAGGCACCGTCGAAGCGCGCGTTGAGGCCCGCGAAGTCGTAGATGCCCTCGAAGCAGACGATGGCCTGGGGTAGAATGAGATGCGGTTTGCCGTCATCATCGTTATCATCATCATCACTCAAGCCGTCTGACGAAGACGCCGGCAACGGAGCCGTGCCGAGCAGCTGCAGCGCCATACATGCACCGGCCGAATGCCCGACAAGCACGTAGCGGACGCCAAAGCCGTAGCGGCGCTGCAGGAACGCCAGCGCGGCGGGCACGTCGTCCAGGTGGTCCGGGTGCCGCACGCCGGGATACTGCGCCGGCGGCGTCGTGGCCGGATCCTGTGGGAAGTCTGGGTGCGGGCTGAGGCGGTAGTCGAGGGATGCGAAGGCGGCTGTGCGGTTGATCGTGCTATTGCTCCTGTGGGTGTTGGGGTCTGGGTCGTCGGCTAGCACGGCGTCTATGCTGGGCGCGAAGCTCTCGTGCTTGATGCGCGGGTCGCGCCATGCGCCGCCGTGGATGTAGCTGTTGTTTGTGTGAGTGTAATTCTCCTTGGGGTGGGATTCTGTTCGTATGGGATAGAAAGGGGGTCGTGATGTGGGTATATAGGTCTCCCTCACATGATCCAGTATTTGCTCTTGTCGGCTATGTCTACCTCCCACACCCCCAGACGCTGGAGCTCGTTCTCTTCGCCATAGTGGTGGAGTGTGTATTTGAGCGACGAAGCCATATTTGATGGTAGCCACTTGTTCCCTATTGCTACGATCCGATATCTGGATCAGTTGAGCCGGTGGTGCGGCCCCTTACTCATTCATACGCGATTGCATCCACTACTGCTCATCGAATGGGAGGGATGCTCATGTTGGGTGCTATAATTTCCGGAGCATTGATGAGTCTCATGTCCGGAGAAACCCCGTAAGCGCCGGCGCGAGAAGTAGTCCTCGTTCCCATTCCGGTCGTTGCGTCGTTTTATTGACCGCTGCCGAGCACCGGTAGGAGCGGTTAAACCCGCACGGTCCATTAGTCAGCATCGTTTCTTGCTTCAACCAGGTTTGTTGTCGAATATCCTCACTCGAGACCCGAGAAGCACACAGAAATGAGATCATAACGAATCTCTCTAATTAAAAACGGCGGGCGTGGAATGCCACATGTGAGCTACCGACTCGAGATGAGCGAGTGTCGGCCGGCCGATATCACGTCCGTCGCAGGCGGTACCGTAGCATCAGCGACAATCAGGGGGGACTAAGCTTTCTTGGACATCCTGAGCCGCCGATTCCGCTGTGGACATTAGCAAGGGCCGATGCTACCTTGATGTGCGATGTGAAGTAGCCCTTGGGCTTAGTCTTTCTGAGTCGTCAATCTTATAGAACGATTACCACCATGGTCACGTCTGGGTCAGAGCTTGAATACGACATAGAGCTGTGCCGATATTGGCAGCACAGATAGGGATGGTATGCCCACCGACGAGCAGGCCATGAGTTCCAGTACACTCAGAAAGGCGCACCAGGTACATATCGTGGGCTGCGAAGGCAGATTGATGCCATCATACTCCGAAACCAATAGCCTCTCGCACCTGGAGTACTCACAAGTATTGCAACGTCCCGGTTGACGCTATAGCTTTCTAGCTAAGTCTGACTTCTCCTATTGGAATAACATTGTGCAATGAAATCATGTGTCTGGATCGTACCCTTTGGTCTGTCCTCATAGAGTCCTGCGTACTGGGAGTCCCCTACACTGACGGTACACTCCCCAAGTAAAGCCACAGGCAGTCCCTTTATTCTTGATCTTTAATTCAACCACACTCAGAAACCCGGCTCAACGAAACAGTGATGGAGCTCAAAAGCCACCAATCGATTCGTGCTGACGCGGCTCCGATCAACCAATGTTAAATGTTATTCTCCCTTTGCGCACCTTGCCAGATTTTTAGTATACAGAGATACATCAACCACGGGCCGATATGACCGCTGCGGTGTAGGAATATTTAACGCAATAGCTTAGTTATATCGTTATTGTCACCTACTTCTAAGTGTAACTATACCCTACTGCACGAATATAACGGTGTCACTGAATACTCAGCATCGTGATTAGGGGGCGCATGGGGTTTTCAGCTACACTCAGCCCTCGTAAGTCTCCGTACACCACTACCAGTCCAGCAAACGACGATATAATAATCGCAATTAGAATAAGCACACTGACATAAGCCTTAAAAGTAGTACATAATATCAGAGCTGCTTATTCCTGTAAGCTTATTCCAGTCTTTCAAATTCTTCACGGGTGATCTGGAATCTAATCAACGTGCGCGTACGGAGACTTATGAGGGCTAAGTGCATGCATTGCAGGGTATATATATTATCTATTCCCAGGTTCCATCCCATTCGATCCGATCTCAACCGCGTATGTCACCGCTGGTACGCCTGTCGGTACGGGGGCGTGAGCCCCGTCGGACTACTGCCCTCGTCGTCTACCGGAGACGCCATCGTCTCCAGCTCCACCGAAGAGCTGTTCGGAGAATCCTGCTCGAACCAAGCCCCGCGGAGCCCGTTGTGTGCTCCTCCTTGCACTGGTGGCGGCGAGGCGAGGCCGTCCACGGTGAACGCCTCGCCCCGCCTGATCTCTATCCTGCGGGAACCCCTGTCTAGATGCGTCGCCGAATCCCCTTCTGTGTTTTGTTCCTCGCCCCTTGCGGCTTCCTTCGACTGGGCGCTGTTATTATCCGTCCACGTCATAGGATCGGTCGACTGGGGTCTGTCGCGTTCCGTGTGGCCTAGTTCCATGTCGAACTGCATGGTGCGGTCTTCCGACCCGAACCCGGGCATTTTGCTCGAGCGGCGTCCGGCGCGTGAGCTGCGGTTATTGCGACTGAAAGGACCTGTTCGCGAGGTCTTCTCGGTCGACACGAAGCCCTTCACCTTCAGCCGACGCAGCAGCGGGCGGATGGTGACGAGACTTGCCGCGGCGATTGCTACTCCGGGCTCGACCAACGTCCATATCATAGCGTCGGTGCCGGCGACTGCGTGGATAAGGGCATTAACATCCACCGTAACGATTTCGTAGATCAGGTGGGGGGCGGAAGAACACGAGCCTGCTGATCGAGGCGCCACCCTGAAGAAGAAGAAGAAGAAGAAGAAAACCGCGACCTACATAGTATGTCCGAGGTATCCGCGAGGTCAGAGAGGAATTTCAACCGTACGAGCGTCGCAATGCTGGCGAAAATTCCAAGGCCCAGGATAAGAATCACGGTCAACTTTGCCTGAGCCGTCATCTTGAGTGACCAGATCAGGGGGATCGGCAAGAGCGCATAGAGCCAGTCGGACAGGATGGTCATCGTGCTGAGGGCGTACGCAGCGTGGATGACGTCGTCCACCGAGGCGCAATGAGCACTCGAGTCTGTTTCCAGAATGGTGTAGTCCCATTGCGCCGGGACCGGGTTGCACTGGAAGATATTCCAGAAGAACAGGACCAGGCTCCAGATGCCGACGACGACTATGCTGATGTAAAGGGTGTACCTGTACCGCTTGTGAACGGCGAAACGGAGCAGGAAGATCCCGATGCTCAGTTTTATCAGCCACATGTTGAGCACGTAGGTGGCCGTCGCTAGGGCCTGGTATTTCAGGGCCTGGGTCTCGTCGAACTGGCTGAGAGATAGGTTGTGCCTCCCCACGCCGTAACGAACTCCGCTGAAAATGAAGGCGCACGAGACTGTGAAGTTGACCTGTTCGGACTGGAGGTTAGCAAGCACCCCAAGACAACGCACCCCAAAACACCAAGTTCGACAAGCTCCTAACCTACCTGAGCCGCCAGCATCAACCAGTCATCCCACAGAAACGCCTGCGTCAAGACGGCCCGGACATATGAGCGCAGGAAGACAGAAAGCCATGCCACTGAAAGCATAACAGCAGCAGTGATGACGAGACCAGCGCCGTTGCTGTCTGTCGGCGCAAGCGGATCTTGGGCCGCCATGGATGAAGTCTAGTAACTTATAGGGGGGTCCCATGCGAAGCCGCCTCGGGGCGAAAGGCAACCGCCTTCCATATATGCAGATCCATCCTTTGGGTGACCACCGTGAAGTCTCCATAACACGATGAACTTGGTGTCCGAGCACTTCGGCCCCTCGTGGGGCCCTCGGGGGGTCTGAGATTATTGGGGCATCTCTCTGCGTACTAGGTAACGATCAGAATCAGCATTTGGTTAGCAGCCGGCAGCCTATAGGCTTGATTGCAATAAACCTATTGCTCTGCTCAATGGACGTTGCCTAAGCTGCCGACGGTGAGCTTGGGTATTATAGGTACCGTATCGGAGTGTCTAAAGTCACTCACCTCCTGGCCCTATAGTAGGAGCTCTATAAAGTTACACCCGTCCGGATGCCAACCGATCATCGATGTTGCAGTAACCGTAAGGATCCCGACGTGCCCTTGGCTGCAGGTGAAGGGTATTATGGGGAAAACAGACTTCAGGGAAGCAGCAACCCCTGCCAGCTTCACAGTCTCGACTGTCTCGGGAGCCTCAAACCCCTGCAACTGGCAAAGTCCATGCGCAGCATGGTTCTGGGATATGCGCTCGGACAGCCGAACCAAGATCCTCAGTATTGTGGATAGCCGCGTGGTCAGATGTCCGTGCGGATGGCGGTGCCTGTCATCACTTATCAGACCCCATGTTCGTTCGTGAGCAATTCGGTGTCCAGATTTCTCTGAACCTGCAGCTGACCTGTCGCCTGATCTCTCCCGCAGGCCGCAGCTGTCCCGGTGGCTGCGGTGCAACATGTGTCAGGGAGCCATATATGATAGCGTGTGGGGATCGTGAACACCAGATGTTGCCACTTGAACAGGGAAGAAGAGTAAGGTTGCATGCTAACTTATAGGAGTTAGAACCTCGCCGGGGAAAGTGGACGAAAATGGTAATCCAGGTCCGGGTGAAGACTGGTCAGCGATCGCCGATGAGGGACCGGTGAGTCGTGACAGGAGATGGAGATGGAGATGGATCTCGGCATACCTAGTCGTCGCCCGCTGTGGAGGCGGCAGGCCGGAGCCCTCGTGACCGAGGAAGAGGAAGGATCTCACCGGGCCGGGGCACTTCGGTCCTGCAATTTGACACCTGCAGACAGCATAGCACGAGAATCGTCGCGAGTGTTCCCTTCTCCCTTCTGCCTTTTGAGGTTTTCGTCTTTCCAGCTCATAAGTTATGTCCAGCTTCATAGCATTTCCACATGGGTAAAGTTGTTGCGACGTTATCTCGTTGCGACGCAGCAGGCTAGTAAATACTTTACAGATGATAATGCGCTGACCGCAAACAGCCCTACTCGTTTGGTAACTACATCTCCCTATGCGTGATGCTTCCGATGGCGCCTCTCCAGTCTCATTAACGAATAGTTACCGTGGCACAGCTCATCCCAACGGTTCATTAACTCGGATTCTTGTGCGTCTCGGGCAGAACACGGACGAACCCGGCGTGGTACTCTTCTCTGGTCCGGCAAGAGATGTCTGAAATCCTAGAGGTGATTGTGTGTACCCATTCCTGATTGCAATGCTATCACAACTGACGCGATAGTCGTGTGGATGGACTACAAGAAGACAGGGCTGGTGATTTCTGGGCTGATTACCTTTGAAGATATGTATACTCCTAACGCAATGGCGATACGGCGCCAAAGGGCTTTGCAGCGGTTCAGTCCCTGTTATAATCAACGCGAGATTCCCTGTGTGTGTGTATCGTCGGGACGGGTGCGCTTCAGCACATATGGGCGAAGCTGTTATGCCATAAATGGTGCAACGCGGGATCACCTGCCAGAACTATGCCTACGCGCGCAAATGATGTTCACAGCGCTCCATGTTCGTCTAACTGTGACCTGGTCACTTTTATCACACGGTCACATTCGCGCATTGGGGGGTATCAGATCCATTTGTGATGCCTCTATCGCGATCCAGTATAGTACATGGGGGGATATCCTTTTACAGTCAGGCTGCGTAAAGCAAGCAGCTTGAGCTTCATATTCCCCATTCGGCCATGAGCGCAAGAGCTCTTCGCGCATAGTCTACCAAAACTTCAGTGGGCATCGTGGGTGCCTCGTCCTAGATCGCACCCTTACCGTGCCCCTGGGTTTCGCCAAGACTCGCCGAATTTGTACTGTCGCCATTGGCGCGAACCTCATCATGGGTTTCACAAGTAGGCACAATACTGGCGTCGACTTCATGCTCATCTGGGGTTGGTCCATCGGCATTGCCGTGTAGCCAATCGAGATCCGGAACCTGAATATCTAGCAGGATTTCGGCGGCTGACGGCTGTGGGGCTGCTTCCTACGCCGCACTCTCCTCGTTGCCATATATGTCGTCCAGACTCGGGTCCCAATCCTCTTCGTCGTCCCAGATCGGAGTCACGGAGAACTTGCCCACGACTTGGCCCATACCACAGGCGAACCCGGTGCTCGCCTCGGGATTATCCATGTCCTGGTTCTGTTCCGCCATGATGGCAGACGTCAAGAAGGTGGACTCTGCTCCTAATCCCACGTTGAGGGTAGTGCCTCCCCAGTCGAACTCAATCTTTCCGGATTTGCGCACATTGAGTTTCCCTACCCATCCGCCTTTAGCTGGAAGACCGTGAAATGCGGGCTGCGATGACTCAGCGCCTTCTTCCGTCTTGACCTTGGCTCCGTCACCGTACCCCGTAGATGTGAGATCTACAGTGTCCGCCTCTCCGCCGTAATCGTCCGTTGATTGCATCAGAGGGGGGAGAATGGGTGGTAGTTGGAAGAGGTAAAGCTGGTCGTCCTTCGCTTGTCGCTGGTCGTCCTGCTCTTGTCCCTCTTCGGGTTCGACAGGGGGCCCAAAGCTGAGGTCGCGTAGAATACTTTCCAGGTCTGCCGCATTTTGCACGTATTCGGGATCGTCCATTTTCTTTCTCTCCTTCTCCTTCCGCTTCTTCTGCTCGGCATCGACTTCTGTAGCGAAACCGTCTTCATTGATCGTCACTTTCTTCTTTAGTTCTGGAGAATCAGGTGCTTTGGGCTGTGCCTCAGGGATATCCGCCATATCGACGTCTCCGGATTCCGGCTCCGCACCAGGTTCAGGCTTTATCTTAACCTCGCTTGCCGGAGCCGCATGCCAGAACTCGTCGTCATCCTTCATTCCGACATCTCGCAGGTCCTTAGCCGGCGAGTCGACGAAGAGGTTGCCTTCGTCATCCGACGATTGACGGTCCTCGGCCTCAAGCTCAGCCGAAGTTTTGACCTTGACTTCTGCGTCCTCATGCTGCGTTCGCAATAGACCAATAGGAAGACTGCCAACCGACTTTTGGCTGTAGCGGGTGGGCTGGTACAGTGGAGATCCGTCTTCTGCGGTGCCATCGGTGAGCCCACTAAGGAGATCAATGTTGATTCGGTTCTCATGCTCTCGTCTGGGATGGTATCGAATGTGGCTGTATGTGTTACCTCCGCCCTTAGAGGAGGAAGCTCCTCCAGCACCTCCGGAACCATGTCCTCCAGCAGCGCGGCCGAAGCCTCCTCTGGCGTTCTCTATTTGACGATTTAGCACTTGTTTTATCTTCCAGGTCAAGGTAGCGTCCTGAATGTCATACCTGCTGCCATAGCCGAGAAGGGTCCAGAGGCTGCGCCGCCTCTTCTGATGAGTCCACCGCGATCCCTGCCTCCCCTGCCACGACCTCTTCTTGCGCGGCGTTCTTCATCTCGCTGCTCGCGCTCCTCAGCCTTGATCTTGGAAGCGAGGTCGCGATTTCTGGCATCCTCTAGTCTCTTTCGCTCTGCCTCATCTCGGCGGACATTCTTGGGCCTGAACCGACCAGGGCCTCGCGACGGCGCACCCGGAGTTTGAGATTGCCGTGAGCTGGCCGGAGTGGCCCGATCGCCTTGAAGGTCTGACATTCCCGGGCTTGCTGTTGTGGTTACTTGTGCGCGGGGGTTTGCTGTGGCTGCACCGAAACTTGACGTATTTTGGGGTTGCTGCTCGTTGTTTTGTGACGAAGTCTCATTCGACTGCACAGGATCGTCTTGAGCAGTTCTGGAGCTGGCGGCTGAGGGAGCTGCTCCTCGTCCGCCCCGACCACCTCTTCCTCTTTCACTACCACGAGAGGTCCGAGGAGGCATTTCTTTCAGACCATCTGCGTCGCTGTATCTAAAGTCGGAGAATAAACAGACACCTCATCAGTCGCAGAGTTGCATGTGATGGGATGACTGGAAAAGTTTATGGTCGGCGGGGCAAAGCCTGTCACGCATGTGAAGGCACAATGGTGGGGCACGAACTGTGGACAGCCCTGCACAGCTGGCCGACGCCTGGCAACGTTGAAGTCAGCAATTTGCATGTACATTCTGTGAGTTGCCTGTGAGTATTGATGGGGACAAAGGACATCCTGTAATATTTGCTAATGTGACCAATAATAGCGATTTACCGATCAAAATCGAGCATACCCGATGCTGCTGTACAGATTTCCATGCTACCTCATACCATATCGTCTCATCCCCTTAGTTACTCCGAGAGCCCTCTGCTTCGGCCCATGAAAAGGGGTCCAGTGAAATTCCACCACATACAAACCAAACGTACGATTGATACGATCATCATTTCCTCAATCATTTGGGGTGGACCAGGTTTATGTTCTTTTGCGGTATCAATCACTTTGTGGTTGTCCGACGATATGCAGAAACTTGGGTATCTCATTAAATAGCAGCCTCAAGATAGTCGGCCTCTATCGAACACACATCAGAGACTGCTCTCCGAAGTGTCGCTCGATACTGCCTTCTTGGAGAAGCATCGACCCAATCCAATTGCGGCCAGCTTCCACCGTCGTAGCACCGAACTTGACGACGATGCAGCCGCGGACGTTGGCTGCCGACCATAGTATATTCGTTTCCTTCTCCTGCCTGAGTCTCGTCGCCCGCCAACGTTCGAAAGGAGTTTGAGGGGCGGCTTCTTCCTTCTCTCGCGTCTCAGCGGTCCGAAAGTCCCGGGCACCCAGCCGTGGCAATGCTGCAAATTCCGATAGGAAGAAGTCGCCCGTTCTTCTGGTCATGGGCCCCCGTAGAATCAGAGTTCCTACTATAGCATTTCCATGCATTGACTGTCGAAGCGTTTGAGACCGAGTAGGTCCCGGCGCCCCGTCGAGAATGACGGTGTCGCGCACAAGAAGGCGGCTCTTGGAGGGCTCGGATTCGGGAACGGCCCATACCTCGTTACGTCCAACCCAGCGTGTGAGACTCCAATTCTCCCCTCGAGCTGTGCGGCCTTGAGTCACCCAGTCCAGCAAGCACAAGGATGCGCCACTAGTCACCTTGAAGATCTGCGTCTGCTCGTAGACGCTTGCTTCGAATGGTTGCACAGGATCCGGAAGCAGGCAAAGTGCGGCACCGGGTCTGACTTCAACTTGCATCTTCTGTCTGGTCACAACGTCTGGAGTAATAGACTGGAAGACCTTTGTATGTCCTTGCGTCACCACGCTGAGCCTGGCCTTCGGTTTGACCTCGATGAAGAGGTTGACTTGGTCTCCGCCGACGAGACCGCCTCCATAAGATAGCAGGAACACCAGCACACTGCCCTGCTCGGCGGTGGGGGACGGGGATATGAGCTTCAGGGGATACTGGTACGTGATGCTCTCAAGCGCAGAGACATGGTTTGGCATCAGCTTCACCACAACACGTCCCTCCCCAGGGAGCGACGATGATTTTGGAAACGGGGAGGTCATCTCTATGATAGCGACGTTCAGTTCGGGTTCCACCACCCATATCGGTGCTGAACTGCCAGTGAAGAAGATCTGGAGACCTCGACCCAGAACTGTGCCACCAGTTCTGGGGGTGGAGTGGGCCAAGAAAGACTGATCAAATGCTCCTCGCAGATTGCCAGTTCATGATCCAATTGAACAGGGTAAAGCATTGGAACGCGAAATGCCTTCAGCTGTTATAGCAGCAGGCGTGAGCAGTTCATGGTTGGAATTGTTGGGAGGATTGAAAATGGCCGATTGAGAACAATGAATTGAGACAGGCAGGCGCTATTAGGCTTCGGTAATGTGGTTGTGGACGCGCAGGACTCAGGAGGACACCTGGAAGTACGTACCTACCTAGGTACTTATCAGGTACATGTATCTACCGGGGCAGAAGAATTCGGTGGCTTTTTTGGTGGGGGTGTGCCTTGTGGTAGCGGTATCCAGAATAAGGACCAGGGTCACGAATGGTGGCTGTTGGTCTGTATTCTGGAAGTTGCTTGATTGAAAGAAGGGATGGGTGGTGTCCCCATCCAGAAGTAGCTATCATCCCAGTTGGGTACAAATCAGGTACAAACCAGGTACAAACGGGTACCCGTTGGGCTCCAAGGTACCTTGTATCCTGATCCGTGACCCATCCGTCATTGTGGCTGGAAAATGGGTTGAGGAGCCACAAGGGTATTTGCGGCGGTCGCGTCTGGTGTTTCAATCTGTTTAGATCCATCCCCACCACCACCACCACCACCACGATAGACACCTTACGAACGCGCTCGCTCTCACTCTCACAACCCGCCTCCTCTACCCGTTCACGTTTACCAGCACCAGCACCCGCACATATTCGCGACAGAGATGGTCGCATCGAGTTCGCATCTGTAATCCCACATGTCATCATCACGAGCGCCCCTTATGGAGACTTCGGACAACAACGCGACTTCCTCTCCCGCGCCGCGCCGGTCGGGACGCGCCAGGGCTGCCCCCCAGAAATTCAGCCCAGAACCGCACTCCTCTCAGAACGACCACTCGTCGTCAAAACGCAAGCGAGATCTTGACAACGACGACGAAGAGGACGCCGAGAATGAAGAGCCCACTGTCGACCCTGCAGAGGAAGAACCAGAACAGATGAGCCACGAGTTGAGCGATGACGACGCCGACGCCTACGCCGACGCCAACGATGCTGACGACGAACCTGCGCCGCGAACCAATAAATCCAGATCAAGCCAGAAGTCGCGTTCCAGAAAGCCAGCAGCCAAGCGGACCAAGGTCAATGGCAACGCGCCAACAATTACCGCCGCGTCTGCTTCAAGTGCGCCGGCCTTGAAGCTGCCAAACAGACCCAAGAAAACCGTTAGACTGGCTGTCGCAAGACGCGACGGCGACGGCGACGATCTTTACTGTAAGACTGATACCCGACAACTTTACACGCCTTCCTACACATGGCGCTGACGTTGCATTAGCCGAGGTGTTTGGCTCCGGCGATTCCTCTGATGATGTCGCCTCACATTGGTTTCGGCGATACCAGACCGACGATGCGAAGGCCTTGACTGAGCTCATCAACTGCGTTCTTTTTGCGGCTGGGTGCGGACAACACCTTACAAATGATGATATACGAGATCCGGAGAACTCGGCAAACAAGCTCACAGAGCTGGAAGAGGCCTATGAGCAGGTATGCGACAACCTCGCCGAATACTAACGCCTCGCTGACCACCTGCAACAGACTAGTGTTTCCGACTATCCTCTCATCTCAAGAGCCAAGGGCAGCAAGAACTTCCGCGAGCTCCTTGTCGGATTCTTCGACTCCCTTGTCAGTTTACTGCACCAGACCGATGTCCTATACAACGACGAAGAGCTTCTCGATAATGTCCAACGATGGGTCGGCATCATGTCTTCTTCGTCGTTAAGGCCCTTCCGTCATACAGCAACGACCGTCGGGCTGTCCATGCTCACCTCGTTGATAGAAGTGACGAAGCTGCTCGACGAGCGAATCACCAAATCAAATCAGGCGCTCCAGGCCGAATCCAACCGCAGAGGCAAGAACAAGAACCTCGTCGACAACACACGAAGGGCGCTTGAGGTTGCACAGGGGAATCGAGATTTCATCGACGGCAAAGTCAAGGACTTGTTCGACATCGTCTTCGTTCACCGATACCGTGACATCGACCCAAAGATTCGCGCCGAGTGTGTTGAGGCCCTCGGCACCTGGGTCTGCACCCTGCCAACCGTGTACATGTCACCCGAGTACCTACGATATCTTGGATGGCTGCTATCTGATGTCAACGTCGCTACGCGTCAAGAGGTTCTGAAGCAACTAGCAAGAGTTCTGAAACGAGATGCAGAGAAGTTGGCTCATTTCATTGACCGATTTCGGCCTCGCCTCGTTGAAATGGCCACTAAGGACTCCGAGATCACTGTACGCGTCGCGGCGATTGCAGTCGTAGACATTCTTCGAGCCTCTGGTATGTTGGAGCCCGAAGAGGTCGATTCCGTCAGCAAACTACTATTTGATTCGGAGATCAGGGTCCGCAAGGCAGTCGTGAGTTTTTTCTCTGAGCTGGTACAAGAGTTCATTGACAACAAGGTGGACGAAGTTGGTGGAAGCGAAGCGCTGGAAGAGGTCTTTGGGGTTGACGAAGAAGAAGATGACTATGACACGCCTCGGAAAGACTGGATCAATATCAAAGCTCTGGCAGAGAACTTGGCGGTTTACGATTCCCAACTGACAGACGAGCAAGACGAGCTGAAGCATGGTTTGGACGTGGCGGCGGATGTCGTCAACGCCAACATACCAGACTCTCGGATCGCACGGGCAGCTCAAGTCCTTTATGAGAGGATACCGGAACTCAACAATTGGCAGGTTTTAGCCGGCTATCTTCTATTCGATCACACAACCAGCTCAAAGTCCAAATCGAAGTCGAAGACGAATTCGATCGAGGCTGCCATGCGGAAGGCCGTTGCCCCTGAACCTCGGGAGGAGGCTATCTTACTTGACGTCCTTGCTACGGCGGTGAAGGAAAGCCTTACTCTATCGGCGGAGCATGACAAGAGCAGAAGAAGAAATGCCAGGGCCGAACTCGAAGCACAGGAAGACGCAGGAATGCAGTTGGCTAGCCTCATTCCTCGACTGTTGAATAAGTTTGCCTCTGATCCAGCAATGGCTGCCACCGTACTCCGCCTGGAACACTTCCTAGATCTAGAGGTGTTCCAACAACTTCGGCAGAACTCGGCGACATACGATAAGCTCTTGGACGAGATCACAACCCAATTCAATCGGCATGTCGATCAGGGACTTCTTAATGAGGCGACGGCATCTTTCATTCATGCGAGACAGTACGAAGAGCTAGAGGAACTTGTTGACAACAAAATCGCTGTGCTCTGGGACAACTCGATCAACGCATTACGGAGTCTTGACAAGATCTGTGAGCTTTCGGTTCGAGGCAATCTGGAAGACCGAGCGGCGCTCACCGACCTTGCCAATACCCTCATGAAAATCAGCAAGCTAGGGAGTGTCTCTGACTGTGTGGAGATCCTTGAAACTTCTGGAACGTCTATCGATTCTGACCAACCTGCCATCAAGATCCTTACCGGTATCGTACATCGCGGCCGCCTGGAGGAGCCAAACGACGAGCTCGACGACCCAGAGGATGAAGTTGTCGCTTTCGCCATCAAGTGTTGTCAGTTCTACTTCATGTGGAAAGTACACAGGTTGCGGAACGCCATCGGAAATGGTGAAGAGATACCCAATGATGACCTTGATCAACTGGTCGTATTGCGCAAAGAGTTCATCACCAATTTAATCCACACATTCTCGTCGAGGGGCTTTAACGATGATTTACGACTCTTTGCCGTCGGAAGTGCTTGCGATATATGCGCATTATTCGTCTTCCTGCGACCTGTGATCGACGCACCTGATGCCTCAAAGTATGGGAAGCTACGTCCTCTGCTCGAGCAAATGCCCCCTGATCTGACTATACGGGAGATAATACCCATCTTCGACGCCGCAGAGCGTGCATATGCGAAGCGGACGAACAAGACTCTTAACGACCCAACAGACGATGAAGATCCGCTGGACGATGAGCTGCCACCCGAGGACGATGAAGATGAAGATCTGACAGAGCAAGAACAAGTCGCTGCGGAGCTCAAAGCCGAGAAGATTCTCTGCGAACTCACTGGGAAACTTGTCCTAGCCGTTCTAGCCAAGATGATAGATCACAGCGGTCCCCACGCAGGCAAGCTCCGCAAACGACTCGTACGGAACAAAACGAAGCTCGGGGTTTATTTCAAGGAGGTCGTGTCTTACCTCGACGAAGACTACCTGCGAGAGCTGCGAGGCGGGAAGAAGAAGGCTCTACCAAGAAGTAGGGCTAAGGAGCCTGCGAAGCCCGCGATTAGCGCGGAGCTCATGATCGATGATGATGACAGCAGCGAGCTGCCAGAGATTGACGACCCCTTCGAAGACAACGAGCCAGAAGAAGGCACCGTGGATGATCTGCGGCAGCGCGAACTGCTCGAAGACCCAATCGAAGATGATGAGGAGGAGCGTCCCGTGGGTAACCAGATGGAAGAGGACGACGATGTCATTGGCGACTAAGCGAATGAGCGTTGACGCGCTGCGTGCGACGAAGCGTTTGTCGCGTGCGATGGGAGGTTCGATTTCTGCATGGTGGGTGGTGTTACGGGAACGGCTGGATGACGACGAGGGAAACCGACTCGAGCTCATTGGCCCTTGTTCAACAGCTGGAGGCTCTGCTCGGGAGCAAAAAGTGAGGAGGCTTCATGACATTTTAATATTCTGATGTGTATGATTGATTACGGCTTGGCTTGGTGGTCGCTTACCTGCCCTAGTACCTCCTGACAGTCGGGTTTCAAGTTAATAGCCGTTCATAGTGGGTGGTCCCAAAGGGGATGACTTGGCTACTTATGTACCCAGGTGGAAAAGGTGGTCGCTTAGGATATGCTACTTTAAGAGATGAGATATGGATCATACACTGTCTTCCCGTTGCTGAATCCTGCGATTGTGGTATATCATTGACCTTAGTTAGACACCTACTCGTCGGGGTCTAATGTCGACTTTAGACTAAGCAACCAAGGTCCCCGGCCCGTTAGTCTGACGGTGGCCATCACAAGTAAGTGACACGGATACTGACACATCTTTGATTAGGAGCAGCCAGTCATCCATCAGACACGCAAGCCCAGTCCATGATCTGACACCTCATTCCTTGCCTTTATTCCTTTCTATACATCTTACTTCCATTCCATACATAGTCTTCCTGAGCTGTACCCAGCCATCTTGAATGTCATCAATCATGAACTCCTCGTCAATGCGTGTCGTGTAGCCACTTACACACGGGGTATTAATATATACAGGCCCAAAGCAAATGCACGCTCCGTACACCAAAACCGCAAATCAGCAGCTTGACCTCGTCAGGAACTGATCGTGGTCCCAAACAGCCCATATACACGCACCCACCGCCTGCCCTCGCCGGCGTCCGCCTTGCGCGGGTCTGGCTCCCGCACCTTGACGCCATACTGCTGGATGCAGCACGTAAACGGCTTGTTCGACGCTTTGGTGGTCTTGGATGTATTGTTGCCCACGCCGTTGCCCATGTTATTGCCGTTTCCTTCCGGGTCTTCGGGCGGGGAGCTGTCGGGCGGTGGTTGGTGCGCGGCGACGCGCTTCTGGTTCTTGAGCTGCCGCTGCTGCTCCTGGCGTTTGAGCTCCTCGAGGTCGCCCCAGAGCTTGAAGAGCTGCTCGTGGAGACGCACTAGGTCGTCGGGGTTTGCGCGGAGGCTGTGATGTTTGGTCAGTGATTGGATGGATTCTTGTAGTGATGGCTGTGCTATGTGTAAAAGTGGTGAGGAATGAACAGAGTTGGGAGGAGACTTACTCGGTCGCATCGAGGCACGTCAGTTGCTGCGCCTCGGTGTTGTCGACCACGGCCCAGAATCTGTCGGGCTCGCCCTTCTGCTTGGGATCGACTTCTTCAAGCTGCAATGCGAAGCGCCACTCCCACGTCTTTTGCCCTCTATACAGGTCTAAATTGCCTTGGCCCTCATCATCGTCTGAGTCGGAGTCGGAATCGCCGCCGGAATAGTCGGAAAGCATGTCATACTCTGTGTTCTTGCGCCAGCTCGCGAAAAGCTCCAACTTGCGAGGGCGGAAATCTACGACTCGGACGTTGGCTCGGTATTTGACGTTGGTGAATGGCAGCATTAGCGTCACCTCTTGACCTTCTATTGTCGTCTTCCACGGCGCTGGGTCGATGATGGAGGACACGGGGGTCACCGGCTGATCCAGGCTCTCGCACTTGACTGAAAGCAACGTCAGCGAACGGTAACGCATGCTCAATGATGCAGTCTTCTCCTTACCCAGCTCGTTGAGGCCGAGTCTCTCCTGAGCTCTCTTGTCATCGTCTTCTGCCCTCTTCCTAGCGGCTTCCCGTTTCGCCTGCCGTCGCGACTTCGAGCTGTTTTTTTGTTCCTCTGCGTCGTCTGCTTTCCGCTTGTTGCCGCCATCGCCGTTCTGGCCAGCAGTGGCACCAGCGAGACTTTTCAGTTGTTTCTTCTTCAGCTTCTCATACTCATACTTGCGCTTGACCGCTTCCTTGAGTCGACTGTCACAGTGCTGCGGGTCGTCGGTCTCGAGGACATCAACCTGAATTTGCTGGCCCCCGAAGGCGCTTCGGTCTTCGCGTAGATAGCCTTCGAGATTCGCATTATTGCGACCGAACTTGATCTGCAGATTGCGTAGTCGGATCCAGTCTCCAGCTTTGACTCCTGTGTTGACAAATGAGGCATGCGGTTCAAAGCAAGTGACCTGCATGGAGCGCTTGCCAAAGGGCCCGCGCCAGTTGCTGGCTGCGGGAATGGCCGTGTTGATATAGCCATAAGGATCCCCATCACGCCCTTCGCTTTGATTCGTGCCGTCTACAGAGAATTTGAAGAAAGAGTCGTTCTCAGTGTAATCAGATATCCAGAGAGTCGTCTTGTCCATCTGGTCAAAGGGCTCCTTGACCACGTGTACAATCACGTCACAGAACCTGCCGTCGGATATGTTTTCCAGCTTGGAGAACTTGTCTTTGGTGCTCTTGGAATTCTCAGCTTGTATCATGAAGGTAGTGGCTTCAGGGACTGCGCCCTTGTCAATGGAGTGGTAGAGCCAAGAAACGTATTCGTGTTCTTTGTCTCCAGGAGGTCGGTCAGCCAGCCGACACGGTGGATGGAGTGCTCCCTTGGCTGACTTGGGTGGCCTGGGTATCTCACTTGCCGAGTAGGTGTGGATGATGGTCGTTCGATTCGTGAGCAGTGATGCCTCACTACGGTAAAACTGGACTTTGGCCGACATGACAACCACCACATCTCCAGCACTCGGTTGAGGCATGGCATTTTCGGGGCGAAATATACTAACCACTAGTCCGGCAGCGTCGTACTCTACGGACTTGTCGTAGATGGTCAAAGTGCATTTCCAGTCTTCATGGCATCGTCAGCCCAAGACCCTGGATACGTACAGCGGTGGTGCGGTGATCTATAACTTACCGGTTGCTTTGGTGGGAATGGGCAGTCGATGGTCTTTTAACAAGCCGATGACGCTGACGAGTCTACCGGCAGGTACACACTGGTTGAGAACGTCACTTATACTGGTGTAACCTGCCGGCAGTTCTCTCTCGCGACTTGCGTTTCGACCATGAGCCCCAGAGCTCGATGCATGTCGCAGAGCCATATCGAAGACCTGGTCCCATGCAGAGCTGCTGGCACATTCGATACTTGGGTTGTGATACCGAGTTGAAACTTGGTGGTGAAGAATGAAATGGATGTGGTTGGTACCTCTGGTCTCGAACGGGCAGCACGGCAGACGCGGTCACGCGGTTCAGGCGCGTCAATGGGCTCCCCCCGATTGAGCCAAACCCGACGAACAGTGTATGCCAAGCCTCAACTCCTCGCAAAAGAGAAGCGGTGTCACATGACTTGCATGTGTCAAAGCTTTGATCGTTTGTCGGTCTTAGCAGCTCACCTCCCCAGTATTGCATTTGCGCCACCCCCTTGGACTGACAAGGGCTGACAGGCAGTGCGAGAAATTGACACTAAACGTTGAGCATTGGGCACTGGAAGCATTATGATTGGGCCACCAAAGATACCTTGCCTCAGCCACTCGGGCCACTGAGAGGGGATCAACTCTAGCATTCTTCGTTGGAACTAGTGACCCCGCCTATGCCCGTTAGCAGCTAGCGTCAACTCAAGAGCAACATCCTGATCCACCCGAATTCAAATTCTGAATTCTTCTGTTGTTTCCAGCATCGGCGCAGCTGCCAGCTTCATTCCCCCACCACCTCTGCACCTGCGACCGGGTGACTCTTGTCGTCTTCCCTCCCATTCTCAAGACTCATCATTCATCTCTCTGCGAGTTGATCTGGAGGCCAAGTACTGCTTTTGTATTTCTGCACGCACTGCGGCCTTGCACATTCACGTCGTGTGTATCTGATAAGCCTTGTTAAAACCTTCCAACGCGCCGTCCTTCATTCTGCGCCACCTCTCAAGGTACTCTACACGTGCCTGGGTACATTCTACATTCGGGGTCCATTCCCAAAAACCACCCCGCCTTGACAGCCTTCACTAGTGTGTTCTCCGCCACCAAAACAAATCCGTACGGCAACGCAATCCTGCGAACACCACCACCTCTCCTCCAACATCGGAGCAGCCGCAACTGCACCCACCACCGCAACCATGTCCGACAAGTACATCCCCGAGCACCGTCGCAACCAGTACAAGGCGAAGAGCACCTTCAAGCCCGAGGAGCTTCGACGTCGTCGCGAGGAGCAGGCTGTCGAGATCCGCAAGGCTAAGCGAGAGGAAAACCTAGCCAAGCGTCGAGGCATCGGCTCTGGCGACCAGCGACCGGGTGCCTCTCTGGGTGCCGCACCCGACAGCGACGATGACACAGCTCCCACCGAGAGCCAGGTAAGCCCCCAGTATACCCTCTAACACTTTCTTGCCCTTTCCCAGCGCGCGCTGCACATGGTTGCGCTTTTGGCCAGGTTCACTCCATCCGTGGTTCAGGGGTTTCCACCTCAGATTATCATGTGAAATGCCTATTGCCAAATTCACAACCATTCGCACGCAAGAGCCTACCCTACCGCTATTGCCGAACAGGACTGGTCACTACCAGTACCACTCCTTTACTGCCTTGTTTCCCCTATACCGTACGGTGTCTCCAGGTCTGATAGTTACTGACATGACTCGCTTCAACAGCTGAACGAGGACCTGCCTCTCATGGTCCAAGGTGTTTTCTCCGACCAGATCGACCTCCAGATCCAAGCCACCACCAAGTTCAGGAAGCTACTCTCCAAAGAGCGAAACCCGCCCATCGAGGAAGTCATCAAGACTGGTGTCGTCACGCGATTCGTTGAGTTCCTGCGATCCCCGCACACTCTGGTCCAGTTCGAGGCTGCCTGGGCTCTTACCAACATTGCATCTGGTAGCGCTTCACAGACCCAGGTCGTTATCGAGGCTGGTGCAGTGCCCATTTTCGTTGAGCTCCTGGCCAGTCCCGAACCCGATGTCCGAGAACAGGCTGTCTGGGCCCTGGGTAACATTGCTGGCGACAGCCCCTCTTGCCGGGACTATGTGCTGAGCTGCGGTGCCTTGAAGCCTCTGCTCAACCTCCTTGGTGATAGCCGCAAGCTGAGCATGCTCCGTAATGCCACCTGGACGCTGAGTAACTTCTGCCGAGGAAAGACCCCCCAGCCCGACTGGACTACGGTAAGTCTGCGCCTTCTTCACGATTTGGTAGCCTGACGTATACTAACTGTACCCAGATTGCGCCTGCTCTACCTGTCCTTGCCAAACTGGTATACTCGCTGGACGACGAAGTGCTGATCGATGCCTGCTGGGCCATCTCATACCTTTCGGATGGTTCCAACGACAAGATCCAGGCCGTCATCGAAGCTGGTATTCCCCGTCGCCTCGTGGAACTGCTCATGCATGCGTCGACCTCGGTTCAGACACCTGCCCTGAGATCGGTTGGCAACATAGTCACTGGCGACGATGTCCAGACCCAAGTCATCATCAACTGTGGCGCTCTGTCTTGCTTGCTGTCGCTTTTGAGCTCCAACAAGGATGGGATTCGCAAGGAGGCGTGCTGGACGATCTCGAATATCACTGCCGGTAACTCCCAGCAGATTCAGGGAGTCATTGACGCCAACATCATCCCCCCGCTGATCCATCTGCTCTCGAACGGTGACCTGAAGACGCGTAAGGAGGCCTGCTGGGCCATTAGCAATGCGACCAGCGGCGGTCTTCAGAAGCCAGAGCAGATCCGGTATCTGGTCGCCCAGGGCTGCATCAAGCCACTCTGTGACCTTCTCGGCTGCCCCGACAACAAGATCATCCAGGTCGCCCTGGACGGCCTGGAGAACATCCTCAAGGTCGGCGACCTTGACAAGCAGGCAGCTGGCGAGGGTTCTGATTCGATTAACCGCTATGCGCTGTTCATCGAGGAGTGTGGAGGTATGGAGAGAATCCACGGCTGCCAGACCAACGCCAACGAAGAGATCTACATGAAATCGTACAACATCATCGAGAAGTACTTTTCGGACGAGGACGAGAACGCAGACGACGGCATGAACGTCGCAGCAAATGCCAACGGCCAGTTCGGGTTCGGAGAAAACACCAATGCCGCGGCGCAAGGTGGCTTCAGCTTTGCCAATGGCAACGACACGATGGATATGTAGGAGATGTAGTATCATGGCACCAGCATCCCAGAAGCCCAAGACCACACTGATAGCAACCCCATTTCCCCAACTTTGCACAACACACATTCCCCCAGTCTTCACCTAAGCCCAACAAGGGGCGGCATTAATCGAGTTGACGATGAAGCACGACGCCGCGGTATGGTACGTGAAAAGATGGGTGTCTTGTGAGTTTCAAAGCTCCAGCCCGGCAAGGAGCGGCGACTAAGACAGGAGAGAATGACTTATGATTTGCATGGACAAGGGTCGTCAATGGTAGCTTCAAAGCTCCTACCCTCAGAAGAGTGACGGACTGCATGGTTGGCGTCATATGCATGACAACATGTGTGTGCCGTCGAAGTATCGGTGAGGTCCAAGGCGCATGGATACGGCAAGGAGTCTACGCAGGTGTGTACACACTGTTGCTCCCAGATGCTAGAACGACAGTATAGAGACGAGAGCCAGATGAACGGCTCGCTACATCAGTCTAGACCAAGTGGTTCTTGACAAACAAATATTGTACGTGGCGTATTGCAAGCTCTCATAGCGTGTTGAGAGATTCCCCCAAAGAAAAAGTTGATCCCATCTTGCCCTATTAAATCATACTGTGTGACAAGTGGATGCGATGATCGTGCACAGCGTCTACAATTTGGATGTCCGGGCTTCGGGTATCAGCATGTGCCACTCCAAGAATGGGATCTTCGTGTTGAACTTTAAGGTCCATCCCCGCCAGATGGTATCCCTTATCGTCCACCTTAGACCTGTCAGGGGCGTTGCCCCCTCGGCTCCGCCGCATACGTCAAGGCGGGACCCCGTCTCACCAACCTTGATTGCCCCTTTGCCTCAAGTAAGCGGGACGAGAGATTAGTCTCCTGCGTGAACTAGACGAGTTCATCCTGGCTTCCGCAATGCATACCGTGTCTAAGTCATTGTAACTCATATACATGTTCTTCTCGTTCCTTCCTCGCCGGGTCTTCTCTACGTTTGAAGCCAAGAGACTTCCCGGTTGATGTCGTCTACACTATACTTCCAGCTCTGGTGTCTTCTGCTTCTTCTGCTGCTTCAGGCGTTGTATACCACAGCTTGCCGAATGAGACGGGGTTTCCAGGGCCTTGGAATGCCTATATCAAGGCGACGGCCGGCAAGTCGTTGACTCGTTCATCAAACCTACAAGCATCTACAAGATCGAATGTAGTGGTATGTCGATGGTGAGATAGGGGCTGTCATGGTGAATTGGGCGACACATAACCTGCTTGGCACCTACGATTACGGGGTATTATAATCAGACGACCTTGACTGCTTGCGTGACCGATGGCCAGTTGCAGCATACAGAAACGCTCTGAACATCACCACATCAAACGCCGACTCCAAAACCCTCATGCAGGTGTCGACTGGGACGCCATGGTATGAAGGGTCACAACTTCGAGAACAGCGCCATTCTGCACTTGGAGCGTAGAGTCTAGTCTAGTCGGATAGAGGTGATCTCTACCTAGGTAACACATGTAGAACATCTAGAAGTACTTATATCCTTAAAGGAGAAAGGCCTCTCAGGTACCTCCGCTAAGAGGACCAAGGGACTGGACCAAGGGACTGGATGCCAGAAGCCACTACAACCAACTCTCCCCCTACTAAAGTGAATCACACAGTCCGGATTCCCCTACGTCATGCCACCGCTTGTTGATACTCGGTGTCGGTAGTGTGGGTGTAACTTATTGAATCATAACAAGAAGCATACTCCGTTATGATCAATGCCTTTCTGGTCCCTGAAGATAGTGGGCGTTGCAAATATGTTCCTGTTCACTTTGCCTTGACGAGTGAGAGTGAATGGCGCCACTCTCGTATGAACTGGGTCAGTACCTTGAGTGAGTGAGGACACCAGCATCTATCTCGCTTTCCATGGAGATACCAACATCCTTCTGAATAACGATGTACCGCAGGTCAAGTCAGAGGGTGTTGTTCTTCACCAAACCTCATTCATTGCACATGAAGCGGCAAAAACCATACCGCTTGCAAATCTACTTTGAATCTGGGTTCCTTCTGGACAAGCACGCAAGTGCGTATCGAACATGGCACAAGCTGCTAAGCTGCTGCGGTTATAGACGGACGATTTTGTATGATATGATAACTTTCCATGAGTATTTCCAGGTTGACCATCTCGTACTTTGTCTTCTTATTAAATAGGAAATACACATCATGAAAATGTACGAAGAAATCTTTATATAGTAAAATAAACCCACTAGAAATAGAAATGGTAGTTTAAGCGCCATCGTTGATGGGTGTTCTTGTGTCTATTCACAGATAAGCAATATCCCTGACTAACTTACTACGTAACGATTCCATACCTCACTCAAGGAAAGAGTACGGAGTATTCGAAGGATTCGGTGTATCTTCAAAATCTAACAAGAGGCGATAGAGCGAGTGAACAGACGGAAACGATATGTATATCACGGTTTCCGATGGCGTTGGGGACATAACTAAGGTATGATCCAGATAGCTCGGACTGGAGGACGCTACCAAATCTAAGTATAGCATTGATTGATGATTGATTTTATTTATCGTGGGTGCAGTCCCTCAATAGGGCAAACCACGCCTCCCAGAGCCATTGCATCGCAAGGTTGTAGAGGTGTCAGTCTAGATACATTCAGATCCGCGCACGAGCCCATCCTCGCTGTAGCGGTACCAACCTGGAGTGTCCAGATGGTTTTTAGTCAATACCCAAGCACGATTCCGTCAGAAAAACCTCCTGTCCAGTGACAAAGCGACCCAGTAGACCTCAGTCCTCTGGTGTACACATCGTTCCAGTAGCCGTTCGATATATGTCGCATTGGTGGATAAAACAGGTATTTGTTATCTGCTGGCGAGGAAAATCACAAGGGGAAAAACCTCGCAGGAGTGAGTATTATGGAGACAAGCTGCTTGGCTATCGGGCTCTGCGATAATAGGGCCTCTCCACTGTCGTGTGCTGGTTATCGACTCGCACAAGCCGGGTCAGAAGGGGGCCGTAACAGGATTCGAACCCACTTGTTCTCGTCGCCCACCGCACAAACGAGAACACAACCAAGCGCATTTGACCATTGCGCCATACGGCGAATCTAAGTATAGCAGTACACTCTTACGACAGACAGGGCTCAGTAGCCGTCACGGTGGACTTCACTGAGTTGACTGGACCTCGTCGACTAAGCCTTCGTAATAGTCAGCGTATCTGTTCTGAAAAGGCGAGTACTCTAGCCAGTTCCGCTCGTCTGTAGAATCGCATGCCATGAGTGCAGAATAACACGATCAATATCAATATGATAGACGAGGATACCTACGTGTCCACCCATCACAGTAGAGCCCAAGCTCATCCTCATCCATGACTACTAAGTATTGATGCTGTAGCAGGCCACCGCCAAAGCCTACCTACCCAAATGTATGCCATGCCACACCTTACGCATCCAGCCCGTCCAACTCGATGAGCTTCGCCACCAGTCTAATAACCTCGTTGTCCTGGACGTCCATCTGCGGATTATTGACCTTCATTGCGATGATGTTGTCAACCATGCCCCTGAGTCTCGAGACCAGGACACCGATCCTTGCCCAGCCGCGCAACCTGTGGTAGGACTGTATTAGTATGATACAGTATAGTAAACTAAAGTATCGGTGTGATGAGAGAGAGAGACAGAAACATACCGTAGCCACCCGTCGACCAACAAGCCCCGGCCCATGGTATCGAGCTCGATGGCCCCGGAGAAGAGGAGAAGCGTGAAGGCGTTGAATGCTGTTTCAGTACGGTCAGTAGTATTCCCAATGACATACAGTGGCAGAGCTTACGAGTGAGATCCCGGATAAAGATTTTGCTGGTCGAGATCATAGTGAAGTAAGACACAAACGCAGCATTGCCCGAGAAGCCCTGGCTGTCGAACAGCATGCTGCTCGGGTGGATGAACACCCGTCCGTTCTCCTGCGTGAAGTACCTGATCGTCTTGGCCTCGGGATCGAGCTCGACGGCGCCCGACATCGACGTGGCGAACTTCTTGTCCGGAAATTGTATGCGCGCTATTTGTGGCGTGAAGGCTGAGGCGGTAAGAGCACGCACGAGAGAGAGCGAGGCTGGCCCGCCGGTGTGCTTGTTCTCGGTGATGCCTATCTCCGCGAGGGCGGAGTAGTACTGTGTGCGCGTTGCGGATATATCAGAGCAGGTGTTGTAGGAGAGGCAGTTGTCGTCGCAGAACTGCCGCAGCTGGCGTTGCGGAGTCCCCTCATCCATCATGGTGTGCCATTGCTGGAAGCCCCTGAGGTCGGTCAGGAGATCCCCATCCCCTCTCGAGAATCGCGCGCGGGCTTCTTTGGCCAGGTCCCGTTTATCTGGCGGCGACAGGAACGGACTCTTCGTACTCAGAATCGCGGCGATGGTGATGCTCTCATCTAGGCAGCCGAAAATAGCACCGTAGACCATGAGTTTACCGCACCGAAGGTCGGCTGGGATCATAGCCATCTGTTGCCCCAGAGCAGTCAGCTCTTCACCATCGAGAGCACCCATCCTTTGCAGCATCGAGATCGCGTTCTCAACGACTGTGACTGCTGGTGGAGTTGGTGTTCTCGCCAAGAATCCGCCAACGTCTTTAGTACCCATGGCTCGAACAGACAAACAAAGTTGCTCGAGGGCCACCCGACGTATCTCGGGCTCAGGACGTTCAGCCATACGCTGCTCCAGGCTGTATGTATAGAGTTTGTAGCACTTTCCAGCTTGTACTCTGCCAGCACGTCCTCGTCGTTGCTTACATGCTGCGCGTGAGGCCCATGTTTCCTCCAGCTTCCGCATGTTGTTCTGCGAGTCGAAGCTCGTCTCCTTGACCCTGCCAGTGTCAATCACCGCGACAATGTCATCGATGGTGATCGAGGTCTCTGCCACGTTGGTGGCTACAACCACCTTCCGTTTCCCGGGTGGGGCACTCGTAAAGACCCTTCGCTGCTCTCTTGTGTCGAGCGATGCATGCAGAGGTAATACGTGGAGTGATGAGATGGCTCTCAGCTGATTGACGGTCCGATTGATCTCCATAACTCCTGGCAAAAATATGAGGATCCCGCCCTTCTTATTGCTATGATGAAGGTCCGCATCGATGGCTTTCGCAGTCTCCGCTAGCAGGGAATAATTGATACGAGAACCCAATTTCTGTATGATTTTGTTGATCGGGTCTTGTGCATCGAAGGATCCCTTAGTATCCGCAGCGAACACCCCTTCGTCGCGAGTGTCACGATATCTGTCGTTCTCGACTGTAAAGTTCGTCATCCGGATGATGTCATCCAAGTAGTAGTCTTCGACTGGATACGTTCTGCCTGCAATCTCGACAAGACCAACGTGAAGACCCTCCGAGGTAAAATAATTCTGGAATGTGGCGGCATCGAGAGTGGCACTCATCAGCACCAGCTTCAAGTCATTTCTTCGCTTCAGAACGTCACGGATGATGCTCAGGAGGAAGTCTGTATCGAGACTGCGCTCGTGTACTTCGTCAATCACGACGTGACTGACATCAGCTAAAGAGGCGACCACATCGTCTGTTCGTCCGCCTGAGGTCTGAAGGCGTCTCAGTAACACACCAGTGGTCACAAAAGTGATCTTGGTTTGCGGACTCGTCTTGTTCTCCCCGCGGATTGTGTAACCGACCTCCCTGCCAAGCTGTGAACAGCGCTCGTCACTGACTCTGTCTGCTAGGCCAAGGGCTGAAATTCGGCGGGGTTGTGTGCAGACAATATTGGTAGCATTGCCTAGTCCCCTACTGTATAGATCGTCGAGGATGAACTGGACAGACTGAGTGGACTTGCCAGAGCCTGTCTCTCCGGCGATGATTGTGACTTGATTCTGCGCCACAGTGTCGACTACCAAATCTTTCACCAGCCAGGCAGGCAGCTTCTGGCGTTGAGACACCATCTGCTTTAACGCCGGGTCCTGCTGTCTTCTTTGCCACTCCTCCTTGTTGCGCATATCGACCGTCCTCGGCAGTGGTTTTGGGTGTCTCGCTTGTCTCCGCTTCGACGAAAGGGCACTTCGCACCTCTGCCGCAGTCGATGCCACACCGGAAATCTCCCTTAGTTTTCCAGGTTTCTCAATAATCTCGTTGATATTTTGGTGGATCCAATCAACCGCGAAGTAGATCTTCATGGGCTCCTCACTCAAGGATTCGTTGAGGTACATGAGTGTTTTCTTGACCACACTGAGTTTGATATATGAGGGAAGATCGGCTACCATAGCCAGGATAATCTCGGATGGATACCGAGGAGACTTCCGCACCTGCGCAAATGTCTCGATGTTTTGCTTCGGCCCGTTCCTTACGGACTCGATGCGTATCTGGCAGACATCGTCTAACAAGCGCTTGTAGTTGTCGCCGTAAACAGATGCAAGGCTCTCCATTTCCTCGTTCCAGCACTCCTCAGGCGTGCCAAGTATGAAGGGCTCTTCGGTGGTTCCATTTTGAGAGACTGAGTCGTTTCCGCTGTCGAGTAAGAAGCGCTGCAATGCTTCTGCGGTCTGTCCCTCGTCCCCTGTATGCTCATTATAAAGTTTTTTGCATAGTTCGGCTGAGTACCCGGATTGAGAGAGTCGTGTGATAGCAGCTTCGCGCTTCAAATCTTGGGTTGCGGCAACCGAAACACCAGCGCTGTAGGTCCCCGGCAAGGCCCATTTCGGTAGGTCGTCCTCGGGTACGTGTATCAGAAGCCACTCAAGGGTCTCCTCGCGATCCTTGCACTCCTCCACAGCTTCCTCGACATGGCTCTTGCGGAAACCCGAACTGGTCAGTTCCTTGATAGTGGAATGCTTTTGGAAGTCCGACATCTTGACTCCGTGGGGGTTCCAGATGACCTCTCGCCGGAGTAGGTCTTCTAGCGCAGATCGTGTCTTTCGACCCATCTCGACCTTAGGCACAGTCGTCCACCCCTTCATGGGATTGCCACCCCCGCCCGAGCCATTTGAAGCATTGCCCCGAAGAACTAAGCCAGAAGCTCCGGGCATGTTCCTTGCCTTCTCCCTGATTGCTTCCTGCTCCTTACGCCTCTTCTCGGCCTTAGCTTTCTCATCCTCACGTTGCTTCAAAGTAGCAAAGGGGTCGGCATCGTACAACCATGCATTGCCTTTCTTGACGTCTTCCTTCTTCAAAGCCTCGAATTCCTTCCACAGTGACTTGTAGTCTGGAGGTAATGACGTATGGATGTTCTTCATGCTACAGACTCGGAACAATCCGTAGGTGGCGGCTGCATGTCTGGCTTCCAGTGCTGTGGGCTTGCTCACAAGGTGCTTATAATCCGGGGGTAGCTTGAAAGGAGGCAGCTTCACTGTCTCGTGTGTTTTGGGATCTTTGGCACTCAGCTGCACGAAGAAGGCGAAGTCATCCGAACCCCTAATCTAAGATTCTCACATTAACTAGGTACATTCCCGCAACTTCGAGGATCAAGCCGCTTACCGGTTGGTAATCGGGCCTGTCCCACTTCTGCCTCTGACAGTGCTCTTGAAGTAGATTTACCGGCAGTTTGCCAGTCCAGCTTGAACCCCCGATAATCTGCTTCACCGTCGGTTTGGGCGGCCCCACGACCTCTGGCTCGCCTGGTCCAGGTCCTTGTGCACCTCTCTTCGGCTTCGGGTCTTTCGTAGAGTTGGTGAAGACTATGTTGAAGTCATCATTCTGAGCTGTGCTGCTACCGGTAGCTGCTTTGGATGACTTCTTCGACGAGCTCTTGGAGGAGCTGGCCGTTGCCTGCGGCATTGGTGCCGAGGCCTTTTCCTTCCCTTTCTTGACCATAGTGATCCATGGGTGGATTCTGGGGGTGTATGGGGTTTCCCTTCCAGATTCACGGTTGCTAGGGAACTTGGTTGAAGAGAAAGGGTCATGAACTCATGGGTCAGGGATGCAGTAAATGGAAAGGTGAGATTCGCAAGTCGAACTCTCGAGCGATAAGTTAGGCTGGCCCGGGGAATACCCGGTATCAAGTGCTGGCACAGTGCAAACTCTATTCATAAACCGTCGATGTTCTATTTAGTAACGTTAATAATGGTCCTGACTCACAGTACTAACTAGTCATGCGCCACACTGTACCGTTGCCGTGAATGTCATTTGCATTGAATGAAGCTGCCTTCCCCACTATCAACGCGATTGTTCCCTCCGCGGGGTAGCTCCGTCAATTAATCGTACTTGACCATTGATCTGTTCATGACGAAATAAAGTCACGTATGATACAGCGAGCGCCATCTCCTTCTGCTGGATAGCCCCCTCTTACTGCTGCTTGGTATGTAAAAACCGGGCGTTGAAATGGGAGGAACTTCGAGGTTGCTTTGTTACTATTCATAGTTCTCTATACCTACCTACGAGCTCGCGACAAAGTGACTACCTACCTGACCACCTGTCTCTGGAAACCGACCGGGAAAGACCACCTACCTATCAGACGCAATGCCAGCGACAGACTCAGACGGCGAAGATGCAATCACAAAGGAGGAAATCACCGGCACCGCGCCCGCCCCAGCAGCGACTGCGGCCGGGGTAAGCCAAGGGACGAAGCGCAACGCATGTGAGCAGCTACCAACCAGTTTGAAACACATGGTTCCTATCTGCCTTTGTTCACCCAGACAGACAGATACCTAGGAAGATGTCTAGATAGCAGGCTGATACGAACCCAAGTCGCAGAGCTCATGGCACCGAAGCCGAAGAAGACCACCGCGACGACCTCCGAAGACGAGCAGCCCTCGACACTAGCCTCCCGCCGCTCGACCCTAACGCGCACATTCAAGAACCGCGACGGCCTCGGCGCCTACACGCACGACCCGACATCGTTCCCGTCTTCGCGCGTCATCTACCACAACGACGACTTCGTAGCGATCAACGACCAATACCCGAAGTCGACGGTACACACGCTTCTACTACCGCGCCACCCAACCCTCAGCCGTCTGCACCCGTTCGACGCGCTCTCGGACGCCACGTTCCTAACAACAGTACAAGAAGAGACGGCGCGGTTGAAGCGGCTCGTCGCCAAGGAGCTGCAGCGGCGGTACGGGCGGTACAGCAAGCAGGACCGGCTGCGCGAGGCGGTGTTAAACGAGGAGGTGGAGTGGCCCGCCGGGAGCGAGCTGCCCAGGGGCCGCGACTGGGAGGCCGAGCTGCTGGTCGGCGTGCACGCGCACCCGTCCATGAACGACCTGCACGTGCACGTCCTGGCGCCCGACATGTTCTCGGACTGCATGCGCCACAGGAAGCACTACCTGTCGTTCAACACGCCGTTCCTGATCGACGTGGCCGACTTCCCACTGGCGGACGACGACCCGAGGAGGCATCCGGGACGCGCGGGGTATACCAAAAGGGACTTGCAGTGTTGGCGTTGCGGGAAGAACTTTGGGAATAAGTTCAAGCAGCTCAAGGACCACCTGGACGAGGAGTTTGAGGAATGGAAGAGGGAATGAAGCGTGATGGACCAGGCGAGCATGACAGTGACAAGATTGCATGCGTGTATGATAAGAGGTACGTACCTATTGGGAAATACTACTAGAGGATCAGGGCCTACCCCTTCTCGAGGATCCTCTAGTAGGACGCACGCGAAAGCTTGGCATGGGCCCGATACGCAGAGCTGGAGAGCCCGCGCCTTGGGAGGAAGACGCAAGACGCCACTTGAACGCGCTGTGGGGCGTCCAGGTGTAATAGTATTGTGTACGATTACCAGATTGGGTCGTAAGCTGATATTCAGCAGCAACTGTGCAACCAGAATCAGAGCTGATATTCAGCAGCAACTGGCAATCAGAATCAGACGCTGAATCACGGGCAGTGTGAGAGAGGATAGCATGCTCGAAACAAGCAAAGAACCTAGAATTGACCATAAATCACAAGAGCCTGAACAAGTTGTGCTCAGTTATACACATACATTTGTCCTCCCTCTTACGAAACGCCACCAACTCTCCATCATCCCGGTCCCCATTACCATAGGCGTCTTCCCATTGCGAAGCTCGCATTGAAGACGTTTTCGTTCCAGAAGCAGGTGTGCTCCAAGGCTCGTATAGCGTGAGATCATCTCCGTCCCTGCATGGCACTGATTCTCCTGAAGGCACTAGCCAGGAGCCCAGATGCGTAGGCCGGCGGGTCACGGTTCTAATCGTCCTGTGCGGACGCCTCGGTCAGCATGTTGTTTGCGTTATTGAGCAGAGAAAGTGTGGCCGGAGCCTCGATGTATAGCATGGGGAGGGAGTACTACCTCAGGAGCGTCGAGCAGATCGCCCCGGATGAGATCTTCGTCATCTTCTTCTGCATCATCGTTCATTCCGAGATCGACATCGCCAGCGCTGTCTGTGACGCGAGAAGACGCGGTCAGTGAAATATGCTTATTACGCGTCGTTCGCGACGACAGAAGAGTGAGAAGGCGCGACTTACCATCTGCGTCATCCACGGGCTGCTCGACCTCTTCCTCGGCGTCCTCCTCCTCCTCAGGCTCGTCGACCACATCGCTCTTGCGCTTGCGTCCGGGACCGCCCTTCTTGGCCTTGGTGGCCGACGACTTGGCCGCAGCCGCAGCCTTGGGCGTCGCCTTCTTCGGGGTGGCAGAAGCGGCAAGGGATGCGTTGCTGGGTCTGCCGCGACCGCGGCCGCCGGCACGCGTCGATGCAGCAGCAGTAGCAGCGGCCTTGGCCTTGGTGGCCTTCTTCACGCCGCTTCCCTTCGGGCGACCGCGAGGCTTGCCCGTGGGCACGTACTCCTTCTTGGGTATGGCAGACACGCCGTTCTTCGGGGGACGGCCGCGTCCGCGCTTGACGGGCGGGTCGGACGAGTCGGCGGCGGCGGCGCCCTTCGCGGGTGTGCCGTTCTCCTTCGCAGCTCCGCGCGCGGGTCTGGTGGGTGCCATTGTTTGACGTGTGTGTGGTTGCTTACGCGGGGAGAGAGGGTGATGGGAGGATGTCAATTGGGACGGTTTGGGGTGGTTTGGGTGGAAGGGAAAATGAGAAAAAATCGGCGGTTGATGAAATGGGATGTTTTGGGGGAAAATCAGGCGGAGGAGGGTCGTGGTGTCGAGGTTTTGCTATGTTCACGGCAAGGAAGGCCAGCTCTGATCAGTAAGTAGCTGCGGCAGGAGCTACTGTGCTGTGCTGCACCTGCAGTGAAAGTTACCGATAACTTTGAAGTGGGACCAACGCGTGTAAGCACAGACCACTTAGGTTAATAAGGCGAGCAACGCGTCCAACCCGGCAGGTGCGGAAGATTCCCGGCAGCAGCCTCAACCGAGATATGTTGTCCTCCCTATTATTGAAACCTTTCCCACCTCACATCAATAATAAGTGTGCCCAGATGCGCCTTGAGTTATCATGCCTTCCAATGCTCTCAGATTGGTAGGCGGGCCTTGCAAATCCGCTTTTGCAAAACACTCATACCTCTGATTACGTCTAACAATTGCTGATACAAGACGTCAAACATGGCTGTAGTACTTGTACTTGACCTACGCTATTCCCCTTTGTCCAAACCGGATGGCCGTTCTGATCTCGTGATATGCCATCCCTCTGCCTGGCATCCTTCGGCAAACCAGATTCAAAAACCCCGACTGCCGCCTGATGTACGGAGTCTGGACGATCACGTTGATGCCCTACTCAAAGCCGGCAAACGCCACAGTCTCTTCCGAGTAGGTCAGCATCTGGCCAAACCAGTCTGGTTGTACAACATCGAGGAAACCGACGCCCAGAGCCACAGGCAGAGTGAACCGGTTGCGTTCGTGTGTATCTTACGAGGCCAGGCAATCGTAATCTGGCAACGACGATGGTTGCGTAGAGGAAAGCCTGCATGACTCCCAGCACAGAGGGGTGGCATAGACCCAAGCACGGCACCGAACTTGCCGAATATGCCCATCAGGATCAGAAAGGCTAACGCCCACCACCTAGCTCTACGCGATTCGCAGCCAGTGATGACAGTCACTCCGTTGTTGGTAGCCTGGCTTACCATGGGCGGCCCCGTACCCAAAGAGCTTGAGAGGCTCCCGATTCCGTAACAGACTTTACTTCCTTGGACGCACGAACTGAACTCGATGGGCTCGATGTCCACACCACTGATTTCAGCTGTCGCGAGAATATCTGATATGCAGGACACGGCTCACATATAAACATGATGAGAAGAGGGATAAGAGATTCAGTGCACCATCGACCGAGAGGTGGAATATGTGCCCCCACACGAATGTTGCTGCTGGTGCCGCTTGAATACTGGAGAGGACCGGTATTCGGTTAAGCCGGAAAGGAGACATCCGACGAAGAGCCTGATGATCACGGATTCGGATTTCATGAACGACGAGCCGAATTGCTCCACGGAAATAATGAGACAATACGCTGAAGCCGGCCCAATGAGCTTCGGGTCGTTCCTAATCAGACAAGTTAGCCAACACCATCCTTGGATCTCCGATGACGTCCGTTCTCCTTACGGAGACAAAGGCCTTGGAGCTGAGATGTCGGGACACAGGACAGAGAACGCCTCGTCACCATGGCAGTTGCTGCTTCCTCCCTAATCCTGCTTGCCGTTGCCAACAAGGTAGAGTCCAACGAGCAACCACAAGCTGCCTGTCACAACTTTGGGAAGATCATGTTCAGTGTCTTTGGTGGCACGAAACTCATCGCAATCTGCGCCCACTCGGTGCACAGGATCGAGCCAAGGACAGCACCCCGAGCATCAAGTCAAGGCAAAGGCGTACCGTCTTCGACCGTTGGGCAAGAGCCATTTGCATATCACATGCTCGTGTAATTAAACGCGATGGGCAATATGTCGAACGTTGGGCCGCCGACTGAGAGAAGCGCGGTTCTGAAGAAGAATGACGCCTTGGTCAGGTGGACCCTCGTTACTTGCAGTACGGTCGTAATGCCGAATCGGTCACGATGAACGCCGCATATACCGTATACTGGGTGGTTGTCGAGTCGAGGTAGGAAGCGCCAGCAGCGATGGCCAGCGGAGGCGAGTCGCTCGACCCGATCATGCAGAGCGCATGCTGAATACCTAGGATGACCGTGAGCAGGATCGGAATGTCGTCGTCCTGCGGCCGGACATTTGGAGTGATGAGATAAAGGGATCTTCGATGACTGTCAGCTACAGTCTCGTGGTACACCGTGACCACGTGGACCGATCTCCGAGCCAGCCATATTGGGACAATGCTGTTGAATTCGCCGTACCCATTACTTCTGTCTCTTTCTCATGAACAGAGGTGCCCATTACGCCGTTGGGCGGTGTAGTATGTCTTCACCTTGGCACCTGAGGACGGATATCTTAATTCATTCCGGTAAGTGAAGGCACTGATTCATACGCTGGAGGTCATTGGGCTTGAGCTGGCTGCTGTCGGCCTCGCCTTTGGGGCCCTCGAAGTGTCGAGCTTAGATTCATCCGAAAGAGCTTGGGAGAGCTGGCAGGTAGCTGTTTATTCGGAACCGGGAAAGCTTCCCATGCTATACGTTAATATGAGCAAACGGACTCTCCATCTCACCCGGAACAGCCTGAAGATACATCATACACTGGTATGGTATATGTACTTGGGTAGAGACATCATGGGATCGTCGGAACAGGATGTTGATAGCTCAAACTTGCGGTACGTTTCTACCGACTACCAAACCAGAATATCCCCTGGGAACCGTCATGATCACTGTTTTTAAGATGACTCCAAGACTTGAAGCGGAAGAACAACCGCGGAAGAACAGCAGCGGAAGAACAACCGCGGAAGAACATCAACGGAAAATCAGCCACCTTAGGCACCCGGCAACTTATATATGATGAGCCTTGTGAGCCCGCTGGCAAGGCAAATATGTGAGCATACTACCCTCAGTGGAACATCCACGTCAACTGGTGAGTACCATCCGGGGAAATGAGACACATGCCAGTCTCATTCCATCTCCCATACATTTTGACGACAGCGGCGACCAAGTTCCCCACGTGAAGGATGCGGAGGAGTATCATAGATGCGTTTCTTCTCTTCGTGACATACTCAGGCCTAAAGTTCGCCTACCCGATGAAATATACAAGACCTGTAGATTGTAAGCACGGCAATCGAGACAATACTGGAAAAGGAGACATCCCTCGCATGCGGTTGAACTAGGAAGCGCGCCACAACTGATGGAACTGCGCCACACCCGAGGTTAGCCTCTATTCCGACAGTGGGGTGGTGATCCCGTCATCGGTCTTCGGCCGCAAGTTCAACTCCCGTCAACGTCGTACAAGTTACAACATTACAACACAATACGACACGCACGAAGCCAATTAATGGACGCGCGGTAGCATCTCATCCAATAATACATGCTTTTAATTACCACAATGCCGCCTAAGTAAGAGCTCAATGGTTTGTAGCAACCGACTTGGAACACCAACTCGGTACATGTAGTACCCGATACCAAGCATCCCCCGAAGACACCGAAGTCGTTTCCCGCCAGCATCCATCACCATGGACTTCCTCCAGTTCCTCTCGGCCCTGTTCGGCTGGGTCTATACGATCTGCTGGTCACTGTCGTTCTATCCACAAGCAATCCTGAACTTCCGGAAGAAGTCGACGGCCGGAACCACGGTGGACTTTCCTTTCGTCAACGTGCTAGGTTCGTTTTGCCAATACCGGGAGACGTCGCATGTTTCTGCATGGCCGAGAAAGACCGCTGACTAGGTACTGTAGGCTTTGTCGCCTACCTTGTATACACCTCGGCGTTTTACTGGTCGCCCGTCATCCGACATCAGTATGCCCTCCGTAACGACAACCATACCCCGACCGTCGCGTTCAACGATATCGCCTTTGCCGCGCACGCCGTGGTTCTGACGGCGATACTGAATACTCAATACTTCATACCCTCACTATGGGGCGTCGACCGGGCGACAGGCAGGAAGCCGTCGCGGCTGATGACGGGCGTGGCTAGCGGCTGCATGCTCGGCGTAGCCATCATCGTCTTCATCGTGGCCTCGGTGCCAGCCGACGCCGATCCGAAGACCGCCTGGGCGTGGCTGGACGTCGTATACGCGATATCCTTCGTGAAGCTGGTCGTGACCGTCGTCAAGTACGCACCGCAGCTGCTGTTCAACATCCGGAACCGTAGCACCAAGGGATGGAGCATCTCGCAGATCCTGCTCGACTTTACCGGAGGCGTGTTGAGCATCGCCCAGCTGGGGATAGACTCCTACCTGCAGGGCGGAGGCTGGTCCGGCGTGATGGGCAACCCGGTCAAGTTCGTGCTGGGGAACGTGAGCATGATCTACGACTTGATCTTCATGACACAGCATTATATCCTCTACCGAGACAATGGCTCGGCTAAGAGCGGAGAGAGGGAGGCGCTTCTTGAGAGGGGTGAGGATGATAGGAGGTTGGATTAGCGCTTTTCAAGCTCCGGTGGCAGACTTCATCCTGGAATAGAGGGGGGTGGTTGCATAGAGATGGTCGCTTTGCCGGCAGCGCAGGCCATTCTAGATGGAGTTATTGATACCCAGCGTTCCTAACCGTCATACATACCAGGTAGGATATTGGTCAACAGCGAATACATATATTTCATTTTCAAGTTCGGATTATGCTGGAGTTCTGTACCCGTCCAGATGTAGGCATTGGGGCAAGCGCAAGCGTCAGCCGGTTGTAGGTATGCACTGCGCGCAATTGGGACCCTGATCTTTGCACTTGTTGAACATCGCTGATTGTCATACATCCTTTTGGCAGTGGAGACATTTTCCACAGCTTGACGCAGTGTAAAAACCCGTGCTTCAAGGTGCAGGTACTGTGAGGCTCTGTTCCCGTCTATTGCCTCGTGGTATTCCCAAGTACCGACAAGAGGGGGCAATCAACTGTAGCAGAGGTCATGTGCCCGCCGATCTTCGGGTTGCTGACTAGGCTCTGGCTTGAGTTATAGTAAGCTGCAACACGTGGCACGGAGTACACAAGGCACTGCGGATAGATGCCTTTGGAAGGCTCGCTGCTTTGGTTTGAAATCCACCGCATCTTCTCAGATGGGCCTGTTCAACGTGAGACAAGATCTAATCTGTATGCTCCCGTGAGCGTAATTACCTGACAGCCGTTGACGTGGTTCAGAGCAATGCTGAAAGGGGATTAAGAGGATTGATGAGGTAGCCATCAGTTATGTATGGAAAGGTTCTTTCAATTTCATTGCCGGCGCTCACTCGAGGCTCATTGATTGAAGCCTTGGCCAACTTCATGGGCCATGGCAGATTACTGACTACCTCCTAACGTTACATACGGCAAAATATCGGCACCCTACTGCAAGGCTCGACCTTATCCTGCTTACTCCTGCCTTATAGCCGGTCGAGCCTGTTTGAGTATGAGCTTTATTCCGAAACCAGCCATCACCATCAAATGGGCTCCGTCTGCATTCGAACAGAGAAATTTGAACAGGCAAAATCTTCTCCCGGAATCGCTACCAGCTCAGGATCGCGAGTAAATCTAACAAGTCTGAGTATTATCGAAGGTCTCAACATCAAACCGAACCCAAAGTCCGATTCCGCGGCCGAAATACCCCACTCGATCGCACAAAACAACATACATAGCATCATGTCCAAGGCACCATCCCGAGGCCCATCCCGAGGCCCATCCCGAGGCCCAGCGGCGCCTGCACAGACACCTGGCTCGAGGGTACCCAGTCAAGCACCCGCTTCATCAGCGGCATCGCCCAGCCAGACGCCGCCGCTGCCCTCCTTTCCATCCTCTGGAAGCAGAGCACGCACCGCCTCCTCCGCCAGGCCCAGCTACATAGGGGGGCACACCTTCCTTCGAAAATTCCCCCATGCCTCCGCCACCCCTACCAACGGTGGTACGTGTGCAAGTCGACCAACGACTGCCTACTAATTCACTGCCCATAGTCTTTCAAGATAGAAGATCTAGACAAATCCGTCTGTTTCGAAAACGCTCAGGGGACGCCAGCATGGCTGATCGGAAGTGGGCAGAAGATATATTGGCGAGCCTGCTTCGTGCGGGCGTATAGAAGCCCTAACCGGAACGAGGCATTCGACGCATGGGACACTTGCAATGGCCAGGCTGTGTTACCGGCAGGCATCGAAGTCTTCATAGGCGGGAGAGGAGGACAGATCAAAGAGCACCGGCAGAGCAGCTGGGTCCTCAGCATCACGTGACACTGCCATCAACATTGCTTGTGTCAGCGTGGATAGGAGGTAGTCCTTCTCTTTCAAGCCGACACGTCGTTGTTGTTGGATTGCCCGACGCAGGTAGTCGCTGAAAACCCCCTTGGCTGTGCCCTTATGTATAGCACCCTCGCAAAGTGGTCATCGGGTTCGGGATGATCGTTGCACCATCAAGACAGTTGTCAGTCACTCCCAATTATATGCCAAATATTAAAGTTCGTGTGCAACACGCTCCACCTTGTCTACCATGTTTTGTTGTAGCCATGTGTCCTGCCATAACTACCCGTGCCACGCCCCACTTTATTCAGGATTCGCTCGGGCTCCCCAGCTAAAGCTGGTGCTGGACACCAAAACACCCAGTTTTTCAACCATTCCCTCTAGATCACACTTGTCTTCAACAGCTTCAACGCATATTTAATTCAGTAAAATGGAAGCACGCTTATAGGAAGCTGTCCAGCATATTGGAACTCATTCCAGTTCGAAAATCATCACGGTAGCCCGCAAATTTGGCATATCTCGCGATCGCCTTCAAAATCGCCTCAAAGGCCATCCAATAAGAAAAGGCCAACCAGCAATAAACACGAAGCTAATACCTACTAAAAAGGTGGCAATATATCATTATATTAATCGTCTTGATCGTATTAACCTTGCTGTATGCGCTGAGTTTATTACTAACGCTATAAATCACATTCTGAGCGAGCGAGCGTCTTCAGCTATACGGGACAGCCTAACTACTATTAGCCAAAAATGGACCAGTCGCTTTATCAAGCTTTATAGATATCACTAGTGGCTTCAAAAGCAGCTTCACACAGACCGGGAGGCATCAGAAGACGTTGAGCGAGTCGCTCAGTACTTTCAGAAGCTCCAAGAGACATGCAAAACAGAGGGTATCCCTCCCGAAGATATCTGGAACATGGACGAGACTGGCTTTCAAATAGGTATTGGGAAGAACCAGCTCATTGTCACCAAATGAAAGAGAGCCCACTATTTCAACACAGCTGAGAATAGGGAATCTACTACTGCTATCAAAGCTATCTCTGCGGATAGAAAATACATACCAGCCTTTCTGGTTCTGGAAGGCCAGCTCCATATGGCCCAATGGTATCAACAACCTGAACTGCATGGAGATATAGCTATTATCCTTTCTTTCAGCAACTACTCAAATAATTAGATCAGCTTAAAATAACTAAAGTATTTTAAAAAACACATAGTAACAAAGGCCATTGAGACAAAACGGCTCCTTATTCTGGATGGCCATGATTCACATTATACGATTGAATTTATTCAATATTACAAAGATCACAATATTATCCCTTTTGGCATGCCTCTAAACCTGACGTACCTGTTGCAGCCGCTAGACGGGGTAGTCTTCAAGCCGCTAAAGCATTATCACGCAAAGGCACTAGACTTAATGGTCCGTGATGGCCTGATGAACATTACGAAGCTTGAGTTCCTTAGCTGTATTTAGCAAGTCCGCCAGCAAGCATTCAAGTCTTGTACCATTCTCTCTGTCTTTTAGAAGACTGGTATCTGGCCATATAACCCGCTGCCGGTGCTTCAAATCCTAGAAGAACGACAGCCAAAAAGGACACCTACTCCCCCTGTTAAATGGGAGCCGGAGATAAGACACCGGAAGATCTCCAGTGGTGCAGAGACGCACAGGGCATCTGACCCACTAAAAAGACTGATGATCAATCTCTGCACGCAGAGCAGAACAAGCAACAGTATCAATCAACATCCGTGTATTCAACGCCCCCTACCTTGGCAGGTTCCTCGCCATTTGGCACGCCAATGACCTTACGCCAGATCAACAAGGTGGCTAATAAGCTAGACACAGCGATGAAAAGCGATGAAAGTCTTGATCCTGAGTTTGCTGCCAATATTAGCCGCTTTATCAAAAGGTCTCTAATAAGTGTCTCAGAACTGGTCCAGATTAAAAGAGACCTGGGGAAAACTAAATATGCTGAGCGCGTTCAAAAACAACGCCAGGCTACCAAGAATACTCCATTGAAGTCAGGAGGGGTGTTGACAATAGCTGATAGCCAGCGAATGGTCCAGCAGAAGGAAGAAGGCTAGATAGTCAAGGCGAGGAAGATGGTTGAAGCAGCAGATCTAAGAATTTGCAATGCTACAAAACGCTGTTTTTCCGAAGCAGCAAAGGCGTCACGTAAACAGAGGCTTTCTGTGAAGATGGCACTGGCGGAAATCTACGAATCTGGCCACAGTTGCAGGTGGTTAATGCCTTTCTAGTTGGATAGATCGAAAAACTGGGTGTTTTGGTGTCCAGCATCAGCTTTAGCTGGTGAGCCCGAGCGAATCCTGAATAAAGTGGGGCGTGGCATGGGTGGCAGAGACATGGCAAAATGCATAGATCCGTACAGATGACCAGGACCATGAGCAGGAAGATAGGGGGGAGATGATGGGACCTGCTCCGCTGGCAGTACTGCCAATTATGGCCATAGGGGACATTTGATTGGTCGAGAGAGGGGCCTGTCAAGCGTTAAGTCTCAGCGGTCCACAACGGACAAGCCCCCTGAATCGGACTTTGTGGACCCCTAAAACCCCTACCCAGACACCTGCCAAATTACGTAAGCCCCGTTTCCCCAACTTTACAGCTTTACAACCAACCTTCCACTGTCCAGACTGCAGGTGCTCACTGCTCACCGCGATCTCGCAATCCAGCCTCGCCTGCACGTCACGCTCTGATTCACCGGATCGACGGGAAATATACATAATTCCCACACCGTATTCATATCGAACGGATTCTTAACAACATTTCTTGTATGGCGTTCAACCTTGTTGTCCGTTAAGCTGTCCAGTCATTGCAACCAAGGCACGCGACCGCCATGTGCCGCTTCCTGGTTTGCCCCCCCTCCCCCCCCATTGAATACCTAAGGTCACACGAGAGCGCCCCAATGGCTGACTCACCGACAGGTCTACCGTGGTAGTGACGAGATCCTGCTCTCGAAACTGATTCTCGACCCGACACATTCCATATTGAAGCAATCCTTCGACTCGCGATTGCGCCTGGTTAGTGCTTAACCCCAACCCCAGCACCAGCGCCAGCATTACTAACCCCTATTCACACCGTCACAGGATACGAGACGGGGCCAAAACAACGCAGATGGCTTTGGCATCGGCTTCTACACTGACCCGAAGCTGGGCGCCGCGCCCTGCCTCTTTACGTCTACCATCCCAGCTTGGAATTGCACGAATCTCCAGCGCATAGCGTCCAAGACAGCTTCTCGACTTGTCTTCGCCCACGTTCGAGCCACGACCGAAGGATCCCTGAGCGAAGACAACTGCCACCCCTTCTACCATGGCAGCTTGATGTGGATGCACAATGGCGGTCTGGGAGGCTGGAAGTACATCAAGAGGAAGCTCGGCGAGCGATTGCATGACAAATGGTACCTCAACGTACACGGAGGCACCGACAGCGAGTGGGCCTTTGCCCTATTCCTCGACCGCTTAGAACGCCTAGGCGTCGACCCGTCCTCGCAGCCCAAGAAGGGGTTCAACCCAAGTATGCTGCGGCGGGCACTGCTTCAGACCATCGATATCATCAATGAGCTTACCGCGAGCATACCCGAGAGCACTGTCCAGAGCGAGAATGTCGATACGCGGAGTCTCCTCAACTTTGCCGTCACCGACGGGCACAGCATCATCTGTACAAGATATGTCAGCAGCAACACGGACGAGGCGGCAAGTTTGTACTTTTCTTCTGGCACCCAGTGGGAGACTAAGCAACCGTCTTCTGCGAACGACCGAGATTACCAGATGGAACGGCGAGATAAGGGTGCCGACATCGTGCTGGTCGCCAGCGAACCGCTGACATTCGAACGAGGTATGCACCATCCAACTTAACAAGATCTCTAGTATATGATACTAATAACATGGCAGAGAACTGGGTCAATGTTCCCACGAACTCCATCCTGACCATACATGGCCAAACTGTCATGGTGAACCCCATCATCGATGGCTACTCAAACCGTGACCCCTACCACAAGCGGTCTTCTGCTTTTGCGCAGACGAAGGGCTTGACTACCAACGAGAAAGCCGCACCTGGTGTTTCCAGCCCCTTACCAACCCCTGGCATCGACCTAAATGGTCACAAGCATATCTTTGCTCCTCTGATACCACCAGGCATCGGCCGGAGTCGAACACCGGAGGTTGCTTCGGCACAGGGACAGTTGCGAGGCAAGACGCCCCTATCATTCTCAGAAACCACGTCATCTTCATCCGACCTTCGCTCTGTCACAAATCTACCAACACCACGCCCGGAGATTGGCGCTAAGCTTCCTTCTCAGGGCAATATTAAGAAGAAACGACGGTCGCTTACTACCGGGGAGCAGCCACATCCTGCCGAGTATGTAGATGCGGAAGAACAGACACCGTCGAGCCCTATACAAGCGACACCGTCGAGGGCATCTGAGTATATAACATCAGGGAAGGCAGCCCGGGTCCTGGGTATGTCTCTGTAGGGAGGACTACCAAGGATGTTTGCGTATGGGCGATCACGCAGATTTCCCCCAGGTCAGGCTGACTTGTCGCGACACTGACAATGGTTCTCAACGTTGACGGTAGAATGGCAACAAACGGGCAGGGACTAGCATGGCGTTCTGAGTTGACGGTCGGTGGGTAGACAAGCCGGGATTGCTATGCCAAAAACATGAACCTAAGCTGGAGGAGTTGGTTGAATGTTTATGAGTACCATACCCAGTGTCTGCATTAGAGATTATTCAATATATCGATCAGATTGAATCATTTTGATCGACCACGCCCAGGAGAACAGGGGTGTCGGGCCTTCGGGGCAACGACAACATCTGCATCATCTACCTTCACTGTGCTATCAGCATCACAACACGGGTCTCTCCATGTTGCCACATGTTACACTGAACGACACTCCCCGTCCACGACATCCACATGGCAAGTGCACATCATCAGCTCCTGCTGTGTTCTCATGCCTTTTGACTGGTTACGGATCTGATACTCCTTCAAGCTGAAGTAGGAAAGCGACGCTGGAACACTTTCTGACTGGCAAGTCACTTCCTTGCACCCTGATGACCACACCATGAGCATGACCATGACCATGACCATGACCATGAGCATGACCATGACCATGAGCATGACCAAACATGGAGCGTCGTTACAACCTTCCTGAACAAGAGCGCAGTCGAAATCAGTGAGACAGGCCCAGCTGCACTCAGGATATGAGTCCATGTAATCGCCGTCTCTCGCATCCAGGAGGCTGCATGCATGCCGACACCATCCGAAACAACACTCGTCGAACGACTCATGACCTTGTCGCATCCTCCTTGCCAGATGAACTCTGCAGACCACAGATATCATTCGCCAACTGCCTAATACATGTACTGACTCACGCAGCCTCAAACACGACCCTAACGCCCTTTGACCCCTTCCACGGAATCGGCGTGAAGTAATCCGCCGCCATCTGGCAGTCCCGCGCCGTGGTCTCGTGATGCACGCGTATGAACCCCAGATCCCCCGGCCGCCGATCGCCTTTGCAGGTGCTCTTCTTCTCATCCCCATCCGCTTCCGAGGCGTTATTGTCATTACCGCACGCCGGTCCGCCTCCCCACCGCCGGAACAGCTTCGCGAGCATGAGGTGCAGCTCCGCTTGCGCGACGTTCATGCCCAGGCAGACGCGCGTGCCGCCGCCGAAGGCGACCATGTAGCGGTCGTTGTGCTTACCCTTACCCTCATCATCATGATTATCGTCGAGCCACCGCTCGGGGCGGAACGCCAGGGGTTTTGCGAAGACAGCCGGGTCGCACAGCGTCTGGTACCAAGTCATCCCCACCGGCGTCCCAGGCGGAATGCGCCACGTCCTACCACGCGACTTGTCGTGGAATTCCAGCGTCTCGGTCGGCGAAATGCGCGCGAGCCGGCTGCTGGCGCCGACGCTGAGACGGATGGACTCGGTTACTACGGCGCGGAGGTAGGGGAGGGCCATTAGTTCGCCGAACGGTGTGGGGGTGGAGGGGTCTGGTAATGCGGCGAACAGCTCGTCGCGTAAAAGTTTTAGGGAGGATGGGTTGTTGAGCAGGTGGAAGGTACCGACGGTCAGCGCCCACGAAGTCGTCATGGTGCCCGCCTGCACTAGGATCTGGCCCTCCTGGGCTATGCGCTGCGGTGTCTTCTCGGCGGGCGGGAGGAGGCGCGATGAGAGCATCTCGTGGAAGATGGTGGGGTGCTGCGGCACCCTACTATCTTCCAGGTTCGTCCGCTTCGAAGAGGTGGTGCCGGATTGGATGTCGAGGGTCTGGTCCAGGATGGAGGCCTTGAGTTTGAGGAACTCGTTCCAGCCGGGGATGTAGCGCCCTGTGAGGGACTCTGGGAGCTGGTTTGCGAGAGCTAGGAGCCACGGCATGTGCTTGATCGTGTTGCCCATGCGCGTGCCGTCCAGGAGGCTGTCGGTCGTGTCGCGGCCGTAGTTGGGGTCCTCGACTGATGTGATGGCTTGTGAGTAGGTTGGGTTCACTGGTTGCGTGGGGGCTTTCTGAACTTACCGAGTTTGTTGCAGCGGGAGAAGGCGTACTCGCAGATGACATCTATGAAATGTCAGCTGCCGTGAACTGTCCATGATGACTGGGCGTAGAGACCTACCGTTCGTGTATGCCGAATAGGGGTACATCAGGTCCAGCGGTTCGTCGGAACTGCGGCTGTGCTGCTTGAAACGCTCCAGTAGGGCGTCGACTCTCTCCTCGATCACAGGCTGCAGTTTGCGGACGGCGCTCATGGAGAAGAAGGGGTTCATGGCGGCCCGGCGGACGCGGTGGAGGTTGTGGTCAACGGTTGCGACAGTCGAGTCGGGCGCTCCGAACTGCAAGCATGATCGATCAGAGACACGCATTCTACTTCATATACATCATAACAAACGAAACGGTTGGTACGGACCTGAGACGTGAAGAACGACCATTTATCCCGGGGCCGGGTGGGTCCCGGATAGACCTCCGAGAAGAAGTCCGGGTCGGCGACGTGGATCTCGTACGGGTTGATCCGGATGATGGGACCGTATTCCCGGTGCAGGTCGATGATGTTGAAGGTGTACTGCCCCCCCAGGATGATGTCGTAGTAGAACTCGTATGCCCAGGTCAGCGCCGCCAGCTTCGGGCCGGGGATGTGGGATATGGGGCTGAGGTACAATCGACGCACGGCGAGTTGGGAGACGTAAGTGATTAGGATTACCACGGTGGCCAGCGCGGGATGGCGCTGTAGGAGGCCGAGGGCTGACTGGATTAGGTTGAATAGTGCCATGGTTAGGGTAGGTGGTGAGAATGGGGAGGTGATATGCCTAGAGTTGTCACAACAAGGTTGACCTGGATTACCGGTATGAGGTAGAACGTCCCTTGCTATAACATAGCATGAGAGATGAAGCTCCATGGAGGAAACCACACCCACGCGTATCCTGACGATCCCCTCCAATACACCAAAGGGGCATCGACAAGTGCCAGTACGACCTTGGGGTGAAACGTCACTCCACCTTGCACGGGCAATCACGTCCTCGAGGACGCGATACTTGGGTTGCCATTGGTCACACATGGTTACTTTTCTTCACCGAACCCCTGTACAGAAGTACTGTTACACCGGCACTTGCTGTAGCAGTGCAGAAAGGTATCACGAGGGGTTGATGACTAAAGGGCATGCATGTGCGGCCGTCTATTGGGACAGCTTAAGCTGGTCTATTGTGCATACTCCTAGAAGGCCCAGTACGACACGCTCTGCATACCTAGAGCTGTTTTGAGTGGACCCAGCATGTAAGTCAACATTCCTATAGCAAACCCGCTGTGAACTTGCTGAGCAAGGAGCTCAGTTGAATCCAGTGGGCCACGCCCAGCTGTATCGAGGATCTCGAGGACCACGGATTAGGGGACTATTCTAGGCCCAGAGGGGTCCAGAGGCTTTCCGTCCGGATATCATACCCAAGGACGTCAATGACGGCCTGAATGATGAACATGCTGTACACCATGCCGATGGATTCAAGCCACATATAAGATAAGCTGGAAGTTGGAAGTAGTCAAATAGTCCAAGTCCAGACTCGATGGTCTAGCAGAAACAACACACGGCCGTGCTCTACGCAAGCCCATACTCCCTCACCAGCTTCTCCGCACACGTCATGCCCGTCACGTACGCCACAGCCTGGACATGGCAGCTCGCCAGCACGGGCACGACACTCATATCCGCCACGCGCAAGCCCTCGAAGCCCGTCACCCGAAACGCGGAATCGACGGCCGCGTCCTCGTCACCTGGCCGGCCCATCTTGACCGTGCCCGTCATGTGCCAGCTCGACGCGATCGTTCGCCGCCAGTAGTCCAGGATCTCGTGGTCCGAGTCGCCCCCCGGACCCGCGAGAAGCGCGACGCTGTCTCGGGCGTAGGCCTCGCGGCGCGCGAATTGTAGCGCTTCGCGCATGGCGTCGATGGCGACACGGCGGTCGAACGCCGTGGACAGGAACCGCGGGTCGAAACGTAGTGGTGTGGCCGGGTCCGCCGACTGCAGCGTCACCTCGCCGCGCGCCTGCGCGTTGTAGTAGAACACCAGCAGGCACGATGAGTTGAGGTCTGCGGCGCTGAGTTCCTCGCCGCCTGGCAGGAACCAGTGCATTGGGAAGTGCGTCAGGATCTCGTAGTGCGGCACCGTGGGCGCCTCGAGGTAGGCCCTCTCCGCGGCGGGCAGGGCCCGGAACTCGGGCGTCTCGGCTAGGGAAGCGAGCTTGAAGAAGCCGATGCCGAGCTCGCAGGCGAACTTCGACCAGGGGCCCGTGCCGTCGGCGCGCCATTGCGCGAGCGCGATGTCCATGGCGGCCTGCGAGCCGTAGAAGGTGCCGCGGGCCGTGCTGCCTTCGGCCCGCGTGTAGACTAGGGGGCTGAACATGTGGTCGCGGAGGCCTTGCCCGATGGCGGGTGTGTCTTGTACAACGGGGATGTTAAATGCTTCTAGCTGGCTCCTGGCCTATGCCGGAGTGCATGAGGATGTGTGGGGTGTTGAGGGATCCGGCTGAGAGGATGACTTCTTTGGATGCTAGATCTGGCCCTGGAAGTCAATCAAAGGGCAATCGCGCCTCGCATCGAGGGTTGGACTCACATTTATTGCCATTCGATTCGACGCCGATAGCCTTTTTGCCTTCAAGGATGACGCGCTGTACGGGCGAGTCGGTTATGATGGTCAGGTTCTCAGGGATAGGGGTCAACAAGTCTTTCGCCGTGGAACGGAGGCCCTTGGAACTCGAGTTGATCAGGATGGACATACCCAGTGGATTTCCCGAGTTATGGTCCGGGTTCACAGAGAATCCAGCTTCCTCGAACAGGTCCATCAACGGCGGCAGATCCGTCTCCCACTCGGCCGCATATCCCACGTGAAGCGGCCCAGCGCTGCCATGGTCCTCTGCCTTGGGCGCGGCATACTTCTTATCGATGGTCGGCGGCAGCTCCCCATGGAAGGTCTCGAGCCGCTTGAACCGGGCCCAAATCGGCTCCCACCTGAAATTGTCATCGCCGACGATCCGCGCCCACTCCTCGTAGTCGTCCCTCGCGCCGCGCGTAAAGACGCCGAAGTTGATGGCGCTGGATCCCCCGAGCCCGAGGCCCCGCGAGTAGTCCAGCTCCCGGTTCGCGCAGTGCTCCTGGGGTGTCGTCTTGTAGCTCCAGTTCATGCTCTCCTGCTGCAGCGTCACCCAGCGCTTTCCGTCGACGAGCATCTCCCGGTCCGAGTTCGGGCCTCCGGCCTCGAGGAGCAGCACGGTGGGCTTCTTGGCGGCGGCTGCGAGACCTGCGGCGACGGCGCTGCCGGCTGGACCGCCGCCCACGACTACGAAGTCGTACTTTGATTCCATAGATAGGTAGCTGCAATGCGACGGCCCAGGACGCTTGCGCTGCAGGTGTACTTAAGAGGTCGAGTGTTGATGAGAGGGATCGTCGAAGCAATTCTATCTGCGCAACTCAGAGGCAACTTGAAGGACGAGTGCCACACAAGATATAGCAGCCGCCGTGAGGAGGCATGGCCAGTGGCACTTCGGGGACCTCAGATAGCTAGGGGTCTTCGACCAAATCGCTTGCATGTCGGTTGCCGAAACTTGGCACGGCTTCCGAGATGCCCGGATGCGTGATAAGAGGATGACCAAAAGCCCAAGTCCGTATAGCAGTCAAGCGTCGGCTGCAGTACCGTTTCCTGTAGCACATGACCTAGGCTCGCTTGGCCTTGGTAAGCAACCCGCATGTAACTCGCTTTCTTCATCAGATGATGAGCCAGGCACCGCTGCAGTCTGCAGATGCTGGAGAACGGCACGTCAGCACGATGGCTGGCTGGCGGGAAGTCCTATTGGACCGTAGGATGCTGCACAAAAGGTCTATGCTGGTGGGCGGGTTGGGGGTTGGGGTATTCGGGGATAGAGAGGCGGTCAAGCTTATCACCTAGGCCACCCTCGCAAACCCGTGCTTCGGGAGAATTGCGATGAGAGGCTCTGTGGTGTGTATGGCGTCATCGGAGGCCAGGGAGGGTAAGGGTACTCGCGCTTTGCTTGACCTCTCGTGTAGTTAGGTTATCGAAGGCGTAAGGATCGTGCGTTCGGACGGTGTTTCTAACAATGGAAAAGGCAAGCCAGCTCGGAGATGGATGTTTTCTGGTGTTAGGTAACGTAGATTGCATAGGTCGCCCGACTCTGTGTGCTATTGATCTACCAACAATTGCGTAAGAGTGTCGTGTTGCTGTCTACAGAGAATGGGCTGTGAAAGGATAAAAAACAGTCAACACATCAAACATGCTCAGAAGTAGAAGCGATACGAGTCATCCACCTTCACAAAGGCACAATTGTTGTGTCGTCTGTAGGCAACCAGGGTCTCAGGTTCACAAATGTCTTATTCCTACATACCGCAGCTCATGCCCACCATTGGTAACAGTTGTTGTCCCTCACTCTCTGCTTCAGAGGCGTCATACTCGACCACTGTAAGCTTACGCTTTCTCCGTTGGTTTAGAAGTGGGATCATCGTCCAGGTGCCTTCTGGCATTCGAACTGCAAATCCCAGTTAGTAGTCACTCTTGCCAGACCAAAGCGTGATACGCAAGCTGAGTGCTCCTTACCCTCCTCACGCTCGATGACTTGCTCTTCGGGGATGATATCCTCCAGTTTAGCCTCCAGGCAGCTGTCCACAGCGGTGACGGAGGCGGACGCCGGCGTCTCCTCTCCCAGCTGTTGCCGCACCCACCTCCGCGGGGCCTCCGACAAGGTATCCGACAGCGATACTATGACAGTATTCTGGCAATGTAAGCCGACAACGCTACTCTGACCAGATAGTCCGACAAGGTAATCCGACAAGGTAATCCATACAAGTACTCGGTTTCGTACTCAGACAGGTGTAATCGGACAGTAGTCGTACAATAACCCACAATATGTCGTGCGTCGCATTGACGACCACAAATCGCCTCCCAGTCCATCTGTTTGTTTTGTTTGTTTTGTTTGTTTTGTATTTAACGTGGGGGGTTGCTCCTCAGTAGTGCAAACCACGCCTCCCAGAGCCTCTGCATCGCAGGGTTGTAGAGGTCTCAAGATAATAAGTACAGTCAGTCCCGCTCACGGGCCCATTCCCGTTGTTGCGGCGGTATGACCTTGGGGTCATCCATCTGGTCCTTCAAGAACAGCTATCTATTGAGGGCAGACTGATGAAAAGAATTTGCTTTTTTTCACGAATTTTGCCCATTCTGTGCTCCTCTCCCCTAAGTATTGTAAACAAGCTGTCCTAGGCGAGTACCTGGGCAGCAGCCGATTTTTCCCCAGCCTCTTACAAAAGAAAATATGTTGTGGTGTTTTTTTTTCACCACAGTTACAGTGATCATTCGAGTCTGTATGCCCAAAGCGTTCATGGTATCTGGCAAAGTCGCCATGTCCAGATCTGGCCGCTAGAAGTCTGTATAAAGTACTCCTTTTAAAAGATATAAGGTCTCTTTTAATTATTGTATGTGAGTATACTTCTTGATATCTAGGTTCTGATTGGTCTTTTTACCATTAATTAAACTCTTTTTTGCCCTTTTTTTTCAGATCTTTCTTGACCCACGAGATTGTGGGAAGGTTTGTCGTGTCTGATTCTAGCATGGTACCCTCTTTTGTTAGTATGTCAGCAGCTTCGTTGCCATTAATATCTCTATGTCCAGGAATCCACTTGACGGTCACTTCAGGAGTGTGTGCTGTGGTAAGTTCTTGGAATCATAAAAAAATGTTCTGTGATGTCTCGGATGGGGTCCCATTGAACCCATCTATCATTGATGTGTTGTCCAGGCAGATATATAGCTGTTTTCCGTGTCCAATTGCCCTGGCTGCTGTAAGACCTTGGAGAGCACCATGGACTTCAGCATCTATTACTTCTGCTTGGAGAAGTCTGCCCTTCCCCCGGTATACTTCTTGTGTAGTGCCGCCTTTCCTAATGGTATAACCCCATCCAGTGCGGGTTGTGCCTTGGTCGTCCAACTGTGATCCATCTGAATAGATGACAAGGTCAGTGTTCACGTTTCTCTCCTGTAGCCATTGCTTAAAGAGCTCTATTTCTTTGTTTTTGTCTTTACAGATTAGGGGCTTCTTCCATGATGGCCTGGTAAGTATTGGTCTCTGGAAGTCAGGGACTAGCTGGAAGCTCTTTTATAGCCTTGTTGGATTCTTGTGAGCTTGTATTTGGAGCCTGCCAACAAGAGGGTGTCTCTGGTCTATTCGTCCTAGTCAGAGGCCGTGACGTCGTCTTATTGATTCTGTAAGAACTCCTGCTGGGGGAATCTGCGATTCAAAGTATAGGATATGTCTAGGGTGTGTTTTCCAGACTGGCAAGATAGCCCTAATCGCTGTTCATAGTACGGCATCTATCGTTCCAAGAAGCCCCTTAATGCGACATACTAATATCCCACCTAAGCTCCCTATTTTCTCAATTCCTGGGTACCAGGCCTCCAGGCCGTGTGTAAGAATAGGAATAATACAAGCTTTCACAGCCCTCTTGGTTGACTTTACTGGAAGTCCTTTGACTGTGTTGCATAGTCCTTGCAGGTGATTTGCTACCTTATTAGCTTTCTTGGCTCAGTAGGAAACGTGATCTTTGAAGTTTAGTTTTCTATCCAGGAAGACACCCAGCCATCGCATGGAGTCCTTTGCTGTTTTGTTCATTGTCCCGTGGCGGACTGGAGGGTTGTCTGAGTTCTTTTTCCTTGAGAAGTGCATGATCTCAGTTTTGTTAGGGTTAAATTTAATAGCATTATTATGTCCCTATTCATTAAACAAATAAAGATTTTCAGAAGCCTCTATAGCTGTTTCCTTAAGGTTCTTTCTAATACAGAGAGTCGTTAGGTTGTCTGCATATCCAAAACGTCTCTTTTTCATACCAAGTTAGGCACAGATTGGCTCTGTATACAGCATGTAAAGGATTAGAGAGGCTGGTGAGCCTTGTGGTAGCCCATAAATGAGAGCTTTTATATCAGTCACGATACCTTCAAACCGAACCCTTGCGGACCGCTCGGACATGAATGACTGGACCCATCTTATAAGAAAGCCTGGCCAGCCCTGTTCTCTCATGCGAACCACCAGTCGTCCCATTAGGGCAGCGTCAAAGGCCCTTTTCACATCTGACGTGACTACTGTTGCAACGAGGCCTTGGTCAAGGGCCTGCTCAATATCATGTATGAGTGCAGCTACCAGTTCAGTGGCAGAGCGCTTTGGTAGAGCTCCAAAATGTTGTGGAGCTAGAATTCCAAGTTTAATAACAAACCAGGTAATATTTTTGTAATGAGTCGTTCAAGGCCTTTGCCAAGACATGACAACAATGATATTGGTCTGTAGGCCCTGAATTGGAATAGTCTTTCTTGCCTGGTTTTGGGATCATCACCACCTCAGCTACTTTGAATGGTTTAGGGTGATGTCCAATCTGTAGATAGGTCTGGAAAAGGGCTCTGATATGTTCCCCAATGACTGGCCAGCAAGCTTTCAGAATCCGTACTGTGAGGGTGTCTATTCCTGGGGAGTTGTTCTTGGTCCCTATAGTACACCCTTCAGCCTTTTCTAGCCCGACATGGTATTTAAGGGGGATGTGTGGTTTGGGTTGTGTGATCTGAGCGGACCAGGGGTCAATGATATCGTTATCTGGAGTACTTCGTTCAAGCGTGGCTGAGCGTAGTGCATTTGCCTTGCTCTCTTATGACTCGAATATTTGGTCTCCTATGATGATTGGGGGGAACGCAATCCTGTTGATAGCTTGTGCCAAGAAACGATTCTGTACAGGTCCTTTGGCTCACTCGCTGAATTGATTAGAGTCTGCCAGTATTCTCTCCTAGCTTTCTGAACCACGCGGCGAAATTCCTGCCGGGCTGAATTCCGCCCTTCTTGGCTTGTGGTGTGTTTAGAAAGGGCCCTATATATCTGAATAGCTGTTTTATATTTATCATTCCACCAAGCAGTGGGTCTAGATTGTTGGGGCTTCTTGCCCACTGTCCTGACACAGCCTTGGATCATATTGATCAAGCTCTGTGTAAAGGCATCCACCTGGCCAGGGGATGCACCCAGCCAGGGGAGCTCATGAATCCTGTTTTGGACATTGTCCACCAGCTCTTGTAGTTTATCGTTTGGTACTATCCAATGATTGGTCTTAAGGATCCGGTCCAGATCTCCCTAAATTGGAATGACTATTCGTAATGTCTCGTGATCTGAGGTGCACTGGAGTGCATCATTTACTGAGGCTTCGGCCATGAGGACATCTGAGAAAACCAGATCTAGTACATTTCCGTCATCATGTGTCGGGACATCTGGTTCAGAAATCAGATCCAGTCCGTGGTCTGCCATAGTCTGCCGACTCACGGATTGGAGAACATCAACCCGAAGCTCAACATAGATGCGAGAAACATCTCTATTCCGACCGAACTGACGACCTGGCCTGGTTCTTCGTCCCGAGTGCGCCGCATCGGTAAGTATAATTGAGCCATGAAGCGGATGCCACTAGGTGGGTAAACACTGACACACTGAACGATATAGGTATCAACTCTTTCGGATACGGTGGTGCCAACGCCCACGTCATTCTGGAGGCGGCCGGTCCATATCAGAACGAATTCGTAAATGATGAGTCGGACCGTTTACGTACCCGGCAGTCGACTATCGTCCTGCCTCTGTCAACCGCATCTGCGGCGTCTCTCAAAGCTAGGGTGGCCGATCTAGGTAACTGGGACTTCGGCAGTACGGAACTCGATGACCTCGCATACACCCTGGCCTCTAGACGCACTCAACTTCCCATGCGAGGCTTTCTCCTTGCCTCGCAAGGCGATAACATCTCCCGGTTATTCAGTTCGCAAGCTGTCTTGACATCTCCAGTACCTGCATCCAGACCCGCTCCATACGCCTTCGTGTTTACAGGGCAAGGGTCCCAACGGCCGGGAATGTGCTCCGAGCTATTCGCAGAATTTCCTGTCTTCCGCCAAGTTGTGGTCGAGATGGACTTGGTACTCATGTCTCTGCTCTATGCGCCTGACTGGTCTTTACTCGACGCTATCCTCGACATAGACAATCCTCGACATAGACAATCCGGATCTCATCCACCGCCCGGAGAGGTCACAGCCGTGTTGCACAGCTATTCAGATAGCCCTGGTCCAGCTCCTAGCCTCCTGGGGCATTGCCCCTGCAACGACAGTTGGCCACTCGTCCGGCGAGATCGCGGCTGCGTTTGCGGCCGGTCACATTTCCGCGGCTGAGGCTATCGTCATTGCTTACTATCGAGGCTATCTGGTATCCAACAACAAAGCGGTGGGCGCCATGATGACTGTTGGTCTTTCCGAAAGAGAGGCTGCCAACGAGATCACCCTCAACTCGCTGGACGATAAACTCACTGTGGCCTGCGTCAATTCACCCGATGGCGTGAATATATCGGGTGACCATACTTCAGTGGTCGAGCTGCATCGAGTTCTCGAAAAGAACAAGGTGTTCGCGAGGGTCCTAAAGACTGGCGGGCAGGGTTATCATTCACATCACATGCTAGCGATGGGCGAGGAGTATGAGGCTTTGCTCGATCGAAGATTGCCAGTACTTGGCCCCTCGACAAGACTGCCGAAAGGGGCAACTTTCGTCTCGTCTGTAGATGTAGGCGCGAAATCGTCGGACTTCAAGGGTCGTTACTGGCGCCAGAATCTTGAAAGTCAAGTACACTTCGTCCCCGCTATCGAATACATCCAGGCTCAATCCGACCATTGCTTCGTAGAGCTAGGACCGCACTCGTCTCTCGAGCTGCCCATCAGACAGATCTTGACCAAAGCAAACGGCATTGAAGCTCGGGTCAATTACGCAGCTCCGATCAAGAGAAATGAGAATGCACTACAAAGTGTCCTCCGGTGCGCCGGGTCGCTATGGATGCAGGGGTGTGACATCAACTGGTCTAAAGTCAACGGACTGCAAGCCCCTTCCAAACCATCCAAGCATCTGCACCGCGTGGTGACTAGTCTGCCGCCGTACAGGTTCAACTATGAGCAAACGCTCTGGGCAGAGGGGCGATCGAGTGTGGAATATCGTCAACGAAGATATGGCCGTCATGAATTACTGGGGTCGCTGATGGATGCTGGCAACGGAAGGGATTTCATCTTTCGCAATATCATTAGACTGGGCGACATCCCTTGGCTTCAAGACCACAAACTTGGAAACAACATCGTTTTTCCGGGAACTGGATATCTAGCGATGGCCATGGAAGCGATGATGCAAGTGAGCGGCGTTGACTACACCAAGCCCTCATTCCATTTCTCCAATGTCAACATCACGAATGCCCTGGCTTTACCGTCCGAGTACCTTGCCCAAACCGAGATGTTCTTCTCGCTCCACCGACGGAGCCTTCCAAGTACCGCGACCTCGTCCAAATGGTGGAAATTCAACGTCTCTTCCTATACCGATGGCGACTCAGTCTCCCACGCCACGGGCGCAGTTGCCATGGAAAACAGCGCGAGTATCTTGAAGCCAAAGTACCAACCGCAAGATGGTACTCTCGAGTCGACAGCAAGACGTATATGGTATGAAAAACTCACCCAACAAGTACTCAACTATGGACCGACGTTCCAAACAATAACTCATTTCGAGACTTCCCGCATGAAGTCGGAATCCTTCTGTACCGCAAAAGGCCCACTGCTGAAGTCAACTGATGATGATCCAACGACCGAATACCCCGTCCACCCAATCACTCTAGATGCTTTACTGCAGCTAGCAGCTGTGTCGGCGGCAAAGGGTACGCCCAAAAGTCTTCGGGCTGTTGTACCAACCCGACTGACCTCAGTGGTCATAAACACAGCCGCTACTCCCTCAGACATGACGTGTCGCATGAACTCGGTCGTACGAAGCACCGGCTTTGGGTCCCTCGAGGCCGGAGCCGAACTCATTCAAGAAGATGGCGAGGTCGTGGTTCAATTTGACCAAGTCAAGCTGAATCCTTACTCCGCTGGCACCCAGTCCATCAGCGAAATAGACACGCGCCATCCCGTACTTCGTCTGCTATGGAAGCCAGACGTATACGGTCTTGGGTTCATGTCAGCTCTGGGCTTGGAGAAGTACACTTAGAGCTTCGCTCGGGAAGCTGGCTCGTCCGTTTCAGATGCATCACTAATCAAGTTCGGAGCTATCATTGACCTGCTCGTGCACAAGGACTCACGGGCGCGTATCCTCGAGCTGGGCAATGGTAGCCGCGAATTGACCACTGCTGTCCTGGACCTGTTATCTTCTGAAACCGCTTTTAAGCGCTTTTCGAGTTATAATACGGCAGCTTTCGATGACGAGGGCGTGCTTTCTGGCCAGCTCGTAGATACCCAAACCGGCCAATCTTGTACAGAAATGACCCACCTGCAAAGCGGCGCATTCGACCTTGTACTGATCCCGGTCGCTGGTCCCTGGGTCCAAAGATATATTTCACAGATCACGAGCCTGCTTGCCGATGGCGCGTCGGTGCTTACCCTGTGTCCGGAGCCTGGGATGAACAGTTTCCAGTCAAGTGGCCTGTCGTGCCTTACTTGTCCGACCGGGCACGGTCTGGGCCTTTTCACTGTTGCTCGTCCAGTGCCAAAGTTGAACATGGAAGCCTTGCGGAAGCACGAGTTCTTGATCGTGGAGAGGGAAGAAGAATCGAAGCTTGGCATGGCGCTGGCACACACCCTCAAGCAGATCCAGGGACACGAGGTGGCGCGTACCACCCTAGATGGCCTCACCACCGACCAAGTCTCCAAAACGTCTACCATCTTCAACCTCTGCGAGCTGAAACGCCCTCTTCTCAGCACGATTTCCGATCATGACATGCGTCATGTGAAAGTCATGACTGACAACGCGACAGCTCTTGTCTGGGTGACAGGCGGAAATCTCCTGCTGGGAGGTGAGCCGGACTTCGCGCTTGCTTCTGGCGTGGCTAGGGCAGTGGGTATGGAGCAACCTGCGCTCAAGTTCTACACGTATGATATCGACGACCCGGAAGCGAACGTGGACATGACAGCTCAACGTCTGATCTCAGTCCTGAACCAGCAAGGCTCAAAGCCAGACATGGAGTTCGTCCAAAGAGATGGCCTTGTACACGTCAGTCGGTTCGTCCCAGATGATGGAGTGAATAAAGTCTTTCGAAACAAGCAAGGCCTTGAGCATGTGAGTTTGGCCGCGGCAGCGGTTGGTGCTGCGCAACTCTTTATCGAACAGCCTAGTCAGTTCGATAGCATCTTCTTCCACCAGCAAGAAACGCCGTCCAATATAGGCCCCAGGGATATCTGCATCAAGGTCGCATCGGTGGAGGTCAATGCGAAAGACTACTACGTCTTGGCTGGAAGAGTTGAGACGCAGAATGCGACCTGTCAGCTTGAGTGTGCAGGCACAGTCGTGCAGACTGGATCCGACGTCACCGAATACGCTGTCGGTGATCCCGTCGTAGCCATGGCACCTACCCACTGCCAAACGTATCAGGTTCTGCCGACTTGGGCCTGCCATAAGCTCCAAGAAGAGGACAGCTTCGATGTTTGCGCCACCCTACCCGTCGTGTATTCCACCGCCCTCTATGCCTTGCAATATCGCGCCAAACTCCAGGCAGGGGAAACTGTTTTGATACATTCAGGTGCTGGTGGTGTCGGAATCGCCGCGATCGAGGTGGCATTGGCCGCCGGCGCAGAGGTCTTCACTACAGTCTCGACGGATGAAAAGCGGGAGTTCCTCGTGAAGACTTTTGGTATAGGCCCTTCTAACATTTTTAGCTCTCGAGATACGTACTTTTCCGCAGGGATCCTTAAAGCCACCGCGGGCCGTGGGGTAGACGTGGTCCTTAACTCCCTAATAGGGGACCAGCTACATGCAACATGGCGATGCGTTGCAGATTTCGGCCGCTTCGTGGAGATCGGCAAGATGGACCTCTCTACCGCCGGCCGTCTGGAGATGGATCCTTTCCTTAAGAACACAACCTTTACCGCATTCGACCTCAGTTACCTCTATAACACGGACAACGAGCAGCATCACGCGCTTTGGAACCAGCTCCTGTCCGAGGTCATGTCCTTTTCTGAGAAGGCAAAATAGCCCGTTCTGTGCCCTTGAAAATTTTCGATGTTTCCGAGGCATCCCAAGCGTACCGCCTATTCGCATTGCGTAGCCGAATTGGCAAGATAGCCATCAACCTCGAGAACGGAAGTTCCGAAATCAAAGTCCAGAGGCTGAGATATGAGACGTCCTTCCACCCCGACAAGAGCTACGTCATGGTTGGCTGTCTAGGAGGGCTGGGACGCACCCTTGCTCGGTGGATGGTCAGCCGGGGCGCACGCAAATTCGCATCCTTAGGTCGGTCTGGACTCCAAAACCCAGCAGCGCAGAATCTCGTGAGCGACCTCAATGCTTTTGGTGCCAAGTCTTCGGTCGTCACAGGCGATGTTTGCAATGCGGCCGATGTGGAACAGGTCGTTGCTGCGGCAGAGGCAATGGGCAGCATTGGAGGTGTCGTGCAAGCCGCCATGGGTCTTAACGAGGCCATCTTCTCCGACATGTCCAATAGCTATTGGCACACGGGTATTGACCCCAAGGGGCAGGGGTCCTGGAACCTGCTTAACGCCCTTAAGTTGAATGGGAACGCGGCGCAACTAGACTTTTTCCTGATGACCTCGTCTGTTTCTGGCAGCGTCGGCACGGCCACCGAGTCCAACTATTGCGCTGGGAATCACTTCCTCGACCTCTTTGCCCGTCATCTACGAAACCTGGGACTTCCCGGTATATCGGTAGGCCTGGGTATGATCTCCGAGGTTGGCTACCTGCACGACAATCCGGAGATCGAGGCACTTCTCCTACGTAAGGGAATTCAGCCCATCGATGCCGACGAGCTCGTACAGATTCTGGACCTCGCTTTAGCGTCTGCGGGTAAGACGATAGGAGTCCACCATGCCTATAACGGACCTGCCATAGTGCACCAGCTTACCGGCCTTGAAGCCTCTGGGGTCCGGCAGCTGCGAAAGAGGGGGTTTGAGGGAAACCACCCCGTTCTAGAGGACTCGCGCGCCGGACTTCTCGCCAGCGCCCTAGGCGGCGACGATAATAACCCCAACAGGCACGGCCAGAAAGGGGACATGCCCGCAGAGGTGACTCAAGCCATGGAAAAGGGGCAAACGCTGTCAGAGGCCGTTTTGAGCCACGTCAGGTACATGTTTGCGAACTTGGTGCTGATGCAGTACGATGCGGTTGCGATTGAGAAGCCGTTAGCTGAGTATGGGATGGATAGCATGATCGGTGCTGAGTTTCGAACCTGGCTTTATCAGAGCCTGAGGGCTGATGTGCCCCTCTCCATGTTGTTGGGCAAGTCGTGCACGTTGAAGGAACTGAGCAACGTTGCAATTGCTGTGGCCATGGAGAAATCGGAGGAGGAATAGGGACTTTCTCATTGAGAGGGAGACTGTAAGAATGAGATGGGCAGTTTTGTCGCTGCCCGTTTTGTATGTGTTTGGTGTTCGTTCAGGACCTGCTGGGCTAGCCAAAACCCCTGAAGCCAGCCCCTGAGACGACCTGACCACAGGGCGGCCCGTAAGTAACTATCAAAATAATACGAGAAAGGCTTGCCACATAGCGTCCAATTTATGAGAATTGAGACTGCGCTTCACAACCGAGCAGCCTCAACAACTACCCAGTTGTAATGTAGGTGACAAGGCTGCATGTTAACGTGTTCGTGGCATCGAAGCGACAAAGCCCTCCTTCAAGTACTACCGATGTAGAAGGGTAAGATATTGTACAGCCAAATCCTGGTGTCGGCAGTTTACACATAATCGGGGCATGCAATTGATGTCGTGTATCGGCGGCATGATGGTTCTCGCCGGTAAATGCAAGACTGATGAGCACCCAGAGAACAAGAAGCTTGAGTGAGGTACCCGTGCCACGCCCCACTTTATTCAGGATTCGCTCGGGCTCACCAGCTAAAGCTGGTGCTGGACACCAAAACACCCAGTTTTTCAACCATTCCCTCTAGATCACACTTTTCTTCAGCAGCTTCAATACATATTTAATTCAGTAAAATGGAAGCATGCTTGTAGGAAGCTGTCCAGCATATTGGAACTCATTCCGGTTCGAAAGTCGCCACGGTAGCCCGCAAATTTGGCATATCTCGCGATCGCCTTCAAAATCGCCTCAAAGGCCATCCAATAAGAAAAGGCCAACCAGCAATAAACACGAAGCTAATACCTACTAAAAAGGTGGCAATATATCATTATATTAATCGTCTTGATCGTATTAACCTTGCTGTATGCGCTGAGTTTATTACTAACGCTATAAATCACATTCTGAGCGAGCGAGCGTCTTCAGCTATACGGGACAGCCTAACTACTATTAGCCAAAAATGGACCAGTCGCTTTATCAAGCTTTATAGATATCACTAGTGGCTTCAAAAGCAGCTTCACACAGACCGGGAGGCATCAGAAGACGTTGAGCGAGTCGCTCAGTACTTTCAGAAGCTCCAAGAGACATGCAAAACAGAGGGTATCCCTCCCGAAGATATCTGGAACATGGACGAGACTGGCTTTCAAATAGGTATTGGGAAGAACCAGCTCATTGTCACCAAATGAAAGAGAGCCCACTATTTCAACACAGCTGAGAATAGGGAATCTACTACTGCTATCAAAGCTATCTCTGCGGATAGAAAATACATACCAGCCTTTCTGGTTCTGGAAGGCCAGCTCCATATGGCCCAATGGTATCAACAACCTGAACTGCATGGAGATATAGCTATTATCCTTTCTTTCAGCAACTACTCAAATAATTAGATCAGCTTAAAATAACTAAAGTATTTTAAAAAACACATAGTAACAAAGGCCATTGAGACAAAACGGCTCCTTATTCTGGATGGCCATGATTCACATTATACGATTGAATTTATTCAATATTACAAAGATCACAATATTATCCCTTTTGGCATGCCTCTAAACCTGACGTACCTGTTGCAGCCGCTAGACGGGGTAGTCTTCAAGCCGCTAAAGCATTATCACGCAAAGGCACTAGACTTAATGGTCCGTGATGGCCTGATGAACATTACGAAGCTTGAGTTCCTTAGCTGTATTTAGCAAGTCCGCCAGCAAGCATTCAAGTCTAGTACCATTCTCTCTGTCTTTTAGAAGACTGGTATCTGGCCATATAACCCGCTGCCGGTGCTTCAAATCCTAGAAGAACGACAGCCAAAAAGGACACCTACTCCCCCTATCTTGGCAGGTTCCTTGCTATTTGGCACGCCAATGACCTTGCGCCAGACAAGGTGGCTGATAAGCTAGATACAGCGCTAAAAAGCAACAAAAGTCTTGATCCTGAATTTGCTGCCAATATTAGCCGCTTTATCAAAGGGTCTCTAATAAGTGCCACAGAACTGGTCCAGACTAAAAGAGACCTGGGGAGGACTAAATATGCTGAGTGTGTTCAAAAACAATGCCGGGCTACCAAGAATACTCCATTGAAGTCAGGAGGGGTGTTGACAATAGCTGCTAGCCAGCGGATGGTCCAGCAGAAGGAAAAAGACCAGATAATCAAGGCGAGGAAGATGGTTGAAGCAGCAAATCTAAGGGCTCGTAATGCTACGAAACACTGTTTTTCAGAAGTAGCAAAAGAGTCACGCAAACAGAGGCTTTCTGAGAGACTGACACCGGCAGAAATCTACGAATCTGGCCATAGTAGGTGGTTGAGGTGTTTCTAGTTAGATAGATCGAAAAACTGGGCGTTTTGGTGATCTGGGTGTTTTGGTGTCCAGCATCAGCTTTAGCTGGTGAGCCCGAACAAATCCTAAATAAAGTGGGGCGTGGCACGGAGGCTGAATCCTGATGGGTCGGGCTGCTCAAGCCACACCTCGGTGCAAATACTTATGTAAGCTCAAGCCACGTTTCAAGAGTGGCGCACCAGATCTTTTAGTAGCATAAGTTTAATCTCCATGTCGTCAATGCGTCAATGCCGCAACGTCGAGCTCTACCTCTACCTCACGCCACTCCACTCACCAGACCGCCAACGACGAGGACGACTCTTCCCCTAGAGCATCGTCACAGGCCTTCGATGCTCACCACCAAGAACCATCCCGAACGCCTCGGACTGTGATCCTCGATCATCGGCATGAGCGGACGGCTTATATCAGCCGCCGGGCGCCTGCCGGCAACGCGTCCCGGACTGGTCCGAGCCGTTCGCCAGTATCACCACCTGCCCTCCGGTGGCCTTCTTCGAGCTGATTCCGCCATACGCGCAACCCAAAGACGCATGGGCTTTTCGATAAACTCCTACCATAATGCTGTTATTGTGCGCAATGCCTCCTTTGCGCGCTTTCTCCCGAGGCTCGTCGTCAAGTTTGTGAGGATTCCCGCCATGGCAGGAGGAGTCATGATAGGTGGACTGGCCTGGATACAATACCAAGCTACTCGTACGTTGATCCTCTGACGTGGTATTGCCCACAAACCTACCAATCAGAGTGGTGCTAAATACGATCCAGAGGCGGGCAACTACGCTTGGGATGTTTTCAACACAACGAAAGATACCGTTTCGACTACCGCCACAGGATTATTTGGCGGCGCCAAAGACATTGCAGACCAGACGATGCGAGGATGGCAGAACACGAAGGATCAGGCGGAACTACCTGAATGGATCCAGAAGATTCTACGGATACAAGAAGAAGTAGGAACGGGGAAGGGAGACGGTGGCCCTGGAGGAGAGGAACCCCCAAATCAGAGTAGAACAGGCGCCGCTGTGGCTGGTGGCACTGCTGCCGCATACGGCTACGACCAGTCTTCCGAAGACGATCCACGGAGCGCCGACGAGATTGCCAAAGACGACCAGATGATGGTGTTGACGAAAAAGATGATCGAGATCCGGAATATACTGGCAAGAGTTGGACAATCAAGTACTCTAACGCTACCCTCGATCGTCGTTATAGGGTCGCAGTCTTCTGGAAAGAGTTCAGTCTTGGAAGCTATTGTTGGACACGAGTTCTTGCCCAAGGGAACGAACATGGTCACGCGGAGACCCATTGAGCTCACCCTGATCAACACCCCCGATTCCAATGCCGAGTATGGCGAGTTTGCGGATCTGGGTCTGGGCAAGATCTCCGACTTCTCCTCCATCCAGCGAACCTTGACCGAGCTGAACCTAGCTGTCCCCGACACCCAGTGTGTGTCCGACGACCCGATTCGTCTTTCCATATCTTCGCCGAATGTGCCCGACCTATCCCTGATCGATCTCCCTGGCTATATTCAGGTGGTGGGCCAGAATCAACCTCTTGAGCTGAAGCAGAAGATATCGGAACTATGCGACAAATACATTCAGGCGCCGAACGTCATCTTAGCGATCTCGGCTGCTGATGTTGATCTGGCTAATTCAACAGCGTTACGAGCGAGTCGAAGGGTTGACCCCAGGGGCGAAAGGACAATAGGGGTTGTGACGAAGATGGATTTAGTCGACCCGACACGGGGCGCTTCAATACTCAACGACAAGCAGTATCCACTGCGTCTGGGCTATGTCGGCGTTGTTTCCCGTGCTCCTACTACTGCGGGATTGTTCAAGAAGGGCAATGCGAATTTAACATCGGCCATCACCAAGAACGAGAACTCGTTCTTCTCAGCCCACCCCTTGGAGTTCGGTCCCGGCGCGGATGTCACAGTTGGAACCTCGACGCTACGGAAGAAACTCATGCACGTCCTAGAACAAACCATGTCGGCCAGTCTGCAGACCACCAGTGATTCTATCCGTCAGGAGCTTGAGGAGGCAACTTACGAGTTTAAAGTCCAATACAACGATAGGCCTCTTTCCGCCGAATCTTATCTCGCCGAGAGCTTGGATGCTTTCAAGCACTCCTTCAAACAGTTTGCTGAGGAGTTTGGACGGCCACAGATGCACGAGCTTTTGAAAAATGAGCTCGATCAACGGGTGCTTGACCTGTTAGCCGCAAGATACTGGAACAAACCGATTCAAGATCTGAGCGTCCCTATCCCGGAACCTGATAGCCTTGTCGACCTTCCCAAAGCTGATCCGACCGCTATGTACTGGCGTAGACGACTAGACGCCTCCACCTCGGCGCTGACGAAGCTTGGTGTCGGTAGACTCGCCACTAACGTGGTAGCGAGTTCGATTCAGTCACACATCGACAACCTCATCAGTCACTCGACTTTCGTGAATCACCCATTTGCGCGTGAAGTCATCACGGAAGCAGCCTCGAGTATATTGAACGACAGGTTTTACAGTACCAGTGACCAAGTGGAAAACTGCATCAAACCGTTCAAGTTCGACATCGACATGGAAGAACGTGAGTGGGCGACTGGGCGGGATCACGTTCAGGGTGTGCTAAAAAGGGAACTATCTGCATGTGAAGGTGCTTTCAAATCCTTGGAGGACACTGTCGGTGGGAGGAGGAAGTTGAAGGAGGTCATGACCTTTGTCGACAAGGCGAGGAAGGGTGATGTTGTGGTCGAAGGCGAGATTCGCAGTGGTGCTGGCGGCTTCAGTGCCTCACTGCTCCAAAAAGGTTTGAAATATGCCGCTCGGTCTGCTCTGAGACGTACACTAATATCTTGCAGGTCGCGAAGCTGTCTTCCTCCGAGACCGCGCTGACATCATCAAGATGCGCATGCTGGCTGTCAAGTCAAAGCAATGCGCGAATATGAAGAACAAGTACAACTGCCCAGAAGTCTTCCTCGACGCTGTGGCTACAAAACTCGCATCAACAGCAGTCCTCTTCCTGAACGTGGAACTCCTTTCGGAATTTTACTACAATTTCCCCCGCGAGTTAGACTCGCGACTTGGTCGGCATCTTTCTGACGATCAGGTGGAGAAGTTTGCTAAGGAGGATCCCAAGATCAAGAAGCACATCGAAGTTATCAGACGTAAGGAACTGCTCGAGTTAGTCCTGGACAAGATGGAGAGCTTGAGACAGCTTGAAGGCCGTGAGAAGGAGCGGTCGAGGCCGGGCGGCCAGAGAAGCAACGATAAGGAGCGGGGACGATGGGGTATATTCTAGGTCGCGTCTCTGCTCAATACAGTGATGAATTATCATGATGGGAATAGGAGTTTGGGGTTTTGAGTCGCGGCACTGTCAGCGATGCTTGTTTAAATATCACTTTTCACGTCTCCACTCGGTGGTCGGACTGGTGGCTGTCTCGCGTGGTTACATAGACTTGATCCCCCCTTTTGTTTTGTAGCAACATTCGATGCAAATGAAAAGCGCAACGCTCAATTACGCAAGTGTCCCATACCTGTTTTTGTGGAGTTTCGGTGTCTATCGGACTGCCGAATGAAACGTTCACTGCATTTGGCGCTGACAGGAAGTAGCTGCAGAAACGTAGGTACCCCACGTAGCTCTCCTTATATCGAGGAGTTGCCCTCTTGTACGCTAGTACCGGTAGATGGTGATCTCGAATAATGGCAGTACCCTTTTGACTCCTATATGTTTGTCTCGTACATGTACCCCAAACATACATCTCAGATTAGCTCGAGAGCGCTTGTGCAAGGCACGATTTACCCTTACATGTATCGATTTTAGCTCCGAATATTACCAAGTAGGAGTAACAGCGCAATTTAAAGGAGCATGCTTGCGTCATGAGAAGACATGGCTGCAAGGGCCATCGTGATACATCGTGTTTGTCTACCTTGAACATGCCTTCCTGAATAAATATACTCAATGGGCAGTAGAAAATTATTCAGTTCACGAATACCTCTGAGAACTGCACCGTATGATACCGGTATGACGGTTGAGCTAATTGAATATACGGCTTGATCATACCCGTGTCCTTGCTCTTAGAGCTGCTGCTACAGTATCCCATGTCTTTATTTGCTTGTACGACATCCAGAAGCCAGGGATACTTTATTAGACTGACAATGGTATATATATTAGTTAGGAAGGTGCGGATGTGATGGTGTTGAGGAAGGGGGTACGTAGTTACTTCGGTAGATAGGTGGGAGCCTGCAGGCACCCAATAGGCAGGCTCCTGCTTTCTTCACTCACTAGAAATTGATCGTGAAGCTAGGCCTTGCAGGTAATTGGTGCCCCAGGCCGATATATGATCATCACATCCTCTCTTCCAACTTGACACTCCTTAAACTGGCGCTACGCCTTGCACGTATTGGGCCCCAGGTAAAATATAAACCTCACACCCTTTCTCTCAACTTGGCACTTCTCGGAGTGACGACCAGCACCTCTGATTTTAGTCATCTACCACCCTTACAGCTCATATGCTCTTCAGCACTGAGCCGGAGCTATAGTCCCCTATCTTCTGCACCTCCACGATACCATCTAGGACCGAGTTGACTCTCCCATCATCATCGTCATCAGCTGATGTGTAACATCTCATCATACACATGCAACATCACCCTAAATCTAATACGCAAGGCAATTTGTCCAGCAACGAATCGATACAGGCAACTTCACAAGCCAGTTCCCGGCCTACTGCGCACAACCTGCTCCTTATTAGCTATCAAGGGTTGGCTGCACCTGCGCGAGACTCTCTAGAACCTCTTATGCCGTCTCCTTCCACCTGTGGCATCTATCTTCACACACATCCAGCACCATCCGCGCGATACTCTCGGGAACCTCTTGTGCCGTCTCTTTCTCCCTGTGACATCGACCTTCACGGACATCAACAGCACCTGCACGAGGCTCTCTGGAACCCCTTATGCCGTCTCTTTATCCCTGAATTTTCTCTTCACACACACACATCCAACAGCACCTGCACGAGACTCTCTGGAACCTCTTGTGCTGTCTCCTTCTCACTGTGATTCCTCTCTTCACACACACCCAGCGGCACCTTGAACCTGGTGCACCAAGCAGGCTTTCCAATCATCAACATCATCAGGCAACATACCAAGGCAATCATAACTAGTCAAGGTTACAGCACTATTCCCGTTACCGGTTATCTTGAGTTGTACACCTTCACAAGACTCTCTAGGTGCTCTTGGGTTGTCCATTCTTCTCATCGGCTGCTGCGACTTCTCTCTTCAGATACATAATACATCCAGCAACGTCCATAACCTGGTCTGCCGGCAATCGTTCCAACCACCAACATCGAGAGGTCATTTGACAAGCCAACGAGGTACCTTCTTACTCCCAGGAAGGAACCGGAGCCGTCGTTCTTTCCTGCCCCAGGTAACGTCTACCAGTTTTGAAAGCGGAAAGCGAGGTATGTCTTGTATTGCATCACATCCAAGCGGAAATAACCCCCAGTAGTCACAAGTACCTACCTACTGACTCTCATAATATTAAGTACATGGTACAACGACATCTCCCCATACTCAACAACCTCTCCTCATACAACATTCGACGCCACCTTCCTTGCAACCCTGGGGCACACAATACTTACGACATATCCTCATACTCAACGACCTCTTCTCATATTCAACAACGTCTCCTGATACGACCGTCGACACCTTCCTTGCAACCCTGAGGCACTCTTCTCTTCTTCTCTAATATAAGTAAGCAGTCTCCCTCTCATCTTTGCCCAGCGACTCATGTCAAGCATCTTGCAGTCAGAAAATACCTCATGGTTCGGAAGCTACATATCCCGTACCACATCATTATCTTCATCTCCTTCCGATCGCATTAATCACTTATTTCTGGAGGTGCCTACTGATTCACAGCCCATTATTAGGTTCACTTGCGCCTCCTACAATCCTCACCTAACCCCGACCATCCACAGACATCCTCACAGCAGCGACTCGGCCATGGCGTCAAACAATCGCGAGGAAGGAACGCTATGCATCGGGATTGACTTTGGAACCACGTAAGTACCTACCCATCAAGGTGCCGACAGTGTGGAATACGCCGAACAGTTACTCCCAAACTATTCCGTGCTTGCCTACAGGTAGGTGCCGGTGTGCTAACATGAGCCTTAGGTTCACGGGAGTGGCGTATGAGTTCCAAAAAGGAGGACCCGAAGGTCAAGCTTCCAAAATCGAGCCTCGATGCGTCCGCTTCTGGCCCGCCGTGGAGACGGCAAAGATAGACTCGAAGGTCGCCTACGATAAAGATGGATCCGTTTCATGGGGCCGCGAAGCTGCGAACAAAGACAACCACATCTCCTGGTTCAAACTCCTCCTACTCGAAGATGGCGATCTGAAAAGCCATTTGCAAAGCTCCAAACACATCAAAGAGTCGGCAGAAAGGCTCGAGAGTCTCGGCAAGGATCCCATTGACCTAGTGACGGACTACCTGAGATGTGTTTGGGAGCATGCACTCTTCCAGATCACGGAAGAACAAGGGAACAAATTCATGGAGCGTACCCCTTTCCACGTGATGGTAATACCAAACCCAGTATTTGGATGGTGTTTTCAACCAGCTGATGATCATCAAAGGTCACGGTACCCGCTATCTGGCCAGACTACGCTCTTCAGCGAATGGACCGAGCCTTGCAGGGCTCTGGCATTCTTCGAGCCCGCCCGTCATGCAAGGATACCACTTACAGCTTCATCCTTGAGCCAGAAGCTGCTGCCTTTGCCTCGATTTTGGGCCTTGGCAAATACGAGACGCTGAGGGCTGGTCCTACGTTCGTAATAGGCGACCTAGGAGGTGGTACCGTGGTAAGTAAAGCCTGATATTCAGTCCTCTCGATCTTGATCTTTGTTTACTGATTCAACGAACCAGGACATTACGAGCTTCGTGGTACGCAAGGAGAATCTCGAGCTTGCAGAAGGTGTCGAAGGAGATGGTGGCCTTTGCGGTGCGACCTTCCTGGATCAAGCCTTCCTGGCCGGCATAACGAAGAAGATCAGCGGAGCGAAGTACAAGTCTAAGAAGTTGAAGGCCTGGGAGAAGATGCACCCAACGGATCGACGACGAGTGCTTGAGTTCTGGGAGAATGAAACCAAGAGAAAGTACTACGATGGAGCAGGTCGAGTCAGGTTCGACATGGGAGTTTTGGGCAACCTAAGACCTGAACTCTGGATGGAAACGTAAGTTTACGCGAGTGCTTGACTCAACAGGTCATCTGGTTGTAACAATGGGAGCTAATTGCTTGGTGAATAGGGACGAACTCAATGACATCTTCGCCACTGTCTACAAGGACATCCTTGCGCTATTCGAGGTCCAAGTCAAAGCCATATTCGAGAGCACTGGAGTACTGCCGAAGGTATAACCTCGACTACTCATTGATGGTCACCAGGTCCGTGTTGTATGCTGACGTTTGTGTTTAGTTTATCGTACTTGTTGGAGGCTTGGGTGGATGTAACTACATCTACGAGAAACTCAAGGCCCACTACGATGGCCGCATTGAAATCCTCAGAGAACGGAGTGATGCCTCCTGGACAGCTGTGGCACGCGGTGCCGTCATCGCTGGGTCCAACAAGCAGAACCGAGAGATCACGGTGCACTCACGAGTGTCCCGTTACAGCTATAGTTGGACGAAGCATGAAGAATATGACCCAGCGATCCACAGCCCACTCGATCTCGATATCAACGACGTTACCGGTGATGCCATAGCCCGAGATCAGATGGTATGGTTCATCAAACGGGTTAGTCAGGCCATTCAAGCTCACTCCCCGGTTCTTTGGTCGCTCTGCAAAGCCGCTGGTACTACTGGCCGAAGATCCCTGACTGAATATATCAGGGCGAAAAAATGGCGGTTGATAGTCCGAAGCTCTACGACTACGTGCGACACTTCACACTAGACCAGTCGGGGGTTATCTCGTTTTCCGAGACGATTTACCGCTCGGAGAGATCAGAGCCTCCCGTTCGCCTTGCCGAGAACGGAACGAAATACGAGGGGCCCTATGGCGAAGCTCTGGAGGATGGGTTCTGCGAATTTGCGACCATCGACATGAAGACCCCCGTCCCAGTGGAGAAGTTACCCCTGAGAGGCAACAAGGACCATAAGCACCGCCTCCTGTAGTACCAGGTTGCTGTCGACGTTTCAGGTGCTTCTCTGGTCATTGATGCTTTCTGGAACGGCCAGAGCATCGGAACCAAGATCCTTACGCGTTATGCAGGCTGAGTGGGCGTTGGTATGCCACCGTCATCATCCATCAGGACCGGGTGAGATGAGATTGGGTCAGGGGTATAGACCGATGACATTTTGCTTTTCTGGATACTATGCTGGATATACTCCACGAGAGATTACATTAGGTTCACGCAGACTTTTGATTTGGGTGCACGCAGAAGGCAGACTCCTATGATGGATTGCGCAGATTTCAATACGCAGGTTCACTATGATCCGCTCACTGCTTCGTGGTTTCGTTACTGCTCAAATTATACAGATCCCCAAGTCTACTATTTGACTCAGACACACATTGCTAGAATGAGCACTGATGCCCTTTATTCCGCTGAAGGATACTCTGTAACTGCTTGCCATCTTCGAATCTCACCGTTGCTCTGTGATTAGCCGCATAGCTTGCCAGCTTGAGGGAAACTCAAGATTCAGACATACTGGCATCGGCCCGGCCTAAGACAGGGACTATCAAGAAATCTGGATTGCAATCTTGCATATCTGCTCTAGGGGACGTAGAGAAGACAGTGTGCCTTGCTGTGTCTAAGGTATCAACTAAAGCCTCAATTTGTCTCTAGATACAATTATGCTGGAGGCAAAGCAGGAACGTCTCCTAGAGGTGCGTTATCTCGTAAAGTATGCCAAGAAGGTGCATAATCTCGAGACCCCCCTTTTGAGGCAGGGGCAGTTACTGCTATCACACTGATTTTGGGATGATATGCCAGACAACCACCCGATCGACCTCATTGCGACTTGAACCACCAGTATAGACTCAAATGAGTTATTTGGAAAGAGTAACCCTACCAACCAGTTGCTCGTGGTGTTCATACGCTGCCAAATCTCCTGAGCAGGGATAACTCCACTATCAACGCCACGACCAGTGCAGTGATCCGACTCGTCCCTCGCCATCAAGAGATCTGAAACTCCTCCTCGCGACAGGGATCTGACACTCCCCTCACGACAGCAATCTACAATCGTTCCTTGTTCTAGCGTAATTGCCCTCTCCACCGGCATCGGAGCTTTTGCATCTGAACCTGGCACTCGTTGGATCGGCGTCACTTCCAAACACTACACAACGCAACTTCGAGGATATTCTCGGCTGAGGTACTTCGACTGGCCAAGAAACTCTCCTTACTCAAGAAACCTGGTCCCAGACAACATCCATACCTCTTTTCATCATACACCCTGTTCCTTCACCCTAATCCTCATCCACGCCAATTATTGCACTTCTTCTTCGCTTCGAACCTAGTAGAGCACTTTGACCTCTCAAGCCTTCATCACCAAACTCGTCGATTCATCATATCTACCGAATACCGACCACTACAAGTCAAACATGGCTAGCCATCCCAAGAAACCCGATACCGCCGTCTCTCACCCGCAAGAGGCCAAGAAGCGAGATCGAGAGGAAGGCTCGACCGAACATGACCAGCAGATCATCAAGAAACTGAAGCAAGAGCTGCAAGACGCTCGTACCGAGTTGACCGATGTTCATGATGAGCTAAAAGAGGCTCGTGACCTAAATGAACGTAACATTAAGGCCCGACGCAGTTTCGAGAATTCTGACACAGAATTGCGACGACAATTCTTCGATCTCCGAACCAGCATCCGGGAATTCACCAAGGCACGATGCGGCGAAAGCATCCAAATCAAAGTACCAAGTCTACTTTCTAAGGAAACCGAGGGTGCCTTAGGACGGGTATCAGGTATCCCTTTCCGTCGGTTGCTCCAAAGCCAGATCCATTCACGCCTCTTCATCGAAGCCGTCATGTGGCGTATTCTCTGCGATACCATCCTGGATAACCCATTCGTCATTTGGGGAAGCGAGAAGAAGTTTGGAGAAAGCATCGCTGCGATACAGAGTAAGTTCTAGACTTTTATGCGGCTGCCCAAGCTAACGATTGAGTAGAAGGCGAGCTCGGCGGCTCAGCAGAGTGCCGCAATTTCTGGCGAGCTTGTACCGCAACACTAATTTACGAGACGGCACCCAATAAGACGCGCATGAGGAGAATTTTGAGATTTCTGTTTACCCGGATCGAGCCCTTCGTCCTGGAAGAGCACAAAGCGGCCAAGGCAGAGGTTTACAAAATCGTTGACGAAGCAGTCGAGCTAGCACGTAACCTGGCCAGTTCCGAGTCGCAATACGATATGCGAAGAAAGGAGCCCCAGACCCTCGATACCGACTCGCAACCCTTCAACGAGACATGGATGGAAATATTGGAGAAGAGCGCCAGCAACTACGATGATATTGACTTCCTGATTTCTCCTGCCTTGGTCCAGTGTGGAAATGTCAAAGGAACGGACATGGAGCGCGTCTACGTCAAGGTCAAGGCTGAAGTATGCTACCGCAAGGGAAGACACATGCTGGAGGACCAAGCTTTAACAGAGGATGATCCACTTAAGCCACCCGTTGTACAGAACCCATTCGCTGACGCCATCGTCCCCAAGGAAGAGAGGAAAGACATCGCTAGTCGCAAGAAGGACAAGGACATCGCAGATGAAGCCAAGCTACTAGAGGCCATCGGAGACGACCCCGGCGAAGAGTCCGAAAGAAGACAACACTGGTTACGTGGCTGAAGGTTATGAGGAAAGTGAGGATGATTTTGAAGAGGCCAAGATTCCTAAAGGGGGCAAGAAGTCGACACGATGATTCCCACAATCACTCGCTCTGACTCTCTGGTGGTTCGTTGGTGGTTTGCCTTGAAATTAGTCGCCCGCTATGGGGGCAGTATCATAATCATTACTCAGTACTTGCGCTGAATTCGAATATGGCTGAAGCTGGGTAGCAGCCCTATTGCGAAGAACTGATTCTATCTCTATAAACATTCTATCTCTACAAAGTACAGTACCAAGCGATGTGCCCCAGTGATGATCATGGCTTCTGTTGCCTAATCTCAACGACTTCCAGCATGCCACTAATCCCAGCTCAGTCCGGCGGGCGGAGGGATATAGTCAGGTATGCCTACCCTCGAGTCCTCCTCGAAGACGTATCCCTCGCTGCTGGTCCGGTACTCGAGTCTCGTCATCATCTCCAGGGCATGCGCCAGCAACGCTATAGCCTCTAGGGGAGTAATTCCGGTCAGCAAGTCGTCCCGACAGAATTGAAGGGTCAGGGGATGGAGACTGACCATTGTTCTTCGACGGATCTATCTTTGTTATTTTCAGGTTGGTGATGACCTTCCACAAAGCTGCATCATAACGGCCGTGTACCAGGTGACCACAAGCAGCCGTGTGCATCAGCTGCGCGCGCGTCAGTTGGATACTCTCAGGACGGAACTGGATGGTTCAAGTGTACCTCGTGGAAGATGAGATGCTCAAGCGATGAAAGGGTGTCCATCGGAGTCAATGTGTCCTTCAACCTGTCGTAATCATCGCCCGCCATCTTCCGCAGCTGGGCCTCGACCCAATCGGCATCACCTGCGTGGTGGGAGTCGTACGCATCGCTGGCCAGGAGGCCCCAGTTGGGCTGGTCATGCAGGGTGTTGCGGTAGGTATCCGTGAAAGCGATGTACTCGGGTGCCGTATCAAAGCCTGATAGGCGCCTCTCCTTCACGCAGGGGACGTGGCTGCCTGTTATCATCGCGATTCTCGTGCCTGGTTTCCTGGCCTCGAAGGCCAGCGGGTCGCTGGACTTGGGGCAGATGCGTCTCAGTGCCTTGTCTTCTAGTGTTTCTTCGATCGCGTTGTAATCTTGTAGATGATCGAGACTGCAGTAGATGGTCTGCTGATGGTGAGCAAGATAACGCTATACGGCTAGGTGAGCTTGGTGGCAGCACGGCTTACGATATCGTTTGGCATCGCGACTTTACTCCAGTCTTCTCTCGATTTCGCCTTGCTGAACTCCTTACCCGCAAGCTCCTCAACAAGCTTGAGGGTGCTTTGCACATTGGATACCCGCTTATCAAGATCGTCAGTGCCTAGTATGTTTCGTACTGTGGCCTCGACAGGGGCGCAATCCCTGCAATACATCGCGTTGCGAGCGTAGTACGCTCTGATCGACACTCTGTCGAACGCCTTCCTGATGGCATCTTGAAGCCCATCATATTCTAGCAGACGTCAGCTGGTTGGCCAGAGGTGTGTGTGAAGCTTTGCTGCACGTACTGCCGCAGGTCTCGGTGTCAACCCAGACCTTGACGCTCTCGGCTGGCGCAGCAGTCCCGGCACCTAGGAGCAGTAGACCGAGGCCGAGAAAGCAGTGGAACTTGGGAAGGATCATCTCGAGTCGCGTGGTCCGAAGAGCGAGGTATGCTGACCAGAATCAAGTGATGATGGAGTGAAGAGGTTAGATCGAGTTTGTAAGTGAAGTAAAAGACAAAAAATACTGATTGGAATGGGAGGTTTAGAAGGATACGCCTTTAGATATCTCCAAGTAACTAGTCTACGAGTAAACTAGATGCGTAGCATTCCGCCTATTGATGGTGAGAGCACGGGCGAGGCCAGCCTTATTCAATGTCTTCAAAACACGTGCGTAGGATAAACACTACCTACATCCATGGAGCGTCGAACAGATACTCATACGTCCTACCGCCACCGCAACCCTGGGTCACCCTCGGTCAAGACGCATCGAAGGTCAAGCAGTTAGGATTCACCGGGGGTCTAAGGGGTGGTCCGAGCCACTCAGCTTTAGAGATGTCCTCGAGAGCGCTGTGGAAAGGGTAACGGTAGTTGCGACGGTGGCAAAAGACGGTTCTTGGCAGAGATCATGTGCGAGGGGCGACATTGGTCTTGACTTTTCACCGAGGATGACCTAGCTGGGTTGACGAAAACCCATGTTCCCGTGTAGATAAGCTTCGCTTTGCCAACGTAAGGCGAATGGGTGCGACGATTCGGATGGAAATCGGGCACGTTCGAAGTCCATGAATTCGGCGGCCAGAGTAAGGTTGGGCCGATGGAAGTCAATTTCGTACCGGCTTCGTCAAGCGTGTTCTATATCAGAACACGGCTACTCCGTAGCTGAAGCCAGAGGCCGTGGAAAACCAACGGCATATTATTGATACAGTCTCTAGAGCCTGTGTTCTATTTTTGGCCCCTTTGGCCACTTGGTTAAGACAGGGGACGTCGGAGCTCAGGGCCCTACTCTTCCGTGCCCGGTCGGTGTCAGGGGTCTAATATTAGAAGAATCCGCTTACAACACCCTTATAACACATGTTTCTAGACCCCCTTTCACGCGGTTAAGTAGAGGGAAGCACGCGAAGGAAGGTCAATCGGGGTCCTCACTGACGAAAAGACGGGCTGCCCGCCAAACGCATCTCTAGCATTTGGGGCTTTGATGTGGCTCGGGCTCAGTTGGCTGCACGTGACATGGCTGATGTGGCTGATGTGCGGCATGATCCAGGTTGCATGTGATCAAATGTCTTGGCCGCTTGCATTTGGACGCTTCGCCAATTTCCATCAAGGGCGCGATCAATCAAAGCACCAGGAAAACTCAAAATATATGCGTCAAACGACCTGCATCCAGAATACCCTCGTATCGGGCCCACGAAGCACTGGAGCTGGAGCGAAGGATATGCCTTGCATTTCTCTACTATGACAGAAAAGACTTGACATCTTCCTGTTCACTTCATATGGGCAAGTTGAGAGAATTGACATCCGTGTTCTATTGGGCTGACATTCCTTTTCTTCAGTTCATACCATATATCATTCGTTTGTGCGCAGCTTGCTATAACCTCGGACGTTCTTCGAGCCTGAACAAGCTTAATTGACATGTGATTGCTCTCCAGGCAGGTTTGGACCAGAAACTGCAATCAGTCTGCGTGGATGCCTGTGGTATAGAGCCCACCTGTCAGTGCATCGCAAGACACCGGGTAGATTTGATCACACTCCTTTCCATGAAGCACCGTGGGCATCACCTGTTCAGGACTGGAACATCACGCACTACTACTACTACATTGAATGCAGCCCTTTGTCACGAGTCATTGGATTGTGTGTCACCGTGCCACCCGCATGTCTGTCGATGCAGCAACAAAGGTTGGTGACGAAACCAAAATAATTCAATTGAATAAACGCGCCGGAGCGCGCTAGTTTTGGTTGGCGATTTAAGAACACGATGCAAACCACATGCACCGGATAAGATACGAGGGTGCGTGCTGGGAAACTCTACCTAGATCAAGATTCTCCATCCCCTCCACACAACTTTAGTCACAAAGTCACAACTTCCCTACATCCCGGTCCAAAAGGCACCCGCCTCACCCACCATGGAGTCGCTACGGCGGCAGCTGGCCGAGACCCAGGGTGCCCTCACCGAGCGCGACAAAAAGTTCCGGCAATTGAGCGTCGAGCATAGAGAGGCTCTGCAGACGTGGGAGCTGGAGAGGGAGGCATACGAGACCCGAGTCCGACAGCTCGAGGCGGAGAACCAGCGCCTTCGTCGCACACCCCCGAATGCGAAGGCGAATGCCGGCGGCGACACGAGACAACCCCGACCGCCAACCCGCCCGCAGACCCAGAGTGGAGCCAGGAGCCCGAGCGAGAGCCCGACGCGCAGGGCCAAAGAGAGAAAGGAGGTCCGCAGCGGAGGATCTACACCCATAGCAGCAGCAGGCAACGAGACGGTAACCATCACCCGCTCACGCATGCAAGAGATCGATTCGCAGTACCAGCAGGTCACCACCAAGCTGGCCGAGAAGACGAAGCTGTGCGAGGTGCTCCGCACCAAACTACAAGCGAACACCCTGAAGACTGTACCGGCATTCGAGCTCACCGATGAACAGGTTATCACACGCTGGAACCTGCTCAGCGAGCGCATCCGAAAACTGACCCTAGTGCGCCTCAATGCCCAGATCCCGGCCGACCTGGTGTCGGACAAGGCGCGCAAAGAGTTTAATCAGCTCTCGCCGAACTGGAAGGCGTATATCAGCAGGCAAGCGCTGACATGCTACTTGTTACGCGCGCTCATCTGGCGGTACCTGATGCGCTTCTTCGACGTCTTCTGCCGTGCATGGGGCCGGGACATCAGCAATACCGTCGTGGAAGTCTCCGCGCTATTCACGTCCAAAATCTCAGAGGATGAGCACAAGGACTGGCGCATACACACGGCGGCCCTGATCGACAAGATCTACCACATCAACCCCAGCATCGTCGACGAGTACACCACGAATGTCTTCGAGGCCATCAACCCTTTTGCGGCCGGTACCGACACCGACGGGCTGAAGACAAGCGTTCGCGAGATCGTGCAGATGGCGGCGGAGCTCAGCGCGAAGTTTTCGCGGTCGCGGTTCGTGGTCCTCATGTCGGATGAGCCGGGAAGCGCCCTGACGCAGGGCTTTCCTTACAAGGAGGCGACTATGGAGATGCAAGGGAAGCTGGGCACGCAGGCGATGGTCGACTTGATGATCACGCCGTGCCTGCTGAAAAAGGAATACGACTACTCCGTTCTTGTGAAAGCGGATGTGACATGCTGAAACAGGGCGGTAACTGTCACGGTCAGAAGAATCAAGAATGGACTATTTGAGGATATGGATTGATACCCCGTTGGCTGAGAGGCAGCAACTTGCACCAGGGCGGCGATGAATTCACGGTAGCATCCAAGTGCCTCAGTGCGGATGTGAAAAAAGAACAAAAGCAGATACGGCGTATAATTCCAATTTGTAGTGACCTGAGCTGTGTACGCGAAAAACCTCGCTCGATGAGACCGTCCGCTTGCCCCTATTCCGAGACAGTTGCTCGAGAGAGGACCAAGCTCAGGCACCACTTTATTGCTCCTTCTGCCAAGTTTGATAGGGGCCAACGAATAGTGAATACCAATAATGAATAAAGATTAGGTATGTTTTCTTGGGCACGAATTAGTGCATGTGCTATTCTTCGAATGTTGGAATGTACCTATTGAGTTTCGGCAAGGGTAGAAAGGGGGCGGATGAGAAGTAGGTGCGGCGGCTGTTCCCAGCTGGCACGTTTTACCTGTCATGTTTGCGCTTTTTCACCACCTGCACTTTCCCCATCACGAACACCACCACCAAAACACCATCCTCACCACCGAGGAAGCGATTTCCCTTGTAACCACGAATTTCTGCCTTGATTCATATGCTATACGAAACCTATGGCCACCGAGTCTGATCTAGTGTTCTCTTCACAGGCCAACCACAACTTCTCACGCATCCTCACAGACCTCAAACGGTCGAACCTCTCCATAACCAACCGCCTACGCTCCATCCGCGAAGATGCAGACTTCGTCTCCGAGGTAGCCAGTGCATTCAGGCGGCCGCTAGTCGCTAACGAGCGGTGCGGCAGCTGGTACATCGCACCGGAGAGCAAGGCCGGGTCCGCCTATTTCAAGAGCACCGACGGCCACGTCGGACAGTGGAAGTTCAGCACGCGGCGCCTCAACCTGCAATTACTGAAGATCATCGGGGAGAGCGATGGCTGTATCATTATCGACTCAACTAGGAGGGGCAAGCGGATGCCGGATGCCCTCAGCAAGACGGTGCCGATCTGGTGCTGCGTGCTGAACCACGTGCTGTTCCCCGAAGCTACAAAATGCCACGATGTCTACACGCCGCCAAATGTGGTCCCGCTATCAGAGCAAGCGCAGATCGAATCCAGAATCGCGGAGCATGTCGCCTCGTTGAAGGCGCTGGACGTGGATATAGAAACCCTCAGGCGGCAGGTCAGCAAGCCTCTTCGCCCCGTATGGGTTACGCAGGAGTCCCAACTCGTCCCGACAGACCAGATCTTCGACGACTTCCACCCGGTTATCTGCTGTACCAGCTCACGACGGGTTCTGGGCGGGGAGATGAGTGAGGGCGGGTACATCCAGGGTGCTGGAGACGATACCGAGAACTGGGCACTCGGGTTGACTCCCCCAGTCTTCTGGGGTAATGCGGGAGTCCTATCGGCCGCTCCCGAAGCCGACTTACCGGATCTTGTGCGTTCATTACTCGCAAAGGGACAAGCGGAAACGAATACGGATGCACCGAGGCAGGTTGCGCCGTGTCTGTTCGTCAGTCGACTGCCGGTCGCTACTGGTCAATCTCCATCTACCTGCACGATAGCCTTCGCTTCGCGGACCATTGACGCAAGCTCATGGATCAAAAGCCCGCTGCACATGGAGGTAGGCATTGGGAAGCAGAAGGTCGCCAGCCGGACTCTGCGTTCTGCTCTGCCCCAGATTTGTGCATTTGCACGGCAATTTCTGGAGCAAGGTTCCGATCCTCTACAAAGTTCAGATCCTTTACAAAGTTCAAATCCTTCACAAGGTTCAGACTCGGATACTACGGAAGAAAGACATATAACCATTGCGTGCGAGACGGGCAAAGATCTATCGATCGGAGTGGCTCTAGCACTCCTGTGTCAATGCTTCGACGACCGTGGGAAGTACGACTCCAAAGCAGCAGACGCCGGTATGAACAAGAGCATCATCAAGTTGAAGCTCGGCCGCGTCATGATGGCATTCCCGAAGGCGAACCCTAGTCGGGCGACGCTGCAGAGTGTCAACAGCTTCCTCATGGGGTAGCATGCAATCTGATCCTACTCCCTCGTGGCTATCGGCAGTCCCCTGGAGATTACATATGAGATGTAGAAGGTCCATTCACGTCGGAGGCCGGTGTCTCAATCGATATACGCAATATTGAGCGCGTTTTCCCTGTTTCGTGCCATAAAGCGAGCCTGTCGCCTCAGTCTCAGCAAACGACGAAGCTGGCGCAACGTCGAATAGGCAAAGACTAGGTCATGCAAGACAGTCCACATACTCACTCATAAGTCAAGAGTCATGGGCAAGAAGTCCCCTGCATCAAACCTGCGTCGCTCCCGTTCCTCGATCGGGGCTAGCGGCCTTCTATTTCTAGGTCGGCGACCATGGCGCAAGCCGCATGCATCCTCCCCGCGCCGTATCTACGCGGCAATCTCCCACGGCCCACGGGGACGTTGCGTGATTAGCGGAGAGAGAGCCCCAGGGGGTAGCTACAGCCGTGCGTAACTCTTATAACCACTGTAGCGACTTGGTTAGGGCACATCGGCGCCCGGGGCTGCCGGGGCCTTACTTTTCCGTGCCCGATCGGTGCTCCAAAGGGGCTAAGAACCAGATAACCTCCAACCTGTCGTTGAGGTTGTAGCCGAGATGTGCTCACACCTCAGACATCCACCATCTTTATCGCGGCGGTCGTCATGCAGTTTTGACCCGATGCCGTGGCACGCTTTAGAGAGTGATACATCTGCGATATGACGAAGCCTACCTACCTACCTAACCAGGCTACAGTTAGAACACGTGATACGATCGTGGCGCGGCGGTATGTTCACAATCAGATCAGTGGCATGGGTACCGGTATGTGTTATCAGCGCACGGCGGGAAGGATACAAGATCACCTTGCAAAGGTATACTGGCGGTCGGCTTCGAGATGGGACGGCCAGCTGAACCCCAGGGCGGTGGGGGGCCAAGAGCTGTACCCCGAGGTCGCCGAACTCCATCGTGTCAGTGATCTTCCCGCTCTATGGAGGAGATCCATTATCCGCACCATGGCGGCACGATCACGATAGAACGCGACTATTCCGGCACCATCGAGGCCATCGAGCTAGCTGTATCTTGGTATAGCTTATCCGCACCGCTTGCCTCTGCAACGAAGTCCACATCTTCCATTGGAGGAGCACGCATGCCCGATGTCTGGCCGAGACTCGGCCGGCAGTACGACGCACACGTTATGTCGTGCAACGTCCCCGGCCCCGAGGAGCAGTCACAGCAGGAACCGCCCCCTGCATCATCATCACTATGTGTGGTGTGTGGTGTACACCCCAGCTTTGCGTGGATCTCGATTCTCGACACAAACGCTAGAGAATCATCTGATGTCTTGTAAGTGCTTGCTTCCGCCGGAACCCGCACTCTAACGGCTATAATTAGCAAGCTCAGATCATTGTTATAGCGCACCCCCTCCACCGACGACTCGTTGATATCGCCGTTCCTCTGCCTCTTCAGCGCGACATCTATAGTCTGGGAGACGGACCCGCGCTTACGGAGTCAAGGCTACACGGCTTGACACGGAAGGATGGCGGTCTCCGAGAAGGCTCTCCCGCTAGTGTATTCGGTCACTATCCTCCTATTCTTTGCCCTTGTGGCAGTTGGCCTCCGGCTTCACGTCCGGGCGGTGTTACTGAAGAACACGGGGGCGGATGACTGGTTCTGCTTGGCCGCGATCGTCAGTGTGTCCCATTATAGCTCCTGTCGATCTTAGAATACTAACGCGCTCGCGTAGTGCCTCTCCGTCGCGACCTACATCGCGAATATGATCGGTCGGTGGCCTGGGTCTGGCGGTCTGGTGTCTGAACTCTAAGCTAATGCTTGACCAGCGGTTGCGATTGGCTTTGGCGACCCTTTCCCGAGTCTCACTCCTGAGGCCGGTATTCGCATCAACCAGGCATGTCTCGAGAAACGCATATGATGACACGAAATACAACTAACACGGCTGCCAGGCAATGTGGGTGTCACCAGCTCTGTGGGGACTATCAACAGCACTGGTCAAGATGTCGATCGTCGCATCGTATACGCGAATCTGGTCCACCAAGGGCGTCCTGCTATTATGCCGGACACTCCTTGCGGCGCTGACCGTTTTTGGCCTCACCCTCTTCTTCGGCGAGATCTTCGAATGTGTCCCTATCAAGCTGTCCTGGGGGGTGCTGGACGGCGACGGGCATTGTATCGACAAGACCATGTTCATGTTCGTAACGTCGAGCTTGAACATCGCCTTCGACCTGCTCATCTTCGCCATACCGGTGCCCCTGATACGCAAGCTGCAGATCGCCAAGCAGCAACGCATTGCTCTGACAGTGGTCTTCACGATCGGTGCTGTGTAAGCTTTCTCCCCACTCGCCACCTAGATCAAATCAGCATGAGTTATAGAAACCGGTCCGCTAACCTCAAGGCGCAGCGCCTGCGTCGCCTCCGTCATGCGCCTGGTGTCCATCTACCGACTCTCCACCGCGCACGACCCCTCCACCGCCGGCGTCAACCTGGGCGTATGGTCGGGCGTCGAGAGCAACCTCAGCATCATCTGCGCGTGCCTGCCGACCCTGCGACCCATGCTCACGCGCGTGTTTCCCAAGCTGCTGGCCACGGTGGCAGGCAGCACGGCGCGCAAGACGCGCACCTTTGACGATCAGGGGACGTACCGCATGCAAGCGCTGCGCTCCCATGACGGGGGCCCGAGACACGCACCGGCCATCGAGAGAAAGTATGCGGACCCCGAGGCTGCGAGGGCGGTGCCGGTAACGGATGTATCGGGAGATGGGCGGTGGGAGGAGTACAATGAGAAGACCTCTGGAACGTTTGCGAATGGTCACGAAACGGACCGGTTCATAAGATTCAGCGAGACCTCGTCGTCGACGCTTGTGACGCCACCCTGTGTGATGGTGCTGCCGAAGAACTTCAGCCATCCCAGGTTTGAGGAGCGCAGTTGAAGGAAAGGAGCTGTCTCGGGATATATATGACGAAATGTGTACACGACCTGTACGAACGAAGTACCTGTGGTTGGCGCCGCTACACAGGTCAGCCGAGGCCGGTCCAGACGGGCTCGTTTCTTCTGGTCCCGGAGCTGATACCGAACGCTTCGACACGCGCGTTGGGATCGGACGCATACACAGCAATAGCACGCCAACCAAGCTGTTCCGAAGAGCACAGGGGTATCACAACACCCTCTTTGGAGCATTCCATCAGCTAGGAATCTCAAGTGTGGTCTGCTAGCCAACAGACACGCACATACGAAACTGCGCGGCCCTTCCAATGGAGACCTATTCACTGCGTGGTAAAATATGCTTGAATACTGGCAGCATTGGCTCGCAGATCCAATCCGCCCCGCGTGCCGACTTGCAGCTATAGGTAGAGGTGATGATGGGCCTGTCGTCTTCGGATAAATCAATTCGACAGTTTGGCGGCAAGCACCCAGGTCAGGGCAAATCGTGGGGACAAGACAATGTATCCAACGATGAGAGACGCGAATAGCCCTTGCGGTTCCTAAATTTGCCTCCTAGTGGAAGAGCGTCGGACTGTGTTTATAGTCCGTTGTTATAAATGACACCATACATGCAGACGCCATTTACTTGTTTGAGATAGTACGAGAACAGGCCTACTTCAACGCAAATAAGGCCAGAACCACAGACGCATGGCAATATCATATTGACACCTGGCTTCTGTTGTCTGGGAGGCGCAGCATAGTTACATACGCTGAAGCCGCCCGAGACAGCTGAGTCACGGATACTATTGCAACGACGGTGGAGCCAGAGCCAGAGCCAGAGCCAGCCCTCACTGACAGCAGAAGCAAGAGACCACGACGGCGACCGCGGTAGCTCAGACCGACCCAATTCGGGATTGTGAAATCGAGAAAGAATGTATGTGAGAGGGAATGTAAGGGTCAATATGGGAAAGAAGGTGGTGAAGGTCGTGGCAATGGACTACACTGACCCTCCAAAAGTCTCCGAGCATCCACCACGCTAGTTTCAAAACGCGTCTACGCGCTCGCGACCCCCTTCCTTCTTCACCTTTTATTTACTCAATACCAAAACGATGGATTTATAAAAGGTTGGTACAATTCTGACCACAAATCGCGGGCCAAACCAGGAATTTACTTCCGAAGCTCGTGCAGCTATTATGGCTGCCAGGACAGCAGGCACAAGGCGCGACGATGTCACGAGCGCGTTCCATCTGGATCGGCCTCAAACCGTGACCGACATTATCAACACTGCTAGAGAGCATAACACCACGGTCTCTCGACCTCGAGAGGGAGCCATAAGGATTCTAAACAAGCGCGAAGAAACTCAGCTAATTAAAATGGCACAAAAGTACCCCAAAGTTACCTACAAAGAGCTCAAGAAGGAGAACAGGGTCCTCAGCTCTTATACCACTATCAAGCGTGTTCTTCACGCTCATGGGCTTCGCAAGTGGAAGGCAGCGAAGCGGATCGAGCTTACGGAAGATGACACACGAGAGAGGCTCGCTTTTTATAATAAATACGACTCCCCAGAGGCTCTGGAGGAGCTGATGCGAACGCTCTTCTCAGACGAAGTCACGGTCCAGAATTCACCCGATAATCTGGGCGATTAGGTCATCCGCCTCTCTTCTGAACATTATAGGCAGGATCTCGTGAACCCTCGGAGTCATGGGAGACCCCGTATCTTCATTATGTATTGGGCCTTGATCTGGTTACGCGGCGGAGAAGGTGGCCTAGGCAAAATCATCTTCTGCGAGCCCAATGAGGATGCTCCTTGCGGAGGAGTATCTTCAGTTTCATATCAAGACGTCCTTGAGGAAGGGCTCCTTCTGTTCTACGAGGCTGGGGATCCTTTTATGCAAGATAACGCTCGTATCCATCAATTTGGAGGCACTCCAGAGTGGCTAGAGGAGCACGGCATCTGGACGATCGACTGGCCTGCTCACAGCCCTGATTTGAACCCGATCGAGCACGTTTGGGTACTTCTAAAGAAGCAGATACGGAGAATCGAGCCTGGTTTCGCTGATTTGAAGGCTAATATTGCCCACAAGGCATATACCAGACAGTTAATCGAAAGGGTGTGGTCAGAGATCGATCCTGAGGATGTACGCGTTCTCGTCGAATCTCTCAGCAACCGAATCGCCGCAGTGAAAAGTACAGGTGGTTGGTACACACACTATTGAATGGCTTATATAATACAGTTTTTTTCATATTATTACAGTGAGAGATGGGTGCGTGGTGAATGCTGAAAGTTGGAAGGTGTAGGCGTGTAGGGCTGCTCGAAAAGTGGGCTCGGAGACTTCTGGTCGGGGAGTGTAGCTAACTTATGTTGCAACCAGGTGTGTTAGGTACGTAGATGCGTCTTTTGAGTCATGAAAGCGGACAAAAAATGTGTCAGTCGCACCGGGGCTTGGTTGGTTCCCATGCGCGCGACCTGCCGTCCCTCGAGCAAGGCCCTCAGGTTCTCCTCCCCAAGCGGAACCCCCTGGACCCCTCTTCCATTCCTCACCACCTTGGCCTGGATCCGCTTCAACAGGTTCCCTTTTTCGCTCTCCCGCCCTTCAGCACCGGCACCACCACCAAACGCCTCAGAACTGTGATGCATATTTCCGAAGGCTTATAATAGGGAGTCTCGATTCATTTCATCTCTCGGCTCTACTCTAATACGCAAGCCTGCCAACAGGGTTCCAATCTGGCCACCATTACATGCTTCTGCCCTCATTGGCCCGTCCTCAATCTACCCCTATCTCCAGAATGGCCCGTTTCGTCATATCCTCATGGACCCATTTCACGATCGTGTCACCAACATCACCCACGAGCTTCTCGTAGTGCTCCCCCGAGAAGAAGAGGCCCGTATGCGCGCCGGTCTCGTCGATATCCTTCATGAAGATCCTAACCCATTTCGGATCGACCTCCCCGTTGACCTTGGGAACGTTGATGAACTTGCGATCCTTCATCTTCTTTGGGGGCTTAGTCTTGTCTTGTTGGTCGGTGAGTGCTCGTGACTCTGGCGACATCAAGCTAGAATCGTCTAACGAGGCTCCTGACATCTGCTGGCTGAGAGCAGCGGCAGACTGTGTGGTCCCAGGTGTGTTCTCTGGCAAGGATGCCTCGTGTTTCATGGCCGCTGCGACTGCGGCAGTGGCGGCAGCCTCGTCCTTCTGCCGTTGCTTCTGAGCCTCCTTTTGGCGCTTTTCAGCCTCCTGAGCTCTCTTCTTCTTCCGCTTGTCAATGATCTTCTGCCGCTCTTTGATTGCCTTCTCACGGTTCTTGACACTTTGGTCGTAAGCCTTCTGTACCCTCTTCCCCTCTTTCTCGGCCTGTTTCCGCGCGTCTTTATCTGTGTACTGCTCTAGATTAGGCAGCTCCGGTCTCGGAGGCAATTCCGGTATTGTGGGAAGGTCAAGATCGAGATCCGTTACTGCATCCGTGAGTTCCGCTGTTGTCGCCTTGTCGACTGTTGAGGACCGTTCCATCAGAGAGGCACCCTCTGGAGGCTTGGCATCAATCGTGTCGGTGTTGGGATCTTCATCCACAGCCTGAACAGACTGTGGCTCTGGCTCAACTGGTGGGCTGTCCTTTTCAGGCGGTTGGTCAGTTACGCCGGCTGTCCCCGTTGAGTCAGGGTGTTCAGTTTCATCAAGCATAGGAGCGGGGTCGAGCATCTCCATGCTTGAGCGGGAACCATCGGACTCGTCCAACGGGGCAAGACCCTCCTTGTGGGTTGCATCAAAAGAGTTCAGAGGTTTTGAGTCGCGGTTATGGTCGTTGCTGTGGTCCTCGGTCGAGATTGGTTGGTTGGTTGCAGTGTTTATAGGGTCCTCGGTGAATATCCCTGGTGTGGCAGCCTCTGAGCTGACGTTTGTTTTGGACTTCAAAGAGTCCTCTTCTTTTTCGGGGTTCTGCGTCTTGGGCTTTTTGGGATACCCATGGCATATCGTATAATACTGAATGAAACGAACTTGAGGTGGAACGTGGGGAAAGCCATAATGTTTGAGATCATCCACGTCTTCCAACTTGCGAATATTCTCGTACCTGGTCTTGAGGCCGTTCAGATCCATCAGGCAGCTACCGAATTCTAGATGAGACATGATATGATGAGAGGCTGCGTCGATCAGTCCCTCCGAGTTGTGCTTCTGCACGAAATGGACGACGTTCTTCCACCAAGGCCGGTCTTCGCGACGGACATCATTGGGGAAAGCAGGGTTGAAGTAAGGGTCAAGGGTTGAAGCAGGGGGGGCAAACTGCCCTGGCGATGTTGGCGAAGCTAGTGACATTTCAGACGCCATGGACGGCCGGGAGTATGTCGACTCAGTTGGTGAGGTGATACCTGATGCGGCCTGGCTGGACCTGGGCTGAAAGGCTGGCTCCCCCGGTGGCTTTGGTGGCTCGATCTTCCGAAAGAGACTAGAGATACCAGATACTATAATACCCGGGTGAAGGCCAAGTAAAGGGGCATCCAGGTTCACTGTCCCTAGGATGCGATGTCGCAAGTAACGGTGATCAACTTGGTCTGCGGATGGCTGTTTCTAGCATCAGTCACGGTATCTTCAGGCCAATGCTGGGTCACTTGCCATCAGGGCGACGTCGGCAGCCAGCAACCCTCCCATTGAATGACCGACGAGGATGACATCGGTCTTGGGGGACTCGTGTGGTTCCAGCCATTTGCTGAAGTTGTCGCGAGCTACATCGATGGCCTTGTATGTCTTGTATTTGGGATAGATCTTGGTGTGGATGTGGTGAGTGTCGGCGAGGGCCAGCTTGAGATACTTGTGCACATGAGCTGGAAAGGACTGGAATGAAGAGTCATTGCCCATGAAGCCATGAATGTAGATAATCAGCAGCGTGCGCCGTTCGATTTCCTCGTACTCGGGAAGTGAGGGTGTCAAGGACTGGGCTGAGGATGCGCGGGGGTCCCTGAGGCTGTAGAGACCTCCGAATCCCGTAGGTGAGGGGCTGCGCCCACCGCTCGAAGGCCGGTTCGTAACCGCTGAGGGCCTTGAATCTAATTTGAAGGCGCGGGCGGCATCCATGATACTGAATAGATATTGAAACTTGACAGCCTGTTTTTGAATATGCTGGTCCTGGACTGGCAAGATGTTGCGGTGTTTAATATGTCAGTCTGTCCAGATATGTCCAGTCCTGGTTGGTTTGAAGCATCTGAGAGCCGGGTGACGTGAGATCAGTTGTGGTGAAGAATGTCTATGCATCAGAGTACACCTGGTAGCCTAGAAGCTCTGGGTGCCTGCCTCAGTGCCAGCGAGACATGAGAGGTCGGGTATAATGCAAAGGAGTACCACCGATCGAACTCAAAAGCATACGTCGGGCACGTATGTGTATAGACAATGGAGTTAAGGAAGTGGTGTTGAAGTCTGAGAAACTGCCTGGGAAGGACGTGGGGTCGTGGCTTGACCTCGGGTGGGGTTATAGGTACCTGTCAAGAGGGGTTAGTGGATCACCCGTTACACTGTGTTACCCGGGCTGTGACGCGCTTGATTGGAAGCTCATCCTTTATCATGGGCGTTGGTGCCGTTCACATCGCAATGCAAGTCATCTAATGGTCCTCGTCCTGGCCTCTGACATGGGCAGCGGCTAAAAGGGATGTCATAGAAGTAATGCAGCTCATCTGCATAAGAGCAATTCCAACAGGACGGAGAACATAGACAAGTCAGTTAGTCCACTTGCACCACGGCTGCTCGGCAGAGAAATTGTGTCATTTGTCCTAACGTTGACCCAACGCACTGGAATTCGCCTCTGTGTGCTCTATCACAACCGGCAAGCCAAACCCTAGAATGCAATGATACCTAATCCCGTAGGCAGCGTGACCATGACGGTACTTCCAACCGCACAAAGAGCCTGGGTGCTGCCGGATATTCGGTTCAGGCTCGTGTGACCTTCCAATGAACCTGCTGCACAGTGTTATGCCAATCCTCAGACACCCTCGTCCGCCTCATCTCCACGGATGGCCTCATCCTTAACGACGGCCTCGTCCTCGGCATCCTCCTCGAGAGTCTCCTTGGCGTGCTTCTTTGCCTTGGTCGCAGCACGCTTCTTGGCCGCCGCAGGGTTCTTCTTGACACCCTTTGGCGACGCGCTGCCTTCGGCGGCAGGCGCGTCCGTGATGCCGAGATGCTTCTTGACCTGGTAAAGACGCTTCTGCAGACCTGTTAGCATGGTATTAAATGGAGAAAGGAGGTGTAATTCAATGGAAAAGTGAGGTGTCATTCAATGGAAATGTGAGGTGTGGAAGGTGCACGACGAACCTTGGCGACCTCGACGGTCTTGAAGCCATTCTCCTCGCGGACCGCCTCCCAGTCGAAGTCGGGTGTGGACTTCATGTGCTTGAACAATGAGAGGAAGAGCTCCTGTTCCTTGTCGGTTAGGACCGCCTTGGTCGCGCCCTGGTCGTTCTGCTTTGGGGGCATGGTGGATGGATCGGATGTTTTCGCTTTTGGGTAGGTGTGATGAGTGCGAGCCGTGTGCTGATTGTGGTTGCTTTTATGTATCGCGTGGTCGGAACCTTGTAGCAGATTGCGGTCGTGAGAAGAACGCGAGAGGGAACGGACGCGAAAGGTGGTTGTTGCGGCGAGGTACTGGTTGCTGTGGTAAAGTTAATGGTCACGAAAACATTCATTGACGTGAAGAGGTGGGGGTGCAGGTGAGGTGGCGTTCAGGACTGCAAGCTGCCTGGAGGGTAAAAAAAGAAAAATCCCGGTGGGTTAGAAGCACGTACGGTCACTTGGGAGCTATGAGGGCGGTTGAGATGTGGGATCGGCGAGGTTGAAATGTGGGAGTCGCTGCTTGGGTCAAAAGAACTTACAGTTACTTGAGAGATGCGAGGGTGGTTGAGATGTGGGATCGGCGAGGCTGAGATATGGGAGTTGCCGTTTGGATCAGTTGGGAAGGCCAGGTTACATCGGCGTTGATGTAGGTGAATGGGTGGAGGCTTAGAAAAGGGGGATGCACGAAAAGCACGTTTGGTTCTCAGGCCACTGGATTTTGGTATGAGCATCAATCATCGCGGCCGTGCTTCGATTTACTGCCCTCTCCAAGCCACAAAGCTCACGATTTTTTGGTATCATTGTTTTACTTACAGTAACCTTGTCACTATTATAGCAGCAGGCTTGCTCCAAGTCATATCCCGGGGCTCTGTTTAATTTGAAGATGCCTCGGTAAGTCTATATTGGAAATACAGACAAGTCGTGGCTTTGGCTTGACTGCAATAAATGAGTGTAACGGTCCTACTACTACTCAACCTTTCTGCCTTCAACATTACTATGAAGACAACCTATGGTATCCCAGCCTAAGGCGCCATTTGATGTAGTGGCGCGACTAGGTAACCACCGTCCCTTCATCATCTGCCGTCCCTCCACGATCATTCTTCTCTTCGTGATCCGTCGTCTCGTCAACTTCAGCCCTCACACATTCAGGTGTTATTATCAGGTCCACATGTCTGCACACGCATGCCCCCAGAAACTCGCGGCGTTCATTCGTGACACATTCCCTCCCTTTAGATAGGCAAGCGCAATCACGCGTGTCGAGCAAGCCATCTCCTTCGAAGATGTCGACCCGGTTGCCAACAGCATCGCGCATAGTGATAGCGTTTCCTTTTGCAGCAAGACTAATATGCTTCGGTTGGATATGGTGCGGCTCGTTCCTGCCATCAACACCACGGAACACGTCCTTGAGGTAGTCGGATATCGGGCTCAGCGTCATCCACATAGCAGGCCAGGACCTCCGGGGATGCTGGGACGAGCCCGAGAACTTCGTGGAGAGGGCCCATGGAGCGCATCACACCGTCGTCGGCCAGGTGCAGGTACCCACGCTTATGGACTCAGACTGGTAAAACGCTGACTCGCTTCTAGAAGTCTTTGGGTTCGTCGAGGTTACGGCTCTCCTGGTTTCGAAATCAGTATACGATTGGTGGAAGTGGAGTATTTTTGAACGAGTCGAACTCACGGGTGTAAGGTTGGCTGTGGCGCCGGTTGCCAGAAAGGTGGCGGAGATCGTGGAAAGGAAAGGGAGTTTCATGCTCACGCGATGGAGCTCGATGGGAAGGGAGGAGCCGAACCCAAATACCCCAAAATGGGGTTCGATCTACCATGACTAAACAAGCTGATGTCCGCCTACTCCTAGAATCCTTCCTCTGGGGCAACATCATAGTTTCTATAGGTTGAAGACATCGTTTCGGCTATGTAGATTCACCACCCATGGAACGATTTGTCTTATGGAGGCCTAATGGCTTAACGGTCTTGAAGTGGCCACTAAGGTCGCCTCTTGATATCATTTTTTAGGCTTTTGGTCGCATTGAACTCGCACATGGGTATATCTGCCTCCAAACGTAGCGAGGAGCTTCGATACTGTACTTCGGCGGTTCATCGCTCTAACGCCAACATGGCCGGACGAGGACAAGACAAATTGTCCTGTCGACTGCCAGGAATGGCACCAATCTCTGAGCATTGGCGGATAGATGGCGGACCTGCGGATATAGTAACAAAACATGAAGATCCAGAAGTGTGGACAGCGACCTCGTGATGAAGGCAACCTCTGTCTCCATGAAAGCACTTTGATGAGGAGCAGGAGTCGTGAACTCATGCTTCGAACTCTGGGGTAACGTGGGGCTACTAGGGACCCACTCTGGAAGTGCAAACGCACAGTGGGAATCCACATGTATCACACGCCGCTCTAGCCTGGAGATTCCCAGCTCTCCAGCATCGTTACAACCACTAGTCCAGACACCTTCCAAGTTCCCACCAAGACTTCGTCTCGCGTGACCAGGCGAGCCAGGCGGCTGCCGGGCACTTAGACTCAGTGCACTCCATGATAATAACGGCAACCGCTACTGCTACCCGACAGCATCTCGTTTCAGGCTTGGTATTACAGTTGACGAAAACGCCCATCATCCGTCACCATGGCAGCTTCGTCAGACTCGTTCTCACTACCGACCGAATTATGGAGACTGGTGTTCGACTGTCTCCAAGCCGACAAGGACAACCGAAGCCTGTCTGTCCTCACCCGAACGTGCAAGTTCTTCAGGGAACTCGTGCTCCCAGATCTGTACGGCAAATTCGAGACATATCCCGATTCTGTCGGGCAAGACGAGAGCGGGCAGTCACTGGTATTGTTCTTGCGTACGGTGGCAGAGAATCCAGACCTTGCGTGCATTGTGAAAGAGCTCGACATCGGGTACGAGGACGACATTAATGGTGGTGGTCAGCTTCGCGAATACGAAATGGAACTGGTCGTCGACATCTGCTTTCGGCTAGGTTGGCAAAACCCCCAGCTTCTGTCCCTGAATACTTCATCCCAACCAGCGAAGTGTTTCCGTACGGTCTCCGAGTTGCTCTTCTCGCTGCTCCCCAACCTGAACACCGCCAGCCTCGACGTCCTTCACGAGAACGAGTGTGGCCAAGAAACACCAAGTTCCTATGCTGTCGAATCTCTGACTGCCCTCAAGCTTCGGGATTGGGGTTTCAAAGGAGGCTTCTCCATGGGCGGTTACGGACGACTCATGCAAGCCGCGGTGAACCTTCAACACCTGACCCTGGACTCGTGCAAGTCTATCGGGGACCAACCGCCGCCGGCAAACCTGAGAGAACTGCACATCGTCTGCGGCGGTATCCAGTACCACGACCTCACCAAGTTTCTACGAGGGTTGCCTCACCTTGAGAGCTTCAAATACATCTCCTCCATGGAAATTGGGTCGCAGAACGAGGCAACACCAGCCGAGATAGTAGCCGCGCTACAGCCAGGCAAAGAGACGCTGAAACTACTCGAAATCGACTTCGAGCGATCGCTGCAAATGTACTTCCGGTATTTCCACAATCACTACGGAAGCAGACAAGAATGCATCCGTACTCTCCAGGACTTTCCCCAGCTTCAGTGGATCAAACTCAGTCAGGACGCCATCTTCCGGCCGGATGGACCAGGCGTCTTGACAGATGGCACCCTCCTGACCGCCCTGTTTCCCCCCTCGCTGAATGCACTATACCTACTAAACAACCATCGCAAGCTCTTCGAGGACGTCTTCCAGTTCGCGGACGCTGTAGCAGAAGGGAAATTCCCAAATCTGCGATCGGTCTGGCTGTCGGGCAAACCTGCGCCCTGGTACCATAAGCTTGCCAGTCATGCAAGTGGAACGAAGCACGAGGAATTCAGCGAGGAGGAGGAGAAAGACGTCGCTGGGTATTTCGCACTTGCCGGAGTCGAGTTTGTTTATGGATGCTACTGAGCAATGCCAGCCAGCACACAGCTCAGGGGAAGGATGCATAGAAGCGTTACGCTCTACGCAGATTATTCGAGGGACCCACTGGGACGGTCTCACTGCACTGTAACACAACACCGAGAAAGCGATGTCTACTTCTCAGCTAGGACACACAGCCAAACAATGCTATCATAATATAGGAGGGACATGGTGGGCTTAGCGAAGAAACCGCACACGCTTCCACCCCTCTCAAGAGCGTTGCTCTCGTCCCCTACGCCACCGTCGGTTCCTGATCAGGTAGAGCAAGCCACTGCGGCGGGTTCGGTGGAGGGGGAATAGAGTCTCGAGGACAGCAATGTACCAAGATAGAGGTCCTACGACCGCCGGCTGCTACTAGCATCATATAGGAGAAATGTTAGGTGTCTCGATGGCAACAACTTTCCACCTACATTAGCAAGCCAACTTCAGATAGAGGAGATACCAAATGTGCATGCGTGTTGAACACACCCCTCTACCTGCCCCTGCCATATGGTCCTCCCACCATCGAGCCCCCGCCAGCCCACGAGAACGAACGCCCTGCTATGCGAACCGGCAAAACCATATTCAAGCGCCAAACATACACGCTAACAACTGCCAGTCAACAACGCGTATGAAAAGCTCCACTGCTCATGGGCCCTATGCCTTTGCCCGCACACAGTACTGACTCCCCTATTGCGAGCGGCCCCTGACAGCCATGAGAACGCCTTGACTCGCAGCACCGTTTTCAACCCCCGACGTCGATGCTATGCCCCAAAAAAAAAAGCCCATTTCGTAAGAGAGTCCCCGCCGCCTAAACGGGCTTCCATGTTTCTACCGGCCTGATCCCGAGTTCCTACTGCGAGCCCAACCTTGTTTGGCTATTGAGAGGAGCATCAACGAGAGCGAAGTACACAGCATGTCTGGTAACCGGGGCCCGCCTCTCTACAAGCGTAGAAATGTGATGATCTGAAAATGTGTTTTTGTATTGCTTGTCTGCAGGCATCTATGTTCAACAGCTTGAGAGTGTGTGCCTTTCATCCAATGCCGTCCTGACTCGTGATAGCATCATACTGCATCCCAATGCTGTATTTAGTTGCCTTTCCTTATTCACTAGAAAACGCCTTGCGCCATGCTATAATCAAAGATAATGCAAAGAACCAGACCGGCCGCTGCATCGAGACTTCCCACACACAGCCCGGAAGTATCCATCTACCGTTACAGCCGCGCGGAAGCACCTCTCAAACTCTTCTGGGTATCATATTTACGTCCTCGCACCGAAATTTTGGCTCCCGCCTGCGTACGCCAGTCCATTGCCAGGATTCTGTCATCGGTCAGCAGAGAGGTTTCTGGAACACGGATGATCTTAATGCACCTGTTTTCTCCTCTTCAACTTGGACCCCCCTTCACCATCTCCAGTCGAGTACCCACCGGTGTCATCATCGTATCCCTCATAGCCCACAAAGCTACTGTCCTGATAACTCCTCTTCTTGTTGAGCCGACGGGCACGGTCGACCGGAGGAGCAAGCGGCTTGCTCGCCTTGCCTATAGGCCCCGTAGCTGACACAGTTGGAGTGCTAGGTGCTGTTGGTCTCGCGGATTGATCCTGGTTCGCCTTCTTCACCATATTCCCGGGCGCGAGGTCACCCAAGACCGAACTGTCCCAAACATTCTTCGGTATCGGACCTCTTGACATTGTTGTCGCTTTCGGGAGGGTTGCAAGCGTAGCCTGCGAAAAGCCTCTCTCGATCTCCTTGCCCAGGACAGCTCGGTTGTTCCAATCGTCTTCGGCGACGGACAGCAGCTCCATGAGCGTTGATGGCTCCTTCTTGACCACGTCAAAATGTCCGCTCAGTCCTAGGGTCTTGATTTGACCCTTGTAAGTCTTCCTAAGAGCATTCTTGTCCCCATTCGGCTTCGTTCTAGCGACTTCGGCAGCAATGCCTGTCAAGCCGAACTTCTCGAACAAATCTTCCGACATGCGCGATGAAGAGACGGAATGGGCTAGATGAGCTACGCGTCAACCAAAATTCTCACATTTACCATTGAATCGCGGCTCCAAAGTCTACCAGATTATGTTGGAAAGGGGGGCAGCGAGGGGGTTGCCTGCAACCGCTGCGGCGGAGACGCTGAGACTTGAGGGAGCCTTACGAGTTCTGCAAAGCAGGTATTTCTCGCCAACATCCAAGTGTAGGTTTTCAATACCAATTCTGCGCGGATCCTCGAGGTGGACTTTCTTCTGCTCATGACCCCCCATATCGTCGAATGGGTATTTGCGCTTGTGGGAGGGTTCATCTGTCATCATGGTGTCGTGGGAGTGGTCCGCTGGTTGACCCGATCCGTTCACGCTATGAGCCGGCTGGAGAATCATCGTGGTGAGCAACTGTTTCCATCGTTCTCCGTACCGGCCAGACAAAGGTGCGCATGGGACATATAGAAGATAGTTCGCGGCTTCATACAGCACAGGCCCGAGGAGGAAGAGATAATGATGTCCGGGAGACGTTACTCACAGTAGGCAACGAGGTAGCGATTGATGGCATGGACGTATTCATGCTCGACCCCAAGTCTGCTGTGCTTGGGGAGAATTGAGAAGGACTCTGAGGCGTCTGAGGGCTGAATGACATGGTCGCCATTGAGGACAAATGGCTGGCAAGTAGAGCGAGTACTGAATGATCGGAGGTGGAGAACTCGGTAGTCAGATCGTCGTGCGTGAATCGGGATATTTCGTAGACGTAGTGCCGACAGCAAGGGACCGAGGACGACAGGCGTAACGACCGCAAGCGACAGGAATCAGAGGCCGACTCGAATGACCTAGACGACTGGCTCGATGGGCGTTCGGTGTGTGCTCGACGATGGTTCGGTCGGCAGGTGGAATGGGATGATCGATCTTACGCTATGGCAAGTCGCGCCAAACCGCCGACCGGCTGCAGTGGTCGAAAGAGCCCCGAGTCCAGCAACATACACCGATGTAATCGCGGGAATCGAGGTGTCGGAACGTGGACGACGGTAGAAGCGTCAGCGACGACGGTGGCGCTGAGGTCGGTATCGCAAGGGGTCGCGGTGGCCGTCGACTGTGGAAGGGAGTGGCGGTTGACGGTATGATGGGCCGGTCGTTGGGTGAAAGATGAAGTTGAGTTGATGGCAGATGCAGCGACCGACGGGGGACGGGGGGAGCGAACTAGGTGCAGGTGCTCTGCCTGCACGGGTGCTCCTGCACTCAGTAAGGCATAAGGTACCTACGGGTGTCCGTGCGCTGACTGCTTTTCCCAGCTGTCGCCCGCCTGCCCACCCTGCTGTCAGCCTGTACCTCCCGGGTGGGAGAGCATCCTTCCGCACCAAAACTCGCCTGGTCCGCTGAGGTCCGCTTTCTTTCCTCTCACCCCCGCTCGCCGGCTTCCCATTGGCTACCCTACGGATCTATGAAGTACTTACATTCTGTAGACGGGGCGTACCGGTACGACACACCACAAGCCGACACCACATGTACTTACGAACCATCCGCATCAACATTGAACTCTTTCTTCCCTTCTAGGACGTGCGTTCTGTCTTTTGAGTAAGGTATTGTCCCATTAAGCTTCTTGCCAGCTTTAAATTGATTGCAAGCATATGGGGCAGAATTAGTGTCACTACCTACCTACGCATACCCGGTCAATCATCCACAGTATCACTTGTCATACTAGTAAGACATATCTCGCTTTCCCCTTCCCTACTCCTCTACTACGTTACCTGGCGATCGTGACATTGCGTATTTGGACTCAGGTTGCATTTGAGAGAACACCAAAGCAAGGGCGCTTCTAACATCAGAGCACGTCAACTGCCTTTGTCTCTGGCGGAGCGTCGACTTACTAAGAGACGGAGCTCAGAGCATCAACACACATGACGCTTCGAGATGGCGGCTAATTGGACATCATCACTTCCTGCCTTGATATCGGTCAACAACGCCATTCTTACAAGTCATATCCTTTCATACTGCCTTACCTGGTCTATGTGATTGAAGATTGGTGGACATGACCTGTTCAACAATCACGCTCAAGTTGACATCTACTAATTATTATACTGATGCTCGCCCTTGCCAGGACTGACTGTGGATGCGCCTCTTGATACTATTGACTATCTATGTACCTACCATGTACCTTACGAATCAACTATGCCTCATGTCACTTCGAAGATTTTTGTGCTGATGAGTACCTGCCTGGCGCCACACCCACTCACCATCTTCAGCCACCAAGTACTATAACCAGAGATCTAATTAAGTTACGAAAGAACAAGGTTCTTTACTCTCTACCTGGTAACTAAGCAGGTATTGTCCCTCTCATACCCAAGGTATCTAATGCAAAAGCAAACTCGATGCCTGCAGGCTTAGGAGAAGATTCAGATCTGTGAGTGACTGACTAATAACTGATTGACTGCCTGCACGTTGTTGTCAGTGCCCTGACCACCTACAGCCTGGATGGATGGATATCTCGTCCGTGATTGGCAGGTACCGAGGCGGAGGGATGACCCACTCCCGTTCATGGCCGTTGGCCGAGTCAGGCGGCGGCGCGCGGGCGCTCGGGCCTCAGCCAGGAATCGCGGCTAGCCACATGCCCTTTAAAGATACCGGGTCTACTCGTATCCTCCTTGCCCATGCTTCCCCTTCGCCCATCGCCTTCCAACCACAGTGCACCGAAGATCGCCATTCCAATCGTCGCCACGACATCCGCGATCGCACCGTCCTCGATTCCTTGCAACGCCTGCACTCTTCCTTCGTTTCCTTGACTTTCTTCTTGGCCTTCGTGCCGTTTACTTCTGATTTCTAGCCGTCTCGGGAGGATACCGACATAGGTAGCCCGAACGGCACCCTTATCGCCGCCGCCCTTCAACTTTCCCCCACCACAAAGCAAACTGTCTCAGGTTCCATTTCGAGTCCAGTACCAGCCTTTACCATGGCGTCGTCTCGATTTGCTGCTGGTGCCAAACAGCGGCTAATGCAGGAGATGCAGCAGCTTGAGAAGGAGAAATGGGTGAACATCGATGTGAGTGGCATGGCCTCGAGCTGCCGGCATCGGAAGTGTCGGTTCGCAAGACTGATCAAGTGTCGTACTTCAGCTACATAACGGCAATATCTTCCGCTGGCGGATAGGTCTCATTGTCGTCAATCCTGGCAGTGCCTACAATGGTGGCTACTTTAGGGTGAGCAAAATGAACCCTAACACCCATTCGCAGGCCCGGAACGTTGGCTTACACACAGGACAGGCCGAGATGACCTTCACCGAGGAGTATCCGTTCCAGCCGCCGACTTTCCGCTTCCTCGTCCCAATCTACCACCCCAACATCTACCCCGACGGCAAACTGTGCATCTCGATTCTGCACAGCCCTGGCGAGGACGAAACATCCGGAGAGCATGCCACGGAGCGCTGGACCCCTCTGCAGGGAGTTGAGTCTGTCCTCCGGTCTATCCTATTGCTCTTGGATGACCCTGAGATCAACTCCCCAGCGAATGTGGATGCCAGTGTCATGTATAGGGACGACCGTGACGCGTACAACAAGAAGGCCAAAGAGATAGTTAAGAAGTCCAAGAACGATATTCCCGAGGGCTTCGAGATGCCGACAAGCTTGGAGCCTCCGCCCCCGCCCAAGCCTGCCGATGATGACGCCGCTTTCTGGGCTGAGAGCGATGAAGAACTCGACTTTGGAGGTAGCGACACTGGCGACGACGAGGAAATGGCTGAATTCGATGAGAATGGTGAGGAGGATGGCAGCGATGACGATGATGCTTGACAGCACGTCTGCATGCCTGACCGGACATTGGCGAAAATCCCGCTTTGACCATCGTTCTGGTTCTTGGACATCAACTCGCCCTGAGATGTCCAGCCACCAGGCGCCAGAAGCAACCGATTCACATCAGTCCCCACAAAGTTCTATCAATGAGAAGGTCGGCCGATAGACCGGATGTTCACCATTTCACCCACCTGAGGGCGCTACACGACACAACGTGGCACGACGCCCCAAAAGGTTGGACTCATCTGAGCATTCGCATTGCACACATGAACCAGCACCTCCCTTTCACTCTTTCACCCGTTCACCTTTCTGAACGAACCACTATAAACTTGCATAGCATCGGACAAAGGCGTTATTGGATCTCTGACACCAGGTACAGAGATGGATGATTTCACTTCATTCTTCTGCCCGGTGGGATTGGATTGTCACAGGCTGGCTGTTACATGATCCCACCACTAGAGGAGGCTCCTACAGGCTCAAGGGAAAGATCCCACGTGGTCTCTATATGTATACAGCAAGATAATAATGAATACAATGAGATTGTTGACGAGATTATGTTGGTGCTGTGAACTTTTAGTTCGATTTCGTTGCTGGCATGCCGTCCATCCATGCCGAGCTGTCAAGGAAGTGAAGAGGGTGGGATATGTTCCGAAGTTCCCCCGAATGGAAATAAACCTAAAAGCACAAAGCGATGCTCAACACATACAGATATTACCAAGCATTATCATATTTGTTGGAGTATCTGACATCAGCTGAGTGAGTGGATTTTGTGTACAGCGAATACACAGAGCAACCTGTATTACTTGGCTGGTTATGACCTTGCTACTGTTATTCACAGCTAGACCGGCAAACCGATTCGAACCTACTGGTAACGGAGGAAGAACTCTATATATCTAGGTATTCTAAAGGTACACCTGACACAGTCGCTTGAAGACTCTAACAACCTTATACCTAAGTACCTATTAAGGCTGATCAGACGAAGAGGTTCCGCAGCTAGCCCCGAATGCTTGAACTCCGGGGGGTGGGGCGAGAACGCCACATCAAATGGGCCCAACATCACTGCATTAGTGCAGTGCATTAGATACAGGTACCTGGGTACTTAGTAGGTACATGTACTTGTATCAGACCCACTGCAGGCCGCGCAGACAGGCGGACATGCTGGCTGGCTGGACATGGAGCTCTGGATCTGATCTGCGATAGCATCATCGTCTGCCGTTTGTAATTCCCAACAGTATCAATCTCACAGACGGCAGCTACTTCCATGTCACCTTTTGCATTATGATTACCCGTATGCGCTGATGAAATAGCACCTCTGATTTTCACAAGGGGCTGCATCATGTTACCCGGTCTCTGCTCCAAGTAACGCCAGATTTTCCATCTCTTCCAAGCATCCATTGCCTGGGTGCCACCTCATACCGAATCGCCCCTCGAGCTCCCTTCCACCCGGCAACCTAGCTAGGGCGACCTACGGCGACCTACCTACCTGCCTGCGCGACCCAGCTTGGTACTCGACCTCCCTTCACTTGTCCACGTTCATGTCCGGCCATCCAAAACACTCCATCCGCGCAACTCGAGGGTTCGAACCGCCTCCAAAATGCCGGCAACAGAGGAGCCCTCCGAACCCGACATCGGGATGTTATGCGACGTCACAGGCCTGCTGCGACCAGAAGCTATCAAGCGTCTAAAGGTAATATCCCCCTATACCTTTGACAACTACCAGTCCAATGCAGCAAAAGCCCTGTACTGACGGCCTTTGTCCTGTGCCAGTCCAATAATAACGATCTTCAACGAGCGATCGAGGAATACTTCGAAGATCCAACCGGCGAAAAGGTACCGCTTGCGACTATGTCACGGTCTAGAAGTCATATGCTTACGTGTCCAGTACAAATGGGACGATTCACATTTCTCTTCGAGTCGAGAGGGCGATGCGAACAATCCAGGCATATGTGGGCTATCCAAGTATACCCCCTATCATGCCTCCTACTGATACTACGTCGTAGCTTTCAACATCCAAGCCCCCGACGAGCTTCCGCCTCTCGGTTACCAGAACAGCGCAGCGCCGACTCGCCCTCCTTCAAGAACCACAACACCACTGGGTAGGCTGATAGACTTGACTGCACAAGGGGCTGCAGGTAGTATTCCTGCACCCGTCGAATATTCAAGCTGACAGGTGATATGCAGGAGCTCCAACCAACACCGACCAAGAAGATGACGATCTTCAGCGAGCCTTGGCCGAGTCAGCCGCCGCGTCTGGTATCCAGCCCCAAGAAGCTGGTGTTGTCGACAGCGAGACGAATCAGAAGTACTTTGGCCCTGCAAATCGACTGCAATACCAAGTTGAAGATTGGTCTATGGTTCCTACCAAGGCGTCAGTGGATACTGCCAAAATTGGCCCTGCTCCATCAAAACGCAAACGAGACCCAGAGACTCCCGCATTCCTCCGACAGACCAAAGATCACCGGGTTGGGGCTATCCTGTCAATCTTTCACAAGATCCCTCTGGTTAGAAATATCCTGCTCCGCTGCGGAAGACCGGCGCGTAACTACGGGCATAACTCTGAGTGGTGGAACGGTCAAAAAATTCTGAAGCAAGAGACCCTTGCTGCCATGGCGACAGGAGAGGACATCTGGGGCGATGATGCACATCCCGATTTCAGCGAAGAACTACATCGTCTGTTAGCCTTCCTCGACAAGACAGAACGCAGCTACGGATCAGTCGACAGCTTTATCGAAACCAAACCGATGGACCCGACCCACGGTGCTTGGGTGCCTGACGTTGAAGACAACCTCGCCGAGGCTTTGAAGCAAGCAAGCCAGGAAAACCCTGATTGTGATATAAACCCCATGGTCACCATCGGCCAGCAGCTGCGAGTGCCGCCGGCAGGTGGTGAACATTTATCCTCCGAGGTTGTCGACTCGGGTGACGGAGAAATGGAACAAGGATTTATCTTTCTCGATGTTCGACTAGGTCAAGACCGGTATGAGTGCGTGGGCACTTTATATGACGCTCTCGACCAATTCCTTTGGCAAGAGCCGATGTCACCATCATATGAGTTTGTCGGCGATAAGTTCGCTGCTCTCAAGAAGCCGGCCGACGTGCTTACATTCCGGCTCGGAGGCTCGGGCTTAGTGAGGCCTTGCGAAGTACCCGCCATCTTCTACGCAGATCGATACATGAGAGACAGAAAAGACTCCACTATCCACTTCATGCGTCAGATTCGAGAGATCAGGACTCAGCTGCAGAACCTAGAGACGTGGGAGCGGGAACGGTTCCAATGTAAAGGGGAGCACGGCTGCTCTAGGCTTAAGGGACTGGGCGAGTGGCATGATATTCGCGCTTGTCGCGAGAGGACAATTGAACTAGCCACGAATCTCCTCGAGCAGCAGAAGAAGGATGCTCAGTGGCGCTACTTCGAACGTCAGTGGAGAAATGATACACCATACAGCATGGAGGACCTTAGACTGCTTCACACATCGACCGGGCCATTTGAACTGACATCGGAGGAAGAGGCCAATAGAAGGAAATGGGAATTCATCATCAAGACCTCGAGACGAGAAATGGAGGACATTGATCGAGAATTGGCTGGTAAGTACCACACGTTGATTGCATGTTGATTCATTTGACATGGCCTAACCCTACTGCAGATTGTAAAGACAAGAAGGAAGAGCTTACTGGCTGCCTGCAAGTGATTCGCAAGCGTCTTACCTGTCAGGAGCACGAAGCTGATGACGATCTCTTTGTCTTCCGCTCGAATCCCGATGCTTATCAACCGGAGTACTGGAACCCGACTCGGAAATTCATGCTCCGGGGTATCGCACTGACGCGAGATTTGGCATATGTCTGCGTCCGACATGAACCTGATCTAGTCGACATCGACGGACAAGCGAAGCCGATGGACCAGTGGTGGAAGATAGGTTACGCCGCAGACGAAGCGTCTCCGATCAAAACGGAGGTAAGCGTAAACCCAAAGGTTCTCTTCGCACAGGTTCTAACCTTGTATGCAGAAGGTTACCCTGGACGATACTGTCCAGGCGGCAGGGACTGAATCGAAGAACCCGATCCTCATATATGCCACCGAAGCTGCTATGGAAGCAAGGCCAACGGAGCTTTCAGACCCCCTGCGGGTAAGTCACGCCCTTTTCGTCTGGAGAAAGCTACTAATGGTCATTCAGATGTTTGTCAAAGCCGACAACCGCTCGTTTCAACAAGAAATTGCTCAAGAGCAGAGCCAAGGACAGGACAGAGTACAGGATCAACATCAAATGCAGGATTTGCCGCCAGCGGCATTGGGCGCTGAGGGTTCATCTCAGATCCCATTCAACCCAGGCGCGAAAAGGAAGCTTAGCAATGCGTCTTCCATTGCCACTCATGGCAGCTTGCGGAGCGACCTAGCCGAGGTTGATCTAACCTTCCCGGACGACCCTGTCCAATTCGATGATGACTCGACTGCAACGACGCATCACCAGGAGTTCGCTAGCAACATGCCAATGACGCATCACCAGGAGTTTGCCAACAACACCACCCAGCTCGTTAAGCTCGGCGGGATCGTTGAATCTTTGGCTAGCTGTCGAACGCGAGATAACGACTCACCGATCCTGGGACGGCGCGAAGTGCAAAGAGACTATGGCGTCCAACAAGGTGGTCAGGGTGACAACTACGAGAGCATGGAGGAGCTGCGGACGTTTGACAGCAGTGCGACAGACTCCAAAGGGCCCGAGATGCAAGAGCGTAGCGGAGGAATGGCTCCTTTCCTGACTCGCCCCGGTAGCAAGCACGGCACGCAGCCAGGTCCCATTGACATGATGGACCTCGACGACGATGAAGAGCAGCGACGAGGGGGTTGATCGGATGCGACTGCTTGCGTTTAACATCCTTGCATTGCTCTTTGACGAAGGTCGCATGGAGGCTCGTCCCATGGAGGGCCCCGGCGTCGCACTTTCATCACCGCGAAATGAATGGGCTGGAGAGGATAAGATGCATTGGTTTATTGCGCGAGCATTGGGCATGAAACATAATAACGGCATAGGGCTGGGAGCTGTGCACGTGAAGAGGTGGTGGCCCGGTTGGGTTACCGCTGGGTCACAGCTATACCAGTCTAGAGAAGTAGTTTCGCAGTGGGCAGCATGGCGTGGCGGGTGGCTCGCTCCGGCTATGTACAGACGATTTGATACCCAACGCCGGAGAATAGAGACGCAGAGTTGTTAATGATCTTACTTGGGGTGCAGCGTGTTTCTCGGCCGTTGCGATGTTCATCAATACCTGTAGTGAGACGTGAGAATCTTGCTACTGCTCAGGGGCGGGTTGGGTGGTTGCATGGACGACTGTAATCTGTGAGACCGAGATCAGACAAGCATCCACGCATCTACTCGACCTGAAGTTGCGCTTCATGTGAGAACATACGGTATCAGAGATCTCGACATCACATGGTAGTGCCACCAGAGTTGCCGGTGTCTCACTACTATAGGCTTCGAGAATGTTCTATAATTGGTACACAGGATCTGGTGCCGGAAACGGGGAATGGGCTAACACTCAACAACACATCGACTCGTCGGCTGAAAGCAACATGAAGTTGGTTTCAAACAGCATTCTTGAGTTTCTACTATCAATGTCAACAAACCACCGTAAGCGTTCATGTGTTCTATAAAATTGGAAGCGCATTGACCACGCGGTTGTCTCTCATCATCAGGTACACAAGTACATGTACCCCGCGACCAACGTTGAAAGATCCACCTCGGGAACCCCACCATCAATCATCATTGGGCGTCATTCCTCCATCAACATCCGACTGGAAAGCCAGCGCTTCCACTTGACCGCCTGGAGCTGTGTGACCTGATAGTCAAGTCGACCAAAAACGACATTGAGCAACACGCAACAGGCGGCTGCCCAAATATAGAAGACGCACGCAATTGGAACGTTCTCATTCGTTCCAGACCCATCCATCTGCTCCCCTGCTCGTGTCCTGTTCACAAAGGAATCCGGCCTCGCCCACTTTACTTTAGTGCCAACGTGACTCCTCCACCACTCATCGTTCATTCCCGAATCTTCCACCTTGCGCCCACCCACTGCTGCTTCGGTAACAGCAGAGCAACCGAGACTGAACCTGGTCTGCCTCGGAGCCTCGTTGACGGCCTCATTCAACATCACACCATCCCACCATCCCGCAGTCACCTGCGCCTTCTCCCATTGTGCTCAATCCCTCCGTCCCTTTCTCGGACAGCTCCACCGATTCCTACAGTGGTCCTTCGAGCCTATATCACTTACCCTACGACCTCCTCCCACACCTGCCCTCGCTTTCGTACCGGAAGCTTGCGTTAATCTACCTGCACCTCTACCTACACACGGAGACCCAAGTCTCTGCATACATCCGCCAACATGGTGAAAGAGACGAAGCTCTACGACCAGCTGAGCATCAAGCCCGATGCTTCGCAAGATGAAATCAAGAAAGCATACCGGTAAGCTTTGCCTCTTCCTTCCGCTTGCCCGCTCTGTCCGTCGCAGCGAATACTCGCTTCAGACATCTTCATGGATAGCTACCTACGGGTGCCCCGCGCCTTCGTTCGGTGTTTGTTGACCATTGCCTCACCAACTGCTATCGTGTGGTATCGAAGCTAACCAGTCTCCAGGAAAGCAGCACTAAAATTCCACCCCGACAAGAACAAAGACAGACCGGAAGCCGCCGAGAAGTTCAAGGAATGTTCGCAAGCCTACGAAATCCTGTCTGACCCGGAGAAGCGCAAGACATATGACGATTACGGCCTCGAATTCCTGCTTCGCGGCGGCTCTGCCCCACCTCCGGGCGAGAATCCCTTCGCTGGTGCCCAAGGTGGCATGCCACCCGGCTTCGATTTTGGCGGTGGCATGCCTGGCGGAGGGGGTACCCGGACTTTCCATTTCAGTACTGGTGGCGGCGGCGGCGGCGGAGACCATTTCAGCTTCAGCAATCCCGAGAGCGTTTTTGCTGAGTTCTTTCGCGGTGCCGCCGGTGCGCGTATGGGTGCAGATGACGACGAAGATACTCTCAATTCTTTCGGCGGCATGCCCCGATCTGCCGGTGGGAGATCAAGCCGGATGCGGAGTAGCTTTCCGGGCGGCGGTGATCCCTTCAGAAGCAGTGGCGCCAGAGAGGCCACACCCGAGGTCACCACTGTTGAGCGCGCGCTTCCATTGACTCTCGAGGAGCTGTATAACGGGATAACCAAGAAGATGAAGATCAAGCGCAAGACTTTCGATGACAATGGCAAGCGGACAACAAGCGATCAAGTTCTCGAGGTGCCTATCAAGCCCGGCCTGAAGAAGGGTAGCAAGATCAAGTTCAAGGGTGTTGGTGATCAAGAGGAGGGTGGAAAGCAAGATCTTCACTTCATCGTTGAAGAGGTGAGTTCTCAGATTAGCCTGACTCTCGTCATGCGTTTGAAAGTAGATACTAACTACATCGTCACAGAAACCCCATCCACTCTTCGTTCGCGACGGCGATGACTTGGTGCACACGGTCGACCTCGATCTGAAAGAAGCCTTGACTGGCTGGAAGCGAACCATAACCACAATTGATGGCAAGCAACTCAATATCGACAAAGCTGGACCCACCGGACCTGGCATGAAGGATACCTACCCTGGACTGGGTATGCCCATGTCGAAGAAGCCAGGCGAGCGTGGAAACTTCATTGTCAACTACAACGTGAAATTCCCGACCAGCTTGACCACGAGGCAAAAGCAGCAGTTGAGGGAAATACTATGAACGAACCAGTGTCTCTAGTGGGAAATACGGAACATTCAAACCGGAAGTTGTTCGGCGTACTTTGGCGTTTTCTACGTAGGCGGACCGGAATGCTTTTAATGAACTGCACGACCACATGAGTACCACGAACCTTCTATCGGTAACTATATGAAATCCTTACCCAGCTGTCGACACAGTGCCGATGTGGAGTCGGCATTGGGTTCGAGGGACTTCAAGGTCTGTATCCCATGTCCCATTGGATCATCAGAGTTGACCGACTCGAGTACATAATCTTCACCCTTTTTCCTCCCGTGGCGAGTACTCTGGGATGTTCGGGCTCTAGAGATGTGGATAATTCAAGATAATTAATTGATCGTCGACAACCATGTACACTCGTATTCTATTGACATGTGCCAGGTTAAGACCATCTTGTACTACTGTGTGACGTTGCGATCAATCGTTCCCTTTCCCTTCCCTGCCTCACGGAGGTTCTACTCAGCAGAGTTGTTCTGCTCATTGGCGCTCCACCTGACGTAGGAACCCGGAAGCGCGCTCTGTATCCCGACGATCAACAGATCCATACGAGCTTCCCTTCAACGTGGCCATGCTCGCCGCCATGAGATTAAGAAGGCTAACATTCCCTTGTGATACGCGATTGCTCTTTCGACAGCGCTTGTAGAGAGCTTGGTTCAGAGGGTGGCTAGAGATGCGATAATATCGCCAGGGTGTTTCAGAACTCGATATAATACAAAGTCACATTTCTATCCTACCCGCTACAATAACCTTTCAGAAGCCTGCGTCCGCGCGCTGTTTGATCACTCTTATTTGTAGTGTTGTAATAAGCACAATAGAATAATCTATCAAGCCCCGGATGGGGTTCGAGGTTCAGATGAGTATCATGAACGACGAGAGAATCTCATCCCCACCCATCGGCCTCCTACCATGCGGGCACGACTTCCATAAGCCACTCGTCCATGCGGCCCTTCCAAGGCCAACTTACTGTTACGCTACCGTCCGGACCGCGAGTGATGTTGGCCTGTCTACCACCAATGGCGAAACCCCTCAGGTTCGGCAAGGTCTTCATCACCATCGCCGCCGCTCGTTCCGTGGCCTCTGCCCCCTCTTGCGCAACTTCGCGTTTGTACTCCCTGCCCTCGGGTCCGAAGTACGCGTTGCCGCAGTCGGGGCCGCCGTCGAACCTGACGCCCAGCGCGGAGGGGGCGGCAGATTGAGTTGCGTCAGGTTCGTGAAGTCGGAGAGCACTTTTCGGATGCGCTAATAGTAAGGGGTTGTCAGATCAGTTCTCGATGGCGTTTTGGTTCACATGTGGGTTGAGTCGGGTGCAATCAAAGGCGCGCTCACCTCTAGTACTGGCGTGCCGTCGTCTTCCATCCCACATCTCATCTGATAGCGTTCGTCCAGATCGCCTTCGAGGCCCAGGCTGTTGATACCCGGCATGGACATGAGAGCCGCTTGAGCGAGAAAAGAAGGATTAGTTTTCCAATACTTTATCAGCAAACGGTTGTCAGCCCTCGCGCAATCGCGCCCGCCCCGATGAACAATACCCTGGCATCCGGGCGTTCGGGCCAGTAGCCTCTCCACGCGTACCCGCCGCCGTTCTCCAAGGTCTCCAGGTTAGGACACATGGGGACCAAAATCTGGCTGAACGCGCTGGGCTCTAGTCGCTTCACAGACGGGAACATAAGTCCCCGCTCAGCAAACGGCTTCTCCAAGTACGCCGCGTACGCCGGCGGGATGGACCACTGCAGCGTCTCCAGGCTCGTCATGGCCTCCAGCACGTCGGCGAAGAGCGAGATCAGCGATGGGGATGGACGCGACCACTCCAGCGCCCAGGGGTACCAGGATGAGTACTTGTTGTCCAGGATCCCGAGGTACTGCGCGTCGAGGATAAACTGGGGGGCATTGGAGCGCCGCAGTGGGCTGCTGAGAATGCTTTGGGCGGTTTCGGTTAGTTGATATAGTGAAGGGATGGATGCTAATGCCATTGCCGTGGTTATGAATAGGAGAGGGACCGTGAGGTGGGGCGACCTCATGGCGTGTGGTCTGTGGTTTTTATAATTTATAAGTTGGATGGCGGTTCTGCCACAGCAATCAGAAGTATATCGAGTTATTCACGACCTGACACACGATGAAATGGTTCTGACCAAGGTTGTTGTCTAATGGCACGATGCTTATGCCAAGCCATCACCGGACTGTACATGTAGATTATGCTACAACCGGGCCCCCCGCCCCCCCCTTTTCATGCGAACTCCCTCTGTAGGTAATTATGCGGTTGTGCTTGTTGGCGCGCAGTGCTGGTGAGAAGACGTCGGGGACCATGTGGTGTGTTTCATCTTCTTCGCAGAATATGATAGACATTGTCAAGAACTGTATTCTGGCAGCGTAAACAAACTAAAACAATTCAACGCCAGTATAGCAAAACTAGAAACCGCCCACCCCAAAACCAATTCGGAACGTCCTGAACTAACTTACCGCCCACCAAAGAAATCTCAGAACTGGTTTCAGCCACCCCGTTGAGCCAGGGGTTGGCCTCGCCGCCGCCGGAGCTGGCTCCGGAGTGATCTTCGTCTCAACGGTCTCATACCTAGGGTTAGCAGCACACTCTGTATTAACCTTATCTTCTAGGGCTTCCACGCCACTGGCTATGGGCCAGTTAACTGAGGGAGCGGTGTCACGGCTCATCGTGCACTCGTACGAAGGCGGTTGGTCTTCATGGGCATCTTCGTAAAGCTCATCAATATCAACGTTAACATTCGCCTCACTCTTTACGACCTCGTCTTCGAGCACATATGGAGGCGATTCTTCAGGCGATTCTCCATAAAGCGGCAACGACTCAAACAGCGCCTGGGGAACCGTCCCCGCTCTGGCCGTCAAGCCCGAGCCGTCCAGGAACGGCAGCCACATCAAGCCCGCGGCCTTGAACCGCTTCTGCCTCTCAAAAACGCGCGAGAAGATGTCCTCCGCGCCGCCCGTCTCCGTCTTAATCAACGTATCGACGAACCTCATCAGGGACCAGCCCTCGCGCTGCATGAACTCGACGTCGCCGGGCACTAGCTGGCGGCCAAAAAGATAAAAAGCGTCGAACAGCACCGACTTAGACTGCCTGTCCTTGTACCCCAAAAAGTCCACCGTCGGGACGTCGAACACGTACGGCTGGGCCGTGTAGTTCTCGATTTTCTCGAAGAACCAGGTCACCTCGACGGGGTACTCTACCTCGAACGTGGAGCTGTCTGGGACCGACAGCTTAGAAGGGTTGGGGGCTTCCGCCCAGTCCGAGTCGCGGAAGAGGATCGTGGGGGGTGCTGGGTGGCGGGGTGCGTTGCTAGGTAGGTTTTCCATTTTGTTCGAGAGTCCTGGTGTAAGTATGTGTGTTACATGTAGCTATGTGTTTGTGTCAATCCGGGTACGACAAGGGAGCATAGGCGACAGGGGGGATATGTAGACCCTAGAAGACAATGGGAGGACTGTACTCGTAGAGGACAAGGGGATTCTTTGGACAATGCATCAAAGCTACACGGAAACAAAGGCATGGACCATGGAGTAACGGCGATAAGGCAAGAAGCCAGATACTCAAAGTATTTAGAGGGTCTCCAGATCGATGTACAGAGGCAATAAGATGCTGCCATATGTCAAACAGGGTCTGGGCCTCGGAACGTAGATCAAGAAAGCGACTACCTACACTGAACTGGCCGTATGGCGCAATGGTCAAATGCGTCTGGTTGTGTTCTCGTTTGTGCGGTGGGCGACGAGAACAAGTGGGTTCGAATCCTGCTATGGCCCCCTTCTGACCCGGCTTGTGCGAGTCGACAACCAGCACACAACAGTGGAGAGGCCCCATTATCGCAGAGCCCGATAGCCAAACAGCTTGTCTCCACAACACCCATTCCTGCGAGGTTTTTCCCCTTGTGGTTTTCCTCGCCAGCAGATAACAAATACCTACTTCACCCACCAATGCGACATATATCGAACGGCTACTGGAACGATGTGTACACCAGAGGACTGAGGTTCACTGGGTCGCTTTGTCACTGGACAGGAGGTTTTTCTGACGGAATCGTGCTTGGGTATTGACTAAAACTATCTGGACACTCCAGATTGATACCGCTACAGCGAGGATAGGCTCGTGCGCGGATCTGAATGTATCTAGACTGACACCTCTACAACCTTGCGATGCAATGGCTCTGGGAGGCGTGGTTTGCCCTGTTGAGGGACTGCACCCACAATAAATACAATCAATCAATCAAACCTACACTGAACTCCTGGATGTCCCCTTACTTAGTTCGGGGAATAAACGTTGTGGAATAAGCCATGCTAAGATGCATTTGATCTTTATCTAATTATGCCAAGGTGCTCATTCCAACAATGAATGTCCACTACATGAAATATACCAAGGCATGTAGATGAGACTTATGATACTCATGATGGTTGTTGGTGTTGAGAAATTTCAAGCATGAGCAGTTGTCACTTGAACGCAATGGCAGATGATCGGGGAAACTTATCCCATTGGTGGGACTGCCTGCAGAAAAAGAGGCACCTGAGACCTTCTCGTGTGCAGGGTTGGCACAGGCGTTAGCATAAATCTTACATACGCACGTATGACACATACCGGTTTCCGCAGTTCCCACATCTCACTTCCACACATCTCTCTTCATCGCTGCTTTCCAACCCTGATTAAAAATCTTGACCTCTTCAAGACCGTCAAATACGCAATACCACCCGATCATGGCATACCGCGGTGTTGATCTCATCCTTTGTCCCTACCATGTCGGCAAACAAGACCAAGGGGTTGGCAATGGACCTCGAGCCATTCTCGACGCTGGCATACGCGAAGTAATAGAGTCGCATGGCATCTCCTTCTCGACTACCACGATAGATCCAGTAAACGACTTCGAGGGTGAGATCGGACGGAGCTTCGAGCTCTTACGTCGCATTGCGGCGGCAGTCAAGGCAGCCCGAGCGAGCAGAAGCTTTCCAATCGTCCTGGCAGGCAACTGCAACAGCAGCGTGGGCGTTTTCGCAGGCCTGACCGCAGGAGCCGTACCGCACGGCGAGCTGGGTATCATATGGCACGATGCGCACGACGACTACCATAACCCCGATACACTGGAGAGCGGCTACTTCGACGCGATGGGTGTCTCGATGCTGACGGGCGAGAGCTGGAAGGGGTTGACGTCTTCCATACCTGGTTTTCAGCCCATGCGGAAAGACAGGGTCGTGTTCTGCGGTGTCCGGGACGTCTCAGACGTGGAGCGACGGAGGCTACAGGAGGCTGCCTCAAGGTAGTTTGGGGCGATAGTCCGCCGTCTCAGAGCTACGCGAAAGCGCTGCAGAGCATCCTTGGCCAGCTTGAGGCTCCCAGGCGGGCCATAGTGCACTGGGATCTCGACTCCTTGGACTCGGGATCTTGCGGAAAGGCGAATAGATTCGCCGCGTCTGGTGGCCTGACTGGAGACGATCTGCAAGGCATTGCTGCTATGTTACCAAAAACTATCATACCGGAGGCGCTCACGTTGGCTTCTTTCGACCCTAGCTGCTCTGAGCGAGGAGGTGCGGTCATTGCGGGCATTTCTGTGAAGAGCATCTCGAAGCTGCTGCAGGTCATGGCTGAAGAAGGGCAGCTACTTCGGACGTGAGGGACGATGGTGAGGGCGGTCACAGAAAAATGATTGGAATTTGGACCCAGCTTACTTGGTAACCTTGGGGCAGAGAATACACAGTCCCGTTCCCCTTCGAGATCCTCAGATCCGATAGGCAATTTGCGTACATAGAAGTCCGTAACTCATAAGCTGGTAACAACAGTCGAGCACTTGCAGATCTATATGCTAAATCTACCTCAGTTTATCAGATCCAAACCATGGGCACGGAGTGCTGGGACGGATGGATTTATAATTAACCAAATAGTGATATAGTGACGTGCACTCAGCCCTTTTAAGTCTCCGTACGCGCCGTAGTACAAGAATTCTAGATCAGACGTGAAAATTTGGAAATACTAAAACAAGCAGATAGGAATAAGCAGCTCATAGCTGTAGAGTCATGTTTAATTTTTTTCCCCAGCGTTCTTGTTCCATTTATAATAAACGCACCTATGGTTTGGCGAATGAGGGGTGTACGGAGACTTATGAGGGTTCAGTGTAGCTATGTTATGATCGGGTAATGTGAGAGGCATAATACTTCAAATGATATATGCGGCTTGGAGCTTGGAGCTTGAAGCAGCTGTAATTATCCAAACTTGCGATGCGCCGGTGGCCCTACTTCCCCTGGTCTTTCAACACGGTACGTTCACTTGCCTTCTTCTTGACTGCAGTCTCAGCCCTCGTTATCTCTCTTTGAAGCCAGGACAGTTTATCGCAGACGCCCTCGCAGCCTTCGCGGTCCCACATATGAGGGTGTTTGGTGATGTCCTTTACGAGCCAATCATTGACAAAAGCGAGGTCAGAGACGGCATCGACAGGGGCCCTCTTGACGAAATAATCGGATTTTTGATTTGGCGTAGCTATCGTCGGAATAGACAGCTTGGTCAAGGGGGGTTTCGCCAGCTCTTCGATCAAGTAAGACAGGTCCTTCTCCCTGACATCCAGCATTCTCATTTTGTAAATTTGTTTGGTGACCAAAGCTTTCACCATAGCCTGCCTCTTCTCCAGGTTCATTTGGTGGGCTAGTTCGCTGTTTTTGGCTTTGATGGGACCAGCTTGATTTCCGATGGCTTGGTGCATCTCACGCCCAACCGCTCTTGTCACTTGAGCTCGTATCAGTTCTACGTGAAGATCCAATATTCGTTGCTCTGCCGCGCTGCTGTTCTTGTGGAACTATACTCATAAGTCTTTCAACCCATCCTCGGCCTCGGTTAGTACGTTTGATTCCTCGCTGTGTGCACTGCTCGTGCTCGTCCGTTTGTTGTTATGGATAGGATTCATCGATGCGCTGCCATTTGATTCACTTATGGTGTCCGGTTCCATCGAGACTTTGCTTCCATTCAATGGGGCCGCTCCGTGCTTGTGCAAGAGAGCTATCTTTCGCTCCATGTTGCCATGTGTAGATGGACTCGTAACGTTGTACTGAGTTGTAGCCTGGCTCTGATCGTGAAATGGCCCCCAAGGTGTCATGTGCTCGGGTTGAAGTTGGTGGTCTGCATTCGCCACTGCAGAGTCGTAATTGGGCAAGTCGTAGTCGTCTGTTGAAGACTCTGGTGGCATGACTTTCTCCTTCGCTGTCGTCTCCAATTCCTTCGAAATTGATCTTGATGATCTAGGGCTGAGCGGCGATGACAGTAGGTGGCGTGCATGCCAACATCGTGCTGGGGAGTGTCTTGTTCTGACTTGATAATGGGGGATTCTCGATGTGCAATATCAGACTTGTCTTCGAAAGCTCGCGTCCGGTCCCCGGAGTCGCCCTTATCTGCCTTTGGTAACAACAGTCTTAGGCTCGGTGACGCTTTGACGATCTGACGGATTGGACGATGTCCTTCAACCAACGCAGAGGATTAGGCATTCTCAGACCTGCCCCCCACAAGCTGTTATTGCTAATAAAGACTGGTGACTAGTGAAGGTTTGGTAAAGCCGCGTACAGCTGTGGCTGATGTGCGACTTTGAGTCGCGCCGCAATGACGTTCGGTGTTGGGTCCAAGGTGGTGAATAGGGAACATGTCCATGCAGAGCGTTCTGAGGAGAGAGGAGGGATGTGGAATGTCAAAGCTGGGCAAAGAGGGCTTAGAGATATATATATATATACGCAGCAAAAGAAGAAACTATGCGTATTGACTCTTAAGATGGAACCTTATCAGGTGGCCACCATGGTTGGTGGCGTTCAGACTTCGCATAGGGGTCTAGAATGCTACAATTCTGACAAGTCTGTCATACCACCGCCTAGGGACATCTTCAATCAAAAAAGGCTGGTTTATTCTTTAATCTATCGCCTGTATTGTAGAGAAACTAAACCCCTAGTAGACCCCATACACACAGAGGGTGAGCGAGAAGACGAACAGATTTCAGCCGTGAGCCACGAAGAAAAAAAAGGAAAAAAAAACCCCGTCGTTAATTTACTCAAGGTTACGGCAGAGCCTGAATTGATTCCACATCATCGACACCATCTCAATCTGCTGGGTTGGGAACACGAAATCAGTCGCTCTCGCCATGGCATGAACTGATTGATTGATTGATTGATTGATTGATTTTATTTATCGTGGGTGCAGTCCCTCAACAGGGCAAACCACGCCTCCCAGAGCCATTGCATCGCAAGGTTGTAGAGGTGTCAGTCTAGATTCATTCAGATCCGCGCACGAGCCCATCCTCGCTGTAGCGGTACCAACCTGGAGTGACCAGATGGTTTTAGTCAATATCCAAGCATGATTCTGTCAGAAAAACCTCCTGTCTAGTGACAAAGCGACCCAGTGGACCTTAGTCCTCTGGTGTATATATCGTTCCAGTAGCCGTTCGATATATATCGTATTAATGAATAAAGCAGGTGTTTATTATCTGCTGGCGAGGGAAATCATAAGGGGAAAAACCTCGCAGGAATGGGTATTATGGAGACAAGCTGCTTGGCTATCGGGCTCTGCGATAATGGGGCCTTTCCACTGTCGTGTGCTGGTTGTCGACTCGCATAAGCCGGGTTAGAAAGGGGGCCGTAGCAGGATTCGAACCCACTTGTTCTCGTCGCCCACCGCACAAACGAGAACACAACCAGGCGCATTTGACCATTGCGCCATACGGCCGTCATGGTATGAACTGTCTGACACTTTCACACCCATCGTAAAGGGCGCGGGCTTGGGGCCGAGCAGACACAAGAGCCGTCGAGGCCAGAAGGCTGGCCACAAAACGTATGAGCATATTCATTGTGACTAGCTTTGAGCCTGCTTTTGGCTATTGGAGACCTCGATCGACTGAAGATGGTCTCTTGGCAAGGAAATTCCGTTCTCTTCATATGAGATGCTGACTCCCTATGAATTGATTCCACGGCCGATGGTTAGCTTAGAACTCGGCTGTCGGCCTCGACTTCGGATCATAGCTGCGATGTGTTCCTGGCTGCGAAACCTGAGCTGCACCTGATCTTATCGGCAGTACGTTCGTTATATAATGGGAGCCTCTGTGTGATAACGTTGAGAGGGTTGGCCTACTCAACCACAGCCACGCCGCCCAGGTGACGCGAGACAAAACCCGTGATCCGAAAAATTGGTGCCAGCCTGACGGTGAGAAGCTACATGTAGGCTCCGTAACCGTAGATGTTCAGCTCTTTGCTGTACCTCACAACCGGCCATCACACTGAGAAGCGAGGACATGAACAATGTTCTTGTAGGTACATAATGACGGTTGTTATTTTCGAGCAAGTCAACAAAGATCAAATTGGCCTGGGTCTTCGCCTTTTATTCCTTATTACAAACTTCTTTCATTGAAGAAAGAGACAAAGACAACGTCCGACCTAAGAGGCAATGTTCATAAATAGGCGTTCCCGCCGTCAATCATTTGAGGGAGCATTTGTTCCGCTCTCACACACTGACCCGTTTGAAAATTATTTCATTCTTTCGATACGCTACTCGACTGGATCGATCTGGTTTCCTGTTGGACATACTGCACTTCTTGATTGTTGGTCATCAATGTCGTTACAATACGGAGGACACAATTCCAACAGGTGGGGAGGGGGAGCACAGAATAACCATGGATCATCTTCCCAAAAGCGGAACCGTAGCCAGAGCACTGGCGGGAGTTCTGGCGGTGGTGGTCACCCGATGAACAATAACTACAAGGGCATCAACTTCGACCCGGACTTCCACCTCAAGCGGAAGCGCGGTAACACCCACCATACCGAACAGCACCACCACCAACCACACAACCCGTTCTCTCAAAATCAACCTGTTACAGCCATGCAACAGTCTCATTTATGGAACCAGCAGGCCAATATCCCTGCGGCCTTCTCGACTGAGGCGGCGCGAGAGGCATTCTACTCGAGGCTCATGAACAGATTAACCAAGGACGATGAAGGAGACACGACGCAGTGTTCATGTATAGGAACCGAAGGCCAGCTGTGTCACCACCGCATCGCCGAGGAGCATAGGCAGCTCGTGAGGGAGCACGAGCAATTGCAAGGGGACGTGGTCAGGCTTCTTTCGTACATGATGGCCCAGAACCCGAAAGCACACGAGAGGGTTCCTCAGTGGATAGACGGGTTTTTGGCAGAGACCAGCTCACCCCTTGCGTCTATATTGAGACCACCGCCACCGACTTTCAACGGGTCAAGGCCCTACGCGGGGATGGATGAGTCGATTTGAGAGCGCAGGATACAGTGGTAATGGTTTCGTAGTAAATAATTCAATGATAGGCGGGCGGAGGCCTCCTCCGTCATATAAAATGTTATCAAACAGCACTTATTATAAAATATTTTCATGCCGCATTTATTAACAGTATTAATAACGTGTCATGATAGTAGCCAAGGTTTTCTACATGAGTACTCCTCTATTTCGTGGCAAGGACAACCTCAATCCAGTCAATATAACCCCTATTCCGTACCAGCGCGAGATCTTGCCCAGTCACCTGTAACCCTATCTCATACGCAGAATCAGGTGCATTCTGCTAACAGATTCTCGACCTGACAATCCACAGCGCGTTGTACGGTGTGCCAGGATGGTGATACGAATAGTGCTCTGCAGCGAGATGCCTAACGACCTCGTCGATCGAAGGCGCTCTGTCGTCTCTGGACTCGTATTGAGGATTGTGATATTCGAAACACGCCGATAGGTTGGCCGACTTCACTTGGGCGCAGTCCGAACGTTCCCATAAAGCCGGGCGGGGTTGGCAGGAGAGGTGGCGAAGCTCGAAGAGATATATGTGCTTTGATTCTGATCCGGGAGTAGGGTCAGGGTCAGAGTACTGAGACGCAGAGTCAGAGTCAGAGTCCTCAGACGTGGAGTCAAAGGACTCGAACGTAGAGTCAGAGTACTCAGACATGCTTGCGACTGCTACTACAGCAGACGTACGGGAAGGATGAGTTCGAGGGCTTGTAGTAGATGGGCCGCTCTGAACGGTGACCTTGAATGGATTTATGGGCAGTAGTACTACTGTACTCCGCTGCAGTCAATAGCATTGTTTGGTACGTGTACTAAGGCGTGGACAACCCTTTGTTCACTACACAATCGCATTGGGTCGCGGGCTTTGTAGTATGATAGAAACCGAACAAAGGCACGGGAGACACGGCTTGAGACTGATCCGACTTACCTAGTACCACACTCAACACAGAACAGGGCTCTGGTGAGAACTTGACAGGAAGAGACAGGATCACCAGGTATTGGAAGGACTAAGCCGCGGTGATCACACCATTTCGTCCTCACGGCATGAGGGCTGTCAGGACGACGCAGCGACCATGACGTTGGAGACGCCATCGAGGATCCAGAAGAGCAGCCCTTCCACTTGTTCCATCCAGATCGCGTGGGCACATAGCGAGTATATGACCGTCAAGAGCGGTGTCGAAAGATGGCCCGGTCGGAAAAGGCCCCCGTTTCAAAGGCATATGTTTAAGGTTAACCGAGACAGATCTGGGGCTTATACGGTCAAGCGGCTAGCTATATTGACAATATCGACGGGGTATGCTGCGCCGCTAATAGCAGGAGGAAAGAGATATTTGTCAAAGACACAGCAGGAGTTCGATGGACGATTTGGGTAAATCGAGCAAGATGAGTCCCCTACATGAAAATAGAATAAAGCAGCAGCAGTACACAGGATCTTACTCGCTCACGAAACTATCTCCTGAGAAGAGACTAGAACATAGTCTTGGAGTCGCATCGTCAAAGGTCCGATTTAGACTGATATGATTTTCTGACTTATCCTCCCTTGATGATCGAGTCTCCTTTCCACCCCTTTGATCAGCAGGTGCCCGCATGCTTCCCCGGGGCATCCGCAGCGGAATCCAATCTCACCGGTGGCGAATTACAGCAGTGTTGCCTAGGGAGAAGTACAAAGAGACACAACGCTTCCGAGCATCCATCAGGCATAGCCCTGGGTTATCTCCAGCAGCACGCACCCACCACAACGACCTCCTTATCGCGCCCCTGAACTGCAGGAGCCTGATCAACATTCATGCAGGAGAGATGCCTCAACAACACGCCTTTGAGGCCTTGTTGCTGGAGAACACATCCGAACGCGACAAGCAGTCTGCCTAGAGCCTTCAAAAGCGCGCTTTGTAAACCTGAGCTGGAACTCTTCTCTCTTCTTCACCCAACACACACACACACAAATACACCTCAACCATCGCCCTCCCTCCATCGACCATCGACCAGCAACTCGGCACGTCTCACTTGAGAGCCCATCACACCCCTTTCACCACCACCACCACCAACAACAACCCCAACCCCAACCGGCAACATGTCCCGACCCGGTCCCGGCCCGGCTCCGTCCACGTCCACCCCTCGAGCCACGTCTACCTAGCGAAGTTCCAACACCTCAACTGCAGCTCAGACGGCTTCGGGCCGTGCAACGGCTTCGCGGCGCTCGACTTGAGCGACTACTTCACGCAGCAGCCGCGTTCCGCCCTCGTCGAGCTAGACGAGAACACCGACCCCGTGCGGCAGCCATCGCTTCTCGATGCCATCCGCGACGCCGCGTTCCGGCACTTCTTGGCTTTCCACGGCGTAGATCAGCAGCAGCAGCAGCAGCCTGCTTCGATGCCGGACAACTTCTGGGACATCTACGGCAACAAGAGCAGCGGTGGTGGCATGGGCAGACCGCTCCACCAAAGCCGGCCCGCGCCTTCCCCCATGAGAGCGGTCAGTCACACTCCGCACACCCTGCGCCACCATGCCAGCACCACCAGCATCACCTCATCCACCACCACCAACACCAGCACGGCCGCCGTCGCCGGCATCCATCCGCGCAACCAGCAAGCCACTACCGCCACCACCACCACCAACACCACCAGACAGCCCCTCACCCTCGCCCAAGTAGTTTACGACAACAGCAACAGCAAGGTCAACATGGTCGCGCAACCGCAGCTGGCCGATGGGGAGCTGGCGCTCGTGCGCAACCGCGTCGCGATCCACTTCGTGACAGACCCGCGGCTGATGGGCGAGCGGCCCAACGACATGAGCGCGGCCGAGAAGGACAAACTAAAGCCCAAGGTCTATCAGGGATTGTGAGGTAGTAGGTAGGGAGGGGTGCTGGCGGGTAGGTGATGGAGGGAACATGGAGGGGATGGATTCCTTCCGTAGGGCGGAGATGAGGCTGGCTTGGGGACCCTCCCCTTGTGCGGGAAGGGCGGATGGATGGCGGCAGCACTCGTGGATATCGTTCGCTACACTTGTGCTATTATCCTGGTCGGCTGGATTCTGGCGGATTATCTCTGCAGGCATTCCGGACTGGTATGCGTATGTCGGGGTACCGCGTGGACACGCCAGAGTGAAGTGCCGAGTCTCTACCGTACGCGAAGAGGAGTTCAGTTGCCCTCGAGTATCCTACTGTAGTGTATTCTCATTGACAATGTCAGCCATGACTGAATGAACTGATTGTGAAGCGAAAATACTGTGTAGCTGAGTCTGATAAAGCCAACGGTCTGGTTGCCCAATTAGGCCAAATCTGAAGCTTCCTATGGGATATGATTGTTGGCTTGGAGTAGAACCACGCCGTATTGAAAGGTATCCGAGAATGGCCGTCTTTGCCAGTTAATGCTCGACAACGCAATATCCAGACCGACCTCGCATTCTACCCAAGCCTTCAAGCTATTCTATGTTTCAAGCACCGCCCCAATACCCCCGCCTCACTTCGTCTTCCTCGCACCCGCAGATCTGCTCCTCACAGCAAACGCGTGGTTGATGTCCTCCACGGCGACCCAGATAGCATACAGCGGGATGAAAACCCACAGCATGTTGAAGAAGACCAGATACAGCCACTTGAACATCCAATTGCTCGTGTCGAGGTTGTAGTTCAGGGTCAGCCACTCGGGGCAGAAGGTGATGAACCCGCCGTAGAGCTCCATGGTCGCGATCACGATCATCAGGATGTTGGTCCGCGGGTCCTTCTTGGCCAGGCCGTAGCAGACGAGGCAGGCGAGCGGGCCGGCGACGAAGACGGTCAGGAGCTCGAGACTGATCACGGTCTGTTTGTTGTGTGGTCGACGTGTTAGCAAGCCATTTCCACCACAGTTGTAGAGGCGCGGAGGGGGCGCAGTAGGAATAGCTAGCAGCGCTCATGCACAAACTCGACGTACCAGATCAGCGCCCGCCCACCGACGGTCCGCCTTCGCGTAGACCATCCACAGCTGGGCAAAGGGGTTCTCACCTCCGGCCTGGGATCCATAGGCGCGATCGGTGTAGCCGAGGAAGTTGTGGGCGGTGGGGGCGAGGGCGTGGGGGTTCGAGACGCTCGACAGCGGCATCCACGAGAAGAAGCAGTGGTACAGGAAGCTGCCCTCGAGGAAGAAGTGGATCAGGGCGTCGAAGGCGTGCCAGATGAAGAGGAAGCGGTGGCTGGCGGCCGTGTTGCGGTCGAGCGCGTAGAGGGACGCCTCATACGCGACGGCGAGGATGGCAAGGGTCGACGCGAGCGAGACGAGGGTCGTCTGATCGAAGAGGTCGGGTGGGAGGGTGTCTTTGAAGCTGTCCATTGTGACGGGTATGGCGGATGGTCGTGGTCGTGGTCGTGGTCGTCGGAAGAGGGCAGCGTGAGACTCGTTGTTCGCGGTTGAAGTTCGCGGTTGAAGTTGTGAGTGGAGACCTGTTCCTGTTAGCCGTTGAGATGGGTCATCCGTCGTCCTAAGCTTGGGTGGGGAAATTTCAAAGGCCCGTGCGTAGTGCTTCCAAAAAGGGAAATGTGTTGACTTCACAGCTGGCAGCTTGCTCGAATGCCACGAGAGGTTGGAGGTTGTAGATTGAGAGAAAATGAACGAAGACGCTCAGAGGTGACAGTCCGAAGGTCTCGTCAGTCTCGCCAATATTGGGTTGCCCATTCGTTGCGTATATAAACCACTCGCCAGACCTTCATCGATACCAGCCAATGCAGCAAGTGATGTGAAGACGTATCGATCTTGTCATGCCGGCGTTGGAGACATGGGTGCTGGAGTGCATGAGATGCTGGTATAGACAAAGGCAAGTAATAGAATTGTCGACACAGTGCATTAGAGCGAGGATGAACGGTAGTGATCTCGGAGTATACAATCAAGCAAAGATAGATATGGTAAGCTTCGCTAATAATCGTCAAGGAAAGATCCCGTCATGTTAAAGATCAGCAGTGGCTCAAAAATCAACAATCAATGTCACAGCACATTCACGATGAAGACAGTAGAAATGGCAATGAACCGCAGCTTGATTCTAAGGCTATCTTAGGGGTATTGTAAGCCTGCCGCCAGGGAAGACTCGTCAAAGAGTCAATCCATCATTCCATGCCCAAGAAATCTGTTCCGGACGCCCACGATCCATTGTTCCGTTCATCGAATCATCGTACACTCATCGTCGGGATCGTCGAAGAGGTGAAGGAGTTTAGTGCTTGGCAGCCTCCTTGTTGACATCGGCAGAGGTGCTGTGCTTCTGCTCGTTGAACTTGTCGCCAACGGCGTCCTTGCCAGCGGAGGCACTGAGGTACATGTTAGTGAACTGAAGTGTGATGGGGTGATTGTGTGGGAGAACTCACCGGGTGCCGAGGGAAGCGTTGTTGTCCTTAGCAACATTCTTGTTGGCCTCCTTGGAAGCGGTGTCGGTGGCACCTGAATGTGGCTATGTCAGTATCGATGATGGCAGCATGGAGGGAAAGCCAGGCGGCAGTGCGGTGGATGGATGGTGTTGGAAAGAATGCGTGGCCATGGAGGCGGGGGGCGACGTACCCTTGACGGAGTCAGAGACGTAGTTGGCGGTGTTCTTGATGGTGTCCATGGTGAAGATTGGTTGTTGATTGTTTGGGTTGATGGTTGGTCTTGTGTGTGGATGTGTAGAGAGAACTGAGGTTGTGGTGTTGTGGATGGAGAGAGAGAGAAGATGGGTTTGGAGTGGGAGGCAGAGAGGACTTAAATATTGGAGAGAGGGGTGCTGATTCGCAATTACGGGGCCAGCAAAGCGTTGCTCGTTCCTGCCTTGCACTCAGGTGGTGACAAACAACCGGAATGGACTTAGGCCCAGGCTAGCCAGGCAACAACAACAAGCGTCAAGCAAGCACAAGCAGGCGCAAGCAGGGCAAGCATGATGGACCATTCACTCCACTACCTAAGCTGCGTGAATACATGCAGTCCCGACTGCCTGCCTGCCCACATTGGATGTACCACCCCGCCAGGGCAGGCATCGTGTGAACCAAGAACAGGCGCAGTACGTCATCAGCGATTCACATCTCCTTGTCCCACTGCTGAGATGACACCCCGTAGCATGGAAGTATCTCCGGTCCCTCTGTCCCTTTGACTACGGTTGCTTGCGGTTGCGGGCAGGAATGGAGGGGTAAAGTACATGCAGGTGATGACATGTTGCCCCTCATTCCGCCTTGTTGACCGGGCTAGCATTTGACGGGCAGGGACCGGCTCGGACCCTGTCACAATGGATGGAAGGAGGTAGTTTCATAGCGGGCTGGCTTCCCCTCATTTCCCTGAAAGGGCTGACGTCACCACTCGCACAATGGAAGACGGACAGTGGGGGGAGGGGGGAGGGGCATGTGGGTATCACCATGGCAATCTTGATTTTCCCATGTTCATTCCTACATGTACCCATTTCGCACATCAGTCAGTTGTGGCAATGATGTTCGATCTGGGCTGCTGGGATCCATCCTGGCTGCACGCAAGTAATACTGACGATTGACATGATGGATGCAACGGAAGCGACATGATCAACGGCCAGCTACACGCACCCGAGGCTGCAAGGGTAGCTCGCGGGAAGTGGACTGTGGCGCAGTGAGCATGTGATTTGACCCCAGTCAGTTCCGCCAGTCTGGAGCTTCCCCTCCAATCAAAGCTTGACAATGCAGGGGAGATGCCCAGTAATCAAGCCGATTGGCCATGTAGCCGCAAGTTTCGCCATGATGACGGCATCGCTCTGGGCCTCGTGGAGAAGCGAGGTTGACCGCGGGTGAGGCCTGGTCCGTCCAGTCTGGAACCTCTGGAAGCTCTGACTACTCCGTTCTTGGTCTAGCCCTGGTGGCGCAGGGCAGAAGCCAGAAGTTGGAACTGCCATGCCTGCTGCCTTCTTTTGCGCGGATGAGCCACATCATGGCGCTTTCTCATGCCTCCCTACATCGAGATCTCGATTCCTCCATGTTGTCTTTGTCGATCTTGCCCGTGTTTGGGTGCCGCCTGCTTCATCTAGGTCAGAAGACCCTCCTTTGACACGCAAGCCACAGCCCGGCTAATTTGTGGCATCGCTCCTGTCCAATGCTTGCAGATGTACGGAACGACTTTGGCGGAGGAAAGTGTCCGCTGGATGCAGAGTGGACTGGAGCCTCATTGCCATTCCATGCACACATCAGTCGATCTACACAAGCAGGCAAGCAGGCAAGCCACGGCAGCTGACGTGCCACCTGCAGTTGCAGACCGAGCTCTTTCCAAGGTTTCCATCTCTGACTCCATCACCGTCTACTAGGTACTGTACGGTCTGCATTTCCGAGACGCACTCACTGCCGCCGGAGTCTACCCTTTAATGACGTCAGTCTATCTTACACCCGTCAGATTGCCGTTGAGACTGGAGGCGGAGAGATCCATATGAGTTCAGCGAAACGTTCGGATCATGTCATACCTCAAGGTCAGTTCTACCCGACCCTCCCAGACTAATAAATATCGTCGTTCACCTGGGGTCACCGTAATAAGTCTGGGCGGGTACGTGCCGCGCACGCTATCCCTTTCTACACCGAGTCATGGCCCATGGCCCATGGGGAACAGTCCCATCCAGTCCATCCGGTCCATCCAGCAGCGGCCAACGGCAACGCCGGGCCTCGGTGGAAGAAGAGTTCAATTCAATACTAGTACACGGATCTAGGAACTCCGTATGCAACGTAGTGCCTTATTTATGAAATGCTGCCTAGCACACCGGGCCTTGCAGAAGCTCTCACTTGGCCGAACCTTGCCTACGACGGTAGACAATGACTAGTACGCAGTCCGCCCAAGTACTCATGAAGACACATCTTCGAAGGGATTTGCCGGCAATATGCGATGGCAATGTTTTTACACCTCTCAGCTCCTCCCGCGACCATCCCCCATCCGCTCACCGATCACTGCCAGCACTCTATTCATCATACACATCGGGAACCCGCGTCGTGTGCATCCCTTCAGCGTCAACCAGACAGCAGACACGTGGAGCTCGGGAGATTTTGATATAGATCTGGCCTGCTTCGGATCTATCCGCCTACAGGGTTACCTCTCGTTACGAAAACCACCATGATGCCAGGAACTCTGCAAGGTCCCCCCATCTTCTGGACATGTCAGTCCACTTTCTGTTAAACTTTAATTACGTCGCGGCGCTGCGGCGACCGTTATGTGTCCATCGCAGGTCTCATGGGTCCATGGCCGTTCCGACCGTCGGTGTGTCGTGACTGGTGATCTCGTGTACTGTCATCCAGCTTCGTGACGTACATCTTGCTGGTGTAGCCCAGTGTCCGGCATAGTTTCAGCAGCCGTGGTGAAAGGACCATGCTGCGCGTCTGATTGATCAAAGTTGGGGTATACACAATTGCCCGCTGGACTCTTGTCATGCCATCCTCTTGTCATGCCGTGCTTACGACGATGTACGCTTGCCAACACCGGTCCTCTTCCCGGTTGAGATCCTGCGTGTGCGGACGCTACATCGCTCGCGGTCCCACCGCCCCGATGAGAACAACCCGCAACATTCATACCCGCAGACACGTAGCCGTAACCCTCCGTGAGCTGATCTTTCTACATTTTCCCCATTTCCCAGTTTCTCCAGCCCTCCACACTTTAACTCAAGCCTTGAGCATATGTCCGTGGCGACCATACCAACCGTGGAAGCATAATGGCCCAGCGAAATCCCTCGACTCATGACAGTGCAGGTCTGTTGACTCTCTACTAATGTGCACATTCTGTCCTCGCTATCCCCTCCACGCATAATTCAGAGAATATGAAAGAAGTCAAGCGTGGCCTTCGAAATAGACCAAGTGTCATCAACAGTCTCGTCGTACACAATTATCAGGCATCCAACCTAAGCAGCGCGGTCACGCTCTGGAGTTGGCCGTGGTTCAGGGTCGACTTCGTCGGCATTTCCTCGTCAGCAGGGCCGTCAAGGTGTGCCTAAGGTTATAGATAGCAATTGGTGACAAGATTATCACATACGACCATAGAATCAGGAGAACTTGGCATCCCGTCCGCTCTGCATTAAATAAGCCTGATATCGCCGGATTAGTAGTTGGGTCGGTGACGACCAGCGAATCCCCGGTGTTGTATGTTTTGTCCTTTTTCTTTTTTTCTTTTTTTTCCTTTTTTCCTTTTTTTGACCGAAGTCTTGGTGGCAGTTCAAGAGAGAACATCTCACTGCCTCAAGGAGTCATGATTTCAAGAGAGACGAGTCTTCTGCTTCTTTCAGTCCGTGGTGGCCTTGGCGGTATGGGCCAACGGACACGGCCCGGGGAAGGGTGGGTACTGCGGAGGTCCGAAGGTTTGAAACTGAAGGCCATGATGAGCTTCGTGCCCGCTACATCACAGCCGGCGAACTTGTGCGAATAACAATATCAGCGGTATCGTTCGTCAGTCGCGCGGCGTCACTAGATGAAGGATCCAGGTAAGGAAAAAGACTGACGGATTAGAGATGTTTGGTTGGCGGCCGGAGACCGACCCCGATGCGCCGCTGGAGCAGTGTGCGGTACCGAGTGCACATGTAGTGCGGGATTGGATGTCCCTCGGAGTCGTGACAGCTTACTACGCGGGACTTTCGATGCTAGATGTGCGTCACCTTCTTGTGCCCGAGAGGCGTCTCTCCCTTCTGATTATCACGCGAGTATTGTCTCGGCTCCGGCTTGACGTAGGATCGAAAGAGGAGCTCTGCCTAGATGCTCACAGCCCCAGGACCAATCCGTCGTATACGGGTCACCCGGAGAAGTCATTGCTGATGTCTAGCTGGGTCTTCTCGACTTGGATCATAAGGCCCCGGTTCCGTTTGTATCATCAATTGTGGTTCTTGGCCAGCATCTAGGGCTACTTCCTCCTAGGAACCGCTTTGGCACTGACCCTCGTGAACTTGCAAGGCTTCTGGCAGCCATATCTGAGCCATGAGGGCCCGCCCGATGTCGTGGTTATTATTACTGCCTGGTCACATCGACATCGATGACCACGCCGACCATGATGCCCGCCTGTCAGCTGGCACACTCGCGCTGTGCAGTACCACCGGCCGGGCCTTGTACTAGGCCGGAGTCAAGCTCAACAATAGGGGTTATGACTCGGTGCTGGCACGGTATCATGCGCCTACAGGGTCTGATGCGTCACACGGCGAAGGTATTGTACATGTCTTACACGGCGTAGGGGGTCAGGGGATTAGGATTACTGCTGAAGTATGGCTACGGCGTCAGGGTGCAATGTCTGTGGCAAGACATTCGCATTTCATACCTTACAGGACCAGTTCACCTGATGACCCGCGAGCAAGCTATTTTGAGCGAGCTGTGGTCCCCGATTCATAGAACTACGACTAGGTTGGCATCATGTCATATTATTAATTATGTTCCTGAAGGCTGATGCTGTATGGGTAAGACCACTCATGGGCTGGCTTTGCAACGGCAAACAACAAACAGTCACATCCAACGAATGTTCACAAGATTTGCACAAACCCACGGGGCCATGAGCTGACGTGGGGTGGGCTGACGTCCTCCAGTATCACCAGCTCGGCGAGGTCTTTCCGGTCTCCAGAACACAATACAAGGGCTGGTATTTCGCGGTTGAATACCTCACGTTGTATTCGAAGCACACAATCGCGGCGCAAGACGAGAGAGTGTTGATTAGGTACATCAACACGGTTTGCCGGGGACTGTTGGCATGCTAGGATTGGTCCATAGTCGATCAACACTACAATTTCCGCGTCAGACTTGACGCGGCTTGTGACAACACACCTCGTCACACACAACACACCTCTAGGTATCTAGTACATGGGATCTGTCCTGATGGCGTCTGTACTACGCGAGCTGGTCAAGTAGAACGAATGTTACACAGTCACCTCGACTCAGTGACCGGGCCGGGCTAACACTGCGACAATGTGGCATATGGCTTCTTTGCATAAGCTGTGTGAGGATGGTGGGTGGAGCTTGTAGTCATCGGCACCCAGCAGGAACTGAACGCATGCAGTTAGGAGTGCTGTCCACAGTCAGTCGACGTTTCGTGCCTCATCTATAGGTAGCTTCGAGAGGGTCATGGCGAAGTAGAACGCCCCGTCACATTCCTGGAGTCATTGTTACACTCAGCCCTTTTAAATCCCCATGCGCGCCATGTTGGGGAGTGTTCTAAACCACACGTGGAAAAATGGAATACTTGAATAAGCATACAGGAATAAGCACCTCTAGTCTAATACGGCACTTCCAATGCTTATTCCACTGCGCTTACCCCGATTCACGATCGACTAGTCGTGTACGGAAACTTTCACTGTATATAGCCTGGTAAGTCATTAGGTAGGTGTCTATTCATTAAGATCACCCTATCTATCGACGCTGTCTGTACCAGGGCCTTCAATTATGTCCTGTATAGCAACAGCTAGCTTTGTCTCGTAGTTTCCCGAGCCCGCCCCATTTCGTCGTGATTCCATTCGGCCAGATAGAGTTTAAGACCATCGGTGAAAGGCCTTACGATTCTTTTTGGGATTACCCCGAAGTAGATCAAGGCACAGTGCTCGCGGCAGATCTCGGAGAAGCGGGGTCGACGAGGCAGGGTGTAGATGCGCCCACAGAGGGTGCCATGCTCCTCAACTCATCAGGTTTTTGGTGACGTGAAAGACCTCCACCGCGAATTCGGGCACCTCGTCTACCATCTCGTCGATTTTCTTCACCTTCTTGTGCGCAATGCACGCCACAAAGTGGGCAAGAAGCTTTCGCATGGCGTCCTTTGGTACGGTGCTCTCCATGATGTACTTCACGACAGGTATAACGTCCCGTATGCGTCTGAACAGCATGTACCAGAGGGTAAAGCTCATCTTGCGGAGCGTGAGATATCAGAGATTCTGGATGCCGTATCGATCAGCCATCACGTACATGGTAGCATTGACCTGGAGATTGGGGGTGTAGGTTTCGCAGTCGGACTCTTTGCCTTCGCCTCGGGGTGGGAAGGTAGTAGTGTAGATCTTCTTCTCGAATGTCCCCCGGAGATCTTCAAACGCTGAGGTCACCTGGACTCCAGGCCACGGTATTTTGCCATCATTAAATTCCTTTTCTAAGATAAGGTCGCTGATCTTACGAGTAGCTGTATCAAGGAACTCGCACATGTTCACCGCATGAGTGGGATCATCGCAATAGTGAGTCCAACTGCGACATTCACAACTTGGACGACCTTCCTCCTCTGCAAATGGTTGAGGATCGGGTATAGGAGGAGTGATGTAATCGCCGCTGTATGCGAATTGGCAAAGACGGCGGAAAGTGACGGTGTCAGTGTCGTCCCAGACCGCACGGCCCTCGAGAGCCTCTTGCATATTGCCGTCCATTAGGGCCTTGAAGTATGGCGAAAGCGAGCGGAAGGCATCTTTGTGGACTGTAAGCTCCTGCGCGTCGGGGCCGACAGCAAAGACGAAAGTCTCGGGACCGAAGATTTTGGAATGAGTGAGCATTATGATATACCTATGGGAGAGTCTTGAAAGGCCAGACGTACGTCAAGGGTAGCCAGTTGGGGTTTGAGTCCATGGACTCGTCTGTCGCAGGGTCGTCAGGCTTGGTAGCTTGTTGTCTCTTTGTATCCGGTGCTCCAGACGCATCTCCCTCGGCGGCGCGCTTGGTGGGGATTGACTGGGAAGCCATTCTGCTGCTAGGTGTGCCTGAATATGGAGCGTCAAGCTGCTACACGTGTTTGATGTGTTGACTTGGAGACTGGGGGTAGTATGGAAAAGATGAGGCGAATGGGTTGTTGATGCCTGGAGAGGCTTTGGCGTGGGGGAGGGTTGACGGCACGAGTTTGTATCTAAGGCACGGACCTGGTGCGTTGCGCCTTCCTGCTGAGAAACTGCTTCGGGATGCCTTAGTCCTCTGAAACAATAACGGGCCCGAGCTTGAGGTCAGAGGGTGCACGACAACTAGGTGTGGCACAGGTAAATCTATTAAATTGGAATAGGCACACTGGGATAAGCAGGTTGAATCTAACATGCCATATTATTATTAGATATTATAATAGTAGCGTATTTAGCCTTGTTGTGATTAGTTATTTTATGTCATCTTATAAGATTACATGTAGCTGTTCGAGGTACCTTTCCCACCGATTTAAGAGAGACGGTACCCCTATCAGCTATCCTTCTTCTCTTTTAATACAAACCATTCTTAAATTTCACAATTATATGCTTATTCGATGACGATTATTCTGCTTCAGATATACCCTTCGGTTGTCGAACAAGGGGTGTATTTTCGGTAAGGAGACTTGGTGCGTTAAACCTTGCCTGGGAAACCGTCTTGGGATGTTTCGATTTCTGCATCTGCCTCAGGAAAGTTGGGCAACTTCTGCGTCGCCCGGGGCACGTACGTACCTTCCTACGCCCCTCTCCGTAGCTACGATCTGTATAGGGCCTCGGGGTCGGATATGGAGTATCACGGGGTCTACAACGATGAGGTGTGGCACAGCATTCACAGAGGTCAAGGCGAAACAGCTTGGGCAAATATTCATCATTATTGTTGATAGCAGTATTATGGTCTAAGTAGGTACCTAGGCTGACATCTTTTCCATCTCATAGCTAAACATAGCGTCCAAGAATCCAAACCGGTTCCTCATGGTCACATAGCACTGCATGAGAGTCTAATCTCACGAGCCTCAACCGTCCCTACTTGGATTTGCCCGCGGCGATGATCTTCTGATTGGCCCGCTCCAACGTCGCTTTAGCCTTGTCGTCGAGTAGACTCAACCACTCGCGCATGTAGGCGACATACTTCGTCTCGCTTTCACCATACTCGACGGGAGGACCCTTAATCTGCGCTGGCTCGCCCTTGTTGTCGAAGACGGCCCAGCTCGACCCCTCGGTAGTTTTCAGACCATATCCTTTCTTCGGAAGAGACGTCACCCTGAAATTGCGAAGAAGCACCACATCGCCCCACTTGACGATTGGAAGGGCCTCCTTATGCGGCCGATAGAGCTGAACCTCGGCCACTGCGTAGGGACCAATCGAGTGGTCCGTGATCGTGAATGACATCATGAACTCGCGGGGCCCTCCCTTTGCTCGTCGTGGTTCCGGCGGCTGCATTGTCGCGACCGCAATCACATCCAGTGTCTTGGATACGTGTTGTCGTAGGACCTTCAGCGATGTGCAATCGGGGAGCTCGGCCCGCATGTGTCGCCCCAGCTGTAGCTTGACCTCTGCCATGGACATGCTTTCATCCTCCGATTCGGATGGTTTGTTGAGAGATGCTCTTGCCAGTTGCACACTCGAATCCTCAACTTCAGATGTTGGACTCTGGTGTGCATCGAGAGACCTTGTATGCGGACGAGTGGTCTCGGGCGTAGCTTCGCGAGATTTGGGGATCCGTTTCGAGGCATTGGCTGCTCGTGCGAGCTGCACACTGGGGTCCATTTCGGTCGGAGTATCGTCAGATTCCTCGGAAGTGTCTATATCAATTTGGAAATCAAGGAGGGGTTGTTCTCTTTGGGATAGTGTCATAGTTGTTGGCAGCTTCCGTGAGGTTGCGCCAAGGACTGGTGAAGCTGATATTGCATTTGTGTCTAGCTTTTCCGTAGGCTCTTCACCCATGTCACTCACTGGTTCCGAAGTACTTGCGTCGTCTGCATCGTAGGGCCTATCTGGGCCGTCTGCTGCTTCTTCCTCGTCCGACTCGGCTGCTGCTTCTGGTCCGTTTGCTGCTTCTTGCTCGTCTGGCCCGTCTACTGCTTCTTGCTCATCTGACTCATCTGCTGGGGCCGGCGCGTCTGCTGCTTTGGGCGCGTCTGCTGCTTTGGGCGCGTCTGCTGCTTTGGGCGCGTCTGCTGCAGCAGGCTCATCGGTCATGGCTTGCTCATCGGCTTCGTTTGCTTCGTCTTGGTGGTCTGGACTCTGAACATGAGGTTGCTCTTCGGGAATCGGCTGTATCTCAAGGGGCTGCATGGGTAAGTCGTCGACTTCTTGCGAGTCATCCATGATGCTTGCTTGCAATTCCTCGTCGATCTCCATCTGTGATCTGAAAGACCAGCTGACACCTGATAACCCTGCTTCAGTACCTTCGCGGACTTCGACGTGGACTTTGGTGGTCGACTGGGGTGATTCCTCGAGAGCTTCGGTCTGCATCATGTCGTCATTATCAACCTGAGTCTGGAAACTCAAGGCCGGTGAAGCGACGGACAGATGAACCGGATCAGTTTTCTGTTCCGAGACTTGCTCGGGGTTAGACTCATGCTGCTCCCGGATAACTTCAGTTGCAACTTCAATGACCGTGAAGTCCTCGTCTTCAGCCGTAGGCCGCTCCGGAAGCGTAGAGTCTTCCATATGTAAAGACATCTCTTCAATGTTGGCCTCAGTGAGATTCGATTCAGTCATCTCCGTGTCAGTGCGGACTGGCTCAGTGGTGACTTCCTCAGTGGTGACTTCCTCAGTATCGACTGTCTCAGCGCCGACTGTCTCCGTGATGACTTCCTCAGTGACGATTTCCTCAGTAATGTCTTCCTCAATAACCTCCCTGGACTCTCCGCTCTCTTGCGACACCTCCATTTCCATTTCCATTGGCAGAGGCGGAAAGGCAGCCTCGAGTATCGCACTGTCGGTAGGTTGGGTGTCTAGCGGTGTCGGAAGCTGGTCCGTTACCACTTGAGAATCGTCGTTGCTCGCATGCTCTTCTAAAATAGTGCCTACCCGATCCTCTGCCATATTCGACCGAAACGAATGGGTTAATGGGGGAGAGGAAGGATCGTGAAATGCGGTCTCTTGGTTTTCGCTGTCAATTGGACCAGTCATAGAGTTGGTCTTTGAGGGTGTAGGTATCATGTCAACCTCTTCCTCGCCCTCGCTGACGCCTGGGAGATCGGCTTCGATTTGCGGAGTGCTGTATCTCTCCAGCATCAAGACATCGGCGTCCTGAGAACCATTCCCCTCGGTCAGCATCTCCTCAACTGTCTCCGCAATGCGGTCGACCATCTCCTCAGCCGACTCGACCCAAGAGTTGGCACACGATTCGCTGTCGACCGCTCGACTAAGTATTTCAAGTCCTTCGGCTGCAGATTGTGGTACGACAGCCACGTTATCATCAATTTGTCCGACATCCTCCAAGTCATTATTCTCATGAGTACCAGTGGCGCCCTGGGTGATGGGTACTGGAGACTCTTGGGGAGATGATGCGTGATGGGTTATGGAGGCGTCTGGACCTTCTGCATTGCCATATGTACCCGCTTCTTCTTGTGATTCCCCGTCGGAAGACTCTTGATCCTCCTCTTCGCCGTCGAAAGATTCTTCATCCTCTTCTTCGTCGAAAGCTTCAAACGTCTCCCCCCCTTCCCAATTCCGTTTAATGTCATCTTCAACTCCAGACGGTTCCCTGCCATTTGAATGAACTATTGCGTGGCCCAGTCTGGCCTCAGAGCCTGTACTTAATGTCGTACGTTCTGGAGATTGTCTCGGTTGTTCGAAGGAGAAACCTTGTCGTCCATGTAGCGGCTGACTCAAATACGGCTGTAAATGCCTTTGTAGCTGAGGTATATAGTGGCGAGCTTCCCGATCATCGGCGGCTTCTGTGACATCCTCGACCCGTTCGTCTGGGCCATCATCTTCGTCTTCATCGTCCTCTTCTGCTTCTCCTTCATCTTCAGACGAGGAAATTAGATCAATGACCGTCGGGTTCGATTGTGGCATGGATTGGAGTGGTCGCTGTGGCTCTTCGTCTTCCATGTCGTAGTCGCTCTCATAGCTACCAACGTCTTCCTCATCCAGATCATCTTCGTCATAGCTTTCACCATCCGCAAATTCAGGCTCGAAACGACGCGGTTGCAGGTCCTCGTCGTGACTATCATCCTCGTCGTCATCTGGTCGTTGATAGATCCTCGCATCATAGTCGCCACCCATCTCGTCTGCGTCGTACTCGGGCTCGTCGTCATCTGAGTATTGCGCATCGACGTCGTCTTCGACCTCTGCATCAGCGTACATTTCTAGTGCATAAGCTCGGCCACCCTCGATGGTATCCTCGGCAGCAGTTGGGATTGGGGTGGGATCCTCATCTGAGTCACTCTCATCGATGACGAATGCTTGGTCGGGTGTTGAGCCATCTGTACTACCCAGACGGTCGGTTGGTTGCATTGCAGTGGCTTGGAAAGAGTTGTTGACAGTGGCCCAGGAAGATGATCCCACATGAGCTACTACGGGATATCCCAGGTTTAAGGGACCGCGTTCGACATCTCCGACTGCAGCCTGGGATTGCTGAGTGTCGTCCAGGTAAGACGGCGGATAGTCGGTCACAGAGTCGTCGTGAGCTCTTGGGGCATCTACCTCATCTTCTACATCGAGGGGTGGATAGTTGACTATTGGACGGTCAGCTTCGGTCGTGTGATTCTCCATTGCTCCAAATCGATGATCTTGATCAATGTGCTCGGCCCGTTCGACGGCGAACCCGCTCGGCCCATCGATTCCGTTGGGCGATCCGGTACGACTTTTCGACCTAGGCGCGTGGGATGACGCGGGTCGTTCTGCCTGGACCATATGCCCATAGCTTTGGGACGGGAAGGACTCGACTCGATGAGTTGGTGTAGGAGTTTGTGCAGGCGCATTCTCCGGATGCGCTCCAAGAAGACCAATCGGATTTGGATTCGGGTTCCATGAGCGCCCAAAGCTGCTTCCCATAGAGCCGAATTGTGTACTAGACTGGAACGGGTTGGCACTCGCGACAGGGGCGCCAAATGCGTTGGATGTAGGAAACATTGAGCCGAGCTCTGGAGCCGGCGCTGAAGCTGGTGTTGTCGATGGCCAACCATTCGAAGGCAACGCTTGAACACCTTGATCTACCATGTGTCCTCGCTGATGGTCAACGAGGTCACCCTCAACCAACACGTCAAGGGTTGGCTTGAAATCTGCGGCTGTCTCTGAGGTCGTATCTATCGGTACTGACGTGGGTATAGGCACGGCCAGATCTAGCTCCACTGTTTGGCATCCTTCGTCGGTCATCTCTGGTCTGGAAAAAGAGCTGACTTGTTCATTGTCGTGACTTGTTATATCGCCGATAGGTAATGCAGGGGGTTCCGGGCTAGGAGACTGGCTGGTATAGCGCCACGCGCTGCTATCTCTGCCAAACCTAGTTCTCTTACGGCCCCCTCCCTTGACCCTACCATCGTCTTCGAAGATATCGTCGAATCCGCCCTCGAAGATAGAGCCGTACGAGACCCGCGCTCTCTTGATGAACGCCGGGGACTCATATTCACCATCGTCCAGTCTCGTCACACGAGGGTCCTTAGCAGGCGTGAGAGTAGCGAAATCAGGGATAGTTGGTGGAGATGGCGGGTCTTCGAGTCTCATCTCAGTCGCTGCAGGCTCGCGTTGTAATTCAGGTTCACAGGGAGCCGCGTCGCTGGGTATGGTCACGAGCTTTGTCTCGCCACTTTCGCTCGATTTGACCTGGAGTAGAACCTTGTCGGAGAAACTCAGCTGCCACTCGCTTCCAGCACCCGGCAAGCTCTGGCGTCTCTTGACCTCCTCAGCCTCCCACGTCACACCTTCCAAGCCTATTAGAATCTCATCACTGCTACCCAGCCCAGACTCCCCTGCCGCCTTGGCAGCTGCTCCGGTAAAGTTGATGCGAACTTGTCCCTTGTTCCGGCGTAGTCGAAAGTCTGGCTCGGCAAGGATAAATGCGAACGTGTTCTTGACGGAGTTGTAGGGCCAGGTGATGGTCGCAACACCCCGGACAGATCGAGTTGGCAGCTCTGCAAGATCGGGACCTAATTCGGCAATGGGCGTCTGCTGCGCGACTTCAAGCTGATGAAGCTGGTCTGCCGTGTCGGTCGCGTCCATCTTGCCAGCATTGTTTCGCGTCGGCGCATTCGCGGTCGGTTTCGTCTCTGATCGTGAGCCGAGTTAGCCGAATGTCGGTCGGCGCATTCGCATTATCGATTGACTTTCTCGTGATGGGTTGTGGTGGTCATCAGTCGGTGTGCACGGTCGGCAAAATGTGACAGGTCGAAGTGTTCAAGGGATGTCGTGTAGGCGGAATTCGGGTTTCGTGGGGTGAGTTCCTGATGATGGCCTTCAGCTTCGTGATTGATGGAGGATGAGGATGGCAGAAGGTTGGGTGGATTCCAGAGCTGGAGCTTGCATGTGGCCCACTGTAACCGTCAAGCTTCGGTAGGCAGCAGGGCAGCTAGGGGAGCTCTCAGCGTCATGGTGGCCTGTGCGCAGGTTTAGCCTCAGGCTAATAACCAGCCACGCCTCCAACCACAAGAGCGCCCCCCTATTCATCATCCGCACATGCTGCCAACCACCAGACAATCAGTCTATTTGCTTTGTCACGGCACAACGGTGCGTAGAAGCGGTTATCCATATCAACCATCAGCTCCGTTTCATCTCCAATGGTCTTGAAAACTCCCCTCCGATGAAAGCAATATTGCATGCCTGCTCAGCGCCGTTGAGGACGGTCGGCACAGTGAGTTCACGTAAGCCAATGAATTGAAGCCATTTTCTTAGGCTCTTAGTGACTACTTACTTAGGTGTAAATCTAGATCCATTTGGTTCGTTAACGCAGTCTATCGGAGAATACCTTCAGGTAATGAAGCTGAATTGATGCGGAAGCAACTTCTAGAAGACTCAACTTCCTGAACGATCGTGAGAGGGGCCTCAACAGATACCCCCACATATCTTGACAATGACCGGCGGTCTCAAAGAAACAAGGCAGCCAGCCTCTTTCAGACTTAACAAAACCGCAACCCGCAGACTGGCCAAGCCAATCATCCAATATTCGCCAGAATACTCGCGAGAACCGCATAGTACGCAGCAATAGCCACCAGAGCATGGTTCGCCCGGGACTCGGCGGTAATGATGACAAGGGTAAACAGAGCGCCAAATATCACCACGAACCCGAAGCGCCATGGCTTGGACAGGTCCGCAAGGTAGAGGAGCGCCATCGGTGGTAGAACGAGTGAGGAGCTGAGCAGGGCCACGAGGCCCTTCAGCACCCACCTGAACTTCTGCATGTTGACCGGCATTCCCGGATCCTCGGCACCAGCGCTTGGGAGGCGGCGAAAGCTGGAAAGGTATTCGATTCCTTTCTTGATCAGTGAGCGTATGTTAGTACTTGACGCATGTGATGAGAAGGGGCGTAGGGACAGTTGATTGACATAAGTTTAGGAGCAACAGAGAGGGCAGAATAGTAATGGCGATAGAAGGTAGTGACATGATGGCTTTGTAGCTCTGGGATCTGGATATCGGCCTGTGCGGGACGTGCGACTTGATAATCGAGAGAAGACCTACCATGACCCAACCAGCTCTCGAGTACAAGAGGTTCTCGAAGCGCTGAAATACATCATCAGTTCCAAGCATGATGCAGTCGTCGGCGTACCGCAAGTAGCCAATCGCTTCGGCGTCAAGACCGTGAAAGTCTCTTATATAAGCGAATATCTTCTCGTGTGTAGGTAGGGGAACCTTGAAGAACTTCTGCGCATCGTATTCCCGATCGAGGAGCTCACCTGAGAATGGGATGTTAGTTGATCATTCTAGACTCGATACGATGGGACACGATGCCTGGGACGACACACAGTACTCCTTATATAGTGATGTAGCGTGTGCTAAGAGGTTCTCCTTTTGCAACATCAAGTCATCCTCGACCATCTCCCCACTCGCTGGCTCCTGCCCAGGGGCCTGGAGACAGCGATGAATGAATCTCTCCCTGTCGAATGGGAGTGACTTGAGCCCTTCTTTTGTCTTCATATCGAGTTCGTCGAGTTTGTCTTCGAGGCAGGAGAGTTTCATCCCCTTATCGACAAGAAGCCTGAGGTTCAGAGGACGAAAGTGTCGATGGACATTGGTGTTTGACCACAGAAGTTGCCTCGCGACCAGTGACGGCAGTCCTGTTGCTGCGTGATCCTCTCGTTCGTATTAGTATGGTTAAAATCAAGTGGACGGGCAGCAGTTGAGCCACTTACTAAAGTCGACGTCTGTGTAGGAGTCGTACGTATTTCTGCGTGCTTCTTGCCTTTCTAAGAAATATCAGCGCAAGACTGCCCATAATACTTTAAGGACTCGTAGATTACCCCTAGAAATACGTGAGTATATGCTGTGATGCGATGCTGTAGGCGCCATGGCTGATAGACGTGCGGAAAGTGTGGCTGGGGTCCGTGGGCGGCTTCCATTGCTTGAAGCTTGGGGGCGGGAGTTGTCCAGCGCAGTTCCTAGCACATCGCAAGAAGAGGTAGCCATAGTGAAGTATGAGCTGAGTGATCGAGACTACTATTCTTCATCTGCTGGCTTCTAGAATCCTTTCTCATATATCACCGAGAGTCCTACAGGCCGTCCTCGGGTCGTAGCAAAGGATCGCAGCAGCCGCCGAGAATGACAAGATAGAGAGAAGGCATCCAAGGCAACACCATTCCAAAAATGCCTACGTGCCCAATACCGCCCCCGAGGAGGCTCAAAATGCGACGAGACACTCGAAGATGGTGTAGTGTAATTGGATGTCAGGGGAGAGCCTCAGCATCGTGCAGTTGGACTCAAGGCGCAGTCTTGCGGTCAAGGGGCGGCGACGACGATAGCAACAAATGCTGAAGATAGCCCTCAAGTCCATCCCGCCGATGATTCGCGGGAGTCAAAGGATCGGGCCGCTCGTGTGTCGCGATGGATGGTCCGCTGTCCAATGATAATCCGTCGTGCTGCAGAGCCGACTGCCACCTCATCGGGTTTGAGTTTGCAACCAACATGTGCCGTTCTTGCCAGCAGGCTCTGAACATGGGATTGGGATGAACATCGTGAGTATTGTGTGGAATTTCCTCTGCGGTATACCAGTGGTATGGCCTCCAATCCCACCAGGTGTGACTGGAAAGACTTTGGAAGGGCAGAATCGATATCTGAGTCGGGGGTACACGAGTTCGGGATCTCATGGGGAAATTTTATGTTAAATAAATGGTAGCGCTTAGGCTCGAGGCACAGGGCTTCGGTGATAGACGCCACTGGGTAGCGCATGTGACGCTACTTGCGAAGCCTCGCAGCCCTTCAGGCTGCGGAATTTGGGGTCTCCAAGCCCAGTTGGTGTCCTGGAAGACGATCGAAGATCTGCAACCCCATCATGTGGTAGAGGTACAAGAGGGACGAGAGCCAGACTGGAACTAGATGATAAGAACACATGAAAACTCGCGACGTGGATGTATGCTGCAGGCTTGCTTGGGATGAACTTGAGTCGAAGGCCGTGTGGCCAGTTCTGCTCCCGAGGCTTTGCTGACTCGGTAGCTACAGCTGACTGATGAGTGGAGTGATCCTTCAGGGCAAGAACTTGGGGTACGCTTGACGCTTGGATGACTTCCCAGCGACGATGGCTGTCTCCTGCCACTGTTGCCGTTCAAGAGCTCCAATACATCCACGTTCCACTACAAATGAAATCCCTACTATGTCAATAGGTGATATCGAGATCAAGAGACCAGTAAATGCTGGCGTCCGCTTCGTAATTGAGGAGTCGCCAATGGTAGCCTTTAAAGGCTGCTACAACAAGGGGCTCGATCGTGTTCGAAGTCGAATCAAACTAGGTGCCGGAGGCGTATCTTAATCTTCGCGAAGTCAAAAAGACAAGGACAATCTGAAGACCCTTACAGCATACGACTGTAGGATATGGAATGGAACAAGTTGGCTGCGCAGTCTCCATTCTGTATGTCGTGGGGGTTCCCCAAGTTTGGAGATCAAAATGAAGCCCTACCCATAGTAAGGCCGTCAGGTTCTGCTCTTCGACCGCCACGAAGCCAGTATCGCTATAGTAAGATGCCGTTAGGAGATCGTCTCCGTCAAATGATAGTATAATCTCAATCATAGTGTCAATTGGGGCTTGTTGTTGGGGCACTTGGTTAACCCTTTTCTCGAAAAAGGGAACATGCAGTGGTAATGCAAATCAATCACGGCAATCATACAGATAAGTCTTACTACTGTTCATATTCCAAAGGCATAAAAGACAGCCGGTAGACCCAAATAGGTCACGCCCCCGAGCCTACCAGCAAAGCGTGGGCCTGATTAGACTACTACGCCGTTGATTCGCGGTTGTACCAGGTTTATTTGGCCAGTCAGAATATGTTATAAACGAGCCAGGCGCTGCTCTCTACTCGGCTGGAGCGGCTGCTGTTCCTTCGCAGTTCCAGGATCAACATATAGGCGTCCATGCCCACCCTATTTCCCTCCCCAATCTCACCCAAGTCAACCAAGCTCTTATCTCAAGTCCGAATCTTCAGACCCAGATCGTTCTCCGACTGTTCGACAGATAACATCAATTCCGATCAAGAGAGATCAGAGGCATTGGACACGGACGATTTCGAAAATGCCAGTCTGGTGCATCTGACACAACGCCGGGTAGACGGGTCATTGGGAGCAGGTATGCCCTTCCTCTCGTCTCGTTCCGTCGAAAATGCCTCATACCTTCCTCGGGCCGTTGGTTCAAACTGCCCGTAAGACGCCCACAGGGGTCTGATTAGGCAACGAATTGGATTGGAACTACGATGCAATCCATCACGCGGTGACGTGCTCGTTGGTCGCCCAGGTCGCCCAACCATGGTTGGTTGAGAGGATCATAGTGAGGTCCCAATCGTTCGGATCCGACCGACTCTGGCATGTCAACGTGGGACCCAAGTCGATCGACCAGGAGCAGTTCATGCGATCGTGCCGGGGCATTGCACCCCGCATTCTGATCTCGGTATGGCGCATGCATCCCTCTACGATCTTTCCAACCCGGCAAACAGGATGCCTCAGAGACAGCCAAAAGTCTCACTATGAGCTGCGACACCAATGCCCAAAATTTCGAATCACAGCAGAGGCCTACAATCCGTCAGGTTCTTGTGCAACAGGAGCAAAAGAAAAGGGGTAAAGGGGAGGAGACGCACGAAATTCAGCCGAAATTTATCCGTCCGAAACATCAATGCCGAGCGGAAGACAACCGGAGATCCCCGGATTTCGTCTTTTCAGCTGTTTGCCAGGTGCTGCAGATACACCAGCCAACTGCCCATGGCAGACAGGTACGACTGCCTTTGCTAGATGATTATGCAAACTACTTCGACTGCTTGGCTGGCTGCGATCGGAGGCGAAGAGGAAGACAGCTCGCGCCCTCGTTGAGCAAACATTTTGGATCGGCCGGCCGATGTGAGCTATGTTGGTGCGTGGCCTTGCCGGCGACCACCACTTCAAGTCAGCTCGAGCGAAATCCTTTCGTGGCCCCCACAAGATGGCAATCTTGAGTCTGGAAGAGATCCTGTGCGTGCCGACAGGGGTTCTTCTCCGAGCTCGCGTCGATGGATAGGGCTCACAGCATCTTTTCCCAGTCGCTGTTTGAGTTTCCTCGACACAGGATTACCGGATGAGACCCCGACGAGGGAGCATTCACCTGCAGAGCATGGGTACCGCCTCTCGACATTGAGGTGTGTGTCATCCTCAAGGCACAATCTCAAAATGAGGGTGTTGCAGATTTGAAGCCCGCCTAGACTCATATCTGGACGGCGACTTGGTAGGCGCTTTGGGAAATGCCAGGGGGGAAGAGGGAAGTTCTCAGGGGCCCCTGTGCCCCTCCACCCAGTGCACCTGCAAGCAATGGCAGTCGTCTGTTAGGGCCACATGGAGCCCGCAGGGGCCAGCGCGCATCCTCTCGCAATACAAGTCGTCTCTTTTAGGGCTGTGGCTCTGTCGGTTAGAACTGCACTGGTCCAGGTTGCGATGGAACCCAGCAGCTTTTCGTTTTGGTCGAGCAAGACCTCAAATCCACAGTCCGCGAACGCATCGTCGCGTCACGAACTCGAGAGACGCTCTCACTTCCCTCTCATCGGTATAAAAAAGCCGTAGGGCACCCGTCGTGTTATGCATACTTTCCGCTCAGCCTTGTTTCGCGCGGTGGGTGGAGAATACCGGAACTGCAGCGACGAACAAAGCTACTGCAGCTGCTGCAACGACCCATCGTTCTGTGTCTGCTGTTGCCCGACTTAGCGGCGAGCCGACGAGTCATCCGGACACTGTGGGCAACGTCTATGGCAACGTACAGCACACTGTAGCTACTACTGACGGGATCACGCTGGACCACTACTCCCAGAAGGCTCAGAACTGGCACGTACCAGAATTCATAAAGGCACTCGTCTTGTCGCGTCTTCTGTGATTCCTCCGACTCTTTACAGTGGCTACCTTTTCTGCAGAACCCAGCATCATCGCATGAAGCGCCTTTCTCATCCAGACACTTGTAATTGCACAGGCAGAACTCGGAACATCAACCACAAGGTGATCCCCTCCCAATATGCCCTCCAACCTCGCCCCTGCTTCCTGCCCATCATATACCACGTGTTGTGAACGAGCCTAACTGGTGCCCCACAAGTGGACACCGATTGCACTCCCCCTTTCGCGCTTCGCCTAAGATCCGACAAGAACACTTCCCAACCACATCCTCCGAAGTACGAGCCGTACCAGACGTCATGACGCAAGAAGAGCAAGCGCCGCCGAAGAAGCTAGAGGAGGATAAGCCACACACCCAACATGAGAACGAGCCGCTAGAGAAGAAGAAGAAAGAGCCGGATAGGTCGAGAAGGGGACCTAGTCGGGGAGACCAAGGGTTGATCTTGAAAAATCGTCGATGAGCCGAGCAGACTCGAGGATGAAGCCACGGAGGATTGTGTACGATCCTGCATTCCAGAGACCTCTGAAAGTGCTTGAGGGGATCAAGTCAGCGCCTATAACCGCGTGTGATATGAGATTATTTCCTATTGCGGTGCTCAGACACTATAGTTCCTTAGAAAATACAGTCTCCCAACCCACTCTACGATTTGCTAGCCCAGCGTACTATGTACAGTCATGAGATCGCGATGAACCCGAGCCTGGTGAGCTTGCTGCCCTCATCTCCACCTCCCTCGCCACAAAGCGAACACGCAGCGGTGATCCAAAGACAGATAATCCTGCGCTAACTTCTGCTTGGACTTCAATTTCGTGATCGGTGACACCTACGAGAGCTTCTAGTTAAATTTGGATGGTGACACATTATGCCTACACCTTCCTTCGTTTCCACCCGACCTAACATGAGATGACCTCCTCGACATAGCGTCTCATCACCTCAATGCTGCGGACTGTGGGTCAATACCATTATTGTTAGAGCCTATGACCTAATCTACCCCTGACACAGCCTCGCTTACAGCTGACATGTTCCCCAGCCACATCCGCTGTCGCTGTTTGCAACGTGGCCGGGTTCACTCCTGGCTCCCCCAGCATGAATCAAGTATCCGGGAATCTAAGTGGAAATGCTGTCAGTGTCATGCTCGTTTTCGATCCATACAGAAGGGTACGCTGGGCTATGCCATCCACATGATGAATCTCCATGACTCTCAACTCGACTTGGGCACATACTCGCACTGTGCGTCAGCTTTTCTGACTACCTGTTCACGACTGTGCTCAGCGCGATTGCGCGGCTCCAATCTGTGGAGCAATTTCCTGTCCACCGATTTGCAGGATACCAGGCACCGAGTCCTAGATTACCAGCCTCCCGGAAACAGACAGCGGAGCAGGCAGTGCTGCATCCGGCGCGCTTCCGGCACCCTTGACCTAGCTATCGACGCCCAGAATCGGCTGAAAACAAATATGGAGACAATGTTTGGCTACCTAAAATGATGACAGGGTCCGGTGGGCGAGGAACAAGGATGAGGAAGACGAATCTGATAGATGACAGACCTGCATGAGCCTCACAAGACCCACATGCACCCTGGACGAGGTTCCCCGTTGACAACATGGAAGGCAGGCAACTTCTGTCGGTATGGTCCGTATGGAGAGTCACGATATCGAGCTCTGGGAGTGGTCGATATGCTCCAGGTCGCCACCAGCGAATGCAGGGGGCCTTAGGGTCATTACCTTTCAGTGAGCCAGCCCATGGATCCGGCACCCAGGATCCGACTTCTCTCAAAGAACTGGCCTTGAGAATAGTTGCGTGAGGGGCTCAGGAGCCGTGTATGGCTTGCAGACCAGTACAAGCCCATAATGGCCAAGGGTGACTGCATGAGACGCACCTCAGCTTGACACGTCGACCCATGACTCAATAGAAGGGCAATAGAAACGGGGCGAAACGATGAGCAATCGAGGGTATGGACCCCCTTGTTCCCCGAGCTACCTTAGCTGTTTCCACCTGCAGTAGTTATGAACCGTTTGCCAGGGGCACTCTCATTTTAGGATGTTACACTTGCTCGACGCCACCAACCAACGGCTCAAAATGCCGGGTTCATTTTTGAAACACATGCTTGCGTACCGTCAGCCCCCTCAAATAAACTTTCTCTCACAGCCCAATGGAGAGTTAGAAGACCGGTCACTGATGACCTATCAACGCCCATGATGCTGAGGGTTTCGAGGGGAGAAGCTGGACCATAAAGTACCTAGCGTTGAGTGTAGCGGCTTTACACTAATACCTGGAGCAGAACTTGGTGGATACGATGGATCAATATGGGTTTTCAGGCGTCGGACTGTGCAACATGGCTCAATCTAGGTCGCCGTGAGTAACCTGGAGGTATCTAGTCAGAAGCTTTGGTCGTCCACCTCGGTGTAACTTACCGGAAGAGCAGAATCCCAGTGATCCTGCAATACCATAGGGGAGACACAAATCATGAGAGAGATCAGTTGCGCATGTTTACATAGGTCCGCAGTAAAATGTGTTGTCAATGAGGGAGATAGCACTGCCTCGAGTTTGTGTAACACAGTATCCACGGTGTCTGCTGTCCAGTCTACCAGCCCCTGCATGGGTGGTGACCCGAGCGGCCTCGACCACATCCCCTCAGCCCCTGTGTGACGATAGCATTTGCTCCATTCGGTCAGTAGAATGCGGTCTGCAACACGTACAGAACTAACACTAACCTAAGATCGAATGTACTTAGCATGTGTCATCCAGCCAAGGGGCAAAGTTCCACAAAAAGAGAGTACGGCAAGACTACGGGTAGCACCGCCGTGACATCGACAAGCTTGGTAGCTAGCTACTAGGCGGAGTACCTCTCTCGCTGCCCTCCTATCTTGAATGGCATGCAAGCCACCGTGGCGTCAGGGAGGTGGCAGTGCACTGAACAAGGCCAATAGGGTATTTTGGGGCCACATGCACCTTGCCCACAACAAAGACTTCGGATCACAAAACAACACAGTCAACACGATTAGCACTAAATAGACGTATGTCAACCATTTGAACCATTTACAAGCTGTTTGACACCTCCCCCCTTGATCAATATCAACTTTGATTGCAAGACTTTCCGCCCATGGGATATCGTTAGAGACAAGCACGTCGTTAAAAGAAGGTTACTTCCCTGTCTCGGATCCTCGGTGTAGCCGCGCGCCATCCGTAACGCTGAATCCATCTCCACTTCCCGCATTTCCATCCTCAATCATTGTCCTCGACCCTGGGCCCTTGGTTTCGACTAGGGTTAGATGTATCCACCCGCCTCTGGTTCATGACGGCCTAAAATATCCATGCGAAGACTTGAAGAGCTGTCATATGACTTGCTCTCAGGCACGTACCACAATCTTTACATATGCAAATTGGCGGCGGATCCTTACGAGAGAGAGTGGGCGTCGGGCATTGTCAGCCAACACGGCGATTACATCAGCTTGGTTCTAGCTCAAAGGAAATAGTAGCCTTATTCTGCCTAGATGGTGGCTCACTGCAGCACTTTCGCGATTTGTTTCGGGTGCAGAGCTCATAAGCCATCTCCTGGCCAGAAGGGCGAAGTAGTGACTTTGGTAACGACACACGTTGAACAATAACTGCGGCCGAGTGTTGTGTGCTTGTTAATGTATATATCTATGCACGAACGTGCTAGCATAGGGATATGTGTGATCTTGATAATTACGTCCTTAAATCCATAAGTTGTCATTAATGGTAATTACTCCTCTGTGGCCGCCATTTTACTTATTGCGTTGCCCAATTGACTACTGGAAAAATGAACATGATAAGAATATTTACTACCTATGTGTGCTTGAGACATTCACTTTCGATATGGGGGGTTAGCTTCTAGAACCTCTTCCACCATACCTTCCACAACAGCTGCAAGAGCTCACCGGTTACAGCGAACCTATATACGCAGTACTTTTGCAAAACAACCAGCGGACGTCAGCTCAAAAAATTCAGTATATTAAGCTACCGAACGAAACTGCAGAAACATCTCGAGGTATGGGAAAGCTCTGCCAGGTGAGAATCAGATCAACATTTCCCTTAGACTAACTTGTAAAGGCAACTTATCAACGCAACACGTGTCCCAGCGTACTCACCGATTACGGGTTCTGTACCATTCAATTCAGGCAACAGAGGGCGTTGTACGCCTTTGTAAAATATCACGAAGCCTGCTGGTATAAGCTCGAAGCCAACGGGCGTTGGACGAACCAGAGCGACACCCGAAAGCACATCAACATCCATGCGCAGCCATTCTCGGCAGAAGACTAAACAGTACATGGTTCTACCAGGATCACGTCGACGATGGTCATGTTGAACGTATTTTGGTTCTTCAAAGACGCCTAGTGTACCTGAAACGGGGTATCTTCCAACAGGAATCGGGCTATCATAATGGATGGGGCCGGCGAAGGAATAGTGTCTGAGGTGAGGCAAGTACTGGACAACATGACTGCAAGCTCCCACACCAGTGACACTACCGGTGAGACATACTTAAAAATTGCTCATTCCGACGTGCAGTCATTCAGACTGGTCGAGAACTAATCAGAGGGCCTGGCAGACATTGGATATATCGAAAATTTTCGCTCGTCTGATTGGTCCCGCGCGGGACTCCTAGCTCAATCTACCGAGCTCGGGTCCAAGGTCTCCAATCGAGGTGGTAGTACCTTGAAAGCTCTGATTGGGTGATGGAACAGGCTCACTAATCCGAACTGGTCTACGTTGGAGATCTGGTGGAAGGTACTCAGGCTGACTGCTACACACCGCATTGGTGGCTATGTGCAGGTCGATTGAAGGCCTTGGCAGATAAGCCTGGATGCTAAGCCGAGCGGCACCACATAAGCTCGACGTTCTATAATGGAGATAATATTAATATTGTAAGACCACAATCACTTGAGATAATGAAAAGTGCCCTCGAGTATGGAATATACTAGGAGGAATTGCTGAAAGCGTCACGGAAGCTTCAGGGTTAGCAAATCTCTCAGCAGAGGTCTTTGTACACACGCTTGATCATACACATACGCAGAATGAACTGATTCCATCCCCTTTGCTTGCTTAAACCATGAACTTTGTCAGTTGGGCGGCTGCGCGGTCATGCTCCAATGCCACCAGAGTGCCTTCCTCACGCTGCTCCATCTTCATCTTCACTAGGGCTTCCATTGCCTCAAGCTCCCGCTGGGTGAGAAGATTCAGCCTCGCATGATAGTCTCCGTCCTCGTTTGGTCCGAAATATCTCTGATCCAAGTACCTCCAGAATAGGAAGTCGAATGCCCAACTGTTTCTGGCTACGTAGCTGATCATCCACGTCTGTTTCTCCCAGCTCTCCCTCATCTGCCGTGAAAGGGGAGTTTTCCAGTCGCTGAATAGGGAAGGTGACGCCACGCTGCCGCCATTTCCGGAGAAGGATCTCATCTTCCTTTCCTCGCCTTCTAAAACGCGGAGGAAGGTCTCGAGCCGCGGTTTGTATGCGTCCATAAATGGTGCCTACCCGTCAGGCCAGTACTCCGGGCTCTGCAGGAGTAGCCACCATGGGGGGTCGGAAGTAAACTGGGGCGGTGCCGCGTAGGCAAACTCCCAATCTATGACGCCGACGACGCGGAGGTCCTTGTCAATTAAGACGTTGGATGGACGCAAATCCTCTGAGAATAGTCGAAATAGAGATGCGACGTCTGGAGCGTCCACTGCCTCAAACCCAGACGAAAGTTGCCCCTTTGGACGCCAGCCGCCGAAACAGTTGGCGAGCCACGTACTTATCCCGCGTATCTTCCTCGTCAAGAACGGCATCGTTGCGCTGAAAGGTGAGCTGTGCGAAATGCATATCGGCCAAGGCAGAGTACCATTCATTGGCAGAGGAGTATGGTTGGGAAGGTACCAGTGTTGCAGGAATGCCGGTGAACTCTACGAGAGAGTTCATGTTCTGGATGAGAGGCCTGCCCGACACAGTGAAGCGTCCATCCGCTTCCTGAACCAAGGGGCCGATTCGAGGAAATGCAAGAGCAGACAGTTGGAGCATGATGTTCGCCATCTGACCATACAGAAACTCCAGTTTTTGCTCGCTGATGTCGGGAGCTCGTACGCCATCCTCGTCGGGTGGAGCGTCGGATCCCTGAGGGCATCGGACATAGTTTTCTCATGTTCGATATACTCCATAATAATGAAAGGCCCGAGGCCAGTGGGGTTCTCTGCTGCCGTTCCGGAATGCTAAATCTCGGGCAGAGGAATAATGGTATTAGCGGAGATATACCGCATAATGGCCACCTCGTAGCGAACTTTTTCCTCGGCAAATTTGACGATGCCCTTGCATGGTATCCTCATGGCTGTCGACGTACCACCCTTATACTCCAGTCGATAGAAGATGTTGTATCCCCCTCTGACCGGCCGGTGAAGCTCTACAGCCTCGCCAGGCCTTTACTTCTTGATGATGTCGGCAATCGTACGGTATACATCCGCCTTGTTCAGTGACTTCTCCCAAGTTTCGGCTTCTTCGTCATTCTTCTGCCAGGCAAGGTCATCTTTGGGCATGCGAACGTATCTGAGCTTTGGAGGCATGACGAAATTTGAATGAACAAGTCCAATCTTCGGGATGTATGAGTTGTGCGCGAGATGCCAACAATTGGAATATTCGAATATCAAAGGCTACGGTCGAGTCGACGTTGTTAAACTTTGGGTACATTCGACACAAGTTTACTTACGCCCGAGAACAAGGGTGAAGAGAGGGGAAACGACAAATGCCCTGTTTTTAGCCCAATCAAGATGTGACACATATCGCGGAAAGCTCCCGCGGGCTGCTGTAAACGCCACTGGGACTATCCTTTATTAAGAACCCTTATGCCCGCGTGAAGCAAACACCCGCACGGCGGTAACTCATTCTACCATTCACTGCCCGCTGTTAAGGAGTACTGTACCCGGCACTAAGTTCGCAAGCCAATCTGAAGTTATATACTCTTAGGGCCATGAGACACTTCATGTCTAAACCCTCTCAGATAGCTGAGCCACAAAAGGTAAAGCCACATTAGCGCTATTAGGATTCGAACCTAACACCACGTATATGGACAACCAACTGGGTCTTTGCTCCCGTCGACACAACGCTCTCGATTTCGTATTCTGAACCTAGCAGATTTCGAGATGGTATCGATGTTGGCTTCGTGTTCCCATCCCAGCAGGTTGAGATGGTATCGATGTTGGAATCAAGTCGGGCTCCGCCGCAACCTTGAGCAAATTAGTCCTTTTTTTTTTTTTTTTGGTGGCTCATGGCTGAACTCTGTTCGTCTTTTCCCCCAACGCCACCCCTTTGAATGAAAAGTGCATTCGTGCAGCTGGAGAGACGATCAGGCGGCCCAATCAACTCCATTCATAGCGTGCTGATCCGATGTCACTCATGGCGTCTTGGCTGATGTGTAAACAGACTAAGTCCACATCTCATCCGCCAGTTGGGAATAGTGGGGAGAGCTTGAGGTCCACAGATCCTCGAGAACAGTATTGCTTATCAGGCACCTGTAAGCAACATGCAGCCTGGGTATGTGGGAGATGCTACTGACCTGTCTCGAGCTCGGGGTACGTACATCCAGTAGTCTGAAAACTTTTCACCCCCAGTAGAGCCGCGGCAAACCACCACAGTGCGCTTCTTCGTATCGAGGTGGTGCTTGAGCTGAAGATTGTCTCAGAGCCTGAGACGTACATGCACTTTCAGTGGATATAATAGACAGCTCAAGTCTATCCATGCTTCAATCACAGATAAGTCAACTAGAACTAGGTATAACACTATTGCTTATTTATAGTCACATTATAGACTTCACCACGGTGGCCAAACCTTATCCTACTATCATGTTAAGATATCTTTATAGACAGTGGTTGAGTTCGAACTATTTCCTATCTGCTCATGTATGTGCAAATTTTCTGTTTAGGCTTCAACTAGGGTGATATGATCTGACCGCATTGTCTTCCACCATAACCATCGATAAAAGGGCAGCCAGCACCTAATTCAACGCTGCCCCTCTCGCATTGCCGCACACATTCAACCATGCAAAAACCTACAACCTTGCCGAAGGAATTGCACAACGTCGTGTCCTCATCTTGAGCTGCTATCACTCCATTCCAAGAACAACACAACAATGCAACACTATATTGCATCGTCTACACCACTCACCGAGCTTCAACAGAGATAACCACCGTCGTTGCTGTTGCTGAGGTCCACCCGAGCATCGAAATTTCTTCATTCACCTTCACCAACTTCGCCACCCGGCTCCTCTCCCCACAGAGCACGGCAACTCCTTGCTAGTATCAATCGCACTACATCTCAGCCACAGCAAAAAGCCATACGAAATACTGGGATCCTTCCAGCTCACTGCTGGAACCAGACGCAATCATACGATCAAGTACGCTTGTGGCCTTGTCGGCAAGCTCGCAGAAGAGCGGAAGAGAATCCAAAAGCTGGAGGAAGAGCTCAATGAAGCGAACGAGATAATACAAAAGCACGACAAGCAATTGAATGCCATACTAGCTGTCAACTCAGCTCCCCAGTAAACCAATCGGCCACCCCGACGGCATGTGGCCGAGTCCACCTCGGCTGATTGCCGCCAGAAAAGTCACGCAGACCGCCACCGACAAAGTCACCAGCAAAGCAAGTCACCAACAAAGTCACCCAGGCAGCTACTAATAGAAATCAAATAGACAAACACACAACAAGGGTTACACAGACTATCCCTGCTGCTATCAACGGACTTGCACGGCACTACGAGAACTATTCAAAATCGACAGCAGCATCGCGAGCCCGAGTGACGGGGACACCACACCAGGCCAGAAACAGCGGTGTCTGCTCTACCTACCGAGGAACCGCGGTCTTCAGCGGACATACATACAAGTGTCGCGCCGGGAAGTTGGAACAGCTCGACTTCTCGAAGAGCAAGACTCGACCACGACGCATGCAATATACGACCTCTTCCCTGAACAAAATGTCCGTTGAGACGTGGGCCAAAACACTATCGCCGTAGTCAACGTATGAGCAGGAAGACGGTTGGTGTTCTGGTCAGAATGGGACAGCTGCGTTAGATGGTCAGCAAGCGAGTGGCAAATGGGGAGATTCTGAGACACGCGTTGGAGATGAGGACAAGACGGACAAGTCGAACGAGTCGGAAGAGTCGGGCGATACACACCTGAGGGTTGTTTGTTTGTTTGTTTGTTTGTTTGTTTTGTATTTAACGTGGGGGGTAGCTCCTCAGTAGCGCAGACCACGCCTCCCAGAGCCTCTGCATCGCAGGGTTGTGGAGGTCTCAAAAAAATAAGTACAGTCAGTCCCGCTCACGGGCCCATCCCCGTTGTTGCGGCGGTATGACCTTGGGGTCATCCATCTGGTCCTTCAAGAACAGCTATCTATCAGAGACAGATTGTTGAAAAGAACTTGCTCTTCTCCACGAATTTTGCCCATTCTGTGCTCCTCTCCCCTAAGTATTGTAAATAGGCTGTCCTAGGCAAGTACCTAGGCAACAACCGATTTTTTCCTAGCCTCTTACAAAAGAAAATATGTTGTGGTGTTTTCTTTTCACCACAGTTGCAGTGATTGTTCGAGTCTGTATGCCCAAAGCGTTCGTGGTATCTGGCAAAGTCACCATGTCCAGATCTGGCCGCTAGAAGTCTGTGTAGAGTGCTCCTCTTAAAGGATATAAGGCCTCTTTCAGTTACTGTATGTAAGTATATTTCTTGATACCTAGATTCTGATTGGTCTTTCCACCATTAGTTGAACTCTTTCTTGCCCTTTCTCTTAAGATCTCTCTTGACCCAAGAGATTATAGGAAGGTTTGTTGTGTCTAATTCTAGCATAGCACCCTCTTTTGCTAATATATCGGCAGCTTCATTACCATCAATATCTCTGTGTCCAGGAATCCACTTGACGGTCACTCCAGGAGTGTGTGCTGTGACGAGTTCTTGGAATCGCAGAAAAATTTTCTGTGATGTCTCGGGTGGAGTCCCATTGAGCCCATCCACCACTGATGTGTTGTCCAGGCAGACATATAGCTGTTTTCCGTGTCCAATTGCCCTGGCTGCTACAAGACCTTAGAGAGCACCATGGACTTCAGCATCCATTACTTCTGTTTGTAGAAGTCTGCCCCTTCCCCGGTATATTTCTTGAGTAGTGCCGCCTTTCTTGATGGTATAGCCCCATCCAGTGCGGGTTGTGCCTTGGTCGTCCAATTATGATCCATCTGAATAGATGACAAGGTCAGTGTTCGCATTTCTTTCCTGTAGCCATTACTTGAAGAGCTCTGTTTTTTTGTCTTTGTCTTTACGGACTGGGGGCTTCTTCCATAATGGCTTGGTGAGTATTGGTCTCTAGAAGTCAGGGACTAGTTGGAAGCTCCTTTGTAGCCTTGTTGGTTCTTTGCGAGCTTGTATTTGGAGCCTGCCAACAAAAGGGTGTCTCTGGTCTATTCGTCCGAGTTAGAGGCCGTGACGTCTTTTTATTGACTCTGTAAGAATTCCTGCTGGAGGAATCTGTGATTCAAAGTGTAGGATATGTCCAGGGTGTGTTTTTCAGACTGGCAAGATAGCTCTGATTGCTGTTCGTAGTACAGCATCTATCGTTCTAAGAAGCCCTTTAATGCGACATGCTGATGTCCCACCTAAGCTCCTAATTTTTTCCATTCCTGGGTACCAGGCCTCCAGGCCATGTGTAAGAATAGGAATAACACAAGTTTTCACAGCCCTCTTGGTTGACTTTACTGGAAGTCCTTCAACTGTGTTGCATAGTCCTCGAAGGTGGTTTGCTACCCTACTAGCTTTCTTAGCCCAGTAAGAAACGTGATCTTTGAAGTTCAGTTTTCTATCCAGGAAGACACCCAGCCATCGCATGGAGTTCTTTGTTGTTCTGTTTATTGTCCTATGGCAGACCGGAGGATTATTTGAGTTCTTTTTCCGTGAGAAGTGCATGATCTCGGTTTTGTCGGGATCAAATTCAATAGCATTGTTATGTCCCCATTGATTGAATAGGTAAAGATTTTCAGAAGTCTCTTTGGCTGTTTCTTTAAGGTCCTTTCCAATACAGAGAGTCACTAGGTTGTCTGCATATCCAAAGCGTCTCCTTTTCATACCGAGTCGGGCACAGATTGGCTCTGTATACAGCATATAAAGGATTGGAGAAGCTGGTGAGCCTTGTGGTAGCCCACAAGTGAGAGCTTTTATATCGGTCACAATACCTTCAAACCGAACTCTTGCAGACCGTTCAGACATGAATGACTGGACCCATCTTATGAGAAAGTCTGGCCAGCCCTGTTCTCTCATGCGAACCACCAGCCGTCCCATTAGGGCAGCGTCGAAGGCCCCTGTCACATCTGCTGTGACTACCGTTGCAACAAGGCCTTGGTCAAGGGCCTGCTCAATATCGTGTATGAGTGCAGCTACCAAGTCGGCGGCAGAGCGCTTTGGCAGAGCTCCAAAATGTTATGGAGCTAGAATTCCGAGTTTGATGATAAACCAGGCAATTCTTTTTGTAATGAGTCGTTCTAGGCCTTTGCCAAGACATGATAATAGCGATATTGGTCTGTAGGCCCTGGGGT